TAGTTAGTCCTAATTAAAGAATCTTAATATTAATTTCTTAATAAATTCTACTTTTAGTATTTTAAAAGTAATCTAATAAATTAGAATTTATAAGAATAAGGTTTCTTTTTTTTTTAAGATAGTAATAAGTATAAGAATCTATAAAAATCCTTTAATAAAATATTAATAAAATCTAGTAAATCTTATAAAATTCTTAATATTAGTAATTATTTTAAGTAATTTCTAATTTATTATAGTCTTAATTTTCTTAGGATTTATATAGATACCTTCTCTTTTAATAATAATATTTAGAAACTTAACTTCTAGCTAGTAAAATTTATACTTAAATATTTTTATATATAAGTTATTATTTCTTAAAATTTATAATATTTATTTTAAATATTTAATATATTTTTTTCTTATATAGCTATAAATTAGAATATTATCTAGAAATATATTATAAAATATATTTATATATTATTATAGAATATTATTTATAAAATATTAGAAAATAACTAGAATATTAATTAGGCTAAATAATATAATTAAGAACTTATATAATTTAAAATAAATTTAAAAAGTAATTAGGTACTCTAATTCCTTCTTAATATAGATATTATTAAAGATAATTATTAAATTAATTTTAGAGAAATATTATATTTCCTACAGGTTATTTAAGATTTATTTAATTAAAGGTAATAAATAATAATCCTTAACTAATATAGTATTTAATCTTTAATAATCTATATATAGATAAAGGCTACCTTTAAATTTATTAATAAATAGAATTAAAGAAGTAACTAGAAATAAATTAGAATATATAAAATCTTTCTTTAGATTTTTTTTTAATTATTTCTTTAAAATAATTAATTATACTTATAATATTAGATATAATTTATTAAATAAAGGCTATTTTCTTTCTTAAATCTTAATATTATAATTATATAATTAGTATAGTAATAGCTTTTCTACTTCTTAAGAATTAAATATATTTTAGAAATCTTATAATTCTAGGAAAAATATAGATAGTAATTTAAAATTAGTATTTTTATATTTTAGTTCTTTATTAATTTTATTTAATAAGATTTAGTATAATTTTTATATAAAATAATAAGTATATATAATTAGTACTCTTAAGAATATTTAGTATATCTTTATAAGTATAAAAGATTTTAATTCTAGTAATTTTTTTTATTAATTTAATTACTTAAATTAATCTTTTTAAGAAATATTTATTAAGACTCTTATTTTTATAAATTTAAGAAATATATTATAGTATTTATAATAATATTAATTATTAAATATAGTTATTTAATTAGAGAAATATATTTTTAAGTTATATATAGTAAGCTAGGCTAGTTCTAAGATAATTAGATAGTAGAAGAAATAGATAATATAGAAAATAGATTTCTAGTTATAATAATTATTTAATAATAGATTAATCTTTATATAATAAGTTATTATACTTTCTTTTATTTCTTTATTATAAAAACTAGATAAGGATATTAAATAAGAAAATAGAATAATTTTTAGTCTATATATTTTTATTTATTAATAATCTATAAAATTAATTTTTTTAACTCTAGAATTAGTTATAATATAAATTAATATTTTTAGATTTTCTTAATATAATTATACTTACTATATTATTAGATTAGTATATATATAATAGGGATTAAAAAAGTAGATTAATTTAATAATAATATAAGATAGGTAAAATAATATATCTAGTAATAAGGGCTTTTATATATATTCTAGTATTAGATAGTAATTATAGCTAGATAGACTTTATTTTCTAAATTAGGTAAAATATTAGAAAAGTATAGTTAGTTAGATTTCTCTAAGATAGTAAAGTAGTTATTCTAAGCTATAATATAGAGAATAAGTAATATTATAATAAGAATTAGACTAGAATAATATACTAGTATATTTATTTATTCTTAAATTTATATAAAATATTAATTAAATAAGAAGTAATTCTTTATATAATATATTTTATTTTTATAATAAAAATATTTCTTATACTTATATTATTCTTTCTTAAGGGAGTATAATATATAGTAAGTATAAAATAAATTTATAGTATCTAAATCTTTTCTAGGTATAAAGAGTATAACTAGATAATTAGATAAAATAAAACTAGAAAGATTTCTTAGTATTATTAGATTAGAATAATAGGAACTAGATATTAGATAAGAATAAAATATTTATAGCTAGTATTAATAGTAATAATTTTCTAGTAACTAGAAATAATTAGTATATTCTTAAAAGTCTTAAGATAGGATAAGATTATAAAGTAATATATTTTAGAATTTAATTAAGATATTTTAAATTAAAAAGAATATTAAAAAATTATTAAATATTTTTTTTTAAAGTAAAATAATAAAACTTTATAAAATAAGTATTAAAATTTAAATTTTTTTATTTTTAATTATAGAAATAGTTCTAAATATTTTAAATTTAATTAGGGTCTTTAAATACTATTTCTAGATAATTAAGTAAGTTAGGATAATTTAAGAATTAAAGAATATTAAGTCTTATTTTAAATAAGATTAATTTATAAGTCTTTCTAGTTAGATATCTTATTATATAAGTTAGTTAGATCTTAATAGCTAAAAAATAGTCTAGATTAATATTTATTTTATTATAGATTTATTATATAAAATAGTAAAAATTAAAATAAGTATTATTAAATTTTTATAAATTAAAGAGTTTCTTATTAAGATAGGTATTAAAAAAAAAATTAGTAAAAATAAATATAAATATTCTTATTATATTAATTACTATAATTTTAGTAAGGAGAGCATATTTAATAAGAATAAGAATAATAATAAAAATAAGTATAGTAAAGATAATAATAATTTATAGTATAATAAATATATATTTAAATTTAATTAATTTTTATTAAATTACTTTTAATTCTTCTTTCTAGTATAGTACTATTCTCTCTTTCTTAACTAGCTCTAGGCTAGCTTTATTAACTTAATTTTAAAGAATATAAATCTTCTTTTCTAGAGAATTAATATATTTATTATAAAATTTAAAATAAATAATTTAAATAATAAGATTATTAATAATATAACTTATAAATTTTTTAATTAAGTTTATAATTAAAAGTAATTTAAATTATTTTAATATATTAATAATAACTATATCTAGAGTAAGAACTATATAATATTATAAAGAGTAAGTAGATAATAAGTATAGTTAATAATAAGATATATATTTAAGCTATCTATATACTAGTATAATAGGTAAGAGTTAGGTTAGGACAAGGATATAGCTTAAAGAGCTATAATAGGATTAGGAGTAATATAGCTTAAATATAGAAATAGAGGCAGATAATTAGGGCAGAATCTAACTAGATAGGTATATAGCTACACCATAATAATATAAATAATACTAAATTATATATTATTTTTTTATAATAAGTTATATTCTTAAGAATTATATAATTATATTTTATATTATTATTTCTTTATATTATAATTTATATACTAATATCTCTATATTTTATAATAAGTACTTTTAAGTCTCCTACCTATATATAGTTATCTTATATTAATTTTATATATTATTTAAATTAAGATAGATTATTAAATATATAAATTAATAATTTTAAGTTAAAAATAATAAAATAGAATAATAATATTCTTACTAGTATTTTTTTCTTATAATCTAATTAATAGGATATAATCTAGAATAAAGCTAAATAATATATTATATTTAAGAAGTCTTTTATCTAGTCTAATAATAATATTATAATTCTAAATTTTATTTTAATTACCTATTAAATAGTAGATTCCTAATTATTTAATTAATTAACTAGATTATTTTTTAAGAATCTAATTACCTTTATATAAATATTATAAGCTATATTCTAAATTTATTTTTAATTAACTATTATATACTCTTTTAATTTAAGATATTATTTTTCTAAAATCTTTATTAAATTATAGTAGAAGTAATAAATTTTTAGAGAAATAATATATTAAACTTATTCTTTTAATTTTCTAAATTCTATATTCTAATAATTATACTTATTTATTTCTATTTTATAAAATACTATTTTAAAATTAAAATCTTATAATAATATTATAGAATTTCTAGTACTATTTACTAGTAAAGTCTCTCTACTATCCCTAATTAATCTAGTAAGTTATTATAAATAACTCTTACTACCTTCTACTATCTCTTATAGATAGTTGTCTCTTACACATGCTTTAAATAAGGATTACTATATTAGCTAATCTTCCTGCTCAGTAAGCTGCACTGCATTATTATAATTATTAGTGGTTAGAGGCATTGTGCTTAGTATTTTAATAATTAGTAGGTTTGGTAGGGATTATTAGTATTTTAATAATTAGTAGAATGGTCAAGGGTTACTAGTATTTTAATAATTAATAGGTTTTAACTACCTATATAGATTTACATGCTTTGAGCAAATATAAGGCTCTTAATTATTAGATATATAATAATCCTAGGGGTAACTTAATAAAAGCATGTAATCAGATGAATAGATATATATATGTGTTGGGGGGTTGTATGCTTGCCTAAGGCCTTAATATAGGGGGTTAGCCCCCTTGCTTACTAAGTATATCACGGGATACCCCTTCAATTCGACACATTCACTGAATCCAGCACTCCAACATAATCTAACTAGTATAGGAAAATAAAAGATGGGACCAGAATCACTGGAAATGGCTTCCAAAATTAGTAATTTTACAAACTTAGTAGTATCCAAAGTCCAATATAATGATATTCTCAAACAAGTACAGTGCAGATGCTAGGGTAAGCAGTGAACCAACCATGGAGGAACACCAAACGTTGGTGCCAGGTGATATGATCAGCTCAACTATCTGGATTCCGTACCTGAATGGAGTGCAATATCTGCAATACATAGTCAAAAAGGACCATGAAAAAACCGCGGACATATTCCCCGAAATGTCACGTGACCAACCGTAATTTGCTGCAAAGCTGTGCTCTGTACGGATAAAGGTGCTTCTACATTTTTGATCCCTTTCGCGTGCTACCAGAACTTAAGTTCCCCCCCAAATTGCCTGCTATATCCCCAGAAGCCTCGGATACTATAATATAATTACACCGATATCCCCAGCACGGCAAGAAGAAATACTAAGGCTACACTTTCCCATCGCGTCGTACCTTTGTCTGGTTTTTGAAACTTTGACAATGAAACAGAGCAAGAATCAATTGAGGAGGGCACGGCGAAAGGCCCTCAAGTCCCAGGTATGACACCCTATTACTTTCCCTGGTCGTAATTTGATAAATCTGACGCGTTTCTTTCGAAGGGCTCTGATACAACGCTGGGGTCCCCAGATACTAAATCTAATGCAACGATATCAGCGCAACCTGGGACCGACCTTACCGATTCTCATTCCATTATCTCCCTAGACCTCGATGATCCCCTATGGAAAATGTACAAGGATATCGCTAGCAAATTCGATGAGTCTGAAGAAGTCAAGACACCAGCAATTGAAACTCAAAAACCCGAAGTCTACTTTGATGATGACGCTGAAATACCTGAAGAAGAGGAGGATAAAGTATTCACATTGTCGAAAAGGAAGCGCAAAGAACTGAATAAGCTCTCAGTTGCAGAGCTCAAAGCGATGGTTCGAAAACCAGAGCTAGTGGATTGGACAGATACTTCCGCACCTGATGCACGACTTCTCGTTCACATAAAAGCCTATCGAAATGTTGTCCCGGTGCCTTCTCACTGGTCATTAAAGCGAGAATACCTTTCGTCAAAGAGAGGAATCGAGAAAGCGCCATTTTCTCTGCCAAAGTTCATACAAGAAACTGGAATAACCGAAATGCGTGACGCTGCTCTGGAAAAACAAGAACAAGCGTCGCTGAAGCAGAAGCAAAGGGAAAGAGTACAGCCAAAAATGGGAAGGCTGGACATTGACTACCAAAAGCTGTACGAGGCTTTCTTTCGGTTCCAGACTAAACCGGAACTCACGCGATATGGCGAGGTTTATTATGAGGGAAAAGAGTATGAAACAAATCTTCGACACTTGCGACCCGGAGAGCTTAGCCCGGAACTGAAAGAGGCCCTCAACATGCCTCCCGGTGCCCCGCCTCCATGGTTAATTAACCAACAACGATATGGGCCGCCTCCTTCATACCCAGCTTTGAAAATTCCAGGTCTTAATGCCCCCCCACCCCCTGGTGCCATGTGGGGGTATCACCCAGGCGGATACGGAAAGCCTCCCGTTGATGAGCATAACAGACCTCTCTATGGTGGAGATATATTTGGCGTTTTGCAACCCCAGCAAAGTGTGCAACAAGGCGAGCCCGTGGAAAAAGATCTCTGGGGAGAATTACAGGCACCAGAAGTATCTGACGAGGAAAGTGAGGAAGAGGAGGAAGAAATTGATGAGGAGGATATTGACACGGGATTACAAACTCCAAGTGGATTGGAAACTCCAAGTGGCCTGGTATCAGCTGTTCCGTCAGAATTTGCTGGCATAGAAAATGTCTCCGGGGAGTTTGATGTGCGGAAGCATTATCGTGGAACCCAGACCGAGGAGTCTGTGGGCCACAGAAGCGCCTTCCAGGTTATACCAGAACGACAGGCGCAGGTGCAGGGGTTCTTTGGAGGAGACAGAGTATACGACTTGAATGGATCATCAGGTAACTTACCGGTACTCGGAGTCGACGACCAAAACCGGAAGCGTAAAACGCCGGGTGATGTTGATGTATCAATGGACCCAGATGAACTTCAGGGTAGTGATGGAATTAGCAAGGACAATATCCGAAGACTCTATGAGTCTCAGCGACAACAGGAGATGAATCCCAATTGGGAATTTCAGGAAGACCTGTCCGATATGATTGCGCACGAGAGCCGGAAGAAACTCAAACCAGAGAAACGGAGCAAACACTGAAGACTTTTCGCAGCCCTCAGTTTCGATTATCGATTTATACTGGTTATCTGGGTTTCAAAGATTATGTACCAATAATTTGAAATAAAATGTATCGGCTTTATTCCTTTGGCCATATTTTCCCTACCCTAAACAATCGAATTCCATAGTTGCCTGTAATTTTGGACGGCCTACGACGTTGGCTTTGGGGTAGGAATATTATTCCATAGGAAACCCCTATCGGTGCCACCACCTTGCTCCGAGGGAGATACCTATATCACGCCGTATCCGGATCTCGTATACGACGTATAGTATCTGCCTTCTCCTCGTTTGTGTTAATAAGCACAGGTCAACCTGGTCAATTTGAATAGTTCTCCTGACATGCTTCGCAGACATTCATTCAACCAGCAACGCTTTGCCTCAACCATCCAGTTTCTGCGAAATGCCAGATCCCCGGCCTCTGCCGGAATGCGACTCTCCGAGAGTAGCAATTCATTTTCTTTGATGGATTCCTGAAAATCCAATTTGTGAGCTACTCGCACACCCCGGATCCAATAATGGAGAATTGTTTAGGGACGAGTCAAGAATTTTTGCAGGTCACACCGATGTTTACAGTAATCTTGTCCTGAGATATAGTTAGTCCCTGATGGAGCTCCTTGGACTGAACCAAAAAAAAAAAAGGTCGATTGTACTTTCTCGATTGTTCTGCTATCAATTATGCAGCGAAACAGGAACTATCTACTAGGCGTGCCTGACATGCCTTGGAGCCTAGGCTATCTTCTGGATTGGGGCGAGGCTCAGAATATCGGGCTGATCGTCATCGCGTGGCAGAAATAGACCCATGCAGGTAAGAAAGATGAATGAGAAGTAATGGTAATTACGATGGAGGTCGTCATTACTATCATGGTAACCTGGAATGTCCCGAGGTAACTAAATTTGATCTTGGATTTAGCCTGGCATCGCCTTGGGTGAATGTCCCGAGTAGGGTTACTTAGTTTGGCATTATTTTGAATGAGTAGTAGTTAACCAAGCAATTATGAGTCAGAGTGGGAAGGTACCTAACTAAGTGACATGACTCCTCCAATTATCGAATCAACTGTAATGGGATGCCGATATTTGGGGGGAGGGGAGTTGGTACCTACGTAGTAGGTACATAGTACTTGGAGAGTTAGGTAGCAAGATATCTGCCAAAATTCCAGACCATAAGAAACGATGATGGTTTGGGCATTGACTAATTGGAGGAATTGACTTGGTTGGGTGCCTGGATGGATGAATTGAATTGATGATTTGGAAATAACAACCTTGTCGAAGAAGATTCTACGTGGAATGACCACACAAGAATACAAGGTCTGACCACCAAAAACCTACCAAGTCCTCTGTACTCTGTAGGACAAAACTCCGACATGCGGCGCTTGTGGTGGGGCTCAAAAGACAAGATGAATGGGCAATGGACATATTCCATAAGTTGAGTATCTCCAGATGATTCATTTCGCTGACAGAATGATGTAACTTTAAGCCATCCGAAGTCCGTCCGCTTAACTCCCTCTGGACTCTCACTTTCCTTGTCTCCTTTTCCCCCCTTCCTCCCTTTGAACCGCAGATGATCTGACTCTTATCCATGGGTTTCAGCCCAACCATTCGTGAGACGCCTCAATCGACTGTGGCTATTGGTGGCCACCAGATGGAACTAATCCACCTATTCGTGGTTTTCTATAATTATTATTAGGTCGACAGTCCTTAGAGTATCCCCGCCCCCTTCCCGTGACAACTATTGTCGTCATGTGGGAGATCGTCCACCACCTCCCTTATTTTATCAAGCCTGGTCATTTCCTCGTGTTAGATAGTTAACTAAGTTGAAGTAATGATAAAAACCCAAAGCGGGATTTTCCTTCCCCCTCTCTTGCTCTCGGTCTCTCCATTCTCCCTTCCCCCCCCTTCAAGATAGAACCAATAAATTTAAAACAACAACAAAAACCAACCCTGAACACTTCTTCTCCAGTAGGTCATCCGATTATAAAATTTCATCCCATCCTCTAGCGATCTGCAATTGGGTAGATATCGTGTGAAGGAAAACTGGCATGGTATACTGGTGGTGGTGGTGGTGGTACCCTCTACAACAACTTACAGCCACGCGCCAACCCCGCAGTCTCGTGAACAATCTCATCCCTCCATCGAATAATAATAAATAAGTGCACATAACATTTCAACCTCAGCCCCATCCGTCAATCAGCAACGCATTGACTCATAGCTCTCCATCTCAGCCTGCCTGCGCCTTTCCAGGGGCGCCTTGATTCACTTTTCCCTTGGATAATTATTATCCAGGCTGGTGGTCCCCAGTCAAGGTGCTTATAATTTGGTTCTTCCCTCTTATCGCCGAGACTCCCCTCCCATTAGTTACTACCTAAGGTCATATTCATACATCCTCCTTCCAGTTGCTGCCTGTTGCCACTGACTGGACAAAGAGGCGGCAACCCTGACAAATCACTTTCACGTGTGTTTGGGCAATATTGCCAAATCCCTTTCCATTGAGTTCTATAAACATCATCCCATCGCCATTCTTATTCTTATCCATCTCCCCTCATCTATTACAAGTGATCTATTATCCTCCAGAATACCGCCTTGGTCGTGATTCTTGACTGGATACCTCTCTTCCCTGTTTCCACCCCCCCCCCCCCCGGGCTAGCACAACGTGTACGCTCTGGAGTTACTTCAGACTGAAATGACCTCGTTCAATCCCGCAGCCTCACTTTTGGTATCAAGTGACAAATCCAATATGAGTCGCTTACCCTCAGTATCCAGCCTCATGTCCCCCCCAGAGTCTAAACCTTTCGAATCCTTTAATCCTACATTTTCTCCTTACAAGATGTCGCAGGATCCATCTTTTAACAATGAAATGAAACTCGCTCCTATTTCTGTTGACAGAAAGCGAACACAGTCAGAAATGGATCTGCCATCGCCACCTGTTACTCCGTATACGGGGAACAAGAAAAGGAAGTCAATCGTCTCGGACCAGCACGACGGCGATGGCCTCAATGGATCCTCGAGAGATCCTGTCCTTTTTCCACGGCATGAATCTATTCCTGATATCGCCACTGATGAGCCATTATTTGGCCCCATGCTTCCATCCTCCGCAGAGGCCTTAGTTGAACAGCATATTAATTCCCACATGGCGAGGTTTGAACATAAAGTCAATAAACCCACACGCGATGAATATCTTTTGGCTCTTTCGTGTGTGCCGATCGTATCAGCCCAATATAATCGCAACCCGGTCGCCTGGGCTAGGGAAGAAAGGGAAACACTGGAGCGTCAGTTGCTAATGATGAATCGACGACGCCCCCAGAGTTTAGATGGGAAACTGAAAAAAATTGCACCAGCGCCGACGAAAAGGGTGGTTCCTGCTCAACCCCGTATGCAGCGGATCCCCAGAACGAAGCGCACACCAAAGTCCACCCCAAAGCAAAAGCCTCTGGATTCGTTTGACATTCACACACCGAATTCCAGGCCACCTCGTGCCATAGGCACCAATAGGGATGACACTGATTTTAACTCCATTAAGGATTACTCGCCATCACTAGAGACTCTTGGTGGTAATGCCAAAGCACTAAAGGCAGATTGGAAAGGTCAGATGCTAGACCTTAGTAATGATCCAGACAAACACCTGCTTAGCTCTGCCGAGCTCAATCTAGCAGCTACACTGAGGCTTTCTTGTGCGACCTATCTATGCAGCAAGCGCCGCATTTTTGAGGCACGTGTTAAAGCCTTGAACGTTGGCAAAGAATTCCGCAAGACGGATGCCCAGCAGGCCTGCAAAATCGATGTGAACAAAGCAAGCAAACTCTGGACAGCTTACGAGCGTGTCGGCTTGTTCAAGCCTGAACACTTTCGCGAGTACCTCAAGTGATAATCTAAGTTGCGTTCCTCTGGGCCTTGATTATCTTATGCCCCACTCCTCTCCACACCCGTCTCTGCCCTTTTCTTAATTCTCTCTGCTCGATCAATTAGCGATTTGACTTTCAGCACCAATTTCCCCATCACCGTGTTTTAAATTCCTTTCTTCTTTTGCATTATGGCATATTAGGATTGGTTGTTTGTTCCTGGTTGTACTGCTTCTTGTCTAGCATGGCTGGCTTCATGTAGGGAAAGGCGAATTGGACGGATTCGACCCGAGGATCCTTTTTATTTTTTATTTTTTTTCTACCCATGATTATTCCCTCTTTTTGCAACCGGCGTTTGGGTTTTCATGGACTGTGGCCACTATAGCGCAATTCTGGCTTGCTTTTGATTTTGCTTGTGGATGAATAGAGTGTACTCAGCTTGAGCTTGTGCAACATTGGCTTGCAGCATGTCATGATGGTTTTGCTATCCCTAGCTTTCGAATTTGGACTGGCTTGCTCAACATATTTCGAGGTTCATAAATTGATAAATTGCTGATCTTAATTGGGCTGAGTAAACCATAAGATGAGTTGAGGAGATAACTTGAGAGTTGTGGGGAGGAAAGGGGGGCACTTGGCTCTTCTTAAGTTCTTATTGATTCAAATTTCAAAGTAATTTGGGGTTGCGGGACAGAAACAGCCAGGCCCGTCCTACAGTGTCATACCAATTAACCTTGTATTGCTATAGAAGTACAGAGTGCATAACAAGACATCGCATGTGAAAACAGATGCTGTAAAGTCCCGTAGCATCACTACCAGGACACAAGACAAGATAATAGCACCCCGTCCGTCCTAATGTATGTAGCATTCTATATATATAACAACAATGTTGGTAAAGAATCCCAGCTGGATTTCGTTCCTGCTTACTCGGCAGTAAGCTCGAGACACTTGTACTACAATAAAGTAGCGAAGGGGTTGTGGAGCTGGTAAGAATTAATATTAGTGATGATGATGATAACTAGTTAATAATAATAACTCGCGCGGGAAAGCCTGGGAGGCGAAGCCCGCCAACTACGCAGCCGTTGGTATCCGCGCCACCACCAAACCGACGGGGTTGAACCACGACTTACAACTTCTCCAATTCTTTCGTTGATCATCTCCCATAAAATTTCCGCAACGTTTATGGAAAGGGGAGCTCTGAACAGTTATGTCTCAAACACAAGCGAGCAATATGGAGCCCTTTGACGAGCAAGGGCAGAGGGGAGATGCTGACGTTGACAAGAAGCCAAAGACTCGAAGGCCAGCAAGTGAGAGATTTCTCAGACCAGCTCTGTTTAATTAATAGCTTATAAGGGTTGTAGATACTGCGTTTCGGCAACAGCGCTTAAAGGCCTGGCAGTGAGGAGATCCCACGTGGAATTCGAGCGCGATTGCTCGACTGTGTTCGTGAACTGACAGTGTTTATAGACCGATTCTGACCCCCAGGAGTGTCTTACCCCTATTTTTTATCGTTGGAATCATATTTGCTCCTCTCGGAGGCGTACTATTATGGGCAAGCGCACAAGTACGTTTCAACCTTGACTGGCTGCGAAATTGCGACCCTAACACACTTGCGCTCTGCTGGCTAGGTCCAAGAACTCGTTATAGACTACTCGGACTGCAAGGATGTAACGAATGAAGTTTCGATTCCTAATGACAATGTCAAATATTCCTTCAGATCCTCCGTCCGCCAGCCCCCGACCTGGCAGCGTACCAATGCGAGTGGAACCGAAGTCTGCCGACTGATTTTCGATGTTCCAGACTCCATCGGACCACCAGTTTTTATGTATTATCGACTCACCAATTTCTACCAAAATCATCGCAGATACGTGAAGTCTCTTGATCTAGACCAGTTGAAGGGCAAAGCGGTCGATAACAGCACGATCAATGGAGGCTCATGCGACCCCCTTAGACTTGACCCAAGTGGAAAAGCATATTATCCCTGTGGCCTCATCGCAAATTCTATGTTCAATGATACTATTAATAGCCCCGTGTACCTGAATGACCCAAACACGGAGACCTCTCAGATATACTTCATGACCAACAAGGGAATCGCTTGGGATAGCGACAAGGAACTCATACAAAACACCTCATACAAACCAGGGCAGGTTGTGCCGCCTCCGAATTGGGAGAAACGTTACCCAGACAAATACGAGAATGGAATTCCAAATCTCCATGAAAATGAAGAGTTTATGGTTTGGATGAGAACTGCTGCGTTGCCCAACTTCAGCAAACTCTCTCGCCGAAATGATACTCAAAAGATGGCGGCCGGCATTTATCAATTGGACATTGAAGACCGTAAGTTCAGGACCACAGCGAGGACTATGATTCCTTCATGCTCACCATTTATTAGCCTTCCCGGTTACTGAATATGGTGGAACAAAATCGATCTTAATATCCACTCGTACTGTAATTGGAGGTCAAAACCCCTTTATGGGAATCGCCTATGTCGTTGTTGGAGGTATCTGTGTTTTGCTTGGAGCACTATTCACAATTGCGCACTTAGTTCGACCACGGTAAGATTTCTGGGCTAAAATTTTGATAACAAGACTGACCCTGCCTAGTAAACTTGGTGATCACACGTATTTGACGTGGAATAATGAACAAGAAAGCACTGCAACTGCAACTGGGCGGGATGACAGATTTGGAGCACATGCCCACTAAGACATTTGTTTTTCCTAGAGCGTTTTCTTCAGCTTTCTTTTACTATTCCCCCCCCCCCCATTCTCTCTTTTCTGGTATTGTATATTATTGAATGGCTTTTAAGTACGCCCCTTGTTAGGGATGATTTTACGTCGCTTGAAATTTTCACGTCAACCGTTCGAGGCGTCTATAGGTGGATCTTTCCTGCATAGTGATCAATTGAAACGAATAATTACCCTTCGCATCCCATTATTTCCCTGCTTGGTGCTAGGCTGTCTCCGGCTTTGGGTTTTAACAAGAACCGAGTTGCCTTTTAAAACATTCGCACCCCTTGCTGGCTCATTCCGGCCTGATACCCGAAAATCCTCGATTCCGCACTTTTTGGCATGGGCTGCATAACTCTCCGCGTAACTCTTTGCAACAATTCCCTCTCTTTTAATTCTCGGGCCAAGCTCTCCCGGGGGGAAGGCGGGACTTGACATACAGACAGTGTGGCTGTTAATAACAACATGGTACGGTTTGAGCACCTCCAGATCTACTTGATCTTGGCTATAACCAGTCTTCCGCTCAACTGCCTCGCTATTTCCCAGTGGACACGAGGGTTCTGCGCGACCGCCCCCCCTAATGAGTCCTTGAAGACGGAATTTAGGAGATTGAACGCTCTAGAATCACAGCATGATCCTACACTCAACCCCGAGAGCCGAGAAGCCGTAACGCCAATCGAAATAGAAACCTGGTTTCATATCGTGAGCACTGAAGCGAACGCGGGCCAAGTATCGGATGAGATGATATCTGCCCAGGTTAGTATTGAATTAAATTCATGTCTTTTCATCTAATTTATCCTGTTCCAATTTTCATGCTCATCTGACTGACACAATCAAGCTATCATACATCCAAAATGCATATCAGAACGCTACCATTTCCTATAGCCTCCAGGGAGTAACCCAACAAATCAATGACGCGTGGGCGCGCAATGAGGACGAAATGGGCATGAAGAATGCTCTTCGCAAGGGAAGCTACCGAACCCTCAATATCTATTTCCAGTCCGATCTCAAGGCTTCCCCGAGCGCTGGAAGTCGTGAAGCCGACATCACCCAGCAGCTAGCTTCTAGCGTTCTGGGTTTCTGCACCCTACCGGACGCTAATATCAACAAAACCAGCCCTCGTTCTAGCTACGTCAAGGATGGATGCAATGTGCTCTCTCAGACCATGCCGGGAGGCAATCTGGACCACTATAACCGAGGCGGCACTGCCATCCACGAAATCGGACACTGGAATGGACTCCTCCACACGTTTGAAGGGGAGTCCTGCTCCCCCGATAACGAGGGCGATTATATTTCCGATACGCCGCAGGAGGGAGTTCCGACAGATGGATGTCCCTCGCAGAAGGACTCTTGTCCTGACAGGCCAGGTGTTGACCCTATCCACAATTTCATGGATTATTCATCTGATGAGTGTTATGAGAATTTTACCCCGGCTCAAATCAAGAGGATGCGTAGCATGTGGTTTTCGATGAGAAGTGGAAAATAAATTTGATCTTTGCTTTGGCTTTATTTCGTTTTAGATTCTGTCTGGGGTTTGTTTCAAGTGAGGGTTTTGTTTGATATGCACATAATGCGAAGCTAGGCTTCGTCTTCTATCTACTTACTTAGTTCGTGGTGGTTATGTTTGTTTTGTTGTTGCAATGATGGGACGAAAGATATGAAATAACTCTCTCTATCTATTGTTTATTAATTTACTGTTGATTATTGTCACTCTTTCATTGGTATGGTCCTATGCTGTATACACAGTCCTGTGCACTTTGCAAACCTTATCTGAATTGAGTTTAGTAGTTCAATATCTCTTTCATGATAGCCGAGATATTCTCAATTTTTATGTATATCATCATGTGTGGCTTTCAAAATTTCTGCTAGTAGCCTTTTAAGCGCTGAATGTAACTTCCAATTACAATTACTAGACGGTGAAGGAGGGAAAAAAAAAATTTCCAAGATACTTTCTTGAATCATATTTCGGTCAGCGAAACAACAACATTGGATCGTTAGATTATCAAATAAGGTAAAAATACAAAATGTAGCAAAATGATATTTGAAATCATGCAAGCAGACCGCGTAGAGATATTACCGCTTTCGCTTTTTACCCCTATCATCGTCGTCCAGGCCACTCTCCTTGTCCTTCTTCTTTGCCTTTCTCTCCAGCTCATCCCAGTCTTCCCCGCTTTCCTCGTCCTCGCTGAAGTCCTCACTGGCATCAGCGCTAGCATCGTCATCGAATTCGCTGTCCTCAGAGCTCTCATCCGCCGCAGCAAGCTCTGATTCAGAAAGCTCGAATGCGGACTCCTCCTCTTCTTCCGAGCCATCCTCGGAGTCTGATTCGGCTGCCAGGAATGACCAACCACCATCGGCAAAAAAGCCGTACGGGTCGCTAACGACGGTTTTCATGATGGTTGTCCAGTTCAGATTCAGTGGTCCCTCTGTGAATGCAATATCAACAGAGTCGAGCCAGTCTTTAACACCTTCCAAGGCTTCCACAGGGATAGTGTTAACATGCACAGGGGGCCGGTGGAAGTCCTTGAACACGAAAACAAGGTCAAAGTTTTTGAGCCCGAACTATTTCAATGTTAGAAGAACAGGCCGCGGTATATATATAAAACACATAGTATCTGCAGCTTACCTGTACTCTCTCAAGATGTGCAATCTCAATTTCGTTCAGACTGAGAACAAGGAAGGGAGGCTCAGTCAACTGAACGAGCGCATCTGTGGCTGGTTGAATGAGGACACTGGAGCGATTCGGGACACCGGTAAAGCCAATCTCTCTGAACGGAATGTCGACATCTACACTTTCATCCTTTCCGGCATCCGCTATCTTCTCCGCGAATGCTTTGAATTCGCGGTCTAAGGCTGCCCTGCGACGCCTCTCCTCTTGCTCAGCCTCGAACTCCTCCTCATCTCCATAACGGTGCTTGCGTCTGCGGTTTCCGGTTTCGTCAAACTGCATCTCAGTAGCTTCCCTATAAAACTGGACATCTCTGGTCTTCCTTTTACCGATCATAATGGGTGTTTTCAGGTGGACGTGTATAATAACGATCAGTTCGTGCGCACAAGGCTGGAAGAACAAGTGCTTGACATTGCTGAAGAGGACATCCACATGTTCGTTACGTAAATGTGACATATAGCGAAGACCATTCTGGTGGATTTCAACTTCACCCGGAACTCGTTTTCCATCTAGAGGAGGCCGAAGATAAACGTCAGGTAGCTTCACAGGGCGACGATCTGGTCTCTTGTTAGCTTTCGCTCATGATTGATTCTGGATTGGGTGACAGACTTCTAATTTCGACAAGCTTGTCTTGCTCTACCACATCTTCCATCTCTTTTTTCTCCTGTTCACGTCGTAGAGCATTCTTCCTAAGCTCTGTGATGTCTTGCGCGACTTGCGCAAACCGGGAGTTGTCTTTTGATCTGAGCGTCAAATTCCTCAGGAAATGCGCTGACAGGTCTTCGAAAGGCTGGTCATCCTTCCTAGCAACACCCTGGCCAGGAGAAAGGAAGTTGATTCGAAGGTAGGCGTACTCTCCTTCGTCACTTTTGCTGGCATTTTTAATGGTGTTGATGTGAAATGGCACTGGCCGACCCATGATTGGAACAATTACAGTAGAGGCTTTGTGATCCACATAAACAGTGAGATCCTTGACCTTCGCCGGCAATTGGTTATCTCGCTTGTACGATTCAAACTTCTTGAACTTCTTCTGGGTAACACCGTTATCGTCACCGGTGGTACCTGCGAATCGATCAAGACCTTCTTTAGTCTTTTTCGAAGCTAGTTCTTTCTGGTGTTCACGACGACGTGCTTCTGCACCTTCACTGACCTGAGTCGGTCGTTCAGCACGAAGTTTTGTCCTCGTAACATTTCTGCTTGCAACCGCACCGGACTTGGGCTCTTTCTTCTCTTTGGCGGGCTTCTGGGGCTCTTCTTCATCTCCGAAATAGAACGAAACGGAGTCCATGTCGATACCTGCATCTTTGGTGAAGACATGTGGTCCCTGTTCTCCGACACGGACAGTGTCCGTGATAAGCATTGAGTAGACGCGGGTTTTCTTGTCCTTCGCATTTGGTTCTTCGACATCCACTAGTCCAACTGTGATTGACAAGGTCATACCGCTCTTCAAAACCCTGTTGTTCTTTCCATTGAGCACCATGTTTGAATCGCGAAGCTCGATTCCGATACCAGCGCCGACGTTTTTCGTGAAGTGAGGTTCAAGTTCTGGTCTTTTAGCTCTGATAAGACCAATTGCCTTGTTGAAAAGTTCTTTGGCGGCTGTGCCATCGCGAACTTCCTTAATGACTGTTTCGTGAAGGTTCAGGAGAAATGCATAGTTTGCTTCCTGGGATTTGCTGGGGTCCACTAAATAGGTACGTCCGATTATGGAGCTGTAGGTTTTGTAACGAATTCCGAAACCTGCGATAATGATTCCCGGCTCGAGATTTTTGTCATCAGGAACGGCAGTAAGCTTCAAATCGTACTTCCCACCACTCTGGATCACAGGGCCATAAGCCCAGTCAATCTGGCGAGGATCAAATTCAGATGGTAGTTTCGCTAGCTTGTTGAAGAATTTTTCGTCATCAATTTTGGCGTCGATCCGTATTGAAAGTGCTTTGTGTGTCATCTGCTTTTCCTCGTCGAGTAGCCGAGACATTTCGTCGACAAAATATTCGGACATCAGTCCGCTGCACGCCCTAGAGGCATTTCGGATGGATACCTACAAGCTATTAGTTGCCGTCGTGGAATGTCAACTGGAAAACCTACTAGTTCGTCTGTATCCTTGATGGAGAAGCAGGCCGTGGACAAGGCAGGGGCGATATCAACTTCCTCTAATTCTCCAGAAATATTTCCATAAATGCGCTTCCAGTCTTCTGCAAAGGGACCGGCGGCCGTGTCTTTCGGTAGAATCCCGACTTTTGGCTATTTCCGACTCAAGACGTTAGCGCTCGCAGTCACTTGGTAATTACCAACGATTTGAGGATAGCGTAAGACTCACTCCTGCAGCTTTGATGACACCGATGCATTTTTCAAACACTTTGGTCTTCTCTTCGGGATCCTTGGTTGTCACTAAGATTTCCACGGGAATTTTTCCACCCTTCAAAGGTTCCAGATGCTTGGCTACATTTTCCCACCTCAGGTTAGAAAAATAGGGCCCTCTAAGTCTTGTATTGGAATTCGGACGAACCTTTTTTTGCTGTTGTTACGACATACACTACCTCGGGAGTGAAAACTAGGAGGGTAGCCGGGAATTCATACCCGAGTAGCCAAAACTACAACTCGTTAGCATTGAAAACAGGATAGGCTCGGGAACCTGTGCCGTAAGATAAGTAGGGAACGCACATGTATAGCGTTAGATTTTTGGAAACTGTTGGCCTCATCTGTCTTTCCCATAAGAACCACGATAGAGCCTGCGCCCCCAAAAACGGGGTTAGTAGATCGTTTGTCTGTCTTCCATGCCGTACAGAAGCTCGATAAACGATTAAAGAATGTGGTCTTATCGATCACAATTTCTTCAGCCATGTTGTCACCTTAGCGGAAATTGAGGTTTCGAGCACCGGATGTTCGACTAGGGACTGGTGCAAAGGTGGAGCTAGAAACAGCTCTCTTGCAAGGCAGCTAGCTCCCTGGATACGAGAGAGAATTCGGTACGTTTGAGCTTCGCTGCCTAACGAGAGGTATGGTTAAGGGGCACTCAAGTCTCTAGGGGGAAAATGACACATATGGGGTTTGAAGTTGAATAAAGAGAGAATGAAGTCAATGACAAGGGCAAACGCGAAAATACCTTTCAACGCGCGTCGGCTCCTGCTGAGGAATCGGGACTAATTTAGATTTTAGTGTTCAAAGTTTGGTCTGTTTGCACTGTTTTATCCTCAGGAACCAAGCTAAACTCCGCAACCTCAACGCCCAAGTGCTTCAATCTTTTGATCTACACCCAGTTTATCTTCCTAAAATCCCCAAAAGAACACCATGATCCATGAGCTTGACCTTCATTTGATCGCAAAATGACTTTGTTGGCTTGTGTTTCCCTTGTCTAGTGTTTGTATGGCCTCTTAGGCTTTGGCTGTCATGTTTTCATTGCCCGCTTTGGTGTTGGCTTGATTTCTTTTGATATATTGAGCCATTCGGGCTTTCAGACCAGGTGATTTATTCATCACTTGTCTATAAAAATATGTTACCTGCTGAATCACATATTACTGGCCAGCCAAAAACGACAGATGACCGTGTATTAACTCATGACTCTGAGACCTCTCGCAGGAATCCGCGGAATAATGCTGCCACCGGAGCTTCCGCCGCTGGAGTTCGCGCTGTTAGTGCGCAAATGGTTGCCTTTTACTTTCGAGCGCCGGTAAAGGCCTTTTTTCGCACTCGGGTTGAGTATGATATTTTCCCCCTTGTACTAGCTATAGACTGTGAGCTGATTTTTTTTTGTGCGTCCCCAAAAGTTATATGGTACATGACCCAGCACTCTTTTCTATTTGTAATATCATCTAGGTTCTCTCCGACGACTAATGCAATTCATACATTATTCCTCCTAATAGGCGTTTGCTAGAGCTGTTTCTCCACATTCTCCAGATGGCCGCCGCTGGTCCTTTCATACAACTACTCCCGGACTCCTTGTACATGCAGTTCGTACATATGGTTGGCGATTTATACCGAACCAAATCTTGCCTCCTCTTCTGGCCAATGCGGGGTAGGTTAATTGAGGGTCTTTCTGATAGGAGTTGGCCGAACTAAACTTTTTTTTCTTGATAGGGTAGGCGCTGTGCTATATACCTCGTATCTCCAGGTCCTAGGTGCTTTATACGAACCGGTCTCACAAGGCGTCAGACGAATATACCCCCCGGCCAGCCCTATTGACACATTCACCGCGGGACTAGTTGCTGGTTCTATACAGTCAGTTGTTGCTGCGCCTTTAGATGCTCTGCAGGTCCGCTTCCGAACGAATGACATTCTTGAAGGCCACTACCGAAGCATGTGGCACTATGGTCGACATAAACTGAACCAGATTGGACTTCGCGGTGTTTTTGCAGGTTGGAGCCTGTCATTCCTACGTGATGCTTTTGGTGCCGCCGTGTTCTTCTCTGTCTTCGAGTACGTCAAATCTCAAGCGTACTATTCTTTTATTACAGGCTATTATGGATCCTTGCAGCCTCACCGCGTGGAGAATTTGCAGTCATCTCAATCCAGTGACCGTGGAGTACCACTGATAAAACCCCACTATGCCTTGGAGCCGTGTTTTCTAATGGCTGCCGGAATCGCCGCATCCTTTGCCCAGCAAACCATTCAACACCCTCTGAACATAATACAAAATATACACGTTACTCGACTGGAACATCTTGATCATCACGCGAGTCTTAACCCTTCAAACAAGCAGATGATGCGGCTATACTATTTGGCCTACCAGGAGACATACAAGCGATGCAAGAGAAAAGCTGCCCGGGCAGGAGGCTGGGGCAGGTGGCTATTCCGTGGATTTTTGCGGAACACATTTCGTCAAGTGCCAAGCACCAGTGCTGGGCTTGTGATTTTCGAGTTAGTGCGCCGTAGGCATGCTAATCTCGCAGACGCCACTTACATACAAAAAGACGGATATGATATTCTGCTGTCATGATAACTCTGTCCACTTTATACTTAGACACTGGCCCTGGATGGCTGGCTGGCTAACCTGAATCCTTGAACTTTGTGACACAGCCGCATCTTACCAGCCCCCACGTAAAGGGGCAGTCTCTCCGCGCATACGATAAACCAGAAGGAGAAAACTTGGTGAGATATTTGCCTCCGGGATGGTCTCACGATCGGCTATGTCTAAAGGATGTGTAGCCTGTTTGGGCTGGTGCCAATATGACAGTGAATGTCAGGTGGGATATACGGATGAGTCCCAAATATGCAGATGAGAGGCCTTGGTGGAGTCGATTGGCTACATTGAATGCTTTTCCCTTCTAGGAAAATTATCATCATCATCATCATCATTGTTATTTTCCCTGGTGTTGTCCTGCGAGGTCTCGTTGTTTACGCTGTTGTTACTTTTCAACCTTCGACTGGGACTTTTTTTTTTTGGCAGATATTATTATGCCATTCTTATATAGAGCATAAACATAGACTGTATTTTTAGAGGGTGAATATATAGAGAAGCTAAGTTTCGATGATTTTGAAAGATCCGGTTTCTAATTTCAGGATTCTTCAAGAATCAATCAGCCTTGGAGCAAGTTTATACTCTCCGTGACCCCGCTGGCTGGATATACTAGGCTAGTTAGTTACCTAGGTATCTGTTAGTGTGGTAATGATGTCATACAGTGCTGCCAAACTTCGAAGGCAGGATGATGCGGAGAGAGCTATGCAAGAGGCGTTCTCAGGTAAATTAGTTAAGAAAGGGAGGGAGAAAAAAAGGACTATTATAGGTAACAGTTAGTTAGTGTATTCTATATTTTTATTAATTATCACTGATCGACATCAATGACCAACATGGGGTTTTACACAGTACACGACCATTAATTGCCTAGTCCTCACAGAAATTGACACATAAACCATATATAGCCCTTGGGGAGTCAGCATTGGGCAACCATTGGTAGGTATTACATACTTACTGTTAGTGTCAAGTCTTCATTAACAATTTAATGGAGTGGTACTTCCCTGGGGTATAATAATTCGTATTCTCAGTCTGGTATCATTTTTATGGGGACGGAACTGCTAGTAATCCTATCATGTACTCCGTACTCGAAAGGTACCCACAATGAATGACGGATTGTCTGGTTGCGGAGGATAGTTATCTGTTTCTACTTTCTACTCCCCAGACTCCTACTAACTAGTACTCAGCCATCTCCTTAAAATAATAATATACTCTGTAATAATAATAACTACTAGTAATACGAGCCGGTGCTCTGTACTACTACTTATAGTAGTTAGTACTAACTACCAACTCCGGAAAGCAGTTCTCCCTCTCTCCCTCTCTCCCTCTCTGAGCTCTGCCAGTTCTCTCAATAATCACATACAGATAATCCCGTTTTTAATCTGTATATCATTTTCACCTGCCACACATATCGTCTTCGTAGCTTCTCTCTCATCAGTTCACCCGCTCGTTCGTTTCTTTTACCACCCATCCACTAATTAGCTCCTGACCCTTTTTTTTAAGCCATTCCGCCTGACCATCCCTATTTGGCTGGATAGTCTTGAAGTCCGTCGTCATCCTGCATCGTTGATCGATTGTTTGTCTCGTGAGCGGATTCCTACGCACCAGCATCACCGCTTTCTCCCCTTGTTCGCCATCCTCGTAGATTGTTGGTTCGCCTTGCCCCGTTGGTCTCCGCCTCGGCTTGCCTCCTGCATCCTATTGCAGTTCGCTCTCCTACCACCCAAACAGCAACTCTCTTTCTGATTCATCCCCTTCACCACCACAAGATTGCCAGACGGCGTCTTGCTTCATCTGCCCCTTTGATGAACCTTTAGACCCCAACTTTACGCGGCGGGATACGGGAATTGTATATGCTAATCAGCTACTCTTCTTGCAACCGACCCTCATCTCCATCCCGATCCCCGAGACACAAGGGCTGCCAAATCCAGCCCGCCCAACCGCCAATATTCCCTCAACAACGTCTTCGCCACGTACTTCCTCCAATATACCCTTACGACCCATCCCACCTCCGTCCCCAAATACATCCACGCGGGCGTTAGAATCTGCGAGCGAGAAGGGCAGCCGTCGCTCTTCCATTTCCTCGGCTCACTCTGTCGGATCGGACTTCTCTCTCTGGACTGAAACTGGAGACTTAGCAGAACAACTCGCTGATGCAGAAGATCCCCTCCAGGTCCGTCTCAGAAACTCTTTGGATCGAGAGGGTCTTGGTCGAGCGGGGTCGAGGGCACGAGTAAAGCAGCCGAAGCGTGTGCGTTACCAGCCCCAGCTTGCTACCGGCGACGTTGAGCTTGAGAAAATCAAAATACCACATTGCCCACCTAGGAAGATCTCACGAGTGGAGCGTTTCCTCGCCGTCGTCATGTCGCCCGGCAACAGACAAGGAGCCAAAACACATGGCTTGGTTGGAAAGCCATTGCTGTAAGGCACCTTCATATATTCAGACTGTCCTTGGGAATGTCACCACTGATGCGGGATAGATATTTCACGAGCGTTTTCGTATCGCTAGGCGTTTTTCTTTTCGGCTATGACCAAGGTGTCATGTCGGGTATCATCACGTTCGTACTCCCCACCCCGGCTTTTGGCTGCACTGTATTTGGCTCTGGCGGTTACTAATTGGATGGTAGAGGATGGTACTTCAAAGAATACTTTAACCAACCATCACGGGCTGAAATCGGTACTGTTGTTGCAATTCTTGAAGTCGGAGCGTTCATTTCGTCCTTACTTGTTGGAAGAATTGGTGACCTCATTGGCCGCCGGAGGACTATTCTTTATGGATCTATTGTTTTTTTCATAGGAGGTGGATTCCAGGCATTTGCGACAGGGTTGCCTATGATGATGGTGGGCCGCATCATAGCTGGTCTGGGCGTCGGAGCACTGTCGACAATTGTTCCCGTCTATCAATCTGAAATTTCGGTATTTTTTTAACCCATCTACGCATTATATTCATTGATATTCCTTGGCCATGCTAACCCCGTGACTGCTAGCCTCCTCACAATCGAGGAAAACTCGCCTGCATTGAGTTTACCGGAAATATCTCTGGTTATGCTGCCAGTGTCTGGGTCGATTATTTCTGTAGCTATATTGATAGTGACTACTCTTGGCGATTGCCTTTACTGCTGCAGTGCGTCATGGGCCTTCTTCTCGGTATGGGAAGTCTTATCATCTGCGAATCACCAAGGTATGGTCATCTTAGAAGCCCTTCAGAGATATGCAATTCTTGTGAATTGAACAGCACTCACTCGAAATTTAGGTGGCTATTAGATAATGATTACGATGAAGAAGGTATGGTAGTCATTGCCAACCTTTATGGCAAGGGAGACCTGCACAACGATAAAGCTAGGCAGGAGTACAGGGAGATTAAGATGAACGTCCTTTTACAACGACAGGAGGGCGAACGGTCTTATAGCGACATGTTTAAAAGATACCGCAAACGTGTTTTAATCGCCATGTCTGCGCAAGCATTAGCACAGCTGAACGGCATCAATGTTATCTCATACTACGCCCCCCTTGTGTTTGAATCGGCCGGCTGGGCTGGTCGGGATGCTATCCTCATGACTGGAATAAACGGCTTGTCATATCTCGCTTCTACTGTTCCTCCATGGTATCTCGTGGACCGTTGGGGAAGACGCCCAATTCTGCTTTCTGGAGCCGTGGCCATGATTCTTTCACTTTCAGGTATATCCTATTTCATTTATATCGACATCAAGGCTACCCCGACCCTTACGGTCATTTTCGTTATGATCTACAATGCTGCCTTCGGTGCATCGTGGGGCCCAATCCCCTGGCTTTATCCTCCTGAAATTCTTCCCCTGAGCATTCGTGCAAAGGGCGCAAGTCTGAGCACGGCTACGAATTGGGCTTTCAATTGGCTGGTTGGCGAGCTTACGCCTATTCTTCAGGCGGTGATAAAATGGCGCCTCTATCTGGTTCATGCTTTCTTCTGTGCATGTAGTTTTGTTCTTGGTGAGTATATTTTCCCTCCCGTCCAGTATCATTTCAAGCTTCTCACATTTCTTCTATCTAGTTTACTTCCTCTACCCTGAGACAAGTGGTGTTCGGTTGGAGGATATGAACTTGCTTTTTGGAGACGCAACTACCACAATGCCAACCCCGGCTACCCAAGCAGAGCAGAGTTCTTTAATGGGCGCTGGCTCACCCATACCTTCGCTTGATATCCGCCGGCAATATGACCAACATGGTGTGGACAGTGCCATTCCTGGTTTAGACATCAATCCTCCTAGTATGGACACTGGAGATAATGGGAAACGCCCCTCTCAACACGATACTGGAAATCGTTCTGAGGGCTTTGGCTCCTGGATATCCAACATGGTAAATCGACGCAGGGGATCACCTTCGCGCTCACAAGGCTCCCAATATAGGCGGCTTGGGCAGGATGATGAGAATCAGTCTTGAAAAATTGAGAGGAACGGTAGTTCGTCTCATTGAGTATAAATTATATACCTTTTTTATCACCTTTTCTCGAACAAGATCTCTTTATCTCTCTCCACGCCCCGCCAACCCCCTTTCCCTCTTCTGTTTCCTGTTTATAGTCTGTTGGACTCATTTTTGGTGATATATGGCTTTCTTTTGCAAATTTCTCCCACCTTTTCTTCCTCCTTTTCCTCCTCCTCCTCTTGGATTTACTTTCACATAGAAAAGAATGAGATATTCTCGCGGTACGGGTATGCGCCTGTAAATTATTGAAAAAGGAGTCGGACTGAGCGTCAAACCAATTCAGGACAGGATACTTGCTGGGATCTGTGCGCGTGTTGATGGTATGGAATGTAACCAGTAATCCTATTTTTTCTTGCTTGTCTTTCAGTCTATCAGAGGAAATTTTACTATCAATTGCCTGTATAGATTTGAGTGGTGTGTAGCAAACGCCATTTTAATTGTCCGACACAGACTACCTACCTAGGTAACTTATAGCGGTACCGTCTGGGTGGTCCGAGCGGGGCGGCAGCGATCTTCTTCCGCGCGTTATCTTCTGGCCAACTCTCCGTTTCGGCCTTCTGGCTTCTGCTACTCTTGATGCTGATCTTCTTCTCTTCTTCATCTTCTTCTTCCTTCAACACCTTCATTTTGCATCTTCTTCTTTAATTCGGACTCCAACTATTTCATTTTCTTCTTCTTCTCCTTCTCCTTCTTCTTCTTTTTTTTTTTGCCATCTCCGTTTTAGATTTAATCAATTCCTAAACCACGCCTACGCCTTCCCCTTGTTTACCCCTGCTTTTCCTTCCAGAGGGAGCTCCGCACTCTTCCATTAGATATGACACTGTCCTATCGTTGATATTTATTTTTTTTTTTTTGCATAATTTCCTGTTCTCCTTCTTTCGTTGCTCTTTTTTTAGAAAAAAAAGAGATCAAATCCTCCCACCTGAAAATCTCCTCGCCTGTTTTTCACTAGAGTAGTTGGCGCCGAAGTCGTGTTCATCCACGATGGCCGACTTACCCACTGCATCAACCACTGGTGCTAATTTCGCCTCTGATGTGCGGCGTAGAAATGTTCCGCATACAGAGAAGCCCTATAATGCCTCGGATCTTGCCCAGAGCAGTGATGAGAAAGCAAAGCCCAAGGTATACTCGCTCTTCCGTCTCCTAGAACTGCTCAGATACAACACAGAGGCTAATACTTTTCCGGTACGATCCTTAGCACACTTCGGTCCTCTCCGTATTGTCTAGTTGGGAGCCTATCATTGCCCCTATTCTGTTTACGCTCTTGTCAATCTTCACCCGTATGTACCGGATTGGCCGGTCGAACATTGTGACCTGGGATGAAGCACAGTTAGCAACCCCCCCAGGACCAAATAATATATGCGATCTTGGAATAAACTTACAAGTCTTAGCTTTGGAAAGTTCGGATCCCATTACCTGAAGCGCGAGTTCTACTTCGACGTTCATCCGCCACTGGGCAAAATGCTCGTGGGTCTCTCTGGTCTGCTCGCTGGTTACAATGGATCTTTCGAGTTCAAATCTGGCGAACAGTACCCAGAGGATCTCAATTACACATTTATGCGCGTGTTCAATGCTGCCTTTGGCGTTGTGTGTGTCCCACTTGCGTACTTGACGGCTCGAGAACTTGGCTTCCGCAGAGCCACGATCTGGCTTGTGACCTTGATGGTACTTTTCGAAAACTCATATGCCACCATTTCCAGATTCATATTGCTCGACTCCATGCTGCTTTGTTTCACGTTTACCACGACCTTTTGCTGGGCCAAGTTCCATCGACTACAGCATGCTAGCTTCTCTCTTGAGTGGTTCACATGGCTATTTTTGACAGGAATTAGCATTGGCTGTGTTTGTAGCGTCAAGTGGGTTGGCCTCTTCTGTACCGCAATTGTCGGCCTCTATACTGCTGAAGACCTCTGGAATAAATTTGGTGACCGGAAAGTAACAGATGTGAGTCTCTGGAGATCTACGCACTTTGTTCGATTTGATGCTAAACGCTTCAACAGGTTGTATTGGCCAAGCATTTCGTGGCACGTGTAATCGGCTTGATTATTGTACCACTTCTGGTTTATCTCTTCTCCTTCTACCTTCACTTCCTAATTTTAGAGAACAGCGGCCCGGGAGATGCCCAGATGAGTTCACTCTTTCAAGCAAATCTCAAAGGCACACAGGTTGGCAAAGATAGCCCTCTAGAAGTGGCATTCGGATCTCGAGTCACATTGAAGAACATGGGTTATGGCGGCGGACTTCTCCATTCCCATGTTCAAACATACCCTGAAGGATCTAGTCAGCAGCAGGTCACTTGCTATCACCACAAAGATGCAAACAACGAATGGTTTATTTATCCCAACCGACAAGCGCCCGAATATGACCAAAATGCAGACTTGAGGTTCATCGGTGATGGTGAGGTTATCCGCCTCATTCATGGTCAAACAGGCCGTAACTTGCATTCCCACAACATTCCCGCCCCCATTACCAAGAGCCATTACGAAGTTTCTTGCTACGGCAACATGACAGTTGGAGATGATAAAGACCATTGGAAGATCGAAGTCGTTGATGATGCCGCATCAAGGGACCGAAGCAAGATTCGAACTCTCACTACCGCGTTCCGGCTCCGGCACCCAGTATTAGGCTGTTACTTGCGCGCCGGCAATACCAACCTTCCACAGTGGGGATTTAAGCAAATCGAAACCACATGCGTGAAGGAAAATACGCCTCGCGACGTTTATACTCATTGGAATGTTGAGACTCATGTGAATGATCGACGTATGATTTGCCGTCCTCTACCTATTTACTTCGAAGCAAGCTAACCCTCGAATTGTAGTTCCACCTGGCGACCCTGGATCTTACAAATCCCCCTTCTTCAAGGATTTTGTACATCTAAATGTCGCCATGATGACATCTAACAATGCTTTGGTTCCAGACCCAGATAAGCAGGATGACCTCGCCTCGAAATTCTGGCAGTGGCCAATCCTGAATGTTGGCTTGAGAATGTGCTCTTGGGATGATAATATTATCAAATACTACCTCTTGGGAAACCCTGTCGTTTACTGGGGCAGTACCCTGAGTCTGTTCGTCTTCGGCTTTTTGACTCTCTGGTACCTTGTGAGATGGCAACGAGGTTATAATGAGCTTTCCCAGGCAGACGTTGACCATATTCACTATGCCGGCTTTTATCCAGTTATTGGATGGGTGTTGCACTATCTACCTTTCATCATGATGGCACGAGTAACCTATGTTCACCACTACTATCCAGCTCTATATTACGCCATCCTAACTTTCGGCTTCTGCATTGATTGGCTTACCCAGACTTTGAACGCCAAGGTTCGCGGGGCGGTATATACCGTCCTTTACGTTCTCATTACCGGTATGTTTGTATACTTCCGGGTAATTGTGTTTGGGATGGAAGGTTCAAGCCAACAGTGGGCTCATTTGAACTGGCTGAGCGGCTGGCGGATTGCCAACTAATCCGCCATCTTTTCCCTCCTATTTCTTCATCCCCTCTTCTCTGTTATTTCCTTTTGATTAGTCCGTCATATCACCCCTCTCGCGGTTTCTCTATTTTCAAAAAAAAAAAAAGAGACTGCTGTAATATTGGTCTTTGTGTGTCATTCTATGTTTGGTTTTAGCAATGCTGGTGGGTGGGAACGAAAACCGTTGGACAAGGGCTGCACAAGCTACAAAATTATTATTCAAATTTCTAGATGATAGAATGTAGGGTCTATTTTGTGATGGACCTCTCTCTGCCCGGGTAGAAGCTCCTATTAGGATTTAAATTAAAAAGACATTATTACACTCAAAGCTGTTCCCCCTCCCCCTTTTGTACAATAGAATTTAGCAGCAGCGGCTCTGGGACCAGTTATCTGCGTCATTCATCCCCAAAGTAACGGTCTTGGGCATTTTGGCGTTCGTTCCCCCAGTGGCACCAAAGCTCTTCACCCCGCTTCGTCGGTCATTCAAATCATACTTGCCGGCCTCAATGTTGCGATAAATTCTCTCCGCAACTTCAAGGAATGCACGTTCCACTCCTTCGCCTGATTTCGCACTTGTCTCAAGGTAGCGCACAACATTATTCATGCGGCACCATTCCTCCGCCTCTTGGGTTGTAACCCGTCTCTGGTTAGATTCCGAACCGTCTCCTACCAAATCGCTTTTGTTTCCAACCAGAATAACCACAATACCTTCCTCCGCAATCTGTCGCAGATCCTGAAGCCACTGGGTACAGGACACAAATGTGGACGGTCGAGTAATATCAAAAACAAGAAGGGCACCGGAAGCCCCACGGAAATAGGACCGGGTTATGGACTTGTATGTCTCTTGCCCAGCAGTATCCCAGAGGGATAGCTTCATCTTCTTCTGGATTTCCTGTGTCTTTCGAGGGGGGCTGGGCAGCCCAGAAGCGACAGGCTCCCTTAAGCCATCTACTGGCTCTAGGGAGGAGGGGTGTAGGTCGGAAGAGAGTTTCTTAGGGAGGTTTATTTGAGGATCTATTTCCAGATCTCGCGACGCCGGTGGGCCCACAGGAACGATCCGCGATCCAAACTCCACGCCGATGGTAACATCGTGCGTTGAAGAGAAGCGCCCCTCGCACAGTCGAATGGTAAGCTAATAAGGAAACAGACAAGAGTCAGCGCTGCTGCCAAATTACAAATAGATGAATGAGATCAGTGTTGATTCCGCGAACTCACGCTGGACTTTCCAGTTCCAGAATCACCAATACAGACAAGTTTAGCAATGTAATCCCATGGCTGTGACATGGATGCCACTTTTCTCTTTATTTTATCCTTCTCGAGGAAAGGATAAAGGGGATAATTGAATTCTAGAAATCGAGGTGCGCCAAGTTAGACCACTATGGAGCTCATACTCTGAAGGGTGTTTGATGAAAAGCCACATCCAAAGAATACGCTGATTAGGGGCTCAACCCGTTGATATCTCTTTGTCCCAAGCCTGGAAGAGATTGGGGCATGAGGTTGCGGAAGGTAAATCTTGCCTGGTAGTTGTTGCTTGTTGATGTGAGTTGTTCTTCGAGCTGAGCTGTTGAGCTTCGGAGCGATTGGATTGAATCGAGCACCACTCCGGTTGATGAGTCAGCTATCACCCTGACCTCGTCTTATGACGCCGCATCCCGCTATCTCAACCTCTCCATCCATACCCATCGACTTCCATTCAAGCACACGACCTCCGACCCCCTCCATAGTCCGATATCTTTTTCCATTCTTGAGGCATCCTTCTCCATATTCCTCTTCTAATTCCTTCCTTTGTAGTCTTCTATTCTTAGACTGTCTCTTCCTTGACCCATATTTGACTCATGCCCTTGCTTGTCCTGCTAGCGCTCACCGCTTGACCTGCTGTACCAGGAAGAGAAGTAGCTAGAATTCCCAGAATTCTAGGGGCACAACAGTCCTGAAAGGCTGTTTACCCATTTCAATAGATCCTGAGAGATGTTCTCAGAATGTAAGTGAATTTTTGCATTGGCTCTCTTTGTTTTATCTATCTGCCGTCCACCGATTAGATTGCTCACTTTATCGGTTATCTTCCCAGATGCCTCTCGCTTTCTCGCCCAGTCTCAGTCGCGCATCGTCCCTCGCCCGGATGAGAAACGCAGGAAAGAACATGGTCGGCTAATCCAGCAACCGGGAAACTCCCGGTATCTTCCCTCTCGCTCTTTTTTACAAAGAAGACCAGCCGATCCCTACCAGCCCGGTGCCTCCCAGTTCTCCAATTTCGCTTTCGGTGCACGAAACTCGCCTCAACAGGCACCACTTTTTCACAGTGCCACCGATGATTTCCACGAGGAGGATGACGAAGCGGAACGTGAGCGAGAAATAGCAGATTTTTATGCTCTGCAAAGGTCAAGGCGACATTTTGGAGGTAGCCAGCTAAGAGACTCGGAGACCGACGATGATGACAACTCTCCTGGCGCGAGTGGGCAGAAGGCTCCCGAGGAAATACCCCAGCGGGAAAATAAAGGAATTAGAAGCGCCTGGCGAGCTCCTAGATTCAATAACGGAGGACGGGAATGGTTCGTTGATCCAGTGATAGAAGCTGCTGACGACGAAGACGAGCTGGATGCGAGCAGTAGCAGGACCAGAGGGAAACTAGTTGATATCCACCTCGAAGATACATTAAGATCAGATCCCGATGCTGATCACCATGATGAATCTCCTGGTGTTGGGGACGACGATCCACCCTCCATTCAACGATTTCGTGAACAACCCCAATCAAGGATGGGCGGCCTAGGGACCGATTCGTTCTTCATATCACAGGAAGCTAGTAAACAGGCATTACTGGAAAATCCCCGGCCACTAACCGCTGAGGGCTCTTACACCGCAGCCATAAATCCCGAGGGGATTGAGTCCCCAATCCATGATGCCTTTTGGGGGCAGCTCTTCCTAATATCCTTGGCTTGTCTTTTTGCCACTTCTTTCCTCGTGTACCTCCATACCTCCTCGCCTCCAGGCGATAAATCAAAATGGGGTGATACGATATATTTGACTATCCACAGCTCGTTCTACCTACTCGGTGTTTATACTCTGGTTTCGGTATTTATATCTTTGCTGTGGCTTGCGCTACTTCGTTCATATGTGCGCCCTTTAGTTTACGCTACCATTTTCATCGTCCCAATAATCCTTTATTCCTTTTCTCTATATCCTTTCATTTCCAGCTTCCGAGGTACTTGGCAAGGGTCAAGTATTCAAGACAAAGTGATGCGTTTCGGTTCGTTCGTCCCATTTATCATGGCCACCGCCTGGATCTACAACGTCATCCGTAGCCGCCACGCGATAGGGAAGGCTATCAGTATCCTTGAATTTTCATGCCGGATCCTCGCCGCCAACCCCGAACTATTGATTCTCGGCCTCGGTAATCTCGTCCTTATCGTCTCGTGGACATGGGTATGGATGCTCATGTTCACTCGGGTCTTTCTCGGCGGTCATTTGTCGGGATCAGCACTCTTCATTATTAGCACTGGCAGCTGGTGGCTGGGAGCTTATTTCATCATTGTCTATCTATGGTCACTGGGGATAATTGCAGGCATTCAACGAGCAGTCACTGCTGCAACAGTGAGCCAGTGGTACTTCCACCGTCTTGCAAGCCCGGCCCCAACCTCCAGACAGATCGTTCAGGCAGCGACGGTTCACTCTCTCACAACATTATTCGGCACCATCTGCCTGTCCAGGCTTATATCATTACTGATCCGCATTCCCCTGCTCTTGCTTCCAAGCCGAATCGCAGCTATCGTAAGCTTATTTGCTTATACACTCGTCCCTGCACCTATCGCTACGCTCACAGACCCTCTTTCTCTTACATACGCTGCGATTCATTCTCAGCCACTTGCTACTTCTGCTCGTGGCCTCACGCAGATGACAAACCTTGCACCATCAATAGCTACGTCATCACTACACCCTCGCTCTTTCTCCTGGGCTCGTGAAAGCTATTCGCCGCTGCTTTCATATAGGTTATCGAAGCTCATCCTCCATGCTGCCCGTCTCATGATGTCCTTGGCCCTTGGATTTGGGGGATGGGTGAGCACTGCTCGAAGCTTGGGAGTACCGAGTTCTGGTGGGGTAGTCCGCGGCAGCGTATACGCATATATCGTTGGGCTGATTGCAGGTACAATTGGCTGGAGTGTACTTGGTTCCATCGAAGGAGTCATTGCAGATATTGTCGATGCATCGATCATCTGCTGGAGCAGTGAAGTTGGAACGTACGGTAGGGAAGCCAGGTATTGTCGTGAGGCTGGCTGGCTATTTGGCCAGGATACAACTCGCGAAGAGCGGTATTCCGCAGAGCCTTGAGTATTTCCAAACAGAAATTGAGATGGCTGATTTAACAAATTTTTTTCTTGTGCACCCCGTCTTTGCATCCATTCACATCGTTCTTACATCGCATCTAAAGACATAGGTGTTTGCCGGGTTTTTGTTTTGTCTTCTCACTTGCTCCTGCATGTGATGATTTAGCAAAGCATTATATTATGCTGGGGGAGTTATCCGGTAAGACGGAAATGGCTTCGAGGATTTTTTTTTTTATAGAGATAGCCTAGGCTTGAGCAATTTATACGTTGGTTCATTTTCCATATTAATTAAACTTTTGGGGGGAAACCCACACCCATACATATCCCAAGATCCTTTCTTCTCTTTCGTTTCCATAATCCTAAAACAGATATAACTACACGTATATAAATAATATAATATTAATATACCATAATGGTATACTGTATACACCCCATTCATTCCACGTGCATACTACCTACATATTTCAAAAAAGGTCATGATCCAAAAATAAGCTGCTTGTTTAGCTTATCTGCCCGTTGACGAATATATATATATATATATGCACCCATTAGAGAGAAGACACAGAGTACAAATAATTATAAAATACATTCAGCCCAGTTCAACCTTTATTAGATAGATAAAGAAGAAGAAAGTATATAAGCTCGTGGTATCATAGATAGAAAACAATTCAGGAGACATTAGCTTGGAAGGGAAAAAAAAAAAAAAAAAAAAAAAAGGAAGAGAAAAGCAACAAAGAAGAAGTGCTTTAAAAACAGAGACAGAGAGCGAGACGGAGGGAGAGAGAGAGAGAAGGGGCGGAGGGAGGAGGAAGAAGAAATGCAATAATAGCCTGTACGCCTCCAGCTGCCTTCACATATGTATGTATGTATGTATGTATGTGACTAATATTAATTCCCATTTCCCATAGACGCCTAGACAAAGCAGAGTAGCCCACCGGAAAGTTGGTATAGGAGAGAGGTTGTTTTTTTCCCCTTTGCTTTTTTTTTTAAAAAAAAAAAGAGAAAAAAAAAAAAAAAATTTAATAGATGAAAGGGAGAGAGAGGGGGGTGGCTTCGAAAGAAGGCTATGGAAAAAGATTATTTGCTTGCTTGCTTTTTTTTTTTTTTTTTTATAAATCAAGTCTCCCTGTCCAATCTATACCTTCTTTCGAGCACCACTCTCTCAGAATGGCGTGGCTGAAGCGGATGATTTCGAGGGGTGTGCTCGTCTTTCCAATCGGCAGGTAAATTTCGCCGGAATAATTCCCTGGCTTGAAGCGCTTCCTGCCTTGCTCGGAGTAACTCCTCGCGCGCTTCGACCAGGTATGAGGAAACTCGCGTGAGAGGGTATCTTCCGAGAAGGCACGGGACCCTTCAGACCACAACTTTTGTGATTCTCTGTAGAACTCTGGAAGTCGAGTTTTGAGCTCGACAAAATCCTTCAGGCTTCTTTTGCTCTCGTCTGACATGACGGAATGACCGTCACTCCCGGGAGTGGGAACCGGGGTATGTTCCCCAGGTAAGGGTGTGACAGCAAGGCGCTCGAGATCGTGGGCATGGATAGTATCATAAGAGACAGCGCCGAGAATCAGGCAAAGACTGTAGAGCGTGGGGTAATGAAAGCTATGTTTCTTGACGACACGCCAGTATGCAATGATGGATAGCCATGTGGTCGAATCACCGACCTGACGGGATAACGCCTTAGACTGGTCATCAGCAATGAATGCGAGAATAAAACAGATAATAGCTTCGATTGCGGTTGCAGCGGCAAGTTTCTCGTCGACGCTCGTCACGTTGTCTCTCGCTGTGTGCCGTTCCGCAGCATGCTTCAAGTCTCTACCTAGGTTTCCGTACTTCTGGTACTCTTCCTTCCAAGCTCGACGCTCTCCACTTCTTTCTGCGCTGTTCGACTGGGGCGGGGATTGTTTAGTAGAAGTAACAGCAGCGCCAGAGGCTGACTCTCCAGGTGTACTGCGGACACCTGGTTGAGAATGCTCTTTTCTATCATGGTTGGCTGGTTCAGACCGCGAAGAATAATGCTTGAGGTCCTTTGCTGGTGTGATCGAGATAGATCTCGTCGTTTCTTGCGTGTGGGTTGGAACAGGAGTCTGAGGCTTTTCCGAGCTAGGTATTCTTGGCTCTTTCGAGCGATCTTTTGACGATTGATGGTTAACATGGCTGTTCGCCCCATGCTTGACCTTTCTCTCTGAGCGAATCATCTTGCTGGGGTGATCAGATGCTGAATTTTTCGACTGCTCAGATTTTGTAGCATGAGACGGTTCGTGGTCAACTGTGTCTCTCATCGGGGAGCCTTGGTGTGCATGTTTCTTCTTGCCAGAAAACTTGAGGAGGCCCTCAACACGCTTTCGATTTGACCGTCCATACTTCAGTTTCACAATTAGGTGCTGCTTTGATGATATAGGAGGGTGAGAATTTTTTGAACTGGAGGGTAGCGGTGGCCTGCCATTTGGGTGAGATTGCAGATCATGTTTTGAAGTTGGATGCGATGCAGACTTCGAAGTTTCCAATCCAGTTGACGCGTTCTTATCCGACCCCGATCCCGATCCCGACGATTTACTTTGCGGTTGCGGAGGACCTGCTGGGGGGCTTCGTTCGATTTGCGGCGCTCCGCGGGCAGGTGCCTTGGGTTTCTGTGCTTTCGACTTTAAGATGTCACTATTTACAGCAATATCCGGTCGAGAGTCCGTCACCGCCGGCTCACCACCCAGTCTAGCCAATTCCTTCTCAAGGTCCGGTGGGAGAGTCGGAGACAACAGTCGAGGCAATCGAGGTGCGTTTGAAGTCGGGGGAAGGGTAGGAGATAAAAGGGCAGGGAGACCGTTAACATGAGAGGATTCGGCTTTATGAGAATTCGTTGCGCGTTCAGGTGATATTCTTCGTTTCTTTGACATAGTTCCATCTTTACCCTGCTGGCCGTAACGATCATGGTCTCGGTCAGGAGGCCGTTTGCGGTCTACATGCTCGGAATCCGATTGGGCTGAGAAATTGGGAGAAAGGGCTTTTTGCGGGAGTTTGTGATGGCTGTCGTTCATCGAACTAGGCTTGGAGATGCGTTGATTGTCGTGGGAGTTATGGGTGGTAGAGCCGCTTTGGCCGACAGTTTCCTGGCTCAAAGGAGAGGTCGGGGCACCGTTTTTCCTCTTATTCTTATAGTCGTTTAGGCTAATTTTTTTCTTGATTGAATTGCTGGACGGCGTGCTCGCAGCACTCTGCGGTCGCGAGCGCGGATCGGCCATGACGCTCCCTGTCCCGTCGGACCAGTCGCCCACGGCTACCAGTAGAGAATCGCCTTCTTCGTGAGTCAAAAATGTCATATACTGAAGTTGTTGTTCCTCGGGAGCAAATGGCCCGTCATTACTCACTGCCCAATTATTCACGAATCGGTTTCCAAGGCGAAAAGGCACATCGGTGGGAACGGTGAGGAGGAAAGGGTAAAGGGGGAGGACCTCTTCTCGGAGACGCTTCAGTCGCCGGTCAATCGGGTCTTGTTCAGGTTGGGATGGCCGTCTGCTCGTAGGTTTGGGGGTCCTTATATCATTATCAGTAGAGCGAGCTGGCCAGTTCCCCGACATCGCAGTCTTTCGTAACCGATAGACACCGCGACCTGAAGGAAATTGAGTGAAGAAAAAGAGCTTCACTGAAAGCTAGAAATTTGTTTTATTTGTAATTTTTGTTGTCTCGCTTTGTTTCGTCACTTTCAGCTGTCAAATTTGGCTTGAGAAGTACCAATAAAATTACGGACAAACGAATTATTGAACTTATCAAGGCGTAACTCCAATGATGCTATCGCGCAACGAAGGTGGGTGAATGTTGAAGCTGTATCAACCCCGGTTGACTTTCCCCCCACCCCCCTTTCAAGTGTTCTGCCGTAATGTATCGTGGTCGTGATCTCAGGTATCGCCCGACCATAGAGTAAATACAGACGCTGGGCCTCGTCCCACCAAACAAGCGCGCACGGAGACGACGATATCCGAGGTCGAAAGCCAGGATCCCCGAACCAGTACCACAACACTTTCGAGCGCAAAGACTCGTAGGAGATATAATGATGCCCAACGTAAGTATCGGAAGCCAAAAAACAAAAAAAAAAAAAACTTGTCACCCGCGCGAAAGGATTGGCGACAATCGACCAATGGGTGGTGGTGGTGGTGGTAGGTGAGAAGCTACTACCAAACACCTGAGGCCATGGGGGCTGAAGGCTCTGGCGCCGTACGTTTGTCGAGGTGCTTTGCGCGAGATGGTAAAAGAAAGAAAAGGGGGGGAAACAAACAGACAAAAGAGGGAGACAGCAATCCCCCTCCGAAGTTGTGTCTAGAACACGAGTTCGTTGGAGGAACGGCGGGAGTCGCGAGTAAGTATCCGGGCTGGGGGAGTGAAGCGGAGAGACGCTTGGCAGTGCCTTACGTGGTATATGTAGGCTCACTCCAACAACACCGAGTACATATGGACAATACACCTGTCGTCCGACTCTTTTGTTTCGTATCCTCTCACAGGTCGAGCCAGTCATCGGTTCTTGAATACGATGATATGATAATTATTTCCTTCCATGCAGTCAACTGGCGGTACCTGCATTAACGAACTCGTCCTCTCAATGTCTACTACCACAACCATGAAATCAAGTGGAATCAGTCGAGTATGTATCTGAGCATGTCTTTACTACTCATCAAATCTAGTCAGACTATTTCTACCGTCGTACAACTAATATATGAAAATTTGTCGCTGTGGTACTCTTGTTCGTTATTTCTCATCCTACGACCGGTCATCTGCCGCGAATTTATCCTTCCAGAATGCTCTGAAATGCTTCTTGTCGCCCACCCTGGAGATCTCATCTACCTCTTCCGGGGTTAGCTGGAAATTCAGGACGGTCAGGTAGCTACTGAGGCGAGATTCTTTGCCGCTGGTGGTGATAGAGACCGTTCCACGATCTAACGACCATCGCAGAAGGATTTCTCCCTCTCCCACACCATACTTTTGGGCCAGCTTCGAAAGCACGGGGTCGAGTGGACCTCCTAGGGCGCGAATGACAGGCGTGAGAGGGCCATAGCTGGCTGTTTTGATTCCCTTTTGCTCGTGGAACAGTACCAGAGGACCGTGCTGCAGGTAAGGGTGGTACTCGATCTGGTTAATCGATGGCGTGATGTTTGCATTTTGCGAAAGTGTTTCCAAATGTTTTGGCAAGAAGTTCGATACTCCAATCGATCGGGCCTTGCCCGCTTCCTTAACCTTTTCCATAGCAGCCCAAGCATCGTGAAGCTCTGTTGGGGATTTGGCGAAGAAAGGAGAGTGGATCAGGTACCTATCAGAACCGACCTAGTCAGCTTTTGACCATAGCTAATATATACACGAACATCGGCTCGGATGAACCACACATACAAATCAACATAATCCAGCTGGAGCTTCTTCAGACTTGTGTCAATCGCCTTGGGAATATCCGCAATATTAACGAGAACTTTGGTCGTGATAAACAGTTTCTCTCTTGGGACACCACTTTCCTTGATTGCGACGCCAAGTTCCGGCTCTGTGCCGTACACCTCAGCGCCATCCAGGTGATGGTATCCTAACTTAATGGCTGTTTTGATGGATTCAACCAATTCACGGTTGATGTTGCTGTCTGCCGATTTATACCAGACGGTGCCGGTTCCATAACCGAGCTGTATAGGATACATAGTTACTAAAAAGAATCCCCACCTATCAACGAGCCTTAGGTGCTTACCACGGGGATAGAAACCCCATCATTCAACCGGATAGTGGGAATTGATGTGGTGGCCATAGTTGTTTTATATCCAGATATTGAGGAATAGGGGCGAAATCCTCGGTAGGAAATAGCAATTCTGATGCCAAAACTGGACCAATGCCTAGAATTCATGGAGATATCATGAATATCAGCTTGTGGGGGTGCCTCGTCGCCCTTATATATCTCTAGTTTTCTGGATGGTTCCAGGAATTTGGCGGGGAATAACTACGGAGCACGTCTCGGCAGTTGCGGAGCGAAGAGTCTCCAAAGATCCATATTCTCAGCTTGCCATTTATCCAGGAAGAAATGGGGTCTTGATCGCGCTATGCAATTATCCATCAAGAGAGGATGACTCTCGTCTAACAGCCGTTGGCAGAGCGGGCGGGGTACGTTGTCCAAGTACCTAGTCTCTCTAAATCCAGATTAATCCCCTCCGGAATAGGAGGAATAGAGAATACTTAAATGATGTAGAATCCAAATACCTCTTTCTTAGTAGTAATTTGATCTGAATGATCTCAAGGATTGTGTGAACATGATATCATCCACAGTAACCAAGCAAAACAAAGATCCGTCCCGAACATGATTGCCGGATCTCGACTCGACTCATTACTAACTCTGCAGAAACAACTCGACCTCTTTTCTTTTTTTTTTTTTTGCCTTCGTCTCGTCCAGTAATAGTGGTTATACATCTTCTCTCTTTTATACCGAGTATAATACTCTCCTTTCCCCGTTTATGTCTTTGCGCACCGCATTCTCTCAAACACAGGTTGTCCGCAGCCGTCTGGCCAAAATGGCTTCACAACTCCCCAACTTAGACACATCCACCAACCTATCATCCCTAGCAGATCTCCCCAGATCAAATGTATTCACCTCAAAACTTCCCCCCGATCCGGCTTTTGAGACCCCGGAAACCTCTCACAAGGCCCCGAGGCAAACGCTCGGTCCGCGCATGGTAAAGGGCGCCCTCTACACTTTCGTCCGGCCCGAACCAACTGAGGATCCCGAGCTTTTGAGTGTAAGCCCCAAAGCAATGGCGGACCTGGGTCTGAAGCCTGGGGAGGAATCTACCGCTCAATTTAAGGCCCTTGTCTCCGGAAATGAGATCTTCTGGTCCGAGGAAAGTGGAGGGATTTATCCGTGGGCCCAGTGCTACGGAGGTATGTTTTTTATTCAACCGTTCCTATCCAGTATATGCACATAGTTGATACATTATTAAATTAGGCTGGCAATTGTATGTTACTAGTATCTGAGAGTATACTTTGAATACGCAGTATTGACGAAACATAGTGGTGTGTGGGCTGGACAACTTGGGGATGGCGTAAGTTTCCCAAAAAAAAAAAAAAAAATCCCCTTAGCCGTACGGATCTAGAAGAAGAAGCTCAAATGTAGGCAGCGTGCAATCAGTCTCTTTGAAAGCACAAACCCAAAGACAAATATTCGGTACGAAGTACAACTCAAGGGTGCTGGCAAGACACCCTATTCCCGCTTTGCGGATGGAAAGGCCGTGCTGCGATCCAGCATTCGTGAATATGTCGTATCAGAAGGTAATAATAAAAAAAGAACCGGATCGCACATTTACATTATCTCTAACTCTTGATAGCTCTTTCTGCGCTCGGTATCCCCACTACTCGAGCACTATCCCTAACTCTATTACCGAAGTCGAAAGTCTTGCGTGAGCGGATTGAACCTGGTGCTATTGTCGCGCGTTTCGCCGAATCCTGGCTCAGAATTGGAACTTTCGACCTTCCGCACTCTCGAGGAGACCGAGACTTGATTCGGAAACTGGCCACCTATGTTGCTGAAGAAGTCTTCGGGGGGTGGGAGGCGCTACCGGGAGCAGTCTCAGTAGTAGGTAAGGATGAACCCGCCGACGCTGTCAAAAATCCTGCTCGGGGTATTCCATCGGAGACAATACAGGAACACCAAGGGGTAGAAGAAAACCGATTCGCAAGGCTTTATCGAGAAATTGCCCGCCGCAATGCAAAGACGGTGGCTGCATGGCAAGCATATGGCTTTATGAATGGCGTTCTCAACACGGACAACACATCTATATATGGACTTTCGCTTGATTATGGCCCGTTCGCTTTCATGGACAATTTTGACCCGCATTACACTCCAAACCACGATGATCACATGCTAAGATACTCGTACAAAAATCAGCCCTCGGTTATCTGGTGGAACTTGGTGAGACTGGGGGAAAGCCTTGGGGAACTCATCGGCGCAGGCGACCTAGTCGACGAAGAAACCTTCGTACAAAAAGGGGTGAAAGAAGAAGCAGCTCCAGCCCTCGTCAAACGCGCAGAGACCATCATTGAGAGAACCGGTGATGAATTCCGGGCGGTATTCCTGAACGAATACAAGCGCCTGATGAGCAAGAGACTAGGCCTCCAAACCCAAAGGGAATCCGATTTCCAAGAACTCTTCTCCCAAATCCTGGACACCTTGGAAGCTCTCGAACTCGACTTCAACCACTTCTTCAGGAGACTCTCGAGTGTCTCGCTTGCCGACCTCGCAACAGAAGAAGGGAGAAAGAACGCAGCAGCTAGGTTCTTCCACGCCGAAGGCTTCACCGGAATCGGATACACGGAGGATTCTGCAAAGGAACGCATCGCAAAATGGCTGGAGAGCTGGAGACAGCGTATCCTCGAAGACTGGGGTGCTGATAACGACTCCAAGCGACAAAACGCTATGAAAAATGTTAATCCAAATGTATGTGCACTTTCTCCTTTTTTAAAATACCCCGGCTTTTTTTTTTTTTCTTTCTTTCTTTCTTTCTTTCTTTCACCTCGTACTTCTTGATTCCCACCTTGATTCCCACATCATCTATCTCTTCCTCACCCAACCCAACCCAACCCAACTAACAAAACCTCTTCTCTCCCAACCCAGTTCCTCCCTCGTGGCTGGATTCTCGACGAAATCATCGACCGCGTAGAACGCCGCGGAGACCGCCAAATCCTGGACCGGGTCATGCAAATGGCTCTGAACCCCTTTAATGACGCATGGGGCCTAAACAATGAAGAAGAGGACCGGTTCTGCGGCGACGTTCCTCGATTCAAGAGAGCCATGATGTGCAGTTGTAGCTCATAGATAGGATATGGAATGTTGCATACATAGCCGGGGCCAGAGCAGCCATCACATCACAACCGTGTTGGATTATACAGTTGTTCAACTGTTACCGGCACTGTTAACAGCACCTACTTGTGTGTATGTATATATATATATGTGTGTGTGTGTGTGTCTCATGTCATTCACTTGAGACCTAATAAATCAGAATATGTCCGCATGCATGGATTGAGAATCAAAAAGACAAGCCCCCTATCCGAATGTCGCCAGTTTAATTTGCATGAGTGGTGAACTGGCATGAGAGTCAAATCAGTTGGAGTGAGCATGGACCGGTCCATCCGGGAGAGAAACAGTCGTAAAAGCATTCTTCCTGTCGTCAGTGATTTACTGAGCACCTCTCGAGATTTTCAAGACCCAGATTCCGTCTTAAATCTCCAAGAAAGTGCAGCAAAGGAAAAAAAAAAAAGGATAAAGGTGTAGAATCAAAAAAAGTATTTTTTTTTTTTCTTTCAAAAGCTAGACGTCGCGGACAAAATTCCCCCTCTCCTTTTTTTTTAAAAAAAAAAAAAATCTCTCCCCATTTTCCTTTTTCATTTTTGGGCGCTTTTTTTATTTCCCTGGGTCTTCCGCATTACACACAAGAGCATCCATCCATCAATCACATTAATCCATCCACCCGCAACCTAGGCCACCTTTTTTGTTCAGTCGTGAAAACATCAATCGCCCTGCTTTGCTGTGACTTGGGGGTTCGTGAAGACAAGCAAGCAGTCGTAAGTAAGTATGACTCAAATGGTACAGGGATATCTTTGGGGGGATATCTTGTTAACCGAAGAGAGAAAAGGGCAGTAAGTCATTGAAGAACCAGGAGTTCATAAGCCAAGCTGTTATATTTTTTTTTGGCCGACAGGGTTCGAAGCAAACGGGAAAGCAAATCGTCACGAAGAGGACGGGCTGGATATTTTTAAGGAGAACATCCCCGTACCCTGGTTCAACGCACAATGGAGCTGCAAATGAAGACAAATGACCCAACGGTACGTCAACTAGTTGTTGGGGCAGGCGCTCTGGACGTGGCCGGGCTGCTTGCAGTTGTAGCAAACCCGCTCGCCCTTAGCCTCTGTGGGGCAGTCACGAGAAACGTGTCCGACTTCTCCGCCTAGGGATGAATCGTTAATATGCGCAAGACATGAAGAGGGGGTCAATCTAGACTTGGGAGCGTACAGTTGTAGCACTTCTGGCCTTGAGTGCAGTCACGAGCCATGTGACCAAAGCCACCGCAAGAGTAGCAGGTCTGCTGGCGACCACCGTATCCGCCACCGTGGCCGAATCCACCGTAGCTGCCACCCTGGGTGCAATTCCTAGCAATGTGGCCAACACGACCACACTTGTAGCACTCCTGACCACCAGATCCAGCAGGGAAGTTCTCGTTTGTGCCAGTCTGGGGGCACTCGCGAGAGATATGGCCGACACCACCGCAGCGGTAGCAAGACTTCTCCTTGGGAGCTACAGTGCATTCACGGCCTAAAGTGACAAGGAGTGTTAGTCTTCCTGGGTCAAGTAGGGCAACAAGGGATGCATGGAATTGACTCACTGACGTGTCCCTGTCCTGAAATCGCAGAAATCAAGTCAGATCAGTACAAGGTACAAGAGATAAGCAATCACAACAAGATCAAACATCGCATACCACCGCAGTTGTAGCTATTGACAAATTATCAGCATTTACGATATCAAGGGATTAGGAAACGTATCACATACCAAGTAGGGGTGCCTTTCTTGGGGCAGTCGCGAGCCTAATAGGTGAAAAAAAAATATGATCAGATTCTTGCCTTGGGGATATTAGAGACGAATTTCAAAATTTACCTGGTGAGAGGCATCGCCGCCTAATTTATTTCAAGAGAATGTTAGCCAGTTTTCCCACCATGAGTCCCAAGGCAGAAGAAGATAAAAAGGCAGGGTCCATCAGAGCCTGCGATACACATGCACGCATCACGATCCCAAAATCGAAGTAATTGTCAAGAAACGAGAAGAGAACAAGTAGAGAAGATTTTCCTAGAAAAAAAAAATCTTCTTCCATTTTGCGAGAACTTGGAAGTTCCAAATGATAATGTGTAGAACATGCAACGTAACAAGGATGAGAACTCTGGCCTGAGCTGCAAGGCGAGAGCGAAGAAACCACAAAAAAAAAAAAGAAAAGAAAAGAAAAGCTAAGCGGCAACAATCGATGGCAAGAAGTCCATCAGAGAGATTAAAAACTCACAGTTAAAGCATCCACGACCTCCAGCTTGGAAACTCATTTTGACAGGAAAGAAGAAGATAGGATTTTTTTTTCTTGAAAAGAGAATGTGGTTTGGTTTTGAGTGGAAATTTTCGAGGGGTAAAAAAAAAATTCAATCAGAAATTTAGGGATTAGAATTAGCAGGGGGCGGAAAGATCCAATGCAGATAATAAACCAGAGATAATTTGGTGCGGGGGAAACTTGGAAGCACTTTTTTCCAGCTTTTCCCGTGGTTCCTGCAGTCTGTTCAACCACAACAACATCATCATCATCATCAATAGTTAATAATATTCTTCTTCTTCAGAAAGACCTTTCCAGGTTGCAACTCTCTGCTGCCCAACTCCGTGTTTCTCCCTTTGAAGGAATTCCCATTTTCCGTTGGAGTCTCTGTTTCGGTTCCTTCCCATTCAACCCTATCGACTTTGCGGAATCATTGCATCGCACATTCATGATGGAATGCTCCTGGAAGGTTAATCTGCATCATTCATGGCTGCAGTTGACCACCCAACCAACCCCTTTATCAAAGTGATTGAGAATGCCTTCCTGGTTCAGAATCATGAGGCTGGCTGGTATGCTTAACCCTAGAGGGTCGAGAGGCTGCTAGAACACCATAGCGAACGAAAGAACAACCTAGCCAGCATATTAACGCATATTTCTGTACAGCAGAATTCCAAAGGAAAACAAAAGGCCACAGGGATTCTAATGTATAATCAGGAGAAAGGGAAAAGAAAAAAAAAAGACATCCCCCCCCCCCCAAATGAAAAGGCATCTATCTCCCTTAAATATTGCCTTCCCAAGGTCCCCAGGAAATAACTACCTTGGTCGCCCATCAACGTCCCCTCCCGAAGAAAAATTACAATCTACAGGTAATAGATAGCGAAATCGAAGGGGAAATTATAAATGGCTCATTATTTGTATAAGAAAAAAGTACCCAGGCGTTCAATCGTATCAGTTATACTGCGTTTTCACAAGGTCCAGCCTCCTTCTGTTCGTGAAAAGGCTTCATGTGAAGTCATAGAACTCAAGGAGCTGCGCTCCATATTCCCGTTCTCGAAGTAAAAGCAGGCGCTCGTCATCAAATCCAATGCAATCCCGCATTTGGGCCATTGCGTCAGAGATATCCACGGACGATTGGTGTTTAGACATTCCATCGTGTGGTAGCCCCGGCAGTACACCAAACCCCTCACTCTCGCGATGCCTCGCTTTTCCAGGGTTGACTCGAATACTTTTATCCCCGTTGAGTACTCTGTGGCTCCCAAAAGACGAAATCAAAGCTTCAAGCTCCCATATTCGCACCTCGTCCCCGTGCGAGCTAATAGAGACTGCCTTGCCTCGGTCGCTGACTTGAACCGCCGAAACAGAAGAAGTATGGCCCCAAAGTCTTTGGCCACCCTTCACAAAGAGCTCGGTCGCCGTCGAAACAACGAGATATACTGTCAAGGTGTTGTCTGCATGGGAAGTCAAAAGATAAGGATGAGAGTAGGAAACCGAAGTCGGCGGGTCTTGGTGTAAAATAGTAGGTTTGAGTGACCTCGTATACAGATCACTAAAGGTTTCCTCGCGCTCGAAAACTGAGGGTTGCCCTTTGCCTGCGCGGGCTAGATGATGTAAAGGCACCATACCATACTGGGAATCCACTGTCGTGGCGAGTCGCGAAATTGTCTGCTGGCCGTTTTTATCAAAATGCAGTTCCTGAATCCCCAGCGACCAGCCACAGCCAATATGGAAGAAGCTATAGACAATAGATGCGATAATTTCTGAGCGGGCAACGCGGACAGATAACGACATAGGTGATAGAATGCTGTCCGCCTTCAAGGATGCTAGCAAATGAGATTTGTTTAGCCAGTCTGTATCATCTGCGTTAACCGGCAGTTTATACAAGGACAGCACCTTGTGCTTCGAAACAACCATGAGGTAAGGAAAGGACGAAGCCATGGCCGTGATGGCACCCTGGACAGATCCAGCTCGGGAAAAGCCCATATCCAGTCGTGATTTCGCGGAATCCAATCTATATACACTAAAGTGGCCATCTTCAAACCCGACCACGACCTCAATAGAATTTTTTTCGGGCCCGGAGGTTGCGGTTAATGCTGTTGGAGAAGCTGGAAGTGCTGACCCGGAGTCCGTTAAAGAGACACTTGCAATACAGGACGTCGGGCTTTCCGCAGACCAAGCTCGCAGACCATCGTGCGAGTCTGTTGTAAATACAAAGCCAGCACAAAAGGCCACGAGCATAGGTGGTTGTGGACGCTGCGAGAACTCAACTTGGGTCACTCGACAAATTCCTTTGGACCAGTTATGCCGGAGTTGATATTGCCTTTTCCAGTTGGTAATTCGATCTTTCCGATCCAGATGTCCATGGTCCAGCCATGTCGACACCTTTGGTGAGTACTCGAATTTAGACTGAGGAAGAGTAGCAGCGCGCCTGGTGATCGCTAATCGACGCGCGCGGGGTCGCACCCATTTTGAATAATACTGCCTTTTCCAAAGCTCTGAGTCTCCGGCCAAAGAATGAAACCGGTGTGATAACCTATTTGGGTCAAAATGTAAGCTATACTCCACAAGATATCTTGTCAGGGATTTCCATACCTTTGGCAAGTAAGTAAAGATGGAATGGGCAGAAAAGACAGGATATGGAGGAGAATTTCGTTGCTCAACAAGGAAAGGCGATCAGTTTCACTTTCAGCGGCATTTGTACGGGCCCGTTTCGGCAGAGGAGGATTCAACGATTCACCAACATGATGCCTTTTTGACATCTTGTCGTACCCATCTCAAAAGCAACCTGGATGTCTAGGTAGTTAACTGGCACCATCGCAGCCCGAGAAGGAGGCGCTTATCTAAGAGCTGATAAACCGCTGCCGAAATTACTCCGCTGTAATCTCAATACAGATACGTCATACCGCGAGGTACAGTACAACTGTAGAGCACGCGTTCTTATTAAGACCTCCAGCCTGCACACCAAGGTATTAATTGGCCTACCATTCAAACATTTAAACTATTACATATCTCGAATGGAGGTCCTTAAACAGCTTCATACATCTGTTGCTCAAGCCTTTGAAAATTCTTTTGATAAAGCCTACAGAGATTTCAATGCAGAGCTCAATCGCTGTAACGCGCGCGTTCGGGATGCAGAACAGAAAGCTGAAGAAGCCGAAGAAGCACACCACAACACCACATCTGAGATAACGATTCTGAGGGATAAAATAGCTCTGTTACAAGAAGAGCTACGTCAAAATGAAATTGACTCTAAGGAGAGGGAGCTCACAGCCGAAACATCCCTGCAATTGGAGGAAATGTATGACCCCAGCCATGTTTTAGGCGACATCAGCACTTCCGACCTGAGCGCAGCAGATATGAATGCAGTTTGTAATAAATATGCCAAGCTCTATGAACAAGCTTCAATTCTTGTACGTGCCTCTGGTGATCTCAGGAGACAAGTCAAACGGCACAAGAGAAAGTTGGAACACTTCCAAAAGAGTCTCCAACGTCAAGACTTTTCTCTCTTGATCAACGGGACAATTGTCAGATTCCAACGTGTCAAGAGCACAGAGCCCAGTGATCAGGAAGATTTGCCTGTTCCAAGATCAACATCCATGGCTACTGGGCTGTTAGACATACCAAACAGTAAAGCGCAGGCGAACGACTCTACCCCAGCATCAACTGTCCCAATCTCTGGGGCAAACAGCGACCCAGTCGGTGCTGGCGCCGCTGGCGAATCAGAAAATGGACGCGAGAATCGGTTTCAGGGGAAATATCCAGAATCGAACTCGACACCCTCGGACGTTTCAACAGATGAAGTGCAGCCGTCTATCGCGACTGTAGACTCTCGCACTCAAAACAGCCGAATGCTAAAGCGAAAGCGACCCGAATTCGGCAGATCTCTTTCCGGCAACAATTCAAGTTTGAGAGGTCCGGAAAATGGTGGATCAGAACGCCCGATTGTTGTCAAAAGCGAAACCCTATCCTCGAGCCCCCTAAGAATGTACTCCCAGCACGCAGCCCCAAGCACCCAAGACCTAGATGACATTGGCAGCAGCGTTGCGACGCCAACAAAGGAGACCCCATTCTACAGGGATCAGGACATTTTACCTCAGCAAAGAGATCCTGCCGCTAGCATTGGATCGCCATCAACAAGGCGCATGCAGCCAAATCATACAAACGTACAGAATCAGTCAATCTTAAGGTGGCCAGGAATTCTTCAGCCTATCAATGACAATCCGAGAAATATCAGCAGTCCTGTTCAGCCACACAAAGGACGAGTCAAAATGTTCAACAAGGAGTTTAAAAGTAGAATATCCAGTATAGCAGAAGATGGGGACGAGAACTATTGTCAGTCCAGCACAAGGGGCCAAGAAAATAGATCTCCAGAAAAGAGGCCAAAAACTCATCCATCAACTTCCCAACGACTACAGGACCTTCTTGAGAAGCCATCGCCTACAAGCCGGCTGCTGTTGCAATTAAACGGACATGAGGCTCATACCCCAATCCAAAGTTGTACGCGGCACTCTCCGACAAAGGATCGAACAAGTATAAGATGTCAAAAGAGAACAGATACCACTATGCCTAGCAATGCGGCCACGATATCAGGGTCCTCGCGGCCTAGTTCAAGCTCGGGCATACGACAGAATGAGAGTAGGCCCTCTCGTCAAACAAGAGGCCCTAGCCAAATAGACGTGTTGCCTGATGATGAACCTTTCAGGGCTCGACCACTACGCCGGCTGGATCTGGAGCATTTCAAAATAAATCCGGATTACAACCATGGGCTGGATTATGCATACAATGAAGTTGTCCGAAAAAGGGATGAGCGCAAATGCATTAATGGATGCACGCGCCCTGGGTGCTGTGGGGATAAGTTCCTCGCCATGGCACGTTTTGGATTCCCAACCAACCCATCAACGAAAGACAAGGATGATCTGGAAATCCTAGAGGAATATTTGGGGGGGGATAAGCATCTTATAGACAAACTTAGCCCCGAGGAGCGTCGAAGCCTCCTAGAAGAGGCAAAGGCGAGAGATATTTCGAATCGTTTTGGGAGACACAGGCATCAGCACCAGCGTCCCAGCACCCCTCCCGGGTTCTGGCGCACAGATATGCCCGGTACACAGGAATTGGAAGACGACCACGAGGAGGCGCAAAGAATGCAAAGAGACGAGGTGAAAAGGCGACACAGAGAAGCAATGCGCGCAGGTGGACAGTGGAAATTCGCGGATGAATAAAAGAGCTGGAGTTGGTTTGAAATAAATACAAGACCATAATTTATCAAGCATACTCACATTAGGGTTACTGATCTGTACTTCCCATCTTAATCTCTCTCTACAACCTCGGTTGGTCTCCTTGGCATATGTACATACGCAGGACACGTGCGATCGCAACTTATCTGCAGCTCCCTCCTCTGCCGCCTTTCCGATCCCCTAACCCCAGGTTCTCCATCTAATAGAGTGGGCTACTTCATTATATCTTGTTTTATTCCCTGTATTATTTCTTTCCTTCTTTCTTTCTTTAATGGCCTCTTAGTCTATTAGATATGGACTCCGCTCGGAAGCTCAAAAACCCAGTTCCTGCGGCCCTCCTGCAGCCCTCCAAGTGGCTCCCGTTGTACGAAAAGTTCGTGACAAAGAATGCAAGCTCTATAGGTCAGGTCGAGTCAGCATTAAGGTCTCTAACATATATTATCCCGGGTAAGCCTGTCTTCACGTTGCTGTATTCGAAAATCATGGTTGTTGACGTTTAGGCTCTGTCCAGGCCGGTATCGTGACTCGGAAATCCCTTCGGAATGTGGTACGTTGATCAACCATCCCCGACTTTTCAAGAAGGCGCGTGTGCTGATAGAAATGAATCTAGTACACTCTGGGGTACAACTACTATCGTTATACCATGATTCTTTGATGTCCAAGGTCATCGCTAATCTACCGCCTACCGTCCGTCGCCCAACACCCACCCCTCATGCTCGGTATACAAAGCACTGGACTGCGCAATCCTCTCTGTACCACAAAGTCGCTCTCACCCTCCAAACAGTTCAATACACAGAATTGCTATGGGAAATGATCGCGCGCCGACGCGGGGAAAAGGTCCGCTGGCGCGTCGTGGTCTTCATTGAGGTTGTTAAGGCTATCTGCCGCCTGTTCCTGCTGCGTCTCACCAACTCGCGACCACTTGTTAGTCCTCCACTGCCTGAGCGAGAAGTGGACCCTCGATCGCTTGAAGAAGAAGATAACAGCGATTGGAATGGGATGGAGCCCTCTGTCAGTGAAAGATCCTCTGACTTAAGTTGGACTATGCCCCGCACCGGCCTCTCACTTCCTTCTCTTCCCGATGTCAATGACGTCTCGAATTATTTGATATCCAAGGTCCTCACAGCAGATGATATCAAACCACCAAAGGCCCTCTTGCACAGGGTTACCGGTCAAGGCCAGTTGGCTGAGATTCTGTATATTCTTCGACCGGTGGTATATGCGCTTGCACTACAAAAATGGAGTGGAGACAAGCGAAGTTGGAGGCCCTGGTTGATTGGCTTTGGCATGGAGTATGGCTGCCGACAACTTGCTAAGGCTGACTTCCGGGAGAGAGTCGCTGGCGGCCTCCGCGGATTGACCGGTCTCGAACGTGACGAGTTAAAGAAGAGGGGCTGGGCGATGGGATGGTGGTTGATGCGGGGAGCGTTCTATGAGAACATTACTAAGTAAGTACCTTTGTACTCTCCAGAAGGCTGGTGGGTTCTAACTATAAACAGGTCTACGTTGAAAGGCCTGACGGGCAAGATGAAGGGGAAGCCACTTCTTGATCTGGTGGGCAGTATTATTGAAGATTACGAATACTTATGGGACAACTACTATTTCTCAACAGCAACGCTCTAACCGTGGATCATTGTCCATCCCCTCGCCAAATCCCAAGATACGCATGCTAGCATCTGATATAGCAAGCAAGATGGTCGAAATATCCTCCTCCAGAACCATAGTTACCCAAGTATTTCCTATCATTCACTTCTTTGCATTGTATTTTTTTTCCCTATGTTCTGCCTGCGATCTCTCTGCTAATAATAATGGGGTATCATAGTTGGCATTGTTTTTCATGTACCTTAATTCCCAAATCATCTAAGAACCTCTATCTGAAAGTTTTCTCATAAGACTTCTGCCGTTTTTCTTCCATACCACTCCTGGAGCTCCTGGTCCTGTCCTTTGGCCGCCACTCCCGGCGTCAACAAGAAATCCATTAGTTGTGTATCACAATTCTCCGCAGGCCAATCTACTTTCTCCCCACCCTTAAGTTCCAACATCTCCTTCGCTGTCCCCCAACTGAACCGACACTCATTTCCCCACCCGAACACCGAGTCCATATTCCCACGAAGCCACCCCACACACTTCGAATCCGAGGGATATCCACTGCCCCAGCTCTCCGCTCCGCACTCACTGCTTATCCTCTGCACCTCCTCATAACACAACTCGAGCGCCACATCCCTCGTCACCTTGGCGGCCACACTCGCGGCCGAAACGCAAGGAAACAACGAATCCGCCTTCTTCGCGACCGTAATCCTCAACGACGGGAAAATCTTCTCCAACTTCTTCTGATATGTCGCGGGGTTCCCAATCGTATCAATATAAACCTCTCTTACATTCATCTTGCGTTCCTCCACGATCCCGCGGATCAGTTCCACCGTTGCATCCATCGCCTGCGCATTGAGATTATACACCCCAGCACCGGGGCGCATCATCCCCGCAGAGATATCGCGCGCGGAAAGCGACTTCGTGGCCCACCCACACGATTCAAACAGCGACGAGCCCCTCGTGCACAGGATCCGCATCAGATTTGCCCGTACACCCGGCGTGAGCACTTTGCTGTCATCGAAGCTGTATTCCTTGGTCAAGAGGGCATGGTGTAGGGTGTGAAGGAGGTAGAAGGCGCTGTAGACCATAGGGCCGAGGACGGGGCCTCGACCGGCTTCGTCGACTCCGAGGACGAGGTAATCTTCAGGTTCCGGTTCCGGTTCCGGTTCGGTGGCGCTGTTACCGGGTTTGTTGGCTATTTTTGGTGGGCATGGCGAGTAGTATGCGTAGGAGTCGCCAGCGAAGAGGCGGGCTTGGTCTATGCTGGGAGGGATGAAGGTGGATGTTGATACTGATGTCGAGGACGGCTCTGGGGAGTGGGGAGTATCTTGAATTGATGCGTCTGTCATGGTTTTATTTAGACTTGATTGGGTTTTATAGTAGAGAATAATGAGTTGATAATAAGTAAATAGGTACGATTTGGGGTGGGAGAGCGAGTAGGAGAATGTATGAGGTTAGCTAAGTAGCATGTATGTGTATGTATGGCAGAGATTATCTAGGTTCTGGGTAGGTAGTAGAGAAGGTACGCGTCGAGCGGCGCGGAGAGCGCGTGCCACTTAAAGTGCCCTGGCTGGAGTAAGTCTACAGCATACTACTGCCATGCAGGGAGTTCTAATATTACAAGTATTTAAAGTATTTGTACGCGTCTATTAAAACGGAAAGCACTTTCCCATTCTATGGTCGCTTATTGTGTATTGTTATTATTATTTAAAACAGTTCCTGGGTCTTGTCTTCTTCTGTGCATGAGCCAGAACTAGAAGAAGAAGAAAAAAAGGACAAAAAAAAAAGAAAGGACCGATCGCGATTTGAACGCGAGACCTACCGGAAGCGGTTTAGCTGCAGCCGGTTGCTCTACCCCTGAGCTACCGGTCCTAACTATGATAATTGTTGAAGATTTATGATATATGGTATTAGACGTACGCGTAAGAGCACTTTTTTAGTATTGTAGCTAATTTGGCACGGATGGTTGAGCGTCCAAAATAAAGCCATACATACGTTTGAGGAGTGGTAGTTGAATAAATCACATCATATATATAAACTACACTACACCTCTTTAATACTCAATTCTAAACCCTCTCTACTACCTAGTTCTACATTAAAAAAAAACCCCCATCAACCTCAAAGCCCATGCATGCAAAAAAGGGTGGAGAAAAAAAAATACAAAAAAAGGAAGGACCGATCGCGATTTGAACGCGAGACCTACCGGAAGCGGTTTAACTGCAGCCGGTTGCTCTACCCCTGAGCTACCGGTCCTGAATATGACAATTTTGTCTAATTTATTGTCCTATGATGGGGGACAGTTAGGAGTAGGTGGCTGCTTTTTTGAAGAGATCCATCTGGAGGATAATAGCTGGCTCTTTTATACTGTCTATTTCCCATGATGTGTTGTATTGTTATATTTGATTTACTGTGACTGAAATTAGGGACATGTACTTGGTGACGCGGTTGTTACCGTGTGGTTGTCGCAGGGGTGCTCAATATATTTTTTTTGAATATGTATAGATAGATACGTAGTTTGTAGCAATATATACCGGCCCACGCGATTTTCTACACATTAAACACCGTAAACAACTACATACAGCGATTTATATATTCGTCTACCCCCCCCCCTCCAGTCTACTACATCCTGCTGGCAAGATAGAAGCATCAAGTGGACGCCACAAAATCCATCACTGCCACATACAGTCCACACTATTGAGTGCTCAACTAGCTAGAGCATTGGACCCTGGATCCGGCAAAGCCCACGGAACTTATCAAGGAAACGAAACAAAAGTACTAAGAGCAGAATATATAACAATGACCCAGAGAAAGAAGTAGGAACAAAACACAGCAAGCAAGAGTGACGGAGCTATAGATCCTTCTACAGTACGGAACGCGTCTCAGACCATTCCGGACTAGCGGCGCTTCCTCGCGTCATGAATTCCAGGTCCCCTCCACAGCATCTTCGGACTTTTCTCTCCTCAATGTGAATTCCCATCCCAATACACCTCCGATGGCACCTATCTAGCGAAGAAACACCCAAAACAACCCCAAGAAACACATTAAATATCCCTACCCCGACTCTCGACAACTAACCACCAGTTGTTACCCCCCGAACCGTCCTGTTTTACCGACATCCGCAGCAATGGCTCCCCGAGGGCCTGCGAAAGCTCGCGACTATGATTACTCCAACGTGGGAAAAGCTGGAAGGTAAGCATAACACTTAGATAGTACCATAGACAACACCGCATATCCCCGCTCGCTGAAATACTGGCAAGCCTTCCCCCCCAATGCAACATACTAATGTTTTCCCAGACGTACCGGCATCACCCTAAAAGAAGGCAGGCGGGATGAACATGGGATGGAGGAGGTCGATGGAATTTTCTCATCGCCTGAAAAATCACCCGCCCATGAAAGTGGATTTGACGATTCAACCGGCTCCGATGGAATGTCCATGGACGAGGGTATGCATTGTGCCCCGAAAGCTCTGGTCGCATCCGCTGACGTTGGCTCCTTGGTAGGGAACGGACCTGGTCCCGACGATTTCCTCAACAGCATCAATGGCAACCGTGCTCCTTACTTTCCACCCCCAGTTGCGCGATCGCCCATGAAAACCGGCCTGACTGGATCTCCGCGCAGAACGCCTGGTTTGCGCTCCTCCCAAAGCCCCCAGCGCGATATCCCCTCGTCAAGCCCATCCGATGGTAAGGGGCTCGCAAGCGCGAAGGGAGAATCGCGACGCGATGTATCTCCTCTTACGAACCGGTCTGCCAATGTTCCGAATGGTACACACAATAGGGGTAATAAGAGACCCGAAAAGGCCACCTCAGTCTCCTCCGACAGCGAAGTAGACGGGGACGAGAACGGGGACTCGTTTGACCAGGTACAAAGCGACTTTGCAGACAGCTTCGTTGGTGGTGACGACCATCTGAATGGAGACGACTCCATTGACGAGGACCAGGACAACACGGAGGCGGAACCCTCTCTGACTAAAACCACCCAAAAGCGAGGCAGACCGCCACAAAAGACCGCCAAGGCGTCCGGCGCAAAGGCTTCGGAAGCTGCCACCCGAGATCAAAGAGACCACCAGGATTCGGCTCAGAAACGGAAACGGCCCGGGCGACCCCCCAAAGCACAGAGCAAACCTAGCGACGACATGGAGGAGCAACGGCCCGCAAAGAAATCCAAGACCTCCGCGCCAAAGAACCGAACTACCTCTTCAGGAGACCCCGAACTAGACAAAGTCGTTGAAAACTACGTCAATCGGACCGGCCCTCTCAAGGGACGGAGCTTATATATCCTCAAACGCGAAGCGCCGACAGACAGCACGACCAAGCACACACGGTCAGGACGCATCTCTGTCAGACCCTTGGCCTACTGGAAGAATGAGCGATGTGTGTATGGGGATGGCGAGGCTGCTGAAGGACAGCGGTTTCCACTTTCAACCATCAAAGAAATCATTCGAACGGAGGAATTGGAACCGGAGAAGAAAAAAGCTAACCGCCGATCGAAGAAGTCGAAATCCAAGAAGGACGATGATTCGGATGACGATGACGAACAACACCGTGATCCATACGAAAAGAAAGGAGGGGTTCTGCATGGGTATATCAGGAAGTGGGATCCGGATACTCAAACGGCTCTGGACCAAGAGGAGATCCTAGGTATGTTTACTTCCCTACCTCCCAAATCACCGAGACAGTTCCTGAGACGAGTGTGTATATAGACATCGCATATGCCCCCTCCGGTATTGAGACGAGAGACGTGAAGGGAGCAACATTTCGATTTGCGAAGCTACTCAGTTCCCCATTTATCGGCTCTGGCATCGTCGAACTGCCGCCTGGAGGAGTCAAGAAACCGAAGAACTCCAAGAAGATGCATATGGTGTTTTACGTATGTAACGGGAGGGTCTTGGTAGACATATCAGGTGTTCAGTTTAGCGCTGGAAAGGGATGCGTGTTCCAAGTTCCAAGAGGTGAGTTTCTTCCCCCCGGAGCACAACTAAAGCGCTGTGATACTAATTCCCTCTTGAACTAGGCAACTACTATAGTTTCGCCAATACGTACAGCAAAGATGCTCGACTTTTCTTCACACAAGGCTGTGTGCCTACAGAAGGCGACGATACTCCCGGATCTGCATCCAAGACCGACACTCTCGATGGCGAAGCAACTACTCCAGTGGCCCGCCCAAAAGCCACAAAGGGGAGACCAAAGGGTAAGCAGAAGGCTGCCGGCGCCTAGAATGATGACCGCAACAGATTTGTCAGCTTTCATCATGTTTTCATCTTTGGGTATATGTGACCTCACAAATGTTATGTGGATGTATCAAGTGAGCGTAATTCATTCAGGCTTTTGACCTTTATTGTATTGTTTTTGGGGTTGAATTAGCGATACCTCCCCCCCCTCTATTACCCGGATCACGGTGTTTGTTGTATTATCTTCCATCCCCTTATTCCAGTCTATTGATTTCCCCCTTGTTTGGTGATTGATTGAGCAATGATGATGAGAAGGATAGGACATAGGCGTGGCGTGGCTTAGAATGAGAATTTACTGAACGAATCAAGCATCTCTCCCTCCCTCTCTCTCTCTCTCTCTCTCTCTCTCTCTCTCTCTCTCTCTCTCTCTCTTTTCCAACATATTATTTTTTTCATTACTATATCATCCCTATACATGTAACAATTTTTTTTTTGAGATTTTATATCTCCTCCATATCCTCATCTAGCTCATCGTCCAGCCCTAAAGGTGGGAAATCTCCCACCTCCACCTTCTCCGGCTTAATGAACACGCCGGACTTATTGGCACACTCGAAATACCGCCTTCCGCCAACACTGCCGTCATTCTTTCCCGTCGGCTCATCAAGCTCAATCCCAACCCAAATCGGCACGGGCATTTCAGGATCCGCTGTCTGGACATCCACACCTGGATAGGGGATCGTGGGTACAGGTCCAACGAAGCGAACCGTTCCTCGTCGAACATGTGGTGGTGAAGAGGGGAGGATAATTGCTCGTTTCGAGAGGGAGATACCTAGACAAAGTGATATCAAAATTTAGCATCAATCATACATACCCCGTCTCCCTTCTTCCTTTGCCTTATTTGTTTATATGTAGATAGGGAGATAGATAGACGCGGATATGGGAAGATAAAGGACATACCTCTCTTCTGAACCTCCTCTGCATCCTTAACCCCCTGCGCCTGCATCGCCTCCTCCGGCGAAAGCGCACTCGGATCAAACCTCCCCAACTTCAGGTTCTTCTTCCACGCGAGCACAGAATTTGGAAGCGACTCGTACGTTTCCGCAGGAAGAACGTATTTCTCGACGGAGGAGAGATCGGTGAAATTCAGCCGTGCAGATTGAGGACGGGAGTCGTGGATCTATCACACATAGTATAGATTCAGTTATTTAATTAGTCTCCTCATGATTCGAAAAGAGAAAAAAAAAAAAAAAAAGAATTACCTCAATTTCAGAACCCTTCATAAGGCCCCAATCCCCGATAATCGAGTCATCACCTTCAATCCATTGGTCTGGACGTCCTGGTGTCTTGAGTCGTAGCCGCTGACTGGAGGGAGGGATGCCCGTCATGGTTTCTAGCTTGCCCTTGAGCTGGATGACGGTCCATGATGGGGTGATGCGGCGTTCGGAGAGGAAGCGGGGCTCGGAGGAGGATTGGGACGTGGAGGGGGTGGTGATGATCACAGAAATATCGGCGGGGGTTGGTTGGAAGGACATTTTTGTTTTCGGTCTTGTCTTTTCTCCCCAAGTAAGCTAAAGGTATTATACGGTTGAAGATCGTAACTGGGTATTTGTCAAGGGAATCTGGCGGGTTTGTGGATGAGTATTTCTGGCAAGGTCGATCTGGCAAAACGAGATAGGAATCGGAAAGAGTCAGTCCTTGGATTAGGTTAGTTTAATTGAATCCATAGAAAAAAAAAAAAAAACATAGTAAAGCAGTCGTAAATCAAAAGCCTCTCCTCTGCAGATATCAAAGCAATCTAGGAGCTGCCAGATGCGGGGGAGCTTTTGGCGCGTGCATACACCAGGTTTGGGTTGAGAGCGTTTTCTTTCTTTCTTTTCTTTTCAAAGAAAGCTAGGATATAGAATGGAGAGGGAAAACTTACACACTGTATTCTCCCAATTCCAACCAGAATTGAGTCTGTTGTGCAATTGCTCGAGATTGTTGATGATGGAGGAATCATGGCGGGGATGTGGTTTGGTTTGGTTCGGGATAGTTCAGGCAACACGTGGGGACATTAGTCAGTCTTTTTGATTTGGCCAATCATGGCTCTGCTCTTTTCCCTCTTTTTCAAGGGTTTCTTCAGGTACGGGTTTTGGGTTCGTGTTTTACGGGTAAGTTTTTGGTTTTAAGATGTATAGTAAAAAGCTAAGATGCAAAGAGTCTACGGACAATATCTAAAAAACCAGGCTAATGTATAACATAACATATCACTCTTTCTTTACAATAGTGTTGGGAGGTTGCTTGCCACCATCAGGTGCGGGCACCGATACGCTATCCTCATTAGAATTTGAAGCCCCTGCTTGAGGTGCAGTGGTGCCTAGTGTCTTTTTCTTATGACGCTTGGGTTTGGGTGCCTTCTTTGACTTTGGTGGACGCCCCCTTGTTCTCCGTATAGTTGTAATGCTCGTTTTCGTTGTCGTCGTACTTTTTTTCTTCGGAGCAAGAGGTATACTGACTTCCCCCTCGAGGACTTCCCCCGTCGCGGGCGATGTGAAAGTAAGATGAACTTTAGCATGCTGAAGTCTTGCTCTGGGTTTCAGTTCAATGAGATGGTCGACGCCATCAGGAAACATCAGATTGTGTGTGACTTTCCACTCCACCCCATCGCGGAGATGGATGCTTTCCTCCATGATTACATCAGGGGAGCCGTTGTTGGCTGGCTCCCTAGAGCGCGGTATGGTACTGGTTAAGGGAGGAGAGGCAGCAGGACTCCCTCGCTTAAAGAGTAAAGTCGACGGGGCTAGTGCCTTGATGGTGTAGTTTCTGGCTCGCGTAGGTACTCCGTCCAAAGGGAGACGCCGATAGGCCAGTATATAGGTTTGGTTGTTGTATTTTTTTCTTCCCAGAATCTCATCTAATGCCAGTCCATCCTTCACATCGCCGTCGTCGACAAGTCTCCAATCATTGCGAATGCTCTTGACTGCGCAGACATAATGGCCTGTATTTACAGAGGGGCCCTTATGAAAGATGATGGAATAGAGCTCGTAGCGGGCCTCTGCCTTATCGAGGGAATTAGGGTCACGGAGTGCATCGGGAATTACCAGTTGGTCTTCCACCTTGAGATTCCCTAATAACTTGGCTTTGTAACCAAACCGATTCACTTGGATGAAAAGGACCTCCGGGAGAGATTCTATCCTCTCACAAAGTGAGTGATCAGTAGAGCAGCCGCAGCTACTGCAGGTCCACATAACTGATGATTCTTCTAGGTTATGGCTGATTGCGTGGGCGACTTCGTAAGACTGTGATTGATTGACGACCTCTGGGAATGAAGCGACGAGAAAGAACTGCTGATCTGGCTGTAGGGGTGCTCTGGTACCGCATGTTTTACAGTCAAGGTGCTTGTTGGATCTGATCTGGAATAATCGCTGCAGCTCCCAGTGCCTTTGAAGATTAGTTTTTGAAGCAAGACTGAAATCAAATGGTTGAACACACCTTTGAGCAACAGCGTCCTGTTTGAGTTGCTTGAAGAATGCTTCCAGGAACTCGCGAGCATCTTGCTGCCCGTTCACGTTCACATCGCTCCATGAAGTGGCTCGGAGCCTGCTCCACACCAACTCCATGCAGGATTCGTGTGATTGTGTTTCCCCATTGGTGAACCAGTAAAATGAAACAAGATGACTCAGGGCGCATATCAAGTTTATGTTCCTCGGGTCGCAGTCGTGGGTGTTTTTATGCGCTTCTTCTATCCAGTTCAGCAAAAGGGGAGTATGGAGCAGCAACGTGAGGACGGCATTCCGGTAGCAAAGAACACTGGGGTTTTTGAAGCCTCTGGTCCGATTCTGTGGATATGAAGGGCCCCAGGATGATGATATTGTAATCTGGTGCTAGATAGGTCAGGCTGAGTTCTACCTATTGATGGATTGTTGTTCCTTACTTGTTGGGCCGCTTGCGCTCCATCCGCTGTGATTGCCATTTGTGTCCACCGGTTGTTTTGCGTTTGGAATGAAACAATACTGCTTCTGTAGAAAATGAACTTGAGGACTCAGTCGACGACATTTCAGACTGAAATCCAGAGATATACGCTTGGTTGGCATTCTTTGTTTTGGGTTCTCTTTCTCTGTTTTTCTGATTCTCTGGAAACTTGTCCATTTCCAGTTCATTGTAAAGCGATTTTTTTTTGAAAGCGAGAAGGAAACAAACATAGACTTGGAGTTCGTCAAGAAGCTATTCTTAGGCGATCGAGAGGTAGTTCTTTGTTCCATAAGCACACGCTGGGGAGGATTTTTGTTTGTATCAGAAGCTTGAAAGGAACAAAGACAGGTGTACGGCAAGACAAAGAATACGCTCAAAGAGAAGTGTTTCATCAATGGGAGAAGAGCAAGTAAGTCATATTCTATCTTTTCCTTCACATTAACGTTTCTACCGAGTATACTTCCAAAGCATTGGAAGAGGTTACTATCATCCAGACTGGATAACCATGCAACATTCTCATAATAAGTGACTGGCTATATTAAGACCGAATATTACCGATCCGACTCAATTTCCACTGACCAACGAAAATTTGCACCGATTTTCAGACCCTAGAAAACCTCCTAGGCGTTCAGCCGAATCGAACTCTTCAAGTTACCGTCAAGTTGTCTCACAATCCAGCCCGCCTAATTAATGGAAACACGACGCTGGCCCTTAGATCGAGTGGGGTTCTGGCCGGAGAATTTCGATCAAATAACAAGACTCCAACCTCTCGATCTGATACACACGGGCCTTTAATTCAATAAACCCATTAATCAATGGATGGTGGCACCCTTTCCCCCCCCCCTTCCAACGCGGGATGTCTGGACTCTGGAGCAAATGAAACCCGGGATCTGAGTCAAACCGTCGGACGCGGAATAATCTAGCGGTGCTGTAACTTGTGCAGTGTTCCAATTGTGTGACTGCCAGCTGTCTCGCTCCTACCTAATATAGTAGTAGTATGTAGCATACCCGCAGACCCGGCGTCAGTAGCGTTGGGCTAATTGATAGTTGGAGGATTCCCAGTTTCCAAGCTCAATAACAGATTCGGATTCTGGTCGGATGATCATGCACCAGCGGCAGAGACAATGGCCTAGTGCTTTGTGGTGTACGGTGTGATTTGGATACGAAGCAGGAGATATCTCTAGATAGAAAAGGTCATTTATTGGAGCATCAATGGAAATAATAGGATTATTTTACCTTGTACACTCCAGTTCTTGGAGAGGTAAACGCTGCCATACTTGTCTAGTGATAATAGAATTAATTGATGGATATTGCTAGCCAGATCCTTCTTTATATTCAAAGAATGCTGCCCCAGGGCGTTGATTATAGGGCTTAGTTTCTGCATGAATGAGCTGGTATCTAAGTGGCTCGACTTTTGGAATCTTCAGCGAAATTTCCATCGAGTCTAAAAACCCTACAAAAAATAGTAATTTCCTGTGTCTCGATGGTTGATTTAGAGAGCGAAGATCCCCGGATATTCACCCGAGAGACGGTCTTTGCCTGTCTGTCTGTCGTCTTTACCTGAACTACTTACTTGCTCTTTCTAATTCTCTGCAGATCATAATCCTCGAGTAAGAAACTATTATTTCCTTTGCTCCCGTTACTGTTCTCGATGCTCCGCCATTACATACAGTCATCTAGTTATGACCAGTATACTTATTTCGCAAACTATGTACTCTGTACGACCTGAACATTTGTGACCGTAGATCACCCAAATATCAGACACAATGATTGTTTTCGCCGTGTTCCCTAAGACGACCAAGTCCAGCGAACTACGGATTTAGAACTGTCTATCCTCATTACCTTTAGTTGACACTGCAAGTCTAGACCGTGAACCCGACACTGGAATTCTGAAGACTACTGGATCTGAGCTCATGAACTACTGGATCTTAATATCCGGTAGGACCCAAGCCGTGGCCGTCCTGATGCTCCGAGATTAATCAATCAACCATCCTGAGTTCTTGTTTCATCTTCGAAGTTGTGGAGTGGAGTTAATTTCCACTGTCCATGGCCTCACTCACTCGAGCTTTCTTTCACTCCTTCTACGCAAATACCTACCTACGATACTACGAAGTACGAATTACTAGGATGGCCCCGGGCCCTCCCCTTAACCCGAAATTAATCCTAGAAATTAATCCCATCTTTAATTTGTTTCGATGAAGGTTCCAATCAACACACAATACAATGCCTTCCTTCCACTTCCAAGTTCCCCATCCCGCTGCTGGTGCCATTGGCGCCCATCAACCGTTCGGTGGTCTGATCTGGCCCTGTCGAGAATCCTGCTACGGAGCAGCTGCAGTATCTGCATCATATTTGGGTCCTAGTGCAGGGAGAAAGCACGTACTAGGGTTGGCAGGGAAAATTTCCCTTTCCCATATCGGTATGATTTCCTGGGTTGTCTACTGACCAAATTACTTTTGTTTTCTTTGTTCGAGAGCAAATATCAAGGACCTGACCGTCACTTCGCCAACCCCAGCACAACCATTAATGCACCCAGAAAGTCTAATTATTCATCAGATCTGAGTCGTTGAATCGAGTACTAGACGACTAGTTGGGGACTCAGTGAAGGAACCTGACTGATGAGTGCCATTTTTTGAGTTCAAGCCGAACTCGACACTTGCAGTGCCCCATGCAGGGTGGGCACGGGAATAAACTCCAAAGTCGCATGCACCATAAGCGAAGAACAAAGATGACAAGGGACCGTCGGAGGGTACATCTTGATACCACAAACATGATTAGGTTGGCCTTAGAGCGATCGCTTGCCTGACAGCATCTGGCCCTCATCCTGATCCTGGAAAATGGCTCTCCTTGGTAATACCTGGTAATAGTCTTCCAGCCGGCCGATGGAGCCCTGCCGACTAGGAGCAAGAGGAACTGGAGATTCGTCCGGTGGAGACATACCGGAGTACATCCCGTTGATTATTCGATTCTCGAACGCAAGACAACAATCGGACAACCCGACGATGAAGGTTGCTTTTTTTCTTCTCTCTTTTTGGTCCTTTCTTTTCCACAGCATTTACTTCTTTGGTCCAGGATGAAACATGACGGGTCCTTCTGCTGACTCCTGAGAACTACCTAACTATACACCGTAATGATATCTGAATCGTGATCTATCGCGGTTGACAGCAGGGTTCCTCTGGGAAAGTCCATCACAACCCTCCATATAACTCCACAAGGCTCCGTAGGGGTCATTATGAACCAACCGAGTAAGCTGTCCTTTTCCATCTCCAGTAAAGTATCAGCCAAACAATGGACGATAGTTTCTCTCCAGCAGGGAAGCCTCCAAGGTTCCTCTGTTTGTATACTCCATCGGGTAAGAGACTCTGCGACACCAACTAACCTACCTATAATGGAAACACTTAACAAAACGGCTGCAAAGCTGGCCTTCAAAGTTCAAAGGCCAAAGCTTCCTTGTTTTCGACGAATACCGCTCTTCTCGGGCCCGGCTATACGAAGATCCACCTTGGTTGGGCAGCAGGAGCAGTCATCGAATCTGTTGACCGTTTTTTTATTTTATTTTATTTTATTTTTTGTTTTCCATAGCCACAGAGTCCCCTCACCAGCTCTCAGCTAACCATTTCAGCTTTGCCACGAAGTGACGATCTCGGACCGTTTCATCTTTTCCCACAAGGGATCACTAATAACCTTTCGCCCTGCACACCGCGTCTTCGAAATCTGGTGGTGCTGGGAGGAAGAATGTTGACAACTAGTGCTAGTATGGAGTAGTCTGGCATCGACTGGCATCGATTGAAGAATATTGAGGACAAATCCTAGCTAGTCCAACACGGCAACACAATGGGCATGAAGTTTATCCAACAGGGTCATGAACAGACCTACTCCATGTTGGGCTTTGTAAGGGCTAACCGGCTAGTTAACTAACTACTAACTAACCGGCACCACGGGCATTTGGAAAACGAGAAAGGTCAACTAGAAGGGGGGCAAATTTCGAAACGGGACCTATCTGAATCATGTCTCGCGCCTTGATTTGATTCCCTCGATTCAAGAGATATCGAAATTAAACAAAAAGGGCCAAAAAAGACCCAAAACAAGCTTCATCCGGGATGTACGGCACGAAAATCATCACACATAGCAACACCATGACCATGACGATGATAATAACAACCGAAAAAAAGAACAGTGTACAACAGCACACTGTGTGCTTTTTGGGGGGGGGGGGGTTCGAAATGTCGGACATTTTCTCAACGACGATCATTGCACTCCAGGATTAGATAGAGCAACCATATTCCTAGTTCCCTACCAGTCCCACCAGTCCTCGACCCAATGACGAGGTGTCTACTGCCTCCAAGCCGCACTTGAAACACCCGAGCCAACGTCGATGGCTGTCGCTCATAATGAGCGCCGAGATCTGTCCAGTTTGTTACAAGGCTCTTTTCTGTCTCCTTCCTAAGAAGGTTATGTACGTGTCCCTCTCTTTCTCGGATTCTCCAGGTCTCGACTCCTCCGGCCTCTCGTATTTCGCCACGGGAAAGCTCTGCCGTCCAGTGCTTCGAGGTTGTTTCCTACCTACTTGGTACAGTACATCTTGCCTCTTCAGTCTTGATGAGAGTTGGGAGAGGCCAATACGGAGGTAGTGGGATGTGGTTACACTCAGGCCGGGGGAGGGATCTGCTACGACCTGCAGTGCATTAATTATGTATTATTTCCAACAACCGATCGGAAAGCTCTTCAATGCATTTGTCACTCATGGTGATGTTGTAGATTTGTAGTGTTGTGCCGGGTTGGGTTGGAACACAAGGACACACAAGTCGTTCGTGAGTCGTGACAAAACCAGGAGTTGCAATCCCTGACCTCGGGTGCACGGAGTTTACCGTTGTTAGAATTAAAGTATGAACCATTCTTTTTCCATTAAAGGGGATAAAATAGAATTCTAAAACTTATTTCATCTTGAATACCGAATTGCAATCTGTATATTCCACTCTTGACCTGGAATACCTGCGTTAGAGTACCTCGGAGGTACCCTGGTACACTTGGGCATGCTCGTGGAGGTATAAAGGTTTTACCATACGAGTACAAAGTCTGTAAGTTGCCCTATGGGAAGCACCACCGTGACTTCGTACTGAAGAAGTAGTGCTCCGTACCCGACTGTATGGAGTAATGCAACTGCATATCAAATGCCAAAGGAACTTATGCACGGAACGAACCAGGTTCTAGGCCCTACCCTCTTCGTAATTACTAGTAACTAAGTTAACTAAGGTTAGTTATGTAACTATAGAGAGAGCACCATACTCTCTCTATACACAATATCATCACTTAGTAGCAGGCACTCCAAAACTCGAATTATGGCAAGTCTGTATAAGCTGTCTATGTAACTACTCGGATCATGCTGATCAGCTAAGAATCAGATTGAAATGAATGATGGCTATTTTAATTTCCGAGTAACTAACTATGTTAGTTAACCAATTCCTGCTGATTCAAGTAGTTACTCCGTAGTTAGTTAGTTGGTTAACTCAAGAGTGAAGAGAACATCCTAATAACCTGAACCCGAACATGATGATAGTTAACTAGTTAGTTACATCGATTCTGTTTGTCAGCCATGTTTCCGTACATTGTCTGAATAGGAGGTATATAGTTCTGTACGGAGTACAGTACTCTGTATGTGCAAACACAATTCTAGCTGGTCTGAATTACATAAACTAGATGGGGAAAGTAACTACTCCCTCCTAAGCAAAGCAAAGAAAGAAAGGAAATGATCTATCTGGCGGTGACTTACCGCTTCCCATGTACATACTACATACAGTATACGGAGAACTCCGTACAGTTACTTCTGCGAGTAGTGCAACTTGAATGAGATTGACATGCCAAAGCTTGGTTCCATGGCTCGAGCTACCTAGGTAAATAATATTAGGGAATGGAAAATGAATGATTGGATCGCTTATGTGGTCTTTGTCTTGAGCCTTGTGAGAATTGATTTTAAGGTGGCAGTCAGTGGGGTGTGTGCGTTACTTACCTTAAGGTACCCTTGAAGTCCTATGTATACCCAGTCCCGACCCTGACATGACATGTACTCTATCTACGTTATCTATGTACTGGGACTCTTGAACTTCCAAGTTCTCGAGTACTCCGTACCTAGACTTCAACAAATACTTCCCAGTTTAGTTACCTGCTACTACTACTACTACTACTACTACTTATTCTACCGTTCCTAGTACGTAGTATTATAGCCGTAAATTAAGCCCCACATAAGCCCGTAGTCCAACCGCTCTCGAGGCCACCAGTAAAACCAAGAAATTTGCGACTGAGCTCCCTCTCTCTCTCTCTTCTTTGGCTGGTCGGAAGATTACTTTACTTGGAAGGCAAGCAAGCCACTGTTTGGACTACGTCTCCACTCGTCCCTGGGTAATCTTGCAGCAGTAAATACTAATTCCATAATCCTACCCACGTACCCACCCCCCCCCTTGTTGTTCGTTTATTTCGTGTTCAGATTTCCCTCCGGAGGACTACTCTTTTGAGTTACTGCTGGGCAGGGCAAGGCGAGTCGAGTCGAGTCGAGTCGAGTCGATTTTGTCTTGCCCCGTCGTTCTTCCATATCCTATCCGCATTCTTAAAGCTTTCATATAGATAGTATTATGCCAACCTGGATTCCTGGAATGCTACTAGTGAATGCAAGTAATTTCCTCCCCCTCCCCCCCCCCTTCCGCGCACCGTGTGGTTCTTATCGTATGTATTTTTGCTGTGGAGTTTGCAGAGTCCGTAGTATTTCTAGGCATGTATGTACGGAGTACCAGAGTACGGACTACGGAGTATAGACGGAGGATGTACGGAGTAGTTACCTTGGCAGGATTGAATCCCTCGTACTATTCTTTGGCGGTAGTAATAACCTGCTGCTGGCACTTCTTCGCCCGTTCCATTAAACTTAGTAGATAGATAGGACCCTGGACCTTTCCTGATCGTGGTGGGATTTGCCTCCGATCCCAACTTGCTTTCCGTACCGTAGGTACTCTCAAGAGGCTCGAGCACGATTCCTGTCACCCGCTCTGGAATCGAGAGTCTAGAGTCTAGAGTCTAGAGTCTACGTAGCAGCCTAGACTTGGGAGATCAGCCTACTCCAGACAGGAAACTAGCATCGAGGACCGAGTAGGAATCGTCCCGTAGACTCGGGAGAGCCAGTTGGCACGAAAGACGGAAGATTTTTTTTTTATTTTTTTTTTATTTTTTGGTTGGATTGGAATTGGGCCGTTGATCTCTGTCTGTCCGGTACATAGTAGGTAGAATTAGGTGTGCCAATCTCCGTTTCTACCGTGTATTCCGTGCCTCGGGTCGTCTACCCAGAACTTGGTAGTTGGTCCTGAAGGAAAAGAAAGATATTGCCGCTGCCGCGTCTGCGCTTGTTGGTTGGAACCGGCACATATCCGTTGTAGTACTTCGTATCGTAGAAGTATTCCATCCCCGTAGTATGGATGCTTATTGCGAGTATGTCTTCTGAGACGAGATAGATAGATAGATAGATAGATATCAGATTATTTAATCTCGTGTCGCGGTTAGGTCAAACACTTCTCTCTTCTCATCCGAAACAGAACGAACGTGTTACTCCAACCTAGGTAGACACCGCATTCATTGGCATTTCCGGGGGAATTGATTGGTTCGCAGGTTTGCTTGGTGCCCTACCTGACACTTTAGGTACCGACATAGTACTTGTTGGGGATAGGAAAAGGGGTGAAGGAAGTATGACAGACGGACAATTGAGACTGTATCGTCCCTTTGATTTGGGGGACAGAGTCAGAGAGTCGCATATCAGGATGCTCATCCTACTACACTAGTAGGAGTAGTAGTAGAAGACTGAAAGAAGGGTAATCGAATTCTCAAGTCATCCATATTCCATCCTATACAAACAAACTAGTGACTCGAAACTCCTAAAACACAACCAGTAAGAAGTGGTTGACTCGGAGAATTCGACTGAAGCAGAAGGGTCGCGCGTGCTCCCGCTTGCCTCTCCAGTTTCCCATCTTTAATCATTATTGTTTATGCTCGGGACAGAAAATGTTCTTGGGTAGAGAGTAAAATTAAGGACAGGTTTCAAGTGAATCTGGACCGCGTATTGAGCTCCACCATCGCAAACCACAAACCACACACCCAGGGTTAATTTGGCGCCTGGATTTCTGGTCGAGACAACAACCACGACGAGAAATGAAATCAGGGTGGATGCATCATTTCTGCAGGCTGGATGATTTATTAGATTTTTTTTTTTTTTTTTTTTTTTTCAAAAATCAAGTCACAGTCAGTCCCTTCATTTCACTGTTTCCTTTCCAGTTAGTTAGAACAAGTAGTACGGAGTAAGCAAGCAACCTAAGCTTAAGCCTTTAAAAAAAAAAAAGACACAGATCGAGAGGGAAGAAAGAGTTCTGCAGATGAGATACAATATAGTTTAATATTTATATTGCGCCACCAGTTTCTTTCCTTCTAATAATCTCCTCCCCCCCCCACCTTCAATTACACACAGAGTACAGAGGATGGATGATAGATAAGGCCGCGCACGCAGCCATCAGATGCAGAACAGTGGACGAGGCGAACGGTTGCTAAAAAAGACCCCGGATCCAAGTTAGTGTCTGGCTAGCGATATTACCTAGGTCGATACCTGCCGTTCGAGGCTTGGGGTTCGTTCGTTCGCCGTTTGACAGATCCATCGTCCTGGTCAGGGACTAATTGGCCAGACGATCCCACAGCCGTTGGAACTCGGAAATCTAAATTGATGGCAAAGGGACCAACCAAGACAGGAAAAAGCGAAGGGTCTCGGAAGATAGGTGGGAAAGGAGAACTAGCGGATGGCAGAGGGATCATCCACTGAATAATAATCTTGTTTATTTACCAGGAGTCAAGAGAGCCCTAGTCCGTAGTCTCTCTCTCTCCCGAGTCCTAGGTACAGAAGGGTAGATTATTCCTGCCAAGTTCTTCAAGCGGAGGAGGAGCTGAAAGAGTCTGAGACTAAAACCCATCATCCATCGGCCGAACACACGGGAAGAGAACGGATATCGAGAGGATTAATTTGGGTTATTATAGACAGGCAACCGAAAAAAAACCGTTTAAGGGATTCGACGGACGCCGTTGAGATGGTTTGGTAGTCATGATATCAACCCTATTTGTACCGGGGTTCCCGACAGGCACCTGTTGGGCTGTCAAAGTTTCTGTAAAAGATGAGATCTATCATGCAAGTTACAGTGTAGCAGTAGAAAAGACATCTTTTGGGCTCGAACATTCGGGAGTTAGACCGCCAGTGATGCTTTTTCCTTTCAAGTATAGTATAGTACCCTCAAGTGGAACCGTTTGGATAATCCTATTATTATTATTATTATTATTATTATATTATCAGTTTTATTATTTCTCAGAAATGAATTATTATTTCGAATTCAAAGAGTAATGTACAATAATTATCATCAGGATAGAATCAAGTCTACCAGGTATGGTTCTTATTCATCATAGCAATTTATTAGTTTGTCTAAAAAATGATAAGTTCAAGGGAAAAAAAAAAAAACAACCAAACTGTCTAGTTCCAAAAATTAAAATAAAATTAAAAGAAATCATCAATTATATATTAATATATCACCGGTTCTCGAACCCACACTTCTTTCTCTTCTTTTCTCTTCATTACCGACAGACAGACACTACTTGACTGGTAAACTCTTGAATGTCCACAACTTCCACCATTATTATTTATTCTTATGATTTGATTATTTTCATTTTTTTATTATTATAATCCTCCTCCTCCTATGTCCTGAGCTTCTCATTTGCTCGTCTTCACCTCCATCAGCTGTCATTTTGCTGCCGATGATCTCTCTTCTTATGCATCTAGAGCTGTTTCATCTGTCTCTCCTCGCTTTTTCCTCCTGCCTCGACGCTTTCTTTTTCTTCTCGTCCCCTTCCCTTCTTCTCTGACCTTTGCTCGTTCATGATTAGTCCCCTGTCTGTCGTACCTTTTGATCCGGTGGTATCAACCCTTCTTCTTCTTCTTCTTCTTCTTCTTCTTCCTGTTTGTCGTTGAACCCGGCTTCATCATCGACTCTCCTCCTACCTGCTTCACTCTTTCACCTCACTCCGCTCGGTCTTATTGGATACATCGAGTCGAGCCTCAATTGTCATTCCGATTCGCTTTCTCTATCCTCGACCTTCTTCTGCTCCCTCTTCCATCATTCCCTTTCCATCCCTAAATCTTATAATCTTCTATATTGGGTTCGCATCTTCTGCCTCAGCAGGGCTGTCTCGATCTTCAACTACCAATTCCGAAGTAGTAGTTCTTGTCGCCCTACCGCTCATCTTCCAGGTATCAGGAAAGGATTCCAGCAAGACCATCAGACAAAAAAAAAAACAGCCTGACCCTCATCATTATCCTGTTAGGGTAGCCCTGTTGAGAGATTTCTTTCTTTCTTTTTTTTTTTTTTTTCCCTTTCTCCTGCCCCTCCCGTTAAGCTGGACTTGCTTGTTTGCCCTATTTTGATTTGGGTTATTGTGACTGGACTCGTTCAGCCACAAGACGGACACACGTACACGCACACCACATACAACTACACACACACCACCGTGGACGCCGTTTAGTATCGGGCACCCAAGGATATCATTCCATCGGCAACTCTTTCCTTCCGGCATACGCTGCTTTAATTTTTTTTTTTTTTTCCCCCCATCACAAACGCCTAAACGAAGAAACTTTACCGGCTGAATCCGCGCATATGATTGCGTTACAAAACCATCCTATCCTACCTCCTGCCAAAGTGGATATCTCACTGCTCTTGAAGCCCCAAGATGAAGAGGAGGCCACCCCCGTGACCACTATGGCTACTCTCCCACCCCTTTCTGCCATGCAGGCGCCGATGCCGCCAGTAGCGCCAGGCGTAATCGCACACCACATCGCACCAGGAATCCCGCAACCATTACATTCGGTGCCTCCGCTGACTGCCAAGGCTCCGGTTTCTGTCCCAGCAAAGCGCCTGCAACCGGCCCATACGGCGGAATCTCCAGCGAAGAAGCAGTCAAAGTGGTCTCCAGAGGAGGATGCTTTGATTATTGAGCTGCGGGGTAGTGGGATGAAGTGGGAGGATATCAGCAAGCGACTTCCCGGACGAAGTGCGATCAGCTGCCGCCTCCATTATCAGAACTATCTGGAGCGCAGGAGTGAATGGGATGAAGACAAGAAAAACAAGCTTGCGCGGCTTTATGAGAGGTATGGCCGATTTTTGCGATGATATATTATTTAGACTACCTTGGGTACGTTGGAAAGGAGTACTGACTGTGTGGAATCATAGGTTCAAGGCGGAAATGTGGTCCAAAGTGGCGGAGGAAATGGCAATTCCCTGGAGGGCTGCAGAGGCTATGCATTGGCAACTAGGGGAGCAAGAGATGGCCCGACGAGCTGGAGTGGTTCCATTTTCGCTATCAAGTTCAGCCATCGACCCACCGGCCCCTAGGGCACGCAGGGCTAGCACATCGCTATCCCGACCAAGAAAGGGATCGGCATCACGAACAATCCCCCCTCCGCCTCAACTTCCATCCGTTGAAGAGCTCACAGCTGGAGTCCCTGCATTCGCTCCGCCGCCGCCTTTCGCACATCCACCACCACGAGATGCGTATCGGATAGGACGGCCACTGAGCCTAGGTGCAAGCCCTACTAGACTCCTGGGGCCACCTCACCTCGGTATTCCGCCTCGAACGCTTCCTTAGAGCCGACTAAGGACGATTTTATTTTATTTTATTTTGCGTTGTTACGATTTGCATAGCGCTGGCTGGAGGTATATATACCTTTATATTTGACGAAGGAAGACTTTCATAGATGAATGATCTTGAAACGGTGGTGCTCTTTTTCCCCCTGAGCTTTAGGGAGAACACGGAAGCCTGAACTTGGAGATGACATCCTCGAATTTCCTTTGTTTTTCTTTTACAGATATATATATATATATATATATATATATATTTTATCACGGATTCCATATGACGTCGAAAGAACGGACTCTTGAGGCTGGCTCTCGGAGTAAACATTACACTCAAATGTGTTATGATTGTTTCTGGTCTACTGGAGTCGCGATCGCCCACCAGTTATCTCTATCATACCCTGATTCTAAAACATGACCGCCCGCCTTGACTATGTCCTGGTCTAACTCCGCCACCTCATACAGATGATAGTAGCGGTGGAAGACTTTGGGTTGATCAATGGAAGTTGTTGCCTGCGAGGAACCCCTCATGACCCAAGGGACCATGACATCCTGGGTGTCCCCTTTATCCCAGCCTCTGCGGCTGGATTTCTGTTCTAGGGCCCACACATAGATCAGAGCTCTGCCGCCAGGAACATCCCCAGAAGCGGGTTTCAACGTGCGCAGAATTTCGCGGATGGCCTGGACTCTCCGATCCGGCGTGGACAGATGATGCACGACGGCGATGGAGATGGCAAAATCAAAGAAGCCATCGGGATGTGGCAGATGGAGAATATCGGCTACAATGGTTGAATGTGGTTGGTGGGTGCGAGCGATTCGGGCAAGATTTTCGGACCTGGGATGTTGTCAGGTCAAGCTCAAATCGTGGGCAAAACATGAGGATGACATGAATACTCTTTTTGAATATAAGAAAAAAAAAAGAAAAAAAGAAAAAAAAAAAGGGATGATGTAAATAAACGCAACATTGAAGAACACACACACATACCCCCCCCCCCCTTTGGAAAATGATAAAGATATCACACAGACACAGGTTGGACTTGACTTGGAACTTGAACATAGATAGAGAATGAAGAAGATGAATACATACCGATCCGAAGCAATGATGAATACCTCTTTATTGACAGACAAATACTTACCATTCCCACACCCAACATCCAACCCTACAGCACCAGGGCTCAGAGTCGTCAAAAACCGTTCCACAACCGGCCATGGCTATCCAAGGTATCATCATTATTATTATTAGTATTATTAGTCCTTTTCCAAATTGCAGACTTTAAACAGCGCAAAAGTTAAAAAAAAAAAAAAAAAAAAAAAAAAAAGAGACCCTGAAAGAACATACCTTGAACCTCGTCGCGGAAAAATGAGTCGCGATTTCCTGATATACCTCGTGCACGTTCTTTTCTTCATATGCTTCTTGGGGTTGGGTTTGGTTTCGGTTGGTGGTGATGTCGCCTTCACTTCCAGCGAGGAGGTTCTGGGCTGGGATAGAGTTGGGGGGAGGCATTGGGTTGATCTTTTTATTTTTATTTTTATTTTTATTTTTTTTTCGTTTCTTTCTGATTTGGTGGAGAGTTCTGATTTTGATTTGATCTGATCTTGAAGTTGAGAGGAAGAAAAGACGAGGTGATGTTTGTTAGTTAAGTTACCTAAGTTTGTTTGTTGGGCATTGGATTGGATTGGGTGGGTCTGTGTATTAACTGACTGGTATTGATTGTAATTAGGAGGTCTCGGAGAGAGCTTTACTGTACCATACTATACAGTATGGTATTTTGGTTTTTACTTTACTTTACGGCATCGTATCGTACCGTATCTATACAATACAGGTTAGGTACGGAGTAAGAATCCAAAGGGGAAGTACCGTACCATACAGATGATGTAAAATTAAAGTTGGTCTTGTATGCGCTTCGGAGATTTTCTGAATAAGCTGTTGTTTGGTTAACTAGTTAACTAACTAACTAACTAACTACCCCAGGGCCCATAGTTACCTAACTAGTTAGTTAAATAGTTCGTTTAATATCGTGCTTTCAACTTGATAATATTATATTAACTAGTTAATTAATATCCAACATTAATAATCAGGGTATGCTTTAACTAACTACTCTACACTACGATTTAAAGAGATGATCGACTGGTAGCAATGCTCAGCCAGCCAGTCTAAGAAGCAGCAGCCATGGATCCAAGTCCAACAACATCCCCACTTGAATTCGTAAACAGCCTTATTGCCCAACTTGCACAATATACATCTACATCCCCCCCCCCAGAACCAACGCCAGAGCTTCCTCGTCAAAACACCCCATCTCAACACCCCGCATCGGCTTTCCCGTCCTCGCAGCTACCGCGGCTGAAACCGCTCATGATCACGCTGCACTGTCTCTTTCCGAACGAGTTCCTGCTTGCCCTGGATATTCTGGATAGAGGGCTCGTGAGCATCTGTGCCGTTGACGGGGGTCCATCTGGACCTGTATATCCAGGAGAGCAAAACGAAGAAGAAAAAGAAGAAGAAGAAGAAGATGTCGACATCTTCTTCGTTTCTTCGGCTTCAACAGGACCAGGACCTCCGACTTCTTCGTCACAGGTGCATTCTGCTTTTCATCGAGATGGGCAGCAGCAGCAGCAGCAGCAGCAGCAGCAAGACGCAAAGAAATGGCGGGGAAAAGGCTACGAAGTCCGGCTTCACGCGTGGAATTGTACCTGTGCTTTGTTTACAATTGCTGCATTTCGAGATCTGGGACCGCAGGTTGATGATGACCAGCTAGCTGCGCAAGAGGAAGAAGAAGGAAAGGAAAAAGAACAATCTGGTGCTGAGATCCAAGGATCTGTAACTACCGCTAGTTCTATTACTGGTATTTGTTCTAGCGATGATGAAAACAACAACAATAACAACAACAACAGCAATTGTGATGATGATGAAAACAACAAGATATACTCGTTTGGTGGGACTCTAACTGCACATGCAACAAACCCTGCATCCACCCCCCCCGTTTGCAAACATATTCTTGCTTGCTTGTTAGTTGCGCTTTGTCCAGGCCTCGGACCTACAAATTCTACAAGAGCCTATCGAGGTGGGAGGTTTGTTAGTGTATCAACGGAGGAATTGGGCGCGTTGTGTGCTGGTTGGGGTGGGTGATTTGTTTTTATTATCTTACTTGATTTTTACTACAATATATTGTGCTTTTCCTACAATTATGCCTAGGGATGTGTGTGTATGTGTGGGTGGGTGGACGGGAGAACTTATTCAGGATCTACAGATGCTAGGTGCAGTGGGTTGACAAGTCGATGCTCCCCGAAGAGACAAACTAGCAGTGAAGAGAATAATAAACCACATGAAATTATATAGTACATTTCAATGCGGGCTTGGTCTAATATCGTATCACATTGAGTGCATGCTTATTGTCCCTTTTTCTTGCTCTTCTCCTTTGACCCTTCGTCCTCCTTCTGCTCGCCGTTCGTGGCTCCGTTAGCCTTCTTTGCGCCCTCCTTCTCGTTCTTCGCCGCGTTCGCCTCCTGCTCCCGCTTCTGCTCTGTCTCCTCCTGCTGCTGACGGTTCTGGATCTTGTTCTCGATCAGATCGTGGAACGCCGTAATTGCGCGAACCAAACTGCTGATGTAGATTGCCATTAATTGGTCGTTGGTCTTTATGCTCATCGCGCGCGCCAACTCGCTGTTCTCTGTGGGTTGTTCCGAGGCACCGCCAATGCGGGGTGTCGCCGCTGGTGTCGAGAGGTTAGGAAGCAGGTTGAAGACATCCTGGAGGTTACCGAGAATAGTGTGGTTGACAGGTAGCTCGTGGTCGAGGACTTTCTGGAGATATTGGCCGATGTCGCGTAGACGGAGATGCAGGCCCTGCAAGGACTGCAGCTGTGAGGTGATGCGGGTCGAAAGGGTGCCGACGGCGACATCCCTGATGTCTCGGAGGAGGTGCTCCACACCGATTTCCTCTGCTTCTTCTGCTTCGATTATCGAGGGGGTATGCACGAAGGTTCGGGAGGTCGTGGTGCCGTCCTAAGCCTGATATGAGTATTCTCAATGAGCAGTGTGGCCGTTATTAAGTGGAGTGCTTACGTCTTTGATCTCGTCAACCGCAAAATAAGCATCAGTAGGCACGCCAACCTCCTTCGGTTGGACATCCACGATAACCAGCAGGGGATTTGGGGTATATCGCTTGAATAGTTCGTTGATTTCGAGATCGGAGGCTCGCAGTTTGGGACCCGAGTGGTACCATCCGACCAGCTTTTCGCGAGCGTTAATCTTCTTGAACATGTCCCGCATCGACTCGACGAAGTTGTGATCTAAGAACCACACCGACGGATCCTTCTCATCTTCCTCAAATGGGACTGTAGCAGATTAGCCTAGACCGGAAATAACCAAGGCTGACAGCGCGAGGGGGACGTACCGGCAAAACTGTTTGATACTCTAACGGTCTGTCCTGAGTTTTCTCCTAGCAGCACACCAACAACACGCTTTCGAGTTCCTTTGGCGGAACGTCCATAGTGATCTGCGACGGAGAGAAGTACCAATGGAGCAACCGTGACGGTGCGCTGGACAAGGGAAAGGGTGTCCGCCGTGGTGGCAGGCATGGCGGAGAGCTCAACGAGGAAGCGAAGCAGTGACTAAAGGGGGGAGAAAAATAATCAAATGAGAAGGGATATGATGAGGGAGATGGCTGAGGAGAAGGGAGGATGAAGCGGAGAAGGAGACTAGGGAGATGGAGAGGATGACGATGGGAGGAGGAAGCTGTTGTTGGTCTCTGGACCTGATCTGATGGACGATGGATCACTGGAGCTCAAGCCACGGGATGTGGCTGACCACACTAGCCACAGTCGTGCCCGGGATGCCTGAGGCGTAAAAGGACACAACCGGCGGAAAATCATCGATAGGGTAAAATAACAGGAATAATCTCATTGGAGCTGGAATACCCAGTTTATCGATAGTTTATTCTAGTATATCTGTACATGCCTTGAAATTCCGAAGCAAAACACCTTGAAGAATCCGGACTTTCTCGTGTCAACTCCCGAGCAAGAAACCAAGCCTCGGAGCAACGGGGACAGTCCTCCGCTCTCGGTGGCTCCTCTGTCGCTCTTTTCACCCCAGCATGCAGTTCCGTCCTTCCTTTCCATTTCCCCGTCTTTTTGCGCCTTCATTCACCGAGTTTCCTCTCCCGCTCTCTCCTCTTCTCTCAACATCACTTCCTGATCTGTTTCCTGGAGAAGTTCTTGTATAGAGTCTTTTTTCTCTTCTTTTCCCTCTCTTTCCTTTACAATGGCTCCTATCACAGACGAGACGATCTCTGGCCTCAAGGCCACGATTGGAAAGCTCGAAGCTCGCATTGAGGATTTGGAAGGTCGTCTCAGCAGTGGGTCGAAGCCCAAGTCCGTCGCGGAGCACATGCGCCTGATTCTTATGGGTCCTCCTGGTGCTGGTATGTTTTATTTCGGGGTAGATGGATTGATTGATCTATACAGCCTATACCTTCTGCCAGACCCGGAATTTGCAACAATAGCTGACTCAATCTAGGCAAGGGTACTCAGGCACCTAAGATTAAGGAGAAGTTCTGCGTGTGCCATTTGGTAAGCTTCCCATGGCAAGATGACTTAGCTCAGTAGCTGACTTTTTTTTTTTTTTCTTTCTTCCCCTTATAGGCCACCGGTGACATGCTGCGATCCCAGGTCGCCAAGAAGACCGAGCTTGGAAGAGAGGCCAAGAAGATCATGGACCAGGGTGGTCTGGTCAGCGATGAGATCATGGTCAACATGATCAAGAGCGAGTTGGAGAACAACGCAGAGTGCAAGAACGGGTGCGTCCCTTCCTCTTAAGGTAGACCGGATAAAGCTAATGTGTTGGGTTGGACAGTTTCATTCTCGATGGTTTCCCTCGCACCGTTGCTCAGGCTGAGCGTCTTGACGACATGCTTGACGCCCGTAAACAGAAGCTCCAGCACGCTATCGAACTCCAGATCGATGATGCCCTCCTGGTTGCCCGTATCACCGGTCGTCTGGTCCATCCCGCCTCCGGCCGTTCCTACCACAAGATCTTCAACCCCCCCAAGGAGGAGATGAAGGACGACATTACCGGCGAGCCTCTCATTCAGCGCTCTGACGACAACGCCGATACCTTGAAGAAGCGTCTGGGTACATACCACGCCCAGACCGCCCCTGTCTGTGAATACTACAAGAAGACCGGTATTTGGAAGGGTATCGATGCCAGCCAGGAGCCTGGCCAGGTGTGGAAGAGCCTTCTCGGTGTCTTCGACAAGAAGTACTAAGATTATTTTTTCTCTGTCGGCGGCGACTATTCGTGAACGCGGTGATGTAGAAATGATATGCATCATGTAATGACTTTTGCCTCTTGTTTGGCTGGGGGAAAGGTACAGAAAATTAGCGGCACGAGTGGAAAATACTCAGGGGAATAATGAGTTTGGGTTTCTTCTTCTTCTTATTTTTTTTTTTTTACTCTTTCCCTTTGTTGGTCTGCAGAGGGAACGATATTGTTAGGGTGGGGGATAGACCATGTCTTTCGGATGTCAGTCAGTATATAGACAGCTTTTCCGCGAGACTTGAAAGCTATGTACAATAGTAGGTCGTTTCTTCGGAATGAAATGAAAAAAAGAATCCATGTTTCACTATTGACTTACTACCTGAAAGTAGCTAGATCCTAATTCAGTTGTTTCCAGGGACAACTTGGTTACAACTCGGCAGGATACACTGTAGACTCAATCCTCTCCGGATAAACCAACCCATTTTGCTTCCTCGCCTCATCCATCACTTCCATCATCACAATACTCTCTTCCCAAGGCAACCCCTCACTCTCCAACTTCCCATCCCTCAAGCACCGCGCCACTTCATCCGCCTCCCAGTACATCCCCCTTCCATCCGTGGGGAAGGTAAGCTTCACTTCTTTGATCTCACCTTCGCCCTTCTTAGGAATGACCCGGTAGACCTCCGGCCGGAACGCAGGCCCATCAACCTGGATCTCACCCTTTGTGCCCTGGATCCGGATTGCGGGGCGTGCCGCGTTAGTCTGGTCCGGGTCCGTCGAGACACGGAGATTCGTCATGGCAACGGCATGGGATTCGCCTGGTTTAGAAGAGTTGGAGGGTGTGCTGGTCGGGAAGCTGAGGAGGATGGTGGTTGCTTCGTCGGTGCCAGTGACGTGGTAGGGGGTCATATGGGCGGAGATCCGCGAGGGAGGTTTTCGTTGCTCGCGGGGAAGGGTGTGGTAGAGGGTTTGGAAGACCCAGGTTAGAGAGTAGATGCCGACTATAGTAATGATAATTATTATCATGATATATTAAGTATCGATCGTACGAAAAGAAAGGAAGGAAGGAAGGAAGGAAGGAAGGAAGAAGAAAAAAAAAAAGCAACATACGATCTAACAAAGCTCCTCCTGCCAGATCCTTATTCACCATACGATGTTCCGTTTTAAACGTCGTCTCGACATCAAATCCCAAGCTTGTGTCCGCTGTAACACGAAGCACTTCGCCAATGGCGCCCTTGGAGATCAACTCTCTAACTTGCACCGAGAGCGGGAAGTAGCGCGTCCACACGGCCTCCATAAGGAAGAGGTTCTTCTTCCCCGCGGTTTCGCAGAGGATGCGAGTCTGTGCGGCGTTCACGGTAAATGCCTTCTCGCAGAGGACATTTTTTCCTGCTTCCAGGCAGAGCATGACGTTCTGGAAGTGGTGCGAGTGCGGGGTTGCGACGTAGACAACATCGACGTTGGGGTCTGCTACGAGTTCTGCGTAGGACGCGTACGCCTTGCATGCTGGATCTGCGGGGATGCCTGTGTCGGCGATGAATTTCTCTGCGCGGGATGCAGATGTTGATGATGCTACCGCAACGACGCTGTGAGAGACGTCGGAGGCATCGCGAAGGTTAGGGTCGCGAAGGAGATCGCGCACGAAAACTGGAGAATGTTAGTTTATTGCTATTCTCTGGTAGAGGAGACGTGAGGATCTTACCGTCAGCGATCCAGCCAGTAGCTGTATTTTAGTTGAAGTTCCCTGGTTAGCTTGAGGATTGTTATGATGGAGAGCGAGGGAAGAGGGGTAATTAATTTCATACCCATAATACCCCACCGAACATTGTATGGAGCCATGGTGAAGTGAAGAATGTATGTATGTGTATGTGACTAAAGGGGGTTATAAAAGATGATAAGAATGCAAGGATGAAATGGCAAGAATCAGAAGGGACAGATTAAGGTAATATTTATATTCAATCAACAGTTGACAGTATATAAGGATTCTTCTTCCTTTCCTATCACGGAGTTATGCCGTGCGGGTCGTGTTCCATTTTCCGATGTGGTGCCTGTGACAGTTACAGGTAGAGAACAAAAGGATGACAGTTAAACCGAGATGATTTATTTGTTTCAGATTTGATAATTATGCAGCCTGCATGGTTCTATCTCTATATACAGCGCACCAATTGTTGGGTGCGACTAAATCAACATCAACACCGTGTAGTGAGGGACTGGGGCGTCCCATGCAAAACAGCCGCCGTTTAAATGCACATATCCGGAGTCGGGAAAATAGGGAATATCAGTCAGTCGGGTGTACGCTGACAGGAAGCAATACTATATCCAAGACTTCCTGTTACATTGTCTCGGACTTGATCCGCACGTTCTGTCCAGGCGAGTCAGTTCCCTGAAGGATGATTAGCGTGAATACACTCCTAGGAAAGAGGTGTGTTTGAGATCTAACGCTCACCTCAGCTTTGCGCTTGCCTAGCACTGAATCTGGGGTTCCTGTGCGTCCAGAAGGCGTGTCCCGACGAGCAGATCCTGAGCCGTCTTTAGTCACCTCCGCATAGCAGCTGGCGTGGTATACACGGCTGCCGACTTTCACGGCGTCTTGCCAGATCCAGTCTTGGACGTCCTCTGACCACGTAGACTCGAATTTCTCCTGACAAATCGGACACGGGGTGTTCCTCAATGTAGCGTCATTGGGCGCACGAATCCATTGTTTGGTAGGCCCTTTCTTTGCTGGACCAGCCTCGTTTCCACCAGCGTTCTCGCCGGAAGCCTCTGCATCCGTGATTATTTGATCATCTCCTATCTCGCGGGATTTTATCCAGTCCTATCTCTCGTGTGAGTCATACAAAACGCGAACCTACAGGACACAAAGCTACTACTTACCCGTTCGTCGACGTACCAACTGCGATTCTGAGCTCGCTTGGCAGAATCTGCCATCCGTTGGTTTGTGCGGAAATGCCAATCCAGATGGCGGGCTTTCTTCTCTTTTCCTTCCTCTGTGGTAAAGAACCGGCGACCACATGTACCGCAACGATTCGACCTCGCTTCGTAAAGACTAGCAATTAACATGCTACGTGGTCTACGAGCCTTAATTAGATAGTGAATAGAATGCCTACAAGGTGTAAACTTACATTTTAATTGACGCCGTATTCATTTGCACGTTGATTTGTACATCTGAAGCCGTTACTGCCTGTGGCGTTGGTACGGGTGGTGTGTACCGTACTTGGCCTGGGACAATGAAAGGAAATGCAGAGGCAAGGTTGGGGGAGGGGGCAGAAGCAGCTGGGGGAGCTGACGCAGCAGGTAAAAGGCCCTTTGCCCTGAGAGCGGCAATAAGTGAATTCTCCGGTGCTGATGTAGGAGCCATCTGGGGAGTGCCAGTGGCCACCGAAATTTGGGACAAGATGGGAGGGACTTGCGGTGGTGGTGTTGGTTGTTGTCGTGCAGCTGTGGCTTTGATCAGCTCCGCAAGAGTTCCTGGATTAAGAAGCTGCTGGAGAGGCTGAGAGAACGAATGCGCAGCGGGTGGAGTGGCTATTGACGGGGTTGATGTGACTGGGGGATGAGACGGGGCTGGTTGAGGTATGGATATGATAGGCTTGGGAGCAAGTGCCGACACCTGGTCGCGGACAAGCTTCAGTTGCTCTTGAGTGAGCTCCTGGCGTTGCATGATACCCTGAAGATCCAAAAGCGCCTTTAATCGTTGTTGCACGGACGGATCTAAAGGGTTATTGCCGAAATCGTTTCGAGCAGAAGTAATTAACGCTTCTATATCCCTATTAAGAGCAGAGAGATCGACTTCCTGAGGCGTTGGAGTCGACCGAACGGGAATTGACTCGCCCTTTCTCTATTAGTAACGAACCATGTCAACTAAAGTGATCCAATCTTACTGTTGAATATCCATTATTATGTCCATTTCTATGGTTTTGTGGAGGATATCGGGCTGCGTTCTGAGGCGGAGTAGGGGTGCTGGTCCAGCCAGGTGGAGTCCCAACTCTGCCACGGTTGTAAATATCTTGCTGGCCCCTAGCCTGCTGCTGCTGTAGAGCCGCAGTTCTCGCCTTGATCAGGGCATTTTCAATCCCGCGGGTGATATCGGGTGGGAAAACAGGCCTCGTGTCCAGTGACCCAGGAACCGGCTCCTTCCAAGTCTTGAGCATCTCATCCAGCTTCCGACGAGTTTGCGAGTCGACTAAAGTGTAGGCATTCATGAAGGTCTGATACATGTTCCGGCCTAGAAACAGAGTGTAGGGAGTCCCTACGTTCTTCACAATAGAATCGACTACATACAAAGCAGGCAGCTTCTGAAGGGGGGGTGTCTACCACGCAAAGATTAGAACTGTCCATCGAATCCAACTACAGCAGCCATCGTGAAACAACAAACGAATGAATCTGGGAGAATATCACCTACTGTTCGAATATGGTTCTCTAGTACTCGAGAGATGGCCATCGCATGTTCCGTATTCTCCTTGGCGATGACGGTCAGATTGCTGATTTGAAACCTGTCATTTGTAGTTAGATCTTCCAAGGAATTCTTGTAGTCTTCGGCGACTTCATCAGAGGCAAGTCCAGACGACATGATGATGGCAGATACAAAGAAGGTTGGAGGGAGAAGGAGAGGGCTTTGGGGATGAGGTCAAAGGAGTCCGAAGACAGACCACGAGAGTGTGTTCTGTAGCTTTTCCCTTCTTTTCTTTTGTTTCTTCTTCTTCTTCTTCTTCTTTTCTTCTTCTCTCCTTGTCTCTTGTTTTTCTCTTTCAATTTTTTCCTTTCTTTTTTTTCTCTCTCTCTCCTCTTCAGATTTAATGGATATAATGGGTTCTTATTGTCCCGTCCTTTGTTTCCCAGTAATAACACTCTCCTGGAATCAAGAGATGGAAAGAGGTGTCCAAACTTGTAAAATGCTTGCTAGCTATCTTGGTCCAACCTGAGAAAACAACTAGAGGACGCAGACGCCAATCCTGCACCAGTATCTGAAGTAAAAGGAAAACAAAAAGAACCCGCGGAAACCCTCCAATCCCAAGTATGTCAAGCTACCGCATGAGATATTCCGTTCTGATTGACCCTTTCAGAAGACAACAACTAGCAAAGGAACCCCAACGGTACGAGGAAGGTGAGGATATACCGGTCGTTGAGGAGGGAGGGGACTACGACACGTGTGGCGATTGAGGGTAACGCAGCAACAGCAGACAGGATCTAATGAAATCAAAGAAGTATAATCAACGGAATGAAAGAATGAAAGAGAAGGATGAGAGACCGATGGATGAGATTGAGATGGGGTGAGGATGAACAAGACGAGGAAAGCAAAGTGGGAGGAAGTCGAAAGATGGAAGAAGGGAAATCAGCGAGAGCGTGACCTGAGCTGAGTCATCATAGTTGGTATGCCGTCATCTGCAGCCACCGTCGAATGTAACCTGGAGTCTGGCGTGATTCTATTCCCCTTGCTATGCACCGAACAGCCTTATTATAAATAAATAGCTACTCAACTGTTATATACTACTCACTGCTGCACTTTTCCCACCTTGTCATCATGAAGCTCTTGTATACTGCACTTTTCCTTGGCCTTCTGCCGCAGGTTATCGCCAACTCCATTTTGGTCACTTATCCCAAGAATACTCCGGACTCAGTCATCGAAGAGGCGAAGGAGTCTATCAGAAAGGCTGTATGTTGTCTGGGCGGATGCTATAAAATGTCCAGTGCTGATGTTGCTGATATAGGGCGGAGTAATCACCCATGAATACTCTTGTAAGTGTTCCAATTTATTCTCCCAGTTAGTGTCTTAACTAATAGTTTCTCTTCCAGTGGTTATCAAGTAAGCGTTTGACTTAGTTGATTTGAGATTATCCAAAGTTAACCATTACAGGGGATTCTCTGCAAACGCTCCAGACGCGGCAATCCAGCAGATTTCGACACAGTCAGGGATGTACAAACCTATCATTGAGCAGGACTTGCCCGTCTCTATTTCATAAAGTCATTGAGGCAGTGTGTTTCAGTCGGGTCCACTATCCCATTGTACACTTGTTGAGGGTGGCTGTGAAAGCGGGATAAAGACTGGAAATTTGGTTATGGGATCATGAATAATGACAAGAGTTTGGGATTGTTCTGGGATATGAATTTCATTATCAGTGCTGGTGCATGGGATGTCTTATGGGGAATACTGGCCTTTTTTTATTGTGTTTCATACAAGATGGATAATATGCTGCTGTTCTTTGTTAATTGTCAGGATAAATATTGTCATTATAACTGTTACTGGGATAAATAACGGTATATAAGAAATTAAACCACCCCAGTTTATCATATCACAGAAGAAACTGTGTTTAAATTATTGATATTTTTTTATATTTACATTGCATGTGTGAAGAAAGACAAGACCGGATATTCCTTATCCTCGTGGTCCCCGAGAGCCGACAACAACTAGTGGAGAGTATCTTAAAACTAACGCCTGGTAGATAGCATAACATCACTCCCGCTTGGATCGCGAAAATCTACACGCGTCAACGACCCAATCACCCTTATAATCGGCCCTGATCGGTTCCTCAAAGTTGCCGGGGGATGCGGTTGTTTTTCACTTTTCCTACCTTTTCGCCGATCGACTCCTGAACATTCCTGAGATTGAGTGTCTCCCTCCCTGAAACCCCCTCCCCGCCGCGTCGCCCAAGATGGCCTCGGAGCATACCATCACCCAAGCCTTATTGGAATGGATCAATAGTTTCGCTCTGGGCAAGACGATCCGCACGACAGAAGAATTGTCTGACGGAACTATCATCTGGGAGATTTTACAAGACATCGACCCGCAGTATTTCCTGGATGAGATCCCCGAACAAAGCCCGTCTGACCACTGGGGTTCGAAGTGGCAGAATCTAAAACACATACATAAACTTCTAATCAACTATATTCGACAGCAACCTGATGGTTTGCCTTCTGGGCTGGATCCGGAGCCGAACCTCGAGCAGTTTGCGAAAAAGAACTCGGTTAAAGATGCCAACAAACTCCTGAAACTCCTCCTGATCGCCGCCATCCGATCCCCCAACGCGCAAACCTACGTGGAGACCTTACAGACTTTGAGCACGCCCACACAGGAGGGCTTGAAAAATATCTTTGAGGAGGCTCAGAATGGCGAGCTTGAACCTCTGGATGGGGCTGACGAAGCTCATGAGGCCAGGGATACCACCGCGGTTGTTGACCCCGAGCTGAAGTTTGAAGAGCAGATGGGGAATTTGGTAGCGGAAAACCATCGTCTAACCCGGGACAAGGGTGATATGCAGAAGCAGCTGGATGAAATGAATTCCCGCTTGGTGCGCCTCCAGGAGAACAATGAAACCCTACAGAGTCGCCTGGCAACAACAGAGGATCGGTTAATAAGCTTGAAATCCGGAAAGGGTGATATAGGGCCTGGCGCAAAAGGGATCGAATCGAAATATCGCCAACAAGAAGAGGTCATTGCGAACTATGAGGAGAGATTGAACTCAACCCAATCCGAGGTTGATACGTTACGCATGACCGCGGAGTCCCTCCGGGCTAAAGCTGAGCGCGTTCAGAGCCTTCAGGATGACTACGACGTACTTAGAAGGGAAAGAGACCAGCTTTCCCGAAAAGCCAATGCGGCGGAAAAGTATCGCCAAAAGTTGCAGGCCAGCCAGGACTTTGAGAAGGAGAACCAATCCCTCAAGAACCAGATTCAAGATCTCCAGCAGCAGCTCAAGGAAGCTGATTCGCAGCAAAGGTGGACCTCAGAGCACGAGATTGAATTAGAAGAATATAGGCGCATCCTACCTCGGATTGAACAGGAGTGCAGCGAAATACAGAACTTGAAGAAACAGCTTGAATTCAACAACCACGCCCTGACAGAGCGACTACGCAGTGCAGAAGAACAGCACGAGCGGGATGATGCGCTAATCGGTGAGCTGAGGGAGCGAATCCGGGACTATGAAGGTTCTCCGGGTAGTCCGTCTCTTACTCCAGGCAGCACAACACCAAGGCTACAAGGAAATCTACAAAAAGATTTCGAAGCCTTGGGGGTTAAAGAGTCGAACCTGTGCGGCCTATCACCTAACCCCACATTGTCCGACCTTTCACTAACCGGTTACAGAAAATCCGAGGCCGATGATTCAAGAAAGGAAGTGGAATCTTTGAAAGAGCAGCCGAGATCTGTACGGTTCACTCCTCGACACAATACTTTTAATCGCCGATTAGCTGACGAAAACCAGAGTTCCCCTCCAATTGATGGCTTCTCGGAAGCCTTTGCAGAAACATTACGGCTTTCTAAAGCCGGTTCTTCTCAAGGGTATCGTTGCCTGTCTCACTATGAACCCGGTTTAATGCATGAAACTAATGTGTTGGCCTTCAGTGATGAATACTGGAGACTGTATGACCAGTACACATCGACTGTCAAGAAGCTGGCGGAAGTTCAGGACAGCCTCGATGCGAGCAGGAAGACGCTCCAAGATACATTGGCGGACGGTCAGTTCTATTTCTTTAACCGCCCTACAATGAATTATCCATATATTTACGATAGCCCAGTATCCCTCGCCGGCAAGGAGAAGCTCGACTTGATCAGCGAAGTCAAAGAAGCCTGTAGAACTGAAACGGACGATATGCGCACGGACCTACGCGAAGCCACAGACCGGATTTCTGACCTCCAAACTGAACTCAACGCTACTCATACATTGACTGGCATAGTCTGTCATGAGCGGGATGATCTTCGAAAGATGCTTGATCAGAACCAGGCGGAACTGCGTGCGGAAGATCAAGAGGCTGCCGAAGAGATGAAGAGGCTGCTTGCAGAACTTACTGCACAAGACGGCGGCGTTGAGAATGAAGCTTCGCAGAAGTCCGTCGTGGAACTCATAAAACAAGTTGCCCAGCAAATTGAGAACAATCTAGAAAGGCTTGCGAAGCGTGCAGAGGTCAGTGAACAGAAAAAGCCCCAGCTGTGTCACCCCAAAGACAAGCCTTTGCCCCAACTCCAGATGAATCTTGCGGAGCGTTCTTCCAGCGAATCCACTGGGAGCCGATCTGGGACTCCAAGCTCGCATAGCTTAAGCAGAAAGAGTGCGAGGTCTTCTTCCAGCATTTCTTCTCGCTTATCTCTGCTTGGTCGTCGGCTATTCGCTGTCAAATGAACCTTTAACCGCACCTCATCTCTATAAGCTTATGAAAGTTGAGCACTTCAGGACTAACCACCCTCATCTACGTCTAGTACATCCACCAACAAAACGAACACATCAAATTTCTCCAAGACCGAATAAGCCAACTAGAAGAAGAAGCATCTGCTGCAGCTGCCAACAACACAGAGGATAGCATCACCAAAGAGCGAGAGGTGAGCGAGCAATTTGTTTTTAGTGGTCTTGGACCTCATCTTCGTCATTCCCCTCTCATTATCCTCACTATTCTCGTCGCTTCTCCTCAATAACTAGACCTCCCACTCACTCCATCGAACCCATATTATCTCCACGCTAACGACTCTATTTCTTCCTACAGCTCGAGCTTCAAAAGCAAATCGATGCTTTAACCCGTGAGATCGCACTCATGGGCTCCTCATGGTACGAGCTGCAAAGCAAACTCCATAATAACGCCAATGTCACTATTTCCAGGTACCGGTATAGTCCGGCTAGCTTAGCAGATGCCCAGAAGGGCTGGCTAGCTAGACAAAGAAGCGCAGTCGCTGGTCGATAGAAACATCTGTAACTATTAATCTTCGGTTGGGTAGGGGATAGAATATTTTTATGCCTTTTTTTGCATTACTTGTTTTGCTTTTGGTGGTATACATATATATATATATATATATATCCATGATATTAGTACACTCTTTGCATTGTTTTGTTGCAGGTTTCATTTTATCTATTTTGGTCAGCAACAGCAATAAGTGTTTACTAACTACTGGTATTATTAGTATTTTTTTTCTTCTTTTCCTATTGCACAGGTTATACTGTACTATATTATATTACTATATTATATGTGTAACTATAGGAATATACTAAATTATTGCTAATAAATAGTTAACTGGTCAACTTGCTTGCTTACTTTGATTAACTATTGTTTCATATACTATACAACATGCATAAATACACAACCAGTCTACATCTGGAAAAAAGGTATGTTAGTGAATCATGATAAAACAATATTTGATTTACATATATATAGTACATATTCAAGACATTCATGTACCAACTTTTACATGGAATAGATTACAAAATTAAACCCATTGTCTAGGATGCTTCAAAACATCCATCATTTCCTTTTCAGCAGCCTTTTCCTCACCAACAACCTCCTCATCCTCAGGCCCCGCATCAGTGCGAGTTCCCGAGACGGGGTCCATGTATGCCCATGACGCGGTCCGAGGGAGACTCATAAGAATACTCTCGATCCGGGCGTTGGGTGTCCTCAATCCGAAGCTGGTTCCGCGGTCGTAAACCAGGTTGAACTCAACATAGCGGCCACGGCGAAGCTGCTGCCACTCCTTCTGGGCTGGGGTAAAGGGCATATCCTTGCGGCGTTCAATGATGGGGACATAAGAAGGGAGGAAAGACGCGAGGCCGTCTGAGACAAAGGAGAAGAGGGTCTCCTGTGGGTTCTGGGAAGAGGTGGAGGAGGATTCGAGGAAGCTGGCGTCAAGATCATCGAAGAAGATACCACCGATGCCGCGGCATTCACGACGGTGTGGGAGGTAGAAGTACTTGTCGCACCATTGTTTAAATTTGGGGTAGTAGGTTGCGTCGTGGCGGTCACAGGCGTCTTTGATGGTTTGGTGGAAGTGTTTGGCGTCCTCGGGGAAGAGGTAGCAGGGAGTAAGATCTGTGCCACCGCCGAACCACCAGTTTTTGTCGCCGTTAATGGGGTCCTTGGGGTCGGAGGTCTCGAAGTAGCGATAGTTGAGGTGGACTGTGGGGGCCATGGGGTTATGAGGGTGTAGGACGAGAGAAAGGCCTGCAGCAAAGAAGTTTAGGGAGTCTACGTCGGCCCCGACGAAAGACTTGTGGTCTGCACGCATCTTCTCGATGGCGGGGCGGGGAAGGTCTCCGTAAACAATGGAGACGTTGACTCCTGCCTTTTCGAAGACATTGCCGTCCTGGAGGACGCAAGAGATGCCACCTCCTCCATTGGGTCGGGACCAGCTATCAACCTTGAATTGCTTGCCATCTATGCGGCCCAGTTCCTCGATGATCTTCTGTTGGTGTTCTTTAATCAACTTTTCCATTCGCAATCGCATGGGGGAAGTTTCGCTAATGGCGGCTTGTTTCTTGAGGGTTTCGTCGAGCTCCACGATCGACGGGGAGTCGAGTTCGGTGACTTCTCCGGTCATCTAAACCACGCGCTCTTAGACAAGTCTTTAAGTAGAGTAGAGGTTGGGGGTACCATTGAGTATATGAGAGCTCCGATGAATGGAATACCAATGGCTAGTCGTAGATACGGCCGCCACACAGTAAAGGACTCTTTTTCAGAAGCTGGCTGTTCAGAGTAGTATCTGCGAAACTGTCCCTGGACGTTGCGAGGTATGCGACAGGTTCGAGGTGAAAACTGACGGAGGGACCTGCGAAGAGGCATACTATATGCACGAGGTAGAGCCATGATTAAGCGCAACGTGAGCAATTCGCTGATCTGCCGAGAAAATCAGGTGATTCTCGGACAGTGCGAACCGATTCTCGTTTTTTTTTCCCCCCCGACAAAATGGGACCACCTTTGAAGAACAAGCGGCAAGAGAGGTTTCAGGCGAGGTAATTGAAATGTATGGGACCACCAGCGGCGTCAGATATCCGGAAGAAGACCGGAGTGCAATATTGTTTGTGCTGTTTGCATTCTACTAACCTGAGGCAGCGTTTGTCTTGTTTGCATCAGCTAACAACTTATCATGACTCCTTGAATATCAACACGAGCCTCGAGGAAGGCTTAGTCTGCAGGATGAGGCTTAAAGTGAGTCAGATCGAGACGGAAAATAGATAACTATGATAGAACTTTAGTCTCTTCGATTCTAGTCCTGCAGGAACTGGATCACCTCGAGATCTGGAACAGTTCGTTTAGCCGCAGATTAAGTGGAGGCTCCTCCATACTCCATACTCCATAGTCCATGTCCATCTCGTCCCGGAGGCGTAGATGACGAATTGTTATCACCAGACCCTGATCGTCGCTTCCAAACACGAAATCTCGGGCCTCTTGATACCCCAGAAATGACATGAATTCCGTCTATGGATAATGTCTGACTTGGCTGCCTGACTGGACCTCTAGCACATGACCGTGACTCACGTGTGGGCCGTTCACCGCCTCCCTGGACTAGGTACCCTTATCTCGTCACAACCTGCTCCTTAGTAACATGACGCGGGGCTTGTCGCCTTCAACTCTCTCTCCATCTCCCTTTTGTCATCATCATCCTTTCATCTTCTTCCTTACCTCCATCCCGTTTCCATCATCCTCATAGTCCTCTGCATCTATCAGTTAGCCATCTCCTTCACTATTTTATTATATTCCCTCTCTCCACCTGCTTGACCTTGTCTTATCTGCCTTATCCATAACCCCAACTTCTTCAACTATGCGTTCCAAGTTCAAGGACGAACACCCTTTCGAGAAGCGCAAGGCTGAGGCCGAGCGTATTCGCCAGAAGTATGCTGATCGTATTCCGGTATGGTTTCTTCTTCTTTTTTCTTTCTTTCTTTTCATCCTCTTGAGAGGAATATGATCTCTTGACTCCTGGGGCGACCAGAGTCCCGCTCACCGCCTGTTTAGGATGCTAACGGAACCTTTGTTCACAGGTGATCTGCGAGAAGGTCGAGAAGTCAGATATCGCTACCATCGACAAGAAGAAGTACCTGGTACCTGCAGATCTCACGGTCGGACAGTTCATGTACGTTATCCGTAAGCGGATCAAGCTGTCCCCCGAGAAAGCCATCTTCATCTTCGTCGACGAAGTGCTGCCGCCCACGGCTGCTTTGATGAGTAGTATCTACGAAGAGCACAAAGATGAGGACGGTTTCTTGTACATCACGTATGCTCTATACTCTCCCCTATTTCTCCTGCGGATGGATGCTGACTGCTGTGGCCTAGATACTCCGGCGAGAACACATTCGGCGACTGCTAAACCTGAATCACCGTTCCTTTCATCAATATAATCGTCCGCACCGTCAAGACGTCTCGTTCTGCAAGGATCTTGCATCGGATCCGAGTTCCAAGCTCGATCGATCCCGGGACGAGGCCAAGGGCAGGTTAGACCTTGCGGTGAATTCATGTACGGCAGGCGTTATACTAGGAGTTATGTATTTTGCTACGTGAGCTTTCTTTTTGGCGAACTTCTTTCGTATTCTGATGAGTGAAATGGCATTACTTTCGATGAATTTTGTTTTGTGTTGTACTGGTTGGGAGAGCGGGCTGTGGCATCGCCTGTAGATGAGCTGCCCTGAGCAAACATGTGGCTTAGATGAGGGTTTTTGATATGTAGTATCAACATATATTAGGATCTTAGAACTACATAAGTACAGAATCTACACATTCATCCGGATTCCAAGTCCGAGCTCCGACCAGGAATTACCTAATCAGGCACTCCGAAAAGTCCCCGGGATGCGGCGCCCAAACAGGACTAGCGCTCTGCCAAAATCTTTTGATTGGAGACTGCGATCTCGCTCTCTCTTTCTTACATCTCTTCCTCGGCCGGTGTCTGGAACTTGCGTCTTTTTTCCCTTCGTTGTTGCTGCGATATTTATTTGCACCGCTTTGGGCGTGGATCTATCTCTGTTTTCTTCTTCGGTCATTTCCCTTTCCTCTCCTCCTTTATATTGCCTCCGTTTCTCTGCGAGAAGAAGAAATTTTGAATCGTACGACCTTTTTTTTTTTTCTTGGTTCACCCAACGCGATAAGAAAGAAAATTCAAAATGTCTCCCGCTCTTGGTCATGCCAGTGCTGGCCCAGCGTCCAAGGATGTTAAGAGAGAATCCGCGACTGCTCGTCTCTTGGGTTCAGGTATGCTTTTGTTTTGATTCTGGGAGGGATCTCTCCCCTCGTGCGACTATGACTAACAGGTACCAGGAACCGCCGGTATTGCGGAGCTCCTTGTTTTCCACCCCGTACGAACTATCCAATTCCATTATCTCTAGGGCCTCTACCGTTGTTGAAGTTATACTAACTGGGCTTCAAGGTTGATACCACCGCGAAGCGCTTGATGAGCAACCAGACCCGGGTAAGTCCCGCAGTTGGGCATATGGGAGAGGAGCCGTTGGACTGATAGTATTTTCTGCTAGATCACATCCGCTGCCGGCTTCAACCAGGTCGTTTTCAAGGAGTACGCCAATGCAACCGTCGGACGCAAGTTTACCTCTCTCTTCCCTGGTCTGGGATACGCTGCGGGCTACAAGGTAGGTGCAGGACAGGAGCAGTAGCCGCACCATGCCATTGGCTAACAAATACCTCAAGGTTCTCCAACGTATCTACAAGTATGGTGGTCAGCCATTTGCTCGTGACTACCTGGCCCTGCACTACGGTACCGAGTTTGACAATGCTTTTGGAAAGGGTACCGGAAAGGCTATCATGCACGCGACAGCAGGAAGGTTCGTATCTCGGGCGGAACGGCGGAACTTTCGGACTTTATGCTGACTACATGGATAAGTTTGATTGGTATCGGAGAAATCGTCCTGCTTCCTCTGGATGTGCTGAAGATCAAGCGTCAGACCAACCCCGAGGCCTTCCGGGGCCGTGGGCTGTTCAAGATTATCTCCGATGAGGGTATGGGACTGTATCGTGGCGCTGGCTGGACTGCGGCTCGTAACGCCCCTGGATCTTTTGCTGTATGTTTGACATGACCTGTTGTTGCCTGGGGCAGATACTAATTATCACAAGCTCTTCGGTGGATCTGCTTTCGCCAAGGAATACATCTACGACCTGACGGACTACAACACCGCCTCCTGGTCCCAGAACTTCGTGGCCTCCGTCTGCGGTGCCAGCGCGTCGCTGATTGTGTCGGCTCCTCTTGATGTGATCAAGACCCGTATCCAGAACCGCAACTTTGAGAACCCCGAGTCGGGCTTCCGCATTGTCTCCAACATGATGAAGAACGAGGGTTTCGCCAGCTTCTTCAAGGGCCTGACGCCCAAGCTGCTGATGACTGGCCCCAAGCTTGTTTTCAGCTTCTGGCTGGCTCAGACGTTGATTCCTGCCTTTGGCCAGGTTGTGTAAGGCAAATCAAAAACCAAAATATGCGAAAACAACGGTATATGATATATGGATTTAATAGCCTTTTTTCTTCTTTGTATTTGATAGACAGATTTTATCTCTCCTTATGGGCGGGATCTTTAGGTTTGGGTGAATCAACATTTAATCTCTACTCATTTTTCTAGAAGCCATGTATATTATTAGTCAGACGAGGCGGTGGAAGCCTTTTTAAAATTCTACCAAGTGATCTTATTCCAAACACCTTACATCCATCAGTACCTACAAATATAAGTCCAATTTAATTCCCCACCTCTATCCAATCGTATAATTCTACCATATTCAAGACCCAAAAGAAATATCGAAAGATTGAAAGATGGCTGTCTACCTAATATCCAAGTAAGTGTGATATCCCATCTCATCTCATCCCCAATCACGCTTTGTCTCCAAGCCACACTGTATATTGTTAAATAAATCGATGAACCATTCTAATCAAACCCCTTCCCCCCCTTTCTTTAAATCCAGAATCGCGGACCCCCTGTTCGCATTGACCATTGGGGCATCTGCAGCTCTGCTTCGAATCCGGCGCGACCAGCAGGAGAGGTTCCCTGAGCGGGCCGGCGAGATCACGGTGGGAAGTGTTTTGGTTCAGGCGGGTGGGAGGTTGAAGAGGTGGTGGGATGGAGATTTTCAGACTCTTTGATTAGTTTTGTTTTTCTTTTTCTAGTTATTTCTTTGGTTGTTAAGGGTTGGTTTGATCTGCTTGTATCCGTACATACTTACATATATTTATAAGGTATAACTATATATATATATGCACTCACTAGGTACTACATACAGTAGATGGCAGTGCCCAAGTCTACCTAGGTACTATCTACTAGTTAGTACTAGTAGTTGGTAACTAGATGATAGTACTAACCTTGGTCAGGATATATATTTACCTAGGTAACAGAACTGGAATACACTGTGCTCAATTTTTTTTGCGTCTCATCTTGACAGACACTCTTCCCTACTGATCCCAACCCAAATTTGCTAATAGTGATGTTGTATTAATGCGAGGAAGAAAAATATTCTAAGCAAGTTCTAGGAACAACTTCCACAGCAGAGGTAGGTATCCCCCCCCCCCCGGTTATTGAGCCGCGCTCTCCAAGGATTGCTGAGAGCTCTGGGGCCTCCAGATGTACCTTATACTTAGCAGAACACTCGCCAATTACCTTGAGATTAATTAAAATGGTCTTGTGTGATTTCCGGTAATATAAAATATTATAAGGACCGCAGTCTCCAACCCATATACTAATTTCATGGAAGATAGTAATAGCCTTCCCTAATTTCTCTCTATATAATCTTAATTTCCATATGGTGTATTTCTGGCAGGACTACTATAAGTAGCTCCCCTTTAACCCAAAGACAAAATAAGTATATAGCCACGGGAGAGGGCGGAGGAGCAGGTGACCTGCCCATACGCAATAAGCGCAGCAAAGAAAGGATAGCCAGGGGCAAATGCTATCCCCACCTTTAATTGATCAAAATCAAACAGTTCGTGATATTGCGGGTCATTAGAAGCAATGGCACAAATACCTAGCAGGCATTCTCTAACTGAGGGTTGCTGTGCATCCCGTAGAATGTAGAATCGGATTAGAGAGCTCGAAACGATATGTACATAATCGGCTACCCTCCGTACAAACATGGTGGCATTATACATAGATCGATAGGACCCCGGTCCCGTGTTTAACCTCGTTGTTGCTCCTCATATGCGAGACAAGTTGACCTACAAACACGGAAATGTCAGCGATGCAATTAAGCCTTTTTGTTGGTTATGTACACACTTACCGACGTGATTTTCAAGATTTGACCCGACTAAACATCGATGATGTAACAGGATAGCGCTCTAGCTCGAACGTCCAGAAAGGTTTCCAACTCGAGAACAGAGATGCAATGCAGCTTACTGCGTGATGGCTGTTGCGTGCTCAAGCCGTTCAAGACAATAACATGAGGTATGGTCCTTGGTGACTGCCTAACCGATTGTATATCGCCAAATGTGGTGGTTGCAAACAGGGTCGCAAACGTTACGGAAACCTCTCGTTTTCCCGTACATCGGTCTGTTAGGTCGAAGAGACGCAATGCTGCTTCTACCGCTTGAAAAAAATGGTTCCCACGGGATGCATCAAGTTTGCTGAGAGGCGTTCTGGGGAAACAGATAGACTCTGTGACTGCTACCCCTCCTCGTGAGTTCAGACGCTTCAGGCGGATCTTGAATCCGGATCCAGAACCAGAGACAAAAGGTCACTTAGCACGGTCGTCGAGGACGTAAAGAGGAGATACTCCAAGAGAGGGTCGGTTTTTTTTTTTTTTAATTTCCCAGAGTAGTGCTGTGGAGGTGAGGAGAGGAGGTCAATTCAACATTGAAGTAGCTATTAAATACTGGCAGAGTAGGAGAGGAGATTAATAGCGAACTCGACTCTTATTCCTCTTGAGAACCTACATATTCTGGGGTGGTTAACTACTAGTAGTTACATCGTATATTAAAATAAACCTGATTCTCTACTACTTTATGGAATGGAAGTTGGCCAATATCTGTGCCCACCTACTGAACATAACCAGGAGGCATTCGCTTTCACTGGTTGACAGCCTAAATCCATAGACATGGAATCAGCACATTTAAGTATTTTCTCAAACGCCATCTATTTCCCCCTTATACGATGCCTTGGTTAAAAAAAAAAAAAAAAGAAGACTACGTGGTGCGAGATGACTTTTCCCGATCAGCTGGCCCAACTGATTGATTTCCATGGGACAATACTCTCTTCCTTGATGTGGGTAGCTGAGCCAGCTCATCCGTAGATGTGTCCGAATCCTGGAAGTCGGTTCCAGCAGCATAGGGCAACAAGTGCGGCAGCGTCGGTGCAATAGCATTCGCCGTTGAGATGAGGTGATCGCGATGTTCTTTAGCCCAGTCTCGAGCATTTCGAAAAGCTTGCACACCTTGACGAAAGGTCTCGCAGGTATCCTTCAATGAGTATGACCTCAACAGGGTCATCTGATAATCTGTTTCTCTCGCTGGGTGTGCAGACTTCAAGGGATGCACGGTATACAGTTGAAGATGGCCGCAGTGGTAAAGCGAAGTGATGGTATAAGCATTGTTATCATACGTTGCTTCCCTACCGAATCCTTGAAGAGTATGCATTGCACGGGCACCAACGGCCCCGTTATACAAGGCTTGCCGCTCACCCACTGCATGAGACCCATCTGGCCCTTTACCCTCACAGAAGAAGTTGGGTGCTATGGGGAGATGTTCTTGAGTTGAAGGAATAATAGAAGAGCTGAGTAGTTGGCGAATCTTCTTGTCGCAGTCTGCTACAAGAGATCCATCATAAAAGTCCGGTTTTGCCGAAACAACCCCATCAGCCAGCGGCTCCAAATTTCCAAAAAGTTTATCTTCTCCAAATGGAATGTCTGCCGAACCTCGAACAATTGGGAAAACATTGCTCATCACAGTCTTCTCACTCCTGGCGTCATGGTTTCTTTGTACAAAATCGTCGAAGATTTCGTCGTCAAACTGGGAGATTGATTCCCTTCGCCTCTCCAGCCTGTTTGTAATAACATCCAGATTCTTCGGTCGCCGATCACGATGTCCGGGATATCCGACAGGATAAATCCCAACATCAATAAGTGCTTGTTCAAAGTTGGCGTCATACGCCGATGAGTGTTTTTCAGATGCTGTGCGTAGCGAAGAATGTGGTGTATAAGCCTGTTTTGGTGGTCCATTTGATTGGCGATAACCTGACCTCGATCGTCCTCTTCGCGCCAGAGGGTGTTGATACTAGAGATATGTTAGAGAGGCATAACTCATCATTAGGGAGACATTACCCCAATCAGTTCGCGAAGATCAGGTCCTCCGAGTCTGGAGAAGCGTTTCAGGCGAGCTAGTTCATCTCGAGAGGACGGGCTGGATAAGGGTTGGGTTGTCAGTTTGGGAGAGGGACTGGAATTTGATGATCGTCTGTTAAGCTCATCTAGTGCGCGTTTTGTGAGCTGGATCCTCGAGAGCTGAACCCAAAATGTTGTCTGATAAGGAGGTGCGGGTTTGAGACCCAACTGTGATTGCTTGCGTGGCTGCGAAATCTGTTCCTCTGAAAAGGAGGCTTCCGTGGAAGTCCGTTTCTTCCCAAGGTGCAATGGCATTCGCAGTTGTTATGAGATGGTCGCGATGTTCTTTAGCCCAGTCTCGAGCTTTTCGAAAAGCCTGCAAACCTCGACGAAAGGTCTCGCAGGTATCCTTCATGACTATGGCCTCAGCAGGGTCCATTGAGGGGGAAGTGAGACTCTCCAGGCTAAAGGCGTGATGGAAAATGAGTTACTAGGATGTTGACCTTGTTTTGGGCCCCACCATTTGACTAGGAGGGCAGGGGCTTGGATGGCACGTCAGTAATCAAAAATCCGTGCGTAGGCGACCACCTGCTTGTGATTGAGGAGAGCTGGAATATTAGTAGCAGAACATGTCTTAAAAAAAGGGAATGAACTTGATTAAAATATTTGTGTAAGAATTGGAAGACTGTACTAGAGAGTTCTAGTGACTCAAGTCTACTGGGCTTCACGTACAGGCTGGTTCGTGATAGTTGAGGTGCAAGGGACGACGAGGAATAAGGCCTGGCCTCCTAATTAACTATTGATGCCCCAGGCATAAGTATTGGGTTGTTGTCAGAATTAGACTATCTCTAATTAGGAAAGGTGTGCTAGTTGCCTGGGAAGTTGCAAAGATAGCGGCAATCATCAAATGCTGTATACATTAGCAAATGGCCAATTTCGGACATCAACACCTCGTAAACGGTCAAAAGTTTTACCTGCCAATGATCTGATTGTATAAGGTTCACCATTCCGCTCAGAGCAGCTCTGCACCATCACGTCAAGAAAGCTCCTTGCAGGATATCCTCTTGAATAGCGCTTCTGCCAAGCACCATGGCCCAAAATGAGCTCGCAGCACGAGGGAGATTTCACCAACATTTGATTGACTGTACATTTACCTATCTTGATCTGTTCACACGCTGGTAGTGAAATATAAAGGCTAGGAAAAGAGATGAATGGATTAAATAAAATAGGTAGTTAACTGGTGTGGGTTATATAGATCAAAAATAAAGTTGTGGGGGTCAGTGTTAGAAAAGTGGGGTAACCCAATCATACCAAGCATACGGAGTACTCGGTGTACTTACCACTCTGTATCTAAAGGATAAACACAACGCGTTTTTAATAGCAAGGCTTGCTGACTAGTTCCCTGAGTTAACTAACCTTTCTAGATTTATTTATGAAACTCAACTAAATAGGCAGTCAAAGACCCAGAATGCTGGCTTGAAACGCCGCCCAGTATTGGTCCCTAGTCCAGTCAACCAGTTTCTGAAGGGATATGTTGGAGTGCTGGATTCAGCGAATACAAACAGCACTGCCATTAAGCGAATAGCGACACGTGACTACTCTGTGTATTTAGGCCACCGTTTTCTTCCAGATCTCCATGCTTCTTCCAAGCATCTCCATCTCTCCATCTCCATCTATCTCCTAGTTAGACCTGATGCAATTCATTTTGGTCGACTTTCTACTGTCATAATTTGACAAACCTCTCATCAGGTTCTTTGGAAGGATCCCAAAGCCACCATCGATCTTCTCCAATTCCGCGGTCAAAGCATCAAGTAATCTCTCGGTTTCGTGTCACTGCGGAGGTTCGCCCTCAGAAATCCGGTATCCTCTGGTCGGGAGTCTCGCGTGCGGTTGGTCTGGTTCCTGCGGCGCGTTGGCGGCATGTTTGACAGTCTCGATAGCAAAGGTATAGACCCTAAGCTAGATTGAGTTTGATGTCCAGGACTGAAGATAGAGCAGCACAAGCACTAATCTACAGGTAAAAAAAAAAGAAAAGAAAAGAAAGAAAAAACATACAACAGTCAGGATTCGCATGTGGTCACCCACCATACTACTAACTGACCGGCAAGTGGCTTAAGTACGGCTGAGCGGACGGGAAGCCCTGTTCTCCACTTCCTATGGTCGTATGTACGAGAACCCTTTTAGGAGTGGGATATATAGTGAAGAGTTGAGCAAACCAGTTATCTACCTGCTAACACATATTATAGCTAACTATACTGCATACCAAATTGCACTATAGCCCTTAATACATTTATGAGCCAAGTACCAGGAAAGGGCTAAAGGTGCCATATTTCATTACGCTTAATAGCTCACATCCTCAGAAGCGCTCTACTAACAATAAGCTCACTAGTGAATCAGATAAGGCTAGCAACAGAAAGAAGAGCGAGAAACACACAAACTAAGCTAGAAACGCAAACACCTCGTCCTCCACGCGATCAAGATCGAACTTGTCCGGGTGCATCAGCCAGTTATAAGCCAAGATTCCAATAAGCCAGCCCTGTGCATCGTTGAAGTGGATACCAACATGGCCTGCAGTCGGGGGGTTCATTAAACACGACAGCTTGTGGTCCCGGTGAAACCTCTCCGCCACGGGCACCACGACGTCTTCTTCGTGGTCCGCCAGTGCTTGATCGGCTATTTCCACGTCGACTACATCTGTGATCAGACCCTGCTTGGTCAGATGTTCCAGCAACCGGCCAACCCGTTGCATCTGGGCTGCCTGCCAGGCAATAGTAGCTATCACCTGGTCTTGCAAATCCGGAGGCCCACGACCTTCAAGAGCGTACTGACAGGCAGTTGCAAGGGTGCAATAGTCGAGCGCACTCTTTAGCGGCCCGAGGTCTTTCAGGTAGTTCTCTATAACGATAGCTTTCATGTCGATACCGGTGCTATCTTCCACCGGGCTGTCTCCCGCTAACGCCTGCGCTGGTTCTTGGTCTAGACTCATCCTGCGACGAATTCTTCTCCAAAAAGTCCGGGCAGAGGTCCGTGATTGAAGAAGTGCCTCATGACGATCCTGAGCAGAAGCCACATTCGTGATCGCAGTCGCAATTTTTGGTGAGAGGATGAAGTGCGAGATATTGTGGGACAGAAGAGCGCGGGCGGAGGGGATCACCAGCGGTGTAGAGGTTTTCTGGTCAGGCCCAACATGGAGCATCTCGTCGACTATTCGACTGCGATGCTGAGAGATTCTTCCCTCGGGGTGGGTGGTAAGCTCCTCCACAAACGCCGCTCCGAATAAAGAGCACCGGTTTCGGCCGGAGCCCGAGGTATAGGTCCAGGACTGCTCGCCGAGGGTGGCTGCTGTCTCGACAAGCACATCTCGCTGGGCGCCTACATCGGGGGCTATCGTGGCCCACGTGCCGGAGTAACAAGCCTCGTTGACGATTAGGAGGCGCACGTTAGGCGGCAAGACAGAGAGAGCGGCAATCATCTCGGCTTTGGACAGAAACTCCTGTTGTGCGTGCTGAGGATATAGCGTGACAGCGCCATCTCTCTTGATACCATGCCCGATCAGAACGATTGTAATGCGATCGCCAGGGCCTACCTGACCGGAGATATTTCTGATCCAGTCCATGATGTGTGATTTGAGGCCGTGGGCCTCTAGTCGATAGAATGGCCTTATGGCCTCCTGGCTGTCGTAAATCGGGACCCTCTCTCGCAAGTCCTCTCTCCCGAACAGAAACGGCCCGGACAAATTTGTGATATCAAGAAGATGGGTTCCTGAGAGACATGTTGGATGCACCCCGTCTGCCATGAACTTCTTCGCGATCATCACAAAGTCTGTTGCCAGGGCCGTGTCAAACACCCTGCCTCCAAAGACTACCAGCGCGAAGGTGTGGAATGTAGGCTCAGGCATTTTTGAATAGGTGAACAGCTCTATATTTGAATAGGTGAATAGCTCTGTATTTGAATAGTGACCAGCAGTGACATCAAGATGACCGAGATGCGGAAGGTGGCTGCCGGGAGGCGGCCATGGAAGGAAAGCAGTGGCCTCAGGATGGAGGAATATTATGATGGATGTCAAATTGATAACGAAATAGATTCATTTTGGCAAGAAAGTAATAGAGAATGAGTTGCTTAAGATATATGAAGCTGTCGAATAAATTAATGAAATAAACACTGTGGCCTACGTGTTGCTAAGCTGTGTTTGCAGCATCCAGTATAGGTAGGCATCCAGAAGGTTCCAACATCCCAACATATTCTGATCCTTCTCTTTTGGCTACTACCGTCTAAAATCAAATCTAATTTATCTAGAGAGCGATACTTTTCTTTAAGATCTATTATTATTTCTCCCTAAGTAATATGTATCTCTATAATAGATAAAGATCTCAATCATACATGTACGCTGTTTGATAATTATTAAATAATATATGAAAGTCCCCCTCAAACACCCGTGGTATGACCCGTACACCATGCTGAGTTCTACGCGCGCTGGCGGTTCGGAAGAACTATGGCCCGCAGGGCCATCTTTTCCGTGCTGTAGAACCTGGGGATATTGGTTAACCTGTTAGCTATGGAGATTCCTATATTATCTACTTTTATAAGCTATTACCATACTAATACCTACTTGAATACCTACTTGAATGCCTGCTTCAATACCTGCTTCAATGCCTACTTGAATGCCTGCTTCGATGCCTGCTTGAATGCCTACTTGAATGCCCACTTGAATGCCCACTTGAATGCCTACTTAAATGCCTGCTTTATTGCCTGCTAATACCTCCTTTAATATCTACTTTAATACCTATTTTAATTCTAACTTCCATACTTACATTAATATAGTAGCTATCATACTAATATGCAAGCCGCCGAGTGTAGCGAGGATTTAAGGCTAGTAGGTCATATAAGGCGCCATTTAAGGCTAATCATGCTTTATGTGAGTATTATAATAATCAGAAAGGAAACTATTCCATACAGAGCAGGTGAGATCTCTCAGATGCTACGCATGGGTTAGGGTGATGAGAATATAAGCAAGCTTAAGCAATAGCTAGAACTGCTGCTGTAGGTTTCAAAGTTCCATGGACAAAATCCGTCGCCTGGGAATTATCCATCAAGACATCAGACCAGAGAATATTCTATGGAACGCTGAATTAGATTGAGCTCTACCCTGAAACATCAGCCAGTAGAAAAGTACAGGGTGAGATTTAAAAGGTCACTATACTATATAGTATAGAGCTCTAGTTAAATACAAAGGCGAGCTGGTACACATAACTGGATTGACTTAATATAGTCTGCTAGTGGGGGTTTAATAGCTAGATAACTACCCAATAAAAGATAGTTATAAGGTAAGATTACTAGTAAGCAAGAGCCTCTATGAACTACTGGATGGACAGTGACATTGTCAATGTAGGTGTAAGAGCATGCGATTCGGGCAACATGTCTAAACCATTGGACCAAAAGGTCACTATGATCAGACCTGATGTCTGATCTGCCCGAATCCCACCTTATATACCTAGTAATCATTGCCTTGGCACCAGTGCACCTAGTGCACGCCGTGACAGTAGGGCCTTCTTGATTTTTGTTCACAAAGATAAATTTGCTATGCATAGTCAACATAATCTACAGGTAAAAAAAAAAAGAAATGAACAAAACATACAACAGTCAGGATTCGCATGTGGTCACCCACCATACTACTAACTGACCGGCAAGTGGCTTGAGTACGGCTGAGCGGACGGGAAGCCCTATTTTCCACTTCCTATGGTCGTATGTACTGGACACACAAAATCTTTGACTGGTAAGGAGCTAATTAAGAAGTAAGTAGTAACATCATATGTACTTCGTAGCTTTCTATCGATTACTTGTAGAGTCCAGTGTAGTTTTGAGGTCCTATTAGAGCTTGAGTGAAACACTGTACAGCCTTTTCAACCAACTAGAAGTCATCATCCTCGAGTGAAGAGACCAGATATATACAAGACCACAATTTCAGAAGCTTCCCCTTCTAGTTGCAAATCATACAGAGGCAGTCAGTAGTTCGCTCTGCTTGCTCTATAAATGTCTTGCTCGGAAAAAGCATATACCAAGAACTGTTGCAGAGGAAAGTATGGCTGGTGTAGTGGTTAGTGAACAAGGTATGGAAGTATAAGATTAGGTAGTACCTGGACATGGTAAAAGCTTTTCTGAGCACCTTTAAAACTGTTATCACGCGCATATCAGCCTTGTAATAGAGTTGCAGAATCTCCGCCTGTCTTGCTATATTTTTTTTCACGATGATAAGCCTGTCCACGCCAGGAACATCCACATGGGTTACCTGATACCAAAACCAACAAGTTAATTTGAATTTGCAGCTTTCTGATACGACACTTTAGAGCTATTCAGGGCTCTCAACTATGGCTAGTGATGTTTGTCCGACAACCAAGCAGACAAGCTATGTCCGACATACATGATCGATAGCGCTCTGGTTACAAAAGCCGCTTTCTGCGGGCAGAGGAGAGGTGGAAGCAGGAAGAAGAGAGGAATAAGCAGGCATAGGATGAAGGGAGGCGAGAAAAAGCCAAACGGGAGCAAGTTGATGCATGATAAAAGCAAGCCGAAGAGCACCCCCATCATCCTTTTCTTCTTCGCAGACAATTTCGGGAATCATCAACTATCATCTACGACGCTCGGTCATTACTGATATGAGGTTGTCAACGTGTATATCGACCTTTCCATTTTCAGAACCATTTCTTATTCGGCGAGAAACTTCGATGTTGAGAGCTATATTTGACAATGTGCCTCCCCTAGGATCTAACATCACACTATATCCCAAGCGTCCAAAATCAGGTGGTCCTTTCAGTATCATCATTCTTTGAGTATCATCCCAATACCCCTATCAACCAGTTCCAGGAAAGCAAGCGATACGGATGGGCATGGTATAGCAGACTTCATAGAAATCTGGGACTCACAGTTCAACTCCCAGGAAGTGGCCGAGACGGAGGTAATAAAATAAACCAGAGGCGCTTCATTGGGACAGTTGGGGTTATCGTCGCTATGATTTCCGGTGGTCTCATTCTGCTTATTGTTGAGAGCAGCAGGTAGCTCTTTTTGGGGCTTGCCAGGACAGTTATGAATCCCACCAGTATCCTTGAGCCATTGACCGCAGGCAGGGCATCAATAAGCCATGATGTTTGCGGATGTTGTATGTTCGAAATACAGTGGTTTGATTAAAGTATTTGAATGATTTCTTTAATCCTGACAGTTATAAGTTCAAAGCAAAAGGGACGCAAATATGCTCTTTTTATATATAGTGAGTGACAACTCTGCCTTAGGTTCAATCCCACATGACTTATCATAGTGAGACTTTACTTTCTAGTTGTCTCATGAAAACAAAACATCTAAATCACCTAGAAAACAAACTCTAGCAGGGCATTACACTGCAGGATACTAGTTATGATCAGGTAGCCTATAGAATGTCAAGAAACTACTTAAATGTGTTACTGCTATTTAATTCTACACGGCCCCATCTCCTGTTAGAATCTATAGATATATTTCTTATAGCATAAAGAATTCTATAATACCCTAGTTAAAATAAATCTCATAAACCAGACTGAGATTTACAAGCTGTTATATGTCTGCACCCTCCTTGCTGAGAGCATCACCCTCTTCCCACACAACACAATCTTCCTATCCCTATTCTCCTGGAACGAGTCCTGATTCTGTATTAAAGAGCAGACAGTTTGTTAAGACCTCCCAATCTGAGATGAATCTGTCTGTTGCACCATCTAGCGGATCACACTCTATGGTAATGGCTTTTTGGTAGGTCTCGAACATGCAGAACTGCGGGATTTCATGTGTTTTACAGGACTGTGCCCAGGCCTCAGGTGGCTACATAGGGCTTTTTGTCTCATGCATCCCCTCCAACACACATTGCCTTTTTCAGGCAGTTCACGGCTGAGTTATTATTGCTAATGCTGTAGAGTACCGGGAGGATGCTTCTGCGAGGAACTGAGTGGCGTCAATGTTGACGCACCTGGTCTTTGTTATTCTACAGTATCAGTGTTGGTAAGTGTCCAGTGATATGAGATATCCCATCTTTTCTTTCAATTCGCACGCTATTTTTTTTTTTTTACCAGAGGTGAGTTGTGGGCAAACAGGTTGCAATATTGAAGTCTTAATATCAAATATAAAGTCTATAATAGCTTTAATACTTGGTATACCACCCATTTGCCTTGATTACTGCCCTCCACCCTGCGAGGCATCCTTGCCGAAATATTTCTTTGGATATCTTTGCCAATATTAGTCCAAGATGCCTTTCATGCCTCCCAGAGACAATCCTCGTATGTCCCATTCAAACCAGCTGCCTCTTTAATGTCTGGGTCATGCGCATATACACCTTCCTTGAGGAGCCATGTTTCTTTACTTCAAAGTCTCACTCTAAACAGACCAATCTAGACCTATTGGACCCCTAGAATACTGCCCAAACCATGACTCTAGCATTCTTACGCTTCGTATAAAAAATACTGGTAATAGTCTGTAAGTTGGGGTCCTTGCTACACACGCTGGAGGCATTAATCCAAGCTTGCTAATTATGCACAGGATTCTAGGCTCAGCTCATCTGGGTATAATCTGTACAGAGTATCCCCGTTAAAAAATACTAAATTTGCTAGGTTGCTGCTGACATGAAGCACCTAAGTAATCCTAGGGGTAGCTCTCAATTGGTAGAACGTGATTATTAAATTGTATATAGATTAAAGTACGGAGGACTGTGGTCTGTATAATGCAGTTCCATGGCAACCATGCCATGTTTGACCACCCACCCAAAATATATATATTTCGCAACAACCAGTTATTCAAAAATCCTAAAAAAAAATTCCATAGAATAGTAAATTGATATTAAAGTCTAATTGTCAAAAAGAATAAAGTCTATAGTTACTAGCTCTAATACTTAGTATACCACCCATTTAGTTATACACGTTAAGTGGTTGGGGGCACATTTGCTATGCAACCTTTTTGCCTATTACTGTATATAATTATTATAATATATAGTTAGTTAGTTATTCTTGCTAGATCCTAACCCCAGGGGATTAGCCGCTTCGCTTATTAACTACAACACCGTGGACGAATACACTATCTCCCACATTAGGGATAGCCTCTATTTCGACAGAATAGGGGTAGACTCGGACAGTAATCCAATCAACAACCTCCTTCAACAGTTGCCCAGGGCTCACGTGTCAGAGAAATTGCTTAACACACGGCACACAAACTAGAGATAAGGAGAAATAACCCCTCCCTCCCAGAGTCCCACATTCTTGACACGGACAGTATCCGTACTCTGCATCAGTGCATCTCCCACCCTTCTCCACTACGATCATGGACCCATATGTAGCAGACCCAGAAAAAATCCCTACAACTGACCTGTACGCGGATTTGCCGTCCTTTGGTCGATACTACCCCAAACCTGATGACTTTCGCATTGAAATTCAGCATGTCAACTCCCGGACCCCAGAGTCACTGAGATACTGGGCCTCAGTTGTTGGACTCTGTACTGAAGAGAACCAAATCTGTCCTAGTGTCGATGGCACCCGCGCAGTATTTGTTCTAGGTAGCGTGATCGTGAAGTCAAACCATCTCCACGCACGGGACGAGGCTCAATGGACGGAAATCGACCGTTCATACGGCGATTCCAATGAGGTTCAGGCAATCGCCCTGGCAAAGACCGTTTTGAAAGATATCAAAGTCCCAGAAATCTACTTTGCAGGGGAGGTACGTACTCTTGCCACTCCTTTGTCGGCTCAATGACTCACGCCCACCCAGATCAATGGTTTGCCAGTGATCATCCAAGAAAGGCTCCCAGGTGTCGTATTGGGTGTTGCATGGCCTTATCTCTCAATAAAACAGAAGAACTTCCACAAGGAAGAAGCCAGAAAGATTATCCGTCAACTTTACACTATCAAGCCCCCAGAGAATCTTCGCGGTCGCTCTTACGTGGTGCCGGACCCCAACATACTTACTAACGGTCGACTTGATCCGCGAGAACCGGAAATCCTCTTTTCGAGCTCTGATCAGGATCCAGATATGAACTTCATGCATAACGATTTTAATGTATCTAACTGCATAGTGGACAAAGGCAAAATTGTGGGGCTGTTTGATTGGGAGATGGCTGGTTTTTTTGGCTGGAAGACCGCAGGAGAAGTCCACCATCGGATCAGATCCTTCCACCGAGAGGACTTCGTGGAAGCCAATCTTAGTGAGGAAAAGCTTCAGGATCTGGTGTTCTGGAATGATCTATATGATACGGAGCATTAAACCAGATGGGTTCCCAGATTTCATTCACCTCCACCACCAAGCAAACGCTTAGCGACATGTGTACTAAATTGAATTCAAATTCTTTTTACTGTTTATCATTACATATTTTACCAAGAACCCTCAGACTCTGCCAAGAGCTACAACTAACTAACTAACTAATTGTTTCCGCAAGTGCACGTAGAGTTTGGTTCACTAGCATATCCGATGACTGCCGCAGCATCGCCTCAATCAAACTGTTGCAAGATCCAATTGCGCAATTCAACAGCAACTAGAGCGTCCAAGCCCAGAACCAGTATTCCAACCAGTACGTTCTAGCTTTTTTTTTTTTTTTTTGGAACTACACGGCAGGTCCTGGGGACCAGTTCGGTCTGTTTTGTCCTCGGGCGTGGGTGCTGTGCTCGCTTTTCAAAAATCAGTAATACAACAGCTACAAAGATATTCCTCTTATGGAGATCAGGATGTACGTACATTTATCAAGAATCAACTTGCATCACCTTATTTATGAAGGCACTGACTGAAACAGTGAAAGTAATTCACAAAAACAAAAAACATACAACAGTCAGGATTCGCATGTGGTCACCCACCATACTACTAACTGACCGGCAAGTGGCTTAAGTACGGCTGAGCGGACGGGAAGCCCTGTTCTCCACTTCCTATGGTCGTATGTGGTTGGTAAATCAGATTTGAGATCAATATTCATGCCATACAATGTATGTTCTCAGGGTCAGAGGCTGGAAACTGAAATTAGACAAGATACTCAATTTAGAACCAGGAGGCATGGATTTATAAACAGTTATTCATCATACTAAGATCTCTCCCCTCTCCGAAATAGTCAGCCAGGAAGAATAACAGTATGGGGTAAAGCTTAACTCGCCGGTGTTTACATATTCTATAGAGTCTGCTGAAAAGATTCGAATAGCCACTATGGGAATCATTAGGTTCTCCATTGAAGTCTTTACCTCAACCAATAATTCTTTAATTGGGTTAAGGTTAGGTATATAAAGCAATGTAATTTATTTCAATGTTCATTAGGTAGGTTACTATGTATCAATCATTGAATTTAACCACATAAAATACCAAAACTATTCACACCATGACTTCTCCATTACAAATATACAACTCATAGGTTTCCCAAGGGCATAGTTTAGTTAGCAATAAAAAAAAACGAAAAAAAGAGTTTTAGAATATTATTTATGTTCCATGGTAGGTTGAAATTTAACCTATATCAGTCATATTCTTATTCATCGGAGTCCTTTTCCTGGGACCCAGGGAAACCTCTCTGGATCCATGAATCAGCATGCAATGCACAATGTACGAAGTCCTAGTATTTGTTAATCATTTCCCGACTCTAGTACCACTTTCGTCCTAATACCTATAGTCTTATGCGAGCGCCTTGGAAAGTGCCATTTTCGTACGCGCCGCCAGAAATAACCATCTCAGGCTGAGATAGGATGAACAGATGAACAAGGCAGGCTGGCGTACCTATACCAACCTACCAGTTGCCAATACTCTGTAGTTTACATTGAACAAACTAGTGGTGTTATATACAGCTGATCCTTCTGAATATCTACATACGACCATAGGAAGTGGAAAACAGGGCTTCCCGTCCGCTCAGCCGTACTTAAGCCACTTGCCGGTCAGTTAGTAGTATGGTGGGTGACCACATGCGAATCCTGACTGTTGTATGTTTTTTTTTACTTGTCAGGTTTAGCGCCTGTGCTGCTTTACATCATTTATTGGACTTCCTTCTGGTATGTTATGGATCTCCTGTTGACCAGGAAAATTCTCCCCCCCATTCCTCTCAGCCTCCGAGAAAGCCTTACGCATATCCATATCCATCATTGGGTGCTTCAGTAAACAGCATGAGCCAGCTTCGCGAGATACTACCCCTCCTATGCGCGGCTATTACAGGTCTGTGGTTGGTACCTAAATTGCAAGGCTGTGTGCATAAACAGCCTTATATATCTCTTTCACCCTCCAGCTTCCGGTATTCATATCCTCATCGTCTAGCCCTTGACACGGTAGAATCAATGTGGATCTTTATATTATAGTCACCTCTGCTATTCTTCACTGAAATGCGTCCCAAAAGCCGGAATGATTTCACGATCGCGATTATATGCGCCCTTCCTCTCGAGGCTGATGCCGTCGAAGCCTTTTTCGATGAAACCTATGATCGGTTGGGCAGATACTACAGCAAACAACCAGGCGATAGGAATGCATATATTAATGGCAGAATTGGCAGGCATCATGTGGTCCTGTGCTACTTGCCAGGCATGGGAAAGGGGAGCGCAGCCAGTGTTGCCTCAAGCCTACGAGTGAGCTATACTGGCGTCCATCTTGCTCTAGTGGTTGGTATATGTGGAGGGGTTCCATCAATATCAAACGATCAGAAGATATTTCTAGGCGATGTTATTATCAGCGATGCTGTGATCGAGTACGACTTTGGGCGACAATACTCTGGTGGTTTTCAACGAAAGACCGGTGTCAAGGAGACACTTGCCAGGCCAGATCAAGAAATTCGGAGCCTTCTTAATGGTCTTAGGGCTGATAAGACCAGCCGTGAAATTGAAAGCCAGATACTTGAGTATCTTCATGTGATTCAGCAAGGAGACAAAAAGTGGAACCATCCACAAATTGATGATATTCTTTTCAGAGCTTGTCACCTCCACAAGCATTACAATCATTCTATCGAATGCTGTTGTTTGCAGAGTGACTCTTTTGATAGCATTTGCGAAAACGCACTGAAGGAAAATTGCAATGATCTTGGATGTGATAACGAGGAAATCATACGTTGCCGAAAGCCTTCAGAAAATGCCCGAGTTTCAGCATATATTGGTACAGTCGCCTCTGCTGATACAGTGATGAAATCAGGACAACACCGCGATAGTATAAGTCAAAAAGAAGGCGTTATTGGCTTTGAGACGGTGGGAGCAGGGGTGTGGGATAATATTCCATGTATTATCATTAAGGGTGTGTGTGACTATGCAGACAGCCACAAGAACAATTTATGGCAAGCATATGCAGCAGCAACTGGAGCGGCAGCAGCAAAGGCTTTCCTGGAATACTGGAGGCCTTCTGGCCAAGAAGGTGAGTCTACTACCTACGTATTATTAAAGAATTGCCTAAACTATAGCAATATCTCATCTATTTTAGAAGATGCGAGCAACAAATGTCACTCAATGATCCCATTTGAGAGAAATCCGCGTTTTGTGGGCCGCCAGGAAGAAATCCGCATGCTAGAGGATCTCATCTCCAGGTCCAATGGACCAAAAAAACTTGCGATTACTGGATTAGGCGGCACTGGGAAAACCCAAGTAGTGCTTGAGCTTGCTTACCGCATGCAGGACAGAGATTCTGATTGTTCCATTTTTTGGATTCCCTGTACCAGCCACAAAGCTATTGAACAGGCATGCATGACCATCACACAAATGATAGGGATCCAGGATGCGAAGCCAGCAGAGGTGAAAGAGCATATCAAGGATTATTTCAGCCAAAAAGACAGGAAATGGCTTCTGATTTTCGACAACATTGACGATATGGATATGTGGACCAAGTGCAGCAGTACCTCCCCGCCACTAAAGGATTTTTTCCCTCACAATAACCAAGGTCATATTATCTTTACTACTCGCAATCGGAAGTTAGCTGTAAAACTAGCGTCTTCTGTTGTGATACATGTCCCCGAACTTGATGAAAAAACAGGTATAGAGCTTCTGAACAAATTATTAATTCAGAAAGACCTGCTTGACAACATCCATCCAGCAATCAATCTTCTTGAACAGCTTACTTTTCTCCCATTGGCTATTGCCCAAGCTGCAGCATATATCAACGAAAACGGTATAGGAGTGTCTGAATACTTGCTGCTTCTACAAGAACCAGAGGCAGATGTTATAGAGCTACTGAGTGAGAAGTTTTGTGATGATGGACGCTACAATGATATGCAAAACCCAGTAGCTATAACCTGGCTAATCTCGTTTCATCAGGTTCAGAAGCTTGACCAACTTGCTTCTGATTATCTATCACTTATGGCCTGCATTCATCCGCGCAATATACCACAATCCTTTCTCCCACCAGCAGCATCTAGAAAAAAGATGGTTGATGCTCTTGGCCTTCTGAATGCATATTCGTTTATTACAATCCAGCCTGAGAATGGCTTTATCACCCTCCATCGCTTGGTACGCCTGGCAACTCGAAATTGGATGATAAAGGAGGGACGGTTTCCACTCTATATTACTAAAGCAGCAGATCGAATGAACAAGATCTTCCCCCACGGTCCGCATGGCAATCGACAGCTTTGGAGGGAGTGCCTACCTCATGCACTGTCCTTCTCAGAAGAGAATGAGTTCAAAAAGAGACAAGAGCGGTATATTAACTGTATTTGGAAGATGGCGAGCTGTTTCGATCGTGGCGGGAGATATAATGAAGCAGAAGAGCTGCTTGTGCGGGTAATAAAGACCTGGAAACAGGTGCTCGGGCCAGAGCATCCTAACACTGTGACTAGCACGGGCAGTCTGGCATTGACATACCAGAGTCAAGAACAATGGAAGGAAGCCGAAGAGCTATTTCCGCAGGCGATAGAGACTCAGAAACCTGATACTCTGACTAGCATGGCCAACCTGGCCTGTACCCGGAAACCCCAAGGAAAAGACGAAGAAGCTTTAGAGTTGATGATGGAGAGCTGCTCAGTGGCTGTATAACACAGTACGTACTGGGGCCGGATCACCTACTAGCCCTATCTATCCTGTTCTTGCATCCTCGGCAACTGGACGAAGTGGATTAGTTTCTATACAATGCCGGGGGCCTGTAACTAGTTATGTATGTATAGTTAGCAAACCAAAACAGTACTTTTTGTGTAAGATTAGAACTATGTACATAAGAGGTGAAAGCTACTTAATCTAATATTATTCTAGAGCTACTCGTTATTGGGGACGCAGCTCACCTCGCCATGGGTAGAAACCCTCTCTTCCTTATTACATCTAAGGAAATGAGATACTTCATTTCCTACATTGCCAGTTCATGTCGTCCAGCGAATTGCGGAGTCAAAAAAACAAGTGGCTAGCAAAATTTCTCCTACAGATAAATATCTACCAGGATAAAATGTATTAGAAGAATTGTATTTATTGGTACCGGAACTTTTCCCTCCCAATCTGCATTTGCAGGTTCATCATGTATCGAAACTAGAATCTATGCTGTCATGCGCAAAGAAGAATTCCCATAATTTCGTAACAAAGAAAAAAAAAAAAAAAAGACATAAAATTAAAACAGCGCCTGTAGAATGAACATAAAAAAAAAAAAAAAAAGGGAAGACGAAAAAAAACTGCGTTCAAAGCATTTAGTCGAGTTCCTCAGGGCGCTCCTCGACATCGTCAGCAGTGCGAGGAGCGGCGCCAGGAGCACCGGCACCAGGGGCACCACCGGCAGCACCGTAGGCAGCGGAGATGATGGGGTTGGCAACACTAGCAAAGAATGTTAGTCAGTTATTCAAGAATGAGAGAGGAAAAGGGGAAACATACGCCTCAAGTTCCTTCTGCTGGGACTCGTACTCCTCCTTCTCAGCAGTCTGGTTGTTGTCGAGCCAGCTGATGACCTCATCGACCTTCTTGGAGACAGTCTCCTTGTCGGAGTCGTTGATCTGGAGCTTGTTCTCGCCAATGGTGTTCTTGAGGGAGTAGGCGTAGGACTCGAGGCCGTTCTTAGCCTGGATACGGGAAGCCTCAGCCTCATCCTCGGCCTTGTACTTCTCAGCATCAGAAAGCATGCGCTCAATGTCCTCCTTGGAGAGACGGCCCTTGTCGTTGGTGATGGTGATCTTGTTGGTCTTTCCGGTGCCCTTCTCGACAGCAGAGACGTTCATGATACCGTTGGCATCGAGATCGAAGGTGACCTCAATCTGGGGGACACCACGAGGAGCAGGGGGGATACCGGTAAGCTCGAACTTGCCGAGCAGGTTGTTGTCCTTGGTGCGAGCACGCTCACCCTCGTAGACCTGGATCAGCACACCAGGCTGGTTGTCGGAGTAGGTGGAGAAGGTCTCGGACTTCTTGGTGGGGATGGTGGTGTTGCGCTTGATCAGGGCAGTCATGACACCACCAGCGGTCTCGATACCGAGGGAGAGAGGGGCAACGTCGAGCAGGAGGATCTCGTTGGTGGACTTGGAGGAGGTGTCACCAGACAGGATAGCAGCCTGGACGGCAGCACCGTAGGCAACAGCCTCATCGGGGTTGATGGACTTGTTGGCGTCCTTGTTGAAGAAGTCGGAGACGAGGCGCTGGATCTTGGGGATACGGGTGGAACCACCGACAAGGACGATCTCGTGGACGGAGGCCTTGTCAATCTTGGCGTCACGGAGGACACGCTCGACGGGCTCCATGGTGGAGCGGAAGAGGTCCTGGCAGAGTTCCTCGAAACGAGCACGGGTGATGGAGGTGTAGAAATCAATACCCTCGAAGAGAGAGTCGATCTCAATGGAGGTCTGAGCAGCAGAGGACAGGGTGCGCTTAGCACGCTCGCAAGCAGTGCGGAGACGACGGAGAGCACGGGCGTTGGAGGTCAGGTCCTTCTTGTGCTTGCGCTTGAACTCGTTGACAAAGTGGTTGACGAGACGGTTGTCGAAATCCTCACCACCAAGGTGAGTATCACCAGCAGTAGCCTTGACCTCGAAGATACCCTCCTCAATAGTCAGGAGAGAGACATCAAAGGTACCACCACCAAGATCGAAGATGAGGACATTACGCTCACCCTCGACCTTCTTGTCCAGACCGTAGGCAATGGCAGCGGCAGTGGGCTCGTTGATGATACGGAGAACGTTCAGGCCGGCAATGAGACCAGCATCCTTGGTAGCCTGACGCTGAGAGTCGTTGAAGTAGGCGGGGACAGTGATGACAGCGTTGTTGACGGTGCCACCAAGGTAGGACTCAGCAGTCTCACGCATCTTGGTCAGGACCATAGAGGAGACTTCCTCAGGAGTGAACTGCTTGGCCTCACCCTTGAACTCGACCTCAATGATGGGCTTGCCACCCTTGTCGACGACCTTGAAGGGCCAGTGCTTCATATCAGCCTGGACCTCAGCATCCTGGAAACGACGACCGATAAGACGCTTAGCATCGAAGACGGTGTTGTGAGGGTTCATGGCAACCTGGTTCTTGGCGGCATCACCGATGAGACGCTCAGTGTCGGTGAAGGCCACGAACGAGGGGGTGGTACGGTTACCCTGGTCATTGGCGATGATTTCGATGCGGTCATCACGGAAGACACCCACGCAGGAGTAGGTAGTACCCAGATCAATACCAACAGCAGGAGCCATGATGATGTGTGTATGTGTGTGTGTGAGAGAGAGATAAAGAAAGTGTGAGGGGTTCAGGAAAAGGAAAAAGTCGTTAAAAGAGTATGATGATGTACAGAGAGAGGAAGATGGGGGGAGGAGAAGTCAGAGAGAGATGAATTAGTTAGATTGGAATAGAAGAAGAGAAGAAAATGTGCGAAAGGCAAGCTTGAGATCCCTAATAATATACTGGCGAGCGGTGTGTTACTGGCAGCTTCGATGGGCATCCATCGGGTTCGATCGCCTTCGACCAGCGGGACTGTAGCGAGTTCTGGGCCTTTCGATTGGTCTCGCTTTGTTGCTGGTTCATTCGAGGAAATTTTCCAGGCTTCTCTCTCGTGTACTATGTTAATGTACTCCGACTATTCCGTTTCCTCTTCACTCAGCCTGTGAATTTGTGCAAAAAAGTGATGATGCTGAGAAATGAGGCAAAAGTTGGCGGGGTGAATGGATGACGTAATGCACCAGCTTTTTTCGTCTTTTTCTTTTCTTCGATCCCCATAGTAACTGGTATTTATATGCCCGAGTACGGAGTAGATGGAGAGCCTTTTATGAAAGAATAACTGTAACTGACCTACCTGTCTATTGGAAAATATCCTCAGAATTGCCTGATTAGTGCCGGGGTGCCTCATCAGAGAAATAACTCAAATTCGTCCTCTTCCACAATGAGATGAGGCTCTACTGCAAGTGATTCTGATAGTAGCAAGTCCCTGGCTCTGTCAGGCATGGTGAAGGTGATAATTACGACTAGAAGATGTTTTTCCAATGGATCGAGCTCTAGGTAATATTTCCTGATGCTGACCCCTCTTAAATCATTCAATACCCTCTACGTGCAGCTATATATTTTATTCTCATAGTATACGCCCTATTAAAAAAGACAAAATGTTACAGAGGCGTGTTTTTTTTTTTTTGTTATGGTCAAAAACAAGCGCCGTCACGGGAGCAGCGCATTGGATCGGATTCGGCCATCCCTCGCAGCCAATGGAAAAGTTGAAGCTGCTTCTCTCTCCCCTTGCGACAACCTTTCAAGTACTAAGTTATTATTTCCTTTCCTCCTGTTTTAACCCTACTTAAGCTCACTTTTACCCCCCTATCCCTTTTCTCTCTCCCCGTTATTCTCTTCTCCCTCTTCCCAACCCGTCTCTACAACCCCACAACACAGTACAATGGGTGACCACAACCGATCCACTCTTTCCGGCAATGGCTCTGCCGCCAATGCTTCCGATGCCGCTGCTTTCAACAAGGGCAAGGGCAAGGCTATTGCTGATGACCCGATGGATATGAGCATGGATGAGGAGGAAGAGGAAAGCGAAGAAAGTGAGGCTGAGGAGATGGTATGTTTGCGACCTTTACTACGACTCGAACATCACTAATTAGAATCTCATCTAGATGCCTGATGGTACAACACAACCACCAATTCTCCATCCTGGATAGTAGTCAACTAACTAATGCTCACAGGCGAGGAGGAGGAGGACGACGGCGAACTTGAGCCCATCTCTCCCTCCAACATCATCGATGGCGGACGACGCACCCGCGGAAAGAACATCGATTTCCAGCAAGCGGCTGAGAAGCTCAGGGCGGACTCGATGGAAGATAGTGACGAGGATGAGGACGACGAGGATTTTGAGCCTCGCGATGATGACAACAAGATGCGCGGTTAATCGAAATACCTAATGGTTCAATACGAACAAACCTAGGGGATATGGGTGCGACTCGGATTCAAAATAGGCGCAGTTATGGGGGTTTTCTTTATATTTCGAACTGATTTATCTGATGCTGTGGCATATTCATGAGATTGGACGAATGGATTGATGATGTTATATGATGATACCTATTATATCTCTTGTGCCTGTAGCTGCCTTAGTATATGAAGCTCCATCCCGAGGTGGGACGCCAGCTCTGCCACTCATCAGGGGCTGTCTCCCAGACAGTGAAAACCACCATAAAATAGTCATTCTCGGGTAATATCTATGACTCTATGATATTATTTACAATTCTACTATCATCATAATATATATTAAACCAAATAATAATAATACTCAGTTTGATCTCACGTGCAAAAGGGTTCGGCGCCGCAGAACCGCCCAAGTGGCAACATTTATCCCCAACGGCTTCGATGTGCGAACAAAGCATCGCTCGCCGCAAACAGACCAACTTGCTACACATACCTGGTCACATTCTTCACTATGTCCTTCCATTAGATTACATGGCTCCAAGTCTAGCGGAATAATTTATTTTCTCAAGCCCCCTCCCTACTCATCATGGCTTCACGGTACGAGCATGTTACTTCCACTCGATCGACGATAACTAACCCAAGCAGATTTCCACGATCCAACCTTCATCAGCGCGATCCTCGTGGATCCTCCTCCCTATTTGACTCTTACGGCGGTGACTCTCGGCCCGCGAGCAGATCCCCAGGCAATGTCGGGGGATATGGCTATGGAGGGTACCCAGGAGCCGATCGATCTATGAACAATAGTGCTCCAGGGGGATATAGGACGGCTACACCGAATGCAAAGTAAGCCCCTGAAAAGTGCTCTATACACCCTATTCGATTCGCTACTCACCCAGCTCAACCTTAGGGGCCACTACTCCGATGCTGTCCTCTCCCACCTCGAGTCACAAAATGACGCCGAAGTCGAAGGAATCACCGCCAAAGTAAAGATGCTGAAAGATGTGAGCACACAAAAAAAAAACTCTATCCTTTGATTCATTGGCATACTAATAAGGTAGATCACTCTCGCCATTGGAGAAGAGATCCGTGATACAGCTCATATTACCGACCTAAACGACTCCTTTGAAAACACTCGGGTCCGCATCCGAGGAAACATGAACCGGATGCTGCGCATGGCCGAACGTACTGGTGTTGGCTGGAAGGTGTGGGTAGGATTCTTCTTCGCCATCTTCCTGCTCTTCTTCTATGTGTGGATCACTTGAGCTATCCAACCTTGTTATCTAATTTTACCCAACTTAATACTTTGACGATCGCGATATGGCATAAGGTTCCGGTGTTTTGGCGTCATACCTCCTTCTCCGGAAGAGATTCAGGACCTTTCTCTCTCGTTTCCATTGACTTTCACGATGACACGCATACCTGGAGTTAGCTCACTCATCGGACCACGACCTCTGACGACTGTCAATTGTTATGGTGCTATTTAAGTGTACAATGTTACTGTACTGTATATACATATGCTGAAACCGAGGTAGAATGTGACTTGGCTGTTTCCTTCGCTACATTCCTGATACATCCAAGCTCCTGTTAATATCTTACATACTATGAGAAATATTTTGATTCTAAATTGAATATCATCAACGCATTCCATATTCTATGCAGATGAAAGGCGAATCTATAAATAGCTTGAAGATTATGCCGAAGTATATAGAACCCGATTGGGCAGTAGGGCACAGGGCTATAGAATGACATACGGCTGGAACGTGGCTTAGATTATCTGTACTGCAACAACAACTTCAGCTCTGCACATGCGATCTGGCCAATTCATATATTCCAGGGGCGGGTTGTCTAGGTATTTAAAACGCTTATTCATGGCTCATCTTTGCATTTTCTCCTGATTTCATTCTCTTGTTGTGCTTTCCTTAAACTCCCACTGTTGTCCACATGGCTCTCCCCGCAGAGCAGCGGAAAAAGATCCTCAGGGTCTTAATGACCTCTCTACTTTTGGATTTGGTAAGACCCTCGCTCAGCTTGAACCGGATTTTCTCTAATAGCCAGCTCAGATATCCTTTACGTTTATTCTACCGCTATTCCCCTCCCTGCTGACCTTCTACCGCAACCAAGACCCCGCCCCGTCCTCTCTCTTGAACCGCGTCTTCCACTACCTAAACGCCTACAAGAACGCCTTCGCAAAGCCGATTGACTCGCGGTACGACATCGTCCTCCTTGGAGGCGCACTCGGGTCCTTGTTTTCTTTCCTCCAGGCCGTCGCGGCGCCATTCATTGGCGGGCTCTCCGATAAATATGGCCGCAGAACCGCGCTGCTCTGCTCCATGGTTGGAAACACCCTCAGCGTAGCGCTCTGGGTCGCAGCCACAGACTTCCGCACGTTTCTCGCTAGCCGTGTTGTCGGCGGGCTCAGTGAGGGCAATGTGCAGCTTGCGCATGCCATCGCAACAGATATAAGCGACCCAAGCCAGCGGGGCTCCACCATGGCCCTGGTGGGCGCATGTTTCAGCATCGCTTTCACCTGCGGGCCCGCGCTCGGCGCGTTCCTCTCCAACATTACCACGGTAGCAGCGAACCCCTTTGCAACCGCAGCGGGAGTCTCGCTCCTCCTTATCGTCATCGAAACCAGCTACTTGTACCTGTGCCTCCCAGAAACGCACCCGCGCCTCAGCAAGCTCGCCCATAGCTCTCCCGCGCCACCCACCCCCCAGCAGCCCAAGTCCCAGAGCACAAGCACAAGCACAAGCACAAGCACAAGCACAAGCACAAGCACAAGCACAAGCACAAGCACAAGCACAACCGCACGCACCCACACCAACCACCCTTCCACCCTCAACACCATCCACTTCCTCTTCCTCCTCCCCTTCTCCGGAATGGAGTTCTCCCTCCCCTTCCTCACAGCAACCTTCTACGCAAACACCGCGACCACCGCCAGCCCCTCCGCGCTCAACGGCCGTCTCCTCTCCATGATGGGCCTAATCGCCTCCCTCCTCCAGGGCACCGTCGTGCGCCGTCTCCCGCCCCTGCTCACCGTCCGCATCGGCGTCGTCGCATGCACTCTCTCGTTTTTCCTCCTCGCACGCGTTTCCTCCCTGTCGGGCCTCTACGCCGCCGGCAGTCTTCTCGCAGTGACGAGCGCCACCGTAGTCACGGGCCTGAACAGCCTCGGGAGCCTCGAAGCCGAGGAAGGCGAACGCGGTGCCGTCCTGGGGAGACTCAGAAGCTGCGGACAGATTGGACGTGCGGCGGGGCCCGTCCTGTTTTGCTCGCTGTTCTGGTGGGCTGGCCGCGAGGCGGCGTACGTGACTGGTGGAGGTGCGATGTTGGCTGTTTGCGGTGGGGTGTTTTTATTTTTGAAGTCGCCGCCGCGTCCTTGATTTTTTTTTTTTTTTTTTCCCCTTCCTTTCCGGTTTATTGGTTGTTAGATTACTCTTTGTTTTTTGTTCTTTTTGCATTTCTTTCGGGTTCGTGTACATACTACTACTCCTCTCTCTCTCTCTCTGTGTGTGTGTGTGTGTGTGTGTGTGTGTGGAATCTAAGAGGTACGGTAGGCAAGGCAGGTATATCATATCATGCCTTTATGGCTTACTGCTATGCAGTTAGTACCTTGGGTAGTTTACAAGCAGAGCTAAATAATTCAAGGTACATCCATCCATCCATCCAGTGAGTACGTTAATTTATACACATACACATACAAGCCTCATGCAAAGCTCGTCATCATCATACAAGAAAGGAGATTATTCTACCATCCAACTTACCCCGATCGCTTAAACCAACAAACAAACAAGACAGGAAGAGGGAAGGAAGGAAGAGATGGTTAAAGGGGGACAGAGAGCTACGAAGACGAAGCCCTTCTCGGTGTCCCTCCCTCTCCCTCTGCCCCGTGCAAAGCCAAAGACGACGAAGACAGCGCCGGCCTCGGCTCCAGGTCCAGGTCCAACGACCCCCTCGCCTTCCCGATCAACCAGTCGGTCAGGGTCACGAACTTGGCGGTGCGTTCCCAGCCGCGCGCGTCCTCGGCATGCTCGATGGTCTGCGTCAGGACGCGGCCTTCGGCGTCGAAGGAGAAGATGAAGAGGCCCGTGAAGTGGTCGTTGTGCGGGAGGTTGAAGATGGGGGCGGTGCCGCCGCCGCCGAGAGGGAACCCGAGGCCTTTGGTTGTGGTTGTGTTTGCGGTGGAGGATTGAGAGGTAGAGCTGGGGCTGGGAGGAGGGGGGTTCTTCTCTGTTGAATCTGAGATGGAACTTGGACTCGTTCCAGACTGACACTCAGACTGACACTCAGACCCAGAGGGAGGAGACGTAGACGCTGTAGATGTAGATGTAGGTGTAGAGGTGGAATGCGACTCCGTCCTCCACCGTACTACTAGCCGTTCGTCACCACACTCCTTCCCCTTCCCATTCCCCCTCCCATTGACATTATTATCAACAGTACCACTCTTACTCTCCGGATCCAGCACCGACCCCGCCCGAACAATCCGCTCACTCAGCACCTGCAACTTGACATTCCCAACGAGCGGCACGCTGCTCCACGCCACCGGGACAGCCCACAGCGCCGCCCGATAAAGCGTCCGCCCCTTCACCGTGGGGAGATGCGGATGCGTCGACGGAAACAAATGCAGCGTTACGCTCGGGGAGAGAATCTGCGGCGGCAGCGGGTTTATGAGGATTGTCGGGAGGAGCGGCGAGAGGGTTCGCAAGGCTATACAATCCAATCATGTTATCAGCTCATCGGGCAAGGATTTGGGATATGTAGGGGCGTGAGTGTGTGTGTGGCATGGACGCACTCTTTCCCAGCTTTAGAATGCGCTCGTCTGGCGGGGTATGGTCGTTTTGGGGGTTCCCCAGACCGTCGGTTATGGATGGGTTGGGCCCGGTTGGCGAGAAGAGCAGGGAAGGCTGGGGAGGCTGCGGATGGGATTGCGATAGGCTCGTCCATGTTTGCGGGAGATGGTCGGGAATACTGTCGTGACGCGGCTGAGCCAGAGGTCGCAGGTTTGACGATGTAAAGGGCTGGCGATGGAATCGGCCGCGGCTGCGGCTGGGGAGGCGCAGCGTGGACGATGTGGGCGGCGACGGGGTGACCAGTTTCGGCATCGCGATGACCGGACGCAGGCGGAAAGTCAACAGGGAATTTGGTTAATTGACCATGCAGGAGTAGAGTCCAAGCGTCTAGGCAGGGTTATGAAGCTCTTGGAAAGGTACCTAGGTAGTTAAATTAGAAAGACACTGATTGGAGGCGAGGATGATGACGTTCTTCCCGTTATTAACCATCGTACTAACAAGAATTCTTACTATACATACACCACCAAGGTAGAGGAATTCGGATATCTGCAGACGTAGATAATCATGGTATCAAATTCATTTACATTGAATCATTAGGCTAGTTCGTCGTCGTCGTCGTCGTCCTCCCCCGCGTATCGGCGCTCAGCCAACTCCCGGATCTTGTCCTCCAACACTCCCCGGCCATATCGCTCTGCGACCTTAACCGCCGCCTCAACCATCTTGCCATTGCGGTCTTTCATCATCTGCACCAGTTCCAAGGCCTTCATGCCTCGCTCTTCTCCCTCGCGACACTCAATCGCCAGAAGTTGGAGGAGAATCTTATCCACCTCGAGCTCTTTCCGCGGCAATTCCGCACGCTGCGAGGACGTGGCATGTGTAGACGAGAGCAGATCCTGAAAGAGAGAGAGGAGAAGGTTGTTTCGAACAAATGACTCCTCGAGCCGAGCTCTGTCATTCCGGGTTGCAGATCCGTCTTCTTCGTCCTCTGGCGCCTTGCCGGGCTTGTCCGTGATGGGAACCCGGAAGTCGAATTCGCTGAGCAACGGCCGCGGGAAGTAAGGATACTGGTCTCCGCCCTTTAAGATGATGCAGTGGAATTTATCCTGCGCAACGGCCACCGGCCAGTAAGTTTCTTCCTTGCGCCCGCTGGCAAGTCGCTCCAATTGTCGGGTGTCGAGTAGCGGGACCCAGCGCGCCTGGCCCGGGGTTCGCCAGTGCTGGAGAATCAGCAGAACGCCCTCGGAGTCGTAAATGCATGGGTCCTGATTCGTTAGCAGCTGCAAATTTCCGACACGGCCCCCGTACGGGTGGAGATATATATTCACTCACCCCTGTATCGGAAAAGAAGACGCTCTTGAGTTCTGCGTTCTCTGGGAGGGCGACGACATCTTCGTTCTGGCAAATTTCATCGCGCTTCACGTTCTCAACCGAATACCGCAGGGTTGCGGTCCGGCCGTCGCTTGCCAGAGGGCCATTTCCTACGGTCATGACATAGTCTCGCCATGCGGCGCACGTTACGGCTGGGCTCTTCTGTCTATATACCTTGAAAGGGGTTCCGAACAGCGTGTACACACGAACGTAGTCTTTCGTCGTCACCGCAACGATATATGACTCACTTAGCGCCAGCGCTGGTCACGTTAGCTAGATCTAGAACGCCCCGGAAGATTCTTACCTCTAATATGCTCTCCTTGGGGCAGTTGGGTTCTCCAGTCTGCTCGAGCAGTCCATGTTTCATGGGGACGGTAGAAGATTGTAGCGGGGCTGCCGTCCTTGGGGTTATTGGAGAACAACGCTCCATTCTCGTCTAAAGTGGTTGAGTCAGTTCTCTCGAGTCAACAGCCAAAAAAAAAATTCCCAACATACTCAGACACGCCCGATCGTACAGATACGGGTCGGTAAAGTGGAAATCACGGTGAAGCTCTCTGTCGTAAAACTCCACTGTCACTGTGTTGTGCGTCTCTTGATCCACGGTCCAAACAGCACCTGTCAAATTCAAGCCTGGTTTCATTAGTACAACCCGTGAGAATAAAGGTACAAGACATAGGCATACAAAGATATCGGCGGTTTCCCCTCCAAGGCGTGCTACCAGGCTGAAGCGGCGGATGGACCTTGGGCTTCGTGAAGGAAGTGATTATCCGTTTATCAGTGTGGCCATCAATCTCCTCGAGATGTTCATTTGTGCGTTTCCCATGTCCATTGATAAGCTCCGCATAGCCAGCCCCGTCGTCATCCTCAACGAAGTCGTCCATTTCCTGATCATAGCCTAGAATATCATCGAGAGAGTCAGGGCTGCCCATTCTCTCCTTTCGGGGTGCCGCTTCCTTAGGCCTGCTTGCTAATGGTCGTCCCGCATTATCAGAAATTTCAGCCAGAGCCCCGGGGAAGATAGGAGCAGCCTGCAGGGGCTTCTGCAGTATAGGCTGGTGTGCGTTCGGCACGAAACCATCATAGATAAACAGCTCCCCGTCCGAAGTCGTAAGCGACAGGGAGTTCTGCGTCGGATGCCAGGCGACATTGAGCACATTTGGAAAATCATACCGCTGCAGAATCTTCTGCGTTTTGCTTTCCCAGAGAAGAACCTGGCCGTCCTTGGCAGCAGTCACAAGCAGCGCACCATTTGGAGACCAGCTTATGGCCGTGATATCCCCGTTATGACCGCCAGTGAAGGCTATCTCCTTCTTCCACTCGCCGACAGAGAACAGCGCAATGTCCCTCGTAGCCTCTGCCGATGCAAATGCAGTTCCATCCGGATGCCACACTACCCGGGCGGTTGCTTCGTCCTCCGGCTCGAGTCTCCGAACCATGCCGTCTAGTTTGCGAAGAAGCTCGGGTTCTTCCGAGTCGAGAGAGTAAACGTACACGATTCCGTCCGTGCAGGACGCGGCAACGAACCGTCCATTCGGATCGAAGGTGATATGTTTTGTCCCTTTCGCCTGCTCACGTAGATACTTGACCTTGGTCATGTCCTCGATATTCACCAGTTTGACAGTGAGCTCACTGCCGGCTGCTGTTAGAAATCTCTACCTCGGGAACGATTACCGGCAAGGTAACACTCACTCGCTCGCAACCGCAACCCACTCCCCATCTTTCGAAACAGCTATATCGCGCACCGGCAACGCACACCGCACCAGTAATTTCTCCATCCGTCCAGATTGAACCTCATACTGCCAGACCGTGCCATCCTCGGCACCCATGAAAAACGATTCATTCTGCAGCGATTAGCTGCGCCTACCCAGTAGATTTAATCAAAGGGACAGAGAGCGGGGGCCGGGGGGGGGGGGATCGTACTGTAGCCCCAATACCCAAATGTCCATCAGCACCCTCCTCAATCGTCTTTGGCTCGCCATCTTGTCCGACGGAGTAGATACGGATCGCCGAATTGGATCCTCCTGTGATGGTGTATCGACCGTTAGGCGTGTGCGTCAAGACCGTTGTTCCAGGCGTATCTAAGAAATCCCCACGTAAGCCAGACGGTTCCATTCATGCTCAGGGTTTTGATTGCGGTCGCGACGTACGGGCTGGTCGGCCCCTAGGTCGCATTGCTTCGGAGCTCATTGTGAAGAACGGAATTGGGATGCTGATATTTAAAAAAGGCACACAGACACGGAGGAAGTATCACCGTGCTCCTCGCAGCATAATGTATCCCAGACAACAAATGTAAATAGCAAGTGGTTGATAGCACAGCGCTGTTGGAGCGGAAATGCACGACGACGCGTTGCGGCACGAAACGCGTACATTACACCCTATTCGGGTAGTATTAAGGGCTTAGGGCACAGGGTCAGGGCTGCCAACATTGCTAAGTTCATCTCTTAAAATCGGGCAAGTTCAGAATGTAACAGGCTTTTAGAGCAAAAGTATATATATATATATATATTTAAAGGTAATTAATTTTCTGGTCCTCCACTAGAAGTAAGAAAATCGAAATCGGCTCCTTTCTCGGCCTGGTTGACCGACCGCTCATAGAGCCCCCGATACCCTCTTTGTCTCGGCTTCCCCCCTGCAGCAACAGAGGCTTGCCTTCTAGCCTCAATCCGCGCGTTCAGCTCCTCCTCTGATATTTCCAGGTGGAGTTTCCGTGCCTCTGCGTCACAGGTAATCAAGTCACCCGATTGAACAACCCCAAATGGTGACTCTGGCAGCGTCGCCTCGGGCGAGATATGAAGGACGATAGTCCCTCCCGCTGTGCCCGACATACGCCCGTCAGAGATACGAAGCATATCCTTTACACCGGCGGAGGCGAGCTTGCGGGGAATCGGAAGGAGTCCTGCTTCAGGCATCCCGGGGTTTCCGATGGGTCCTATTCCTTTGAGCACGAGAACGGAGTCGGCAGTGACGTCGAGGTCTGGATCGTCGATGCGGCGGGCTAGGTCTGCGGAGTTTTCAAAGACAACGGCTGGCCCGGTGTGGGAGAGGAGGTTCCGGTCCTTTGACGCGGAGGCTTTCATTACGGCCCCGTTGGGGGCAATGTTTCCTCGGAGAACAATCAATGAAGATGATGGGTACAGCGGGTCTGAGAGCGGTCTGATGATTTGACGGGAGAGCGGGAATTCTTTGAATGGAGATGCATCAAGAACCTCGCCCAAAGTCTGGCCGGAAATAGTCAGTGCCGAGAGATGGAGAAGTGGACGGAGAGTGTGCAGCAGAGCGAGCATTCCGCCCGCGTTGTGGAAATCATTCATGTAATTGTCGCCGCTCGGTTTCAGATCGACCAGTAAGGGAGTCTGGCGGCCGACTTCCTCGAATGTTTGCAGAGTGATTACACCCTGCAGCTTCGGATGTCGGTTAGCAATCGCCATGATGTGCACCATGGCATTTGTTGAGCCTCCAATCGCCTGCAGGACAGTGATGGCGTTCAAAAAGGATTCCTTGGACAAGATATCCTGGGGGTTTCGGTTTGCCTGTGCGACATGTACGGCATTTGCTCCTGTCTCTTCGGCCACTCGAGCTCTCGCAGAAGAAACCGCGGGAGCCGATGCTCCTCGCAGTGGCATCATTCCCAGCGCAGCAGTGATACACGCCATGGTACTTGCAGTACCCATGACTCCACACGTTCCGATCTATTTCGCATCCATTAGCATTCCATCAGATTCCAATTCAATCCAAACGTACAGTAGGGGCAAGCTCCTCATTAATCGCCGATATTTCCTCAATATCAATTTCTCCCGCACGAAAAGCTGCCCAGTTATTTCGGCAGTCGGTGCACGCGCCAATTCTCTGGCCTCGGTGGCTCCCAGGCATCATTGGACCTGTGATAAGCGGTAGAACAGGTTTGTTTGCAGAAATGCCCCCCATAAGTTGTGCGGGAACGGTCTTATCACAACCTATAGATCCAATTAATCTCCTGCTCTCTCACCCTTGGGCAAAAAAAAAAAAAAAAAAAAGAAAAAGAGAATGAGATTACCCCCGATCATAATACAAGCGTCAAGCGGCTGAGCCCGGATCATTTCCTCTGTATCCATACTCATCAAATTCCGCAAGAACATGCTTGTGGGATGCGAGAAGGATTCGTGAACACTGATTGTCGGGAACTCGACAGCAAGTCCGCCATTCAGATGAATCCCCCGCTTCGCTGCTTCTATAAGCTGCGGGACGTTCCCATGACACGGGTTGAATCCGGAGTATGTATCGATGATGCCAATAATGGGACGAGAAAGCGCATCTTCAGAATATCCCAATGCCTTGACAAAGACCTTTCTCAGAAAGAGGGAGAAGTGAGGGTCTCCGTAAGAGGTGAGTCCCTGTCGAAGGCCGGAAGTAGAGGATATCGGTCTTGCTAAGTCATAGTCAGAAGGAGGGACGGCGGATTCGCCTTGCTCTGTAGAATTGGCGTCGCCCATATTTTATGGATCCAATGTGTGAAATACACAACCACTCAATAGAACTCTCAACGACGTGTTGTTTGCGCATGGACGGTGCTGTATTTGTACTCCGTATCCCGATGACGAACCCGCGGCCCTCATTTAGTCTCATCCGCAGTTCGGATTCTTTTCCACCACTTCACTGATAACCATTTGATCCACGCGGCATGATTGGTCCTATTGGTAAATATAACAGGGACTTTGTAAGCGAAAGTAAGAGCTTGGAGAAGGTTAGTTATCGCTGCACTGGTGGGTCTATATGATAATGTATTATGGGGGTAGAAAGAGATAGCGAGCATTGAATAAATTAGGTACTCCATTGATGAGCAAAACATGGCAAAAAGTTATAAAAACATACAACAGTCAGGATTCGCATGTGGTCACCCACCATACTACTAACTGACCGGCAAGTGGCTTGAGTACGGCTGAGCGGACGGGAAGCCCTATTTTCCACTTCCTATGGTCGTATGTGCCAGTTACTTAAGCAGTATAGAGTAAAAAGAACATGCTAAATATAATAATAATAAAGAAATACTTAAATATAGGTTATTTTTAAGAAATAGAGGGCTCATAACCTATTAAAGTAAGTTATTAATTAGATAACTATCTGAGACTACCTTGCTACTCTACCTCTATTCAGGGGTATCACGTGTGGTCACATGACCCCGGATCATAGTTGATCCGCTCCGGTGGAGATCCTCGGTTGCATCACGTCAGCAGAATAGAGGTAGGGTAGCGAGGTAGTCTCAGATAGTCATCCCAATCAACAACTCACTTCAACAAGCATCAACATTCGGAGATTACGTCGTTGTCACGGCGTGCACTAGGTGCACTGGTGCCAAGGCAAAGATTGCTAGGTATATAAGGTGGGATTCGGGCAGATCAGACCATCAGGTCTGATCATAGTGACCTTTTGGTCCAATGGTTTAGACATGTTGCCCGAATCGCATGCTCTTACAAGTATGATCAGACCTGATGGGTAGATAGCTGTGGTTCGAATCCGGCTGGTGTCATTGTGTGACAATGATAAAAAGTCCTAGGGTCGGGTAGTCCCACTAGGCTGAATAGGTGCTAGGGCTGGGTTGAGTCCCGCTAGACCTGAATGGGTGCTAGGGCTGGGTTGAGTCCCGCTAGACCTGAATAGGTGCTAGGGCTGGGTTGGATCCCGCTAGACCTGAATAGGTGCTAGGGCTGGGTTGAGTCCCGCTAGACCTGAATGGGTGCTAGGGCTGGGTTGAGTCCCGCTAGACCTGAATAGGTGCTAGGGCTGGGTTGAGTCCCGCTAGACCTGGTTGCGCTACCAGATTTGAACCACGCCTACCTGCTCACAGTCCTTAGCTTAGCTTAGCTTAGTCTAGCTAGCTTAGGGCTGGGGGTCCCTACTGAATATATGCTAGTCGGCTTGCGGTCAAGCCTCTTCTCAAGAAGGGAGATAGTTGTCACGGCGTGCACTAGGTGCACTGGTGCCAAGGCAAAGATTGCTAGGTATATAAGGTGGGATTCGGGCAGATCAGACCATCAGGTCTGATCATAGTGATCTTTTGGTCCAATGGTTTAGACATGTTGCCCGAATCGCATGCTCTTACAGTCGTCTCCCGGGCCAAGACAGATCTGTCACCATTTGGCATTCCGGATAAACAATTTTCCTGACAGCCCAACAAGTCAGAACACAGTTTAGTAAGCCATATGGGTGCACCAATAGAAATCACAATGAGTCTGAATTGTTCTACTGTAATGCCTTGGCGGATATACAGTATCTCCTTTCTCCGGGTATCCACCAATCCTGGTGCTGTGACACCAACAAGGAATGGGGATGATACGATACTTGGGCGCCACCATCTTAATGGATCACCCGGATAGGTACGACTGGCTCCCGGTAGCTGGTTTTTAAGAGTGGATCACATCGTCCAGACGACCTGGAAGGTTAAGCTCAGCTTCCTCCTGGTGCTTGATTGTTCCCAAAGCATTACAATAACGCTTGGATGGCCTAATGTCACCTTTTCTGCGATTGACCTTGAAATCGAGGCGTACTATGTTCTCCTTCGCCAAAAAGCCACTCTGGCGGTTACCGCCCTTCCCGGAGCCGCCAGTTCCTCAACAGGAACTTGTTGACGAAGAGGTTTGTCCTGACTACAATTCGGCGACTTTCTACCCAGCAAAGCCGGGGGAAGTACTCGCCAAGAAATTTCAACTACTTGTCAAAATCGGATGGGGATCGCAATCAACCGTGTGGCTCGCCCGAGACATTTCCAGGTATTTACCCACACTGTAACAACGCGTGCTTGCTTCATGTGACCACGAGAAATTAACACTGGTCCTCATAACTAAGACTCAAATGGCAATCTGAAAAAACCGTGGCCCTGAAAATAATTAACAGTAGCAACGCTGACGATGCTCGTCATGAGAAGGAGATTGAAAGCCATATTGCACAGCGACATTCCGAGCATCGTGGCCGCGTAATTCTACGGACGTGCCTGGATGACTTCGAAGTACCTGGTCCGGAAGGAAAGCACATGTGCCTTGTGTACGAGCCGATGAGAGAGCCTCTCTGGATTTTACAGACGCGTTTCGTTGATCGCAAGATTCCTCTTCCCATTGCGAAGGCCTATATCTATTTTCTCCTTGTTGGCCTTGATTATCTTCACTCAGAGTGCAAACTAGTCCACACGGGTGAGTGTTTGATGCCGTTCTCCTGTGCCTATTTGGAATTTCAAGACCTAATTTACTCTGTCAGATCTAAAGCTAGGGAATATCCTCATAAGCTTTGAAAACGAAAACATTCTTACCGACTTTATTAACCGACAACAACCGATGCAATACAAGGTTGATAATGAGAGTGGCCGGACTATCTACCGCTGCCATAATGACTTCGGTGCTCTTGACTGGAGAGAAATCAAGAATATGGTTCCCAAAATAGCCGATTTCGGGCTCGCAACAAGACTGGACAAACCCTCTACCCGAAATGGAATGGTAGGAGAGCAACTGGGCATTTATCCTATCCAACCGGACTATTACCGTGCTCCGGAGGTAATCCTTGGCTGTGGTTGGGATTTCAAGGCAGATATTTGGAACTTTGGTGTGCTGGTAAGAACCTGGACCTGTTTTCAGGAGGTCTATTGCAACACAACGCGCGTTTCGTTTCCCTTGGTTTCAGTTACAATCACTGGCTTGGGCTGAAGGCTAATAATCCTGTTCACAAGTTGTGGAATATCCTTGGAAGCAAGGAGTTGTTCCAGCAGGTACATAATACAAACGGCCAATACGACGCAAAGTCACACCTCGCGGAAATGATTGCCTTACTCGGCCCTCCCCCCGGGGCATTGCTCGCGAAATCAAAGGCTATGTCAGAGCACAATTGGCCCCAGCCTGTCACGAATGACTCTGGAGCACTCTGCAATAATGCTCAAGAATTCTTCAGTGGCCCTTTCTTCAATGCAGAAGGTTCGTTGACATTTATCTCCCACGTCAATACCTGATATACTGACTATTCTCAAGGTAAATTCTGCTATAATGAATTGATCCCATCCGGATGTTTAGAGGATAAGGCCCCGTTCCTCGAAGAGAATGATCGAGAGGCATTTCTATCTTTTGTTCGAGATATGCTCACCTGGCTCCCGGAGAAGAGGAAGACAGCTCGCGAACTGATGGATCATCCGTTTCTCAAACTTGGGGGTTGATCAGCCGCCCGGTTACTTTCGGGAAATGAGGCGACCCTTACTACGGACCCGGTCTCAGACTAGCCCTCTGGGTTCTAAATTGTAAAGAAAATTCCACCCAAACATCTTGTCGTGATCCGGATTCATGAGAAGAACCAATTCTCTCATGCTGGAAGCGCGTTGAATCACGGCAATGCTCTGCTTTCGAGATAGATTCCGGTGGCCGAAATTCGCGTTGTCTAGCCAATTACTTCGCGCATATTCGTTTGATAGTCGGTCCTCGGGTAACAGGGCCTCAAATGCGGGATCAAAATGAATGATACTTTGACATATTTGCTTCAGGTCGGCGAGGCTATAGCCCCCTGCTCGTGAAAGATGCACATGTGTGCCACAGCTAGTATTGGCGTTGACCTGAAAATCGGTTCTCAGAAAGTTCCAGAGGAACTCAATATGCTGGCGCCAGGAGGAGTTTTCGTGAACTCTGAATATTGGGGAGATGCTCTCCAAGCCCCCTGGAAGACGTGATGTTAGCTGACCCAATGTCCCAAAGGCTAGAGAAGGAAGTGCTCAGTAGGTAATTACACGGCGCGCCCCCACGATTTGGCATCTCGATCGTTGAATCAGAATCAAGAGACCATTCAGCAAATTGCGGCCCAAGGTATGCTTCATCGATTGCATTGTGCATCTTGGGATGATGTCCAGGAGCGGCTCTCGCAAGGTAATCGTTATAAGACACAGCAACCATCGTAGAAAACTCGCGGATAGTCATAGCACTGTTCGTGCTACGGGAACTCAAAAGGAATTCATTCAACCTCTACCCCAATCCCAAAGCTCCCATTGGGGTACGAAGGGGCCACGGGCTTTGCGGGTTTCTTTGCTGTTTTGAACCATTAGCGTGAGCGAAATGGGCTGTTACGGAGTTCCTCTACAGGTAGCACGGATCGAGGAAGGTGGTGGCGGCGGAGGTGCAGGCTTTCGTGCCATTGTAATGGGAGCGTGTGCTTAAGTTCGTGGTGTGGTGCAAAATAGCCTCGGCAAGGAGACTGGGGAGATGGAGAGCAATGATAATAAGTAGGGCAGCTGTTTGGAGCACTTGAGTACAATGCTGGGAATTCGAGAATTCCCCCAGACCATAGTCTGGTTTATATCTAATTCCACATTCATGTAGTATGATGGATGTTGACGCCAGCACCAGCTCGAAAGTCTCCCCGTTCGTCATGAAGCTGAGGTCTGCCTTGGAAACCGAGCCACAACTTCGACCTGCCACCATTACAGGCTACGAATGCAAGCTATGGGGCCAGTATCCAGCTCTCCTAGATGCCCCAGGAAAGGTTGTTCATGGGACTGTCTATCATGTCGAGACAATAGAGTATGGGGAGAGGCTAGCCAGCTATGAAACGGACAATTATCAGGCCAATCCGTGTCACATCAACTATACTGACAGGAATAAGCCCGTGGATCACTTTGGTTATGTTTTTAAATTTGTCGGCAATGTCAGAGACCTGAGTGACGGCACCTTTGATCTGGGAACTTGGCTAAGGAGGGTTAAAAGGGTAGCTAAGGACTCATCAGAGGTTAAGTCGTTAAGACATGTATCTTGACTCCTAACCGAACCCTCCGACTAAGTCTCCGGGATCGCACCCCCCAGTAGCTTCATCCTTTCTCTTTCCTTTCCATGCTTAGTTTTGTCGAATTAGACTACCGATATGAATATTGCCTGAGTCCCTCACAGTCAAGGCCCCCCTATATTCGTACCTAAAGGCTATCATCCTAGCAAACCAACTTTTACCATCATGTCTTTACCCTTGAACTAACCCCTGGATTACCTAATATCCAACAGGGACCACGTGTCACGTGGTCGCCATGACAAAAGTCCGACATTAAATTAAATATTAAATAATTAAATAATATATGAAAGTCCCCCTCAAACACCCGTGGTATGACCCGTACACCGTGCTGCAGAACCTGGAGATGTTGGTTAACCTGTTAGCTATAGAGATTCCTATATTATCTACTTTTATAAGCTATTACCATGCTGATATTACCATGCTAATACCTACTTGAATGCCTGCTAATACCTGCTTCAATACCTGCTTTATTGCCTGCTAATACCTCCTTTAATATCTACTTTAATACCTATTTTAATTCTAACTTCCATCCTTGCATTAATATAGTAGCTATCATACTAATATGCAAGCCGCCGAGCGTAGCGAGGATTTGAGGCTAGTAAAGTATATAGAAGAATTACCCGAAAGCCTTCTTAATAGTTGCAAGCAAGATATTACCCTGTTTGATTCTTTTGCTCACACAATAACTATTTTTCTCCTATCCTAGAGTCAGCTTCTTCTACACCTCGTCATCTTATTCTGTTATCACTCTATCTTCTTTTAATAAACGTTTCATCATCACCATGGAGATCAAGCTAGAAGAGTTCCGTACTACCCTCCAGGCAGCTGTTCGCCAACAGGCCATCCGATATACCGCTTCACACGCCCTGGCTATCAGATGGGAAGAAGACAATACTTCTGCTCAGCAGGACACCGCACACTTCCAGTCAATGCTGAAGACACTCCAGCTCCCTGCTGCCCAAGAGTTTGTCATTCCCAGCACCGACCGAACACCCGGGTGGAACATCGCGGGGGTATTGAGAGACGTAGTGAGCAAAGCAGAGAAGTCTGCCGGGCGATCACTCATCATGGTGCACTATGCGGGGCATGGGAAGCTGGGACCGAATGGGAATCTGCTGGCGGTTGAAGGCCCTTCTTCCAATCGTAGTTTCGATGCCCAGCGCTGTCTGGTTGACCAGGTCGATCTTCTGGATTCAATGCCCATTGACATCTTGTTCATCTTTGACTGTTGTTATTCTTTTACAGCATGTCGGGAACCGGAATTGGCTGGTAGGATTGTCGAAATCATTGGGGCCAGTGATAATGCATCATCATCACCTTTGGCGAATTCCCCGCCACGAAACACTCTCACGGCCAAGATTGCAGGCGAGATCCGCTGTCGACAAAGACAGGGCCATCAATATGTCGAGTTTGCAGATGTTGTGCAGGCGCTCCGAAGCAGGGAAAATGCTGTGACAAAGCCGGTTCACAGGTTGAAAATGGGGACGTCGTCCATCTGCTTGCCTCTTGGTGGGCTCAACATCGTTAATCCATTGCGTATCCCGCCCACGCTTCGGGCCGTCTTCAGCGTGGCAATCACCAATGATATGAACCAGCAGGAGCTTGACCAGTTCACGGCTTTGCTCCGAAGCTTCCCACCAAATGCCGCCATTGTACTGGAAGGCGTGTATCCGACTGGTTCAATGTGTTTCATCTTGAGCTCGGCCTACGCTGTTTACTCCAAGCTCTCTGGGATGCGGGGATACAAACTGATCTCTGAAGTAACTGGACACAACCGCTTGAGGCAACCCGAGGCACCTGGGCTTTCTGTTTCCCCCAAGAAAGAGAATGTGCCGCTCAGCAAGCAGCCTGGTTCCATTCCATCTTATTCTGCTGAAAACTTTATTGCTGAGGAAATGGATTAGACTATGCTATGTGTTAGTATCTTGATTTGTTCTTCCTATCTTCCATCATCTTTGCTCTTACACACATGTGTATGTGTTAGCATCTTAATTTGTTCTTCCTATCTTCCATCATCTTTGCTCTTACACACATGTGTCTTAATAGTGTCTAATAGCTAGTGGATTGAATCCATTTCGAGTCTTCTCTTCTCCTGTCCCCCTCCGTGATAATCATTGACCTCATGTAACTATCTATCAGATTAATCCCTTCAGTACGATCAAAAGATGATGGACAGTGCGCGATCCATGGGACCAGTGATCCCATGGCACCAATCCACAGATTGATTGCTTGCTCTTGGAGGAATACTTTGCGTCCCCTCCCTCCCTCCCTCCATAGAGGCCATCATCCAAGTCCTTCTCAACCGCCGGGAGGTGTCGTTTCTGGATGGCCTTTGGTCTCTGCGCCCATACCGTACTTTTTTTTAAAAAAAAAAAAAGCTTATGAATATTAAGAAGATAATAAAATAAGAAGAATCAATCTAAACTAAAAAAAAAAAAAAAAAAATCTCTCTCTGGGTTGATAAGAATACATACCCAAAGAATAACGAACACCGTATAGTTAGAATATTTACAGTTAATAAATAAAAGACCCTAAAAAGAGGCAAGAATCGCGTATACTCAATCAGTATTTAAAATAACAAAACAAAAAAACTAACTATGGGTGGGTATAGATAGGTATAAACCGTTTTATATTAAAAAAAGTACATACACTGTATACTTATTTATTCCATCTACTACATAATCCCATCAAGGAAAACGTGGCGTGATTCGCACCCGGATATCGTTTTCAGGCAGGAAAGCAGCGCTGGAGAATCTGTGGCCTGGAATGTCGAACTCTCCCCCCCCCTCGACCGGTTCAACATGCCACATGGACAGAATTGCAGCGGACAAGGCGAGGATTTTCCGCTCGGCAAAGGCCCGGCCTTTACAGGCAGACATACCGCCGCCGAATGGCGTGATGCTATCGATCTTTGCGCGTTTCGTTCCGGTCTTGGGATCGGTGTGGTGCATGAACCTGCGCGGATCGTATTGTGTGGGGTTAGAAAACTGCCCCGGGTCGGCGTGGAGGACACCGTGGGCGACGACGAGAAGCTCGTCTTTCTTGATGGTGTAGGACCGTGACGGCCCCGATCGACCGGCATCTGCGGCTTCCTCGTCGGTCTCGGTGAGGGTTAAATCGGAGGTGGTGGTGAGCTGTCGGAAGGAAAGCCCTGCCGAATCCAAGCGGAGGCATTCGTAAAAGCTGGCCTTGAGCAGGTGGCATGAATCGGACAGTTTCTCGATGTCAATGGATATCTTAGGTGCTTCTGGGATAGGGAACAACCCGGTTTCGTCCCCGGTCGGTCTAGAAACCCTGACGTGAGGTGCTATTTCTCTCCGGATGTCTTTGAGCAAGGCAGGGTCCGAATATAACCGAAGCAGATGGTAGAACACGATATTCGGCGAGTTCCCGTTCATCGCCCAAAGCAAGGCCAAGTGTCCTGGGGCACTTGCCTTCGGCGATAGCCCTAGCTCTCGCGACATTCGAATTCGGTTCTTGATCGGCTCGGAGATATCCTCGAGATCACGGAACTCCATTCCAGGGTCTCGGCCGTCATCCCAGATCAGAAATGCCTGGTGGAATACTGCGAGCATGTCTAGCAGTCGGTCACGCGAAGCATATGCCGCGGAGATTCCCGGGGTCAGCCAGCGAGGTGGCCCCATGGATAGAGTGGTGAAATTATCATCGATCTTCCAGACATCCTCGAGCAATCCTGGGAAGGCCTCTAGGATTGCCTGGCCGAATAGCGAGGAAGTCGTCACAGTGCCCACAAAGTCCCTAATAAGTGCAAAGAAGCTTACTTCGCAGGCGGGCGTGTCCGTCCCATCAAGGACCGTGACTTGTGCCGGACGCTCCCAGGGCATCTGGTCCACAACACTAGGGCAGAAAGTTACTAAATTCGGAGTCTCGCGCTCAACCAGACGCGCCACCATCGTCGAGCCCTCCGAGAGGAACGGCTCATGCATAAACTGGTTAGGGACATTATGATAGAACACTTGATGGTCTGCGGGGCTGAGCCGTTGCAGAGCACCCTTATCCCCGAATATTTTGTCCAGGGCATGATTGATCAGAGGAGCCGACGCCGTGCCCCGAAACGACAGCACCGACTTAACCATAGACGGAGACATGACAACATTGTGCTTTGCGCCGCCCACCATGATGCCAAAGACGGGCTCTTTCATAGAGTCTCTGCAGTATTGTGAGCACCAGACGCGTGTTCCATGAATTCATCACACCCACTAACCTCGCCTTTTCGAGAAACCGCACATGGTTCCCTGCAAATGACAAGCTATGTCCCAGCCAGGGAATCCAATAGGGGACCATTTTGACCTCGCTTGTCCTGTCAGAGCGAGAGTGGAAACCACTAGCAAGTCGCGTAACAATAGCCACGCTGACCAGAGTGAGAATTAGCGCTAGAGGTAGCCATTTTACATGCAGGAGGTTATCCCAGAAGGCCTCTACCACGCTGCCTGTCGAGACGGCATAACTCCCCATGTTCACGCAAACCCTAAAGTTGAAATCTGGTAAGAGACCACGTCGAAACCAATAATTCCAGAATGAATTCAAGCGTTAGACAGAAAAAAAAAAAAAAAAAAAATACAAAAATGGGTATGCAGAGGAATGTAAATTGAATGAATGACTTTTGACGCAGAAAGTTGGTCGAGGCGACGTTTGAGACACCAAAATACCTGCTTTGCACATCTCCGCTGACCTCAGCACTTTCATCGCGCGGCACTAACAACGACAACTAACAAAAAGCAGAGATTGTTTTATTTATTTATTTATTTATTTATTTATTTATTTACTTATTTTTATTTATCATCGGGTAGGTTTTATTCAAGTGGAGAGATCATTATTCAAGGTAATTCGTGGTCATTACTGCCAAGGACGAGGAATCAATGCTCACTGCGTAGGATCTTCTGCAGGATCACCCTCTCAGCCTCATACTTGGTGACCTTCGTCTGTGAGGCGTAGACCTTGTCCAGGAGCCATTGGATTCGGGAAGAAAGCTCCCGTGGCTGCTTTGGAAGGCTGCCCAGCACAGCGAGCTCCTCCTCGTACTTCCCAATACTTGTGTTTTCTTTGCTGATGAGCTGATTCAAGATCTCCAGATCTAGTCGGCTGCTCAATGTCTTGTTTTCGGTCAACCGCTTGAACACCGCGTGGTAAACTGGTCTGCCAGGCTTCAGTCTCTCTGGGGAGCCGTTCACAGAACTGATGGTGATGAGTTCCGCTTGCTCGAGAGCTCGGAGAGTAGCGTCGCCATTCGACTTGAAAAGGTCAGATAAAAGGACCTGATTATACGGTAGCGTACCAGCCTCCGAGTGCGCCAGTGTCTTGATGAGATACCACGCTTGTTCATGGCTCCATTGGTCGGCCACCGGACTCAAAATGAACATTTTGACGATTTCAGAAACCGACTGCTCGATTATGCGACTCACAGCAGCTGGGGGGGGGGTGCGTTAGCAATGGTGGCCCTTCAATCCGGAAATTTAACTTACCCCGGGGAGTTTCTCCGGCTTCGATGCGATGAGCCATAAACTCAAGATCCGTCACCCTGCCGCCTAACACCTCAATGCAGCTGTCCAAATCCGCCAGTTCCTCGGGTTTCCACTTGTTGTCGCGCTCTCCTCGGTGTTCCAGATGGCTAAGGACAAACCGTCGACCCACATCAAGAGAACAGTCGCCTAGTGAGATCGTCCGGAACACTGAGTTCGGCAGAGCCTTGCTAAGAGGCTTGGAGAAGGATACGTCCGTAGTGAGAAAAATGACATGTGCGATGTTGCCGCTGGTTAGACCGGCAGCCCACTCCGTAATCTTGTCGTACACCACATTATCGTCAGGAGCACCGTGCAAGTAATTGTCGATGACCACCACGGGGCGTGCTTCTGGATGGGCTTCTAAATACTCCTCATCAGTCAGGTGCGCATCCAAGTCATTCTTCTTCCGGTTCTCCAACGTAATGCTCTTCAACGCGGTTGCAGTATTCTGCCATATATTGCTGAGCTGTGCATCCAAGGTTTCTGAGAATCCCGCTTTTGTTCCGATCATGCCCTGTGCAGCTAGGTCGATAAAGCTGCTAATGCTATTCATCCAAGAAAACACAGGACGGTACCCGACTTGACTGGCTGCCCGCGCGATTTTCGCGCTGTCTCCTTTGGCATCCTGGATCTGTTTGCAGTCGATCACGACCTTGTACCTGTAGTCCTGAAGAGTTCGGTCCAGCACCAGCTCACGCTTCCCGGAGCCACGAGGTCCGTGGATGACAATGAAAGTTTCCGCGTTCTCCGTCAGCCAGGACTGAAGCTGATTAATATCGGCCTGGCGGTCCTCCCAGATTGCCGCGAGCCCGCGAACGTCAGACTTGTGCGGGCCGAAATAGATGAAATTGGCTTTGCTGACTTGCTTTCGAACCCACTGGACAACAGCATTCCCTTCTGTGTGGAGAGTCGCTTTGATCTTCATCTTAATAAAGAAAGTCCGAATCGGGTCGAAAACCGTCACCGTGATGGCGGCAATGAGAGCAGCAACAGCGGGAATGACGATACGCGGATGGTTCAACAACCAATCCTTGATCATTGAAAACTTGATCCTCCGTTCGTACATGATCTTGACCCGAGTGCCCGACTTGCCTCCACCGTCCTCCTCGGAGATCGTAAAGCCATGCATGCAGTTCTTGGCCATGACGGCATATTTGGGTCTAGCAAACTCCACCAGCGCATACCTGGGGGAAATTTTCGAGTCGGACGGCTGGCGCTGGATATCTCTCAATTTTCCGTATCGGCGGAAACCCGTATAGAGCACCTCGGTGGTCAGCTCTGTTGCCGAGCCGTCCGTCGTACCCGGGAGAAATTCAACCCGCAGCTGCTGGCTAGGGATACGATATAGATCCTCGATCCACGGCCTCCCCACGACTCGAGCCACGGTGGCCGGCTGGAAGGGGTTAAACCACGGCCTGATCGGGCTCTTCTCCAAATGGCCCTTGATGGTGGCTTCAATTTCCGCGTCCGTGGAGCCTGCACTGCGGGCGTACTTTACAAAAGCGCCGCCCTCGCGGAACCGCGGGATTACTTCTCTGATATCGAGATTCAAGCTCTCCGGGAAGACCCTGTGAATGATATTCAGAGGGTCCGAGGCTGCGAGGTGTGGACGATTGATGCGCTTAAGCACCTTCTCGTACGATTGGAACCCGCTGAGGGGTCCCAGCATCAGCCATTGTAGCTTTGGGGGGAAGATATCTATCCTCGTCAGTCTCCTATCTGTATCAAATGTAAACCGATCGGCAATCTTACTGTTTACGAAGACTAAACCTTCATTCTCCTTCAGCTCAATATGCCCTGTCTCGAGCGAGGTGACATCTAAATCGCTGACCGTCCTAGTTGTCGCTGTTCGTCGCGCAACCACCGTCCTTGGGACACGAAGGGCAGCGGAAGATGTCCAGCACCGCAAAGGCCGGTACCCATGGGACAACCGTCCAGCAAACAGGGCCTGCATCATCATGCCTGCAGAGATAGAAGCATCGTGTAAAGAACCCTGAGAAGCCGATGAGTTGTAGCTTGCTTCCATCAGGGGCTGGAGTTTTATGACGTCGACGGCAGACCAATACCAACTAGTACCAGGCGTATTGTAATTTTGCATTACCAGTATGTTCCGGTACTGTCATTCACCGCCTTCAAAACAGGAAATCATCTTTTCGCATCTTCTTGTCGTCTGTCAATCAATCCTCACATCAATCTATATCTAGACCGTGATTCTACAACGGAATCCGAAGCAATGGGCTGGTGGTCGTCGAAATCTCCCGCTCCTCCAAATGTGGAGTCCCAATCAACTCCTTCTCCCCCCTCAGACACCCTCCCAACACAACCATCACCACCATCACCACCGCCGCCGCCGCCGCAACGAACCCTCAGTCGCGAAGAACAAGCAGATGCCGAATTCAAACAACTCCTCGCAAGTCTAGAAAGCGACATAAACCGATCACCAAATTCCTCCCCAGAACAATCCTCATCCTCCCCCTCCACACAGTCTCCCGAATCCGACTCCGCCCCTGCTTCTATAGCTCCCGAATCCCTCTACCCTGATTCCATGTCCTGCCGGACTGCATTCGACTACGCCTTCTTCTGCCAGTCGCTAGGCGGCCAATTTGTCAATGTCTACCGATATGGAGAGCTCCGGTCGTGTAGCGAGCACTGGGATAATTTCTGGCTGTGTATGAAGACCCGCACGTTTAGGGATTCGGAGCGCAAGCGGATAATCCGGGATCATTACCGAAAGAAGGCCATCAAGTATAAAACAGGGCCGAGTAGCGAGGATGTTTGGGAGGTGCGAATGGAGCCAATGAATGAGGCGTTCCAGGGTGATTTTGCGGCGTTGGAAAAAGAAATGAAAGCAGAGGAGGATGCAAGGAACACTGCTGCTGCTGCTGCTGCTGCTCCTGTGGTTTAATTTGTTTTGTAAGTAAGTGTTCAAGCCTTTTGTTTCTTTGTCAGGACTCTAACAATTCAGCCAGATCCTTGACCCAAAGCCATGACTGTACAATAGCTGTATATAGCATAATGGAGATCTCCTTGATTGCACAAAGCACTTTGATACGGGCTTCATTGTCTGTATCCCTTCAGACGAAAATCAAGTCTAGATAAAGCCGCTGTCCACATCACAAAGAATTTATTGCAACTCCATTCCTTGTCCCATTCATCCCATTCGCCATACACTCACTCTCTATATAAAGGCCCGGGCATGTCGACATCCCACCTCCAATTTCTCCTCAGCAACTCAGCCAACTCTAACAACTCACTGCCATCAAATCTTCATATCAAACCACCATTCTTCCTCTAGCTAGAACCGGAAGAAGCAAAATGTCCAGCACCGTCGACCGCCTCATCGACCGCATGACCAACATAGTCATCTCATCTGTTGGGTCCCGTTCCCGCGACAGCTCTACCCCATCGCCCGCAAGATACATCAGGCCTGTTCCGCGTCGTCCAAGTGGTCCGAGTGGCGTCCCTGTCCCTAACTCTAGTAATTGGAGCATGCCTTCGAGTCCAACCCAAGTTGCACCTCCTCACCCTGGTACGCAGAGCGACGATGCCTACAACGCAAACCTCGAAGGTGAAGTTAACCTGAACGTGCACGTTTACTACAATTCTTCCTCCAGTTCCACCCACAGCCACTCTGACGGGTACCATCCTCCCCCAGAAGCACAAGCACAAGCACAAGCACAAGCACAAGCACAAGCACACGCTAATCCTAACCCCCAGTCACCAAACATAAACGGACCCCCGAGAACCAGAACCCCAGCCACAGCCGGCCATCGCAGTCCGCATCTACGCAGCTGGGGCCGCAATCGCGAAAGCACGCAAAGAGTCCACTGGGGCCCAGTCACCGAAATCCCGTACTTCTCTTCCCTGCCCCCCGCTACAGTCCCCGGAAGCCCCACTAACCGTTCCACCAACAGAACCCAGGCCTCTAGACGCTTCCATCCCTACCAGCACCCCGTGAGCCCGCTGGCCATGCACCCGGTTTCCGCTGCCCGGGACGTGAGATCAATTATGAAACCACCTACGCCTACGGACGATGAAATGCTCACCCGGAATCTATGGAACTTGGTCACCCTTGCGGAAAAGAGAGTGGACCACATGAGCGAGGTTCTGTGTGCCGCTAATTTCGCCAGAGTAAACGGGCTCGCTTTCCACGGGGAAGCGATTGATGCGTTGTTGCTCGGAGGCGAATTTGAGGCCGGGCCTGTTTTGGGTGGATCTGCCACTGCACCTATCTCTGTCCCTGCCTCTGTCCCTGCCTCTAACCCTACCTCCGACTCTGCTCCCAGAACTGAAACCGCCACCGACGCCATCCATCAGCATTCTCCGCGTCCTCGCTCTCTGCGGAGATACCGCTCGGTCAGAAGAGGTAGGTCTAGTTTGCCGGCTTCTTCTTCTTCTTCTTCTTCTTCCTCTTCCTCTTCCTCTTCTTCTTCCAGCTCAGAGTCAGAATCCGACAAGACCGCCCTAAAGACCCAAGCCAAGAAGAGAAGAACAAAGAAGATGCGGTCTCGCCAGGAGAGAGAAACGTCTCCGTAGAGGTCCGCCGGCCGCCGACTCACTCACTCGGTGCTCGGTATGTATTTTCTTCCTACTTTGCATCTCGGGAATTGCTTGGAACTTCAAATTGATACTATCGGCATACTTACGTACGTATGTACGTGATATCCAACCCGACTACACTAACGTGGTTTCCTAGCTAGGTATTCATTCGTATTCATTCAACCCCTCCCTTACCCTGCGCTGACTTTTTTTTTTTTTTTTACTACTGACTATCTACTCCGCGGACAAATACTAGTGCAGATTGAAGACTGGATGATGACGGACTGACTGACTGACTGACGGACTACTAGTAGATATGCATTGCATTTGCATTTGCATTGCATTACATTACATGGCATAGTATATGCATGCATGCATCTAGGGACTCGGGTACACTTCCCAAGTATGTGTATGATTGATGCTTAACCGGACCAGGGTTATATCTGTCTATCTATCTATCTATCTGTTTCTATTTGGATGCTCAGATTGGACTTCCTTTTTGCTGGTTGGTTGAAGTGATTGAACTGGTACATAATTCACAAGTAACTTGGATAAATAGCAAGTAGCATAATAAAAGGGGAGGGATCTATGGAGGTTGACCTGAACCTGATCCAGAGGAGCCCTAGAGGAGCTTGCTGCATGTATGTATATCTATAGGGTTGTGATTGAAGAATGATGATGTATTGTGTGTGTGTGTGTGTGTGTGTCAGTACGGCCTACGGAGTACTCCATACACAAGTAATTTACTTGAAAAAAAATCAAGGGCTATGTAACAATATTCACGAGAAAAAAAATATGTACAATAAATACCTGTGGGAAGGAAAAAACTGCTTGCACACGCTCCAACACCTTGCCTATCATTTTAGGAAAAGACGCTGCAACCAAGATCAACCCTTTTAACAAAGGAGACTGCGGTATAAAACAGGGGCAAAAAAGACCATAACAAAAAAAAAAAAATGAACAGGCTATGAACAACAGGCATGGTTTATATTTAGCCTGATCCAGTGGAAACTTTTCGCTTTTCAACATGGTATTATTCATAGATCGTTGGCATCGCATCATCAGATGTAGATCGAACCCATCGTCGGTCCAGCGTACAGGTAGGTTCCCCTGCAACCGGAATGGTTGACAGTAACTGTTTAGGCAGAAACAGGCTCGGTCGCCTGGCGGACTGCATCGAGTGCGGGCCGGCGAACAATACCACCAGTCACAGGGAGCTGAGAGCTGATGCCGGAGAGGAAGGTGTCGACCTCGCGAGCGCACTGGCGACCTTCATTGATACCCCAGACAATGAGCGACTGGCCGCGACGGCAGTCACCAGCCGCATACACGCCTGGAACATTGGTGGAGTACTGGCCAGGAGGAGTCTTGACGTTCTTGCGAGCGTCACGCTCGATTTCCTCACCGAGGAGACGGTCCTCAGGGCCGAGGAAACCCATGGAGAGCAAGACCAGGTCAGCAGGGAAGAACTGCTCGCTGCCTTCGACGGTCTTCATGTCCCAGCCGCCGGTGGCACTCTTGGTCCATTCAACGCGAACGGTGTTGATTCCCTTCACGCGACCGTTGCCGTCGTCAACAAACTCCTTGGACATGATGCAGTACTCGCGGGGATCCTTGCCCATGTGGGTCTTGACCTCGGAGTGTCCGTAGTCGACGCGATAGATACGGGGCCATTGGGGCCATGGGTTGTCACGGGCACGCTCTGGTGGGGGCTGGGGCAGTAGCTCGAAGTTGACGACGGACTTGGCGCCGTGACGGACAGAGGTACCAATGCAGTCGTTACCAGTGTCACCACCACCAATGACAACGACGTGCTTGTCCTTGGCGGAGATGTAAGCGCCATCGGCCAGCTCGGAGTCGAGGAGGGACTTGGTGTTCTTGTGCAGGAACTGCATGGCGAAGTGGATACCCTCGAGCTCGCGGCCGGGGACCTTGAGATCACGGGCGACGGTGGCACCAGTGGCGAGGATAACGGCGTCGTTGGTCCTGCGCAAGGATTCGAGATTAACCTCGCTTTCGGGGCCAACAGCGGTGCTAGTGACGAACTTGATGCCCTCAGCGGCCATCAGGTCCACACGGCGCTGCACCACCTTCTTGTCGAGTTTCATGTTGGGGATACCATACATAAGCAGACCACCAACGCGATCAGCACGCTCGTAGACGGTCACGCTGTGTCCAGCGCGGTTGAGCTGATCAGCAGCCGCGAGACCAGCAGGGCCGGAACCGATGATAGCAATGGTCTTACCCGTGCGGACAGTAGGAGGGCGAGGCACCATCCAGCCCATCTCGAAACCGCGGTCAATGATGGCGCATTCAATGGACTTGATACCAACGGGATCTTCGCTGATACCCAAAACGCAAGCACCCTCGCAAGGAGCAGGGCAGACACGACCAGTGAACTCGGGGAAGTTGTTGGTCATGAGCAGGCGGTTCAGAGCATCCTGCCACTGGTTCTGGAAGACAAGCTCATTCCACTTGGGGATGATATTGGAGATGGGGCAACCAGTCTCAGACTGGCAGAAGGGAACACCACAGTCCATGCAACGAGCGGATTGGTACTTAAGCTCATCCTCAGTCAGACGAGAAGAAATCTCGCCCCAGTCACGAGTACGGGTGGATGGGTTGCGGTACTTCTCGCTACGACGACTGTACTTCATGAAACCCCTGGTCTTGTCGAGGATAAGAGCAGATCTCTTCTTCTCGGTCTTGGAGTCAGTGACACTGTCCTCAATATCCAAGAGATCGGCCTTCTTGCCCTCGGCCTCAGCCTTGGGCTTCTCCTTCTCAGCGGGGGCGCTAGGGAGTTGAGGAAGAGCAAACTCGGCCTTCTTCGCAGCAGCAGCCTTGGCAGCTTCCTCCTCAAGAATACGCTTGTAGTCAGTGGGCAGAACCTTGACGAAGTGGGGGAGAGCGCGAGTGAAGTCCAAGAGGATGCGAGCAGCCAATTCAGAGCCAGTGTAGTGGTGGTGATCTTCGATGAGACCACGGATAAAGGCAATTTCAGCGGGATCCTCCAAAGTGGAGACCTCAACCATCTCCATATTGATCTTGGAGTGGAAGTCCTGGTTCATGTCAAGAACGTAGGCAATACCACCGGACATACCAGCAGCAAAGTTACGGCCAGTGGAGCCAAGGATCAGAACACGACCACCGGTCATGTACTCGCAACCGTGGTCACCAACACCTTCCACAACAGCAGTGGCACCGGAGTTACGGACAGCGAAACGCTCAGCAGCAACACCACGGAAGAAGCAGGTACCGCGAGTAGCACCGTACAAACAGGTGTTACCGATGATGACGTTCTCCTCGGCCTTGTAGGTGGCGCCGCGGGGAGGGTAGATGATGAGGCGACCTCCCGACAAACCCTTACCAACGTAGTCGTTGGCGTCACCCTCGAGTTCAAGAGTGATACCAGGGGCAAGGTAGGCACCGAAGGACTGACCGGCGGAGCCCTTGATATTGGAGTGAATGGTGTCTTGAGGCAGACCTTCCAAGCCATAGCGACGGCTGACCTGGTAGGAGAGCGTGGCACCGAGGGCACGGTCGGTGTTAACGATGTCGCACTCAACACGGCAAGGTAGACCCTTCTCCAAAGCCAGTTCAGACTCGGCAATAAGCTTGTTGTCGAGACGGGTGTGCAGGCGGTGGTCCTGCTTGCGGACGTTGTAGGTAGCAACGCCAGGGCGGAGAGAGTGAGCAGGAGTAAGAATGAGGGAAAGATCGATATTCTCCTGCTTGGGGTTGCGGAGGTCCTCTCTAACCTTGAGAAGCTCAGCACGACCAACCATCTCGTTGACGCTGCGAATACCCAGCTTGGCCATGATCGCACGCATTTCGTTGGCAATGTAGTAGAAGAAGTTAATGACGTGTTCAGGCTGGCCCTGGAACTTCTTGCGAAGGGCAGGGTCCTGAGTGGCGATGCCAACAGGGCAGGTGTTGAGATGGCATTTTCTATAGCATGTTAGTTTACCTTTTTTTTTTTTTTTTCAGACGCGATCTGTAGGATAAGCTTACCTCATGTAGATACATCCCAGGGCAATCAAAGGAGTGGTAGCAAACCCAAACTCTTCGGCACCGAGCAGACAGGCAACAGCAACATCGCGACCAGTACGAATCTGTCCATCAGTCTGGACAACCACACGGCCACGCAGATCGTTGAGAACCAGAGTCTGGTGGGTCTCAGCAAGACCCAGTTCCCAAGGAAGACCGGCATACTTGATACCAGTCCAGCGAGAAGCACCGGTACCACCGTCGTGACCAGAGATGAGAATGTGGTCGGCCTTGGCCTTGGCCACACCGGAGGCGACGATACCCACACCAACCTCAGACACGAGCTTCACGGAAACACGAGCGCGGGGGTTGGAGCACTTGAGATCGTAAATGAGCTGCTTCAGATCCTCAATGGAGTAAATGTCGTGGTGAGGAGGGGGAGAAATCAGACCGACACCAGGAGTAGAGTAACGGGTGCGGGCAATAGGACCAACAACCTTGTGGCCAGGAAGCTCACCACCCTCACCGGGCTTGGCTCCCTGGGCCATCTTGATCTGCAGCTCATCGGCATCTGCAAGGTAGTGGGAGGTGACACCGAAACGTCCAGAGGCGATCTGCTTGATAGCAGAGCGCATGGTGTCGCCGTTCTCCATTCTCTTGCTTCGCTCGGGATCTTCACCACCCTCACCAGTGTTGGACTTGCCACCCAGGCGGTTCATGGCAATGGCTAGAGTAGAGTGAGATTCCATGGAGATGGATCCGTATGACATGGCACCAGTCACGAAGCGACGGACAATCTCGGTCCAAGGCTCAACCTGGTCGATCGGGATGGGGGTGCGCTGCTCAAAGTCAAAGTCGAGCATACCACGGAGAGTGCAGTTCTTGATCTGGTCGTGGGCAGCCTTGGCGTAGGCTTCATAGGACTTGTCGTTCTTCGTGCGTACCGCATCCTGCACGTTGGCAATGCTGACGGGGTCGTTGATGTGGTCCTCGCCACCATCGCGCCAGTGATATTCACCGGACTCAGTCAGACCGGGGATATCCACGACGGAGCGTGAGGGATAACCGCGCTCGTGGAAAGCATACGCATCCTGTGCAATGAGCTCGAAAGTCATACCACGGATACGGCTGGCAGTTCCAGCGAAGCAGCGGTCGATAACGCTGTCATCGATACCGAGGGCTTCAAAGATCTGAGCACCCTTGTAGGATTGCAGGGTAGAGATACCCATCTTGCTCATAACCTTCAGGATACCACCGTCGCATGAAGCCTTGTAGTTTTCAATGACCTGCTCATCGGAGAGTTGCTTGCGGATCAACTTCTCACGGTTCATCTTGAGAATACACTCCATAGCGAGGTAAGGATTAATACCATCAGCACCGTAACCGACGAGGACGCACATGTGATGCACCTCACGGGCTTCAGCAGTTTCAACCAGCAGAGCAGTCAGAGATCTCCACTTGTTGCGCACCAGGTGGTGGTGGACCAAACCAGTGGCCAGGAGAGCGGAGACGGGAACGCGCTCCGCAGAAGTAGCACGGTCGGAGAGCACGATGATCTTGTCTCCGTTCTGGATAGCCTCGGTAGCTGCATCGCAGATGGAGTCGAGGGCCTCAAGGTATCCAGGAACACCCTTCTTCTTCTCGAAGGTGATGTCAATAGTCTTGACACTCCAGTCCTTGTGGACCTTGGTGATGTTCTTCAGCGAGTTGAATTCGGGAATGCTCAAGATGGGGGATCGCAGATGCAGACGGCGGCACTGAGATTGATCCATAGCCAGGAGGTTGCCCTGAGGGCCGACATAGCACTCTAGAGACATGACAACAGCCTCGCGAATAGGGTCAATGGGGGGGTTGGTGACCTGAGCGAAAAGCTGACGGAAGTATTCGTAGAGGAGACGGGGCTGTTTAGCAATGCATGCAAGAGGAGCATCGTTACCCATAGAACCGAGAGCTTCCTTAGAGTCGGCACCCATGGGGCCAAGGAGGAGGGTGACCTGCTCGAAGGAGTAGCCAAAGGCCTTGAGACGGGGGTCATTCTGGACGGTAGTCTCATCGAGGGCTTGCTGGAGGTCCACCTTCTGCTCAACGAGCGCTTCCGTGATAGCCGGCAGCTTGACCAGCTCCTTCTCCAGCCAGGCGGAGAAGTCCTGACGGTGAGAGACGGTATACTTGAGTTCAGAGTCGTCAATGATGCGACCCGCCACGGTATCAACCAGAAGCATCTTTCCAGGCTGCAAACGGCCCTTCTGGATCACGCGCTCCTGGTCGATTTCAACAGCACCGACCTCCGAGGCGCAAATGATGCGGTCATCGTCAGTCACGTAGAAACGGCAGGGACGCAGACCGTTACGGTCGAGGTTAGCCCCACAGTAGCGTCCATCGGAGAAGGTGAAGAGGGCAGGGCCGTCCCATGGTTCCATCTGGCAAGCAGCCCATTCGTAGAAGGCAGCCTTGGAGGGGTCCATGGCCGGGTTGTCCTGCCAGGCCTCGGGGATCATCAGCATAACGGCTTCGGGAAGAGACAGGACGCCATTGATCATCAGCAATTCCAGAACGTTGTCGAACGCAGCGGAGTCAGAGCCACCGTCCTCGACGATGGGGAGCAGCGACTCGAGCTCCTCGCCAAAGATCTCGGACTTGAGTAGACCCTCACGGGCGCGCATCCAATTCTTGTTTCCGCGCAGGGTGTTGATTTCACCGTTGTGGGCCGCCCAGCGCAGAGGCTGCGCACGGTCCCAGGAGGGGAATGTGTTGGTAGAGAAACGCGAGTGAACGAGGGCAAAGTGACCTTCGTAGTCGACGTTGACGAGATCGTGGTAGTATTGATAGACCTGCACGGGAGCCAATTGGCCCTTGTAGACGATGTTTCGGTTGCTCAGGGAGCAGAGGTAGAACCAATTGGCGAGCCCAATGACGTGAGTGGCACGCTTTCGTAGCACATAGAGCTGGAGCTCAAATGTCTTGGTGTCGAACTGCTCGGGATCAGTGATCTCGGGCTTGTCTCCCTCCCCGTAGGCAGACTTCAACACCACAAAGGGCTGCATAATGGTAGGTTCTCGGGAGAGAGCAGCAGGGCCCAGAATGGTGGAATCGTGGGGGACCTCACGCCATCCTAGTACGCGCAGGCCTAGCGATGTGGCGATCTCTTCGAAGGACTTAATGGACTCCTTTAGGGACTCTTCATCAGGCTTGAAAAACAGGTTTCCCACGGCATACTGGCCCAGAGGGGGGAGGTCAACGCCAACTTCGCGAGCGAAGTTCTTGACGAAAAACTTGTGGGGGATACTGGTCATTACACCGGCACCATCACCATCCCGAGCATCGGAACCGACAGCTCCTCGATGCGTCATGTTACATAGCAAGTTCCGGGCTGTAACTGTCAGAATATAATTGCACGGGGTTAATTTGGGAGGATGCGAAACTTACCATCGCTGACAATCTTGTGGCTAGCTTTGCCTTTGATATTACTGTATTTTACTCAAGAATCAGAGCTGAAATATTATAGCAGGTGTGGACTCAGATCACGTACGCCGCAAAGCCTACACCGCAAGCATCCTTTTCATATTCGGGGTCATACAGACCTTGCCGCTCGGGCAAGGTGTTGGCCCAGCCATATCCCTTCTTTGGCTGGAACTCCGAATACTCCGCTGGTTTTTGCTCCTCAACTAAAGTTTGGCCATAGATTTCCTCCAAGTTCAGACCCATTCTTCCGCCGGGAACCGACAGAGAATGGAATAGTAAACAGGGGGGATTGAGGGGGGGGGGTTCAGTGAGTGGTGGCCGCCGCGGGATGAATGGAGGCGGGGCAGCGAGTCGTGATGTATAGATAAGGAGAGGCTGTCGTTGATAGAGGGGGGTCGGAACGTGGGCAACGGATGTGACAATCGCGAAGGGAATAATTCGCCCAACGTATAATTCCGGGGATGATGAAAATAGAGGGAAGAAGAAGAGTAGAAGAGAAGAAGAAAGAGAGAAGAAGAAAGGGGGGGGGGGGAAGGGAAAGAAATAATAAAAGCAAGACTGAGGAGGGGGAGTAAGTAGTAAAAAAAAAAAAGCTACTGGACGGGAGAGCAAGTAGTAGGAAGAGAGAGGTCCGGGAGAAATTCACCAGGCACTCCGATACGGTATTGTATCCAGAGCGTATTGACGCTTCAATCGAATCCCTTTGCATCCTTCATAATTATAAGATGGGATTCCACCGTGGCAAATATTCAGGAGCCAGTCAAGTAGTACTTCTTACTGTACGGGAGATACCTAGAGTAGGTAGGTAATACTTCTGCAATAAGAGACGAGAATCCCACCCTGTGTAGGTCGAGCGTTTTCGGCGACTTCCGCTCCTGTTCTTTCTTGGTACATTCCTGGATTCTCTTCCTTCTACATGAGAGATGATCCTATTACTACCTACACATCATGATGAGTGATCTCTTTACCTATAAAGTCATACCCAAGTACCGAAGAAGTACACTATTCAGAGATAAGCCATGTGTGTCCTCCAATCACAGTAGAGGTTTTACAACCTTTTAACCAAAAAAAGATTAGGTTTTTCCTACGTCAAGATCCAACCGAGTGGGGATGGTAACCGTATTACCGTGTGCGGTATGGTATGTATTACCAGTATTTTATTCCACCCCTCTCTTCTTGTTCTTCTTCTGCTTCTCCCGTATTCAGAGTAGTAATAATACATAATTATGAGTCTAATGCAAAAGGAGGATAGTACGAACAGTCCCAATAATCTAAAGAGATTCCGTTAACTCCCGGTCTACCTGAGTCAATCTTCAAAAGAATATTCTAATTGAGGGTAGTTTCCCGCGGCACAAAGGAAGAATAGTCTACCGGGTAGTAGGTCAATGATGAGACCACCATCGGCCTTTTATCCTCATGATTGGCGATCCATCAGCCTTCAGATAGGGAACATACCGGATGGATCGGTCCATCAAATCATTAAACCATACTCGAGGACAGGGGAGGAGACAATACATAAACAACTTTTGTCTTGCCACCATGAGGTAGTCAGGGAGCCATAATATATTCTGAGATCCCTAGTCAACTTGGGCTTCTTTTCTTCTTCCGCCCTTGTCGAGTTCAAGACCCGAGTCAATGGATGATTGGATCTTGGGTAGTGGGGCAGGACAAGGATACAGTGCTTATCCATTAAAATTGTAAGAATATACCTACCGTGAACTTTGAAGAGATTAGATGGTAAACGAATGAAAAGGTTAAAATAGTGGTAATTTGTGTTGAGACTAATGACTGTTAACTAGGTACTCCATAGGTACTGGTAGGTACTTTGTAGGTACTTGTTCCGGAATCACAATTTTCCTAGTTGCTCTGTCCTGCACCTTCTTAGCAGTAGTTCGTGTATTTGAAATTCTAGAATATCTAGAAAGATCTAGGAAGATATGGATTCCAGACGAATTAATATCGCCCTGGATATCTTAAACCAGTACATAAATAAATTGGAATAAATCACACCCGAAGCAAGACTATGGGGCTCATGCCACTAGTAATCGAGCATTGGGCATTGGGTGGTCCCAGGCTGGCTGGCTTCAAGCGGCCGTCTTCGTCGTGCCGACAAAGTCCTGCGGCAGTCCTGTCTGAGTCAAGAGAAATGAAACCAGCTAAGCAAGTACCCCACGTAAATTGCATGGGCGATCTCTCTTGTGTCCCAATACTAGCGCATACCTCCCCCGACCAGCATATGTATTATTGGCAAGCTCGGAATCGGTAAATTACTGGAGGAGAGGTACCATCCCGCCTCTCACAGGAACTTCCGACAACGGCCAAGCTAGACGCTATCCCTTTTTAGCCCCGGAACTCTCTTCTGCAGCCACCCCCCCCTCCCCTCCCCCCAAACTCTTGAGGTCCTCCCCCGAAATCGGGCCCGAGCCGCACTTCCCACAGAACCCCATCCGTCCCCTACCTACGCCTGCGTATTCACCTCAGCAACTTTTTGAACCATTTCCGGATTCTTACCTTGTCGGTAATAATTTGCTGATCGCTCTTTGCTCCTGTTCCCTGATTGATATAATATAATAATATATACCTAGGTACCTAAGGTATCTCCCACCTCCACTACCGGAGTGATTCACGGAGCAATCTTGGACCAATAGAGCCCCGACCAATGGGTGAGTCGCATTATCCTCCCCCGGGAAATACGGTCCATTTCTTGGTTCATCCGTACCATACGATACACAGTCTTTGGAACTTGTAACAATACCCAAAGTTACTTGGGCGGCCGATAAGCTTACTTGAAATATGATGATAATATGAATAGTAAGATAAAAAAAAAGTTGCTTATTCACCGGGATTTCATTGGATTCTGGATTCTGGATGCTGTCCGATCCATCTGTACCTCATTGGAACCGTCCACGGACATCACATGATCCAGCGGAGATGCCAATGTTTGTTCCCTTTTCCGGATTCCCCCGTTGCGTCCCGTCCTCACCCGTCCTGTCCCATTTGGGTTCACCGACTGCATCTCCGACGACTGACGAACGGCACCACAGCCGAAGACCGGACAGGGCTCTTGATTACATAACTACTATGTACATCGCTCCGTCTCATTTTTCGGACGGATTTGGGCGCTTTCGCTCCAGTCGGGCATCGTTACATTTCTTCCAGTTCTCCTGAACATAGGTACTCCATACTCTCAGAATCTCCCTCTTTTTCTCGGATGCTGGAATGAATTCCATTGCTAACTCCACTATGTTGATATCTAGTATACTGGACTCCAACCGACACCCAAATACAATCGATAGCGCTGGCTCTTTCCATGCATCTGCAGCTAAACAGGTTCAGTTCGACTCGGGGCGGACGAAGAGAGAAAGAGAGAGCGAGAAACTACTCCGTACCCTACTAGGTACAGTACCCACAATGCTTTGAAATATGTACTGGAGGATTCCGATTCAGGTAATCTCATCCCGTATCCACTAGACGAAGATGGGGTGCGAGATGGATTCCTTCTAGCACCCAATTCAATCCAGAAGACTATATATACTATACTCGTTATATTGGGTCAATGCTCGTTCTTGGTCTTGTCCGGTTTCGTAGCAATTTATCCCAAGTATTCGCAGAGGACTTCCTACCTTACTCCCTTGAAATATGAATATCACTTTATATATCCAACTAACTGTCTATCTCGAATCAGTGTACATACTCTGTAGATGGTGCAGATTAATCCTAAATATACTACACGAAATAATGAACAATAATGTAGCCGGAAAATCCCGGAATCAAGCTTCCCCGCGGGCCGCAAGCAACCACCATAACAAACTATTTTCATCCACCAACAACTTTCCACCCTTCAATCCATCGCGACTGCTGCAGTTCCACCAGAACCAATTCAGTTCATTTCGATTAATCAATTGCTCCTTCGATCACACAGTCCAATCACTTACCCCACTTAACCGAGGTCCCAAGGTCCCTCAAGTGATGAGGATGCAATTGCAGCCCAAAGTGCACTCCAAGCTTGCGGTGGTCCTGACGGCGGTCTCTCGGGATTGAGATTGATTGATTTGATTGATTGATTCCCCTGCAGAACGCCATCCATATCGGAAACATCCCGATACTCTCGGAGACACGGACAAAAATGCTTTCTCTCCCTCTTATCGTGCCGCGTGATGTACGTTTTCCGGTCGATCTACCCACCTGCCCACCCAACACACCCTTCTACTATATTATCATGCCATAATCTGATCAAATGAGAGAATCAACACTAACAGAGAGAAAAACAAAATCAAGTCACACGATCTCTGGTTCACCCCTTCCCAACCCTACCGCACCTTCACCCCTGCTGCCACGGACACAACCCAGGGTCCCGGGCCCGGTCAAGGCCTTGGTCCTGGTCCGAACGCTCGTCGCCACGGCCACCGTCTCTCCTCGACAAACCACCACAACCCGTCCACCTCCACCTCTACCAACTCAAACCAAAATCATGGAAACAATACCCTGTCCTCCCTCCTCCTTGAGGAACGCGCCTTGCGCGCCCGCAAAAACAATATCGCGTCCTTTGGCTGCTCGTGGATAAAACCCGCTGGGTGTCCGAAGACTATGCTGGGGATGAAAGAGGAAGAAGCGGAACGGGCAGAGGCGATGGCGGCTGCGGATGCAGAGTTTGCTGCTGCTTCGGCGGCGGCGGCGGCGGCGGCTGCAACGGGGGGAGAAGGAGAGGCAGAAGAAGGGGAAGGGGAGACGGGTATGGAGAGGGATTTGGATGCGGAGATCCCGGATGCGGATGGGGAGGGGGATACGAGGATTGAGCAGGACGATGATGATGACGAGGATGGAGAAGGCGAAGATGAAGACGAGGGGCTTGTGGAGGAAGGCGAGGAGGGCTTAGAAGACGAGGAAGGGTATATGGAGCGGGATTTGGATGATGATATTCCCGAGGCGTTTCATGACGATGACGATTACTTGGAAGAAGAAGACGAAGACGACTTTGATAACCAACCCGATCTGGACGACGACATCCCTAGCGCCGACAACGGCATTTCAGACGACGAAGACGACGAAGACATGAGCGACCTCAATGCAGAACAGGAAGAAGCCATGGACCGCGACTTGGACAACGATATCCCCGAAGCCGGAGTACCCGACGACGACGACGAAGAAGAATGGCAACACACAGATACAGATGCCGAATTGGACGACGAGGAAGACGAGGTCAGTTTTTCCGTTGATCCGTTCCGCGCAAGTACAGCGAGCAGCACGCGCGGGTTACCTGGATATCCTCCTCCGCATCTACCTCCGCACTCGCACTCGCAGCCACGAAGAGAAACGGAAGCCCAGCGCCGCTTTCTCCAGCGCTGGAGCGGGGGCGGCGACGCCTTCGACACGAGCAGTATGATGGTAGATGAGGATGACCTGCGCGCATCCATGGTGAGCCAGGGAAGTCGGGGGAGTGTATTTGGCCGGTTTCCGCGACGGAGATCAGGGCTGCCGAGGGATAGTCTTGAATAGTTTTTTTTTTTTTTTTTGTTTTTTTTTAACCCCCCCCCCCCCTTCCTTTCTTTCTGGGGTTCTTTTTTTTTTGCCTTGGAGCATGGATATCATACCATGGAGCATGGAGTTATTCTTTAGACATAGATACCGGTATGGCTCTGTATGGACATGGACGGAGCTGGAGTTGGAGTTGAGTTTGAATTGGAATTCGTCAATAGGCTTTGAACAGCGTATAAAGCAAGCATAGCATGGAATCTATCTTCATGTACTTTACTTTACTTTTCCTCTTTCTGGTATTATTCTATATTCTTACCCTAGTCATGAGTAGAGAGAGAGAGAGAGAGAGAGAGAGATTGATTAGATAAGATAATAGCAGAATAACTAGAGAGAATACCTAAAGATCATGTTATTAGTGCCTATTAGTGTCCCTAAGTATAGTAGTATAGTAGTATAAAGAAGGAAGAGAAGCACTACTATGTCTACCACGCCAGGAGAGAAAAAGAAACCACAATCGCCAGATGGCATTGCATTGCTTGAGTCACCAACCAGCCAGCTACGTACGTACAATTCTGATTCATAATTCTTTGCTTCGTGTACACTCCACTCCGTCCAGCCCAGCCCAGCCCAGCCCAGCCCATTCCAAGTAAAGGTAAAGCTAAAGGTAAATGTAAAACGCAAGTATCCGTGTCCAAATCCACACCCCGTGCCTAGGTAGCTAGGTAGCTAGTTTCGCTTTATATGTCGACAGAATTAGTCAAGTAGAATACAGAGAAAGAGTGGGAGAAAAGAAAAAAAAAAAAGGAAAGAGAAAGAGAAAGAAAGAAAGCAATGCACGCTCAACTGCAAGACAGAACCTAGTATGCCCCAGGTGTAATGTAATGTAACAACAGAACTTTTGTGCAGTCACCCATGAAAATCCAAAAGGGAAATAGGTGGAACAGACATATCTGGCCCCGGAGGGTGTGATCCAACCTAGGGCTGTGTCTGCTCCTACAAAGCCTGGTTGTAATTATCGGATATTCGTTGCTTTCGTGAACCATACCATAACACCACCAGAGCCCATAAATTGCTGATTATTAAGAGATAAAAAAAAAAAAAAAAAAAAAACACGGACGACATAGTCGACGGGTCAAAAGAAGAGGAAGGACGGCCGTGACAAAAGCAAGAATAGATAGAAGAGTAGCAGCAAACTAGAGCGCTTGTTTCTCGGGAGCTGTTGAACTGGATGGCTGATCAAGCTTTCTCATAGATGGCTTGCTTATTGGGCTGCAGCAGGGGCAGGGCCAGCGGCAGCTGGACCTCCGTTGGGTCCACCGCGACCACGGCCACCACGACCTCGTCCACGTCCCCGGAAGTCACCACGGCCACGGCCACGGAATCCGTCACCGCCGCGACCACGACCGCGGCCACGGCCGCGGAAGCTGGGCTGTCTCTGGTGGTGCACAACTTGTTCAAATCCATCACCGCGTGGGGTCTTGCGCTCACCAGCGTCAATTTTCACGTCAGGGTCGACGTTTGCAGGGGTAGCCTGAAGGCCGGTCTCGGTCTCGGCAGGGTCACGAGGAACCTCAACCCAGCTCTCGGTGTGCGAGGATGCAAGAGAGTCCGCAGGGTTAGACTCCCAGCTTGCTTCAGCAACTGCATTCGCAGCGTCGGGGACGAGTGTCTGAGGGGGTGGGACGAGTTGCTCAGGTTGGGTTGCAGCGGCTGCATGCTCCGTAGCAGCAGCAGCTTCGGCAGCGTAAGAGGGATCCTGGAGCTCCGTGTACGCGGCGTTGGCGGTGGTAGGGTCGGACATAGGAGCGGCTTCTGCAACAGGTTCCTCAGACGTAGAAGCCTGTTCTCCAGAGATCTGCTTGACTTTGGCGTCTGTCGAGAAAGCGCATTAGCCATTGAAAGCAAACCGCATTTGGATAAACTCACATGTGACGTCCAGTGTTTCGCCCTCTACGCTGACGATCTTCTCCTCCACACCGTCGACGAGCTTCAGTATCGATGCAACTGCTTCAAGAGAACCCCCGTAGACCTGGTAGAGGACACCCTCAAACGCACGACTCTCACTAGAAGTCTCATCGCCGGAGCGCCTCATATTAGCGGCAGCGCACAGGAACTTGCTCAGGCTCAGCAAACGCTGGTTGAGCTCATCCTTGCCGGTTTCGCTAGCTGCAACAGAAGCCTTTTCCTGGAGGGATTCCACTTCCTCCTTGTGTGCCTTCTCCAGCTCCGCCTTCTGGGAAACCAGACGCTGTTCGTAATAGGCAGCAAATTCCTTATAGTGGGCGATCTGTTCCTCGATCTGGGTGACAGAGGCCTGGAGAGAGGGTTTCTTCAGCGCCTGAGCCTTTTGATCGTTGTTGATCTTCTTCTCGGCAACCAAATCGTCTAGCGATTTCCCGGGGTTTTCAGCAATGATGGAGTCAACTTTGGCGGTCGCATTCTATACGAAGCAAATGTCAGTGGCCACGACGAGTAGACCCAAGCTATAATGCACAGAGAATTTATTTTTACCAGCTTCTTTACAGCATTGCGCAAGTTCCTAATGTGTCATTAGCACCTACTTAGGACTGCCTGGAGAGAAACAGAGCGGAGGTGGGCAACGGTATTTGGCGGCGGTTACCTCTGAAGTTCTTTGTAGTGTGGGAAGTCAATAGATTCTGAGGGAGAAGAGGAAGAGGAAGAAGCTCCATTGATATGAGGAACGTTCTCTGATTGGGAAGGGGACTGTGCAGGAGCGGTGTTCACAGGAGCGGCAGCCATGATGATCTGAATGTGATAGTCAGAGTGTGGAGGATTGAGAATAAAGGAGGATGACAAGACAAGAGAGAAGATAAAACGAGGAAGGATGAAAAAAGAAGAAGAAAAGCTTCTGCTACGAAAGTAAGATTGATGTGTGTGTGTGTGTGTGTGTGTGTGTTTGTGTGTAGAAGCCAGTGGAGGGCAGAAGAAAGAACAGAGGCGGGTGGAACTGCGCCGAATCTCAGTTGCTGTGGCTTTGTCGTGTGCTGCAGGCAGCCTAACCTAATAACTCAGCTTGGTGGAATTGTGATCTATAATCTTGAATCCAGAGTGACGGATAAAGTAGATAATTAACTAACTATGGTCTGCAGCTGCTTTATTTGGTTGGATGGATGTCTCTACGAGGCTCCTAGTCTATGTGAGGCTCTAGTTGAGGGTCCCCCAAGCTATTCAAACAAATACCATAACTATAATTGGGTATCATAAGACTCTAGCTAACTCCCTTGCAGTCTATCCATTTATTCCCTGGTCTGGGGCTGTATTAGAATGAAAAGAAACCCAAGGCCGTTCGCAACATCTAGCACAATAGCACAATAGCACAACCTAACGCCGTAGCAGCTATCCAAATCATGTCCCATCACACCACACACACGCCTATAACCAAATTATAATAATTCCCAGGCTAACCTTGAAATTTGCGGAGAGTTTTCTGCAGAAACCCAGTCAGTCCAAACAACCACAGTACAGTTGGGTTGTCTCACACGTACTTCAGTCACCTTGCGCACCGAGTTTGGGGATATATTCTTTTCGCCTGATTTCCGGGACCGAATCGATGCTTCGCGCATTAATCTGTTGTCGAGCGTCAGAGCAGCTTCTTGTTTTTTCCGTGTGTGTTATCAACGCGAGTCGCGGCAGTCTCCAGCCGTAACGGGGAGCTTCAAAACAACTCACTCTTGCATGAAGAGCATGTAGTCCAGGAAGATCTACAGTAAACGGCCAGCAAATGTTAGTCTCAGCGGAATCTCAAGGGAGAAAATGACATCGTGGGATTCAGGAAATTAGTACCAGGATATCCGCATTCTTGCTCAAACTGCGGTTCGCATGGGCTTTGACGATGCGTTTGACCGTTGCTCGGGGATAGAGCTTCTGGGTAGCTGCCATGGTTGGCGATGCAGCAGCAGCAGCAGCAGCAGAGGACGTCAGCGACTCTGTTTCACAAGATCAGAGTTGATAACTTGATCTTAATCTTTGCTTGAATTGCTGGAGCTTTTCCGTGAAACGCTTGGATGTTTGTGTTACATAATGTCAGTGGAACCAGTACCGATCTGGATGGTATTTACATTACCATACGAGTAAAATTCCGCCGAGTGTAACTGTCGACCAAGCTTTGATTTGATTTGCCAGCTGTGGATACTTCGGGAAAACTTTGGAAGAAACCCTTCGCTTACTGGGATGGAATTCTTATTTTATGTATATATTATCGCGATTTTATGTACCTAGAGAATTCAAGATGCTATACAGTCAATCGTCTTTGAAGGATCTTCCAGACACAATAAGCGGCCGTGGAGCCTAGAATCGTTCGCCATACAAGGAAGATGTAAATGGCAATGCGGACCCTTTGGTAATACCCTCGAAGCATGATGCCCACTGCGTAGGCGGTTCCATCTGGACTCTTGTCGGACGGCCCGTAATATCTGCCCACCCCCAGTCCACCGATCCCGACATCATTGCGGTCATCGTTGTCTTGTACTTCAACTACAGGTAGGGCGGCTGTTTCGCCGTCTAACGCCGTATTGTTTGGCTGAGGCGGGATTCCGAATCTGACCTGGCGCATGTTACTTTTGCGTAACTTGTACGTAAGAAGATTGACAATGAAGCGCAGATCAAGAGGTGTGAAGTTGGGATAGTTCCACAGCTGTACAGCCGTGTAAGGCGGCAGCATGTCTAAAAAGTCCGCTAGAATGCCAAGGGTCAGCCCCCAGAGGAGGAGTGGAGGGTTCTGGAAGGGTGAATGAGGTTGCTTGTTGCAAAGCCACGATTTCCAGCGCTGAAACCAAGTTGTCACTTGAGCCCTTTTTAAACTGCGCTTCAGGTTTTGACTGCAGTGCAAAGTTTCAGTGGGGTTTAATTGAATGGCGGAAAACTGCATCCAACCCATTATTGCACGGCTTGCGAGACCGGCCATGAGCCCACCTGTGCTTGCAAGCCGCTGCGACATGTCAACATTTTCTACCGTTCGCGATGAAGGTGAGAGGAGAACACTCAGAGACACCCAATGGGTTGACGCAACCTCGGCCGGTTGGAGTTCGAGGGCTGGAGAATCGCAGCTTGTGAGCAAAAAGACATAGGGGCACAAGACCATTAACCTAAGTAGAACTGGTCAGCACAATCCATCGCGTAATTCACATAGCACGTACGGTATACTGCCCCAGCTGGAAGTCACCACTCGTTCCGGCAAATTCCCCACGTAGATGCAGCCGTCGGTCGTCAAGTCCAGGCCCACTTCTTCCGAGGCCTCGCGAATCGCAGCCGCACGGTCGTCCACATCCTCGGGGTCTCGCTTTCCTCCCGGAAGAGCAATGTGGCCGGTCCAGCGATCCCCGACACGCGAGGATCGTTTGATGAACAGAGCCTCAGGATCTCCGTGTTGGACCCACGATTGGGAGAAGAAAGTATGGAGCTGCTGCTTGACGGGAGCGGCGTTGTCATTCTGAAACGGCGACAACCGATCGGGTCGGTGGCTGTAAGTAGGCCGGATTCGGAGGACTAGAGCGACGGAGGCTCGTTTCTTGCATCGAGGTGGATTAGGGACATGAGGATAGGAGTTTTCATGGAGATCTATTAGGGCATGATGAAGAGAATGGGATAGCAACGCGGATTCTTGGGACGGATCTGGACGAGATTCCATGGTTTAGGGATCAGTGGCGAAAAGGATAGGGGTATTATTGGTGTTGGAAAGAACTTCTGGCCATATCACTTTCAATTAAGGTAGAGGATAGAAGGAGAGCAGACTCAGCAGAGAACCTGGGGGGGGGAATATAAAGTATCATCATCAGCTTGCTCAAGAAGCCAACTTGACTGCTCAAAAGTTGGCCGCCCAAGTGACGTGTAGATAGTCAAATATATTACAGACCGTGTATTTTACGGTATTGTTATAAAACAGACGGCCGAAATTCCATCGGATCTAGGCTCTGCAGTGGGTCTTCTTTTGCCATCTGTGATTGGCCAAGAGGGAGCTATTAGAGGAGCACGTGCTTTAATCTGGCAATCATAGGGTAACTTCAAGTCTACATGAAAGCCTGAGGTCTTCCTAGCGTCCTCTCGATCCATATCTTTGCGGATTTCCCTCTTCTTTCCCTCGACAGATTCTGCTCGAGTTCTCAAATAATTCCCAACAATTGATCTCGGGTGTGTTCATTGTGATTTGAGAATTTGTTTCTTCTCTCCCTTCCATTGGCCTGCTCTCTGAGTGACTTCGCTTCCATTGACACTGTCCCCACCCCCCTCCCTCACTTTTCTGAGCCGCTCGATTTTTCACGATTGTACGGCGATGCGGTTCGGCAGGACGTTGAAACACTCCATCTATCCGCCATGGAGTAAGAATTATATCGACTACCAACGGCTGAAGGTGCTTCTGAGGGAGCACGATGTCACTGGTGATGATAGTGACTCTGACAACCCTTGGACGGAGCAGGACGAAGAGGCCTTTGTCCAGGAACTGCTCAATGTTCAGTTAGATAAGGTCAATGCATTCCAGGTGCAGACCTCGCAGCAATTGAGGGAACGGACTGCTGCATGTGAGGCCAAGCTGCGACCGTTGGCTCCTTCCGACGATGAGACTTCTACCGTGGATGATGACGAAAAAACGAGAATCGCCTCGGAGGTTTTGGGGGAGCTGGATAACATTACCAACGAGGTGACTGAGCTGGAGAAGTACAGCCGTATCAACTTTGCCGGTTTCCTCAAAGCTGCGAAGAAGCACGATCGCAAACGTGGAGCTCGGTACCGTGTTAAGCCCTTGCTCCAGGTCCGCTTATCGCAGCTGCCCTTCAACTCCGAAGACTACTCCCCTTTGGTGCACAGACTGTCGGTGATGTACTCCTTTGTGCGCGAGATACTGACCACTGGTACTGTCGAGCCCAATACCCCCGAGCCAGGATTCGGACAGGGCAGTTATTCTTCGTTCAAATTCTGGGTCCATGCAGACAACATTCTGGAGGTCAAGACGCTTATCCTTCGAAAGCTCCCGGTGCTGATTTATAACCCCACATTGTCGAAAGAGTTGGAATCTCTCCCTGTCGACCCTACCATCACTTCTCTCTATTTCGATAACCCCAACTTCGATCTCTACACGCAGAAAATCACACGAAGCTCTGAAGCTGCCTCGCTTCGGTTGCGTTGGACCGGAAGTCTCAATGACAAACCCCCAGTTTTCCTAGAAAAGAAGGTTGTGACGAAGGATAACTACAGCCGGGAGGTGAAGGTGCAGCTGAAGCAGAAACATGTCAAGGAGTTCCTGGAGGGCGAATACAGAATGGAGAAGCAGGTCCACCGGATGGAGGATATGGGCAATAGCGAGCTGGAGCAAGCAGAGTTGCTCAAACACGACATAGAGGAGCTGCAAACTTTTGTCAAGGAAAACAACCTGCAGCCTATGCTTCGCGCCAACTATACTCGCACTGCCTTCCAGATTCCTGGAGACGATCGCATTCGAGTCTCTCTTGATACCAATCTTGCATTGATCCGGGAAGACTCGCTAGATGAGCGCCCTTGCCGGGATCCTAACGAATGGCACCGTGCCGATATCGATGACGCCGGGATGGAGTACCCGTTCAGCGGTATTCGAACCGGCGAGATTTCTCGTTTCCCCCACGGTTTGCTGGAAATTAAGCTGCGAGGAGATGCCGCTCACAATTCCTCATGGGTTAAGGATCTGATGGTCTCTCACCTCGTCAAGGAAGCTCCCAGGTTCTCGAAGTTTGCGCATGGTGTTGCCCAGCTGTTTGAGGATCATGTCAACAGCTTCCCATTCTGGCTCGGCGAGCTGGAGAACGACATTAGACGGGACCCTGAAACTGCATTCCACGAAGAACAAGAACGCCAGGCTAGACAGGCCGAAGAGGACATGGCCGTTGGAAGCTTCCTCGGAAACAAGACCGGCAGCCCATCTGTTCGGCCACTCGTAGGATCGCCGATGACCCGATTCACCGATCTCGAATCCCCATTGCGGAAGAGACGGTCATCTCAGTTCTTGATGCCTACCAGCCGGCCTCCTCCACCCAAGAATAATCAGGAGCGGCAACCCCGGGAAGAGCCGCTGTTTGTGCCACAAGAAGAGCGACAGATCACCACGTCTCGCCTGGCAGCCCTGTTCCCCGGATTCTCACGGACCCGTCGCGCGCAACAATCTTCTGTTGTCTTGCCACCGGGCGTGCAGGAACCCGGCACATGGATCAAGGATTCTGGCCCGGTCCGCGTTGAGACCAAGGTCTGGCTTGCCAACCAGCGGACCTTCATCAAGTGGCTGCACGTCAGTGTCCTGCTGTCGTCGCTGTCGCTTGGTTTGTACAACGCGGCCGGCCGCCACAACGACATCGCTCGCGCTTTGTCTATTGTGTATACCTTCTTTGCGATCTTTTCCGCCGTATGGGGATGGTATATGTACGAGCTGCGAGCGCGACTGATTCGTCAACGAAGCGGCCGGGACCTTGACCACATGTTCGGCCCGATCGTCGTGTGTATTGGTCTGGCTGTTGCTCTTATTCTGAACTTTGCTTTCAAGGTACATTTATTTCTTTTTTTTTTTTTTTTTTTTTCCATTGATCTCAAGCTCACTCCGTTCTAGTATACATCCACTATTGAAAAGCTCCGCGGAAACCAACCCCAGCTCAACGCTACTTCTATCGATGCTTCTTACGTGATGGTTGAGAAGCCCGAGGTCTGGGGCCTCGTTAACCAAGGCGACAACTATTAGTTTCGTCGGGCTCTTAATCATAGGAGGATTGTGAGAATCCATGTCGGCATGAAGGTAGACGAGAGGCTGATTGAAGGAAGATTGTTATGAGATAATTGACTACTGTCTCCCTATGTATGCTTTTATTGTTTGCCCTTGGTTTGTATAGGTATGATCCTGTATTACGGTGTTCTTGTTCCCCTTGTAGTAGTTATTAAATGAGTTGAATTGAATTGAATCAATGATTGGGAACCTCTACTACAAACCTGTAAACTCTGTAACGTATATATATATATGTAGCTTTCTAAACAAGTAATCATCAATAAAATACTCAAACACGGAATGCCTCTATCCATCCATCCATCTAGATATATATACAGCTCTCAAATAATACACACACACACACACACACACACACACACATATATATATAAACCTATCCCTATATCATAGATATCTTCTCGTCCTGAAATGCCTATCTCCAAGTAAGGGTGTGTGTTCGGGATTATTCCTGTCGTTATTTGTTTCGGACTCGTCCGGGGTTTCATTTTCCCTAGATGGATGTATATCTGGATCTATACCTGTATTTGTATGCGTATCTAGACATGGACATGGACATGGACATGGATATGGATATGAATATGAATATGAAGGTACGACTAGTGTACCGGTTGAATCTGACCGACGAGAATAGAGAAGACTCGGAACGTAGCCGGCAAAGGTTGTTCTGTGCATTGTTGCATTAGGGTTAGGAAGATGGCATGGAATGGAGATGAGGAGACTACCTATCGAAAAACCCCCCAAACAACCATAAATAGACCGTGCCCAGAAAAGCTATCACCCACTCGAGTATTCCCGCAGTACGGTACTCGGTGATTTTACCGTCCATGGTGAGAGAGATGAAGGCCACGGCGAGGAAGAGTTCGATGAGAATGAGGGTTGTCGAGAGGGTTGCACTATAGTAGTAATTGTTGTTAGCGGGTTTATTTTTGGTCTTCTAGTAGAATCCAGAGTAAGTAAGTAAGTAAGTAAGTAAGTGAGTAGGGGCATACAAAACTCTAACCCGGGACTTTCTCGTCCCCCCGCCCCAGTGATATCGTACTTTCCCGAAATGCGAGAGATAGGATACAACGGCGAGCACCTCGTCTGCGTAGACGATGGCCGTGCCCGCAGACTGCAAAGCCAATCCGGCAAAACAGAGCCGGAGGAAAATATGGTGGGCGGATTTGTACCGGAATGTGTCCATGACGCTGAGGAGGATGAGCGATGCACCTGCGACGCCGGCGGCGAGGATGGAGAAGAGCGAGATCATTTTCAGGGTTTTGGTAGTGTCGTGGTCTTCTCTCTCGTTGGGTTCACTGTCGCTTGCACTTTCATGTTCGCGTTCTCTTCCTCGGTCTGGCTCTGGCTCTGGCTCTGGCTCTGGCTCTGCTCTTGCGCTGGATGGGAGCGGATTGTCCTCTTCATCGGTGATATCCGGGGTCTGTTCGCATTGCTGGGTTCCAGTGCTGTACTCTGGACCCCGGATCAGGGCAAACCCGGGCTCGTAGCGCATAACATGGACGGCGGCGACAGTGAACAGAAAGCCCATGGCCGTGATTGAGGCTCCGACTAGGAAGAGTGGTTTGAGTTCGAACGAGGCGATATCGGAAATAAACCTGGGGACAGTTAGATCTACCCGCATGGCTTTGATCTCTAGAGAAGAGCAGAATACGAACGGTAAATGTGGATTGAATTGTCCTGGATAGGGACGCATCCCTTGAGCAACCCAGGTCAAGAGCAGGCTGGTTAAGGTGAGGAACCAGACTGAACCGGCGAGAGAGGGAAAGAGGACGAGTCGGGAGGGGGGGATATTGAGGATGACGGCGTGCAGGAAAGCCCAGGTATAGTCATGATAGCGGAGGAGGGTAGGGAGCATTTGAGGATGGGCAGAGAAGAAATCGTGGTAGAGTGGAGGAGTAAGTAATATCATATCATTAACCTGAGGAGAGGATTTGATTCCGATCAGATCAGAGATGATGATGTCATATAATACTGACTATCCTATATTATAAGATCTATAATACTAACGACATGGAGTAATTCCATACTTACTCCAAGGAGAAGAATCCAGATGAATCCCGAAGAATTACTGAATCCAGCATCTTTGCTTGGGAAACATGAAGTTATTTCCAACGCTGACAAATCCATCCATCACGTCAAAATATATATAACTATACATATACATATGTATATGACATTCTCTACAGAGTACTACTATACAAACGAAAATGACCAACTTCAACATCCAAATCATCTCTGATAGTGTTTGCCCGGTACGCTTCTAGCTTTGCCCTCCTCCTCCTCCTACTAAACAATATGTATAGTGGTGCTACGTCGGCTACCGTCGTCTCTCCCGCGCAATCACAATCCACAAAACCTCTCACCCCCTAGACACATTCACTCTAACCTGGGCCCCCTTCTACCTGAACCCACACGCACCCCGCTACCCGGGTGTCGACAAACGACAATACTACGAGACAAAGTTCGGCGCGGACCGCACAGACTCCATTCTCGCGCGGCTCTCCAGCGTCGGAGCCGCAGACGGGATTGCGTTCAAGTTCGGGGGCCGCACAGGAAGTACGCGGGACTCGCATCGGTTGATCTGGTATGCGGGGGAGAAGGAGAAGGAGAACAACATCAGCAACGCTAAAAGCGGGGAAGATGATGTGATCGGGGGAATCCAGACCAGAGTGATTGAACGGTTGTTCCGGGGGTATTTTGAGGAAGAGAAGAATATTACCGACCCCGCCGTGTTGTTGGAGGCGGGGGTTGCCGCGGGGTTGGGGCGCGAGGAGGTGCAGAGTGTGTTGGATTCGGAGATCGGGTTGGATCAGGTTGAGATGGAGGCGACGAGGGCGAGGAGGCAGTTGGTGACGGGGGTGCCTTATTATCTTGTGCAGGGAATGTATGCGATCGAGGGTGCGGATGAGCCGGAGACATTCCTGCAGGTGTTTGAACGGATTAAGGAGGCTTAGGTTTTTGTTTTTTTTTTTTTTATTCAAATGAATATGGACAAATGTGTAGTGAATTACTACTGATATTATTGTGGTTCTGTCTTGGGTTGAATCCCATATACATCACCATATCATCATATCACACCCTGATATCTGATTCTGATAATCCCAAGTATACAGAGAACCCCTGATCCCGTTATAATCACCCAGTGAGGCGTGCCGTTTGACGCCCGTATCATGCGAACACATAGGAATACATGGAAAGAAATACATAACGCTGATTAAAAAAAGAAGAAAAGAAAAGAAAAGAAAAACCACCCACACCGAAAAGAAAAAGTTCGAACAGTCGCTAAATCAAACGATCCGTTCGCAGTCATAGCAAGTCATAAAAGAATCGGAGATAATATATCAAAGCCAGGTAAAAATGAAGAGAAGAGAGAGAGAGAGAGCAGATCGTCCCGTCTTATATCTATCCTCTAATCGGCTCTAATGGTGCGTGGTAGCCTGGCGGAGCTCGAAATCCGGAATGTAGTCGAACCAGTCGGTCGTCGGGTTGTAACGATACGCCTTGAACTCCACTCCATAAGGCTTGGGCTCCAACATGTACAACATGCCCAAAGGCACGTCCAGGTCGGCAACTTCGTCCCGCTTCAGCCCACGGAAGTAAGCCAGAAGAACGCGTGCCACCGAGCGGTGCGTCACCAGCAGTACATGGTCCGTCATTCGCTCCACCTCGATAATCACGGCACGGAGCCGGTTGATCACGTCCAGGTATCCCTCGCCACCGGGCCCAGGGTACCGATAGTACAGCTTGTTCTTCTTGCGGGTCGCATACTCGTCGGGAAACCTCTGGCGGATCTCGTCGTAAGTCATTCCCTCCATCTTGCCCGCATATAGCTCGTCAAGCATCTTCATCTGCTTCACGTCATACTCGTCCTCATTGAAGTAATCGACTGTCTGCACCGTGCGCTGCATCATCGAGCACCACACGCAGAAATTGCGAGGTCGATCGCGAGGAATGTACGATGGATTAGGAGGAGTGCTGTCACCGGCACGCGGAGGGAGCTGCACAAGCATGTCCTTTTGTCGTTGGTACAACTCCCACTGGGTTCGCTGGTGATCAATAAACCGCGTCAGCGCCTTGGCATATCGATGGCCGTTTTCGCTCAGCTTGGAGTCGCCGCCAATGCGCCCAAGTTGATTGTCCTGACTCTCGCCGTGTCGGGTGATCCAGATCTGACGGGGAGAGAGGTTAAAGTTGAGCAGGTAATACACGACCTGCGAGGAGAGGAAGCCGTGGGTTTGATGCGACACAATCTTGCGCCCGACATCCACCATGCGAATGTACGGCATGTTATTGGATTCTTCATAATCCCCGAGGGGAACATAAGACTGTTCGTACAGAGCCACCCGCTTTTTGAAATCCTCCAAAGACTTGACCGGATCCTGGTCTTTGTAGTCAGGACCAGAGAGCTTCAGGCGCATGTTGGCTTCCAGCAGCACAGGGTCCACACAGCTGCTCTCGAGGAACAATACACCGAGCTCCGGTCCAGCACGATTACGGATGTGTTCCACAACAGCTTTGCGGCGTTCGAGTGTGCTGTTGGTCGCATCCAGGATGCCCACACTGCCACCCTGGTCGAGGATGTAGTCGAGCAGTTCGTCGAGAGTATCCAGGGCGACCTGCTCTCTGAGCTTCACGGCCATCTGGTTTTGAGGATCGAAGAAACTTGCAGACTGATCGATAGGCTCTGGGGATGCTTCGCGGATTTCCAGAGGTCCGGCCCTGATGGACGGAACAATGGTGTTCCCGTCCTGCAACGAAGGCACCGCCTCTTCTTGACCGTTGACGAGAATCTTGGCGGGGATGATCGGAGGTGGCAGTCCGTGATCGAGCTCCGGAGGAGAGATGGTCGCAGGGTTCGGGGGGGAGACATCATTATTGCCAGTACTCATGGCACCGACGCTGACGCTGAGGCGTCGTACCGAATCAATGAGCTCATTATGGACGGAGCTATTTCGATGACCGGGACGTCCAGCGGGAGAAGGGGACTTGCCTGCAGCAACGCGACGACGCTCTCCAACGTTGAAGATTTCTGTATCGTGCTGCAGCCAGTTCAAGTAACGGGCTAACTTTTTGGTGACATAACTCTTGCCACGGGCCGGCAGACCGACCATGACAATGACCAGCTTCGAGCCGAGGTCGCCCTGAGCGATCTTGCCATCGGGAGAGACCTTGGACTTGGTCAGACCTGGGATGTCAAGAGTTGTGGCACGAACACGACCTGGAGTTGAAGCCTGAGATGGAGTAGCGACACTATCAACTATTAGTCAGTCGTCAAAAAAAAAATAGAAAAAAAAAAAAAAAAGACAGGAAAAGAATAAGAATTAAGCATAATAACGTTATCTAAAATAGAACAAGATCCGCAGGTTGGGCCGCCTCAAAATCACGAAGACAGAGCGGCCGCATCTAGAACACCACAAGCTTTCTCTGACAAGATATAAAAAAAGAAACCCCCCCCCCCCCCAACTCCAATCAAAACACAAAGAAGGAGAGAAAGAAATAAGAATATCCTTACAATTGTGGAGACGAGGGAGCGGTAGAAACCGGAGTGTCTGTTAGGGCGAACCCGACACCGTCCTTGGATGCCTGCGATCCCCTGTGGACATCGGAATGCAGGTCGTTCCCTAGCGCTCGACCGGCAACAGACCTCGGAGGAGGCATAAGAGACGCGTCTTTCCCGGGTCCCGGCTTATAGTTGCCATAGATCCCGTTGGATGTGACCCCGTTGGGTTTTGCTCTGGTATTATTAATATTATGGTGAGTGTGGCGCGACAGGTCAGGAGATGAAGCACAACTCATGATCGCAGAGCGCGCTATGTCAGTGTGTTGAGCCATGATTCATCCCCCAATGCACTCCGTGGCGCAGATGCAGGGGATGATCTTTCGTTTCTGTCTTCAAATTTGTGGGGAAGGGAAAACGAGGATGCAGGAATTGATCCCTTGATGCAGACTGACAGAGAAGACCGAGAGAATTGAAATGAAGTCAAGGGAAAGAAAGGGAGGTAGAACTGAGGGGGGGCAAAACTGGAGTGGGAAGAAAAAAAAACTGGGTAAGGAGTTGGAACGTCTTGGTTCTTAGCAGGCGGGATGAGTCAAACCCGGACAAACTGGACGTCACAATAAGAAATAGAATAATCCCCAACAAAGATAACACCTGCCTGCAAGGGACGATATAATTGGATTGAATATCTTGATCCTGTGCCCAGGATGATGGTGAATAGCTGGGAAGCAGTGAAAGAACAAGTTTGGTGGTGGTGTTTTGGTGGCAGACAATCGAAGCTTGAAGAAAAGGACGGAGAGGGGCTCTCCGTGCAGTGGAAGCACTGGAAGTCTCGGATGGAGAGAACAACACGCTTGGGAAGGCTAATAAGATTATAAGGGGATCGATATGCACCATCCCCGGCAATCGGCTCACTTTTTTAATACTCCGTATACTAACTAACTACTACTAGGAGGAGTACTTTATCGGAGAAGGATGACGGATTGTCCGGAGTGTGGAACTCCAGGGAATCATGATGTCAGTCAACCAACCTCACTGTAAATAATTCTTCCATCCAAGTTTCTTGTGATGCTGACAGTGGCAGTCGTAGACAATAGTGGTAATACGATTTGAGCTGTATTGTAGATCCTGAATGCTTGGCCTAGGTAAGGGTGCTTCACTGCATCCATCCCTTTTCCATACCGGTAACCGATCATTCACTTGGGGAACCAGCCTAGAATGCCAAGGTATCACTACATACATTTGCACTGACCCTTCTCCTGGACTTCGGCGCTTCGCGAGACTTGGATAAAGATTTGGAACCGCGACTCGTTCCACGTCGTTCCCTTGCTGCTTATCTCCTTGGGACGAGGCGGGGCGAGGCGACTGGCGGGTAAGCAGAAGCTTGATAGCTCGTACGCCTTGCGCTTTTCTTGGCCGACCTGGGAGGTTGTCTGAACGCCATGGATCTTGTACAACTTGCTTCTTGTTTCCGCTGAGCTGTGCACTCTCACTGCCCACTGGATAATCCTCTTGGCCCACTTGGCATCATCTGTCGTGGGGGGTCTCGTGATTTCCCCCAGTCAGATGTCGGTCGCTGTCGGTCGCTGTCTCTACCTCGATTTCTCTAGTATCCCAACTTGACGCATGGGATCTCGTCCCTGAGACACCAAGCCAGGGGTGATAACCACCACCGCATCTGAGGAATTCTTGGCGCTTAGCGGATACGCAGGAATCCGTCACAATGCTCTCATGTGAGGCTTCCTGAGGTGGAGGTTGGCTGTTGTTGTTGTGGTCAAGATGGGTATCTTCGCAGGGCCTCGTAGACACAGCAATGCCAGCAAGCTCTACTGATCGAGTCGCAACGTCAAAGCAATCAGAGTGGCATAGGCAGCAACACTCAACGCTGTCAACACCACCACTGCATTACCACTGGTCCTGAACTTGTGACGATGGACGCCATCTTCTCCGACCTCGGAGAAAAACTGCCGGTTACCCTGCTGACGTCGGAAGAGACCGATTATCAGCACTCCCGCCCCGTAGACCGCAAACAACGCGCCCGTACTGTAGAATTCATGGGTGAAGATTTTGAGGACGACGAGAGCAAAGGAGAACTGGGAGAGCGCGGTCCGGATATAGGCCCCTTCGAAGGTCCGCTGGGCCGCCCGCACTTCGACTATCTCATCGGTAGTTAATGCAACGGTCCGGGCGCGGTGCATCCGGAGACGATAGCGATCTGCTGCACGACGCTGGGTTCTATTAGAATGAGATCCTTGTTGGGTATGAGGTGGTGGTACAGAAGGATGGGGGATCTGGACTCTGGAGCAATCGCGTACCTCGAACATGGTGCTGGTCAGTATTCAGTATCTGTATCCTGCCGGTAAAAAAAAAAAAAAACCCCCCCTATACAGCTCAAGGAGCTTGACAAGAAGTTGAAATCCCAGCACTCCTTTGGAGTTTTCCACAGGGTAAACAGAAGATGAGGGTTGAAGATGACGTTCACACAGGAAGAGAGTCAGCCGGAAACAAAGCTCACGTGGATCGAAAACCCATCGTCCTTCTGCTTCATTGGTATATAGTTTAACTGTTTGGGGAATTACTATAAGAATTTATTATAGAGTCAACTATAGCTAGATTTTTTATTGAATATTTATCTAGAAAGTTTTTTCCCCCACTGTCGATATTCCCAACACATCATCGGAGTTGAGCCCGAGTTCAACTTCTCTGGTGGATGGCTTCGGGTTAGAATACCCCGTTGCTGAACGTCCATCCTCGATGGAAATAATATATATATATATATATATATATATATATATAATATAGGTAATTTCTCCCTCTCTTCTCTCTTCTCTTTTATTCCTCCCCATTGACTCCAGTATTTGCTACAGAATGGTCAAGGTATTTAATGCGGCCGAGGGTGAGTTACCTCCCTTCATTCTGATTCCATGTTTGTAAATGTTCTGCTGATGAATTGACCACAGTCGCAAAACACAATACACAAGAGAGTTGCTGGGTAATTCTCTATGGCAAGGTCTACGATGTTCGATCTCCTCTCCAATACCTGTCTGTACCTAGGTCCATGCTCTCCCGCACTAATGCTCGCTCATTCAGGTCACCGACTTTCTCTCAGAACACCCTGGCGGAGCTAAGATCATTCTCAAACTGTCCGGGAAAGATGCCACGGAGGAATATGACCCCATTCATCCCCCAGGGATCCTAGAGGAAAACCTCAAGCCTGAAGCCTGCCTAGGAACCGTTGACCCAGCCACTCTGCCGAAACCAGAAGCTAATGCCGCGTCCGCCCCGGAAAAGGAAGATGATTTCCCTCCAATGGAAGCGCTTCTTAACATGGACGATCTTGAGCAATTGGCCACCAAGAAAGTAAGCAAAAAGGCATGGGCGTACTATTTTTCGGCTGCCGATGATAAAATCACGAAACATTTTAACACGCAAGTCTATCGATCGATTCTCCTGCGACCCCGGGTGTTCATCGACTGTACGCGATGCGAACTCGATATCTCCGTTCTGGGACATAAGCTGGGACTCCCTATCTATGTATCTCCCGCGGCCATGGCACGTCTCGGCCACCCCGATGGCGAGGCAGGAATCGCAGAAGCTTGTCGCAGCTTTGGAGCGATGCAGATCATTTCCAACAATGCATCCATGACTCCGGAGCAGATCGTGGAAAATGCCGCTCCCGACCAGGTGTTTGGATGGCAACTCTACGTTCAGACCGATCGCAAGAAGAGCGAGGCGCAACTGGCACGGATCAATAAGCTTAAGGCGATCAAGTTCATTGTCCTTACCCTCGATGCACCCGTTCCTGGCAAGAGAGAAGACGACGAGCGAGGTAACGCTGCTGCTGCTGCTGCTGGAGGCGGAGGCGAAAGTGGTGTTGGCAGGCAGCTCTTTCAGGGAACCGACCCTACACTTACCTGGCAAAAAACGCTACCTTGGTTGGCCCAACATACCGATCTCCCGATTATTCTCAAAGGACTTCAGACCCATGAAGATGCATACATCGCCTCTCTTCACGGGCCCCAGGTCAAGGGTATCATCCTGTCAAACCACGGTGGAAGAGCTCTCGACACTGCTCCTCCGGCAGTCCACACCTTGCTCGAGATCCGCAAATACTGCCCTGAGGTATTCGACAAGCTCGACGTATGGGTTGACGGCGGTATTCGGCGTGGGACAGATATTGTGAAGGCTCTTTGCCTGGGCGCAAAGGCTGTGGGAATTGGGCGACCTGCCCTCTGGGGACTGGGAGCTGGTGGTACTGCCGGCGTGAAGCGCACCCTACAAAGTGCGTAATACACTCTTACCCTAAGACACTTGTTTCATACTGACTGGGTTTAAGTCCTAGCGGATGAAACCGCCACCTGTATGCGCCTGCTTGGTGTTGAGCGGGTAGACGAACTTGGCCCTCAACATGTATGAGTCTTTCCTCTATGCCAGATATTCATACTGACTTGCTCATAGATCAACACCCGCATGGTGGAACAGCAGATCTACGATGGACCCTCAGGTCTGGATTCTTTGCGCACCTCATTCCGCGCAAAGCTGTAGACATTTGTAGATTGCATGTTTCGTTCGGATTTAAACCTATGTGACCAAAATGCACTGAATTGGAAAATTCGACTCAATCTATATCCATGATCTATTCTACTGTATATACATCTCACTGAATGCCAGATTTCTTCTATAGTGTAGGTGGGTGGGGCTTAACCCCGGAGATAACTGGCGGAGACCGAACAGCTTAAGAGATCATGCAGTCTCACCACAACTTCACTAATACCTAAACTACCTGGTACGGCGTACTAGTACATATCTCTCATTTGCCAGACTGTGAGTTAATTCATGATCAAATCTCATGCTTTTGAAATCCAACTTGTCTAATCTCGCGCTATATTCATCTCAAGACTGCGACTCTTGTTGGTCTACCGCAATGGCGGACCCCCTCCCTAAAGACCCCGCCCAACTATTCAAAGAGAAGGGGAAAAAGCGAACCCGAGTCCAACTCTCCTGCACAGCCTGCAGAAGCCGGAAGTACGTTCCACTCCTTCTAATATACCTTCCGTAGGTGTTGGACTGACGGAATCAATAAAAGGCTCAAATGCTGCCGTACCCATCCGTGCACGAACTGCAGGAAAAGAGGCGAAGCTACCACTTGTACTTTCGTTGGACGCGGACCGCGAGGCAGGCCTTCGCATGGCCGGTCCAGTCCTACTCATGTTCAGGATCGACTGCAGCATCTAGAGAATTTGATTTTCTCTCTTGCGCAGCAGAAGAGGCAGGGGGGGGACCAGAACCCAGGCCAGAGCCAAGATCGGGATCCAGATGCCAATTCGCTACTGCCGCATGGCCTTGGGGTAGAGGTTCCTCAGCCAGGGCCGCAAATGATGCTGCAGACGCCGCCATCTCCTCCAGACCAGGTGGGTAAAGATTCGCCAGCCGACCAGCCTGGGAAGTTGGTAGTTAAAGACACGGGGACGAGCTATATTGATAGTGCGCATTGGAAGGCGATTCTTGAAGAGGTTGGTTAGCCCTTCTTTATCGACAGCACAAGTGGCAATACTGATCTGATCAATTAGATAAATGAGTTTAAAGAGTCGCTGCGGGACAGCGATGAGCTCTCGGATGAAGATGCAGTCGAGTACGAGCCTGTGAATGAGAATGCGCCGACGATTTTATTTGGATTGGGTAAAACAGCTACCAAGGAAGAGCTTCTAACTGATCTGCCGAGTCGAACGGTGGCTGATAGGCTAGTGTCGTTGTTTATTAATTCCAACCAGCCTGCTGTTGGTATGTATTGCTTTGGGGCCCGCCTTGGGTGCTGATACTGACTTGTTGATGTTAGTGATTCTCCATATTCCCACATTCCACAAACAGGTGCGTGATTCCATCCTGCTGGGTGTCCTATTTGGCGGGATCAACTGACAAAACCCAGTATAATCAATTTTGGACAAGACCGCAAGATGTCAGTCTACCATGGCTGGGCATGCTGTACGCGATTCTATCCCTAGGCGTTTTGTTCCACCAACGCAGCGGAGACTCATTAGAAGGTGTCACCGAGGACCAAATGGACATTATCAACACCTCCAGGAAACGGAGCGCACAATGCCTTTCTCAATCAAACTATACCTTGGCCGGACGATACAAAGTAGAGGGGCTATTCCTTTATACCATGGTAGAGTTCTACATGAGCAACGACGCCCAAATCGGAGTGTCATTTCTCTTGGGGATTACCGTTAAATTAGCCATGCGCATGGGCTACCACCGCGATCCAGATCAATTTCCAGCTATATCCGTCTTTGATGGGGAAATGAGGCGCCGGATGTGGGTATTCCTGTATCAATTAGATACCCTCATTGCCTTTGAGATTGGCGTTCCTCGAACAATCCTGGACTGGCACTATGATACAGCGTTGCCGCGCAACCTCTCGGACGAGCACTACAATGAGAACACAAAAAAGCTTCCTCCACCGCGCCCGGAAAATGAAGTCACTACGACCTCCTACACGATCGCCAAGGCCCGGCTGATGGCCACGTTTGGGAAGATTCTGGATATGGCATACTCGCGGGAACCAGTGACATACGAAGAAGCGCTCGAACTCGACCGACAGATGGAGGAGGCGCATGACCTTGTCCCACCAGTGTTTCGCGCGCGCCCAATTGACCAGTGCATTATGGACCCGCCCGAGTTGATCGTCAGACGATATGCACTAGAAAACACATATCAGAAAGCCCGTTGCGTGCTCCACAGACGGTACCTGGGAGAAGTCCATTCAAATCTGCGATATGCATACTCGCGAGTCGTATGTATTACAGCCGCAAAACAGATTCTCCGTGGCTACGCAGATATCTATCGCGAAAACCAACCCGGAGGCCTGATGTACCGAAACCGATACTTCCCCAACTCAATCCAGTACACGGATAACCTCCTCGCGGCGATGATCCTATGCATGGAGCTCTCTTACAGCCACGCAGCCGGCGGCGCATTAGCAGTGAGGCCCAATGACGACGTAGCCGTCGTCATCCGAGACCGGGATGATCTTCTCTCTACTCTGGAAGAATCCCACCAGATACTCAACGAACTGCGCAAGCGCTCAGTAGACGCACAAAAGGCTTATGCCGCATTGACGATTATGCTCCGGAGAGTGAAAAAGGGACTTCACACAATCCCGCCACCGAAATCGAGCATCTTCTCCTCCAGTACAACAGACCCAACCACCGAACCGGAACTGGAACTGGAAGCAGAGCCAGTCACCACCAGTAGTATGTCCCCATCAACAATAAATGCACTTGAGAGATCCATCACTGACCGAAGCTACCAGATCAACCTCCCGCATATGGTAGCTGGCAGGACCTAGAGAGCCTAGACAACCAGCCTTACCCACTCGACATATCTACGGGCTTCATGACGGATCCCATGACATCGATGGACACGCCGTTTGCTTCATTAGACGTAATCGGGGAAATGCTTGATACTCCTGCAAATCTGAACTGGGTATGGCTCTCCATTCCTCTCCCAGTCCGATATTAGTCAAAATACCCGAATTACTGACTTTAGTAGAATCTCTGGGATCGTCAGATCCACGACCGACCGGACTTGAATGGGAACGGGTTGTGGTATACGCAGTAACAGTGACCGGTGACTTGTATATAATCATGATGATAAGGATAGTCAACAAAGAGACTTACACTCCTCTCGTTCGGTGATGTACTCCTTTTATACTGACAAGATGCAAACCATACAAACAAATATAGTCTGCTGAGTCATCCTATAGAACAATTCCAGAACCTCACCCACGCACTTGAAGTACAAGATACAATCCAATCCCAGCAGCATAGACCAATAGTAATGAATCAATAACCTCAACATGGCCACCACCAAACCCCCCCTATCACTCAGACACCTCAGTCATAAACGGATCCCGACATCTTTCCTCCCACCACAGCGCCAATGCCACTCGCTTGGGAGAACCGCATCACCAGGAACCCAGCGACCAGTCCAGCGTCACGTCCAGCGTCACGTCCAGCGTCAAGTTCACCACATCCACTCCCAAAAACGCACCTTTCTCTCCTCATTCCTCCCCCCCCAGCTACCCTCCACTACTAATAACAACAACAACAACAACAACGGAAACAACGAAAACGAAAAATCCCGCCTCCTAACCGCATCCCGCACCCTACCTTACCCTCCCTCCGCCTTATTCAGCGTCATCTCCTCCGTGGAATCCTACGCGCAGTTCCTCCCCTTCCTCACCGCGTCAACCGTTACAGCCCGAGACCCGGAAACCGGGTACCCGACCCGCGCCTTCCTAACGGTTGGATACGGCCCGCTCAGCGAAACGTTCACGTCCAAGGTGACCTGTGACCCGGGGACCTGGGTCGTCGAGGCCCGCTCGGGAGCGAAGTTCGGGGTGGATTCGAACCAGGGACAGCGGGGGTCCAGCGGCTCTGCGGGGGGCATTGCTGGGTTCTTGGATTTTCCGGGGGCCAACGAGGGGGTTTTTGAGTTCCTGAGTACGAGGTGGGAGTTGGTTCCGTTGGAGGAGAAGAGCGGGTCGGAGACTACGGTCAAGTTGGAGATTCGGTTTGAGTTTAAGAATATGTGGCATGCTAAGATGATGAGTGCGCTTGAGGGGCAGATGGCTGGTGTTATGATTGAGGCGTTTGAGAGGAGGATTAAGGAGATTCATGGGTGATTTTCCTCACTCTGTATAATATGTGTGTGTGTGTGTGTGTATAGATAGATTCTTAGATGTGAGCGCCTTATTTATTTATTGTCCTCTCTACCTGCGATGAATCGCTGTACAATTAGACCCAACAGAACAAATCCTGAAACCCGGTTAATATAATACAAATTTCTTTAGATGAAACAAGATTGTCAGACAATACTCCATATGCACCTAGTTTATAGCATGCTCAGGCTGCGGCCGCGGTTGGCTGCACCGCGGGCTCCTCGTACCGAGCTGACGGCATTGTAGTTGTCATAAACCACCTCCCAGTTGATCCGGTTCCACCACCGCTCCAGATACTCGGCCTTTCCGCCGATCCCGTAGTCCATCATCCATACATGCTCCCAGGTGTTGACACAGAGAATAGGCTGAACATCCACAGCACCGGGGGCAAGGCTCTTCTGGTTGGCGGAGTGAGCACCCATCGCTCCCGCATATTGGTTGCCCAGGGCAGTCTCGGGGGTGTGGGTGGCCATGTCGACGGGTTGTCGTCGAGAGTGGGCCGCAGGGTATGGTGAGCCGGCATTGTACGTGCAGAAAATGTGCATCAAGCCTTCGCGCTCCAGGTTCTTGCCCAGCCAGACGAATCCGGGGCCGAACATTGCGTTGGCGGTGGCGAGGAAATCGAGCTTCAGGGATTCAATCGAGGAGCAGGTATCGACGATGTCCTTGGCGAAGTTTTCAGGGATCTCCGTGGCAGTAGGGGACTATCGTCGACTCAACGTTAACTTCCGAGCAAGCAGTTAGGGTCAAACTTGAGCTCACCAGGCAGTTGAAGAAGAAATGGTTGTTGTGGGCCATAGACGCATGGTTGAACACCGAGGCCATTTCCGGGCGACGGGAGTATTTGACCAGCAATTCTCCGGGCTTCGCATCGGCATCCACAGTGTCTGTTATTATCCATTGAGTTAGAATTCTTCCGTCCGCGTATGCCCTGGATATCCGTTTGATTCGAATCTGGACCCGACATACCCTGTGTCAACAAGTTCAATTTGTCGATGAGGAGCCTCTGGTATTGCGTCCACGAAAAGTCGAATGCCTCTGGAGATAGAAGTTCCGGTACACCGTGCTCTTTAAAGTACCCATTGTGTGTTAGCTGGGGAACATTGTGCAGTGCTCGACTCTGGAAACGTGGGAGGGCGGAGACGGGTTTCTAAAGCGCGACCAGATCAGTACTATCCCAGGGGGGGGGGGGGACCATTGAAACAGGAAAAGCTTACCTGGGAGAGAGCGGAGACCGCACGCAGCGAAGACTGCGGCCGTAGGAGTCGATGAAGCATGGTGATAAGGTGTAGAAGGAAGAAAGCCGCACGAAGTCCGTCCAACAATCCGAATCGCAGCTTTTTCCAAACTCCAAAAGCCGCAGAATTTCGAGGTCCCGATCCGGTTTAGCGTGGCTGAGGTAACCCGGCGCCAATGTCAGCCAATCACAGGCCAGAAATCACCTGTTTACTTCCATCGCCCAGCATCAACCACTGACAACCAGTATCAGACAGCATCAGACAGCATCAGACATCCATCCAGATTCTATTTCGGTCTTGCTCTTCGCAGCTGTCTCTAAGCGCCTCAATTTCTCTTCCTGTCGAATCAGATCCTGTCCTGTGGGTCAAGGATCGACCATCCCGTTGCTTAATCCCCCAGTCCTTTCCTCCGTCGTTCGTTATAAGACCAGCAACTAACTATGAGCTTCCATGATTGTGTCTATTCTCGGACCACGGCGCTTACAGAAGCCTGGGCGTGGGATATTTCTGTAACTGGATGCAGAAGGCAATTTCAATATGGGCGTCAAATACCAGACAAGTCCCGTCCTCTCTTTCTTGCTCATTCTCCCCTCAACGTCTGTCTAGTGTGAGACTTGTCTGAGGTTTTATATTTTGTTCAGGCTGCTTTATCTGTGCTCATCACTGTGGGATTGCCTTTGATTGGGCTTATCATTATCAGTGTGATCTTCCACCGCTTCATATCTTTAATTTGAATCTTCTTGATAACCTCTGTTTGTTTTTTGCAGTCTCTGGTAGACTAGTCGTCTACCATGGCAGCACCACTGAACAACCATGTCTCTGTGAGACGCTCTATAGTCATGTTTTTGACCATCTTCTCTTCGAAGATCTCCTCAAGTTATGCATTGAATCTCCCGTGGGAAAGGTCTAGTACCTGTCCCAGCAATTACAACAGGTGTTCCGGCTCTGGGCTACCAGACAACTTCTGTTGCTCTTCGTCGTCAACCTGCGTGACCGTTGACAGTGGAAGCTCAGTCATCTGTTGTCCATCAGGCCAAAGCTGTGCCTATATCCAGACCATCACTTGTGATGTATCGCAGCAAAATGCCACTCTATACCCGGATGCGGTTATTAAAACCACTCGTCTGGACGACAAATTGCCCACTTGCGGAGACTCATGTTGTCCGTTCGGATATACCTGTCAGGGCAGTATTTGTGGAATGGACGATACTTCCTCCTCTACCTCCACCACAACGCAAAGCAAGACTCAGACAGAATCAACCTCTTCCAGTACAGCATCCATATCTACAGCAACAACAACTTCCTCCTCCTCCTCTTCCTCCACCACCACCACCACTACAGATGCCACCGCATCGATTACTCCTACTGTATCCTCCAGCACAACTACCACGGACGCATCTACAACACTTTCAACGCCTTACCTCCAATACTCCTCCATCTCCGACAGCAGCAACACCAGCTTGACCTCAGCGACCACATGTCCCAACTTCCCCACCAACGCCATCCTCGCCGGATTCTTCCCAGGTGCCGTGTTCGGCGCCCTAGCTTCACTCCTCCTAACGGTCTGCATCCGCCGACAACACAAAAGCAACCTCCCTCCCTCGGCCAAAGTCGCCCTAAACACCCACCGCAAATCCACCGGCACCTTGATCGGCATCTCTGATCCCATCCCCTCAGAAGACAGCTCCTTCCGCACAGACTTCCTCCGCCGCCCAAACCCTAAACGCCAATCCGAGGGAGCCCGCTCCGTCCTCCAGCGCAGCCGATCCCGTGTAAAGAGTCTCTTCGGTGCAGCTCCAAAACCAACCCCGATCCCCGTGGAGCCGGTTCCCCCGTTGCCGTTTACCCCGCCGCGCCAGCGCCAGCGCCAGCCCAGTATGGAGAGTATAAGAGTCTATACCCCTCCAGGGGTGTTTGCTCCCACGAGCTCGTCGAACGCTGCTTCGCCTCCCGATCCCAGACCAAACACGACTCTAGGCGATCTAATGAATCAAGCACAGGCTTCAGCCGCGAATCCCAGCCACATTGGCAATGCCAATAACGGAGGAAACCCGCGCTTTCTGCTCGCTCCACCACCGAAACTTTCCAGTCGAATTCCTTGAACATAGTTTTCCGACTTATTACTGGCAACTTGACTACTATGCATGTAAACTCTAGCATCGAGCATCGTGCATCGTGCGTTTACTCTGGAAAACTCTTGAAAACTCTTTTCTTTTTCTTTTTCTTTTTCTTATTCTATCTCTATCTTTTAGTTGTCAGAGCTCTGCTGTTTTCTTGTGTATAATTTAACCAGGTTTAGCGAGCGTTTAGATGAACATTTTCAGTGTCGTTTGATTTACCAGTATGCCCAATGGGACAGGCCAACTGAATTACCTAACCTACCTACCGACTTATCTACACAGTTTAAATACCGAAATATGACTCGAAATAAACATCGATGAAGATAAACAAGCTATGCTATACTGAATAAACTATACTACACAGGACAATAACACCGACAATTTCATGACGACGATGATGAAGAAGAAGAAGAAGTAGCTGTACTCGTGGACTTCCTCGCCTTCCACCCGGCAATCACCCTCTTAATTTCCTTCAATAACCCTAGGACCAAGGGAACCCCGATAGGCCCCAACAGCGGTAGATAAACGGCGACTTTGTGCTCATCAGGGAAATAAACCTGACCGACCATGCTCTTTTCAAAGAACCCGCGTTCGGCCGCTGTTTCTGCGACACGAGCACTCGCCAACGCATCCTGGAAGCGCCCGTTCCGGAGATGTTCGCATGCGGAGCTGAGATGGGAGAGCGTGGTCGAGACAGAGGAGGCGACCGTTGCGGGGATGGGGATGGAAGGGAGAGATTCGGTGAGACGGGCGAGGGAGCCCATTGTTGAGGAGGCGGAGAGTAGGAGGGTGGCGGCGCGGATGCGGATGAGGGTTTGGAGCCGGAAGGGGAGGGAGGTGGGTGTTGAAGGGGTGCCCAGGAGGTTGAGGAGCTGGTGGGAGAATGTTAAGAAAGCTGGGCCGAGGGCCTCGTTGGTGAGATGGGGAGGGTTTGAAGGGGGGACGTCCGTGGTTGCGGGGAGGGGTGGGTTGAGGAGGAAGACGCCGCCCCATTGCGGAATGATCCAGCTGGTGGCCTTGCTTTCTTTGACGACGAGGGGGGATTGAGATGGGGCTGGGACGTAGAGGATGAAGTTGATGGTTGGGCCGCTGCCGATGCTGGGGCTGAGTGGCCATTCAGCAGCGTTGATGAAGGCACTGAGATCTTCTTCTTTCAGGGTCCAGAGAGCCTGGGCTTCGTCGTATTCGGGGAGAGGTGCCGTGGGGGAGAAGGTTGCGTAGAGCTGGACTTGGGTGTCGACGGTGAAGTTGCTGATGGGGTGGAGGGCCTGCAAGAGCGGGGCGATGTATTCCTGAACTGCGGATTGGACATCCCAGGAGGACGGAGCAGGCCCAGGGGTGAAGAGAGAGAACGCCAGGTGATAGGTTTCGGCATATTTCATGGAGCGCCTCAACCGTCGCGTGATGATGCTCTCTGCGAGCTGCGGGGGAATTTGCTGTTTCGCTTGGTGGTTGGAAGACCCAGCAGGATTGGTATTGGCTCCTAGGGCGCTGCCAGACAGGATATGTGCCATAATTGCTTTCTCTTCGGCAAACAGACGTTGGAGCTCTCCAGCGATGAACGACGAGAGGGGCGAATTTGACGAGGGCGGAGGCGGAATCTGGCTCGGGGGATAGAATATATTGAGTAGTGTCGTGTCGCTGTGAAGCTCTGATCGGGGGCTCGACAGGTCGTCTTGCGCCAGGAGACGCACTGTTAGAGCTGTATCAGCTTTCTCAGTTGGTTGGCCGAATTCGTCTTCATCCGACAGCTTCAAACGCAGATGATGTGCGGAGAACTCATTCAAATCATCCAGGGTATGCTGGATGGTGCGGAGCAGTTGCTGCGCTTCGGGTTCCGGTAAGGATGGGGTATCAAATCGAATTTCAACAGGGAATACAGGGCGGCACTATTGGAGCAGATATCGCATCAGTAAAGCATGCTGCGTTGCAGGTCATCGAGACGGGGGTAACGGTACCTTTCCACCAGCCCACTCCATCATATCCTGAATAGGCAGCGTAGCACGATGGATAGAAGTGGTCTGCCACCATATCGGAAATCCAAGGAAGAGAATCACCGCCCAGAACGCTGCAATAACCTTGGTTCGTGTCTGTATGGCGCTGGGGCTCTCCGGGGGAAGGAGACGCGAAGCGGAGATGGTGGAGGCCATGGTAGTCCGGGAAGACCCTGGGTCTTCGTTCTTTGCGGTCATGACCAGGGCATGCTTTGTTTCGGATTTGCTGATCGACAGGAGCCACTTGAGGTGGTGGAAGGGAAGATGTTGGAAGAAGCCAAGTAATGAAGTTGAAGTTGACGGCAAGTAAAAGAGAGAGAGAGACCCTTGAAAGCGGAGACTCCGATCCATCACGATCGTAACTGACGACCACCAACAATTACAACAGTACATGCATCAGATGGGTTATTTAATTGAACTTGATTTTCAATGGTTTTCACTATTTAATCATACAGAAAAGATTTCCGGGATTTTAGAGTCTTAAGGCCAAAAATTAAATGGGTATCAACCGATGCGCCGAGGTCTCCTTGCCAAACAAAAAAAAAATGAAATGAGCGGACGGAAAGATCAATGCTAATATTCCTTTTCAAAAATCTTCTGAATGGGTTTCGCAGCCTGTAGATAATGTTAGCAAATGGCCGACAAGACGATGAAGCGACCACCCTACATCAATAAACCTTTCCAGGTCTTGATCGAGACTAGCCAGGTCCTCTTTCCGTTTGTTATTCTCAGTAATCAAGGCCTGCTTGCGCTTGAGTAGCTCCTGGCGGGCTTGTTCCAACTTTTCTCGTTCAGCATGCTCGTGGTTGATGCGCGCAATCATCAGTTCGTGCTCATCGGACTCGCGGTGCTCTGGGTGAAGCTCGAGAAACTCCTCGAGGGGGATTAAAGGTAGAGAACGGTATTTGTGGCTGCAGAGATACTCGTTAATAGCTGGACCTAAAGAAGAAGAAAATTCCACAAGTACACATACTCATAAGACTCGCAAGCAGCAATCTCCCCCGTCAAATGCCGCTGCTCATAGTACAAGTTTTGCAGCTGAAGGTGAAGGCGATCGATTTCCTGTCGAGCTTCTGCCGTGCGCTGTTTCGTCTCTCGCACCCGGAAAATGGCATCACGGTTCTGACCCCTCAGCTGGGCGAGGAGGGCGAAGAGATGCTTCTGGACATTTGGGGGGAATTCAGAGATCTCCTCCCGCGAGAGAGAGGGGTCCAACAACGATAGCAGCTTCTGGCAGTGATCCCGCGTCTCGGCAGCAGTAGTGAGGACGGGCAGCAAGGAGGGGTCGGAAACGATATCTCTGATAGCCATGGTGATGATAATGAAGAATAACGAATAACGAGGCTGGAGGAGACCACTGGGAATTTGCAGGGCGGATGGTTGGCGGTTTAGGTGGATTGAACGTGGAGAGAACGGACGAACGGATTGGATTATGAGGGAACAAAAAGACTGAAGAAATTTAACGGGGTTGGAATAAGATCTTCAACAATATTAACTAACCAGAATAAAGAATGATCACGAAGCAAGGAGGAGGCGGAAATAAAAGGAAGAGAGTATGTAAAAAAGGTGTTGAGGTGGAATGAATTCATTTGATTTCTTTCTTCTAATTGGGAAATATTGAATCCATCCATCTTCCCCCACCTCTTTCTTACAACTCTCCTTTTCTCTCTTCGTCGTCTTCCCACGGTAGTTGACGACTCTGAGAGATATATATCAGATATCTTTTATATCCTCCCATTATTCTGCGTCGTTATTCTTCCCTTCTCTTGCTGTCTTTCATGTAAGTGTCTTCCGATTTTCCCGGGTTTCCCCTACAAAACAACACCCACTCGGCGCTTCGCTCGATCTGACTTCCTCTTCCTCCTCTCCAACGCAGGGTATGAACGATTGATTCTTCAACTGGCCGGTGTTTGTGGGTTTCAGGCTGCATCATGGCCTGCTCTACTCAATCTGTGACTATCGAGTCATACCTCGACAATAGTACCACCACTTCCTACGCTGCTACGCCCTCGGAAGAGACAGCGCTGCTCCGGGATCGGAAGCGCAGGCACTCCTTTCATACGGCTAGGAAACTCTCCTGTGACTACGATGCGGACGCTATTTTCCTGAGGGTACGCTCTCTCTCTCTCTCTCTCTCTCTCTCGGTCGAGGCGTACAGTTCTCCGCACCCTCGTATTGGCTGTGCCTTCTCCCCTAACACCAGCGTGATTTAGGTCGAACTATTCCTTACGGAATTGGAACGACGCCTCCACTGGATCGAAGAATATCGTCGATCGCACATGGTCCAAATTGATGCTAGCCTACGCAGAGCCTATGCCACCCTCGAGGCTGTGAGGGACTCCTGTTCCCACGCCTCCGGGGAGCTTATGGGCGGTGGTAAGAAGAGGGCTAAGATTCTGGTCGAAACGCTCGAGGATCGCTACAACGATGCCTTGGCGACGAAAGAGACCTTGGAACAAAAGGCGCAGGCCGGTATTCGCTTGATGGAATCGTTTCTGATTGAATTTGAGTCCCGCGCTCATGCTGTCCGGGACCGCGGCGTCTACGGAGCCTTGGATGAAGGATGGAAAGCGGTCGACTCCAAATTGGTCCAGGCGAGAGAAGCCGTGGATGAAGGAATGGAACGAGCTCGTAGAGCCAAGGATGTCATGCGAGAGAATATTGATCAAGCCATTTTGCTGGCCCAGGAGAAGGGCTTGATTGGCTATGCTGATCTTCCTCACCCATGGCGGATAAATCCCCATATCCTTGAGGGCTATCGGTTCACCTCCTCGACGGTGGAATGCTTCGCCTCGATGTTCGCTCCTTCGAATGAGCTGGTCAACATCTGGTCTCACCTGATTGGCCTTTTCATTGTCCTCTCAATCGCTTTCTACTTCTACCCACTACATACCAACTTCCATCTGAGCACCAATTCGGACATGCTGGTTGCGGCGGTCTTTTTCTTTGCCGCCTGCAAGTGCCTGGTCTGCAGCACCTTGTGGCATACAATGAACAGCATTGCTAACCAACCACTCATGGAACGGTTCGCCTGTGTTGACTATACTGGAATCTCCCTCCTGGTCGCGGCCTCGATCGTGACGACGGAGTACACAGCTTTCTACTGCGAACCAACATCCCGCTGGATCTATATCTTGCTTACCATGTCGCTCGGTATTGGTGGTGTTATTCTGCCCTGGCATCCCACTTTTAACCGGTCCGACTTTGCCTGGGCCCGCGTGGCCTTTTACGTGACCCTGGCCCTGACCGGATTCGCGCCTCTGGCACAGCTCACCTACACCCGGGGGTTCGCCTGGTGCCTCTACTTCTACGCCCCCGTCGTGAAGAGCATCCTCGTATACTTCACCGGCGCCTGCATCTACGCCTCGCGCATCCCCGAACGCTGGCGCCCGGGACTCTTTGATTACTTTGGCGGAAGCCATAACATCTGGCACTTGGCCGTCCTGGGAGGCATTCTCTTCCATTACACAGCCATGCAGGACCTTTTCGCTGGCGCTTTCCAGCGCGCCCAAGGTGAATGCCCAAACCTCCACTCCTAATCAACCAATCACCGGGCGGCACCTCTGATGTGTTAGCGGAAGTACATACATTAGTACCTACCACCTAGGTACAGATCCAGCAACTCTCGCATTCATTTCCCTGTGCGACCAATCAGCACGAGGATCTACGGCCTTGGTTTGACCCGTACCGAAATAAAATCAAATCCCGATCACAGTATAGAATCTAGACTACATGAGCTGTCAGCAACGCTACTACGGATTTATCCCTTAGTACTTGCTTTGCTTTGCTTTGAGACGGAATCTATGGAGAGGATTTTGTCCTGAGCTAATCTTTTGCATGAGTGGAGTCCAGTCTGCTTGCTCCTTTCTCTTTTCCAATTCAATCAGCGCACAACATCGTTATTTCATTATCCTGACCCCATACACCACACACATATCTCTCTCTGTCTATCGTCTCTTGCCTTCTTGTAAATATTTCTTTTTTTTTCCCTTCTACGTTGTTTTTTTTTTTTTTTCTTCGGGCTTGTTTAGAATTGTTTGACTCTGGATTATTATCCACGTTAGATATGGCTAGAGAATCGAGTACAACCGATTCATCGATCAATTGGATGAATATGAGAAAGAATTGTCTTCCTCCAGTCTTAATTCACGCTTCAGCCCAGTGAGATAGTTGTCCTAGACCCCGGGGGGTTCGCTTAAGTGGCCATTTAAAAGGCGATAACGAGCCACTAAAGAGCTCTCTCGATGGGCTTACCATAGTAATTTAGGTATGCAAGAATAGGTGGAATGGATTATGTTCAAGTCTCACGGGTTCTATGCCCGAATAACTATCAAAATTTATTAAGTATCGAGCTGAACATCCATTGAAAGGCATCAAAAACTGAGTAGTGGATATTATAGTTTGATCAAACAAACAAGCAAGCAAGCAAGAACACAAACAAAAGAAATGGACCGAGGACTTCAAACAGATTACTGTTTTACGAAGCCATATTTCACCAGTGTCTCTGCAGTGGCGACCATAGTCTCCTCTCGGTCCCTGGGCTTCCAGCCCAACAGTCGCACAGCCTTATCATTCGACGAAGGCTTCTCCTTGCCTAGTTCGCTCACGAATCCGGCAATTTGCTTGTTGAACAGCGCCATGAATCGCATCAACATGTTGGGGAGAGATTTCACAGACAGCTTTTGCGAATACTGTGGCAGTCGCTTCTTGATGATGACCGCATACTCGTTCATCATACTGCCGGGGGGGGAAACAGCCAGGAATCGCTCGCCCTTGGCCGCTGGGCTGGTCATGGCGAGGACCTCCAACTCGGCCACATCCCGGACGTCAACGATACTCATGTAAAGCTGGGGGCTGCCGGGCATCTCGCCGTTCATCAGGCGCTGGATGAGATGGATGCTTCCGGGGAGGTCCTTGCCCAGCACAGGACCGAAGATGGCGACGGGGTTGACGGAAGTCAGCTCGAGGCCGGCACCTTCATCGCTCTTCACATAGGCCCAGGCCGCGCGCTCGGCAATGACCTTCGACTTCACGTAGGCGCTCTGTTTCGTGTTTTCAATGTCGGACCAGTACTCCTCGGTGAAGGGCTTCTTCATCTGAGGGTGGCCGTACCCGATGGCGTTGAAAGCGGAGGTGAGCACGACGCGCTTCACACCGGCACGTCGGGCGGCCTTCAGGACTCGCAGAGTTCCATCGCGGGCGGGAATGATCACCTCGTTTTCGTCCTTCGGTTCTTCGGTTGGGAGCGGAGATGCCACATGGAGGACATAGGTACATCCCTCAACGGCCTTGTCCCAGCCCTTGTCCTTGCTCAGGTCGGCAGCAACAAAGGACACACGCTCGAGATCGGCATCGGACAAGCCGCCGTTCTTCAAGGATTCAACGACTGCGGGGGATTTGGACACGTTGCGGATTGTGGTGCGAACTTGGTATCCGTGATTGACCAGAGCTATAATGCAGTAGGAGCCCACGAAGCCGGAACCACCGGTAACGAGGACCAGTGTATTGGAAGGCGAAGAAGACATTGTGGAGATATATAATGGTTGTTTTTCTGGGGAACCAACGGGGTTGCTGTGGACTGAAGCTTGAGCTTATGAAGCCCTGGAGCCCCATTGCGCTTTTATATCCCTTGATCGCCATTACTCCTGAACATGCTCTCCGGCTTGCTTCATTCCACGGATATACCAGGGGTTCTGTTTCTTTTTGCTCGGGGTTCTCGTCGGCTTGCCGGATTTAGGGTGGAATGTCCGCGGAGATACGCGCATCACGTGATACTATAGCAACTCGCTCGACGGTCTCCATGGACTTCATCTTATATTACCCACATTGCGTCTTCTAGTGGTATAAAACGAGAGATAACAATGTTGTTCGTCTCAATTGAACCATGCAGGCCTCAGTCGAGAAGTCCGCGGTTGTCTCGAAGCCTTATGGCCCTAACCGCAAGCCTCGCGTTCCGCTGTCTTGCGGGCCCTGCCGAATCAGGAAGTATAGAACGAACCTCCCCCCCCCCCCTTTCTTTTATACAGTCGTGGGATGTTTGATCTGACTGCGATAAAGACAGAAATGCAATCGGCAGCAACCATGCCAGAACTGTATTGTGCGGAACCAACCAGGGGCCTGCACCTTCGTGGGTTCCCAGAACCGGACCGCGCCCTCAAGATCCCCAGCCGAGAACATGCAGGTTCGAATAAACCGATTGGAGACTCTGGTGACGTCTTTGGTTCCAAGGGGCGATGAAAAACACGGAGCTTCCTCTTTCAGCAATCTCTCGCCTGTGAGAACTCCAGAGATTACGCCCCCCAGGCAGATCCAGAGAGGCCATGGTATGCTGAATGTTGATGGCGAGCGTTCCTTTTATCTTGGAGCAACACATTGGAGTGACGTTCTTCACGAGGTGAGTTTATTTATTTTTTTATTTTTTTTTCTCTCTCTTTCTTTTCCCTTCTGTTAAGCACTTCATGAAGCTAACATGTGCAGTTAAATGCGCTTAAAACTTCCTGGGGTCAAATTCAAGAAGAACATGACGAAGTAACCTTGAGAACTTCTTTGGCATATGCGGGCATGGAAGGCCCTACGCCTAGTCTACTGTGTGGCTCCGTCAAGTTAGCCACCATTGCGGAATTGTTGGCAACAATACCACCCAAACCTACAGTCGACAAGTTGATCGCGAGATTTTTTGATGAGCACAGATCCCCAGTCCCGTCTCTCCGTAAGTATTGCAGGCTTTGGCTTTTACGAGAAGGCGAACTAAGTATGCTGGTTAGATATTCTACACCAACCTACGTTCTTGCAACAAGTAAGTTATAAAGTCCGCTTACGAAAGTTAAAAGCTAAAACAATTATAGTATGAGGAGCATTGGAGAACCCCTTCCTCCACAAAAGTGATGTGGTTGGGTCTTCTTTTTTCGATACTCAGTTTGTCCATGCTGTCTTATGGGCTCTCCAGGGATGAGCCTCCGGAGTATGAAGGGATCTCGCAGTCTCTTTCGGAGTTATACCGTCAGCGGACGTCTCAGTGCTTAATGATGGCAGACATCACAAAGTATTTGCCCTACACTGTAGAGACTTTGATATACCATGGCTTTGCAGAGCAGCTCAGCAAGAAACCTAGCAATGCTGGGGGCTGGATCTTGCAGGGCGCCTTAGTCCGCGTAGCCATCCAGATGGGCTATCACAGGTGCGTACGCACCCACAAACTCTTTCTCTGCGTTCTCTAACATGCCAAAAAGAGACCCTTCTCATTTCCCAAATATCTCTGTCTTCGATGGAGAAATGCGTCGAAGGATATGGTGCTTCATATTAACCTCCGATGCCGTATCATCCTTTACAGTAGGTTTACCTAACATGATACGGTCTGTGGACCACGACGCTGCTGAACCCAGAAACATTTATGATTGGGAATTGAACGAGGAAATGACAACACTTCCCCGCTCAAGGCCACTCTCTGAAGAAACCCCTGTGTCATATTTGATTGTGAAAAGTAGAGTTTTGCGACCTCTTGCCGCGGTGACGGATTTTGTCTGCTCTCTGCAAGCGGACTCGTACGCCGCCGCGTTACAAGTTGACACACAGCTATGCGAAGCACACTCACAAATCCCGCATCGATTCAGGATGCGGGGTTTGGAGGATACGATCACCGACTCTTACTCTACCGTTACAAGAAGCATCCAATTAGAGTTTGAATTCCACCAGGGGATATGCGTTCTACATCGCCGCTTTCTAGCGCCTGGACGGCTTGACCGCCGTTATGCCCTTTCGCGCGAGCGCTGTCTTGAATCTGCAATGGCCCTGCTTAACCTCCAGAATATCCTCTATGGACTGGCGAAGAGCGCGGGCCCAGTAGACGTATCGGGGTCGGGGCATCGAGTGCACTCCACCCACCAGGGGTTCATACTCCCAGCGGTGATTCTTTGCTTGGATCTACGATGCAAACCCAAGGGGGTATCCGAGAGCAGTAGCCCAGGCTCCCAGGGCCGAGATGTCCACCATGACGCTGTTTTGAAAGCCCTCTGGAGATGCTACAGAATATGGAGCGATGCTCGAGACTACTCCTCCGAGACACGCAAGGTGTTTCTGGTTCTGTCTCGATTGATGCACGGTCTTGGCATTGGCGATACGAAAGACGGCTTTCCAGTAGCACAGAGAGCGGCACCGCCATCTCCAGTGTCAATAGAGGGATTCGCAGTGCCCGCGAGAGATCCGTTGTCGAGTCAGAATGAGGGCCCGCACCCTGCCGAGATGGAAATTGACTGGGTAAGTTGTGGCCTCCACGCATCTCTATAATATCTTGCTAAATGGGTTAGACTGCCTGGGACTCGTTTTTTGAGGAATCTAGCTTTGAGGAGGTTTATGGAGCCTTCCAATTTGCAGACGATGGGCTTGACAAGGTCAATCCGTATACTTTTTTACTTTAAATGTGAATTAATTGTTTTGAATATGATCATGTCTCCAATCTCCCAGTGGTGTAATCTTCTTATATACTGCAAGCCAAGATGCAGCATTTAATACTAGATCCTGGAATTTCTCCAAAGAAATAATCAAGATTGGATATTGCCATCATCATGCCACTTGCAAGTAGGGTATTCCGGAATGAATCCGCTCTCCAATTGCCGGCATCTCGACTGCCCCGCGAGCACTGCGATTATTCATGATGATCAAGATTCTCCGGTTTCTCCAGTTTCTGTTCTCTACCCTTGTTCGACACAGTCGCAGCACTGACTATCGCAATGGATGCTTTTGAATACAACGCAAACCCGGGACGGGTTGTCTTTGGCAGCGGCACCATTCACAAGCTCCCTGAGGAGATCGCCCGTCTGAACAAGAAAGCTCCCCTGATTCTATCGACTCCGCGGCAAGTCGTCCGCGCGGAGAACCTGAAAGCCGTCCTGAACGGCCAGGTTGCGGGCATCTTCACTGAAGCGACCATGCACACCCCAACGCATGTTACAGACAGGGCTGTGGAATATGCAAAGGCCCAGAATGCCGATGTCGTGGTTTCCATCGGCGGTGGGAGCACTATTGGTCTCGGAAAGGCAATCAGCGTTCGCACGGGTCTCCCTCACATCTGTATCCCAACAACCTATGCGGGAAGCGAAATGACCCCGATTCTGGGCGAAACGGCGGATGGCGTGAAGAAGACTCGTTCAGACCCGACGATTCTCCCGGGAACCGTCATCTACGATGTCGAGCTGACCATGTCGTTGCCTGCTGCCACGAGCGCGACAAGTGGAATCAATGCGATTGCCCATGCTGGTCGGTTCTTACTTTTTTTTTTTTTTTTTTTTTTTTTTTTCAAATACCTAAGGAATAGGTAAAAGTGCTAACGACCCTTTAACCCTGTGTAGTCGAGGCTCTGTACGCGCGCAACACCAACCCCCTCATCAACCTCATGGCGCTAGAGGGGACTCGCGCGCTGGCCGCTGCACTCCCAGAGATCGTCGACGATCCGTCCTCGCACTCGGCACGCTCCCTGGCCCTGTACGGCGCCTGGCTTTGTGGAACCTGTCTCGGGAGCGTGGGCATGTCCATCCACCATAAGCTGTGCCACACTCTTGGGGGCAGCTTCAACCTCCCCCACGCTGAAACACACACGGCCGTCTTGCCCCATGCGATCTCCTACAATGCGCCGAGGATCCCCGAGGCCATGAAGAAACTAGCGGATGTGTTTCCCGAGAGCAACGGAGATGCGATTCACGGGCTGAACGTTCTGCTTTCCAAGTTGAAGGTTAAGACGGGTCTCAAGGACTGGGGAATGAAGGAAGAGGATATTGACAAGGCTGCTGATATTGCTGTTGGCAACCCTTACTGGAATCCTCGAGAGATTGAGCGCACGCCAATCCGTGAGTTGATTCGTAGGGTATGGGCTGGTGAGCCAGCGAGGGCTGACTTGTAACGACACTTTGGTATGTGTATATACATATATATATATATATATAGGACGAGGACCTTTTTCTTTTTTTTTTCTAATATTCTTTAAACCTCCTGCTACGAAATGAATATCATCTTTACAGCTGCTATCCGTAGAATATTCCAATCAAAATAACATGTAAAATGCCCTTCACCATTGGCTCCACGGATGGCGGGGTGAAGGTGGGGGATTTGGACTGCAAAAAAAAAAAAAAAAAAAAAAAAAAAAAAAAACCTTCACACCCACAACAACAATCCGGCCTCTTGCGACGACAAACCCCCTCTCAGCTCGATCTCGCCATTTCAAAAGATAGTTGCGGAAATGGAGACGGCTCCTATATTGTCCACACCGGATGATCGAATCCTTGAGGCCACAGACCCCGTCGCAGCACCGGAGCCGACGCGATCCTTGTCGGACGAAGAACTCGCAATCACCTATGACATTGAACGCACGCTGAAGGAAATCCGCCAGGCGCGGTATAAACGGATTGCGCTCCAGTTTCCGGATGAGATGCTTCCGGATGCCCCGCGCGTATTCCAGCTCCTCAGTCGGGGATTGGAGGCACGAGACGTCGCAGAAGGCAACGCCGAACCCCGCAGTGACGAGACAACCCGCGATGGAAATGGGAATGTGACAACGGATGCGACTAGGCCAGCGCCAAAGCTGTATATTCTGGCGGATACTTCGTACGGCACTTGCTGCGTAGACGAGGTCGCCGCGCAGCATGTGGATGCGGACGTGGTCGTGCATTACGGACGATCTTGCTTGTCTCCGACTGCGAGACTACCCGTGATTTATGTGTTTACGCACAAGAGTTTGCCTCTTGACCCGCTTGTCAACGCCTTCAAGGAGACATACCCGGACCCGACCACAAAGGTGATTCTCGCCGCGGACGTGACCTACCAGAACCATGTTTCTGCCGTATACTCGCGACTAGTACAGGAGGGATACAGCAACCTATTTGCGACAGAGTTGCTGCATGATCCGTCCTCTCTTGTCCCTAATCGGACGGTGCCAGGGTCGGGAAACGAGGCGCCAGAGTGCCTCTCGGACTGGCAGCTCTTCCACATATCCGACCCGCCCACGGCTCTACTTCTCACCCTGGCATCTCGAGTAGCGGCGATCTACATCTATCCCACCAACGACACAAGCCGCGAGATTGTCAAGCCTCTCCCTGCATCGACGGCGGCGACTTTGAGGCGTCGCTATGCAATTATCACGCGACTAAGCACCGTGCCCATCTTTGGAATCCTCGTCAACACCCTCAGCGTGAAGAACTATTTGCACATTGTGGAGCATGTAAAGGAGAAAATCGCCGCCGCGGGCAAGAAGAGCTATCTGTTTGTGGTGGGCAAATTGAACGCCGCGAAAGTGGCCAACTTTAGCGAGATTGGCGGCTGGGTGGTCATCGGCTGCTGGGAGAGTTCGTTGGTCGACAGTAAGGATTTCTGGAAACCGGTGATCACCCCATTTGAGTTGGAGCTGGCCCTCCAGGAGGATACAGAGCGGGTCTGGACGGGCGCCTGGCAAAGCGATTTCCAAAGCGTTCTTGACCAGCCCGCTCCGGCATCTCCGAGGGATGGCGAGGAAGAAAAGGGGACGGACGAGGAGGAAGAAGAAGAAGAAGAAGAAGAAGAAGAAGAAGAAGAAGAACCCGAATCTGCACCACCCGAATTCGACCTGCGTACCGGTCGGTATGTTTCCCACACGCGTCCGATGCGGGATTCCGCCCCCCGCGTGTCCGCCCAAGACGGTGGAAGAGACGGTGATGCAGCAGCAGGCTCTGCGGATGGTGGGCCATCGCCATCGACTGCGCGCGCGCTCACCAGACGAGCCAAGGGCGATTTAGCCATGATCGGCGGCAGTTTCTCGCCAGGAGCAGAGTTCCTCCGATCGCAGCGGACATGGACCGGTTTGGGAAGCGATTTCAATAGTGCAGCGAGCAGCATTCAATATGAGGAAGAGGAAGACGCACACGACCGCACCTTGGTGGTGGAAGGGCGCAGGGGAATCGCAAGGGGATATACAGTGGGAGAGTCAATCGACAGGCACTAAATTTGGCCCTTTATGCCGCAGCTACTATTCATACAGTAACTCATTAACTGAGCCTTGCAGTCCTCATCCTGTATTATTTATTTGAGCAGCCCAAGAGAGAATGACAATACATAGGAGTAGTTGGCGCCCTGTGGGATCCCGCTGGGTACCGAACCCAATCCCAGGTGCATACAAGATGACCATTCAATGATTCATGATAGTTCTCAGACTGGATTCCGGATGATCAAGAATACCCAAATTATAATCGCGACTCACTCTCTAGTTTCCCTCTGTTTTCCGAGTGTCAAGTAGAGTGAAGTCACTTATCACGGCTTGTTTCAAGGCGACCTATCACATGATGGGCACTGGGCAAAATCCCGGCTCCCACTGCGAGTTTTTGTTCCCAATTTCATCAATTCTCTTTTTCTGAGTTGTCAACGAAGCTCTCTGCATCTCGCTTATCTGTTGTCGAGGTTCTCCTCGTGCCTGTTGGGACTCTCTCCCTTTTGGATGGCCTCCTTATCCTGTGGTTTCCATCTCCTAGGTGTAAACCGCCCTCCTTACGCATCCTGCCCTTCTTTTTTGACCCTTATGATGCGTTGCGTTGCCTGCATTCTCTACTAATGCTTTGTGATCTCGCGTCCCTCTGAAAGAAAAGCAGCAGAGTAGGGACAGGAAAATAATCCCCCCCCCCCCCAAAAAAAAGGAGAACAAATCCACAGGCATGGCTATGTCTCTGGCTCATGACCCGACACTACCCGTCGTGGAGAAGGATCTTGAAGAAGGGAAAGATATCGACCAGACGCCGCAGGTTTCGGTAGACTCGGCTCTGGACCCGTCGCTTGCTTCAATCCAACAGCCACTGTCGACCTTTGAGCGAGTCTTCACCACGCATGCCCCAATCCTGGAATCTCTATTGCTCCAGTCGCCGACCGATACTATCCTCAAGCTCTCCCATACCTCTCAGTACCTACGATCATTCCTCCGCTCATATCCAACAGCCTGGAAATACCTCTCATTTCGCCTGTTCTATCCATCGGGCACCCCACCACCCCTTCGTATCGTCCTCCCGGGTGCTTCAGACCCGATCGTTTCACGGCAATCTCGACCGTATGCGATTGACCAGCTGTTGATGAACGTGGTGATTCCATTTAGTCCGTGTTTGAAGAGCCTGGAGTTAGATAATACCGCCGTCTCGGGACAGATCCTCATTTCGACTGTGCTACATTCGCGACGAGAAACGCTGGAACATCTCTCCGTCCGCGGGTGCAAAAATGTCTCCCTGAAGTACCACATTATTCCCTATCTGATGATGTTTGGGCTACAGTACGATGTCAGTATGGAGAAGAACATCGGCAGCTCGCCGTCGACGAAGCACCTGGCGCTAAAAAGTCTTTACACCTATCGATGTCGTCATCATCGACGGAGGCCTTATCTCTCTTCATCACTCACGCGAAAGGATTCGGATTCGGAGCCAACCCATGAGCTAGTGAACCTCTGCCACAAGCTAGGAATCTGGACGGATACGGCATGGTGCTCAACGCCAGCTGGGCGATGTTTCAGGAGGCGAGGGTATGTCTCTATGCGGGCTCCGCAGGGCTCAGTGGAAGTATGGGTGGTCTTTGACCGGCTGTGGAGATCGAAGAACTGGCTTGGTCCGGTGGAACCAGGCAGTACTAGTCGCCTGTCCCAAAAGGACGGTAAACTGTGGGAACACGGTGAGACTGGCTGCTTTGGTGAAGCCCTTGGAACCGGTGAGAAGAAGGACCTGGGTGAAGGGAAAATGACATCGTCGCATCTCCGCCTGAGCTATAGACAGTTCGTGGAGAATATCCGCTGTGACAACTGTTGTGAGGAGATCTCAGAAAGGTGTGAGCAATGCAGCATTCTGATGCACTGTGTTGGGTGTCGAAAGACCCTTTGCGCCAGCTGCGCTTACGATCGGCCCTACCTCCATGGTCGGCCCAAGCTGACTACTACCACTCCTCCTACTGCTGCTGCTCTATTCGGCGCACTTCCCCCTGGTCCTTTCTGGTGGGCGCCTGGTGCTGCCACTTCACCATGTTTGATGTACGACCCCGTGGAGAACCCCCTTGACGACATGTCCTTGCACCCCACCGCCACTGTAACATATCCTTGTCTGAGCTTTCACTGGTGTTGCACTGAACCAATCTTCTCAGGCGGTGGTGGTATTAGTATTGGCACGCCAAACCGAGATGTTGACCAAGTCCGGGCGGCACCTCTACCGCGCGGTCAGGGTTGGGAGGATTTGGAGTACTCTGCACAGGAGTGGAGCAAATCGTTTCCTAAATATGCCTACGGTGACCCTCGTAAGCCCGATTATACCCTTGAAACTGGGCACATTGCCATGATGAGGTGGCTGTTGGGCCCTCCTGATCGACAGCCTGCTGCTTGCCCTAGGAATCTGTGTAAGGAGTGCTACGACACCCCACAGTGGAAGGTGCACTGCAAGAGCTGCTCTAAACCACTATGCATTGAGCATGACCTTCGCGGCCTGCGCCTCCGAATCTGTGGATACCGTGACCTCACTTTGGAGAAGATGGCCATTCAGAACAAGTCCGCCTCGGGGTCGAGCTCGGCCGCGCCAGATTACGTGCCCTACCGGAATGCCGCAGGCTCCGGCTTCGAGCTGCCCTACAGAACCCAAAGACTGATCGATTCTACTACTAGCAGCCTCACCGAAGACCAGCCTATAGACGGCCCTGCCGAGGTGAACCATCATCCTCAACCCCTGCCAAGTAGTGTCATTGCAGCTGCAGGATCAGCCGCCGGAGTCCCTCCTCCAATCCCTGGCCGCTCACGCAGCATCTCAGTTTCCAATTCCAATCGATCGCGGTCTTCCTCCCCCTCCTTGTCCTGCGACTCACCGGCCGACCACCCTCCGAAATGGCAAGGCTGCCAATCCTTCTTCTGCCCACAGTATCGCGCGGTCGGTGACCAACGCCAACGGTGCGCCAGTATCCTGCGTGAATGCAGCAGCTGCGCCGTCTACGTCTGTCAGGACTGTGTCACTACACATCCCCCCTGCAAATGCTCCTATTGCGGCTCGAACTACCTCTGTCCGAACTGCGCAAAGCTCCGCGAACGCGATGGTACCTGCCGCCGTGCCGACGAAGAGAAAGCGCAGCGCGAGCAGAAATTCCAGCGAGATATGCAGATGCTCGAGGGGATCCTCGAAACGAAACTTGCTAATGAAGTTGCCGAATTTGCCGGCCAGTTCTTCGACTTTGTTGATTCATCCTCGCTCTCGCCCCGCGGCAGTAGAGAACCCGGGTCGGGTCCCGGGCCTGATGATGCCGCAGTCGAAGAGGTCGAAAATGTCAATGTCTCTCATCCTCCTGATCCTTCTCACCTTTCTCCTCCATCTCCGCATCAAGTCGATGACCATGAGAGCCTGGAGCTCCTACTTCAACAAACTCTGCGAGACGAAGATGATGAATAACCCATTTGTCATAAAAAAAAAAAGAAGCGTGTTCCTTTGGATTTTACTCTACTGTGACGGCGTCAGTCAGGTTGGGGAGGTTATCTCGGTTCATTTCCCTTTAGCCTTTTTTTTTTTTTTTCTTCTTCTCTCCTTTCATCCTTACGCATCGTCAGCCGTGTTTCTCCGGATATCTCAACTGAATTTTCTTTTTCTTTTCTTGTTTTCTGTTTTCTCTTGCTTGCTTCGCACTCAGGTTCAATGCCCTCCATCTGTTTCCAGTTATCCAGCTCGCTTTTCCTGTCCTCTCCTTCTTCTGCGAGCATCTACCGGCGCATGTACGCTTCTTAGTTTCTTCCTCGTTAATTCCGCACTATTCCTTCGAACATGTTTCAGCTTGATATGGGGGTTTCGTCCTCGCGAATCCATTTAGTTTGTTTTAAGCGGTGTCCTTGCCTTTTGTAGTAGCATATCTACCAGAGCAGCAGGAGCTGAGGCCAAGAAAGTCAAGAGATGCATAATCATACATCAATGACATGAGACAATGGTATCTATCAACACTCGTATTGTAGATACCAGCAGCACCCAAGAGAGAGCATAAGAGCATAGTATATACTACTCGGTAGTAGCACATCAATCCAATAAAGCAAAGTCAAGGAACCCCAAGTAAAAACCAACCCCAGAGCAGTCGGCAGTCCTCTTTTCGTACGCATCAACCGCCAAAACCGAAACGCCAACGTCAAGGGGAACTTTGTTTTGTTTTGTCTTGTTTTGTTTTACTTTTCCTTGCTAGGGCGAAGCGGGATCTTCTTCTTCTTCTTCTTCTTCTTCTTCTTCTATCTACAGACTGGACAGGACGGGCCTACCTACCTATGGATGCTGGCCCTGATTGTTTTACTTCACATTGCCTGGGATCTGAAACAAGAACCTAGCCTAACGACCGGGTTTGATCAATCAGAGCGCGAGTTACGTTTAATGTACGAGGAGATGCGGATTCGCGATGAGGTCTTGCCGTTGGGGAGATAGAGAAAGAGAGAGAGAGCAATACTGAGACAATTGGTGTTCAGAGATGCTTCGACAAACTGGGTATAAAATGGATGGCCTTTCTTCTTGTCTTTGAGGTAGCAGGACGGAGGATTGTCGAGGTCTCTTTTTGCACTGAAGTCCTTTTCTGTTGAATATCCTATGAAGCTCTGTCTTCTTTCTCTCACTCTAGCCTTGGCTGGATTCGTTACTGCGAGCTTTGGAGATCTGAACCTTCGTCGAGATGGTACGATTGCCTTTTAGCGGAATAAGAAATTGGCTGGGCATCAAATGCTTCTCGGGCGGAATGAAGTGAGCTAACTGCTTGTTACTTGGAAATATAGTCTCTGGGAACGAATTGCGTCTCGGCTCTTGCAAGCCCATTACCTTTATTTTTGCCCGTGCCTCGACCGAGATCGGTCTCCTGGTGAGTTCACAACGTCCTTCCTTGCCCCGGGGAACAGCAAATGCTCATGTGGAAAGGTAGGGCATCTCGACTGGCCCCGGGGTCTGCGATCAACTGAAGCTGAAAAAGCCCGGTGATGTCGCCTGCCAAGGGGTTGGACCAGCCTACACTGCAGAACTGGCGCCCAACTTCCTTCCTCAAGGCACAACCGACGTCGCCATCAACGAGGCGAAGGAATTGTTCAACTTGGCCGCTACCAAATGCCCTGACACCACCATTGTCGCCGGTGGATATAGCCAGGGTACGGCGGTCATGCACAATTCCATCTCTGAGCTTCCCGATGCAGTCAAGGACAGGATTGCGGGCGTGGTGCTTTTCGGTGACACCCGCAACAAGCAGGACAACGAGCAGATCCCCGACTTCCCCCGGGACAAGATCAAGATCTACTGCGCTGCCGGGGACATGGTCTGCGATGGAACTTTGATCATCACTCCCGCTCACTTTACCTACACTATGAGTGTGGGTGATGCCGCCGACTTTTTGGTCTCCACGCTCTAGGATGAGGTAACCGGGATGATTCCTAGTTGAGATTAGAAGGAGACATTGAAGTTGTGAATGAAGTTGTGTCTGTGCTGCCCTGTTCATTGGAGTAAACAGGTGGATTTCGTCGTTTCGACTCATCTTGTAACCAATTCTCATAACCAATTCTCGTTCAACTAGTTAGACAGTAGCTTTAGACTATGTCTAGCAGAAATTTCACAAAAGAAATTATAAAGTGGCTTGACATCAATTCTCAGGGGTTGGATAGCAGAGTGGAAAGTGAAACGTTCAGAAGCTTCCAAATTGCGCTCCCGGCAAAAAGCATCCATCCATCCATCCATCCATCGCCCCGCCTCCAACTCCCGCTCTACATACATAACTTTCTTCGTTCTTTCTTTTCAGCCCATGGGAATAATCGCATTTTAATACTCAAGAATCATGTCCGACCTCGACCAAGACCCCTCCACCGCCGAGGTCGCCGCGCGCGAGCTCCAGGAAACAGAACGCAAGGCCAAGGAAGACGCTGAACAGGCTCAGCTCCCCTACCAATGGACACAGACGATCCAGGACGTGGACGTTACTATCCCCATCCCAGGTAACATCAAGGGACGGGACATGGAGGTTGTTTTGACCAAGACGAAGATCAAGATCGCGATCAAAGGCCAGGAACCGTTGATCGATGTAGGTGTCTCTTTCTTTCTTTCTTTCTTTCTTTCTTTCTACTGCGAAACGAAATATCTCATTGACTGATTTTCTACTGCTTAGGGTGACTTCCCCCATCCGGTTCGACTAGATGAGTGTTCGTGGACTCTAGAAACAACTTCCAACCCACCTGGAAAGGAGGTAGCTGTTCATCTCGATAAAGTCAACCAGATGGAATGGTGGCCCCATGTGGTCACGACCGCTCCCAAGGTTGACGTTAGCAAAATCACACCCGAGTCGTCCAAGCTGAGTGACCTGGATGGAGAGACAAGAGCAATGGTGGAGAAGATGATGTACGATCAGCGACAGAAGGAGATTGGAGGACCGACAAGCGATGAGCAACGGAAGATGGATATTCTACGGAAATTCCAAGCTCAACATCCTGGTATGTTTCTTTTCTTCTTCTTCTTCTTCTCTTCTTCGTCAAATGTTTGTCTGGGAATACTAACGGGTGCAGAAATGGACTTCTCCAATGCTCAAATCGGCTAGATAACGAAATAAATAGCGAGTAATGAAGTTTCTGAACAAATTAAATTGACATTACCCACTTTTTCGTATTTATTTCATTTCATGCTTTGGAGTTGAGGTCTCGTAAAATCCCGTTACGTTTGCAGCCGAAGAAGGACGCATAGACATCACCGCCCGAGTTCAGAGGCAGCAACCCCGTTTCACACACACATAAGATGGATCTGTTATTATACTTGCCTCTTGAGATCTTGGATTGAAAGTCGGGAGGATCATCACCGAAGCCATGCAGGGCCAGATTATGCCATTCCGGGTCAAAATCCCCCCGCGGCCTGAAGCACGCACATATCATTCCCGTCGCCCTCATCGCAAGTCGCGTGCGGGGTGCGCAAAATGCAAGCAACGCCGAGTCAAGGTAAGAACCCCCATGAGCTCCATGCAATTATTGTTCTCTGATCTTGTCAAGTGCGATGAAACGAGACCCCATTGTCGAAAATGCCAAAAACTCGGGATCGACTGCACGTACGAAGCCATTTTGCCTGTTGGCTGTGGAAACCTCAATGGCGTGACTCATTTCATCAAACACGCTCCCTGCTTGACAGCTCCCGATGCCAGCGCCTACTCCATGTCCCTTCGCGCGGTTTCTACCAGCATCGATGATATCCTGCGCGTGAAACCAGGCAGGGTGGTTGGCGATGGCTTCAGCAACCTCGACACCCTACGTCATTTTCAAGATGTGGTCACTTCTACCGTCATCAGCAAGTTTGGTCGAGAGGTGATGCGCGGGAAAGTGATACGATTAGCTTTCGAAGTGAGTCGCAAAGCCATATATATATATATAGATATATATATATATATTATATTCGTTAATGTACTTCACAAACTGACCCCCTGAGGACGTATCCCAACGCTCAATTAGTCGCCATACCTCATGCATACCATCATCGCTACCGCCATGGCGCACCTCCGCCATTCTGTGCCTGAGCGCAGCCACAGCTCCTACACCCTCGTCGAAGGACAGCACTTGCAGCTCGCCATTCGCCAGTACTCCCAGGAGATTGAAACCCCCATGGGGCCGGAAAACATGGATGCGCTGTTCTCGGCCTGCCTTCTCATGACGGTCAATTCCTTCCCTCTCGAGAAATACAACCCACGCCAGTCATTCGTATTCGCAGAGAACCCCGCCCCATCTCTCAACTGGCTCTTCGTGCAATCCGGCCTAAGCCATCTTCTTTGCCGCGCCCAGCCCTGGCTACCGCGCAGCATGTGGTTGGAAACGTTCCTGTCCTCGAGCAGAGAAAACCGCGACTTCTACCAAGACAAACGCCCCGGACGCGACCGCTTACCCAGCGCCCTCGCCGACATATGCGGCATCACCGAGCACACAACCGAAGAAACTAACCCCTACCTGTGGCCGCTGCGCATGCTGACCCCTCTGCTCTCCGTGGAGCCTTCCCTCGCGACATTTTCGCAGTTCACGACCTTTATGGGCCGTCTGCTCCCGGAATTTCATGACCGTTTGATTCAGAAAGACCCGCCGGCCCTGATTCTTCTGGCCTGGTGGCTGGCCCTCATGTATTCTATTGACTTGTGGTGGGTGAAGACCCGCGCCAGATCCGAGTGCGCGGCTATCTGTATGTATCTCGAGAACAGCCGTGATCCGCTGGTCCTCAAGCTGCTGGAGTTTCCAGCCCAGAGATGTGGAATCTTACTTCCTTCGGCCTGTTCGGCTTGACCTGGCCGATTGGATTTTGGAAGAATCCTTGCCTGTTAATGTGTACTTTTTTTATCACAGATCACAGATCTCATTTGGAAGAAGCCTGCTGTATCAACAGCAAGAACATTTCAAAGCTGAGGGCATGTTTATTATTTATTTTATTTGTTCATTTATTTAAAGAGGCCAGTTTTTTATTATATTCGTTCATACATTACATACATAATAGAATATCATTTTCTTTACTTATTTCTCAGAACTCAAGAATAGTAAGGTTCTTTTAACCTGAAATAAAACAAAAGTACGTGTATAAGTAGAGTCAAGAGGTTTTATTTCCTGGTGTCAAATATAAACCTACCTGCACTATCTGGACTACTTCGTGGCAAGTGCTGTTTAAGTACAGCAGTACCCAGTTCTATGGTAAAATGGCTTGTACCGATATATATGAATGAAGCGCTCTAGTTAATTATATTCAGCGGTTATTATTTTAGTTTATACTAATGGTGAGAAATATCGAGGAATCACAATCAATCTAGATCGTGAAAGGCCATGATATCCTGACCCCGACCCCGTCCATCTTTGCCCTTTTGCTTCTTGCGCTTCTTCTGCGAGGTATCGCGTTGTCGAGTCTCGCGGTCACTGTCATCTGAATCATCGCCCTCATCTGAATCATCGCTATCGCTCTCGTCACCATCCTCTCCAAACGAGCGCTTCTCACCATTCCTGGACTCTGCGGTTTCGTGCCAGACCTTGACGATCTGTCCACCACCACTCACCATTCGTCCTTCCACATCAAACCCAAGACCAACGACGCCCTCTGTCTCATCATGCATAAGCTCCGAGACAATCTTATTCATGCCAATTTTGACGAACTTCACCCTACCGCTGCCCATTCCAACAGCGACCATTTTGCCCTTTCCAAGCTCGTCCGGAACCACCGACAGCGTTTCTAGAGACTCTCCGCCCCCAGTTCCCCGCTGGATGTAGATTCGCTCGTCCTGGTCATCCCATGCCCCCCGTTCCCACAGCGTCAAGACACCACCGGAACCGCCAACGATCACCTTCTCCCCGCGGCTTGTCCCGCTCGACGCCAGCCCGCCGATATATACGGAGCTGACTAGTTCTTCTTCCTGGTCTTCGCTGCGCATGAGCACGCCCCGCCGCAAGTCTGTCACGGCCAGCGTAGTGCCACCGGTAGTCACCCACTGCTTGCTGAACCCAGAGGTGCTTGCATCCGACGGCGGGAGCGGCGTCAGAGAGGAGATGTAGTCGTCATGGGGATGATGCGTTTGCTGCGGCTTAGCGGAAACAGACGAGAACGGAATCCGCAAGTCGTAAAGATGCAAAGCGCTGGAGTCTGTAGCGAGAAGAAGAGTCTGAGGAGAGAGAGCATGGATAATAGTTGGAGCATCGACGGACCTGTCCCCGGATCGATCTCGGTAAGCTACTGGACAGAAAAAAAAAGCTGTCGATTATATATAGCCCAAAAAAAGAATCCCAAAACTCACCCATCTTTCTCCGGCGGAATCGCAATCTTATTCTCAACCACGCCGGTCTCCGCCTTTGCGACTTTCACCAGCCCATCCGTCCCAGCAGAGTACAGGGTTTCGCCGCCAATTCCAAATCCCAAACAGCGACAGCTCCCCTTATGTCGTCGCGTCCTCCACATCGTATCAATGTGTCCCTTGCCGCCATTGCGCGACGAGGAATTCGACGCTTGCTCATCGCCATCGCCGCTGTCTTCTTCCGCGGAGGGGAGCCGAAAAGTCTGGACGTGGCCAGTGGAAAGCCCAACAGAGATGACGGGCTCCTTGGGATGGATAGCCTGTGCGAATAAATCCGCAGAAAGCGGTAATGTACAGACCGTGTCGAACATTATTATTGTGAGAGAGAGCCCAAAGAAGGGTTCAAATTTATTGACTCTTGTTGAGTTTCCCTTTCTCTCTTTCTTTCTTTCTTTCTTTTTTTTTTTTTGAAGCTCCGGAAGCTCGATTTGTTCGGGGGATGCGGGCCGATGAATCTTCCGCCAATCAGTGAATTTACGGGCCTGGACGATCATCTCTCGTGTGGAGAAAGAACGCATCTTCAGAGGTCTGCTTGACTCTTGAGGATTCTGATCTAAATAACTACGGATACTTCATCTTTGATGATCACAGGTACGTTTGGAAGAATTGTGCTCTGGATTGACAACTTCTGTATTCGGATGTCTTGCCTTAACTCAATACATACATAACAGATGACCAAGGGAAAAGAAAATCAAGAAAGGAAACCCTCTTTGGCCCTCCACCTCTGGTCGAGATCTATGTTCATTTCGACCTTAAAAAACTATATACAACTGGGGAGTCTCGGGATTGTTTTGGAACCCCTTTCTCAAGATTCAAAGGTAGAGCCGATAGGCCCGAACTTGATGTTGGAGAAGGTGACGGAAGCATCGGGGTGTGCAGACTGGACGGTGTTTGGGTCGCCAGCACCCTTGGCGCAAGTACCGCGGGCAACACCAGGGGTGCTTGGGTTGGCATCAGTGGGGTAGGAGCTATCGAGCCACAACATGCTGGCGTAGTGGTCATCCCAGAGACTGAGAATGAGAACCATGGCAGACATGGCGTCACCCATCTTGGTAAGTCCACCGTGCTGGGCGAAGATATCCTTGTCACCGAAGGTCTTCTTTTGGGCAGTGCAGAAGTCGGAAGTAATTGAGTTGCCAGCCACACCGCTAACATTGGAGGCAGAGTTGGCAATGACTTTGCCATTCTGGACGTAGAAACGCTTGATCTCAGACAGGGAGCCACCGTTAGCAACGAATTGGGTCACGACAGTAAATTTGGATTTGGTGTCGACCATTTTACCGGGGCCATAGAAGGAAGTGTTGCCCATCCGGTAAGCGTTGAAGTCACAGCCGTCAGGATCGCAAGGACCGGCGTAGCGGTCGGAGGAGTAGGTGCCACCACATTTATCGCCTTTGCACATGGTCTGCTTAACGGCATCGCAAGGGTGGGGAGTGTAAGCAGAAGAGATGCTGTTGGCTTCCCAGATATCCATTTCAGGGCAGCATGCACCCATGCCACCAACACCCGTGTTGGGGTCGTTGTTGGAAGGAGTCCAGTCCTCGACATTAGCCTGTCCAAATGTTAGCAACCTTCTGCCGAATGAGAAGTCGAAAGTCTACTCATACCATGCCGTTGATGAATTTGATATCACGAGGGCATTGAGAGTCACAGTAGCCGGTTCCGTACTTGGCACCAGCCTTGTTACCTTTGTACTTGCTCAAACCACCGTCGGCTTCCATCGAGGTGAAGTACAAGGCACCGTTCAGGCCGCAAGGAAGGTTGGATACGTCAACGTCGAAAGTGAACTCGTTGTTCAGTAAGTCAAAGGTTTGGTAGGTCTCGTCATCGGACATCAGGTAAACACGGGAGCCAATGTTGGAACCAGTGACGAACTTGAGCGTGAGTGCGTCCCCCGTGGAGGTAATGCCATAGGTTCCTGCATAATTGGCACCATCAACCGCACATTTTTTTGCACAAGTTTCGTTGTCAGGGCAGAGCTCTTTGTTCCACTATTTATTATGTTTAGTTTTTTTTTTTTTTTTTTTAAAAAAAAAAAGAGCACAGAATTGATGTCGACTGTTCGAACTTACCGTGTTACCGGTGTAGCAGTTGGTGGAACCGTCAACGGAGTGAGTCCAACGCCAGTTAGCATCAAGGACAACGGAGCCGTCAACTTTAGCGCAAGAACCACTGGCATCACACTTTTGCCAGTTCAAAGTAGGATGGGTTTCAGCCTGCAGGGTACCTGCCTGCTGAGCCCGAGCGGCGGACAGGAGTGCAGAGAAAAGAAGGGCACGTTGATACATCTTGAATTCTGGAAAGGGATGTTGGTTTTCTTATGTTTTCCTGGGGGTCTGCCCGGCAGAGAGATCAGACGGTGGGTTGAACTGATCTTTTTATACCTGACTACTTGGCTCGCCGACTTGGAGGTGTTCAATGTTTTGATCATCATCCCAGGAGAATCCTTTCGTTATCGACCCAATCGGTGCAACGGACGACGGGGCCGCATTTTCACTGTTTCATAGAAATAGAGTAGCGCAGCTGCTTCGAGAAATCACGAAGAGCTCCATGTGACAAAATGGAAAATCCCAGAGCCCTTTTAGCAAGGCTAAGAGGGACTTTCGACCTCAAAAGGCAAGGGTTGAACCAAAGGTTGCGGAGTCTTTTCGGAATAAAGACTATCATTGGACTGGATTTTCAATGAATATTGAACGCAACGGAGCAAACTCCGAGCAATTTCTGTCAAGTGCGATACATTGGTTGTATATACCGATGTCGATCACAACTGGCCAGACATATCGCCTTGGTGCCCTCCCAGTATACCTAGATGGAGCAGCGCCTTTTAACACTTACTCTTCCTCGCCCATATACTACAAACTCATGGCGAGACGCCGTCTTCACTCATCTCATCAGGAACGTATCATGAAGGAGGAAAGAACGCCATGCGGGAACCAGCCAATACCTGAGTCCAGTACGAACTCGAGGTCAAGAGTGTGACCGGATTCGTCTTGAGTGAAACACTGACGTTACCCAACTCAGGCACAGTAACAACGGAATTTTCCAGGAACCCATCGTATTGGATCGAGGACACTCAAGACTCGGGTGGGAAGCTCCACCGTTTCCAAGCTTGGATGTCCAATATAAAGACACGACGCCAGGACTGAGCACCAGAGCGACAAGGTGTGGCAGAATGTGGCGTTAGTCAGGCGTCAGCCATTCTCTGCACCATCGACTATTTAGATGAAGGGTTGATTAATTATCCAGGGGGGTCCTCGTTAGCCTCGTCGATCCCCAGAATGCGGGGAGGGCAATCCCATCAATGGCGGTACACTTCGCTCACATCGGGGGGATTATGGATGACATCCACACCGTTGTCAAGGAATGGCCGCGTTGCTGTCGAGCAAATGTGTTTTCAGTCAGTTGAATAAGGAGGAATGTGTCATGGAGTCTTTCTTGCCCATCCCAAAACAGGTACTGTTTCGGACTTATTCTTCTTAGTCCACCCCTGCAAGACCCACGAGAGAGCAGGCTGATATATTCCACACAGTGCCGTTTTGGAAACGCACTAATTCATTTTGGCTAAAACTGTTATTAGTCAAAGACATTACGGAGTACGGAGTACAATAATCAAGATGACGAGTCTGCCCGAGTTGGCGCTTGTACATGGTCACTTCGGCGGCAGGCCGGGACCAATCCGTATGACAGGAAGAAATTCATTGTGTCTATCTTTTAGGCAAGAGATGTTGCTGAATGTTCCTGGCTTTCTTGGTATGAAAAAGTTCACAGGAAGACGGGTTGTCTCCAAGAACCCTGCCGGGACACCGCGCTTCAATTCAATATTAATGGTAGAGGGTGACCGGTGAGCCGAAAGAATTGCAGGGGTTTGATATTGTACCTTGCCGATCGCTTCCTCGTGGATCTTCTGCAGTGTCTAGTTACTCTAGTATAACCCGACTAAAATGTTGGCAGGTTTGATGGTAATATTGCTGGTTTCGCCGGGATTATGCGATGATGATCAATTCCAAGCAAGACTGCAGAAGAGTCCTCAAGACAGACCCTCCGTGTCCTACTGTTACTTTGAGTGCAGAATTTGTCAAGCTCAACCCCAAAACAGGAATATGAACATATCAGTGATTGAGAAGGTCATAAAAATGGTTGCTTTGGTCCTCCTCTTTCAGCTACGGCGTAATAGCCTAGAGTATACCATTTTGGGAGTGAAGAAGATCGACTAGAGTCTTCTACCCCACCCCAAAGAGATCAAACTACTAGAAGGAACCCACCAGATCTTGGCTCCTCCATTGCGCTTACTATATCAAGTTATCCGTTGACCCTTGAAGATTTCACCTCCAAAGCATCCGTACGCCATATAGTATACCCGCATCTATCATTCAACCCAACTTGACCTTAAGGGACAAGTGGTATAAGGAATGCTCCCTACTTTTCCACCCCGTTCAATGTATGATCGATGCTATCCGAGCTAGTATAACCGGCGGATATTAGAGTTTCTATAGCACCATGGTAGCACAAATTCCAACCTAAAGTTTCTAAACAAGACCGGATGTTGGTCATTGGCTTCATCCAGTGTACTTATCCCCATCCTATTCATTCCCCACCATCCGTCGTTCCATCCCTATGAATTGCAGGACAAGTATAGCAAGTGAAGACCTATTTTGAACCTCAGGCCATGACATCTCGATCCTTGGCATCTTTGCCAGTCCCGTGACCTGGTTTCTTCCATTTTGGGACATTTTGATGCCTTAATGGGGGTTAGTTCCTGATCTCAGGCTCCCAACAGCCGGGCTTATCACGAGGCATCCCGGGAAACATCGCGCGGCTCTGTTTCTCTCTCGCTCTCTCTCCCCTTCTCCTTCTCTACCTTCACCGTTTCTTTCTTCCCGTCCACTCTCGTCATCATTAGTGCCATTCTTTGATCTCTTTATTATTCCCCTTCTGCCTTCTTGGGTCTTTGTAAATTAATTGTACCCAATCATCAGGAGATCACACAAGGAAAACCCCCCCCCCCCGCCTTCTCCCGGAAATAACCCAAAAGAGGCCTGCAAAAATAGCCTAAATTGATGGCCATGACACACTGGTATAGCCAAACTGTCGAGAATCTCTCCGACTCCCTGGTAAACTACCGATCTCAATTTCCCCTGCTTGCTGCAGCAGGGGTTTCATTGAGCGTAGGTTTTCTGCTCCGTTCCCTTCTTTCCGACAGACACCTCGAAGGGCCCATACTTCACTCCCCTCTTACTTCCGCGAAGTCGTCCGCACCAGGGGTGGACCTTCCGTTGGACGTGCTCCCAGGTGCGCGAGATGTGCAGACCCCATATGGGTCAATACGTGTTTACGAATGGGGCCCCGAGGATGGCCCCAAGGTCTTGTGTGTCCACGGAATCACCACGCCTTGTATAGCACTAGGCGGACTGGCACATGCCTTGGTTGATCGAGGCTGCCGAGTGATGTTATTCGACTTGTACGTAGGAGAAGCTCCCGTTACTCTTTATCATTTTGTACAGGTTGAATGTCATTTTGCTGATGATAGCTCACTATTAGGTTTGGAAGAGGTTATTCTGATTGCCCTTCCAACCTCCCCCAAGATGAACGTTTATTTGCCACTCAGATCTTCCTAGCTTTGAGTTCTTCCAAGATCTCATGGACTGGAGCTGGCTCTGGCAAATTTTGCCTAGTTGGTTACTCCCTAGGGGGTGGTATAGCGGCATCTTTCGCATCTTTCTTCCCCCAGCTTCTATCTAGCCTCGTCTTAATTGCCCCTGCAGGGTTAATTCGCGACTCCCAGATCAGCTTCCAGTCCCGACTTCTTTATTCGGGTGGCTTCATCCCAGAGCGCGTGCTGGGCTACCTTGTCGGCCGTCGTCTGCGCGCGGGTCCTCTGTCTTCTCCCAAGCCCAAGCACGAAAAGCTCAGTGCGGAAGATGCCTTGGCTGAAGAACTCCCTTCGCAAGGGGCCGCTGAGGTTCAGGTACTTTCTCGCTCGTACCCCCACGTCACTGTTCCATCTGCTGTACTGTGGCAAGTGAACCATCATCACGGCTTTGTTCACTCCTTTATGTCGAGCATGCGCCATGGGCCGATCTTGGCCCAACGCCAACGCGAATCCTGGGAACGTCTTGGCAAGTTTCTATCCACACAAGCGAAACTCACACCCGAGGAGCAAAGCGCCAATGGGCTTCCAAGTGACAAGGTTCTAATCTTATGTGGTGAAAACGATCCAATCATTGTCAAGGGCGAGCTTGTCCCTGACGCCACTTCCGCCCTCCAAGGGAACGCAAAATTCGTGTACTTCGATGCGGGTCATGAGTTCCCAAGTACGAAATACGAAGAAGTAGCAGAGCATGTGTTTGAGTTGTTAAATTGAGCATGTATGAACCTGGACTATATGACATGCTGATGGGGACCCCGCTAACGCCGAGCTGATAATGACCATGCGTTTATAATAATAGAACCTGTATATAGAAGTTGAATTTATCCTTGCCTCTCCTTCTTCATGATTTGTTCTGTCGCATTGAGTTGGTTTGATAGTCGGCTTGCGTGTTCCGACCGATCCTGCATGCGCGCGCGAGCAAAGTAGGGCTCGTCTGCAGCGGATGACCGCGAAAATCGGTCAACACCACGGTTGCTCTCATCAGGTACATTGTTCAGGTTGCCTGCGCTGAGGTGGCTACTCATGCCGTTGGCCATCCTAGTAGAACCCTGTGAGCAGGCAGGTATCTGGCGTGAAAGCGGGTCGAACACACTTACTTGGAGGATTGCTTGCCATTAGCAGACATTTTTCTTGTCCAGTGTTCAACGGATTGGAAATTCTGGGGGTCTTGATGGGATCAGAAATGTTGACGCCTCTCGAAGCAGGTCTTTCAAGAGGCAGTAGTAGGTAAGTATGTAGTGGACGAAATCGCTGACGAAGTAGCTGTTCTGGAGTGGGACTGTTTGAATGATTCTCCCAGAAAGCTAGAGGGAATCACACTCCTATATACCTGAACTGCGCAACGGACGAGAAGGGAAGGAGTCAAATGTAGAGGAGCGAATAAAATAAAAATAAACCAAGCGAGCGACCCGGCCGAGCGAAAGAAAATGGAGCAAAATGAGTGTCTACCTAAGGTCAGTAGGAAGTGAAAATGGCACCGCGAGATAGAGATCTTCGCGTGAATTGCGCTTCTGGGTACGGAGTCGAGGGGATTTTTCTCTCAACCTTTGGCGGTGCACTTTTGACACCACCATTCGGTTCCTTTATTATTATTATTATTATTATTATTATTATTATTATTATCTATTTTCAAGGAATCTTCGAGCACCTTCTGGACCATCAAGTCTCCAGGACCGATAGAGCTCTACTCTATTGATATTGTCAAAGGAACCAACACCAGCCAGTCAGTCAGTCAGTCAGTCTACTGGAACCACCAGAATTCCCAACTCCGATCGGAATCAGTGATTAGCGAGCATGAATGGGTCCGGAATGAACACTCTGGGGAATCCATGAGCGATGGGCATGGCATGGCATGGCGTACATACACCGGCGCTGCGGCGCATGAACCGAAGGCAGCTAACCAGTCTCCCGGTATACCAACGGGATCGATCAACTGACCTCAAAGCCACTAAGCCCATTGTCCGGTGTACCTACGGAGTACCTCCATCCATTATTCGCTTGACTCTACCTGGACCGTGTGTGTGACTGTGGTCCCCCCCCCCCCCTTGACCCGGGGATGCTATCCGCGCGGGTTTTACCATAATGTCATAGCTGCTGGGTGCGGGATATCTCGTTGGACCAAATGGGAAAGGATCGAAGACGAACGGTTTTCAAGATCGGCCGAAACCAAAACTTGATGTGGACCAAACGTGGCGATCCCACGTAAATCGAAGCCATCTCGCACTGCCCCAGGGACTGACCCTATGGGAATGGTGATACTCGTGCGCTATAATGGGCTGATGGGCTTTTTTTTTTTTTGCTTTTTCACCCTCTCCCTTCATTTCATCCTACGGAATACTTACAGAGAGTACTCTGTACAAAGTACTCCCTCTGTGAAATCGAGGGATTTCGGGTATTGGGATCCACTGGTACGCATTGTCAACGTCTCGTATCATCTCCGAGAAAAACGGCAATATTGCATGGGCAGTGCATTAACCCTACGACTTGCAGTCGACAGGTTCTGAGCAGATGCCTTCTTTATCACTGGTACTTTGGTACGCTCTCCGTGGTTTACAGGATCTCGTATTCTTAATCGGATCTTGCATCTACTGCAATTCTAGCCGGTGTTCTCTACAAAGTACAAAGTAACGCGGTGTTTTGCCTCGTACTTTTCTTCTTACCTTTTTTTTTTTTTTGCTTTTTCCATTACCGGTGGTCCAGATAACTATCCGGATAAATCGGTTCCCTCCACATACCGTTGACGTTGACCCCTTGCCATCAGCTGAGAAACTCTTCTAAAAAAAAGGCCGCTGCAGAGCTTGTGAAGCTTCCCTAGGGATGTAATTTCGGTCCCAGGGACTCGGATCCGATCACTTTCCTTGGTTACTCTCAGGGGCATCATTGAGGGATATCCTTAGTACAGACTACAGGATAGTATGACCGCGCAATATTATTATTATTATTATTATATTGGAAAGGGGCGGAAGAGATATCATATCACCTTGACCTGACTCGTGACTATTCATTTCCCCATGAACTGACTACCTAACTACAAAGTACATGGTCATATAGTGATCTGATCTGCTAGTCTGACCACCTCTACTGAATTGTCGTCGTGTTCCGCAATCAATTCACTATTAATTTGTTTTTCACTATTCTATACCTATATCCTGGCGGTTCGATGACTTGTCAGACCATACGGAGAACGGAGAACGGAGTACAGAGTACAGAGTACAAACCCTTTAGGCATACCTTGTAAGCTCTGACTCCCGATCTATCTATCTACATAGGATGTCCGATGACCATTCTTTAGACACTAACCGAGTACTCCTGCCAAGCATGCGTCTCGCGTGGCTCATTCATGGTTCATGCCGCAGCCGCTGTCTCGAACCGAGCCGAACAGGGCCAGGCCATATTATATATTATACTACTAGTATTATTGGTGCGAGGAGTGTGGAGTACGCAAGGGATGCCGTACTATATACTATACATAACAATACCTACAGTCCAAACGAGGATGACGCAGTAGCTGATGAAAGCAAGCAAGCCCCTTGATCCATGCATGATTCAGCCCCAGGAGGCTGTTTCGAATTGGACATGCGCCAATAATCCAACCCTTTTTTTTTGCATCCAATATTATGTAGGTACGGCATTCTCCGACCCTAACCTACAAGTCGATTTGACCCGGGAATGCGTAATAATGCACCCCGGCCCCTAAATTAGTAGCTAAGCAAGGCACAGACCAACCGTATAAGGCCTATTTCCAAAGTCCCAAAATTTACAAAGTAATGAGGAGTACCTACCTAGAACATGGCAGGGGGATAGATGCTGGCGTATCACGTGTGTCGGCCGGGAAAGTTGCCTGTTTGGGCGTGTCCAGCATGACCTCGTCGACATCCCGATTCTTCGGTATTTCGCTCTCACATCTGGTTTCTTTGGCTATCCCATATTTGTGATACTATCTCTCTCATCTACAATAATAAACCTTGATCAATTCCAGCGAAGCAACACAAGATACAGTCACAGATCATGCTATAAGTCCGCGCGCGGGGAAGTCTACCCAAGGTAACGCAGATCAGATTCCCTCTCTCATCGCCAACCTATCAATATCAATCAACTAATAATATATCACTAGATAAATCCATCCCCCGCCATGGAGCAAGCGACATTGAATGACATTCAAAAATCCATCTGGGAAGGCCAGTTACCTTTGCAAATCAGCCTTGCTCCATCCGAGAGCCGCACCTACGACCAGACAGACCCATATCTTGTACGATCCGATGTCGATATCCAACTTGCGCACCGCTCAAGATTCACGGGGCCTAACTAACCGATGAGTAGATTTCCTGTCCTCGAGTCTCTTATCTCCCCGCGTTACTCCCCAGGCTCAGGGCTTTCTTCTCTTCGTCGCTCATCGACCCGTCCGCTGCTTCGCCCCACGACGGCTGGTTCTCGTTCGAGGGCGTACCGCTGAAATGGCACTATCCTATCGGGCTACTCTATGACCTCTACGCGGGGGCGGACCCCGCAACGAAATCCCACGACCTGGATGCCTCCACGGCCGGAGACCACCTCCCCTGGCGTCTGGTCGTCCATTTCAGCGACTGGCCCGATGACGAGCTAGTCCGTCTCGATGCCCACGGCATGGTGATGAACGATGCCTTCATTAACAGCGTGAAAGAGGCTGATTTCCTCCGCAACGGAACCGCAAAGGGGATCATGTCTTTATCAAAGGAGGACTCTTCGGGACTATGGAAGGCCGTCCAAGATGGTGCGTCCTTATCTTCCCCCCCCCCCGTTATATATATATATATATATATATATATATAAAAAAAAAGAAGAGAGAGAAATATCTAATCACCTCTCCTCTCTACGGGAAAACCAACAGTCGATCTCTCCTCCTTTCAACGAATCTCAAACATCCTCCTCCCCCCCCCCTCCCAGCCCTTCCGCAATTTCCCTATCCGTCTGTTCCTCCCCCTCCCCCCTAAATCTGGTTCCGACAACCCAGCCCTCAAGGTCGTGCAATCCCCCGTCCCACCAACAATCACCCAGTCTAGTCTTGCCGCCGGACAATCCCTGCTGCTGTCCTCTCGTGCCGGCCTGCCTGGAGCAGGTAGCGTAGCTGGTACCACCACGCAGACCCAAACACAGACTATCGGCTCGGCTCTCCACTCTCTTCTCCCGAATTTATTCCCTAGTCGGAGGACGCCGGTTCTGGCAAAGCCGGTGCTGCATGGCGCGGCGGTGCCGATGTCTGCGCCGGTTGAGGAGGTAGTGCGGTGTTCCGCGTATGGGGATGGGTGGGTGTACATTGTGATTCGGATGATGGGGTGATTATTATTATTATTTTTTTTCAATCACTTAGATCATGAATTGAGATAAACATTATTTTTGATGAGTGCTGCTACTGTATATCCTTTTCAGGAAATCACGTAGTTTTCACAACTAGAAATAGATGAGGAAGTGATATAATAAGTATATAAAAGAGAGTTAGTATAATTGAATAAAGACTTTCCAGTGATATATTTCCTTTAATTTCTGTTATATCTTCCAAGACTTCTGCAGAAAAAGAAATTTGCATAGATTGCTTTCTTGTCATTCATTATATTGGATTCGGGTATCGTGCAAGCGAAAAAGGGCAAAAGGGAAACAAGAAAAAAAAAAAGGAAACAAAAGGGGTTTTGGGCGGGTGTTTTCCATATTCCAACAAAACACCATCAATGCTTTCCAATTCAAGATGCTCGCTCAGAACGCAAGACTGAATAATCTCAAACAATTACATACGGCATCTCATCTCCCATTAGAGAAATCCCGGTACCTTTTTCTGCCTCTTGATCGTCTTCTTCGCTCTCCTTCACCCCGTTTGCCTCTAACTCATCGTCCGGGTCATCCTGGATCAAGTCTTCCTCTTCAATGACGGTGCCGACACTGTCTCGCCGGCTCGTTTCAACAGCAGGACGAAGCTTTCCATCAGAGCCAAACCAGTGTAGAGCGAAAGGGTTTTTCAGCGCCAAATCAAAGGCTGTCGTGCCAACTCCGTTCCCGTCATCGGCTTTGGCGCTGTCCGGTGCTTCCAGGGAAATATCTGCACCTGCATCATGTATGATTCGGAAGATGCCTTCTCGCCCTCGCTCCGCGGCTAGATGAAGAGACGTTTTCCCTTCCAGTGTGGGGCTGTCGACTTCAGCGCCGGCTTTAATTAGTAGTGAGACAAGATTTGGCCGTGGTACTATCGCAGTGACGGCAAGATGAAGCGGTGTTTCGGCATTGCTGCTTTGCAGTCGGGCGTTGACATCAGCCCCACTACAGAGGAGGAGGTGTATGTACTCTGCTATTTTGTCAAAGGCGTGGTCTGGGACTCCAGCTCCGACGTAGACGGCTAGGTGGAGGGGTGTCCAGCCTTCATTAGAGACGACGTTGACACTCAGGCCTTTTTCTACGGCGAACTTGAGAATATCTATGCATTCATCGTTGATCGGAGGTGTGATAAGAAGGAGGGACTCGCCCTTAGCAGTTAGGGCGCCGATTTTGGCGCCTCGCTCGACAAGGTACATGAACATCAGTTTATTTCCGGCTGCTGCTGCACAGTGCAATGGTGGGTATCCTTTCGCTGTAAAGGCCTCGATGCTACAACCTTGGTCGATGATTTTCGAGGCGACAGATGTGCTACAGGCCATTCGTGCCTCTTGGTGAATAAGAGACTCTCCTTCTTTATTCCATGCGTTGATGTCTGCACCGCCAATGACCAAGAGGTCAAATGCAACCCAGTGATTTGCGTAAGCTGCTAGCTGGAGCGCTGTAAACCCAGACAGAGATCGAGTCTCCACCTGTGCGCGGCGCTGGAGAAGCACAGAAATTGCCTCGCAGTTATCGACCATTACCGCTAATTGAAGAGGAGTAAACCCGTTCTCATTAGTCATATTAATGGAGGCGCCTTTGTCAAGGAGGTATAGGACGATACGGAGTCGCCTCCATTCGATCGCTATATGAAGGGCAGTGTCACCTGTGTGGATGTTGCGGGTGTTGACGTCCACCTTGTTTTTCACAAGCAACGCAACAGTTGCCTCATCCGATTCTGTCTTTACGGCCAGATGGGGACCTGTTGCACCCTCTTTATTCGCAATTTGAGCATTAACCGGTCGATGGAGCAGAATTTTCATGACTTTCCTTTGGCCATATTCTGTGGCTAGGTGCAAGGCTGTGCTGCCGTCGCGGGACACTGCATTTCCATCCGCTCCACTATCAAGCAAAAATTCGACCATGTCAGAGTTCCCACGGCTGGCTGCGCAGTGTAAAGGAGTGATCTTGAACGAATTATCGTTCGCATCAACCCTTGCACCTTGAAAAAGGATACGTTTGGATTTTCCCACGATTCCAAAGTAAGCGAGGACATGAAGGGGAGTCCAGTCCTGGGGGTATTTCCCTAAACCCAGCTCGGATGGAATTTTGGATTGATTGGTTAGCACTTGTAGAGGTGGCCGTCTCCAGAGCAACTTGTTAAGGAATGTCTTAATCAGAACCTGTATCGTTTGTTCGTCGTCCGAAACCTCACGCGCGTGATATCCCCAGTACCTTGCTGCGTAGCTCACAAATCCGCTCCCAGTACTCCGGGGGTTGGTTCCACCGTTGTAGTAGCAATCATCAACGACTTCATCCGGTGTAATAGCAGTCAAGCAGGTCTCGGCAATATCCTTTTGCGCCGTTGGGAAAAATACTTTGGCTGGAGTACCTGTCAAATACTCTTTGGCCGTCCTGTGCACGAAGCGAACGGTACCAGTTACGGCATCTACCGTTAGAATCCCAGCACTTTGAGTCTGTAAGGAATGTTCAAAGCTCATGGCTTCCTGATCCGCATTGCTCTCCACGATGTTAGTTGCGGATTTCAACTCCCCTACAGACAGGGGTCGAAGAGCATATAGAGTCCAATATACGAAGCAAGTGGCTTTCTGGTTTAAACTAACCACCTGCTTCATCGCTTCACCATATGCCTCACTAAGGCTCTGTGGCAGGTGAACCAGGGCTCGCTCGAAGAGACTCTTGTGCCTGTAACGCGACAGGAGATCAAGATGTATTTTGGCTAAGAGGAACCTAAAAAATCGTAAGATGTGAGTTTTGTGTAACCTTGACAATCTAGGCGCGGGGAGAGATAACTTACACTCCATGGCTTTTCTCTGATACCATGTTAATGACCTCTTGATATAATTGTGGTTCATCGATTTCACATAGAAGGGCACTAATGCTATGATCTTCCTGGATTCGCGACATAGCATACAAGTGAATGTCGCTAGGTGGAGCCATAACAGTAATATAAGAAGCAACTTTGGCTATAGGTGCCTCCCGTAGGGTTACTAGAAGCTGCACCTGGTCGGGGAGTTTCTGGAGTCGCGCAATAAAACGTTCCTTGTCGGAAAGCATATCTAGTCCGTCAATAATAAAGAAAACTTTGGAAAATCGGTCCACTTCTGCACGGATTGCATTCTGATACACTTTGGGAGAGGCCTTGCCTTTCATCATATGCTCGGAGTGATATAGAGAGGAGGACGCATAGGAAAGGCTTCGTTTGCGATAGATAAGCTGTGCAAGGATATTCTGAAGCAAATCCAGGGTTGTCTGTTCTTTCTCTCCCTCCTCCTGGCAAAAGATAAATATTGAGGCAACATCGGACGAGGTAAAGGTTCTCTGAAGTGAGTCTATTATAGCAGCCCTATAGAGACCCCATTAGATTCTCTGGGGGGCTGCATCCATTGCAAGATAGAATTCGGAACACTTACGACAGAAAGGTTTTCCCTACTCCAGCTATCACCGAATGAAGTGTTAGCATTGTGATTGATTTCATCAGCAAGATACGCGACGAAACTTACGCGGACCGACACAGTACAGTGTTTTCATGGACCCGAGCAACCATTGTTTATATTGATCATCATCAAAAATCCACTGGCCAGTGCCTTTCAGGCGGCGATTGCATAAATCTGCGAGGGTGATAAAATTTTCCGATGCCAACTGACTCGTGAAACCAAGAATACGTTCTTCAAATTGAAGGTCGACTTTCGGCCCTGTAAATACACGATAAAGTTAGGGGAGCTTGAATATTATAGCGAGTGATTGATCCTCCAACATACCTGATTCAGTCTCACGCCATAACCTGAGACTGGCTCGAATTTTCCGATCTAGGAACAACCGCTCCCTGTAGAAAGAGAGGGCTCCGAGTAAGTTCATAGCCAGGTTTCACGAAACCAGTTTGAAGGAGGGGTAAACCAACCCAGAATCAGGCTGCATCGAAAGAAGCAGTATGACCTTATACTGCTCTAGACGCGGTAAAAACGTCCGTTCGAGCAGGCGCTTCCGGTAATAAGTCACCCCGACCCCTCCAGGCTGAAAGTAGAGCTCCATAGATTTCATGGTCGATGCGAAACTCGTAAGAACCTCAACCAAGGCTCCCATTCTTGCGGTTTCCAACAGCCATTTTTCTTCCCCCGAAATGATACTGTCTTTGAGAAAATATAAAAATTCCTGGACGTCTACTAGAAGCATAATTGCACGATGCGACGATTCCTGGAGGTCACGGCCACCGTTGAAGCAGCGCCTGACGGCACGGGCAGACTGGGCCGCTTGCGTGAGCTGCCCCAGAACGGCTTGGATATCCGCCATGCTCCAACGCTATGTAAATGTGGGTTTTCACAAAAGTGAAAATATATGAATTGACATCGAGGTAGAAATGAAGTGCTACCAGGGGCAGGGGTGAGAGAGTGCAAAGGAAGGTGATCGTCAGTAACGGCCGTCAATAAAGAAGTTGTAAGAGAGTGGAAAGTAGAAAGTGGTATCTCTCAGATAAAAGACACTGACAGCCCAAGACAGACTAACCCAGACTAATCTAAGCAGCAATGAATAACATAACCATCAAGCATAAAATCAATTCATTCGTCGAGGCTTTAAGGAAGTATCAAGGGGTTCCTAATCGTCCGATGACTGGTCAGCAATGTTTGAGCCCCTCCGTGTATGTACAGCAGGCACAAATCGGCTGGTCACACCCGACGCATTGAAGCGCTTCACCTTGTCAACACGCTCTTTTCAATGCCTCTTTTCCAACCTTTTTTTTACAAGATAGGCCTAATTACTGAACCCAAGCTATTCTTGGAGTTAATTACCCCAAAATTCTTTGCTCTGAAGCCGTTTATTAAAGCGTTAAGGGGGTGTGAAGCGAGACGCGAGATCCTTCGAGGACCATCAACCCCCGCTTCGAAAAAAGAATCCTCCCTGTTGCCGCAGCACTCCATCGTGCGTCATATCAACAACCAACATTTCTGGGGTTGTCTCATTGGCTTCCCCAGCGAAAGCGTGCGAGAGAATCACGTCCCATTTCAAGAGCACTGGTGTGATCAGCAGCTGCAGCACTATGTCCCGACCACTCACGTCGAGCCTTTAAACGCCGGGCTAGTGCACCCTGGTCATCTAGATCCAATAGCTTCCATGATCGATCCCTGAACAGGTGATGACTTGAGAGGCACGCACACACCCAGGTGATCTGGCTGTTTCCTAAACATTGAAACCACCATTCTCTACCTCTTGATTGAGATTCTCGATGTAGATGGTGTTCATTGGATTCCAATAATATCCTTACCCCGCTGCTAAACGTCACATGTTTTTGAGAATTTCCCCCAGCATGCTACAAATGAATTTTCATCCATGTTTCCAGAGCAATTAAGCTACATATTTGTTACTACTACTGTTAGAGGCCTACCGATGCGGTATTTGCTTCTAATCATTTTCAGTTATCTTACGAACCTGTTATAAGTTTGATGGGTTTATTTATATGTTGTTACTAACAGCAATCGTACAATAACTAGCCTTGGTTATTTACATTCCCAGAGTCAGCAACCGAGTTCCAGCTCAAGTCTGCTATGAAGATTAGGCGAAGCAAGCCAGGCGTGAGCCGTTCGCTCGCTCAAAATGTATCCTATCTAGTGATGTATTGCAAAAGTAGACAAATGAAACAAAAATGAATATGTACGCCGAAAACAGAGGAAGCCAAATACTGCCTTCACTGGAGAAAAAAGAAATCGTCACGTCGTCACATTCAAATAAGCACCCCACAGGTGAAAAGTGTGAAAAGAGTGTCTCTGAGAAAAGAAAAAGCGGTACAGAAAAGAGAACAGTAAAAGTGTTGTTGGGTATCAAATCGGCTCTGGGCCAACATTGTAGTCGGGAAATAGAAATGTTTGTCGTTTTAGAAATTTAAAAGGGCTCTCCATTGAGGTTGACGGAATCACCGTTTTCTTGGCCCCTTCGGAGTGCCTTTGCAAGCATCAACTCCCTCATCCAGTCGATGCGTTCCTCCCTAGTTCTGACAGCAAAGTGGTGTGATTTTGACGCGGTTGACAAAAATGACTTTCGTTCGAAGCTACTGCTATTGTTGGATGAGGGAATTAGGGAAAAGGTGAATGTAGCGTCACCGCGGCCATTATTCACGCGCTTCAAAACAGTCTTCTTGAAAGCAGCAGTCAATTTTGAGTGGGATAGAAGGGAAGAACATGCGACAGCATAATCATCAACATCCATCCGCTCCAGTACTTTGGAGTCCCGTTGAGCAGCAGCTTGATCGGGGTACATACACAGATGAGTACCACGGAGCGTGAAGTGATGGTCCTCCCATTCATGGCGGATCAACTTGGAAGTCTTTCGCTTCTTCATCCAGCCACTATGTATGATGTCATTTGCATGCTCGCCTCCAGGACTGAAGGGATTGTTCCGGCAGTGAGCAGCCCGTGGAGTATTTTGGAGATCCTCAGGGGTTTCAATCGGGGGTAGTGGGGACCGTTCAGCAACTGGCAACAATGTCCGTAGATTTTGCCCATTAATAGCAGAGTGCAGCCGCCGATCGTTATCCGCTTTCTCGAGCACTGGTCGAGAATTTATATCTTTGCTTTGGGAGTGATGGCCTCCGAATCGCATATCTGGGGGAACAGACTGGGAGAAATATCTAGAGACCGCACTTCCAATAGGAATAGCAGTCAGAGGGGCATCACCACTAGATAACGGGGTGCGCTGTCCGTATCGAGGATCGTTTCGGTAAAAATCAGAAGGCGACAAGATAGCACTAGACGGGTCGGGCGACCTCTCTTTCCTGGAATCAGGAAATCGTCGCTGCTTTCCTAAAATGGAAGGAGTAATGGTACGCTGCGCAGAGAAGTTGGGAGACAAAGTCAGTTCACTTGGAGACCGACTTGGGATTTGCAACTTTGGTAAATGGCGAAGGTTTTCTGCAAGAGTAGGGTTCCCCTTGGACAACTTTGGAGAGTCAGCAAGGGAGACATGATCTGCAGGCGGAGTAGCAGGGTCCGTGGCTGATTGAAGGGCGCTAAGACGTTGGAAGTTGAGAAAGTTACGCACATTTTCCTGTGGGTCTCGTGGCTGCACAACATTCAGTCTTTCCCGAGATAACTGGACATCAGGAGAGTTGTTTGGACCCATGATATCGGAAGATGCAACAATCGATGGTAACACTTCTGACTTAGGTGTCTTTGCCAGAGTTTGTGCAGTAGCAGCATTACCGGGGTTCCCAGCGACAATCGATGGTATCACTTCTGACTTAGGCGCCTTTGCCAGAGTTTTTGCAGTAGCAGTATTAGCGGTGTCCCCAGCGACAAGCACTGAGCCAGCAAACCCCTCAAGCTGCAGGTCCTTGAGCAATCGAGCCAACCTAGTCTGCTGCTTCTGCCACTTGCGGCAGTTTTCTCCCTTGGAGCATACGTGTAGCTTCGGGAGTAGTTGCTCGATCGCAACAATCGACACTGAGTCTTCAGGAACAACATCAGCACCGCGTCGGCCACGTTTATGGCGATTGTGGCGCCGCTTCCGCTCCGATGATGCAGACCCAGATCGGGAACTGCAAGGCTCGTCATCCATGCTCGGGCTGGTACATTCGACTACCCCAACATCGGCGGCTGTTGTTTTAGGTGTCGGCGTATCCTGTTGTAATAAGGGATCTGGGGTAGATGACCCTGAATCACAGGATAAGGGGGAAGAGCTAGAATAGCTTCTCCGTAATTGTCGAATACAGGCCATCAGTTGATGCCTCTTCCCAAACGACGAGATCTCCAGTTCTTTAAGGTCATCTGCTTGAAGTTCAAGAAGGATTGATCCGGAAATGTCATTGATGAAAAACTTTTCTATGACCGAGTCCTCAAATCCCATTGTCTGCATCCATTGGACAACCTGGTTAGGAGACCATTTGGCAACGTCGTCCCTCGAGTCGTTTCGGAATACGAATGGTTGAGCTTCTTTCCTAGGTTCCAGTGCGACATTATCGGGTACAGGGGTGGGCTTTCTCTCTGGCTCTGGTTTGGGCACTCTATAGTATAGGGAGGCTCTGGAGAGATCCGTCTCCACTATAAAGTCGGGTGTCACTTGCGGTCTGTACTCAAGAGAGTCCTCCGAATTTCGGAAGAGATGTGGACCCACGGGCCCTTCAACAGGGTTCTCATCGAAATGGAAGTGGAATGGAGTTAGGCCGGTTGAATCGGGGGTCTTGATGTCGTCTAAAGTAGATAGAGTGGTAATACTCTCTGCTACCAACTGCAATTATTTCAAGTTAGCGACATACTATTTAGAAGGTATGAAAGAGACTGCACGAACCGAGTCCACGCTTCTGTATGGAGAGCTGTCCGATGTACGATCCATAGAATCCGTATCGTAATCCGTATCAAGAATTTCTGTAGCATCTGACATGGCTGACTTGGATCGAGAGTGCTCTAGTTTCTTGGATTGGAGGAAAAGTTTCTCCTGCGCCTTAATAAAGTCAAGAGAGGGCTGGAGTTCCGGGTTGGCAAACTAAATTGAAAGTCAGCCTTAGGTTTATCTATCACATCAGCCAAAACGATTACCATTTTGGATATGGGAAGAGGCAGGAGCCCCATGAGACAGAAAAAAGGCGAGTCTATTCAATGGGCGCGAGAAATATAATGCTCAGGAAACGGCTGGGGTACTTTGGTGGACAAGAAAACGGGGCAGAATAAGTATGATTGTCTGCACCTTGGGAAGGAAGAGGGCGAGTTTAGTCAGGTATCGAAGAGCGAGGGAGCACAAAGTCGAGTCGTGGGATCACCCGGTGTTAAGTATACCCAAGTCGGTAAAGGTGTATCTTCTGGGGTTCCGACCCTAGAGAAAAATCCCATTACGCTATGGCTAAAGGCGCCGGTAGCATATCACTGTCGTCCAAAACGGCAGGATTCATCCTGCGACAATCGTCCCTTGATGGATGTGATGAAGTGAACTTGTCAATGCAGGAGGGCGGGGAGGCCAAAATCACGACGAATAGACCTGTTTTGTCCCATTGTCTCATCAGCTTCCGTCCATTTTATTGGCTGCTTTGTGGCACGATAGGATTTCGCGGCGGCTAGAAGAGACCCCGTTAGCCCAATCGTATACTTAGGTTGGCTAGACTGCAGAACTTAGAAATTTTATCGCTGCGGCGAAGGCAACACGGGGGAGGGGGGAGACGCAGTGTGATAGATTGGAAAGGCGGACGCTCCTGTTGTGATCACGGATGATGGCTGGATGGGGAGCATCTGTTGGTCGGTGAAGCAAAGCGCTAAAGCAGCCTGTTTGATTTGATCACCTCCAAAACTCAAAATACATGGATGTTGATAATACACATTTAGGTACGGAGTACCTACCTTGGTAGCTTCTCTGTTCATATTTCGCATGTACTTTTATGGTTAATAATAGCTCTGGCTTTGAGAAATTTTCTGTAGTTAGCCTTGATCTCTGAAGTTTATAATAGCTTCTTGTTCTAATTATCCATATTTAGCATCAACTTATGCAGCCAATATTTCTAGATATGGTACTTTGTAGTAGTCTGAGGAGCGGCACAATTTGCGGTCAGTCCGCTCCATTTTTAAATAAGTTGAGATGATCCTTCTGCGCCTTGATCTGTGCTGCTATGGGAAACCTCTACTGTGCGATCACATCCACTTATCACTCTTAGGGGTTGCGACTGCAGCCTCAAATACCACTGGATTTTCCATCTCTCACCCTCTTCCCCCGATTCTTATATTGTCCTCATCCCTTAATCACTTCCCTTTTTTCCTAGTGTGATTGACATATCTTTAAGCCAATAATGTCATTTACATGCAGCTCTCGGCTCTTGCAAGTGATGCCTCGAAGCGTGGCGTTGAGCCTCGAAGGGCATCAGCGTATTTGCTAGATACCTAACGATTCAACTCCTTAGGTAGCTGATCACACTTCAACTACTACGAACACTCAACCCGTTACCTGTGAGAAACAACCCCGCTTGCGACGCCACTCCCTTTTAATTAAAATTGTTTAGGGGGTCGTATAGGCAGTGGATCAGTACTTAGTATCTACTCCTATAGGTTCTTACCTCCATACTTGGCTAATCAAGTCTGAATACCTAGGTACTACAACGTACAGCCCAGCGACCGTTATCTGACCTGATATTACCTACCTGCTCTCATTTTTCTCATTGCCTCTCTTTTCTCCCGATCTTTTCAAATAAAATGCGACCTCGTGTGGTTCGCCAGATACCTCAACTTGAAGTTGACTCATTCTGAACTTGATAGACACGGACGACGTTCCTGAGTCTGTTTGTGATTGGGGCACAGCATCCGTTTATTGCCTTACGGGATGATTCTACCATATGCAGGACATCCCCAGTGTAACCGACGTTGACTTGACAGTTCTGAAACCACACATAAGAATTAACAGGCGTGAAAATATCCTCAGTCTTGCCCTATTGTAGAAGAATCATTCTTTACTAATAAGTCGCTGGGTTTCCTTCCCCCCTACAGATTGGACTGCTTTTCATCTGTGAAATGGCCTCCACAAATATGGTAGTAATCAGATAGGTTATCCAAGGGAAAAAAAGGTTGATCGGGATTCAGCCAATTTTCTACAAGTTAAAAAATAAGAAAGCCCGCCAATCACTCATATCATACATTTTCTTCTCTTAAGCACGGCTAAGTAGCAGAGTCCGGGGCCTCCGCTGTCGTGGTTCTCGTTCAAATCACCTGGTTAGCATATCGCACATAACATCGTCCTCTCTAGAATAAATGTAAATGCTCAACCACTTGATTGGGAGACGCAGAACCACAGTCGGGCTCTCAATTTCAAAAAAAAAAAAAGATATATTTCAGCCTCTAAATCCTCTTTGTGGAAATACCTGCGCTGCGGCATTTGAAAAATATCATCCCCGCACGTACAAAAAAATATTTCCGGACTACAGTGTCTTGGGGTATAACCCATTAGGTACCTGGGGAGCAAGGTCAAGGAGATCAGGCGATAAAACGACTCCATCTCAAACTAAAAAAAAAAAAAGTGAAACGCTGTTTCCAAAAAAAAATATATATATTAATAAAATAAAACAAAGAGTTTCTATATCAAGATGAGCCATCAATCATTTGGGCGCTTCCAAGATTCAAAATTCTGGAAACCAACAAAACAGGGGGATAACACTCTTGTTTGTGGATGAAAATGATTCGGACTAGCCTGGGCGTCAACTGAGGGCGAGGGGTTCGGGTGATTCGGCCACGGTCGCTGAGAATCAGGATGCAAAACCAGGTACATTCAAACTTCAAGATTAGATCACAACAAAGATAAGTAAAACTGCCAATTCCTGTGATTGCCATGCAGCAAGTGTTGCTAATTATGACTTCGAGCGCTTACGCTGAAAGGACAGCATCCTGGGCAGACAATTAACATCGATTGAAACCAGGGGCCTATTAATAGAATCAAGATCAAATGTGACAATTCCAAGCGTTTCGAGAGCTGGTTATCGTCAATTACCTTATTTAATTAAGACAGGGGTCTATCTTGCCGCCCAAACTACTAGGAATTAAGCGGAATTATGTCCAGGAATTGGCGGTTAAGAGCGTCTACTGATTGGGAGATCTGGGGAGAACGAACGCCTCCCAACAAACCAGACCCTATCATAAGAATAGATTGTCTGGTTCGGCACGGGCCATGCAGCTGATCCGGCTGATTGTTGGTTGAAACCCCCGGAAGCGCCCGCAGTGGGCCATCTTAGGGCCAATGGCTCTAATGCTCGAACCGCTGATGGTTGGAGTTTTCGCCAATGAAGGAGTGTAGACGCTGTAGAGAGAAGCTTGGCATGCACCTACTGTTGTCACTTCACAAATAATACCTCCAAAGAGTGTTTCATCAGTCGCTGGGAAGGCCATTAAATAGAAAACATTTCATTCTGAAACAGATTGTAGCCAATGGCAAGATGGTATTTATGCATGGTGAGCATGAACTGACCCTCAGGCCATGTCTTGTCTGCGTTGATAATGACTGTAGAGAAGAGAAGAAGAGAAACCACCTCATTTTGAAGGCACTCAAAAAGAGAGAGAAGGGTTCGAATACAGGGCTCTACGTCCAGAAAAGAAATTCCATACAATAGAGAGTGATAAAAAAAAAAAAAAAACACTTTCAGTCAAGAATAAATTCCCCCAAAATAAGCGAGGACATCACCACCAAGTATAGCGCATATAGTCCCGAGCCGCGGCGCCAACTATACCAAAGATGGTGCAAACGCTGACGAGGGACCCCAGCAACCCTCCAGTTCTCAAGTTAGTCTGACCTTGATCATCCCCAGGCACACTTGCCCACCAGCAATCCAAAATTAGCTTTCATGTTGTCCGTTATTCGTCGATTGCACTAGATCTCCTCCTCCCACCCACCCCGCTCGCGCTTTGAGATGCAGTCTTCATGCATCTCAGCTAGCTCAACCGCCGTCCATTGAGTAAAAAATAGAAGCATCAAAGCATGGTGCATTGCCATTTTTGGATTTAAAGCTCTTCATCTCCAGAGATATTAAGGCATCATGTCCAGCACCAGTTCAGTGAAGTTGTCTTCTCATCAGTCGGCCTCCACCTTCATTCTTCTATATCCATCTTGAGAGATACACTGCAACATACCACAGGTTGTTCAGAGTGAGGATTGGATTGGGTCCTATGATCGACTGTGTTGACTGAGCCAACATCTGCTGCTGCTATATCAACTCAACATTCCCCGCATTACGCAACATATCTGGAGAAAGGATAAGCTCACCATGTCAAGCGCTGCCGGACCTAGCACACAGCCGCGACCTCCACGGTCAATCAGTGCGTGGGGACCTCCACCTGCGAGTACTACTAGGAATGCTGGGAACACGGCAACAAAAACTTACAAGCGTTCTCGTTCCGGTTAGTGTTGATGGCAACCTTCATTCAAAGATTAGCACACTATTACCGTAATCAAAAGGAAATGTACTAAGTAACTGACCGTGGGATCTTGCAGGTTGCTATACCTGTCGTTTGCGAAGGAAAAAATGCGACGAAAGTCATCCAACCTGCGGAGCTTGTACCAGTCTGGGGGTCAGTTGCGAGTATCGAAAGCCAAGCTGGTGGATCAGTACTCAGGCACGACTTTTGCAAAAGGAACAAATCAAAAATAAGATTAGGGAAACCAAGGTTATGGAAAAGGAGGCCGCCCTAAAGAGTAGGTATCACCATGCCAATACGTCCGTCGGTCTAACGAATCCCACCCACCCAGAATACATGAGACACGCGCTCCCATCGCCACCAAATGGTGCCAACAAATCCCAAATGGAGACTAGTACACTCGAACCCTCCACATCCTACCTTGCAACCCCAACCAGCGCTCCACCCATTACCACTCCGTATGGGCTTAACACTGGAGCCGGGAATTCAACATTCATCCCGGCTACATCGTCTGTGCAAGATCCTACTACCTCTGCACTCACCTCTACCGTCAATTCTACCGTGCCCCCGCCGGTCCCCACCTCCTCCACAACGACAGCACCAGCTGGGCAGAGTGAAGAGTGGTATCAAGGATTCACAGATCCCCCACTTCACGCACCAAATAATGCGGCTCTAGGCTCTTCCTCAGGGTCTACCTCCCGCCCACTCTCCTTTTACTTGGAAGCTAAGATGACCAAGACCGACAGAGAGCGGTCACTGCTATATCACTTTGCCGACAACGTCTTGCGGTTGGTGTTTCCAGTTCTCGATATCCATAAGGATGGACAGTCACGCGCTCGTGAAATTCTGAATTCTCTTGACTCCAACAAATCTTACTTTCACTGCTGTCTGAGCGTATCTGCCATCCATCTCAAGACTATCAGGAAGAACCGTGGGAAGAGAGTTGACAATGATATCATGCGACATCGATATGCAGCTGTTTCGGAACTTTGCAAGGCCTTAAATGCTGACAATGGCCATGATACAATTCTCGATGCGACACTAGCGATGATTTTCTTCCATTGTTCCGTGGGTTCACCGGACGACTCCATGCCAGATATTCCATGGAATGAGCACTTTACGGCGGTTACGAATCTGGTCGAAAAGCTTGGTTTTGTCGAACCGAATCCATACATGATTCTTCCGTTCAGCATGTCCCTAAGCACCTGGATCGATATTTTGGGGGCTACGATGTTAGGGAAATCACCTCAGTTCGCACACAACTATCGAATCAAACATCTAAGCGGGGTTTCATCTGGGTTGCGAGAACTGATGGGCTGCGACGATCGAATAATGTATCTGATTTCGGAAATTGCGTGTCTCGAATGTTTGAAAGGAGAAGGTCTTATTGATGACTATACAGTCTGCAACCATGTGGCTGCAATGACTGCTCAACTGGACCACGCCGAAAAATCGGTGGATCCTACTCTAGAAAACCCGCTGGCTTCAGGCACCGTCGATGTCGGAAAACTAACCAAGAATATGACGGCTATCTTTCGCGTCGCAGCCAGGATCCACCTTTATAGTCTCCTACCTACATTTGCGCGCGAACAGCAAACTACCGTTGACTTGGTTCAAAACGTTGCAGATCTCCTGCAGTATATCCCCTCCGGCCCTTCCGGATTCGACCGCTCTCTCATTTGGCCGATGTTGATCACAGGAGCATTCTCGACCCCCACCAGTTCCTTCCGTGCCCTTCTTACAGAGAGATCGGGCGCTCTGGGCGAAAGTAGCGACTTTGGTAGTTTCGGGCGCATGTACTGTGTTCTCCAAGAAGTCTGGAGATTATCCGACGACCCAAGCCCTTCTAACTACGCCGAGTCCGGTTTGCTTGCCTCTTCCTCGCGTCCCAGCTTTGACCAGACGGCATTACCTTCCCCCGGTATCGACACTATCGGACAAAGAAATAAAAGGCCGACCGTCCATTGGAGAGATGCTATGCGGCGTCGGGGATGGCAATACCTACTGATTTAGGTCAAATCCGAATTCTAGGGTACCCTAATTTAGCTACTTAGTATGTCCAGTTCTTTCTTTCCGGCTCATCGTTCTCAACTAACACCCGGAATCAGTGAGATTGGACAAATGATATTCGGCGTACACAAGGTTGACATTTCGGAGAATTAGGATAATTTCGATGGTCGATTTATGATTGGTGGTAGCATGTTGGATTTTCTTTACTTCACTTCTTCTGGCTTGACTTGGTTCTATACGATAGGTCTCGAAAGCAAGCCTGTTCACACCTCAGGCCCTCGTCTTCATCTTCCCAATATACCATACGATCTCTTATGAGGAATGGCTTATTTACTTTTCTTTATACTTTCGTTCCCTCTTACTTTACCCCTTGACCTTTTTGTCTGAGTGGAAATTGTGGAGTCTTAGGGTTTATTAAATTTATTTACTTTCTACTGTTCATATTGGGGGGTTTCTCTTGACGAATTCTACTTGTGTATGTTGAATCTCATCTGCCTCGTCCCTGTGGTTTCTTTCCTCTTCATTTAATGTCCAACCTACTTTTTCCTTGGAGAAAGTATTTCGGCTACTTTTTTTTTTCCCTTACCATAGTATTATTCTGCTCTCTCCTTTTTTCATGATTCAAATTGTCGACAGGTATAACTGAATCCGATTTTCGGCTTATTTTCTCTCCACCACATCTTTATATATATGCCAAGTCTAGGACACCGTAAAAATAGGCAGTTTAACTAACTTGAGTAGCCACGTAGGTACCTAGGTAGGTACCTAGGTATGTAAGAGGCCATGCAAATGACTCTCAGATGCATCTGAATAACATTGAAGAACCCTACCTCGAAAGGAGCCCTCAACTATTTTCTAGCCCCTAGTGCATACATAACCTTAGCTTATAAAATCTCTACAGGCAGAGGCTATCAATATTGCACATTATCATCATCATCATCATCCGTACATTTTACTACTAGTGCATATTTAGATCTCATCTCCGCTATATACTTTAGATATATAGCAGTTTGTCCTGTATAAATGAAAGTGTTAACAAACTCTAGGGTTGTTGGTCGTTGGTCGTTGGTCGTTTGTTGTGAAATATTCCCCCAGGCCGGGAGTACGTCAAAATACTTTGGTTGGCAATTAATCGTAAAGTTGCTCGGACTTCTCTAGCCTCTTTCTGTGGTCTCGCTTTGGGAAAGGAAGAAAATCCGACACAGGCCGATTTCAGCTTACTTCGAGTTTACCTAATGGTATACCTAGCTAGGTAAGCTTCTTGGCCCGTACACACCGTAGATAAAGGGGTCATCACCATGCCCGAAGCCGATTAAGTTCCCAAAATGACAAGAGGACGATAATTCCAGTAAAAAGAATGAGAAATTATCTATACCATAAGTATAAGAATTAATTCTCTCCACTGTTCTGGACGGGGACCGCCGGGAATCCAGTCAAGTTTTGCGCCTTGTACCAACCAACCGCTGCATGCACTTATTTGCGCTTCGGGTCGTGTTGTCTGAGACAGGTACCTATCTATGTTCGGCCCATAGGTCTTCTAGAGTATTTGAGGCTTTCGGGAGGGACTGGGGAGGTTATCTTCGGATCGGAATTGGAGCGTTCGAACGTCAAGATTTATCTAAGAAGATGGAGGTGGGGGTCTCCGGTTTTTAGCTCTGTTAGCGACGTGCTCGACTTGAGAGTATCATATATGATGAGGGTTTCAGGAGAGGGTCGTCTTAGGGAAGCTTATTTCTTATTCCACGCCCAGGGCCACACGCAGAACTATATTTCTGCTAGGTTATAAGAGCAACCATACTGAGATTGAATATAATTGAAGGAGTTCAAATGGATTTAAGGCATGGTAAGCGTAACGTAGCAGAGGAGGGTGTCTGCGGGCATATTTGAGAAGCGGGAAGAGGATAAGACGTTTAATCGTGGATGGTAATCAATGTGCCTAGAGGTAACTGAAAAGATGGTACCTGAACTGGTCCTTTATCCTGGTCTATCTTGTTATCTTGCCATCACGCCTGGAAAAATGAACGTGAGAACTAGGATCCAAGATTTAATAAACAAGGACTAATGCAGGTGCTTGGAAAATGGAACTGTAGCTATGTATAGAACTTTGGAGAGGATAAAACAATAAAAGTGAGAAGATAATGACGCGAGACGGGTTGAATGAGGAGAAATCTTTATTTAGAATCGGAAGCAATTTCGAGAAAGCAATGTTGAAAAGATGAGGTGGTTGCTATGCGCAACTCTGCAGGTAGTAGTGGGTAGTTCTAAATATGGATTCTTCACAAATTGCAGTCAGTCGGGGGGTTAAGCGCTTAGTGAATGAAGAGGACATATCATTGGGCTGGGGCGTGAGAGTAGTTCTAAGTAAAGATCTTGGATGGTGATAGGGGTGCATTAGTTTCATCCAAGGAATTCTAAATATATAGAGATTTAGAGAGTATTTGTAGATTTGTGAGAGCGAAAAGTGCATGAGATTATTACTCTGCACCTCGTAGCATCGATTTCTGGGGGGGAAGCTCCGCAGTTGCTCTGAGAATAGAATCCAAAAATAGCTGCCGGCGCTTAAGAAGCCTGGGGTTGTGGCCAACGAACATACAGCGTTCAGTCCTCGAGATGCAGGATCCCTACAACACTAGTGTTTCCAACTGTGCGTGCGACAAAGTCTTTTTTTTTAAGCCCTACTAAACTATGTACTCCATACATGGGAACCTAGTTTTATGGTTTCCTATTTCTAGATATCTCCCCTTATCGACATCAGCCAATCTCCTCTCCGCCAGGATCAGACGTCCATTCATTTCTATAATTATAACATTTAATATCTCTAGCAATTTAAATGTTTCTTTTTTTAGTTTCTACTGCCGTCTGGACAGATATACTTGAGAATCATCCCCAACTGCCCTAGCCAATCCCCTCTGCCATCAAGCACAGAACATGCTCGGATCGACACTGTATCTCTTCCGCGCTTCCACAAGACTAGCTCAGTCATCGCTTGAAGAATGGAGCTAGCTGCTACATTCCTGCCTTGCTGGAAACCTTAGATCTACCCTTCCTGAGTGCTCCCTATGCATGTCTTTTGGTTCTACAAGCCTATCATGGCGCAAAATCTAAAAAACAATGTCGCTGAAAATAGAATCCAAATCACACTAATCCACACGGCAAATAAATGAGTTCCAGCATGAGGTAATGTGGTGCGTTTGGAATGTATATTCCAAGTTTCCCATAGTCGATAAACCCATCTAAATCCAAAATAGAGCCCTCTCATTGGCTCTTTGGCATCTCACTTCCTTCCACCGTCTCTCAGGACAGCGGGGACACGAGGAAATAACCTCACCGTTCCAAATAAAGACACCAATCGTAGACGTAGATTCACAGGCCGATATGTGATGGCTACTTTGCTCCCTACATGAATTAGCTATTAGGTTGAGCCCATAAATTGGTGATGCTTTATTATCGTGTTCTTCTATAGAAAGGAAAAAGGTGTTTCGTATTACCGTCGTATTACAGGTATACCGATACATGTACGTACTGTAGTACTACTACTATATTCCCGCTCTGGCACCATCCGTATACTAGTTACAGCAATATCATTGACAGCTAAAGTTAAAAATTAAATTAAATTAAAAAACCGAGAGGCGTACTCACTCGGAGCCGCCTATAGTCAAACGTCATTTTATTCGAAAATCCCCTTTGAGCGCCTTCCTCCCCCCAGTACTCCTCCGTACTCAGCCGCAAAAGCCAAAAACTACACTTTCTCTCCGCAGAATAGCCACCCAAGCTAGGAGTCATGAGTAAACGCCTCGCAATAACTAACAAAGAAAACAGTCGCGAGACCAGTGAGTGCTTGCATACGATCAGCCTGAATGCTGGCACGTGGGAACCCGGGTCCGACTCCCAGCTCAGCCCCAGCCATCCAACAGAGAGCAAACGCCATAGAAAAGGCTCCCAGCGCTAGATCGCTCCTATTCCGTAAATTAGCCCCCGTGTATTATTAAATCCGATAGGTTGGTTTCGGCTCCTCTGATTGTTCTTTTGGGTTCCTGGCGCCAAACGACCCCGTGTCCAGTACATCCAACGGATTGCTAAGCCTATGGGAGGGAGGGAGGGAGGGAGGGACTCGGTTGGCTAGTTCTATAGAACTAGCGGCCTCCATGCGAAGGAATATGGAAGCGCATTGAAGGATACCTAACGAGTCAGGGAAATTTACTGGTTTGGTTTGAAATACTAATAATCATGCTTCAAGTTTATGCTCGTCGTTACCTAAACCTAGCCTAACTAATCTAACCTAACCTATCGAGAAGCTCTAACGCCAACATAGAAGGGACAGGATGAAGACAAGATACCAACATGACACGCACAGCTACAAAAAGAGAACTAACACAAAAGAAAACTCCTTGCCTCTGGCCTTTTTCAAGTGACAAATCACATCACGTTAACTCGCTTAACTCCGTTTCCTTGAGTCCAATTGGGCTCGGTTTCCAAACCGCCAGGGCGTGGATACCGGCCCTTCTAGGAGAATGCACTTGGGATAAGCAATCATAAACAACACGCAATAGACAGACAGACAGACAGACAGACAGACCGAGAAATAGAATATAAGAAAATACAGAATAGTAGAGGTGCATCATCATGTAATCAACAAAAGTAAAGGCAATATTAGGTCCAAACGAAAAGGATCAATCATTTTTTGTTCTGGTTCACCCTTCTCCGCTTTCCTTTGGGCGGGGGATCAAGAGAGGGCACGCGCTTGAATCTCATGGGGTTTGTCCTGGCGTACTGAATGCGAATCGTCCTTTCGTTGGTAATGGGCGATTCCGCGTACCGCGCTCTCCGTTCTACTGGCGGAGACTCGACTGCCGAGGCGTACAAGAATGTTGGGGACACCCGAATGCGATGGAGAGAACCAACTTCCGCTGAAGCCCGCGGTGCGTTGGTCATAAGTGAATGAGGAAGGGGTCTGGTGCGATTTCTGGCTGTGGTCATCTCGCTAGGGAAGGATATGGTGGAGGACGTCGGCGGGGGAGAGATAGGTGAGGGCAGTTGCTGGCCGAGAGACCAGTTTGAAAAGGCCCCATCATCAGACTCGGTTGGACTACCGAATTCGGGGCTTAGAGCTTTGAGAAACTCTGTATAAGCCAGAGGAGGCGGTACCGAAGGGCCCTTGCCATCGGTCCGTTTTGTGGGCTCTGGGTTGCGTGTGGCCCGAATATAGTCTTGAAGCTCAGATGGGAAAATAATATGACTTGGTGTCTTTAGTGGATAAAGTTCCGGTCGAGGAGCCATGATCATCCAGAGCTTATAGAGCAGACAGGTGAAGTATCAAAGAGTAAGAAAGTATGATGACTGGTGGTGAAGGACAACAACAAGGCGACGACGGTGTTAAATAAGAGCAGGACAGAGGGTGATATAAAGGAAAGTAATTAAGCGGGACTCGAAAAATAAGGAGGGACCGATGCAATAATATAACACTCGAGTCCAGCGGAGCAGATGGAAGGATCCCGAGTCTTGTATAAGAAGCAACAGATGAAGAATCAGAACACCCTGTTGGTTTCCGTACGCAACGGCGGTACAATACCAGTACAGAGTCGTTGAAAACGGTATTGATACGAGCTAGCTGGAATCCAAGGCTAGTCCTTAAAACGTTAGCATTGCTAAGGACAAGTCCAAAATAGAAACACCACAGCGGCTCCAAAAGCTAAGAGGATTCAACCACATACAGTGAGTGCCCACTGTCCTAGACCTGCTAAAGACAGTGTACTAATTAAAAAAAAAAAAAATAATAATAATAAAAAAGGGGATAAAGAGGTATAGAGTCAGGTGTGCCCTGTTTCCCTTTCTTTTTTAGGGAAAGAAAAAAAGAAATCAGCCGCCTGGCTGATTTCCAATCGTGACTCAAATGACACGAGGACAGCCACTTGGTACCTAGGCAGTCCGCACCAAATGAAGATAAAAAGAGGATGGAAAGAAGAAAAAGTATGGGATCAACCCAGCCTAAAGAAATCAATAAAAGGAACCTGTCCCTGTTATGAAAAGGAATGATAAACTCTCATCACTCATGAATATATCACTTCTCCTTATATGCCCTTCCATTCTTGCCCCCTATCCCATCTCTCCTGAAACACAACTTCGATAGCTCTGCAGCTTTTGTCGCGCGGCATACAAGCCAGTTTCAGACCTGGAGGGTTGGGATGAATCTTCACTTAGTTTGGTATTTACTCTCGCACGGGTCAAAGGTACTTCATATTAGCGAGGCCTGCCCGCGCTTCCAGCGAGCACGGCGTTCGTCCGAGCGAGGCGCGCGCCTCCCTGATATGTACACCCAATATTAGCCCCGGATCAAATTTAGAGTGGGGTATGCATTCGAACACCCAATCAAGCAGTGTAGACAAGGTGAAGATTACTATGTAGAGGAAGTGTTGGAACCCTCTCATAAAGTCAATATTGTAAAAGAATGAAATTTTGGTCCTGTGGTATCCTAAAATATCCCTCTCGCGTGCCTTAACCTGTTGCATAATAGATTGCACTGCGTTCTTGTTGGAAAGATTACTGGTACAGCCTGGAGTGTAGTCGCTCGGGCTAAATTCATACAGAGCAGCCAATTTGCACTTACAGCCTATCAGTTACAAGAGCCAAACCCTCCAGATTATCTTGAGGCATAATGGAATTCTGCCGAGGGAATATCTAGGGGTAAGGAGTGCTTGGATAACAGCCATTTATTTTAGTCCTGATTTTCTGTAAAGTATACATACCCGGCTAAAGCTAAATTTGCATGGATCCGATAATAAATATCCCATTCTACATTATTATAAAGTCCACAGTATAGCATAGTGAATTACACCGCTGATTTTGCATTATAGTCTGAAATTCTTCACTCCTATTTTCCAAAGCTTGTTGTTTCATCCTGAGAAAGCAAGAATCAGGGTCTCTAGAGGGCAACCTAAAAGCACGCCGCCAACTGTAGTTCCTCAGTATAGCAATAATAACAAATCCCTTAACTATAGGACGGACTAATGAAGCTTTGTTCCACAATCCGCGGGATAGAATATCTGTACTGCCAGTAGTCAGTGTTTGGTATTGTAGAACATTACAGAAGAAGATAGTAGCCATGAACCCAAGCGAATACGATGTTGGCACATGTCAATATCGCCCAGGAGTCTCGAAAGCGCAGTAGGAGGCAATTGGTCTGTGACAGAATATGGGTCAGAATCAAAGTTCAGCGTCACCTTCATTGGATATGTTGAATTGAAACCAACCTATGTAGAAGCGGTACGACAAAAACAGTTTGCTAAAGCCAGCATGGGAATCAAGCATCTGTAGGTTCTAACAAATGGGGATTAATCTGTCTTTGATATCAAGGTAGTATGAATTAGCATGGGAGTTATTTCACCCAGGCTTATTCTTCAACCTATCTATCTATTTTTTTTATTTATTTATTTATGTACTTTTAAGCTCAAATGAATAGTAGAATCAACTCAATCTAATTCCCCCCTCCTCCCCTACCTAGCCGCTTGGACGCGCAACATCCATATCCAGTAAATATACATACAACCCATCCATGATTCCATACGAACCAATCAACCAACCAACATACACATACATACATAAACATGGGACAAGTCAAGACCCGGCTCGACTCGACGCAGCATTTAACTCGATTCCACACACACCGCACTAGGATCCCAATCCGTCAAACAACAGTACCCTTATCTGCATAAGCCGTAGTCCCCGTAACTGATGCGCTGTTGGTTTAGGTGCGCACTGAGATTGGATGGAATAATAAAAGTTTGACAGGTATAGTCCCGTCTTTTGCGCGGCTGTCTTCGCTTGGAGCGAATGAGGTTAGAAAGAGAAGAGGTAGGTAGGTAGTTTTCTTTCTTTGCTAGGTGTTTCGGTCAAGTTCTATATTTTTACCTTACTTTGCTCTAGATGTAGGAGTTAGCTGCGTAATATAGAGGTTGATCACATTGGTACTAATAACTAAGTATACCTATGCACGTCTTCATAATCCTAAGTAGTAGGTTTAAGATGGCATGACATGACATGACATAACATGAGATATGAATAAGGAAACCCCGCTGTAAAAGCCAACTCCATCCATACTCCAATACAAGACTGGGCCAGGCGCTAGAAATGCATGTCCAAATCTCCGTCAAATACAACAGAATCACAAGCAAGCAGACACCAACAAATGAGCACAGGACAAGAAACACAGGACAAAAGTTCGTATCATGAGGCGGTAGATATTGTATCTCTCTGCAGTAGGATAAACCAAGACAGGACAGGACAGGACTGACAGGCTGGAGGCCATCGTTTGCAATTTCCGTCATCTCCTGTAATAAGAGATTACGAGATCATGTATTCGGACGAGAAGAGCCTTTCTTGCGTTTTCCGGCTGGAGGAGCAGCCAGTTGGGGCGTTCTTCGGAATGTAACTGTGGTTGTCACCACTTGTCGAACATTGAACGAGCCGCTCTCGCTTCCTGGGGACTCTAGTTGCTGGAACCTCCATTCCGATGGAGAGTACCGCGGAGAGTGGTATTGGTGTGGGTAAGCACTCCGCGGCGACGCCGTCACCGGTGTATAGAGGTGGGTTGGAGGCGGGAGCCGCAAGCGACGGATATGCTCCGGGCTCTTTGGGCTCTTGATACACCGCGTGTGGGAAGTAGAGTAAGAATAAGAAGAATGATAGGAAGCAGAATTAGGGGGAGCGAGTGTGGCAGAGTGTCGGGACGGGTATCCACGAGCAGGGGGGAATGTAGTAGCGCGTGGAGAAGCAGATGTTGGCGAAGCACGAGGCTTGTCGAGCATGTACTTGGAGAAGTTGGCTCGTGAGCTCTTTGGGCTCGCGAATATCGGGCTGAAGGTGTTGAGGAACTCTGTGTAGGCGGGAGGAGGTGTGATGACGATGTCCCCGTCCTCGGTTTTCTTGCCTCCCTCGAGGGGTTTGGCAGAGTCGAGGCATGTGTAGGTGCGCTCGCGCAGCTCGGATGGGAAAGTCATGTTTTTGGGAGTGCTCAATGGCGGGAGATGTGGCCTTGTAGGAGCCATTTTGAATGTAGAGAGAAGTTGACGAAGGTGATGAGTGAAGTTTATATATCCAAGTTCAGAGTAGATCAGCCGCAGGCGAACAACGAAAGATCGAGGGCCGGTGGTGAAATGGGGCCGGATTTATGACGAGAGGAGAAGAGAATCTATAGGGGTCAGATTCAGAGTCAGGAGAAGAGAAGATGTGACCATCTTCATCGTGACAACTGGGAGAGAAAGCAAAGATGTAGAAAGAAAACGCTGGAAAGTAAACATACGCTGTAATTCCGTACCAGACGGTTTCAAATACACGTATAATCTAACCTCCAAAATAGCAACGGCTGATCCACTGACAACTGCCACCACAATCCAGCGTGGTAGAAATACTCAAAAGATTAGCAGGCGATCGTTGGTTGGCTTGGTCTCGGTTTCGTTCTTCGTATTAATGCGAGACCTGCACAGCCCGGTAAGTTCTCAGCTCAGTTGGAATATCAGCGTCTGGTTGCGGAGATCGTCCTGGTCAAGGCTGCAGCGGACTGATAACCTTGTATAAAATTAAGAAACACAGGTGAGCAAGTATCTAGTACCCGGAGAAAAAGAGACAATTGAATGACAGTGGTCGTAAGAAATACCTCGACCATCAACAGAGTATCTCGATCATTATATATCTACCCAGTCCAGGTCTATGTACCGCGGTCAAGATCTCTTCACCATGTTGTCGCGCGCGAACTGAATCAATCTTCAATCTATTCCTCGGATCCAGGGACTTTCTATCTCTCTTCTCTTCCAATTGTCCTTTCTGGTTTGCCGGTTGAACGCGCGCGGCTCTGAAGGCCATGTACACCTCCTCCCCTTTCTCTCATCGCAACAAAACATGGGTACAACCCGAAACGAGTTCCTGCAGTACGAACAACCTAGAAAGGGTATAGCTTGCAGAAAATGAACCAGGATAGTCGGTGCGCGATACTCGAGGAAACCACACCTCCAATCAGGGGACTTGCGATGAGTTTGTCTTGAACCAGGCTGGTGCTTCCAAACCCCGGAGCAAGCGCTTTGCGGAGGCATGGACCCTGATTCTCTTCGCTTCAGTTACGGTGTATGAATATCCGCTGCAATACAAGCAACAGCGTTGTCATAGAGATCTCTATCTGGCATTCTACTGCAGTTTTCTATTGGTGTGTTGAGCCCGCGGGGTTGCCGTCCATGAGATTACAGGAGTTATCCCGTGCGATAACTGAAAGTATCTTTGCATAGGCTAGGCTACATAGGTGACGAATCATCTTGCAAGCGAAGCGCTTGCCGACAGCCCACGGACGTCTACTCTGGAGTATACTGGAGTATCTTTTCGCGGGAGGTATACGGGCAGTGCTCTAGGCATGCCCTTTCCCATCTTTCTGCTCTGTGTAGCGGCCAAGAACCTCGAACATCCGCATATGTATTCCTCGTCGCGCATTTCAGGAAAGTATTGTCACCGACAACCATGTCTGACTTGACGTCGTCACCGATCTAAAAACAGCAACATGCAGCATACGCGCGCACGATATGAGGACAACTGACCCAGCCAATGGAAGCGATTCTACTGCACCGGCCGGTTGTAGTTGCACGACGATATCACCTTGCCGCCGACAAGTCAAGAAGCATCCAATGGAGTTGTGGCGTGAGCATCCTGGAAAGATACTAAGAATAATAACACATTTAGCGCCTGCAGATCGAGGTTATTTTTGGAACCCTCATCTCTTCTTTTCTCTTTCTTTCTTTCTTTCTTTCTCTCTCTCTCTCTCTCTTCCTGTCTTCTTGTTTTGGTTCTTCTTCGACTATCCGTGTTAAATATTGATCCGCTGGAAATAAATAACTAATTGAACAATCTTCCTATCATAGACAATTTTTGTACTTGTCTGAGCATGACCTCGACTAGAATATCGACTAAAATAACAACCCAATCCCAGGCTATAATCAAGAGGACACTTGAGGTAGATTCAAATATCGACCCCTCAAAGTCAGTCAAGACTACCTAGGTATGCAGGTTGATTGGACTCAGTCTTGTTCTTTCTAACGCCTACCTAAATTTAGCCCACAGCATTTCTATTCTTATCCTCCTACAGTACTGAGTTATAAACTTCACACCCCTCGATCCCGAGATTCCATTCCATTCCTTTCCCTGCGCTTCATTGGCTGCTCTCCTCCTTCCGCATGCCAGATTCTTCAACTGCTCGAGCAACAATCCGTCATCTCAATCCTTTTTACTTTCCCGGAGCCAGTAACATTGGGCGCATCTGCTCGAGATTCTCCGCTTTCCAGGGTTAATTATAGATTCGAACCTGATCACGGCGCTTCCGGGGGTTTATTTTCTGAATCTGAATTCGAATAGGTTAAGGTAGGTAGGTAGGTAGGTGGTGGTGCTGCCCCTGTTCTGTTCGTGTTGAAGGAGTTTATCTTCTTTCTTTCTTTCTTTCTTTCTTCTCTGTTGTATTGTATGATACCGTTCTGTACGGTTTACAATAGCTGCTCCTAACTACACTACTACTACTACTACTACTACTAGGGCAACTGCAAAATAAATGCAAGACATCATCATCATCATCATCCATCCTCTAACCATGTTCAATATATCCCTGTCCCTCTGGTTCTAAATAAAGAATCCCTATTAACTCTTACACTCCATAACATTGCATTGCCTGGGCTGTATTACCTCCTGGCAAATGTATAGAACCGAAGGAAAGTTGAACTCAATCAAATATAACTAGGTAGTTATAATATGACACTCTGCTCCTCTAGATAGTTTGTGGTTTGATTTATTCAAGTTTAAGTAGGTAAAGAACCAGATATCATGGATGATCTATATTTCACTCACAACAATCATATCATGTACATTACATTTATATCACAGGAAGTATCTAAACGTAAATTACAGGATGAATAGGAGACTCATTCAATTCTTCTTTGAGCCCTGTCATGACTTCAACCAGTATCATACACAATACCACCAGAAAACAAAACATCCATAAATCATCACATCACGCCCAGGTGCAATCCAGCCACAAAAGATTCAGACCAATATCTGTATAAACAATGCGTATATGCAGGAATAAAAGAAGAATATAAAAAGAATCGAATTAGGGTAAGTTTCAAACCGTGGTATCATGTCGCACAGCCGTGTTGAACAAAGTGGTATCATAAAAACGAAGAGAAAAAGGCTACGGATTGTAGCCAAAAGAGAGGTCGAAAAATAAAGGCAGGAATCAAGATAAAAAAAGATTTGCGCACAAAATCAGGTCTATTCTTCTGTCAATGCGTCGTCGCCGGTTTCTCGCCATTCCTTGGACCGTTCCGTGAGGAGTCGCACACCGGCAATGCGCTGCGCCCAGTGGGCTTCGGATGGCGAGCGGAACGTGTATGCCCGCTGGGAGGAGATCACGCCGATGCCCTGAAGCACGGCCTTGCGTGAGTCGCGGCCAAAGACGGCCGGATGGTTAATCCACTCCAGAGCAGACTCAAGGTCTGCATCGAGTGCCATCATAGTCTGCGCGTCCACGGCCGCAACCGGAGAAGTGATAGTGGCGGTGTCGGAAGCAGCCGAGGAGTGGCTGTCGAACGTGGTCGACTTCGGAGAGCTGGATGTGGGGGTGTCTCCATGTGGCTCTGAATCGACGGAGGATGGTTTGCCACCAGGTGGAGGAAGAGGGGGAAGGCTGCCCTTACCCAACCCCTTGAGAATACTGCGGGTTTCCATCAGAAGATGCTGCGCTCGATCATGCTGTCCACGTGATACCAGAGTCAATGCACGGGTCAACATGTCCGAGGCGAGAAGCTCCATGCGACGCTGGACAATCGACGGGTGAGGGGGAATTGGAGGAGGCGATGGTTGACCAGAACCTCTGTACTTCGGGTTTGGTGGGAGCATAGTAATTGCTAGGAGAGATGGTCGTGGAGAGTGGGTGAGATGGCCATCACGCAGCAGATCGCCATAGGTCAAGTCTGCTTGGATTAAAGGAACCTCTTCCACGCTCAGCACACGTTGCTCGTCACCATCAGACCCTCCGCCGAGGGCCTCCAGCCCCGAAACCAAGCTCTCCCAAGGATCCTGGGGCGGGCTTTCCTGGGTGACGTTGTCAGGTGGAATGACCAGCTGCACTAGAATATCACGCTTATCGCCAAAGCGCAGGTCGCCCAAGGCAGCCTCCGCATCGCGTCCCGTAGCTCGCTTTGTTGTATGTAATGCACCGCTAATCTTGACAAACTTGGCCGGGGAACCCTCGGGAAGACGAAGCTTGAGCTTCACATTCTGATGAGAGGTGGTCTGAATGGCACCCAGGCAGCCCGCAACGCATTCCCTGAGCATCATCCAGTCCTTCACGTAGAGATATGATCCCTTAGTCCGCGTCGAAAGCTCGATTATCGTATCCGGTTTATGCGTTAATCCGAGGCCGAAGGAGTGAATGCTAACCCTAAAATTCAGTCAGCAAATTATCCTTTGACTCCGTAGAAGAAAGTGAAGGGGGGGGGGGGGGGGGGGAACGAACTTGGCAGCTTCAGCCCTCGATACAACGAAGTCTACGCTTTCGGGATCGGAGGTCGACGAATCGCTGATCAGGAGGATAGTCGAAACTGGGTTAGAGGACTTGCGCTGCATCAGCAAATCCATGGCCACATTGGCTCCTTCGACGACGTCTGCACGCAGGCTCTTCTGTCCAACTGGTCGGATGGAGCTGAGAATCTTGGACCATCCGCCCCAGGACTTGGTGGTCATCCCAACTAAAGGAACCCCTCCCCCACTCGAGCCAAAAGTCACCAGTCCCATTCGATCTCGGGGGCCGAGATTCCCAACGAGGAATTTCAGAGCATCGCGAAGTAAGGTAATTTTCAGGCCCTGCATAGAAGATGACACTGGAATCACGACAACGAGATCGACCGGAATATGGATCGAAGACGTGGAAAGGGAGTCCACGCCAGCGTTCGTATAGTCAGTAATGGCGGTGATATTCGATCGTGCTGCACCATATGATGAATTCAACGATGCTTGCCGTTTTACTTTGCCAGACCGGTATTCATCTTCCTCTGCACCAGAATGATCAAAGTCAAGATCGGGGTTGCGAGCCCCTTCGAGGAAATTGAAATCGACGAGCGCACGACGCCAGATTTCTAACTGTTTGCGGCTTTGGAAGCGAAGGAAGAAGCACGGGAGTTCGCTGACGGATAGGTTGAGGGCGAGGATACGCTCGTCTGCATATGTTAACTTAGTGGGATTTACCGAGGACTAATTGGAACATACCAGGGACGTTTTCGATATTCTTCAAGTGCTTTTTGATCAAAATTGAGCCTTTCAAAGTGCAACGAGTGGGTCGGGGTTTGGACGTTTGCTCCTCGTATTGACGGTGGTGATCTGAAACACGCTTCTCTTTAACGCAGATGAGCATTTCCGAGAATAGATAACACTCCAGCTCTTGCCAGGAGTCGCGATCCTTGCCAACCCGCATATGGCCGTGCAAGCGGAGTTTGCCGAATCTGTATCATATCAGCGCGGCACAGAAGAATCGCATAATAGACGTACCTCGAAAATTCCAGGCCATGCCAGTTGTCCACTTTGGTCCTCAAGTCCTCTGCAAGCTCGTTCAGATTTTCCTGGGGCTCGAAAGGGGCCGGCTTGGGCTCTTGGATCGTCGGGAAACGCCCTGAGCCGTAGGGCTCATCCTTTGCGTGCGATTGCGACGTGGAAGAGCCGCGCAAGTCGTCCACATCCGGCCGCCAGTTACTCTCCGGTACCTCGACAGTGACCAAACATGTCAAAGACTGCTGTTGGCGGGAGCGATTGAGAGTAGGGAACTCGCTCCGAATAGTCACGGTTGGAGCGGGAATAGGGTTCTTGGTGCTGGGGATAGGACGGAGACTCAGGTCGGACTCCATCGCTTGAACATCATAGTCATGTCGACGGCCATCCTGGTAGTCGCCTGAGGATCCCGCTACACTGCCATTACGCGAGTGCTGTTGACGAGATCCTGAGGTCAACCGCTCAATGCGTTCACGCTGGCTCCCCGTATCTCTGCTATCTCGTCGGCTGTACGGATCTCGACTATCGCGATTACTATATTGACGACTTCCCGTATCACTTGGGGCTTGGCGACTGGTGACCGAATCCCAGGGTGTGGGGGTCGTCAAGCCGCTGCGCTGAGTTGCTGCGTCACTGGTCGCGGAGCGCACGATGCCGCTTAGTTTTTCTGCACATCGGTTAGTACATTGCAGCATACGGCACGAATCAGTGCATCATCGCTTACCAAGGTCCAACACATTCCCACCGCGGCTAGAATCCAGGCCTAGCGGGGCGTCACATGTTGGGCAATATTGGCCTTCCATCTCCCGGATATATTCATAGAAACAAGCCTCGTGGGCGACATGTGCGCAAGAGAATTGGAGCACGCGCTCTCCACGCAGGGTGTGTTCGAGGGGTTCTTCGCAGACGGCACATTCACTGCCGACAAATGTCCGCTCTCTGCGGGAGCGACTGCGGTCGACATCCATCAAACCCGCCATTGGCATACCAGAACCGGAATTGACCGATATGCGAGAAGTACTATTATTGGAGGGATTGAGTTGGGAGCCTGACCTGGGGGGATCGGGATAGTCGGAGCCAGTTGAGGGTGCGCGAGGGCGGGAGACGTCTTTTTGATTGGAAAGACTGCTGTCGGGACGATCTGAGCGGGTGAATGAGCGAAAAGAGCGCAAAGGCGAACGAGCGGGGGAATCCGGACGAGAGAAGTCTATCGATCCTTGAGGATTAGCGGTGATAGATGAGCGGAGGCCAATTGGGAAAGAGAGTGGGTGCAGAAGATGGAGGAGTGTTGCATGTGAGTGGTGTGAAATTCTCCTGTCTCTCTGTGTGTCTCTCTCCGTGATGTATATAGTAGAAGCCAAGCTAGAAGCGGCAGTTGAGGAGAGGGGAAGATAAAACACGAACACGAAATACACGAAGACACTGATACAGACAGGTCTAGAGGAAGGATTGATGATGACAGGATGGTGTTGAAGAGTTGAGATAGTTAACAAGAGAGAAGAAAACAAAAGACAAGATGAGAGGGAAAAGACAAATGTAACAGTAAATAATAATTCGAAATGAAAAAAAAAATAATAGTAGTAGTAATAATAATAATAATAATAATAATAATAATAAATGACTGTAATATTAAAGCAATAGCACAAGAGAAGTTGTGAAGAAAGTAGTGAAAACACTAGTCTGGGTGAGACTAAGGTATACGGAGTACTTACGAAGCGGAGACTTCTTCTTCACACGGCCAAAGAAACCATGCTCACTGGAATCAATGTTCCCAGACTTTGAATCGGATCTGGACGGGGGTCGATGTTTCCACATGGGCCTCAAAAAATCCTGACGGGGCAGGGAGACGAGGGAAAAGAGTCAGAGGGCGAAACCTGAGATAGGAGGCAAAACTAGGGGAGACGGCGGGGGAATGTGAAGGAGGAGTTCAGGCGTAGTGGGGAAAGAAAAGACAAGAAAATAGTGGAATCGTGGAATACACCATCCAGAGCTAATTCTGATTAGTAGAAGATTTAATTATCATTGTTTTGAAAATAAGGAATAGTGAAACCGAAGGAAGAGAAGAATTGGACCGGGGAAGAGAAGAAAGAAAGAGAGAGAGAGAGAGAGAGAGAGAGAGGAGGAGGGGAAAATGGGAAAGGAGAAAGTTGGCAATATCGTGAAATTCACAACAGTGCATTCAACTTCCAATTCCCATCTAATTTCCTCTTTCTTCACTTCAACCATGGAATTTCATTTCTCTTCAGCAAATAAAATGGCAATAACCAACTGCCTTTTAGTGGGTCTGGATCGCCCCCTGAATCCGTACCTGACCAGTTGATAACTTCACTTAGGACCTCATTCAGGGCTCAAGAAGGAGGCAATGCCCTAGAAACGATCTATCCAATATACTGATCCATCGGGGAGAATTGTTCCAGCCAGTCGGGTTCTTCTGCATATCATTATCCAGAATCTATTGCTTTTATACCTCCAGGTAAGGATAATCCTTTCCCGGTCATCAATTCAGGAGTCCGGAGTATAACGATCTACTCTAGTCTTTTCGACTCTTCTATTCATTTGCATTATCTCCGTATAAAGGGATTATCAGTCGTCATCCTAACATCCTGCATTTCCGACGACGGAGTATATACAGAGTACACCATATGTAACTACATACGGAGTATATATCCTACAAGACGGTTCTCTCCGGTCAGGAGACGAATCAGTATCCTCAGAACTTTAATCTTCCATTCAGATTTACTCTAAGCTTGACTAGGAATAATCTCCCCACCAGGAGGTTTCTGGAATCATGTCGCTAGCATGTCTCTTTTCTTCCGAACTTTGGGTGACTTTCTGCTCCTGGGGCAAAGAGGTTTCAACTTGGCCAATTTTTAGTGCGCGACTAGTACTTTGCAAAGAATTATCAATTTATCAAATGAATTTATCTATTTTTAAATCTTTCTCTTTTTAATGTGAGGGGGGGAAATAAAATAAAATCTTCAAGAGTAATTAGCTGGTGTATAAACTAAGAAATTCCCATCTACAGTCTACAGTTGACGTGATCGGATGTATGTACTGAGAGTCTGAGACACCTACTCTGTATGACATTGGCATCTGTAAGGGTTACATCTAACTATATCCTCCAATCCGATATTTACGAGTGAGAGGTTAGCCGCACTTGAACTTACGCAGTACTCCGTCCTCAGGAGTAATCCTCCTGCAAATAACTATTCTACCTAGATGGCAAATACGCTTTCCAATCTCTAAAGGAAACCCGAGGAAGCACCACATGCTTGTTGGTTTCGCATGAACCTAAGCACTAGGTACATTAATACCCGGAGATATATCCCCTTTTACTCTTTTGATTGGCCCTAGACCCGGAATTACTCCCATTGACCACTTACGTTCTCGGATAGACTCTCGCGTTCCCTTCGGATACTACTTCACGAATTCTCTGACTTGGCTGGAGTATGATCGATTGACTTATCCGTGATCTTCTCCTTCTTTTCTCGCATAAATGCAACCTGGTATCTTAGTAGGTGGTTACCTACGGGGAGATGGTTCAGATAACGAATTGCGATAGCCCTACAGTGTACCGAATTTGCAGGGCACCCTTGTCAGCCACGGTACGGTACTTATCCGGAGCTCGAAGGGAAAAAAAAAAAAAAAAAAAAAAAAACTCGGATTAAAACTCGACCAGAAGTAAACTAAGAACTAATCTAAGTCTTCAATGCCGGCCCGGGAGCAGGGCCCAGGGGTTATAAAGTGTCCCGATTCCATGGCAGAGCAAAACGCTGTTTCCCCGTTTTTAACTGGTCATGACTCGGTATTAAGCGATATATTCTGTCGAGTCATTGTCTATAAAATCATGTCCTACTTCTCATGTCAAGTATAACATTGCCGGAACTGCCGTCGCGCGGAGGAGGATACTCTATGTAGAGTGGTTCCGGAGCCTAGGGATAGCTTAAGTTTGTAATTACTATCTATCTTCCTACAGAGTAACATCCAGAGAGAGATACAGAGTATATTTCTCTGCTTTTAGCCGAATTGGAATTCCTGGTTAAGGTTGTTTCTTCTCGCAAGGGTTGGATTGGATTGATTATATTACTCTCACAAAGTCCACTATATATATACAACTTGAAACTTGGTACTCAATGCAAACAACGTACTTTGTAGCTAATGTTCATCATCTGTGATTGCCTCGTGGCTCGTGAGCTCGAGAGTACGAGTAGTGAACCGCCTCGATCCGCCTTTTCCGCCCCTGATATGGTATTTGTGCTCCTTATTGCTCTGTGGCCTATACTCCGGTAGGTTAGTAGTACGGAGTACTCCGTACGTAGCTCACTATCCCAACTCCAATAATTTAGAAAGAAAACAAATAAAAAATATAATAATAATAATAATAATAATAATAATCCAGAATCAGAGCCCACCAGCAGGTGCCCCATCCCCACTTCAAACACAAACACAATCAATCTACTCCGTAGTAAATCCAACCGTCCCTTCTCGCAGGTCACTTAGCATACGTAGCTCCAGTCTAGAGCCTTTAGTGTCTAATCCAGGGGGTTCAACAGTTCAACAGCCTCGCAAGAGCCGGACCCAGAAACAGAAAACAAAGCTCGGAGACGGTCTAGATTATGTATGATTGCCACTGCTTTTGCATCATCGCCATTAGCAGCACCCGAATTTCCAATTACATTACTAGCTTGTTATACAGCCTGACAGTTGGGCGAGAAAATAATTAAATGAAGAAAGAAGTACAATTGAATTCGTATTACGGGTTGACAATGTGAAACAGTTGTGAAACCTGCCTAACACAGGGCGTGGACTATGCATACAGAGTCTTGGTGGTGAAGGGATTAAGTGTGGTTTGATAGTTACACTTATTGATGGATTCTGTCTGAAGTTACAGAGTACTCTATAGGGTGAGTTCCGGATTTAGCAAGTATAAGGTAGATAGGGTAGATGTACCTTGTTACTTGTCTTCAACAGTTCCTATGATGTCCGCAGTACAGAGTATCATGGTTTACCCTTCCAAATTATCTGTACCACTTACTACCAGTCTACTATATTTCATTATTGACTGGGATGATTTTATATTGTAGTTCCCTAGCATGAATGCCAACTCGCCTGTTAAACTGCTGGTTAACCATCTAGATACCTAGATATAGCTGAACCAGACTAAAATGGAAGTTTGCCCTGTTTGCATGCTCTACACCGGCTGCCCCCAATGAGGAAGTCGGGCTTATATAAGCTCCCTGCCTGAATCTGCCTAGCGCCCACGGGAAATTCGTCCAGATTTCCCAACATCCCCGATTGTTGTTGAAAGATAAACCCAACCGGCCTCTCCTCTCCTCTCTCAGGTTTCTCCCCTCCTTCTCAATTGGACTAATCCCTCGTCCGTCATGTTGTTCAGATCTGCATGGGCCCGTCAAGCGGCACCCTTGAGGCGTCAGGCTTTTGCCCCCATCACCCGCCGCGCCGTCACCACTGACGCCGCCTCATCGCATGCTGAAAATATCCCAGAGGTCGGTTACCCTTCCGGGAAAAGATGAAAACCCTGATATGCACCTCGAAACCAAGCCTATGCTAATGCGCGATGTCATTTCTGCAGGAAGATGACAAGCCGTTCACTGTCCAACTCTCCGATGAGAGCTTTGAGACTTATGAGATCGATCCTCCTCCCTACACCCTGGAGGTGACCAAGAAGGAGCTGAAGCAGATGTACTCCGACATGGTCATGATTAGGTATGAAGACCGCATCCCCGTGGGCTGTTGTTGGCTTCGAACTGGAGCGCTTACACTAGTGTTTCTCAAATAGACGTCTGGAGATGGCCTCCGATCGTCTGTATAAGGAGAAGAAGATCAGAGGCTTCTGCCACTTGTCGGTTGGCCAGGAAGCTGTCGCCACCGGTATCGAACACGCTATTAGCCCCGACGATAAGATCATCACATCTTACCGATGCCACGGTTTCGCTCTGATGCGCGGTGGTACCGTTCGCTCCATCATTGGAGAGCTGCTGGGTCGTCGTGAGGGTATTGCCTACGGAAAGGGTGGCTCCATGCACATGTTCGCCCCCAACTTCTACGGTGGTAACGGTATTGTCGGTGCCCAGGTCCCCGTTGGTGCTGGTCTTGCCTTTGCCCAGCAGTACAACGAGGAGAAGACTGCCAGTATCGTCCTGTACGGTGATGGTGCCGCCAACCAGGGTCAGGTCTTCGAGGCCTTCAACATGGCTAAGCTCTGGAAGCTCCCCGCTCTCTTCGGCTGTGAGAGTAAGTTAAACTGGCTTAGTTCACAGGGACTTGTAGTAGTAGACACGATGGCTAACGAAATCCTAGACAACAAGTACGGTATGGGTACCTCCGCCGCTCGTTCCTCCGCCTTGACCGAGTACTACAAGCGCGGCCAGTACATCCCCGGTATTAAGGTCAACGGGATGGACGTCCTTGCTACCAAGGCGGCCGTGAAGTACGCCAAGGACTACGCCGTTGCCGGTAACGGTCCCCTTGTCTTCGAGTACGTCACCTACCGTTACGGTGGTCACTCCATGTCCGACCCCGGTACCACCTACCGTAGCCGTGAGGAGGTTCAGCGCATGCGCAGCACCAACGATCCCATTGCGGGTCTCAAGCAGAAGATCCTCGACTGGGGTGTGATGACCGAGGAAGGCCTCAAGACCCTGGACAAGGAGGTGCGTGCCTTTGTTGACGAGGAGGTCGCCATCGCCGAGAAGATGCCGGTCCCCGAAAACAACCCCCGCATTCTGTTCGAGGACATCTACGTCCGTGGCAGTGAGCCCCGATGGATGAGAGGCCGCACAGTCGACGAGACCTTCTACTACTAGATTCCTCCTCTCTTGATTGTATAGGATGATGATGATGATGATGCTGTTGTCCTAAGGTTTCATTTTTCTCTTTGCTCTCGATTTTATTTTCCTGCTATAATTTAGGGAAGGAAAAAAGCGAGTATCCCGCGCGCCGAGTCTGGAAGAAAAAAAAAAAAATGATAATACGCACGCACGCATGTAGTAAACCCCCCCCCCCCCCGTCCACCATGACTGTTCACTTTGTAATTTAGCCCACCGTCCCCCCCTCCAGAATCAGATATTTTTTTTTTTTTCTTCGTTGGTTCTCCTATAGCTCTAGAAGAAGATATACTATTGGAGATTGTCTTGTTCATGTTTTATATTGTAGGTAGTAAGATAAGATCAATTAGTGATGGATAGTTAGGTATATTATTATGTATATGCAGGATCTATCGCAGGGGATCTGGATAAGTAGGTAAATACATTATAGAAAGCTTGAGCTTATCATGATGCTTGTATAGGAAAACTCCCAACACAATAAACAATAGACAATAGACAATAAAAAAAAAATTAACAATAGATGAATAACGTGATAGATTGGTATGGTATGGTATGGTATAGCAGGGCATGGTATCATATGAGAGCAGAAAAAAAAATAAAAAAAACCCCCAGAGGAAAGGAAGAAAAAGGGGAAAGAAAAGAAAAGAAAAGAAAAGAAAATTAGCTAGGTAGGTTCCTGTCTGAGCATCTCGAGAATCATCTCCTGCGTCCTCTGCACGGAATCGAGCTTTTCTTCTAGAGATGCGCGTTCTTTCTCCCACTCCTCGCGGAATTCGTTGCGCATTTCTCGACGGATCTCTGCCTTGAGTTTGTTGATCAGTGTGGAGGAGAGGTGAAGTTGGGGTTGCAATGGGGGGGAGGGCGGGTCTTCGCTGCCGACTCCGCTTCCGTCGTCTATGTTGGAGTGGGATTGGGAGGAGGAGCGGTTGAGGGAGTTTGCCGTAGTGGCGCGAGCCTCTGAGGTGGGTGGGAAGGAAGAGCGCGAGTCCGGGTTTGCGGCGTCGAGGTGCTTGTTTAGTTTGCCGAGGGTTTCGAGGACGGCCGCCATCATGGTTGAGTCTGTGCCGGTGGTGTTGGATGAAGATGGGTGATTTGGGTTGTTCGGGGTGGATGTGGTGGTTTGGCCAGAGAACATGTTGTCGAAGCCTGGGGGCAGTCGGACAGGTGTTGAGACGACCGGGGGGGTAGGTGCCATAGGTGTGACGGGGTGCGAATGGTTGTGATTGTGCGGGTGGTTTGGAGTCGGGGTATGGTTCACGAGGGGGCTACTGCTCGATGGGGCTCTCCAGCTATCAGCTTGAGGCGTCTCCCACCCATCTCCGATCCACTTCCTCTTGCGAGGACGCCGGGAGTCTCGTTTCTCGATGCGCCGCGCTTCCGCCTCTTCCCAGCGCTGCCAGGTAGGAATCCAGGCGTCGACGACAGCGCGCCAGCGTGGATTTGACAGATCCTCCCCCTCGCCGACGCCTTTCTCACGCTGTTCCTCCAGGAACTTCATGCGCTGCTTCGTCACTATCTCAACCTTGCGCCGCACAGAGTGCCACGAGTATGGGTGCTTCTGGCCCCGCGTGAACTCCATGGTCACCGTCATCCACCACTTGCAGAGATTACTCCGCTGCCCGAATCCCGCCGCATGTCGATTGCAGATCTCAAACAAGCACACTTCCTCCTTGGTTGTAAGCCGTTTCCCGTGTTTTCGTAGTGTATCGGGGCCTTCTCTCATGCCCGTGCCTCCCCCGGAGGTACTCTCGCCGCTTTCTCCCACGCCCCCGCTCATGCCTTCCCGGTCGTCGAGATCCTCGTCCCCTCTCCCAGCAAGATTTTGCCTCCCACCTCTCCCGCGACCAGTAGACTGCCGTCCATGCTCCCCCGGAGACGGCGCAAAATCCGGGTCCCCTACCCCCCCGACATCCCTGGCGCCCGGTGTCTCCCCAGGACTATCTGACCGATCGCTTTCCTCACTTTCCACCAACTCAGGTGCGCCCCTAGCTCCGGTCTGTTGTCCAGAAGACGCAGGAGGCGCCCTCGACTCGAGAACCACCGAAACCGGCGGGGGTGGCTGACCTTGCTGCTGTTGCTGGTGATGATGATGATGCTGATGATGGTGGGGATGATGTGGATGCGAATGTGGATGGTGATGATGAGCGTGGTGTTGTGGCTGTTGCTGCTGTTGCTGCTGTTCTTCTTGTTGTTGTTGTTGTTGTTGTTGTCCTAGGCGAAAGTTTGACGAAATAGTCGGTAGGGAATTGTGCGAGTGAGTAGCGGATCGAGTAATCATAGACGGTAACCATCGCATCTGCGACATCTGGTAGGAAGACTGCGATGGGGATTGCGAGGGCGAGTCGATTCGGGACCCTGAAGTGGCGGATCCTACTGCGGGGGTTGAAGTGCCATGTCCCCAGTGATGATACATTTCAGTGTGGTCCTTTTCTCTCTCTCTCTCTCTTTGCTCGTTGAGTCTGTATATAGGGAAATCGCGGTATTAAAAAGAACAAGAAGGGAATATAGTAAAGAACAGGCGCAAAATTAATACTAAATATCAACGAAACGGAGAAAGCAAAGCTGGTGAAAATGAAGCTTGAAATGACGCTGGCTGATGATCGTCTGATAAAGAGAGCGAGAGAGAGAAAGAGAGAGAGACAGACTGGTGGTTTTGCAATTTCCGTCTTTGGGCCAAAGTGTAATATTACCGTATTGGATTTTCATCGATCTTTCAAGTTTTGCATTTGGTTTTCGCTCTTTTTTTCACTCGAGAATTAGAGAAACTTTTTGTTCTTTTTATCCAGAAATCCTTATAATAATATATAATTATTCAACACTAATCTTACTCGCTAGTTGCTGTTTTAATGTCAAGTAATTATTGTGCTGTGGCTTCATGGCATTTTTGAATTTCACAGAGAGAGAGAGAGAGAGTACCAGGAATCATCTCTTAAGTTTCTAACTTAATAAGGGCAAGGAAAGGAAAAGATGGACATAAGTATTATCCACATTGAACGTCTCTCTCTAAGCTGTGAGCTAATGTACATCCATCCATCCATCCATTTAGTAGGCTCATCCAACACCTTGCAAAGGAAATCGGTTATTTTTGCCTGCCTCACAGAAATACAGGCAGAGATAAGAGATAGCGAGGAGCACCGACTATGCAAGAAAAAAAAAAAAACAAACACGCACACACATACATACAGACCAGATCCCAGTAATACAGAAAGTGAATCAATAAAGAGGAGAAAAGGAAGATATTACACAGAACTAGACATGTCTAGTCTACCGCCGTCTCAGATACCAGGAGAAAGCGGACGTTGCTACCCCCTCACTGAACGGGGTGGGCACTTCCGAGTGTCCTGGGCGAGCAACAGGGTGTCGGAGGTACACAGCGGCACAGATATTCTGGTTCACTTCCAGGTACCGGGGGATAAAGGAGAACGCTCCCATGTAGTCACGAGGTCGCCAGGGTGTAGCATAGGGCTTGGTGTTGTCGATGGGGTTGTCGCGCATCTGGACGAGGGCGCGGCGCAGGACGTCGAACTCCTCGTCTGTGAGCTCGGATGTGTCCACTTCTTCTTCGGGGTTCTGGGCGGCCTTGCGGAAGGCCTCGGTGAGCTTGGATCCGATTTCGGGCTCGCTCTCAGCAGAAGTCTCAGTCTTCGCTTCTTGGGATTCGGCGGGGGCCGGGGACGCGGGTTTGGCTTCCCCGGATTCTTTCGACTGCTTCTGGTTCTTTCCTTTGCTTTCGGCCCGCTTGGCCTTGAGGAGGAGAGTGAGCTCGGAGAACTGGGCCTCCAGACTGTCTGTGAGAACGGAACTAGACTCGGACCGCGACAGCACTCGTCGGACGGCCTTTTGGAATCCACGCAGTTCCTGCTTCCGTTTGGCGGGAAGGACCTCCTTGTTGCTAGCCATGATGGTCTTCGCCTGGGCGAGAAGAGCCTTCAGCGTCTCCCGGGTATCCTCGTTCTCGGGCTCAGTCTCTTTCTCCTCCTTTTCAGCGTCCTTCGATTCCTCAGTTGCTGCACCTTCCTCTGCGGTCTCAGCTTCCTGTGATTCCGCAGCCTTTTTCTTAGCAACCCGACCTTCGCGGCGTTCGTACTTGTCTTTAGGGGCACCGGTGGCGAACATGACACGCTGGGGGTCGACCTGGAACATATCGCCGGGGTTAAGGAGGTAACCGGGGTATCTCATCTACCGAATAAATTAGCACTTGACCTTCAAAAGATCCCCAGTAGCATAAGTAAAGTGGGAGAAATACCTTCTTTCCATTAACTGTAACAGCTCCATGAACCACAAACTGCCTCGCCTGTCTAGCACTGCTAGAAAACAGAGCCCGGAAGATAGCCACATCCAATCTCCGCTCCAACGGAGCAAAAGTCATATGCGAGTAGGGAGTCGGCCGGGGTAGATTCTTTTCCAACTCCGATGGCCCCTCCAGACCCGATCCACGACCAGCAGACATGCCCGAGCCGTCATCCTGAGCCAGCTTCAGCGGACTCATGGGCACAACACTCCGGAGCCGCCGGGAGAACATGCGCGTCCATTGACTCTCGCGGACCTGTTCACCGTGGTATGCGCGGGACATAGACTTGGCAGTCCATTTCTGTTGGAAGAAGGTTCTGGTTGCGGTGGGGGGGTTGCGGAGTCGTTGCAGGTTATACAGGTTGTATTTGCTCCATGATTGTCGGATTTTCTGTTCGGGGTCAGTATTTGCTCTAGATCAAGGAGGGGGGGGGGGGGGGGGAAGGAATTGCGGCAAATAAAAGGGGAATGGGAGCATACCGGTTTGCTCAATGGCGTGGTAGCCCTGTTCCTCATGATGGGCGAGTGTGGACAGCTACTGTTGTCTGTCTGTCTGGCTTTCTCTCTTCCTGTTGCATATCATTCATTTTGCGGCCGCCAAAACTTCGTTGTGTCACGTGAGATCTCCTACTCACCTGATATGTTGTCGCCTGTAGTTTCAGGCATTCAGAACCCAATCCGTGACTTGGACTCGTCTAATTGGCTGAGATGGTCTCGCTTGCCACTAGCGTCATTTGACCGCCCCACTTCGCCACTATATAAACTTCTCTCGCCCTCCCAAGTTTTTGTCTCTTTTTCTTTCTTTCTTTTCTTCATACTTACCTTGTTTGGGTGGCTGCGATCAAGAAGGCGGTCCACCACAGATTGGTCCCTGCATTGCACAGCGCGGCGGAACAGTTTGTTCAATGGCTTTCGGGTCATTGACAGGCGTATTCTTTGGCACTCTCCACCTTGTGGAATCTATTCTTTTCATCATTTCTTCGCCTTGAGCGAGGGTATGGAGAAGAGAGCTTTGTAGGAACTGTAGATATTATAATATAACTCGCGTAAGTTGTTCGATTTCCATGTGTAAGGAGAAGAAGCTATATATGATCCCAGACAGTAATGATCTCGTGGAAAATGTTTGAAGATCTTGTATGAATAGTTAGTTCATCATTAGCCGTAAGTCATCCAACGCAAAATGCTACGTGAGTATTTTAAATAAACATTATTATTCCTTCATCTCTCCAGCATCCAACTTGGCATGCGGAAACGCCTCCAACAACGCCTCTGCTTCCTGGGGATTGACTGCATCATCCAAGATCTCGTGTGCCATTTCCACCGTCTCATCCTCGATCCCAGCTTCCAAAACAAGGCCCTCGCTGAAAGCAAGTCGCGTTAGCGCAACCAAAAACTTCTGTTTTCCTCCCGCCACTCGGCACAACGTGGATTGTAGATTAGCCTCTTGTGGATGTCGTCGAATTACACTATAAATCAAACGCATAAGATCATTTACTAATGAGGCATGCATGTCCCTCTCGGGTGGGAATGAGTAGAGTGCATCTAGCTCGTCGTGCATCGCCCGAATTAGCCGTGCCAATGCGGTCGGATGCGACGCAATCACTAAACTACCGTGTGTGCTCGAGGGCGATATAGGATTAAAAGCTACCGCCATGAGAAACGACAGCGCCTCCAGTCGCAAGTCACAGATCTCCGACCGCAGGTATGGAGCCTGTCCCTCGTCTGGCTGCGGCGTCTCGCTCAACAGGTTCGCCACACGGTCCACGATGTAGTTTTCGTTCGCATGCTGGTCTTGTTCAGTCTCCTGAATAGATCCGAAGGAATCGGGGCGGACACTCGTCGTAAGCAAACTTAAGGTGAGGCTAATATCACTGATTGGTTGCGAACAGTTCAGCATCATCAACACAAAATCGTAGCGAACGTGCCGCCAGAAGTTTTCCAACTGACGGTCCACACCCAAGCATCGGCAGGCTATCTGGTACAGCACCCCAAGAGCATCAGTTGAGTCCACTAGGGGCTCCAGATGGGATATAGGCGTTTGTCGTACTTGGCCAAAGCTCTGGCGGGAAACAGGCGAGTGCTTAAACCGCGGAATCCCATTAACATCTCCAGAGTCTTGTAGCACAGGCACCAAATCGTCGACCACGTCCAAAACAGACTTGGTATCGATAACGAGGATTGACCGTGTGATCGACATAAATATCGGGATGGGCTTGTAGAACTTCTCCTTCAGCGCTCGCGACCATAGGACTAAGATTACATGCATATGCTCCGCCGCATAGTTGCCAAAATCAAGTTTGGTCGTTTCTTCCAAAAGGATGCTGGATAACATTCGCTGCGGTTCGGAAGGGAATGCCAACTCAGCCATTACTTCAAGGTCCGGCTTGTCGTGTGAAAATGATTGATGGTTTAAGATCTGTTTCACAACCCGCATATCCCGAGCTTCGCGTTTGGGGATAGACTCCTTTGCTACAGGATAATCATCCGTTGCGACATCTATCATTGCATCATCCGACATATCCAGTTCAATGGTCGCAAGCTCTGCTCTAGGGCTAAGTGGTAGTGGTGTTGGACTACCCTGGCTGAGTCCCCTCCTCCTCTTTCCCGTTACCGTTGGCGTCACTCGTTTGGACCGTCCCGACTTGCTAGGCGAGACAGCTAGGATTTCACTATCGTCAAACCCATCTCGAAAAGGAAGAACCTTAGTCTTCTTGGGCGTTAACGGTGGCTTATCTTCTAATCGTGTCTTCGCCTTTAATTGATTGATCCGCAACATCTCCTCAGCTAAGTCCTGCTTGAGAAACGCGTTTTCTGTAGCTAGCATCTTGCCCTCCGCACGGGCAGCCTCAGCCTCTTCCTTATGCCTTGCCGCCTCATCAGCTATTGTCTTGCGTAGTGAAGCTAGCTGCCGTTCATAATCTTCCATGATTTTCGTCTGGTTCGACCGAATGATGGCGATTTCCCCAGCTTTGGTTTCCGCCGCGGATTTAGCGGCCGCCAATTCGCTTTCCATGTGTGTGTGCCGCTCATTTGCCCATTGGAGCTGTATTTCGAAGATATTAAGTTAGTTTAAAGTATTTGAGACGGAGAAGTGTCCAGATATACCTGTTCTGTCAGCACCTGGCGCTCCCGTTGCATCACAGAATAGAAAGTTCCGCCTTCGACTTCCATATCTCCATCCTCCACAACGGTATCATCGCGGCGGCCAGAACGGGGATCTGAAAAAGTATTCGTCTCGTCAAATGCCGTTTCATCGTTGGCTCCATAATCAAAAACCTCCGCGTCTAGCTCCCCCACACCCAAAGCACCATAATCGTTTGTCAATCCAGTGTGTAGCTGCGCCGGCGGCTGTAAGGTCGCGTTGTTACGGTTGGCGGGTCTGCGATCGCTAGCGACTCGAGATATCTTGTTTAATCGCGTCGAGGGTTCTGGCTGTGAAGCTTTCTCGGCCTGTGTCGCGCGAAACGCATCCTCTTCCAATTGCAAGAGAGCGTCCGCGGGTAAGTCGTCGAAACCATCGTCGGAAAAAAAGTCATCATCGTTATCATCCATACCCAAGAGCTAAGAGAGCCATGAATAAGGGGGGGTTGTTTGAAGTGGTTGGGGTTGTTGGGAATTGTTGAAGTAAACCAGAATCCGAGATCTGGAAAAGTTGAACGTAGGGAAAAACACCTGACGTAGATGGCAGCCGTGAGAATCAGCCTCGTCCACTGTCTTTCTTCTTCCTCTCCTTACCTCCCTCTCATCAGCCTTTCATCCTCTCTTCCCCATCCAATGTCCAGTTAAATGCTTCTTTCGCTTTCTTTTCGTTGATAGACTTCACTTCTTTCGGGTCCATTCATCTTTGTCGCCGTTTTCCCCGGCAATCGGCTCGGATTTCACATGAAATTTTCCTAGGCGACAATCACTCGTGCCTCCCTCTGCTCACTTTTTCCTCTTCCTCTTTTTTTCACCTTTCTTCTTTCCCTTCGATCTCATCCCCCTTTGCCTGGTCGGCCCTATTCCGATCTTCCCCTGTGCTTTTTGGGCTCCCTAATTCTACCCCAGCTTTGCCCCCTCCCCGCGCGCCTACCGGGACGTTTCATCCACGCTTTCCCTCTCCTCCGTCCCCTATTTCACCATGTCCAAGCCACGCCGAAACGTCAGGTTTAACCATCGGTCGTCCGATGCTCGACGACTAAGTATATCTGATGCTAGCGATGCTGCCTCTGAACCGGGTAGCCCTTCGAAAAATGGAAGCGTTGACAAACCCGCGACGATCCTAGAAGTGCGTGAACCACCAACCCATGCGTGTTGCTGACCCTACCATCTGGACTCGACGCTGACCCTGCATTCAGAAACCTGAGCAGTCCGAGTACGAAAAGAAAAAGCAGACGTTCATTACCCGCACAATATGGACCTTTGTGATGATTGCCGGTTTCTTCATTGCCATGTTTTCGGGCCACATATACATTATCGGAATCGTAACTGCTATCCAAATTATCTCGTTCAAGGAAGTCATCGCCATTGCCAATGTCCCAAGCAAGGAAAAGAATATCCGGTTTACCAAGTCGTTGAATTGGTACTTTTTGGCGACGAGTATGTACTTTCTCTACGGAGAAAGCGTCATCTATTATTTCAAGCATATACTTCTGGTTGACAAGGTGTTGCTACCCTTGGCAACTCACCACCGGTTCATCAGCTTTACACTCTATGTTATGGGTTAGTCCACCTTCCTCTCTTGTTCCCTTTTCTGTTTCTGGTTCCACATCACGCAAATTGGTGGATACTGATCCGCGTCAATGAATTCAGGCTTCGTTTTTTTTGTTGCCTCCCTGCAGAAGGGACACTACCTGTTCCAGTTCACCCAATTCGCATGGACTCATATGGCTCTATACTTGATTGTTGTTCAGGCGCACTTTGTCATGAACAACATCTTGGAGGGAATGATCTGGTTTTTCCTCCCAGCCTCGTTGGTCATCACCAACGATATCTTTGCCTACGTCTGTGGAATCACCTTTGGCCGAACTCAGCTTATTCAACTCTCACCTAAGAAGACCGTCGAAGGGTTCATGGGTGCTTGGATTTGTACCATCATTTTCGGCTACTTTATGACCAATGTCCTGATGCGCTACAAGTACTTCATTTGCCCTGTCAATGACCTTGGATCCAATGTGTTGACCGGGCTGCAATGCGTCCCCAACCCGGCCTTTGTACCTCAGCCTTATCATATTCCAGAGTGGACCGGATTCGGAAGAACCTTCTACATTGAACCCATGCAGTTCCACATTCTGGTTTTTGCTTCCTTCGCCTCCCTCATTGCTCCTTTTGGTGGCTTCTTTGCTTCCGGGCTCAAGCGAACCTTCAAAATCAAGGATTTTGGCGAGTCGATTCCTGGCCACGGCGGTATCACCGATCGGATGGACTGCCAGTTCATCATGGGTTTCTTCGCGTACATGTACTACCACAGCTTCATTGCGGTATATAAGGCGAGCGTCGGGGATATCATCGAGGCCGCTATCAACGGTCTGACCCCTGAAGAGCAGCTTGACGTTGTGCGCGGCCTTAGCAAATACCTGTTTAACCAAGGAACAGTTTCTGAAACAGTAAGCGGGTCCCCTTGCTCTTTTCTTCCACTCTTACTCATCTTTCTCTAGGTCTTGGAGTGCCTAAGCACTGAGCTGAAGCACTAATGAACAAACCTCATAATGACCGTTCCATATCGATTTTGATCATCCGTGATGACGCCTCCTCTACCTTCCTCATTTAGCGTTTGCGAAGATTTACTTCTTCGGAGACACTAAAACTGTGATTTACGAAATAATATCTTTATAATCGACCGTTCTTCAGCATTTCCTCTTGTTCGGTTTTTCTTCGGGTTGAAAAAAGCGAAGAGCAAGCGATGTTTTGTCCCTCGAGGAGCTTGGAGTTGTTGTTGTATGTACGTGTGAGAGTTAAAATACCTACTGTGATTGCAATAGGGTTAAGTACTCGTGTTTTCTTGTTACTGCATTCATTGGTGGGAGGGGAGAGCGGAAACTTCCAGTCTGGTAGTACTTGTTTGGTCCCAAGGAAGGGAAAGCTCATAGCGGACGGATATTAAGAGGTCTTTTGCTTTTTCTTTCTCTCTCCCCATTGCTTCCGATGCGAAATTCCGGTTTAGTCCTGCAAGTTGCAGCAAGTTGCGGTGGAACTAAGGTACAAACAGGACAGGTGATAATGCCGCTGTGGCAGAAGTGTAAAATCAACCATATATAGCCAATACATTGATTAGTTGTGGATTTATCACCATTACAATACTTATTCTAGTAATCTTTAGAAAGAATTAACTATCTTAAGATGAATTGTTAATTACTTCAGATAAATTTAGACAACGTATATATATATATATCCCAAGAAATTACTTCCCCAGACTTGCTTTTTGCTTCAAGTACACTTCTGTCTTTAATATCATCGTTGATATATATCATAACCATCGTCGTCATCATCATCCAACCCCCCAAGGCACGGGAGGGAAATAGGAGAAGAAGAACTCACGAGAGAGTAAGTAGGTGAGGGAACAATAATAATAGGCATAAACGTGTAGATATACCCCTTCTAGTAGCACGCAGAGTTACCGTTCAATTACTCACTTATTACCTGGTCTGGAGCTCTCAGCTGAAGATGAAGCTGGCCCCGTATCTGAATCAAACCCCGAATCCCACACTGTCCTTCATCTCGTAAAGTTATCGATCAGTGTCAAACTAATTCAGCCTCGCCCCCCTGGGCGGAAGCGTCTGATAACACGAAAGGTCTGTCCGCAGTGGCATTCATTCCTCTCTGAGGAGAAGAGAAGAGAAGAGAAGATCGGCGGCCCATTGTTCGAGGGAAGACGAGGCAGCATGACGCAAGGTAACCCAAAGTTGTACGAATTCTTCCCCGGGGTGGCTCGACCAAGATCGAGTAGTGTGCCCTGACGCTTGGGCAGCTGCTAACCAGAAATCTTCCTGCGTAGGAAGAAGACACAACATGATACTTCGCAGTGCAAGGGATGTACGTTCAAATACATCATTGGGCCGGACTGGATCGGACCGAAGTCGGACGCAATTCTGTGAATAGCCATAACGCAATATCGCTCCTTGGCCTTTGTTGACTTGATCGGATCCTAGGCATGGGAGCGAAAAGGGAGCGAAACCTAACGAGGCCCGGCCTTAAACATGGTGTTTGTGGTTCAAGTCGTGCGTTTAGCAATGTAACCGCACCCCCAAACCAAGCACAGAATAACCAAAGGTGAGATAAGATGAAGAGATAGAAGGATGGGGGGGTGTTTCACTCCTCAACTTCATATTCCTCCATCTCAACCTTAAAGTATTCAGCGACGTGCGATCTTTCGGCTTCTGCACATTCAGGATCAAGCATAAACCGCACGGTTCCGTCGCGGCCCTTCTCATCTGGTCTGGGCCGCTCGCCATTCGCGGAAACGGGGATGAGAGGATGCGAGATTGGCTCCTTCTCGATCGCTATGTTGTTGCTTTTGTCGTTTCTAGAGCCGTTGGTGAACAGTGCTTTGTCTTTCTCTTTCTCTGTTTCCCTTCTGTCCTTGTTTTTGTCTTTTTCTTGGGCTGGGGCATGGGCTTGGGATTTGTCTTTGGGTTGCTCGATCCAGTGTGTATAACGCGGGAGATGTTGGGTTTCTACTTCTTTGTTCAGCGGGATGCGGACGGTAAGGAATCGGTCCGCAGGGAAATGGGGGCCGACGGTTGTAGAGCCGCGGTTATGGGTGTATAGTTCAAGGAGGTCGAGGAGGGTTTCTATCTCATATTAGTTTCCGGCTTTTTTTTCCCTCCAGTTGATTCTGGAATGCCTAGGTAAGATGCAAGTACTTACCCATCACCTCCTCCCGAGTGGTTTTCCACTGCTCATAGTCCAACCCCAGCTCAACAGCCTCGATCCGCCGGTCGAGAAGTCTCCCCGCCAATTCAAGACAGCTAAAGGCCATCGTAGATGTTGTCTGCTTAATGGGCGCAAATGTGCGATAGAGGTCCTGGGAGATGCGATATGCGACATTCGAAACTTCCGATTGCGTCGTGAAACCGTATTTCCTTGCAAGTTTGACGAGTGTTTTCTGTGGGTGGCGGGTTCGGAAATCAAAACCTGAGCTTTCAAGCATAAGCCTCTCGAGGCCGATGATGCCTTTGGCCGGGCTGTCAAACACCTGCGCGCAGTAGCTTAGTCTTAGTACTCCTATCGCGAGGCTTGAAACTAGTAGTTTAGGCTAGGGCAAGGTATGTTGTTACCTGGTTATCGGGGGATATGTGTTCAGATTGGGGTAGCTTGAGATTATACGCGGCGCAAACAATCTCCCGGGACTTCTTGAGGGTGTCCTCGACCTTGCAGGCCGTAAAGAGTGCAGCCGCGGCGGCGTCCTGGAGAATCAGTCTTGCTTTCCTACGCCAAATAGCCTGTAGGCATGAGGAAGATGCTCACCATGTAATTATAATCCGTGTCAGGATGAATAAGCCGAAACTTATGATAATACACCACGGCTGTATTAAAGGTCCGAATTGGTCTGAGGTTCGGTTAGCATCTTTCAAGAGAAAGAGGGAAAAAAAGGGTGCCAAAGACAAAAGTAAACAACATACAAGTAAAGCACCCGACGAACATTATCGATCCAGGTCACACCCTGCAGGCGCACAGCCTCCTCACGCAGAGGATTGACGCCCATGGCCGCAATACACTTCTGGATTGTCTGCTCGAAGATGTATGGCTTGGCTACCTGGATGAAGGACGGATGGATAGGAGGAGGCGCTGGCACAGGGACCTCCGATCCAGCCAGGTTCTTCACATCACCTCTTTGTTCAGGCGCCATTCTGAGGGTCTGACGCGGCAATTACCCTCCTGATGGGTTTTGGCTGGTGTAGTTGATGGACGGATTATTCTTCGATTCTGAAATGGATCCGGGGTGTCGGAAATATTATGTTCCCGTAGGAATCCAACAGTCTCTATTTTTTATTTTTATTTTTTGCTCAGGGAGTGAATTGATGATGAACGGAGTACGGAGTAGAGACGAATTGATCAGATTTGTCGATTCCTGCTGTTCTTACATAATAGAGTCGATTTCCTACTTGGGAATAGTACAGGTGATTCTGGAGGATTGTTTTTCCGATATCGCTAATTCTATATATATGGAGTACACAGTGATATGTATTTTCATGGATCGGACGGAAACATGAAACTACTAGTTGGAGAGTATGCTATAGTAGTTTAATTTAGTGGTAGAGGTTACCTAGGTATAAATCGACACAGCCCCTTGTGTGATGCTTAGTTGACAGCGTGCCCAGCACAAAAGCTCAATATATCTGGACCAGATCTAAGTATTCATAGGAATAGCGGCCGGATATCTCTCACCGGCCGTCGTAAACTTTGCCAAAGTTGTATCAATCTCCTCCATCTCCTCATCCGTAAGCTCAATCAACTTGCTGTTCTCCTCCACCCGCTCCACCGTGGTAGCCCCCGGAATAGGAATGATAGTAGGCATCCCTGGACGCCTGGACAGCGCTCTTACCCAGTTGATAGCAAGCTGGGCAGGCGTGCATCCTTTCTTTGTGGCCATAGCTTCGACTTGCTCCACCAGTTGTAGGTTGATTTCGAAGTTCCCTGGTTGGAACCGCGGGTATCTCCGCATCATGGAATCCTCAGGGATGTCTTCGAGCTTCTTAATCTGACCGGTTAGCATGCCTCGCCCGATGGGGGAGTAGGCGATGAGCGGGATGTTGTATTGGGCGCATGCGGCTGCGACCCCGTTTTCAAGGACATCGGTAGAGAAACTTGAGGTTAGGCATCAAGTTAGCATATACAGGGAGCAACTCAGCACAGAATCCAACGTACAGCGATAACTCAACCTCCACCGCCTGAATCTTGGTATGTTTAACTGCCTCATGGATCGTCTCAACGCGAACCTCCGATAACGCAATTCCTCCAATCTTCCCCGTATCCACATATTCCTTATTCATCACGCCGAAAGTAACTTCCATGGGCACGGTCGGATCACGGCGGGCAAACTCAAACTGGTCAATTTCCTTCCGCCCCTTGAGTTGGGCCATACAATCGTCGAGAGTCCGGCGCGTATTCTCGGGCGAGCCATCTGGCATGGGCGACTTGGGAGTTGCACCACCCTTGATGTTTAGAATGACTTTCTCAGTATCTTCGGGGTATTTTTCGAAGTAGCGCTCTAGGAGTACCAGGCTGTTGTATTCGGGTGCTCCATAGAATTCGCCGCCATTCCACAAGTTGCCTGACCATGTTAGGTTCTCTTATTAGTATTTATTAGACGGCATTCTGTGTGAGATGAAGAACGGGGACAGATGGGGGGAAGGAGGAGAAAGATACCTACATCCGTTCTTGAGTGCTGCACGCATAGTTTCAAAGGCTTGCTCTTGGGAGCAGGGCTTAGCGCGCCAGGTCAATCCCATTAGACCGAAGCCAATAGGGCCTACTTCTTTGTTGGAGAGTTGAGGCATTTTGTTATGTTATATTCTGGTTATTGAGAGCGTAGAGAAGCAGGATGCAGTTTACCTATATATAAACCCCTCTATGTACGGAGTACAATGTCATTTCATCATCCGCCGTCGGATTTAAGGTAGTCAAAGCCTTTTTTTTTTTTTTTTTTTAGTTTTAATTCCGGGTAAGCAAAAGACTACGAATCAAAGATCATATATCGGAGGGAAATACCTATCTAGCTTATGCGTGTGTCCAATCACTCCACGGAGTATACGGGTGAGGTACCGAGTACTCCGTATGCTATCTCCGCCAGCTTGGAGTTCTTACAGTAATCATCTCTTAAATAATCATCCAGCTCTGTCTATCTATAAACATACTCAAAGAGAGACATCTCGGTAACAAGGAAATCACTTTTTCTTTTGTCGCCGCCGTCAGGGGACCCCATGCTAATGCTCAAAAAGAAAAGAGAGAGAAAGGAATTGTGTTCAACATGTATTTTCTTAGCTGGCTGTCGGGTGTAAATCTGTACATTCATTCCAACCAACCCCTTTTATCTTGAAAGGCCCCTTCCACAATATCCAGTTGCTGGTGCTGCCTATGACACAAGTAAATACTCCACAAGAATGGAGAACAAATACAATAACACTAAACAGCAAATCCTCCGCTATGCATGGGTCAAGGAATTTACTAAATGCTGTGCTGTTTTGGTCCGCTCTCGGACATCAAGATCTGGGTCGTGCTCCAAACTGGCCAACCGATCCAACACCCCGATCGATCGGAGTTTGAAGGCACGCTCACGACACCCTTCTCGATCGCCAGCATCGTCCTCGTAGGTCAGGTTGATAACCACCCACACACAGTTGGTCCGCACATCCCGGTGGCTGTGGTTGAAATAGTTCATCAAGTAGCGTAACAGGTCCCGGTGTGAGATCAGAAGCTGGCGATGCCAGGGAAGACCCGCGGCAAGATGAATGATAAAGTAAGTTACTGCAACCAAAATCTCGGTGGGGACTTGGAGAGTGCGGCTCGAGGTTTCTCGTCGATGAGGTAGCTGGATAGAACGCGGTCGTAATTTGTCGGCGAGAGCATCCAATAATAGATCTTGTCCAATCTCCTTAAAGAGATGGTCGATCATTTCGGATGCGCCGGGACCGCAAACAACATTGCGCAGGAGGTCCATGGTTTGCTCCTGTACTGCAATGTCATCTTGGCGGGCTTGGGTGGTCTGGTCGAGATCGCCGTGTAACGCAAGCTTGCGTCGCCGCGTGGCATCAGGAAGGAACATCTCCAGGCTGACTTTGGACGAAGGAATGGTGTCGGCCATATTTAGGTCCTCGTCTCGCTCCCCGAGGTCCTCTACTGGATTCAATAGATCTACTTGTTCTCCAGCCGAATTGGCTCGGCTCATTCCGCCTGCGGCACCATCCACCTCCTCATCTATCACTCGCTTGGCCAGAACGCTGGTCGGGTCTTGGGTGATCACTTGCTTGATCCACTCGGGCCTTAGCCCCGCGATGATTTTTATTTTAACATCGTTTGTAGAATTGTACGCGACATGCTTCAGCGCCCATAACGATTCGATACGAAGCTTTGTATTTGTTGAGTGAGCATGCTCGCATAAGATAGGAAGTACTTCTGCAGATATAATTGCCTAAGATAAAAAAAAAAAAAAAAAAAAGTCAGAATAAGGCGAATCTCTATGTCAAAGACAGGACTGACCTCTTTCATTGGGCTGAAATCCAGGGCGAGATTGCAAATAACCGAAGTTGCAGCAATTTGCACTTCAATATCCGGGTGCCGAATCAAGACAAAAAGAGGGGTTGAGACGCCTGCATCAATCAAACTGGTCCTCAAAACGCTTACTGAGCGAGTGAGCATTCGGGCAGCACCACATGCAGCGAGTAAAGTGGGCGTGGGATTACCGTCGGTGGCGGTATTCCGCGGGTTCGAGGTCTCCGTTGGCGTATCATCTGAACATGGTTTGAGGGAATCAATAATGTACGGAACCACGCCGTTCTCACACACCGCTTTACGATATTCATCCTTGAAAGGAACGAGGGCAGCCAATGCTTTCAGGATGTTCTCACGATATCGCATAACATGGCAATGAAGAGGCGAATATCCCAGAGAACCAAGCCGACACTCCGCTGGCTGCGTGTCAACAGTCTCGTTGCTCTCTTTCCCTTCTGCATGCCACATAGGCCGTGTAGTTTCGTGGATTGGGTTATAGGTTTCCTTCAGAAGTTGAGACAGTCGTTTTATCGCGCCTCCTTCGACGGCATGTTTCTGTAGTTCCTGGTCATCGATCACTAGTGTCGCGAGTATAGCGGGGGCTTCCTCCCTAAGACGCTCGGTAGATGAAATCAGTCCACCATACTGCACACCGTCTCCACCAGACATCTCATAGTCACTGTCAAGCATCCGAATCAGGATAGGGATCAACAAGAAGCAAAGCATCGAGACTCGATGTTTTTTGGTAAGGCCCAGGCGGAATAAGACAGTAACGAAACGGGCTGCCATCAAGCGGCACATGCCAGTTTCCGCTCGAACTAGGTAGAGAAGCCAGGGTACAATAGGATTTTCATCATCGTCCAGTGTTGACGGATCGAAATTCGAGAGGGGCGTAGGAAACGAATGGCTATGTCGACGGTGAGATCCCTGCCCTAGAGGAGGGAAATTGGTCGTGCTAACAGAAGGTTTCAATTGGGATACCGGGACAGAAGGGAGAAGATATTCAAGAGGGCTGCCCCCAGCATGACGTGGCACCGCTGTCCCTGAAAGATATGTCGAACCCCATGGGCCTCTCTTGATATCAGACGGGGAGAACTCAGGGATTTGTTTGGGGAAGACTGTGACTATCCCAGGCGATGAGAGGAAGTGTTCAGCACGCCACTTGGAGTGTTCGATAATGATCGTGATAGCACGCAAAATAGGTGCCAACTTGGCCCCCGGCGGTGCAGGAGGCGGAAGTGACCCTAAGGCACCTGAGTCTTGTACATGGTTCTCGGCCCCAGGGAAAACAAAGCCCTGGGCGACAATAAAAGAGCCTACTTTCACAGCCAAAGCATCCAAGACCCCACAGTCCGCTAGGACTGCCTTGTGGGATTCCTCTGTGCATAGCTTTCCTATGAGAGCTGCGGCTAGCTCAATTGACGCCTGACTGTTATGAGTGCCGTAATCCTGTCCGATAATACGAGCCACAAAGCCAATATGCTCGGTTGAGAAAATCAGATCAGCCAAGCGGGTATCCTTGGGGAACTTTTGCTGCCTTTGTAGTGGCAGTCGATCTGCTACATTATTCAGAGCTCGGAGAATCGGGAGAACAAAGGCGGGAGGGCAGTCTGGGGAGGATAATATCGAGAGGAAGGTGGGGAGGGCATTGCTTGCAAGTATGGGAGAAAGGAAAGATGCGCCTCCTGATTCAAGATGTCAGTGGCTGCCCGTCAGCTCATATCAAAGCTCGTCAGTCATACCTTGCGCTAAGCTCCCAAGAATAACGATTGTCTGTAGGCAAGCTTCATCAGACTCCTGCTTAGAGCCAGGTAAACCCCGATAATTTGTGCCTCCGTTGAGCTCGGAGGCTGTACTGCTCCTTCCGCTGAGCTGGCGGGAAGCAAGAACATTGGCGAGTATGGGAATTATGCCCAAGCGCACCCAGGTCTCCTTGCGCTGATCATGACCAATCGTCTCATTCTTAAGTGTCCGGAGCGCAGTAGCATGTGAGGACCAGCATTCTGCGTTTTGTAAATGTAGAAGGATGGGGGGTGTTGCAGCGCGAGTCATGGTCCGGGAAACGCCGCCTCCCAGGGATCCTCCTCGTAGTACCTGTGTAGAACTAACGGAGAATGAGATATGCTTTTGACTAAGGGGGTGCTAGGTGATTGAGCGAGACGAAGTGCCGATCGAGAGAAAGGTAAGTGGAGATGCGGATCAATGCAAAGCGATGGTTCAGGGAGGGGGGGAGTTGCGGAGTGAGGACGTCGGGGAAAGCTGTATACGGATGGGTAGGAAGAGGAGAGGAGAGCGGGCTGTTCTTGGCGCAACAGACCCAATACTCCAGCAGAAGAACCCAGAGAGAAGAAGTAATTAATAGAGATGAACAGATCTAATCATGTACGGAAGACTAGAATTGTAGAATGAAACAGATAGAAAGATACGATGGTCTGGGGAAGTGACAGCTTCATCTCCAGAATGTGCACAAGGCTAAGGATAGTCTTCCACATTATTGACGGACGCAGTGACGGGGACTCGGGAGACAAGAAGAGTTACCGCTTTCGGCAGCTTATCATGTGATAGTCACGTGATAATCACATGATATATTGACGAATTGAAAATTTCGGTGTATCACGTGATTCAGCCTTACAGAACACGGGAACAATTCTAAAATTCTAGCGTCAAAAGTGGTCTGAAATAGATGAATTCATTGCGTAAAAATAATGCTCTGTAATATTTTGGCAGGCGATCAAATGTCAGGGATCGGGCCATGAGCGCACCCCATGTGGAGTAGTTTCTTCAGGTTTCGAGCTTGAACTTTGAAGTTCGATCCTAATATAGATAAATTGTCCTTATCATTCCGTCCGGATATGGGCGGACAAGGAAGCGCCAGCCGGTGTCAGGTGGCAGGCAGAAATTATGCTATTTACTGACTTACTCCAAACAAGAAAACTCAACCATGGTTTGGTCTGGTCATTTCCATACAAACTGGATCTGCAGTTTTCCTTGGCTATGGAGGAGATCAAAATAGGCAGAAGGCCGTGATCCATTATTATTACCTCACCAATTATTTTTGAGAGGAATTCTCCAATAATCGTTAGTTGTTGTCTCCAGTGTTGGGGCGCGTCATCAGATGATTTGCGTATGGATCTGTACAGAATCTGTATGGATGTGTACGGGGACCGCCACAGTATCCGGGAATACCGGACTGTTTATTCGCTGGCATCTCGGTCCGGCACATATTCCGGTATTTATCTGTTGAAAACTTAAGGTTTTCAGTACCAGTGCATTTCGTCATAGGCTGAATTCTCTCCCTCTCCCTTTTTTTTTTCCCTTTTTTAATTATTACTACATATTATTTTACAGACCCCTCTCGCTCTCTTTTGTAGAAATCCCATCCTTGCTAGCTTTCATCTCAATTTGAGGTGTTACTCTTATCATCCTCTTCAGTCTCTCCCAAGAGCTGAATCTTCAGATCATGATGTGTTTGTGCATGACCTCTCCTTTGTCAAAAAGAACAGTAATATTACAAGGTTTCACAGCATCCACCAGTCTCGTTGCATCTCGTTCAGTCGTGCGCCCACGTGGTGGACTTGTTTGGCGGAGATGCTAGTTTCCTCACCCTCACCTTCCGCCGCCCTTCGCCCATCCCCTCGGGCCTCAGGCTCCTCTCCTTCAATCCCCCAACCTCCACTTTCTCCTTGTTCACCCTTTTCTCGTCGTCCGTCGTCCTCCACTTCGGCCGCCGCCGCTGCTTTCGCCTACCATAATCAGCATTATGAGCCTGCCGCCAACCTCGCTACTGTGCCCAATACTACCACGGGCCACTATACGTCGCACTCGTCCCGTATCGCCATTGAGGAGCTCCGGTCGGCTCTAAAAAGACACACCGTTTCCCGCTCCCCCACTGTGCCCTCAGGGGATCCTCCCTGCGGCCATATGTCCGCTGGGCAGTCGTCCCTTGGGGGCGGGATTAGCGCCGCTCCCCTTGTTGATCCTGCTGCTGCTTCTGTCCCCGAATCGTCCTCCGATCCCCCTACCAATAACAGTTTTCCTCCTGTCTCTTCCGATCCTCCCTCCGCTCCTCCCCTTACTTCTTCTAATTCTGCTCCTGTGTCTGCCCCCAAACAGACTTCATTGGCCACTTCTTCAATGCCAGCTCCTACTACTACTACCACCACCGCCACCACTACCAGTACCACCACCAGCTCAGCGTCCAACAAGCGTAACAGCCCAAATGGTCCTGTCAACAGCGGTGCGACTGTAGGAGGGCTGGTGGGCTCGGACCTGGAAGGCTCCCAATCGAAGCGATTGCGCCCTGCTAAGCCCGAGGTTAAGAATCTTCCCACACGCTATGAACTGGTCGACACCAGGGATCTGGTCGTCCTTATTTCAAGCATGCTGATGGAACTCATCCGATTCAACGACAAGATCCCCCTGCATCAAGGTCGGCTGACTCGATTTCACTCGCGTACCCCACCTCGAATCTCCGTCCAGGACTACCTCCAACGTCTTACCACCCACGCCACCCTTTCGCCTCCAATCCTCCTGAGCATGGTATATTACATTGACCGGCTCTGTGCACTCTATCCTGCATTTACAGTCTCCAGTCTTACCATCCATCGTTTTCTCATCACCAGTGCCACCGTGGCCTCAAAGGGGCTCAGTGATAGCTTTTGGACCAACAAAACATACTCGAGGGTTGGCGGAATCAGCATGAACGAACTGGCTCTCTTAGAGCTTGAGTTCCTTTTCCGTGTCGAATGGCGTATCGTCCCCCAACCAGAAGTGCTGGATGACTACTATCAGAGCCTGGTGGAAAGGTGCGAAGGGTTTGAAATTCATGCAGATACTTGAGCTTCAGGTAATTCTGTGGTTGTCTTTTCTTTTCTGTTCTTCTGTTTTCTTTATGCTCCCAATTGGTGTTGGAAAAAAAAAAAAAAAAAAAAAAAAAACCTGCTGAAATTGGTGGAATCGTGCAGAGGAGTCTGGGCGTATGTGTGGATGTATCCGTACAAACCTCATACACATAAAACGGGGCTTGGAGTTGAACCTGTATACACTTTAAGAACGCGGCTTGATAGATGATGCGTTCTGACTCGTCTACGATTGGCGTTGATTTTTTTTCTCTTCTTGCCAGTATCTCGGTTGTCTTCATTCTTCCCCTTTGTTTCCTATAATATTCCCTATGGGATCCTGTATAGTTTCACTTTATGGCGTTTCTCTAGGATGGTGTCACGGAAGCATTTTGAAATTCATGTGTTCAGTTTCATTGTTGGCTTGACTGCGTAAATAGCGTACAGTCATATCTACTACTACTACTATTCTTATTTATATAACACAATGATCTGCTCCCCAAACTATCATCACTAGTCAACGTAGCCATGGGGCATTGTGGATATCCTCCAGAGTGAATGACGTTAACTTTGTGCCTGGGGCATCTATGTGTTCTCAAAAGCGGCAACTCAGGGCTTAGGTCATAGGGTACAGGGTTGCAGGATCAGATTCAGCCTTCCTTCCTTCTGCATACTGTCGACTCAGCTCAGATATTAAATCGCAAGCCTCGCGCTTGTCAGCTATGCCTTGAATTCATAGCATACCCTCTTGCGTTGATTGATATCACCTCTCTCCGAAAAACTGGAGGTGATACCCCGCGATCCAGAAAACTTCGTCCAACGGATCGATGGAGATCGAGGACATCATCCGGGGAGTCCAGCCTCGTATAGGCGAGGTAGTCCCGGTAAAAACAGTTCAAGAGACTCAGCCCATTGAAGAATTCGGTTTGTAGACCTTCTTCCGAGTTATTTGCCTATAGACACAAATTTAATTATCTCTAGCCGAGGCATATGTCGCAGAAGTCAGTGTAAGATCCGCTTCAAAGGTGATCAAGTAAGTGAAACACTTCCTTCCCCCTTCCATACCATGGGTTGTGCTGATATGTAGAACAGAGTCCTTGACTCGAACTTCTCTCGTGATGCTTCACAACCCATGAGCCATCTTCGTCGCTTTGCAAAATACAGCAATTTACCGGAACATCTCCAAACAAACTTTTCAAAGGACAAACCCTCCACGAAAACTATCTTTGTTTTGGTTTCTCCACCTCTACCTGATGTTGATCGTCTGAAAGAACTGCTAGCTCCCTTCGCCCCAGAACCGGAAGATGGCCCTTCTACACAGCCCTCGGAGCCTGCTGGCCAGATCATACTCCATACCATCAAAATCCCCACCCTTCCTCCTCTCAATACAACTCAAGCGGACACCTGGACAAAAAACTTATGGCCAGTCATTTTTAACCCCGCTGCCGCACGAGCCACAGTCGCTCCTCCCGTTCAGGTCCTAAACCGTACACTTGGGTCTATCCAGCCGGATGCCGGATACTACATAGCGCTAGCGCACAGAGTTGCCGATGAAGCAGAGCAATCTGGTCGTGGTCGTCGCGTTGGTGCAGTGGTCGTCGACCCAGAAATCACATCTCGGATACTAGAAACCGCCGACGACGCGGACTCCCGATGGGCAGATGCAATTGTGGCCGTAGCAGGCGATGCACGGTATGCTCGGAGGGAAGCTGGAGCCCTTTCAGAGTCAGAAATTCAACTGGGGATTGGACCTAACCCTGATCGAGAGACATACAACCCTGACCTAGAAGGAGGTCCAGATCTTCACGCGTTGATGAGGGTAGTTGAAATTATAGCTTTCAAACGACGAGCAGAAGATCCAGATGCAGAGAACGATAAACCCGATTTGAGCCCATTAGAATCCTATTTCCTTTCGCAAATGGACTCTACTTCTTTGGAGTCCCTGGATGTATCGCCAGTGCCAGAGAAGTACCAGAAGACGGAGAAGGGGCCGCAGCCGGTTGCTATGTCATCGGAAGAAGTGCTAGCAACTCGAATTCGACCGCGGTCGCAAGGTGGATATCTGTGCACTGACTTGGATGTATATTTGACCCATGAGCCCTGCATTTGCTGCTGCATGGGCCTGCTTTTGTCACGGTTCCGGTCCGTAACATTTCATCGACAGGGACGCATGGTGACAGGAGGACTTGCCTCTGAACCTGTTGTTACGCCGGTGTCTGAGCCCGTGGAGCACGATGACCCTGGATGCGAGGATAAGAAGCGACTATATTATGGAATACACTGGCGAAAGGAATTGAACTGGCGGGCCTTGGGCTTTGAATTCATAGAAGATGAAGTGTCGGGGCAAAAATTGGCAGAGGATGGGATTGCATTCCATGCATAATTACCCGGTCCGTGGGCTTATATATGAGGAAAGGACATTAATTAGACTGTAATACATATGGATATACATGCACACATACACAGCTCAACTACTTTCACTACTTACAGCGTTAGGTACGTACGTACGATAACTCGAAAAAAACAAAAAAAAAAAAACAAAAAAAAGATCAAAAGCAAGTGTAAACGAAATGAATAATGACCAAAAAAATTTGCTCACACTCGGATTCGAACCGAGGATCTCATCATTACTAGTGATGCGCTTTACCAACTAAGCCATGCGAGCTGATTGGTTGTTTTGGTGTCAAGTGTGATTGAAGGGTGTGCGGAAAGGAAGTCTCCATAGGAGACCTGGGTAGGTATCTGAAGGATTTTGGTAATCTTATTCAAGATCTCTCCTGGGTGGTAGGTAGGCGGGGCTGGTTTATTCCTACGTGGTGTCTCGATCAATTAACGTCTTTCTTATGTAAAGTGTAAGAACAATTGGACAACACAACATGTACTGTCACCTCCATGTAGATGCGCTCAAAGGTACCTAAGTAAGTAGAAATATTCTAATGGGAAGACGAAACGGGAAAATCAAAAGGTAAAAAACACAATAGAAGGGCATCATTAGTAGTTAACTATTAATTAATGCATTAATAATCCACAGTATCCTTCTACTGCGAACAGACTCTATCCTTCTACTGCGAACAGTTCAACAGAGTAGGTCCAGCATCCCCTCAGCCGCCCCCCCCCCCCAACTCTTACTAAGAGACAAGAAACTTGGAGAAAAGTGTATCATGTAAACAGGCCGAAAGTTGTCACAAGTAAGTGTATGGTATGGTAACATAGTTATGGAGCTCCTGTTTCCTGTTCTCTAGGTTGCTGCTTGATCCTAAAGTGCAAGTGGCTAACTATGGCGTAGTACATTACTAAATAGATAGTAATTGGATGGAAATGACGTCCTATATTAGTCCCTAGGGCGTCGTAGATGCGGAGGTGGGGAGCGCCCAAAAAAAAAAAAAAAAAAAAAACCTACAAAAAATGCTCACACTCGGATTCGAACCGAGGATCTCATCATTACTAGTGATGCGCTTTACCAACTAAGCCATGCGAGCTTGGATGAACATTTGGCTTTGTATTTTAATTTATTAACCTGGGTAAGAAGATGACCCTTCCCTTGCATATAGATTTATCTCATCAATCAAACTCCTAGTTAGCTACAACCATCTCTAGCGTTGTATATACTATTAATTCAATTCTTCGCGCTCCTATTCCGCCCGTATCTTGACTGTAAAGGTCTCCTTATACTCAAGGAATGTATTTCCTTTATTATTTATTATAACCGCCCCACTGTCCTATACAGATGCATCTACTTCTTGATTCCAGCGCACAGGACTGTATAGCCGATACCAGTAGTGATCAAGGCCACGAGCAGCGTTTGCCTCTCAGCCTGTTGTTGGTTTAGTGATATTATCCTAGAAACACGCGCACGGGCATGGAAGGGGGGGGGGGCTTTTATCTTTTACAGTAGAGGTAAGCATGTGCTATAAAACCCATACGTATAGTAAGGATGCCATCAGCGCTAAATGCAGACAGACAGACGTAAATGCTTTGGTTAGTATTTTACGAGGTATCCCATCAGTAGCACTTGCTCACTGGGTTAATATGTTTCATGTGACCGATCAATCCATGACCAGGTCGACATATTCCCCTCCGGGTACTTTGGTATCGCCTTCACGGTATGCTACAAGCAGATTCTAACACTCCCTTAGCCTTCGGTTCATCTCGCGCTGGCCACGGGGCTGGTCCTCGTCCCTGCCAACTCCCAACATAGTTATACCCGCATTCAACCCATTCCGCATGGAGGGATTTCGGTTAGCCCCTAATAGTCCAACCTAGGACAGTCCCTTCTATAGTGTAGGAAGGAGGCTATTACAGGAACCAGGCAGCAATAGTACTCCGTATTTGCATACTATATGGATGACACGTAGCTAGCTATGCCCACATGCAGTGCATAGTCCCGGGTATATCATATCGTAGCCATACTCCGGATCATCGATAGGTTGTCTCGATACTCGCTATCCCGCATGGGGTATAAGTGCTACTGCTGGTAGTGGCTGGGTCCGTGTTGCGGTCAATTGTAGATTAGAGGGAAGCGAGAGAAACTCCGATGTGATCTGACTAGGTTTGATCTGTTCTAGGTGTTATCACTGCCGGTGGATACTTCCAGCCAGGATTCGAGGAGCCTCGGAAGGTCACGGAGGCTAGGTATACTCGTGAGTGAAACATGCATGGAGATGCATGGAGATGCATGAGATAAATAAATGGGAAATTAAGATCTCAGAACCAGTGGGGTGGCAGAAGATATGTCAGGTAGTTAAAGCGATTTATAAGTCGGCTCGCTACAAATGAGCACTGTTGGGCGAAAGTGGGGCTGGCATCTTGGGATTGTGTACGCTGTACGGGGTAAATGTAAGGGGGTTCTGCATGGCTTTGCAGGCTGTGGAGGGAACGCATGCCGCTGTCCAGCAAGATACCGATGTAGGAATCGAATGTAATAAATACTAGTGATAAATGATGTTGGGGAGTTGGTAAAAAAAAAAATAAAATCAAAAAAGAAATGCTCACACTCGGATTCGAACCGAGGATCTCATCATTACTAGTGATGCGCTTTACCAACTAAGCCATGCGAGCTGATTGATAGCAGGTTTCAAATATAGATATAATAGGCTGCACATCAGGTATGTTGTATCTTCACTTCTTACTCTCTATGGTTTAGAAAACATCTATCTTTCTCCCAACTTGAATGTGGTTGAACAACACATACCATTCCCAATATACATGACTAAATATAAAATTACTGTAGTATATTGCATTGTACTGCATACTGCTTGGTATTTTTGTGTTTTGTATCTTCCTACTAGTATGTCATGGTACTGTGTTGTACAGAGTATATAAATAAGCTTCCATTTCTATATATAATACAGGTTTGCCATCTAACCAAGCAACCTACACCAAGCCAAATCACCACAACAACCAAGTAGTTTGTATGGCTGCACACGGCACCATATCCACCACACCATGACATACATATACTTACAATGAGCAACTATACCTACCTACCCCCCCTCTACTTCGCGCTCGAACCATCCCCACCCACCGACGCCACCATCTACAACAACCCTGTCCTCCCACAATACAACCACACAATACCTAGTAACTACCAAAACCCAGCTGCAAGACACATACCCCGCAAGAAGAACAAACCAAAAAAATCGCATCACAATTGCTATACGCTGGAAAGCAGAAGCGACCCAAGTGGCCAAGGACAGAACACAGAAAACGTGCAGTCTACACGGAGCACTACAGCAATTTCCCAGTGAAATTAAACGATAGATAGCTTAAATAATACTAGATAATAACAGCGACCCGAGGAGAGCATGAAATAGAGAATCTGTAGACTGACTGTAGTAGTGTGCTCTTGTTCTGAACGCTGAGAAATAATATAATGCTACATATAAACTACGAGGTACCGGTTGTTAGCCCCACTTAGTTTAGCGCAGGGACATGATGGCAAAGAAGAAGCTTTCCTCCATCAACAAGGCCGGCTGGCCCAATGGCAAGGCGCTTGACTACGAATCAAGAGATTGCAGGTTCGATCCCTGCGTCGGTCAACCACTTTTTTTTTTGAAAAAATTTTATTTTATTTATTTTCAATCATACTGCAGTATTGATTATCTCCGAAACGGTTATATGATCAGATCAGGTCATGGTCGTGATGCCTAATTCCATGATACCCACCCATTAAATCATGTCCGTTATTTACATTGACAGTTACTGGGCCGCTCCAGCAAAAAACCATAATCGCGTTGCTGCGGTCCACTACTTGTCTGCGTCATCTACAATAGAGAACCAGGCGATATTCGCAGCTGCTCGCAAGCCATATTCCCAAGCATATCATTGTAAGTGCTCCAATAAAAACATAAAGATCATCTGCTCAACTTTTGTAACAAGCCCCGACGCATGAATCATGATTATTCATTAGTCGTGAATGAAACATTCATCCATCCCTTGCTAATTTACCACATCATGGTCCTTCATGTAATCCCCTTCAGCAGTGTTCATCCACGGAGCTCTCGAGCCCGACGAGCGAGAGGAGGAACCCGGCGAAGAATTGGGTCGTGTGGCGAGTGTGCCGCAACTGACATGTACAGCGCATCAAGCCGTTGGATGAGGATATCCATAATCTTAGGCGCAACCTCACGGATGTCCGGATCCTAGCAACTCAAGTCAGCATCTAACAAAAAATTTGTGCATTGTGAAGTATCATACCATTAAATTGACGGTTTGGAGCACAACATCCAGCCATGCGAGACGCTCCGTAGGGCGGGAATCCAGAGAGGACGTGACCGCAACACCAACAGACAACGCAACAATCGGGGAAAGCCCAGGAAGGTATGAAGAAGGATTCATGCGTACAAATAGATTATCAAACAAGTCGGCTTGCTGTTCAGATTGCAGCCACTGTAACCAAATTAGCAACGATGTTTTTAACACGGGATGCGACGACGAACCTTTACGGACGCTTCTTCATATCTACCCTCGCCCATAAGCTGGGAAATTTCGGCCATTTCAAGCTGTTCCGGGCTCCTCCTGTTGGCTGGGGGAGCTGGAGCTGGAGCTGGCGAGGTGGACGATGCTGCGGCCGACCTCGCCAAACCCTGGCTGCCCTCCGCCTGACGAGACGCTAGGACCTGGTTGAGGCGCAGGACCTCGTTCTGGAATCCAGTCTGGGCAGCGGCCATCGCGGTTACCGTGTCAGACAGTCCGCGAACAAGGCTGGTAAGTTGTTCAATCTTCGCAGCATCGTTCTTACGTTGGATCTCAAACTGCCTCATCTGAGCCTGCATCTGCTTTTCCATATCGCTTCCAACCTTCTCAGCAGTGTGCAGCGCAAGACTTTTGAAGGCAGGGGTAACAGTGTTCTGCATGGCTTTGGAGATCTCGGTTTCCACATGGGAAGTGAGTTTCTGGCCTACAGCATCTGACAAGACTTTCACCGTGCCAGGCTGTTGCAGTGCACGATCGACCGCCCCAGGCAAGGATTGACGCAGCTCGCGAGAAACAGCCTCACCAAGCTGCTGGGGCAGAACTGTGTTCAGTTCCTTGCCAACAGCAGTAGAGGTGATGCTGGACAGAGCGGGGACAACTTCGGATTGGATGCCTTGAGTCACAATCCGTGCAAGGTTCTTCTCCACGTTGTCAGATAGAGTACTCGAGACTAATCGTAGGACTTGATCTTGTCTGGCGGTAGACGCAGCATCCCAGCTGCGTCGCTCTTCGTCAAACCGAGTCAACAAACCCTCGAGCTCACGCCCAAGGCTCTTCTGGAATTCGCCTGCGACACCAATCTGGAAAGCTTCAAGATGCTTGTTCAAGGTCTCGTAAGATTCGCCAGAACCAGATGCAGCGACAGACTGGTATAGAGCGGGAGGTGGTACGCTGTTATAGCTTACCGTTGGACTCTTAAAAGTGTCCCCATTGGTTTGATCAATACTATGATCATCTCCAGCATTCGTTGCCGGACTGACCTCCTTTGCCTTGGCAGGTTCGCCGGTGACTGCTGTTCCCTTCTTCTTCTTCTTCTTCTCGGGCTTTTCAGAGGCGGCTGCCGCAGTTGCTGCGTCAGACTGCTCGTCACCAAGCTTCTTCTTGATCGCAGTCTTGACGGGGGACTGTGTACGCAGAGTACTAGGTCCAGCACTGGCACTGGGCTCCGCACTTAACTCCGGAATATTTCTGGTGACTTCCTTTGGCGCCATTTTGGTAGGAGTGGAGTTTGCATCGCCGTTCACGGAAGGTTCGTCCGAAATATAGGTGGGGAATGCCTGAAGATCGGAAATATCAATCAAGCCCTCCTCTAGAGCGTTGACAGGACGTATGATCTTGTTGTCCTGGCTCCAACCGAGGTCTTCCTTCCTGATGTTAAGACATGTCACTCCACGGGAATGCATCACGTAAAGTTCAAAGAGACCACTTTCATCTCCAGCAGCTTTGGTAATCGGAAGAAGATCCAAGCTTCGCAATTGGCCCTTTGATGCAAATGAAATTTCCCGGATGCCGCTCATGCAAGCAGTCGACTCGGGCTTAGGAAGGCTGTTATCCTTCTCACCGGCACGCTTGATGAACGAGGCCTGTGACATGGGCTGCAGGTTGTACCTCGGAGCGGACAAGTGAACAAAGTATATAGAGTTCCGGGTAGGGTGTCCAACAACGATGATACCGGAGCCGGGGTGATACGCAACGCTGCAGATAGCATCCGACTCGTTCTCATGAGGGAACTTGAGCTCTTGCACAGCCTTGCCCAGCCCAATATCCCAGAGTTGCAAGGTGTGGTTCTGCTTCAGTCCAACTAGAACGTAACGGAGCGCCATGGACTTAATATAAGGACGCAGCTTGTCAATGAAAAGAACAGATGTTGGCCATGACTTCTCCGTGGGAGAGCCAGTCACAAAGGTGTTGAGTGGGATGCGGACTTCCGCAGGGTTAGGACCTGAGGTAAAGAAGCTCGAACTATTCACCACTTCGCGGATATCCCAGAAACGCAGGCGTCCGGTCTTATCCAGAGAGGCAATGACGGTGTCATCGTCACTAAACATGAAGTCTTTGCCAGCCTTGCCAGTAGATATCTTCATGGCACGCTCCTTGAAAAACTTTTCGGTGTTGACAGTGCGGTTGCTCCCCGAAACACCGTACGCAGGGTTTGCAGCAGCCTGTGGAGAGATGACATAGATATTCTTGCCACGGCCAATTGCAAAGAAACCAGGGTGACGAGAGCTCCTTTTGGCCCGCGTTTTCAGCTGGCCACCGGAGGTGTTCTCATCAGAAGCGGGAAATGGTGGGAATATGAGACACTCGCTCTCTAAGGCGTCCTGTTCGAAAAGGTCTCTGTCTCCCCGGGATATTAGGGCCCAGTAGACTGCTCCGCTAACACCGATACCAAGAACGGCTTGCTCATCCGATGAGCCGCCCATAGACTGTGACGTACAGACAGCGACGTTGAACACACGGTCACGGGTGGAGCGGAAGACTTGCTTGTCACTCCCATCATCCTGACGAATGATCCTCATGCCGCCATTCTTAGCGAGCGCATAAACAATGTAATCGGGAGTGGCGGAGGTCAAAGATCGATCTAACTGATCGAAATCCTTCTTCAAGCGGGCGATATCCATGATTCCATCATCGCGCAGAGTCGAGATCTTTCCAGGGAAAGACTTGACGGTGATAGATATGAATGGGCGCAAGGGAAAGTTGTGGACTGAAACAATACGTTCCTCATCCTTTTCAGCACTCTCTTCGGCACTCTCCCAGCTTTCTGCTAACGCTTCGCCACTGCTATTGTTGGATGACTCTTTCGGAACAGCAGAGCTGACAAATTCTTCTGGAGTCTCCTTCAGAACATCGTTCTGGTTTTCGCCATTGGGTATTTCCTCCAGAGGAACAGAAATGGAAGAGAGGATGGCCTGAGTGCTATCTTCTTGTGCTGCCTGAACAGAGGCCCTCTTCTCCTGAGTCAACTTCTCTAGAGACTCGTCAACGTCACGAACGAGTTGCTCCACAAGCCTATCAACCACATTGGAGACAGCTTCTTTTTGTTCTTCCGCCAAACTAGGTGACTTGGCGCGCTCGCCTTCAAGAATCTGCGAAGCAGGTGCAGCTTCAAAATTTGCCGTAAATTGGCTCCTGGTGGCCTCGACAACCGGACTCTCACTACGAGACTTGGGCTGGGGGGTACGGTTCCGGGAAAGGGCTGCCAACTGGTCGAAGGGGTTGACGTGGATGAAGAGAGATTCTTTGCCGGTCGGGGACAGTTTGTCCGATGCCCCGGACAACCGCTCCGTAGCCTCTTCGACCGACAGGTTACTTGCGACCTCAGGCTCGAAAAATACGTTCTTTTGGGATGCGATCGAGCCTGGAGACTCAATAGATGACTTGGCGGGACTACCAGACATCTCCTGACCTGATTTCGACCGATTCAGCAAGCGAAGCAACATCTCCTGGGGTTTCTCCGCGCCTGGAGTAGCCGATGGGCTCTCTGCAGCAGACTGAGGCAGAGGCTGCACGCCGGTCGGCTGGACTGGGGCCAAAGGCGCTTGCCCCTGTCTACCAAATAGCGAAGCAACTAAGTCAGACGCAGAGATGTTTCTCGTGTGAGACTTTGTAGCCTCATCCACACCAGGGGCGACAGGAGGAGTATAGCTGGACTGCTCCATACCCACAACAGGGGCCTGCTGCTGGGCGGGAGGAGCCGCAGGTTGGTTGAATTTGAGAAGATTCAACAAATTGACAGCGCGGTCAGGGTTCTGGGGTAGAGGTTGGTGGTGCTGGGGTGGAGGGAAGGCGTCGCGAGGCGTCGGAATATTAGGACTAAGAATATCCGAACCATGGCGAGGAGTGTTCACGGGCAACGGGGTTTGAATGACAGACGAAACGGAAGGGTGACGATAACCATGCTGCTGCTGCTGCAGGTGGGCATGCGGATAGCTCTGACCGTCATAGGGAGGTGGCTGCTGGGTGCGGTATCCTTGCTGGTACTGGGGAGGATAGGGAGCCATTCCAGGATCCTGAGCAGGAGTGCTTGAAGGAGATGGACGTGGCCTTATGCTCGCCAAGAGAGCCTGGATGTCATTGGGGGTCGACATTTCTGTCACTCGCCGTTGTGGGAGGCGACCTCCAGCAAAATCCGAGCTCTGACGTTAGTCTAAGAAGCTCTCTTTCGAGAGACAACCAAGGTAACCAGCGAAAGGGAAGGCAAGCAGCAAGAGAGTGAAAGAGTGAGATGAAGAAGATTCAGTAGCAAAGAGAAATTGAAGGATGGACTATAATACAAGGGGAGTTGGAAAGGGCGAAGAAAGGGGGAGGGGAGGAAAAGAGAGAGAGAGAGAGAGAGAAGAGAAGGAAAGGTAAAGGAAGAAAGATTCGTTGTTGTGTGGCTGGAGAGGAAGAGGAGAAAAGAAAATTGGAGGTTGCGGCTGACGGTTTTTTAGTTACCAGTTGACGGTTCGGGACGGTAAACTTTCGGTATTTTTACACCAGGCGCTGAGATAATTCAACCTTTTGCTTTAATATAGCAGCTCTGATGACTCGGGATTTCCTTCTCCTCCCAATGCTTTCAGATTTGTCTGTCGTGCTACCACCAATAATCCACCTCCTTTTCGCCACTACATTTCATCCTCCCGTCTTCTCTCTCTTCTCTCTCTCTCCCTCTTCAAGCAACTTTCACTTTCCGCTCGCTGTAACCTCATCCAGCATTGGTAGGACCTTACCTTCTATCACCATGTTCTGTCTCCGGAGGTAAGCTGTTTTACTCTATCCAATACTCCCCCCTCTTGATCGCTCTAAAGAAACCACTCCGCGTGCAACCAAACTGATATAAATCTATCTATACAGCTGGCTACCTCTCCTCTTCATTCCGACCAACGCTTCCCCGCTCTTCCTCATCTCCTTCGTCACCCTCACCTACATCCTTCACCGACCATGTATCTACTGCTCTGCCCTCCTCGTCATCCTCTTCGCTTCCACCTGTAACTGGTCGGATCGATGCTTCTTCAACCTCCGCTCGGACTGGTTCGCCCCTCGCTACTCTTCTTCCTCCCCCTCCCTTGACAACTCCCTATGCCACCAACACAACGCCTCCTCCTCCTCCGCCTCGCTACTTGCACTCGAGAACGAATCGCTAGCTGGCTACGCTTTCGAGACCGTCAACAGCACCGCAAAAGCACTAGCCGGTGCCGTGGTTGACAAAGCCCAAAAACGATTCTTTGCCGACCCATCTTGTCCCCCGGGGGCTGCAGCCTTAAATGAGCTGCAGACAGCTGACTGGACGAACTTCGGACTGGAATGGTTGCGCAGTTTGGTTGGACGACGGGAATGGACGCTCCCTTGCGTGGATGTCAAGGTCCGACTATAGCTTCTTCAAAGATGCTTTACCTTTTTTTTTTTTTTTTTTTTTTTTTTTTTCCATATATATTTTCTGGCTTGTTTTATTTCTACTTGAGACAGCAGTTCTTTTCACGACAAATCAGGCATGAGCATGGGGGATTTTCTTATTTTTGTTTTTGGTTGTTCCTTTTTTTTTTTTTTTTTTGGCATATAGCATATGGCATATATATACTTGTTTTGTTTTGTTTTGCTGTGCTTTGCTGGACAGACAGTATGTATTGATTTCTACAGGATAATGCTCTTCTTGTGGCTGGCTTGGCTTGGTATTAATTGTGCATATGCACCTGGTTTGGTCTTGTATATATTTCTTTGTTCTGTGGTATTCTGGTACCGCACTCTCCTTGGATCCTAACAGCTCTTGATTCTGTTTTCACAGATACACCCCAGGTACCTAGGTAGGTACATGGTTGTACTGTGGGTTGAGGAAGTGATGTATCTATTCTCTACTCTAATATAGTATTTCCACCGGCAGTGTACTCAAAAAAAAAAATTGGATTACCATCTTAAAGAAATCTATAAAACCGCCTTTCTACTCATACTCCGGCGGAAAATATACCTCCCTACTATAGACAGGAAAAGAAAGAAAGAAAGAAAGAAAGAAAGAAAATCTGCAACCTCCTTTTCTCATTTACGACCGAACCCTAGTCCTAACTGACTACTCAAAAGAGCGATTATCTGAAGTAAGGTAACGTACACTAATTACAAGGCAGAAAAGGTATCTAACAGAGGTAATGAGGGGAGGGAAAAAAAAAAATTAATAAATGAAAAAATTGAAAAGTATATGTAGGAAAAATATACTAATCGTAATAGCAACTCAACCTGCCTGCGCAGCTTGCTTGTTTCCCTCGCATCTTCTTCTGGTTGTTTGGAGAGCGAAAGGGGAAAAAAAAAAAGAAACCCGCGAGCAATGAGTTCAAGTCTGGGCGATGAAATGATTTAAATGTACCCAGGTGTAATGACTCAAAAATAGTACCCATACCGATACCGGCAATAGTAATAGCATTGGTACTGGTAGTCGAGATATCATAGTCAACCGGGGCGCATCCAAGATGGTCGTTAAATGTGAAACGGGGTGGAATGGGGAAATGGTGTCTCAATCGTAAGGGGGAAGGGGGAAGGGCAGGATAACAGGATTAGCGGGTATCAAATCAATCATATAAGGATCGTAGGACGCATAGGCATAGGCATAGGCATAGAGGCATAGACATAGTCGATAATGGTGATTATCGAACGAGACAGGCAGAGTACGTAAATGGAAGAGTGAGAGGGGGGTGAAAGAAAGGACACTCTCTGTAGACTAGACATCGGATGATGGATGGTGATGCAGCGCGATTAGTTGTATCCCGGCATAGACTGGGACATTGGAATGGGCCAGTCGTCTTCTGTGATACTGCTCCAGAAGACCCAAATCATAACAACCGCGACGAGCGTAAAGAAGGTCTCAAATAGGGCGCCGTTGATCTTGCCGTCTGTCGCGTGGCAGAGATGAGTGCTAATGACGTAGTTGAATATTTGGCCGATGGCAAAAAGAATTCCCGCAGCAGTCAGGTACACTAGACTATGTCAGTACTTTCCCGTGGATTTTAATCGAGCGAACCTAAACATACGCATTGGTCGTAGTTCACCCAAAACTCGAATAACCAGGAAGGTCTCGAGAAGGTAAAAAGCAACCAAACAGACGAGGGGGAAGAGCTGATATAGCACATAGAGCGCAATATTCCGATAGTGATCGGGAGCAGTTGTCTCGAACTCTCCGGTCCAGTCGAATGCTGTGTCCAGCGCAATGTACCCCGTGCCGACGAAGAATACCAAACCAGAAATAGTGAACAGACCGAGTGAAGCAGGAGTGCCGTCGTCTAGAAATTGGAAGCCAACCAACGCATTCAGGAACAGAATCCAGCAAGTTGCAGTGATCGCAGCAATGTGAACGGCCGAAAAGCCCTGCCAGAGTTAGATTTATCCATTACACACTTGGGACTACAAACCTTTCGAACATCATCTTTGAGAGGAATACCGCCAACGGAGAAGATTTCACAAATCTCAATTATAATGAAGCCTAGCAGGAATAATTGGATCTCCCTGTGCTCACGTCAGCTTTGATCGTGCTCCGATTTTTTTTTTTTTTACATTGCCTTGCTCGTACCTTCGGCCCACGGCCGCTTGTTTGCGGTCTGATCGCCATATCAGAACCAACGACACCAAGATACTGATAAATGCAAGCAAAATAGAGCCTGTAAAATATGAGCCATGTATCCATCACCGCGCGTGTAAACGAGACATGTCATACCAAGATTTGCAAGGTTTCGGTCGCCGCGCAGGCCAATTCCGGTGAGGGCACAGCCGCCGTAGGCAGCATTAGGGGGCTGGTTGTTGTCGACAAAAAGCTTTGTAGAGGGAAGAAGAGTTAGCAACACGAGCACTATCGATTAAGGGCGCTACTGCGATCCACTGGGGCGCGGCGAGAAAATCATAATCCGGGGGGGCGTACATTGCAGACTGGTAAGGTGGAATCACGACAGAAGTCCTAGCTCAGAAGATGGTATGATCAGTTTCCGCTCAAGCAACCGTGGAATGAAGCGCAAACTCACGTTGAAATTGCCAAAGTGTGTCGAGCCCATGGCGAACAAGCGCTGAATCACACAATCACCATGCGAGAGTGAGAAGGACAGAAGATGAACGTGGAGCGAAGAGGTTGAAAATACGGCCGATTTTCACAGCTAGACCCACGTTCGAGCCCCGGTCACGATTGTGCCGTCGCAGATCTGGGATGCAGAAACGAAAGGACTCCGATTAAGATTATTGAGGACTGTAGTAATTATTGGGTCGACTGGAATATTATTAGGGGGGTTTTTTTTTGCTGACGGCAAGAGATCGAGGATGCAGAGGGAAACGTCGAATTTGACGGAGCGGACGTCAACAAAGGCACCTGGACACGATTGTAGCGGAGAAATGGGTGGAAAGGAGTCTCGCACGGGAAGCGAGAAAGGCAGAGATTGAATGGAGAAGAAGAAAAACAATAACAACTCAACGACAGCTGCAATATGTACGATACGTGGGGTGATGTATGAGAGTATGTATGGGGGAGGAAAGGAGAGAGAGAATTGAGATGGGATGGTGATGATGGTGATGGTGATGGTGATAATAGAAGAGGCTTGGGACTCCACCAACTTCCAACTTCAAGTTTCTACTTCAATTTCTAAGACGGTGAGAGGGGGAAACACAAGATTACTCTGCGAAGCCACACCGTTAATACTAATAGGCAGAGCGTCCGAGACTAGTGGATGGACTAAGCATCCATAATTCATTCCATATGACGGCCAAAACCCTGCAGAAAACATGGCAGCAGAAAGCCAGGAACCCGCTTGATATTTCTGTGGCTGGAATACTTTGAAGAGGCTGATTCGCTCTCTTTCTTTTTTATTGAAATATCAAATCATGCCTTTTGAATCCTGAGCATTCAAGGTATTATTGACCGCTTCAAAGATGACTCGAAGGTTGCCTTGGTTAACCATCTCGTCACCCACGGATCCAACACTGGTTTCCCCAGTTTCTCTAATAATAGAATTAAATACAGGTACGGAGTACTTCTAAAGCATCTCTCTCTCTCTCTAACCATACTTATATTTTTTTTCAAGAATCTCCAAATTACCCGACTTTCCGTCTACCAGGCAACGGTAACAGCAGCCCAGCCACATCTAGCTAGCTATTATCCCGCACTTCATATCTGCAAGTTTCCTCGGTTTCTCTAGACAACAGGGACAAGAAAAGACGATTCCTGGCAGCCTGCAGGTAGTAACTCGAGGTGATACCATGATACCGTCCGACTTTCGGGTACCCCCCTTGCCTCCGTCCGGTTTTCTAGGAACAATAAAGGAGTTGATAGTACCTTGCTTAAGCTTATTTTTTTTTTCTTTTTTTTTTTGCCCTGGAGACCGTCTGGTTTTCAAGGAATCAACCGCGTCTTGTAGAGCTTTACTAGGTGAGGTGAGGTGAGCCTTTTCGATTAGGTAGTCTTATGCCAATGGCAGCACACAGAAAAAAATCACTACTTGTCTCAAATTGCAGCACACAACATAACATGTAAGCCTTTTCTGTGCTCCTTCGATGTTGTTTGGGCTTTGGACGGCTGGTTGGCATTGGAATCGGGAATTCAACATGGAATATCGCCCATTACTCTCTGTGATAGGTAATAGGACATGCCAATGGGTCCCTACATCAGTTGTCTTGCGAGCCTGGAAAAAACTAAGCTGGAGTACTTCTGGATGAACGGAAGGACAAGGACCTTATCTTATCACAGCCGAAACTTGACATTTTTTACGGTACTAACCGGTTGTCCGGGTTGCAACAAACAGCGATGATTGTATGGGTCGGTCTATACTGCAAATGTCGGTCTGGTCTCGAGGGGAGGTTTTAAATGAGTGAAAAAAAAGGGGGGGGGATTAATGTATCAATGTACAATTATTTCAATTGATATATTTATTTATGTATATATATAATATAATATATATATGTATGCGTGGCAGAACTTTAAAAGAAATTGAAGAGAGACGAGGAAAAATAACAAAAATATTGACCGACGCAGGGATCGAACCTGCAATCTCTTGATTCGTAGTCAAGCGCCTTGCCATTGGGCCAGCCGGCCGCTGATATGTTGAGGTCGCAGTTTTTTGCCTATATGTGCCAGGGCTTGAGATAATCAAAATTCCTCCCGCACTAAAGAAGAAAAAAAAAAAAGCTAAAATCCTTAGTGCAGTTCTTTATTGGGGCCTTGCCGCCTTTCTCTGACAGTCTGACTGTACATTATCAATCTACAAGGATATAGAAAAGCAAAAAAAAAAAAAGACAGGGATGGCTAGAGATTAAAGCGTGTTACCACCCTCTTACTATCTACAGCATAGGCCCAGCTGTCTGGTGTACAGTTATTCGGTAATTCTCTGGAGTTATGGCTCCGGTTGCGTTTTCCGCTTCCGTCCGGAGTCGTCGTCGGAAGTATTTAACTGTGAAATCGCTCCAACGAAGTAGGTAAATCCTGTACAAAGAATTCGGCAAGTGCCAATCATCCCGTTCCAGGATTGGCCTTAAGAAGCAATGGGCGTTTTTGCTTTCCTTACGTACGGAGTACATGGCAGGCTTTCCACCTAGACAAGTTTTATATGGGGATTTTTATAAGCGTGTCTTGCATTCTTTCTTCTCTGAAGAAGCACTCTAGGAGTAACTAACTGATTCAAACTTACAAATTAAATTAATTGCATTACATTATCCGACTAACTTCGGGAAAAGAACAGGAAAAGAACTATACCAGACCATGCAACCTACTCTTGCGCTTATAATTTCTATATGCCGACAATTTCTTCACGCAGTTATAAACTCAAAAAAAAAAAAAAGAGAAAACACACACAAAAACAAAAATAATACTGACCGACGCAGGGATCGAACCTGCAATCTCTTGATTCGTAGTCAAGCGCCTTGCCATTGGGCCAGCCGGCCTTGATGCATGCTGTAAAAAGATTTGGCTATATCACTCCGGGGGTCCACTCAATTTAGTTTACCACAGTTGAAACCGGTCGCGCCATAGATCTGTAATCCAGCTTTGAATAAGGTCAACCCACGCATCACGACCTATAGTTTCGGGCTTCAGGATCGTGTAGCAAGGTAATTCCATGATTCCAACCCGTAACAGCTCCAAAATCATAAAGAACATTTCATGCTCTGACTGGGAGATGCAATGCAGGTCCCATTCAGTCTTTCTCCCCAAGACCGTGGCGGGCCTTCTTTCTGGCGGAGCATTCATCAGAGAGAACCTATGGTTGAACTTTAGCCCTGTCGACAAACCCTGTATCTCCAACTGATTTCGTCAGGATAGTTAAAATAGACGTCATTGGATCCTCATGAAATGGACGGGTTCGAGCGTGTTCTGATCCTGCTCGTTATTGCTTCTTGACGTCGAGAAGTAAAAAGGGGGACCCTTTGACGGAGATCACTGTAAACATTTAATAATCCCTGTGCCAGTAGCCTTGCAAAGAGAATGTGTGTGGTTATCTGTCCTGTGCAAGGATATCCACGCAACGATGTAGCGGCAAGTCGAGATGGCGCAAATTGGTCCAAACTGCTTGGGCTCAAAGACTCGTTGGTATACTCGGGGAATCGACCATGTCGGGTTTTAGCCATCCGGACCGCACTGGCAGGTTTGGTGCATCCTTTCGTGTCAGCGTGTCACGCATTGGCAGTTGTGTGGTCACACCAATGGTAGGGGTAAGGAAAGAAGCTTTCAGAGGGTGATGTCAGGACTATAATAGGCCAGAACTTTGACCAATGTTTCTATGGCACTGGAGAGTGACCTCTTGCAGTAGGGTTAGATTGATACTCTCACAGACATCGCAATTGGACCCATTTACCCATGGACAATAGCCCAGGGTAAGGCTGAACTGGATGGAGGAGCTGGGGGCGATGTGGGGGAGTATTGGCTGGGTTATGAGAATTACAGTTGCATATCTCAATAATATTAAAATCCCAGCCGTATCTCAGTCACATTCAAACCATTAGATTGTAAGAAGGAGATGGATCTCCTTGTTGTAGAGTTGGAGTAGACAGTGGCCAGCTGGCACTATTGCTCTAATCGGCAGCACGTGCTAAACCAAACTTCCACCCATTGCGTCTCGGGCTCTTAGTTCCATTCCCAACTTGGAAAGCATCTATCGCGGCCGGCTGGCCCAATGGCAAGGCGCTTGACTACGAATCAAGAGATTGCAGGTTCGATCCCTGCGTCGGTCAATATTTTTTCGTCCAGTTCTTCCTGATGTTACTTTTTCTTTTTTTACACCCAAATTTATGTAATGCTTGACTTTTCAAGCTATGGAAATTATCAGAAATGAAATATAAAACAGCTGAGGTTGCATGCGACCCCCTACACAATACTGTCACTGTCTTTTAACTGGAAGAAAGGAGGCCCTGGGTTCTACCCTTATACCCAAGTATTGGACACTACGCGGATATATATATGCAGTAGGGATGAGCTAAGATATTCCCTCATGAGTATGTCGTGGACATATTGCCGGCTTCAGAAGGCCGGTTCCAGAAACATGAGAGGCTAACAAAGTGTCAGGTATCGAATACAAGCATATATGAGCCCTGCTCACGGTATGGAAACACCATTAGTTTAGATCATGAGTGACTTAAGTTGCGCGAGCTATTGCGCTCTGGGCCAGAATGTATGTAAAATCCATATTAGCCTCCTTCACTGTTATCAGTAGTTGTTACATACCATGCTTCTACTGTATACAGCCCGCCTGACCATGTAGCCGTCAGTGGCATAGGTGACATAATGATTGCCAGTCGGGTTTGTATAGTATCGGTCCGAGATTGAAATGGAAGGAGCAAGGACACGGACAGGCATATGATACCATATACCTATCCATAGGCAGCGTGATCCCAGGATGCACCTTCCAGCCTCCTCGATACTATCAGTATCCCAGGGCCTCATTGTCTCATTTCTTCCTGATTTCAGCATCAGCTATAACTTGCACCACATATCATTATCTTGCACTCTAAGATATTCTTCACACATCATTTAGCACCCTCATCCCAAGTCATATATATTCTAGCTGCATCCATTCATACCCGCCAGACTTTCCTACCCATGTCAACGAAGCGATGCCCCTTATGTAGGGTTACGCGCCAGACGGTCGAGTTCGAGAACACATTTTCTGGCTTATATCAGATGAAACGCTATAAATGGTGCTTCAATTGCCGGAGGATGAATGAGTCGGATGAGGTAGGCGAGCGGATGTGCATATGTTGCAATTCTAGGAAAGAAGCAAGCGCCTTCAAACTACATCCGGATTCCCGAAAGCTATACAAAACCTGCTCCAGGTGTTGGGTAGATGGCCTACGCGGAGAATTGAGCGACTTGAACTGTATGAGATGTAGTAGATGGCTTGACGTGGGCCAATTTCAACACGGCTCGAAGGTTTATACATTATGTGAAGGTTGTCGGAGCGCCGAGCGCGCCGATATCGAGATCAGTGACCAGAGATGTGATCGATGTGCTGAATGGATGGGAGTCGAGCAATTCAGATACTCCCCGGGGTCCACTAGGATCTTCAACCTGTGTTTTGCGTGCGTTGATATTCCGGGTGTCGCTACGGTGACAGAGAGAAAGTGTGACACTTGTCTGAAATGGAGGAGCGAGAGTCAATTCAACTCCCCGGGCACTCGGGAGGAGGATTTTCGGGTGACCTGTCAGGAATGCAGGACCATCCCACAGGACGTGAGCAGCTTGTTTTACAAGTATATTGTGCATATTTGAATAGCTTAGTGACAAGGCTTAGGATATTGTCGAGTCGATCGAGGACGATACTGGCATAGGACACAGGACGGAGCCGGATGACTTTGTCTTATACCCAATTTGACATGAAAGGAAGAGACCCAGTTTGTTTAGATCCATGGTAGTCTTTATAGGGTGAGGGACTTGGAAGGATTCTGGTGTACCTATATATGTTAGCCAGCTCAATTGTTGCTTTATCCTTCATGATGGCATCGCCTAGTCGCAGCATTGTAAGTAGAGCAAATCTCCAGCAACCCCTCTGCAACGGAGACTGTGCAAGGGCTTAATAGTATCATAACTGACATCAATCGAACCGAAAAATACTCAAGGTCCTTGCCTGGCTAAACCATTGACTTGGACATGTTATCCTAGCTGCAACCAGAATATCGAAGCATCTAGATACGGGAAGAGAATCCCTCAGGATGGGCCTAGTATTGCCCTGGGCTAAGTCTTGAACTCCATCCAAAACTGTGCTCTATAACATAAACCTACTACTCAACAACATGAAGCCAGAATCAGTCCACACACGCATCGTGTCATGGATGATATGGACGAGCCAGCAGGGTAGGATAGGTAGAACAGTAAAATTACGATGAAAAAAAAAAACAAACAAATATAGACTAAATTCAACTGGTTCATCTGCTCTCGTACAGAGTACACCTTTCTCATTGTTGTACTAAGTGTAATGCACCGCTCCATTTTACGGTAAAGACATGTATATCATTGCTTTATAGCGACCTTGAGTAACAGAACAGACATTTAGCAGGAAGCTTTTCCTTGACATGTGTGCTGCGGTTTAACGATTTATCTCATTCGAGGCATAATAATATAGGGCGCCAATTAGGTTTGGCTCTTGTAGGCATACTTTCGATGCGTCATTCCAATAATGGCCGGCTGGCCCAATGGCAAGGCGCTTGACTACGAATCAAGAGATTGCAGGTTCGATCCCTGCGTCGGTCAACATTTTTTTTGTTTTTAAATTTTTACCTAACTCAATAATAATAATTATCAATCTAGTTATAGGTAGTTATCTACTCGAGACTTTGAGTTATTTTGGCTTCTGAAAAGGAATGTATTACATCTATCAAGGGGATATTTCATACTCAGGTATCCAAGAAACATAATAATAGCAACGGAAAAAGCATCAAGACACGCTCCCATCAGATCAGTCCATCGGGACATCGTTAAATCGTCTCAAGTCGTAAAAACATTACACCGCATTCTGGTTGGATATCCGAGCGATCGACTTTCTCGTCCTTCGTTGTAGAATATACCATCCTCCCATCGTAAGTATTGTCAGGGACACCGTCAGGACCACGAGAACCCACCATTGCGAAGACACAAGCAGCTTCGAGTCACCGGGGCTATTGCCGTCCGCACGAGTCGGGCCTGTGATAATGTTTGTACCCAGTATGGTCTAGGGATTCCTATCAGTTACTGGGCATATCTTCCATGTACAGATGAATGGAATCGCGCGTACCGCTATAAATGTCCCAGGAAGAAATAGCATCGTCACGACGGAGATGGTACTCATGGATGCACTCTCCTGCATCGCGTACCTGGTCATTCTCGAGCTCGATTGGGTGTTGATGCGGGAGCTCATGTTGAAGAGCTGTAAGAAAGAATTAGCACTGTACAGACGATGGAAGGAAGGCTTTACCAAGTCAAGTAAACGTTCCACACGTCTGGCCACGTCTTCAACAGACGACTTGAAGTAGGCCATCTGGTTCTCGAATCGGTCGAATTCCTCCTCCACCCGAAAATACAGCCAGTCGCGCTGATCTAAGCTTTTGCTTCCCTTGACCATTGCCTGGAATGCTTCATGTTGTTTCCGTAACCGGCCAATGACCCCTAGGATGAAATTCATTTGGATTTTATCTTGGTCAAGACTTGTCAAGGTGAGATGGAGCTTGTTCAGGTCAATCCGGGCAAACTCTTCCAGGCCGCCGTGGACCCTGCGTTCTTCTTCACGAATGGTGTCGCGTGGGTCTCGAGCGGCACGACGGTAGTACTGAATCGTGGGATTGAAATGGATGATGGAGAGAATGAACGGGTTCTTCGCAAGAGAGGCAGTGTTGGGCTCTTTGATGAAGGCCTCCAAGTTCTCCACTAGTTCCTCGAGTAAACGCTGTGGGAGGTCGTTGAAGGATCGGTATTTCAACAGGACTAAAGTTGTGTCGGATTGGGCATTGTATCGGGTGACTATGGTCATCTTTAGATCGGCTTCCTTGCCGAGTTTTCGAACATATGCCCTGGCCCTTATGGCGTACCAGAATTCTGTATTTCATTAGGGTTGTTGGATCATCCTCGAGTTTGCCCAACTCACTTACCGAAGGATTTCACAGCCCCGTCACTGTCCCTCAACTGTCTCGAGCCAAAGATTTGTTCCTGACCACGGATGTGAGAGCTAGCCGCTGGCGCGATATCATATCTAGTAAGGATCTTAAGCAAACTGTGGCGGGTAATATTCAACTGCGAGGGAACCTCTTCGCCCCGCTGGTCCAGAGGCTTTTCATTAGCCGGCGGAATTGTCTGGTCGTTGATGAGCTCGTTTGTGAGGAGAGATTTGACGACTTCTGGATTACGGATTGTTCGTAGGACTTGCTCCTGCGGTGTCGGTTGGAGCAGAATTATCCGAACCTGCGGATCATGATCGGCCTACATGCAGTTAAGAACACGGTAAAATCCCCTGCACAGGAGAAGGGATAAATTACATTAATTAGCCGATCGATGCCAGCATCATCATACACCCTAGTTGTTCCCACACCATGATGATGATCCAGGATAAGCACGCTGGAGACAGGTGCGTATTTCTCCGATCTCCAAGACCTTGACTCTTCCTTTAACTCTCGCTGACAGAAGTGGCCATCGTCAAGACCGGAACAGTACGATGTAAGAGAGAAGGGATATTCTGCGGCAGGTGGCTTGTTGGACATTCTGAGTCCGCTTCTTCTGCTGAACAGTTCTCTCAATAACTGGGGGGACGAGGAGCAGGGAAATCCAGGGCCGCAAAGCTGGCGCTCTCGAGCCTTTTGAGCGCCATCCTGCAGACGAGGCTGTCGCGGACTGTCGTCGTGCAGGTTTAGGCGCTTGACGGCGTATGGGGCGGACTCTGCAAGTCTGCATTATTTGCAGTGTTGCACAGCCTAGATAGGTCCATATGTACCGCAAGCACAGCCTTCCCACCAAGCACGAGGCAGGGTTGGGGTTGAGGCCTGCCGTTTCTATTGGGTAGAAGAAGAGAAACAGAATAAAGTAATTCGAGGGGGTTTTTAATTGATTAGATTTAACACTAGATACCCTATAACTATTCGTCCTGCCACCTCGTTTCAATTCCATTCTTATCGATAAAACTAAGAATGGCCGATTCTGCGCGTCCTGCACTATTTTCATTTCCTCCCCAGCAGACAGGCGAGCCTTCGACCCGCAATTGGTACCAGGAGCTTCTGGACCATCCAGATTGCCAGAATGATCCAGTAAGTTGAATAATTATGTGGATTGATGAATTCCTTCGACAACTGCTGACTACCTCGGAACAGACCAAAATCCAAGAAGCATACGAGTCTTTTCGGTCCGCGAGCTTATCCCGCTCAATTGCTTCGTTTTTGCCCGTAAATTCTAACGGCACGACCTGCAATGACCAGAACGAAAAGCATCCCCAACCTATGCAGTGCATCACGCCAGACCAGGCATTGATCCGCTACCTCAAGCTCCAACAAGAGTCAAAGGAGAATGGCAAAGAGATCGGGGAACTCAGCCAGCAGGACGTAAACTGCTTCGTCGTCTGGGCTCGCCCTGATACACGAACGATCAATTTGCTCGAGGAAATTCAGAATCGCCTCTGGAATCTAGTAGGACCCGGTTAGTTTTAGCTTATTATCCTCCGTGTCTGGTTTTATATATATATACACCTGTTCACACCATATTCCTCTTACAGACATTCACCTCATTCCTCCATCCGATCTTCATCTTTCTGTCCTCGAGCTATCGCATCGTCATTCAGTTTCGCATCTCCGCTCTGTATCCAGTAAGATTGGTGTACCCGTGCTCGAGAAACTCTTGGATATTCCACGATCAAACTTCCACAGGGACAAATCTACCGCCCGTCTCGTTAAGCCGATGGTCATGTTTGATAAGCTAGGCGTGGCTGTTGGGTTTGTCCCAGCGGACGACCGATATACCCACCACCATCTTCGAAATCAGCTCCACACCATGGCCCTGGAGACCGGGGTTAGCATTGATACGTGCTACACAGCGCCTCTTGCCCATGTAACCGTGGGCAGGTTTATTAATAATGCTTTCTTCGAAGGCGCTGGTCCGGATAGCAGCAAGGAAGAAGTCAAGCGAGACCGGATGGCGCAGTGGGTTAATCTTATACGGCAGATGAACGAGGATCTGAAACGAGATTATGGAGATGATTTCGCGTGGGTGGTTGGCGGCGAGCGACCGCTGGAAGTCCAGCTGGGTTATATCAAATTTGGACGTGGAGCTGATCAGGCTGATTTGGTTGGGAATGTACTGGGGACGTGATTTGTAGTATCAGCCGTTCCTTTTTGCTCATTGAATAACTTGGGTCGTGCCTAGAAGATACTACCAAATGGTATAGAATAAACCCATTGGAGAATGGATTCAGATTTTCAGGGCTAAAGACGTCATCATATTGTATCTCGGCCCCAGCAAACTATATACCCTGTTGTCTGTTGGTTCTGTATTATTCCGGGCTCCCAGGAAGTAGCATGCTATGCTATTCATGGTATGATGGTGTTGCTTGCCCTGTAATATTCTGATAGAAACCAAATATAAAACATCGCTGGGCCGGATTACGGGTTTTTATGAAGCAGAAATGTAAGGTTCAAGGGAGTATCCATGATATAAGTGTCTCTTCCAATACACTTGTTCTAGGTCCATATTATCACGGACAAGGATATTTATTATTGACGGAGGCTTCGATTGTTGGTTGCATATTATTCAATTGAGCTGAAATGAGCATTGGTTTTTCTAATGCCATGAATGAGTCTTGATCATATCCAGTCCATTTATTTCCCTCTAGGGAGAAATGTAACCTAACAAACGTCCTCAATCTCCAGCTTTTTCCCATCATGCTCTCCCAGATCCAGCTTTAGTGTGCGTCCAAACAACTCCAGCAACATCTCAAAACATGCCTTTGTGATGGCCGGGTCGTATCGTCCCTTGCTCAGCTCATCGCGGATGAATGCATCTATCCCCATCAGTTAGCAATAATCCATAACCTTGAACCTTTGTAAAAAGAGAAGGATATAGAGAGAGAGAGAGAGAGAGAGAGAGAGAGAGAGAGAGAGAGAGGGACATACGCTGCGCCCAAGCAACCTCGTAAAAGCTAAACAAGACGCCTTTCTCGTGCAATGTCTTTCTAATCAGATCCCTTCCCTCAGGAGGGACATGGTTATCATTCTTTCCAAAGATCTATATCCACATTATCCATATTGTTAGTGTATCTGCTTCTTTTTTTCTTCCTTTTCAGCATTAATACTTGTGCGGCGGACGAACCATAAGTAATTCCCCCTTAATATCCTCTGCTCTCGCCAAACTATCATCATTCTTCCCCTGGCCCAAGGTCCTACTGTGGATGTCGGTCGCGAAATAGCACACCGCGGCTTTGACTCTGCTGTCCAGGGCACAACGGTACGCAAGGTGTCCGCCGAGGCACATTCCTGTTGCTCCGACCCGGCCGTTACAGGTCGGGAGGGAGAGGAGGTAATCAACGCATAGCGAGGCGTCTTCATCGTATGCCGGGATTTTCTGGCAAAAAAAAGGTTTAGCATCTTTCTTTCTTTCTCTCGTTCTTATTTGGATTGACCCGAATGAACTTAAGATAGAACAGGAGACAAGAGAAGAAACCAAAAAAAAAAATTTTTATTACCTTGCTAATCTTCCACAGATTCCCCTTGTCCGTATCTTCCGCATTGTACTTCAGAGCCTCGGGTCCAGTGAATTCATGGTAGCTTGAGGGTGCAGCGCAGATGTATCCCTGCCCGGCGATTTGGCGGGCAAAGCGCTCAACAGGACCGGTTACTTGATTCATACGAATTCAGTTAGCATCGCCCCTTTTCTTTGCTACTATATGTTCTCTTTCTTTCTGTCTTTCTATCTTTGGTAAAAAAAACCCCCCTTACGCTTATTTGCTAAGCAAGATATAGGTGCTCAATGAGTGAGGGAAGGAAATATACCCTGATAGATCTCGCTGAACACGACTACACCGGGAAAGCGTGCATTTGGGTATCCCGGGACAGTTGGATGGAAGACATAGATGCCTGTTTCTCGTGGGTTAATAAATAGAAGATTTCGATGTTGTGAATGGAGATATGTCTGTGGCATTGGGGATTAATGTAGTGCTGTGGAGTGGTACATACGCATGGTGCCATTGCCGTCAGCTGTGGTAGGCACATCGTGATAGGACTCTTTAATCAACATGGCTGGTTAATTATGGTCAGTTATACAAATGGTAAACGATCGAGTTGGTTCAGAGCCATCAATTTCTTGAGATCTCGATGACGGTGAGGGGCTTTGCGATGGTTTGATTCCGATAAGCTGGAGGGGTAATCACGTGCTGATATAGATCTAGATCCAGAATTATTATGGCTTCCATGATTGTTTTGCCAGTAAATAGTCTAATTGCATGTCTTCTGTCTTCATATTACATTATACCCGGTATTGAGATGGCTGGGGATCACCGAGGCCTCAATAGCCAAAAACCAAGTTCGCACACTTTTTGGTATCAGAATAGGAAAGGGAAGGAAAATAAGGCGACGATAAGGAAACAGGTTGAAAAAAAAAAAAAAAAAAGAATAATTACAGCGAATGGTACAGTGATTAAAGGATTAATCGAAACCATGAGGGCGTATGCAAATGGAGAGAGTCAAAAGGAAAGTTCACCACTTCTCGTAGCTGAGTTTGTCGTTTGAGGGTTGGCTATAGAAGGGGTATCACCAGGGTGATCTGTAGAATGAGCCGCCGGACTCGTATTAGAGAATGTCCCGGAAATTCTTGATAGGGCATCTGTCCTGACCCTTTAAAAGACATACTGCAGGAGACGTTAGATATTGTTGCGAACCCAAGGATTCAAGCAAGGGAAAACCTACAGGAATGAACAAATAAGGAACCCTTTTCTCATACTCAGTCCAAGCCTCGCCGTACTTGTTACGGCAGCGCTGGATATCACGCAGTGCACGATGGGAAATCATGCAAGCGAAGAATAAGGGATAAAACCACGGGAATGGGCTGCTGAAGCCAGTGATAAGGCCCCAGTTCAAGGCAAAGTACAGATCACAGGAGTAGTGGATCTTGCGAGCCTTGCCATCTGGGGAACGTCAGTATGTTGCGTCTGTTTCATATGGATATTTACTTACACCATCCATCAACCAAGATCTTAGAGCCATCGGCCGCGGTGATTGTCTTGGGATCCTTCAGAGTTTGCCAGGGCAGTTGAGGGAAGGCCTTGCGGAATACCCTGGTTCCGCGCTCCTGCTGACGGTAGCGGTTCTTCTGGCTGTTGGTGGTATCCCAAACCCAGTAAACGAATAGATAGGCCACATAGAGCAAAATCAGGAAATAGCGGTTCCAGTGGTATGTAGCGGGGTCATGGTTTGCAAGGTAGATCGTGCAGTGGCAGTAGCTTAGAGGCACACCAGCCAGATTCCAGAAGATGAGCATGAAACCCCATTTCTCATAATACATGTCCCTACATGGGTAAGTTAGTCAAATCTCCCGATGGACGGACCTTCACGGCGATTGAAACTTACCAGGTAGACACGATGCACTCCTCGCCCTTGGAGCAGGCGTTTGCATAGAGGAAATGTGCCATCAACAAGAATCCAACCTCTCCAGACACATATCCGTACACTTCGTATTGCCTAGCGGCAGTGCCCATGGTGACAAGGAGGAGGATGTACCAAGGAAGACGAACTTCAAAGAACATCTTGAAATCTAAAAGCTTAAACATCCGAGGGTTGAGTTCAGCGCCCATAAAAAAGTCGTAGATGGGATAGCCGGTCATGCGGTGTTCCGCTCCACGGGCCAATGCTGAGAAGTACGCAGTGAAAGCAACCAGGAACCCAGATAGAATCGCAACACTCATGAGAGATCCGAACTCGTCGATGATGGTGTACAGCTTGAAGATACCGGTAAAATGGAGAGCACACGCCAATGCAATGGTAGTCCAGAAAGACCAGAGAGCCGAGCAGTAGTATGGCAACTGCTTGCCTCCGAGGTGAGGGAGAGGGCGACCCATAACCGTGATGCCGGGGAGAAGAAGGTAGCAAGCACCTTCGAAGACGAAGAAGACCCAGTACATGGCCCATGCCTTGAGAGTCGGGAATGCGCCCTCGTAAACCAAATGGCCCATATGCGCAAAAAACTCCGACATGCTCTGCCCTTCCGCTGGGCGAGGGAATTTGCCGTCATAGTAAGTTGCTCCAATCCACATGTAGTACATGAGCAGTGGAAACCCAATCATCATGGACAAAACACCTAAAGACCCTCCGAATTCAAAGTGTCCACTATAATCGATTCTTGGGTCCTTGCCCTGCACCCAGCCGTCGATGATCCGTTCCTTGCTTTCGGGAGTGTGGGTGTGACCGTTGGTCGGAGCGGGTTTCACTTCGTCGTCGGAAACATCCTCAATCTTGACCTTGGCAGGAGTAGCGGGAGTGCGCCTTCGAGTCACAGATCGGGTTCGTCCTCGAGTTTCGGTGGCTGAATCGGACATCTCGTCGGACGGCGCAACGCTGCTGCGAGTGACCCGACGGCCAGGGGTCTCCACGAAACCGATACGCTCCACCTTCCTATAAGACCCCGTAAGTATATGAATATTCAATAGCCAATTGAGGAAGAAGGACACGGAAATTGGAGTTGATGTGGCGCAATGGAGAGCAATTGCTCGTCGCAAGGAGCAGGGGATCGTCCCAAACAAACAGAAGACAAGGAAACGTACTTAGGGGTTTTCCCCGTCTGAGAGCGTGTAACAGTCATGGTCACGTAAACATATGACAGTTAAGATGATATATGGACCATATATATTTGTAATTGGGAAGGAAAGGGGATGTGTTGAGGAGAGGGAAAGGCCAGCCAGAGAGAAATTAAGAGAAGGAGAGGAGAGAGAGAGTGTTTTGGCCACTGCAACGATTCCCCGGTTTTTTCGATTGTTATCCCTTCCATATTCGGCCAGAATGGGTGCCGCTTTTGGTTTGTCAGGTTTTAGCTTGGGTGGTCGGACGAGAGACTAGGGTGTGTTTTCAGTATTTACAGCCCTTGCAGGTGTAGATGAGACTCTTAATTATTGGATCCTAGAAAACCCCGGCGTATTCGTATGCCCTCTTTGTCGGGAGTACTACGTACCTAGGTACATGGTGAGGGTGTAAATAAATCACTCATAAAAGCAGCGGCATCAATGTTTTAGTTTCGAGGATCGATCGACCGCGCAGGATGAACTATAAATAGTGTGTAGTAGTAGGTACTTAAGTGGATATTCCTAATAAGAATATAGCTACAGATGTGTGTATATCCGTCAAATTCTGAAATAAAATCACTATATATTCTGTATATGTGTATGGTTCTTCAAGACACGCAAGTATATCGCCCGTCCCGACTCCTGTCCATATGCTACGCCCAAGAAAGAATACACTGTCTTGATCTCACCACTCGCGCTTGGGAAGGACGCATTCAGTTGTTAAACGACAGTTAAAAAGGTACAGAGATGGGGAAGGCAAAGAGATAATAGATGTAGAAAAAAAAAAAAAAATCGGGAAATCCTAAAACGACGGCCTTAAGCTCCCCTTTGAATATTAGTAGACATCAGCGTAATCTTCTTATTTTTCTTGCCCTTCTTCTTACTACTGGAGTTAGAAGAGGGACTATTTGCGTCAAGAGCAGTCTGCGCTATCAATTCGCGTTCCTGCTGAGCTAGTAACTCATCCTCCCATCCTTCGCGCCAGCCATCGCCTACGGCAGGAGGAAATTCCACACGAGATGATGCAGAGTAAGGTGTAACGGCGGCTGTTCCCCAGACCGTGCGACTTCCGGGAGGACTGGTCGAGGGACTAGTCAAGGGACCAAACTGAGCAGACGGTTGAGGGGGTGAGCTAGAAGTCCCGATTTCAAGATCTGGCAGGTCGAGAGCTGCAGACCCACTTGCCAATGGCTGGAAGTCGCGGTCAGAGAAGGGGGGATCACTGGCGTCCATGCTCAACCTCTTGCGGCGAGCTGCAGCCCAACGTTTCTCGTCTTCCTCTTTTTCCGCGCGAACTCGATTTTTTTCATCGCGCGCCTCTTTGTCCCTATTTCGCTTTCTTCTCTTCTCTATTTCGGTGCTGAATTGCTCCAAAATATCCGGCATAACAATGTCTCTCCAGTCGCATTCGAGAAAATTGACCTCACAGCCTTGTGGAAGATGGCTGAGATATTTCACGCGTTTGCGCAGCTCGTCGTCGACGATGTGACCGGTTGAAATATGTTCAACTCGGGGTAGGATGGTCGCTGGGAACAAGGAATAGTCGCCAAAGGCAGCCTTGAGGATGCGGATATCAAGAGACGAAAGGTAGAATTGAGGCAGGGCTTGATAAAAGTAGAATGGATAGTCAGGAGAATGGGAGGAATTTGCACCCTTTTTGCGGTCATGAGGCAGTGGATCTCGGCCTGGTCCAGAGTCTTTTTGCTTAGATTTGATGCCGTTTGTCGCACCCAAGCTGATGCTGCTGATCGCTTCCGTCGTTCGATCCAGCGCGGTGGACGTCCCTGACAACTGAGGAGACACTGCGGACGGGCTCTTTCCAGATTTCGTCGCGTGTTGTGATGTATACATCAGGGCAACGTCGTCTGGTGGCTGTTGTATGACGATCGGCTCCCGTGGTGAACGACTCGGATTAGGTTGCGATGAGACCTCTGGGGGATTTCCAATTCCTTCAATCTTCCGCTTAGCATCTTTGATAGCAGATATTGCCTTTTGGGTCCAGGTGTTCTCGGCTCCAAATAAAAGCTCATCTTCTTGTTCCTGTCTGCGGAGGTCTTCAATCTCAGAATCGTACTGAGAATTCATGTAATCCTCTCCTCCCTTCATGATGCGGGAATAATCCGAGACCTCCGCAACGTGGTACCATGGAATGTCCTCCTCAGGGGAAAGACTCTCGGCACCATCTCTGGGTAGCGCGAGAGTGCTGCGCGGTTCTCTTTTCATTAATCTTAAGACGACATCACCGCCCTCAAAAGGAAGGACTCCCTCCTGGCCACTGAACCACCTTACGGGTCGTGTTTCCGAGATATATATCGAGTCCCAGCAAATGGGGCACTTCTTCCACCGCGCTTTCTTCTCAGGGACTTGACTCTCCTCATCCGTGGATTGCATATAGCGGATTAGACACGGAAGGCAAAATATGTGGCCGCATCGGGCCATGCGCGGCGATACCGGCGTAGACAAGCAAATGGGGCAACTGGAGTCCTGGGTCTGGGCGGACACAAGCACTTGAAGGACTGAGTCCCAATCCAGATGGACATCTGCATTTGCCGCCTGGGCGTGATAAGCCTGATTTGGCGTCACAATAAAACGATAGTTAGCATGCACGTATCGGGCTTTATCCATCGCATGATATCCAGAACCAAGCCCCCATGAGGCATATCGACGAGTATTGCGCGGCGGGGGGTGATATTCCGGACGAGGAGGGAGGGAAAAGTTCATCAAATGGGTGATGGACGTCTGTCCCTTGCGACTTGTTGTTGACCTCATGATAGCCTGCATATATGTCAATTAGCCACCCCGATGATCTGAAGCTAATGCGGCATGCTGGATGGTCAAGCTGGGGCCACACCCACCGATTCAGCGAGATCATCATCTAATAATCGGGGACGCCTTTGTCGCTTATCCTGACTCTTTCGAGCTTGATTATTCCGAGGAGAACTGATATTCCTCGACACAAATCCTGCTCCAAAGCTCCCAGATCCCCCCACGCGTCGCTGGTAACCACTATCAACAGCCGGGGTTGAGTGGAATGACGAAGAGACAAGCTGATTCACGACGTTCACCGCCTTGGAAGAAGTTGGAGTCTGACCAGCATTGGACGACATTGCTCAGTGGAAGATAAAAGAACCTCCAGAGCTGCCGATATTCGACGAGGAGGCAGCGATTGGGGATGTAGCTAGGAAGAGGGGCAGAATCGGGATAACCGTGAAGCGGCGTCTCACGGGGGGGGGGGGGAAGTATGAATCACACCAGTTAAGAACGAATCACACAATGATTCATTAGAAAAGGGAACGAAAATGCAACAGATTGATTGCCACGAGGACCCCGAAGGGCATCACAGGGAGGGGAGAAGCACCAGGTCCTGATCCTCCTCCTGGCTCTCGAGGAAGCGAAAGAAGAGGAGAGAAAAGCGAGTGAGGGGCGAGTTTCCATAGGAAGTTATGTCATGTCTTGGCACGATTTTAGTTGGGAGCCTCAGGCATCGCCAGACCGCCCAAAAAAAAAAAACATCATTTCGTCCTCAGCTGGAAAACGAGAGAGAGTAAGAAAGACAGACAGACGCTCCTGTCTTGCTTCTTATCGTCTACTTGAGACGGATTGTTCCTCTAGCATCGTTTTCTGTCTGTTTTTCCCCCCCTGCTAGTGATTAATCCTCTAGACTCCGGTTCGTATTCCTCTTCTGTCTTTGCTTCGTCCCCGTTCCCTTAACTGGGTCCTCTCCGTCGGTGCCTTTTTTTTCCATTGCGCAGTTCCCCGTCGCTAACTCCCAGTGTCGTTTCCCAGGGCCTCCCCACGCCTTCGGTATCATATTACACTACCACCTTCACGCTTCATCCTCTATACTTTCCGGCCTTGAAGGGATAATGGCCGTCTAGAAGGTCTCACTGGTCCTTCTCAACTTTTTCCCTTTCGCACTCAGAACCTCGTATGGCTCCCATTGAGGCAACGCGTGGCTGAAATAGTCAAGGCGACTCTCCAACGTGCCTGGACATGATGAACCATCATCTGCCCGCAATGCCCCATGGGCAGCCACCCATGCCTTCTCCGCGGCGGCAACAGGATATTCCATACTCGACAGGTCCCCCAAATATGCGATCGCCTCCCGCGTACATGGGTTACCACCCTCAGATGAATCAGATGAATGGTCACCCCCCTCCGGCCGCCTATTCTCCACAGCAATACCCTCAGTGGTATGGCCCATATCCTCCGATGCAGATGCCTCCACGCCCTTACCCAAACCCATATGCACCGACATTCATCTCTTCCTACCCCCCTGCGCAGCCGCTGATGGCTCCAGTTCATATGCACCCCCAACCACACCCCATGCAGCCGAGAGCGTCAACTCCTTTCCAAAATGCCATGCCCTCCCCCGTGGTACCGGCTCCTGTCTCCATACAACCCCAATCTCAATCTCCTGCAGTCGTCCCGATACACCCGACGCCTAGTCCAGCTATGCCCTCGTCTCCTGGTCCGGTACCAGCAGCTACCCCCCCTCCCGCAAAGGAGCCGTTTCGCGCTCCGGTAGGATGATTTGCCCTTGCCTATTCATGATAACATAATGACTGACTTGTGTACAGTTGCCTTGGCTCTCCGTTCCCGACCGTCCTTTCCCAGCCAGAGCCCCACGTAGACGATGGAGGAGCCGCATTCTGCAGGCTTCTTCTGTCGCTGTAGAGCTCCCGACAAAGGAGGTGCAGCGGACTCAGGAGACCCGAGAACCGGGGAATACTACCAAGGGCCTTGAACCCCAAGCACAAACCCCGTCTGAGCCGCAAACTCCAACTCTATCAGTCGCTCCGTCCACTGCTGACTCGACACAACCCACCACTCCTTCCTCGGCCGTGCAAAACCCATCTACCCGTCCCCAATCACTTCCCAAAGGATCGAAATCTACCACTATCCCTGTCGTTCCGGTTGTCCCTGTTGTTCCCGGTCCGGGCACCCCTCGTCAAGCAACAAAAGACGATGCTAGCCGCGCCTCGGAAACGCCAAAGTCTGCTGCCAATGTGGCTAGCGCTACACCAGCGAATGGAGCAACTCCAGAGCCAGAGGAAACAGAGAAGGTCGCCTCACCTGTCCGTGCGGCACCCAAATCCTGGGCAGACTTGGTTCGCTCCAAGGGTGCGGCACGTGCCTCAGGTGCTCAAGGTACATCTCCGGATGTTCTCAACGGCGTCCTCCAACACCAGAGCAAGTCTGTTGCAGACGTTTTGTTGAGTCTGGGAGAAGATGTCTCCCAGTACAGTGACAAAGTAGCTTTTCTTGAACCCAGGGGTCTTGTGAATACCGGGAATATGTGCTATATGAACTCGGTACGTCTTCATCGAGCCCAGCCATGCTCGGTTATTTTTCTAACCCGACTACAATAGGTTCTTCAAATTTTAGTCTCATGTGTGCCATTTTATCAGTTTTTGGATCATATCGGAAAGAGTGCATCGCACAGCTTTCAGAGCGACTTCCCAATGATTGATGCATTGTGAGTGATCCACATTTAGCATTTTGGCACCAAATATTAATACTTCACCAGGATCATGTTCATGAAAGAATTCCGTGTGATTGATGCCGCTCACAATGAAGACCAGTTACGATTGAGACTGAAGCCTACCGAGCTGGAGGAGTATGGAGAAGCTTTCATTCCCGAGTTCGTTTATCAGGTCATTCGCCAATTGCCCCGATTTAGGGATATGCGAGTAAGTTTTGTGGCCCAGCTTCTACTTTCCTGCACTAACCCATCCGATCCAGCGCGGTCATCAGCAAGATGCCCAAGAGTTTTTGGGCTTCCTTCTCGAAGAAATGCACGAGGAATGTGCCCGCGCCGGAAAGGATTCTCCTGCGCCGCATTTCCCTGGTTCATCAGAGGACGCTGATTCCACTGCTGCTGCTACCAACGGCGAAAACGCGGATGGTTGGATGGAAGTCGGACATAAGCAGAAAGCTGCCGTCACTCGATCATCGGGCCATCTTGCCTCGGAATCTCCAATCACCAAGATCTTTGGCGGTAAGATTCGGTCTGAGTTCCGTGTGCCGGGCAATAAGGCCTCCGTGACTCTGGAACCATACCAACCTCTGCAGCTTGATATCGGTTCTCCCGATATTAACAATATTGTGGATGCACTCAAAGGCCTAACGAAGCCGGAAAGCATTCAAGGAGACTTTAACTCCGCACGTGGCCCCAATGTCACTGCTACAAAGCAAATATTCATTGAAAGTCTGCCGCCTGTCTTGATCCTCCATCTGAAGCGGTTCCAGTACGATAGTGTGACCAGAGGCACCCAGAAGATTTGGAAGAAGATTGGATATCCTCTCGATCTGGAGATTCCTCGGGAGGTATTTCCGCCCCATCGTCGCAATGTCATGATGGCTCAAGGCGGCCTACCCAAATACCGGCTCATTGGTGTCATCTACCATCACGGTAAGAACGCCGGTGGCGGCCATTATACAGTGGATGTCCGTCGCCAAGATGGTCGTGAATGGATTCGCATTGATGATACAGCCATCCGTCGTGTTAGGAGCGAAGATGTCGCAGAGGCTGGAGGCGAAGAGGATCCCAAGGTCCTGGCCGCAGCGCTAGAGCAGCATAAGCGCGACAAAGAGCCCAACGCTAATATCTACGACCATATCGATCAAGACGACTTCGAAAATGTGGACGATGGGCGAGGCTGGAGTCAAGTTAACGGTACCGGCTCGGGTGGTCATTCAAGCAAGAAGTCCACCTCTACCCCCATTAATGGTGTTCCGGCCCAGTCTGGGACATCCTCGGGGGTTCGCACTCCACTTGGAAGATATGGATCTCGCGACAACAAGGTGGCATACTTGTTGTTTTACGAACGCATCCCATGATTTCTTTCACCAAAGCACTAGGGCTACCGCGGTTCAACACTGCAAATGGTGCTCCGTATGTGTATACGCAAGGAAAGGCATCGGAGGCATGGACTGGACATAACGCCAACTTTTAGTCTCCGAATTTTCACCTTCACCCTACGCTGTGTGTTGATTCCAATAGCTCTCGATATATCCTCGACTTTACCATGAGCTTGTGTGCCGATGTCTCTACTAGTTACCGATTCTAGAGCCCGAACGGAACCCTCATACGTGATCCTGAGGTAGCTTCTTTTCCATTTGAACGAATCTACTTGCCCCTGATTTAATCTCATTTCTGCCCCCATTTTTATTTTACTCTGTTTCTTTCACCTCATTCCCGCTCCATCCACGATTTGTTTTCGCGGCAATATAGTTTTTGCATTTCTTTTATTCGTCCCATTGTTTTCCTTTTTCCTTTTTTTTTTTTTTTTTGTTTTCTCTCCTTGCTTGATTGATTTGCTTGTTCATTTTTCTTTTGATCTTGTGTTTGTGATGCCGTATCTGGTGGGATGTCGCTCTGATATATACCCCAAATTTCCTCGCATAGCCCTTTGGTTTACCTCGCGGACGGACACAGATGGGGTTTTGCTCTGTGGCATGGACGGGATTGTAACGACTGCATGAATTTCTTTTTCATAGACGTGTATCAAGCGGTGGGTTGCTGTTGCTGCTGCTGTTGAGTCTATACTACTTGCTGCTGCTCGGGCTAGCAACCGATGCATGGATGTGGCTTGTCGGTTGAGGGGAAGGAAGAAGACAAGTGACCTGACTTGACTAGGTGAGGCGATGGCAAAAAGAAGGAAGAAAAGAAGGAAGATTAGATTGTGGTCGTCTATCTATTATGAACTGGACTGGCTGGAAGGACTCGCAGTTGGGACGAAGTGAACGATTCATTTCCTAACTTTTCTCTCTCTCTCTCTCTCTCTCTATTTCTTTTATTATTATTAACCTTTTCTCTTACATCTTTTTTTGTTACTCTATATTAATGATGAAGGCATGTGATGGGGGAGAGCTGGGGAGACAATAAGTGCAGCAGATGAGGAAAAGGAGGAGAAAGAAGAAGAGAAGGAATGGATTATTAAGGGGTACAAAAAGCGTGTGTGTTTTAGGAAAATCTAAAAATTCAAATCAATTGAAATAATAACTAGTTAACTAGTTAATACCTGCCATTGTTTGTAATAGCCCTACTGGCGACAAGAATAGATAGAGAGTAACTATTGTCAGTGCAAAGTAGAGATTGTTCAATTCATGACCTATGGTATGTACTGTACACACAGCTACGTGCTTCATACCTAGCCAGATATATAAATCGATGATATATGCGTGCGTGCGCTCTTCTATTTATGAATAGCATAGGCATAGTCATGATCTCATTCCACATAAGAATTATGTGCATCCCCATCCTCTTCAACTACTTACGATTCTTCATATACATAGGTGAGACACCTATCGGTCCAGTCGTCCCTTCGACTCGCCTGCTTTACAAAGCTTGCCCCGGGAACCATGGCTAAGGTGGAGTGTTACTACCCGACTCCATATCACTAGGCCCACCTCTCAGGACCAAATTGACCGGCCGTTCCGGTTCGTCATCATTCCCCACACCTAGACGTCGCGGCTCAGTGGACGGAGACTGAGTGCGGATAACAGTGCGCCCGATCTGGAAGATGGTCTTCTGCGGGGGGGCTCGCGTGGTCCCGGTATCGGATTTGCGGCCGCGGTGGTTAGCAGCGCCTGAGTCGCGGGTTGCAGTGCTGTGGGTGTTGTGGACGTTGGCGATAGGGACGGGGTCGGGTTCGACGGCGGTCGTAGTTGTTATGCTGATTGCGTTGGAGATTGTGCGAGGAATATGGTATCCTGCCTTTGCGAAGGGGATCGAGAGCCCATGGACGACCTGTGTAGCATTGTTAATTGGTTGTTATGGAGACGGTTTGAAGGGATACCTAATGGTACGTACAACACTGCAGATTACTAGGAACCAGACTATCACGTTGACTGCATCAGAGATGCGCTGAGCGTCCGCGCGGACCTCACCGTCGACGGTGATTGTGCGTAGATACTCGCGGCAGACGGTAAGGTAGAAGACTGCACCGACACCGATGGGCCCGAAGAAGCCGACGAAGGCGGTTTGGAACATGTTCTCGATCTGATCGATATGCCTGTGCATTGCAAAGACGACTGGCATGCGACGCACCAAGAGGATTAGGATCCCCAGGAAGACTAAGCGATAGAGAGGGATGATGTCGTTGTTCGAGAATGACGGCCAAGGGCACACAGCACCGAGCCACATGAACACAGCCAAGTTGAGCAGCATATCGATAGTTGGTTGTAGCGAATCGTCCATTGTTTCAAGACGAAACCAGTCGCTTGATTTTAGGTTAGCTTGCTGGTCATCAAAATATGAGCATACGAGGGCTTACTCTTGTGTGAACACATTTCCAGCCACAAAGCAGGCCAGCAAGTCATCGGTTCCAATCATTCCACAAGTTCCTACTATAAAAAGCTGGGAAATAGTTAGATATGGCTCGTGCAACCTGTTTTTGTTTGGGAACATACCGCAAGTGCAATGGCAAAAACCAAGAAACTCTCCCTGTCCACATAGTGCTTCTCCTCAGCCCAGTGAAGCAATTCCCTCGAAATCCAACCTACAGTCACGCCGTAGCCCACGCTCAAGAAAATTGTATAGGCCCAAGTTTCATAGAACCACAAGCCCAGGGCTTTCCCCGCCCCCCCACTGAATCCTTCACCCCCCATGCCAGTGTACTGGAGGAGGTAGAGGGCAAAGAAAAGGAAGGGATAGCCAAGGCCGTCGTTGGCACCGGATTCTGCAACAATAATCCGCTGCAGTGGCCGCGGGACGTTTTCGTCTGCAAACTTTCCTTTGACGATCGAGTTCGAGAGCACAGGATCCGTGGGTGTGACACAGGCACCGACAATAAGCGCGTAGAGGAATGAAAAGTTGGGAACGAGAGCCCAGATCACTAGAGCACTACACATCCACATCGCGGCCATTCCAGGCCCTAGAAGTAGAGCAAGACTCTTCCATTCGATCTGCAGATAACGTTTGGGTAGCTGGACACCAGCAAGAACAAGCTGGACCCCAAGGACAAGTCTAGTGAAACACATGGTAATCTCTTCGAGATTTTCCTCTGTACGGAGTGCATAGTCAAGCGGTCGGATGAAATTGGCGGCGTGCGGAGAGAAAACGACACCGGCCAGCAACGAGATCACTGTATTATATTAGTCCTTGACGGTTCAACTTTCAGGGACACATCATATAGCACGAACATGCTTCAGAGAGGTAAAATCGTTCTTTTAACAGATACGAGACTAGTCCGAAGATGGAGATGAAGCCACCTAAGGTCGCACAAACGATGTTGAAGTTGATCAAAGATAAGGTTGGCATAGCTGCTAAGTTGACTTGGTTATGCCTCGGAGTTGGATGGAATGCAAGGGGGAGCTGGGTGACACAACGTCTCCACAGGAAATATAGACTCTTGAGGCTGATTGATTCTTGGAGCTGCCGTTCTTTGTAAATACCTAATGTTGAATTGTGTATTTACTACACGATTAGGTGGAGATGGTAACACGTCGGGTTATTCAACCATATTAGAAACAGGAAGAATCAATTGTCGGAGAATCAGGCTTTGCCTCATCTGATGGACCTGTCCGATCTCTCTTGTGAAATGAAACAAATCGAATGAATGGGCTGTTATTGTTGAGACCCCTCTTGCGACAGTTGCTGCGGACCTTTTGCTGTAGCTGGTGGCGGTGGAAGGAAGATAAATGCGACCGTGGAGCAATATCCTGCACGAGGCACTGTAAACGGGTTGGAAAGATTCCCCGGAATGCTCAAGGACTGAGACGATAGACAGATTGAAGTCTTGACGAGAGAATGAATTGCAAAGAAGGAAGCCGAAAATATCAAGTGGGCTGGGGTTGCCTTCCGATAGCGTCCAGCCAGTCCGAATTGGGAAGAATCACGTTTTCCCCACGCCAGCTTTACAGAATCCAATGGCGAGAGTGATTAACTACCACAACATAAGTTGCTACACGTTCTCGAGTAGAATATGTTCTGTCAGGGCTCTATTGGCTTCTGTTTTAGTATGCTATCGGCATATCGCAATGTGTTTGTATGCCCATTATACTCATCTCCAGTGTCGGATGAGCAAGGGAAGAAGAAGAAAAAGTAGAGAGATGGAGAGAAAAAAAAAAGAGAGAGAGAGAGAGAGAGAGAGACTAGAAATACGGGTCAAATAGCTCCTCTGGAATATCTCTAGTCGTCTCCGCCGCTGCTTTCTTTTCTGATACCCCCCGTTGTGCCCCATTCACCGCTAGACGGTCGGCTGCTTCATTGCCAGGATCTGAACTGTGGCCCTTGACCCACTCAAACAAGGTCTTGACCTGAAGCTCGTTTCGTTCCTCGATTTTGCTGAGGATGGATTCTACTAGATCCTTGTTCTCAACGGGCTTGTTGTCCGCTGTCATCCAAGAGTTGCGTCGCCATTTGACAAACCACACGGTAACGCAGTTGATTGCATACTGGCTGTCAGTAAATATTGTCACATCTCGATGTCGCGGGGCAATATCAAGAGCGCGTAGGATGGCAGTGAGTTCAGCTCGCTGGTTCGTTTGACGGCTACCTTTCAAAGGCTCTGAAACATTCCTGCTGGGAAGTTAGGCGTCAGTCGAATATTCCCGATCATCATCCTCACTAGATCTATGCGAAATAAAATCAAATAGAAAAAGGTCGACCAACCGTGAATCCCCAGGTCCAAAATATACCCCTACTCCTGCAGAGGCATGTGCTTTTCCATTCTTCAACGAGCTGCCGTCAGTATAAATACGCAGCATTCCCGGTGGTGCTTTAGGGCGTGTCTTTGTTGCTGTCTTTTGTGCGTTTGTTTTTTGTACTATTTTTCCAGTTGCAGGATCTAGAAGGATATTCGGGTCAAACCCATCCTCCGCGCCAGGGGGTAGATGTCCTTCACCCGGGTTAAAAGGAACGCCTTCCTCTTCCTTCGTAGTTTCAGTAATCATTCCTGGAACTCCAGGGGGCTTTGATTCTGCAGATGCGCTTCCGAGAACGGGAGTTTCGCGTCCAAGTCTCACAAATTCCTCTGCTTCTTCTCTTGTAGAGAATTTTTTGTAACGGGGTCGCGCAAAGCCTTTGATCTGCTCCTGGGCATGGGCCCAGTTGGTATATACCCCTGGGGTGCGTCCACGTTGAACTGCGTAAAATCGCGTCGGCTCCGCATGCAGGGGAGAACTACCCCGCGGGGTGGGAGGTTTGGCACCGGTTAGGAAGGCGTTCGCTTCTTCAAGGCTATAAAAAGCTTGGACTAGAGATTACTGTCAAAAAAAGATCTCTACATGGGATCCTTTTTTTTTTTTTTTTAAGGGCACTCACACACGGCGCCTTTGTATCCCGTCACCTGGGCCAAGCACTCTTTCCATTCGTAGTAGACTCCCGGTTGGTAGCCCGATTTGACAGCATAGTATTTACCCGCTGACCCTCGCTTTCGTTTTGTGCCTGCTGTCGGAGCAGGTGGAGACTTGGAGGGTTTTGTAGCGGGACCCGGTGTCGGAGAAGGAGTGGTTTCATTCATGACGTTATATACCCGGTTGGAGATGGACGGCGGGGATGCGGTCGTCGCGTAAGAGGAAGGAGGGATATCGAGGTCGAAATAAAGAATTCTCGGGAATGACAAGCTGTGGGGATCGGGAGAGAAGCTCTGGCTGACTTTGAATCGAGGGATGGAAAGTCTCGGCCTGCAGCAGCTCAAAATGGAGCCCCTGGGTCCCAGGTGCGGAGCTGCCAGGCGAAACCAACAAGGATGCGTGGTGAAGAAAGTGGCTAGGTGGGTTATAGTGATGAGGAAGTGACAAATTACGGACGATTCTGAGGGAAAAAGGAGCGCTGAGGAGGTGATTGAAAGGGGAGAGAAGTGAAGGAGGTAGAAGAAGAAGCTAGAGAGAGAAATTTGTTGGATGGGACAGAAGGGAAGGGAAGGGGGGGTTGTGGTGCTGATCGTTGTTAGACCAGCGGGTGGGGGAAAAGACGGTCTGTAGCACAACTAAACAAGAAGATCGATCTGTTTTCTTGTGTCGATTTAGATTCATTTGGTATGGAATTCAATTGATTGAGGGGAGTATTCTCTTGTAAATATTCCAGGCTGTGGGTTGGATCTGGTACTCTATCTTCTTCCTGGGATAAATGGTACATACTGACATTGACCCCTCTTTGTTTCCCCTCTTTCTCCTATACAACATTCTTGGAATTCTGAGATTTTCTCCCAAATTTCTACGTATTAGGCCTTAAAGAATGGACCTATCCTGGAAAATGGTCTAATTTCCACAGCGTTTCGAATACCTAGGTACGTTTGACTACTTCCTACATTGGTTGTGCTGCGGTAGAAAGTTAGAGTAGGTGATGCTGAGCCTCCAAACACCGGAATGCGCGCTGATACATGGAAACAGAAGAGCATTGTGTCGAAGATTTCTTCTAGTCGCAAGATCCTCTCTTCTGGCTGACTTCCATCGACAATACCTTTACAGTGGTGGCGGCAAACCAACAAAGCATTCAATATACCAGGGGTTGCTCAGTGACAGCCATGGGTGGATTCACAAGCTTTATGTGAAAAGAATGGATATAAAAGGCCATAATAATAGTGGCCAAGTTGGATAATTTCCTCTTGTTTTCTTTTGCTCTACTGACCTGGGGGTTATAGGCTCTGGATACACGTATCAACCCTAATGTTTATACTGCATTCCGCATGTCTTGACAATGACTCTAGAGACCAATAATTGCTATAGACAAGATACGGCTCGAGAAACTCTGATCCTGAATTAGAGATAGTGGCATTTATCTCCACATTTCGACTATGGGGGCTCTCCTCAACTCTCTGCTTGAAATGTGTAAGCGGGATAGGGGCTGCACTGTTTCTACTCACATCTGAGTGGCATATCGAGCTACTCTGATACTAATGATAGCTTGGAGGATAGCTGAAGATGAGGAATATCTTGAATTTTGAATGAAGCTTGCCGCAGATGCATTGGAGCTATGCTGCACTATTTTGATAGGGAGTTTACTTACACATCTTACTGGAATTGAATGCTCAAATGACGGTTCATCTGTTGTAGAATATTTAACAGGGTACTATTATCATGGTCTTTGTAAAATTCTTTATAAATTGCAAACAAGAAATGTGATTTTTGTCACTGCTTGACTAACCTTGAGCCCTAATTTTCGCATTCGTCTAACTCTTGCGCATATAAGTATAGGAAACGTGACTCTTGTATTTATCCTATATCACAACACACTGCATCTTCCCATTCACAATGTAACTATTTTAAAACATTTTGGTGTTTCTTTAAAACTCCCAAGATATCCCATCCCACCCGTCTCCAGCTAGTAAGCCACCCCCCAATTCAGTCTTGTATCTTGAGTCAGTCATTTTATATCCCACCTGTTTTAAGACAACAAGAAAAGAAAAAAAAAAAAAAGATAACTAACACACACACACACACACACACACAAGACCACCATGGCTTCGGATTCCAATGGTGTATTCAGCACCAGACCCCGTACCTCCAACGATAATGTCCCAACCACGAACATAAGCCTCGCCTCACTGCGCAGCATCGTCCCCCCCAACCGCCCTCCCACAGACCTTGATGCCGAGCTCTGCGTTGCCTGCATGCTCGACGACCGTCCCCGCGTCCAGGATCTCCTCTCTAGAGGCGCAGACCCGTTCTTCGTCACCGAATCTGGAAGCTCCGCGCTCGATCTCGCTGACACGATGAGCCGCATCGAACTCATCAAGGATCTCCTCCAGAGCCTGGACCTTGAAACTGCCGGGCTTCCGGTCCTCCTGAAGGCCTTCCATGCCGGCAGGTCTAGTATTGTCCGTGCTCTTTTGGAATTGGGTATGAAGGACCACCTTGGCGACGAGATCTTCTATGCTGGCATTTTTGGCGTGGCTTGTTGCACCAGTACTCCGTTCGTCCTTGAGACGTTGTACATATACGGTCCCGAAATCGACCTTGCGGTTTACGAGGAGATCTTTATCCACATTGCGATGCTGACTGGGAAGATGGAGAATGCAAGAATGGTCGTCGAGCTTGCGAGAGCCGGGGCGAGGGCTTTGGATGTGCAGGCGGAGTCTCAGTATCGGGTTGGTTTCCTTTTCTTCCCCCCCCCCCTGTCGTTTCGTTTTATTCTTGGTTTCTTTCTTTGTAGGAAACGGTTCTGACTGGTGGCGTTTAGGGTTCTTGGGGAGTCGATAGACCCGTTTACCAGCATGTTCGCACTCCGGCTCCGTCTCCGTCGTATAGTCCCGTCATGTTTACCGATTTTGTGCATGACTCTGGGTCTGAGTTTGAATTCGAAATTCCTCATTAGTTTCGGCATTGTGTCGATCTGTCTAATATTGGGAGGAAGAGGATGATGACGACGATGACGCTTGGGTGAAAATACTTGATCTGCTTCATGTACATACACCAAGTGAAGATTGAAAGGCATGACTGAGTTGGAATTTCCAGTGCTTTCAAGCATGAGTTATGGTGGAATTGTGGAAAGGCTTGGTGGAATTCTTGAATTTATTATAAAAAAACCAAAAAAAAAAGGAAAGAAGTTTGAGAATCTGACCCCGCCTCGTCTTTTTATATTGTACTTTTTTTACAACTATGTAATGTCTCCCGAGAAGATGACAATCTCTCTCTCCATCTTGAAAAAAAAAGCTTTAAAACAACAACATAAACCCCTTTCCACGAACAGGCTACCGGATGAACTCCTCTCGATCAAAGGCTAACCAGATCTCAACGCTCGCAAATCCTGTCTTATACGAGTATCTACTGTTCATATCACGATCTATCTGTAAACCAAGATTCACCCCCGACGAGGCTCGCAAAGCTCAATAAAGCCAAAGGTAATGGAACACTCTCGTCTCGCTTGGTATGCCGTGTCTCAACGTCCGTCGGGGTTGGCTGTAATGGTTTCATCTCCGTAGCGAATAAAAATACTACAGCCTCTCCCCAAAGTCGGAGAATTAGATGAAGCTGGGATCTCTAGTAGTTAGATGTTAGTGACGCTAATTTGCACAGATATGTTTGAACGGACCAGTAAACACGGCAAATTTCCTGGGAAGGGATCGCTTCGTCGGTAGTCTGCATTGGAGATCTATATGTATAGTCAATGTCCATAACCTTTGGATTAGAACCTGTAGTGACTCACCCAAACCAAATCCCAGGTGCCATGGCTCGTTTCTATTCCATCGGACGGCAGGCTATCCACAATGTCTTTCAAGGATTTGAAATACAGAGTAGTTGGCAGGCACTCGAGGTCGGCCCAGCTGGCAATCGGTAGGTGTAGTCCTAGTGAATTTTCAACCACACCTACATACCGTGTAGAGACTTCCTCGATGTCCACGTAACCATAATTCTGTCAAGGATAAGCTTATGATACTTTCCAATTTGTTCCTGATCAATGGTAACGAGTTACTTTACCTCTAATTAGGAGAAAATACTGCTGACATCATACCCTCCAATGCCCCTCATATCGACGCTAATTCCAAAACGGACGCCGACTTTTGACCAATTCATCGTGTTGAGAAAGACTGGGATATTGTAGAATTCTAACAAACTTCAAAGGCTCTGTCAACAGTTGTTTATCATGGAAAACAAGGAGGTTACTGGCGCTGTTACGGAAGAGGTATCCAGAAGCATCTATCCTTGCTCTTCTCTCACCCAGTTGAGCGGAGGAACGGCCAACTTTGTCTATCGTGGTGTTCTGCTAAAAGCCCTCCACGACGGCACAACCACTATCATAGTGAAGCATGCAGAGGATTATGTGGCCTCTAATCGGGATTTCAAGCTTACTGCTGAGCGATGTGTAATCCGTCCTTTTTCGTGAAATTCTTTTGAAACGCAATATGAAGTTACTGACTCTTACTTTTGTTCTTAGCGAGTAGAAGAGTCAGCCCTCACAGCCGTCAACAGACTGGCCAGTATCAGTACGAATAATGGGGAGCACGAAGGACAGAGGTATCAAATTACTGTCAGAACCCCGCGGATCTTTCATTTCAACTCCCAAACCAATACTCAGATCATGGAAGACCTTCCGGATGCTTTGGATCTGAAAACATTCCTGATATCTCAGAGCGGGTCTCAAACGATTCCTCGTGAATGGGCTTTATCCGTTGGCCGTACCTTGGGAATTTGGCTTCGATCATTCCACTCCTGGTCCTCACTTCCCGAACAGGCAGAAGTCGCTGCTGAATTTGACAAAAACAAGTTTATGAAGGATTTGAAGTTCTCCATTAATTACAATAACCTTATCAATATGATTGGGACATATCCAGAGCTTCTGGAGGAGAGTCGACCGATATTGGAGAAGGTCCGAGAGATGGCTGCAGAAGAACTGGGTAAGACAGGAGGAGGCCCGGCGCTTTTTGGGCCGATTCATGGTGACTTTTGGTCCGGAAAGTACGTACTTTGTCTTCCCGGAGTTTTGTTTCTGCTTGGGGTTTCTATATTCTGAGATTTCTTATTTACAATCGGCAGTGTTTTGATTCCCCAGACGGCACTCGACCAACCATCACCAACCACTCATCTTTTCATCATTGACTGGGAATTAGCTCAATGCGGGAACCGCGGCCTCGACTTGGGTCAGATGATTGCTGAGCTCTATATGCTGAAACACTTCAAAGACATTGATGCCGGTTTGTGGGCTATCGAAGGCCTTGCCGGAGGGTATCAGGATATCAGTGATGACCTTGCCTTTCGGACACTAATCCATGTCGGTGTACACCTTATCTGCTGGGGAAGCACTATTGCTGGATGGGGGACAAAAGACCAAATCCGCGCAGTGATTTGTATCGGCAGGGATCTTATTACGAAAGCCTGGGAGAGGGATCGAACCTGGTTTGAAGAAAGGGTTTGGAAATGCATGTTTAGTATTTAGGGCTCGCTCATTGTCGCACGCGGGGAGAAGATAATACCCAATTCGGGCACGATTTTGCTCTTGCTCGCCATATTCGAGTTCAAGGACATATAAGAGAGAATGTGCATCTGTAGTAATGCTAGAGAATTATCCTGTCCTGGCTCCTTATTATTATCCTCCTCTTCTTCACCCTAATAGCTGATATAGATTCTTAGCAAGCTAGATAATGTATATCCCTCTAAAATCAACCTTACTATCTCAAACCCCTTCTTATTACCGGCCTATTACTAGAATACTTGGGCTTTCTTCCCGCCCTCCTGGATCCCCTACGCCGAACTCATGCGACTGGACCGCCCAACGGGCTTCTACGCCTTCTACTGGCACTACGCAATTGGCCTAGCTTTTTGCAGCATGCATTTCATCGTCGCCTCCTCCTACCTCAACGCTCATCTTCCTTGCAGCTCACCTAGCCGTCCGTCTGGGTAATTGTCTTGCGCGGAGCCACCTGCACCTGGAATGACAATTTAGACCAAGCCTACGACCGCAAGGTAGCACGAATCGCGGCTTCGACCAATTGCTCGAGGCGCCGTCAGCACTCCAGCAGGGCATCTTTTTTCGCATTGGTCCAAATCATGCTTGGAGCTATTCTTGTCACCCCCTTACCCGTGTGCAGTAGTGTCTCGTCCACGCCGCAGTAATCACCGCCATCCATCCTGATGGTTTACCCGCTTGGGAAACGATTCACGGATTTCCCGCAGGTTATTTCTTGGGGGTTGGGTTTGCGATGCCTGTGTTTATGTGCTTGCTGCAGTATTGTCGGGGGCTGTAGGGCCTTCGTTGCTTGAACTAACTACTATTCGAGTGGGATGTCTACAGATGCGGACTCCGACTCGCATATCGAGACTGGCGCGGGTGCGGATGCGAATTTCGCACCGTGCATTCTAGCGGGGAAGCTCTGTATCTTCATGGCTTGCATGCTGTGGAGGACGACGTGAAAGCTGGCGTCAGATCGCTCGCCGTACGCTTGGGCGAGCATGCGAAACTTGCTCTCTCGGCTCTGGCTGTGGCTCAGGTTGGTTCCGCTGGACAAGCCAGAGAGTTGTGCTTGGTGGTTTGGTCCTGGGTCTCAGCTGGTGGGTGTGAGTTTGGTTGCTGGGCTTTGGGGGGAATTAAAAGACGGATCGATCTTTTCGCCTACAGTATCCGAAGTTGGTTTACACCCATCTCTTCCCACCTAGTTCACTAACTAAATAGCTAGACAATTGGTAAGTGAAAAGAGACCAATGTCGCAGAAATGATTATTGTGACAACAATTCTACCAGAAGTCAGATTTCAATGAATCCCTATAGACGAAAGCCGCAAAATTACGAGTCGTTTCGCTATATATCTGCAGAAGTATGAAATTAAGCACATACTACCACACCGAAACCTCAGTAACTTTGATTTTGTGCGAGATCGGCGCGCGGCCATTCCTCGTTACTTTTCTGAATGGCCCTTAATCCTGTAGCCTTTCGGGTTAAGCATACTCTGAAGCTTCAATGTCCCCGTCAAGCAATGATCTAATACGACAATAAAGAATCCATTCATGAAAGAGACTGTAACCCTCGAAGATATCCATCTAGATAGTGCTCGGCTCGTTCGTCTTTGAACTTGAGAAGTCGGTCCACACCATACAGTAACATCCCAATCGCCTTTTGAGACTCTAGTTGCTCTTTTGTTATTCCTTCAAATCCTTGCGCAGCAAGATGAGCTAGAACCCGATTATAAAACGCTGTCTCTAGTTCCTGTCGGTCTTCTGTGTCTTGCCAACCTCTTGGGGTCATGAACCCGAAGAGGCTATCCATAAAATGGAAATTCGACCCAACTGGGAGATAAAGAGCCCCATCCCAGTCTAGTACAGCCTGCACCCGACCCGTAGAGTCGTCGATCAGGTAATTGAAAGGGGCAAGATCCTGGTGGGTAAGGGTGACCGGGAGGGTAGTAAGATTGGGGAGCTGTAGTAAGAGCTTGCGGATGCAAGCAAAAATTTTGTTTCTGAGGGTTGCATGTCGAAAACTGTAATTATTGACCGTATGTTGGATTCTCTCCAGGGTAGAAGTGAGGTCGGATAGAGCACTGTCAACTCTAGCAGTGTTCGTTCTGGCTCCTCTAGTGACGAGGTCTGCAAGGTCCATGACGGTCGCCCTCTTCTTCGGAAGAGGCAGGTGAAAATCCTCGGAAGACATCAAGACACTGATATAAGGTGTCCCTTCTGCAAAAGGCGATGTATACACAAAGAGCCCTTCATACATGCCCTGGTATGTTACCAGAGGTACAATAGATCCATGAATGTGGCTAGCTTCGGTGACTCCGAAAAGGTCTTGCTTGTCGCTTCGGAACTGGACGGCAATGCGATGATTGGCGTCCGTGAAATGAGTATGTAATATGATGGTATAGCTCATGCTTCCCTGGAAAGCGCTGGGTTGGATATCTACCTTGCCGGGAGTGTTGGGATGAAGAATTGGGGCAATGTGGTGCAAGGCGAACCGGTGACATGATTCTTGGGAGAGATTTGGCAGTGATTCGAAGAATTGAGCCACGACGAGGCTCTGGTAATCGTCCATGATAAGAGTCCACTAGGGATGGACGCGGCTATACTGCCCCTATTTAAAGACAGGAACGACATATTGAACGCATCCAAACCAAAACATTGGGGTTCAAACTTCAGGTCGAGACCTCGCCAGGGGTTCATTGGGATCATTATTCATCCGACGATCACGAGATCTCAGGTTCCAATTTATAGCTACAAGGCCCCGCCATTACAAACTGAGGCAGAGAGAATATTCACAACGGTTATATATTTCCTAAATAGCATTCATCTAGTAAACCTGTATAGCCCCTTGACTCCAGAACTCCCCTTCGTCCTGTTTGGATCAAGAGTTTGGCGGATTGGCCACTCTATTTTGGGACCGGGTACTATATCCCCGGCAGACGGACAGGGCGGTAAAAGCAGCCAGGGTCAACGCTAAACCCGAATGGGGTCCAGGGTGCGGGCGCCATGCCCGAAGCGGCAGGGGGGATGCGGGATGCGGAATCGGGCAGGCGGTGGGACGGGCGCCGTTTCCGGCCCCCCGCTCACGGTGTCAACTAAAAAAAATACTACTTCAACAAACTGGAAGAAGACAACCTCAAGCCAGTTCCCGAATCGATCATTCCTGACCTACGTGTTGTCCCTAATGTAGGCTACGCAGAAAGCAAGTATCTCTCCGAGCGACTCATCGCCCACGCCGCACAGAAATTCAGTCCTCGACAGCTCTAGTTCAGACCACCCCGAACCAAAGAAGCCCGCGACTGGTACTACTGATACTGCTACTCGGAGCAAGTGTGAACCACTCATCTGGAAGACTGGCTGCGCAGACAAAACGAGTGCCAAGTTGAGAGCTGCTGAGATGATTGATGGGGAGATGATGGGACGGTGGACACAGCAATGGTCGGTTGGAGCTTAATACCGTCAGACTATCTAATGAGGACAACAGTACCTACAAGACATCCAACTGATATCATAGTTTCTGCGTCCGGAATGTCTCTTTAAAGATGATCTGTTTCTCCCTGGAAACCACAACTTCGCCTTCTTCTCGCCCCATCCCACTCGACCGTTGTCACGGGGGGTTTATTGACTTTTCCTCTGACACAGATCTGCTTTGACGAGAATCGCAGGGCCAGATTTCTGCAGTCATTCTCGTCAGATTAGAGCCGCTACGAGAGAACGAGCTAGAGATTCAGGCCGGGTTTGTTGAGGTACCTGTGTTTGACACTGAGTCTGGAGAGACACGCAAGCGCGATCAAAGAATGGTATCGGTTACATATACCGTTCAGCTAAAAAGGTGTCAAGACAGTCATTTTCTAGCCAATACAGGATTATATTGGTCTACAATAGCTTGACAAGATAGGACGGCAGTTACACAACTTTACCACCCTTGCTTTCTCTCAGCCATTGCCATTATTATTTTAGGAATCGCAAACAGCTTTATCAGATGGTTGTTTAAAGAATCAGATCATCCATTTCTTTTATTGATCATCTCACCTATATCCAATTGCCGGATAACCCCAAAATTCCTATATGTAATATAGCTAGGCAAGCTTGCTTTCTCAAATGATATTATATAACTATGTGATTGCTTAATTATTAACAGTATATAGAACAAATCTCCATCGGGAGAGAGAGAGAGAGAGAGAGAGTGCCAACTACAGCTTCACCTGCCCCCCCTGAAGCAAGCTCCAGTCCTTCGCCCCAAACGGGACATATGTATTACCCTGGAGCCAATACAGTTGGTCTGTCCCGACCAAGCCCGGGTCAACGCCCTCGGTCCGCAGCACATGCTTCTGCTGCTTGTTATTGCCGGTCGCCTGCATCTGCGGCGTAATGCGCAGGAACAGGGGGGCCGCAAACCGAGGGAGGTTGTGCAACACGTGGGTCGCGAGGCTCTGGAGCGTCTCTGCCGCCGGCGACACCAGCACGGACGGATCGCGGGCGTGCAGCTGCTGGGTGAAGACGAGGGCCGCGCAGCCCGCGCGGCCGTCGTGGTTCGGGAGGGCGACGCCGTACACGTTGGCCTCGTGCACGGCCGGATGCACGCCGAGCACGCCGGCCACTTCACTCGTGGACACGTTCTCGCTCTTCCACCGGAAGGTATCGCCCAGGCGGTCCGAGAAGAACCAGCGGCCCTCGCGATCCCACCGGACCAGGTCGCCCGTGCGGAAAAAGGCATCGCCCTTGCGGAGGACATCGCGCACAATCTTGCCCTCGGTTGCCGTGGCGTTGCGGAAGTAGCCCTGGAATGTCTCCGCAGGGTCGGCCGCGTCAATCGCGTACAGCAGCTCGCCCGGTTCCCCGCGGGGGACCGCCTGGCAAAACCCCGTGTGCGGATCCCGCCACGGTTCCTGGGATTCGGCGTCGACCTTGACGAGGGTGAGCCCCCGCGAAATCATCAGCCCGCTGAAGAGGCCGTTGCGGCCGATGGCGCCTGCGCCAAAGTCGTTCGACGAGACGTTCCACGTTCCCGAGGTCCCCTCTGTCGCCGCGTAGAATTCAGCCACGGTCGGCACGCGGAACCGCTGCTTGAAGCGGTTCCAGACGTCCGGTCTGAGTCCGTTGCCGTATACTGCACGAATGGCGTGTTTCTTGTCCAAATCCTCGCCGGTGGCCGGGTCCACCTGGGGGGGGACGGCGAGCAGATACCGCAGGGTTTCGCCGACGTATTGGAGGACGGTGGCGTCATTCTCGCGCGCTTCTCTCATAAACGTTCGGGCTGAAAACTTGCGGCCAATTATGATGGTTGCGCCAGTCGTCAAACAGGCTAGAAATCCTAGGACTGCAGCGGATGAGTGATATAGCGGCATGCACTGAATCTTTCCATAAGCTACCTATTCGAAAGAAAAAAAAAACAACCTTTCGAGATCATCGCAGGAAGACTTACGGTGAAGACACGGTCGTTTTCCCCCAGCTCTATAATGCTGCCTACAAAAACGCTTCCGGACCAGCATTTCCTCCAGCTGACGATCGCCGGTTTAGGCAGCCCCGTCGTGCCGCTGGTGTAGATCAGGACGGCCAGATCGCGCAGTTGCTGCCCACTGCGCGCCGTGTCGTCCTCCCGAATCGCCTCTGTCTGCAGCACCTGGGCTTCCATCTCCGGGGTATGGAAAACGACCTCGAGAGAACCCCCGTCCTCGCGGAACTCAGGAGCGGCAAATATCTCCATCTGCTCGGGGGGGAACGAGGCCCGCACCTCTTCGTCCACGATGAGCAGGCGAGCGGTGGAGGTATACAGCGAGTGCCTCAGTGGGGTTCCCGAAAGATTATAGTTAATGAAGGCGGGTGTAGCTCCGATACTCCACAAGCCAAGCCAGACGAAAATGAAAGTGGCCGAGTTCATCAGGTTCACGGCTACGATCTCTTTGGGCTGGACACCATGTACCGTCTTGAACCAAGTGCCATAGCGCAGGGCCATCACATATGTTTCATGGAAGGTCCATGAGCGGCCGTCATATACGAGAAACGGACGGTCTTTGGAGGACGCGTCCCGGGCATAGCGTTCCAGGGTATAGAAGAGGTTCAGGGTATCGCGGCGTAAGGCCAGGCGCGAGGAAGTGATGGACCTGAAAAGCGCCTTGAATATTTTGGCATCATAAAACAGAGAGTATTTTGCGTTGAGGTAGGCCAAAGTGGTCGCCAGGGCCGGAGCGGCGAGGGACAGGGGCAGGTCTACGGTTGATTGAGGTTAGTGGGCGCAAGATCCAGCACACAAGATGTAAGATGGCCATACCTAATGGTAGTGGAATAGGCATTAGTGAAATGATTGATTCCCGCAAAGGGTTCTTAGGTAGGAGCTCTATACTGGACACTGGCTCTAGGGGCAGCGGTCAACAAGACAAGAGGCAGAGGGGACAGCAGGGATAGACAAAGAAAGGAGGCCGGGAGAAAGAACGACATGATGGCTGAAAGGGGTAAAACCAAAGAACTGGGGAAGAAGAGGAGAGACGATGTTAGTCTCAGCGAACGAACTTGGTGAATGTTGGAATGCGGAGTCCAATAATGCCTCGGTTTGTGCGGGCGGCGGCGGCAAGTCGAGGTGGAACAGCTTTGACCCTTTTTCAAGGGGATGGATTGGCTATTGTTGGTAAGGATTTATATTCGAATTGCAAGGGATTATGCATCGGATGGATGGAGATGCAGCTTAACCGGAGAACCCGAGACTCAAAAAGGAGTTGTAAAAGACAAAATGAACCAGAAAATCGTCATCTGCTGAAGAAGGAGGGTGGAGTGTTGATTGATGATCGTCTTGTATTGAGAGACGTCGATTATATATATAGATATGATCACTCTCCCCCTTGGGCTATACAGACCTTTTTTTCACCACGGGCACATGCTCGTATTCGTCCTCCAGAAACCCCCGTAGAGCCTCTAATCCTTGCTCCAGCACATGGGTCTCGCAAGCATACCCAATTCGCACATATCCTGCGAAATCTTCCCCGTTCCCGAAACACAGCCGACCCGGCACAAACATCACTCCAGTCCGCTCCAGCAACATCTCACAAAACGCCGTATCGTTCACGGGCTTACCCATCTTGTTGAACCGCACAAAGGCCGTCGTACCCGCGCGGGGCTTGACCCAATCACACGCCCACCGATGGGACTCGACAAACTTCTCCAAGATCGTAATATTGACCTTGGCGAGCTCGAGGTTCCGTTTCAGCAGTGCATGGATCGTGGTGGGGGCTAGAGCGTAGCTGGCGACGGCATCGTCTAGCTGGGAGACAGAGATGGTGGTGTAATCCCGGGCGGAGGCACACGTCTCTATCACAGATTGGTCGCGAGAGGCAATCCATCCCACCCGGATCCCCGCTAAGCTATAGGCCTTGGACATGGACCCTGTGACAATTGTGCGCTCATACCCCAGCGACAACACCGATGACGGAAAGCCGGGTTCCATTGGGGTGATGGAGTGAAACATCGGTCGATACACTTCGTCGCAGAAAACGTAGACCGAAGAGCTCTGTGCGATTTCCACAATCTCCTCCAAGGTGTCCTGGGGGATGATAGCTCCCGTGGGGTTTTGGGGATTGCTATGTAGACCCGCGTTAGATAGGCTGGACCCGACTGTAGTAGGTATGAAGCCACGAAAAGCTTACTTGAGAATCAGGAGCTTAGTGTTTGGTTGGATGAGCGCCCTTAACTCGCTAGGGTCCAACTTCCAGCCATCCGACTCCTTCGCTTTCCATAGACTCACCTCCACGCCCAGAGACGCGGGGACGGAGTAGAGCTGCTGATACGTGGGGTAGTGACAGACAACATGATCTCCAGGGCCCACCAGCGAATACAGCACGAGGAAATTGGCCTGGATAGCGCCAGCGGTGATCAAGATGTTATCAGAAGGCAGTGGAGTTGGTGTCCTCACGGAATATAGATTGGCGAGCGTGGTGCGCAGTCTCTCGGAGCCACGAATTGCCCCATATGTGAGCTTGGTAGAAAAGTCCAGCGGATCAGAGGAGGCATCTTCTGAGAGTTCTTGTAGATCTTTCACAGACACAGAAGCGCAACAGGTTTCTGCCACATTGTACTTGGCTTGGGCTTCATATTTGTCCATCCACTGAGTATCCCCAGACAATCAGTCCATAGTCTCATACAATGCGGGGAGGATCAGGTTCCATACTTGTTCCACAGCGAAGTCTTTGATTTGAACCATGATGGCGACTGACACTTTTAAGAGGAGATCCTTTCAATCAATTACCACCATTCCACCATGGCCTGAAATACGTGTTTTTGTACTTTTTGGAAGCTTTACGCCCTGTTCAAGACAAGCCATGGCGGCCATGGTCACGTGGGACCAGCGGAGATTTCCTATTTGGGACAAACGGGACTCCAGATCTCGCGAAGATATTTTGATGGACTGAGTATACATAAATAGAGATAGAGAACTATAGAGTATAAATACATATTTCAGGTCGATAGAATATAATAATAAACAAGTTTATGAATAAATATGTCACGGTGAAATACCCTGCTTCCTCCGTACTAGATTCCGCAATGATGCCCCAGGCACCCCAACAACAACAATCAACTGGCCTGTTCTCGACTTCTTCTCCTCCAACCTCTCTGTTCTTGTTTCTTCTTCCTCTTCTCTCTGCCTGCTCATTTCTCCATCTGAGTCTTTCTTCATTCTTGGCTTTGTTCTTCCCTTCTGTCTCTCTCTAAGTTCCCCTCCCCCTTCCCCCCCCCCCCCCCAATTTCGTCACTCCTGACTCCCGACTCCGCACCGCCTCCATCCCCCGTGCGAGATCGCGGCTAGTTCACCCACTGCTGCGCATCCCCAGCAGAATGCGGTTAAAGTCGCCTCTGAGTCTCTCTATAGCGCTTGCTCTCTCACTATCTACGACGTCTGTTACGGCAAAAGGAAATTACTCCGCGCCCGACCTCGAATCTGGGTTGTTCTCCGCCTTCGATGATCGGCCGGGCGACTGTCCGCCCTGTTTCAACTGCCAGCTTGATGCCTTCCAATGCACCCAGTTTGCTTCCTGCGATAAATATTCGGGGAAATGCGTATGTCCACCTGGATTTGGAGGCGATGACTGCTCGAAACCTGTCTGCGGATCACTGGCCGATGGGCATCAACGGAATCCCCGGCAAGACAAGTACTGTGAATGTAAGGATGGCTGGGAGGGCATTAACTGCAACGTCTGCAAAACCGACGATGCCTGCAATGCCATGATGCCCGAGGGCGAAGGAGGAGTGTGTTACAAACAAGGCGTAACGGTGAACGAAAATTTCCAGATCTGTGACGTAACAAACCGGAAGATTCTGGATCTGTTGAAGGAGCGCAAACCTCAGGTAACCTTCTCCTGTGCAGCCGAGGATAAATCCTGCAATTTCCAGTTCTGGGTCGACCACGTCGAGTCGTTTTATTGTGGCTTGGATACGTGCACCTGGGATCTGCAAACCAACTACAATCAAAACAAGACCCATTACCATTGCGATAACATCCAGTGCAAGTGCATTCCAGGGCGAATGCTCTGTGGCGAGGAAGGTTCCATCGATATCGGAGAGTTCCTCACACAGTCTATCAAGGGTCCGGCGACCTTTGAATCCACGTCCACCATTGGTGGTGGCTCCCAGGATGGCAGCCGGTTCCAGGAACCGGCTATGGATGATTTGATCAAAAGCATCTTTGGAGATGAAAGTATTACGCTCAAGTGCAATTCGGGCGAGTGTCTTTACAAAACAGACGTCCCAGGATATACGCGCCCCGTTAAACAGATCAATACCCCGCTTATCGCCGGCGTCATTGCTGGCTGTTCCCTGTTTGTGGTCGCCGTCATTCTGGGGCTGTGGTATCAATCTCGCCGAGCGTACCATGGCCGTATTCAGTTACCCCTGACGGAAGACTCAGACGATGAAGCGTCTAAACTTTTGGCTGAGCACCGCCCTGCCGCCTTGTACTGGAGCAATGTGTCATACCACGTGAATGGAAAGGAAATCCTTTCTGGCATCCAAGGTGCAGCACGGCCAGGGCAGATTACGGCTATTATGGGCGCTTCCGGTGCCGGCAAGACAACCTTCCTCGACCTGCTAGCCCGCAAGAACAAGCGGGGCACGGTGCAAGGCGATTTCTATATCAACGGCGAGAAAGTGGAGGACTCCCAGTTCAAGAATATGATCGGCTTCGTGGACCAGGAGGACACCATGCTCCCCACCTTGACTGTCCACGAAACTATTCTGACTAGCGCCTTGCTACGTCTTCCTCGAGACATGAGTCGGGGTGCCAAAGAACAGCGCGTGTTCGAAGTCGAAAAGCAACTTGGGATTTTCCACATCAAAGATCAGCTCATTGGCTCCGAGGAAGGCCCAGGCCGAGGCATTTCCGGGGGTGAAAAGCGTCGCGTTGGAATCGCTTGCGAGCTCGTCACCAGCCCAAGCATTTTGTTCCTTGATGAACCGACCAGCGGACTGGATGCTTTCAACGCGTTCAATGTGGTGGAGTGTCTTGTGACCCTCGCAAAGACTTACAACCGTACCGTGATTTTCACCATCCATCAACCGCGATCCAACATCGTGGCTCTCTTCGACAGGCTGATTCTCCTCGGCCAGGGCAAGACCGTCTATTCTGGCCCATTCTCGACCTGCCAGCAGTACTTTGATGAAGCCGGATACTCTTGCCCGCCGGGGTTCAATATCGCCGACTACTTGGTGGACCTCACTATGCATGCTAGCGCTCGTCATTTCCATAGTGACGAAGAGGAGCCTCATCTACTGGAAGTTCATGGGGATCCTCCCAAGACCGCTTCAAGCAGTCTGAGAGCAGTCAAGTCCGTCGCCAGCGCATCCAATGCAAGCTTTGAGGAGCACTCGAGCAGCACTATTGAACACACTCGCCGGCCCAAGAGTAAACGCAGGGTTTCTCTCAAGCAACGGCAGGATCGTCAGCTTTACTCCCGGCGCAGAGACCCAGATGCTCCGCCCACCCCACGAACCGACGAGGAGGACGCAGACACCGAAGAGATGGATGAAGGAGGCAACCGAACCCAACAGTGGCTCCGGCTCTCGCGCCAGCACGGTCATGCTCCTTCCCAGGTCCTCGATGACCCAGACCACCTTCTTCCGGCCGCACCCGGCCAGACAGACCTCGACATGATGGTTGCGCACTATGCGGCATCCAATGTCGCGCGCTCTGTGCGCGACGAGATTGTTATCGCAATTCAGAACGCCCGTGCTGCCAACGGATCCGCGAACCCGGAGATTCCTTCCGCTCCTCATGCTACTACCGTCACCAAGGGTTACGCGCGCATCAGCCTTGGTCGACAGTTCATTATCTTATCGCAACGCACATGGAAAAACCTTTACCGCAACCCGATGCTCATGCTTACCCACTATGCCATCTCTATCCTCCTGGCCGTCCTGTGTGGATTTCTCTTCTACGGACTCACGGATGACATCAAGGGATTCCAGAATCGGCTCGGCCTTTTCTTCTTCGTTCTCGCCTTGTTTGGTTTCAGCACCTTGACCAGTCTTACTGTGTTCTCAGCGGAGCGTCTTCTCTTTGTCAGGGAACGCGCCAATGGCTACTACCATCCGGTGACCTATTTCGCGGCCAAGGTGGTGTTCGACATTGTTCCTCTGCGGCTCCTCCCGCCCATCATTATGGGTATCATCGTGTACCCAATGACAGGACTGATCCCCGCGTGGCCCGAGTTTTTCCGGTTCATTTTGGTTTTGGTCCTTTTCAATCTCGCCGCGGCTACGATCTGCTTGTTCATCGGGATTGTGTTCCGCGATGGGGGTGTGGCTAACCTGATTGGAAGTCTGGTGATGCTGTTCAGTCTCTTATTCGCTGGTCTTTTACTCAACCATGACGCGATTCCCCCATCTGCGTTGTGGTTGCAAGCCGTCAGTTTCTCCCTTTCTCTCCCCGAACATGAGCTAACCAGCTGCAGCTTTCTATCTTTCACTACGGCTTCGAAGCTTTGATTGTCAACGAAGTGACGTATCTGACCTTGATCGACCACAAGTATGGTCTCGACATTGAGGTTCCGGGCGCGTCCATTCTCAGCGCTTTTGGATTTGATACCCTGGCCCTCTGGACCGATGTGATCGGGCTCGCCATCATCTCGGGGGTGTTCCTTGTGATTGCATATGCAGCGATGCATCTCTTGCTTGTTGAGAAGCGGTGATTGATGCTACGATATGTCGTAGTAGCTTTATTTTTTTTTTTTGTATTCTTTAGCTGTGTTTTTGCGATTTTGAGTCTCTCGATTTCCGTCTCCAGGGCGGTTTGGGTCTTAATGTTGACATGATAATGTGAAGTAACTATCATTTTCTTTTTCGTCATAGATGAGTCGAACAAGTGTATATAGCTCTGAAAACCAAGACAAGTGCGTCTTTTCTCTTGTGTAGCCATATTCTTCTTCTTGTGCTGGATAGGAAGATCAGAGAGAGAAGCACGTGATCCCCGCGGCACTGAAGCTGACGATGACCAGCACCAGAAGAACCACAGCTTCAAAATCTCCCATTCTCGAGCTTAAACAACTTTGATTCAATATTTCTCTCGGTCCAGGAGATTCATATCCACCCTTCGTTTTTTTCTTAGTTTTTTTTTCTCCTTTTTTGAGGACTCTTCTCTAAATCTCGTCTCACCGCCCGCTAAACCAGCGCAAACGCCATTTTCCTCCGTCGGTCTGAATCCACACCACCAACCACCAACCTCTCCTCCTCTTCTCGACTTCTGATATCCACATCGCCTTTCTTCGTCCGTCTTGTGCTGCTCAGCCCTTGTCTCATACCCCCTTTAACTCACCTCTTTTTCTTTCTTCGCTTTCTCCCCTCTTTCTTCCCCCTTTCCCCCCTCCTCTCCGCCCACAATGTCCGGTGAAGCTTGGCTTTACCTGCTGGCGGTGTTGATCAACGCCGTCAACCTATTTCTACAGGTCTTCTTCACTATCATGTATAGTGACTTGGAGTGGTACGGCTCTTGTCCCCATGTGCATCCCTCCCCGCGCGCTCGCAACAGACCCGACGAGTAATTTGGTGGAGTTACTTGAGCTAATCTGGTTTGTGCTTCGGTCGTCGCAGTGACTACATCAACCCTATTGATCTCTGCAACCGTCTCAACGCCTACATCATCCCCGAAGCTGGTGTCCACGCTTTCCTAACCTTCCTCTTCTTGATCAATGGCTACTGGCTGGCCATCATTCTGAACCTGCCACTGTTGGCTTTCAACGCTAAGAAGTACGTGACCCGTCCGTCTATCGCTCCGGAAGGCGCAGAAAGCGTTGGTCCTCCAACCGTTGCTAATTTCGCCTCCTCTCGTCCAGGATCTTCGATAACCAGCACCTCTTGGATGCGACTGAGATCTTCCGCAAGCTTAATGTTCATAAGAAGGTATGCATTCATTACACAACAATTATGTCATGAGTTGGAAAGGGGGGGGGAGGAAACGCACACTAACACCGCATGCCAGGAATCTTTCATCAAGCTTGGTTTCCACCTCTTGATGTTCTTCTTCTACCTGTACAGCATGATCGTCGCTCTGATCCGCGACGAGTCTCACTGACTTCGCGGCGAGACCGAACACGCTATGCAATACGGCCGGCCGCAGTGAGCATGTTCGCGTAATGTGCTTTCAAGGCCGGGGGGGGGGAAGCGAGGTTGAGCAGGGTTCCCGACCGTGCGGCGAAATCGTGGTGCTTCTATGTTGAATAACGGGTGATCCTCACCCGAGTGACACGAATCATCCGCGACGCCGTGCAGTTGTGTTAGGGCCCTATACCAGGGGAGGTGACCTAATATGTGATACGACCATGATTCTCAACGGGTATTGATGAGGGTTGAAGGACGGGCGATTTCCATCCCGGTGTTTTGGGCTTGCGAAGAGGCTTGACGGTGAAACCTCATGAAGATGTGACTTGTTCTTTTTCAATTTTGTTTCCTTGTCTCTTTTGGAGCTATGTGTTGCTTTGTGTGCGATTCTTCTAATTTTTTTTTTTCTTTTTTTTTTTCAAGTTTATTGGAACTCGTTGATGTTCGATTCGATGTTAAATGTGTTCAAATCATGCCTGTATATACCTCCAGCGGTGTTACAATGAAGAGCTTCCGATACCCTTAGGGATGACAATCCTCATTTCGTAAACGACCTTGTGTAAGAAATTCGAGGTAGTTAAAAAAGCTCCACCAGATAGCTTTCAATACTTGTTTCGGCGTTGATCGCCAACTGGTGTCGCTTTTTGCGCAGTTGGTGCTACCGACACCTGTAAAAACTTCTTTTGACTTCTTCCCATTTGGACGCCGAATTCCAACTCCTGCATCAGACAACTTATTTGACCCTCTCCTCCATTCTCGATCTTTCATCCCCCGAGGCCCATGCACAATGGCCTCGATCTTGGGAGGCTCCTACGACTCCAGCGATGATGACGCTCCCACGGCCCCAGGGACGACCTCCACCAAGATCGTCGCTGCGCCAGAAGTGAATACAGAGGTTTGGTCCCTCCCATATGTTCTGATCCGGGGATGCATGGCTAGGTGCCTAACAGATTTACAGGATCAAGCTCATATGCAGATGATGCTCGCCAACACCTCATCCCAAGCTCTCACATACAACGCGACATACGATGATCTCTCGCGCCCCTCGCAAGGGCCCTCGAATCCTTTCAAACCCGCGGGCGCAGGGAACGGATTGAAGCGCAAGAATGTGCCGACTGGGTTTGCCGAAGAAGCTGCTATTAGCGAGGCCACTTTCGCTGTACAACATCGCACGTTCCAGAGTCTGGGTTATACCCGCAACCCCACGCTTCCGGGCCAGTTTGTTGGAGACCTCGACCAGGCTGCTCAGTATGGTGGCCGGGATGTGGTGCAGATGAAGCCATCGAAGGAGGCGTCGGCAGCGCTGCGGGCGAAGCGGCAAAGGAAAGGCGATTCGAGTATTGTTGAGGGCGCAGGCGCGTATCTGGGTCCGTGGGCCAAGTACCAGGAAGATGACCAGGTGTTTGAAGAGGAACTTGCGAGCGACGAGGAATTGATCGAGGTCGATGCCGAAGAGGAAGAAGAGCAACAGGTTGGGATGGCTCCCATGGCGGCTATGAGCAAGGAAGCGACAGATTACCAGGACGACACATCGAAGGTGGAAAGCACCGAATTCCACGGCTCCGAGCAGTTCGACTACCTGGGTCGGACATATATGCACATTCCGCAGGATCTGGATATCGACCTCAAGAAACCCCCAGGCAGCACCAAGAACTACGTACCCAAGAAACTCATCCACACGTGGAAATCCCACACCAAGGCCATTACATCTCTGCGGTTCTTCCCCAACTCTGGCCACCTTCTTCTGTCATCCGCGGCCGACGGCAAGGCGAAGATCTGGGACGTGTACCACTCGCGCGAGCTGCTGCGCACGTTCTCGGGCCACTCGAAGGCGATCACCGACAGCGACTTCCACCCGACGGGTCAGACCTTCCTCACAGCCTCGTACGACCGCCAGATGAAACTCTGGGACACGGAATACGGCAAATGCATCGGGCGCTTCAGCACCGGCAAAACCCCGCACGTCATCCGGTTCAACCCCAACCCGGAGCTCTCGCACGAATTCCTCGCCGGCATGTCCGACAAGAAGATCGTCCAATTCGATACGCGCTCGGGCGAACTCGTCCAAGAATACGACCACCACCTCGCCGCAATCAACACCCTCACCTTCGTCGACCGCAACCGCCGCTTCATCTCCACCTCCGACGACAAATCCCTCCGTGCCTGGGAATACGGCATCCCCGTCCCCATCAAATTCATCGCCGAGCCATACATGTTCGCGCTGACGCGGTCCGCGCCACACCCGAACGGGAAATACGTCGCCTTCCAGTCCGGCGACAACCAGATCGTCGTGTACGGCGCGACGGACAAGTTCCGCCAGAACCGCAAAAAGAGCTTCCGGGGCCATAACAACGCCGGCTACGGCATCGATCTGAAGATCTCGCCCGACGGCCAGTTTATCTGTTCCGGCGACAGTGCGGGCTACGTGTGCTTTTGGGATTGGAAAACGGGTAAAATGTACCATAAGATCATGGCGAGTGGCAAGGAGGGCGGCGCCACGACTTGTTTGGACTGGCATCCGCAGGAAACCAGTAAGGTGGTTACGGGCGGTTTAGAAGGGGTGATTAAATACTGGGATTAATTCATCGCTGTTCCTGTTTCTTTTATTCAATTATATTGGTGTAATATGGTAGAATATAGTATGATGGGATATGATAGGATATGATGAACTATTACTGTAGGTTGGAAGTCCTGGTATACACTACACTACATGTACTATATACACTATGAACTAGAGTAACTACTACACATTCCCGGTCTACTACTAGATACATACATTATCTATATGGAATAGAATACATAGCATAGTATAGTATAGTAAAGTATGTAAAGTAAGTATAGTACAGTACCTAAACCAGTAATAGAAGAAGAAGAAGAAGAAAGGAAAGGAAAAAAAAAAATAGAACTAAAAACTAGCCATCTCAATCCAACTAGCTACGAACGCTAGCCTCCTCCCCCGGTCCGCAGCCATGCGGCGCGAAAACTCATCGAAACTCAGTTTGGCGCCCGTGCCGCCGCGCTCCTTGGCTTCTCGCTCGACGCGGTTGAGGTAAGCCCAGCGTGAGAGGGTTTGCGGGGGCGGCGGGAGCGTGGGACCTTGGCGGTTCGGGAGAGATGATGACGATGACGATGACGACGATTGGGCGGCGGGGAGAGGTTGGATTGGGGATGGGGCGCGCTTAGGAGCGGTGGCTTCGGCGTCTGGGGAGGAGGGGGAGAGTGAGGGAGGGGCCGGGAAGGTGGTGGCGCTGCCGTTGGGGTGAAGGAGGGGGGGGTTCGTGGTGGTAGTGGGAGCGTGGTGGTGGTGGTGGGTTCTGGGGAGGTCGTCGTTTGGACGGTGTTGGGGGAGTGTTGGGTCGTAGTCGAGGTCTGTGGTAAGCTCTTCCATGACAGGGAGAGTAGTGGGAGAGAGTGGGGTAGGAGAGAGCACGAAGTCGTCTGCTCGTCCTAGTGGAGAGATGGGTGATTGCGCGTTGTCATCGTCGTCTTCGGGGTTGGCAAGATGGGTAGGTCGGCGGAGGTCGTCTGCGTCGCTATCCTCCTCATCGGTGTCCTCCTGGACGGGGACTCGCAAGTCGCCGCCGGAGGGAGGGGCAAGGACAGGCCCATCTTGAGCTTCAAGGGTAGGGCTGCGTAGAGCATAGCCTGCCCGGTTGAGAAGCTCGTCAAGAGGTCTGGTATGGTATGTGCCCGGGCCCGGTGCACCTTCAGTGCCCTCGCCCGCGGCTTGCATATTCTCGCGGTCGGCCCTGTTCTGAGCGTCCATTTGCTCTGCGACTTCAATCTCGTGGGCCCAGATTTTGCGTTCAGTGCGGGTCCGATAGACTTCCATGAGTAGATCTTCTTTGGGCTTGAACATGATATCCAGGATTTCATTGAACCCCTGTTGCGTGACTTGATATAAGATCTCCTTTCCGACGTCTCTCTCCACCTCGGGCACCTCAAACCCTCCCCATCGTTCACCTACGAGGATGCTCCGCGAGGACGTTGACGGGTTCGATCTCACTTCGTAGTCATCGGTCAGGTCGTCCTGGAACCGCACCTTGGACGATGATCGGGAACGTGGGGACGGCGGGTGAGACTCGTAGTCCGGCTGTGATTCATCGAGACCGTCATCCTCCTCGGCGGCATCACTCACCTCGGATTCACTGTGATATCCATCCGGGGCAGTGCCCCCATCTTCTTCGTCGGTGTAAAATGCTCTCCTTCTCCACCGCTCGTCAATGCCCTGTCTTCGAGCGTATTCCGCCTGTCTTTGGCCGTTGTCACACATCCGGTTATAGACAGCCGTGCCGATGCGCGCCCGGTCCACGGGGTCGGTAACCTCCTGAAGAGGAACATAGGCCCCCAGGGCATTGACAATATCTTCCTCTTGAATATGCTCCGGTGGGGGCCAACGGTCGCTCACGGCGGAGAAGCTGTCTGTCTCGTTGTCGTGAACGTCTTCGTCATCTCCGTTCTCATCACGGGCATCTCTTCTACTTTGACTCCCCGAAGCATGCGCAGCGCTAGATCCTGCGGGAGGCGCCACCCGAACTGTGACAGGAACAAGCGGCTGTGATCGCCCAAATTGACGGCGAACGGCCGCTTCACCAACAACGGAGTGTCGGTCCCCGGTATCATTGCCGTCCGGTCGAAGCACTCCCTCGTTGTCGGTGACCTCCATGTCGCCATATTGGTTCATCCGCTTTCCCTCACCAGTTCTTGAGGGTTCTCCAGATGGGATACTGCCAGGGAAAGCTGAGCTGATGGGTTGACTTCCAAGCACAACGTCCCGGGCACCGCCTTCCAGAAAATCATCCTCCATCCCCGCAACCATATCCCGGGTGAGCTCTCGGCTGAGGGTGTAGTATGCTCGAAACACCCGGAGGAAATCTTTCCTTTCAACATACCCATCTCCGTCGATGTCGTAGCCACGGAAGACGCGACGCAGCCTTTCATCGTTGCTCTTGTTATTCAAGCTGGCAAGGCCCTTTAGGAACTCCTCGAACCCAATCAAGCCATCTCCGTTCGTATCATAAAAGGCAAACATGCGGTCATAGATCAAACTTGGCGGTGGCGGGCGGAGAGAGGTGTTTGGAACGAAGCACCGATCGAATGTTTTGCGATCAATGGCCATGTACAACCGGTTGGGGTCCTCGGCCCATTCATGGCTCGCCAAGCACCTGAACTGGTCCCAGAGCGCTTCGAGCTCCGTTCCTTCGAAATTGGTCTCTTTCATCAAGCGTTTGGCTAGCGAGCGTGGCAAGGTGCGCGGAAGCATTGCGGGTTTTCCAGGGTACCATACTGGCAGGGATTGCCGGGGGTTGCCCAAGAACGGCGCCGGAATCCGAACCTTGTAGAACAAATGGGTCTTGATGTGCACCTGCATTGCCTCACAGGTCTCACAGAGATCGTAGTCAATGCAGTTGGCGCATCGATAGCGGATTCCTTGAATCGGCATGGCCCCACAGCTATTACAGGTGACCCCTCGGTGGATATACCCATCCTTTCTCGCTTGATCCTCCGCGATGTGGTAGAGCAGGTTAAGCAGGTTTTGGCCATCTCGTGCCTGCAAGGAATCGTTGTTCCCTTCTCGCCATGAAAATACACTTTGGTCATCAACGACCGTTTCGCCCCCATCGAGGTTCTGAACCGGGGGGGAATCGTCCGGAAAGGTCGAGGTCGATAAGGTGACTCTTTCTCCGTTCTGCCGCCGCCGACGCAGTTCCTCTCCGTAGTTGCTGTCCTCATTGAAGCGTGCCAGCGCTCTCTCGATTCCAGGCCGGGAGATCCCACGTCGCTGAAGCTGTTCCGTCAAGTATTCTCTCTCAGGACTCCCCTCGAGCAGAGTATGTGTTGGTGGGAAGTCCAAAGCCAGAAACGATTCGAGGAACGTATCTTCCATCATCTCGCGCATCCGCTCAGCGTGAGCTTGCGGAACCCCGACCTCCTCCATGAGCTGGTCCCGCGTTGCGAGGAGGGACGGGAGCAGTCCGCTTTCCACCCGACGGCCATCCTCGGTCTCTATGCGGAAAGTACCGTATACTCCGTTCTGGCGTTCTAGCTGTTCTAGGTGGGCGATAGCTCGGGAGGACGGGGTGTCGACAGGTACGGCTGCTGCATCGGTCTCGTGCCGCCGCTGGCGACGAACAGTTCTTCGACGGCGGAGGGATGATTGAGATGCAGAGGATGAAAAGAGGTGATTGCGAAGGTAGACAAGCGCGTATGCCGCCGCGACTCCGGAGAGAAGGTAGAGAAGAGGACGGTACCGGGCGAAAGTCAGTCTTGGCTGTGACTCGGACATAATTAGTGCAAAAATGGTCTAACGGATTAAAATCATTATTATCATCAAAAATAGGATAGCCGAACGCGAACGACAACAGAACACGGCGTGGGCGTTGAGAAGTAAGTGACGGTGGACTGATTGAGGGTGTCTTTGCGGCGAAAGGAAAAGCTTCCAAAGGCGGAGGGCAAAATCATCATCACCGCCTTTGGTTAGCCCTATACAAAGTACTTTACTCTAATAAGTGATCTATTTGTAGGTAGATGAGAGGTCCCCTGTTTATTTGCAACCTGTTTCATTTGGAGTAGATCAGTAACCAATTCTAGATAGAACTAGTGGCGCAAATTCATTATTATGTGTAGTTGTTGGTTGACACACACTGTAAGCTAAGTGTACATAGGTTGCAACCGTCGAAAGTATCTTGAACACAGTCCCATCTTTTTTTTGGAAGGAAATCGTAAAGGAAGGAATATTTATTCCCTCTAACATCATTTCATATACCATACTTGTCCATGTTGTATATCATTCACCGCGAGAGACTCCGTTCTCGAATAAATATGCTGCTGACAAAGGCGAAGGAGACAACCCCTATCAAAAAGGCGAAACCCTTATTTGTCGCCCAGCCATAGCATTCTCGAACGACTCTTGCGACGGCGGGGTCCAGGGTCTTGATAAAGTCAAGACTCTGTCGAACTCCATCAACAATGCTGTCAACATCCTTGCTGTCGTGCAAAGCCGATCTCAGACGCCAACGTAGAAGCTGTTGCACCACAGTGGAAGACAGGGAGATGTAAATGACAGAACCAAGGGACCGGAAGAGATATGAGCAGGCGGTGACGACGGCCTGGTCCTCGGGGGTTGCGTTTGAAACTGGGGCGTCCTCTAGTCAGTAAAAAAAAAATAGTTGAAGAAAAGGGACGAAGAACATACTCAGGCTAATCAGCGTTGTTGTGCCGCCAACGCCGACTGTAAAAGCAGAAACCATCGTCCCGAGAATCATTGGAATCAAACTCTCCGTCACGCCCCCAGAGAAAAGGAAGACAGTGGTGAGCCCAAAAACGAGACAGAGGTATGCAATCAGCGTCATCCAGTAGAACCTTCCGGTCCATTTCATGACAAACCCTGCAAATAAGGATCCAGAGACGCTGGAGACAATGCAGGGCAGGAGACGTATGCCCGCTGCGGTAGCGGACACTCCATCCACCGCCTGGAAGTAGAGCGGAAGGTAGAAAATTCCAGCGAGCCAACCTCCCAGACTGAAAAAGTTGCATAGATAGCTGGGGAAAAACGCTCGATCGAAGATAATATGGCCTGGAGCAAAGGGCTCGCTGGCATAGTACATTTCAACGACAACGAATAGCACAAAGAGACCGGCAGAAACGCTGAGTGAGACTACGGTCAACGGGATTGTCCAGGAGACATTGCTGCCTCTATCAAGACCAATTAGAAAGCAGACGGTCGCCCCTATGAGCACAATGGCCCCGGGGAAGTCAACACGGCGGAGCTTGGTCTTCCAGTGACTGGTCTCTCGAACTGGTAGGTCCAGCAATACCGTCACGGCGAGGAAAGCGAGAATGCATAGCGGAAATTGGCCAATAAATGACCTACATACTACGAGTCAGAATTTCCATCGAAAGGGAGTGCGACTATCATACCATCTCCAGCCGATATAGTCAGCTAAAATCCCGCCTATTGCGACTTATCAGTATGGTAAAATCTTAAAAAAAAAAAAAAAGAGGAATCAAGGCTGCCTACCCAAAGGTGCACCGATACTTGAACCGGATGCCCATATAATATTGATGATGCCTTGCCAAACACCTCTTTCGCGAAGGGGAATAATATCACTCATCAGGATGCTCACAACTGTAGTCATGCCACCTCCTCCAATACCTTGGAATGCCTATGATGTTCTCTTAGTATATAGTTTTTTTTTAGGGTTTATCTGGGGTATGTTCATACACGAGCAGCAATGAGCTGGTGGATGTTCTGCGCAAGACCACAAAACAAGCATCCCGTACCGAAAACAACATAGGCAAATAGTAAACACGCCTTCCGGCCAAAGATATCACTGAGTTTGCCATATAGCGGCTGAAAAGAGGTCAAGGTCAAGAAGTAGGATGTAGCAACCCAGCTAGTTAAATTCAGCGCTTCAAGGTCACTGCCAATTTTTCCATAGCTAGCGACGATAATTGTCTGATCAGCGGCGGACAGGAACACCTAGGCAAAAATTTTAGCGTTTAGTCCGGAAAATCTTCGACACAGAAGAGCACATACGCCAATTGAAACGGCGAGAATAATATATGCGAGGTTATGGCTTGAGGAACTTCCCAGCTCCGCTAATGCTGGATCGGCCTCGGAGCCAGGTTGGGCTATGGAGGAGTAGGATGCATTCCCGTTGCTTTGAGGCCCTAGCAACGGGGATGTTTCTTCTGGAGTTCGATCTGGAGACATGCTGCCCGGCCACAATCCAGGAGAACGGCAGTTTAAGAAAAAAAAATATGATTAATCCATAATTGCTTCCCGCTTATGTGATGATAAGAATCCCCGCGAAAACGAATCTCGGCTCTCTGATTGGCTTCATCAACATCTTGGAAGCGGGAGGCTCCGCAGCCACTCTCCGAGTCCTATACTATGTCGTTGGTAGGTAGGTACGTTCTGGACTAGGCTAGGTCCTCGATGCTACCGACTCAAGACATGGAGAGTAAGGGCGTTTAACGACCTTGACAAGGATAGGGGTTGACTTCTGAGATACCGCTGAATGGGTTCTTTGCAGCAATGGCCGTGGAGACATTTGGGAATTCATTACTCTATTCGTTGATTCTAGCACTATGTAAAGACCTCAGGGGAATCAAGCTTCTGCCGGCATGGGAATGGGTCCACCCGGTGAGTCTGGCAGACGGGCGGTCAGAACCTCGACACCATCTTCGGTAACGAGAAGAGTATGTTCAAACTGAGCCGACAAGGATCCGTCGGCTGTGGTGCTGGTCCAGTCATCAGGCCAAAGACGGTCGCGATGGGTGCCGATGTTGATCATCGGTTCGATCGTAAAGCACATTCCGGGCTTCGCCGTTCCGACGGCTTTGTTCTTGGCGTAGTGAGGAACGTTGGGCGCGCAGTGGAACAGCTGGTTGATACCGTGGCCGCAGTAGCTCTTGACCACGCTGCAGTTGCGGCTCTTTGCATGCTTTTCGATCACATTGCCGGGATCCCGGAACAGCATCCCTGGCTTGACGATGTCGATGGATTGGTCCAAGCATTCTCTGGCCGTTTCCACAACGCGCACGGCGTCAGGATTCGATCGCGCCTTCTCGCCGACGTAGTAGGTTTCATTGATATCACCGTGGAAGCCATTGTGGTACAAAGTGACGTCGATATTGATAATATCGCCATCCTCCAGCGGGCGTTGATCCGGAATCCCGTGACAGATGGTCTCGTTGATGGAGGTGCACACCGACTTGGGGAAGTGAACGTAGTTAAGGGGTGACGGATAAGACTAGATGAGAGTTCAGTTTCTCGGGACATTGACCAAATCACCCCGCCATGTCCCACACCACACGTACATTGCGCTCAATACAAGCTTTATGGACCACCTCGTCGATGTAGTCGGTAGTCACACCGGGCTTCAGCTCTCGTGCCGCAATATCGAGGACCTCACGCGCGAGTCGGCATACTTTCCGCATGCCGTCCTGCTCCTCCTTATTCAAGATGGTAATGTTGTGTCGGCCCACAAACTTCTGTTCTGATCGGGGAATGCCATCTTTGGCGTAGTCCGGGTGCGGGATAGCCTTGGGGACGGTCCTAAAGGGCGATAATGGATATACCGGGCGCAGGGGTCCAGCGAATTGGAAGGAGGGGAACGGGTTATACTGTCCCGTAGCTGGGTCTGGTTCAGAAACTACTTTTGGAGGGAAGAGGTTGGTGAGGAAATTACTCTTCGTTTTATGGATAGCCTTGTGTTCGCTCTTCGCGCGCAGTCAGCATCAGCATCAGCATGTATTGAGATGAAAGAAAAGCACATGGCACGCAGGAGCATACCCAGCTCCGTTTAAAACAGTCCTGCGAGCAGAAGTAGCTATCCGTGCCCATCTTCAGACACGTCGGGCATTGGAGCGTGCCTGCGGGCTTGTCGCAATCGACTCCGAGACATTGTCGGGGGTTTGTGTCTGATGCCATTATTGCGAGAAAGCAGGCTCAAGGGAGGAAATGTGAATAAGAGACAATGGTTGATTATTAGGCAGCTTCACAGTGAAGTGAAGTGAAATGTAAATGCAAAAAAAAATGAAATCTCCCCGCAAGATTACTAAGCTGCCATGAACTATGCCTAAATAGGCAATCATACATCCTAACTACATAGTAGTAAATAGTAGTAAATAGTAGTGAATAGTAGGTAGTTGTATAATCATCCCATTGCAAACCGTACCAAGTCCTCAAGACTGCCAAAAAATACATCGGCCTCGCCCTGATTCTCACTCAGCCCTGCATACTGCCAGAACGCAGCCTCCGTCCAGCCCACCGGCAACGCGCCCATCTCATCCGCCCAATTCGCCAACCACAACGCATGATCCGCGCCCAAGGTCGCATTATTCCCGGCACACTGCGCCCACCACTTCGCAGACAGAAACAGCATCGGAGCGCGCCCCGTCCGCAGCTGGTACGTGTGGGAGAAATCGAGCATCCAGTCCGTGATTTCCGTGGGCGTCATGCCACCGTGACAGAGCTTCCCCGCGATATTGCCTTCCATCTCGAGCACCCCGGGGAGCGTCTGTCCATCTGGCGTCCAGTCTCCTCCATGTTCGATGAAGAAGTCTGCTTGGGCGGCACCGCTGCTTTCCGCTGCTGTTGCGAAGTGGACTGCGCCATGGAGCACACCCGCCGCGACCGCACCCTGGGTCTGCAAGGGGAAGCGGAGGTTTTGAACGTTGATCCCTTCCGTGGCCTTGTGAAGCATCGCGGTCAATAAGGGAACCAATCGGTAGTTACATATGTTATCCGTCAATCGTTGGGTCAATAATCTTACCTTGACGTAGATAAACTCCACCCCGTCCGCGACGGCGGTCTTCCAGTTGACCGGAAGTTGGATCTCGAACACATCGATTCCCTTGGTTTGATTGGGGGTCGCGGTCGCAGAAGACACGGATACAAGGCCTGTAAGGGCCCACCGCAGCTTGTGAATTTGCATGATTTCGAGAGTTTTGGATGGATGATGATGGGATGTGAACTGACTGACACCGAGATCCCAGACCCTTTTGCACTATGTAGTTGCTAATTTACGAGTTGCTAATTTACCAGTTAGTCTAGTCTAAGTCTTGGTTAAACTAATTGTTACAAGTCTTAGTCCAAGTTACAAAATCCTAAATTAGGTCTAGACAGACCTGGATCGAGATTTATAAATAGTTACCGATCTGTATACCTCATCCTGTACTAACCCTAAGCTATCCATAATTCCCATCAACGGTAAACACTGAACCAGTAAACACTACTACTTAGTAGTCTTTGCTGAAACACTCCAGTACAGAGTACTCCATACAGAGTACAGAGTACTGAACCATCCATCCATCTACCTATTCTTTTCTGTGTCTCTCCAACAGCCTCAACAACCACATCTCCCCATCAAACCCCTGACTGCCATCCCCCATCCGCCGGAAAAAATATACATTGCACATCTCCACCCCTTCCACCCGCAACGTCAGCCAGATCAGCGCGCTGTTCTCGCTGACGGCCCCCACCCGGTGCGCCATGACTTCCGGCAGCCCGCGGATCCGATCCAGCGGGCCCGCGATCAGCGCCACGTACTGCGATGCATCCGATAACTGGGTGATGGTCCCGTCTGCGAAGAAGGATATCGACGGGAGGTAGGTAGTACGTGGATAGTTTGGTCGCGCGCTCGACGGTGCTTTGGTAGGCGGGGGAGGTGATGTCGGCGGCGTATGCGGCGATGTGGGTTTCTGCTGCGGCGCTGATGCTTGCGGTGTTTTGTTTGAACATGTTGGTAGTTTTTTTTTTCTTCTCTCTCTCTCTCTCTTGTTTTGTTTGGTGAGGATTGAGGATTGGAATGAGGAAGGGTTGGTTGTGTGTGTATGTTTGTGAGTGAAGAGTAAGACGGGTTTCATAGATGGATTCTTATAGATGTAGGTAGCAGTGGTTTCTTCCGCCGTTCCGCCGCTCCTCTGTCTGTCTGTCTGTCTGTCTGTCTGTCTGTCTGTAGTCGGTGAATTCGGCCGATTGCTCTTCCTATTCCCCCTCTCTAACTAGTTATACAGTATTATGAATGCTGGATTTGTATGGAGTAATGTGAAGGATAGATGTTCTATAGCATAGCTTAACGACCTAGGTACCAATTGACTCTACAACATCCAATTCCCCTCCAAATCCGTATTCACCAAGCTGTCAAAGAATATCATGTCGCTTTCCTCGAATGTCCATGCACTGCTATCCACACCATCCGGGTCTAAGGAAGAAGAAGAAGAAGAACCGTGGCCTGCATTCCCCCCCAGAATCCGCTCCCCCTGCAGCGGCTGCACGGCCCCGCTGCCTGCAATGAGAATCACTCCAAAAAACGGAATCTCCAGACGCAGTCGGTCAGATGCGGTTCCGTGGTGGAGAAACCGTTGAAGCGTGCGGATGACCGACACGCTCTGAGCGCTCACGGTCATCCCCCCCCCCCCCGGCCCTGCCGCGGGAGTCGTTCGAAACTCTCAAGGACCGTCTCCACCAGCTGCGAATCATCCAGCCGCGCCTGGAGCACGTCCGGATCGGTGCTTCTTCTCTGCGGAGCCAGGAGCCCCAGAACGAGAGTGGTCGCGGCGGTGAAGGTCTGGAATTCGAGCAGGTTGGAGAAGACCAGGGTCGTGCGCGGGCTCTGGTGGATTGCAATCCACCTTTTGATCAGATTTCGGCTGGCGTCTAGGCACGAGATGTGCGAGTATTCGTATCGTCGGTCAGTGGCCGCGCGTAGCATGAATGGTAGATGAGCCAGCGTCGCGAGCTCAAAATGCCAGATTTGACACATGATTCGCTCGAACTGGGCTGAGGCTTCTTTGGTGCGCGTGTTTAGTATGGTGCGAGGTATTTCCCACCAGGCCGCTGGCATTTGCGCTGCGAGCGCATCGAGCTGTTCCCCAATTCTCTGAGTAGTGGAGAAGGAATGCGTACAAGGTTCTTGGTTACGAGCAAGAATGAGGCCGGAGATATGGTATAAATTCTTGTGATAGAGATCTTCCGGCGAGAGCCAAGCAGCAGCAGCAGCAGCAGCATCGAAAGGAAACCCCGCGGATCCGGTACTGGATGGTAGGCCGAGTAAGGTCGACAAGTAACGTTCCTAGTGGAGATCAGCAAATGATTCTATCTGTATATCAGGGGTGGTGGGATACCGACTCCTCTCGAAATCTGATACCACAAGTGATGGCGTTTCGTTTCTACCAGATCCTCGGACGAATTCACAGCCCCTCGGTGCAGGCCCAAAAGCTGGGCTATCGTGATGGCTCTGCGAAATGAAAGCCAGGATCTTCGCAGGTTGCCAGCATTGACCTCGTACATTCCCTGCAGTGCAAGACATTCAACGCTCTCCACATTTCCCGCCAGCTCGTCGTCCGACGTGACGTTTTTGAGGAGAAAGTCATGGATGCCACGCATCATTTCGCGAAGTAGTACCGTCGTTTGCAGTTTTCCCAGATCCGTTCCAGGGGGCAGCTACTGGATGCAGATCGCGATACAAAGAAGTAGTCGGGCGATAGCCATCGGATGTTGTTCTGACACCGCGCAGACATTAAACAACCCATGAACGTCATTCTCAGTCAAGTCCGGGAGATGGGGCATGATATGTTGCTGGAGCAGCCACCATCCGTGGCTCGACGCAAGCAGACAATCCACGTCTGCCTGGCACGGCAACATCGCAGCCAACCGCTGGCGTAGAATCTCAACTTTTCCGGCCGGAGGAGGCCCAACCGCGCCCTGCACCCCCGAACCAGTCGACGGCGATGCAAAGAGAGACCGGGGGTCCTTTGGCCTCGCAGCAAGGGATCCAGGAAGACTCACTTCCCCAACTTGGCCCCGGGTGATACTGTCCACTAGAGGTCTCGAGTAACGACTCTACCCTGGCCACACGCCGAGCCAGCGCGGAGTCGTCCGCAGAATGGGCTGCAGGGTCGTCCACATACTCCTGACGCACGCATGGCGTGTTTCTTTCTCGACAGCCAGCGCAAATCGAGACATCCGGAGATGGGATGCACTTGATTTTTCTCCGCTTACCTGTTCACCGTCAAATCTCAGGCTTGGTAGCGGAGGTGGATGATGCTTGCTTACACTCCCAGCAGCTCCTCGTTCCCTTGCGAACTCTTTTCCGCCGGGGTTCTTCGGGCATCGAGCTATCTCCTAGCATATTGGTAAAAATCTTGGGGATGTGATTGATTCACTTGACATTCCCGAGAAATCCTACCACCAACGCCGCGGTCGAGTTCGGCCGGATTGGACCGGAGCCCCGCTTGCTGTGCGGCCTGTAACTATAGTAAGTAGCATGACCGATAACAAAAGGGTATGCCTCTGTATGTATATTAGATCCAGTCGAATCCCATAAATTCCAAACACTAAACTGATCCATCGCACACTCAACTGGGCCGACTTTCGATGGTGGGTAGGTTTCCTGCTGCCTATACTGGTAGCACTAAGTCCAGCACAGGATTGGCTCAAGCGCAAGTTTCCTCGCCTGTGGCCGCAGGAAGGGAACGAAGCCAATCCATCCACTGAAACCGAGTTGGCCTCGATGAACGAGACTATTTCTGAGGTTCAGAAGTTGCTGACGGATCTTAAGAGCCGGGAAACTAGCTTGAAGGAGAAGGAGGATGCATTTCTGAAAGCCACGGAAGAGGCCAGACGCCGGGAGAAAGGAGCTGCAGACCGGGAGGAAGCTGCCAGTCGGCGAGAGGCAGAAGTCGCGCGCCGGGAGCAAAGTGTCAATCACGGCGAACCCTTTGGACAACATTTAGATATCGTTGATACTCGGTTTCGGTGAGGGCAGCAGGACCTCCCAACCCAATGATCCTCTTTGGCGCGGTCACGCTGATGGGGGGAGGGCCACCAGCGATGAACTCGCACTTCTACGCAGTGCTGGTGATTAGTAGCCTCCGGGCGAAGCTAAGACGAGTTCACAATCTTTCTCCCTTCTTCAGGATGTCGAAGATGTTTCGAACGAGATAGCTAGTAGACGAGGTGGGAGACAAAGGTAGCTATCCTAGTTATTATCACAGTAGTTGGCTTATCACCGATTGTCCAACCAGTTCCGATTTTCAAGCCCATCTCTAAGGCTTGCCCCGTTCTTATGGTGGAAATCTCAAGTAGTTGTTGATTCGTATTGTGGAAATTTTTAACGCTTGGTTATCTCTCCCTAGTAGCTGCCAGTAAAGCCCAAGGACGTTGGTGGTATAAATAACTGACCAGAAGTAGATAGAGTCATGATAGCATATATTGCTGAGGTTAGCGAAATTCTTGATAGAATATTTTATGAATACTAAGTCTTCCCCCCATTGCTGTTGAGCTTATACCAAACCCGCAGATAACTATCCGGACGTTTACGAGAGCCTCTATTCCAAGCATAATATTTAGGCTCTTCCATTCTCCCTAAACTCCGTGTACACTGAAGAACATATCCTCCATCATTTGCGCAACTAATGATGTATGCAGTTGCCGGGCAAACATGACAGGTATTGCTTGTCCAGAGCCTTGGATCCCGTATAAATGTGAGGATGTCAAAATCTGGACACATAAATACTGGTTCCACATAGCGGGGAGGAATCAATAATGATGCTAATACTCGAGGATCCGGCTGGGGCGTATTCATGCACATACGCACATAATATCTTGTTCGGACCACCAGCAATCCGTCTTCGTCAAGGATTATCTTCATAAAAATCCTAACGAACGCATACTTATGGTCTGTTATGGAACACTGGTGTAGGAGATATCGCTGTCCATCCAGAACTGACAGCTGGAATGCCTGATGAACACGCGGGGAACGGGTGATGGTATCCGCCAGCCCGGTTTGTAGCCACTCCTCCAGTCGGATTCGGTCAAAAAACGTCAAGGAGAGGCAGGGGCACAGGTCCACGACTCCAGCGCTATGAATGCATGTTCGGTGTAAAGACGGGGGGGAGTCTTTCCCACAGTCTAAACGCAGGAATAAGGCATGTGGATGGAGTTTCAGGCACCATGAGCAATACAGCCAGCGGTCGTCCTCAAGGAGGAGTAGCAGCTGGTTTCGGAGATGATCTGGTTGGTTTAATGGGACCTCATATGTTTTCATGGCCAGCGCTCTCGGCCAGGCTAGTCTATCGTCCTTGAGAACGTGGCCTAATAGTCGGTAGAGAGGTTTGCAGGTGAGTGCAAGGCAGACCTGCGAGAGGAACGGTATCAAAGGAAATATCAGTTGCAGAATCTCCAGAGGAACATCGTTAAGCATAGGACACGGCGGTGCATCGGACGCTCTGGTTGACGCTTCACCGATATGTTGTGGCTGGAGTTTGACGGAACAAGCGGGAGACCGGGGCTTTCTGGCGCAGCATACCAATTTCCTGATGGATGATATCATTTTGGGTGTCGTCGAAGTGAATCCGGGTTATGAAAGTACCTAGAGGTTGAGGTTCCCCTTCCCATTATATAAATATTATGTCTGGAACTTAACTTGTATGGGCGGTTTGAGTAATTCGGAGGGTATATCCGACAGATTCAATAGACGCATCATTAGTTCCGAGCCTATGCTGTAACGCCTTCTCGCTTCCTAGATACTTGCCAGGTGGGAGAGCGAATATACTGGAGATAAATATATTATATATATATACACGGAATATCGTTGATCCCCGTCGGATAAACCTCTAAATCCGACATGACCGGAGGGGCCTTACGCTAAACCGGAAAGGGAAGGAAACCTCTCCGATCTCGTGACGCCGAATTAATAGTATTTGCGCCACACGCCGATATCGACTTCGATGCATACATATCATATCAGAATTGTGATTCGATTGTGATCCGGCCCAATTGGGAAGAGACATCGCTCTGAGATTAAGTGCTACACGGCCTATTCTCCACAGTTCCCATGGCCTCATCTCCCACGAAGCAGAAGGTGGTGATTGTGGGCGCTGGACCCGTGGGCTCACTTGCAGCTCTGTATGCGGCAGCCAGGGGGGATGATGTGGAAGTATATGAATTACGTGGAGGTTAGTTGTTCTTGATATGCTTCTACAACCCCCATATTGTAGCTGTATACATATCCTATCTTCATTTTCGTGTGCAACACAAGCGAGGGAAACCAAAATTGAGTCATTTCGGGTTGCACCATTGGATCTGGGAATCGCGGGAATCGCTTCCTGTATAGGTAGGCTGCAGACTATGCTGACATTCGATATCAAATACAGATCTTAGGAGCGACTCTACTGTTCCACTGAACTTCACCAAGTCTATCAATTTGTCCCTGTCGGATCGTGGAATCACAGCTATGAAAGGGTCCGGTCGAGAGACTCTCATTAACAACATCCTCCAAGAAACAGTCCCCATCTATGGCCGTATGATTCACGGCAAAGAAAATGGAGAGCTCTGGGAAGCTCCACAAGCTTATGATGTTCATGGCCGGGTAAGTATTACAGCATCAGTCCAAATGCAGTTATGGCCTAACGAGATATCCTAGAATAACCATTCCGCCGATAGAGGAATGCTCAACAACGCTCTTCTTGATGAGCTGGAGCGGAGCCCAAATATCAAGCTGTTCTTCGACCACAAATTGACTGGCGCTGACTTCCGCACAAACAGAGCCTGGTTTGAATGTCGGTCGCCAGGCGAGGCTCCCGCTCCCGGGTCATCTGGTCGGTACCCTGAAATCGAAGTTAGCTTTGATTTCTTAATTGGTGCAGACGGAGCACATTCGGCAGCAAGATTCCACATGATGAAGTTTGCCCGAGTCGACTACCAGCAGGAGTATATTGATACTCTATGGTGCGAATTCCGCATTGCACCATCGCCAGAAAACGATTTCATGATCTCCCCCGACCATTTGCACATCTGGCCCGGTAAGGAATTCATGTTCATCGCTCTTCCATCCGTCGATAAGTCCTTTACATGCACGCTCTTCGCCCCAGCCATCCATTATGCGACCCTCGAGCGCTCCACCCAGGACTTGCTCGAATTCTTCGCCGTCCACTTCCCAGGCGTCTGCCCAGAGCTGATCAAACCCAACGAGCTGATCGAACAATTCACCACAAACCCCCACCTCCCGCTAATCAGCATCAAATGCAAGCCGCACCACTACAACTCCAGCGTCGTCATTGTCGGCGATGCCGCGCACGCTGTCCTCCCCTTCTACGGCCAGGGCCTCAATGCCGGGCTCGAAGACATCCAAGTGCTCTTCAAATACCTTGACAAGCACGGCGTCTACGACTCCTCCACGGCAGGGGACCCGACCTCTCGCGCCCTCGCCCGTGAAGCAGCCTTCCAAGACTACACCGAGCACCGCTCAGTCGACGCTCACGCGATCAATGACCTCTCCAAGCAAAATTACCTCGAGATGCGCTGGGCCGTCAAACAGCCCCTGTACCGAATCCGTAAATACATCGAAGAAGCCCTGTACCACTACCTCCCCAGCTTAGGCTGGCAAACCCAGTACACCCGGGTCAGCTTCAGCAATCAGCGATACTCGGAGATCGTCCAAACGAATCGCCGGCAGGCTCGCATTCTGGGGCTTGCATTCGGTTCGACTGTACTCTCCGCGCTAACGGCGGTGGGGATTCTCATGTGGAAGAACCCGAACCGGTTTTCGTCCTCGTCGCTGCTGGCTGTATTGAAACAGCCGTTACGACGCCTAGGGGGTGTTTTGGCGAGGAATGCCTCTTAGCCCTTGCAATTTATTCCCTTCCTTGCCGGGAGGGAGGGAGATGCAACCTCATCTATCTGTACATTCATTGGCTTTCTCTCTCTCTCTCTCTTTCTTCCCCCTCTCCTTTCCCTTTTCTTCCCCCCCCCCCCCCCGGCATAGCTACGGTATTATCTTTTTTTCTTTCGCTGGCGCCTTCGTCCGCTTCTAGTATAGAGTTTGCGTGCCCCCTTTATGTGATACTCAGTTCAGTTCTCTAGAATTCTCTCCTATCAGCCTTCTGTACATACTATACTTGCCTTGTTTTCTCTTTTTGCGTTCATCGTCTTCAAAGGGGGAAATACATCAAGGTCTGAAATACAAATCACATGGTAAATCACTATAGTTAAACTATTTTTTTTTTTTTTTTTTTTTTTGAGATATGTCGGTAATTATTCTTATACTTTGCTAATTCCTCGCTCCATTAGTTAACTATTACTCCTATATTATTAACTTGGTAACTGCAAGTCTATCCAAGAAAGGGTTGTACTATGACCTACTTTACAGAAGGTAGGTAGTAGGGAACGTTCGACTTAGGGTGTAGGTTACTCCGTACAGCGTGTCTCTCTTACGCCGGTAGAAAAAATCCAAAAACAAATCAAAAACAAATAAATAAATAAGTACGTCCTATCATTTTCATTTCTTCCTCGGTGGATTGGTAGGTACATAGGTACCAGGTCAGGCACCTAACTAACCAGGTCGTGCAGTGTTTAGGCAGCAGCAGCCTGGTGCTGGTCATTTCAACAATTGGGCGTCCGTGGAAGGTCCTCAGGAGTTTTTTTTTTTTTTTTTAGGTTCTTTTGTTTTTCTCTCGTATGTTTTCTTGGAGTTTAATTATCAATTTATTCTCGTTCATTTTTTTGGTTGGTTCCGGACTTTGGCAAAAACCTCTTACTTGAGACGCTGAATCGATGCAAGTCAGTGAGTGACCCAAGGGATTCGAGAGAAGAGAGAGACAGAAAGAGCACATCCGATTCAAGAAGCCACGGGGGCTCTTATAGTCTTGGGAAACCAGTAGGAAAGTGAGACAGAGAGAGAGAGAGAGAGAGAGAGAGAGAGAAAGGACCCTCGAGGATGGAACAGGGTCGGGACATTAAACAACTTCATAAAACAAAACACAAACACACGTTCAACATGAACATCAACATCAAAATCATCAGCAGCATCAACTTCATCAGGGATAGATAATAAAGAATGACAGGAGGTAGGGTATCTCCGCCGTCAGCTCCAGGCTCAGGTATACAGTACACAGGATAAGCAAGGTATTCCAGATATTGGCAAAAATCACCCACAGCACAAATCAATAAGAAAACGCAGAGATACCACCCAATATCCAGTCAGGTGGGATATTCCCGTCCTATGAAGCCGAACCTCATAACGGAGACAAGTACAAGAGAAAAAACAAAAAGAAATTCGAAGGACTTGGGATTCAAGTCCTCCTGCCATATCCGGGACCACGGGGAGGGCTCCCCAACTTAGAGATAGATCCTGGGGGAAGACACCTGGGGACTTATATTCCAATTAATTGCGGGACGCGGATCCGTATAACCAAAGGCATAGCAATATATATGTGCGCTCCGTGGATAAAATTCCTTCCTGGAAGTGGATATACCTGGGATAATTTGGATATACCCCATAATAGTGTGGGACGAGAAGGAATCCAATTAATGGTTGGGTCGTAGGATAAATATTAGCCATGCTTGAAGAGGCATCATCTTCCTCAGGGAGTGTCAAAATCAACGGGAAAAAAAATAAAAAAAATAAAGCCATCTCCCCTTCAAGGGGTGGCAAACTTGACCCGACGGTTACGACGGTCCTGGATGCGTTTCTCCGTGTCAAGGTACAGACGATCAAGGTACTCCATGGCACTGGCATCCTTGAGAATTTTAGCCACCTGCGTACCGGCAGATATAAGCTGGAGGACATTTCGGTCATCCTTAATGGGGCGAGACTGATGCTTAGCGGCATGTCTCATTTCAAGAGAATTCTCCAACACCGTAACCAGTTGTTTAATCTGGCAATTATACAAAACCCTGGCGGGGATACGGCGCTTCGTAGCTAGTCTCCGTAGGAGGTATACCCATTCAGTCCATTCACGGTCCGATGGAACCCTCACCTGTCTCTTGTCTGGCTCCAATGGAATGGGAAATCGGTACTTTGCAACAAAGTCAAAGGCACATTGAGAGAGGCGATCATTTACAGAAGCCAGGATTCGATCTTGCTCTGAGACATCAAGATTAGTAGGAAGATGAGGTAGATCCCGCCCTTGATCTGCGACCATGCGGGGTGACGGGGCTTCTAAAAACTGATGAGGCCCATCAAACTCGTCCCGGTTCGCCGGGCGTCTCTGGGAATGATGTCGAACGTTGTTTTTGTACTTGTCGCTTGCACGACGGCCTTTCCTTTCGATCAGATATTCCGCATTCTCCAGGGGCTGCACGTAATCATAGTCCCGCCTCAGAGAATCAACCGGGAGGTGCGCAGGGTGTTTGAACTCGCGGTACACAGCCGATGGGTGTGGCAGCGGTCCCCTTGGAGATACCGTGATATTCCCAGGGGAGATTGAGGATACCGGAATGGCGCCCTGGGGCATGGAAAAGTCAAAATCTGATGACACAAGCTTCGGGGGCCGAGAAGAAGCAATTTGGGTCTCGACGGGTCCTGTATCCATCCGGGCTGGGGGGGAGAATGGTTTTGCGCTAGATAGAAGTGAAATGCAGCATTTCAGTCTCATATAATCTCACGTTATTAAAGGGGTAAAAGTAATACAAGATTCAGTTACCTTTGGTGATAAATCACGGGACCTTCAGTTGACGTCCCGTAGATTGGTGGCTGACGAGGAATGATACTAAGGTACAAGGTGAGCCTCTCTCAATGTACACAATCAATCAGAGGGAACGGGGAGACAGGGAAAGGGATATGAGGAAGATGCCCATTGGAGCTAACCTCGGATGGGACCAATCTGAATCACCGCTGCTCATGGAATGTGTGTAGGAGCTGCTTCCTGAAGTTGCTCCGGAGAAGTATGAAGACATTGCTAATATCGGGGGTTGAAGAATCGTAGGCATAGGTTTTATGTACATAGGGAAGAGAGGATCGTGGGATAAATCAAAGGATCTATCTGGGTGGGAACGGCGGGGGGATTTATTAGAACTGAGAGTCAATCTCCTTGTCCAACGGAAGTTAAAACCTTAGGCTCTAGATCAAAGAATACCTTGGGTGTGTCAGGTGTGTAAGAGGGAAAGCAGAAATTTCTTAATTCCACTCTGGACATGAGGCATATATGTAAAGATCAAGGCACGGGCAACGGCACCGAAGCGCCAGATAAGCTCCTACTTTCTCGGCTCCACGAGATGTACAGAGAGGCAGGGCCCTTTCTTGACCACTGGCTGGGGCAGGCTCGAGGCAAATATCCGTTCCTGCGAAGAGAAAGGAGGCGACGTATGCTGAATGTCAGGACCGTACGGAGTCGTACACACGGGTGGACAGCGAAGCCCAAGGGAAGATCTCCACTACCCAGGAAGTTGCCAGGGTTGGCTAGAACAATAGATTAAACAAACCTGGCGGTCACGATAAGATGACGATGGCGATCGAAAACCCATCGAGAGAGCCAGAGTAAGCAGCAAGAAGATCCCCGAGGGCAAAATCCCCTACCGTCTCGGTATCCTTCAGGTGGGTAGCTACACAGCCATTGGGAGTCCTTGGGTCATGGATGAACCCGGAAAGCGACTTGAAGGCGTTGCCCCCACAGGTAGAACGTGGCCAACATTCGTATGATGATCCTAACCTCAAATGAGATAGGAGCAAGAACCTCACTGCAAAAAAAAAAAAAAGAATGAGGAGAAAAAGCAAGGGTAGAAATGGTCGGGTTAGGGTTTTGGGCAGCAACGACAGAAGCTGGCATTCATGCATCTGCTAAGACACAACAATGACGGCTGCAAAGGCTTGGCCCCATTGGAGTTCCGTCGGCTCCTCCGTGAATAACATCGAAGGGTAGGTTGTTCGATCTGGATTCATGTCATCGGGAATTCGATGATAATCCACAGTGCTGGGTGGATTATTGGATGGTTGAGGGAATACAACTCCACCGGGTGTGTGATCGAAGTGATGATTGTTGCGGATGATGGCCGATAACTTAGTTAGACCTTCCTCCGCGATGTCAGCAAACTCCTCCTTCCACTAACTAACTAAATAGTTAGCTATTAACTACTAGCTTGAGCTCAACTGAAGTGCCGTGGCATTATCTCTTCCCAGCCCTCTGGTTTGGCACTTCGCTGACGGTCTTAAACTAGTAATTCTCGGTGCATAAAGTTGTGACTCCACAGCTGGTGCTAATGAGGTTTCATGAAGCAACACTACGCGGACGGCGCTGGAGACAAACTTTCCACATTTTTGCTTTTACCGGGAATTGATCAAACCCAGACAGAATTCCCACACAATGGCGGGTATGAGATAAAGAGGAAAGGGGAAAGAGGGGGGGGGGATTCTGCTGGAAGCACCGATTGAATTATCGAGACTCAAGGACCACCGAATTCGGTCCTGACAGCAGCCTAAGACAGAAGGACACGAGTGTGGAGATCATGGGATCTTCCTTTCTTGCTAGGATACTGGCGGTTCTGGAGGGAATTGGGCATACATATCACTGCATGTGTTGTTGCCCAAGCCTGGGGCGGTTTGCCAGCCGTCGAGTAACTTTTGCGAGTGATGTTCAGAAAACATGATACGGGTAGGAAATATCCCAATTGATGTCTTTGTTCAGTTTCTCCGCCTGCTTGCTTAACAAAAAAAGCCGGCGTCCTGGATTATTGGGTCCCTTGACCCCCGTTTCGTTCTTCGCAATGGCCCGAATAGTAGCGAATTCTATACCAAGCATAAAGACACTTTACCAAGAAAAAAGAGAGTAGAACGGTTTTACAAAGAGGGGTGTTTGAGAGGGTTCGCAAAAGGAAAAGTAGAATCAATCAATCCTGGCGCTAAGGGGGAGCTGAAGTAACCCGGCGGGACGCCAGCGTGTGTGATGATTTGGAAGCCTAATGGTATTGCTATGGGATACACACACCTCTTTGTGAGCCGACGGAAGCTGGCTTTCCGTCGCTGACTGTGAAAAAAAAAAAAAAAAAAAAAAAAAAAGGATGACAATTAGAAGATTTTTCTCTCGGTCATGATAAACCAATTCAGAAGTGATCGTAGAGCACCGAAGACTCGCAGCACGTTAAGTCGGGGGCTATTGTTTCCTTTGCGACGGGAGCACAATTCCCAGGCGACAGGCATATTCCTTGAACTCGGCGTCAATTGGAGGTTGTAAGAATGTCTTAAATGGCCGGTTAATCCTTGACATCCAGGTGACCTACCTCGCAGCTCATTCTAATACCATCCTCAATCCCAACCCGCGGTTCGTACCCCAAAATCCGCTTTGCCTTTTCCCCATTGGCATATCGAACGGCGCATGCATCCCTCACGCTACCGCGACTCAGGGTTGTCGTCTTACCGAAGACCCATGTTAAGCACTCAGATATCAAACCAACGGCATAAGCCAATCCTTGGGGGATATGGATCTCAAAAGGCGGAGTATGACCGAAATGGGTCCATATCGCCAGGCAGAAGTCCCTGAAGGCGATGGGCTCGTTGTTCTGGATGAAGAATGCTTCCCCAGCGGCAGTCCTGAAAGAAGTTAAGTTCTCTGCGGCTAAGACATGGGCATCTGCAATGTTGGTGACATAGGTGACATCCCATAGGTTGAATCCATCCCCAATGACAAAAGGAGTCTCGCCCTTTGCGATACACGCATGAATTGCGGGGACTAATTGATAGTCGCCAGGTCCACAAAGGACGGAAGGCCGGAGAGCGCAAGTAGCCATCGTATTGCAGGATTCTTGAAGGACCATGGCCTCGGCGGCAGCCTAACCATTGCCCCAACCCCATCGTCAGTAACTCTAAATCCAAGGCTCTGCAAATAGGGAAATGACAAATTTCAAGTAGGGTCCGGACCTTGGACTCCCCATAGATGAGAGATGTACGGGGTGTAGGCCATCGCTCATCAATGTTCGGGTAGGGCATCCCCATTTGATCCGTCACGACGCAGCAGGTACTGGTGTAAACGAAAGCTTTTACTCCACTCTCTTTAGCCGCCGCAAGCATATTCCTAGTTCCTTCGACATTGATTCTCCACACATCTTTCTCCAGCCCTCTTCCAAACCGCTCAGCAAGGACAGGAACAAGGCCAGCCGTGTGAATTACGACATCTGGCCTCACTTGTTGACATGCCTTGCTAACTTGGTCAGCATTGGTGATGTCTAATTGAATGAAGGAGGTGTGATCTGGCACGGGATGCGCCGGGTTGGGAGGATGTAGGTCGATGATAGTGATGGCACAGTCCGCGTATCTCTCCGCGAAAGCTCTTGCGGTGGCTGCGCCCACAAACCCACATCCGCCCGAGATGACAATGTTCTGAATACGCACAGCACCTCCAGACATTTTGACCACTCCAGAATATGCAGCTTATCTTTTCGCCCCTCTTCCTGGATTAGCCACAACTGAGTAGTGAGACTCGGATTGACCAGGCCTTAGATTGCCTCGCCTGTCCTGTTCCCCCCGCAGTTAATATCAAGAATGCAGGGAAAGGGCAGCTCACCTACAGATAGTAAAGAAGTCATACAGCAAACTAAACGATTGCTATCAAGATGGTTTCTGCGGTGGCCATCCACTCATAGAAAGATGATGAACGACAGCTGAGGAGAATGAAGGAAGTTATTCTCGCTCAACAACCAAGATCACAGGACCTCGGAGTAACTGGTAAGCCGTCCATCGACTGGGGGCTGTACAGATTACGGAGGGAGAAGAATATCGTTTCACAAGAACCAAAAAAAGAAAGAAAAAAAGAAAATACAGAGGAGTAAATAAATAGTACATGAAGTCACCTAGGTTAATATACAAGGTATCTGTTCATCCCAGCAGTCGCAAGCAAAAGAAACAAGACCCGAAGCTCGGGAGGGATGTCGTGACTGACCAAACTCCGAATAAAATGCAAAACCCACACACCACACTCGCGCGTAGTATCGACTCTTTTTATCTTGCTCTCTTACGATTTAGAGAATTCGACAAAGAACCAGTCCTCCCAGCTTTTTCTCGACACATTCTCGCGCTTCTAGAATGCCCTGGTCCGTCGACAAGTAGAGACTCTCACCAGGTGATCGTAATCCCTCAACATAGCTGCTCTTCTCCCCACGAATAACCTGGCGCAGACCAGCAACATCGATGGTAATTCTCCTTGTAGGCTTGCTAACCATGGTCATCTTTCCCAGTACCGGCTCGCTTTGCCAGTACTTCAATCCCAGCCAGAGACGTCTCGAGGCAACATTGGTTTGTGTCAATGGCTCCACACCCTGGACCTCGTCATTGACGGTCGGGTTTCCGAGAAGATTATGGATAGGAGGAGGAGTAGGACCTCCGCGGACAACGGAGGAAATGTAGCCGGAGTTCTGGAGGGCGAGGCATAGTTTCAGGTGTAGGTTGGAGTTGGGGATGGAGGTAAACCCCAGTCGGGCTTTTGTGGCATTGTTGAGATGCGAGCAGACATGAGAAAGGTTGACGAGAGACATTTTGAATGGTGAATTAGAGAGCAATTGGCGCCCAGAAGGGACCAGTGGTAGAGAGAGCCGGTGAAGGTGGTTGTTTGATTTTTGAACGCGGGACGTGAAGGCAAGGCGTAAGGGAAATTTCGCTGCTAAACGAGTACCGATCCAAGAAAAAAAAATGCCCGAGACGATGCTTGAGCCCTAGTTCGAAAACGCTCAAAACGGGTCAATAATGCGAATCTGGAGAATCTGGAGTTCTTGAAGCCATAAACAACCAGCTGCGACGGGAAATTCGATGAATTTTTCGGATAAACAGAAACGACGAGTCCCGAAGTGGTGCCCGGACGCTAAGGCAGCAACGCCCTCGAATCGTCATCGTCGTTTATGCAAAGCCGATTTGCATCTCGAAGCGCTTTCATAGCCGCCGACCTTCTGGACTTCTGCATCTCACCGTCCAATAGCGCGTGGCCTAGTAAGTGATCCCCCCTCAGTACTCCCCAGCAGGAGGGCTCTATATATCCCTCTTCTCAAATCCCCTTATCTTTTTCCTTTGCATTTCTATCACGACCCTGTCCCCCATACCCTCAGAGCTTCTCAAACGAGACCTAAATAGCTCATTATGCCTCCTTTATCAGGCGAAGAGTGTATGCTAACTGTGTGAGTGCCTAGGATTCTCGTTACCCCGCACATGGTCATTCTGCGTGGACTCAACTGATGCCTCTATCTATAGCTTTGCGGATATCCATTATTACTTCACAGCACCAAATCCTAAACCGCTGCTCCATCGGTTCGATAAAGGCTCATATCTATATCTCTATCACAATGCGGCCTTGCACACGACGCGGATTGAAGTAGCGAACAACCCTGGAACCCAAGACCAGGATGCATTCAATGGGAGTAAGCAGAGTACAACCGTTCGTTCTGAGGAGTCTCCTATACTGACCCGCTATTAGCTCTTGACCATGTTCACTTGCGCCACTCCACCAGGTTTCCGACGTTATGTACCTTGACCGTGGACGGCCAGGGGCAAGCACAGGCCTACCCCCCACCACCCTCCAGCACAAGTCCTTATGACTGGCAATTACCCAGCCACGACCCCCGTGGAGAGACTACAATCCAACGTCTCAACACCTTGGACATCTATTTCTGGACCCAGGATGACGCTGATCAGTTCCTGGATCTTGCGGAGCGCTATTTGCCCAGCGCCCAGGTTGAAACCGACCGACATCCCTATCAACCTGCGTCAGAGACCCACGCTACCAGTACTATTGTCCAGCAACTTGAGAACGTAGCGATCACAGATCCCGCGTACCAAAACGGACAGACCAGAAACTCCCAGTCAGAAGTAGTTCCAAACCCTGGCGCGCACTCCGTCTCTCCTGGTGCATCAGCTGGTTTTCCTCCACCTCCACTCAGTGGTCCACCCCCCCAACAACCATCCCCAATAAACCCATCTCCGGCAGAGCAGAAGAGGGATTCCGCCCAATTTGCGCCCTTGCCGTATAACCCGGCGGCCCCCGCTGCGCCCGAACCGATCAAGCACCGCGAGAAAACACCTCCTCCCCCGGATGCCGGAGAAGGGACCGGTCTCGCCGCAGCTATGGCCGCAGACCAAGGCATCCTATACTCGGCTCCTTCCCAACTCTCAGGAGGAGTCTATACTCATCGCCCTACGCAGAGCCAAGCAATTCCATATTCCATGCCCGGAAGCTATGCGTCACCACCCCCTAGTGCGGGACTAACCCGGGCGGGGACATTCCCCTTACAAGCATCCAGCCAAGGGCCTTCGGGATTGCCTCCGTATTCCCCTGGTTTCCCCGCAGGCGCAGGACCGCACCATGCCCAGGGAGCACCGATGATGTCCTTTGCACCACCTCCTACGGATCAAAACGCGCACCTAGCGCAGGAGCCCAGCCTCTACGGTACCCAAGTCCCAGCAATTGGCGGCTACTCAGACTATTCCTACGACCAGACGCCCCGGCAACACCGGTTTAGTTCCGAGTACGATGTTCATAACCAAATGTACCGACCAACAGAAGCAGAAGCCAAGTCCCATCTCCAGAAACATGCTCAGCTTGCCGTGCAGAATCCAGGACAGCGGCCACGGAAGCTCGAAGACAGCGCCATGCGGATGGAGAATAGTGTGAACAGATTCCTGAAGAAGCTGGAAAGGAAGATCTGATCCCGTGTTGGTTGTGCTTCTGGGTTACCATGTATCAAGAGAGTTTTAGCAAGCGTTCCCAATTCAATCTAATCAATGCGTTTTTTTTTTTGTGCAGGGATACCACCACGACGATTTTATATGAAGACTCCACTTCTTCTTCTTCTTCTTCTTCTCCTTCTTCTTCTTCTTCTTCTTCTTTTTCTTTTTCTTATGTATCGGCAACCCTATCCACCATTTAAGAACGCCTATTCTCCCCTCAAAATAATTCTATAAATAATAAAGAAATCCACCATCCATTTCCAGCTGCAGCTCAAATTCATACATGCACGTCCCGATTACAACCCAACCAACAATCATCAAGTACTTGCGTTCAACTGAAATGGATCACGGGTGCAGAGAGCCCCCGGGCTCAGTGTGAATAAAAGTATTGGTGAGTGAGAAGAGGTGCAAAACCAAGCTAATTGGGTTGTTTAGTTCATGAGGAATGAGGGATTTCAGTACAGGGTTAGTGGATTATTATTATCATTACAGTTAAAGGGAGGGGAGGACTCCTAAGAATTGAGATTGATCGAGGTATTTCCCACAGGAATCGCTAATAACTAACTAGGAGTGTGAATGTGACAAACCAGACCCCTTAACTACCTCGATACCAGCCAGTTTGATCCCCAGGAAGAAGTAATTCAACTCACTATTGAAAGAAGCAAGTCGGAATCTCATCTTTCAAAACACAAAGATGAATGAATGACAATCCGAAACGGAAGCCCCTGCTAGCCCATATCCCCAACTCAGATAACCACCTCGAACTAATGCTGCGCCAGCTGTCCTTAGCTAGGCTCTAAAAGAACCCCAATGAAGATTAAAACAATAAAAACCAGGTTCAAATATTATCACAAGAAGATATATCGAATGAAGACAGAAATGATGAAGTGAAGGAAGAAGAAGAGGAAGAAGAGAAAGAAGAGGAGGAGGAGGATGCGAAACCAAAATACTCCTACGCAGATCAGATGCAAGATGCGATAGAAACGCTAAATCACCAATCATGAAACGATGCTGTGAGAAACACAATCGGTGTCAAATGGAAGAAAAAGAATAGTCCCAAAATGGGAGGCAAAGCAACAGAAAATAAACAACAAGATGAAAAGGCTGACTTCCGGGGTGCATCGAAGGATAAGGGTATAGAAAGATATGTTACGAGAAGTGAAATAAATGGGCAAAATATTCGGACCAAGCTGGCATACGGAAACGCCTAGTGCGTGGTATTATCGTTCAACGTCAGCTGATTGATATCGATACCAGCCGGCCTCCGTGCTGGCCGTTTCAGGGGGTAGCCTCTGGGGCAGCTTCGGAGACAGCGTCAGTGGAAACCTGGGCTTCCTTCTCCTCTGGCACAACAGGAGCAATGTCAGACTCGGCTTGGCCACTTTCATGGACAGTCGTTTCAATAGGGGCCGGGGTGAATTTCTCGGCTTCCTCGGGAAGAGACTCCACAGGAGCCTCTAGCTGCTCCGCCGGCTCGTTAACTTGAGTTTGAGATTCAAGAGGTGTCACTTCTAGCTGATTCGCAGGCATCTGGTCCGCAAGTTTGCTAGTCAAAGCTTCAGCGGGCTCAGATAGCTCAGGGATAGGCTCCGTAGAGACCTCAACAGATGGTTCGACGGGGGGTGCAGCAGGCGTGTCCTCGTGGGAATCCACGCTCACAACTGACTCAGGAGATTTATCAAGACCTGTGGCAGTCTCCTCAGAGGTCTCTGGGACAGTCGTCTCCTGGACAGGTGCCACATTGGGGTGTTTCTCTTCCAACTCTGGTGCAACGACTTGTTCTGCAGCACTTGGCTTCTCCTGGGACTTTTCAGCCACGCTCTGATCCTCCTTGACGGGCCGCGTGGAGCGAGTTTCCAGCCTGGAAGGTACCCTTCTCGGAGCACGAGCAACCTGGGGGCGAGGAGGACTTCGAATTTCTAATTTCTCATGTGCCTTGTTCGCCGAGCTAGCAGTTGGGCGCATCATCCTCGCAAGAAACCCCTCATCCACGGGCTTCGTGCTACTATTGCTTGTCCGGGAATGCGGGCGATCGTTCCCCGCATGTCCAGGGGAGGTACGGGTTGCTTGTTTGCGAACGCTGGCAGCTGTCGGGGTGACGGCGCGCTGGGCTGCAGATCCGGCATTTCTCAAAGTAGATGGTTTGCGGGACAACGTAGAGGTAGGTCCCACCTTTGCTGCTGGAGCCAGGCTGGGGGCCGTGCTTGAAGCGGGTGGTCGAGCTTGTCTAGGTAAGGACCCAGAACGAACATCGCTTGGCCGGTGTGTTGACTTTGCTGTCTCGCGAGCTGGTGTTGAAGCCCGAGCAGGCCTTGCAGCAGCCTTGACCGTAGTATTTAAGGAGGCTCGGCTTGGTTTGTGGGCCGGTGCCTTGGGAGAGTCGGTGTTTGTCTTGCTGGTTGAGGGCCTAGGAGCGCGAGTTGCAGTGGCTCTTGCGGCTTTCTCAGTCCCGGGTTTGGTAGGCGAGGTCGGCGTGCGTGGTTGAGCTGGGGATTTTGGCGCTGGCGCAGCCGGTTTGCTGGCCGACAAAGTCTTCGCAAGCACAGCCGGTGGTTTCTTAGAAACTGCTTTGGTCGGCTTCGGAGACGACAAAGCGGGAGTTGGTGGGGACGACAGCTTCGGGGCCGGCTGGCTTTCCTTGTTCGCGAATGGTGTTGGCTGCTCAGAGCTTGTGTGTGCAGTGGACGGCTCAGTGACCTCGGTTGAAGTCTCCTTTCCCGTCTGCCCACTCATCTTCTGAGTGGTTCCCAAGCTGTTGGTGGTTTGGATTGACGATGCGACGCTCTTGACGCTGCCGTCCAGATCATCCGAGTTAAGGCTTCTGGGGCCCTTGGCTGAAGGAGGAGGGCTGTCGCTGGTGCCGCTGATGCGCTTCAGGCCGATAATGGGGTTCGACGGGGTTCCTCCGTCCACGGCAATGAAACTCGCGCGCACTTTGGACAGGTTGTCCGAGTTGACGGGAGATCGTCCACGGGAAGGCGGAGAAGGAGTCTTGTTCTGACTGTTTTCGAATCTGGCGAGGAGACTTCTCACGCCCTGATGGGCACCTGTATCGGTCATGGTGGGTTGGTAAGCAGGCAGTCAGGAGAAAACGGCGGTGGTGAGTTGGAGGTAAGGAGGCCAACGCTGGCCGGAGCTCAGTGGATCGAACGAGTGTAGCAGCTGCAGCGGTGGTTTTCTCAGGTTAAACGCATAGAAGAAGGTAGAATTAAAATGGAGGTCGAGTTCAACCTTGTCCACGCCAGGAAGAACAGCTGGCCAAAAGGGCAAAAAAAGGGCTGAACGCGCTGGTAAGATGGTTGAAACAGAAGCGGGGAGGCAACGGGATAATAAACGGTTGGCGGCAATAAACAAACCACCACAACAACCAGGGAGGAGGAGAGACAAGACCAGAAAGACAAGAAAGACAACTGAGCAAGCTGATGCTGATCAATAATGAAGCTGGGGGGAAAGCATGATGAAGGAAGACACTAGAAACAGGCTAGAATCAAGTGAGAGAAAGAAAGGAGAAGAAGAGACGAAGTGGTGGTCGGTGCGAGCCTCAGGCAGCAGCCATAGCAGCAGGATGCAATTCAGGGGTCGGGTGGGCGGCTTCACCTTTAATTGCGGTTATAAGGTAAGACTCACTCTCGTGCTCATTCTCTCTGGCTTTAGTAGATTCCTTTTATTCAATAATTTCGGCGAGTTTATCCAGTTTTGTGCTTTGCGTGGCCCCATAGCGCCGGACACTATTGCTTTCCAAGGGACGGCAATTTATCTGTCCCTTGAGAGCTGGCAGGAGATTCTGGGTTTAAATAATGCTTTAATCCCTTGCAATTCAAAAGGGTTGTCTTTTCTATGTCAAACTACTATGGGAGGGTGCTGTTCCCTCACGGCATACTCTCTCTCGACTCCGAAATCCTGATATAGGGAGTTCACATGTCCCGTTGTACACTCGTCCAGGCCTCCCCTGTAGAATTGCAGGACTCCTGCAGTCCCCTGCAATCTTAGACTCCCCATGACCCTGTAGACGAATGATCTTTCTTTTCCTTGTGAAATTTCGCGTATTCTCTCACCCCTCAGGTTCAAAGGTTGGTGGATCTTAAGGTCAGATGGAGTGTGTCTATCCAATGAATCACACTGTCAGTTCATTCATAGCAGGACGGACCGAGGTATTATATTGACCATCACAATTCTTCCAATATACCGGCAGTGGTGAGACCCTGGATAGGGATTGTGTGCCTTGCTTCAATTATTTACTCGGAAAACAGAGAATTGATGTTGCAACTGGTTCCGTGAGGGTGTTAGGTGAAACGCTCGGCAGCATCCGGAGATTCGTGCTAACCAGAAACCTGGTCTGGTCCAATTTTGATCGGTTCAAAAGTTCAAATTTCAGATATATCGCTCTTCTTTCGAATTTTTCGGCGGATTCTAAATTGGTCATCGAGCAATGATGATGGCTCTGGAGGGCGGGGGGGTTGTGCCCTTGTCCGTGCCAATTCGCGGAGTAGATCTAGAACACAGTCAAATGAATCAATAAACCAGTCTTCATCTTATTCAGGAGATGACAGACAGCAGGATGTCAAAGTAGAGCGCCGTTGCTCCCGGCTATACTGATCGGATCAACGTTGTTCCCGTCCACATACAAAGAGTTTCATCCGATTGCGGGCCATATTCTTGTCCAGTAGGAAATCTCAACGGATTCACACCATGGCTGCCGCTAGGACTCTTCGCATAGGTCAATTGGGCTTTTCTTGTGTTACGCTGAATTTGCGGTGTATGTAAACTTGCTGACATCGCTCCTTGCTTAGGTCTCATCCCCGGTGATGGTATTGGCCGCGAGGTCATTCCCGTAAGTGTTCCCTCCGTCCAACGAACAAGAAAGAGACATTCTAAAGAAGTTATATGATTAGGCCGGTCGACGAATTCTGGAATCTCTCCCTAGCTCCCTCAACCTGAAGTTCAGCTTCGTTGACCTAGATGCGGGTTTCGACTGCTTCAAGCGCACTGGCACCGCCCTGCCCGACAAGACCGTCGATACCTTGAAGAAGGAATGTGACGGCGCTCTGTTTGGAGCTGTTAGGTAGGCCCCATACGCAATGTCCCATTATTTGTCCGTAAACCTGGCTAAATATATTTTTTTTTTTTTTTAAAAAATTCAATAGCTCCCCCAGCACCAAGGTCGCCGGCTACTCCTCGCCCATCGTTGCACTCCGCAAGAAGCTCGATCTCTATGCCAACGTGCGGCCTGTCAAGACCACCGCCGGTACCAGTGGCGGCAAGCCCATCGACCTCGTCATCGTCCGCGAGAACACTGAGGATCTCTATGTCAAGGAGGAGAGCACCGAGGAAACCCCCAACGGCAAGGTTGCCCGGGCTATCAAGCAGATCTCCGAGCGCGCTTCAATGCGCATCTCCACCATCGCTGGTGAGATCGCCCTGCGCCGCCAGAACATTCGCGACGCTTCTGCCGCCGCTGGTCTCCGTACCAAGCCCATGGTGACCATCACCCACAAATCCAACGTTTTGTCGCAGACTGACGGTCTCTTCCGGGAGACTGCGCGGGCCGCTCTCGCTGCGGAGCGCTTCACCTCTATTGAGGTTGAGGAGCAGATTGTGGACTCGATGGTTTACAAGCTCTTCCGCCAGCCCGAGTACTACGACGTCATTGTTGCTCCTAACCTTTACGGAGACATTCTGTCTGACGGCGCCGCTGCTCTGGTCGGTAGCTTGGGTCTTGTGCCTAGCGCCAACGTTGGCGATGGCTTCGCTATCGGAGAGCCTTGCCACGGAAGTGCTCCTGACATTGAGGGCCGGGGTATTGCCAACCCCATTGCCACTCTGCGCAGTGTTGCTCTCATGCTGGAGTTCTTGGGTGAGGAGAAGGCCGCGGCCAATATCTACTCTGCTGTGGATGGTAACCTGGATGAGGGCAAGTACCTTTCCCCTGACATGGGCGGAAAGGCCACAACCCAGGAGGTTTTGGATGATGTGTTGAAGAGACTGTAAACTGTATATAGGACTGCTAGATAAGGGGTGCTAAAATTGCATTAATATAGTATAAACTATATATTATCAGCATACCTTTATTATCCAACCTGCTCAGTGTCTTGTTCTCCTTCTCCTTCTCCTTCTCCTCCTTCTTCTTCCGTATCCGAAAGTAAAACCAACGTAAACACAACAACAAGATACACCTGTCCCGTCCCCCGATTCTTCAAAACATACCGGAGAGAATGCGTCTTCTCATCAATATAATTCAACGCATTAATCTTGAACCCAGGAAGACGGAGTGTAAAATCTATTCCCGGCAGTTAACCACAGATAATATAAACCAGTGAACCAAGAACTCTGTATAAAAAACAAAAGCCACAGGAGAAACATACCATTAAAATCCAAATACCGATTCCCAAAATCAACATAATATACCCTCCCCGCCTCAAAAACGAACCGCTTTCTGGTTTCTTCGCGCTGGAAATGTCCTCGTCGCCCCTCGACATCCCCAGGGATCCCTTGCCTTTGTCGGATGTCCAACCCGGTCCCATCTCCTCCTTCTTCGACAATGTCGCCGTGGTGGATATCATCGGGTAAGTCACCGTTCTCGTTCTCGTTCTCGTTCTCGTTCGCATTCCCATCCCCAATCCTAAACTGGTTCCATGTCGCCAAAGCAGGACTATACAGATAGGGTCTATCCGCGTAAGGATCCCCATCTAGCGACGGGTCAATCGTCCACTGGACCAGACGCAGCGCAGCCCCGAACCCCAGCGGGAGTCGATCGCGAATTGGACGATCAAAGTCATTGCCGAAGAGTAGGTCGTTCCCGTTGACAGGGTCAGTGAAGACGATCGCGAAGGAGATGGAGTATTGGTCCTTTCTATGGAGGGGATGGGAGAAGTAAGGCGTTGTCTTGGGAGAAGTACATGGGTAGCCTTTTTTTTTTTTTTTCTCTCCCTGGTTAGATAGATATAGAAGGTAGGAAGGTAGTAGGTAGTAGGAAAGAATCCTCAGGTTACCTGTATAGTTCTGGATTCGGACACTTAGCCTGGTACATGCGTGTTCGTTTTCGATTACAAGTGTCTCTGGGGTATTGACGCGGACGATTCGGTGCGTGGTTGGATTGTAGTCGCTTCCTGCGGTAACTTGCAGTCGGTATTTCGAGGCTGCGGCTTGCTTGGATTCTGACATGTGGATGCGATACAAGAACAGAACAAAATAGCTTAGCTACCTAACACATCCCGTATATTGTTGGAAATCTGATCTTCCCTCAGGTACATGCAGGTTGATATATAGATGGCGCCCTGTTTTATACTGATAGGCGGACTACGTCATCGCTAAAGATAGAGATCACAGTGTGCGGCTGATTGGAACAACCAGGTTGAATTCGGATTATACAGTCTATTATAATATCATACATCAAATGAAAACAATCCAAATAGTCATACGAGCTAATGTACAGATTCCCTCCCCCCAAAAAAAGAAAAAAAAAAGGTCAAAGGTCGGCCGGATCAGAAGGCAGCAACTCAAGCTCATCCTCGGTCAGGATACCGATTCCACTGTCCAGTCGTCTGCGATGCTTTCCACGTCCAACCTCCACGTCAACGAACCTAGTCATACTGACAGGAGTGATGGGTTCACTGCCAAGAGGCGTCTCGGATTGTAGCTCGTCCGATTTCATTTCCCAATTGGCAGCACGGGCTTTCGCCTTTCGACGCTCGGAACTGACTGTGGATTTCATAAACGCAAACGACCGTGCTTGCTCGGCCGCCCAGCTATCCAATAAGCTGTCTCTAGCCTCAACTTCGAAGCGTAGTTGCTCTTCAAGGCCAAAATGGGTGTGACGAAGCTTCTCGGTTTCGGTTTTGGCTGCCTCAAGCGCTGTGTTGAGCTCGGAGACGCGGACATTCATCAGCCCGAGTTCCTGGTCGTGCTTTGCATCCTGCTCCGCAGTGCTCTGCTTCCAGCTTTCAATCGCTTCGGACCGCTCCCGTTCCATCCTTTCAACCTTGGTAGTGAGATCGCAAAAGCGTATGCGGTTGTGCTCGATGACCTCTTCAAGCTCGCGGATCAGCCGTTCCCTTTCGGAAATGGTTGATTCGGCTGCTTGACGGGCATTCTCTTCGGCTGCAATCTTCTTCTCCAAGTCTGATATTTGCTGGGCATGTTGCTCACTGAATTTAGTTCTTTCATCTTCCAGCCTCGTAACAAGTAACTCGAGGCCGTTCACCTCACCATGGTATTTGCTAAGGGCACTGTTCAACCTGTCGATGCCAATAACATGCTCCTGGGCCTCGTTCTCTAGTTCCTGCATGCGCATCCTGGTGTGGAGCATGTCCGCAGCAGAAGAGGAAATCGAGTCCTCTAGGTCGTGTATCTTCTTCGCTGCGGCCTCATATCTCACCAGTAAATGATCAAACTGGCCACGCAGGGCTCTTTCGCGGTCAGCAGAGCCTTCATGTCGCGTCCGCTCCTCCCCGAGACCTTTGACAAGGGTCTCGACTCGTTTTACTAGCGCACCGAGAGTAGAAGGGCCGTCATTTAAGCTAGCATGGGCAGTCTCGCCGGGTACTGCACGCTCCAGTTCAAGACGAGCAGAGCGGAACCGGTCTCGCATTTCCGCGATAATTTCCATTGCGTTGGTACCCGAGAACCCCAGATCAGAGAGTTCATGTTGGATGGAATCGAGAGTGCGAGTAGCATTGGAAGCTCGATCCAGCGCTTGCATTAGCGTAGGAAGAATGTCGTGGAGGAAGTCCGGTGGTGGAGACGATTGATGCAGATGGCGTCCAAGCGCTGTGTTATCGAGTGAGCCAAGACGAGAGCGGCAAGCATCAAAGAGATTTCTCTTCTCTTTCTTTGCGACCTCAAGATCGTGGGAAAGCGCGGCAAGTTCAGCATTCTCCGAGGGTTGGGCCGAGCCGCCCGCGTTTCGACTGAGCAGGGAAGGGTCGTCGGGGACTGACGTCGCGCGCATATCGGCGACGCGGATGATCGGAGAATTGGACATAAGTAGCGTGTCTGCATCGAAGCCGCTATCGTTGATCATGATTGTATCAAACTCGCCATCTGTGGTGACAGAGTCTTCGCGTGTTGAAAATGATAACTGGGTTCGCAGTTGGTCGTTCTGAGATTCTAGATGGTCAATTCTCTCTCGAGGTGCCATCCAGTCTCCGTCATCGGTAGTCGAATGACTTTCCGGGGAGATCTGGCGCTTTTTCACTAGTTCTAATTCTTGCTGCAAGGCGTTCCTTTCTCGGAGCAGTGATTGCCAAGTCTTCTCATATTGAGCAGATGCTCGCTTCTCGCGTTCTATGTTGTTGAGCTCTTCACTTAGACCCAGTCGTCTTATTCTGCGCTGTGTCCGCGAGTCTAAAATCTGTCGCAGAGGAGTAAAATGGAGAACCCTCTCTGATGAGGTAGAGTCCAAAGGGACTAAACTATCGGAGCGACGGTTCCGTGGCAGAGGAGTTGAGCGTCTTCGCAACCTGCGACTTGGACTGCCTTGTAGTACAGTGACTGCGTTGGATTCTTCAAAGGAAGTGCGGCACATGGCTGGGGTAAGCCCCGTAGAGTAGTCAGGGCATGGCAGCCTTGGGCCTGGGTCCGAAAAACGGACTTTTTTGTTTGGGCGAGGGGTGACAGCATCGTCGAAGCGACGGGAGCTGCTGCGCAAGACTCGAGGACTTGGATTGACGTCCAGGGCACCGCTATTGCGCCTCTTTCTTTGAGAATGTCTGGTATCCACCATGGTATGTACCTACCTAACAATCCCTTTGAGGTGATGGAGTCTGGGCTTCCGCTAAATGGATCTACTTAAAACGAAGTCAATGGTCTCCGGCTCATGAACCGTTGCACAGACGTATTTAACCCCTGTAGATAAGACGATCCACCAAGATGGCGCAGACACGAATACGGGGTAGGCACCAAGAGGATCACAACAAACAACCCGAAACCGATGTTGCTACCTGCAGGTTCATTGGGATTGTTGTGGTTATTTCGGTCTTCCTTACGCGCGATGGATCCAGCAGGATTACCCAATTGGGAAATCGTAAACAAGGCAGCCATCAGGTGACCGTCCATTGCCTGAGCGCTCAGGCAGCCACGAGCCTAGCAACGAAGGGCATTTTGAGGGCATTTTGAGGGCATTTCGAGGACTGGAGGAGAATCCGAAGGTGGTTTCGTGCATTTGGTCTGCTGTCGTGGAGAAATGAATCCATTCCGAGTCATCCTCAGGTGGAGAAGAGAGGAGAGCTCATTTTCGATCCGATCAGGAACACCACGACGGATTCTTTCTGAATGCAAGACGGATCAGCTTCTGCATCGTTCATGCTCCATTATCTCCTGGGGACCATGATCAGGAAATTCCCCAAGTCTCGATCAATAATGAGAGCTCTTTCGAGTTGTCGGGTGATGTCATCTGGGGAACCATTAACTATATTGCCTCTTTGACGTGGACCTCCACCAACTTCAACTAACGGAACAACAACACTCGCAAGTCCTGATCTTCATCTAGGATTCGCTTGATATCGTCCGTCTAGTCGTGTCTCCCTTTTTCTAGTACATTCTTTTTCCCTGCTTTTTGCCATGCCTCATCGATTGAGCGGTGAACCTCTCTTGAAGTGATTCCTGTCCTGCACACCCCCTCCTTTCCTGCCGTCTTCCTCTCTATGGCATGGCTGTTGCTCGGACAGCCACCACCATAGTCATCAACAATGGACAATTCTCATGAGAGTGGCGGAGAACAACACCGTCTACTCTCTCTGCCAGACCTCGAGTCCAAAACGGTTCAAAACTTGAATACTCCCCTTCTCCAACTCCCTCCCGAACTACTCTCTCAAATCCTTTCATACCTCTCCGCGCCACATTTAGCCTGTGTTTCCGGAGTCTGTCGGTCACTAGCCGAACATGCGCAGAATGACCTTCTATGGGCGAATTTGGTAAACGCTTATTTACCCGAGCCGATCCACGACCCGGGGGTTTTCGACTCCTTCCGCAGTCTCTATCTTGCCCATTACCCGTGCTGGTTTATCCCCCGAAGCAAAGTGTGGTTTTCCGACACAGAGCATACTGGCAACCTCATTATAGCACGGTATGACCACCGTCGGGGCGTCATCGAAGCTTATCGCGTGATTGCAGAACGGCCTCCTCACAAGTTCCAGATCTGGGAATATAACCCGGACGTTCTGATTCAAACCTTTGACCCGAAGGTCAGTCTTTGGCTTGACGATCCGGTCCTTTTGTTAAAGAAGGGCCAGAGCAGCCAAACCAGATATCTGGACGGCGAATCGCGTATGCGCATGCCAGTAGAAGTACAACATGTCTTTAATGCATTTTCGCTCTGTTGTCCGAGTACATCTCAAATTCTCGATGCCAACACCCAGTGGCCTCCCCCATCCATTCCAAGCGAGCATCGTGTGTACCGGGATGCAGAAGTCCACTGGTCCGAGTGGAACCGCCACCCTCGACGGCTAGAGAAGATGTCTGAATGCGCGTTTCGAATCAGACGATGGGCGCATTTCCGGCTGGGCATGCCCATCTTCACTGCAGGCCGAAGTGAGACACTTTCCACTTACGCAACCCTGGATCCGAGCCTATACACTCCCACGAAGGAAAAGCCCTACCAAGGGATCTGGGTGGGCGACTACTCGGCCCACGGATGCGAATTCCTGCTGTTTATGCAGCGAGGCAAGGACGGGGATAATCTCTCCGAGCTTGAAGCAGAAAACCAAGGCATTATCCAGAAAGGCAGCCTAGAAGCCGTCAAACTCACAGGAGACCCAAACGTCCCCCGGGGTCAAATATCGTTCATGTCCGATGACATTGGGCCCGGCGGTACTGTGCGGATCGCAGACGAGGAGATCTTCAAGGGGGGAAGAGTTGTGCGTTCCAAGGGCCACCTGGCGGGTCTTGGATTCAGAGATGGTAGGTTCTCACTCTTACATCGTTTACATTTTCTGATTATCATCATCATTATCATTATCATTGTTGTTGTTGATATTTTTTCTGACGCGATGGTGTCTAGATACATTCATTAATTCCCAACTTATCCTCGTCTCAACCGACTGTGTCGCTCATTACTGGGAATCCATGGGCCATATATCGTATTTCCGTCGGCTTGACATCGACGCCCTCATTCATACGTGACAATCTGTAGAGCGTAATGCAGCAGACGGAACCCCAACTAATGATTTATGAAAACTTACGAATAACGAGCTCACTGTTGACGAAGCCGGCGAGAGTAACTATTTATTTTATGCCTTGGTCTTTTTCTGATCACATCACATCACATCGCAATCTTGGCCGCAATACCTTGAGGAGCGCGTACATTTATTCCACGACATCTTTCTCCCGTATCCACCCTTTTTGTTCGGGGCGGGGGGTTCTCATGATACATTCTGGATATGATTGGGAATGATTCTTCACTTTGCGTTTTTCTCTTATATGCTGAGCGTAATAACGGGTATACCTGGGGAATTAGTACACTGCCTAATGTAACATATGCTTCCGATTTTCCTCGGGGGGTTCCTACCGAATTGAAATTCTAATTATTGTTGCCTAGTAGTCGAGATTGTTCACTCTACCGTACGAGAGGCAGGCTGACGGATTAATTGGAAACTGAGAATATATATTTTTATTCCTTTTTTTTTTTTTCTTTCTGTCGAGCTCGTACTCATTTGCTGATAATCTAAACAAAACTACCGCTGTATAAATATATATATTAACTTACACACCACTTATTCGTGGGGAAATCAAACACGGCATCTCAAAATTCCCTCAGTCATATGTACATGTCCACGCAGAGAACGGACAGGCTCGAGAAACGATGATGCCAATACATGACAAACAAGTAGGAGATAAGAAGGGCAAAAAAGAAAAGAGAAGAACAAGTAGGTAGGCAAGTATGTAGGCAGGTGAGGAGCGATTCTAGAACCAATGGGAAAAGTAAGGTAATGTATACACGGAACGTAGTCCAGCAGGTAAGAATAACGATTTCCAACGCCACGGGTTGCAGATTTTGCACGGCTGAGTCGAGTCGAGGAGAGCAATAAAGAGTCAAGAGTCAAGGAAAAGAAAGGAACGGAGAGAAGTTAAAACCCAATCAATCATCAATCATAACATGCCAACCCTGCCCAGTGTTATACGTCATCTACCACGAACAGAATAAGTAAGCCGCAAGGACGTGAAAAGGTAGCTTATCGCTTCCGCTCAAAGTAGCTGGTCGAGCCCAAAACCGCAATCGACTGATCCATTACCCACTCGCCGACGCCTAGGTAATTGTCGATCCATTTCTTGAAGTCCTTATTATCGGTGATTTTGTCGGAGCTGAGACTGGGGCTGTCGAGGACCCTACGCGGTACCACCACCCGGCGTGGGATGGGGCGTGGCGCGGGGTAAAAGGGTTAGTTACACAACTCAATGAAGTTGATTTGGATTGAGTGGTGTTTGGTTTTGATTTTGTGCTCTCTCTCTTTTTTTTTTTTTCTGGGATGATGTAGAGAATGGAAGGAAAGGATAGGAGGTGTATTTACGTGAGACCAGTTGAACGTTTGACGCCGGCCAAAAAGGCGGAGACTGCATGCTGTTAGAACCATTTAGGAACTGAATAAGAGGCAAACATACTCAGCACCGCATCGAAGGCGTAGTGAGTGAGACGACCGAGCTGTTAGAATATATGACTTAGCTCCGAGCAAGTCGAGATTCAACACCTAGATCCTCAACATACCACCATCTTGAGTTGCTGAGTGCCAGTATAAAATCAAGGTATAGCCACGTCAATCAAGGAAGATATGGGAGATAATCAATCGAGCAGCAGAGCGACACAAACCCTAAACTGTGAAGAGATAGTTCGGTGAGACGGATCAGGAGAAAGAAAAGCTCTGGAGCAAAAGCTGTTGTTGTTTCGAGGCGTACACTTCCCAGGAAAGAAAGTCGGGATGTAATTGACTCTCACGTGCCCTTTCACATGATCGTCGGGAGTGACTGATTCCAGGTGGCTGGTCCGGACTCAATAGGGAAATGTGGCTGGGATGGGGCTGGGCTGACTAGACACTAGTCCCAAAACAGCAATGAACACGGGGATTTGTCTTCCGTGGGGGATATAGTTCCTCCGATGCCGATGATGGTCTGTGCACTGCTCAGCGGTGAATCCGGCGGTGTGGTTCTGCCAACCGCCCAAGGATTTGTACTCCGTACTCTGTACTCCGTATGCTAATCAACATCATCATCATCCCACTTTTGCGTACGAACGTCCCTGCTCGATGGTTGGCTTGCTTTTTTCGTCAGCGGTCCCTGTGGGCTTCATGTCGATCGTTGTCTACAATTCCAAGACCAACACTTACCAGGGACCTGCGCTCGACCTTCACTGTTCCTGTGTCCCATTGCCTCCTCATGGCTAGTTAATCACTGATTTCTTTGTGATTCTGTCCTGGATGGTTTTCTTCCTCGATAATCCCTGCTTCGTTTCCACTCGCTGAGCTCCTGTACTCGACGTTGACTTCGGTCCTTCAGCGCTAATCCTCCCCTTTTTCTCCCCCTTGCGATGCCGACAGACCGGTCTTTGTTTCGTAACATTCACTTGTATGTTGGAAGTACTGGAGAACCTATAGGAGGGCTTTGGTAGGAGGGCTCTCTGACTGAGGATAATCTGCTCTGGATGCTCGGACGGATCCTTCTTATTGTCAACGAAGATTGGACTGTGAGACATAGGGCTTCTGGTCGGATCGTCACACCATCAAGCAACCCTGCTGCTACTGGGGAGTATGATCTCTATAGCAATGGTAAGTCTTCCTCTATTTCAAGTTAGCGCCGTTGCTAACATTTATCTAGGTAACATTAGAGTGACCGACGAACCATGGGATGCCCGGTTGATCAGTCATTCTATCTCTAGTCGAGAAGTCTCATTCCGCCAGGGTGTCCGAGAAAGAGACGGCAAATGCGTCATAACTGGACAGCCCAACAGACTCGCTGCAGCAGGTTCCTGGATCGGATATCATGGCAACATTATGCCAGGAACCGGATGGCAAGGAGAGATTCGAAATGGAGCTTTCCCGAAGACTGAGAGTAACTAGGGAAGAAGAGACGGATGTCCTAGGTCGTCGAGAGATTTTCTGAATGAATATGACTTGGGGTCCCGCCAGGAGGGGTTATGCTTGCATGAAATAGCCTGCTTCGATGCCTATTTCAATACCTATTTCAATACCTATATAGGGGTTGGTCGATGCCTGCGGGCTCTTCGCCAGCGTAGTTCCTATCCCGGGCGTATTTCTGATTCCCCCAGGAAACCGTGACTGCGGTGGATCCCAACTTGTATTCTACTACACTATAATAATAATACGGAGTATAGTAGAATAGAATTCCCCTTGCCATGCCTTGCCCAGTCATTTTCTATTGGTTGAGACAGCTACCAGCTCATGTGGTTATAGGTATCTGTAGTTAAGTATCCGTAGCTAGGGATTATATAACCTGGGTTGATGGTTCCAACCGTGGCGGCCAACAGTATTTTCCCTATGGGCCACACTCAAGCCCCCGCTTTCTCTCTCTCTCTCTCTCACCGGCCGGTCAACCCACTTTTTTTTCCTTATCGTTTCCTCCCCTCTTTTACCTCCCACTACCTCTCCTCCTCCTCTCCTTCCCTTCTCTTCCCCATCCCAACTCAACTCACCTGGATTCAATTCATCCTTCCTTCCTCCCCTCATTTCATCTCTGAAATCGGGATTTCTCATCAAAATGGCCGCCACAAACTCTCTCGACCATCTGAGCAACCGGATGAAGCTGGAATGGCACGCCCGGCTTAACACTGAGATGGTGCCCTCGAAGAACTTCCGCCGCACCTCCATCATCTGTACCATTGGTATGTCCTTTATTTTGTTTCTTCCCTCTCTCTCTCTGCTGGCTTCCAGCAGCAAATAATTGCTTTGAATTGTTTAGCTGACATTCCTTTGTCCCCCAGGCCCCAAGACAAACTCCGTGGAGAAGATCAACGACCTCCGCACAGGTACGCCAACAAACCCGAGAGTTCCGCCTGTTCAAAGCTGACGTAACCCCCCCCCTTCCCCAACAGCTGGTCTCAATGTTGTTCGCATGAACTTCTCCCACGGCTCGTATGAGGTAAATCTTGAGACACCATATTGCAATTCTCGAGGGGTTCAAGTCGCCCTGACTGGTTCTAGTACCACCAATCTGTTATTGATCATGCCCGCGAGGCTGAGCGTCTCCAAACCGGACGTCCTCTCGCCATTGCTCTTGATACTGTGAGTCCCAATTTTTGGATCAGGAACCCAGGCACGTAAGCCTAACACTAGCGGTAGAAAGGACCTGAGATCCGTACCGGAAACACCATCGGCGACAAGGACATCCCTATCAAGGCCGGCCAAGAGATCAACATCACCACCGATGAGCAATACGCCACTGCTTCTGACGACCAGAACATGTAAGTCATGCCGGATTTTCCCGCGAAGCAACGTCAATCGGACCTGTTACAAATTGAGCTAACAACCTGCAGGTACCTTGACTACAAGAACATCACCAAGGTGATCTCTCCCGGCAAGCTCATCTACGTCGATGATGGTATCCTTTCCTTCGAAGTGTTGGAGGTCGTAAATGAGCAGACCCTTCGCTGCAAGTGCCTCAACAACGGCAACATCTCCTCCCGCAAGGGTGTCAACCTCCCCGGCACTGACGTTGATCTGCCTGCTCTCTCCGAGAAGGACATCAACGATCTGAAGTTCGGTGTCAAGAACAAGGTCGACATGATCTTTGCCTCCTTTATCCGTCGCGGAAACGACATCCGTCACATCCGTGAGGTGCTCGGTGAGGAGGGCAAGGAGATCCAGATTATTGCTAAGATCGAGAACCAGCAGGGTGTAAACAACTTCGACGAGATCCTGGAGGAGACTGACGGTGTCATGGTCGCCCGTGGTGATCTTGGTATCGAAATCCCTGCCCCCAAGGTCTTCATCGCCCAGAAGATGATGATCGCCAAGTGCAACATCAAGGGTAAGCCCGTCATCTGTGCCACTCAAATGCTGGAGTCCATGACATACAACCCTCGCCCCACCCGTGCGGAGGTTTCCGATGTTGCCAACGCCGTTCTTGACGGCGCCGACTGTGTTATGCTGTCTGGAGAGACCGCCAAGGGTAACTACCCTTGCGAGGCCGTTCGCATGATGTCCGAGACCTGCTTGCTCGCTGAGGTTGCCACTCCTCACTTTAACGTTTTTGACGAGCTGCGCAACCTGGCTCCTCGCCCCACCGACACTGTCGAGTCCATTGCTATGGCTGCTGTCAGTGCCAGTCTGGAGCTGAATGCTGGAGCTATTGTTGTTTTGACCACCAGGTATATTCCATCCCCGCTTTCTTTCTTTTTTTTTTTTTTTTTGGGAAAAACGAAGTTGCTGACTGTTCGGGTATAGCGGTAACACTGCTCGTATGCTTTCCAAGTATCGTCCTGTCTGCCCTATCATCATGGTTACCCGTAACCCCGTGGCTTCTAGGGTAAGATCTGATCTGGTGTAAACGATATTTCTCTGCGTGGTTGCTAATGAATCGATTGTAGTATTCTCACTTGTACCGTGGTGTCTGGCCATTCCTCTTCCCTGAGAAGAAGCCTGACTTCAACGTCAAGATCTGGCAGGAGGATGTTGACCGCCGTCTTAAGTGGGGTATCAACCACGGTCTCAAGCTCGGTATCATCAACCGGGGCGATCCTATCGTCTGCGTGCAGGGGTGGCGTGGTGGTATGGGCCACACCAACACCGTTCGTGTGGTCCCTGCTGAGGAAAACCTCGGTCTGGCTGAATAAATCGGCAAGGAATATGTATCATCTCTTTGATTGGATGACAACAGTAATGATAGCGACCTGACTGTTAGCTTCAAAGGGGGATGGATGTCTTTGGACATCGTAGACAGGCGTTAGTTACGCACGAGAACCCTAAAATCTCCGCGCGCGCACAAGCTCCTGTGGGACCTTGTGTGTGAGTTGGTATACTCGTGATTTTCCAAGTGTTTGGGCAGTAACCATGGGGATGCCCTCACTCGCTGCGAGAGTGTGTGGGGGGACGAAAGGGTTTACTTACCCTTGGGGCGAGTGAAAGGACATGATCTGTATTCTTCTTGACTTGGGCGTTAGTTAGCAAACCATTGTTAGTGGGGGGTTTTTTATGCACATAAAAAGCTAGATTAATGACATGCTCATGATTTCCGATTATCTTCTTGTTAGGTGAGTCGTCAGTGGATATTCACATCATCACCTAGAAATAGAGCCTGCACGGAATTCAAGTTTCGTCAAACCAAGTCAGAAAAGAGAGCAGAGCAGAGCACCCCTCGGAGAGTGAGGAAGGCAATGAGAGCAAGCGATCGGGCCCTGTCTGTTGTCTCTTCTCTTCAGAGATCAATCAATCCCAAGTGAAAGATATCCTTTTCGTCCTGCCACAGGTCCAAGGGAAGGAATGACTAAATGATTTATCTATAGTTAGTTAAGGATCCATCCATCCATCCAGTCAGTCCATTCCTTCTCTCCTCTCCTCTCAGCTTTCCAAGTTAGTTAGTTGTTCTTATTTGCTTCCCCGCGTGCAGCTACTTAGTTATGTTATGTGTATGTACCGCCCGGCAGGCTGGTTGGTCGGTCCTGTCTCTCTCTCTCTCTCTCTCTCCGTTTCTTGTTTTCATTGAAGAAATCATGAGCTGAAGCCATTGGATTGAACAAACTGAATCTTGATTGATGATTTGAAGAAGAAAGGAACAGAAGAGAAGAAACGATGAAGAAGAAGAAGAAGAAGAAGAAGAAGAAGAAGAAGAAGAAGAAGAAGAAGACAAGGAAGACTGGAGACTCGGCATTTCAACCATCTCCGACTCATCCCGAATTCCGCCGATGAGCGAGGATTCGGTTTAGTTTCGGCGTAACGGATCTCTCTCTCTCTCTCTCTCTCTCTCTCTCTCTCTCTTTTTTTTTTTTTTTTAATTTTGTTTCTGGTTTCTGAGAGGTTACTTCCACCGATTATTAGTATCGTTATTGTTTTAGTAGATTTAATCTTTTGTATTATGATATTATAAGATTATTGATTTTGGTTGCCTATCCTGGGTTTGTTGGACTCGTAGAGGGCTTGTATTAAAGAGTCATCACAGAGAGGTTGTAGGAAGTAGTAAAGGTAAAGAAAAGGAAAAAGAGAAAGAGAGAGAGAGAGAGAGAGAGAGGGAGGGAGAGATGCTGTACTCCATACATGAAAGAAAAGCGCACCTGTGCGTATGTTCGTCGTCATGTCATGGATATAACCATTATAGATACATCATCATAAACTCGTATACTCATCATAGAGAAACCCATACACGACACAACACGATGTTATCGTCTACACCTGGAAGAATCCCATTCTTTATTCCTCAGCGCCATCGCCGTCCGCTATGACAAGGTGGCCCGGGTGTGGGGGATGGTCCACCGGTGCAAACCGGTGGATCTGGGAGGGTTGGAATTGATGCCAACAACTTTTGAAACCCGAATCAGCAAGGTCTGGATGGAAATGAGAACGCAGGGGAGTTGATTGTCTTTCATACCTTGGAGCTTGGAGCACGTATCGGGCCATCGCCTCCCGGAATCGGCCTTTATATTCCTTGGGGCTGGTAACCGTTGGCCGGTTCTTCCCCCCGCCAGCAAATCCTCGGTCTTTGATCCAGGACTCGAGTTTCTTGTCCCAAGTGTATGTGCGAATGCAGTCGATCACTCCGACCACCAACTCCGACCGACTCTCGTCAATGGCAATCATCAGGGAGTAGTCCATGACGTTTTGTCGGCCGAGGAATAGCGTATCATTCCACACGCTTTGGCTGAGGAGCTTCTTCGAGTGTTCGCGAGCAAACAACGGCGTTTCGTAAATGAAATCCACCATGTTTTCGTCCAACAAAACCTCATTCCGTTCACCGGTGCTTTGTACCTTGCGGTTTCGCATTGAGCCCTTGAGGTCGAAAATGCGCGTAGGGACCCGGTCATAGAACAGGTTCTCCATCAACAAAAGAAACCAGTTGAACTCCGTGTTGGTTGCGGGATTCTTGATAATGACTTGGTAGAAGCCAAACATCTTTGCAATCGCAGATGGGAGCTCATGGAACAGCGCTTCAGACATGATCTGGAAATAGGCAGGAGCGAATTTCAAGAACGCTTGCGTTTCGATCGGGGACAATGACTTGAGAATGAATCGATCATCCTGCGTCTTGAGGAACAATGATTTTGTCTTTCCGCCCTTGGAATCCCATTTGGCACACCGAGAAAGCGACTCAACAATTCGCTCTGCAATCCCGCACTTCTTGCGTAAAGCATCAAACTGCTCTGCGTAGAAGATCTTGCACAGCATCTTGGCTTGTCCTTCTTGGAATTCATACTTGAGATGTGTGCCGGTTGACCGCAGAAGTGCGTGCTCAACCCGGGTTTCGTTCACAGCCTCAGGCCCCTTGTCCATGTCCATCGATATCTCCTCTGCTTCCTCATAACGCCTCTGTATGCTCGCTAGCTTCTCCTTGTAGTCGCCGGAGTCGAGTGCAAAGGCAATCAGTGAGCTGGGCTCGTCGTCACGAACAATGATATCACAATCCGAAAAGATATGGTCAGACATAGTCAACGGATAATCCAGCGGGGCCCATCCGCTGGCCGATCGCTCCGACCAGAAATTGGTCAAGAGCTTCAAGAGAGTACTTCTTTCATGTTTTGGCAACTCCTTGAGATCCATGGGCTCGTCCTCTGGCGACATTTTGGATAAATCCTCGTTGGGATCGGTAATCTGGAGACCGTCGGACGAAGCCCGTTCTTCGTCACTATGCCCATCCTCTGGCTCGGCCTCCGATAGGATATGCTCGTCGGTTTGAGTATGATCTGTTTCTGGTCCTGGCGTTGACACTCCTTGGGTATCGGTGATCTTGTCCTGCTCCTCCATCGAAGGCCTCTTGGGGAAATCATCGCTACCTTTGCTTGAACCATCAATTGAAATTCGCGAAAGAAGATCATCACCTTCTCCCGAAGGTTCTCGCTCTTCCACGGCTTCTCGGACATTTTTGTACACTTCAACAATTGGTTTTGAAGAAGCAAGCGGGAATGCACGAGATTGCGCACCCTTAGCAGCCCGTTGATCACGCTCGCGTTGACGTTCCTTTTCGAATTCACGGCTTAATTGTTCGAAGTGCTTTGCTAGAGATGACACACGGTTCTTCTTCGTGGGTATCGAGCGAGGAATCAGCGATGGAGCCGGCGTAAGCCTTCCGTTTCTAAAAGCGCTGAGGCCAAAACGATCCGACAGTTTCTTGTCCGAGTGTTTCAGCTTGGAATCGTGAGGGGGACCGATGGGCCCGCCATGCTTATGGAGCCTCCCTGATCCGAGTTTCAATCCTTTCGATAGCGGAGTGTCATGCCCCACATCTCGATGCGAGATAGGTTGTGACTGGGCACGAAATAGGGGCGGAGATGTTGACTTTCCGCTGCGACGGAAAGAACTATCCGTCGGCCTCGGGATAGATGAGAATGGGTGAATCGGTGTAGTGGGCGAATTATTTGCAGACCGATCAACCTCATCACTCTGCCTGCTGGCGACCTGTGGCATGAGCCTTTCTTGGGAGGAACCGATTCCACTTGTATTCACGTCGTTTTGACCCGCAACATGGGTTGGATCGTCGCGGTCGCTCGCAGAGGGTACTACTGTTAGGGCCTTGTCAGATTGATTGGTGTGTATGTCCAACTCTGAGCTCAGGGCCTCCTTTTCTGCTTCTGCTTCTGCCCGAGGCGGCTGTGGAAACAGAGAGGACACATTGCCCTCTGAGACAGGTGAAGGGGCGGCTGCATGTATGTCTCCCACGTTGAGAATCTTATTGGCGACTCTTTCATTTTCACCCGAGTGTTCCTCAACAACAGAGACAAGAACATTCTGGGCCTTTTCAGGGGATAGAGTCATCCGACGCATAGGCCGTATCGGTTCTGGGGTTTGGCTTGGCTCACTCTCGGTTTCTGTGGGAGTTGTTGGAGGCTCATCAGTCGAGGTGAGAGAGGTAACCGAAGCATCCTTGTCCAGGAAGATCTTCTTCAACTGTAGGGTTGCTAGTCGCCTAATATCCTTCTCGGATGGGAAGAAGTTCTTTTCGAATTCAGCAAATGCGGTATCCCATTCAACAACCTTTTCCTGCGCGGATCGAAGCACCTCATTCAAGGGAATTACCTCCCAATACCGAGAGTCCATGTATCTATCCTGCAATTGCTTCACCAGGAATGCATGGTCTTCGCTGGCCTTTCGGGTTAGATTCTCTATTTCTTTATTGCAGTCTTCAGCCAGGTTCGGAAGAACACTTTCCACGTTGATTCCTTTGAGCCGCGCCTTGACTGAAAGCATGAACTTGGTAAGACGTTGTTCTATTTTCTGATAGATATCGATCTTGAGCCTTAGGTCATTATCGACCTTCCAAGTGACTCGTGTTCTCGGGACGATTATCTCAAGCAAATTGATGGCGTCGTAGTGAATCCGGATGGCAACATCCTTGAAGCCGAAGTAGCGAAGGTGATCACGTTGCAAGTCATGGGGGCAAACTCCGGCACGGGCATGTAGGTTCTTGCTCCAGAAGGAAAGCTCTAGATATTTGCCAAAGGAGTACTTCCAGGTGCTTTCGGACATGGGAAAGACTTGGGTTTCATTACCGCATACCTTGCAACAGCTCCACATCAGAATGGTGTCCTGTAAACCCCTGAGTTTAGAAGGGCATGGTTGGGTGAAAATGCTAATCTGGGCTTCACCGTGGACGTATTGACGATGATGCTCAAACATGCGTTTTTCACACCCATTCGCAGTGCAGACTGCATGAGCATTGAGACAAATATCCTCAACGTATTGTCCAAGTGTACAATCCGGTTCAAAGATTGCGTCGTCTCCATGCTCATTGTAGAATTCCAAGGCAAGAAGGTCTGGACCGGAGCATGGAATGGATGTTGTTGTACACACCAGGCTAAAAAGCACCACAATATTTTGATGCGCGTAGGGGTCAAAGAGACCAACCGTCCCAGATATGTAGGCTTCCCACTGACGTTTTTGAGTTTGATAGTGGTGCAAGGCTCGGTCATATTCAGCATCGTGAACTGCATGCAACACTTCTTTGACTTTCGGTGGAGCCCCTTGCGGTGAATGGTGCACCATTTCTGGGGTGATCAGACTAAATTTCAAAGCTTTGGCTTTCTCCTCCGACCATTGGTCGTGGTCCCCGTCCTTGTCCCGGAGGTGTTTCAGATAGGCGAGCCTGCGCTCCATTTCTCTCGCGCGCATCAGGAGATAAGGGGGCTCGAACCTAACAAACGGCGAAGCAGAAAGGATCTTCGTCTCATGGTCCCGAACAATATCTTCATAGTACGTGGGCATAGGAACATCGTCAGGGACATCTGTAACTTCATTACGAGCGGTGTTTTCTTGGAGGGACACTTCGCTTTTTGTCTCATTTGAAGCACTCTCAGGACTTGGCGATGGTGCATGGGAGTTGTCATCAGCAGCGACTAGTGACGACCCTAGTGGCCGTTGCTGTGTTTCGTCATCAATCTTCTGCTCCGCCCTAGGATTCAACGATGTCGGTATCTGGGCGAATTCATCCCTCATCAAACAGGTCTCCAGCCTAAGGTTATAGACTACATAAGTCATAAATTCGGTGATCCTCTTCACCTTCGTGAGAACATCATGATTGCCCCCACGTAGGACAATTGTGCATCCAAGCTCTTTGCGACAGCCGGAGAGGTAAATGTACGTTTTCCGTTGGCCTTTGTACACGTAGGTCTTCACATCAAAGCTGCCACAGTCACTATTTACCGGCGTCGTGACCAGCTTATCCATAGAAGTGATAATTCTTGTTTGGGTACATCGAGAAACAGCTTCAAGAACCGAGGACTTGACATTGTAGACTGTTGCAATGCTAGCACGGTCCAGCAACTCCAGAGCCAGCCCCGAAACATTCTTTTCGACCAGCAACAACGTGGGTCGTAATGCCGCTATTCGACTGATCAAGTTTTCTAGGAACTCTCGCTCCTGCCGTAAAACGTGTTCCAAGCTCATAAATTGTGGCTGGTGGCGAGCGTATTCAAGGGCGAAAGCGATGATCAAAATCTTTGGCTGTACAATACTTCGGGGCATACTCTTAAGCGCAACGTTCTTGGTAAAAACTAAACCCGAAACGTAGGAAGTGTCGCCAGGCCTTCCTCCAGGTATCTTTTTCAACTTTATGTAGTGGCGGATATCCATATCATCACCACTCTGGACCTCTGGGTCCACGTCATCCGCAGCCTTCAACAGGATTGGAAGGAGTGCCGTTTCCCAACTCTGGGCATGAGGGACCGAGGCATCATTTAGCAGCTGCTGTAAGAGCTTGCGAACATGCAGCAAGCTAGCTTTGTTCATTTCAACGGGAGGAGCTCCCGAACCTCTCATAGACGAGCTCCTAGTCATTTTGAACCCGCTGGAATTCACCCCAGTGGGTAAGATAAGACCCGTATTCTGTGGTTCATGGAGATTGAAGACACTGTCCTTTGAGGCCCGTGGAGACTGCCGGTGAATGCTACTGGCAACACTGAGATTGCGTCGGCGAGATTGTCGAGGCAAATTGACTGCTCTCAAACTATTCATGCTGCCATCATCCAATTCGCGACCGGAATGACTTAGACCGCCCATGCCTCGATCTCCGAATGCCGATCTTCCCTTCTTCATAGCCGCAAGGAAGCCACCGAGCGTAGTCCTTTCATTATCCCCGCCGCTCTTAGACAATGCCACTTCTGAGACCGCGCCCATTAAACTTGGCTGTTCGTCACCACTAGATGCATCATCTGAAAGATATTGAGCTAGATCCGGATCTATTATGTTGTCCTTGTGGAACGCAGGCAGACGGGATTCAATCGGGGCGTCGTCTCCGTGGCGTCGTTGAAATGGAGCTCGATCGTCGTGATAGGGCTTGAAATTACGGATGAACTGTTGGCGTGAATGATGACGCTTATGCCCTATCGAATGTGGTCGTCCACTCAAGGATGACTTCAGGGATCTTGAAGATGTAGGCCGGGTCAGTGGCCGATCCGGGCTGATCTCTAGAATTGCTGAACGGCGGTTATGACCTTCACCAGCACGCCTTGTCGCCGGAATTGCCATTGTGGGTGTCTTCAGTACATGCTCCAGGGACTGGGAGATGATCGACGCAGTGTCGTCATCGTCAGCGGCGTGGCGTGCAGAATTTCCAATGCTCAGTTCGGAAAGACGGGGGTTAACCACGATGGGGCTTTGTTCGCTATCGGAGAATTCGGAGGAATCATCATCATGGCCGTTGATCATCTGCTCACAGGGTTTGCAGACGCGAATTGTTCCTGGCTGGCCAAACCTGTCCCCTGGTATTAGAAGCGTGCATTTTGAATCGAAGATCTGACCACAGGTGCGGCAATGATGCTTTCGCCGGAATGTCGAAAAAGGCTCCCCGCAATGAAAGCAATCTTTGGCATTCTCATCGCGCATCCAAAAGTCTTTACTGAGCAATCTGCTCCTGAGTTGGGATACGACGCCATCTCCAACATTCTGGCGGCGGTTCCGCCCGTCCTGACCTATTGGATTCTCGATACTTGTGTTTAGAGGGGTGATAGTCGGGGCTCCTACTGTCGTGTCGATCGGCGTGATTTGGGAGGGAGGGTAACCCGGAAGACGGCCAGCGCCTGAGATGCTGGTTCTTTCCTTGTATTCAAACTTTTTGGGCGACCTCAACGATTCCTTGGACTGTGCCTCCCCATCTATGAACGACGTTGAGGTTGCGATAGTAGAAGGCGTACGGCCTTCCGGGTAAATGTTCTCCTCCCCACTAACGAACTGGGTGACACTATTCGTCCTAGACCCCGAAGCAGTGGTAGACACATCAGGATTTATCGAAATCGAAGAATTCGATCTCACTCTCTCTGATGGCAAGGGCGAGCTGCTGTCTTGAGCTCCATCGAATGAGCGTTTAGCTCTTCGCATCGGAGGCAAGGCCGTGTCTGTTTCATGACCAACCCGTCCATCCGTTCTTTTTGCACTCTCTCGAGACTGATTTCCAGGAGAAGATTTGGCAACATCTGCGGTTCCTAAGCCTTCATAGGGATTGTTGCAAGCTTTGGCTTGTAAAACGGGAGAGTGGGTTAGTCGCTGGTTCCACCCCACAGAGCTCATGGGCGTGGTGGTAGGGGCTTCGACATTATCGTTGAGTGTGGCGTCCGTTGTTTGCAAAGTTTGCGACGGATTAATAGAATTATTTGCTGGATTACGAGATCCGTCCTTAACCGCGTTGACATGTAATTCGGTAACTGTTGGGTCCGCGGTCCCGGAGCTGCTAGCCATTTTTGACAGAGGTGCGTTAGGTTTGATTGCTGTGGAAGGAGCAATGGACGCCTTTGAGGATATACTAGCGGTCTTTGAGGAGACCCTTGACGTTTTGCCACCATCTTGCCCAGTTTGCGGATTGACGGCAGTTGGTGAATGCAAGTTCGACCCCAGAGGGGATGCCGGATATTGTTGTGGAGACTCAACCGATATGGCTTCAAGAGCAGATTTTGTCGTTGAGCGGTCCAACGGAGGGCGTTTCGGGGCAACCTCCTCAGCCGTGGTCCTCTCGGATGATTTCCCAACACCGCTGACCATGCCTCTCATCCCGCCTACTGAAGTCCGCAACCGACTATACAGCCCACTCAACCCGCCCTGGAGCTCGCCAGATATACTTTTCTCATCCGTTGCCGAAGAGGGGGCAGGAGGGCTTGTGAAATCATTAAAGACGGTGAGCGCTTCCGACTGGTATGCGGCTGTGTGAATCTGGTCCAGGGCAGCATTTAGGCTGTCGCGCTCGGCCTGTGTTGATATCGATGCGCGAGAACTTCGTCGACCTAACGGGAGGAATATGGAGGATGCGGAAGGACTTGACGTCCCTTGCGACGGTTGGGAAGCCATCCCGCTCTAGTTTTCTCCAAACCGAAGAAAGTAAAGAAGAGAAGGGAAGGGGGCAAAGGAGAAGCTCTAGGAGAGGTAAATAGGTCGTAGGCATTAATCACACTACTGGGGTTAGTCTGAAGAAGCGGTGGCGGGCATGAGTAGTAGTATTCTGCTGCTGCTGCGGAGAAGCTTCAGCCCTCCGTGCTAGGTAGCGGCCGTCTGTGCATCGACTATCCATGCAAGAGATCGACTTTGCATTCTCTGACAAGGCCAGTCACAGCAGAAAAGGTAGGAAGAAAAGCCGTCCGGGGCGTTGGAGCTAGGGTAACAAGCGGGGATGAGATTGAGAAGAGCGAGAGGGAGTGAAGGAGGGAGGGGGAAGAGTTGGGTTTGATCTGGCTGCCAACGACTGACTCAGTCAACTGCGTGCCCAATGTTAGTTACCGAGTGGTTAACTGGCACAAGTTGCTTAGGTACTGGTACTTTTAACAATCAGTATGAATGACGTGTGGTGGGAGTGTGGCGCATGCTTCCCCTCTGACTGTGGCTGGTGCAAGATCAGTACGGAGTACTCCGTAGTCTCAAAGAAAACGCGAACTTCCTGTCAAACGGCCAGGGTTTAGTTCCTATTTGCCTTTCTTTTTCTTCTCGTCCTAGGTCCAAAATTATCTCAGCAATTTGAGATCACCTCCTGATTTGGATCCTTTTCCTTGCTTCATTCCCTTCATTTCTGACGCTGTCCCCCTCTCCCAAACCCCGTGATTTCCTTGGGCCAGTCAAGAATCAAACTACGATGTCGCATACAGCTGGGGTCTTTTCCCATAACCTAGCGCTGGATTGATATTAAAATGAGTTCTCCGGATATCTGGATTGCGCCCTTGATTGAACACTGCCTCTCGAACTACAACAGCAATGGCCAGGGGGCATCAGACCCCGACTTGCGCTGGCAAGATGATGGCAGCAGTCTTCACTTCCCCATTTCCGTTCGATGCTCTGGGCTGATTAATTTGGTCAGTAAGTAGTCTTGTGCCTCACCGTTGACAGCTCACTGATGGGTTATTTGTCTACAGTGGACTGAAGCCGAAATTCCCATCGTCGTGAATTTGACCGACTCGCAAACACAGATGGACGCGAAATTGACACGAGAGGCGTTGGAGGAATATACTAAAGTGTTTCCCACTCGACCGCTGGGCAAGGGCGAATGTAAAGGACAATTTATTCAATTGGACGATTTCGGGCTCGTTTTTGAGTACGCCACATCCCAGCCAAAGGTGCACCTCTCCGTCAAACGGTTCAGTATTCTGTGGGATCGAGGGAAAATAAAGTCAAGTCCGCAAGGGAAATCGGTCAGGAGACATTCCTCCTTGTATAATTTGATGCAGAAAACTTTCCATCGGATCAAATCTCGCGAGAAACTGGTCGAGAAGCCTAACAAGGCCAACATGGATGATAGCCATCGCATGGATCTCTCCCTCGCAAGCCAAGCCATCAATCGCCATGAAATGCAACCGTCACAGATTCTTTTCATGTCCCAGCTTCCTTCCCATCCATCCGATGATGTTGCGGCTGCCGTCCCTGGTTCCCAGCATGGTGCGGTATCTGCCAACCGCCTGCTACAACATCTTGGAGCTCCATCTAAAGCTGTCGGAAATGGACAACGAGGCAATCGACTGCAGTCTGTGCATGATCAACCATCGCATGCGTCGACAGCAACTACTCCCGTGGAAATAGCCTATCCCCGCGGAACCCGTCATCTCTTTGCAAATTCCAATGAAGATGAGAATCGCCCGGCAGGGTTTAAATCAACAAGCAGGGCTGCCACAGTCCCAGTTGAGGAAATGATCCGCTCTGAAACCCCAGAAAAACTACGGCCCGTGACATATCAATTGTCCTCACCCAGAGCGAACGATAGCCCGAGCAGGACATGTGCAAAGAAGAATTTGCCTATCAAAGTTGAGAGCCCTCAAGCTCTGAAGTTGTCAGGAGAACAAGAACCATCGGATCTCAGGGCACCAGACTCCACAGATCGATCGAACCTTGAGCTTGCCGATCCGTGGGAAGGGATGACAGAGATACACAGTAATGAAGTCACGATACCGGAGGATCAGCTCAAGCTCCTGGATGGTTATGAGACACGGGAATGGTTTCCTCCTCCCCCCGGAGAAGATATGGTTTCGGGATTTGTACCCCCCTCGCTCCTAAGTGAATGGAATGAAATTATTCTACGGAGAAGCCTGAAGGAAAATGAAAAGGACTCAGAGCCTACTGATGAAAAACAGCGGAGTTTACACACAGCGCTCGCCAATCACTCCCCCTCTGCACCCGAAACTGAGCCAGATTCGGAGGAGGAGGCCCCCCTCGATTGGCCCAGCAGCCCCCGCGACGTCTCTCCCCAAATGCGCCAACAACTGCCGGCCGATAGCAGTCCACCCAGAGGAGAATCTGCTTCGAAAGGTGCAGGGTCACGGAGGATGGAGCGCGATGATGACGACAAACAAGCCCGGAGGATGGCCAGTCTAAAATCTGTTCACAGTGATCAACATGAGGGCCAGCCGTCAGGTACCGATGAGGACCTCGAGGCGCCTCCCATAGTGCCGTCCGTTGAGAACCATGAGCCAGACAATGAAGAATCAAACACTTTGGCTGTCCACGAAGATCATGGACATGAGTCTGATAGTAGCAGCGAAGAGTCAATTATGGACATCTCAGTCCCCCTCCCCTTCACTCACACACCGCAGGGTTTGTCTAGTCAGCTGGAGGCAGACCTACCAAGCACCGAATTTTCTCCCTCTACTTCCACCGCAAAACAGGATATTCAGGTAACAGAAACCCCAGCGGCTGTTCTCCATCGATTACGACCTGCAAATACCAATAATCACCGCCTGGGTGAAATTCACGAGCCAGAGTTCTCCTCATCCCTGGCGGACAAGTCATCGTCGCAGTCGCGCATCCTCAACACATATGCCAGCAACGATGGGGATCCACGAGGCGAACCATCTCAAGAGAGCTCAAAGTCACTTTTGATGAGTGGGAGGGAGAATCCAAACGGAGATGATGCGCTAGGAACTCCGATCCGCCGTGTTGTCCTACCAACGCAAGATATCACTCCTTGGTCGCAGCCCGGTGTGTGGAACTCCTCAGGACCAAAAAGCTCCGAAAGCAATGCACAGGTGCCTACTACTTCATTCTACCAATCGCCATCCTCAAACCCATTTTCATCGTATCGCGAAGTGCCTCCATCTTCTATGCTATCCGTGGAGCAGCAAGCGAGTCCCAGTATCCTGGGCTATACACAAGGAAGCTCTCCCGGGTCACCTCGGCTCCTTTCGCTCAAGCGATGTGCATCTGATCGGGAAATGGGCGAGGCTTCGTCGCCATCAAAACGATATAAACATAACATCCGGTCGAACATATATGGAAACGAAAAACGACTTGAAGAAGAAATCATTGCTCGTCGTCAGGATTACATCTCAAGCTCTACTCATTCTTCCGCGTTTCAAGTATATGAGAAATTTCAAGACGACTACCCCACTTATTTTGGAGACTTTGCCCACTTCACAGAGCTATGTTCCAGGTTGCAGGCCTTTCGGGACAGCGGCGGCCTGAAACGGTCTTTCTTATGGGATGATTTCATCATCAAGCATCTCAAAGAATACCCACGGTATATTGAAGAATGTTTGAGCAAGGACGTGAAAACTCTCGACTACGCAGAGTATTTTGCATCCTCCTTCTCAACCCCTTCCTATAAGAAACGCAGCCTCACTGCCAACGGAATCAGCACATGCGCGGCCCAGCATATGTGTGCAAACGAGTCCTCGACGGCTCCCCCTCTGCAATCATCCGTTTCTATCTCCGACGCACACACTTCTTTCACCAGTAGTCTCCGAGATCAGCTTTCCAACTTCCACACACATTCCTTCGGACCGTCATTACACGAAAGACTCGAAGACATTGTCCCTGACTCTCATACTCCATCCGAGTGTAGTACCGAGTGTAGTATTCCGGACAGTGAACCTGCTGGCTTGGCCGCTGAAGGAGAGAACAGCGACGTCTCCATGGAGGGCATCCACGACACAGCCAGCATTGAACTCGGCGACGAGGAAGAGCAGCTACAGCCAGGTGTAGCGCCCCGCGCCGTCGCCACCTCCACCGCGGCCCCGGAAGGTCATACTCCGCTGGAGGCGAACGCCGCTGCGAATTATGATGGCGTTGATCTCGATATTCCCGACGCTGGCATTGACGCCGCCACAGACACCACCCCCGACCCCCTTAGCGAAGCCGAAAGTTCGAACGAAAACTGGTTCCTCTCGCTCCGCCATCTCTACGCTACCGCTCCTGTCTGGTCAGACCACCACAACACGCCCTTCAAGAAGTGGGCACTGGCAGACCAAAACGTGCTGATTGAGCGCTGGCGCCGTGGGGGTTCTTATGTTTCTGTTGATGACAAGGGAGTCATCCAGCGGGATCCTGCCATACCATGTAGAGAAAGGTGAACTGTGAGACGTCATTAACCAGACAAGTAATTTGCTTTTTGTTTCTTTCTTTCTTTCTTTCTTTCTTTCTTTCTGTGCCCCTAGTTAGTAGTCAGTCAGTCCAGTCAGTTTCCAATTCCTTCATGCATCGGGTACCCACCAAGGAGGGAGAATCTGCCAGGTTAAGCAAATCAAGCGAAGAGTTCCATTGGCTGGTCTGATCACTATTTTTTTTTTTCTTTCCATTCAAGAGCAGGGAGTAGATCAATGTACGGAGGAGTAACGATACCTACCTTATTTACGGAGTATGGCGTGTATAGTATATATATATATACTTACTCCATAGTAATGTTCTAAAAAGATATGCTCATGGAAAGAGCAGCAGCAGAAGAAAAAAGAAGAAGAAACTAAGTAATGATCAAAATTCATTCATTAGCAAAGGAGGGAGGGGTATCGTCATCATAAGATCTATCTATATAATGAAATAAAATCAAAACATCCCGTGCTAACCCGAATATACTGTATACATCCCAAGCACGGTGGGGGGAAAAGAACAAATACACAAATATACATCCAGAAAAGTAATAGTTAGCGAACTTGCTGAAACCATGACATGATCAAATGCGGTATCTCATCATTTGCATGAGACGAGATGGGGTTCATCAGAGTAAAAAAGCATGGCAAATTTGGTTTTTTTTTTTTTTTTGGTTTTTTTGGGTTTTTTTTTTTTAAACATGACGGAAAGGCTCATAAGAGGTAGCGGCTCGCTGGGGATCTTGAGGGTGGGGGTGTTGCATCGGGGGAGCAGTGTACCCGGGCTGAGGAGAAGAGTAAGGGCTGTTAATAGGCTCATAGGTGTAAGGCGCCTTTTCGGCCATGACACCGCGCACACCCCGGTCGCGGTGGCTGTAAGGGGAGCGGCCGGAGCAGCAGCAGGAGCTCAAGGCCCAGAAGAGAGCTGCGCCAAGGGAGAATGCGACGGCGAGCCAGGTGGCAACATAGATGTGCTTGCCCATGCTACCGACGACGCCGTATTTCTTGAGCTTTTCGTTGATGACGCCGGTGATGACGGCGAACATGGCGGTGGAGGTGGCGGAGGCGGCAGCAGTGAAAAGGAATGCGGTCTAAATCGAGGTGATTAGGTTATGATCAAGCACGGGGAAAACAAAAAAAAAAAAAAAAAAAAAAGAAAAGAAAAAAAGGAAAGGAAAGGAAACATACGATAGAGACCAAGGTGGTGACGCAGCTACCCCAGCGGCTGAAGATAGCGGTGATTCCGATGAGGAGCTCGAGCGCCGTAGCCGCAAAGGCGACAATGTAGGCAACAAACATCCACTTGGAGACTTTCTTGTAGACCTTCAGAGACTTCTGGAGGTCGCTGGGAATGGCATTGTCGAGACCCAGGGTGTCGAGGTTCCAGACTTCATCGGGGTTGAACCAGAACTCGGCCTTGGGCTTGGAGCAGTTGGAGATTTCGTAGTCGTCTTTGGAGGTGATGTTGCCGTCGCAGTAGCCCCAGACACCGATGTTGTAGAAGTCCTGGATTTTGAAGTACTTCTGGACTTCCTCGAGGGCGGTCTTGATGTCGCCATCGTCAACGGTGATGTTCAAATCATCCAGGGCGTTTTCGACGGTGGTTTGTGCTGTTGTCGAAGTGGTGAGGTTTTGGAGGTCAATCTGTGTGCTATTCATTAGAGAGAGAGTGTCGGTGCAATCCAGACATCCAGGCTGATGCTTACGCGGAAGAAATGCAGGTCTCGCAGTGAGTCTGTGCCGTTATCGGTCGAACCCAACCCCACGATGATGAGACAGATTAAAGCCGCGATAGTCAGAGCATATGGAGTGAAGATGCAAAAAAAGCGACCGCCTTTTCCCATGTTGACGTGTTTATTTAGTGAGGTTGTATGAGATGGGGGATGCTGTATGAGACGAGGGGTGACCGTGCAGGTGGAGTCGGATGGATGTACTTCGATGAAGGAGAGAAGGATGGATTGTAGAAAGATGGAAAGCTGAGCAGGAAGAAACGAGGATGAGGCTGGTTTTATTCCTTGGATTGGAGGTTGGGGAGAGCGAAGGAGGCGCAGACGTGGATTTTGCGTGGCCGCAGCGAATCAGCGGAACTTCGCCTCAATTGGTTTCTAAATTTATGGCGATTTCCATTGCGCACCCAATGACAGCTTTCATCAAATACACAGGAGCAGGGCAATCAATAAATGCATCGGAAAAAACACGCGTCGTGGGTCTCTATCCAACTGAAGAGAGGAAACTTAGGCTGCACTATTTCCTGCAATCGGGTGATGATCCTGCTGCTCTCGATTTCTCAATTGCGTTGGGTTAACAAGGCTGAGCTTTACTAGTTAGATCTATCTAGTCCTGGTTCTGAATCAGGGATTGTTGCAGATTTGTGGGTTACCCAATATATATATATATATATTATATATATATATATTGCCATCTGTAGTATATATGTCTCGTACTCCTACGCCAAATAAGGCTTCAGCGTGTTGAGCATCCCACTGTAAGCAACACCGCTAGGGGGCTCCAGACTGTAGATATAGTTCCCCCACCAAGGTCCAGCAGCCCACCAGAGCGCTCCAAGCCACACATCCGAGTGACTGGAAAGGTACCCGAGCATGCCCGTGATGGCGGTGCGGCACTGGTCATTGTTGCCGCCCGCAAACTCCCCCAGGATCCCGATCTTACCATTATCCTTGAGCCACTGCGTTGCGGAGGTAATGCGCTCCTTGCCAATCGTGGTGGACACGCAGGTCTCCGACGTTCCCGACCCATCGGAGTCGAGGTACTGGTGCATCTCGTACACAATCTTGCCCTGGGGGTCGGTGAGCTTCTTCAAGTTGTCGTTTACCTTGGTCCAGGTCCACGCGCCGCTGTAGGAGTTACCCTCGACGAAGATGTATTGTTGAGTGGCACCGGCCGCACGGATTCCGTTGATAGCGGCCTGGTTCAGGTGCAGGACGAGGTCCTGGTCCATGTCATGGTACTCGTTGTCTAATTTGTTAAAAAAAAAAGGATGAACCTGCGGGAATTTTGATATGGTGACATACTGGTATCAAAGATCACCTTAGCATTGTCTACGAACTCGGTCGCAACGTTCTTCCACCAGGTCTGGAAGTCGGCAGGGGTGCTCATGATCTCGCCGTTGCTGGATACCCTGTTAGGAAGGGGAATATCCAAAGAGGTGAGAGAGATACCTACAATCGACCATAGTTATGGGGGTCCAGAACGGCATACGACCCGGAGCTGGTGACTGCGTTGACAACCTTTGATCATGTTAGAGCAAACAAGGATGCAAATATGCCTTGCAAACTCACCGAGGTGAGGTTCTGGAGGTAGGCCTGGTCGAAAGCTCCGGTAAGCTGCGAGGTCAATCTCTCCATCCTAAACGGGATCCGGAAAATGTTGAAGCCATCCGACTGCAGGGTAGAGATAGTGGAAGGATCGGGGAAAATATAGTCGGTGCCCTGGATATACGTTAGTCTGCTTAGTCCATTCCTTCATAGAGGTAGAGGATTCCATACATAGACACCAGGAAGGTGGCTTTCACCGAATTCAGCGCCAGACTCGTTAACCCCAAAGACTGCCGACGATTAGTCTAACCCTCAATATTGAACGAATGAATTGGAGGTACGTACACTCAAAAGTAGCCCGTTTCTTCTGCCGAGGAGCCGCTGCTGCGGTACCAGCCGCGAGGGCAAAGAGAAGAGTATCCAGCTTCATGACGGAATGAAGGAAAGAAGAAGACACGAAGACAACAAGCGGATTTCTGGCCAACCCCCCTTTTTTTCCGGCACAGAAGCGCAATTTATATACACGGTCAATTGCAAATGTATATCCACATCCAAAACGGGTCCTCTCGCGGCAATGAAGAGATCGACATCGCAGGCAATATCACCATACTCTGGTAGGTGGGCAAAGTGAAACACCCTGAGAGGAAGCTCAGGTAGTCGGACCGCAGCCAGGGCAATACAGATTGTCTGAAGAAACACGGAATCAATCCACATGTTGCAGAAGCCCTTTGATTAATTCTTGGCTGTCAGGGTGAAATGCTGAAGTCGTAACGGACCTAATCCCGGGCAGTCGTTTCCAGGATGATGCGGAGGAAGAGAGAATCCAAGTATAGGAAATAACCAAAGAAAAGGAGCCAAAGCGGGCCCGTGACCAATTAATCCAAGACAGATTTTACATTTCTCTTCTTTTCTCATCCCGTTTCTTCAAGAGTTCTCTCTCTGCTTACTCTGAACGCCCCGACTAGTGACTCCGTACCTATGATCAAGACTCCCTGAAATAGCCTGAATGAGATGATTCTACCGATATGAACGCCTCCTGCTAAGTATCCGCACCGGACCCTGTACGCAACCATCTAGACCTTCAGAGTAATCCTTTTTAGGTCGATGCTGCTCACTCAGTCCGAATCGAATCAGGCTCGGGTTCCCAAGGCCTCGTCGTATCCTGAAGAACTACGTACCCCGCAAAGCCTTGGATATCCTAGTTGAAATTCCAGTCTTTCCGTGACTGATTCGAAAGTCCCGAGCTCGAAATAGCCTTTAATGCCTCTTGAATACTGAGTGCTCTGTATCTGGACAATACCCGATAAGTGTGACTCGATTTTTACAAACAAATACTACTAGACCAAGTCTCTGGTATATATGGGCGCCGCATATCACTCCCATGCCCCCAACGGCGCCAGCACCGATGTCATATTTGCCGCCTGTAGTTGATGGTACTTTGCGGAAGGATGGTAGTTGTTCCACCACACGCAGGTAACCCCATCCTCGTTGATGCAGGTTGCATCCTGGAATCCGTACTGGACAGGGTTATCCAGAACGGCAGTCATAAAGGACCAAGAGTCGTAGAGCACGGCGGTGACCTGTATTGATTAGTTAGTTAGGTTGAGCCTGCCAACAACGACTGCGGAAATCAAGGTAGAGTAGGGCTATCTTACACCCGTGTTGTTTGCGCCGAGCGCCGTCACCATCGACCGCAGCTGGTCGTTATACACCTTTAGATATGCAGCCTGCTGCGCCACGGTTGCGTTTCCTTGATCAATAAAGAACGGACTCCGGCTGGTTGGAGGGACATTCAGAAACAGGAACTTGCGTCCTCCTGCGCTGATGATCGCCTGGGCCAACGACCGGAGCCGGTCCATAAGCTGGGGAATAAAAGTCCCGGCGTCCGTTTTGTAGAAGGCGTTTCCAATGCTTAAAAAAAAAAAAAAATCCTCGTTCAGCTAGTGGGCTTCAGGCATGATAATAATATGATTCACCTACTCGTTCACTCCGATCCAAAACGCGAAAACAGCATCATCGGACGTCCACGCCGCTGACTCGGGCTTGCTGCGATACGTTGCATTGAACATCCCGATCTCACTGACAAGATCTCCTTGGTAAGATGCGACAAGGGAATCATCGATCGTGGCGCCGCCGATGGCCAGGTTGTAATTGAGCACGAGTGACGAATTTTGCTCAGTAGTCAGGTATCCCACCCAATTGAGACCACCGGTTGTCGTACCAGTGCCTGCATTATTCCATTGTAAGCAGTGCTTTAGGTAACTATACTATCGAAATCCCTCGTCCAGCAGCAGTGTTTCTTACCTAGTGCAGGGTTACCCATGGGATTAGAAGTGGAGGGTTGTTCCCCCGTTGTGCTGAAGCCAGTCTGCGTATACGAATTACCACTGCGCTTACAGGCGAATTAGTTTCCATTCCCATACTTCTCAAGAACCCGAGGGGGAAAACAAAAGAGAAGGAATTCGTACAACGTAAAAAAGTAAGTCGTTCCGGATGCCTGTTGCGCCCAGGGCCTGGCAGCCACAGTTGGGATGGCACTAGCTGCTAGACAGGCAAGCAGAAGCTTCATGATGCTATCTTTACAGATGGAATGGAGTTTGCTGTGTCCGAAGGAGAGAAATGACTCGAGCTCTAGTCCATCCGAGTATTTTCAAAGAGTCTCAAGTCAATGCTGCTGGTGATTCTCTGGTATATATATCGGTACTGCGTAGAGGGTAAACCACTCCACCCAGAAATCCGACAACCCATGTTGGATATTGATTAAATCGGAGTCATGGCAAGTCTTCCTAAACAGAGAAGATCTGTTTCAATCAACTCAGGGCTTTGTCTGGATGGAATGAGTTTTCCCGTGCGGGGAATTAATGAGGTATGTAGATGTGGAATACATCGAAGAAAAATTCTAATTAATGACTGACCTCTTCTCAGATACGGTTGCTTATGGTGCTACCGATACTCCGTAAAAGGAAATGAATCCGTTGGCGCTGGCTTCATTCTACAAGGGTCTGCGAAACATGTGGATCTTACTTAGCTCCTTTGGCCACGGAATTTGGCCACTCTGATAGATCATGTAGAATCCGGTTTAATAGTGGTCTAAAGGATCCCCCTCTACTCGGTGTACAAGAAAGCATACTTACATGACAGGTATGTACTCTCTTGTTGCTACCATCGAATCTGCAGGAGAATGGAAGGGAATGAAGCTCCTCACGTCTATTTTCTCTATATGTATGCAGTAGCGTTTCAGACATCATCTCATAAATATATACAGCTCTAGTCTCGGTGCAGCTAACGGAGATGAACGCTGAACAATTCCATGCCCACTCCGCCAACAAGGAGCTTGAGGCCCCCTTGTTCATCGCGAACAACGTCCAGGGCCGAAATATCCGATACAGGACAGTACCGGTCCTCCACATTCCGGACGTGAATCGCATCTATTCCTTGGGTTGTCTGCATGTCGACGTCTGCCTGCCAGATCTTGATCCGGTTATCGTTTCCGGATGAAGCGAAGGTGATCTGAATTGTCCTGTCGCCATCGCATGTATGTTGCGCAATGATTTTAACAGCATTTGTAGATGCCGTGTGGGCGTCGGGAATAGCAATTGTGCCGGTGCATCCACTCATTTCGGTGTCGTGGGAATCGGTCTTCAACAGCGATAGCGTCACGGCATTGTCATCACCACCCGCGATCACCAGTGCAGTAGTATCTGAGAGACGGGCGATATCTAGAGACTTGATACTGTTCGAGTGGATCTGGTATCTGTTTTCGCATACGATAGTTTCTGGAGTGATTGAGTTCGGATCAAGAGACTCCCTAAGACGGAGTGTCGGGGCGATTGTATAGAATGGCTCCAGAACAGGGGTCAAATTCCAGAGAGTAAAGTGTCCGTCCGTAGAAGCGGTGATTAGGTGCAATGAAGACTGGCTTTGTAGGAACCGTGCCTCTGTGAGACAATTGCTTGTGTAGGTGCCGCTTGCCAGTAGCGTAAATTGGCCGTCGTGGGCCGTGGTGGAGAAGTGGAAGACCTACATAATTAGCCTCACATTGAAATAATCCGGGCACGCAGGCTTACCTTAATCACAGAGTTTGAATATGCCAGACAGAGCAGGAAGCCAGCATCAGCCTGCTTGTCCTCCACATCTAAGACGTCGAAACTGGTGATGCGAAGTTCTGACCCTGGATGGCTTTTGGGATAGCAGCCTAACACAGCAGCCGCCAGCCCTAAGGAAGGTACAGAGCGAATCCTCCAGGCCAAAAAGTCTTCCGACGCACTACTTGTAAACATGAAGTTGCCGTCTTTGGACCAGCCAATATGCTGTGGACCAGAGTCATGTGCTGTGAGAACTCGTAGGCACTCAAGTCCGCCCCACGGCCCCTTAGCATCGTGTTGGGTTGGCGTGAAAATACGCAAAGTCGTATCCTCTCCGCCCGTTACAAACAAAGGACCTTTCCCCTCTATAGATGGAAGCGAGCCCATTGCTTTGACCTCTCTTCCATGCGCCCCAGCCCGAATGAGACGGGTGGCACGAGAGCTTATGTGGAAGCCATTGAATCCTGACTGGGCCCAGATAAACAGAGCATCACCAGGCCTTTCGCTGCTAGGCTGGAAAGCCCAATGTCGATGTGATCCGCCGCAGTTAATCCTTGCTACCTCTGATTGCATCGACTCGTCCCAGAGGACAAAGTCGTTCCCCCGGAACCCATACATCATTAGATTTCGGGTGGACCTATCAATGTACGCGCCCTCTATGTTGTGGCCCAGAGTAGACGAAGAATTGATTGTGTGAATAGAGACACACTCTGGGTCTTCCTGCGTTTCGAGCTCGCTGATACGGTAACATCCATCCCGTCCACTGCTCAGGAAATATTTCGCGTGCGTGTCGGCTGCTCCGTAAAGCGAGGAGAGTGGTAGAATCTGGGTTACCCCTTCTTTGCTATGAATCCTGATAACTTTCAGAAGAAGTTTAAGAGAATCTATCTCTGCGGTCCGATATACAACAAGAGTACCAGATCTGGACCCTAGTATTAAGTATTCGTTATTGCAGAGGAACGACGCACACGTCACACCGAAGCCCTCAGGCAAGTCTATCGATGCTCTCTCTACACGAGGCTCGGTGTCTTCGGAAACGTAGACATGGAACAAATCTGCCCTTTCAAGATGACCATATGCTGCAACGAACGATACCTTGGCCGCTGAAGAAGGTGTTTTTGGACAGTAATCCAAGGCGAATAATGCCACTGGTCTCTGGCCTGCTTCTGCAACCCTAATGATCGACTTGCTCGCGTGCTCATAGAGTCGAATCGTCCCACGATTGTTTCCCACAAGGGCAACACCATGGTGTGGTAAACCTGCTATTATGGAATATGCTCGGAGATCCTCTTCAAAAAACAAAGTCTCCCGAACGATGTTTCGATCAATTGTGTTTGGAGACTCAACCCACCCGATTTGGACGTCCCCTCGGGTAGTCGATGACAGAAAGCAATCAGGAGAAACGAACGCAAATGCTTTCATGGAAACTTTAGCTGTTTCTTTCGGGTTTTCCGAATTCGCGGGTTCGGCTGTTGCGGTAATCTGGTTCGTTCTGTTGGTACATACCACTCCTCCACCCTTCTGAATTTCTAATTTGAAGGTTTTCACGCCTCCATCAGCCCCTCCAGTGTAGATTATTGTCTCTGAGCCAGTGCGGTACTTGTCGAGGGACCAGACATGTTTGCCATTGTGGTTTCGGAGGGAACAAATGTTGGTTAAGCGGAATTCCGATTTCTGTGACGACGAAGACTGCCAGCTGAGGTCCCAGACAAAGCAATGTGCGTCCTCACCCCGCGAGACTAGATTCAACTGGCGATGGCCCTGAGATTGTGTTGGGAGAAAGTGTACACCCCATATTCGGGCCGCATGGCCGAACGCGCTGGCAACACAGGATTCCGAAGTAAGTTCCCCGTTGTCCTTTATGCTTCCGAAGCCAGTGCAACGGAGTTCAAACCCATCTGTTGAATAAGGAGAGTGTTCATTGGGAGATGCGTGCTCGCAGTTTGATATGTCCCAAACTCTGATAGTCCGGTCATCGCTACAGCTCGCTAATAATCGTCCCGAAAGATCTCCATGCAAATTAGCAATCCGGGAGGATATCTGGACCCCGAAAATTGACCCTTCGTGACCGGTAAAAAAATGATGTATGGAGCTAGTTGCATCCGCGGCAGAGCCTTCGCCATTAAAAAGAAAACACGACCATACTATTATTTCACCAAAGACCGTTCCGGCCGCAATCAAGAAATGGGATGGAGAAATTGGTATGACTTCGGCGGAATACAGTATGGACTTGACTCCCACCACCAGCTGCTGTATATGAATCGCTTTTTCATATTTTGAGGAGGTGCCGTTTACCACAGTCAGACCAAGAACAGCGTTATGAGCAGTAACCAAATAAGCCACATTGTTTTCATTGGTAGTGCTCGGTGCGCAGCCAGCTAGAACCCAGTCTGGCGCTAGGTACTCTGCGCTTGTAGCTGAAAGTGATACTACAGGCCGAGCCGCATCACTACTCACACAATGTAAGTCGATTAGCCTCAGGGATCGATCTCCCCATGCTAAGAGCTGGACATTAGTCACGTCCACATTGGGCTCTGCTTCACGAAGGATCGCAAAGCCATGAATGTTGCTTCTTTTGAAACATCTCAATTCCGCAAGGACATCCCCACTAGTTTCCTGGATGAGGCGTGCATATGGACCTTGACCCGAGAGAATCAACCTGACATCTCCGAAAGCAAATGCCTTTAGTGTAGTAACTGGGAGGCAAGCATCAATGTGCTAGGAACTGTTTAGCGATGTCGGCAGCTATAATATTGGAGGATAATCACTAACTTCAAGTATGGAACGCATTTCTATATACCGCGCGAGACATTGGCTCGCCTCCTCAAGATGATTGCTCGAAAAGAAAAACTTCAAATCTTCCCCGCATAAAGAAATCATTGCTCTCAAAAATTCCACCATCGTGATAATGATTATGTAATATCCCTATCAAAGCCCACTTTCCATAAAGGGTATAATTAGCACGTGACACCGCGCAGTGTCGGCAGCGAAGACGACGCGGACGCCTGTCGACATCTTTTTGTACCAACGCTATCGGAATTTTGAGCTTACAGCTACCAGCCTGTGAGGTGGTAAGCCTCGTGGGTTTAACAGCATTTCGCAATTGAACCTCCATGTCGGGCTATATCACTCTTTACATGACCGCGACTCCGTGCCTACGAGGCCACCATGGGTGTCCATGGACTCTGGACGATAGTTCAGCCCTGTGCACGGCCTGTGAAGCTCGAAACCCTTAATCGGAAGCGGCTGGCTGTCGATGCATCGATCTGGATATATCAGTTTCTGAAAGCGGTACGCGACAAGGATGGAAATGCGCTTCGCAATTCCCATGTTGTCGGATTCTTCCGTCGGATCTGTAAGCTGCTTTACTTTGGAATCAAGCCGGTATTCGTATTCGATGGCGGCGCACCTATTTTAAAGCGACAAACGATAGCGAACCGAAAGAAACGGCGAGAGGGCCGCAGAGAAGATGCCGTTCGAACCGCGAGCAAGCTTCTTGCAGTCCAGATACAAAGAACCGCTGAGCAAGAAGCAGCCAAGCGCAAGAAGCGGGCAGCAAGGGTTGAGGAAGACGAGGTTCCAGATAACCCTGTGTATGCGGATGAAATATTCATGACCGAAAAGGAGAAAAAACAATCTCGAGCCTTTAAAAAGAAGGACGCCTACCATTTGCCCGATCTCCACGCCTCACTTGAGGAAATGGGAGCTCCAAATGATCCACGTATCATGTCCCGAGAAGAGCTTGAAGAATATGCGCGACAATTTCACCAGGGAGAGGATATCAATCTCTACGATTTTTCAAAGATTGATTTTGACAGTCCCTTCTTTCTAAGTCTCCCCGCGACAGATCGGTATAATATTTTAAATGCAGCCAGACTCAGGAGCCGATTACGTATGGGATACTCGAAAGAGCAATTAGATAATATGTTTCCGGACCGTATGGCGTTCTCAAAGTTCCAGATTGAACGGGTAAAGGAAAGAAACGATCTCACCCAGCGGCTAATGAATATAAATGGCATGAATGGCGAAGAGGCATTCTACAACTCCGGTCAGCGAATTGCTGGTGAGCGTGGTAAAGAGTATGTGCTAGTGCAAGATAGTGCCGTTGAAGGTGGCTGGGTGCTCGGTGTTGTTGGCAACAAGGAAGAAGGCCATCAAGAAAAGCCTATTGACGTCGACAAATACTTTCATCATGAAATAGAACCCGAAAATGAAGAGTTTTCGGACGATGAAGAAGAGTTCGAGGATGTACCTATTGAGGGTATTAATCGTCTCCCCAAACTCCAAATTTTCCAGTCAGGCGTTTTAGATGAATATATCCTGCCACAAACGCGTACTGAGATTGAGCACGACAGCGATTCTCTTTTTGTTCAAGGCCCTGAAGTCAATTCTCAGCGTCAGAGTCATCTCGGCATTGACGATGTATTCGAGGACGCTGCAAACAGTGAGGATGAAGACCTCCAGAGGGCGATTGAAATGTCACTACAAAATGGAGACTCTGCGGACGAGCATGATCACGATATGCTAGAAATTCCAGTCAATCGAAAGATATCTCCGGCGCTTATACTGAAAGAGACTACATCGAAGTTCGTTGAAAGCGTTGAGGATGATGATGATCTGGACTTTGCGGCTGCTTTGGCACAGTCAAAGAGGACTAAAAACGAACCTTCTAAAGTTGTGTCGCACCCATTTACTGGGCCACTCCCATTTGAGACTCTTGATTTTAGCAGGTCATCCAAGATAGAGCAACCAACTCGACAGGACGAAATTGATGAAGATGCGGGCGGTTTTGAAAAGGAGCCCTCGAAACTGTCTAAAGAAAAGCTACCTTTGCCTCCATGGTTCTCTGGGCCGAATCAAACTGCCCAGTTCGTCGCGGATAAGGATGATGACGACTCATTAGAGAGATATCGAGACAGGGCTATGACCCCGGACCATTTATTTTTAAAAGAGCATCGATCCCCGGATGTCATCGATATTGACCAATTTCCGGAGAATAAAGTTATCGATCTAGATCCAGACTCTACAGACGAGGCCGATATTGCAACTGCGGGGTTCACCAAAACTACAGCTACAACTGAACTAGAAAGACAAAATACGCGTTTAAAGTCACCTAAGGTACCGTCAGTGGATGGCAAAGACTCAAAGTCTCCGGCGCAGTCGGATCATGAGGCCTATGAGTGGGAGGCAAGCGATGATGAGAAGCTTGGAGTTGTAGCGAAAGGGCCTGTCCCAGCCCCCGAACGAACACCAACCCCCGAGTTTGAAGACGTTGTGATAGGGCCAGAGGGGCCAGATACTGCCGCCCCCTTTATCCTGGACGATCAACCGGAGATTACCCAACCGATTGAGTACGTGGACGAAGATGAATTCTCGGATCCCGAAGATGAAGAGTTACTCCGACAACTCGCCGCTGAAGGAGAAGAGCACGTCCGATTTGCGGCAACCTTGAATTCCACTGCCCAGGTGGAAAGCTCTTTTGATTATGAGCAAGAACTCAAGCAGCTGCGCTCGCAACAGAAGAAAGACCGTCGAGATGCCGACGAGGTTACGCAGATAATGATTACCGAGTGCCAACAGCTGTTGACTCTATTTGGTCTTCCATATGTAACCGCTCCGATGGAGGCCGAGGCGCAGTGTGCCGAACTGGTCACGTTGGGGCTTGTGGACGGGATTATTACGGACGATAGTGATATTTTCTTGTTTGGAGGGACCCGAGTCTACAAGAATATGTTCAACCAGAGCAAATACGTTGAATGCTACCTCACATCAGATCTGGAGAAAGAATATGCCCTTCACCGACGGAAGCTTATCAGCTTCGCACACCTGCTTGGGAGTGACTATACGGAAGGGATCCCAGGAGTTGGTCCGGTTACAGCCTTGGAAATCCTCACCGAATTTTCGGGTTTGGATGAATTCCGTGATTGGTGGACTAAGGTTCAAACCGGGGTGAACGTCTCTGGCGACAGTCATGCGGGGTTCTACAAAAAGTTCCGAAAACAAGCTACGAAGATTTTTCTGCCTCCAACCTTTCCGGATCCTCGCGTTGACGAGGCATATCTTAAACCTGAGGCAGACCTGGATCCGTCTGCGTTCCAGTGGGGAGTACCCGATCTGCATGGACTCCGGCATTTTTTGATGGCGACAATCGGATGGAGCCAAGAACGTACGGACGAGGTTCTTGTGCCCGTGATTCGCGATATGAACCAACGAGAGCAGGAAGGGACGCAGTCTAATATCACTAATTTCTTCAATGGGCCGCAGGGAGCGGGTGCATTCGCCCCTCGGGTCCGCTCCGGTGGCCCGAGTCGAATGGAACAGGCATTCAACCGACTACGGCAGGAGGCTGGGGCAGAGAACGGCCATAACCCATGCATTAGCCCTGAAAACTCCCTAGAGGGTCCTAGCTCTTCGACAAAGGGCAAGGGGAGCAAACGGCAAGCTCCTGACCCGGGAACCGCAGACCAAGGCCACGGGGGGGTCAGGGGTGGTGACGATACGACGACGAAGAAACGTAGAACCCGAAAGAACAGAAAAATGTAATGGGGGGGGGATCGATGGTGGAACTGTGTCCTTTCATCATGTTAATCGATCGGGGGATAGTTACGCGAGGCAGTCCCCATCCCCACCGTTCATCATACCTACCTAGGTAGTGTTACATGGGGGGCCAAGGACGAACCAGACATGAAGACCGAGCGGAGACTACGAGACGATCTCCCGACACAGGAGACCTGAAGTAGATTAGAATGCTAGCTGATCCTTTAATAGTCTATTGAAGTTTTAGGCTTACGCTAGATACTCTGGTATGTATATGTATGTACCTGCATAGTCCTGATCTGATAATTTACCAGCAATTCGATTCTATTTACCTTGGAGATAAAAAAATCAAATAAACCCTAACAGGAGCTGCCGCTCGATCTCTACCTTCCACAAAACCAAAAAAAAAAAAAAAAAAACTTTTCCATACAAGATCATGACCATGACATCCTTGAGTCGATTGCGATTCCCCCAATCGATGACATCACACATCGCGGCCATGGATGACGTCGCGGAAAAAAGCTCCCCCCAACCTGACTTTGCACTGGCTTTAAAGGTCTTCTCCCCCTTTATCTCGTCCCTTGGATTCCTGCTGGTCGGAAGTTAATTGTTCATCCCGATCGTCCAAAGGTTGCATTTTATTTGTTAATTGCTCCCGAGTAGCTCGTCATTATTATTCTTCTCGTTCTCTTTTCTGCCTCGCTGGAGTGCAAGGCGTGACCGCCGAATCGGGCTAGTCACCCAACCACCTGAGTCTCGACGTCACCAGCGACTGAAGTTGCGCCCACGCCATCATCGTCGCATTTGTCTTTGCTTTTCTTTCTTTTCTTGGTTCGAGGGGAGAAAAGAACTAAAAGAAAGAAGCAGAAGACGAAGACGAAGACGAAGACGGACAAGAAAAAAAATCAGAAGAAGGAAAGGAAATTAATCACCTGGAGGAGATTCCCTCACGTCATTACTCTTTACCCGACACTGCTCCTCCTGCAGTTACCTCTCTCTCTCTCTCTCTCTCTCTCTCTCTGTCCCCTTGCTCTTCCGTCGCATCCCGTTGTGACCTCCTGGTAACACGTCACTGCTGCGCAAACTAGAAGGTTCAAAGAAACCGCCTCTTCCAGTCTGAACCTTGTCCCCAATCTCTTCCTTCCGTATCCCATCGCTTTGACCCGATCCTGCTGTCTGCCCTCTCGCTTCCCTACGGATCATTCATCATGCATCGCACCTATTCTATGCGCCAGTCGCGCGTTCCAACTGCTTCCCAGATCGAGAACCCTCCTCCACCACTCTCTACGACCAAGACAAACAGATGGGTAGGGAAAGGTGGCATTGGTGAGTGCCTAATCCAGGCTTACGTAGCTACCCGAGTATGGGAATAATCTCATCATCGGGCTGTATCAATTTATAGCTTTTCGAAAACAATTGGATGAGGGCAAGAGTGCTAAATGATCTTCAATAGGACATGCCTTTCGCAAGAACACCGCTGGTGCCTTTGGCCCTGATCTCGCCCGCAAGCTCGCCCAGCTCGTGAAGATGGAGAAGAATGTCATGCGCAGCATGGAGATGGTCTCCAAGGAGCGCATGGAAACTGCCGTACGTGTCGCTGCACGCTGAGAAACCTGAATCAACACTAACTCGTCATCTACAGCAACAACTCTCCATCTGGGGCGAGAACTGTGATGAGGATGTGTCTGATATCACTGATAAGCTGGGCGTTTTGCTCTACGAGGTTGGAGAACTCGAGGACCTGTTCGTCGATCGTTATGACCAGTACCGTGTGACCATCAAGAGCATTCGCAACATCGAGGCTTCCGTCCAACCTAGCCGCGATCGTATGTAGATTGAACCCCGTCTGGGCGGATTAACCAGATGCTTACGTACTATTTTCTACCCAGGCAAGCAGAAGATCACTGACGAAATCGCCAAGCTCAAGTACAAGGACCCAGCCTCTCCTCGCATCGTCGTCCTTGAACAGGAGCTTGTGCGTGCGGAGGCTGAGTCCCTCGTAGCCGAGGCTCAGCTCTCCAATATCACCCGTGAGAAGCTCAAGGCAGCCTTCCAGTACCAGTTCGATGCGCTCCGTGAGCACTGTGAGAAGGTCGCCATCATCGCCGGTTATGGAAAGCATCTTCTTGATCTCATTGATGACACCCCGGTCACTCCTGGCGAGACCCGCCAGGCGTACGATGGATACGATGCTAGCAAGGCCATTATCCAGGATTGCGAAGATGCGCTCGCCAACTGGGTTCAGTCCAAAGCGGTGGTCAAGTCCAGCCTGTCTACTCGCTCGCGCACCCTCTCTCAGCGCCACCGCGAGGCCGTCTCCAAGGCTCGTGAAAACGGCGTCGACTTGTCTGGGCAGGACCAGCCCATGCAGGGCGAACGGGATTCGTGGGTAGCTGCCGAGCAGCACGCTAGCTATCAGAACGGCGTGGATGACGGTGAAGAAGTGGGTAGCGTGGAGGGGGAGCTTCGCGGGCGGGAAGACGATAGAGAGCCCATTACTGCCTAAAGATGGCCCTAAAGATGGTATGGTGAGGGAGAACCAAAAGATGCCGAGCCCGCGCGATATATGGGTTAATAATCTTGGCGCTCTTGGATCTGGTTACATCTACATCGTACGCAATTGACTCCTCCGTGTTTTATCAGCTTCTGATTTCGGATCGGTATTCCTTTTCTCTGTTGATCTTGATGTCTGATTGATTTTCCGCTGCTCTATTTTACCCGATGTTCTTTTTTACGATATGTGATATCATCCTGTGAAATGCCTGTTCCAACAAGTGTGATGCTTGTGTACGTGACATTCTGACTGGGGTAATCTTCTCCCAACATGCCGCCGATGGTTCCGGGAAATGATAAATCTCATTTCCCATCAAGCAGGTAAACTCGCATGGGATGCCCCAGGTTGTTACAATATATGAAATGGGATGGGATGGGATGGGATGGTTAATTAGTTAATTTATTTAATGAGTGTAATACAAGATTTAGGATTAGTTATCTTTGATTTCCCGTCTTGAATCATTTACATAGCTCTGCATCCCCAACAACCTAACCCCCAGGACCGGACATTTGTGAGGAGATAATAAACTACTAACTACTTTAATACTTCGGCAGGTAGGAGGGTTCTGTATTACCGTACTACTACTACTACTAACTGCCCGCTAGGAATATCAGGATCAAGCTACATACATATGTAGGGGAATACGTTAGTAGGAGGTAGGTTGAGTTGCTCTTGAGTTGAATTGCGAACCAGTACCCTGTAGATCTAGAAAGCATATGCGAAAAGATGAAGGTCTGGATACCTAATAAAGCATGCATGGGGGGGGGGGGGGGGGGGGGGCAGCTGGGAAGGAGGGAAGGAGGGAAAAGAGGGTGTGTATTATTATGTTTCTACTGATACGCTGATCTGCTATAATGCAGGTCATACATATACTGTGTTATAGTTGTTACTATATGTAGAGCCAGAATGACGGGGTGTGTGTGTATGTATGTATGTATGTATGCACACATCAGAAACAAGACAGTCTCGATCTGTACATGTACATTCCTGCTACTCCGTACATACTAACATTATCAACACGCTCGATCTGGTTGGCACCCCTACTCTCCCGTGCATGGAACGGAGCCATGCCGTGCTTAGCCTGGACGGTGGCACTAGACGCTTTGCCGTTGGAGCAACGGAGATCGTCTGGCGTCAAGTCCGGAGACAGAATAGAATGCTCGGGTTTCGAGAATGTACCGTCCAAGTATACCATGAGTGATTTGATTTCGCCGGTGGTACGGAGGACTACCGTTCCACAATGGATTGCAAGTCCGGGAATGGCACATCTGTAATGTGCTTGCTTGCGGCTAAGGGCTAAAACCTATCAAGAACCAGAGCCAAAAAAACAAAGGCAACATCATTAGCCGTTTCCGAATACTCCGGATTGCAGGGGCTATATAATATAATGTAAGAAAAGGGCTCCATCTCCATCCCAGTCCCAGTCCTTCCCTGCGTGGCCCCTATTCCAATCAACCCCCCCCCCAAGATGAATGTAGTCCTGCGTAGATACCCAAAAATCAAACCCAACAAAAGCAACCCCTGGATTGGACAAACAACCACGAAATTAGAAAGAGAAGCAGGTCATTACATCGTCATATTGCGGCATGCACAAGCGGAAAAGCCAGCATGGGAGAGTAGCAATCGCCAGTCAATGTGTAAAGCGGGTATCAGAATAAGCCACCCAAAGTCCAACAAGTGGTACCATCTCAAGTACTAAGAAATATTGAGAGAGAAGAGTGCACAAGTAGAACCAAGGAGAATAATCAATGAACATCACACACAAGCCAACTTCAAGCAAGGTTTTTTTTTTTTTTTTTTTTTTTTTTTTTTTTTTTTTTTTTTCTTCAATTGATGCTCAGTTGTCAGTACCCACGCCCTTCTTTTTTGGCTGGATATGTTTCTGTCCGCTGCCGACAACCGTCGTATTTTGATGGCTCATCGCGTGGTCTGTTGTCGGGGGAGGCGGCATACGAGTAGAGGTAGCTTCATGTTTCTCAGTCAAGAGATTCTTAAGCCACCGGTTTTCCATCTCGAGTTGGGCGACACGGGCCTCGAGGGTGGCATTCTTTTCGGTCGTCTCTCGCACAGTCCGTTCAAGCGCTTGTTCGCGTTGCTTCTTCTTCATGCGAAACCGCGCACTCGCGGCAGTGTTGCGCCGTCGTCGATCTTCTTCGACGGCACGGCGAGAGTAGTCTTCCTGGTCGAGCGCAGTGGCGATATGATCGCCTGAAATCTGAGTGCTGTACTTGCTGTTGCCGATCTGGCCATTTGGGGGTGAAATAGAAGATGAGACATCCGAAGGCGTGAGAGTTCCGGGGCCATGGTTGAGATCGTCTGGCCCACATGAGATAGTAGGATAGACGTGATGAGCCGAATAAGATAGCATTTCCGGCATAGAATAGTTAATGGTCTTATCCCCTGCTGTCCAGTAGAGTAGTGTGTAAGTAAAGGATACGGAAAGATAAGGGGAAAGGAAAGGAGCAATCGTTATCAGAAGAAAGGTGAGAGCGAAAGGGACAGAGAACCCCTAGAAAGGGCCTTTAGATGAGCATGGACAAGGCTAGGAAGGAAGCTTGGTAGGGGTCCGGCAATGACAGGCTCCCGACGATGACATTAGTTTGGCCGATTGCGTGCTCACAGCCCGTATTTATCCAAGTGAGATATAAGAAGGGAGGGAAAGAAATGGACAGTGCACGGTATTGATTGACTCTGAAAGTGACATAGATGGGAAGTAGCACCTTTATTGCGCAAGGCTATAAAGGATGGGATTCACACCGACTGAATTAGAAGTGTCTGTACGGGGCACCGGGCAGAAAGGATCAAGGGGCGGTGGTTAAGGAAAGGGGACAGTCGAGGTTAATTGCAGCTTGGAGCACTTGGAGCACAAGAATAATCATTACGATTATCTCACGTCCAAGAAGGTTTTTCTGCAAGAAAAGCGAAAGACTCCGCGGATGCAACGAAAAAGCAGTAGTAGTAGCTCTTGCACTATCCATGCTGGATGAGCAAAGAGTTTAAAGGCAACGAACTAGGAAACACCAAAATGGTGCAAAGAATGCAATTTCAGCGTCATTCAAGCACACACTTACCATGATATGGGTATCCTCGCACATCGATCGGGCTCCGTTCGTCCTCGATGCTGTCGTACGAGCTGACGGAAATGCCGCCCATGCCTTCGGTTTGATCGTAATCCATATTCAGACTCGAGAACGAAGCCAAGCCAGCTGTGTCTGCGTCAAAAGAATAATGTCGACTCTTGGCCACTGCTGGGTCGTGTCGAGAAAGAAGAAAGTTGAAGTTTTCAAGTTTATCGAAGCTCGAGGCTGCCTGACGAACGATATTTTCTTCTGACATATTGGCTGCAGATGGTGTTTTTTAAGTTGATCCCCAGAAGAAATGCTTGGGTGGCTTGTCTTAGAATAAGAGCAGTCTACCCACACAGATGTCGACAGTGGAGAGGCGGCGGGGGGAAGGAAAGGAGGAAAGGGGGAAGGGAAGAGAGAGACCCCTCGGAAAATAACAGAATTGGATGATATGTCGTGAAGATATCTGTTTGGCACTCGCTACTCCGTACTCACTCCATCTATTGCCAGCCACGTACACAGCACCACGAGGAAGCGGACCGATGCGAGAGGAGGAAAGGACCAGCAGGGGGCCATGCCATGCACGGGAAGTAGGTAGTATCACCAAGGCACGATGATGATCTGATAAAATGGAGAAATGTCGTGATCGTCCGCTTTGATTCGTTCAGTCAGACAGGCAATTTCACCGCTCTAGAAAAGTTGAGAACTTAGTCTTGAAGAGGGAGAAGAAGGGAATAAAAATACATACCATCAACTCCAGAGTAGATCTTCTCCACAAACGCGCGTTGCTCGAGTTCCCCTTTTATAAGCTGACGGAATCATTCTGTATCACTCTGCATTCAAAAAGCAATGTCTCATGCTAGGGGCGCCGAGGTATTAGTATTGGTGTCACCTACTCCGTAGACTCCGCTCGGTTGTCAATATATACCCTACCAATCGATCTTTTTTTTTAAAAAAAATATATATACCCTTATAAAACCCTCATCTCAGTATCTTGAATCCTTCACCTAAGGTCGAATCTGAAGTTGCAATGGTTTCCTCGCCAGACGATCGTCCAGCTTATACCTAGGTACCGTCAACCCGCTGAATACAATATGACACCAAATATCACGTATGATGGCATCTAGGGAATCCAAAGACAGCATTATTCCTCCAGCCTGTTTATGAACCGTGTACGCGGACCGTTGGCGCTGGGGTTAATCAAGCGATCTAGGATTTCGATAACCACAACGGAACTTGGGTTGTATCATCTTGACTACACCCTGGTCAAGATCGGATTCAAAGACTCTGTCTGGGGCCAATGATGGCGAACGAATCCAGGTACAATTGTGTCGGAAGAAAACCACCAGGGTGTTCATATTGTCAGAGTATATGTTCGCAGTCGTCCTACAGAGAGAGAGAGAGAGAGAGAAAGAACGGAAAGTTGGATGCCGACTTCCGGCTAGAATTATTAATGTCTCCCTCGCCACAATCTCGACCCAGTTCAGACTCTTCACCGTCTGATTTCATCCAGTTCTGTTACAATTTCAATGCAATCCTAATTTATTTTGTTTCACCTCGTCGTTCTTCGGCGGTTTATCGCTCGATCCGGCTCTCTGGCGTTTACCCAACAAAGTACGAGTTCATCGATCCCGTGTGGCGGTGATTCGCCTAGTGGGAAAACCCGCTGGTGTCAGTCAGTCCACGACCTCACCTTTTCATCTCGTCCCCATCCTTTTAGTTGGATTCTGGACCGACTGGAACAGGATTGCGTTCTTCCTTCACACTCAACTCATAATCTCACTCGCTGTGATTGGTAGTCTCTCCAGTTTGACCGTCTACCGAATTAACTGGAAACCTGATAGTACCTAATCTATTAACTCGCGACACTCCATCCCAACGGGGTTCGATTACTCATGGTCCCAATAATCTCCCCTTTATTTCAGGCGTGAAGTAATGCAACACTCGGGCTCGCGTGCTGCAGTAGATTCTGCCGGGAGAATGCAGGATAATCACTCTACTACTATATACGAAAATGCAAGAGTTGGCATGAGCCCTGCGTCCGGGAATCGACGGCGTCGTAAACCACTGGTAAGCAGACCTCCTTGTCTGATATACAGAACTGCTTTAGTAAGGCTTGTTTAAATAGGCGTGCGAGGCGTGCTACAAGAGAAAAATCAAATGCGAAGTGGAAGGGTCCAGTGGGACTTGTATTCAATGTATGCGTCGTAATATAACCTGCAAGATCGCATCGAGAAAAGGCAAAAGAGACAACCTCAAAAGGTATATCTCCGTTCCTTGCAGATTTTGGTATTTTTTTTTTTTTTTTGGTTCGAGAACGATCATTTGACTAAAATAAATTAGATCCCGCTATGTGAGGAGTCTAGAGGAGCGTCTGAGGAAGACAGAGTCTCTGCTCAGAGCTGCTGGGATCTTGAATGAAGAGACACCGGATTTCAATGATATCAGCGATGACCTGGACGATTACTCGGAGGACGATAGCAACTCCGGCGATGAAGAAACCCCTAGTCCTCGCAATGAACCTAGCAAGCGTAGTTCTGGGGCATCTGAATCCCAAGATGCTTCAGTTGAACCAGATTTACTTATCTCATTCACGACACCAAAATACTCACCTGAAGCTAATGCCTCACCCAAGTCCCCTGAGCGCCGGCGCTCAGGAACAGACCAGGCTGCATCCTCGGGGCTCAAGTCGGAGAGTAAATTAGACACCAATTGTTATAGTAGGTCGGCCGCAACTTTTCTACAATAATGAAGCTGCTAACCTTGGCTAGTTGGACGATCATCACCCTTGTCAATCCTAACGCGGGAGGGAATTGAGTGGATTAAGAGCAAGTCTGGCGATGCAAAGTATCTCAGCATTCTCTTGTCTCACTCAAAGTTTGATAGCCCGTGGGATCATTGGCGACCTGATGTTTTCTATGACGTGTTTTCGTCCCAGGTTTTCAAACCACTCCCACCCAGAGCAGAAGTCTTCTCTCTACTTGGAGATTACTTCCGAACGGTGAACCGCATATTCCCCTTATACCACGAGGCAACGTTTATGGAGCTTGTGGAATGGCAGTACACCCAACAAACATGCGACGACGCCGCAAGGTGGGCCAGCATCAACATCATTCTTTCCCTGGCCTATGAATACCGTTTCTCAAATTCTCAGAAGTCGGAAAAGGATAGGGAGAAAGCATGGCTTTATTACAAAAATGCTCTCTCGGTCTTTCCGGAACTAGTATTACGACGGACAGACCTGCTGAGCGTGCAAGCCTTGCTCGGAATGGCTCTCTTCCTTCGAGGAAACTCGGGTACGCAGTCGACAGTCCCAATTGTAACCGCAGCGATACGATCATCCCACCGCATGGGGCTCCATCGCAACATCCAACGGCCTGGACTTTCCAAGGTCGAGCAAGAACAGAGGAGGAGAATATTTTGGATTGCCTACATTTTCGACCAAAGGTAAGAAAATTCATTTTCAGTCCGTCATGTCTGACTCTAATACATTGTTCTTTCCCCAGTACCTGCATCCGGCTTGGAAGCGCACCAATTCAACAATTTGATGACTTCGATGTCGGCTTGCCATCGGAGGAGACTGGCGAAGATGTCTTGATGCCCGATAACAGGCCCTTCTTCCCGCGACTCTGTCATATTGCGTTGATCAAAAGTCGAATATACCGAAAGCTATACTCAGCAAGGGCGCTAGAAAATAAATCTGTGACTGAAATTTGCGAAATCGTACACGACTTGCATAAAGAACTCGAGGGCTGGAGAGGACCCAGTCAATTCGATACCTTGTTGAAGAAACGAGGGTCTGGCGATGATTTCCTTGTTGGATTCGCTTCCGCCGGCCTATTTCTCGTCTACTACAACTCGTTGATTATGATCCACCGACTACCATTGTTGATTAATTTCGCCTACCAGTCGAACCTTGATAAAGTAACACACTCCGACGCACTACTGATCCTAAGTGAGTCTTCATCGTCTGCCGCAGTATGCGTTCAAGCCGCCCGCGACACCCTCAAGCTAGTGAATAATTTGCCGTGGGGAGATATCGCATGGATATGGTAATCTCTGCCTGTGTTTCTCATGTTCTGTTCCCAGCATCCACTAATCCTGCCCACAGGTCGTTATTATACTACGTCTTTTTAGCCGTAATGACTATATTCGTCAACATCCTCCGAAATAGCCAGCAACCCACCGCCAAAGACGATCTACAATCGTTAAACATGGCCGCAACATTCTTCGCAACACTGGCCCCCGGAGACGGGCCATGCAACTACGCCAGGTTCATGACCAGGATGAGCGCCACTTTCGAGCGGATCGCCCGAACAGTGGTTGAGCGGGAACGGAAAGCATTTAAACCTCTGCCTGATGCAAAACACAAACCACCCAAGTCCCGTCTACCAGCAACGACCCTGTCAAATGGCCATATCTCACCCCGTTCATCCACCAATCACACCGACAACAGGCCATCGCAATCCGCCTCTTCTCCTGATGATTCTGCCACTAGCTTCGAAATCCCCAACCTCGATGGTCTCCCTCCCATCAACTCATGCGGCTACGTTGTGCGCGAAAGCCCCAGCGACACACATGGTGATCTCCCCGTCTCCGCACCACACCCCATGAACACAACAGCAACGAGGATAGCAGCAGGCCTTGATCCCTCCATAGCAAGCGATACTCCACAACAACAGCAGCAGCAGCAACCAGGAATCACGAACCTCGATCAATTCCAACAGCTTCCACCCAACAACCCATACGCGTTAGGTAATATGACCTTCCCCCTCTCCGCCCTCGAGGAAGCCAACTTCCAGCCAGATCTATGGCAGATCCCACTAAGCGCGGACTGGGAGCTTGGAGCTCATTTCCTAGGAAATGTCCTTGGTCATCCGGGAGGCTTTGGCTCTGGCCTTGCACCCGGTCTCGGAAATGCAAACAGCACCCCGCCTACCGGTGCAGGTCAGAGTTTCTTCTTCCAGGGGAATAACTATAGCCAGCCTGTTTTGGGTACAACAGCTCCACTTGCAACGATCCCTTCGATTCCTATTCCGGGTGGTAGTATGGGCTATGGATATGGACCTCCGGGGAGAGGGAATGGGAGCGGGAATGGGAATGGGAATGGGAATTTCCAGGCACCAGAACTTCATCATACGGCCATGTGGATGGATGCCAATTTCGGGCCGCCGCCTTTCTAATATATTATTGATTGCGTTCATCCGCTCAGCCATGTAAGCACAAGTTGGTATATGTAATTAATCTTCACGAAGCGTTGTGGATTTGGTTTGCTTTTCTTTAGGGGTTGTTTCTTCTTCTTCTTCTTCTTGTTGGGTAGTATCTTGGTAAGGGTCAGATCACAGCCATGAATAGTTCAATAGCGATTGTATCCGTTCACTAAGCATAAACCATAACTTGTAGAAGTTGACAAGCGTCATTATAGGCCTCCTCCATTACTCCTTCAAAGTTTGCCGCATCGTCAAAGAGAACTGTGGTATTTGCTTTTTGCAACACTTCGGGAGAGAGCGCGTAACCTTCAGCAAATAAACCTGTCGATGTTTCTCGGCTTTGACTTGATTCGGGGGGCACCGGAAGTAAAAGTACTGTAACTCACTACCAGTAGATAGATAGATAGATAGATAGATAGATAGATAGACAGACTCTTTTACGTTCCCAGTTGAATCCAGAAGAAAAATCCAGTTAGTTTCCGCTCGTTTAACTTGCAAATTGGTATCAACATTTCAGAAATACATATACATCGATTGCAATGGCGTAGAAGAACCTAACCCCGAAAACGCGTGAACTCCGAACTCCCCTCCCTCCCTATTCATAAAAAAAAAAAAAAAAAAAAAAAGGGCAATCAAAGTAAAAACAACCCCCGGGAAGAAGAAAGCTAGAAAGAGAAAGACAAAGGATACCAAGATAACCGATCCATCCTTTCATCAAAATACCTTGCCAGAAAGCATTTGGACCGCTTTACTCCACACGCCGTGGCCCAGGCTGAGCCCCGATTTATTGACCCCCTTCAGCTCCTTGGAGAGGATGCTCTGCATTTCCTTCTCTGATGGACCTGTTCCGTTGTCGGTTCCGAAGCCGTAGACTTTGCTGGCGATCACGTCGGTTTGGATATCCATTACGCCGATTCCGCCTTCTTTCTCCCGAATACGGGTCGTCACGGCAAAGTCCACGTCGACTCGGCTCTTACTCGTGGCCTGCTGTGTCTTTGCGGGCGTTGAATGAGGTATCTTCGTAGGTGCCAAGGAGATTGTTCCAAGAAGCGTGCATCGTGCTCTTAGAGAAGGCTTGGTGTCATCAGAAAGGTGGAGTTTAGTCACACCCTGGAATTCGAGCATGTGGGCTTCCTCCTCCAGCTGTGAGGCCAAATCCCATGCTTCCGATACGAAGCGAAGAAGCTGCTTTGCGGCGACCGTGGACTGATTGATGCCGGCAAGATAGTTCTGGAGGGACTTCAGAACTAACAAGGTGATGGGGGATAACTGAGATGTTTTGGTGCCCTTTTCCCCGACTTCGGGGTGGTATTTCAGTTCAACGGGCGTCCTTGCATTCTGACTAGGTGAAGGTTTGGTGGCACCAGCTTCAAGGTGGAATGAACCTGGATGGAACGTGATCTGTAGCTGATGTCGATAGGACATTGTCACCACAGGGCCTGCGGCGAACTCGGAAGGAGATGCAGAAACAATCGACCAGCCTGTTTTCTGTTCGATCTTCTGGACAGAGTCTTTACAATCATTAGCAACAAGCCTCAAAAGGCGTGGTGGATGGAGCGCGGTTAAACATACCTTTCAATTCGCAGATCTCCTTTGCACTCCATCCACGGCACTCCTCCTTGACTCTTTCTGCCTCCTGGATTTGGGCCAGGAATTCGGCTTTGAGTTCTGCGCCCGTTTCAATAGTGTCCGTCTTGCCCTGAACCTCGTCCTGCAGCTCTTGAAGCATCTTCTTTTTCAACGCAATCTCCTCCTCCGCTTGCGCAAGTTTGTCTCGTGCGCTGCGCAGTTCCTCCTGGTCACAGTTCTCTAGCTCATCGACTAGCTGTTGCAGATTTGCCGCTTCTTTCTCGAGCGCCGAATGCTTCTCAACAAGCGCAGGGACAGCATTATTGAGCAGTTCCTCGTGTTTCGACAACAGACTGCCATCGGCCTTTATTTCTTCCACATGTTTATCAAGTCCATCTTTGAGACCCTCCAGAAGTTTCATACGCCACTCATACCATGTAGCCTTACTCAGCATCCTAGTATGAGTTTTCACATTCCGGAACTGGTTATCCATCAACAAACGGATGTCAGGTGCCGCCGTCATATACTCTCTGAATAGAGGTGGATTGTCTGCGTATGTTTCGGTCTCAATGGACCGAATGATTTGCCGCCCTTCGGAAATGTACGATTTCAGCTCTCGACAGGACTTTGAAAGAAACGGTTAGCTAAAGGCCTGCCTATATTACGACAAAGTTTACTTACATGCTGATACAGCTCCAGCATAGGCACAGTGCAGAACCCAGCGGCAACACAGTCGTCGAAATTGGCAGCACTAGACTTGTCGTCATCAAGTGAGAGCCTAGCTGCCCTTTTGCTAATACTGTCAGGCGCGGTTGTGTGTCTCCTCTTCGTAGTTGTGAGTTCCATGAAATGGATATTAGTCATGTTGAGAAAGTCCTGCAGTTGGATGGGTTCGACGTCAGACCCGGTGTCCTCTTGCATAGTAACAGCGTCAGGTAGAGTATCTGATGTATCCGACTCCTTCTGGGGGGTGTCAATCAACCCAAAACCAGCCTTTGGCTCTTGTGTGGGAGTTGTACTAGCTTTGGAGGGAGAGACAGCCAAGGGTTTGCGCACTGGGGAGCGAGGACCGCGACCAACTGTTTCTTCTTTGGATGGAGGGGGTGGCAGTTTAACATTCTTCACTGGACTCATATCCTCGCGACGTCTCAACCGTTTTGGTGTGTTGTTGGCCTCCTCTTCATCATCCTGATCTAGCTCGACAGGACGTTTGCCGAGGAGACCACGGGCAGCACCAACATGCAGACTCTTTCGGCCACGAAGCTTGTTCTTCTTTGGTGTAAGGCTAGAGATCATATCTCTCAAGTTTGCAGTGGGGTCTCGGTCATTGGGCTGAGGTGGTGGGATATGGCCGTCCTCCCGGCTTTCCTCTTCCTCGCGCTCGCGGTCAACCTCCTCCTGGAGTTTGATAGGGTCTTCAAAACGCACCCCTTGTTGCCTTTTATCCTGAGGGACAAAGTCTCCGGCTTCCTCACCAATCGATCGGCGCTTGTCAAGCATAGCCGCAACTCGTGGAGAACCTAGTCCTTCCCGGTCGATTCCAAGGCCAGAGGAACGTCTCTTACCAGGCGGCCGTAGAACAAAGAGAGGAGCGGACTCTCCTGCCGCATTTTGGCCAAATAGACTCCTACGACCAGGAGATTTCTGGTGACTCTCAGATGCTTGGGGCTCCGGCTGGAAAAGTTTCTTGGGCGATGCACTTCGTGGGCTCTGATCTTGAGATCGGGGCGTCTTGGAAGGAGTAGTGGGCCGATTCACTTGAGGCGTGAATTGTTTGCGGGAGGCCGAAGCTTCCTTGGCTGGGGATACTTGTGGTGTAGTTGAAGTCGGCGTTGTGGAGGCCCCGCGACTCAAGCTTTGCCTTGTGCGTCTAGATCTGACGCTTGCGAGACTGGGACTCCCGTTCTCTGAAGCCACAGCAGCAACGTGGAACAAAGCTTGCGATTTCGCAGGTGATGCCCTAACGGTTTCTTGGAATGGTGAGCTTCCTGGAGTCTCGCGTTCCAACGCTTTGTTCTCTCGACGAGGACTTTCACGAGCCGGTGGCAATATTTTCCCCATCGCTGTGGTAAATTCCATGCCCGCAGTCTGGTCTTCATCTTCAGGCTCAGCCTGCTCCTGAATTGGTGGAAGTATACCCCCGACGGCTCCAGTAATTTCCATATCTGCCCCTTCATCCATGTCATCTTCCTCATTCCACTCAGAAAAGTTTCGATCTCTACCTGGAGTCATGGCACCGACCTCCTCATCCCCATTCCCATCCACAAGTTGAGGGTGAGGAAGTTTGTTCAAGACACCCCCAACAACCGAGGTGAACTCCATGGTCATTTCTTCATCATCATCCACATTGCTATCGGCCCCAGTGGATTTGGCAGGAGAAACAAGCTGTGCGATACCTCCAACGACATTAGTGAACTCCATCGTCTGCTCACCGTAGTTCGTTTCTTCTCCACTTGACTTGCGACGAATTTCACTCTGTCGACGATTGGGGATAATGCGCCCAATGGCGTTCGTTACCTCCATGCTAAGGTCTTCATTATCATCATCATCATCACGATCAACATCACTTGCGACATCTGAAACCCCAGTGTTCGAGGGTTTGGAAGGATCAACATTTTCTTGGTCCAGTCGTGCACTGATATCTTCCCAGTCAAAACTCTGCCGCTGTCCTTTCTTAATCCAAGGCTGGAAGGCACCCGTAATCTCCTGGTCAGCAATTTCCATCGAGACATCTTCATTATCCTCGTAGTCGATGCTCTTCCTTCCCGCTTCACGTGCTGCCTGTCGTAAAGCTTCATTCAGCCTGCTGCTAGAGTCGGATCTATTCGACTGTGCTGTCATAGCAGAGTGAACAGACATATCATCCATACTCATCGCTGTGCTTTCCCCTTCAAAGCCGGAGATAGATGAGTTATCATCGTCGTCGTCGTCGTCATCCCTGGCAGATTGCAGCCCTGTATCCTCACTGGCTTCGCTCCCACTAAACGGGCTGGAGGACATGTCCTGGGAGGCCGTTCCGTCGTATCCTCCGGTCCGGGGGAGGTTCCGTAGTTGAGCTAGGTCCGGGTATTGTACTGGGGAGAATGCAATGTCGGATTCCGCATCCAGATCCGGCGAGCTCGGAGGTTCAGCCTGCTGCGGTTCTTGCACAGGTGTTTTGTTTCCAGCTGTCGTCAGTGACGACGCTCGTCGAGTTGAGTTGGATGTGGATGAGGAGGTCGAATCGTCAGGTATTTCCACCACATTCCATGTATGCAATGTCGCTTCAGGCGCAAAGGACACACGTCGGTTAGCTGTATGGAAGTGTTAGTTTAGTCCAGTAACCATCCATAATTTTAGACGTACCCATAGACTTCCGACGAGCTTCCCTTTGATCAAGTATAGCCCTTCGTTCCCTTTCTCGTTGTTCTTTCTCCTCCTGCTCTCTTACAGCTGCCATCTCATCGCGGAGCGAATCGGCGTTAAAAGTATCAAACGGGTTAGTTATATCTTCGGGTTTGGAGGTGTGTTGAGGAGCGGGAGTATCGAATTCAATCAAAAGCCCCTCCTGTGCATTCTGGTTCTTTTCTGCATTGTCTTCTTGTTGTGTCGCCCCACGAGCGGGGGTTTTCCTGCGCGTTTCTTCGAAAGAAGGAATGTTTCGCACTGGGGAGACGGGAACGGTTGGTTTAAGAATCGATTTGAGCGGAAATACTGCAGTAGACTACGAAGCGACAAAGAATTTTAGCTCGACAAGCACAGGAAGACGTTGCGGGGTGTTAGTACTATTTACCTTCCGTCGGTTCCCATTAGAGTCCTGAAGCGCATCCAAACCACCAGGTCCTAAACTCTTGCTGCGTGATTTCTTTCCCTTCCCAATCGCCGGTCCCCGACCAGCCAGTGATTGACCAGCGCTAATATCTGTTGTAGTATTTTCCTTGTCCCCTCCAGAAAGCAATCTCGATCGCGGGACATGAGCTATAGAGCGACGAGATCGGGGCTTGGATGCCCCCGCGGAGTCACCTCTGGACGCCATGAGAGAAGACGGAGGCGGACATGAACAAGACCAAAATGTAAGCTATCTCCGTCACTCTCAAAACCAACAACAAGTTTCCCGTTTTCGTGTGGATAAGGTCGTAATCGCAAAGGTAAACAACACCCAACTGTACTCCTTTAAGCCGCCCGCCAAAAGCGCGTCGCCCCGGTCGTCAGTCATGTGATCATCAAATGTAAACAAATATATGCTTACATAACAACCCTAGCCGATCCGCACAGATTACCTAAAAAGGACTAGTGGAGCCATCGCACAACTCCCACACTGAATAATCCGCCATCGCTAAATTAATCTCGCTCAACATCGACGTCGACAACTGAACACTCCGACACCCCCCCCCTTCGCGACGAATCTATCACCCAGCTCGACCCTTGTTTCCTCGTCGGACTGAATTCTCGCAAAAATGGCGACCGAGTTGACCGTCCAGTCGGAGCGTGCGTTCCAGAAGCAGCCTCACATCTTCCTTAACCCCAAGACCAAGGCAAAGAGCAAGAAGGTCGGCCAGGGTCGGAGATGGTACAAGGACGTTGGTCTGGGTTTCCGTACCCCCAAGAATGCCATTGAGGGTGGCTACATCGGTATGCACGACCTGTGTTGAAAAATCTTTTTTTTTTCTGGCCGGAATCAACGTTTCCGGATTGAACGAACGGACGATGGACCGTTTTTCTTCATGGAGGATTGGAGATGAGAAATCGACTCGAATCTACGGCGACAAGCAAATCTACGACAGGACTACTGGCACGCAATATTCAGAATGACGGGGACAGTGCCGATACGTCCCAATTTGCGTATGTGGAGGTGCTGCAAGATTCGTCGATTTCTCATCTTTATATCTCTGTGGAAAGGAAAATCGCCTCTCATGTTTCTCAACCAAGTGAATTCTCAGATCACTAACCACCAAGAATTTTTACAGACAAGAAGTGCCCCTTCACTGGTATGGTCTCCATCCGTGGCCGTATCCTGACCGGCCGTGTCGTCTCCACCAAGATGCACCGTACCATCGTCATCCGCCGTGAATACCTCCACTACGTTCCCAAGTACAACCGTTACGAGAAGAGACACAAGAACCTCGCTGCTCACGTCTCTCCCGCTTTCCGTGTTGAGGAAGGTGACTGGGTCACTGTTGGCCAGTGCCGTCCTCTCTCCAAGACTGTATGTTCAGCCCTTCGATGCGGACCAGATGCAAGGATACAACAACTGGCGCAATCCCTTTGCGAATTGAACCCCGTTTAACATAGCTCTGTTTAGGTCCGCTTCAACGTCCTCCGTGTTCTGCCCCGTACCGGCAAGGCCGTTAAGGCTTTCAGCAAGTTCTAAGCGTGTCGACGATGGGAGGGTGTTCTCGAGAGAAAAATAAACCTAGGGCAGCGGCGTGAATGGATTCAAGCGAAACAGTTTGACGGGTTGGGATTGTTTTACGATTTCATGTCCCAGGTACCCTTGAAAAGGATATATCCAATGAAAAAAAAAAAACATTCTTATCTGGTTTTCCTTATAGAATTCAACCGTACAGCAAACTAGGGAAAATGGGATTGGCATGCTTAATAGTTGGGGAATTCAAAGTTTTAACGATTCACTCTGGTTTCCACTTCTTTTCCAAGTACTTGGTTGATACCTCTCGACATTGGCGAGAGATGCATAGTCCTCTAAAACAATTCACAATCCCCCAACCAGTATTCGCGGTTTTCTCTCCAGCAGTGAAAGGCCTCTGGAATTTAACACGTGCATTGTTTGATCCAGCAACCCATCATCCAACATCGCACTCAATCGTGGTTGAATAATAACCCGTAAAAGATAAATGGCGTCGAAGAGAATCCTCATAAGGTGATAGGATACATTAGTGAGAAAATCAACCAAACAAAGCATTCCTATCTCGTTCTCTATCCGCTCCACATTGATCTTCTGGCCGAAGGATGATCTGTTCCTCGCGTACGCTGTCATCTCCATCTCCCATTTCCTCGTCAGAGCTGTCCAACAAGACCACAACATCATTTTCCGCCGGCGCCGTAATCATTACCCATTCAGTTGAGAAGTGCGTGTCGATCGCACCCGAAGACCTATTTTCATCGTCTTGCTCGTTTGGTAGTTCAGCATTGTCCAGGTGGCCATTCTTATCGTTGTCCCCTTCCTCCTCGCCGTCGTCATCGTCATAATCGCTGAATAGTAGTTCTTCATCGGAACTTTCGAATGCATTCAAATTATCATTGTTATTGTCTAGGGTAGGCCTTGGGACGTGTGAAATCAAGGGTGGCACCCCGAGATACGCAGCCTGAACTCCTTCGAAAAAGTCCTTCCAGGGGAGTCTTCGCCGTTTTACTCTCCAGGAATACGCTATACCCTCGCTCACATCTTTAGAATATTGATAGGGAACTTGTAGGAGAGATAGCAGCCCTCCGATGGCCAACCCTGCTTGCATGTCCAGAGCACTTGCCCCCTTCGCTAATGCCCGGTGCAGGGCCCGCCGGTTGATCTTGTAGCTGCTAATCATGTCTAGGTGAAGGAGTTTGCCGATCTGCGTGTTCTCAGAAGCAATGCGACAAAGCTGACTTACTTTGAAACTGCAAATGATTGCAGCATTTGGGACCTCCCCCCAGATCAAATACTCTCCTGCGCCATTGTAGGTCCCAATCCGTATGCTGTTTTCCTGCACAAAGTCTTTAGCAGAATAAATTTGCGCTTCCAGCTTCCGTGCATCAATTATTGAGACCGTGGCACCTTCTTGGTTCCTTAATGCTCTGTGCACCGGAGCCAACATTGACTTGAAGGTTGATATAAATGGTGAAGGGGTGCGTTGGATTTGAATATGCCGGCGAAAGTAAGTATTGAACTCTTCGGGCAGAATGTCTCCAGGAAGGAAGAAGTTCTTCTTTGCTTTGGAGAACATTCCAGCCACGAATGAATCCATAGAGTTGATACCCTGTGAGTCTACATTCCACCATCGGTACAAAATTGGAGGCATGTGACCGGGTTGAACAGCACTACAGAATTTCTGCATGTTGATATTAGTACTGGAATAGATAAAAGCACGCATACCCTGATACCTACCTGGCTTTCCAGGCCCTCTGAGTGACACCAAAAGCAAATTTTGCCTCCTCCATGGACAAGCGTGGAGCTTTCAGTGTCCTCAGATACTTCCTTATCAGCTTCAGGATGAGGAGTGCTATTGTATGCATCATGGGGTACACTGTTCTGAGGCTGAAGCTGAGATTGAGGTTGAGCTTCAGGTTGAGACTGGGGCTGAGGCTGTTAATCAGCGGGTGGTTAGATTATGTTCCTACTTATATCGGGTTTAGAAGCGTACCGATCCTCTTAGAGATTGAGGGACGACCATCTCTCGGTATTCAAAACCAGACTTGTCAATGTTGTCTTCGAGCTTCTCGTGAATGCTCCAGCCTTGAGAACATGCTATTGTCTGTATTTCTTGAACAGCACGATTTTCATGGGGGGCGCGAAGTTCATATTCAAAGGACGACAAGTGAATCCTTCCCCACAGAGGATCCCCCAGTCGCTTCATACATACCCACTGGCTATGTAGTGTACTGTACCGTACTGGGTAGTTATAGCCCCCCTCGATTATCTGCTGTTCAAACCTCCTATTGAAGATGTTTTGGAAAACTGAGTGATCGTTTTCGAAAAACTTGTATAGACAACACAGAAATACTCTAAACTCATCGGTCCACTTTATATTTCGTGGTTTCTTCCTGGGGTCCAGCGCCACATGTACCATCTTGGAGGGCATCCAGCTTGATGGATACAAAAAGGGAGAGGGAGGATCTATACCGGTGGCTCACTTTTCTTGAGCGCAGGCGAGTGTGGTGAGAGGTATGTGAATGTTCAAATGTGGGTTCTCGAGAGAGAGGACAGTCAAAGAATAATTATCTTGGACCACATGTCAGGGCAAGAGAGGATAGAAATAAGTGAGAGTTTCTCGAATTGCGCCTAGCAACAAATGATGTCGGTTTCTTCAGACAGTCCCTGTTGGAGGCATAAAGTCTAGGGTGAATGTTGAACCAACGGGCAACACTATGAATAGACGAAGTAAGAATGAGAGAATATTGAGCTGCAAGCATTACTGCAAGGAGCAAAAGAGAGTACAAAAGTAAGAGGCATTAAGTAGTGAAGATGGCCTTTGGGATTATTGACGTTTTTGAAGTTGACGAGAGTGATATATATAACTTACCTAGGTAGGTAGTTAGTATCATGTAGACAAGGTGACATTTACACGGTTAAGAGTACACAACAACATGTAGAGTAGAATCTTAAATTCGATAAAAATTAAATAATACCTAGTCTTTCCCAAATCATGGTTTGTGTGCTCTGTATACTTCTTTCTGCAACTGGAGTTGGTGCGTTGGAAATAGTATAGGCGCTGCCTGGTGATTCAGGCACCCACCACCCTCCAAACTCGTCGTCGTCACTTTTCGCCGGCCAACTTCCATCCCCCACGACTTCCGCCCTGCCACTCTGGGCTCAATTCAATCGTTCGATCCCCCGGACACTTGGTTTAACAGTGTGTTTCGGCTATTCCAATTTTTTTGTTCTTCGTCAGCAGACCATTCGCTGGCTCTCTCATCACTTTCCCTATAAACTCCGGACAGGTTGCATAATAATCACAGGTTCTGTGGCATGGCCTAAGCCATCATGACTGTTCGTGGAGCTGGCGTGGACAAGACAATTCACATTCTCCGATAGTTATTATTTAATTTTTATTCATTCATCCCATCAGCTCCCCAGCGTGTTGACTACGTGTTTGTTTGGGCGCAGCCAGACCATCTCTCGAACCTACTCACAACCTACCTAAATAATACCGGGCTGTGAAGCTTAAGAGGGTCTTGAAAATGTCTCAGAAATTTGAAAAGTCAGTAAAAGGGGCCACTAAGGTCAAGGTCAGTAGCAGCTCTTTCAGCGATTTCAACTGCTATTCAAAATGCTGACTATATTCTTTGCTCCGGTAGCTTGCGGCCCCCAAGTCCAAATACATCGAACACATCCTGGTAGCAACGCATACGGGTGAAGCGGGAGTGGCAGAGATCTTTCGAACGTTACACCTCCGGATTCGTGATTCAACATGGACGGTTGCGTTCAAAGCTCTCATTGTGGTTCATCTCATGGTCAGGGAAGGACAGCTGGACGCCACGCTACAATATATGGCAGAAAACCCTCGGAAACTTGCTGTTAGCGGGCTTTCGGAAGGTCAGTTAGGCGATCACCGCTGCTTTACTTCGCTGACATTTCAACGGTGTAGTCCAGTCGCAAGGACATAACATCCGAAGATATTCTAGCTATCTCCTTGCTCGCGCAAAAGCCTTCGAGGATGCAAAAACCGACTATGTACGCAGCGGACAGGGCCGAATGAAGCGCCTCACGGTAGAAAAAGGCCTGTTAAGGGAAACAGAAATCGTTCAGGACCAGATTAGGGAGTTGTTACGATGCGATGTAGGTGTTTTCTCGGCATATTATACTGCAGTGACTGACTGGGGCCCAGCTCTTGACAGACGAGGTGGAGAACGAAATTACGTTAACGGCGTTTCGTCTGCTCACCTTGGACCTTTTGACGCTATACTCTGTTATGAATGAGGGCACAATCAATGTATTGGGTAAGTTCTAAACCTAGATAGTAGGGTTGCGCGTGCTCACAGGTGCAAAACAGAGCATTACTTCGAGATGTCAAGGCCTGACAGCGAACGTGCGCTGGAAATCTACAAGACCTTTGCGGCGCAAACCGAGGAGGTCGTTAAATTTCTGGGAGTTGCGCGACATTTTCAATCGGCAACCAGGCTCGAGATACCTAAACTAAAGCATGCTTCCACCGACTTGACGCGCCTTCTCGAGGATGACTTGAACGACCCGGATTTCAACCTTCGCCGGAGAGAGTATCTCGCTCGGAAAGGTGGTAGTGGCAGTGCTTTCACGCCTACAGCAAGTTCTGCCACAGGGAATAAACCTGCTAACAACACCAACTCTACACCTCCCCGACCAAGAACAGAACCGAGCCCGCAGACACAGGCCCCCCCGAATCTCATAGACTTTTTCGATACCATCGACTCAAATCCGACCCCACAAGTTCAGCCACAGCCGCAGAACATGCAATTCCAGCAGACAGGCTTCCCCGCACAGCACGCTGGGTTCTTCCCGCAACAGACAGGTTTTGTGCAGCAGCCGCAAGCAACCGGCTTTGGTCAGGCAGGCCCTTTTGGAGGTCCCTTTGCACCGCAGATTAATAATCAGTTCGGCCAGCCGCAAGTACCACAGCCGCTTCAATCTACTCCGACGGGCGCTGGATTTGGTGGCTACTCGCCACAGCCACAAACCCAGTTCCAAACGCAGCTGTCCACTATTCCATCCAACAATATCGCCGGATTTCCCCAACAGCAGCAGCAGCCACCAACATTAGGCGCTCTACAACCTCAAACAACCAATCCTTTCCGGCAGTCGATGCTGGTGAGCACCCCGACTGGGTCGGCCATGCCCGCATCTGCATTGAACCGCCAGAATACGAATCCTTTCGCGCGGCGGTCGTCGACTGTCAACGCACCGTTTGGCCCCGGAGCTCTAGAACCATTCCCCCAGTCTCTGCAACAGCCTCAGGCACCCACGCAGCCAGTCCCCCTCCAGCCCCAACGAACGGGCACCAATCCCTTTGCGCGGAGTTCCTCTGTTCCACCACAAGCGCAAGGATTGCAACCGCCCGCAGCGCCTCTGCAGCCTACTCCGACCGGTAGCACCAACCCATTCCGACAAAGTGCCTTTGTACATCAAGCCACCGGACAAGGGTGGCAAGGGAATGGCCAACAGGGTACCATGGGGGGACTGGAGCAGTTAGAGACCGTACCTGTCTTTCCCCGACAAGGCATTCTGTGATCACTGGGGGGGGGGGGGCTGAATCAGGATACCTGTTCTGTTGATTATACCTAGTATTTGTTTGCTAATGAGTGAGGAATGCAGTTGCGAGCGATGAGCGATTGATTACCTTGTCTTATATTCCAAAGTTCCCTTGGAAGGATTGTTTTTTTGTCCTGCGTTCCTTGACTCTTATTTTTATTTTCCTTTTTTTTTTTCTCCCCCTCTCTTATTCTTTTGTTGATGATCATTATTACCGATGGATCATTTGGGATTGATTCAAGCATCCGCGAGCTCGCCGTGCGGGCAACATAACATGTAGCGATAGCAAGCAATAGTGACTGGAGCATGTAATAAGACTTGTATTCATCTAATCGTTATCGTACCTAATCCTCAACTAGATTGGCAGCCAGCAAGGGAGACCCCGAATACCCCGAATAGTTACAGCGGACGGAGCCTGGAGCTTACCGGAGTACAAACCAAAGCTGACCGACCACATTATTAATCGCGAACTCGGAAGTAACTAACTAGTTAGTTAGTTAGTTCTCTATTTCTCCGTTCATGAAACTACTCCGTATTCCTGGAAGCTAATTTCCCCCCCCTGGCCCTTTACAGATTCGTGATGATAAATCGGTTCTTAATTTCAGACGAAATTGCACCCATGGGAACTAGCAATATTGACCGAAATCCCGAAAGCCCGGAAGCCCAAGTGCCAAGCGTCTTCGCAATTTGCATTCGTATATGGCTGGGGGGGATGTCTCGCGTAGAGATACCTGTACCACCAAGGAGAGGGGGGGGGGGGGGGAGGTGCTCGGTCCGTATGTGGCTGGCTGGGAGGGAGCAAGAAGTACGAGAGGAGGGGGGAGACTATGTACAGTTGATTAATGAATCCTTAATCTCATGGAAAGATGAGGTAAACGGGTTCAACGTAGAGTACTCCGTACTTTGTAGTTTGTACATACTACATAGTAGATAGATCGACGATCTCTGCTGTGCGCATGTCGAAGAGAACATTCCCCGTCAGCTGAGGAGGGATAAGCTTTTCGTTAGCATGTTGCTATTCCCAATGGTTGTCAGTCCATCGTCCGTGGTAATTATAGAAGAGTCTCATTATCTCGGGGGGAGGGGGGGGACATAGGGAAGAGACTCAGGGAGTCAAGGATGACAGCTCAGATTTCATGCAAGGGAAAGAAACCCTTGAGAGCGGAGAATATACCCGTTCTCGCCTCCTTGAGCCACATTGTCCCAAGTTCCCAGAATAATACGAGGATCTGGATAGTGGAATCCAGACTAGAGACGAATCCTGCAGAGCCGATGGGAAAGAAGACTCCACAGAATCCACTCGGACACCGGCAGGAGTAACATCCGAGATCTGGACTCGTCTCAGATTTGGAAGAGGAAGAAGAAGGAGGAGAAGAAGAAGAAGGAGAAGAAGCAGGAGACAGAAGAGAGAGAGAGAGAAAGAAGAAAGATAGATAGTTAGATGATGATGATGGATGGATGTCAAAGTCAAGTCAATAAAGAACCAAATACAAAGTACTTCTGGTGTCTCACTCTCTTACAATCTTCCTTAACAGAAGAATCTCATGATTTTTTAATTACTTTCTCCCACCCACATCTTTGGGTTTTTCTTTCCCCCTCCTTTCGTCCATATATTACAAAGTAATATTAATATCACTATTACTATTATTATTATTATTATTATTATTATTTTACTATTCCTCTCCTCCTTATTCCCAGTAATAGGCTTTTCCTGATAAGGGCAGTGTGCTGGCCATTCAGCTTTTTCTTCGGCTTGGATCTCTCCATATACCGCTTCTTCTCTCTCCCAACTTGCCCACTCTGGAATAATGAGTGTCTATGAAGATCGTCAACTGGTTCAGTGAATGCTACAATTAGACGGACTTGCGCCTGTACGGAGTACGATGGACGCCAAGAATTCCCATCATTATCATCATAATCAGTCTGCAGCCCATCTGGCTGTCGCTGATGCTGATCAGGACCTTGCCTTTGCCATGGTAGCTCGCCCGGCTACTTGGGCGAATCCCTATCCTCCTTCTCACAATTACAATAATCTTAATCAGACCTACCCTCATCCTCAGCATCCTCTTGCTTCGTCTCTGCCCTCTTCGGCTCGTGCACCGGCTCCCTCGTCGTCCATGGTCTCCGCGACCCACGATGAGCCTCACCTCCTACAGCCATTACCACCACCGCCCCCACCACATCAACACCATCATCACCAACAACAACAACAACAACAACAACAACAACAACAACAACAACAGCAATCGTCTGTTGGGGAATCGACTCATCAAGATAAAGGAAAGACGGCTGTGACCAAGGTTCGTAAGCCTCGCAAGGTGAACAATGCTTCCACCGGACGATCCACCCTTTTCTGGGTTCATACCGACCCCCAGTCGGTGTCGGAAGGGACGCGCGAGGAAACCCTGAAGCGCATCCGATCCCACGTCATGTCAGAGCACAATCGCAAGAAGAGACTGGAGAACACAAAACGTTATAAGAGCAAGGCGTGGAAACACCTCGCCTTCCAGCCCGTCGAGACTACCGCGTCGACGGCCGCCGCTGGGAGTTCTTCCCTAACTTCTTCCACGCGTCCCACTCAGGAGCCGCCGTCCAAGTCCTCACGATTGCATCCCAATCGTCCTGACTCTGCCGAGCCTTCGGACTCGCCGTCTCCTGGACAGCTTCCGTTGGAAGAAAACGAAGGGCCCTCGGTGACGGAAACCACTAACTACCCGCCAGTTTCCGCCGCCAATGTGGATGGCTACGCAAAGGAGACCGCGCCTCAGAGCCAGGCCATCGCCCCTATCCAAACTTCTTCCCCTTGGGCATTTCTTGGACCCGGCATGAAAGATCCCTTTGATACGGGCCATACACAGCTTTCGGGCCGCATGTATCAGCACCTCCAACACTGTGAGAGAGATATATATTTCGTATCTACATGTATATCGTGCTGACGTGGGGATAGTTTTATGTGATTTGACCCGATTGGCATACCCGTTACAGCGCCGTTATGGAGCAAAACTTGAAGCTCACTGGTCCACGCTGGTCCGGCAGTGTCCCGCCTGCCTGCAAGCTTCTATCTGTGTCGCTGCCACCAATTCAGCCTTGACGTCGGGAGAATTACCCTTGACAGACCCTTCTAGGCAGAAATCTAGCCTCTTGCTTCTCGACACGTTCCGTCACCGGGGAGAAACGATTCGGTTGGTTAACGGGGGACTATCGGATCCAACCAAGGCAACCAGCGATGAACTGATTGCGGCGATTTCTATCTTAATGACGATCGAGGTATGACGCTTTGATGAATGTTTCTTTGGGGGGGGGGGGTGCTGACTAAACAGATTGCGTCCGGAAATCCCGACTATCTTAAAATCCATCTGGCGGGGCTCCGGCAAATTGTCGCGATGAGAAATAGTTTTGCGGATGTCCCTGATGATGTTCGGTTTCAAATCTCGTGGTTTGTACATCCTCTTCTTCTTCTTCTTTCCCGGCCGGTGGATTTTACTCACATAACCAGGACGGATATCCGTGTCGCTTGCATGTCCTTGACCAAGCCGATCTTTCCCTTCGTTCGCCACTCCCATCCTGAGAATTTTACGATTACTCCCCCCAGCACCGATTTGGAGGCCACCGCTTCCGGGTTGGTTGCCTTAGTTGAGATACCCGGCATCTTTAGCGATGCCATACGGAAAATAATGTATGACCTCGCGGGTCTTCTGTGGTATGCGGAATGGATCAAGAGCAGTCCGAAGTATCAGGAATTCGATGAACAGACCGAACGCTATTATAATACCGAGGTTTTGTACGTTGAATACGCGCTGCATAGCGACCGCTACACTGCGACGGGCGAGCCCAAAGGCGACGCGACGATTGAAGGCTGTGTGCGCCTGGCGTGCTTGTTATTCCACAACACTACAATCTGGGACTTTTACCCGCAGATTGCACCGGTGTTCCCGAAGCCTATTATTGCGCTGCAGATGGCGCTGGAAACCACCATCCGAGCAGGTCGCTACCACCTCTGCCGCGATCTGCTCATTTGGTTGCTCTTTGTGGGGGCGTGCAGCTCCCGCATCCTCGTCGCCCAACGCACCTTTTTTGTGAATGAGCTTGCGTCTGCGGTGCGTCTTCAGGGCGTGGGGTCGTGGCAGGAGCTTCGCGCCTTACTGTTCCGGTACTTCTACGTGGACCGATGCTATCTGGGGCCGCTACGCGAGCTCTGGGATGAGATACAGACGACGCCGGTGATTAACAGTGTATAAGCAATCTTGACGGATATGCGTGCCTTGGATGTAGTATAGTAATGAGACTTGGTATACGAGATGAGAATTGAATTCAGCTTCTCTTCCTACATTAATACTCCTATTAATACCCCCCCCCCCCCCCCTTACGTACAGACTACAGAATCACAGTTAAACAATAACAAACACAAGACTAACAAGTCAGCCAAATGTACTCGTAAAGGACTAACCAACTCACTAACTCACTAACCAGCAGCTACCTTAAGAGTCTAGACCTATTGCAATGAGCAACCGCTATGCTACGGAGTACTTTGTATATGCACGCCATAACCCCCCGAACTTCCTCCGTCCGAGTTTCCCCCGAGCTGGATCCATGCACCGCACCGCATACCCGACTGAGGTTCTGTCCTATCCTATATCCCGAGTCACACTAAATAATATAATAAATGCACGCATGCATGCATGCAATGCAATGCAGTATCAGCACTCGTCCCCCTCCCCTTTCTTTCATTCTTTCATTCTTTGATGTATTGATTATTGGTTGGTTGGTTGGTCCATAGATAAGTACCCAAGGTACTAGGCCACCGAGAAAAGTCCGAACAATGGCGTTGTTCTCCACCTAAATTCTCTCCTGTTTTACCTGGTTAGTTAGTTTCATTCCCTTGATATAAAGGAGGAGGAGGGGAAGGGAAGAAAAAGATTGTGGAGGCTTTTTTTTTTTTTTTTTTTTTTTCTTGTCTACCTACGAGAACTACTGAAGATACTGACTGACTGACTGACTGACTATATCGTGGATGATAACTACTTACTTGCTTACTAGGGAACAGAGCAGACAGAACAGAACAGGCGTCTACTCATCATACCAGTTATATGTCGCGAGCTTTATCTATACTAGTGTTCTACTACAAGGTTAGCAAGGTATAGAGGATACAAATCAATACTTTACTGGCCTACTGCTGACAAGACTTGCGGTGCTGATTACATGATCCAGGTTGATTATGTGACTTAAAAACAATTAATCGAATCGAATGTACGACAATCACAGACAAAAGAAAAAGAAAAAAAAAAAAAAAAAAACAATGCAAGACCATGCATGCCCTACTGCAGACCACAGCTCGAGTCGGCGAGACGATCCCGGAAAGACCAACGGAAACCGAAAGCTTCGATTGGCTTTCCCCATGCAGCAAGGATCCAACAATGGGTATCTGATAGAATTATTGCAGAGATCAACACGCTTTACAACGCGTTTGGTTGGGATTTACGGAGACCGGAGCGGGCCCCCCCGCTGGTTCAGACAGTCTTCGCCCTAGGCCGTCTCGCGCTCGGTCTTTTGGCGGCGGGTCCGACCTGTGGGAGACCAAGGGAAGTGGGCAACAGGGATGATGAAGAAGCTGTTGCTGCTGTCTGCGATACCGGCCAGGGCGTTGTACCATGCGGCAAAGGCCGCCATGAGACCAAAGAAACCGCCCGCCTTGATGACCGGAGGGTTGGGGGCACCGCTGGCGTCGCGTTGGATGTACCCAATGCCAAGCAGCAGGAAGGTCAGGTCCAGGAAGAAGAACAGCAGGAAGAAGGCCACCGTGGATCGCAGGGTGCAGAACAACAGAATCGTGGTGAAGATGAACCAGCCCTGGTGGTCTGGTTAGCTACCGCCGAACTCGCCGGGGGGAAGGACTCGACTTTGGAGAGACTTACCAGCAGGAACAATCCGAAAGAGTTATAGAACATATCTGGGCTGTCACCGTCGGCAGTAATGAGGGCTTGCTCAATGTTGAAACCACCGGGCGTCAGGACAATCGCAAAGGCAAGCCAGAAACCACCATAAGAGGAGAGAGCGGTGGCACCAAAGGTGTTTCCAACAGCCATTTCCCTGGAGAACCAAACCCCTTGTCAGACAACGAACGACACACAAAGCCCGGAGTTTTTTTATTTTTTTTTTTTTATTTTTTTTTTTTGGAGCAGCAACTTACCACATGCCGGCAAGCAATTGAACCAGACCACCATAACCGAAAGCAAGCGCGACGACGATGTTGGGAGAGGTAATGTCGCGGGCGCCCATGTTGATACAGCTCAGCACGAAGGTGGTGAGAGCGAAGGCAGACAGACCCAAGGGAGCAGGATTGGCCAACTTGCGGGTCTCCACGGACTTGTACAGACCGGGCTGGAATTCACCACCAAAGGGGCGCAGAACGGCCTCCTTGGTGTTGACGTGCGACAACGGGCCGTAGTCAAAGCGAGAAATGCCATTTTCCCCCATGATAACATTGGGAGCTCCATTGGGACCAACGGCGGCAATCGTGGGACCAGCGGCAATAGGAGCAGCAGGACCAACGTCCTTCTCCAGAGCTTGGTCGTGTTCGGCAGACATGGCGGCTTCGTGCTAATATATATATATATATATATATATTTTTTCCCACGGGAAATGAATCAATCCAGCAAGCTGGAGATGTCGAATAGATGTCGAATCCCACGAGAAAAAAAAAAAAAAAAAAAAAGGCGTCACAAGAAGAGATGCGCACAGCACTTATGGGCAGAAAAGGGGGATGTGGATCTACCAAAGCAAAGACGCGACAAGAGGGAAAGGGGAGGAGGTGAGGGAGGGGGGGGGGGGGAAGAAGAGAATAAATAGAGTCTTAAAAAGAGGAAGAAAACAATGGCATGGATGTCAATGCCGGACGAACGAAGGTTACTAAAATGGGAGGAAGCACCGTTGGCTGATCTTTTTTTCTCTCTTTTTTTTTCTCTTCTTTGATTATTATTTTGGATCCCAAGTTGACCAGAACTAATGAGTGGAGTTGAGGCTGAGCCTGGGGAGACTCTACCATCTACCCACAAAGGGATGACCTGAATTTGACAGGATACCTAGGTAATTGAAGCTACAGAACATTCCTTATAACAAAGTACAAGAATGAGGGAGAATATAGAGCGTAAAAGACAAATCTCGGGCATGCATTGCAACAACACGAGAGGAAAGTAGAATACCGATACCAGGATTTACCCAATTTTACCACATTCAAGAACCCCGGAAAGTGGGGGAAAAGTGGGGTGAAAGGTGGCCAATCAGAGGGGAATAAAACCACAATTAGGGTTTATGGTTGGCTTGCCAAGACCTGGAACCTTGGAAGGTTCTGAAAGGCACGTAACTTGATACCAAATGATACCAAATGATACCAAATGATACCAAATGATACCAACTGATACCGACTGATACCAACTGACACGACGACTTCAGAATCACATCGAGTACAGGTTTATATTAATTCTGACCACCCAAGTCTCATATTCCTACTTGCCGCACCCGGAACTTCCGTTACATTTAGTCTCATGTATCCTATTCCTCCTCCTTCACCCCAAACTCAAATCCACCAGCTAATTTCTTAGTGGACGTCGGACATACGGCTAATTGGGATAAGACAAATTCCTGACGCTCCCCCCAAATCCGGAGTAGGTAAAGCCCAAAGCTTGACAAGTCGAACGGTTCTGTCGATAAAGCAGGATGTGGAGAATGAGATACTTTGCGTCTGGTAGTAGTAGTCAACTAGTTACTCCGTTACCGAGTACTTTGTAGTCATCGCGTTGGGATCAGCATGCCCATGTCATCCGCTGCAGCAGCTACTGGCTGACTTCCCGTCAGGAGTGGCGGAAATGATTCACCAGAAAGGTCTGGATCAGTGTGCTTTGGTCTTCCAGCTGAATCAAACGACGAACTTCTCCACTTTGGATACAGAGTAATAGGGGTGCAGTGCAGCTGCTGGTATGTGCAACACAAATCCCCGGACCGTGTGATGCACTGATGCTTGAGATATGGTGCTTATGATCTTGTCTCAGTTCCAGGTGGAATTCAAGTGAAACTGCCAGGATAAGTATGCGAGAACTTGAGACACTGTTGTTTATTGGGTTGATTCTCTCTCTCTCTCTCTCTCTCTCTCTCTCTCTGTTCCACCAGTCCGTGGCTGACTTTATTGGGGTTAATTTAAAGCACAAGCCTTCCGCTTGTGTGTCTGCAGTCTTCAATGCGGCGCCATTTTCTTCTCTTCTTCTGCTTTGCTCGAATGCCTTTTCATGGGGCCAACTGGTCCAGTGCCGGGATCCAAATCGGCGGCGTCTTGAGTGTACCTTCAAGCCCTATGATGTCTTGGTTGGATTGAGTAAACCACATTTGAGTACATATCTCTGTCAAAAGTCCGGTCTGATCCAATGCACGGGTATCTTCTTCCCCAGAGATCCTGTGCCATCGACCACTGGGCTCGAATCCCCTCATCCCAATCGAACGCGGTAGCGCCCCGACATAATACGCCAATCAGCTGCTAGCATCGGGTGAATATGGGCACCATTTAAGCGATTCATATTCAGAGCACGAAGGACTGGCCAGACTTCCTTTCCTCCGGGTGCGTGAGCTCCACGTGGATAAGATGCGATTATTCTATCCAAGAGGATCCGCATTTATGGATACATTCATGGATTGTGGGGTGCACTATCTCCGTATTTCTCACCGAATGAAGAGGAAGATATTAAGATACACAACAGAAATAGATCCTGAGTCACACCGATGCTGAATTCGGAACACCCGGATCTAGAGTATGTCAAGAACACAACCCGATTGTCAGCTTTTTCATCATTGAGGCCAACCTAGCATCTATTTGCCTTTCATTGCTCAGTTGCAAGGAGATCGTATCCGATTTAGAGGGTTCATCTTCAGATCCACGGTTAGATTTAAGATGAGATATCCGTTCATCCGGGTTGCCCCCGGAACTTGTTTTCTGTACCAAGAAGCCAGCCAGCACGCTTCCCTTTTTCCTACCTTCGGCCGAAGAAAGCAAGCGGCTGCTCTCCGCATTTCCCAGCTTCTTCTTCTTCTTCTCCGCTCCTTCAGCGATTCTGGATCTTGGTCTGGGGAACCCGGGAAATTGCATCGCCTCCTTTCAACTGAGAGAGATGGAGTACTCCGTACTATTAGATAGTAGCGTCCCATTCCGGGTCGGCGGAGCGGAAACTGCGCATACATACGTGTCCGGAGTACGTTGCCACTGTGCAGTGCAATAACTAGTTAACTAACTGGTACTTGACTCCAGCCTGGAACTGCCGGTTATCAATGACAGCCAGCACGTTCCCAGCGTTGCACTTGGGGCTCTGGAGTAGGAGGACGAAGTATGATGTCTATATCCAGGGGTTAGATATCGAATACTCTGTTACTAGATAGATTGAATTTGATTGCATTGCATTACTACATCCGATAGATGACTCGGATCCTATCCTAGACCAGGTTGCCGCTGAAAATAGGAAAGTTGGGATTTCATCACGCAACCGTGGATTTTAAAGATCTTGGTAAAAATGACAAGGTGAAGCCCGACCTCCGAACCAGATTAATTCTCCAGCCTCCGAGCAGCAGCTTCTAGCTGTGCATTGAACAGCTTTATCTGATTCAACAGCCCTCCCTGAGCTCCAGATGCTGCCGAGCTCACATTCTGTGCCGCGTCGCGAAGTCGAAACTCTAGTCCAGCCGTCAATGTCGGGTCGTGCGAAGCCTCCGGTCGGGTGTGGCCACGCTCCAGGGCTAAATCCAGGGTATGTAACGAGTGATTGATCGTAGAACGAACCTGAGGCACAAAATTTAGTCTTGGGAAAGAAGTGAGATCGTCAATGGGGAGAGTGGGTTGGGGGACCGAACCATTCGGGAATGTTCCTCGTGCGTATGCTCCATGCGCACCGCGTCCATTTTCAATGCCACAGCCTCTCGTTCCCTCCGGATCTGATCCAGTCGGCTCCGGAGATCCATCATACCCCGTTTGGCTTTCTTGAGCTGCACGCTCAGCACAAAGTTGCTGTCGAGCATTTCGCTCAGCTCAAACAATCGTCCCTCGAGTTCCGCCCCAAATGCCTCCACCGCTTTCTTACGCAGAGTCCATTCTGCGCGTTTCGCTGTGTTTGCTTCGTTCGATATACCGTTTTTGAGCGTGTTTAATGTCTTCTCCAGCGTCTCGCGGCAAATCTGGCCAAGCACATCGGCAGCATTCACCCCTCCTCGGTTGGGAAGTCTGGACTTTTGTCCACTAGAGAGTTCATCTGGGGACTCTTCTGCCGATCGTTCATCCTCTGGGGGCTCCCCTAGTCTGGTGACATTTGCAAGCCGATGAACCGTCACCGGGACGGTTTCCCCGCGAGGCTGTCTGGGTTTCCTCTTTGTTTGAGCAGCTTCTTCTGTGGTGGCTTCTTGCGGAGAGGGTTGGTCATCAGGCTGTGTTGCTGGCCGTTTGCCACGGCGACGCTTGGCACTTTTGGCTCGTTCACCCTCACTAGGCTCCTCTTCCGGTTCTGCTTCTTCTGGCTCCGGCTCTATCTCTGACTTCTGCGGCGGTTCCATTTCCTGTGTCGCTCCCTGATTTTCATGCCGCCGCTTCCGTTTCCCTGGGCGCGGTGCCTCTTGTACTGTTGTTGGAGGAGGCTTTGAAGATGCCTTCTTGGGACGTCCAGCTCGTTTCTTACCGGTTTCCACCACATTCAGCTGGTCTGGTTCAGACAAAGTGGTCGGTTCACCAGCGCTGGCGTTATTTGAAGGAATTGAAGGTATGATCTCTGCCTCCGGTGTTGGCGCCGGTTCCGCGGGCTCTTCACCTTGGACAGTGCTTCCCGATGTCCGGACGGGCTTTTTGCCTTTTCGTGTAGGACGGCCTCGGTTCATGTTACTTTGCGTAGGCGAATGTTCCGGAATTGCTCCCCCCATTAATGAGTTATGTGGCTGCGATGACGGCGCCGAAGGCATTCCGGACGCTGGGGTTCGGCTTCGTAATCGTTTTTCGCGTCGAGGTTGGGGGCGCTCAGTGTCGGGAGGAGCGTCTGCCACTTCCGATGGCTCTGTAAATGGAGGTACATCCTGTCCAGCAGGCTCGTCCTCGGTTATGCCGCTCTGTGAAGGAGGCGACTTATCTCCCTTTGGTCCTCGTCGTCTGCGCTTCCCCTTCGGAACATCTGAAGGCGGCGAGGATATACCATTCGCCTGTGGAACGTTTACTTCTGTAGGTGGGAGGCTATTCTCGGTTTCCAACGGCTGGTCCGCTTCGTTTACAGCCTCGGATGCTTGTTCTGTCGATGCGGTCGTAGATATCAGAGGGGGTTCGCTGGGAGGCTCTTCGGTCTGGATTTGCTCCTGTTTCGATATCGTGCTAGTTCTAATGGGCATCGCAATACCATCGGCAGTTGGAGAGGCAACACTATTTGTAGGACCGGTCGGGGCATTCCTAGGGCTCTGGCTCTGACGCCGTGCACTTGTCGATGGTCTTGCGGTCGCGGTAGGAGGCTCTAATACTGTTCAGATGGCAACAATTTACGAAGGACCTACTGTAACCTACCGATTTTTCTCCTCTTACTACTGCGCCCTAGCCCTAGCTCTTCGTCTGCAGGTATATCAAAGGTGGATGGCCGCGGGGGGAGCTTATTGCGCGCACTTCCCGGAGTCCGAGCAATGGACCCCTGGGACGAAACATTTCCCCCCAAAGGCAATGGAGACGGTTGAGTCTGTGGGGGAGCCGCAGTGGCAGTCTCGGAAGGAGGAGGGGCAGTGACCGCAGGGGGCTGAGGCGCTGTAGCTTCTTCGCGCTTGGCCGACTGGAACGCGGGCACTGGGGGTTCTTGGGGGGGAGCCGGCTCAAACCCTAGGGAGAAGCCAAAATCGACTTCCTTGATCTTCCGAGTCCTATTCAAGTATTTCTAGGTCAGCTAGCGCTTCGACAGCCGAATCTTATTGTGTGGGGTGAGAGCGCGTACCCTGCTCCGCGCTGCCGCATTTGCAAGCGCTCTACTCGATCTATGGAGCAGGTGGTTAGTTTTTGTCCAAATCAAAGTAGAAGTAGAGATGGACGACATACTGGAAGCCATCGCCTGGCTTGACGCGTCAAATCGACGCGCAAATTCGAGCAGGAGATCTGTAGAGGAGGGTGTTGGATGGAGGGGGGAAGTATAAGTTATGATCTGGTGGTGATAGTTGAGATGGGCGGAAATGTACACGACCCGCTGGTCCCAATCCGGTTTGGCGCCATTTCGGCCAGTTGATTCGATCGAGTCTTCAATTCTTCATCTTTTTTTTTCTCAGCTTCTGCTCTATCGCATTGTATCACGACTAACGACAGATTGGCTGCATTTTATCTATTCCGCCACTGATTACACCATGGGATGGTTTTGGGGCTCGAATAGCAACGATCCCGTCAAGCAGATCGACCCTAGTCTGAGAGAATACCTCGAGAATGAAGCTCCAAAGAAATACGTCCCTACGTCGCAGAGTCCTTCCCCTGCAGTAGAGAAAGAAGCTCAACCCGCATCATCCGAAGCCGTCGAATCGTCCACTCCCTCTGCTCCCTCCGCATCTCTCTTTCCCGATGGCCGCTATGCCCACCTCTGGAAAACGTACAAACCCCCTGTTGAGAAGGAAGCGTCGGAAGTGAAGGGGGCAGAGAGGGTGATTGAAATGTATAAGCAACGTGGGGATACAGTGCACCGTGCAGCCATGGAGAATTGTGCCCTGGAGCACGAAGCCTTGACCTTGTGCTTCCAAACGGGCACCTGGGCAAAACGATTGCAGTCCCGGTTGACGTCGTGCTCGGAAGAGAATGGAAAATTCTCTCGGTGCTTTACTACGCAAGCTGTTCGTGTATCCGTCTATCTCCTTTTTCAATTAGTATCCTGACCGTTTAGAAATTTCTCCAAGCTTTGGGATATGCGTCATCCTTCGAATGGAATGAAGAAAGAGAGGAGCGAATTCAGATGCATGCCGATAAACTTTACCATGAGATGCTAGATTACGAGAATCAAGTCGAGGAAGCTCGAGCAGCCGGACGTGAACCTCCCGCATTAATTTCTCTCTTCAACCCACAGGCCAGGCCATTGCAGCCAACTGGCAACGCTGCTACAGAGTTGGAAATCCCTGGAGGAGAGGCAATTCCGGCCGGATTTAGGCCATCGAAATCTCTAGATCGATTGACTCCCCACGAGCGAGAATTGGAAATTCGTGCACACAACGCACAGTTGGAACAGCAGAAGCTGTATGTGGAGGAAGCATCGCCCTTTATGAAGTCACAGGAAGACGCACGATCCAAACGCCGCGAGAAAGCTGTCAGCTGGTTTGGAGAGGCGATAGGCAAGTGGGTTACATAGAGACAGGGGCCCTGGTCGTTGTTTTGCTTCCATTCTTGTATTATTATTCTTCTTATTTTGCACCGGTTTTGGTGCCGGTTTGATACCGAGTCTGAAGACTGGCATTTGATGAACGAGCTGTACCCTTGTTTTCAATACTGATCCACCCAGCAGCAGTAACCCTGTTTACATGAAATACTCAAATGCAAGTTCTTCCATGAAAATTGCAGTACACTCCAATCTCTGCAACTTGCAATAAGTCCGCTGCTTTATGAAGCCATAATTGGAACCATACAGCAGTCCAAAATTGGTTTGAAGAGACTATACTATGGTATATTTACTACATTGTGGCCATATTTTCCCCCGCAATTAGTGACAGGCCCCGATGACATCATGCCGCTAACGACCATAATAAAAGGTGGTGGCACCAGAAGGCATCAACAATTAATTAATCCCCCCCCCGCTTCCCCTTCAATCTACCAGCATCCTACATTATACTCCCCTCTACAAACATGCCTGGACATCTTGGTCAGAAGATCTTGAAAACGTTTGGTCTGGACGAGCATAGAGACCACCCCCCTCCACCACCGCAGGATTCGCGTCTGCCTGGATCCCGCATCATCAACGACGACGAACGGCTTCTTTGCTCCCACCCACACGGCACATACCCTCGCCTTGCTAAGCTCTCCAACGGGGCGATTCTGTCGGCGTTCACGCGCTTCGAGGGCAATACCAGGGTTCTGTGTATCGGCAGGAGCCAAGACGGCGGCCGTAGTTTCGAGGATTTTAGCGAGGTCACGCGGGGCGAGGGCGATGTGGACAATACGTTTCTGCTCGAGATAGCGCCCTCGACTGTCCTTGCAGCCTTCCGGAATCATGATCTTGGACCGGACGGTCCCGCGTATTACCGGATCACGGTGTGTCGGTCCACGGACGATGGGAGGAGCTGGCACTTCCTCTCCCAGGCGGCCGAGAAGCAGCCGCCCCTGGGGATCTGGGAGCCGTTTATGCGCATTGGGCAACAGGGTGAGATCCAGATGACTTATTCCCAGGAGTATGCGCATGATAACCAGTGCACGATGCTCGTGCGGTCGTTTGATGGCGGTGCGACCTGGAGTGGTCCGCCGCAGTGTCTGGAGGGAGCGAGGGATCCGGTCCGGGATGGGATGAATGGAATTGCCAGGACGGTTGACAATGGACGCGAGGCTCTGGTCATGGTGTTTGAAACTACAACGTTTGGTACCTTCGACCTGGAGGCCCTGGTTTCCTACGACGATGGGAACACATGGGGACACCGGCATCATGTGTATGTTCCCCCGCGGGGTCATAATGCGGGGTCACCCCAGATAGCCGCGTTCGGAGATGGCTCGTTGGCGGTGATTTTTATGACCGACGAGGACTCGTCTCAGGTGGACTGGACCAAAAATGCCGCGATTAAGATGGTTTTTGCTGGTCCTCCCAATAACGGGCAGATCCGCTGGACGCGGCCTTCGGTAATCTGCCCGCATCCGAGTCACTGGCCGGGGGTTCTGGCATTAGACGGGCAGACACTGCTGGCAACGTATGAATGTGGAGGAGCTCCCAAGGTCAAGTCCATCACTTTGCAGCCATGAAGGGTATGAGATTGGATAGAATTCGCTTGCGTTTTAGGATCCTTGCCGTACAATTAAAGATTGGACTATCTTTCTTTCTTTCTTTCTTTCTTGAGTATAATTCCAAGATGGGACTATATTATATATATATATATATTATTGTTTCAAAGCCTCAACCAGCTCATCCACGCTCTTCATTTCCCGTGCATTGTTCTCCCCTACATCCAAAGCCACCAGAACGCGACTCACACAGTTGTAGCAAGCAATCCCCGTAGTCAACTCGACAATCTCCCGGTCCGAGAATCCCTCCCGGTGCAGCTGCGCAAAGGTCTCATCCTGCACTTTCACCGTCTGTGTCATTTCGTCCGCATACCGCACGATCGCCTTCTGTTGCGCCGTCAATCCGCTCTGCGCGACGGCTTCCACCGCCGTCGCGATATCCCCCTGCACGGTGGAAGGCAGCGTGCGCACCGCGCGGAGTTCCGCAGGCTGGACGCCACCCTTCAGCGCAAGCGGGGCATGGGCGTTCCACTCGTACACGGCGCCAGTGAGAACGGCGACGCGGCACACGGCGAGTTCCAGAAGCCCCTGGTTCACGACCGTCTGGGTGCGGATGGCTCCGAGAAAGCTGTTCCAGCCATCAGCCACGGGCGGGGAGTGCAATAGCGACAGGTCGAGCGGGATGAGGGGTCGTGGACGGCGGCGGGCAGCAATTCGCGCATAGATTTCGGCTGTCTCGGGGTCGGGCGTTGCCGGCTCCGCTGGGGCGTATGGAAGGCGCATTACCTAGTATGCGTGTAGTGGGATGGAGGAAGGAATGGAATGGAATTGTATGTTCAGTTCAGGCTTTTATGGATTTCGAAGAGGGGAGGGAGGAGGTTGTCAACATTTAAAACAGCCTGAGAGAGTTTGCGTGCTCTTGGGTTGTTCTCTTTTCCGATCTACAGACCGCGCGGGTAAATGTTTTTTTTTTTTTTTTTCTCTCTCGACGGCAGGGAGAGAATATATATATACGCGAGTACAACACAACTCCTGGGGGGAAATCTTTGTGTATAATTTGTGCGTTAGATTATAACTAAGATATGTCACGATCTCTTAGAGAGGTAGGTGTTGGGTGCGGCAAGTTAGACGGGTGACGGCGAATCGTCTGCATGATCGATGGTGTCGGTCAATCCGATTCCCTTGAGAGAGAGAGAGAGGTGGTTGATTCTTTGTACTTGTTGCATTCGGTGTATACATGGAAGATCTCAACCTACCCCCAGTCTCTTATGAACAATAACATTCGGCCACGCGGTTGAACTTGTAAAATAATCCACCGGCGCCAAATGCCCATGCGGTCCGCCATCGCCAGATCAAACAGAAACAGCACCCAGGTATCCAGGAGCATCCAGAGACCGCACTGATCCCTCAGATATTAGTTCTCGTTTGGATCGTAAAATAAGGATACACACACAGAGAGAGAGAGAGAGAGAGTGTGTGTGTGTCGACATACAACATAATGACGGTTAGCCACACGGTCTACCAGCTCCCCCAGTTTTCGACGTCCGCTTGAGATAAGCATATCCAAACTCTTCCCGAAACACAGCTCTCCTAGCACATCATAGGTGAGATAACTGAAACATTTTTACCAGGTTGTACACCTGGGCTCCTGCACCTTCGGAGAATATCGCTTCCCAGTTTTCGGCAACTGTCCATCTAACGCTGCACAAAGCTGCCGAATATGCAACAGCATTACATCTTCCATACTCTGAAGCGCATGCGTAGCAAATACCTGGCCCAGTACGCGCCGTTTCCCGTGGCCGTGAATGTCGTGCAGACCCCTGCGCGGTGTTGACAGACACAAAATTAGGTGCGACCCGGACGTGGGGTCCGTCCTGGGAGTGAAGGTGGTGAAGCCGGATATGTCGGTTTCCCTTGAGGCCATTGGTATAATTACACCCAGGGAGACACCGAGGCAAGGAATGGACCGGTTTACATGGTGCAGTGAGTGGAAGACGCGGTGGTATACGGCGTAGATGAAAGGCTAGTAGTGTGCAAGTGAGTTACTCCCAAGAGAGATTAATCGGAATCCCCGAGGATAGAACATACAGCTACTCCTAGAAGAATAAACAGCGCTGCAATCACCCGTTCGAATGACAGCTGCTGCCACACTGGTTGAACAAGCATCGGGAATCTGGATGTGGCGGAGGGGTGTGCCCGCACACAAATTGGGTAAATGAGATGTATTGAGGAGCTCAAGAGGTGACGTGCCCAGCTGCCAGTTTGAATATATACTCGTCAAATAGCTGAAGTCAATGGATGACGTTTGACCCTCGGTTCGCTAAAAGGAACCAAGATGCGCGAAACCTTGAGGCAGCGATTTGAGGGAAGTAATAATTGAAATGGTTGGAGGAATCGTGGTGGTGTATTAAGCCAGTTGGCCCAGACTGTACATTTGGTTATGAGAACAAAAATAGGCTATTTTGATAACGCTCAAGTCATTAGCTGAGGAACTTCTCTACGGCGCCTCCAATATTTTTTAGATCCAGCAAGAATGTGTCATGTCCAAAGAGCGACAATTCCTCGCCCAGTTCAATATGTTGAACGTTATCGTTCCCCACGGCTACGAGGGTTTCCGCAATCTCACGCTGCTGCCATGCCGGGAACAAAATGTCACTAGCCACTCCGATCACCAGGATCGGGTGGTCCTTAAGTGGTGCAAGTCCGGCAACAAGGTCCTGCGGAGGTGACTGGGGTGCAGAATCCTTTTCGGCGACGGTTGAGTCCATAGGGGCGGACGCAGCTTCGGATGGTTGCTCTTCGTAGGGCTTTTCGGGAAGGGTGAGGCTGCAGGCACTATCGTTATAGTCCTTATTGCCTTCGCTAGCGATTTTCGTCTGGTTCTCAGCCCTCTGCTTTTTAGTGGCCGTTTGATGAGACAGGCCGAGATCAAACAAGTCCATGGCCTTTGAAATATAAAGTAGACTATTGGGGTCATACTCCAGGCAGAACTTCTCCCCTGCGTGGTCGAGGTAGGTTTCGATCAGGAAATCCGGGCACAGCGCTGGCTGCTTGCTGGGGTCTGCACGTTTCCGTCCAAAGCGCTTCTCCCATTCCGGACCACTTCGGTAGGTGACAGTCGCAATCTCTCGCGCAAGTTTCATACCCGAGTGAGGAGGAACCGAGTCGTAATAAAACCCCCGAGCCCAGTTCGGGTCCATCATCAAAACTTGTCGTTGGGTGTGTCGCATCGCGATACTGTATGGGTGGCTTCGTGCGCATCCACTGATGCTAACAATCTTACCAACCCGCTCAGGAAACAGGACACCGGCGGCCAGACTCTGCATGCCACCCATACTCGAGCCAACGGACGCATGGAGCTTCTGAACTCCAAGGTGATCTAGTAACCGGAACTGCGCCCGCACCATATCATCAAGTGTTAAGATAGGAAACCTTGTGGCATATTTCTTTCCGTCGGACGGGTCGATCGATGAAGGTCCTGTGCTTCCGTAGCATCCTCCAATGACATTGGTACATAACACAAAGTATTTCTCCGTGTTCAATGGCTTCCCGGGTCCGATGAACTTTTCCCACCAGCCTGGCTTCGGATTGGCCTCGGTGCTATGTGCGTGACTCGAGGCCGACAGACCCGTGTGCAAGAGAATCACATTGCTCTTGTCCGCATTCAACTGGCCCCATGTTTCGTATGCAATATCGAATTCTGGAAGCAACCCACCCCAGTCCAATAACAGAGAGTCTTCGCAATGAAACCGTTCATGGCTGCCAGTAGTGTACGAAGGCTCGGGCCCCGATCGGAGGGATCTTGCCGAGAGAGCGGCGGATTTGGCTTCTTGTGCGTCCAAACAGGGGAATGAAAGTGCCGGGTTGGATGAGTCCCTGGGCGATGCAACGAGTGACTCTGTGGCAGCTGACCGCAGTGCTCGAGGGTGGTTCAGTGTCCTGTGTTTCGTGGGAGAGTAATACCGAGCTGATTGGACCGGGATCGGAACAGCTTGATATCGCTGTTGCCCCACGGCGGCTTTAAAGGACCGGGAGGCCGATCGCGTGGCTCCTTGAATGAAACTCATAGTCAAGCAAGGAGTCTCGAGGTCTCCTGCGGGATTCTAGCAGAAATTCGACAGCGATTGACCTGGAATTGGCAATTCTTCTTGTTCATTTTCCGACCGTAACTTTGGGCCATCATGAACTATTAATAATATCCATGATTTCTCACTAGTTCCGGATCAACGTATTTTTCCGCGATGGCGTCATCTGCTCCTTTGCGGAGACGAAAAAAAAAAAAAGAAAGAAAGACAGAAAGAAAATCGGTTTCTCCGCAATCCACGAAAACCTGCAAGACTTAAAAAAGTAGACTCGATATCAAGGTTTGGGATATGATCCTCGATTACCATCTGCCCTCTCTCTCTTTTAAGGAGATTCTACGGTGTATATCGGTGCGTAGATGCTCGTGGTGGTGAACTGGATTGGTCGGTTGAGATTCTATTGGCGGTTCCTCATCTAGGTATCGTACTGCGTAGTACCACCACCACCACCACCTGGATTGTTAGGGGAAGGATAAATGACTAATCACAGGCGAATGCATACAAAACTTGGGTATAGACATCGAGACGCATGGTATGGAATGTAAAGCTTCAATAGGCGACAGGTAGCGCTCACATGAAGTCATCAAGAAAGTTCGAATCCCGATCCTGGTTGCTGCTTGCCTGAATGTTCTCTTCACTCATCAGATCGTCGTACGCATGGTCCTTCTGCCATTTCAATTGCTCCCTTTCTCGCTTTTCCTGCTTCTCCTTGTGTCGCTTCTCCTCTCGGGTTTTTCGCTCGTCCTGTCGCTGCTTCTTCATATACTCATCCTTCTCTGCCTTGAGATCGGGGAATTTCTCCACTCGCGTTTTATTGAGACGATTGACAATGGCGTTCTCCCTCAGCGGCACGAAAACCTTGCGGACCATTTTCTGGTTATGGAACGAGACTTGACCAGTAGCCATAGAGCCGTCCTTCATGAGGTTCGACCAAGGGGTATATATGATGGTGATGTTGTCCTTTTTGTTTCCTGATCATCTAATTAGGTCTCCGGTATCAACTTTGGCAAATTTCAAGAGTGGTACTCACCCTCAATGGAATTTGCTTTGGTAAGCTGCGCGCAGTCCACTAGGAGCGACTCTGGAATGTTTTCCCATGTTTCACCATCGCGGAGGCGTAGATAAACGTGTGCACTGGATAGATTATCGACGTGGAACTGAGACTACCCGTTAGGTTTGATATGCGCGGGATGGTTGGTGACTTGTCAACGAACCCTGTGAGATATCGGAATCGAAGGTTAGCGTTCAGTAGGAACAAGGCAAACGGGTTGGACGACTTTACCAAACATCCTTTTCTAACCCATGCTTAATAAGATCCTCATCTGTTCCCGAGTTGTCAGTCACCTCTCTCATTCCCGTGACAGAGTGAGGGGATCCAACCGTACTTTCAAATTTATCTTTCCCCACGTAAATGAACGCAGAGGGGTCCACCACATTCGACGTAAAATAATAGACCATTATGTGATCACTCTTTTATATGAACACTCAGGGAAAGGCCCCACGCGGTAAAGCAGAAATATCCAACTTTTTTTTGCGATCGAGACCGACGTTAAGAAGTCAGATCTCAACTTCGCCGATGCGGCGCCGGAGCGGAGAAACCATTCGTGATGAGTGCCGACGCCCCCCCCTTTCCTATTCGGGCCGAGCTGAGGACATAAACTGCTTCTTCCCAACGACTCCATTCAACCGAATATTCCGAAGAATAAAGCTACGATATGTATGTCTACGGAGTCGAGGGCAGATGTTGGCTAGCTCCAAACTAGATATCGGAGGGCAAGTCCCACCCTTGCCTAACTATTTAGTTAGATGTTATACGCATTAGACATCTGTACATCTGCCACTTGGAAAGTATGGAAAGGCCAATTTAGCGATCAACATCCGTCGCGTTCTCTATTCTCCTGGTGGAGCTTGATAATAAAATATATGCCCGTGTCGGCCTTTGGGAATTCGAGTCAGATCTGTGTAGTTAGAGAGCATTGGTAGTAATTGATCAACTATAGGGCCTTCAAGACCGGCGCTCAACATGCCACTAAACTCATTAATCAGCCCAAACCCCTCCGGAATGAAAATGACAAGCATACCATCGTCCATGGCGCGTTCCATGCCAGTAGCAACGGTATAGCCTTCTGGTAGGCATCGCTCTGGAGTGATCTCTGGAAACGGTCCATACTATCCCATCCCCTCATGATGAAAAAGCACTTGGCCATCTCCCCGTTAAGACTTTCGTGGCTTTGATCTTCCAGCAGCCAACCGGATGCCCAACCCCGGCTCCCTATGGCGGCGGGACTGAATATCTCATCAAACCTGAGGAAGTCATCCTGTACTCGGGTCTGGAAGTCTGGCGTGATCCGAGAGACCGGGAAATAAGACAGGACAAACTCCACCACGTTCGCCAGAGCAGGCCCATCCGGCCCGAACACCGGCCGATCTAGGGCTACGTGGAAAACATTGCGTGGCTCGCCGCAGAGGCTGCGGACACTTTGCAGAAAAGGGCTGGATTCCAGGTCAGGCTCATTTCCAACCCCGTGTGGAAGGATAGGAAGCTCATATGTGATTTGAATGGCGGTTTGATCTTGTTGTTGTGAGCCAAGAATGAAGTCGGGGCGAGGAGTTACTTCTTGGAGAGCTCGAACGGCTCCCTGGACTTTCTCATCCAGGGCTGCCCGCGGGGCTTCCGTCCTGGGAAATAAATTCGCATCTAGCTGTATGATCACGGCGACTGCCATTGTTTTAAAGGCGATTGTTGAAAGTCACAACTGGACTATGGCGCAACAAACGAGGTGAGACGTGCTCTCTCTCTCAGCTAGATGGGTGGGGACTCGATAGGGTACTAGTAATATAATCCAAGTAGGGCAAAATGTCCATCACAGTCGCGCTTACTTCCTGACAAATAGGCCTTGTCTCGGAAGCGAAGGATGGGTCTGTTCCGTTGCCGGGTATTGTCAGTGTTTGACATGATCAGTTAAAAAAGGCGGAGGGTGAGATCGATAAGAGGAGTGGCTTCTGCACACTGTTCAAACTTTGATGCTGTGGGGAGGGTTATTCTCGCGGAACCCTATACCTCTCGCATAAATCAGCGAATGACCCAAGAGCTGGGAGGAACATTGCTATTCAGTGATGATCTTAGCTACTGGGTCAAAGACTCCTATCGGATCAACTTCCAAAAGCAGTTCACAGCCTGGTGGATAACCGGCCAGAACTATGGAAATGGAACATTATTCAGGGTTCGGCCTCATCGTCTATGTTCTCTTAGCTATGCCTTCGCAATAGAAATCTACCGAAGAAAAGAAACAGAAACGGAAAACATATCAACATCTAAGACGTCTACGACAGTTTAGATGGAAGGGGGGTTCGATACATTGCGTCCTGCATTGTCGATGCCACCAATATCCCGGAAGGACCCCAAATCCGACTCTCGATGGCTCCGCGGCCCTCTCCACCCCGGGGGCTAGACATTTCTTGAATGAACCAGGTAGTATCATCAAGCTTTAGGTCATCTGGATTGACATGGAAAACTATTTTGTGGTTGAGACTACCGGCGACCCCCAGGTGGTTTGCACCGAAGGCATTCGTCAGCACACTCAGACCCGCACGATCCGAAACGAATGCATGTGCCGCCGCAGACATATCGGAGTCCACATCCATAGCACTCAAAGCTCGATACACATGCAACCGCCGGTGTCCTGTGCCTGTGTGGTGGCTGTTATAGTCCGTCAAATCCGGGGTTCGGATATCAATCCCTGGAAAATCCACTAGTCTCGCCTTTCCGACCCGGTTCAGTCCGGGCAGGTAGAAATCGGATGCGTGCGTGGTGGGATCTCTACGGAGCACATCGCCATACCTTTCTGCATCGATGCTTACTCCGTACGCCGGGCCATCTTCCCTTCGCTTCAAGGAGCAAGTCAGCGCAAACGCCACCGGTCCGAATGGTTTTGATGCGTCGGTCGTAGGAAACGGGCAGTCATCGGACAGCGTAGTCGGTTGGCGGGCCGTGACCTGTCGTAAAACGAATGATCGGGTTTCCGACAGTGTCGTGACAGTATAAAGGAATGGACGGTTTCCATGCCCCCCTTGAGTCCAATAGCCATTTGCCTCATGGACTTGGAGACCGGAATCTTTGAATGGCAAGCTTGCGGCCCATATTGATTGTGCGAAGACATGTCCTCCGTAGGATCGTTGTGCGCTTAATGGCTTTCCAGGCTGGTAGTCAAAGGATATTGCCGGATATTTACTCATGTAAACCTCACCTTCCGATGATACCTTTTCCAGCTCCATAACCTGCGCAAAGCTCAGAGGGCCTGTAGGTGTAATTGCTGCCATCGCTGCTTCACGAGTCAAACATACAGACACACGAAAGATTAACAGAATGTTAGACTGCAGTCAGAACACTTGACGGTGATTAAATGCCTTATGTACTGGGTATGTGCCGAGGTTCATTTTGTCTGGGGTCAAACTAGTCCGGACGCTCCGTGACGCTAGATTTAGGACACCACTTAAAGAAACCCAACAATGAGGATAGTTAGTATGAGTTGATTATTCAAATTCATAAATTGATGAAAAGAAAAAAAGGAGTGAAGTTCTAGTGGAAATGGAAACGCTATGTATGTATGATTCTGCCGTCCTCGCCGCTTTGGATCCCCGACTTCTCTTCTGCCACTGCTCTGTTCTTTGCTTCAACCCCCCCACTCTCCTCTCTCAGAGACAGATTCCAAGACCGCAGGCGAGCGACTTCAGGGAGTTTTGCGCTTGTTTAGGTCACAAAGCTCCCAGGGGATTTGCTGTATGTCAGCGGGCCATATTCATCTTCGGGATCACACCGCAATGCCCGAATACTTCCAGGATCAAGCCGCGGTGCAAAAACCTCTTCTATCCCCCGGTAGTGAACACGCTCCTTCGGTGTTGGCTGTAGATGCGAACCCGCGGGGAGATGATTCGGGACCAGAGACGACAGTGGATGACAGCGATGAGCAAAAGAAGGGGGTTCTGGCATTCTTCAAAACTAAAGAATTCTATATAACTCTGCTGCTGGGGTCAGTGGCATCCATGGTATTAATCAATCGTATACTGTTTGGTGGCTGAAACATACTCTAGACAAATCCTAGCAATCACAAACACTGCAACCGGGACCTTCAGTACGCTCCTCGCGGATCGAGGAACGTCGATTCCTGCATTCCAGACCTTGCTAAACTACACGCTTTTAAATCTTATCTTTACCTCCTACACACTTTACCGGTACGGCATCAAGGGCTGGTTCCAGATGGTGTTGAAACATGGCTGGAAGTGTCTGTACCCTTGCTCTCGTGCGATGATTTCCTATATGAGCAAACTAATTGGCTTTACCTGGAACAGACATAATCTTGGCTTTTTGCGACGTGGAGGGCAACTATTTCGTGGTCCTAGCATATCGCTATACAACCATGCTCAGCGCCCAGTTGATCAACTTCTGGGCTATCGCGGTGGTTGTAGTCGTTTCTTTCCTATTCTTGCACGTCCGCTACCATGTTTCCCAGGTCCTGGGGATCCTGGTGTGCATTGGTGGGATGGGCGTCTTGATCGCGTCTGATCATATCACAGGTACCAACGGTGGCGAAGTTCCGCGCGGCGATCAGATCAAAGGCGATCTCTTCGCCCTGCTGGGCGCCACCTTTTACGGGTTGGCGAACACGGGAGAGGAATATTTTGTCAGTACACGGCCGGTGTATGAAGTGCTCGGTCAGATGGCATTCTTTGGTATGCTCATCAATGGCACTCAGGCAGGAATCTTTGACCGGGAATCGTTCCGTAATGCCGTCTGGGACGGCAAGGCGGGCGGTTACCTGGCTGGGTTCACTCTATGTTTGACGCTGTTTTACTGCCTTGTGCCGCTTTTTTTTCGTCTCGCGTCCGCGGCGTTCTTCAACATCTCGCTACTGACGATGAACTTTTGGGGGGTGGTTATTGGCGTCAAAGTGTTTCACTACACCATCCACTGGATGTACCCGATTGCCTTTGTGCTCATTATCGTGGGTCAGCTCATCTACTACCTGGGCCGCCGGGTGCTCGGTGAAGCCCGGAAGCCTTGGCTTGGTCAAAACCAGGAACACGGGGTGGCTGGTCTCTTTACCGCCAAGCGGAAAATCAACTACCAGACTATGTCGAGTGATTATCCGAGCGATTGTGGTCCTATCCTAGGCAGTTCTAGCGGTGTTTCGGTGTGATGTGCTGCACGCATAATGAATTGTCATGTGTCACATAGAGTAAAACCGGACCCGGTCATGATTAGACGATCATTTTCGTAGATACACATATAAAAATACATTTTTACTACGTGTTCCTCTATCTGTACTGTCCCCTAGAACCGGCAGAGTCTGTGTCTACGGATGAAGTTTGCAGCCAACACACGGAGCAGGCGGATCGGTTCCCTGATAAATCTCCGGCCTCGAATCCCCCGACACATTCAAGTAGCCCACCCCGCCCTTCTCCAGCCTGAAGATCGCATGGTCAACCAGAGTATACGTCCCTGGAACTACCATTTCCATATCCACCACGGTGGCTCCTCCAGGGGGCACCGTCGTGGTCTGGACGAACTGCGCCGGAGCACTCACCAGGTCCCCATCACGGTAGAGCCGTCGAAAGTTGCTTCCAATGACATGAAACGAACTGGTAAGGTTTGGCCCCGCATTGCCAAAATAAATCCGAACGGTCTCCCCCGTTCGCGCCTTGAGAGGCTTGTCTCGCGTCATGGCGGCCTCGTGTCCATTGAAGAAGACCGCGTCAGGCTCCTCGCGCAATCCGTTGGGGTACGAGAACTCTACGATCGACGATGGCTTTCCGGTTTCATCCTTCTCAGGGGGCTCATAATAGAATTCACTCTGCATCACGTAATACTCTCTGTCCACGCGCGAAAGGTGGTGCGTTGCATCATCCTCCGGTTGCACGAGAATAAGCCCGTACATCCCGTTTGCGATATGCACCGGCACCGGAGCTGCGGCACAATGATAGATGTACAACCCAGGACAGAGCAGCTTGAATCTTCCCGTTTTCGTGTCTCCCTCTGAGACTGTGGTGACGGCAGATCCACCGCCCGGGCCAAGTACAGCGTGGCAGTCTATGTTGTGCGGGTTCCCGGTTTCATCCCGGTTCGTCAGGGAGAGTTCAAGCACATCGCCGACCCGCGCGCGAATGAATGGGCCTGGCACGGTGTTGTTGAAGGTCCACTGCTCGTATTTATGGGAGCTCGTGAGCTTGGTGAGTTTGATTGTGGTCTCGAGTGATACTTGAAGCAAGACGGGGTGGTGACGCTCGATTGTAGGGGGGACATCCGGCGCAGTGGTGAGGATGGCCTTTTCTTGAGGAAGAGTTGATATATCTCGCATCAGCTGACCTGGCCCGTCCACATTGCTATTGTTTCTCATGGCATCAGATGCCTGCGGGGGGAGAGTTGGTTCTGCACCAAGATGCTTTGTTGGATGACCTTCCAACAACGTTCTGCCTTGCCGAAGCATAAACCAGGCCCCATTAGCAACCGCGATGCCCGAGACAAGAAAGAAAATCTTGGTCCACTCCCGATCTCCGTGGCGACTGGGTCTCTGTCGCATCCACAGTCTTCGGTTGGGAATGAAGCAATGACGAGACACAAATGGCGAGTTTCTCTGCCGGGCAAAGAAACAAATGCCTCTCGCAAGACGCAAGGTACTGATATTCGCCCTCATATCAACCTATACCGTTGTGGGTGTCGAGCTTTCGCTGCATGATGAGTTCACAAGCTAGCGGGATGGTTGACTTGTAAACGCTACTATCATGACATCACAATATAAATTGTTTTCCCCTCATGGACGGATAAACCCATAAATCCGACACCCCCTGACCAACGCTGGATTTTCTTTGTTCCGGCTCCTCCTCCGCAATCTGCCTTAAGGGGATCTCCTAATGTTCCCTACTTCTTCATACTCTGCGGCCACCTGGATTCTGTGCCGCGAGGCGCTTTATACTGACGCTTCTAGTCCAACTATTTTCTGTCCAATCTACCTACGCTATCTATACTCCCAACACAGCACTTTCCTTTGAGTTCCCGCCGGTGTTCGGCTCCCATAACGTAATTTCCCGCGCATTTCCGCCCACACGTTTAATTACACGCCACTATTCAAACTATCATTATGCCGCCGAAAGCCCGTCAATCGTCTCGAAACTTGGCGGCGCAAGAGGGTAGAATCCAGCTTGCAATTAAAGCTTTAAAAAGTGGCCAGATTCCAAGTGTTCGTCGTGCAGCAACCATTTTTGAAGTGCCTCGATCTACCCTCTTCGATCGCCTACATGGCCACCAGTATCGAGCAGAAAGTCTTAGTCCAAACCTCCGGCTATCTCAAACTCAGGAAGAGGCTCTACTGGATTGGATTATATCTATGGATACACGTGGAGTTGCTCCTAGACCAACGCATATTGCAGAAATGGCCCATATTCTACTCCAGTCGGGTAGTTCAACTATCCAACCACCAATGGGAAAGAATTGGGTAACAAATTTTATTGCACGCAATCAAGCAATCAAAAGTCGCTTTGCAAAAAAATACAAGTATCAGAGGGATAAATGCGAGGATCCCAAGGTTATAAACCAATGGTTTGACCAACTACAAGCTATCCAATTGCAATATGGTATTGCCAATGAAGATGTCTATAATTTTAACGAAACTGGCTTTTCTATGGGTCCAGCAGCAACTACTAGAGTAGTTGCGAGATCTAATATGCCTGGAAGGCCCCATCTTATCCAACCAGATAACCATCAGGAATGGGTTACCACCATTGAATGTATTAATTCAAGGGGTTGGAGTTTGCCTTCATGCATTATCTTTAAAGGACAACGCCAGATTGAAGAAAGCCTTCTACCACCAGATTGGAGGATTGAATTAAGCGCTAATGGGTGGACTACAGACGAAATAGGTATTCGATGGCTTCAAAATATCTTCATCCCTTCCTGTGCGAGCCGCACGGTTGGAAAATATCGATTACTACTTCTGGATGGGTATGGAAGCCATCTAACACCCGCATTTGATAAGGCATGTAATGACAATAATATTATTGCTATCTGCATGCCTCCCTATTTATCCCATCTTCTACAACCTCTAGATGTTGGTTGCTTGGGACCTTTAAAGCGTGCCTACGCGGATTTGGTGGAAGCAAAGATTCGCTTGGGATTCGACCATATAGACAAACTAGACTTTCTAAAAGCCTACCCAGAGGCCCACCAGAAGGTTTTCACACCTCAAAACATTCAAAATGGCTTCGCGGCAGCTGGAATACTGCCATGGGATCCCCACCGGGTCCTTAATACGTTGAATACCCTACCATCCACGCCTACACCTAGAAGTCATGGAGGAGGTTCTACAAGCTCCTCTTCAATAGCAACACCCTATACAGTGCGTCAGTTGCAAAAAAAGGCATCCTCTATCAGGAAAACCCTTCAAATACAGTCCCACAGCGCTTCTTCGCCCTCTGAAATGGCATATGTGAAGGCGTTTGACGAGCTGGTCAAAGGGTGTGAAATTGCTCTTTACAATGCAGCTTTAATGGCCGATGAAATCCGCAAACTCCGGTCGGAAAACGCAAATGAGAGGCAAAAAAGCAGTCGACCTCAACACCACATGGCTTCTAATACAGACCTTTCAACACAGGAGGCAAGAGAGCAGATTTCGTCAAGCAATGAGCCTGCAAGCCAAAATGTTCATCCAGCATCGGCTGCAATGCCGCCTTTGGTAGCATCAAAACGTGCTCCACCAACGTGCTCCAATTGTCATATTCGGGGCCACACTAGAACTAGGTGTCCCTACCCGTGTAATTAATTAGATCCCACGGAATTTCCTTATGTTTTGGTTGTTGGGGATAGCTTCAAGGTTTCTCAATGTGGTCAAAATAGGTGTGGGGGCGGGTGGAACAATGGAGATTTACGTTAGTTATATAGTTATATGATCCTAGCTTACAATATTCATACAGGTCCAAGAGTCAAAGAATGGTTCAATAATAAATGGTGCAAAGTCATGCAATGGCTACCTTGAATTCACCTGATGATTCAACCCCATCGAACTATCATAGAAATCCGTGGTATATCTCCTCCAGAACGTCCCGTTTCCGCTTGTGATCCGCCTGTTCCATCTCCTCTGCTTCAGTTGGTCCTTCCTCAGGCTCCCGGGCGACCCACGACCGAAGTGTTCCATCTCCGTGACCAGAAAATACTTCCAACCCTTCGCCCGAAGCCCCATTCCCGCGCCAAGCCAATGCGTTGATTCGTGCCGCACTCAAAGCATTCGACCGTCCCTGGGGCTGCTGGCGTCGGTTGATTAAGCCCGGAACCTTGAGACGCTTAAGGAAGGTCCCCTCTCGCAGCTCAAACATAAAAATCTCCCCACGGTCGTCGGACTCGTTGAAGTTAGCCCACAAAAGCGTTTCGTGGCCCGCTTCCACCTGGTCACAAGGTACAATCAACGGCACCCTTTCAGCGAGATGTGAGGACGCGCTATTCTGGATTCTCGGGCCAAAATGAACGAGGGTATTAGCGCCGGTCGTAGCATTCCAAACGCGGATTCGCGCGTCCTGTCCCGCTGTTACCAGATGAGCACCGTCCGAAGTCCATCGAACCCCCGTCACTGCGCCATTGTGCGCTCGGGCATGAGGCGAAAATGCTAGTCGGGTCTGGTAAGACGCTGAGGCGTTAGCTGGGGGTATTAAACCCACAGCATCGTCCATATCAAGAGTAGCAATTGCAGAATTGTGTCCGGCTCGACGAATGTCAAACAGAATCACTCGGTTATCAGTGGATGCAGATGCTAATATATGCGGTCGATGGGGAGCCCAGGATACCGACAACACGGCGGAATGGTGCCCAGGAAGACCGTGGGTCGACAATCCCGAGCGCAGGTCCAGTAATCGGACCGGCTTTTCGGACGATCCTACCGCAATGAGCAATGGAGAGCTCGGATGGCAAGACAACGAGTGGGTGTAGGGCGTGCAATGAAGCTTAAAAGTATGTACGGGTAGGATGCAGTCCGATCGGAGCGCTGAAAGCTTCAGGGTTCCGTCATGAGAGGTCGTAATAATCGTAGAAGGCGTGGGATCAAACGGATAGATAGATATCGACGTAATCGCATGGGTATGGGCGGCCTCATGTGAGAACTTGGTGCTGGAAGCCACGGGTTGATGAATGTAGTCAAGCTCTGAGCCTCTTGTTTCTAGATCCCATAAATGAAGAGACGGGTCTGCGCCCCCCGATACCATGAACCGACGCTCGTACTGATCAATCGCCAACACATTCACTCCCGCTGAGTGAGCTAAAATATCGTCTTCATCGGTCTTGACACTGGAAAACCGGATGCCCGGGGCAGGCTCAAGCTGATGAATAAGACGAGTGGATTGGGCGCGCTGGAAGGCCGATGGAACGATAGACCCGAGGGCCCTGTTTAAAAGATATGAATTCATTCATCAGGACTTGGTCGGGAGGTGGTATCAGAGTACTAAATGTCTGTATTTCAAACTGAAATCAAACAATAAAAGTGTTGGAAAGAGAGACTTCTACTCCGTACGGAGCGCCGTAAAGGGTTGGGCAGTGGCAGAATGCTAGATCGGGAAGGCGGACGACCCGGAACCAGTTCTACCGACCTTCTCTCTAGATACCCACGATAAGCTCACTTAAAGCCAATGCAATGATTAACTAGGTAGTTATAATTAATTGCTTGCTAAAAACAGGTCTATATGCCAGTGCAATATTCTGAAATCACTCGCTAATATAATCACATTCCCCGATTAAACTCCACTTGACCGTTCTTGCCTCCTCGGTCCCAGAACTCTTCCTCAAGAGATGTAGCACTGATGGCCTGTCGTTGGGGAAATGCACCCAGAGCCAACGGTAGAGCGAAAAGAGAGGTTCCCAAGATTAGGGCCAAATTGATCGGAAGCACCATGCGGGGACGGGCTTGGAGCCACTTGGTTTTCTCCAGTTGGACTAATACCAATGGTGGCACCACCATGATGGGAGTCGCGTTCAGCACTCGACTGATCGCCGTCTCCCCCACCGCAATCGTGGCTGCTTTCTTACTCTTCCCGAGACTTTGCACAGGCTCACCCGTCTCCTCCCGCTTCTTCTTTTCTTCTTCAGTCAGAACAGGATAAACGTCGATACCTTGGCGGATCTCCTCCCCACGCATCAAGAACACGTTCAGCGCGCTAGCGCTAGAAACGGCCGCAAAGGGAACCAAACGGCCCAGGATAAGCTTTGTACTCGGGGATATGCCCTTCAGACGGGGGACCAGGGCATTCAAACCCAAGGCTACAGAGCAGGATGCTGACACTGCCATCATATATGACTTAGCCATCTGGGAGATGGATAATGGAGTCGACTTATTCGCATTGGCGTTGTTAATTGCGACATTAAGCGACTGGTTCGTAATTTGCCACAGCAGGGTACCTGTCGTCTGGTTATACGGTCAGATGTCTAATCCTCTCTCAAAAAAAAATTGTATTATAACCAACTTCACACTAACCTTGAGTCCTGGCGTAAGCATGCCAGCCGTGACGATGAGGTTGGAAAGAACGTAGCACGACATGCGGAAGGGAAGGAAAACCGGCTCACCAGTGTCTAAGCAACACTACATGTCAGCTGTGCGACGAACATATGGAACAGCGCAGAATACAAAGCCTACCCGGATGCAAAGTCGAGTCCACAACTTTCTTTGCTTGCCACAACTCTGGGGTCATAGCTGGGAGTTCATTCTGTTTGTAAGAGGAGATCAGTCGCTTGGCCTGCTCGAGGCCGGTCGAGGAGGTAAACAACATCCTATGCGCAATAACCACTCTTAGTCAATTGCTGACATACCCTCAAAAAGGGCATAGACCATAGGCGGGAAACTAACCTGGGATCCGAGATGTCTGCGGCATGTCGAACACGACCCCAATACGTGGTCAGGTCATATTGGGAGGAAGGTAGGTCCCGGTTCCCGGGGAGAGAAGAGGACATTGGCAGAGGAGAGAGAGAGAGTGTGTGTGTGACTCCAGAAAAGAACGACAGCACGCAACCAACGAAACGAAAGAAACGATGTAGAAACAGAGACACAGGACGAGAGAAAAAGCTGAGAGGAGTTTGGTGGGAAACCGATAAAAATGATTCATATCGGAGGCGGTGAGCCGATAAGCGGAGAAGTGGCCAATCAGCGATTGTATATTGCGGCAGGAACCAGGAACCGCCAACCAAATTCCCCAGGTAGCAAGGCCAACATCCGACCCAAGATATCTTAGATATCTTCACTTCTTGACAACCAAATCTAGGGGAACACAGTATTTGGACTTCAGCTATTCGGAAGGGGATAATAGTCGCTTCCGATTGTGTGATTTTTGAAAGCACTTCGGTTGAAGTACAGCCAAATGGACCCTTGCAAACCCCATAGCTCACGATGGGCGGATTTCAACACCACACCACCCTCTGACTCTGACGACCTCGCAGCACACTCTGTCAATCAACTAGTCAGAGCAAAGGATATCTGGTCTCCCCCTAACCCTTGCACGCAACATACACTAAGAAGAGAGATCAGAATTTCAATTGGCCTTCAGCGCTTCAGGTCGCCGCACCTGCTACTACCATGGTGCGAGCCCTAGTACAGTATAAGCTTTTTATTCTCCAACCACTGGTTATGACCAGGTCCTCGTCATCTTGTTTTGCCCAATTCCTTACAGCATCGTAATCCACAAACTTTAGCAGGAGAAAAAGCAAAAAAGTATGGCGTGTTAAATTGGGCTTTTTTAAATATCGCAGCAGCACCCGTGTGATCTCCCCGCTGGCTGGCCTGGAGAGGAAAAAATCGAAGAATTAGCAATAACAGCTGTTCCGCTCTTCATCTTTGCAGCCACGTTGTGTTGTTTTGTGTCTGATAGGAAATTTAACCGCTGGCGCCTCTGAAAGAGCCCTGATGCAGGGAGTAATACTAGTTAATATTAACATGTGGTGATCCGTGCATTCCACACAAACCTGGCCGCGGCTGCCCTGGTGCCTGGAGCCCCCCGACCTTACTGTCGCCGGCGCTAGGCCTGGGGTTGGTCATGACGGTCATGACCATGACCGTCGAAATTTTGGTCATGACCGTCATGACGGTTTCCAGGTTGTCAGATCGTCGGTTTGCCTGCCTGATCGGGTTAGCGCGCGGAGACTAGTCCTAATTAGGAATAGTAGTATGTATAGTAGTTATGTCACATGTGTTAGTTATTGATTACCTAATCTTATTACTAAGACTTTAAAAGCTCCCTATTGGCTACTAACAGACCCACCCTAATCACGTGCGGTCAGGTCATGACCGTCTGAAAACACCCGGTCATGACCATGAGTCCATGACTGACCATGACCGTAATTTTCTGTCATGACCACCAGGGCTAGGACTCGCCGCCCCCCGGAGGCCCCACCCGTAGTTTGCCAAGTTAATGGACACGGGCAGCTCCGCGCACTTCACAAATCCAGGCTGTATAATATCAATAGTACTTGGTTCTCTGCCCATGGGGTGCATGTGCTCCGCCAAGCAAAAGACGGTTCTCGATATTTTGACGGTGACGGTATTGTTTTTATCTTAACGATATTGGAGACGAGCTAATTTTGATACAGAAGAAGATTAGATATCCGGAGTTTATCCCCCAGAACAGAGAGGGCTTGATAGCGTCCTTTCCCACATCGAAGGGCGTGACAAACAGATGTTTCGTCAATTAATATCGCGGATGCTGCGACGGCGACCAGATGATCGAGCCAGCGTGGAGGATATACTCTCGGATCCCTGTTTTCAAGATTAGTGGAAGGCTAGTACAGAGGAATTGCGGCAGCCGCAATAACTAATCACAAATATTGGTTCCATAGTTAAGGACGCTGAAGGTCGGGCCTCCCAGCAATAGATGCTTTAGTATCAAGTCCGGCTCTTGCTTGAGGGTGATGTCTCACAGCATGATCTGGTCAAACACCCAAACAATCATCACTGGCTGGAATTTTTTGATAGTTCAGGCAAAGTTGCCACTTTGGACGAGTTTGGAGAAGAAATGACCGGGCATATGAAAGACTCACAAGAGATCTCAGTGAGGATCATAAGAATACGGAGTAAATATAGCCTAATTGACACCCGAAATGATCTGATCGACAGATGGATATTAGCCAGAGATACTGCAATTCACCACGGCTTTTCTTACCCGGTTTGTGAATGAGGGGTACTGTGAATCGCCCTCCTTCGTTCTTCTCGAACCCATTCTATCTAAGCATATACAGATTCCTGTTCTGATTTTATTGCCTGTATTTCTTTTTTTTTTTCAAGTGTACATAGAGCTTTAAGAACACGCTATGTCACTTGGACGCACCTACAAACTCAACTCGGGATACGACATCCCCGCAGTCGGCTTGGGTACATGGGTCGGTAGTATCCTCTACATGATCCAGATACTTAGGCGGCCTATACTAACAAGCCCAGCTCTCCAAACCCCATGAGGTAGAAGATGCCGTTGCAACCGCTCTAACCTTGGGATATCGACATATCGATGCCGCCGCGTGCTACCTCAACGAGTCAGAGGTTGGAAATGGTTGGAAAAAGTCTGGGATTCCTCGGAGTCAGATCTTCGTAGGTAGTCCTTCCGCGTCTAAAATTAGTGAAGAGCCCGAATGCTGACGAAATTCTTGATTTCTAAACAGATCACAAGTAAATTGTGGAATACTCACCATCATCCCGCACATGTTGAAGAGGCACTGGACAAGACTCTGAAGGACCTTCAAACGGACTACCTGGATCTGTATTTAGTATGTCAGTCATATCCAGATTTACCCCGATCAAGGCTTCCTAATCGTTTTCAGATTCATTGGCCAGTTGCGTTTGAGCATACCAATGACACTCTCACTCCGATTGACCCTGTCACGAAACGTTTCCGTCTGGCGGATGTCCCCGTGTCCGAGACTTGGAAGGCCCTGGAGAAATTAGTGAAGGTGGGGAAAATTCGAAGTATTGGTGTGAGCAATTTCACCATCTCTGCGCTCGAGGAGCTGCTCAAGACAGCGGAGATTCCTCCCGCAGTGAACCAAATCGAAGCCCATCCTTTTCTCCAGCAACTCAAGCTTTCTGAATACCTCAAAGAGAAGAACATCCTCAACGTCGCATATAGCCCACTGGGAAACAATATCTATGGCGCGCCTCGGTATGATTCTTCTCGCTTGCTCCTTTCAACTTGTTCAAAAATAAAGAGAGTGTTAGAGGGGCGTATTTCTAATTGCTTAATAGTGTCGTCGACGATCCGACCGTGAAGGAAATCGCTGGCAAACTTGGAAAAGATCCAGCAGCCCTGCTCATCTCCTGGGCCGTGCAGCGTGGCACAGCTGTCTTGCCCAAGAGCGTGACTCCTTCCCGAATCGAGAGTAATTTTCAAGGTAAGTATTCGCGAAACCTTTGTGTTAGTCCTTCAATCAGGCTGATAGGTTCAGACTTTGTCATCCCCACCGCGGACTTTGAGATGTTGAACAAGCTTGATCGGAACCAACGCTACAGCTACCCCTTCCGCTGGGGAATCGATGTTTTCGAAGAGCTGGGTGCTGAAGAAGCTGAGCGTCGGGCGGAGGAACATGCTGTGAAACAACGAGAGGCAGCATAGGCACCTTCCAGGACTGAATGAAAGACAAGCCACGTATATAGGTATCTAAATGTGCAAGCCATCCTCAATGTAATCATTGCATATAATACCTAGGTAGGATAGTGTGTTCCAAGCAGCAATTTCATAAAGATTCTTCAAACATGTTTGTAAAGTGAGTGAGTGGGACAGTAGAAAGATTTCCTAAAATGGGCTTTCCTAAAATACAGAAATTCCTGTAAGAGAATCGTTAATAATCACGAGCCGAATAGTTACATAACTAACTAACCAACCAAACAAACAACAACTATTCATCCATAATCTATCATCAACCTCTCTCTCCCATCTACAAGAACCTGGAAAAATCATCATTCTCCCCCTCAAGATTGCATCAACTGATTTTTCAAGCCCTTTGAATAGAATTTGTACGTGAATCTACAAATATTCCTCCCTGAAAAAAAATGCCCCCGTTGCGCCGAGTGAATCGAAAGGATCGCGTGGGTAAAAATACTGTGGTGAAAAAGCAACACTCCAGTAAGTACCAGTAGATAAAGTTATTATATTACATTTATCACAGACTTCAAATAGCTAAAATACCGCTCAGTCAACAAACCAACGGGTGTTAGCACTTCTCCAGATAAACCACTTCCTTTGGTGGAACGCACGAACAAACTTTCACTTGAAGAGTTCCTCTCCTTATACGTTCCTTCTTCTGAGCTCAGGTTTCGACGGGGAAATCAAAGATCAAATTCCAGGCCACCTAGTGTAAATACCAGCTACAATTCAACCGGGCAGGAGGAGGAAAAGGAATATACGCTGGAAATCCACACTGCAGGAACCATTCCCGCCGTCGATCTGGAAGAATGCTATAAACTTATCGAGCTAACATCATCGAGTGCATACAAAAGCTCCAGTATTGGATGGTCACCCTCCGAGAAGAAGAAAGAGATGAAGTTGCCTGACATGAAATATATGATTTTGCGACAAGCTTCGGCGCCAGCCTCCCGAGATGCTGTCCAAGGCGATAGTTCGTCTTCGCCTGTGGGGGGATTTCTAGGCTTCCTCGAATTTATGATCACGTACGAGGACGGTAAAGAGGTTGCGTATTGCTATGAAATTCACTTGCTACCCAAGGCCCAGCGACAGAGGCTGGGGGAGGAGTTAATGATGAGATTTGAGCGCGTCGGACAGCGCATTGGTTTGGAGAAGGCCATGCTAACAGTATTCAAATCCAACACGCAGGCAGCGAACTTCTATGGCAGAGTCGGATACGAGGAAGACGAGAACTCCCCACGGCCTCGACGCTTGCGAAACGGGATGGTGAAGGAGGCAGACTACCGAATTATGTCCAAGTCATTGCAGCAACGAGTGCTCCATTGTACCGGTGGGTCGTTGATAAGATAAAATCCATAGAACACACTGAGTACATGAAACTATATTTATACTTGCTTGACATTTTCCCCGCGCTTCTCAGGGTTCTCCTGCTCCCACTCATCTCGGAGTGCGGCAAAAATGGTATCAGCTATTAGGATTGAAAGGCCTAGGCTCCAAACCAAGGTAATTGCATAAAAGAAATTGGCATTCCCAGACCCGGCGTAAATCCACAAGTGATAGAAAGCAGGGCCGAGTAATGTGGCGTAGAGCAGAACGGAAATCGAGAAGAAAGTGTATCGCATCACTGATCCAGTCAGTCAGCGCTCCATTAATCATAAGGGAGTAGCAGAAACTCACATGGGAAGATATGCCGGTAAAGGGGAAGAAGAGCAAAATATAGCGAGGCATCCGAGATGCTTGGGTAAGGCTTGAAGACAGCGAAGATCCCCAGCAACGAGGCGAGAACAAATAGAGGTTGTCGGCGCAATCTGATGCTCAGACTTCCAACGTATGCCGCGAGATGAAGCCAGAACACGCCGAGGAAAAATTCCCGGAAGGAGTCGAAGATCTCAATAAAGAAATACCACCACAGGCCAACATTCGGGGTCAGATCGGGAACAAGTAATTGGAAACCGTATGTCGCAAAAAGGAATTTTGAGAAGTCCCCAATTATCAGAGATGAAATCCCAAGAAGTCCAGCGATACTTAGCAGGAAGACTGCAAAGTGTTGCAACACAAAGAGAGTAACCGTAGGGGCGGAGTTGGTGCGTTGAATCCGTCGATCATAGCATAAGAGGATGAGAGGAATAAACAGGAGAGCCGGGTATATCGACAGATACGACGCAAAGCCCAAAGCGAGCATCGAATTCAGGCTGTGCCCCTGAACAGCGGTAGAAAGAGCGTAGAGAATTCCGGCCGAAGTAAATACCCCAGTTGACCGACCTAGGCAAGTCGCGATTGTAAAAGGATTGAACAAAAACCTAATCCATATCAGCATCATATCCTCCACGACGTGGAAAAGTCGTCAAGTACCATGCCGCGATTACCACTCCATCCCATCTGATCTGTTTTCTTATCGCCGAGTATAATCTCCCCGATACCGCCTGCCCCGAATCTGAAATAGTTACCAAGGCATTTGCATTGAGCAGATCGACTACAGAATACAACAAAGCCGTCGGTAAAGGATATACTTGGGAATTCGGTAAAAGTGAGAAGATCGGAAGTAGAAGCGGTGCCTGGATACAATTGTGTTAGACGGGCCCTGAGAGTAAGGTAGACAAGCTCCATTGCGGACCTGGTGAAAGACGCCTCCATCATAGGGGGAAACCTTGCGATTGTACAGAAAAAGACCCTCCTGAACTGTAGTCTGCGTGTTAAATTCGACTCTGTACCGTTTGGGATGGCCATGAAGGAGCACGCACGTCTTTTGAAGCTGGTAACCGGCGTCGAGACCTCGACCCGGGCCGTCAACAAGTCAGGGAGGGAAGGAAACAAGAGCAAGAGCAATAGTCGCAAGGCGAAGGCACCGCCAAACACCGCGAGCTTCCTCCGGTCAACGGGCATAATAAGTGAGATCAATCGCCCAGGCCAAATAGAGATGCGCAAAGAGGCACGAGTGGCCTCCCCTTGGATGAGGCTTTGGAGACCTGATCTTGCTCCCTTCTCCACCTGGCCACTTTGCGGCCTCACGTGCCAAGCCTCCGCGTCTTCTGAGTGCACGGGCCACCCAAGCTTTTTTTTTTTTTTTTTTCCAGCGGAAAAAAAATATTCCCAAAATTTATTCAGACGATGTGAAATTCTCTCCATCTTCCTCACCCTATTCAACTCTCACCCCCCAATTTCCAGTCACAATCATGGCGAAAATTAAGAAGAAGGGTAGGCGATTATGGCGGCTTTCCAGAAAACGTCTTTTCTAATTTCTTTCTCTCCAGGTACCTCCGGTCAGGCCAAAAACTACATCACCAGAACGCAGGCCGTGCGCAAACTGCAGATTTCTTTGCCAGACTTCCGTCGACTATGCATCTTCAAAGGTTTGTCTTTTCCCATCGGCAAGCTGATAGAGATCAAGATGTGTTCAGGCCCAGGTCAGCAATGCTGATGAAAGAGTTTAACAGGCATCTACCCTCGTGAGCCTCGTAGTAAGAAGAAGGCTTCCAAGACTTCCACCCCCAATACAACGTTCTATTACACCAAGGATATCCAGTACCTCCTACATGAGCCGTTGCTCCGGAAATTCCGCGATCAGAAGGCACTCGCGAAAAAGATTGCCCGATCGCTTGGACGTGGAGAAGTTAGCGATGCATCGCGCCTGGAGAAGAACCACGCCCCGAAACTCACTTTGGACCATGTCATCAAGGAGCGTTACCCTACCTTTATCGACGCCCTGAGAGATCTTGATGATGCATTGTCGCTCCTCTTTCTCTTCGCGAACCTCCCCTCCACCAACCATGTCCCGCCCAAGACTATCGCCCTGTGTCAACGCCTGTGCCACGAATTCCAGCACTATCTAATCACAACCAACTCGCTGCGGAAGTCGTTCCTCTCCGTTAAGGGTATCTACTACCAGGCAACCATTCAAGGGCAAGACATTATGTGGTTGGTTCCTTACCGATTTGTGCAACGGGTTAACGGGGACGTTGATTACCGCATTATGGCTACTTTCGTTGAGTTTTACACGACCCTTCTTGGCTTCGTCAACTTCCGGTTGTATTCCTCAATCGGTCTCAGGTACCCCCCGAAGTTTGACACCCGAAGCGATGAGAACGGAGCGGAGCTGGCTGCCTTCACCTTGGAAGGACGCTCTATCGGAGATGTCCCGACGGCTATTGAGGCAGGCAGCAAGCAATCCGGCAACGCGCTAAACCAGGAGGTTTCTCGAGAGGTTCAAGACAAGGTTGACAAGGTGATCAAGAAAGCCGGCCTGGATCAGGCCGCGGGCGAACAGACCACTGAAACGACCGAGGATTCTACCGATGCGATCGATAAATTCGAGCCTACCGCTCCTGAGGCCGATACCCTCCCCCAGCCTGACTTGAGCGGGGATGAAGCTGGGTCGCTTTTTGCTCCGTTCATATTCTACATTTCTCGAGAAGCCCCCAAAGCTCCTATAGAATTCATCCTTCGTTCCTTCGGTTGTAAACGGATTGGCTGGGATGCTGTTCTTGGGGACGGTGCCTTTACACATAACGAAGCTGATCCGCGCATCACTCATCAGATTGTGGACCGGCCCGCCCTGCCAGAATCTTCACTGCCCGCTATTCCTGCCGCTACCGAGGGAGCTTTCCCAAAAGTCCGGCCCGGAACTCGTATTCCTGGTAGAACATACGTTCAACCGCAGTGGGTCTGGGATTGCATCAACGAAGGCAAACTTCTTCGCGCCGACCTGTACAGCCCGGGTGCCACTTTGCCGCCTCACCTCAGTCCATGGGTGAAGCCTACTAAGGGTGCTTACGATCCACGTGCCAGCTTGGCCGAACAGGAGGAAGAAGGTGAGGCCGAAATTGCCGCCGAGGAAGAAGATAGCGACGAGGAGATGGACGAGGCCGTTGAGGAAAAGCCGTCTTTGGCCAAGGACAGCGAATCAGATGAAGCGGAGGACGATGAGGACGAGTCTGTGGATGGCGGCATGGATGTTGCCGGCACCGACGACGATGACGAAAGCGAGACCGATGGAGAAGAGCAAGAAGACTTTGCAGGCTTTGAGGAAGCCGATGCCGGTTCCGAATCAGAGGATGAAGAGGAAACAGCTCGAACCCAGCATCAGAAGGAACTCGAGGCTGAGGCAGCTGGTCTTCCTTTCTCATCCAGCGGTGCCGCAGATGGAACTACCAAGAAGAAGTCGCAAGCCAAGAAGCTCGCCTCTAAGAAACGCCAGGAAGAAGAGGAGCTGGAGAGACAGAAGATGATGATGAGCCGGAAGAAGCGTAAGCTGCTGGAGAAGATGATGTACTCTAATAAGAAGCAGTCAGAAGAAGCGGCGAAGCTGAGGTCCAAGCGCAGAAAGATTGAAAAAGGTGCTGGGAAATAAATTAGAACAAGAAAAGTTAGCTCTGTTAGTGATGCAATGATATCTGGATGGGATTTGGACACCATCGGCAGTTCGGCGTCTTTGATAGTTTGCAATTGTTTTATATAGACCGTGTAATTTAAACCCACATACCTTCTCTATTCCACTTCTTCACCTGAAGATATTCCTCCAGCTCTCTTGCAGTTTATCTCCCCAATTACTTCTTTCATTTAACCCAGGGAAATATAGAGAGTCTCAGGTATGTATGTACCACTGGGCCGTGTATTCTTCTAGCACTGGAATAGAAAAGATGAAGCGGCCAGACTCTATTTACTCAAGTCTAATCCTTTCTTTAAGGAAGTGAACTAACCAATACTCTGGTATACACACCAATTAACTAGTTAGTTATAGTGCAATGTCGACTCAATGATCAAGACCAGTTAACAAGTGTGCCTGAGGCAAATATAGTCACGTGGTATTTATAGCACAAAATATCCTCAAGTCCCAAACTCTCTTGCCTACCAGGTATCTTCTCCATTTCGTCCTTGTCAGTATTGTCCTTGCAAAATAGCCGTACGAGAGGTCAGAGAGAGTCAAGCAAGTGGCTTCTCTGAATATGATAACACTAGACCGTCAGCTGGGTCCTTGAGAGCTCTCCAAGTACACGGATGAGAGCTCCCGCAGACTTCGCTCTTACTCAGTGCAGTCTGTAATCTTTGGTTGTGCCTTGGTTCTCTTGGAATTTGGAATGGCCCTCTATTTTTGCCTTGTTGAAATAGCGCCGTTCGCCAATAGATATACGACCCCTCGGACGGTACGTCAATCTGGTCTTTGGTCTTGGGCCTGGTGCGCGTTTGCTGACCTCTTCTAGAATACCAATGAACACATCTTCTCGTCAACTGTTCGAACCATCTATATGCTCTTTTTCACTCTTTGACGTTTAACGGTCTTCAAGGATTTTCTACTCTTCGGGGCTACACCCACTCCCAATAGAAAACATGTCCTCTCCAACGGTTGACGGTCCTTCTCGCCGCAGTCTTTCTAGATCAGCTCACCCGCTGGTCTCACAGTTCGGCGGTCCTAGCCCCCAGGACCCCGCTGGTCGTGGGGCACACGATCATTACTCTGACATGTTTCCCAACTTTGGTCAACGCATTGAAGAAGACGAATCTGACAAAGATCCAACGTACATATCAAGTGATGAAGACACCCCTGGATCTTTGAACGGCCATGATGGCTCCAATTACGGTTCACTTACAGAAACCAGACGCGTATCGGCCACTAGCAAAACCCGAGGGTACCCAGAAGACTCGTCCTCCCCTCCCCAGCAACGCCCCAATAGGTTCCACCGTCCCGCAAAGACGTGGCTAAAACTAACAAGAGAAGATCGAAGGATAGTTGGAGAATTAGAGGAGGCCTACGCGGGAGACTTAGCAGCCCAACTATACCACGCCCATATCATTCAGCTCGAGAAAAGGGCAAGCGTGGGAGCCACTGATGAAATCCAGCCAAAGAAGGACAAACCAACCGATGCTGCGTCAGAAGAGTATGAATCCGACGCATCCAGATCTCTTGACAGCATAGAAGAATGGGCCGCGTGGCCAATGCCCGGCGATGAAGTTCCGCGTCCAAACGAACACTTTCGAAGGACAAAAGACGACATGTTCATCTTTAGAATGAACCCAGATCCACACCCGGGTGCAGAACTAGAGGAATCCATTATAACATCCATGCTGAGGACAGCCAAAGAAAATTTTCGATCCAGGAGCTCATCCTCTCCAACCCCTTCCAGCAATGCGGAATATGCCGAATCGGATACTAGCGACGAAACTTCTTACGCAGATGAACAGTCAGCAAGCGACATTGCAAGGATCATCCATAATGACAGAGCTCTTCTGCGCGCAGTTCTGAAAGACAACCCCTCCGTATCTGGATCAAGTACTTCCGGCTCGGATACTGATGATGATTCCAGTACAGAGATACGGCTGAGGAAAAACTCAGAGTATATTACCGTGCCCCAACGTCCAGTCGTCCAAGCGGATGATGATATTTCACGACACCAGTTGCGGCCACTCGCTCGAAATATAATTGCCCAAGTTGAAGAACTTCTCGTGGGAATTCACTATGCACAGGAAGATTCAGACGTGCCAGAAAATAGTTCAAACAGTGAAAATGATTCTGATAGTGAGAGCCTAGCCTCGAGGTCCTCATTGCCTATGGGGATGGGCACATCCAGGTCGAGCCGGGCCAGCTCGGAAGGTGAAGTAGGAACTGATACCGAAAGCTTGTCGTCTTCAATAACCAGAAACACAACGCGGTACCCTGATAGAGACCGCTCTAGGGGAAGGAAGCGCGCACGGCAATCGTCATCATCACCTACTGCCAAGTCGCGCAGTTCCCGGTTCTCCAGTGACCGTACGTCAACTGCCGCAGGCTCACGCTCCGTTTCCGCCGACAGCAATTCGGGTCCGCGTCTTTTTGACTGGAAAGACATGTTAGCCATTGCGTCTCGAGTAGGCTTACCACCCGCTGTCATCATGCGCACTACCCAGAGATGCGTTGCGCTATTCGACGAGGCCGCTACGCCCGAACTTGCCGATGAAAATGTGGCCGAAAGGAAATCGAAATTTCCGGGAAAGAATTCAGACGCAAATGAATGGCCATGCTCTCTTTCCGCTTCAGGAGAAAATGTGCCGCATGCTCAACCGTTATCTAAGCCTGTTGATGACGGGAACATGGCGCATGATTCCATTGCTCTTGCTCGTGGTCGCTTTGTTTGTCCCATAAAAACCTGCGCTCGATCGAAACATGGGTTTTTACGACAGTGGAATCTCAACCAGCACATGAAAACCATGCACCCAGGAAGAGTATCTAAGAACTAGCAATGACAGATAGAGTACTCTGTACCTAGGGTAAATAATGATATCTCGTAATGAAAAGAACTTCTGGTGTACTTCTACTTCTACTCCGTACAACGCCTCGAGTTGGCGCCTGAGGACCCGAGTTCCCTTCCAATCGATCTCGGTGTCCGGGACCAATTATATCTATGATTCGGTCCAGCTCCGGCGACTCTACCCAATAGTGGCTCAGAAAGCTTTGGCCACCGGATGACGTATGGTCACGTGGTGTAACATCTCCCCGCCGCCGAGGTCGACGGCCTCAACCTTCCACGAAACCGAAGATTTGGCCACCAGGTAGCGAGGAATTGGATTGGTGCTTAGGTCCCTTGCTAAGTCTCTCCTTCTCTTGGATAGCGCCGTCCAAGCTCTGCCGTTGGATCCACCAGTCGAGTCAATCTTCTCGGTACGGTTGGAATTCATAAAAAGCAGCAAGCCGAATCAACCATTCGCAGTCTTTCTGATCTTCTTCAGAGCTGACAAGAACGACCTACTCTCAGCAAACATGGAGAGAATCATCCGTCCTGTGTCGAAGCAGTTGTTGCGATCGCGACCGCGATATCCCTTCTCCGTCCCTCCGCCTATCTACCCCAAGCGGCTCTACACAGCCGGCTACACAGTGCCTCCGGTGCGCAACTCTCCGCTCAATTATTCTCTAAAGACTTTAGCTCACGACAGGATATCAAACAGCTGAAAGATAAGTCGCTCTTTATTCAAAAGGCTTACGTCAATGGCGAGTGGGTTGACGCGGAGTCGGGAAAAGCCTTCGAGGTTCGCGGTAAGCATTATTATTGTTTCCGGTGATGGGCGGCAAGGCAAATACGAGGGATTAGTAGGCATGGATTCTAATCTCGATGGGGTACTTTTACAGATCCTGCCACCGGGCAACTCATCGGAACATGCCCCGAATTCAGTGCTAGAGATACCGAGAAAGCCATCCAAGCTGCCACAGAGGCATTTCCCAAATTCCGCACAACCCTCGCCCGGGAGCGAGCTCGGATGTTGCGACGATGGTACCAACTAATGATGGACAATGCCGAGGATTTGGCTACGTTAATCACATGGGAGAATGGAAAGCCGCTCGCCGATGCAAAGGGCGAGGTAAACTATGCCGCGAACTTCTTTGAGTGGTTCAGTGAAGAGGCTCCCCGAGTGTACGGCGATACTATCCCAGCGTCTGTGGCTGAAAACCGAGTAATGACTCTGAAACAACCTGTTGGTGTCTGTGGTTTTATTACCCCTTGGAACTTCCCCGCAGCTATGATCACACGAAAGATTGGCCCTGCTCTCGCTGCAGGTTGTACTGTGGTTACAAAAACTCCAGGAGAGACCCCATTCACTGCCAACGCCTTAGCAGAGCTGGCTCACCGCGCGGGCATCCCCAAGGGCGTGGTCAATTTCGTCACTGCTTTGAATAACACTCCCGAAATTGGCGAGGTCATCACCACGCACCCCGATGTGCGCAAAGTCTCTTTCACCGGCTCCACCAATGTTGGAAGGTTGCTCATGAAGCAAGCTTCATCGACAATTAAGAAGGTATCTTGGGAACTCGGTGGAAACGCTCCGTTCATCGTCTTCGATGATGTCGAGGACCTTGATGCCGCCGTAGCAGGCGCCGTGGCCTCTAAGTTCCGAAGCTCCGGCCAAACCTGTGTCTGTGCCAACCGTATTTTTGTGCAGAAGGGTATCTACGATGAGTTCGTCAAGCGCTTTGTTGCCAAGGTTAAGGATTTCAAGGTTGGTGCCGGTTTTGAGGCAGGTATCACTCACGGCCCCGTGATCCACGACCGCGCCATTGAGAAGGTCGACGAGCATGTTCAGGACGCCGTTTCCAAGGGTGCCAAGCTTATGACCGGCGGCCAAAGACTCTCCTCTCTTGGACCTAATTTCTACGACCTTACCATTCTGGCTGAAATGACCAAGGACATGAAAATTGCCTCAGAAGAGACATTCGGTCCCGTGGCCGGATTGTTCCCCTTCGAGACCGAGAAGGAAGTTGTCGAACTAGCGAACAAGGCAGAGGTTGGTCTGGCCGGGTACTTCTTCAGCGGCAACGTCCAGCGTATCTTCCGTGTCGCTGAGGCTTTGGAGGTTGGTATGGTCGGCGTCAACACCGGTCTCATCAGTGATGTCGCTTCTCCGTCAGTTTACCCTCATCTTGATCCCCATTGTCACACTCCCCAGCGCTAATTTTATCTCATCAGATTCGGTGGCGTCAAGCAAAGTGGATTCGGCCGAGAGGGCAGCAGGTATGGAATTGACGAGTTCCTTGTGATTAAGAGTGTCACCTTTGGCGGAATGGGTGGACCTCTTCAGTCATGAGGTCATCATCCCTAATAATGAAATTAATTTATGTAACTATACACTTTGAAAGACTCTGATGATATGACTATATCACCAAATCCTGACCTCAAGACACCTATTCAATTGTTCCCACGAAGCCTAATGACCATGAATAAATTTCAACGAATCTGGAAAGGAAACGCTGAGGGAGACTCACCAGTTGTCGAGGCTATGAGGAGACGACTGTCGACCTGCCAGGCTCGATGTTCAGAGCCCAGGTTTCTTTCATTCAGTGGCATGTCCCCTAGAGCTCTTTGGCTGGGTCGTAAGGCAACATAGATGTGCAATGGTCACCATATATATGCGCAACCAATTTCAATTCACCTGATGAGTCCGTGGCCCTTAATGGAATCGCTCTCAAAACTCAGGTCAGCTATATACCAAGACAGCCGCTACGATGCGACACAAGGCAGAATCGCATGAATGGAGAGAAAGAAAACATTTCAAAGCTTGGGTCTAATTTACATACAAATAATACAACGTACAACATAAGCGCCGCAACCAACCCGTTGGTCATGTCCCATTTGAACCATAGAAAATGTCCAAGTATGCGAATGTCGAAATAAACCAAGGCTCTCCCCGATTTGCTGATCAGAGGAACAATCACTCTTATGTATCTATTTGCCCTGGCGTTGCTTGTGTTTCGGGTTCTTTGAGCTATAAGCAGTTCTATGATTCAGCCTCAATCACGACTATAACCGCGTATCACGGAGACCCCCCCCCAAAAAAAAGGATGCACTAACCAGATGATATACACTCTGTTCTTTCTCCGGACAGGCTAAAATTTATTCCAGATCAGCTTTTGATTCTCTATCCATGAAACTACTACACCTTGCGGAACAATATTCTCAAGGATATATATCCAAATTGCATTCAATTCACACACGCACACACGCACCTTGCACCCATCACATAGACGCTTCACTGATGACCTTGTCTTCATCCCGCGGATCTGTTCCAGCTGTCTCGCCACGGATCCTACACTACCAACAACGCCGACTTGGGGGTCGGAGCGACTTCCAGATCGCAGAAGACGGAGACCGTTGCTCAGGGTGAATCGTGGGAGTTGCGAGAACGATCGCGAGATGAAGGTACCGGATACGGAGGGACGGGGAAGGAATTGGCGCAGGAGGGCGGTCGAGGAACCGAAAACGGAGCGAAGAGATACCATGGTGGATGGAAAGAGTCCCAGGAATGCCTGGCGAGGAGTAAACAGATGGTTTCCGGCAGCAAGATGGGGTTGTTGCAGAGCCAAACCAGGAGAGTCTTTTTTGGGGGGGAATTCGGCGCGGGACGAAATGATATCCGGAGTTTCTGTATCGCCGACTCCGGAGACACGGAGCTATTTATTGGTGAGGAATACAACGTGGGATGGAACAAAAATCCCCGTTCATAATATTGATGATAATATTGATGATAATATTAATTTGATTACTCTCTATCTATGATTGCATCAAAACATACAAGAAGTGAAGGAGAAAACCCCGCCCTATGTCCAGTCCAAAACGCCAAAGAACTTGCTCTGTCCATTTGGAAATTGCACGGCTCGAAAAAAAAAAAAAAAAAAAAAAACAAGGCTTTTCTATAATTTGTCAACGACGAAGAAAGGTTTTATAGGTCTCGGACTCGGTCTCCTCGTTGAACGGGTACCCAAGGTCCTCCAAGAATGCCTCTAGGTCCTCCTTCTCGGATTCGGGGCACTGGATTCCCGCAAGGACCTTACCCACGTCTCCACCGTAGTTCCGGTAGTGGAAGAGCGAGATGTTCTGATTAGGGCGTAGCGTTCTCAAGAACTTCGCCAGCGCACCAGGTCGCTCCGGGAACTCGAACATAAATAAGCGCTCGTCCTTCACGTCGCTGCGTCCGCCAACCAAAAAGCGAACATGTCGTTTCGCAAGCTCATCATCACTAAGATCTCTAGGAGCCATGCCATCCTTCTCCAACTCAGCCATAGTCTTCGCAAGATCCTCCCGACCAGTCGATGCAGAGAGTGAGATCCCCATGAGGACGTCGGCAGACTGGTCGTCGGCATACCGGTAGTTGAATGCAGTCACTGCGTGAGGGAGAACAACCTCGACCAGCTTTGCAAAGGCGCCGGGCCTTTCAGGGATTTTCACGCTCAGGAGGGCTTCCTTTCGCTCCCCTAGAGCAGCACGCTCCGCAACAAAGCGCAGACGATCAAAGTCCATGTTGGCTCCAGATGTAACTGCAACCAGTTCACGGGTCGTATCGGGGCTAGGATACATCGCAACGTACTTCTTGAGACCCGCAAGAGCCAAAGCCCCCGCAGGCTCAATGACAGACCGTGTATCCTCAAATGCATCCTTAATGGCGGCACAAGTCTCATCGGTGGAAACCTGGATGATTTCGTCCACTACCTCGCGAGCAACGCGGTAGCATTCCGCGCCGACGGACTTGACCGCTGCGCCATCCGCAAAAAGACCGACTTCACTCAGCTGGACGCGAGAGCCCGCACCCAAGGACTGGGCCATCGCGTTTGCATCATGGGTTTCCACCCCAACCACTTTCACATGTGGTGCAATGCGCTTCAGGTAGACACCGATACCGGAGATAAGGCCTCCTCCACCAACCGCACAGAACACGGCCTCCAGCTTTTCCAGATTCGCCTGTCGCAGAATTTCCATTCCAATGGTTCCTTGCCCGGCGATCACATACGGGTCATCAAAAGGAGGGATGCTGGTTAGTCCATGCTGTTTCTCCAGTCGGTAAGCCTCTTCTTTGGCGGCATCGAAATCGTTCCCGTGGAGAACCACGCTACCACCGAGGCGGGCGACGTTCAAGTGTTTGATAGCAGGGGTGCCGGAGGGCATAACGATGGTTGCGGGGATCTTCAATTTGCGCGCAGAATAGGCGACACCTTGGGCGTGATTTCCTGTAGCAACCCATGAGACTCTATCTACCTCATGGAATCGTTGCGGAACATGGGAGAAGTCTCACCTGCGGAGCATGCAATAACACCTTTCCACCGCTGCTCGGGGGTCAAGTGAGCCATTTTGTTATAGGCCCCGCGAAGCTTAAAACTGAACACAGGGAGCAGGTCCTCTCGCTTGAGGAGCACTCGGCATTCCATGCGATTGCTTAGGTTCACAGCATGGTGGAGGGGAGACTCGTGAGTCACGTCGTAGACACGGGAGGTCAGGATCAAACGCAGGTACTGTTCTCATGAGCACCAGATTAGCGATCAAGGTTTAAAGGAAGGCAGATCAAATCTCTCACGTCTGGGTATCCATTTGGCAGAAGAAAGGCATCTGGGATATCCCAAGAAGGCGGGGGGGATTCCAGTTCCTTGCCTTCATCCCACTCCGATGTTGGGGTGGGGGTACCGGAGAACTCGGTCAAGGCCAAGTTGCTCAGCTTGGAGGAAATTGGTGTTGTCGCGCCATTTACAGAGTTTCTGTCGGACATTGTCAGGTCCCTGATTAGACGTGCACCCCGATATAATTTGTAATTCGCACAGACAGAGTCGACGTTGCAAAGAATCACAGAGAAGGATGAACCAAAATATGGCACACAATGTGAATGGTTTCTTTCAGTGGAGACAAGAAATTTCCGGGATCGGCGGCCAAATGTTTATGTCATCAACTTTTCATAACGTAATTCCTAGGTCATCCAGCCACCACAAGTTATCCAGCCACCCACCAAATTCTACCAATCATTGAAAAACTTGAAGCTATCCCTAACTACCAAAATATGTATATTTCTATTAATTCTAATTATTTAGACATGTAGGATATCTAATTCTAGTATAATCTTAAATATTATAATTAGAGCATGTTGGTGGAGCGCGTTTTGAACCTTCTAAAGATAGTATTCTAACTAATGCTGGGTCAATATTTTCACTAGTAGACCTATTATTTTGCCTATTTTATAATAAAATTAGATCTCTTGCTTCCTGTACTAAAATACTTTTATTAGAGATTATCTAGTATTTAGATTGATTTCTTTTTTACTTCTCCTTTATATTTTCCGACTGGAGTTTGTGAATTTCAGCTTCTATTAAAGTTATATTATAAATAGCAACTTTATATCCTTTAACTAACTGGTTAAATACTACTCTAGATATTATCTTAGAAGGCGAAGAAGGACTTTCAGATTAAATTTAAAGAGTTTTCTTAATAGAAGATGCCTTTTTATGTAACTAGTAAATAATATAAGGGGTTATAATAATAAAAGAGCTGGTAGATTCTCTATAACTTCTAGAAGGGGTAAGTATAGATAAGATATTTAATTTAGTAAGAATCCAGTAAGGATCCCATAGTAGTATTCCAGCTATAGTAAAGCTATTTTAAATATTTTAAGGTATAAAGACCTTCTGGTAAGCCTCTAGATAGATCTTTAGGAAGTCTAGTTTATTAATATGATTAGATTCTAGTCAGGTCTTTGCCTCTATTAAGCCCCTATATGCATGTTTTAATAGTCTAAAATAACCAACATCCAATAGTTGTAGAAGATGGGATGAATGGGGTAGTATATAGATAGCAATAATATTATTATTATTGCATATCTTATTAAAAGCAGGTATTAGATAACTTCCATAACTATTTAGAACTAGTAATTAATATTTTCTAACTATATGGCCTATAAAGGATAGGATAAAGACTTTTTAAAGTTATTAAAGACCTATTTCATCTATAGTCTAGCTATTAGTACTAACTTTAATCCTCTAATCTAATAGTAAAAGGTTTTCTTCAAACTATCCTTTAATATGGCGTTTTTGTCAGGGGGCAGAGTCGGATTCAGATATTCATTGACTAGGAGCTAACCAGACAGAACAGCAGAATAGTAGGTGTCAGGTAATAGACAGGACATAGCTCGAAGAGCTACAACAGGATCAAGGATAATATGGCTTAAATACAGGAATAAGGGTGGACAGTCAAGGCAGAATCTAACTAGATAGGTACTATAGCTTCGCGCTGTGATAGTACCCCCCTCCTTAGGGTTGAGCTCTGTTAAGACTAGGAAGGAATCAGCCAGGGTTTCTCAGGGTAATAGAGGTAATAATTATTTACTAGTTAGTAGGCATTCTCTAGATATTTAGCAGGCTCTTTAATTAGCTTGTTATATCTAATTTACTTAATAGTATATTATAGCTTAGGTTTGTTATAGCTTTAATAAACTTATTAGGAATTAAGGACTTCTTTAACTTTTTATTCTTCTAATTCTTCTACTTTAATAGGTAGTAGTAAATCAGGATATTAACTAGGTAAAGGGTTATTAGTAGTAGGGTAGAGTAAAGATATATTAAATATAGAATAGATTCTTATACTTTTAGGTAGTTTAAGTTTATAAGTATACAGGCTAATAATTCTCTTAATATAGTATAGCCTAAAGTTCTTCTAATCTAATTTCTTCTACAGGTAAAGTATTTAGATATTACAGGTATCTAGCTAAACTTCTTGCCCTATAGTATAGTAATATATAGGTTACCTTTAATAATTAGCTTATACTTTATAATAGGCTTAAATAGACAAGATCTTAATATAAATAAACTTATAAATCTTATATATAATATTAGTAAACTTCTTAGTATCTTTTTTAATAAAGTAAATAATAGGATAGCTTAGTTTAAATCTTAATATTAAGTAGAATCTATAATTAGTTATAAATAATAATACTCTTATAAACTTGGAGTAAATAAAATTAATAGTAAACTTAACTATTAATAGCTATTTAGACTAATTATCTTATAGGTATAATATATATACTTATAAGTATTATCCTAAGATAGTATTAATATATTTAATTTAGCTATTAATCTTAGAGTAATAAGTAATAAATAATAGGTTATAAATCTTTAAGCAGGATATTAGATATTTCTAGAAGGTAGTAATAAACTAGACTTTATAATCTAATATAATTATTTTAGGAATATTATAGAGCTTTTAAATATATTTAAGATATAGATTAACTACTCCTTTAATATTAATTATTCTAGTATAGGGGAGGAAGTACTTTATCTTTATTAGATAATTAATTATAACTAGAATAGTATTATAGTTATTACTTAGTAATAAGTATATAATAAAGTCTATATTTATATCTTACCAGGTATATTTAGAAATTAGTAAAGATCTTAATACTCCTTACTTTACTTCTTAAAAAGGAGTAATTTAGTAATAAAGATAATAGTTCTAGATTTATTAGTTAATATACTTATAAATCCCAGGCTAAAAGTATTTATATAATATTAGTTTATATATCTTAGTTCTTCTAGAATATCTAGTAGCAGGATTTTTATAATAAAGTTTTAATATTTTAGCTTTTATTTTATTATAATTAGGCATGTAAAGTTAGTCTTAGTATCTTAGGTATAGACTAATATATTTATAATTAGTTAATATAATATTAGGATATCTTAGTAAACTATTCTTTAAGATATTTAAAATAGACTAGAGCTTCTTATCTTATAAATAAGCTTTATTAAATAGTAATTATAGTATTAGTAGTAAGGAGATTAGTTTATTAGTAGTAGGTTATTTAATAAAGTATACTTAGTATTAATTATTAATATTTAATTTTAAATTAGTAATAATCTTAGGTAGTAGGTTTTTAGATTTTAGGATAGTCTAGCTCTAGTAAAGAAATTATTTATTCCCTTCCTTAAGCAGGTCCTCTAACCTCTTGATTAGTATATTAAGCTTAATACCTAACTTCTTAGAGTAGTAATATATTTAGAAGTTAAATCTTAATAGAAATTTAGACTAGCAGGCTTGTTAATAATTTAATAACTTAGTTAATATAAAATACTCTAGGTTCTAGTAATTTATAATAACCTTTATAAATAATAAAGTCCCTTCTAATTTAGAATACTATTCTTTAAAATAATAAATAATAGTTAATAATTTTTTATTATAAATCTTATAATTATATTTTATTATAGAATATTTTTTAGAGAAAAATATAATAAGGTATAATATATTTTTATTATTATATTAAAATAGTATTTTAGTAAATATATAATTAGAGATATTAGTTTCTAGAATTATATTTTTTAACTAGTTAAAAAATTTTAGTATTAGAGTATTTATAAAAATAGCTTTTAATTATTTAAATATTTCTTAATAAATAAGTATCTAGTTAAAGTTAATATCCTTCTTAATTAGGTTAACTAATAGTCTAATAATTTTTAAAAAATTATAGATAAATTAGTAGTAAAAGTTCCTAAAGTTAATAAAGGCTTAAATATTAGTTAGATAGGTTAGTATTTTTTACTTAATAATTATTTTTACTTTATTAGAGTCTATTTAGAAGCTATCTTTACTTATAATTAGTTCTAGGAACTTTATCTTATATATAAAGAATTTATATTTACTAAATTTAGTATAAAGTCCTATTACTTATAGGTATTCTAATACTTATTAAATATAATAGATATATTTAGTATAGATTTAGCTATAAATTAGAATATTATCTAGATATATAGTATAAAAGATATCTAGATAATTATATAAGGCTTTATTAATAAATCTCTAAAATAATACTAGAGCTCTAGTAAGCCTAAATAATATTATTAAGAATTTAAATAGACCTAATTAAGTTTAAAAGATAGTAAGATATTCTTATCCTTTTTTAATCTATAGATTATTAAAAGTAGAAATAATATTAATTTTTAAGAAATATTTTATCCTTTTTAAGTTATTTAGTATCTTTTTTATTAGTAGTAGCAGGTAATAATCTTTTATAATAATTATATTTAGGGCTTAGTAGTCTATATAAAATTACAGGCCTCCTCTAGGTTTCTTTATAAATAGGATAGGAGACATAGTAGAAGAGGAACTAGGGTAAATAAAATCTTTTCTTAAATTTTTTTTAATTTATTTCTTTAGAATTTTTAGTTTATCTTGGAATATATTATATAGGTTTCTAAAAAATAGGATTTTTTTAGGTAGTAGTTTAATCTTATAATTATTAGATTAGTAGAGTAGCAGGTGCTTGGCCTTCTTTAGTAAGAATATATTATAGAACTTAATAAACTTAGGGGGTAGTTACTCTTGCAGCTTAGATTTAGTAATAATAATAGGGTTTAAAGTGGCTTTAATATTAGTAATAATAGTAGTAAATATCTAGTATCCATGGTAGGTATATATAATACAGGCAGTAACTAAAACTCTAGTAATATCTTAGTTCTTTAGAGATTTAGGGCAGGGGTTAAGGCATTAGAGAGAAATTTTTAGTAATATATTATATAATATTAAAATCTTTATAAGCTTTAAAAGCATATTATAGTGCTTCCTATAATAAGGGCTTTTAAATAAAATAATATAATTAATAAATCTAATCTAGAGATTATAAGTCTTTAACTAAGGTAAGCTAAAAATAATAGAAAAGTATATAAGTTAGGTTATAAGAAAAGTAATATCCTTTTTAATATAATTATAGATTTTTTAAGTTAAATAAATAAAATAAGTAATATTACTAGATTTTACTAGAGTACTATTAAATTCTTTTAGTAGGATAGGATTCTTTAATAATAATATTTTTAGTTAATTATTTATAGCCTAATTATAATCTATAAAATATTTATCCTTAGCTCTAGAATTAATTATAGTAAAGATTAATAGAATCTTATTAAGGGTCTCTAGATTAATAAGTAAAATTATTAATTTAGATTAATAACTTTCTTTCTCTACTATTATTCCAGCTATCGCAGCCTTTAATAGGTAGAGGGAGTACTAGAGGTATCCCTAATCATAACTTAGATTAGGGACACTCTATTTTCTAATTTAGGGGACACAGGGTATTTAGCAGGCAGGGTTCTAGTTAATAAGGAATACAGGTCTAGTTTAGCAGTAAATATAGAGGTATGGCTGGTTGGTCTTTAGTCAGGGTACAGGCAGCTACCTACTAGGTAGTTAGTGCCGCCATAGTGGTAACACAGGCATTAAATTTAATAATTAGGGTAATAAGTAATAGACAGGTCTATTAGATCTTTAGTAGGAGTAGTAGTAATAATAGAATTAACAGGGACTACAGGAATTTAGGTAGCAGGAGTTAGCTTTAAAATAGGTTAAAGAGGCTAGAAATTCTTTATAGATAAGGGTAGGATAGTACTTATATAATAATAGTAGTAATTTTCTAGATTTTATAAGTAATTAATAAAGTTATAATATTATAATAAGGCCTTAAAGTATATTAATATTTTTTAAAGTTCTTAGCTAATAGCCTATTCTAGAATTATAGGTAAGATATCTTTATTTATATTTTCTTCTAATATAAGATATTAGAATTTAGTAAAAAAGATATTAAACTTATAGTAAATTTATTAGAGGTAAAACAAGTTAGTATAAATATTAGCTTTTAGATTTAGATCTCTAAAAACTTTTTCTAGGATTTCTAAAATCTTAGTATAATTACTTAATTTATAGATTCTATCTTAAATATATAATAAGATTTAGGCATATAAAGTTTCTTTAAGATAATTAGTTATATAAGCTATTCTACTATTTAAGGTTAAGAAATAATTAAGGTTTATAGTTATTTTCTAGTAGATTTAAGAAGTAAAGTATCTTAAGTTACTTTATTAGCTATTAAACTTATTAAGATTAGGAAATTATTTAAAAGTTTAAGTAATAGAAATAGATATAGTAAGAGTAGTAGTAATAATAAAGGGAGTAGTAATATTAGTATCTTTTTTAGAAGGAGATAATAATTAAGAAGGCATACTATTCTAAGTAAGTACTTTAAATAGCTCTTATTAGATTTCTTTAGCTTATATCTTCTAGTACTTAATTATATTATTTTTCTATTAAATATAGTCAAGAAGATTAGTAATAGTAGAGTATAAGATAAATAATTTATAGAATTCTTCTATAATAATAGTAAAGAACTAGTATATCTTGGTAATATATTATCTTAATTTATTAAGGGTATTATACAGGAGGGTTTCTATACCTTTAGATAGCATGGGTAGCAAGGCAGGCATAACAGCAGTAATTAACTCCTAATAGAGAGGAGCTATATAATATCAGGAAGTAGAGTTAGATTTAGATATTTATTAACTAGGAGCTAACTAGATAGAACAGTAGAATAGTAGGTATTAGGTAATAAATAGGACATAGCTTAAAGAGCTATAACAGGATCAAGGATAATGTGGCTTAAATACAGGAATAAGGGCGGACAGTCAAGGCAGAATCTAACTAGATAGGTACTACGGCTTCGCGCCGTGACAGTTTTCCTTTAAAAATAATATATAAAGGTAAATTCCAACCTCTTATATTAATATATTTAATAGTAGTAACCTATTCTTAATTACCTGGTTAGATAAGATAAGGTCTTCCAGGCATACTAGATCTAGCAATTACTCTAGTAGTTGCTATTAGACCTATTGCAAAGCTAGTTTTATTAAAATTATAAATATCTTTATTAGTAATACTATATTGTAATCAGGTAGCTTGTAATTAATTAAACTATTAGTTTAATGCCTTTAAATCTTTATATTTAGCTTGTTAGTAATTATATTTTCTTGTAAATTAACTTTTAATTAAATCATGGCGTGCAATAAAATTTGTTGCCTAGTTTTTTCTAATTAGTAGTTAGGTAGTTAAACTACCTGATTAAAGCAAGATATAAGCTATTTCTACTATATATATTGGTCTAGGAGCAACTTCATGCTTATCTCTAGATATAATCTATTCTAATAAAGTATCCTTCTAGATTTTAGATAGCTGGAGATTATGGTTGTAGAGTTCTACTTAATATTAGTGACTATATAGGTAATTAGTTAAGGTAGATCAAGGCACGTTATAAATAATAGCTGTATGATAAATACTTAGAATTTCGCCATTTTTAAAGGCTTGGATAGCAAGCTAGATCCTATCCTCTTGCTCTACCAAGTTTCAAGTTAATTAACATGCTTTTAGTGGCATGGTGATGGTTTGAATAGTAACATGTAATTAAATGCGTGAAAATTTGGTGGGTAGCTGGATGACTTGTGGTGGCTGGATGACCTAGGAATTACGTTAACTACAATCAGTTGATTACTTGATGAAGTACCCATTTCCAGGGCCAGTTTACCACTGAAGATTCTGACAATTGATAAATACATATGATTATTCTGTTTTTGATCTGTTTTTGGGGGGGTTAATAGGGTTCATTGGTGGCTTCTTTCTTGTCGAATATTGTTGACATACAACCCATGTGGTTGTGATGGTATATATATATACGTTTTGTTAGAGATGATGTTAGATAAAGTGTCTATTAAGAATAGTATACAAAATAGTACCCTATCATCTTATAAACGATACATTTATATATATATAAGGTATATATATATATATATAAAAATACTGGAGAGACTGATCTTGTCAATGAAGATATACATATCTTGGCGTTATATAGACTGTATCATACGGTATGTTACGAAAATCGTACGACCACCGGAGAAGGTTGACTCCGACGTCATGAACCACTGAAGAAAAGGCCTTTCAAACTACACACTCCACTTCAGAGATTGTTATCTGAATTATCTTGGTGGCCTCCCAAACAATGAGTGACGAGCCTCTTCCATCCTCCTTCGAGGGTAACCCGTACGTACCGCAATCCTAATCCCAAGCTCCGATGCAAAATGAGGGTCTACTGACAGCCTTCTCAATTCCAGTCAATTTGAGGAAGAAACTCCCCTGCAGAAATTCCGCAGAAGGTTCAAGGAGGAACCATTGATCCCCCTGGGTAAGTGAACCGGCGCGGAAAAAGCGAGTAACAAAGTGGGCAGGTCATCTGGGTAGGATCGTTTCTAACTCGCCTTTGGATTTCAGGATGCGCCGCTACCTGCTATGCCCTTTACCGTGCCTACCGCTCCATGAAGGCCGGGGACTCTGTCGAAATGAATCGCATGTTTCGTGCCCGTATTTACGCCCAAGCCTTTACCCTAGTCGCCGTGGTGGCGGGAGGAATGTACTTCAAAACAGAGCGACAGCAGCGCAAGGAGTTTGAGCAGATAGTGGAGGCGCGGAAGAGTGAGGAGAAGCGGGATGCCTGGCTACGTGAGCTCGAAATCCGTGACAAAGAAGACAAGGAATGGAGAGAACGCCATGCTGCTATTGAGGCGGCAGCCAACGAGGCGGCCGGCAAGAAACCAACTCCTCCACAGGCGCAGGCGCCCGAGCAGGATGCTGCTCGCTCTGCTATTGAACCATCTGAACAAAAGTCGATCGGGGTACTAGATGCCGTGATAGAACTGATCTCAAGGCAGAAGTAAAACCAGGATATTCTTTGGACTGCCAATATATGTATTTTAAATTTTTTTTTTCTTCTCTCCTCTATTGGGTTTGGGTGCATATGATTGTAAATATAGCTTAAATTGTTATACATTTACCATTAATTTGCCTTCGTGCTGGAGTCATGGCTGTTTTAAGATCCTCCCCACCCTGACTGCAACACCATGCTGGCCTCACTAGGTAGCACACAAGAATTCAGAGCTCCTTAAAAGCAAGAATGATCAAAAAGGGCCTCTCAGGTAACCAGTTCAGAGTAACGGAACTATTCTCGATTTTTGTGTTTTTTGGGGGGGGAAGGTTACTGGTGAACTGAATAGTTCTAGCCCGCGGCTTGTTCGTCAATATATCGCTTCATCATCTCAAATTCCGACTTCCCTGTCTGACTAAATCAGAAAAATAGATCACGCCAACGGGATACTTGCGTCGTTTCTTACCGAAAGCAGGTACCGGATATGTTGCTGTGAAACTCGGTCAGCAATGCGAGAGCCGATTTGTATCATATCCGAGAAACTAACCAGATCTGTTACATTTCGATGACGCTCAAACTCATGGCGAGCATAATCCCGTAGCTCATCTCGAGTTGGCGACTTTGGGATTTCTTCCGAGACATTTAGTTGATCGCCTGTCGATAATGGGCTCCAAGGGGACATGGGGTACTAACTGTACAGCGACCTCACAATTTCACGCCAGAAGCTAATAACACGCTGTCTTTGAATGAACTATATGTGGGTTAGCATGCGATGAATTTTGTCTGGATCAAATTCCTACCAACTCACATGGTCGAGACTGATAGTTGGTTTCCTGAGTTTTGATGGCCGGGTGGGTGAGACAGCGGCGAGCAGTCGGACAGAAGAACGCATCTGGCCGGAGTCATACCACAATCAATATATCTAGGTAGCTAATATGATCCAGCGACCATTGAATTACCCCGGCCAGGTACCGGTAATCGTGAGGTTGTAGAATTATCTCGAGATCGATAGATAGTTTTTGCTATGGTTGGTTGATGCCCTTGGATTGAAGGCGGTGGGGTGGTGGTTTGGTCACAGAACGGTCATTTACAGTATTGTCATTACATGTTGTATTGAATTTTTGTCTATGGGAAGTGTACATAGTTTTTCATTCTCCGTAACTGGCAATGTGAGGATTCTGATGGGTTTCATTAGAATATAGTATAGTTATATATGGCTTGAATGATAATTCCCCCCCCCCCCCCAATTTATTCATTTTTTTGTTCTGCTTGAAAATAATACCGTGCCTCTGCTTGGTCCCGATCAATAGCACTCACGTGATGGTTCCTGATTGCCCAAACTTTTTTTTTTCGGGGCAAAAAGGAAACCCGGAGATTCCTGTGCCTGGAGGGTGAAGAACTCATCAGCATTTGCTCAATTCCAGTGCAGTTCGGACAACGGCTATGAGGTGTCCTTCTCTTGCGCGGTTACCACACCGTGCTGTGTCCGGATTGACCAGATCCCCTGTTCGAATCCAGTCTCAGAGTCTCTTGTCGAAACGATGCGCGTCAACTGTCGCTCTCCGCGCACCCGTTGCCAGTCCAGTGCACCGGTCGATTCTGAATAGACACTATCAGCAAAGAAGGAATGCATCAGCCACGGCTTCCGCTGTGTGAGTAGAGCCAGGATTTTGTCTCTTCTACTGTTTTTACCTGCGTCCTAACATGTTTATTTTCTTTCTTCCCTTAGCTTGGAAGCTGCCGCATCCACTCCCGAGAGTTTGTCCCAGGAGGCAATCATTGAAAACCTTGACCCTGTAGAAGCGGAAAGGTTATCCAGAGCCAGGAACATTGGTATTGCTGTACGTTCCTAAGATGCCCTGTATGAAGTGAATGTTGACTAACCTGCATCTTTTTTTTCACTAGGCGCATATCGACAGCGGTAAGACTACATGTACCGAAAGAGTCCTCTTCTACACGGGTCGTATCAAGGCGATCCACGAAGTTCGCGGCCGGGACAATGTCGGAGCAAAGATGGATTCCATGGACCTGGAACGTGAAAAGGGAATCACCATTCAATCTGCGGCTACGTTTTGTGACTGGGTGAAGAAGGATGATGATGGCAAGGAACAGAAGTACCATATTAACTTGATCGACACCCCCGGACACATCGACTTCACCATTGAAGTCGAGCGAGCGCTGCGCGTTCTAGATGGAGCGGTCATGATTCTCTGTGCCGTCTCGGGTGTCCAGTCACAAACTATTACTGTGGATCGACAAATGAGACGATACAATGTCCCCAGAATTTCCTTTGTGAACAAGATGGATCGTATGGGCGCCAATCCTTTCAAGGCTATCGACCAAATTAACTCGAAACTCAAGATACCTGCTGCAGCTGTTCAGGTGCCGATTGGCGCTGAAGATGAGTTCGAGGGTGTAGTCGATTTAATTCGCATGAAATCTTTGTACAATGTCGGCGAGAGCGGCGAAGATATCCTTATCAAAGATGAGATCCCAGAGAGAGTGAAGGCAATGGTGGAGGAGAGGAGAAGAATGCTGATTGAAACACTCGCCGATGTTGACGACGAAATGGCGGAGATGTTCCTCAGCGAGATCGAGCCCACTGAGCACCAACTGAAGCAGGCTATTCGACGGGCGACCATTGGATTGAAGTTCACCCCTGTTTTCATGGGCTCTGCGCTGGCTAACAAGTCGGTGCAACCTATGTTGGATGGTGTCATTGATTATCTCCCCAACCCGGCTGAGGTGGAAAACCTTGCCCTCGACAAGAAGCGCAATGAGGCCTCAGTCAAGCTTGTTCCTTACAACTCCCTCCCATTGGTCTGCCTTGCCTTCAAGCTGGAAGAGAGCAACTTCGGACAGTTGACATACATCCGTGTGTATCAAGGAACTCTACGCAAGAGTGCTAATGTGTTCAATGCGCGCACTGACAAGAAGGTCAAGATCCCTCGCATTGTCCGTATGCACTCGAATGAGATGGAGGATGTTACTGAGATTGGTTCGGGTGAGATCTGTGCTGTGTTCGGAGTTGATTGCGCCTCCGGTGATACCTTCACTGATGGACAGCTGGGCTACACCATGTCGTCCATGTTTGTTCCGGAGCCGGTCATTTCGCTTTCTATTAAGCCTAAGAACAACAAGGATGCGGCCAACTTTTCTAAGGCTATGGCACGCTTCCAAAGAGAAGATCCCACTTTCCGCGTGACCTATGACACCGAAAGTGAGCAAACGCTGATTTCTGGAATGGGTGAATTGCACCTCGATATTTATATTGAACGTATGCGTCGTGAGTACCGCGTCGACTGCGAGACTGGCCCGCCTCAGGTTGCCTACAGAGAAACCATTGGCCACCGTGTTGAGTTCGACCATCTGCTCAAGAAACAATCGGGAGGTCCTGGTGACTATGCCCGTGTTGTTGGCTGGATGGAGCCCACTGATAAACTTGAGGAAAATAACTTCGAAGAACAGATTGTTGGTGGAAGTATTTCCGAGAAATTCCTCTTTGCTTGCGAGAAAGGGTTCAACCTTGCATGCGACAAGGGTCCCCTGATTGGCCATAAGGTACTTGGGACGAGGATGGTTATCAACGACGGTGCTACCCACATGACGGATTCGTCTGAAATGTCGTTCAAGAACGCTACTCAGCAGGCCTTCCGTAAGGCTTTCATGGAGAGCAATCCTTCCGTGCTTGAGCCTATGATGAAGACTGTCGTCACTGCGCCTTCTGAGTTCCAGGGTGATGTTATTGCTCTGTTGAACAAGCGCAATGCTACGATCAATGACTCAGAAGTTGGCGTTGATGAATTCACTGTCTATGCTGACTGCAGTCTGAATGGCATGTTTGGCTTCAGTACCCATCTGCGTGCGGCTACACAGGGTAAGGGCGAGTATACCATGGAGTTCAGCCATTATGAAAAGGCGCCACCTCAACAACAGTACGCCCGCCCCCCTTCCCCCTAATTTTTGCGGTTGCTACCTATACTAATCCGCGTCTGAATTTAATAGGAAGGAACTTGTCCAGAAATACCTGAAGGCTCAGGCTGACAGACACAAGAAATAATAAGCTAGAAGAGATTCGTTCTCGCCCGTCTTCTTCGTCCCGAGAATAAGTGGCGAAACTCCCTTTTTTTTTTTTTTTTTTTTGTCCCTTCTCTACTTCTTCCAAATACTTTGGGACAGTGTATTATTTACTTGCAATATAGACCAACCCTGTGGGATTGTTTTCTTATTCAACTTTTTTGGTCTTTATTTTTCGAGCTTCAAAATCGGCGCCAATTGTCTTGTGGCGGATCCGACAATATTATCATCATCCACGGAGTAGGTAAAAACAGGGATATCCAGTTTGCACATTGTACATATTACTCTCATGATCGCTATATCTCCTCTCATAAACTGACTGTGGCTTATAAATAATCAAGAAACCGGGCCGGCCCCGATAGAAATGTAAGCTTGCGAGTGGAGTTGTTTGTTTCCCCGAATTGTTAAAAACTGGAGATATCTATTCTCCCTATACATGTCTTTAGGTGCCAAAATCGTACGATTAGAAAACATGCCGCGTGCTGAGACACTTACCGACTGAAGGGTATGCAGTCATCAGGCTCCATCACTCTTCAAAAGCCCTCAGCACTGCCAGGGCGGCGGCGGAAAAGGTCGCTACCAGATTGTGACCTGTCGAGAACCATCTAAGTTAACCTGACTACCGCGCCCGATGCTGGATCAACATACCTCCAAAGCCAACACGTTCCCATCTCACTCGTTTGACGGCACCGCTGTCGCCGGACTGGTACTCCCAGATCCTAAGCTCATTAGGACCACTGTGATCTTTCTTTTCGTACACCAGGGCGCCAGGAGCGTCTTTCTGCTTTTCGCCCGTTGCGGCAGCCCAAACACGATGTCCTTCGTACCAGGGGATTTCGTAATCATCCCAGGCGTGTAGAATAGCCAAGTTCAAGCCCTTGGTCGCATAGGCTGGGTTGATATCCGCAGTATTATTTACGCCTGTGAGCCTTGCGACTCGAGCGGCGGTGTTCCAGTGGTCGAGAATATGGCTTCTCACCCAGTTCTGGAAGCGAGGGTAGCCACGCAGTGGAGAGAGCATGGGCGGGGTAATTCCTTTCAAGCTGTAGGATTCAATGAGGCTGGGCACGTTGCTAAAGGCTGCGAGGAGGATTACTCCGGCGAAAGGCTCTGGGTCTTTGATGGCGGGCTGAACCGCGGTTGGATCCGGTGAGCCAAGGGCGAAGCGCTCTGCTACTGCTGCAGTTACGGCTGTTCCAAGACTCTGGCCAACGAGCACAATCCGAGAAGGAGGAATGTTCAACGGGTGGGAAGTCAGAAAGTTCAGGAGAGACACGCCGTCTGTGATCAGGCCATCTTCTGTAGGGGTACCGGTGGAAATACCGAACCCGCGGTAATCGATGGCGAATACATGGATGGGGGTTGAAGGGGATGATAGACCCAGAAGCATACGATATGACTCGGGCCGCTGGGCGGAGCCTAGATGAGCGGCATTGCCGTGAACTGGATGGACCACATTGCATGCAGGTCAGTCACGTAGAACACACAATCCCTAGTTATTTCTAGGACTTACAGCTGACAACCACCCGCGCGTTGGGGTCATTGGCTAAGAGTCTAAATGCAGTACTTGCCGTGTACTCATCCGCGGGGCCAGTCGGCTCGTTGGCATTCAGCTCGGCCTCATGTTCCCGGCAAAGATGCAGAGGCAGGATGTGCCATCCGTAAAGCGTTTCATTATCAGGGGTGACTAAATTGAACGGTTGAATCTGGGTCTCTGCTCAGGTCAACAACTCCTTCGGACTAGGGCTTGCATGAGAGAAACCTGGGAGCATACTTAGGAACCCAAACGACTCTACCGCATTGACGTCCTGCCACACGGCTGGGTTAACTTTGTTGGCATATAGTGCCCTATTGCCGAAGAATCCCGAATCAGAAAACAGTCATCCAAGCTACATATGATACAAGAGATAAAAGGACTATTCATGTACCATCTTTGGACTGTCGGGTAAGTTAGAGAACATATGATGCCCACATAGATAAGCCCGGCAGCGGCTAGGGACCAGTAGGCCTTTTGGAATATAGGCTTGAGCTCGACCATGGCTGATTTCTGTGCAAAATAAGGGATCAGTATACCGACAAGTGTAGAAATAGAATGGGGGGTTTTCTTGTTCCACTGGGGATGATTGTAGATACCTACTAGAAGCTGAAGGTGTAGGTAGGTGAAGTGACTTGAAAGCGAATTACTGCAAGTGGAGCGTCATGAGATTCAAAAGAGGCACACAAATGGTGCAGCAAGACCCAATACACACAATCAAGAACACAGAGGATGCAGCAAAGACCAGGCGAGAGAAGTTGTCGAGAGTGTAATTATTCCAGTCCAGTTGTTGACCGTTTCGGGGTTCCCGCACTGCCTGAGGCTGCAAGGCCCACCAGGCCTCCTTTTTTTTGGAATCTTTCCAACTCTCTCTCTCTCTCTCTCCCTCGTCATCGTGCAGCATTCATCCATACCCTCGATCGCTCCCCAGAATCACTTATATCGACGTATTCTATAATTACTCCCCGTGACTCGCCATCATGGCTGAGAAACGCAGACTTTCCGCGCGTGAACGTCGCGAACCGGCGGCCAAACGTCGAGTCTCCGAAGCTGCATCTCAAGCATCAGCTTCATCGCAAGCCCAACAATCCTCCAAGAAAAAGGCTTCAACCCCTGTCGTCGCCCCATCTCCAGCTCTCACCACTCAGCCAACGCCTGAGATTGTCGAACCTCCCCTTCCGACTAAGATAAAGGATGGAGAAGCTCTCCCAATTCTCCCTTTGCCGCAGCCCGCAGACCTCTCGCCCAAGGAATACCAGTCAATTACAGAAAGGTGCGGCACCGTCCTTCACGTGAGGAAGCACGTCTGCTGGGAGTCGTGGTTGTTTTAGACGTAACTAATGAAGTTGCAGTGCTGTTCTTCTCGCCGCCTTGGAGCGATCGAAGAAGAAATGGCTGAGTGACGGTATCCTCGAACGATATTGGACCAAACCTAAGAAGACTAAGCGGGAGCAAATTGAGGGCAAGAATCCGCCAAAGGAGACGATGTCCAAGGTGGGACCGTGCAACATCGTGGTGGGACCTCATCTTTTCGATGCCATGCTCTACACAGTCAAAGACCCCAACGCGCCGCCTCCAGTTCAATACACGCCGCCCCAACGCCCCATGGTTCACTATGGTCACCCGAATAACTTCCAGCAATACCACCCTTACCCTCACCCTTCGAATTCCGCCCAGAACGCGCGGCCGCACCCTTCCCATGCTACTCCTGCCACTCCATCGCCGTCCCAACAAGGTTACCAGCAAGGCAGTCGCCCGCCACCTCCACAACCCGGTAGAACCCCTAACAATCAAGCTGCTCATCGTCCATCTGGGTCTCAATCCGCACAACGGCCGTCCGCACCTCACCACCCTTCGCCTCATCCACCCAAACCAAACCCCGATCCAGTCATTCAAATGCTTGCAACCCGAGCCGCTCAAGATCCGGAGCTGAAAGCCTTGATGAGACTCGTAGCCTCGACCAATGCAACGCAAGAACAGTTACGAACCTTCCAAGCGCATATCGATGAATTAAATGCTATCATCCGAGCACGTGAACAGCAGCAACGCCGACAACAGCAATCATCTCAACCACCCACTCCTAATTCAGCCCCACAACCTCCTCAAACGCCACAGCCAACAGTCCAAATACAGCAGCAGCATCCACAACCACAGTCCCAGAAACCCCAGTCACAGACGCAACCACCATCGCAACCCCTGCAGCCACCAGTGCAAGAGTCACCCCTCCAACAACCGCATCCAAAACCGCAAATAGTTATTTCTACCCCACGGCCGCAACCCCAGAGACCCGCGCAAAAATTGCCACGCGTGGAGGTACAGATTTCCAAACAACCTCAGCCAACAACTTCCACTCCCCAGAGCTCGAACGATAGCTCAGCGAAATCCCATTCTTTCTCCACACAGCCTCCAACCACAACGCCGCAGATTAAGCAAGAGCCTGGCACAGACACAGCTAACCACACAGCACCATTATCCCAAATATCAACGCCCAGTGCCGGCCCCAGTCCGGCGCCGGTTACAGATTCACATGCCAACCCCAAGCAGCAGAGTTCTGCGGTACAGACGGTGCCTCCTCCCCAGCAGCAACAGCAGGCAGGACAAAGACAAGGACCTCAATATCCACCTTACCAGCAACCAGCATATCAAAGCCAGGCGCCTGCAATCCAATCTCGCCCCCCACAGTATGGATCTCCAGCTCCATATTACCGGGCAACTCCTCCGCGCCCTCCGCCTCCTCCGAGGCTCAATTACAAATCAGTTGTCTTTGAGTTTACATCTCCACTGACACCCTATGGAAGCAGTACCTCCGGTCACGCAGGCTCCGGAGACCGTTATCTGTTCCCGGAGAACTCAATTTTGGAATGGCTCCCTGGTGGAACTACAGTCCTTGCTTCTTTTTTGCTTGTGCGGAAGGTGGATCCAAATACCCCCTTCCCCATAGAAATGGCTCCCGAAGCGGCAAACTCTCGCGTCAAGGGGAAGTCGGCTTCTAGGTCGAAAAAGGGAGATAAAGGCAAGGCTAAGACTGAAGGGGGTCAACCGGAGAAAGATCAAGTTAAAGACGGCGGAACCATTGGCAAAGCGGCGGAGGGTCACCCCGAGTCTTCATCAAGGAAGGATGCTCCCACCTCAAATTCAAAGGAAGCGGGCCCCAAGGAAGAAAAAGAGGCAGAGGGCAAGGGTGACCAGAAACTACAACCCGCAACCGTAACCAAGCCTGCGGTGGAGAATCCGAAAGGCAAAGAAAAAGTGGACGAGAAGAAAGATGACTCCAATTTGAAGGAGTACTACCAGCTCGTCACATTTCGAATTTACAGTACTAATCCGAAGGTTCTTGAACCATTGGGTCGGGTTGTGAACCCCCCCGACGAAGTGCGGAAGTACATGAATGAAATCATGGACCGGGCGGAGCGAGCCCCTGAAGGATTCCTAGCATACCAACTTCCTCGAGAACTGCCAGCGGAAGTAAGCGACCTGGAGAATGACAAGAAAGGCGGCACACCTGTGCCCGGTTTAAACGCTGGTGCACGTAGCAAGCTTTCCCGGGGTAGAACAATCGGGGCAGATTCGGACGCCGAGAATACGCAGGCACATATCGACGAAGAGGAGGAGGGGGGGGAAGAAGAAGTGGAAGAAGAAGAAGAAGAGGGGGAAGAGGAGGAGTTGAGAGATTTCTACGGGCCGCCGACTGCGCTGCCCCCAATAGGTGTATGATGGCATTCATTTCATGTATATTAATTCGTTCTCCTCGCTCCGGAATAAAGCTCCTCAAATACTCAACTCACTCTCCTGACCCGTCGCGGGTACTTCCTTGAACCCATACTATACTGCATTATACTAATACTAAAGATCCGTGTAAAACAAACAACGCCGTAGGATATATAAACATGATGAGCGGAGTCGTCATCAGCATCATTATATAGAAAACCAAGCCAGGCCTCTCTATCTACTCTATAGTTATCCCCCCCCCCCCCGGCTTCCTAGTCCGTCCAAACCTGCTTGACAAACATCCGCCGGGTTAATCGAGAACCACCATCACCCATACATAATAATAATAATATCTCTCTCTCTCTCTCTCTCTCTCTCTCTAGAGGGAACCGGATTAAACACTCCCCCCGGCCCGTCCGCCATTATCACCGATCAGCCCAGCAGTCTCCAACAACCACCGAGCACTTTCAGCGGCCGAATCCCCCGCGCCAGCCTTGAGATTCAGGTTACGTCTCCTCTCTGCTTCTTGGGCTTCGAATTCCCATTTCGCTTGCTGAATTTCAACGGCGCTTTGCCCCTGCTCCGAAGCTGGGACTTCCGGGTCAGGAACCAACCCCCAGATCTCTAGGGTGTAGATGTCAATGTGAGTTTTGGTTGCGGGATCTGTGGCTACCGCGGTACCAGAGGGTAAGAAGACACCGTCGTGGCCGATGGGGGAGACGTGGAAGTTTGCTGTCTCAAGACTCACGTCGATTGTAAGGCTGGCTGCGCCGTGCGGGGAGGGGACTAGTTTCTGGGATCGGGATTGCGGTGGGATTTGGCATCCAATTGAGATGCCGGAGTGAGGGGAGAAGTAAGCGGGTGGGGTGTTGGGTTTTTGGGCGGAGGTTGAAGGGTTCCCGGGTAGAAGAAGGTGCTTTGGAGAAAGTTGGAATAGGCATGGGAGAGCAGAATTGGAGAATTTGGCGGAGTCGTGACTGGTGATCGCGGATTTCCAGGGCTGCGGCAGATGTGCGCCTATGGTGACCATTTCGCCTGTCTGAGTGTTGGACCCCTGGAGGAGAAGTAGAGTTCCTGACTGCCAGGTGAGGACGTTGTGGGAGAACGACGTGAGAGAGGAGCCATGTGCGGCGGTTGAGAATACGGGATGGAGGCGAACTTTGCTACGAAGAAGGTTGAGATTCGTTGGCGGGGAAGACAGAAAGAAAGAGAGGTGCGCTATGACGCTTGAGTTCAGGATCGTTGACTCAAAGCTGCCTGCGAGCATGATTGATAGAGGGGAGGGCTGGGGCACCTCCCCAGATTCTGTGATTGGAGTCTGCAAAGGGTCACTTTCGCGCTTTTGCGACAAGTCTAAGTTTTTGCTGAAAAGAAGGTGCTCGAAAAGGGGCGTTAATGGATCGAAGAGATATGGAAATGATGTGGCAATTGTAGTTGCAAAAGTCTTATAGCCGATTCCTCCCGATGGCTCTTGGTGGAAGGCCTCCATGATGTGGTCTGCTTCTTTTCGGATCGCCTCCATTCGGTTGCCGTTGAAGTCTGAGGTGTATAACCCGACCTCCTCAAGGGGTCTCAAAGGTGCGATCACGAGCAGCAACATTAAAAGACGGCGGAAGGTTTTTACAGAGATTCGAGCCTCGTAGACTGCCCTGTCAATCCGCGAGTCGTGCTTGAAGACCTCGATTGCATCAAGCGATTCCAATGCAGCAAGGGCAAGATCATCGTCCTCCTCCTCCTCATCGTAGTTGTCGTTGGCTGGCGCATCAATGTCAAACCCGGGCGCATGAGACTTGGACTCTTCATCCCCTGTGTTGTCTTTCTTGGGACTGGATAGCTCAACCTCTCTCCTCCCGACATCCGCTAGGCTTCCAAATAACAACCGGATCCTATCCTTGCGGCCACGACGGAGAACCTTTCCATATCTTTCTGTTAGCAGCACCGCTACTTTAACCAGGGCCTCAAATGTCAACACACTGGGCGCCAGTGAGTTCTGGAACGGAAACGCGCCAAGGTACGAGACCATACGGAAAATCACTGGGCCAGCATCCAAGGGGCAGTGGGAATCAGAACTATCCGGAATTGCGAGAAAATCAGAGAGAATTTTCTCATTCCAGTACTGAAGACCGCCCTGGTCCGTGGCCCGTGTGAAGAAGTTGTCCTTGAAATGGGTGAGTTCTAGCGGAGTAAAGCATTTGGTTGCGAAGCGCTCCGCAAGGATGTAGCTTAGTTGCTCTATATCTCGATTAGACCTATTCAAATCGAGGCTTTCCTTTCAAAAGTTCCCGGGTCCATCTTAATGTGTATATGGAAGGATTCCCTTTCGGAATGTACGAACCTGGAGAAGAGACGTGGCTCGCATCTTCGGAGGACTGGGTGATCCCCATATTGTACGACAAGAGGAACCGGAAGGGCCCCTCGGAAAAAAACACCAAAGGAGATAACAGTTCACCCCTTGGAGTGCTCCCACCAGGTATATGATCCCGGGATAGAATCGAACCGGGGTATTTCTGTTTATCTGTAGGGAGTACGGCGCTGTGCTCGACTAGTTCCCGTGTTCATGAAACGCTGACGATGGTCCCGTCGAGGCAAACTGCAGCTCCCGCAAATCGAGAGAAGTTAAAAAAAAAAAAAAAAGGAAAAACAAAGGGGATGACAGGGACCTGCCCCAGACTCGGCTGTTCCTTGTGTTAATGGTGAGGGGAAACTTGTACGAAGGAATCCTGGAGTCGTGCCTCTTTTTTTTTTTTTCTACGAGATTACGACGTCACGCATTCGGAAATGGGGGAGAGGGGGCCTTGGCGCCTGAGGTACACCCTGTCTATTTTAGGCACTCCAGGAAAACTTCCAGGTTGCGTTCAAAGTGAGTAAAATTTGAATTAATTCATTGCATGCTTGCTCATAATTTCTTTATACGCCACCCCATGTTTTGATCTCTTGAGAAATAGATACGACAAGCGGCCGAGTGAACGGAGGATCAGGGCCTACAACATGACGATCCCCACGCCTCCCATCTTCTTCTCGTCGGGCAGGTTCTTCTCGTTAACGCCTCCAGGGATGGGGGCGGTGCGGTAGTTATAAAGGTAGAAGTGCAGCTGACCATCACCAGCGCCGAACTTCAGTGGTTCAAGGAAGAGAGGGTTATGGTGAAGGGTGAGTGCGTTGAATACATCGAATTGAGCCTGCAATGCTAGAGTATTAGTATCCACAATCGCAACGGAAGGAAGGGAATTTTTTTTTGTTACCTTCTTGGCCAAAATCAAAGCGTCGTTCATCAGCATCAACAGTCGGTCTTTGAGAACTTTGGTATCCTTGGTGAAAGCAGCCTCGGTCGCATAATAGTAGAGGTACGCCGCGCGCACACAGTCGTGCTTGGCATTCTGGATGACGGTAGACTCGAGATTGTAGAAAGAGAAAAAGTCCGTAATCTTGTGAGTTTCAGGGTCCTCCACCACGTATGACCAAACCACTTGTTCCTTGCTGAGGTTTTCCTTGTGCACCAACCAGTGATCGATCTCGGCCCGCGTAAAGGCTTGGTTTAGGTCAAACTCTTTCAGGTAGCGCTCCAGCAAGTCATGCACAGCATCAATATCACTCGGCTCCATGGGGCGAAGACCGCGGGTAGACGTGTTACTCGGAAGATGATTCTTGGTAATCTGGCGAGCCTTGGTAGAGCCAGCGGGAAGAGGGGAAAAGCCAACCTCATAGAGCTTCAACCAATCTAGGGGACGATGGTAGTAGCGGCAAGAGGTTACTGGGGTAGGTAGGACCACGCCGGCCGTATAGATAGCCTGGTAGATACCGTTCAAGTAGCAGCGGCGGGTAATCTCTTTGATGAGGACCGGGGTCAATCGCTTGGACCGCAGCTTCTTGTGGATGCAGAGAAAATTGATCTCGGTCACCTTGAGCTTCTGGCCACGAACCCGGACCTCCGTCGGGACACCACAGATGGAAGCGACCAACTTGCGTGATTTCGTGGCGCGAACACCCACGTGCCATTCCTTACGCCAACCCGGAGACATCAAGGCCCTGCCCAGGTTTAAAGACCCCTCAGTCAGTATTGAAAAGAAAACCTCTCAAAAAAAAAAAAAAAAAAAAGGATCCTTTGAATTGCAAACCACGTACCAGTGTAGGAACGACTGCGAGTATCTGAACCGGAACATGGCATTGTCATCCTCCACATAGTGGTATGTGAGCAGGTCCCACAACTCCTGGAGCTCGGTTTCGTTTGTCAGATCGAGGGTAGTCCATTCGAACCCCTCGATGAGCGGGACCGGTTCCTTCGAGACCTTCTCGGGATCGATCATCTTAATGGGACCTCCAGTGGCACTGCCCGCGTCATCAAATCGAGGCACAGGCTGGGTCTGCCAAAACTTGTAGGCTGCCATATCTTTCTTGTTCTTGCCTCCCAAAGACAGACCGGTCAGGAGCTCCGCAATATCCATCTTGCGCAACGCTTCCACCGCCTTGTCCTTATCCAACCCGCTCAGTTCGTTCCTCAGGGCAGCATTGTTTTCTAGCAGTGCCTCGACGGCCTGTGGGGTTAGCAGCTGCTGCTGCGCGGGGGGGTTGCCTTGCTGCGACTCATTGGGCTGCAGGCCAGAGAATTAGTAGGGTAAACTCGGGGGGGGAGGGGGAAAGAAAAGAAATAGAAATAGAAGAAACTGACCTGAGGAGCTTTGCCCTTGGAATCTTTGGAGTCTGGCATGGCGTGGTGCGGGGATGGGAAAAGTGCAAGAGAAAGAGGGGCGAGCGAAAGCGGGAAACAAGACGGGATTTGAAATGTTTTCCAAGTCCCCAACGTCACTGTTTATTTTTATTTTGTTAAGGGCAGGAGAACCTCGGCTCGCTCCATTTCAGGGTCAATTTTGCCAAAAAAAAAAAAAAAAAAAAAAAAAAGGGTCCATCCAAGTTACATTTTCAGAGCTTTTGTCTTCGCATCATAGTGATTGTGTTCTATATAAAGGCTTTTTCTATTCTGCTCTTAATACCAAAAGACAGGGTAGGATATCCATGTCCCTTTCATCCTCCCGGTGAGTGTGTGTTGAATCCCGCGAACGCCGCCTCGTTTTCGAATGGCCCAAGTGTTAAATTAGTCCAGGGTTAATTATTGTCCCTGGTGGGTATCTATAAGAGGGGCATTCTCCATGTTGAATCCTCATCTGAGGTATATATCGATATGTATATGTATAGGTGGTGTGGACCTGTCGTCGAAGTGACTAGGACTGTGAATCTGGCTTTGTCTCAATGACGTCGAGGAATCCGCCAACAAGATGTAGACTTCCCGTAACAAAGGCCATGACGGGGGTTTCATTGCCACTGGCGTGAGCGCTCTCCTTCCGGCCCAGCTCTCGCGTAAAATCGACGGCTTCTTCAATTGTGCCGTAGACCTTAACCTCTGTTGAAGGATCGAGGGTGTGCCACTTCTGCGCAAGCCCATTTTGGACCTGCAGCTTTTCCACGGCGACAGAGTCTGCGTTGATGCTCACTAGGTCGGGTCGGTAGCCTGCGTCCTTATACGTGACATTCGTGCAGAAAATTGCATGGGTAAACGGTTGCTCGGACCCCAGAGAGGCTGTTAACGTCTCATACAACGACTGAGCGAGAGCATTGCTATCGCGAGTCTGTTGGTTGAAAATCAGAACTCGAATTTTCTTGTTGCTGGAAGGCTGTGATGAAGAATTGGCCAGGACTTGCGAGCCGAACCAGTGAGCGGCCAGTTTGATACTCTCCTGAGTGTGGCCACCGTCAATGTACCAGCTGACGGATTTCTCATGCCTGGTCTCACATCTCCCTCCCAGGCGTGCCAACTCCAATCCTCGGCGGATTTCAGCGGGTAAAGCCTGATCCAGGAAATGGGGGCCGAACTCCTGTATTCCGACCTTCCTCAGGAATTCTCCCGCCGTCGCGACAGCCAGAGCGGCATTTTCATACTGGAAATCTCCCGCGAGGCCAAGCTTCACATTGCCACTGCTGCTTAATGTGGGATGGCGCGCCACGATTGTTAGCTCGGTGCCTCTTTCGGCGGCGCGGTCGTGTAGAACTTTCTCAGCACCACCCGGTTGGGGCACACTAAACGTTTTAGCACCAGGCTTCATGATACCCCCTTTATGCCAGGCGATCTCCTCCACCGTATTTCCAAGGAGAGCTGTGTGATCGACCCCCAGACTTGTAATCGCGGTTACCGCGGGTTGTTCGATTACATTTGTGCAGTCGTATTCTCCACCGATGCCGCACTCGATGACCGCAGCATCAACACCCTCACTCAAGTATGCATGAAAGGCCATAAGGGTTAGGTATCGGAAGTATTGTGGCTTCGTTTCTAAGTTGCTTGGGTCTTCCCCAGCGACCCGAGCAGCCTCATTGAGACGATCCCATACCTCGAAGAAGTAACGGGCGAATTGATCCTCAGTGAGCGGTTCATTGTCGATCATAATCCGCTCGCGAGCGAACCGTAAATGGGGAGAAGTGAACAGGCCAACCTTGTTGAGCCTGGGTAGCGACTTATCTAGCTCCGGGGACTGAGATGCGGTATATTGATAAAGGATAGAGGAAATAAAGCTAGAGGTCGAGCCTTTGCCCTTTGTGCCGGCCACATGAACAGGATTCAGGCGATTGAGATCCGATGGCTATTTATATGGCATAAAAACAGGACGCTGTCAGCGATCAAATTCACCACGGCATAAAACTGCCCGCCCTTTTCTGTCGGGAAGGACCGCAAACCTGGTACCCAATGCGACGAAGCCACTCGACTGTTTCTGGAATAGATCGTAGGTTCATTGCATGTCGGGTCGATTCTTTGTTAAACTCCTGGACCAGTGCGAAATTCGATTGGAGAGAATTGAGAGCTGCAATCGCAGCCTAAATGCCTGTGTTAGCACACGCGATCGGAGGGTTCGGCCTCGTCGGAGAAGGCTGACGCTGGACGTACCTCATAATTGCGAGCCATCACGATGGGATAAAATGACAGTGGACGCAGCAGAGTGGTCTTGGAGAGGGAACGGGGGATGCGAAGCCCCCTCATGGATGACAAGGAGGGGCAGTTTTGCTTACGTGACAAGAAGCAACCCTTGTTGAACTGAATGTGTGCAACAACACCCTGGGAGATCGCGATATCGGTGTTGATCAGTTGAAGTGAGTTGTTGATTGGTTCACTATCTTCCGGGGTCACGTGGTAGCGGGTAGACGGATTACAGTTAGTCCGCTCCGCTGAGGATCTGAGGTAGCAGCACCGGGGGGGGAAACATACGCAGAGAATTTATTCGTTTCAGAGTTCCTCCAAGAGGATGCTAGAATGGTACAAGGAAAATGGTATGGTCTACTTCTACATGATGCTGATATTAGGGCTTAGGGTTTCCCTTGAGAAAGAAAACAAACTAAGCGGAGAGAGAGAGAGAGAGAAAAAAAAAAAAAAAAACCTGGAGGACTCGGGAAAAAAAAAGAAGAATATAACGGAGAAAAGGGGAGGGAGGCAAAGTTCTCATGTCATAGCCTACACTGTAGGACGGAAGAAACAGAGAAAGAAAGAACAAAGAGTGTGAGGAGGAAGGCACTCGATCTTTAGGCCGAATTCGAGAAGACAGCTACTCAATTCTCGTCTTCCCCTCTTCGAGGAAGCCCAGTCGAGCATTACTATAGCCTCTTTGGTGCCTTTTGGTGAGGAGTAGCTGCCCAATGATGGGGTCGGCGCGAGCCTGAATAAGCGCATCTTGATAGCCTTCTGAGCCAGCCGCCGGTGTGTTTAGCTTGGGCCAATTCACCTGGAGAACAATTGGTTAGCAGGTGCTGGGAGAAAATATACCACTAATGGAGGAGGCTTACATAGAGCATGCCGTGAGCAAGGACAAAGCGAGCACACCATGCAGAAATGATGAGCCAGAAGACGATGAAGAGGCGCAGGGGCCACACAGCGGAATCAGGGAGACGTCTGGTGAATGTGGCAACCAAAACCATGAACATCCCGGCAGCAAGTATATAGGGGATAGACTGAATGATGAGCGGTCGACGATCAACAAAAAGCTGGAGATTCCCCAGAGTAGATTCTGGGGGAAGGTATGTCCCCAGGAAGACATCAAATGCATCTTGGCGTGGGCCGTCGAGGAAGTTATTTCGGACATATCGGGTAATGGAGTTACTCAAATCTTGAAGCATGCCGGCCCTGGTTCGTTGGCCAGTCCGGGTAAAATCGGTTTTCAATGCACCTGTACCAGAATATGATTTGGAGACGACATCAGCGTTGTCAGCCCAAATGTTACGGAACAGGTTCTCAAATTCGCGGTCGTCGTTCGCAGTTTCGCCTGGACGTAGAACTCCCGCCTCAGTAAGCTGCCTGGTCAAGGCCCAGCGACCGAGCATACTCTGGACGACGTTGGTACGATCTAGGCAGTCCATGCAGTTTGTACGGACGACACTGGTTTGCAAAGCGCGAGGATCCAGTTGGCCATCGGGGACACCCGGATCTTCGACACCACGGAAGTAGCCACCCTGAGAGAGACCGTTCCTTAATTTATCCAGCAACAGTTCTGCACGATGCCACTTGAGACCTTTGGTCTCGCTGTGGAAGTCAAAGTAAATGTAGTGAAGACGGTCCATCTCCTTCTGCCGTTGCTCCGGCTCCGGAATATGCACTTGTTCCGAGGTCTTTTCATCATCCGCGTCGGTGCTTTCGGTCGGTGAAGACACTAAAGTGCGTACCAGTTGCTCGTATGCCCTTTTGACACGCTCCTCCCGCCCTTTCTGATTCACCAGATTCACCAGATAGTTGTCGCCATAAACCCGGATCTGCTCTGTAAAATGTCTGCGGGCGGCTTGTACCGCGGTTTCCACTCCACGGACTTGTAGCTTGGGGGTGTATTTCAGGTTATTAACCTCGGCCCAGTACACCGGGACACTGCCCCTTGTTTGCACAAACGACAAAACTTGGAGATCTTGCCCAGAGCCTGGAGACTTTTCTTTGGTCATTGGTTCGCCGCCTGCAAACCCGGAGAGGCCGCCTGTTGCGTCATTGAGGATCGCAATCTGCTCTGTTTCATTATAATTCGAGACATGACCCTGCTCATCGATACCACGAGAGAAGTACCTTGTGCCCCCCCTATGTCTAGACCTTCTAGTAATGAGCGCAAAAGTGAAATTGGTGGACTTGACCTTCGCGGGAGTGATGCGCATCATTCCGAACATGACGGGCAGGATATATGGATCAACCCCCGGTTGTGGGCCATAGCGCACATTCGTGGTATCATGCTCTCCAAGACTGAAGTCGATCAGGTCGGATTGCAGGAAGCGATTCCAGAAAAAGCGATCGTCGGCTCGTTTCCACATCGGAAGGGTGACATCGCTCTGTGATTGACGCTGAAAGCTATTGGTTAGGTCCAAGGCGTAGGAAAAGTACATAGGACCTGTCCGGAGTAACTCTTTCAATAGCGCCAGATAGGTGTCTTCATCGTGATCATGGAGAGGACGTTCGCGGAGGGGTAGGAACTCGGTTGCGGCGACTTTGTAGACCATATGACCCCGAAGGCGCCCGACAGGCTGGGCCTTGGAGATGACAACGATGTATTTGTCTAGGATAATGAGTATGAACTAGTGCCATGAGAAATCAGTGCATAGGACCCAAACGCACCGAGCTTGAGCTTAATGATGCCAAGGATACCAGCGATACTCGAAATGCGCTTCGCATCAGACAAGGTGCCAGTGCTCAGGCGCAAATCACCAGTTGGGCGGTCCACCACCAATGTGGGGGCATTTGGGGAGGATGGAGAGGTGAATGCATAATGGGAGGGAGATGAATGAAGATTAATATCCCGGAAGGGTAAGAAAGATGAAGACATTGCAGCGAGCTCCAGGTGGATGGAGTTGTGGAAAAAGAGAGAGAGAGAAAGAGAGAGAGAGAGTGTGTGTGTGTTAAAAGGGAGAACAAGAAGTAAACGTGGAAGGAATGAAGAAAGAGTGGGGAAGAAAATCAGTACATGCTGGAGAGAAGAACTTGGAGAAAAGAAGGTAGAAATAAGATTTCAGGAAAGAAGAGGAAGAAGGAGAGAAAGAAAGAGAAAGAAAGAGAGAGCAGGGGGGGAATTAAGGATGTGAAGAGAAAGAAGCATGTGGTGGTGGTAGTGGTGATAATTCAACAGCTCAGCACATCAGGCACTAACTAGGTACTATAATAATCATAACCATAATCATAATCACATATATATATAATATAATGTCTACCTCAACATCTATCTATCTACTATAATTAAAGAATTAAAGATACTCAACTTCTTGCCACACCGCCCCGCAAAAACCCCCCAAAATCAACCAGTCGGCTTACTCTTAGTGAGTGTGAGTAGGAGGACATCTTCACCTTCTCCCAAACCTCGACCTTCCGACAGGCTCCCAGCATCCCCGATCTGGTCTTCTTCCCTTCCGCCTCCCCCCCTCCCCCCCCCCCGAAATTATTACCTCTACCACCTTCACTATCCCCTCATCCAACTCCTAGCACTTCGCTTCTCACGTCGTGTCCCGTTGACTTCTTATATCATCACCTAATTTGCGAATCCCGTCTGAAAATCTGTCCAACAAACCCGCCTCCCCGATAACTTCAAGTATGGCATCCAGAGCCGCAGCAGGCGCCCGTCCAGGTGCTAGGTTCGCTCAGTTTAAGCTTGTTTTGCTTGGTTAGCTTCCTCTGTCTTTCGTGTCTCTGGATTGTTGTAGATCGGATGGCTAACCTTTCATCTTCTTGTCTTCAGGAGAATCCGCTGTTGGAAAGGTTGATCTATCCTCACCTCTTTTCTTCGCCCAGTAACTTCCCTCGTTCTGACGGTCGCTAACTCTCTCTATCTTACAATGACAGAGTTCGCTAGTACTGAGATTCGTCAAGGTGGGTATGGTTGGATTCCTGGCACGCGCGATAATGCTGACAGGGCGCAGGATCAATTCGATGACTACCGAGAATCGACGATTGGCGCTGCCTTCCTCACACAGACCATCTCGCTGGACGAAAGCACAACTGTCAAGTTCGAAATCTGGGATACCGCTGGCCAGGAAAGATACAAGTCGTTGGCTCCAATGTACTATAGGAACGCAAACTGCGCCGTGGTTGTCTACGATATCACCCAAGCTGTATGATTTCTGGTCCCTTCTGCCTCTCCTTGCATGTGATTATTATCATCATCATCATCATCAAGAAGCTCACTAATCGCTGTAATATGGGAATAGTCATCGCTGGATAAGGCCAAGTCTTGGGTCAAGGAATTACAACGCCAGGCAAATGAAAATATTGTGATCGCTCTTGCAGGCAACAAGCTAGATCTCGTCACCGAAAGTCCCGACAAGAGGGCGATCCAAACTGCCGATGCAGAGGCCTATGCCCGTGAAGCCGGCCTGCTATTCTTTGAGACATCTGCCAAGACCTCTTCGAATGTGCGCGAACTATTCACAGCTATTGCAAAGAAGCTTCCGCTGGACCAGGCTGGGCCCCGAAACATGCGGTCCGCGCCCCGTCCCGGTGTGGACTTGCGACCGGAGGCTCCCGGCACCCAGAGTGCTGGCGCCTGCAATTGCTAGATCTTGTTGGCGCAGTCACTATTCCCTTGTACTTTTTGTTCCCGGAATTTGTTATCTCTCTCTCTCTCTCTCTCTCTCTCGTTTGACCTCTAGATACATAAGGTGCATGTCTTCGGGGTTGGCTATTTGTACGAGTGGCAAAGAGTGAAGTCGACAATGGCCCTAGGCGCTTACGGTTTATGTGTTTAACAGGAGCAGCGGAACTAGCCTTGCTACTCGATCAGTCTTCTACCGCAACCGCCACCACTAACGGCGAGGGTCCGTTCATCTGGCCTTTCCCATCACCTTCTCATCTTCAACCACCATTCCCTGTCGCGGAGATCCCAATTTCGTGCGAGGGTCCCATTGGATTTGACTTTCTAGATATTCTGTGACAGGCTTTGCCTGCTATTTCATTATCTCGCCCTGTTTTAATGTGGTTTTTTTTTTTTTTTTTTACTTGCTCCCCGGCGTCTGTATGCTTCCTCGATTGGGTTGAATTTATGTTCCATTTCCTACCGCCACTGGTTCATTTCTATAGTTTCATCAGTATGCTATACCGATATAATACTCTGTGCTACCTTTTTTAGCTGTTGAGAATTGTGTGACGTTTTCTGTAGGGTTTAAAGTCCTGTTCCTCGGTACTGAAGGTACCGAGGAAGGATGTGTTTCGACGGTGGATTTAGTAGAAGCGTAGTCTATATAATAATTTTTTTAACTTGCCAAACTTCCAATCAATATCACCGGGGCTTGTAAATGTATTCGCTTTGTGGGAAGTGAAATAACTGGCCATCACTCGGGCCTAATGGCGGTGCAAGGTCTCCTGAGGCTGAGCCACTGTGGCGGTGCAAAATCGGAGCGAACCGCAAAAGGTAAAAGTACCATATCCCAGTTCCGGTCCGCGTTTTCTCTCTCTCTCTCTCTCTCTCTCTCTCTCCCCCTCCCCCAACATCATCCCCTCCAACGGATCCCGCTCCCAGCGCTTACCCCCACAGTAGTGCAGCTCATTATGCTGCGCTCTTCTGTTCTACAGGGACGGCAGACACTGCTCTCCTCGGCTCGCCAGCGCACAGCCGCTCAATGGCTATCCAGAGCCGGGGCTAACAGCAGGCTTTCGGGCCAGGTACGGTGACAGGACCTTCTCCGTGCTGGCTTCTTCAAATTGCAAGACTAACTGGGTTCGACATTATATAGAGATTCTTTGCTGATTCTAAGCCCCCAACCCCCGCCACTCCTTCCTCAGATTCGGCGGTTCCTCCCGAGACGGCACCGAAACCCTCGACCGGTACGTAGTTGGATTCTTCTGGCATCCATTGAGCCTGGAAAACACCTTCATGCTAAGCTTCATACAGGCTCTAATGCTCCCCCAGCACCTACACCTGCGCCAGTTCGCAAAACTGGCCGCTTCCGCAGATTCCTTATTTACCTGATCCTCACCTCCGGTCTGGCGTATGGTGGAGGCATCTTCCTCGCTCTCAAGTCTGACAATTTCCACGATTTCTTCACCGAGTATGTTCCATATGGCGAGGAGTGCGTACTTTACTTTGAGGAACGTGATTTCTACCGACGGTTCCCTAATACCCTCCGCAATCCGAGCCGTCTCTCCTCTACACCTAGAGATGAAGGCAACAAGGTTGTGATCTCCAGCAAGAGCGGACTTTCTTCGACGGTAGTGGAAGAGTCGGGAAGCGATGTATCGAAATCAGGACCCCACATGAGCGCTGTTAGCCCAGTCACGGCGGATGAGGTGGCCATCAAACCTGCCACTGCCAAGCCAGAGGACCGGACTTCCACAGTCAAGACGGATAAGAAGCCCGCCCCACAGGAACCGGAAAAGCCTAAGGAAGAGCCTAAGGAAGAGTCCAAGCAACCCGTACCAGCAGCGATTACGACCCTTGAATTTGCCCAGGTCAGCGAGGGAGATGAAGCCATTGTACAGGAACTAGTCAAGACCTTCAACGACATCATCACGGTCATCAGTGCCGATGAGAACGCCTCCAAGTACTCCATGCCCGTCACAAAGGCCAAGGAAGAGCTCCAGAAGATTGGCGAGAAGATTATTGCGGTTCGAGATGAAGCGCGCAACGCCGCCCAGGAGGAGATCAAAAAGGCCCACGCTACCTTTGACGAGTCGGCACGCGAGCTTATCCGCCGCTTTGAGGAGGCACGTGCCACCGACGCTGCTCAGTACCGCGAAGAATTTGAGTCTGAACGCGAGAAATTGGCGCTTGCCTACCAGCACAAGATTGAGACCGAACTGCAGAGAGCCCAGCAGCTAGCTGAACAGCGACTTCAGAACGAGTTGGTGGAACAGGCTATCGAACTAAACCGTAAATATCTTCACGAAGTTAAGGATCTCGTCGAGCGGGAGAGAGAGGGCCGACTCAGCAAGCTTAACGAGCTCACTGACAGCGTCTCCGAGCTTGAGAAGCTCACCACCGGATGGAGGGATGTGATCGACACCAATCTTCGAACCCAACAACTCCAGGTGGCTGTTGATGCTGTTCGCTCGGCTCTTGAGCGCTCCACAGTCCCTAGGCCCTTTGTGCGCGAGCTGGTCGCAGTCAAGGAGCTGGCAGGAGAGGATCCAGTTGTCGAGGCGGCTATTGCGTCCATCAACCCTTCCGCTTACCAGCGCGGCATCCCGTCAACTTCTCAGCTCATTGACCGCTTCCGCCGCGTCGCTGATGAGGTTCGAAAAGCTAGTCTTCTCCCCGAGGATGCAGGTATTGCCAGCCATGCAGCCAGCCTTGTCTTGAGCAAGGTCATGTTCAAGAAGGACGCCGTTGCTGGGGGTGATGATGTTGAGAGTATTCTTGTTCGTACGGAGAATTTGCTTGAAGAAGGAAATCTTGATGGCGCTGCTCGTGAGATGAACTGCCTCAAGGGATGGGCCAAGATCCTCAGCAAGGACTGGCTGGGCGATGTGCGCCGAGTTCTGGAGGTGAAGCAGGCTCTCGAGGTAATTCCCCCGGTCCTCATTAATTGATTGAACCAGAACATCCAGGCTAACCTATGTTTTTTTTTTTTTTTTCCCGTTGTGTAGGTGATTGAAACAGAAGCCCGCCTTCAGTGTCTTCGGGTCGAGTAGATAGATAGATTCTATCCGCGTTCTCTTGAATTTCCTGTACCTCTTTTACCTCCTGTACACAGGACATGTATCTCTATGTAGCCCTCCACGTTGTTAGACCCAATGCTAGAAGTTCTCTTTTGTCTGGAGTGTAGAGTCAGTCCTCTTGTCACCGTTGCAGCCTTATCATCGTGTAGGCACCTGTTTGTTGTGTTTGCAACCCCATAGTGCAAGCCAACGGAGAAAGAGAAGGCAAGTGCCGCATACTAGGAGGTGGTTCTATCCAATTTACACCTCCATCTTTGTGTTTTGCATCATGGCAGAATCCTAGCGCCCATGTCGATTTTACCCGAGGCCTTTTTAGTCTTTTGTGACGTGACGCGTACGCCCCCCTAAATCTGCCACAGCACGGATGACCGTTTGGCACTCTACCTTCGGGTGCTTGCTTGCGGTAAGGCCAAGCAGCGGACCAACGACATCCATCTGATGAAAAGTCAGGCGTAAATGACACTCTACAACCTGGGAATTTCAGAAGTTCTGGCGCTCGTGAAGACGGAAGAGAAGAGAGCTGTAGATGAACCAGGAACGAGCCGGTAGGGAGTTGGAGGGCACCGCCGCCCTCGGGAGCAGCTCCCACGATGGAGATCGAGGCAGCAGAAGCCAGCGGCGAACTCACAGCTCCAGCGGATTTCTCGTCGATTCGTCGTTCCTACCCCGATCGCGAAGTCTCAGATCTAGTTATCATCGCCCTCGTCACTCTGACTCCGACTACGGAAATAATAAACGTGGAGCTCCCGAAGTCAACACTCCCCCCAAGAAGCGGTCCCGGTTCCCCTGGAGTCGCCAGAAAGAGTCACCGAAGGAAGCCCATCCAGGGAGCCCAAAGATTACAGCGGGGAGGGAAAGCCCTGGACCCTCACGTTTGCGACACGATACCACCGTCATCCAACCACAAAACGAGAGTGTAGGAAATCAGGCTACGGTGGGCTTGGATAGAGATTCCCTACAGATCGTGAATCTGGCCTTGAATCTCAGCGAATCGAGAAGGAGAGGCAATATTGGCTACAGTGCATCAACCCGGACCTCAGGAGGCAATTGGGCAACATCAGGGGATAGCCATGCACCGCTGGCGGCGAGTAGCCTTGCAAGCCCTGGCCAGGCGATGGGCGATGGCCGTTCCAGATCTTTAAGATCCCCAGATGTCAATCTATCGGCAAACGATGTTTTGAATCTCCTTCCCGATTCCGCCGCATCTGATTCCTTGCCGCATGGAGTTTCAGCAAGCACGCTAGCACGAGCTGCAAAAGCGCGACGCCATTTTGAGCTTTTTCATGAGTATCTACGTCTTCTTCCTTCTCTTCCGCCGCTCGCGCCACCTGACAGGCTGCATTCGACTGCTGATCCTCCGTGGATTTCAAACTACGGATCCCTCAGTCACCGTGCCTATAACCCGCTCCAAGCTATTCGCAATCGCAAAGTTCGGTTTCGTGAGCGTTGCCCGATCGACCCCGAAGCAGATGGGTGGACCGACGTGGAAAAGGTTCATAACTGGGTCAATTCGGTTGAAGCTAAGCACAGTAGACAGACACGAAGTCCTCTCGAATGCCTTCAGCTTCCGCCCTTTCAGTCGGGGCAACATGATGCTTTATCGAGTGAAAGGCCAGATGATGCTGATTCATCCGCTATCTCCCCACCGTCCAGTCTGCAGCGCGTTAGTCGGACAAACAGTGTCAAGACTCCCCGGCCCAGATCTGACTGGGTAATAACTCCCGACGAATTTCTCGCGGATGCCGCATGGGTGGAGGAAGCAGAAAACAAAAGCAAAATAGTGGATAGCGATGGGAACATTTTGTATCCAGATTTTGCATCGCTCATTGCTGATGACGCACGTGAAGAGCAGACAAAGACCAAGGGCTTGAATAAACAAAGCTCCTCCCATGCCTCTCTATCCGACCACCGCCAAAGCACATCCATCGACTTGAATGAAATTGGCCGAGGCCGACCTCCGCACAGATTCAGGAACCCCGAGCGAATTGGGCACAGCAGCAGTGCCTCAGCGAAGGATGTGGTCTCTAAACGGCACAAACTCAGAATGCGATCGCGAAGCTCTTCAAGCTCCTCAAGCACAGATGACGGGCCGTCTCGCAATTCCCTCGTGGCTGGTCCAGCATCTACACGAAGATACATTTCACCTTCACGAACGCAAGCTGCCGCTTGGACTAAGTTCGATGAGAAAAGAGGCTCCATGTCCTCCGTGCCGAGTGCCGATGATCGTTACGACCCACTCTCCTTGGCGATGAAGGAAAACAGGATTTCCAACACAGCTATGGACATTAGCTACTTCCCTAGCATTGCATCTAATCTATCAGCCACTTCGAGTCGATCACCGTCTCCTCCAAAGCGAGGATTCACACGAGCGATTGGATCTCGGAGAGCTCAGAGTCGGGGTAGCACGTATCGAAAGGATGGCGGGGATGACAGCTCTCCCGAATCTGACGCGATGCGCAAGGATGCTGTGGCAGGATATACGGAGCCTGCGTCTCAACCCGACAATGAACCCCCTCCTACCTCAAGCCAAGTTCCGACGACCTCCCAAGAGGGCCCAGCGAGAACTAGTCTTCATGAAAGAAAAGATTCGGCGCCGCATGAATCTAAATTGCGCGGTATTTTCAAAGGACCTGGGAAAATTGCTGGAAAGGTTGGCAACGAGGTCTCCAAAATGGGGGACTTCATCTTAAAGAAGGATACCTTGGCACATTCCCGCAAGTCGTCCTTTGCCACTTCTGATGGAAGCGAACCGGAGGAAGAAGAAACAAAGAGCGACAAACGAGCGATCCCCCGAGCGATTTTACGGCGATTTCCCACCTTTTCTGATGATGCTGGTCGGTCCTCGCCCAGGAACTCAGATAAATCACTTGCGAAAAATAATGCGCTTCTTTCCCATATGCAAGATGATGAGCGCAGAGTAGGGGGTAATATTGCAGGCTCTCACGGCCATCTATCCGGGTTGCAACTAGAGGAAGTTGGGGAGTTACCTGGCAAGGATGGCAGGCGACCCTTCAGTCTGCATCAAGGCAACCTGACTGATGTGGCCCGCCATCAGAAACCTCTTGAGTTTGGACCAGAGCTATACACAGTCCGAGAACAGATCAAGAAGGGCCGGATTAAGGACCTTTCAATGCCATTCAGTCTTGCTCGTCCTCCTATAACTGGGTTGGCGCAGGCGCAACCCACACAGACATCCGCATCTCATGAGAAACGGCCTCCTCTGCCTACTCAGTCAAGCAGCTGGAGTATATCCGACCGCAGTCTGTCAATTTCGGTAGAGTCTGGGGTTCCCGGGAAGCAAGAGATTGAGCGTACTCGCGCTCTTCTGCTTTCGTCAGGGATCAAAGCCCGGGAGATCACCCGCCGGGCAGAGACAGTGCGCAGTCCACCGGCCGAATTTCTCCGACGCTCCTTTGGCACAGACGCATCAATACCGTCCGTTCCTCGACTTTACGAATATGATCTGGCTAGCCAGAACCTGCTTAAGAGAATTGAAGCCTCGCACAACCTCTTTCAGAGTTCGGTGGACCGGTTTCCGCAAACGACTTTCTCGCCGCTCAAATCACAGCTGTCGATGCTTGAGGAGTTGGTCAACGAAAGGCTCAACCCTCGCGTTCACGCTGCAGCGCAGGAAGCCGAGAATCTTAGTGTGCAGCTCAATACCACGAGCACGCTGGCCGTGAAGCAGCTGAGTGAAACACTGGACCGTGGTATTCGAAAGCGCCATCGTCGACTCCGGTGGCTACGACGCACGGGATTTGTGATGCTCGAGTGGGCATTGGTTGGCCTGTTGTGGTGGGTCTGGTTGATCGTGGTGGCATTTAAATTGCTGCGCAAGCTTCTTTATGGGATGGCCTCTGGAGTGCGGTGGGTGCTGTGGCTGTGAGAGTCCGGAGTTCGAAGGTCATCCTGAGGATCTTGGACAAAGAATGTTTGTTTTTTTGGGTCTCTTTAATGAATATTCATTCATCCACCCCTTTTATCTAATATAAGATCAGCATCTATATTCTTTTTAATGTCAATCAATGATAATGAATGCCTTTTCTGCCACAACTTGCATTCCTGCAGTTGATCTGAAACCGTTTCTTTGTCCGGATGGGCTGCTTTCATTGGTTTTCTTTTCTTTTTTTTTTTTTGGTTTCTTTTCTTCCAGGATTTCTTGAAAGAATCAATCAGAGGTATGCCCTCAACAATAGCACTGTTTTGTTTCCTGTGGCCAACCAAGAAGCCACGCAGAAGGGCAGAAGAGCAGAAGAGGGACAGACCCTGTACCATGATTTCCATTCTTTGAGCGTTCCCTATTTGATCTCAGTTGCTCCTGATGAGTGTATGTCATATAAAAGATGTCAGGTTCGCAGCGATTTGTTCGTTCATCTAGGGTTCAACCGCAGCTCTCTACTTGATCTATCTGACTCTCGATTACAACCGGCCCCCGCTGCAAGATGCCTCCACGCGAAGAAGTACAATGGACCCCGGGATCAACGGTGAGTCAACTAAAGCGATCCAAAGCTATAAGCCATCGTCAAGGGAATCCACTGATCGCAAGCCTTCAGAAAGAGCTATTATCCTATAGTTGTGACGACGATGACGAAGAAGGTGACAACGACAATGAGGAGAAGAGGAAGGTCCACCGATTACCCAAAGTGCTCACGGGGTGCATGAAGAGTGGCATGTCCACCTGTGAGATCGGGGAGTATGTGCATGGAATTGCCTGCAGATGTGAACCTACTCTGACTACCTCTACTACGACGACATCTACATCTGTGTCTGTGTCTGTCTCTGACGCATCGGATTCGGATTCCCTGCGCAGGATTGTGAGGAGAATGATCGACGCCCGCAGCTCGTACCAGGAGATAGGGTATAAAGTGTTGAAGATACTAGACCTTCGCAAGAGGATTAGAGCTCCTTCTGTTGATGGAAATAGAGGATCGGGTAGACATAGACCAGGGAGTGAGATCCAGAGACATCAGATGAGGGGTGAGTTTGCGAAAGAAGAGGAGGAGGAGGAGGAGGATGATGATGATGATGAGGAGGAGGAAGGGTATATGATTGGAGTGGCACAGGTAGTGATGATTTCTGTCCATCAAGCCAAAGCTGTGAAGATTCGATAAAAACTCTTGCCCGGGTGGTAATGCAGGTACCGTCCAATACCAGATGCAATAATACATAAACCACAATCTCCCGCCTAATCATTGGCCCACAACTATGGTCGGAACCAGGGACCGTATTACTCGTACAAAACCAAGACCAAACGATGACATACCATGACCGTCCCCTGAAACCGCGGTGGGGAAAAGGTCCAGACCAGTTCCAGATGGTAATAATGGTATTGGAACGGTCACGGTTTTCCCCTCCTCCCGCTTTTCTTTCGTCTTCGTCTTCATCTTCATCTTCATCTTCATCTCTTTCTTCTTTCTTCTTTCTTCCTCTCTCTCTCTCTCTCTCTCTCTCTCCATCCCCAATCTCAGGTATGTCCCTCTCCATCTCTCTCCTGTAATTCCCCTCATCATATCCTGGTTCTTTCTGCATTTCCCTCCCTCCCTTTCCCCAAGTTTTCTTCTCCTCTTGCACTCTTCTTCCTCCCCGGTTTCTGCCTGACCGTGTGCCCTTTACCCTAACTCCGCCGCATTGTCGTTAAAACTCTGCATCCCACCAAAGATCACACCTTCCCCCACCCCCTCCTTGGTCTAGGATCATTAAATCTCTCATACTCCTTGCTGACCGCTGGTTCTATCAATCAGGTTTCGAATTCTATTTATCCTGGGAGTCCACCTACTCCCTAATATTTTTTTTCCCCCCCTCTATCGTCATCATCATTACACGGTGATCCGCCTTTGGGATTCTCCAGTTCCAAAGGCTCTCTCTCCAGTGCACCACGGCTCACGTAGCCAGTACCTTACTCCCTCGTCACATTGTATCTCCGCGACGTCTTCGAGACACTCTTAACAACATCCCCCCTCCTTCTGGTCTATCCCCGTGTTTGCTCGTCCGGTGCGCCATTTTTACTCGATCTGACGCCCTCTGAAATTATTCCCTCACCCATTGAGCTGCCGCATAGGACTTCTCTGAAGGTTCTTCCTCTTAAGGAGGAAGGGTCTAGGAGGCTTGGTCCAGTCAACTACGGTTGCGAAACTTTTCGCCCTCCCTAGCACGCAGTCGCCTTTTTTTTTTTTCTCTTCTCTTCTCTCTTCTCTTCTTTTCTCTTTTTTGTTTCAAGATCCTATTCCGTGCTTGCCCCCCCCAGGCAGCGCGTATGGTTATGGCACCAACTGCTTGTGTTCCTGCTGAAGTATGCATGACCAAATCATACCAAGACAAACCTAGTCATCACTTCAACTGTCATGGAGAGGACGATCTGTCGCAATCTCGGTTGGCGGCCAAGGACCTGGTCCTGAATGTTCTCAAGAGACGTGCCCGCGAAGTCAACACGGACCTCTGTGGCCCGGGAGAGGAAGATGCCTTCTATGTGGCAGACATGGGTGAGGTTTACCGTCAACACCTCCGATGGAAGATGAACCTCAGTCGAGTCCGACCTTTCTACGGTAATTTTTGCCATCCCTCTCTTCTCAAAACGGTTGATCCCATTCACCATTCATGGTTACTAACGGTTGAAAAAAAAAATAGCGGTCAAGTGTAACCCCGACCCGGAAGTCCTTCGCCTCATGGCTAAGCTTGGAAACAGCTTCGACTGCGCCTCTAAAGCCGAAATTGATCTGGCTCTCGAGACTGGTGTTGACCCCAGCCGCATCATCTACGCCCAGCCCTGCAAGACCAAATCGTACCTGCGCCATGCTGCCCAGGTTGGCGTCAAGCAGATGACCTTTGACAACGCGGACGAGCTGTACAAGATCAAGGCCTGCTTTCCAGATGCCGAGCTCTACCTCCGCATCCTGACCGATGACTCGACGAGCTTGTGTCGCCTGAGCATGAAGTTTGGTGCTTCTCTGGATGTGGCCCAGCAGCTTCTTGAGCTCGCCCGTCAGCTGGAGCTTCAGGTAGTGGGTGTCAGCTTTCACGTCGGCTCCGGGGCAGAAGACCCTAAGGCGTTCCTGAAGGCGGTGCAGGATGCACGTCTGGTCTTTGACCAGGCGGCTGAAATTGGCCATGAGCTCCACACCCTCGACGTTGGTGGTGGTTTCACCCAGGAGACCTTTGAAAAGTTTGCGGGTGTGCTAAGCGAGGCGCTGGACACTTATTTCCCGCCCCACATTCGCATCATCGCCGAACCCGGCCGTTACTACGTCTGCAGCGCATTCTCCTTGGCCGCGAATATCATTGCACGTCGCGATGTTCGCGATCCAGAGGACCCTGCCCATAATGCTTACATGCTGTATCTCAATGATGGCGTGTATGGAAACTTCTCCAACATCATCTTTGACCACCAACACCCCGAGGCTCGGATCCTGACCTGTACTAACGCCACCAACCGGACTGCTGCGACTCCGGAGCACATTGCCTACTCCATCTGGGGGCCCACCTGCGACGGTATCGATATTATCGCCCAACGCATCATGCTGCCTGGTCTGTTGGAGGTGGGTGACTGGCTGTATTTCGAGGACATGGGCGCCTACACCAAGTGCAGCGCTACCCGTTTCAATGGATTTTCCGATAACCACGAGGTAATCTACATTTCCAGCGAAGCGGGCGCCTCTGCGCTCCTCGAGTACTAGCTATTTTTTTTGGGGGGGGGGGGGGGGGTTAAACTGTTTGTTTCTCTCGATCTGCTATTATTCGGTGATAATGTGGATGATTATAGAGTAGATTTGAATTTTGACAGTTAATTATACACTCTTTTGATAAATGACCCTCTTCACTCATAGCTCAGCCATGACATGGTCGTTGGGACCCTTGTCCATCTATTGACGTGAACATTCCTCTATACATCCACATCTCTCAGTATCGTAGTATCTATCCATCTAGATCCTCCCAACATGTGCTTCTTGGTTGAATCTATCCGATCGGAGCCAGCTCCAAGAGAAAGAAGAAAAAAGAAAAGAAAAGAGTCTAAACCAGTCGCTCAACCGTCAACTCTGCAGTCTCCCCCTCCCCTCCTACTTGCACCAGCCCCCCATTCTCCAGCTTCTTCTTCCACTTTGCCGACTCCCCCCGGGCAAGAATGAAGGTGATACGCGCGACGGGGGACGGGTGGGCCGATTCCGCAAGCGAGTTGGACGGTGTACACGTCCACCGCCCAAAGGCCCAATTGAGAATATAGGATGTGGTTGGGGGGCCATGCGAGTCGAATGACGACGACGGCCTGTCATGCAGGTTCTCTGACGAGGCCGCGAATGGTGAGCGTGTGGAGGCGCGCAGAATGCCCTTGATCCGATAAACCTCCTCCTTGGATGCGGAGAGAAGCAATTGTTCGAGCGCAGATACATCCACGGTCTGTTGATCTGTTTGTCCCGTGAGCGAGAGCGAAAGCACCTCTACCTCGGACTGATGATCATGATCATGTTCATGTTCATGCTCGTGATGATGATGATGATGGTTGGATTTCCAATCCACCTCCTTGGCAAACAAGGCGCCATCAATCCCCAACAAGACGGATTTATCCACGACGCCACGGTCCGACTTGACGCAGGCCGTGTGCACGTCCAGATCCCCGAGACGGTCCAAACACTCGTCCAACCGCCGCTCCGAGACCGCCTCCCACTTATTCAAGATGATCAAATCCGTGTACCGCGCCTGCAGTTTCGCCGTGTACGAGGTATCCTCGTACCCCTGCCAATTCTCCACGTCGACCACGCTGATGACGCCATCCAGGACAAAGGAACCGGGATGCTCGCGCTCCAGCCGGTTTACTTCCATGGCCAACGTTGCCGGGAACGCACTCCCCGAGGTCTCGATGACGATGCGGTCCGGGGAAACTTCATCGCGGAGTTGGGCGAGGGCGTCGCTGAGTTGCCCGACGAGGTTGCAGCAGATGCAGCCGTTGAGGAGTTCGCGCACACCCGAGATTGACTGCGTCGCGGCCAGTTGGGAGTCGATGGCGACGTCGCCGAATTCGTTCTTCAACAGGGCGAGCCGGTAGGTGGGGGGGAGTTGCGGGATGAGATTTAGCAGTAGGGTGGTTTTCCCAGAGCCTAGGAAGCCGGTTATGATTGTGATGGGGATTGGAGGCATTTTTTTTTTTTTCTTCTAATTTATGTCTTTAGGGTGGGAATACAAGAGAGAAAAGACTGAAATTCGTTCCAAGGCTTTTTTTGGAGGAAATTTGAAGACATCGAATGAGGGGGACAGAACAACCCTATTCCCGATTGGGATGAGAGCCCTACTACACCGGTTGTCCAGAATAATATATGTATATATAATATATATACTAATATACGTTATAATAATATTAATATTAATCTGAAAAAACCCCTACTGGTGCTTCAACAACACCGAAGAAAGAATCTCAAATCCCTCTCTGCGCTTGGTTAGAACATCGTTAAAGATTTCCTTCGGCTGGATCTCGCCAATGACAATCTGATCCTTGCCCGCCAGCAGGCCTTCATATGCGAGTTTCGTGAATTGATCAATGGGCATTCCGAGCTGTGCTCCTGCGGGCCCCATATAGTCGTGTAGTTCCGCTGTTTTTTTTTTTTTTTTTTTTTTTTTCACCGTCAGCCTTATTACCCTGGGAAAGAATGCAGAAAAGGGAACCCCTACTTTGCACGGGAGGAGGAGAGATTTCAATCACTTTGATATCAGTGGAATGACGCAACTGCTCTCTAAAGCAGAGGGTATACACATTCAAAGCCGTCTTAGAGGCCGAGTACGCGGGGAGGGTGGCAGCCGGAATAATGGCCAGGTTGGTCCCGGTACTTTATTGGAATCAATCAGATAACTTCAGAAAAACACCCTTAAACAGAGAAAACAGGGGGGGGGTTACATTATAAAGCTAACCGGGCTCGTCTTTGCCTTTAGATAAGGCAAAAACGCATGGGTCAGAGCCACGATACTGGTAAAGTTGACGTGCACCTCATACTGGAACTTCTGCAGATCAAAGGTCTCGGGTTTCGTCAAGTTAAACGGCTGCTGGATCCCCGCATTGAGGAAAATGCTGTCGATGTCGGGGGACTGCTCCATCACTTCTTTGGCAAACTGTGGGATCTTTTCAGTCTCGGCGATGTCGAAGACAATGCCCTGGGCTTTGTCCGCGCCATACTTCTGGACAAAGGCGTCCAGACGATCCTTGCGGCGGCCGACTGCAGTGACCTTGGCGCCATGTTCGACGAGACACTCTGCCATGGCTTTTCCAATACCGGCCGTGGCTCCAATCAGGAGGAAGTGCTTATACGGGAAGGCCATGATGGATCTAATGGAAGGGTGTGTGTTGTCGCTGAGAAACGATTAGAGATACTCCGTAGAGAGAGAGAGAGAGCGAGAGAGATAAAGAACTATATATGATATGATGCTGCGGAGATTAGTGACTCGGTTATCGATGTTAAGGCCGCGGATATCAACACTTATGGCCGGCCACCAAGTACGGAGTATGTATCTTTCATGACAATCAGTTCATCAGTCATCTTGTATCCCACTCAAATATATATTTTATGTTTATATCTGATCTATATCTAATCTAATCTACATCTATCCTTAAATTAAACTCAAAAAAAAAAAAAAAAAAAGAATCTGGAAAAGGGAAAATTCACCTGACGTCAAAATAACCAAAACTGGAAAAGCGTCGGATTCTGCCGGTGTTTCCCGCCAGAGTCTCCAGTGACGTCATTGTCACCGCACGTCAGTCATCCATCACTTCTTTAACTATCGAGTGGGAAATTTTGCAACTTTCAAGTTGGAGGACGATTGTATTCGATATGGCAGAACCAAAAAAGACCCCCCAAGGAGCAACCTCCAGCGACTGGACTCAGGGCCTCTGGAACCCAATTCGCTCATATCTTACCGCAGAGCCTAAGTCCGCGGATTTAAGTATGGACCCCCAAGTGTGAATTCATCAGATTCAGTCAATACTAAGGATGGTTGGTGATGTTGGGGACCAGAAGCAACCGATCGTTACCGTCCTGGGCCGATGGAGAGTGAGCAGATTGATCATTTGGATAAGGAGAAGATTGCGGAATATCTCCAGGAGAAACATCGCAGCAGTGCTCGCTAGGATGATGAACCGGCGGGGAGAAATCCTCGACTACTGTTCCGACTCTAGATAATCCATTTGAGAAACACTCGTTCCTTGTCGATGAATTATTTTGTATGATACTCAATGGATTCCGTTTAAACATGGATAGAATCTTGACCAGCATTGAGCCAGGGTTGGACCAAAACACCCACAAGGATTAGTGGGATGTATCTCAAAATTCATCACTCGTTACCATCATCTCGACATGTGAATTTACGAGGAGGAAGGAAGGAAGGAAGGTAGGTCTTTCCCCAGAGCATGCATATCTCAGCTGAAGCGACAACTGATTTGAAGCGTTGTTGGGAACTTGCTCCAGACAATTATTCCATCCCTCTTGGTGTTTTCTTCCTTGATTTCGGCTATTGGAATACCCCTGGTACCAGATAAATATCATCACTCTTGTTTGTATCAATCTTCAACATGCATACGCATCCCAGTCCTGACCCTGACTGGAGCTGCTCCTCCTCCTCCTCGACAGAATCCTTGCTCTCTTCTGAGGATTCGGGGCAAGACTCTCAACTAGAGCAGCTTCAAGACTCAGTAACCAAGAAGCGTCGACATGCGATCTACGTCCACCGACCTCCTATATGGCACTACAAGCTGTGTCAGGATCAGACCTCATCATCGACCATGTCTTCAACCCGAGACGGTAAGAATTATGGACTTTCCTCCAACAGCCCAGCGCGGAATTCATTTCATCAGACAAAGCCAAACCTTTGCACCCGTCTCCATTCCTACAAGGATATTCGCCTGGGAGCAGGGGAACAATGGGCCATCCATGAAGGGTCAGTAGTTATTGGCTTGGGCGCGGAGTATACCTTGCTTGGTTGTCACGAGAGCCGGCCGGATCAATTTGAGGTTGTTGGTGGTGATGTTTATGTTATTTGCTGTTTATATGCAGACTTATGGGCTCTCTGTGCGAAGCTCTCCGTCTATTCGTTGCCAACCCGCGATAGCCCCATGCCGTTGGCCTTTCTTCCTCTATGTGCCGTGACTTTAGCCGCAAACTTTAGTGCTTTTACACGACGAACTTTGGAATATGCACGAGGGGACTTCGTTTTGACCAACTCCAAACACCCGGGAAACGGCCTACCAGTGATACCGCCGCAACGGTCACATAGTCTCAACGCTAGTAGGCAGATATTCAATGGACATCAGTCTCAAATCTCCCTGCCGCTCACCGTTCACGATGCCTTCCAAAACCTTTCGCTGATACCTGCGGATTCCGACTTTGTGCCACTAGACTCCACCTTGGAGCCCATCTTTTCGACCCTCACTAGGAGGCCTCGACACTTGCTCCGTGGGTTAGTAACGAGTCGACCATTCTTAAAGTTCCGTGGAGGTGGCCGCGTGCCGTCTAAACCTTCATCTTTCCTGTCATTTTACCACAAGGATAGGCTCGAGTCGACCGAGGTTGGGTCCCGGCATTTGCGGACAGTATGGAACCGCTCTCTGGGGACTAGTCACAGATATAAATGGCTATCTGTGAAGTCCTCGTGACGTCTTCCTTCCTTGTATGCCATCGAAGGCAACGTATATGTCGTTATTATTCAAGCTACCTCTTAATAGCAAGGACAGAGGATGAGATGAGGTGTATGTACTATTGTTGAACATCAAAACTTTGGCAGAAGAGAGCATCAAATGCGGTCAGGTTAGTTTTTATACTTTTATACACACAAGGCAAAACTATTTTGACAGAAATTTCTACAACGGATAGACGTGTCATGTATAGAGATAGAGGTCGTATATCGTACACAATGGATAAGGTGAACGTGTTCACTTTTTGAAAGACAGTCCTCGGGAGCATATAAAGCTAGAGCCGATAGTCCTCATGGGATGTATTACATTCCAGTCTTTCATGGCTTCTTGGCTCGGCCATAGCAGTGCAATTCAATTTGATCGCACTGATCATGTTGGGATGGCAGTTCCATTCGGTGCGAGTGCAAGGTAGACAGCCCTGCTGACTGCATCAAATCAAAGAAAATCTTCTCGCTTTCATGTCGCCTCTTCAAGGCAACAAGAATGATCGCATTCGGCGACATCTGGACGAGTCGATCAAGGACCGACACCAGGGCTGGTAAACTGTCGGCATTGTATGTGCAGTCTGAGACTAGAACCAAGTCGATAGAGCCACCGCATAGATCATCCGGAAGCGCATCTTCCCATTCAAGGGTGCGGTACTGGAGCTCTGAGAACGGCGCAGGCTGAGCGGCCGCGATATTTCTACTTACGATTTCCTCGACTTCTGGTAGATCGGTGAGAAAGACAGAGCACCGAGAGAGCAGCTGTGCGAGTGCAATCCCTACAATCCCGCACCCTGATCCCAGCTCGATTACATGGAGAGGGCTACTGCTGCTGCTGCGTTCAGTTCGTAGAAGAGTCTGCCGCATTAGGGCAGGGGCTGATTGCTTCCCGGTAATTATTTGTTGCAGATACATGACTGAAGCAATTGCTGCATCCCTGGAAGATGGAAATGGAACTTGATTAGAAACATAAGTAAGGAGAAGCCTGAGAGAGGGTCTAGCCTCACCAGATGTGGCGTGCAATGCTATTGCCAGTCTCCTCCCAGATGCTGAGCCCTAGCTTATCCGTTAAGCTAAATCGTCTTTCCACCAGTTTTTCAGCAGTTAATGATGGACCTCCAAATTCTGCACTCCAACCGGACATTACGAGTGGAATGCTGCGCTCATCTAGTAACGAGTCTGAGAATAGTGGATGTGAATCATGATGATGGGAGTGAGTGGTAGTCACACCCATGGTCAAAACTTGCTGAGAGACATGTGCAGGGAAAGGCCCCAGTGCCACTGGAAGTTCACGTCTGCCAGCCTTCCATTGTAGGGGTTCTTGATATACCACCTTCTTGGTAGGAGAGAGGTGAAGCATTACTTGCAAGTCCACATCGTCCGCGAGGAAGGCATCACCTAGGTCGGTTGTGATGCATATTAGGGCGGATACAGTAATGGAACCGGCTTTCTGCTTCTGGATCCTTGGAGTCTTGAGAAATCGGATATAATATACCATAATTGAGGGGAGAGATTAATCGTATCAGGAACTAGGGAACTGAGTGCAAGTGCAATTTCCTAATTTGGGTTGTGGTGATCGATTGGGCTGTGAGCTGACTAAGATTCCCTGGATGACATCGCTGCCCGTTTCTTCCTGAGGCTCTCTATCTCTCTCTCTCTCGCTCCTCCCTCTTTATTCAGGCCATCTGTTTGAGTCTCGTCACTCTCTATCTATCCAGTTTACAGCAAAAAAAAAAAAAAAGTTCGTTCTTGCCCTCCGTGTCCCAAACACTGGACGTCAATGGGATTCCCTGGATAAGGCCGACGGGAACTGAGCCATCCTACTACACCCTACATTGGGAGACTCTCCCTATTCCCAGCCAACACCATGATGCGACCGAGAGACCCCCGAGTCCGGCAGACAATCAACCAGATCTCGCATAACCTCGAGTCTGCGAATGAGACGGCCCAAGAGGGCATATATACATTTTCTCATAATTACATCTTCCCCTGTTTCACCGCCATTGGGAACTGCATCTATGCATGCACTGAACCCTGTCTCCCTAGTCGCGAAGACCACCTTCGACGCCGCCGACAACGCTATGCAGAATTCGATTTCTACGATGACTGGGAGAATGAAGAGGCCGATGATACGATCCTAGGCTGGGGGACGGATGAACTGGACCGTCTTTTGGCGGGAAGCGGATTGGCGCGGGGAAGCGCAGAACAGCCGCGTCAGCAGCGGAAAATGAGCTATGGAACTCGACGAACGAGCAGGAGGAAAAGCGGTCTTCTGGTCCCCGATGATCGTAATGACCCAACCGTTATTCCCAGTTCATCCTTCCTCGGTTTCCTCGAACGCTTTCCCTGGAGACTGGGCGCCCGGGGACTCAAGTACAGACCGTCCGCGGCTGACCTTCAGGAGCACCCGACAGGGTTGCGACGACATGTTTATGAGGAGAGTCCTCTGATGGAGGCCGCAGAGGAATCCGATAGCCGGGTGGCTAATAGTCGCAATGCACGATACCGGAGTTCGACACAATCGTCACGGGAGACGACGAATTCGCTGAGTTCGCGAGGCGATTTGATTCCAAGCGATGAAGAGGAGGATGCAGTCCCTCTGGATGATGAATTTGCCATGATTCTTACCAGCCGTCGAGGAACAGGCCTGGAGTCGGACGACCAAGGAGGAGATAAACCAGAAAGTATGAGGTCTACGTCTGGCACCTTCAGCTTAGCATCCTCCAAGGCGTCGAAGAGGAAGAGAAAGAAGCAGAAGATGCGCGCCAGCCGCATGCGGTCGCCCCAGAGCTCATACGCAGACGTCTCTCATGATGCGACACCCATTTCGATTGAGGATCTGAAGAGGGAGGAAGAGCAGATTGAACAAGAAGAGGAATCCGAAGTTGCACGGAGACGACTTGCTGCCCAGCAACTCGCGCTGAGCCGAGGCATTAGCTTGGGAAATATCAGGGTAAGTTATTGGAGTGAATGCGCGAGATATTCGCGGACGTCCCCATTGCCTCCATGCTAACCGCAACCTTCCAGACTGCTTCTCTACCACGATCCTCAACCGCATCTTCAGATCTCGCCCACCGTGCTTCCTCTGCCAATATGCGGCCGCTAGAGTCAGGTGGTGAGCATGACTTGACCGATGGGCGTTCCAGGATATCACGACGCGAGTCAAACTCGCACCTGGACGAGGAAGATTCACGAACTGAGCCATTTCCACCTTTCCCCATGACGCCCTCTTTGCCATCACCTGAGGTTAATTCCATGCATGATGATCCCACAGGACACAGTGCACAACTACGTAAAACCAAGGACGATTCCTCAAACCACGCTCCTGAAGATGACGGTACGGCATAAGATGAAGCGAGCCTCCTGTTCTACGCACTGGTTTGCTGGTCAAGCCAGTACTTCGCGCTTAAGACACCTCCCAACACCAGGGATCTGTCCGGTTGTTGAATGCTAGATATTACGATTCTTCCCCCCCCCCCCCTTGTGATACCCTTATATACCTGTATATTATGATATGACTGATGACGCGAAAACGGTTATACCCGATATACTTTGACCGAATCGAAACGAAACCTGTTAGAGCTCTGCGTATTCTCGTATTCTATTACACTATTACAACGTGTTATCTAGGACAATAGTTATGTTATATTCTCACGTTTTTAGTCCGCCCTGCGTAGGCTGAAAGGGATGAAAAGCCAGGGCGGGTCTGAAAAACGGAAACAGGAAGTGTACTACTTGCAGAGAAAGAGTTCACATTCCTATTAATATTGCGCTTGTCCCTTGAAGGACGGTGACCCATCTATCGATCATGGAGGCAAACGGCCGATGATATGGTCTGGTTGTTCTTGATGAGCGCGTGGAAGGAAGGGAAAAAAAAAAAAAAAAAAAGGTATCCCATTTCGAGTGACGGGGGAGGGGGGAAGATGCAAAGATTTCGAAAATAATTGGCAAGAGATGAGAGATATTGTACACGTAGTTGACTATATACAAAGCCTTGTTTTTTTTTTTCATGGTAAACATTAGTGGTTTAAAGGTACAGGGGGATAGGATATATATGACTGACCAGTCCTCCGAGAACGTCATGTCATGTTCAGCGAGGAAAAGTGTATGTCTAATGCAGAAGGAAAACAAACAAGTCCTCGGCGTCAACTGTGACCATGTCATCGGGCAAGGCCGAGAAAAGCAGGCAAATGTAAGCCAAGGGCTTAGATCATGGGTTGGTTGGGTTGCACTTTAGGCAGAAGCATGGGCACCTTCCACGTCTGCAGGAGACGCTCCAGAATCATCAGGGTTCATGGAAAGCTTTCGCACCTCCCAGCCTTCAGGCTCGGCCCAATCCTTCTTCTCACCCAGAAGGCAAACAGATCGTCGAGAGCCGTCGACGAGGAATGTTTGCGCAACCTCGTTTACATCCTTTGCAGTGACATCCAACACCTGCTCTCTCCAACGCTGGTCCATTTCGTAGGTGATGCCACTCACGAAGTACCGGGTTCCTTCCTCATCAACACTCACTGGGGCATCGAGGCCTTGGAAAATACCCAGCTTGGCCTCGTTGATTTCTCGATCAGACCAAGCACGGTCTCTTGCGAACACACCGCTGTTCTGGAAAACCTTGAGAGTGTTGATAGGGTTAGGGTCACGGTAGCTAGTAAATGCGAACATTCCCTTAACCGGGCCGTTACTGGCTCCCGCGCCATATGCTCCTCCCTTTTCTCTAATCTCAGGATGAAGATAGTTATGGGTGAGAAGCTGAGAGAGCACACTCAGTGCGGCACTGGACGAGTGTGTAAAAGGAACAGTAGGCAGAGCCAACCCGGAGTAGTAGACCTTGTAAGGCATGTCATAAAACGCCTTCGTTACAGCCAAATTTGAGGCAAAGGCTTCCGGAGCCGAGGTTGGCGACTGAATGTCTGGCAGACCGCCAATCCATTTTTGCAAGACGGACTCATTGTGGCTAGCACTGCTAGGCTCGCACACAACACGCACACGGAGTCCTGAAGTCTTAGAGACCGCGAAGGATTGGATCAGACGAAGCTTTTCGATCAGCTCGGCAAGGCGCTCAGGGGAGGTTTCAGCATCGCGAAGAAGATTTGCGGTCGCTTGCAGTTGTGCCAAACCAGCCTGTTGCTCTTGTACCCAGAAACTGCGCGAAAGACTTGCAGCAGCGGCATTCAGCGCATACCGATGACCAGTTCCAGCGACGGAGTCGAGAGCTCCGTTAGTGGTAAGTCGCAGCAGCTCCTGGATCATTCCAGGTGCGTAGGGGCTGGTAAAGTCCGTCTCTGTAACAAGGGTGGTCAAAATCTCGAGCATCTCTGGGATGTTTTTGTCCAAAGCGAAGCCAGAGAACTGAAGGCCCTCGGTGAATCTTCCAAGTTCAGTTGGAGACGAGGTGTGGAAAGACGAGGTCGAGACACCGCCAGTCTTTAGCTTGATGAGGTCCTCCCATTGCTCCATGGATCTGGTTGGGGTTCCGAGACGCATGATGCAATCATTGAATAGGGGCAGAAGTAAACGTAGATCATCAGGAAGATCTGCAAAAGCATTGAGTGCCTGGAAATACGTCAAACCGTTGGTAGGTGCCTCGCGCCATACAACTTCTGTATCGTCAACTTTGGACTCGCGAACTGGCTTGCGCTCCTTGTCGCGTGAGATATCTTCAACGCGCAGAGAGGGCAAACAGCTGAGATCAGCATGCTGGGCTTTTTCCTGAATTTCAAGCAACTGGAGCTCTGCTTTGCCAAGCTCACTAACTGCCTTTTCAACAGAGCCATACTGCGCAACTAGCTGTTCAAACTTCTTCTCCTTTCGCACCATTTCCTTGTCATCTAGCTCTTTGTTAAAAGAAGGTGTGCCGACCATTGTGAACGTGAGACAATTGTCGTTCATGAGGTATTTCTGCATCAAGGATTCGAGGTAGCCTCCTTTTTCGTATTTGCTCTTGAAAGCATTGACGATCTCATTCCAGGCAAGCTCCTTCATGGGGTCGGAGCCATTAAACCAGGACGAGATCGTTTTCTGGATAACACCGAGACCAAAGTTGGTGGTCTTATGCCGTAAAGCAAGTTCCATCTGGTGAAGGAATCCCTGAACCTTCTCGTCATTAAAGCCCTTAGACAAGGATTCTTGGAACACTCGCTGGATTTCCTCTTTCACACAAGGTGCCTGATCTTCGCTCACACCGTTCACACCGATTGAGAAAATGGGAACCCTGCCTGAAGTATCGATGCCTGTGTTTGGTGTAAATGAGGAACCTAAGCCGCTCTCAATCAAGGCCTTATACATCGGCGATCCATAACCATCCAACAACAAAGAGGAGAGGATACCGGCAGAGAATGTTTCGACAATATCTGTGGTATCACCCATGTACCATGAGGTGGAAGTCTTGAATTGCTTGTCTTCACTAGCAAATGTGTCAATTGGGCCCGGAACAGTCACATTCACGGGACCCCGACTAAGGTCCATGGGCATCTTGACCGTCGCATCCGATTCTTCCTTTAGAAATCCATCTAGTACGCCTCCGACTTGCTTTAGGTGACCGTCTAAGGGTAAGTCACCATAGGTCAGGATTTTAGCGTTGCTAGGATGGTAATTCCGTTTTGAAAACTTCACGAGTTCGCTGTGAGTCAAGTCGGTGATATACTGAGGGTCACCTCCGGAGTTGTTAATGGCGGGGAAAATGTTTTCCTGGAATCTAATCCAATAGAGATAGTTCGCATCCGACATCTGACCTTTCATCTCATTATACACGACACCTTTGAATAGGATGTCTTCTGGTTTCAAATTTCCCTCTTGAGTCTGAATAGCTCGAGGATCCTCGGGTCCCAGACGCCAGCCTTCCTGCCTAAAATCTTCCTCCTTCAAGAGGGGATGAAGAGTAGCATCCAGGTAAACAGACAAGAGATTTTGGAAATCTTGCTGATTCGTTGTCGCAAAGGGATAGGTGGTATGATCGGATGAGGTGAAAGCATTCATGAAGTTTGAAAGGGATCGAGGGAGCATCTTGAAGAAAGGATCCCGGATAGGGTACCTGAAGAAAAAAGACCGCAAGGTTAGAACATCACAAAGAGCACACCCGAGGAAAGGCTGCTTACTTCTCACTACCGCATAAAGTCGTATGCTCCAAAATATGGGGCACACCAGTAGCATCCGGGGGGTTTGTTTTAAATCCGATTCCAAAAACATTGTTCTTATCATCCCTAGCCACATGGAGGTAATCGGCATGTGTCTTGTCGTGTCTCAATCGGACCGCTGTGAGGTGTAATTCCGGGACATGCTTCTTTTCTTGGACGGTGAAGCCGTGCAGTTGTTCTCCCACCTCAGGGAAGCTGTCCAGACTGGTGACAGAGGCATATTTGCGTGTCTGACTCCATTGAGTCGCTGTAGAGGCAGCCTTCAGCCAGCGACCGCCGACAGATGGCCTCAGAGCCGGGACTCGATGCTTGCCAAACCCAAGCGATGAACGAAGCATGGCGTCGGGAAGCGTCGAACGAGTGAGACCCCTCCAGAATACCCGTGTCCCGTGTTGTAGGATAAACTGGCTTCAGTATTCCGTTGGTGAGCTGCGGTGGCCAGGCTTGGTACCGAATCTAACCCGGAGCAAGTGTTGGAGAAGGTGGCACCGGTCCAGCCGGAATCGAGCACTACAGGTGAAGGACGACGAACGGACGGGACTGAATGGAAATTAACCAGATAGCACTGTAAAGAGGAAGCAGTTGAAGTCGAAAGACCAAGGAAAAGTTGAAGCTGAGCTGGGGATCACAGAAAGAATCATCCAAGAAATGCCAAGAGAAGATTTTCAAATCGGGCTAGTGTTGGTCAAGTGCGCAGACCCTCCCCTCTCACGACTGGATTCAATCTTCCCCAAGAAGGTCCTCGAAACCTATCCTGTCGTTCACGCTTCGATATTTGCCCGTGTGGTTTTTCGTCGTCGAGGCCTTACAACACTTTGCTACCGTCCGCGGGCTTTCTTTTGGCTTTGCAGAGCTTGGTTGTCGTGGGATCTGGGAGATCCATCTCCTCCGAGTTCTGCAAGCCTGGCATAAGGCCCTCAAGGATCTCCGCTATTTGCAAGGGGAATTGAATAGTCACTGTTGACCACATTGGTTCTTTGGATTGTCACAAGCAGCATATTCAACGCTGTCCCGAGCTCCTGGAGTTGTCGACGTGGCTCCCAGTCCAGTCACACACTGACTGACTCTGCTAACCACCGCCGTCCCGGCTTCGCATTTTTTCCTTTTTCGTGGACCGACCACGCGACCGCCCCCGAACAGTTCGTCAACTGGTTCGACTTGCCTGGTTTGATCGAGACGAAGCGGTAAATCATGTCCTCTACTGTAATGTCGAAAAAAAACAAGGGGAAGAAGGTTGCGGACCCCAACGAGACCTCGAAGCTTTTGGCCGCCAAGATCTCACAGTTGGAACAAGATGCAGCGGGCGAGAAGGACCAAGAGGCGGAAATCGGTGCGTTTTCATTTTGCCCTCCCGGGTTGTATATTATACGGATTTATTTTGCTGTTACGTGGATTTTCGTGGAGAATTGGGGACTAACAGGTACTTGCTGTAGAGCGTGAAGTGAAGAAGGCTACGAGAGATTTGAACCAACTTCTCACCACCATCGAATCGCCAATGACCCGTCTCGAGACCGTCCACAAAAAGTACACAGAACTTCTGGCTGACATGAAAAAATTGGATCGCGATTATGCCAAAAGTAAGAAACGGGCTGATCAGCTCCAAAAGGATCAGGACAAGGGTAAATCGGAGTTAAATAAAACGGTTACTATGAAAGATAAGTTGGAAAAGCTCTGTAGAGAGCTCACCAAAGAGAACAAGAAAGTCAAGGTGGGTTGCTTCATGCTAATCGGCGTTACCTTCTGTACCCCATACACCAAATCTAGGACAGAGCTAATCCGCTGTGGGGCGACCAGGATGAAAATAAAAAGCTGGAGGAGACCGAAAAGAAGGCCCGCTTGATTGTTAATGAACGTCTTGATTCTCTTTTGTACGATATCCAAGACGTCATGGCCGCCAAGGGCAATCCTCGCAGTGAGAAAGTGGACATCGACCTGGACGAAGCGTAAGTCGCCAGACACTATTCCTGGGCTCCTGTCTAAAATCCTATAGTCTCCGAGCCAAGATCAAGACGATTGGTGAGAAATTTGAGATGCGCGAACTACACTACAAGGCGTTGCTACGCAGCAAAGATGCTGAAATCCAATGTCTCACGGCTAAGTATGAAGAACAGCGACGAGCTGCAGAGAACGAAGCGGCTCGCTGTCGAGCCCTAAGCTCTCAAGTGTCTACTTTTTCTCACACAGAGTCCGAATTGCGTAGCCAACTGAATATTTATGTGGAAAAGTTCAAACAAGTATGACGATACCCAAAAAGACTCAGCATTAATTTAAAGTTGCTGCTAACAATGTTTCTTTTTTAGGTGGAGGATACACTGAACAACAGCAACGAGCTCTTCCTCACTTTCCGTAAAGAAATGGAGGAAATGTCGAAAAAGACTAAACGGTTAGAGAAAGAAAATCTTACACTCACCCGCAAACACGATCAAACGAATCGCAATATACTAGAAATGGCAGAGGAACGCACAAGGAATCATGAAGAACTCGACAAGTGGCGAAAGAAAAGCCATCACCTCGAAGCGCTTTGTCGACGAATGCAAGCCCAGGGCCGTGGCCAAGGTCTCGCTGCTGAGCTAGACAGGGATGACGAAGGAACAGAGAGTGAATACGAGGAAGACTACGAGGATGAGGAGGATGAGGATGATGAAGAGAAGAAGAAGAGGCATCAGTGACGACGACTATGAGCTTGACAGCGCCAACGGGGATCAGCCGCAACAACCGGAGAAGCCAGTTTTTGGCCCGCCGCCGCCACCCAATCTTTTGGAAGCACGAGCCAACGGGAGTAAGGCGGTGGTAAATGGATGCCACTAGTTATCTTCGTTGGGAGGAAACGGAGCAGGTGGTTTTGTCCGCTGCGCACACACCTGTTGGAGTATATTGTTGCGGTGACAGTGTTGGCAATCCTACCCACTTCGGCAGGCTGTAAATCATTTCTTGACGTCTTAAAGAGAGCTGCGTATTGCCAATGCTGCTTGTAGCCCCTGGGTTATTTTGGAATTGTGCTTGTCTCTATACAGACCTCGTAGCAACGGAAGAACACTCACTCTGTTTCCCCGGGGTTTCACCTCTTATTATGTTGTTGTTCCAGATGGTTCTGAAGTTTTACTCAGTTGATATGTTGTACTTGTATATGCTATGTAACCCACGTCTTAAAACATACGTATGAAATCATGAGATTCCTCCCACCGACTTTTGCTTGAGTATAGAGTCCAGCCCAATCACCCACAGGCAAGAAATGTAGACTCGACAACCACAGCGCGAGAAAACGAAGAAATATATACCTTATAGCTTACTTGGCGGACCAGTGGTATATGCAACTCCCTGCTTCAAAAGGCCGGCAGCCTGTTGGACCATCTCACGGAGAACATCCCCAGCGGGCTTGATTTCCTTGATAATACCAGAAACATCACCCATGAGAAAGGGAATGTCAAAGTCTTTGTCATTATTAAGGTCATGTTCCAGCGGGACAATTCCCTGAGACGTCAAGCTCCGAATCTCCTCGGGGCGCTTCTCCCACTCCTTGATATAGTCATTTGGCAGCATCCGCAGCGGCCGTCCGGACACAACCAGAGTACGTTTGGTATCGCCGTACTGAGCCCCGACAACAGCCTCCTTGTGCAGCTCACTCGCGCCACTCTCCGTAGTAGCAAGGAAACGGGTACCAACCCAGACCCCCGCCGCGCCCAGCATCAACGCCGCCGCCAGGCTGCGTCCATCGTGGACGCCTCCCGCCGCAACCACCAGCGGCGTTTGGCCGGTCATAGGACTCTTGTACTTCTGCACCGTATCCACAACCGCCGGGATGAGGACAGAGAAGGGAATATCACCGGTATGGCCGCCGCCCTCGCCGCCCTGCGCACAAACGAGATCCACCCCGAGCTTGAGCGCCTTCTCCGCATGCTTCGGGTGCCCGATCATATTCATGACGAGGATGTCCGCGTCGTGCAGCTTCCGAATCACATGCGGGGCCGGCACCCCGACGGCACAGACAAAGAGCTTCGCGCCATGGGCGATGATAACGTCAATCAGCTGGTCCAGCTGGCCGTTGGTGTAGTCGTGGTTGGTCCTGCGGGCGTTGCCACCAACCTGCGGGAGGGCGAGATCAACGCCAAACGGAAGGGATTTGTCCTTCAGCAGGGACTTGAGCTCCGTCAGCATCTCGTCTATCTGTTCGGGCGTGTATCCAAGGCCCCCGATGACTCCGAGGCCGCCTGCGTTGGAAACTGCCGCGGCGAGGGGAGCTCCGGAGGCTTTGGCCATGCCTGCGAGGAGCACGGGGCTGTCGATGCCCAGCAGCGAGCACAGAGGGGTATGGATGGACATTGTGGTCTCAAAATACAGGAGAATTTGGATTAGAAGTGAGTTTGTCTATCGGACAATGTCAGTTGAAAACACTATTCAGGGAAGTTCTATCTGTGGTGGGTCGGATATGTATGTTACATATAGTTAACTATGCACCTGCTTTTGTAGTAAGCTTTGTATACACCCAAAATAGGGGCGGAGAGAATCTCCCAACACAGAAATAAAAAGACCCACGCAAAGTAGAAGAACTGATGCACTGTTCATAATTTCCAGGATTTCCAGGATTTTTTTTCTCCTTTGTGTAGTTCAGCTCGAGTCAAAATGCGGGGAAGCAAAGCAGCCTCGACGGACCGAGGCATTATTATTATGCTTCTTCCTCGCTCGGGGGGAAACCGAGTAACTTTGTTGTCATTTAACTACTAATCAACTTGGAACCTACATACTGGCGCGAGCCTAAAGAATACCTATAGTGGTGAACGGTAGCTTCAACTTGCTGGGTATTGAGAAGAATGTATTGAATATGATTGTGAACTAAACTTTGTACAAGTCACGGCGGTTATCGAGTCTCGAGGGTTACCTTCAAGCACCAAACAACCCCCGATGGAGAAAAGCTGACATCAATCGGAGGAGGGGGGAAGGAGAGAAAACGTTTCTAATCACAGGCTTAACAAAGAGGCAAAAGCCCAAACTAACAGACCAGCCCAAGACCGCACTTTATCCTTTTCTGCTGATCCTGTCTGCGCCACTGCCTTCACTCCCCCGGTCTCTGTAGGGGCAACGTTTTTGCGTGTTCTGGCCAAGGAAATGGTTAGCTTCTCACAGCGCCTGGCAGATTGAGGGAGGTGCACTCACTCATCATGCCTTATCTCGGTAGTGGCCGACCCGGAGTTTACCTCTGTCGCCTCTGGTAGTCCGAGAGCTGCGTTTGATATGTATGGATTGTCAATTGGACCTGGCGGCGGTTGATAGTAACCCACTGCTCCTTCAGGAGCAGTTGCAAGGGACCCCGGTAGGCTTCGTTGGAAAATATTGTGTGGTAAGCCGCGCAGAACGGAATTGAGGCTAATTGCGGAGGTGACGATACATGCCGACAGACTGAGAATCAGAAAGTTGCCCAGCAAGCGACTCAAACTAGATCGAATCTGCATTTTCGGTAACAACAGAGAGGAACCGGATTCTAGGGCTTGGTTGTACTGAACTTGGATGTTATCTGGGACGAACTCAAGGCTTGGGAAGACGGCGAATTATGAGAGAACCACTCCAATGTTGTTTACCATGTTGAGCGGCATTTCTGAGTGAAAAATGATGCGAGAATGTATTGATTACATTGATTCGTTCCACTCGACGCAATGATTTGAATGCTGCTACCTTGTTTGGGAGAAGTAGCAATACCACCACAAGAATAACAAGAGGATGCACCAATCAATAGTGTTCTCTCATTTCAAGATCAAGACATTTGGACTTGGACAGTCTACTATTGGCATGCGAAGGGGGAGTTTGGTATGCGGTGGCGCCCTGGATAACGAACTCGATCTTGTCTTTTCCCCCGATCTTTCCGCACGCCCTATAATTAACGATAATCAGTGTGATTGTAGCTTATCTTTCATAGTTGACTGAGTCGTAATTGCGTTTGTTCACTGGGTGATGCGAAGTCCTTGGAGGTATAGAGTTGTAATCATTGAGTCCAATTGCATCACATTCCATCTCTTGCCTTCCACGAGATAACGCAGAATCCAAGTCCAAGCAGCTATTCTTTGTCTCAGACATTAAGCTCAATGGCATTTGGCAAATCAATCTAGAACCGGCACCATCATTATGAAGCTGTGAATGCACCTAAATCACTCTCACTCAGGCGGCTCAGTCCAGGACGAGCTATAGTTGGTCAATATCCTGGAAATATCTCTGGGGAACCAGGCTGATGCATTATTTATACCCAGATTTAAAGTAGAAGAGATCATTTTAGAACCTCTCATGGCTGTTGACAATATAAAAAGTGAAGGTGAAGGTGAAGATGAAGATGGAGAGGTTGCCCAAAGCGGTAACTATGGGTAATTACGCAACGCCAAAAGACGCGTGATTCGCGTTGGTGTCCAACTCGGTCAATCCGACAACGACTTCAACCTCAATTGCTCATTTCTCACCCACTCAGTTGCTCGGAATTGCTTTGGTTAATGTGGGAATTTTCAATCAAATTGAAATAGTACTCGGGAAGGGAAATCCACAGCAAAATGGCCATCAATCCCGCAGAACAGGAGTTCTTGCGCCCTCCCAGGTTCGCATTTGCGCATCCCCTTCAAGATCTTTTTTTACTGCTTCAAACTAACCTGGGGGATTTTCTCTACAGTGGGGAACAATATGAGCCGATATATCGAGAGCCTGCTTTTTATAACCCCTTAGATACATTCCAACTCCCCCCTGGTACAGAGAGACAATACCAACAACAATATGGCGATATGTATTTCCTGCGGCTCGCAAAGCTGAAGCCGGCAGTGGAGGAAGCTGCAGTGGAGGCCTGGGAAGGATTTAGTGTACGCTTTTCCGTTGTGGATAGCTCCAGAGAAGCAAGATTTGGACTGAGGAGCCTCTCAAACTTGCATGCTAACTCAGGAGCCACGATAGATTGCAGGAGAACATGCCCGTCGCGTGGAGAGAGTGTTAGATGTTCGACAAGGAGAATTGTGCTGGGTTGCGGGCACAGTATACATGGAGATGCCATTGAAACCTAATATTCTGGATGATCTTACAAAAGATGTAAGCTCTTCGGCTCATCTTATTTGTACGATGGATTCTAACATCTTCTAGAATTTCACATTCGCTCCTGCTCCTCGACGCACATATAACGATCCTTCAAATCCCGAGTCAACGCAGATTATGTTAGAAGACGAGTCCGGCCGCATACGACTAACCGGGAGCAAGCTCAAATCGACTCAACTAGCAACCGGAGCTGTGGTGGCAATTCTTGGGACTGAGAACGCCAATGGTGACTTCGAGGCGGTGGATATCAAGGTCCCCGATCTAGCTCGACAACCGCGCCGATGGGAGAGAGAACAAACGCCTCCCTCACCGAAAGGTACAAGGAAGGGAAAGATTGCTTTGGTGAGTGGTCTTGATATTACAGGGACTTCCAGCGACAGCCTTACTCTCGATCTCCTCTCGGACTACCTTCTTGGCTATACAGGGTCCTCGGGACACGATGATGGTTCACCACCAGACGCCTCTACTATTACAAGGTTAATTATCGCCGGTAATTCTATTGGCACTGACTTGACTGGAGAAGCGGCGCTACCTCCCGATAATGGAACCTCGGCGAAAAAGAATGGAGCTTCGAGAAAGTATGGATATGATGCATCAACATATAATGCCTCCCCAATCACGCAGTTTGATTCCTTCCTTGCAGAGCTCCTGCCGAGTATGCCTATCACGCTCATGCCAGGTGAAAACGACCCGGCAAATTTTGCGCTCCCACAGCAGCCTATGCACCGCGCTCTGTTCCCGCGGGCTAGGGCATACTGTGCTCCTCCACCATCAGGTGAGGATAAACCGGAACCAGGTTGGTTTGACAGTGTCACGAATCCATGGGAAGGAGACGTTGAGGGCTGGCGCCTCTGGGGCTGTAGCGGCCAGAACGTGGACGACGTACTCCGATATCTGGATTTCGCCGACGACGAGAATGGTGATACTAATGGCGCTGCGGAAGCAAGGACACGGGTTATGGAGGCTATGCTGCGGTGGAGGTGTGGTGTTCCCACCGCTCCGGACACCATCTGTAAGAGTATCTCCCTCCTTGAATCATGATCCAGTTGCTGACATGGGATGTGTAAAGGGTCTTATCCGTTCCAGACGCATGATCCATTCGTCATGAAAGCCTGCCCGCATCTCTTCTTCACGGGCAACCAACCCCAATTCAAAACCGCCATTATAGAAGGAGATGCTCCCTCGAACCCGAATAGAGAGGAGGACACCGAGATGGGCGGCACGGATGAAGACATCCCCCTCCAAACTGTCCGACTTATTTCTATTCCCAAGTTCCGGGAAACCGGCGAGCTTATCCTAGTTGACATGGAGTCGCTGGAGGTGGAAGTCGTCAAATTCGGGACGTTTGCAGGACAGGAAGAGAAGCAATGATTTTTCCACGAAGACATATATATATATATATATATATCATGGTATCAACTGGGGGATTAATTCTTGCAATGTAAACATCCCCCCTAGTCTAGCAGATTGCGATGTACTTCACGCCAAGACTTGCAGAAAAATCAAAGAAAAGCTTCAAATTCTCGCTCCCACATCAACCTCCCTCCGTGCATCTTTCTGATCCAGACCGTACAAGAATCCGGCGTAGAACAACCGAATCGCAATGCTTCTCAACGCCACAACCGGTGCGTACGTCTCAAATCAATCCAGACAAAGTCAAGGCTAATACCAGCACACGCAGCCATCTCCACCTCCAAGGTGCTTCTAGTCCCATACGCGAAATGGCATGTTCTGCGATATCACGAATGGATGAAGGACGAGGTAACCGCGCTTTCCTTCCGCACCTAATCTAATTAATATATATACTACATTTGCTATATATATATATATATATATATATATATATCTAAACCAACCAATCCATTCTAAAATCCCCACGCTAGGAAATCCAAGAAGCAACAGCTTCCGAACCCCTCACACTAGAGGAGGAATACGCCATGCAAGAGAGCTGGCGCAACGATCCCGACAAACTCACATTCATCATCTGTCTCCCGGCACGCAATCCACACGGAAACACCCCCCACCTAACCGAGGAGTGCGACGCGCCGGCCCGCATGGTCGGGGACATCAACCTCTTCCTCCGCATCGAGGACGGCGGCGAAGAAGGATCCCGGCCCCAGATCATCGGGGAGATCGAGCTCATGATCGCCGAGAAAAAGGACCAGCGGCGCGGGTTCGGGAAGGCTGCCCTTTTAGCCTTCTTACGGTATGTCATTGGACACGAGAAGGACCTTGTCCGGGAGTTCTTGAGCAGGGATGAGATGGAGGGGTCGGATGCGAAGATTGCAGCGCTGAGTGTGAAAATCGGACAAGCGAACGAGCGCAGTCTTGCATTGTTTGAGGGAGTACAGTTCAGAAGGATCAGCGCGGAGCCGAATTATTTCAGGGAGTGGGAGTTGAGACGCACGGATTTGAGACGCGTGTCTGTTGAGGATGCGTTGGTGGGAGCAGGGGTTGGAGGGTATGTGGAAGTGCTGTATGAGCGGAGTCAGTAGGTTATATTATATATACTTCTTCTTCCTTCATATTCATATCACTGGTTGTTCCGGAATAAAAAGGTAGGTAGATATCGCGGTTTAATATGTATATATATATATATATATAGATCACGTATCAAGTACAATAGATTTGATTAACCCATGCATTTTTAAAATTATTCTGGGCATATTTCACAAAACCTATACTTCAGAGCCTATATGATGTAGAGAGAAAAAAAAAAAAGGGGGTGTAATGAGTGAAATAATGTGATATGTACATTCAATCAAGCCCCGTGTATTGGAGAAGAATCTTATAGGAAACACGCCACGGGCATGGCTAGCATCTAGGACAAAATACTCACTACACTATTGCAGTTTGTAACTACTACGGATAAAAGAGGGACCAGAGTTGATCTGATCTAGCCGCTGTAAAGCTCCGGCCCAGGCATGGGGTAGGAAGTAGCACCCGCGTAAAGATTAAACAAGATACCAGGGTCGGTAGGAGTGTAAAAAGTAGTGGCCGAGGTGCCTGTCGGGTTGGCAGTGCCGCTGCCGCTGATTTTAAGATTAAAGCACTGAGGGTAATTCTGAGCGCCGTTTTTCTGGCCAGCAGAATGAAGGCCAATGATTTCGTGGCGCAGGACGTAATTTCCTGGGGCAATGGAAGAAGGAATGCTAAGCGTAGCAGTGAAGTTGTCGGCAATCATATCATCGGTGATCCACTTATTAGCAGACGCGTCAATGAGGGCGTCGGCTTGGATCTTCACAAACTTCAGGCTGGTCTTGTCAACGGTGGAGCAGTCGCCGTTGCACTTGGCGAGATAGTTGATGATAGGGCCCTTGTGACTCTCGGGCCAGGTGTTCCAAGTAATCTCGATGGTGCTGCCAGCAGCGACAGGGGCACTGAGAGCGGCGGGAGTAGCCCCCCTGTGACAGATGATATCGTCACTTGTGTAGGAGTCGGGGGCGACAAAGCCATTGTCAGTGACTGTGGTAGACCAGCCATAGCAGTCAGGTGGGTCTTTCATGTAGTAGTAGTTATCAGCAATCCATCCTCCGTATCTGGGGGAAGTAAAAGTCAATAAATTGTATATCTAACAATTGCAGCCTTTAAGACAACATACGCTTTGCCGTCAATGACGAGACTAGTAGCGTAACCGTGGCCAGCAACAAGGCTGGCAGAGGCTAGGAAGCCAGCAAGAGTCGCGATCTTCGAAAGAGTCATGGTTGAGGGAGTGTAAAGAGGATATCAAAACCCAGAGCCAATGAGTAAAAGGACTGGCTTGACTAGAGGCGTGGTGAATGAGATGAAAACAGACTGTGAAAGGAGACATGGTCAACGAGGTAGCTCGCAGACTTATACTTCAGCAAACCGCTCCTGTATCCTATGCGACACAGAACGTTAGTCCGACTATTGTCATTGGGTTGTAGCAGAGTCCTGCTCCACACGCTGGGCCATTGTTGAAACTGTGACGCCCGGGTCAAGACTACGAAATTAGCCGGATGCACCCTTAATGTCAGTTTCCTGCACGGGAGGGCTTCAGAATATAGTCCCAAGACCTTAGTGAATTTTGAATCTTAGCCACCCGCACAGATTCCAACTGAATTTCCAGGGTTTCATTCATGTTGATGAGGGGGAAATGAGGGTAGCATTGATATGTTCGCTATACTGACGATCCCTTAGGCTCTGCCGAGGTGACGGACCGATTGAAGTGAGCTGTGTACAATTGATTAGACGGAGAATCCTGCTACAGCAACATTAACAACAAGAGACACTTGTGCCTAAAACAGACCCAGCATATCCCTGACGTATAAAGACGCGGAGTCCTTCCATGTCTCCAAGACGGACCATGTCAGGAAGAATGCCGTGACCTGAACAGGAATGATGTGCGTTGTATCGGGGAGCAGTTCTCATGATTCGAGGACGACGAGTTTTGTGCCTGGAACACCCCCTCTTCCGCTCCTCGGATTTCGCAAGTTCAGGTCTACAGAAACTTGGAATCTATCCGAGTTAATAACGGAATGGTTGGATGAATCGGGTATCACACCGCGGTCCTCACCGTTGAAAAGACGGAGGTGGAGAGAAGCGCGGAGTGGCTTGGAGCTCTCGAGTCGTCGATCCTCTCTGGATCATAGAGAGTTGCCCGGCTCTGCCCAAACAAGTATAGGAGGGTGATGAAAATAAAGGCCGTTTCAGGCTCACCGGGATAGCCTGCCAAGACGGGTGTGTAGGTCTTTTCTTCCGGGTCAGTTTCGTCCGAGACGTGCGTGCATCTTGTATCAGGTCTACATTGGTTCGTATACGTTGGACATTGACCTAGGATCAGCAGGTCCACTCTACAAGCCCAAGAAACAAAAGGACTTCGCTGTGTACCCACGGACGCCAGGGGATAAAGAGAGGTCCAAAACAACGATGATACAGGATCAGTGTTGTCCACAAGTTCAAGGCCATCGGGATACCGAAAGGAAGCATCCACGGGGTTTCAAAATTTTTAATTTCTGCCTCTGCATTATCTTGTAGACACGAGGAAACAGCTCGGACTAAGCGATTTCTTCGAAAGAAGTGAAGGTTATGCAGGTCATCTGATCGCAGTTGGATATGCCGTCTTCTCTGACATCATATCATGCTTTGATGACAGCAACCGGGAGCCAAATACCATAACGTTCAATCCATCAAAGCAACAGGGGGAATTGACCATTCCGGTGTCGGCTCGCACCAGCATCCATGTCCGATATGATTTTTCTATAAGACAGGTTGTATTATGCTTCGAAATTCCGTGTACTGTCCTCCCACTTCCCGGTCTGTCTTTTTTTTTTTTTGTATTAATCAAGACATTTACAGAGCCTTCTTCTTGTCACCCTTGGACACGTCGACAACCTTGAGAGCTGTAGGATATATGACATCAGTAATTGATTTCCCAATCAGCAGGGTGTTTTCCTCCTTGGACGCCTGTAGTTCCAGAATCCACCATTTGTATCCATACAAAAAGCCGGCGATTGTACCAAGGGGGGACGACTGAAAGAGGAAGCCGAGGATGACGCACCAGGGGGCAGGCTCTGCTTGAGCTTGTCGGCCTTGTCGGAGTCCTTCAGGACAAGGGTGTAGATGAAGCGTTCGCAGCGGACCTTGAACTTGATCTGCTGAGAGTTGCGGTTGCGCTTGATGCGAGCAGCTAAAAGAAAACAGCGACATCGTCCCTGGTCAGCTTGATCGCATGACTTGGAAGGTTGAACCGGTCGGTTTATGTCCCCGCGGGAGCTTTACGCTGGGGAGAGCTGAGGAGCAAACGTACAGGAGGCATCCTTGCGGCGGCAGATCTCAATGAACTGCTTGATATCGGAGACTTCGGAAGGCATGGTGGGCAGATGGGGATTAGCGACGTAGGTGTGATAGTCGGGGAAGTAGAAGAGGAAAGAGACACAATATCAATAGCAACAACCAAATCGCGATCTCGAAGCTCGGCGGCGGGCGGGAAACTAAACTGGGGCAGCTGGTTGTGTGGGATCTGTCCTAATTGGGGTGGACTAGGGCTGGAATGGTCAAACCCTGGGTTTATGCACCTGATGACTAATAATGCACGCTTTAGTTCTGTTTTATGCGTCCCGTGGCGTCGTGGCGTCGTGGCGTCTTGTACGGAGTAGGCGGCAGCATATTGACAACGTACATTATTTTATATTATATACTATAAGTAGAAGACACAGAAAACATCAGACAACCTGTCCCAAACTCATACTAGAATTCTTCTATATATCCTCTGATCCAAATTCTACCTATATCAACTCCACAGACAATTTTCAAGATGCCGACGCCCCTAGATCGCGCACTGAACTCAAAGGTATTCCATCCCACCCACTGATTATATATTGCGAGGAGTTGCTGCGGGAGCTAACAAAGTCAAAACATCTAGAATCTCTTTCTAGGTATTTTCATAAAGCAAGTCGTAATCAAACACCAAAAGAACAATCACAACTAACTAGTGTTGAGGCTTCGCGGGAATGGTCACCGCGGCAGCCGTGTGGGCCATTTGGGGCAATGAGATGCTCCCCCAAGAATCAGATCCAACCGGAGGCAAGCCTGCGCCTTCTCTTCAGACGCAGCCATCCAGCTGACTTTCTAGAAGATCCCAGCACATGGACACTTGAAGAGATGCACAGATGGCTTCGAGCGGTATGGTCTCTTCCTTCGTACACTTATCGTCCTATATCTTAACATATATCGCAGAGGGGGCTTTTGCCCGACGAACACGCCACACGCGAGGAGCTACTTGAACGAATCAAGGCGAACTTGCGGCCACCCCCAAGAGCCTCCTGATGGTTTTTCAACAGTTGCACCGATCCTTATTCTGGTTTTTTTTTGTAGTCGGCAGTAGATTTCCCTGGCTCTCTTTAACATATAATAACGTCAAATTGTGTTGTATGATTCCCAGGGCTTGGTTACATAGAATCCAATGTCGCTTTTGTCTCATTTTCTTCATATCTCCGTTTTGCGTAATAGCGGCTTTTCAAATCAAACAACCAGGCGGAAGTTTTGTGTTTGGATGAGCCAGTCCCGTTGCTTGCGCTTGCCTTTTGGTCCGTCGGCGGAGGAATATGGTACCAGCACGAAGGTTTCGCTGAAACCGCGCTGTGGGAGATCTCGCGACTCTCCGAAGCGGACAAAACCACTGACAATTACCAAAATCGAGATATCCTTTGTGGTGATTTGGTTGGGGAGCTTCACGCCGCTCGGAGTTGGGGTAGGGTATGATTTGTTGATTATTTGACAATCAAAGGACTGCACCTCGTAATGCGTCGGTGGCATCTGGTTGACAAATATGTCTTGAACTGCATTTCCATCGGCAACCGCGTTTCCGTTGAACAGGATGGTAGAGGTGGGAGTGCTATAGAATGATGCGATCACGGCGCGGTTTGACTGAAGAGCAGGATAAAACGACTGGACGAACTCAGTGGCCGCTGCAAGAGACAACAATGTTAGAGACCCGAGAAGATAAAGCTATCGAATAACATACCATCCGTGGAGACCTTGGTGAAGGTATCTTCACTTGGGGGAGCCATGATGTAGTTAGTGCGTCCAACCGACCAAAAACAAATAATGCAGAAGAAATATATAAAGATAGACAGAGTATCCAAAATTTAGATAAAAGAAATATAGTGTCTATGAAGCAAAAGATATGAAGTTGGGTAGGTAGAGAGAAGAGAGAAGAGAGAAGAGAGAAGACTGCGGGCAGGGAGAAGAAGTTAACCAAAAGAAAAAAAAAGAAGCTTGGACCACCGCGGAGGCCGCCAAAACCTCCGAACAGACTCGCTCGTCGACTTGTCTTCATCGGTTTCTTTCCTACGCTATTCACAAATGGCGACCCGGAGAGGAGGCTTTCGGGCCCTTTCATGGGCTAATCAGTTGCTAGCCCACCAGCGCCCTTCATGGAGATGTGCCTCCTGCAGAGTTGTTCGTCCCGCGCCCATCCTGTCTCCGCGTCGGTATACCACCACCTCCTCCGAAGGAGCTTCCAAAAAGCCCTACTATATCACCACTCCTATTTTCTATGTAAATGCCGGTATGGACTGTTCTTTATACTCGCATATAGCTGATTACTGACGAATCCTGTCTCCTCCAGCTCCGCATGTCGGTCACCTATACACCATGGTTATTGCGGACGTTTTGAAGCGATGGCGGGCTCTTATTGGAGAGGATGATGCACAATTATTGACTGGGACTGATGAGCATGGAATGAAGGTGCACAGGATATTCTCATAATAAAAAGTATGCTTTTATTTTGGCTTACTCTGAAGTAGATCCAACAAGCCGCAAGCGCCGCGGGTATAGACACTCAAGCTTTCTGCGACAGGAACTGCAAAACGTTCAGGGTTCGTGTCTCTTACACCGCGTTCGAATGACAAGCAATTGTTTCCAGGATCCTGATGAGTGCCTATAGGACCTAGCGAATGCTGCCAACATGGATTATAGTTACTTTATCCGGACAACTGAAACTGCACACAAAGAAGCAGTCCAGTACTTCTGGGTACGTTACTGGTCGATGAAGGGATCTACAATCAATGCTAAAGTAGTGTAGGAAATGTTACAACACCGGGGCTTCATATACACAGCGAAACATGAAGGATGGTATTCTATCAGCGACGAGACATTCTATCCCCAGTCCCAAGTTCAACTCTCGTTGGATCCCACCACAGGGCGGAAGAGGATGGTACGTATTGAACTGAATTTCTCCATGTGTAACGTTTACTCACATACCTCCAGGTTTCAGTCGAGACAGGCAAAGAAGTCGAGTGGTCCTCGGAAACAAATTATCATTTCCGCCTATCGGCTTTCCAAGATCGCTTGTTAGAATTGTATAAGACAGGATTCATCACTCCTGAACACTACCTGCCGGATGTGGTCAATTCGGTCTCTTCCGGGCTCCAGGACCTGTCGATATCTAGGCCAGTAGAACGGTTGACTTGGGGAATTCCTGTCCCGGGGGACAAGACGCAGACCATTTATGTGTGGCTGGACGCGCTCGTAAATTACTTGACAAAGGCAGGATATCCTTTTCCTCCCGGAGAAGGAAGCCGTCTTGGATGGCCGGTAGATGTCCATGTGGTTGGCAAGGATATTGTTCGGTGAGTTTGGAGCATTTCCTGGCGGAGTGAAGTCAATTCTGATAAAATCCAGATTCCACTGCGTATACTGGCCGGCATTCCTGATGGCCCTCGATTTACCCTTGCCCCGAAACGTTCTTGTTCACGGGCATTGGACCATGAATCGGGAAAAGATGTCGAAATCAACTGGAAATGTGGTTAACCCGTTTTTCGCCATTGACCGGTTTGGAGTCGATACTATGCGGTTCTTCCTTGCTTTCCAGGGTGGCCTAGCGTCGGATGCGGATTACGATAACGCCCACATCATTCGCGATTATAAGAAATTCCTCCAACAGGGAGTCGGCAACATTGCTCATCGTACTATCGGATGTTCCAAGGGGAAGCTCCGGTCGTATATAGAAAATGCTGTATCTGGCAATTCCCCAGAACAGGCTGCGGATAGGGAGTATCAGGAAGTGCTTAGCAAGCTGCCAACCAGGGTTGCAGAACATATGGAGCAGCTTAACCCACGGGCCGCTCTGCAAGAGATCATGGGGGTGGTTTTACAGGTCAGGAGGATCCCTCGCGTAATTCGTCGTAGACTGACTGACTACCTTGTTCAATACTGACTGTTTTCTCTTCCTAGACGAACAAGTATTTCCACAACTCCGCACCCTGGCGGGATCCGGAACAGCACCAGCGGGTGCTTTACAACGTGGCTGAATCGATGCGGATCACGGGGATCTTATTACAACCGTTCATGCCAAGCAAGTCCAAGGAGATCCTGGATGTTTTCCGTGTCGATAACTCTGACCCCTCAAAACGGAGCTTCTCGGCTGCCAGGTATGGGGCAGATCCGGATTACGGAGAGGACGTTAAGAAGACTATCTTGTTCCCACCTCTTGTGGTCGAGACATAGTCGTCATGATTGGCGAATTAGTTACAAAGGGAGGGAACCCTGGGAGCTGAATCGCCTTCCCAGTTTTTGGGAGAGGGTACCGTTGTAGAAGGCTGTTGGTATTGTCGCCAGCGGAAAGTCATTGAGGTCCTGGTTATCGATGGGCCCCGGCCGTCTCAAGGTTTCCTTTCTTGCTTATGCCTCGAAAGTCGGTCACGACGCCTCGCCACTCAGATGAATAAGAATAGCAGACCTTTTGTCTTTTTTTTTTTTTGTCGCATGGCGGGCCAATGGAGTTTTGGGTCATGTCCACAAGGCTATCAGCGGATGATTTGTTACATGATAGATATTCGGGGCGGGAAACGCGATGTGTTTCCCGCGGCAAACTGCTAGAGATAGCATCGGGAAGACAGTCGATTGTATAACAGAATCACAGAGAGTTCAGCGGGTATACTCATATAATGGAAGGATGTGCGTTGGATTGTGTTTTTGATTTTTCTCTTCTTGGTGACTCCGTCATAACGCTGTAACTACTAACTTTACTACTACCTACTCAAGAACCAACACCATTCAACTTTGATCAATCTATACACCCCTCCTCATTTTCTCTACCATCGTATATCAAATAGACACACACACATACACGTACACATGCCCATCCACACCGACACGATGGGGAGCATCTCGCCCTCAGAAGCCACACCCGCAGCACTCCCAGCGTACAAAACCCCATGGATCCAGACACCGCTCGTTGAATCCGCCGCTCTCTCCCGGGCAGCAGGCTGCCGAATCTTTCTGAAACTCGAAAACGTGCAACCCAGCGGCTCCTTCAAGTCCCGCGCCATGGGCAACCAGATCCTCTCTCACCTCTCGAAACCCGAAAACGTCAACCGACCCGTGCACTTCTATGCCTCTTCCGGCGGCAATGCCGGTCTTGCTGCTGTCTGCGCGGCCCAGAGCCTGGGATACCCCTGTACAGTTGTTGTCCCTGTACCAACGAAGCCATTGATGGTGCAGCGGCTGCTCACCGCCGGTGCGGCGGACGTGATTCTGCACGGGCAAACTATTTCCGAAGCCGGGGAGTATATGCGGGACGTACTGATGAAGGATAATGCATCGCTTGGTGTAGGTTGCGGGCCCAATGGCAACGGGGTGGTGAAGGTTGCCCTGCATCCATTCGATAACGAGCCGATCTGGGAGGGAAATAGTACACTTGTGGACGAACTGGTTACGCAGTTACCTCCTGCAGTTGGGGAGGAGGAAAGCGCGCGGTATGCTCATCGAGCAATGCCCGTGGATGCAATTATCTGTAGCGTCGGCGGTGGGGGACTGATGAATGGTATTGTCATGGGTATTGAGCGGCGGCTGCTGTCCCGTCAGGCAGCTCACACCAAGAACACGACTTCGTCGTCATCATCGTCGTCATCGTCGTCGTCGTCCTCGACGCAAAGCCCTATTCACATTGTCGCTGTGGAGACGCGGGGGACGGACTCGCTAGCTGCGGCTCTGGAAAAGGGGGAGCTTGTCTCCTTGCCAAAGATTACTTCGCAGGCGACATCGCTGGGTGTTGTCCGCGTATCGGAGAGGACCTTCCAGTATGCGGTGAACCCGCCGGAGGGGGTTAAGGTGCATAGCACGGTACTGCCTGATGCGGAGGCAGCGAGGGGAGTACTTCGTCTAGTTGATGATGAGCGAATATTGGTGGAGTTGGCGTGTGGAGTCTGTGTCGAGGCTGCAGTTGGTGATGCCGGGAGGAAACCAACGAAGAAGCGAAAGAGGGCCTTGGATGAGGGATATGGCGATGACCGATCTTCATCTGGAGAGAACGAGGCAGAGGAAGAAGCGACAATCGGGCTGGCCCCGTCGTCGTCGTCGTCGCCGCCGCCGCTGCAGTCGAAACTTAAGCAGCTGGTCCCGGAATTAGGGCCAGAAAGTCGTGTCGTTCTCGTCGTCTGTGGTGGGAGCAACGTAACCATTGATTCGGCAGTGGAATGGAGGAAGATGCTCCAGGACGGTTGGGGGAGGTAGAACCGTTTGATGAAATTTTGCTTTTTTCTATGTAGAGGTTTTTTTTGGCGTGGGTTAATTAATCTGGATTTTTTTTATACTTAATGTAAATCGTGTCTTTTTCATTAAGCACTGTTCATGAACATTATGATACCACATACTGAGGGAACCAACATCCCGAAAAGATCAGCGCCAAACATTCGAAAAAAGGACATACATTTCTCATATTCACGCCGAAGCTGGAACTTCTTGCCCTTGAATCATCCGAATGCGATAATCCCAGTAGTTTTTCCGGATAGGATCATACTTATCCTTGAGAAGATTGAACATCCGGACTGCCTCGGAGGTAGCACTGGTTTCCCGCACAGATTGGCCTTCTTCCGCATACACATCCGCCAGCCACTCCACCGCATGGCTGCTCTTCACCTCAACATCCTCCAATTTCTCCTCATCATCTCGCTGATCGACTACAAATTTCCGGGCAAACTCGGCCCACTCCGAGAGCGGCCGGCCAGAGGCACGCAGCGTACCCCGGGCATAAGACCAGGGGCTTTTATTCTCGGGTGCTAGCAGGATCTGCGCCTGCGTGTACTGAAGCTCCTCATCGACCATGTCCTCATCCACGACCGGCAACTGGCCCCCGAAATTCGCCATACCACTGTCGGGCTGGTCACTCCGTGGCCCAAATCGGAGCATGTAGCGGTGGTTCCAGGCGGAGTTGTTGCGCACATCCGAGGCGAGGAGGGCGTTTATGTCCTGAATCTCGCGCGGGGAGTCCCAGAGTTCGAAGTGACGGACGAGCCAGTGACGGTAGGTCCAGACATGGTAGTTCTTCGAATCCTGGGCGAACATTTCCATTAAAAAGTCCATTTCTTTGGACGGAATAGTGGGGAAGAAGTCCTGACAGGACATGAGGACCTGTCGATGTTGCCTGGGTGGTAGTTAGAACCAGCTCAATTGACCGGAGTGGCGACGGAATGAAGCGCACCAAATCTGATAGTTTTTAAGATACTTTAATGAGACTCGATTAAGCCATTCTAGCTCCTCATTGAGGTCTTTATTTAAGGCGAAGAGGATCTTAGCGCGGTATATCCTGCTACGGTTAGCTGTATTCCAAGGACCTCGATCGGACTGTACATACCAGACAGTGTAATGAGCAGGGTTCATGGAGATAATATCTTCCGTCAATTTCAAGGCCCTTTCGGACATTTCGTTGGCAGCCATAACGGCGCGAAGATATGAAGTCGCCTCTAGATAGGCGTCGCTGTAGGCAATAGTGGCCAGCGGGAGAGCCCCGGAATCTGACCCATCGTTAAGGGGGATAGGCTGGATGGAGGCCCATTCGGGATTTGACTCATATGTTCCTGTCATTTTGAAGAAATTGAGAGTTTCTACAGGGGACTCTTAGGGTGGAATGGACGAGGAGGAAAGCACCAGCTTCTCTTGCGATGTGTTTTTGACGTCGAAGTGGGGGACATGGGTAGCCTGAGGCATCCCAAGAACAATGGCAACCCGCAGAGCGCAACAACAATCGTAGAAAATCAACCACAATGCAGGAGATGAATGACAATAAAGTCGATTGAAACTAAGCCACCAGCAGGTCGGATTCGAGATATCCTACGAGCAGGTAGAACCAGGTAAATACCTACTTCAGGTTACCATCGGATGGATGCTCAGGTCCCGTGACTGCACAACTGCTCATCTGATCCTCCAAGTCAAAGTTGACTTCGGAATATCTTCATTCTTCAATTCAGTCATTACTGCAAGAGAATAACTAGAATTTGACCCCTCACCAAGCTAGAACAGGTCAACAATTCCTGGCCCAGAGCCCCCGCAGCCACCTAAACGACCGTCCGCTTACCGACCGTTTATCGTGCCAATCATCGTCCTGTCCAGACCCCTTCATTGCATCTCTCTTTTGGAGACCTCGTTCCTCCATCTCTCTCTCTCTCTCTCTTCATCATCATGCTAATCCTCTCTTCCGTCTCCTTTCTTACCACCCTTTGGCTTTGTTCTCTGGGCCATGCGTCGTGTCAAGAAGTCCCGTAACGGATGCGCCAGATGCAAGAGCAAGCGGGTTCGTTCCTGGCCTAGAAGCCGAATCCAAAAAAGAAAAATGCGAATTCTGGAACTAATTTCTTGTCACAGGTCAAATGCGGGGAGGAGAAGCCTCATTGTAGTCGCTGCATTCGTCTGGGTGTGAAATGCCCTGGTTATGTCCAGTCCCTGCGCTGGGTCACAAACCAGCCTCTATCAGCTACCTCGGGAGATTCGGGCCTAGGGACGTATGCAAATCATAATCCGACACCTCCGCTCATTGCCAATATCGAAGAATCCCCGCGGAAACTGAGTACATCTTCTCTCCATCCGCCCAATATCCCTGCATCCGACTTCGTGGACCCGCGTATTCAGTCTCCACTCGCTCCCTGTCTGGGGGAAATCAACCCTCCCGACACTAACGCCTTATGCGACAATCTCTGGGATCTCCAGCAGTCGGGCTCTCTGCCTGAGCTAGCTGATCTATGTCCTACGTCGCCAACTTCGCCCACGACTACCGCAAATCACCCCCAGCCCGACAACACACCCACCGGGTTCGACTCACCAGCCAGTCAGGCATCCGATCCCCTAGCTTTCTTTTCAATGCCCGCTCCTATATTCCAGAACCCGGCTCTAGACTTTCCGGGATTCGCTCCGTCGACTATTGTGCGCAAGTACCCGCCATCATCATCTCCTCCCCAGCGTCCACCCCCACGCAACTTCACGTCGATCCCCCAACCGCTGAACAACCCGTCGTGGACCCTAATTGAGTATTATTTCAAGGAAGTCGCTGCTTTGTTCTCTAGCTATGACAGCCAGTTGAACCCTTTTCGTACCACCGTCTCCCGTCTATGGGGATCATCTCTCGCGATGTGTCGCACTATGCAGAGTATGGCCGCGGCCACTCTGGTTAACGACTTTCCCCAGTTCGGCCCAATGGGTAAAAAGATGCGCAGTGAAGCCGTCGAGATCATCAGCAAAGAGACCACCATGGACGACAAATCCCTACTGGCTTTACTGATGCTTGGTCAAAGCGCTAGTTGGCATGACCCCAAGGATCTGGGCATTTCCTTCTTTAACCTTCTCCGACATCACCTTGACAACACTGTTCCCGCACAATCTGCTGGCCCTGGGGGCCGCAGCAACAACCACCAATTTTTCGAAGAAGCCCTTGTTTATTGGGAAATGCTCCTTTCCTTCGTGGCTGATGACTCCACAGTTCTTCCAGCGCCTCCAAATCAAGCAAACAGACCCGAGCCCCTGGTGCTTCAACGCGTTCCGCATCCATGGACGGGGATCGCCCGCAATACGCAATTTACGGTTCAAGAAGCTGGTCGCCTTGTGCGAACGGAACGGAAACGTATCCTCTCTCGGAGATTCACCTCCCAGGCAGATATCGGTCAAGCCCAGCAGGCCCTCGAAAAGGCGCGTGAGCTTGAAGAACGCCTCCTCTCCCTCGCGCACCCAACAGAAGCGGAAATTGTCTCTCCAGGCGACGACGAAACCCCAGTCTGGCATCTGCTGACCATGGCTGAAATCTATCGCTGTACCGGCCTCCTACAGCTCTACCGTGCATTCCCCGATCTCCTTCAGCGGAGGTTACCCATGCAAAATCCCCATCATCTCCAGCATTCTCCCGCCCAGCAACAACCTACCACCGCTACACAGGACCCTTTCCTCCCATCTCAATCCGACCCTACTCGGGAAAACAACGTGGACCCCTGGTTCTGTGACTCACCTTATCTCCCTCCTAATCCCACTCCAGTTGATGATTCAACAACATCCATCCCAGATCCAGCCTACTATGACCGTTGGCTAACCGAGTTCGCCCTAACTACCCTCTCTCGCCTCAAGACCATCCCTCTCGAGTCCCGCACAAGATGCCTCCAACCGCTCCTCCTCGTAGCGTCAAGCAGCGAGCTCCGCCTCCCACCACAGCCACCCGTTCCCTCCGACACAGACCTCGAGAACGCCCCGTGCATCTCCTCCCACGCTCTGGAGGTCTCCCGTACCCGCCGCTTCATCCTCGGCCGCTTAACGTCTTTCCAGCACGTGCTACCGCCGAAACCAATCTGTGTCTGCTTACAGCTCGTCCAGGAGGTCTGGAAACGCATGGACGCCGGAGACCCCGATGTATATTGGATGGACGTGATGATTGAAAAGGGATGGGAGACGACGATGGGCTAGTTCCCCTTTCCCCAGCCTTCTTTCTCATCTTTACCCTATGTTTTATTCCCATCGGCCCTTGGATTCGTATCCTGTATCCAGTATCTGGGGTCTTCTCTCGCGAAAAGCAAAAGCGGATTTTATTGCTATGATACCCTGGCCGTCTCTCCTACTTCCTCCTCCTCCTCTTCTTCTTCTTGGACGACATTTCTGTATATAATCTATCTACCCTTAGGGTAGGAAAATTAGGCTGAAAATAGGCAATAGTTACCACGCACCGGTGGGTTGATTCGGTTCATGCATGAATTATGTTCCGTCCTGTAACATCGCCCATCGTAAAACAAGACGATTCTTAACGACCCTTTTTTGGGCGGTAGAAGAGAAAGTGATATGATTGAAGAGTAACCGAAAGACCTCCCATGCATTCACGTTGCCATCGTTCATTAGGCTATAAAAATTATTATACAGAAAAAAAAAAATAAAAAAATAAAGGAAACAAAGCTGAGATGCTGATTAAATGCCATAAGGTCAAAACTGCACCCTTTTTTTCAGTAGAGAGATCCAGGTCATCAAACAGGTCAGAAGGAAGGAAGGGCGAAGTTGCTGATTTGAGACAGCAAGAAATGTCGAAAATAGTAGTAGTAGTAGTAGTAGTAGTAGTAGTAGTAGTAGTGAACACGGCGCTAGACAGCGGCGCAAACGTCGAGGACCTCTAGTTCAGGATGCAGCTCGCTTCCAGAACTTCCATCCCTCTCGCTTCTCTTGCACACCCACGCCGACCAGACGCTCAATGCCGGCCGTACCAACAGCGTTTTCAAACTTTTGCTGGTCAATTTCCTCGCCGCCCTCTTCGTCACTTCCATTGCGCAGCACAGCAGGCCAAAGCACGCCAATTCCGTCGCCGCCAAGGGTGGTTTCGTAAATTCCAAAGTTTTCGTCCCGGAGCTGCGTCTGGAGTGCGCGAAGGGACTCCTCTTTGAGGTCGGGACGGAGTAAGGTGATGGCACAACCACCCCCGCCGGCACCAGTCAGCTTTGTCCAACCAATATCGGCATAGTCCACGAGCTCGCGAATTCGCTCCAGTCGAGGATGCGACACACCCAGCGAGACGAGAAAGCCGTGGTTGATGCAGATCAGTGTGCCAAGTTGCTTGAGAGTACTCTCGGACACGCCCTCGGAGCTTGTAGCCCGGATGATCTCTTCTGCGGATAGAGTCACCTTGTCAATCGCGTCAAGAATGGATTCAGTGACCAGAGGATATTCATCCTTCAAGTTGCCCACCTTGGCCACCTCGACCGCGGTGGAGCGTGCTTGACGGGTGTCGACCAGGAGCAGGGGTAATTCGGGGAAAGTGGGGAGGGAGACCACCGTGGGAGGCTTGGAATAGTCATCTCGTCGGAAAATCACGGCCTTGCCGCCTGCGGCTACCGTGTTATCTACCCCGCTTGGGTTTCCATGAATACACATCTCTCCCACAAAGGCCCAGCGGTTAATGCGCTCAATTTGGAGTTCGGCTTCGTTGGCAGGTTGGTCGGGGTGAGGGCCGGCGAGGGTGCGGATCTGGAGGAGCAAAGCAGCACTCATACACACGCAAACACTGGCACTGCTCCCGAGACCCGCACCAATTGGGATAGTCGACCGGAGGGTGTAAATAGCTCCGGGGCTCTGCGGGGAGCCCAGAGAGAGGAAGAGGTAAAGGAAAGCGCTGGCCGACCGCTTGTGAATCTTGCGCATTTCCTCCGGTGTATCAGGAGAGAGGTCCTCCACGTGGGGTTTAATGGCATCATAGAGTTCGTCATCCAAGGAGGTCACTAGATCATAGTAGTACTTCTTCTTCGAGGGGTGCTGGAACAGATCCCAGGGCAATTCGTCGATATTCCACGTATGATTCAGGCCCGTGTCCCGGAAGTTCAAGGTGATTGTTCGCTGTGATTTGGTGAGGGTGGTAACCAGAAGGTATGAACGGAGCGAAATCGCGGCGGCCATTGCAGCTTTCCCATGGACGACGGCATGCTCTCCGTACACGATGACCTTGCCCGGTGCAGACACCATGAAGGCAGGGGCCATAGGGGAGGAAGCTTTTCGAGTCATGGCCTTCCTCTGCGAATCGTTGGTGGTGGTAGCCTTGGTGGAAAAGCTCCTTGAGCTTACAGTGGTCGAGGGAGAAGGGATGGTGGAGGCGTCTGAGCTCTCGTGATCGTCGTGGGCAGCAGCAGCAGCAGCAGCAGCAGTTATGGGGAGAGGAGTTGGTCGGGCTGAATGCGGCAGCGATTCGGGCATAAGGTGGGACATTGCTGCAGGCTGACCTTCGATGGAAAATGTGACGCTGTTGTTAGACCGATGACCGAGACCGATAGTCATAACCAATGGACAAGTTATGTGCGGTCAGATTGGAAGTGTGAGGGAGAGGGGGGGGGGGAAGGGGGTCGCAGGCAGCAGATATGCGAAAGACTCTCGGGGAAAGGGGAGGGCGCTATTTCTGGAGATGCGCCAGGAGCATGGCGGGATAGGGATGAAAGAACCCAGAAGGTGTAAATAGAAAGGATGAGAGATTAAAGTAGGAGAAGAGGAGAAGAAGAGAAGAAGAGAAGAAGTGAAGAAGAAGTGAAGAAATGAAGAAATGAAAGAAGTGAAAGAAGAACAGGATAAGGAAAAGAACAGCGAAATTGAATACCAGTAATTTTGAAGTCTGGGGCAATTCAGGAGGTTTTGACCAATCAGAGAGGGAGAATTTGCAGTTAGTCAGCGCTATTCCGTACTAAACTCCATGCGTAATTTATTTCTATACAGATCTCTATATATCTCTCTATATCTCTCTATATCTCTATATATATCGGTATATATATATATATACACTCTAGTAGGATCTCCTAGAGAATTCAAGAATAGAGCTGGAAAGATTGATTGGTCCCTTCTGTCATTTGACGATCCCGGGACAGGATGGTCCATCTATATATATATATATATCGCAATAACTTCCTGTCTCCTACCCTAGATCCTCTAATAATCACACAAGATACCCCTCGTATTAGTACTAAATCTGAGTAGTCGGTTAAGGGTTTACCAAGCTAATGCAAGGTTGATCCATCCATCCTCTACTGGGGAATTTAAAGCTTGATCAAGAGTCTTTGGGAGCGTTACTCATGGTACAGTGCCGCTGGTTTGTACATCATAGCCACGGGAAATAGCCAGTGTCGAACATCATGTTGAACAAGTGAGAAGATACCGGTAACCTACCGAGTATGATGAAGGTAGACCTCGCTTGATTCAAAGAGAACTGGTGGATGAATATGCGAAGAACAGGTACTCTATAGCTGGGGTTGGAGTCTGAACCTCACTGCAGCTTCAACGGATATGCGAACAAAACAATGTCGAAAGAAACATCTGCACAGCACAGAGGTCCTCCAGTCCTGCTATTCTAGGCTAGTTAATACGCTGTCGAAGGTTGCTTCCCTCCTTGTCGAGTACCTCTCACGGATATGGGTTTGGCGCATCATTCTGTATCTAGCATGGATAATCTGCAAGAAGTATATCACTTTCAACATACAAGGATTAATGGAATATCAATTGACCTGCAGCAGTCTGCCTGTCAACGAGTGCAGATGTACACAATATCAACGTCGTCAATTACTCTATTGTAACTACTATGTGAATTGCGCTGTAAGCAGCCCGCAAGGATGAGTACCCTTCTGAGGTCGCAAGTACATTCCAACTCCGGTCATATGGACGAATATCTTTGTAACTCGGGAATCGCCCTCGATATCAGGTTGACCCTTGGTGAAACACTTGTAGATTTTCTACTGTTGCGGTAGAAAGGCCCGCGTGGCACTACATAAAATGAAGGTAGGACTTTCAGCAAAGGTTGGATGATACTCTGTCGTCTTTCCTTCCGGTTGTCACCCAATCTGCTCCGAATCAGAAACCTTACGATTGTCGGGCGTGCGCTAGGGAGACGGATGTCTGAGACAGATCCAAGAATTGTGCAGGGCCGAAATTGAAAGGTGGGAATCGGAATACGACTTGTCTTAGGTTTCCAGGATGAGAATTAAACCCTACTGGTCAAGACCCTCCCGATTGAACCGGGTCTCTATTTGTAGGACTAGTAGAAATCTTACGTCCCTGCGCTTGTCTTGGAGCTATTTTTATTTCTTGCCTTTTGCCCCCCAGGGTTTTCTTGGTTGGGTCCTGGCGGGTAAAATGATCCAGATATTTGAGACATGAAGTTTTCGACTTGGTTCTTGACGCCTCTCCGCTTATAAACCGGGAAACCCTGTCCCTATAAATCTTCTCGGTCGGTTCTGTCCATCCCGACTTGTACTTTCTTCGCTACAGTCGTTACCAAATCAACATGCGTTTCTTTCTTCAATCTCTCCTGCCTCTGGCAGTCTCCGTTGCGGGTAAGCTGGGAATCCCCGAACAATCGCAATGCGGTTGTAGGTACCGAGGACTGACTGGCATTTCTCAGCTCTTTCTGTCGTTGAGCCCAAGGAAGGCGCCGACATTGATGCTTCCGATTCTTTCACGGTGAAATGGACTTCTGTCAGGTATAATTTGGACTCTCTGCCTGGAGTATGGACCAACCCCGCTAACACTGATCTATTGCAGCACCGATCCTTCTAGCTTCGATCTGTACATCGTCAACAATGCCGTCTACCCCCCCGTCGAGACCAAGATAGCCTCTGATGTCGAGACCTCGGAGGGATCTTACACTGTGGACAATGTTTCTGGCATCACCAAAGGGTATATATATATATAGATCACCCACGCACCCTCGTCTGCCCTCCCAAGCTAATGCACCACCCTACCTCTTAGACACGGGTACCAAATCAATCTGCTGTCCGACTCCGCGCAGAACTCGGGAATCCTCGCCCAGTCCCAGCAGTTCAACATTACCGGCGCTGCCTCCAGCTCTTCCTCGTCCACTTCCAGCTCTTCCACCACCAGCACCTCCTCCACCTCCACCAGCACCTCGTCGACCGGCACCTCGACCACCTCGACCACTCTGACTACGTCCGGCGCCACGACCAAGACCACCTCTGGCAGCAGCACCAGCGCCGGCAGCGCCACCACCAGCTCCGGCGCCGCGTCCTCCTCGGGTGTCAAGGCCAACGAGACTTCCTCGGGAGCTGCCTCTGTCCACACCGGTGCCGGTGTTGCCCTGGCTGTCCCCCTGACTGCCGGCACTGGTCTCTTGCTCGCGGCGCTTTTCTTCTCCCTGTAAGCGTCGTCTTGATCGACCGGCCCCTAGGAGCCATACTCTCTCTCGCGAGAAGAGTGGTGAAGATTCCTTTTGATGTACTTTGGTGAACTTTTTGAGTATAATGTGTTGGGAAGTAATTAGAGATTGACATTCAATTCTGACCATATGATTTTATTTTTGGGATTGGAATCTTGAATAAGCACTTAGTACTCCGTACATTAGTTAACATTCACTAGTCGGTACAATCAAGACAAAGTGTGATCTATCACAAAGAATACGAGGGGATACCATACATACCATACATACCATACATACCATACATACCATACATACCATACCATACCGGTACCTCCCAGTACCAGTCAGAACACGGTACTAGTAATTCTTGATGATATTTCATAATTCTTATCTAATACTTACTCTAACCCTTACTTATACCCTCCCTCCCTCCGTACTCCATACACATTAATTAACTAGATACTAAGTAGTACTCTATCTAGAGATGACCAAAGCTCTCATCACTACGCAAAGTCAGCAACACGAAAACAGGAACCAAGAAAAAAAAAAAAAAAAAAAAAACCTACAAGGCCTGGAAGGATTCCTGACCCTGTCCGGCCAAGGGCACCCAGACCCCGGCGGTCATGGCACCGATAGGGAAAACCCCGTACCCGTGTCTGTCGATAGTGATAGTGATAGTGGTAGCCTGCAACAGATCTACCCACTCGGTATTGGCGTGTCGAGAACCCACGTACATTTGTTTTTGGGCGGGGCCGGCGTTGCTCAAGAGACAGACGAGGCCGCATGCATGGGAGGAATTTCCGTAGCGGACAAATCCTGCTGATGTTAAACCAATCAAAAAAAAAAAAAAAAAGGAAATGAATGAATGAATGAATGAATGAATGAACTCACCGATGCAGTTGGGGTGATCGAAATAATCTTGCTGTTCGCCGTAAGCGTATAATTTCCGGGCTTGGATCAGGATGGGCAGTTTGCCGTTGCAGGCTGGGGGAGTCGTCCGGTGGTGGTGGTGCTGGGAATTAGGCCGGGTCCCGTATAGATCCCCGTAGAAGACGCAGGGGTGGCCCTCCTTGCGGAGGAGAATCAGGGCGTATGCGAGGAGTTTGAAGGAGGGTTCGACGGGGGTCTGTTAAGATTGTTTGTTAGTTGGTTGGTGGGAAGTTAATGGAGGCACTCGGAAACGAGACTGACTTCGAGCATTTGTCCCGGTTGCTTTCGAGTTCAAGGAGATTAGCAAATACGAGGCGGACCAGGGAAACCAAAGGGGGAGAGAGAGAAGGAGAAGCACGAACGGTATCGTGATTGGCAACAAACGTCTGGCGCGGAGAGTTAGCCTTTGGTCATGTCAGCGATGGACGAGGGTTGTCTTACCACGGCATGGTTGGGTTTCTGCTGCACCAGGGTGTTCTGGAGGATGCCTCGTAGGTCTGCTGCGGCTCCCTTCCGGTATGAAGCTCGCGAGAAGTTCCCGAGAAGAGGCACATCGTAGGCCGCCACCGTCTCGTCCATCTGCTCCAGGTACCCGAGGAGAGCCCGGATATCGCCGGTCCAGTACTCGGCCATGACGAAGAAGTCTGGATTCGCGGTTGCGCGCACATGCTCAACAAAAGCCCTTTGGAACCCCGAGGAAAAATGTTTGGCGGCGTCGAGCCTCATGCCACCGAGCGACAAGGCCGTGGTGATCCAGGTGCCCCAGTGTAGGAGATCCTGACGGACTTCCGGGTGGGACAGATCCAGATCCGCAAACATCAGATAATCGTAGTTCCCATTTTCTGTCGAAACATCCGACGCCCAGTCTTTGTTGGGGCCGAGGATTTTATAAATCCCGCCTTTCTTGCGCATATCGTCCCAGTCGATTCCGCTGAAATGGTGCCAGTGGTATTTCATCGCGCTGTAGGCATTGTTGCGGCCATGAAAATCGAACCCGACCCAGCCATCCACCTGGATGGGCTTGGATATTTCCGCGGTTCTTTCTGTATGAAAAAAAAAAAAAAAAACGAATCTCAATCAGCAGATGTCCAAAAAAAAAAAAAAAAAAAAAAGGCGCGTTGGGGGGGTTTGAAGCATACGTTTAGGGTCTACTGGGACAGCAGTGAAGCGCTCTACATGATCCGCTCCAGCCTTATGATTGAGTACGGCATCCCAGTAAACGGCGACGCCCAAGTGCTGGGCCTCGCGCATGAGAGCTTCCAGCTCCTGCTTCGTGCCCCATTTCGTGGCGGTTGCTCCTTTCTGGTCAAACTCCCCCAGGTCATACAGATCGTAGATATCGTACCCGTTGCCCAATGGATCCATCCCTTTACATCCGGGGGGGATCCATAGTCTATCGAACCCAATGGCCTTCAACCCCGGGAGAGCATGCTCCAGACGACGCCAGTAGCGTCTATCAGCCGGCATATGCCATTCGAACGCCTGAAGGATCAACGAGTTCTCCGGCGCATGCCATGAGGGGAGCTGATCTAGCCGGGTTGCTGCCTCTGGCCGGACCCCCAAGACACCGTTAGCATTTTATGCAGATTTCATTCAGGAGGGAAAAGGGTTCCTCAACCTTCTATCCGCTTCCAGTTTGGTTCTTTTTTTGGCCGCCGAAATGGATAGCAGCAGCATAAGAAAGACGATGATGCCATTAGCACTGGAGCGTCAACCTTTTGCCGCCGCGACTATGGTGAATATGTTGGATACATGTTGTTACCCGTACTCTATCCAGTGCAGGCTAACTCCCGAACGGAGTTTACACTTTACAGTACGTTTGGTGGCGCGAGCCGAGAATCCGCCAAAAACCGAGACAAGCGAGTGGAACAGTGAACACACTAGTGAAGTGGGCTCGAGTCTCGGACTCTCTGTACGGAGTACACTCTGGAAGAAAAGTGACAAATATAAAGAACGCAACCGTGGCTACGATTCCCCACGCGAATTCTAAAAATATGATCTCTCTTTACGTTGGAGTGGATTTCAAGTGGATTTCGAGTGGATTTACATTCAAGTGGGTTAAATGAAACTGAGATGTCCCGTAGCAGCCCGGAAGAGGTTGGAAATATGTACAAAAATTTGAGACCGCTGTGGGGAGAGAAAAAAGAAAAACTACTCCGTTAATGTCCTAGAAAGGAAAAGAAAAGAAAAAAAAAAAACAGAAAAAATACACACATACACCGCTTAAAGCATCATGGTGATGCTCGTTAATAACCCTAAGACGACCGGAACCATAGTCATTGAGATGCCCGGGCGAGTGGAGAAGGATGCAGAAGAAGACTGGGTCACTCCCGTCCGCAGAGCAGCATAGGAAACATTGGCCGAAGAATAGCCACAGAGTCCACTGCCGTCCATGAGTTCAGCCGGGAAGAACACCCGGGGCTCTCCCTTGCTCATTGGGATCTCGAACACGCCCTCCGGGTCAACGGTGTAGTTTTGGCAATTGAGAATCTCCACTAGCTCCGTGTCGCCGTTGTAGCTAACGGGTAAGGAGAACGTATAAGGCTTGCTGTTGAGGCCCTGGGTGGACAACAACATCAGCACCTGTCGACCTTCGAAACCTTTCATGAAAGCCAGTTCACTGCCGCCGCGGTACACGACTTGGGTTGGTAAATCGACATAATCATTGCCCATTTTGTAGGCCTGCTTGCGAATCGCGTTGAGCGTCGCAATGAACGGGTAGAGTTCCGACTTGGTGTCGTATTCGGTGAGCCATAGGGCTTCTCGGTTTTTGGGAACGCCGTCTCCGTTCAAATGTTGCTCCTGGCCCTGGTAGATCATCGGCACTCCATCGAAGAGAAGGGTGAATGTGATAACGTTCTTGGCAAGCTATGTAGGTTCCTTTGATTAGCCATTGAAATAAAAAAACCGGACGAGGGGACGAGATGGAGCATATTTACCGAGAGGTCATCGGTCATGCTCGCAAAGCGCGCGACATCGTGATTTTCCGAGAACGACACGAAATTGGTGACATCGTTGCATGCGGATCTTATCATGGCCACTTCGTCAGCCAGGGAAGTGGTGTTGCCCAGGGTAAACGCCTCTAAGATGGAGTAGTAGATCGGATAGTTCGGGACGCTCTCGATATAGTTGTTCTGATAAGTGCAGATGGTGTCTATATTGCGTTCGAAGACTTCTCCTGTCATGAAAAGGTCGAGCTTTTGGCCAAAGTTTTGCAAGAAGCTCGGAGTGATCGACTTGGCCGCATCGATCCGCAGTCCGTCGAAGGAATACGTGCTGATCATCTGTTGCGCCCAGGTTTCGAGCATTTCCTGTACTTCGGAGTGTTCCGTGTAGAGATCCGGCAGCGCCACATAGGTATCGCCGGTTTGGCAGAGCTGCGCGTCGGTGTAGTTGTTCCAGTCGGTGATTTTACAGTAGGGATGGTAGTAGTCGGAATTGTTGAACGGCGTGAGGACCGAGTAGTCGATGTTGGTGGCGGGATCGCTGCCGTTGGTCATGTAGGCCATGTTGTTGATCACCGTGTCCATCAACAAGTACATGCCACGAGAGTGCACAGCGGCGCTGAGATCCAACAAGTCCTGGTGGCTTCCGAAATGCGAGTTCAGCGAATATAGGTCCAACGGCCAGTAGCCATGGTAGGCTTCACCATAGTAGACGTGTCCCGCGAGGTTCTCAATGACCGGGGAAATCATGATGGCATCGAACCCCATGCCCTGAATGTAATCAAGATGGTTAATGGTTCCTCTCCATGTTCCTCCACAATACAGGCCCGCCGTAGTGTTGCAAGGGTAGGTTGTCGACCCATCTGTCCGTGCAAAACGATCGGTCATAGTTTGATAAACCGATCTGGATTTCCATTCTGCTAAACTCGCCGCGGATGTCGACGCAGCCAAGACTGAGACCAATACGAGGCTTACGCGGCGATAGAATTGCGGTAATGACATCACGGTCGTCGTTGATACGATTATGGATGGTGATGTGATTACCTTGGGAGTTAGTAGTTTTTCGTGTAAATATGCTGAGGAATCAGCGCCTAGACTCGAAAGGCCCCCCGCAAGAAACCCCCCCAAAAATCAAATAAAAATCTAGATAGATAAAAAAAAAAAGAGTGTGAAGTATCAGACACAGCGAGAGACCATTGAGATGAGGGCGTATCCAGGGCCTTAAGCGAGTGAGTGGGAGGAGGCCTGCGTGAGCCAACCCGATGTTAGTAGCGATTGGAGGCGAAGGATTTGGATATGGAACGATTGATTGGCTTTGGGACAGTCACGATTAGATGATCATGATGCTGAATGATGGAAAAGAGGGCAAAAAAAAAAAGAGTGACTAGATTCCGTTCAGAGTGACTGATAGACAGAAGGAGCGAAAGGCATATCTCAACAATCAAGACCAGAGGGACGAAGTAAAGCCGAGGACGAAGAGAAAGGAAAACAAGCGTGCCCTCACATGAGAAGAGTCAGGGAATCAAGTGAAAAGGGGTGGGGAAAGGGTGCTTTCCGCAGCGTGCACCGGTGCAGACGAAGCGGCATAACCCCTCGATGGTCCCAGGGTTAAGACGGCGAATCTACAGGGTTTTGCCATGCAATGACTATCGAGGCAGGTACTTTACATATCTGGAGAAGCTCGTGTGACCTCGAATCCAAGTTGCACTCGTCTTTGCTTCTCGAGGGAAGGATTTCGCTCCCAGCTGAGGAACTGGACAAACTGCACCCTCCAGGGTTGGACATGGCGTTGATAGGGCAAGGATTTCGGGCTGACATTGCACTATTTACTCCGCACACCCAAGGTTCGACTATAGTAACCAAGGAACCAAACAACCCTCGGGGCTTTTTGCTCGCAGGCACGGAATATCTGTGTGTGATAGTCCAGGGACTAGTGGAGGAAACGCTTGGGGTCTAACGACGGAGACAGGAGACTGGTGGCAAACTTCACGGTGTGTGAAAGCGTCCAACTCGGACGGGGTACGGAGTACTCTGTAGAGTATGTGAAATGGTCAAATTCTGTGGACCCTCGCTCGCAATTTGTAAACGGGGTTGGAGGTTGATATTAATGGGATTTCCCTGGGATCCGATCCCCCCCCAATTCCTACCATCTGCTCTCCATTTGAAGAGAGAGAGAGAGAGAGCCATGATCATGGCTATGCGAATTTCCAGAGGGTTTCTTTTCTGCAAGCAAGGCTCAAAACGTAAGACCTTCCTCGTCGTGCCGGCTATTAACTATTGACGGTACGATGTAGTTGGACTTCGAATTCACCGGGGAAGTAGCTAGGGGCCTGCTATTCTTGACCTGAGAAACAAACTGAAACATTGGCAAAAGATTTGATGCCCGAACTAGCCACGAAGAAGCGGCCTGCGTGGACTGAGATGTCTCAAAAGTTGGACCAGTGACAAGAGTCTGTCTGATTATTCTAACTCACTGGTCCGCAATGACGATAGAGATTTTGACATGCACTCTGGGCCTGCCGGAAGCGTCGGAGTCAAGTCTCAGGCTAAATCTCAGGTCTCTCCGGCACGGTATGAGGTCTTGATCGTTACTAATATAAGGGCACTGACTGAGTCCTCCCGAATGTCTGTCCGTTTTCCCTGAATTTCCATCATGACCAGGAATTACTTTAAATTTACTATTGGGGTGGGAAAATTCTGTCTGTTGCCCAAGAAAATTTCCTGGTTGGAATTGGTATAGTGGCGACTGCACAAAGAGATGCGAGAAAAAAAAAAGGGGGGGAGCCACCGTCGTCTGACTGGTCAAGTTTGAGTCTTCTGGATCTTAGATAGCAGATAGTACGAGGAGTCCGCACTCCGTACAGAAGCAGAGATCTTGTCGTATGTTCAATGGAAGGGAGGACAACTTCTTAGGGTTAGCAGCGTGGGTCCGCCACTAACGCACAAGTAAGACAAGAGAATAGATTAGAATATGATGCGGCCGAGTGATTTAGGGCGTTGATTGGCAGGGTCCCTTTGGGATTTAAATATTTCTTTTCTTTCTGTGTCAACTGTTTTTATATTTATTTTTTCTGGTCCCAGGGAATTCGTGGATGCCAACATACCGATACCTGTCCACGGGAACCCTGGTATAGCATCATCCTCGCCCAGAGTCCCCAGTCCTGGCCAAGAAAGTAAAAGGACACAGATAAGATTCAAAAGATTCACCAATAAAGTCATCCTTATTGGGGTTTGTGGCGGCTGGCCCACTTCGGTTCTGCTGTGCGATCCGCTGCTATTTATTTACATTTTACTAGTGTCCTTAGGGCTAGTGTTTTTGTTCCATGGTTCTCGGGATAACGAGTGAAACCTGTACTGGGACGCCTTTTGCTTGTATCTGACAACGGCAATAAATACAGTTGTCTTATTGGAAGATAGGATCCATTTGGCGAGTCTCGTATTGACCATGGTTGCATTTAATTTTAAATGCCCTTTCATGGGTACGGAATGGTCATCCCGGGCATCTTCTCTCTCTCCCTCTCTCTCGACCCTCATGGACGCAGGACAGGCAGGACCTTTAGGAGTACGATGTAAAGGATGAGGTGATCTAGCTTATCTATCTACAGGGTATCATCTTTCAATTTATTCCCGGATTCGGGTTACACCCGCGAGCTAGCAGGCCAGTGCGGTAGATACCAGTCAAGACAAGTCTTCTCCGTAGTACTCTGTAGTACTCCGTAATAGACATGGATACGGAGTAGTGACGGGGGAAAAAATGAAAAAAAAAAAGAAAGACACCAGGCCAGGATTAGGGGGGAAGAGGCTCCAGACTTCACTTGTATCCAGATTTTTCCCACTGTTCCAGAGATAGGCCAGTTGTTACTCCACCCAATGGTCTCAGACCAAAAAAGAACCAGACTTTTCTGCTTCCGATAACAATACGAGCCTCTACCGGATCTCCCATTTGCTGCAAATCCACGGTTGCCCTAGGCCAGGGTCAAGACTGTTCCGTGCAGGGTTTGATGCAGATGGTACTCACATCGTACTGTACCTGGGATTGTCTTGAAAGAAGAGAAGAACAAAGCAAAGAAAGATACAACAACGGGAAGAAAGAGAGACACCAAGTGGACACACTCCATGGATCAAATCAAAGTGGAGGAAAGTTGGGCTGGTCAGCCTCAAGCGGATAGTAAGAGGTTAGAGGTTCGTCCTAGGAGAAGCACTTTGCGGCATTGGTAATAGTAGGAATAATAAGAACGTTTAAAATAAATACCAAATAAATAAACCAAAATAAAAATAAAACGGACTTCGCATAATACGAGGAAAGTAATAATATGATGTTATTATTAGCACATCCTCTCAAATAGTTAGGCTGACTTGATATCCCCGACATTTACTTTTGATCAGAATCTCAGCCCTGGATGTCACTCGATTAGACTCTCCTCCATCCTCTCCTTCTTCCTCTTGCTGTTTGTTCGATTTCCACCTTTTCCCCCTTTCATTCGTTACTCTTATTCGCTCGCTAGGTTTTGGTGCTTTCTTGCTCTCTTCTCGATTTCAGCAAATCAGCCAGTCTTTGTTTTTTTTTACGCCTCCCATCTGTTCCCTGCGTTTTGTGATAGATAGACCTTAATAACCCACGACGGAACTGGAAAGAAAGAAAGAGAGAGAGAAAACACTCACGAGCTGGTCTGCCGGCACTGATACAGGAGGAGGCTTGATGGGATACTAATCCTTATTTTCGAACGGCATCGCATCCCCCTCCTTCACTTCGCGAACTGTTGCCACAGACGCGGCAGACACTGTGCGCTCATCGACCGACCATCCACTATGAGGTGGAGACTTTCCTCGGGAGGGTTGATAGCACTCTTCGCAGTCACGTCGATATGTTGGCCATACGATGAAGCGTGGGTCGATTATAACCTCAACGAGAACAAGACTGCGACAAACCCGGCGGAGTACTGGGGGGAATGGCCCAACCATCAAGGGCAATACTTCCCCTCTCCCGACAACTGGCGTTTTCCATTCTACACACTGTTTCTGGACCGATTTGTCAATGGAGACCCGACAAATGACAATGCCAATGGAACCTTGTTCGAGCATGACCTCAACTCCAACCAAATGCGCCACGGTGGTGATGTGAAGGGCTTGGTAGACACGTTGGATTATCTACAGGGAATGGGAATCAAGGTCCGCCTACTATCCGCCTACACAACAGGAAACGATACTGACTGCCTGTATAGGGTCTGTATCTCGCAGGAACGGCGTTGTTAAATCAGCCGTGGGGTTCGGATGGTTATTCGGCTCTAGATACCACCCTTCTAGACCACCATTTCGGGACTCTTCAGGGATGGCGAGACGCAATTACTGAAATCCATAAGCGCGGCATGTATGTCGTTTTCGATAACACAATTGCTACGTGAGTACTTCTGTTCACATGTCCAATAAGGGGAGGGAAGGCTTACCTTTTTTTTTTTTGGATTCTAGCATGGGCGATTTGATCGGATTCGAAGGTCACCTAAACTCAACCACACCATTCTCGGAAAAGGAATATAGAACTCTCTGGAAGACGAGCCGTCAGTATGTGGATTTTCGTATCGGAAACACATACAACGAGACTTGTGACTACCCCAGGTTCTGGTACGAGAATGGGTATCCGGTCAATGAATCCTTGATCTCTGGCCTTGTTGGATGCTACGATAGTGACTTCGACCAATACGGTGACGTGGAAGCTTTTGGTGTGTGGCCAGACTGGAAACGTCAACTCGCCAAATTCGCCTCGGTGCAGGATCGTTTACGAGAGTGGCATCCTACTGTTCGAGAAAGGCTGATTCGCCACTCCTGTACCATCATCGCCTCTTTGGATATCGATGGGTTCCGATATGATAAGGCAACCCAGGCGACTGTCGATGCGCTAGGAGATATGTCCCATGCATACCGTGAATGCGCTCGCAAAGTGGGCAAAGAGAACTTCTTTATTAGTGGTGAAATTACCGGAGGCAATACATTTGGATCGATCTATCTTGGTCGTGGCAGACAGCCAAACCAGCAGCCTTCGTCGGCTGACGCAATCAGTTTAACAAATACCTCAGATCCCCAATACTTCCTGCGTGAAACGGGACAAGAAGCTATTGATGGTGCAGCATTTCATTACTCCACGTATCGTGCCCTTACCAGGTTTCTGGGAATGGATGGCCAGCTATCTGCTGGATTTGATGTGCCCGTCGACTTCGTGGATGCCTGGGGTCAGATGGTGGTAACAAATGACTTGGTCAACGCAAATACTGGCAAGTTTGATCCCAGACACATGTACGGTGTCACCAACCAGGATGTGTTTCGATGGCCAACCATTCAGTATGGGGTTGAGAGACAGCTATTAGGCTTGTTTATTACTACCCTCCTCATGCCCGGCATCCCCCTGCTCCTCTGGGGCGAGGAGCAGGCGTTCTATGTTTTAGATGCTACTGCTACTAATTATATCTATGGACGACAAGCTATGTCTCCCGCGACTGCATGGAGAACCCACGGATGCTTTGCTCTAAGCTCGTCGCAGTACTACCACTGGCCTATTGAGGCGGGACGTCAGGGCTGCCATGATGAAAGTGTTGCATATGATCATCGAGACCCTTCCCACCCATTAAGGAACATCATCAAGCATATGTACCAGATGCGAGAGCAGTTTCCAATTTTAAATGATGGCTATTCTCTGGTGAACCTTTCCAAATCCACGGTGGAAGTACGCTACCCTGGTTCGAACACCACTGATACTGAGACTGGCATGTGGTCAGTTGTTCGCGATCTTAATAGTAACGTGCAAAACTTTGGATCCAATGCAGCTAACCAACCTGTGTGGCTTGTTTATCAAAATGTGAACCGAACTATGGAATATAAATTCGACTGCAGCGATAATAAAACCGCCTTCATCTCGCCATTCCCAACCGGAACACGCGTCAAGAATCTTTTCTACCCCTATGATGAGCTCGAGCTGATTGATTCGCCTCAAAAGCTTCATTTTAATGGGTCGACTGAGTTTAATGGTTGCTATCCCAACCTAACATTAAAGGCGTATGAGTTTCGCGCATATGTTCCTCATAATATGTTTATCAAGCACCGGCCTATGATCACCCATTTTACCCCAGGACACGATTTCCCAGTCCGATCAACTGTTGCCCCGAACGCCTTTGAAAGCGTGAAAATCGGATTTTATTTTTCGGAGGAGATGGATTGTGATTCAGTGACCAAAGCACTCTCGCTCAACTCGTCAACCGAAATTGGGAAAACCCCCACACTGGATACAAGCACGGTAAACTGTACCTCAATTTCACCGACCCAGGTGTCATGGACAGGTCAGATCCCAAGCACATGGCTTTGGTCCGCTAACTTGACGGGCGTGTACAACGGAGTCCATCGGTTGACCCTGAACAACGTGAGCAACGCCAATGGAAATGCAACCACAAATTCAGTGGATCATTTCCTGTTCCGCATCGGTCAAGTCGATAACCCTATGGTGTTCACGTCCGCCAACTACTCGACTAGTTTGCTTCATCAATATTCTGAGAACCAGACCCTCTTCATCCAGCACCATGCTGCCGGCGCAGACCAATATCGCTACTCTACCAACTGGGGAAGTACGTTCTCGAACTGGCTGCCATACAAAGGCGGAAACGTCACGATTGATGAGCTGCCGTGGTCTGGCACTAAGCAGCAGGAATGGAAGGGAAAGCATGTCCGTGTCGAGTATTGGAGTCGGTGGACGGGAAGTAGCGATTATGTCCAAGAAGGCGATGTTAACTGGGAATCTAAAGTGCCCCGCCGCTTCCCCCATGTCCACCTGAATGGGCCCTATAATCAATATGGATATGATCGAGGTCTGGACAACAAGATTGAGCTGGACACGGTTGATAGCTACTGGAAGTACCATTTTACCTCCGAATGGCCCGCCATCGCCCAGCTCAATATCTGGGGTATAAACCCCGATGGTAAACCCGATCAAAGCTGGGTTCTGGGTGACGTTGACGACGACAATGTTCTTGATCGCATGCCTCCGTCGTCGCTGTCGGCCACCGTCATCAACATCACCGATACGCCGCCGCGCCCCTACATTTCGTGGAAGTTTTACATCAATGACGGCACTCTCAGCTACCACCTGATTCCAATTGGCCACGAGAACATTCAAATTGCCATGTTCGTGCTCTTCTGGATTCTACCACTCTTGACTGGAGCGGCCTGTGTCTACCTCTTCATGAAATCATTTTACAAAGTTGCCTTTAACCAGAAGGGCGTCAGCGAGAAACACAACGCAATCCCCCTGGTCCTGCGCCGGCGACTCAAGCGCACACGGGCTACCGATGGAGAGGAGCACTCCAACCCACTTATGCGGCTCGCCAACAAGTCTGGGTTTTTGCAAAGCACTACCGCACTGGGTGCTGCAACAGGAGGCAAGAGACGAATGGTCCTGATTGCAACCATGGAGTACGACATTGAGGATTGGGCCATCAAGATCAAAATCGGTGGTCTTGGAGTCATGGCACAACTCATGGGCAAGACGCTTGGCCACCAAGATCTTATCTGGGTCGTGCCTTGCGTTGGCGGCGTTGATTACCCTGTGGACAAAGTTGCAGAACCTATGACAGTTACTATCCTGGGTAGTGCGTATCAAGTGGAAGTCCAGTATCACGTGTTGAATAATATCACCTACGTCCTACTGGATGCTCCTGTTTTCCGTCAGCAGTCTAAAACAGAACCGTACCCTGCTCGCATGGATGACCTGGACAGCGCAATTTACTATTCGGCATGGAATCAATGTATTGCTGAGACAATCAAACGATTCCCCATTGATCTCTACCATATCAATGATTATCACGGGTCCCTAGCACCTCTCTATTTACTACCTGGCACTATTCCTGCTTGTCTGTCACTTCACAACGCTGAGTTCCAGGGTCTTTGGCCGATGCGAACCCAGCAAGAAAAGGACGAGGTTTGCTCTGTTTTTAACCTTGAACTGGAGACCGTCAGGCGCTATGTTCAATTTGGTGAGGTTTTCAACCTTTTGCACGCAGGCGCTAGTTACTTGCGGGTGCACCAGCAAGGCTTTGGCGCAGTCGGTGTCTCCAAGAAGTACGGAAAACGATCCTACGCACGTTATCCTATTTTCTGGGGTCTGCGGAAGGTTGGTAACTTGCCTAACCCAGATCCATCTGATATTGGAGAATGGTCCAAGGAAATTCCCAAGGAAAATGATATTACTGTAGACCCTAATTTTGAGGCTGGACGAACTGAATTGAAGCGACAAGCCCAGGAATGGGCTGGTCTCGAGCAGAATCCAGATGCAGATCTCCTGGTCTTTGTTGGTCGTTGGTCTATGCAGAAAGGCGTGGACCTTATTGCTGATGTGATGCCTGCGGTGCTAGAAGCCCGCCCTAATGTCCAGCTAATCTGTGTCGGCCCTGTTATTGACTTGTACGGCAAATTTGCAGCATTGAAGCTAGAGCAGATGATGAAGGTCTATCCAGGACGTGTCTTTTCCAGGCCTGAATTTACCGCTCTGCCTCCTTACATCTTTTCCGGTGCTGAATTTGCCCTGATTCCTTCTCGCGATGAGCCATTTGGTCTCGTGGCTGTGGAATTCGGACGTAAGGGTGCGCTGGGTATTGGTGCACGCGTTGGTGGCCTGGGACAAATGCCTGGTTGGTGGTATAATGTTGAATCAACATCAACATCCCACTTGATCTACCAGTTCAAGCTGGCAATCCAAGCTGCCCTTAGCTCTAAAACTGAAACTCGTGCTATGATGCGGGCGAGGTCCGCTAAGCAACGTTTCCCTGTTGCACAGTGGGTTGAAGACTTGGAGATCCTCCAAACAACGGCCATCCAAATTCACCACAAACGGAATAATAAGGTTCATGACCGACCCTCGAGTCCCTCCGGAATCATGGCATCTGTCACCCCGCCCATGAGTCCGCTCATGTCACCGGGGGGCATCCCGGGCATGCCCCACTCTAGAGAGAGCAGCTATTCCAACTTGGATGTCGTGGCCGAGATGGGTAACCAGAACAAGACTATTTACAGCCGCGATCCTAGCCCTAGCGGGACTGAGAAACCAAAATCAGGTTTGAGTAGATCACTTTCTCTGGGTGTGCGCAGCGGTCCCGGTCATTTCGAGCGCCGTGGTCGCCCGCGACAGCAGGGTGATCAGATTCCCGAGAACGACGAGGTGGAATCCGAGTCCGAAGAAGACAGCGATGACGATACTGGCCACAGTTCTTTTGGGGACGATGAGTATACTATCACTGCGGCCCAGGCGGAGGAGGGTCGTAGAGGACACTCCAGCATCATGAAGCCCGGTGTTCATGCCATCCCTGCCCCTGGTACGCCTACCGGTCAAGATTCCTTGCATCCTCGATCTATCAGACCTCCCGTCAGTCCCAGTACTCCCCCAGGCCCAGAGCAGTCCCTCCTTGCGCCGCCCCGACCCCTGATGGATCCTGGAAATCGGCTGAGCAGTGCATCCGTGCTCTCGCTTGAATCCGTCGTTGGAAATAAGAAGGACTTCAAGCTCCAAAAGGTTGATCCATTCTTTACCGATAGTCACGGGGAATACTACAATACTTTCAAAACCAAACTCGAGGGTCTCAATGGGGCCAACTCCGAGTCGCAGCTCTGTATCGAAGAATACCTCATCAAGAGTGAAAGACAATGGTTTGACCGTTTCCGTGATGCACGACTGGGCCGCCACAAATCGCCCACACCCTCGATTTTCCGTGGAAAGAACAACGAGTCACCGGCAATGTCATTCTATAACGACGATGCGGCCTCCCATGTCGCCGGCAGTGAATATCAAGAGGATGATGAGACTGACGATGAGTTCCTCCTGGGCAAGGACTACGTGCCCCCGACTGGACTGAAGAAGTGGATGCAGATTAAAGTAGGAGACTGGCCAGTGTACACCGTATTCCTTGCCCTAGGCCAGATTATCGCTGCCAATTCGTACCAAATTACGCTGTTGACCGGTGAAGTTGGTGAAACCGCAGACAAGCTCTATGGTATTGCGACAACGTACGCAATTGCCTCCATCTGCTGGTGGCTTGTTTTCCGCTACTTCCAGTCGATTGTGTGTCTTTCTGTCCCATGGTTTCTCTACGGAATAGCTTTCCTTTTCATTGGCTCTGCGCACTGGGAGACGGACTCCTTCTCTCGGGGGTGGATCCAGAATGTAGGAAGTGGCTTCTACGCCGCCGCCTCAGCTAGTGGATCTGTCTTTTTCGCCTTGAACTTTGGTGACGAGGGTGGTGCGCCTGTCAAAAAATGGATCTTCCGTGCCTGTGTCATCCAGGGTATCCAGCAAGCATACATTATTGCGCTCTGGTACTGGGGCTCGACTCTTACGAAGGCTTCCAATGCAGGCCTTTTGACTGATGCAACCAATATCTCCAATACTTGGAAGATGACGTATGTATCCCATTTCTGTTTGTTGTATCAGTGGCTAACTAGCTTCTAGGGCGATTTGTTATCCTATCGCTGCCTTCCTTTGCGGCATTGGATTGCTCCTGATTTTCGGCCTTCCCAACTATTATCGTCAAAAGCCGGGCAAAGTGCCTTCATTTTATGTGTCGCTGCTGCGCAGGAAGATTGTCCTTTGGAACTTCGTGGCGGTCATTCTGCAAAATTTCTTCTTGAGCGCCCCGTACGGCCGAAATTGGAGCTGTAAGTCTTCTTCATCCTCAACCCATTTCATTCATACTCTTCGTTACTTTGGGGGGGGCTAACTTAGCTTCTACCTCACCAGTTTTGTGGACGTCCTCTCATACCCACGCCTGGCAAATCGTCATCCTCTGTATCGTGTTCTTTGGCGTTGTGTGGGTTCTTTTCCTCTTCATCGTTAGCAGGTTCTCCAAAGAGCACAGCTGGTTTCTGCCCGTGCTGGCCTGTGGTCTGGGTGCTCCTCGGTTTATCCAGATCTGGTGGGGCGTCTCTGGCATTGGCTACTATCTTCCCTGGGTATCTGGTGGCTTGACTAGCGGCGCATTGGTATCGCGCAGTCTCTGGCTCTGGCTCGGAGTTCTGGACTCCATCCAGGGTCTCGGATTCGGTATCATCCTTCTGCAGACATTGACCCGCATGCATATGTTGTTCACTTTGATTGCCTCCCAAGTCATCGGCTCTATTGCAACCATCTGTGCCAGGGGTTTTGGTCCCAATAGTATCGGACCGGGCCCAATCTCTCCAGACCCAACCAAGGGCGTAAGCGCCGTCCAAAATGGCTGGTTCTGGGTTGCTCTTTTCTGTCAGCTGCTCATCTGGTAAGTCATCACCATCCCCAAACACGAAGTTGAGACACATTTTGTTTTTCTAACCATGCTCTTGTTTCCAGTGGCGGATTCTTACTCTTCTTCCGAAAGGAACAACTTTCGAAGCCTTAGACAAAAAAACAAGAGCTTTGCATATATACATATATATATAACACCCTTGGGGGTTTGAGACCTTAACGATTACATGGTGTCATTCATCCTCGTACATCTCACCCGATACGATCCCTTTGAAGCATATATCATCATCATATAAAATAGCCATCACATCACTCTCTTGAATTACGTTCTCTTCATTTTATTTCTCATTCAAGGAAGGGGTTTGGAGTCTTTACTTTCACGCATGTATAATACAACCTGTCCATGAAACTTCATATCTAATGCAAAGCCTCTGCGCTTAACTCTATAATTACCCAATAATGAAGCTAATTTTCGATTCATTTGCTGTAGTAGTACGGAGGAGTACCCTGGTTGAATACTTGATAAAGTTGAAGTAAATGACGGGACTTGACCAGGTTTCCCTGGACCGCATCGCATAATCCATACTTGCAATCAATTCGTGAACTTACCTGATTACCCGCAAGATCCGATAGGTGTCATGACGATGGTTCAGTTCAACCTTGCTGTCTGCAGATCCTGGGCCCGAAAAAAAAAAAAATCTTCATCGACAAGTGGAGCTTCATTATGTTATTACGGAGTAGTTAACTACCCGAACCCCCCCCCCCCCGACTAAGTCTCCGGGATCGCGTGTTGTGTGCAGATTTTGAAGCTCTGCTTAGCAATCGGGAAATGATTTCACTATATATGCTATATAGGAACCCTCCCCTCTAACCCGCAGCTCTGTGTTTTCCCTCGATTTATAATTAACTTCAACAGGATGGCGTCCGCAACGATGAAGCAGTGGACCGTCATCGACGCAGAGAGCGGCTTCGACGGCCTCAAGTATACCGATGCGCCTGTCCCCAAGGTCGGCGAGAACGAAGTACTCGTGAAGTTGCATGCTGCCTCGCTCAATTACCGCGATGTCATCATTCCACAGGTTGGTTAAAACTACTATCCCCGTTAGCTCGAATGAACTAAAGTAATCTAAAACCGGTGAACCTACGCAGGGAATGTACCCATTCCCACTCAGCCTCCCCGTTGTCCCCGGTTCTGACGGCGCCGGGGAGGTGATTGAAGTTGGATCGAAAGTCAGCCAGTTCAAGACGGGCGACACGGTAGTCACCCTCTTCAACCAGCTCCACCAGTACGGTCCAATCGACGCGGCGGCAAGCAATTCGGGTCTCGGGGGTGTGATTGACGGCACCCTCCGCCAGTACGGGGTGTTTAATGAGAACGGAGTCGTCCGGTGTCCTCGGAACTTGAACTTCCTGGAATCGAGTACCTTGACTTGCGCCGGTCTTACGAGCTGGAATGCGTTGTATGGATTGAAGCCGCTGAAGCCCGGCCAGACGGTTTTGGTACAGGGGACTGGAGGCGTGAGTATGTTTGCGTTGCAGGTATGTTTCCCCCCCACATGATTGAGGAGGGGTTGAAGATACGCATATATTAAAACTGTATGTTATGTATAGTTTGCCAAAGCCGCCGGTGCAACCGTGATTGCGACAACCTCTTCAGATCAAAAAGCGACGAAGCTCAAGGAACTCGGTGCCGACTACGTTATCAACTACAAAACCCAGCCGAACTGGGGCGAGATTGCTCGGAGTCTGACACCGGATAACGCTGGTGTTGATCACATTATCGAGGTTGGAGGCGCCGCCACCCTAGCGCAGAGTTTCAAGTGCATCAAGTATGAAGGCATTATTAGCGTCATTGGATTCCTGGGAGGAGTCGATCCTAAGGACCAGCCTAGCATCCTGGACTCACTCACCAACATTTGCACTGTGCGAGGTGTCTACGTGGGAGGCAAAGATTTGATGAACGATATGGTCAGGGCGGTTGAAGCAAATAATATTCATCCCGTGGTGGATAGCCAGGTGTTTCCTCTTGGGAAACTCAGAGAGGCATATGAGTATCTGGTGAGTTTGTCTTTTCTCGAGGATGAAGCCCGCATACTGATGATTTGGACTAGTGGGCTCAGAAGCATTTCGGAAAACTAGCCATCAAGATTGACTAGTTCATCTCTCTTTAGTACTCGTACATACTTAGAAAGGGATCATGTATGGACTCACAACAGAAGAGAAAAAAAAAAAGAGGCCAACCGTGCTTGAAGTATACGTATAGCAGTCTTGGGCCGGATATTCTCAGCCTGATACATAACAGTATCTCATACGAGGAGTTTTCCTTGCTAGGAGCAAATTAGCTAAATCTGATATCAGAAAAAACATAGATCATCTTGAAGATAGTGGTTGAGCTTTTCATATTATCGAGGTAGAGTTGCAGTTCAATGTGGTTCTCTCTCTCTATAGATGTAAGCACGTGAAATTCGAGGCGGGGTTTCTCTCGAGTCTTTTCCAGTCGAATTATTGTGTCCTCAACATCACAGTTAACTCGCGTTCAGTAAACGAGATTACGCTCCAGGTTGGCAATTGTTCCTTACAATTGGTGATGAAATTGCTCCTCTTGCAGCCCAAGCCTCGTATTCCTGTTGTTAATCGCCGTCACCGACTCTTTGACCAGCTCCAACTCATCGCGCATCAGACGCCTTCCTTTTAATAATCCATCATCTCTTTCTTTCTATCGTATACTATCTATCCGTCACTTCTCTCTTATCGTCAGCAGTGATCCCCGGCAGGAGTGCACATGTCCTAGAATTGATTTGCAATGAAGAGCATCACCAGCGCTTTTAGGCGCTTGGTAGGGATGGAGGATTCCGTTCCCCAAGTGACCTGTTATCCGCCTCTCGGCCAGGTTACCTGCGCAAAAAATACCCCGGTAGGTCATTCTACGCCGCTCAATTTTCGTATCTGATTATGAATTTCGTGTGAAGCTTCGATTCACCGTCGTGCTGGAATCGGACCGTGAAGACTGGGAAGTCCAGATCTGGCATAACATTGGGGTTCCCGAGTGGACTGCGCTTCCTCTCCCAAAATGCGTTTCCGACGCGGTGCCGCTCTTAAATGGAGATCAAGCACCTAACTCGCGTCAAGCTTTCTCGGACGAGATTGTTCGACCCTCTTGTGCTGGGCAGTTTCAATTTACAGTGCGGTTCCGAGAGACCTCCCAGACAGATTGGCGTTGGGTGAACCAAGAGCCGCGAATCGCCGATGGGGAGTTGATTTTTGCCTCGCCAAGGACAGCAGCAGAGAACTTTGCTGAATATTTTGAGAACCTCTCATCCGAGATCGAAATACAGACACGCCAAAGTGAGGCGCCCGGAGCGGTTCTGTGGCATCTTGCCGGTTCAGTGGATGCTGTGGAGGATGGTAATCCCGGAGTAGTGCGGACCCTTCCGCTGGGAACCCCTTCTTCAGTATCAAGATTCTTTGCCTTGATTCGGATGTGGACTCCATGGCTTGGGCCCAGACAGGGGAAGGGGAAATTTGAGCTGAATGAAGATGCACTATTGTGCTCATTTCTTCGAACAGATGGAGTCCATGTGGTTCTTCTCGGGGTGTCTGGGATAGACAACGTTCTGACGGTGCTTGGATCCGGGGCGAACGGTGAGGTGCTGGTGAAGGCTCAAAACGACAACACAACATCAGCTCGCTTTCAGATCTTGGCCTCTGCAGCGGAGGATTTTGAAGTTGCGATGAGTGCTCTCATCTATGAAGCGCGTAAGTTGGTAAGACCCTATACTACACAGGATGTGGTGGAAACATGTCCGCAAAAAGATCCAGAAGCACAGTGGCTCTCGACCTGGGCAGATGGCTTGACGTATTGTACTTGGAACGGTCTAGGACAGAATCTCACCGAAGGTAAAGTTCTCTCTGCTCTCCGCGAGCTTAAAAAACATGGGATTAATATCACGAACCTGATTATGGACGATAACTGGCAAACTCTGGACAACGAAGGAAAGGCGCAATGGGACCGGGCATGGAAGCAATTTGAAGCAAACCCAAAGGCATTTCCACATGGTCTTAAGAAGACAGTGGATGCGATTCGGGAAGAGAACCGGAATATCGACACTATAGCTGTCTGGCACTCTCTCCTTGGCTACTGGCACGGGATCTCCCCGGAAGGCGAGCTGGCTGCTCTGTATAAGACAAAAGAAGTGGAAATCAAGAATCCCGGCACTGGAAAGGATATCGACGCGAAACGGAGCCCTGTTCTTGCTATTGACCCGCAAGATGTCCAGCGCTTCTATGATGACTTTTACAGATTCCTTTCTTCGGCCGGGATTAACGGTGTCAAGACAGACGCTCAGTATTTTCTGGATCTCCTGGTAAACCCCGAGGACCGGAGGAGATTCACAAGCTCCTATCAAGACGCTTGGTCCATTTCCTCGTCGAGATATTTCGATACCAAAGTCATCTCTTGCATGTCACTTTTCCCCCAGAATATCTTTCACTCCCTGCTCCCAACCAACAAGTTTACCATACCGGTCCGGAATTCGGACGACTTCTTTCCTGATGTGGAAAGCTCTCATCCCTGGCACCTATTCTGTAATGCCCACAATGCGCTTTTTACAAGATATCTCAATGTTATTCCGGACTGGGATATGTTCCAGACCACTGGCGCATACGCAGGCTTTCACGCAGCAGCACGATGTGTCTCGGGCGGACCGGTTTACATTACAGATGTGCCTGGCAAGCACAATCTCGATTTAATTAACCAGATCACGGCCCCGACCATCCAAGGAACCACAGTGATCCTCCGACCTAGTATCATAGGACGTACGCTCGACATGTACCACGACCTCAATGAGGGCCACATCCTCCGGGTGGGCACATACACAGGTCGTGCGCCCACAGGAAGCGGGATAATCGGCCTATTCAACATCGCTTCATCAACCAAGTCGTGCATCATCCCCGTGTCGGATTTCCCTGGTGTTCACAACCCAGATGCCCAGTATGTAGTGCGGGCTCATACAAGTGGCAAGCTCGCTGAGGGCTTGCACGCCTCCGATTCTTCCGCAGTTGTCTCCGTGAAGCTAGATCCGAAGGGCTGGGAAATCCTTACTGTCTACCCAACGCAATCTTTTACTTTGAAAGGTGGAAGCGAGCCGACATATGTCTCCGTGCTTGGTCTTCTGGGGAAGATGACCGGTATTGCAGCGCTTCTAATGTCTGACATCTGCATCGAAAGTAACGGACGACTACGATTCGACGTTAGTCTCAAGGCCCTCGGTATTCTTGGAATTTACATCTCCGATCTGCCTCGATGGGACATTGAAGAAAATTGCATGGTCACAATCTCGGGTAGAGCAATCCCCCGGGAGACTGTCCGGAAAAGCGGAGGAAAGAAAGGAAAAGTCCTAGAGATTGATCTCCAGACTGCCTGGAAGGAGCTGGGTCTGGATGCTGGATGGAGTAATGAAATTCGGGCTACGTTGTTTATCGGATGAGCGTCCTGATTCAAGAGATATAAATCAGCACAGAAATGAAAATATCAATTATTTGTTTTGGTAAGTAAAAGCTCAAGTCGGATTTGTCGCGTCGCAGAAACATTGTGTAATGGAGCGGGAGGGCAAACACTCGCGTGAGGTGGTACGGATAACACTGGAGATTCCTTGAGAGATGGAGAATCCAGCGAATCAAGAACATAATAATGTCTCCTTCCCGGGTTTGCATACCTCTTGAGGTTAGCCAGTCCCATCAGACAAGGACTCAACCCTTAGCTGAATGTCTTGACATGACTTGCATGTCTAATAGGCTATAGGGTACGCTATACGGTCTACCCACAATCAAGGATATACATCCACTAAGTAAAAAGGGTAAGTCCAAGGTCCTATCGTACCAAACACGAGCAATAATATCCGGTACTACGCAGGTTTCCTCCTATCCCAGGCCATACAGAAACCTAGATCATCATCGTCATCATCACCATCATGAGTGCAGGAAAATACTTCGAGAAAGCCACATCTGACGCCCTTCCCGCGTATGGAGGCGCCTCTGAGGTTCAATCCGGCCCCATTGCCGGAGCCTCCATCGATCTGCACCGCAAACTCGCAAACCGTCAGATCCAATTAATCGCCATCGGGGGGTCGATTGGTACAGCTGTTTTTGTGAGTATTGGCGGTGCCCTGGCAAAGGGAGGCCCCGGGAGTCTCTTCATAGCCTACACGGTCTACTCGTGTGTCCTGGCGCTTCTGAACAACTGTATCGCGGAGATGTCGACCTACATGCCCGTTAGTGGGGGGTTCATCCGTCTGGCGGGGAAATGGGTTGACGACGCGCTCGGGTTTACAGCTGGCTGGAACTTTTTCTTCTACGAGGCGATCTTGATTCCGTTCGAGATTACTGCTGTCTCGCTGGTGCTGTCATTCTGGAGGGACGATATCCCCGTGGCTGCCGTTTGCGCTGCCTGTATTGTTCTCTACGCGTAAGTTCTAGCATCCCTAACTGTCTGTTACTTGATAAATATGGGAACTGGTTCTTTCTTTTCTAATATACCGGGCAGCGCTTGCAATATTCTAGCGGTGCGTGCCTACGGGGAAGCCGAATTTTGGCTCTCGGGCGGGAAAATTCTTCTAATTTTGATGTTGTTCATGTTCACCTTCGTGACCATGGTGGGCGGAAACCCACAACACGACGCTTACGGATTCCGGTACTGGAGCAGCAGCCCCGGGGCCTTTGCCGAATATCTGAGCACCAGTGCGCTTGGTCGATTCGAGGGATTTCTTGCCTGTGTCTGGTCTGCGGCCTTTGCCTGTGTCGGACCCGAATACATTTCCATGGTTGCCGCGGAAGCCAAACACCCCCGCAAGTATATCAAGAACGCATTCAAAACGGTCTACTGGCGCTTTGGTGCATTCTTCATCGGCAGCGCACTTTGCTGCGGTATCGTGGTGGCATCCAACGACAAAACCCTCGTCGAGATTCAGATCAATAACGGCGGCGGTTCTGGTTCTGCCTCGGGCTCCCCATATGTTATCGCCATGGGGAACATGGGAATTGAAGGCCTGCCGCATCTCGTCAACGCCCTCCTGATCACCTCCATCTTCTCTGCTGGAAACACCTACACCTACACCGCAACCCGAATTCTGCACAGTCTCGCGCTGGAAGGCCGCGCCCCACGCCTCCTCTGCAAATGCACCAAGAGCGGCGTCCCGATCTACTGCTTCTGCGTCGTGATCATCTTCCCCTTCCTCTCCTTCCTGCAGGTCTCCAATAGCTCCTCGCAGGTCCTCACCTGGATGATCAATCTGGTCACCGCCGCCGGAATCATCAACTACATTATCATGGCGATCACGTATCTCTGCTTCTACCGCGCCTGCAACGCCCAGCGCTTCGACCGGAACCAGCTCCCCTATAAAGGCTGGTTCCAGCCATACAGCGCCTACATTGGTCTTGCGTGGATGGTCTGCGTGGTGCTTTGCTACGGATACTCGGCGTTCAAGCCGTGGAGGGTCGATTCATTCTTCACCTATTATACCATGGTGATTGTGGCGCCCGTTCTCTTTGTCGGGTGGAAGCTTCTCAAGCGTACGAAATGGCGCAGTCCCTACGAGGTGGATTTGATCTGGCAGGCGCCGGAGATCACAGCCTACGAGGAGGAACTGAGTGTCCATGAGCCACCAGTGGGATTCTGGCAGGAGATGCTGGGTTCGTTGAGGCGCAGACCGTGAGGTTTCTGTTGTTGTAGATGTAGCGGTTGAGCGCTGCACTGTCTGTCTGTCATTAGAATCTGTATATAAGTTCAGAGATACGAGCGTAAAAACCTGCCCCAAAAAAAATATAGATTAATATTTTTTTTTTTTTTTTTGGTCCTCGGCCTGGCCGGCATACATATAAATTAACTATACATACATACATACATACAGTATTGCAAAGCAAAACACAACCACTTATCCTACGACATCCCCCCCCCCCCCCCCCGCCCCCCTGATTCACCACCTGATATACCTATCTGGACATAGCTACAAGCAAGGACGCGAAAAAAAAAAAAAAAAAGAAGAAGAAGTAAACTACCTCCACGTACTGCTCTCGGTCGCTGCGATCATCCCGCACTCCGCCGGAACGGTATAGCTGCGGTTCGGATCGCTTTCCCAGGTCACCGCACCACTCTTAGCCACACGGAGGAACTTATACTCGAAGCTGGTTCCCGCGGGCAGAGTCATCGTCACCCCCCAGGTGTGATCGGCGTCTGTGTAATCGGCCGCACTGAGCGCAACCGCCTTGCTGCTCGCCCAGTTGCCGAGCTCGGGGATTGATCCGGCGATGAAGACATTCTCGCCCCAGCTGGTTGTGGCGGTGACGTCGAACGTCACGGCGACACTGGTAGGAGTGCTACAGGCTGTTGGTGTGGCTGTAGTGGTGGTGGTGGTGGTGGTAGATGTGGAGTTAGTCGGGCCTCTAGTCAGGGAGCTGGGCCAAGTGGTTCCCGTTGCAGCGCTGTACGTGCCGGTTGCAGAAGTCGCAACACAAGCGGAGGCCTGCTTCGCGTTCTTCTCGCCCCAGGATGGGGGCATGACGGAGTTGCGGCGTAGGTTTGCCGTGAGAAGCGCGGCGTAAGACCAGGTCAGGTCGCGGGCGGAAGCCGGGCTGCCGTTGGACCTGGTGAATTGTTCTGCGAGAGAGCCGTTGGGCCGGGCGTATTTTTCCTTTTTTTCCCCTTTTCATTAGTATCGATATCTGGGGAATCCGGGGCCCAGGGGGGGGGGGGCAAGTTACGTACAACGATACCCATGTATCCATCTGCGTAGGTCTTCACGGCATCGAGGATCGCCGTAAAGGTTGAGCTGGAAGAGGCATATGTTCCCACAGCTGCGGAGGGATAAATGTCCTTGAAGAAAGCGAGTGATACGGAAGTGATCGTGATCGATTTGGCCTGGTTCCACTGGTAGATGGCATCGTAGAGCTGCTCTGCCGCTGCCGTTGTGGCCAGGTACCATGGGTTGCCGTTATAATAATTGTCCTCTGGGTAGCGTCCCACCGCCACGGCTTTGCCAGCGGCAATGCCCGAGTTGATGGCATAAATGGAGCGGAAAGAGTCCGTGTACACCTTGTGATTGGCTAGAGTCCGAGGCGAGCAGGGCTGGAAAGTATTATCATCGCATCCGGCATTGGGGTCAAAGGTATGGATGCTTCCAAGAATAGTATTGGCGTCCTTGCCCGAACGGTTGCTGCCGAAGTTGGCGAGGATATAAGACCCGGTCCAGAAGCTCTGCAGGTAGCAGAGAACTTGCGGTGCTTGCGAGTCACACCACGAGCAGGAGGAGCCGACTCTGCTGGCGAAAGCGCTGCCTTCGACGAGGGCACGGTGCTGAGCGGCAATAGTGAAGAATGAAGAGCCTTGTACCTCTTCCCAAAGATCTGTTCACTGATGAGTATCTCTTCTCTTGACCCGAAAGAAGGAAAACTAACCAAACCCCGTGTTGTTCCAGTATTGCGCTACATATGAGAGATCGTTGCGAACGACTGGCCAGATGTTGCTAACTGCGTATTTGGAATATCCGTTGTCCTGGCTAATATTAGCAAATTGAACCCCCCTCCCCCTTTAGGAGGATGCTTACGATAAGCCAGTTTCCAAAGTCAATCAGGGCAGTAGCTCGCAAAGCCGGTCCATCCCGCTGGGGGCGTCCCCAACTGCCGGTGAACGCAGTCTCATCGACATTGAACTTGGGTTCTCCAAGACCCCCAGAGGAAAGCGATCCCGACGGGTTGGACACAGTCTGGAGATGAGCTTGCGCGTTGACATATTCCATCAGCACTGTCTGTAGACTGGACTCTCCGTTTCTGAAAAGGTCGACCAAAACTTTGACGACCAGGGCTGCATCCCGACTCCACGTATAGTAATCTACCAGGGTTTAGCAAGCACTCTCGCACCGGTATTGTCAAAACTGCCACTCACAATCCGGATCGTTGGTACTGGGACTGGCGATCACGATGCCCGCGTGAGCAGAGGCCGCGTAGGCGCCGCCAGAACCGATGTTGTCAAGGATACCATTAAGAGCCACTTTAGCTTCCGATGCAAGCCATGTATCCAAGTTGGTGGTAGCCCTTGGGGCCGGCTGCGGTGCAGCAATTACGGCCTGGCTGAGAACGAGCGCATGGAGCGCAAGGGCAACCGAGCGAGTCATCAGAAGAAGATAGATAGATAGATAGATAGATAGACAAAGTATAGGCAAGCCAAAGGGGGATCGATAAATCTTTGCACAATCCTTTTGCGGGAAACAGGCAGCCAACATGGGATATCGATCCCCCTTTTATACTTTGCTTCGTTTTAACTCACATGCATGTATGTATTTCTGCAGCACAGTTCCTGACCAGGGAGCACAAAGATGACCTCAGATTCATAGCGGAAATGCCGACGCCTCCACACCAGAGCCATGCATCCAGAAGAATCCGATGTGTTCTATACGTAAGTCCGCGTTCTTGATTGGACCCGAGTCCGTTGGTTTAAGCCAAGGAACTCGTCGGTTGGTTGCGATGGCCGACTCGAATGACCACCACGGGGCACGCTTATTGTCGCACTACGTCTTCGGCTCGGCTAACGCTGAAGAAAACCACCTTGTCTCCTTGCTCGTGGAGAGTCTTTGAAGATAAAAAAAAAACCAAAAATTTGCGTGAAATCGCCGTCCCCTGCTCTTGACCCGGGCGAGACCAATGAAAGTCTGCATGGCAGATTAAATGCGGGGAGCCATTTCCCCGTCCCCGGGCTTTCGCCAGCATAATAACATGATGTGGATTTGTAAAGTTTCTTCACACCTTTCACGCGAGACATTCAGCAGGCATGGGATTAATATACGCAGATGGTCAGAGAAATCGGCATCCCTTCCCAATATCTGATAGGCGAGTCTCGGGTTTAGGAATTCAAAGGGTTAGTTCCTCCTCCTGCATGGCCTGCATAACCCTAACTGAGGGACAACGCGTACCCACCATATTATTTCCACCAACTATATTTTGGAGTCGGTGTTTGGTGACGTAGGAAACCCTGGAAGACCGATAGATATCTCGCTACCTCCAGCTGGTCCGGGCCGTGCGCGTGGCTGGAGCCAAGTCAGCCTTCGGGCGAACGAAATATAGCTCGTCAGCCCTTACTCTTAAACCACGGAGTACTCCGTCAAAAAGCAAGGATATGTAGCGTAAGTGGGTAGCTTTCGGCCGTGTCAAGACACAGGAAAGTGACCGAGCAGTAGCAGCTGGCATGTATCTATGACTAACCAGGACTGATTGAATCTTACGAGGGCGTGGTCAACGTAAATTTAACCGCAAGCTGTTTGATCTGGAGAGCTTTTACAATTCATAAACAATATGGAGCATTTTGAATAAGGTTCAGCCAGCGATTGTATGGTTGAGTTAGGTGGCCAATGAATTAACCGCTAGAGCCCCAAGTATTTTAACCCAATATAAATGTATTGAACAGGCGATACCCGTTCCTACCTCTTGGATGTTACAGCTTCAAGGGGGGGGCACGCGAGCAGGGCAAGTCAGGTAATTCACATAGTATATGTTGGAGTGCTGCACTCAGTGAGTGAATGTAAACAGCACTGCTATGTATTAAGCATGCTGACGTGATGCAACTGAGGATCTCCACCGGACCGGATCACCACACGTGATACCCCTGAATCGAGGTAGAGTAGCGAGGTACGGAGTACTCCAACATTATCTCACAGTTCCCTCCGCCATTCCACTTCACCACAATGACGACTTATGTTCTTTACAGTCTTGACGGCGCAATTAATGAATTCTTCAAGTCGAACACTACTGTCACAAGACAGCAATGTGATGAATTCGCCATTTCTCGCGCTGGTGGTGTGTCCACTGCTTTACAGATGCAAGGAGTGTGTAGCTATACCGTGACAGCGGGGCCCAACAACTCCCAGCTCTTCCAGTTCCGAGATGAGAACTCTGTCATTGACATGGGCAACATTTCCCTTGCTAGAGCAGTCCATCCCGAATTTGTGGCTAGTTGCAAGTATCTTGGTACTATGGGCGACTCACGGCCAGTCTATATTTATGAGATGGAGCATCTTCCTGGAATTGCTCATATAATGGCGCGTATTCCTCTAGAGGACATGCCCCGACAGTGTAACACTATCAAGGACTTTGCAAGGTACTCCTAGCAATATTTTTACTTCATTTATATAAACTAACATTTAAGAATAGGTTCTTTGCGCAGTCGTGGAACAATGACCTACGGCCATGCTTAGATACAACTACAAACTTGCTTATGGAGTTTCAATCAAATTTTGATCTTCTTGCTCGAAACCTGCCATCTCGCTTTGCACCAAACCTAGACATAGTCCGCAAGGAGCTCCTGTCTCTCTTTTCCAAAGCCCTTCCCTTCGTTCTTAGCCACGGTGACCTTAACATGATGAATCTCCTCGTCAATCCTAAAACTGGAAATATCACAGGGATTGTTGACTGGGCTGAATCAAGGATTCTACCTTTTGGCTTCGCGCTTTACGGGCTTGAGAATTTTTTGGGTTGGATGGATTCAGGAGGGTGGCACTACTACAATCACTACCGTGAACTCGAGAGCCTGTTCTGGCAAACCTTTCGAGAGGAGGCTCGTAATTTCTCCGACACTGATTTACATTTGATTCGTACTGCGAGGATGGCTGGATTCTTCTACCGTTACGGATTTAATTTTGACATGAAAGGTGCAGTGCAAAGTGTGCGGATGGACCAGCCGGATGGTTCACTCGCATATCTCGATGCTTTCTGTGCTGCTGGTGAGTAGGCTTCTCTTTTCTGATCCTGCATATGATGTACTGCAAGGCAGGTGGGGTGGTAGGACGTTATGTGCTTCTATATGTATTGTACTTGAAAGTCTAGTAGGCGAGGAAACTACTTTAGCAAAACACAACTTTTCCTTCTTTCTAATATTGATATTAGTTAATAGTCCTATAGCTTTTGGTCTATTTTCCTGGCAAATTCTTGTAGGGAATTAGTCCTTCTCGTAATATTGATGGCATGATGCTCAATTAATACGGATCTGGTAAAATTAAGATAAGATCAAAGATATCTAATCTGATTGATCCACTCTAATTTATCTGATAGATTTTCTTTAATAACTCCCATTCAAATATTCTGTACAACATTACAATAGGGATTTAGAATCATCTAAAAGAACAGCCTTATACTAATGACGGATTTCTAAATGGTAGATACAGAGTCGTTCACAAGTTAGGGTCTCGCGATCAGGAAGAAGAGTCTCCGCCGACCGGCGAGTTTTGAGGAAACCGAGACAACGATGAACGACATATACAATATAATATATGCTTTGCTAGTTTGACAGTGGAGTTTTCAGCCTTGGAAATGCTTGGAAGCTTATAAATATGCTCATATCCCCTCAGCAGCCCATCGCTCTCACTAAAGCAGTCGCTATGGCTAGTCTAGTAGTGTCTTTCCTAGCTTACACCCCCAGGCAGTGCCTGTAATTCGTCTTCAGATTTCCCGGAAATTCTACTCGAAACCAATGTTCCTCGGCTCGCGTGGTACGATACAACTCGGCTGTACATGTTGGCTGGAGGGATGAACAGTGAGCTGCTGTCTTTGTCTTTTGTTCCGGCCCAGCGAGAATGATCGTACGGTACCTATATTAAAATTGAACTCGTGAACGATATAGTTATGTAATGCGATTATGCAGCCTAGCACTGCTTTTACGAGATCCAGTTTCCTCTCTCAATCTAAGGTTCTTATGGCTGCGCTGCTTCTGGATCGCTATGGCAAAGTAAGGCATCATTGAACCGCCTCATCTGCGGACGATGTAATCATATGACAGGCAATATTATTATTATTATCAATTTCCTCTCTAGAGACATCTCCCCCTTGCAAAGAGGCACAGGATGCTGCTGTTGAGGGATTTTTCGAGCTTCGTGGCGTGTACGGACCGGACCTTTGGAACGCACTACAGGTGCTTGGTGGGAATAGGCTTCTTCCACGCGATAGGGGCTGTCTGTCCTCGCAATATACTGAAGGCGAATGAGGCTTTTTTTTTTTTTTATCCTAGCTATATATCTCCCCCATCTCACGGGACTAATACACTTTTTAACCCCTTGAAAGCGTTTCCGGAAATACTTTTTGTAAAAGGAGACAGAACATTTTGGCGAAGAACCCGATGAAAAGCCGCATACCATCTATCGCCCATATAGTTGTATCACATATCTGATATCTGCAGAGGAATTTCCAATTGATGTATGGTATCGAGGGGAGGGGGGATATAGATTCTGAATCTACGATTAGCAGCGGCTCGTCTGATCTTTGTCAAGCTCCACACTTAGTTACGTGTGAAGTTCGAGACTAAAATCGTTCTGCATGGAGATTTCGCGATAATCCCAGGCCGATCAGCTGGCTGTCGTGTCCAGCTCCGGGCTCAGATGACTGGGAACTAGGCAAGAAATACGAGTTAAATTCGTTGAGGATGTCAAGGTCGGGGGTAGAACCCATATTATGTGGTTCCTGAGATGGCAGTACTGCGTGCTGAGAACCCCTTGGAATGGGTTGATACTTGGAGTAGCTTTTCAACCGCGTATGCTCGTTCGTTTCACCACGCTCTGACTGCCGCAGAGCAGACGGGATATTGAAACTTGTTGGCTCCGATGATATGTATTGCCGAGGGGATGAATTCACTCCAATCCGGCCTCCTCCTGGTATATTCGCCCCACCGCGAAATATGTCTAGTGGTCTGGAGTTTGTCTGGGGTTGTATTTCGGGAATGTCGGTGAAATTATATCTAGTTGCGGAGTGATGGTAGGCAGAGGCGACCTCCACATTCTGGGGCACGGTAAACCGCGGGTATTCTGGCACCTGGAACAGCGAAGAATCGAATACTGCTGTGGTATTCGATGATATACAAAGCGAAGAGGATAACGGCGGCACGAACGACTTGGTCACTTGGGATGTAGACGGGAGAATATCTGCGCTGTGGTTGGAGTGAGAAACTCTGTCGGGAACGATTCCCGCGCGTGATATTGTGGGCACCGCTGTACTTTGAGCATCCTGGCACGCGTCATCTTGCCTCGGGGCAACCTGATACCACGGCCGACAGCGAAAGGTTGACCCTTCAACCGGGAAGTGTGAGCATGTGAGCGCTGCAACAATCAGAACCGCGAGTCAAGGCGCTTTACCTTTCGGGATGCGAGTCATAAAAGTATATGACTTCTTGCAGCTACAGGAGGAGGTGGCGTGCGGGCATTTCTTCAAGGGACGTCCGGATTTGGGAACCTTGGACATCAGACGGTCGAAATGTTGACACTTGGACGATCGATGGCCCCGCATACATGGCTCACTGGAGTCTGTTAGGGTTCATTTTGGATGTTAAGTTGTCACTATACTTACCAAGACCACTTATTCCCTTCCTCGTCCAGGGGCATCTTTCCCTAAGTGTTGAACTGAAACCAAGCTTAAGCGCTACTCGAAAATCAGGACGGATTGCGGTTGGGGCATGAAATTGGGGGGGGGGGGGGGGAGGGGAGCACAGACATGGAGATCTTCGCGGCTTGAAGACCGGCAAGAAGCTCCAATATCGCTATTGAATGGCCAGATTCCCCGACCGATTTTGAATCTTCAATCTTCTCGAGCGTTGGGCTGCTTCTTCAGTGACGGTACCCTGCGTGCACGAGGTTGATATGATGAGGTCCATGTGGCAGTTTGGGCGATTTGATGAGACCCGTGTCCAGGTGAGATCAAACTCATTAATTCCCACTACTATATTATTAGGCATAATAACTACTGCCTGTCACCCTGGTGTAGGAGCAGCTCGCAAGGCTGTCCAAACTGGCTCTGCGATTGGCGACTTGGATCTCTTTTTTACCCACTTGAAACGAGCAAATTTGAGCAAATTCCAATCCCAGCGTCTTCTGTCTGGCTGAGTCTGAGTAAGACGCGACATGGTTCAGGGATCTCAACCTCGATTGACGTGGCCCGACGCCAAATCGACTAGAATGAGGAGGAGCAGGAGGAGGAGGTGGTGGTGGTGGTGTCTAATTCCGCCGTGTCTATATCGGCCCATCGACTCGTCCTCCATTTGACCATCCGTTCCCCCGGACGCATATCCGGAGATCTTGATCTTCTGGAGGTCGGAAATGACAGTGAGTTGGGGCTTTCTTGCAATACTTGACCGACATCTGTATCCTGCAGTCTAGATTACTACAACGATGATATCGTGCTCGGGGCAGAGCAGCAAAATTGTACATCTCACTGCTTGAGAACCCGTATTTGTTGCTTGTTTCTGGGGGAAATTTTGACGGCTTTCGGACCCAGCACGTATAGTGGTCGATCTATCTGCATTACTATAGGTAAAATCCTTATACTCCCTATATGTATCTACCCGGAACCTCAAGCTATGTGTTGTATCAGGGTTTCAGTAAGGACTATGAGTTTTGCTACTCTACTGACTTGTAATGGGGAGGTTTTAACACATCCCTGCTGAATTTCACTTCTTACAGAAAGCGTTTTGCGTTGACGACCGGGTCATGCAGTCAGTCTTGCATGCATGGCCTACAAATTAGGGCTCGGAGAAAAGCAGAGGAAGAAAAATTCATAGTAAAGTAAAAGCAATGATTATAAAGTGCCATAATCCTATCCTACCAAGACAAATTTCACATGCTTTCCCCCTCAGAGCCTGTATTCCATTGCTAGCAACTACCCCCCCAGATGTCGTTCGGTACGGATTTAAAAACCGGCTGCAACGGCTGCGATCGCTGCGAAACCTAGGGCGCTACCGACCTTGTTGATGCTGGCGGCGCCGGTGAAGGCAGGAGAGCTGGCGCTAGGTGTTGCATAGGAAGAGGCAGCGGAAGAGGAAGCTGCGGCAGGAATAACGGGAATGCTAGAGGTAGAAGGAGAAGCCGTGCAACTGCAGCCCTCATCGGAAGACGACGTAAGCTGGCTTCCACCTGCTACGGTGGCAGTCATGGCGACAGTCTGGGAGGCGGTTGAAGCACCCGTGGTAGCAGTAGTGGCTGCCGTGGTAGCAGCGGCTGTGGCAGTCTGGCTGCTGCTGCTGCTGCTGCTGCTGCTGCTTCCGCCAGTTCCCTTAAAGGCATCAACACCTTTCTGGACAGCACTGGAGATTCCATCAGACAAGCTCTGGGCGGTAGACTGGAGCGAGCTTGGGACCAAGGCGACAATGGCGGCGGAGAGCGCGTCAGAGGCAGTCTTCTGGCTTTCCAATTGCTCCTCTGTCTTCTCACCGTATCCAATGCTGACGACGACAGATTTCTTGTTGATAAGGTCGGTGATGGTGGACTCGACCTGCTTTTGGAGGTCCTGGATAGGGGAAACCAAACCGAGGGCATCGATGTCGCTCAGCTTAGACTGCTGCTTGACCTTGGCTGTTCCGGCGTTGATGGCGTTGACGAGAGCATCAGAAGCAGTAAGGACAGAGTCGGGGTTGGCTGCACTCAGGCTTTGGATAGCGCTGTCGAGTGCCTTGACCTTGTCGCTGATCCCAGAAATAACGCCGGTGATGGCGGCAATATCGCGTTGGACAACCGTGGCCTTCTTGACCACCTCGGTGGGTTTAGCCATGGCACAGAGGCTCATGGTGAGCAGGCAAATAGCAGCGTTAAACTTCATTGTTGACAGCGAATGACTGATGAAGATAGAAATGTTCAGTAAAGACTGTAGATGAAGGGAAGAATCGGACTTGGTTGTGAGTAAAAAGGATAGAGGGGCATTGAGAGATCTATATCTTACAGGACGGCGTACATCCGACGGCCTTGTGATTCTCATTTTTTTTCTTTTTATATCCAGCCTGGAAAGAGCTTGATAATCACAGGAACAGGTTTTGTTCGTGTGCTATGTTAACCCTGGGCTGATGATGTTTCTCCCTGCAGATCTACGCCTCTCTCTTGTCGATCTGAAACCAGGAGTTGATTCCATTACCGAGGAATTGTGTCCGTGGTCAGTCTGCTCTATGTATCCTGTAGTGGAAATTAGCCTCGGGGCCAAATATCGTGCCAATAACTAGTTACATAGTTAGTTAATCTCTACGCAGTGATTCAGCACTCGTGTCTCTCACGACCGGCTGGAACTTTGGAGCTTGAATCCCAAAGTCCTTGTCCCTAGCTTTTGAGGCACGATAGGGCTAGATCTCATCACACTCCAGGGAAGGATTTGCCCCTGAGTTTTGCATTTTGCAGTAACCGCTACAGATATAGTAGTTAACTACCGTTTCGTAGCTCGCGATCCCCTTGTGCCTAGGCATCCCCCAGGTCCAGGAGCCTGCATGACCAAAATATGTCGAAATTATGGTATTTGTGGCTCTATAACACTATCTGTCGAGCGAATTGTATCATTCATCGACGCCAGGCCTGCAGGCATGGCCAGAATGACGAGATGGCTTAGCTGTTCCACTCTAGCTCAGTGTATCGTTGATCGTTCGAATCAATCCCCCGCCTTATTCGGGGACAAACTCCAATCTAAGGGCAGGAGGAGTTGGTGGCCTCGTTGCGGAAGGTTTCTCTATTTCTTGTCCACATATGTTATGGGAATTATTCCTGTGTGAAAGTCTCTCGCTCTATCCCCGACTCATTGATATCTCACACTCGGTGTCGAGATCTGAAACCTACTTGATACGCATGTCCCAAGATAATGAAGCTAATGCGCTTTTACCTGATTATAACAGCGCTATGGCCTGGCGTATCGAAACTCAAATGACAGGAATCGCATTACTTGCCATGAAGGGATAGTGTCACTGTTGGATTAACGGAAAGCTATGCAGTCATCTAACCTAATATTTCAGATATTTCAGTATCACATGCTTGTATGCAAAATAGAGCTTGCGCTTCGACGTGGATATGGACGTCCCAGTACACACCGGCTATGAATAGCCCTAGTCCGGTATTTGAGCTCAAACAGAGCTGTAGTGATGCTGCTATTGTAGGTGCCCACACCAGTCCATGGGAGATTTCATTATTTATCCCAGATAGAATGTATCAGCCTCGACTTGCTGCGAGCAAAAGCTGAGGCACGCGGGCCCTACTACCCATGAGAATAATGACCGGAAACTGAAGCGCAAGCCGCAGGAAAATTCCAGACGACACGTTAAAATGATGGAAGCAAGACTCGAAATCCATCCAGTACTCAGATACCGATGAGCACTCAGACAATTGGGACCGATGAGGATATGTACATATTTTTTTCCGTGGTGTACTGGTACTCTGTTTAGGCAGCGTAGATAGAGCCCTAAACCAGCTTTTTATATACATTCTCGGACATAAGACAGCATAGGATGTCAACAATGTTTCGCTAGCAGCAATCATTAGCCCAGAATGAATGAATTCTCACGCTGTGTGGACTGCTGTTCCCGGAGCGTAATCTGTGGCTTTGGAGGCATGGTATGTAGCAATGACGGCGAGAGAAGGATAGTCAAAAATGTCATACATTCTGAATCAGGAGATCGTATAGCTGTAGTAGGTACAATTAACCCTTACAATGACAGTAAATCACAATTCTTCGCTTTGCTCTGGTCTTTTTCCCTCTCCAACTCAGAAAATATATAGTTATGCGACCAATCCTGAATCGACAGCTGACCAGGTGGAAAATGACAAGATTGTAAGCTTCAAATAACGAGGGAATGTGCTAGATAGCCTCGCCTGGGATTTATTCCGGACTTTTGTTCGTTTTCAATTTATTACACTACAACCATGTTGTGCTACTTGATCGCATTCTTGATTCTAACCGCCATGGACAACCACAGCCGCCAGATTCTACCATGTTATGTCTCATGTGGTATGGGACGGTAGACGGACGACCTGCCAGGCGGCTTCGAGTGGAAACTAGGTATTCTTTCGTATGTGTCGACGAACTCCTGACCAGCAGCGACGGGTATATCTATACCTCCCTTGGATGTGTTACGGGATCCTACCGCCCCAGGGCTCCCCCGTACACAGCCAGCCTTTGATAATGGTGGCTTCGAGACTGCTGGTACAAATATCAACTCGTTTCTCGGTTCTTCCAGCCGGACTATATATAACCCCTCTTACTTTTGGCCTCCTCACTGTCCTCAATGTCCACCATTACCACGGCAGTGTCCATGAGTGCTTCTGCAAGTTCAAGGTCCAGCAGTACCTTGAGGAGTGGTTCTATATCATCTACTCATTCTTCTTCCGTTGCGGGTACTGTAAACCCCTGTGCTGTAACGGAGATGCTGGCTGCAATCTTGGTCGTCAGTATAGCTCGGATGTAGCGACACTGTGGGTGCTATTTTTTTTTTTCATGTCCCAGATCAGGTAATATGGTAACAAGTTGCGAGGTTATATGGTGTGGAAGTTGGTCCGTTCATTTTTACTTCTGGGATCGAGTGCGTCGAAAGCAAGTTCTGGCGCTGGACGGAATTCATACCGACTCCTTTATACGATTCAGTGAGGAGGAAGATCATAAGCCAACGCTGTATTTATGTATTCGTGAAGTAAGAGTATAAGCTCGAGGGTATTAGCTAATGCACGTCTAATTTTGTGTGGAAGCCGTCTTGCTGGAGTCTCCCCACTGTAGCCGTCTTGGCTTCATGTACTGCTCTAGAACCTCATCTGTGACCAACTTCCTGCGTTCCTGGAATTCCTGGACATATTCTTGCAGCTTCTTAATAGCCATGGCCTTCAGCTCGCCTGTAAGGAGCGCGCCGCTCTTGTAGTTGTTGTAGATCTCTTCTAGCTTGGCATCTTCCTCCTCGAAGTATGTTAGGTAGATGTAAGAAACATCGACATCGGGGTTTCCACCCAGTCGGCGGTGGTCCTCAATGCTGACCTGGCCGCCGCTGAAAGCATATTTATTGATTTTGGTCTACACTAGTTAGCATGGGTCTAGTCAATACCAGAGAGGACCCACGAACCTTGATTTGCTTGGGGGTGTCTGACATGAAAATGGCGGAGTTAGGGTCGGAGGAGGACATCTTTCCACCAGCTCCCTGGAGTGCTGTGAGGAACTTGGAGTGAATCAGAGCGGGCTTAGGCGAGGGGTAGCGCATCTTGTGTGCATTATCGCGGAGGAGACGGAAGTAAGGATCCTGGTCAATACCCATAGGAATCAAACACTGGATAGCGGCAATTTCCTTGGTTCGCTCGGTAGCGGGCTCGTCGGACCATATCTCGGGGTAAGAGGTGGCGAAAGCAGCCACACATTGGACGGAGGGGAAGAAAATACGACCGACGTTGGTGCTCTCATTGAAGCCGAAGGCGCCGCGAACTTGATTGAAGGTCACCAGCTTCGAGAACTCCCAGGCGTTCATGAGGAAGTGGCCCCCAACGTATTTCAGATCGCTGTAGATGAAAGTTTTCTTGACGTCGAACCCAAGCGCAATAATGTCCTTTGCATTCTCCATGGCGTAGTGCAACACCTCCTCGAAGTTCAAGTTGTCCTTGAACAGCGCCTTCTCATCATCTGTAAGCATGAATACGAGAGGCACATCGAAAACATCCTGCAGCCATTTAGTAAAGGTGAGCGGAATGGTGTGGCCCAAGTGCAGGCTTCCAGTACTGGGACCACGACCAGTATAGAGGAAGAATGGCTCTCCCTTCTCCTTCTTCGTGAGGATCTTATCGAAGTCTCGGTGACTGAAAAACAGACCGCGCCGAAGCCAGCGGTGCGGCTTGTGTCCGGTTACGCGTTCGAAGCGGTCAAGGAGCGCTTGATCAACAAGCTGGGTGTTCCATTTTCTAGGCAAAAGGAAGTTACATCAGTGAGTGGAAGATTAATTACTAGCTACGATGTTTAATGAGATACTTACTTGGAAAGCGCCTCGTAGTCAATAGAGGCAACATTGCCGCTCTCGTCGCGAGCTCCGGCGACGGACCAGGGGTTGACGTCCTGGTCTTGCATAGTGTTTTCAGCCATATTGCGAGAATTTGACCCAATTGGCGATCGCAGACGGGAGGAGAGTCAAGGAGAGCTTGCCCACAATGGAACACAAGAGTTGCTGTCTCTCAGGGAGTTCTTTGTGACTCAAATCCGCGAGGGGCAAATCAAAAAGTGGGATCATGTGATCTGCCCCTCCATTTTCCACGTGGCTGTCACGTGCAACGAGCGTCTTATCAATCGCTGATTGGCTCATCTTCCGCGGTATATATGCCTAAGCCCGGCTGGGGGTAACTAACTAACTACCTTACTATGTTGTGCAAGATTGGAGTATGTACATATCTCATTGAATAAGTAGCCAGTGCGGTATTGAGGTATTCATTTCTAGTCAATGTATTTGATAATTTGAAATTTTGATTCGTTTCCGTTCTTCTAGCACTTTAACGACGTCTTTTCTTTACCGAACGGTAGCTCCCTTAAGGCTCGTCACTGTGCAAACACCTCCCGATTTGGTAAGCAGTTTGCCGATAGCAGGCTTACCTTCCTGGCTCTGTGCAACGGGGACTGCGCTGCTCTCGAAGGCAACCTCGAGGTTCTCGGTGGTGGTGAATCCGGGCTGGAAGGTCTCCCAGATCTTCTTCTTGGGGTTGAGAACCTTCTCGGGCTCGCCCTCGGACCATCCATCGAAGCAGATCCTCTCACCGGCAGGAGCGTCTGCCGGAGGTGTAACAAGCTCAACAGGGCCTGCGTGGGAGTCTTCGCCTTCAGCCACTCGGGGAGAGGCTGCCAAGACCATGGCCGCGGATTTAATTCCACGCATAGTAACGGGCTTCAGGTTGCAAACAGCAACGATCTTGCGGCCCTGCATCTCGGCCAGGGGCACGAGACCGTTCAGACCGGAGCAGACAGTTCTGACTGTCTTGCCGGTGGCTTCATCCAGTGAGGTGTTATCGCTGCCGGGAGCATCACCACAGTCAATAGTGGAGACATACAAAGAGTCGGCGTTAGGGTGGTTGACAGCACGGAGAATATGACCGACACGAAGATCAATCAGGGATGGGGAGAGTGGCGCGGCAGGGGCAGGGGCAGGCTTAGGCTGCTTTTCTTTCTTTTCCTTCTTCTCCTTCTTGGGCTTGCCCTCCTGCTTAGCAGCCGCAGCGGGAGCCTCTGTAGCGTCATCCCCCTTGGCAGCCTTTTCAGGCTTGCTCTTTCCGACCACTAGGGTCTTTTCACCCTCAGTGTTCTGGGCAGCAGCCTTCTCCTTCTTCTTGCGCTCCTTCTCAGCCTTGGGGTCCACTGGCTTGGGCACGAACCGCACATCAGTCACATCAATATTGACCTTCTCCTCCTCCGGGATCTGCAGGGCGAAGAGACGGCTGTTCTGAACGAAATCGACATGGCGAACGATGTGGTGGTACCCCTGCTCTCCCGTACGTTCCTCCGGTGACCATTTCTCGACCACAGGCGCTAGCACAGCGTACAAGGCGATGTCTGCCACTGAGGGCTTCGAGCTAAGAAGTGTTGTACGCGTGGCCAGGTGGGTGTTCAACTGTGCCAGGATGGTTGTGATGACAGCCTTATCATCCTTTGCAAGCGCATGCTGCAGACCAGAAATTGTATCCAACCATTGCTTGATGTCGGCTTCCTCGGGGACACTGAGGGTAACCTGGGGGAAAATCTTGGTGTTTGTGGCGTAGAGGTCGGGCTCAGTTGCGTCAGGAGAAATGGCGGCGGGGTATGATCGGTAGAGGAGGGAGAGGAGAGAGCTCTCGGGGGCGGAATTGATAGCCATCTTTGCGAACGCACAGGCGGGGAACCGGCGAGAAACGTTGATTAAAGAGGGAGGGGTAGGATGGCTGATTGGCAATCGCGCTGTGAGAACCGGAGTGAGCCGCAGGGATGTTCTTGAAACCCGGATAAGGGTCGCAGCGGGTTTAAGAAGAGACAACTTGGCTAGTTCTCAGAGATCCCTAAGGTGAGGGATCTTTTAGTCAAAGAAGAGCTTTGGGTCTCTAGAGTCATACCATAAAAGTGTGTGCCGAACCACGCCCGACTGGTGGCCGGAAAGGGCTAATGATATTCCGGTTCACCCCCGCCTCATATGCCATGTCTTTCCTATTCGGGACATCCTCTTGGCTACAGGACTCCGTAAGCGTTGATAATTCCTGCCATTCCCCTATTAGTTAACTAGCGCCAACAGTCAGTCTTACCTCGAGCCATTCCTTTATTCTTGTATTTAGCTGCATCCTTCAGGCTGATCCAGCTCCACATGTGCGGAGCAACTCAGAAGATCCTCTTTCCCTGCGCCTTCATTGTAGCACGTCTCAATTTCATTCCTGGCAATGTACCCATACAAGCAGTCACATCAGAAAAGGCCGAAGAAGACAAATATAACTAGGAGCAGGACTGGATGTCATACATGTCGGCGGCGACGCGTTAAGGTAGTCCACATTGGTCTTTTGCGCCCTTCAAAGCTGATATCCAAGTACTCCATAGTGCGATGAAGGGAAGCCGTCGTGTAAAACCTGTCTCAGGCTCGGCCTTCACTGTGACGGCTATGGGTATACTGTGAGATACAAATTTACTGAGCCCATAGTCCTGGAGCAACGAGCCGTGCCGTCCTTTGACACAATCGAATGGGCTCCCGTAGCCCTGCCATGCATCGACGCATCCCCATCCGATAGCGCTTCTACACAGGGAGAAGAGAGCATCTTCTTACTGGAGGAAGATGGTATACCATGTTCGCAATCACGAAATTCGTCGATAGGTCAACAAGACGCACTTTCCTGGGATGGCATGGCAGAATTTCAGAATCCTCATCGAGGATTATCGCCCAATATTCCAAGCGGCCATCTAGACGATTTCTCCAAGGACCACGTTGTGAATTCCCATCAGGCTGATCGAACCCTGACCATTAACCATGCTACAATTAATTTGACGAGTGATCCGGATACGGTGGAGCAATTTTACTTTGCACAGTGGACTACTTGTGTCACCCCTATTTTACCTCCAGTTTTTTCCGAACTCACCGTTTTCATGCCCAGTTTCCTGCCTTTCAAGTATGCGGTTCTTGCTGTATCAGCGTCGCACCTTGCTCATGTCGAGTCCTCTATACTCTCCAGTAATAACGGTGGTCGAGGCTCGATGTATATTCCTGACCGTAACCATAGATGCAGAAGCCTCCAGTATTACGGGAGAGGAATTCGAGAGCTTGCACAATACGTCGATAGCTTTTCCAACAAAACCCTATGTTACTTGGTCGCCACATCTCTTCTTTTCCATTACATTGAGATGGACTCTGGCTCACTGGCCGGAGCTGTCGAACATATCGAGTCCATCAACCGGCTCCATTGCTCCGCTCAATCGCAAAGGGAACTTGGGTCCACAAGGCTAGGCCAGAAACTACTGTGTACCTGGCAAAGTCTACGATCCTTGAGCATAAACAAGCAGTTAACCGTTGGGTCTGGTCGAATAAGGCCTCTGGTACCTATAATGTCCAATAATTTGGCATCTCCAGCTAGCGATGTCACTACATCATACGATTCGATTGCGCACCTACTTTGCGAAGCATTTTCAACCACCAGAACTATCATCCTTGACTGGTTTGTATGTCGTGGTCATAGCTTAACCACAGCGGATCGGAGGGATTCTGCCTTTGGGGCCCTTCTCGAGCAGATTTCCATTGCAGAGAAAGGAAATTGGCCCCAACGCCAACTTGCCAAAATCGATGAGTCTTATTGGAAAACTATCGAGAAGCAGCGTGCGAGCCTTGATGATTGGCACTCCGGCCTTGATGTTTCAGATCTTCCCGTCGAGTCTTTCACCTCCACCTCCATCGAGACTGTCAGAGAAACGGACGCGGGGTTGCAAGTCGAACCTCTACGATTCCAGACATACAGGGCCGCTATGAATTATGCATACTACGCCGCTGCTCAATTATCGAGCTCTCGCAAGACATTCGAGCAAATGGCTGAGCTGGAGGAATTGGCATCCGGCTCTCGATTTACGCGCGAGAAATACCCGTGGGAAAGTTTACTCCTACGAATCGCCTGTGGCCTCGATATGGACGACTGCCTGTATAAACACACATTCAAAATCGGAATCCTTTCCTTCTTGATAATATGTGCCTCTTCGTGTCCGCATATTGCGGTAGCGAAGTGGACTAATGCTTGGATCAGAGAGCTGGAGGATCATGGCATGGCGGTCGAAGATGGAATGCCCCTAGCCTTGATTAAGCGTATAATGCGGCTCATCACTACGATGAAGCAAAACGGGCATGATATCTATCGGATCTCCATGGTCGACAGTGACATTAAGGAGAAATGGGAGTTCTATCGGAGTGATAATAATTTCATGGTTGCAATCTGCGCAAAGGATAGACTGAGGGGGAAATTGTATAACGATGTGGTCTACTTACCGAGTTAGGCTTCTATAACGGAACAAAGAAAATGTTTCAACCGAGCGAAAGCTAGCTACCTTTACTACCAGGATACTGATAGACAAGCTTCCATGGAAGGAAAGGGTTTCTTTGGGATTGCGGGGATAGGGGGGATTGTAATCCACACGCGAACACATGGAACGTGAGCTATATTACCCACCAGGTCGAGATAACTAACACATGGCTTGCTCTTTAGTTTCTTTGTTCTCAGTTGAAATCTAGACCAATACTCGACGTCTAAGGAAAGCGCCACCCCGGAATAGCCCAAGGAAATCAAAGTTGCGGGGGAAAATGGAGCTGGCCGAAAGAGGCAACACGAGAGCGAGCGCCTCGATTCGGCAAACCCGGCGTGCCCTATAGTGTGTCAAGGCGTTATCAATAGTTCGCACTGTACAACCTCACACGACACAGGCCTTTGGGAGTGCATAAGACGCTTATGGGATTTGAGCGTTGTATAAGTAGCAATCCCAAGTCCTGCTTCATTCCCATTCTGTTAGCTTCCTAAGTACGAGCCTTAGCAATTCTATTCCAGTTACTTGTGTGGACTCACCATCCCCTTGCATGATGAATCACACTGATACCAACACCCAGCCGGATCAAAAGTCGGATCAAAAGACTCTTGAGATGGGTGCAGTGACTACAGACGATGTTGTGACGGTGCAAAGCCTGGCTTCGGGCGACATCAAGAACCTCCAGAAGGAACAACATGCCGAACTGGAGGAAGTCGGGGGCAGCATCACACGTAATTGGAGTCTTCGTGGTCTGATCATTATTTGGATCTCGGCTTTATTGATGAATTTTGTCGTCAACTTGAATAACCAATCATCCTCGACCTTTCTCCCCTATGCCACGAGCAGTTTTGGATCGGCGCCACTCTTGGGAACTATCGCCGTAGTGCAAGCTACTATAGTATCAGGTTCGTCCTTCTTATGCTTTACCAATACGGGGAGACGGAAAACTAACACATTCAATAGTGTCTCTGCAGCCGCTTGCGAGATTTGCCGATGTTTATGGGTTCGTATTGACAAATTTCCTTTTTTTTTTGTGTGCGTGTGTGGAGATTTTTACAATGCACCTGCTGAACGGGGTCTTTCACTTTCAGGCGATTTGAAATGTTTTCATTCTGCATATTGATGGCCACTATCGGGGAGGTCATGGTAGCCTCCTCGACAAGCATTAGTGTTTATGCTGGTGCTCAGGTATTTTGGGTCCTCGGGCTCCAGGGTACGTGTATATTTACCTACATGCATAGTCCAATAGCTGACCTGTGTAGGAATCTCATTAATGCTTCAGATTCTTGCGGGTGGTAGGTGACAGGATTACAATCCCTTTGCCCTAGGTAGTGATCTTTTTTTACTCATGAATCTTGAACGTCAGACTCCAGCGATCTTTCTAATCGTGCTCTGATGAATGCGGTGCCATATATTCCGTCACTCATCACTGCCTGGGTAACTACCACACCAAAACCTGTTCATGCTTTATAGCTAAACTCTTTCTTGGTTAGACGGCGGCTCCATTCGCAACATCGATTCTGAAAAGATCATGGCGGTGGGGATTTGGAGTCTTCGCAATTTTGGTCTGTATCCCAAGTATCTACCGGTAGCGCATCTTCCCCAAGGACTAACAAAATGATATAGGTTCCCGTAGTTTCTGCCCCGCTGTTGGCATCTCTTTACCACAACAAACGAAAAGCTAGCAAGGAAAGAAAGGCTCAAGGTACCTACGAGCGTAGGAACCATCTGAAGAGTATCGAGCGCTTAGACCCAGTCGGTCTGGTTTTGTTCGCCGCCGGACTCTCCCTTTTGCTAGTCCCGATCACGCTGGCAGCAACTGCAACGAATAGTTGGAAAACGGCACACATAATCGTCATGCTCGTTGTTGGCTTTGTCAGTCTGGTTGCATTTGTCGTGTGGGAGATAAAGTGGGCGAAATATCCCTTACTGTCCATGTCCCTTTTTAAAAGGCGAAGTGTCATTTTTGGCATCACAGGTATGGATCTGAAAATGAAGCGGCTACCTCACATTGTACCTGAAATTGATACTAATGAAGCACCTCGTATTTGCAGCTATGTTGATCGATTATATCGCCCTCTACCTACTTCAAAACTACATAACTACGTATGAGTTGGTCGCAGGCGATTTATCAGTAACTGCAGCTACAAATATCGCTATTCTGATCCCCTTTTCAGCCGTTTTCGGCCAGCTTGGATCGGGCCTTCTGGTCAAGTATATCAAACGGTACAAGTGGATTGTGGTGTGTGGATTCTCGCTGAATCTTCTCGGCCTCGGCTTGACGTATAAATATGTGAATGCACACTCGCATATGGCTCAGCTGATTATTTCCCAAATTATTTTGGGATTCGGTGAAGGTGTCATTAACACCACGCAGTTTGGAATGCAAGCTGCCGTTAGTCAAGCTAGTAGGAATCCCGGTTCCCGGCTCCCAAAAGCACGTTGGTTGGTTTTTTTTTTACTAAACACTCATTCTTGCACAGAAATGGCGGCGGTAACCGCACTCTTTACCACATCTCTTGGGGTTGGCAGTGCCTGTGGTGGTGCGATAGGTGGGGGGGTGTGGACAGGTATGTAAACTTGACATATATGTGTAGATATCCATCTCTGTTTTCACTGCATGCTAACGACTTCACTTCTCCCGTTCCAGCTCTCCTTCCGCGAAGGTTGCGCGAAAACCTCCCCCCAGACGCTCTCAGTCAACTGCCGGAGATTGAGGGTTCCATTGTTGTTGCTTTAGGATACCCATGGGGCACCCCCGAGCGCGACGCCATCAACGAGTCATACACGAGTACCTTCCGCACCATATTACTGATAGCACTTATCCTCGAGGTTTTTGCACTTGCATTTTCTCTCTTGGTGGAAGACCTCAACATTAGGGATATCGATAACGCTAGAGAGTATAATGGCGTGGTTTTTGGAAAGAGTGGTGCGGTGGATGCATTGAAGGGCAAAATCCAGACGGGACAGGCTGGTGATGCTGAAAACAACGGAAAGCCTCCGGGGGTGTGATTTAATATCATGGTGGTATTAATGCTAGGAGAGACAACCCATGGGCTGTTAATGAATCGGGATTGAGATTTCCTAGTTTATGACAGGAGAAGGATACTGTTAACTAGGTAGTCCTTTATCGTTGCAAGTGACTCGCTTCTTATACTCTACAAGCTCTATAGTGTAGGAGTAGTAGTAGTACCTGTAGGATTCCCCGACTACTAGGTAGGTACTTCCCTAAACACCGGAAAAGTATACGCCAATCCACATAAGAAATACTAAAAGACTACATCGCAGTCAGGCCACATGAGGTTCCTGCATATGTGTATATGTATATCTCTCTTGACCTCGGGATAGATATTCATCCTGGTGGTCCGTGTCTGCCCTGGGTTTGAGATGAGACGGGAGGTCAACTGCCCTTGCCCGGAGCCCCTTTGCTTGGGGGCCCTTTATAGTCACCATAGCGAGCTCGTTAGTTATATGATGTCGCTTATGAATGTCTCCCAAGTTTAACTACCTAGGTGACTGGTAGTTCCGCATTCCAAGGTTGTTGATGGCAAGGAGCTATGACTCGTTATCACAACCAAACTTGCCACGCAACTTAACCGGCGAACTAGTTAGCCGACAGTGCTTACAGAGTAAGATATTGGAGTACCTACGAGACTAACTGGTGACCTTGCTCCCTCGCTCTGTCTCGCCCAAAGCATCTAGCGCTTAGTTGAGAGCCGCTCAGTCCTTCTTATCACAGCCCCCGGAATATTCAGCCCAGTAGTGTCGGTATTCTCCTCCATCTTGAGAGGATAATGGGAAACAGCTATTGCTCGCCCTAACATGGATTCTCTTAGATCAGTCCCACTCATAACAAGGAGACACAGAATCGCTAGGAAGAACGGAGCAATGGTGCACCGGGCCGGGAGCAATAAAGGCAATGGATGTCGTCCTGCTTTAAGATACCAGTCGACGCAAGATTGTCTCCCCCGTTTTTTTTTTTTTAAACAAAACCCAAAACTAAACTGTACAGTTCTATCCGGCTTGGAATTTGCCAGTCCCCCGCTATGCCGGTCACTGGCGATTCATCAGAGCCGGTGGTTTCGTCCGAAGGGAGCAACGCGTTCTTGCCACTCGTACAAGACAAAGAAACTCTCAAGACACCAAAGCTTTCTCCACTTGATAAAGATTTTGAGATTCTGGTGCAAAATACACTGGAAAAGTGGCATATTGAGGGAGTTGCTATTGCTGTTATCGATGGAGATGATACGTGGTCCGAGGCAAGTGGGCTCATGCAGGCTGTTCTAAATAGCTTCCATACTGATAGGACAATAAGGGATATGGAATTGCTGCTTTACCAGACACTCCAGTCCGCCCTTCAACTCTATTCTACACGGGCAGTACAACAAAATCGTTCACTGCTGCTGCTGCCTCCTTGTTAGTTGACGACGACGAGAAATACCCTAACATCAAATGGACAACCCCGCTTAGTCGACTCATTCGCGAAGATTTCGTTCTCCAAGATGAATATGCCACATCGCACGTTACGTTGGAGGATGCGTTGTCGAATCGAACTGGCTTACCTGGACATATGTTAACCCTGGGACGTGTTGGTACCGTCCGGGATGTTGTTCGAAGCCTGCGCCATTTGCCGATGGACAAGGAGATCCGAACCACCTGGCAATACTGTAACGCGATGTTCATCACCGTCGCACATATGATTGAGACGGTCACTGGCCAATGGCTTGGGGACTTTCTCCGCGAACATATCTGGGGGCCCTTGGACATGAATTCGACCTTCTTCTCGCTCGAAGACGCACGGCGGTACGTTGCCTCTAGTGACGCCACGCTTGCCAAAGCCTACGCCTGGGATGAGGCATCCCTTCAGTCCAAAGAGGTCCCATACTGTGAGGGGACCTTGAGCGGCGCTGGAGCGGTTATTTCCACTGTCCTCGACTACGCCCAGTATATCCGCTCAATGATACGGCAATCCGGCCCGCTCTCAAAAGCAGGGTATGCGGCACTGCTGCAGCCACGCTCCTTTATGCCGCAGATGCTTCCGCAGCTCAAGCACCAAATGGTCTATACCCTCGGGTTGATGTCCAGTGCTTATCGCGGGGAGCCTGTGATCCTGCACCCTGGCGGCCTTGACGGCATGACAAGTACGATGATATACTTTCCCGAGCGAGACTGGGGTATTGCAGTCTTCTGCAATGCTGCAGGCCCAGGACGTGAATCGCTGGCCTGGCATTTAATCGACAATCTATTCAAGGTCCCAAAAGAAGAGCGTCTAGATCTCTTCGAGCTGTACGTCCTCCCATTGCATTTCCTCGTCACCCCTTGCTGCCATGGATATAAATCTAACCCTTTGTTAACAGGGCGCAAAACAAACTTGCCAAAGCCAAAACGCTACGCTCCTCGGCGCGGGAGCGCTTGTATCCCTCTGCTCCTTCGCCTGGGCGTCCGAATTCGCTGCCGCTGCAGGAATATGCTGGCCATTATACCCACCCTGCCTACCCGGACTTTATAATTACTCTGACGTCTGACGATCCGCCGACTCTACACGTTACTCTTAGCGGGACCTTGAATGAGACCATGAGCCTACAGCACGTGTCCGGGGAATTCTTTCTCGCCGAGCTGTTCGTCACTCTTTGGGGCGTGGAGCCTGCCGCTGTGATCCGGGCTGAGTTTCAAATAAATGCGGAGGGCAAGGCGGCCCGGTTTGGTGCTACGGTGGATTATGCCGATATGCCTGATACCTTGATTTGGTTTGATCGGTGTGACTGAGTAGAGAAGAGAAGGGCGAAATGTGTCTTCTTCGATGGCCACACGGGACGTTGTTTTTGTTTTGTTGGTTTATTTCTAGCTTATCCTTTTTTCATAACCTCTGGTTTTATAGGGCATGAACCGAGTTATATCTGATACGATCTCTCGCGTGAATACTTTTGGTAGAAGTAAGAATCATGTTGTGAATATTTAAGAATAAGGAGTGAATATATAAAGTGGTGTAGGTAGATACTGAATACTGAATAAAATCCATGAATGTGTCCGTTAAAAGCTCAGAGCCCGACGTACATAGAACTCTACCTAATGATTGAGAGAGAGAGAGAGAGAGACCGTTAAAGCAAGGTTTTTGCCCAAAATTCAGTCTGCAACTCCATCGAAGCCTTCATTGTCCCTTCCATATGCCAGCCATGTCCCTCCCCCTCGAATATCACAACTTCAACCTGCTTCCCGGCTTGGTTCATGGCCTCCTCCATCTGCGTGGCCTGTGACACGGGGACAATTGTATCAACATCCCCCTGCAGAAGCAGTAGGGGCGCTCTGATCTTATCCACATGGTAATAGGCACTGCGACTTCTATAGACGGCGTGGCGAGCCTCGTCACTCCACTCCCCATCCCCTAGCACGAGCCCCAGAATATAATGGCTTTCGAATTTATGCGTGATCTCGGCAAATCGATGCAGGCTACTGATTCCGTAGAGACTGACCCCGGCCGTCCAGATCTCGGGATACGTATAGAGAGCTTGCAGGACGGCATATCCACCGGCACTCTCGCCCACGATGCCGACCTTTGCAGCATCAATGAGCTTTTCCGACGCCAGGTACGCGACACAGCTGGCTGCGTCGGCGATATCGGCCACGCCCCATTCCCCGTCGAGAAGTGCACGATAGCCTCGTCCGTACCCGGTAGAGCCGACGTGGTTCACAAGTACGTACGCGTAGCCCCGGGATGTCCAGAACTGAGTGGCGAGAGACAGCGCAGGCGTGACGTGCGTGGTGGGACCGCCATGCATCCAGACTATCAAAGGAGGCAGGGTGCCTTCGGGTGCTTGGAACGCGGGGTTCTTGGGTGCAACAAACATGGCGTGGGCGGTGCCAGAGCCTGACGGGTCTTTGCTGTATGTTCGTGGATAGGTGATATGGCGTGCCTGGGAAATTAGTTCGCTTGGTAAAGGTCGTTCAACGGTGGCTCTAAGCAGCTCCTCGGAAGCACCGTCCCTGGTTATATCAACCCGGTAAAGCGCTTGGGGGGCGGCACGAGTGCTTCCGATAACAACAAAGCATGTAGATGAGACACGGGCCAAAGCATTCCTTTGGATGTCCACCAGGTCCAAGGATAGACTTTTCCATGAGCTGGTCTCCAGATTGATCAGGACCAGGTCAGATGTCGCATTTCTGGTAGCAGAAGCAATAACAGTGCGCTCGTCCAACATGACATAGGTGCAACTAAGAAACGAAACCATTATATCAGTAAAATCATTTGCTTTACTCGGGAGATCCGAACGTACTTGCCGAGGCATGGCTCTCTGCTCCCAAACTCAGCAGTCTCAAGCCCTCTTAGATCAATCCGTCGGGCTTCATTGCCGTCAAACCGGTATAGCTGCCAGTAGCCCGTCTTGTCGCTGACGAAAAATAGGGTCCCGTCTGGACCCCATCTTGGCTGGCAGATACTCTCCACGGCTGCTCGGCCTGAGACCACAGTGCCCGTCAATACCTTCTCGGCTTCCCACGTAGCGACGTGTAAAACAGAGCCCGTCCACGGCATATCCGGGTGGTCCCATTGTATCCAGCAGACCTTCTCCCCGTCTGGGCTGAACTGGGGGTGTTGATAAAAGTCAGCACCTTCCGCAACAGTGCAGACCCGGCCTGTAGCTGCATGGATGGCCACAACGGTATTTGTTACGACTGCCTGTGCGCGTGAATCCTTCGTATGGGTCTCTCGGACAGCAAGAATCCATTCATGAGTCCGGGGATGGACATGGAAATTTCCGAAGCGCACCGAGGCATCGGGAATTCCAATCGTCCTGACTGTTCCAGACTGCGGATCCAGCGCGAATACTCCGTTCGTGGGATGACTGGTGAAGATTAAATCACCGTTTGGGTGCAGGGCGAACGATCCACCGCCATATTCATGAATAGTGCCCATTGCATGGTACTCTGCTGGCAGGACATCCCGGGCTGCTGTCGACGCCAGCACCTCTACAATGGCGAACCTTCCCCCTTCTGCCGGGCGCGACTCTAGAGCCCAAATCTGGCCCGTGGATGCCTTCTCCGGTCAGTTGAAGCCATAGATAGACCAACATCAGGATTACCGAGAAACTTACATTGACCTGGACTCCTTCAAGGTGAATGCTGCCCCCGGATAGGTGTTCTGCAGTGATGGGACTCGCCCATTTTCCGTAAGGTGCAACCTGTGGGACATCCGACATGATGATGTTGGCGGCTACTTTCAGTTTTCTTTCTTTTCAGATGGATTTTTGGGCAGGTCGGTTATGGCCGGGCATTGTTAGGAAGGTAAACTTTTATAGGTTATAAAGTAAAAGTCTTCCGCTGGACAGGACGGGACCGGACAATCTCACAGTAGTTATTTCGGGTGTTGCCCTATGTAACGGGCTGTGGAAGCAGGCCACGACCACGACGTTCCTTGCAGCCTCGTTCTCGCTTACCTGCATATGTAAAGAACCTCCGCATTCATACGATGCAGTTGCGCCTAGTGTCCTCTAGCAGTCGATATACTTCTTATCTGGCCCGTTTATTGTCCTTTCCGTTTGCTCCTTTTAAGGTTTTCTCCTCATATGATTTGAAAGTCCTCCGTAAGCGCATCGGAGCCACGGTTAGCGTCGAACCTCCCTTTGTCACCTCCGCAATGGACAGAGCTTATGTATGTGAACCAAAGGTAATACTGCACCTTAAAGTTTGACAGCTTATCGTGGCGGCGGTTCCGGCTCTAACACTAGATAAAGCCTCGATAGAAAACTATGCTATCCACATTAGGAGGTTCCCAAGCGAGGTCAAATCATATGCTGGCTAGCTTTCATACGATCCATAGGTAGAAGGCCGATTGGTATAGCATAAGATTAGATATCCGCGGTTCATTGAGCGGAGAATGAAAGAGACAGACTCGTCGTATAGTTCTAGTCAGTAGTACCTAGCCAAAGGTTAATAGAGGGATATGGATTTTGGGTCTGATAGCCCACGCGGAGGGGGACAATTATAAAGACTACATCGCTTTTCCATGATAATGCCGGTTCACGCGTGCTACCCTTGTGCTCTATACCCGACCTGCATCATAATGCTCAAGCCCATCATCGTCCTGGCTGTGTTGTGCAGCACTTCTGTGCTGGCTACCAGCAAATACTGCCCCTTCTATGGCATTGAGTATCCCCCTCCCAGCGACTTGTCCAGCAATAGCGCTTTCAATAGCGCGGTCAACAGCATCACTGCGACTCTGGACTCTACCCTTGCTGCGGATGAGTCCATCAACACCACTTCTTTTGCCATTCAGATCTTCTCAACGGGGGACTCCGCTGCCGATCCACTCTTTACTTACTATTACACTTCACCAGCAACTCGGAATGCATCTGTTGGAGTAACTCAAATCGATGGTGATACTGTCTTCCGTGTGGGAAGTGTCTCCAAGGTATGGACACTGTATCTGTGGCTGCTCAATGCCCAAGGAGATAAGTATTTCAACCAGCCAATTGTGAAATATGTCCCCGAACTGCAGAAACTCGCTCTGAAACAGAGGCACAATGCGACGCAATGGGAGGATCAGGTTGACTTTGCGAGATGGGGAGAGATTACCGTTGGTGAGCTGGCCAGCCAGATGGCAGGCATTACCAGAGACTGTAAGTATAGGAGATGACCCATGCTGGAATTGCCGGGACACGCATTGAGCCCGATGTATAAACGTGGCCGTTCTGATGCTCACCTCTTCAGATGGTTTTACCGACCTTGCCACCCAAATGCCTCAAGCCACCTCGGAAGCCATGGGGTTGACCGCGCTGAAAGCAGCCGAAATACCTGTGTGTGGAGCTGGTGGAACGTGCAATCGCACTGGTGCGCTGCAGCCTCCTAGATAGCTTTTCCCTGTGTGATACTGACGGCCCTTTAGACCTGCTCAGCGGGTTTTCCAAGAGTCATCCGGTTTTCCCCAGCAGTTATTCCCCGGCTTATTCCAATGCGGCCTTTCAAATCCTCTCCTATGCCCTGGAAAGGATCACCGGCACATCGTTTGAGGATCTTCTTTCGGAAACACTCATCAAACCCTTGAATCTGACTCGATCGAGCTACTCTGCGCCAGATACACAATATGGTGTGATCCCAGGCACGGAAGAATCTAGCTACTGGAGTTTTGATGTGGGCGAAGCGACCCCGTAAGTGCATACATCCGATGCTCCTAAATGGATAGATACCCAACTGACTCCCAGATCTACAGAGCGGGAGGAATTTACTCTTCTCCTAATGACCTCAGCAGCTTTGGCCGCTCCATTCTTTCGCATACACTTCTCTCTCCCGCACTCACGCGTCGGTGGCTAACACCCGTCTCTCATACATCATCCCTTAACTTTGCTGTGGGCTATCCGTGGGAAATCTACTCGTTCGAAACCACCCGCCCCGTGGACCTATTCACCAAGACCGGTGATCTGTTCAGCTACGCGGCCCTGATTGGCCTTTTGCCAGACCACGGCGTTGGCCTTTCAGTTCTCGCAGCAGGCGCAGACTCCGCGCTGGCGACAGGCAGCGTCCCCGTACTCGCCAATCTACTTTCGTCGGCGTTGGTTCCGGCCTTGGAAGAAGCGGCCAAAGAGGAGGCTGCGAAGCTGTACACGGGGACGTATGCGGAAGCGTCTACTACGAACGCTACCTCCGCCATCACTTTCACTGTCGATGACAGCCCCGGTCTCAGCGTCACTGCCTGGACCAACAACGGTATCAATATGCTGGAGACGGTTATGGGCTTCTACGGTGCGCCCAACGTCTCGGATGTGAGCGTGCGCTTGTATTACAGTGGCCTTCAATACCGGACGCCCTGTGGCTCGACCTTTGTTGGATTCAGAGCCATCATGCAGTCGACGGCTGCAGCGAGCACCCCGGCGTTCGATGGCCCATTCACGCAGTCGTGTATTTCATGGCAGCTCATCAATGTCATGCCGTATGGAAACGTGGGGTTGGATGAGTTTTTATTCGAATTAAATGCGGACGGGGATGTTGTCTCCGTGCAACCTAGGGCTTTGAGGATCACGTTGGCTAAGCAGTAAGCTTGCGCCCTCCGGCATGGATCCCATAGATTAAACCGGACCTGTTCGGGGATGGGGAGTCACTTGTTATTTTGTCTATAAATGTCTGGTTTTCGGTGCTTGGCTCTCTTGGTTATATTTATGCAGTTGGGGTTAAAGTTGTGAGTGTACCGATGTTACTTGTATATTTTCTTGGTCCAAGAGATAATACAGAGAAATTGGAGACTCATACTATATATATTGCTGTATCCCTGTGTAGTAACTGGTCAACGCTCAGCATTGGAAGTTGAAATTGCAGCAAACGATATCGAGGATAGACGCGAGAAATCCTTCTTATATATATACATATATAAATAATAATATCGACAACTAATGACACGGCCTAATTGATACCCATCCATCATCCACGAACTGGCCCTCGTCACCATATTCTTCTTCCTCCCGCAAGTCTTACTGGACCTCTAGCCACCTTGAATTATTCGTATCGGGGCTCACCCTAGCTGCACAGGCTCTGTCAATGCCCTTTTTTCAGCAATAATGAATGGGTAGAAGACGCATCTAGGATTTACTTTTCGCTGGTTCCTTAGAATTCTATTGCGTGGAAGTAAGCAGCTTCATCCTAGATCTATTTGATATATCTTGAGACAAAGCTGGTTTCGTCTATATAACAGATTGTTGTTTACGCCTGCTGAAGCAGCAAAGCAGGCGTAGTTTATATACAGAGACTATATGAGGTATGGGGTCATGTACTCGAGAGATCAATTCATAGGCAAATCTCGCGAACCTTTGCGCGTCCATCGAACCAACTAGCGTCTCCCTTCAGGGCAGCCTGTCGGATAGCGTGCAGCTCGTCTAGGAAGGCCGGGATAAAGCTTCCTGGGCCGTTGGCCTTTGCGGCAGCATTTTCTGCTGCGATTTCATACATGAGAAGAGCGGAGAGTACAGCCAGGAATTTGTCTGTGGGATGGGTTGCAAGGAAACATCCTGCCACGGTACCCACGGCACAACCCGTCTATTCAGGGGGTTAGAGTCAATCAATATGGACAATTGAATATGGAATATGATGAAACTTACTCCTGTAACTTGGCCAAGGAGCTCATGCCCGTTCTCGATAGCAATGACACGCTCTCCATCGCTTAGATAATCGACAGCTCCCGTGAGAAGAACAATGTTGCCTAGTGTTCAGAGTAAGCTGAGGGATTTCGATGCAATCAATTAAGAAATCCCTTACGTTCTCTGCGGGCAAGATCGCGAGCCAATCTAGCCTTGGATTCGATGTCAAGTGTGCTTGGGCCGCTATCGACACCTCGTTGTGTTACGGAAACATTTCCTGCAACTTGTCGAATTTCGCCCTCGTTGCCTTTGATGAGGTCAAAGTACCCACCCGCCATCAGCTGCTTGACAGTCCGTCGTCGGATTTCGGTGGCAGCAGCGCCAACTGGATCATAAACCACTGGATTCCCACGTTCATTGTATGCTTTGATCGCTTTTAAGTATTCCGGTGCGCTCTGGCTAGTCAGGGTGCCCATGTTGATAACCAACGCCCCGTCAAATTGGCAAAGATCGGTCGCTTCGTCCCCATAGGGAGACATAATGGGTGATGCACCCCTGCCCTAGGTTAGACAGTCGACCTAACGGAATGGCGGGCACGGAAATCTTACATCGCGAGAGTTACATTTGCAACAAAATTCGCTACCACAAAGTTGATCATGTTGTGCACCAATGGGTGAACCTCGACCATCTTTTGAACGACATGCGGTACTTGTCCTACAAGAGCTGCTGTATCGCAAACCTCTTGCGGAGCCTCTAACTTCTGCACGAATGCCGGAGGCGTCGCAACAAGTTTAACAAATTGGGCCGCAGCAGCCTTGGGATCGTCCGCAGCCATAATAGCACTGACAATGGCAGCCCCATCCAGGCCCTTTTTAGGAGAGCTAGATTGGTAAAGCACGCGTTGAATATTTGAATGGTTGATTCCGCCTATGCAGACAGTTCCAACCTCACGGCCGGAATCTGCAATGGCCGCTAGAATAGCCTGAGCACCAGCAGTCCCAATAATAGACTTGGTGTTTGTTTTTCTGATGGAATCAGAGTTAGCAAGCTAGCTTTTTGAGGGTGTTCTATTTCGAAGCGGGAAAAATTACATACGTGGATGTAGCAAACATGGTTCCAATACCAAGATAGTCTGCGCCGGCAGCAACGGCTGTCTGTGCCTCTTCAATACATGAAGCACTAATACCAATGATAGAGCCCTTAGGTAGCAGCTTCTTAGCCTCCGTGATAGCTGTAAGAGATCAGACCATGCCAAGGCGGGAATGAAAGACAGGAAGGGGCGCATACTCATGTCATCTTGACCAAGATGGACTCCTTCTGCGCCAACAGCAAGCGCAACGTCCACGCGGTCATTGATCAGTAGGGGGACTCCATAAGCCCGGGTGATCCTATGCAGCTTTTTCGCTGTCTCAATCTGTACTCCCGTGTCACTCTTCTTGTCTCTATACTGAACAATGGTGACTCCTATATTCGTCAAAGGTTAGTGGAGTACAATACCAGAGAGCGACAGGCATACCCACCTCCTTTGAGGGCCTCCTCCACCACAGTGCATAGATCACGACCCTTCAAAATTGGAGGAGTGGAATCCGTCACCAAGTAAACCGAGAGATCGAATTTCATTCTTGCCTCCCTAAGGTGTTGCACAAACTGGATTGCTATCAAGTGGAGGGACGGTTGGAGCAGCATTTTATTGGATCCCCACCACGCACCAACAGGCACCATTCCTGATATGGCGGGGAAAAACTATCACATGACCTGGTTGGTCACTGAGGCGGTAGATGCCGGCAGTATAATCTCTCCCTATCTGGGACTAGCGCACCGGAACCGGAGTAACCATGATACGAAAGCTGAGTCAGCCGTGGAAACCGGGACGACGATTTCTCCTCCTCTGCGTTCAACACATTCCGGACTCGAGAATACACGGCGGTCCTCGAAGTGCCTGCCTGGTACCAGTTCCGGTGGCCCTACTTGTATTGCTTCATAATTCCCTTTTACGGTAAAGTGATCTCTGAGTTCCTAGTCTCTTTTGTTTGCCTGGGTCCCTGGTGTTGCGCGCCGCATTTATTCCCCCGTTTCTGTTTCTCTGTTACCTGTCCTTATGATGTTAGAATACGAGCACTAATGCGGTAAGCAGTCTCGTGACCGGCGCTACCCCCCCCCCCGGTTGAGGGATATCATTATGCCCGCCGTTCATGGAGATCTGTCATCGGCTGTAATTCCCACAGACGAGGAGTTTTCCCCGGAGATCACTCCTCGTCAGGTCACTCTTCGAGATCGGGTCACCGTTGCAACCCTGGTGCCCTTCTCCTCCGCCATGGAGGTGCCTCGGTCTTTACTGGCCCATCTATCAGACCAACTGAATAAGGAAATTGAAAAGGGCGATACCTATGCGATGATCGACCCCATCCCATTTTCACATTTCGGGCCCTACTGGTTCTCCAATTTCGGGGCTATCATGCTCCTCGGGGATATCAAAACAGTACACGAGGCCCAAATGATGGAAAGAACTCGAGTGAATTGGGGTAAAGTGTGTCTAGGGAGTTTCAATATTCGGCCCAACTATCCGGGTCGAAGTAGTCATGTCTGCAATGGGATGTTTCTTGTCACCGATGCCGCGCGAAACAAAGGTGTCGGTCGACTCATGGGAGAGGCTTACCTGGAGTGGGCTGCAAGACTGGTAAGTGTTAATCCTCTTGCGACGGATGTGAAACGAGATAGGATTGGCTAAATATTGTCAGGGGTATACGTATGCCGTGTTTAATTTGGTCTATGAGAGTAACGTGGCCTCCTGCCGTTTATGGGAAGGCCTCGGTTTCAAACGAATCGGTAGAGTGCCGGGAGCTGGCAGGTTGATCGCTAATCCCGGAGAGTACGTTGATGCGATCATCTACGGGCGGGACCTGGGTCCTGATGGCGAAGACTCTGGAACACAAGATCGATTTGATAAGATCCGATATTATCTCAAGCACTCCAAGTACCCTCGCGGAGCGGATCGAGCCGAGAAGAGTCGGCTCAGGAGTGCTGCCACACATTACAAACTGGTCGAAGGGAAGGATGGTGATGGAGAGAAGCTCATGCTCAAGGACAAGGAGGTGGTGTCCGACCCGCAGCAACAGTATGAGATTGCGCAACAGATGCACATGGAACAACATGCGGGAATCAACAAAACCACTGCGGCGATCGCTGTCAAGTATCACTGGGTGAGAATCAAAGAAACAGTCAGCCGAGTCATCCGGGACTGCCCCCACTGCAAAGAAACACTGAAAGTACCTGGGCTGAACGGCGGGCTGAATGACGACGGAATGGAGAAAGGGAAGCAGGGGATGCACGAGCATCAGGAAATCCATATACCCGGCGCCGAATCCATGACTGCACAACCGCTGATAGACCACACGGCCATGGACACCCGCCAGCCTCAAAATCCGTTTGTCGCGCAGCATCCACCACCTGTGGCCCCGGGACACGTTGATCCCATGGGCGATTATACGTCCGTGCCGCTTGACCCCCAGATCATGAATATCCACCAGCAAATACCTCGTTTCCAGACTCACGATTCCATCGCCGATCCCTACGGTCATGCTGCCCACACCCTGCACGCCCCCAAATTTGATGACGATGTCCGCCACCATATGGCGGCTAATGAATACCATATGATGGTCGATGACACGGCGGATACAGACGCCAACGCGGCTCTCCACCGGGAGACCCTAGGGTTGGTACACCCCCAAGCGAATGAAGTGCATCATGAACAAATCCTGAAATATCAATATGTTCCCCATCCTGATGATGAGCTCGAGTTTTCTTAATCCTCTTCTTTTTATTTTCTTTCTGCACTGATATGGCGTTAGCATGGGGCTTGCATGCTTTTGCGACGATTCATTGTATATCACATCAGATAGCCATGAGATATGATTATATAGAGCATAAGATTCAACCACTTGCGCTTGGTGTAGGAGATACATACATGGCGACTACAACTTTCGCCAGCCAGGGATGTATAGTGTATATATATGGTGCTGAAAGCGACTGAGCACATGGAAAAAAACTACGCCTTTACGCGAAATTGACATGAAAGGACCCTAGCAAGTAATAGATGGCTTTTAATGTAATGGAACGGTTGAAAAATAAATATACATCGTGAGTCAAGCATGTCTCCTGATGTTTAGGGCCGTGTCGCCAGCTCCATAAGAGCCGGCAATTAATCCGTCTGGATCATTCCATTACCTGCTTGCAGATTTATGCAACCACTTTCTCATCGGGGCTTATGTGCAAGGTAGGCCTGCGCTGGGTCTGTTCGATAAATACCTTGCGGAAACGGCCATGGCAGAGGTCGGTCATGTTCTGCTTCACGCCGGCCCAGTTCTCGCGGACAATATCCATGGTTGGACGGCAGAAGACCTCGTCGATCTCCTCGAGAGTCTTGTCCTTGGTTTCGGGCATGAAGAAGATCTGGTAGATTTCGCCCAGCACGGCAATGCCGCCGTAGAATCCGAGAGCGAGGCCGGTTTTACCCATCGCATCTTGCATCGCGGTGAAGTTGTAGGTGACGGTGAAGGCCATCAGGAAGAGGAGCGCATCGGAGGTAGTCATGCCGTAACTTCGGAGATACGTTGGGTAGACCTCAGCAGGAACAACTGGAAGGGGAAGGTGAGTAAAAGGCAAAACCCGATAGGAGGCATCTGAAATAAGTGAACAAGCTGCTTACCCCAAGTCAAGCAGGCGTATGAACCGAAGAACCCCATGTAGACCACCAGGCCAGTCAGGTACAGACCTTCCACAGTCATGAGATGAGTCTCAACAGAAAACTGGTAACTGATGCCAATCAAGACCAAGCCGATGAAGAACCCCGGGAGCATGACAATGGCCCAGAATCGTCGACCACAGGTTTCCATGAGGAAGATGGCGGGGAGTGTGCCGAGAAGGAGAGAGCCACCCCCAACAAGAGACATATAGTTCGCCTGCTCGTCGTTGAAGCCAATCTGGCTCATCAAGACAGACATATAGTACATGATAGCATTGACCCCCGTCAATTGTCCGAGGATGATCATGACGTTGGCGTAAATGAGGGCACGGCGGGCACGCGGAACACTATGAAGAGTGGTGGTTAGCCTTCCCTTGTGCGTCCGAGTAGACCTTAAGAGGGAGTATCACATAACATACGTAAAGAAATCCATCCAGGGGAACCGCCGGTTGTATGCAGATTCGGTAACCTCCGTGTCTTCCTGACGCACAGAAGCAGTCATGACATAGAACTCCTCCCTGGACTCAGGCGAGTGGATGCCTCTGATGCGCTTCCAAACCTTGTAGGCATCTAGGGTCCTTCCCTTGTGCATCAAGAAGCGAGGACTTTCGGGCATAAAGAGCATGCTAGGAAAAGAAAATCGATAGATGAGCAGATGGAGGAACCCGAACTTGGGTAGATCTTGCTAACTTACCCGGCAAACATGATGGTTGAGAAAACGAGCGATGATCCAAGAATATAGCGCCAATTCCCCCGGACTCGGAGGAACATGGCACCAATGGCATATCCAAGGACTTCTCCAAGAGCGATATTGAACTGGTATAGCGATACTAGGTTGCCTCGCATCCGCCGCTCTACTGTCTCGGCAACATAGACCGGGACAGTTCCTCCCTCCAGACCAACACCAACACCGAGGATCACCCGAGCGGCAACAATCATACCTAGAAGAAACAGACACAGATTGGTCTTCGTGAATCAAAAAAGCTTAAGAGGAAGACCGGCTGGTTCTCTTACCAAAGTTTATTGAGCCAGCTTCAAGAGCCGCACCGATAGTATACAAGATCAGGGAGATCAGAATGGCCCATTTTCTGCCAAAGTATTCGTTCATTGGAGATAGAATCAAAGCCCCTCCGACCGCACCCAGAGGCATTCCCGAGTTTACTAGGCTGTTCTGCCTGGAATCCAGGTGGAGGTCCTTGGGGAGGTAAAGGTTTGCCCCCGAGATCGTACTTTGATCTATACCCGAGAGCAACCCTCCCATACTGGCGAAAGCGACGAGCAGCCACGTGAAGTGTTTGGGATTATTGAACTCGATGTTGAAGAACCCGCGATCCAAACCGCCGGCCTCCTCGAGCTGGCGCTCCATCTCTTCAATGAAGACATCGGGCTCTTGGCCACCCGAGCGGACGACCTCGAGGGCCTCCAGCTCCGTCTTTTCCAATTCAGCCATTGCTCTGTTGTGTTGGTGTCGACAGACCATCAGGAACCGGCCGGTTTGCGGGGGGATTTCTTTCGCTTATAATATAGTGAGCCCACTCACTCAGAGCCTCGTGGGTGGCAAAAGCAAGGGAGCAGAAAGCAAGAATGTCCAGCAGGCCGGATGTCTGTGTCCCGGTTTTATGCTGCCTCTTCGTCACTGCATCTTTCCGATGGTTTCAGACCCAGTATCGATCTATATAGGGTTAGTGGTTGTCAATAGCAAGTTTCTCTCCGGTTCTCCATGCCCCATCCCGAAGTCCCCCACCCCCGACTACTATGATACTATGACATCCGGTGCTGGATGAGGGGGAACGGGATGGGCATTTGGGGGTCGAACAATGATGCCGATGTTACGCCGGAGGAGAGGCTGCGATTGGATGCAAGACGAAGCACCTCGTTTTCTAGCTTCGTTTCGCGGCATTTTCGGCTCACATGGTCCAAGGTTGCTTGACTAGTACTGGAGATCCCAACCAAAATAAGACCTGTCCAAGCCTCGAGGTATGCTCTAGCTTGATCCTGTGACATCAGCTTTTGCCTCCTACGCAGTAGTACGGAGTAACTAGACGTTGGTTCCAGAAGGCAGGAATGGGCACAACAATGCTTTTTGAATCGGAAGCTGGAACGATCAATGCTGTCCCATCCCAGCTCACCGGGAGAACCTTTTTGAGTTTTCACGGAATTACCTGCTTCAAGCTTCATCCGGGGAATGGACCCCTATTGAAAGTTAGGTCAAGAACCCCCACGCACACCCGTCTAATTGCCCCAGTCGGAACTTCACCCCGCGAAGAATCGCCTGACGTGTTGTCCCCGCCTTTTCTCTGCTTCTCGGAAAATGCCCGAAGCCAGATTTCGTGGGTATTAAAAAAGAAAGCCGGGTCTTGCAGCGGCGGAGCGGTGGCTTTCCCTTCCACTCTGAATATACTCCGTAGAGAGAGACTCCCAAAAGGAAGAGCACCGGACACGGACAGAACAGGCGATGCTGATATCCCCGGTCCTATTGTGCCTCCTGATTCAACACACTCTCAGCCCGATTCCGAAAGCCCGATCCCGGGGGAAAAGGATTCAAGCGTCCGTCTTACGAATGGCCAAGACGGGCCAGGGGCGGTCTTTTACCGGAGTTTAAACCCAACCAACATTGAAATATAGCTTGTTCTCAGATCGGCCCCAGGAAGGATCGAGGACTGATCATAAGAGTGCTGATGGCCTGCAGCTGGACCGACAGGTGAACAGCTGTCGGTATACCGTGTTGCAGCTAATCGGGTGAATATACAGGCCTGAAGAGGATTTCCATTTTCTTCTCCTTCAGCTTCTTCTCCCATGAAGAGACACACCTCTGTATAATGGACTACTTGAATAGACGAAGAGTCCGCTCCATAGACATAAATAAAGTGCCACGGAGAGCCGGGGGGAGACAATCGGCAACCTACCCTACCTCTGAACAAAGACGCATACGCTACAGAACTCAAAATGCTCGGGTCCTGGAGGCTTACCCACAAGTCTACTCCGTAGTTAACTAATACTCTCCTCAACATGCTGGCAGCTGACGGCCAATCTGGGCCTTACCGGCTAAATGAACCACGGCATGATAGCCCTCCCATGCCTCATTTCAGCATTAGGGTTTGGTCCAGCGTGGTTCCCTACCCTACTTTCACTTAATCCCTCAACCAGTAATCCTATGAGCAAAGATTTTCGTCTTCATGTACACTTTTAGGGAAAAGAAAAAATTTGCCTCCCAGCCCGAGTATCTGTCCCAACGACTGCATGTGGATCCGACGGGTTTGTTGAATCCATTGAACGGCGTTATGCGGAGGTAATCTATTTGCCTGTGGAAAAGCCTAGAGAAAGGTATATTTTATGGAGAGCTGCTGCTAGCGAGAATGATCTCTCTCATCTCATGCCTTCCGGTTGAAGATTTGGGATTTGGACGTATTATCAGAGCAGGTTGTTGACGCGCATACATAGTCATACATACCTAGTACCTACACATATAGCCTATAGGGTAGCCTTGGACTCAATATCAGCCCAAAAGATGCGGAAATTACGCGGGTGAGTTAGTCTCATTTCCAACAAGTCGTGTATAGCTGTTGCGTTTCCTGCAGGGCTACAATGTACAGGCATTCCTAGGCTGATTCTTCTCTTTTCTGACTGTACGCAGTTGTCTGAAGCAGAATACAGGGTGAAATACAGGGTGAAATACATAACCTAAAGATCAGTCGGAGTGTATATCCCATTAGACTATTACCCAATCCCGCGTCAAAAATCTAGAAAAATAAAAGAAAATCCACGCCTAAAGAGCTTGGTAAATCTTGAAACTGCTAAACTCCCAGTACGCATCGGTAAAGTTGCCAGGATTATGAGCGACAAAGTCCTTGCACTCCCCCGGGCAACCATACAGGGTTGTGTAGAATTGCGCATTCGCCCCGAGCTGACCGCAGAGATCGATATTGGCAATAATACTCTGGTTTTTGAAGTGCGACGGAATGTCACAGCTCGTATTAGGGAAGTCTGCCAGGGCAAGTCCCCATGATGATGGGTCAGGGGTCCCGCTCCCATTTGTGATATCGGCAGGAATCAAGTTGCGCGGAAAGAACCACGCTCGGATACCAGCGGCGCGGAGCTCAAGGGCGTATATCTACTCTTAATCAGGAACAGCATTGGAAATCAAAATCCTGCAGAAAAGGAACTTACACCGCCACCGTTGTCGTTGAATTCCTTCCCGTAGGAAAGGGCCGGGCCCTGCACACCACAGCCTGCATTGCCATTGGTGCTGTTGTCACAGGTAGTGAACACAGTTTGGCCGCTTTGCTTGCGCCTGACGTCCATACTGCAGCCGGCCGTGGTATGAAGCGTCATTTCATTCCCATCCGTGGCCTTGTTGTTAGCTTCAAGGACATCGATTTCACCATTCACGGGCCAGTGATAGCCATCCGTCAGCCAAAGGGCAGGCCAGGTTCCACACCCATAGGGGGAGTGCAGAATATCAAAAAGAAACAGCCCCGTGTCGTACGTAGCTTTCGACTCAATTCGGACGCTCTGTCGGCCAGAGATGGGGTTCTTGCGCGTGGTATCGACTTTGATCGTAGCAGAGAGGTCGGTGGCATATGTAAGATTTAGGGCTAGAGCGGTTGACTCATTCACATACCTGACCCCATTAGTTAGTATCCAATAGAATTACCCATACTGCGCGAAATCTACAACATACTGGACAAATCCATACGTCGGGTCTGGGTCGGAAAAGTAATGGAACTGGTCAAAGAATGATGTCCCCGCGTAGGTATCGACGAGCCGGTAGTTCAACGGAGAGTAGTCTGGGTATCGGCTTAATTCGCTCCACTTAACAGTACCAACAATGACCCCAATCACGACCGCAATGCACAGACTGCCTGCGAACAATTTCGCTTGTGGCGACCAACCACGTGGGTTATACCATGGTCGTCGAGGAGCCAACGCTGAGGGAGATGGCTTATCGGATCCCCAAGGAAGCCCGGGATGCTGGATAGTATCCAACTCCATTTTCGGGATATGAGCGGGGGCGCCCGCGTACCGGCTGATATTGTCGCCCGGAATGGGAGACGTTGTGCTGTTCATTATGCCGCAAAGGCCACGATCAGTGCAATGTCACTACTGGCCAAGAGGTGAATATCGACAAAAATTCCAGACGAAACGCGGAGAGGACCCCATCTGGAGAATGCAGTCATCAGTTTGGGAGAGCCGATGGTCATGAACAGAGTGAGAGCTATGATCAAAGGATGCAGGAGCGATGTTGTCACCCGGAATGTGAAGGTTGATCTCGTCCTGATCGGGTAATGCAGCCATCTGCATGTATGAGGAGCTGAGGGAATCAGACACGTTTATTTTAGTACTGAAAAGCTACCTTGAGCTTCATTTGGGGCTGAAATCCCTGACGGGTGCTTCTCAATCTGATATAACGGGAGGAGAGTGATATCATCCTAGATGCTTGTCGAGGCACAAAGCCACCGCTATGATTTCATTCCAGAGAAGTGCCACTAAACGAATGCCGGAAACTACTCCCGCCTCGCTACTTGGGAAATCCGGTGCGGAATGCTATCCAGGAAGCCAGAATTAAGTCAAATCTACAAGTATTCCAGAGTTGGGCCGAGAGAGTTGAAAATGGTGAAATCGCCGACTACGCTCAACGTTTCTGATCTCGCTTGGAGTGATATTGAACAGGTTGACAGTCTTGGGAATAGAGGAATCCGCCTCAGCCCAAGACCAGATATGAGAGCACTATATTGAGGGCCGTGAAGCTGCAGTCCTTGGAATTGAACGCGATTCCCTCTTCCCTTCTGGGGGACGGATCTCAATTATAGTAAAACATTCTTCGATTTTGAAGGGATGCATATGAGTAGACTAAATGCTCATGGTACAAAAGGAGAGACATGATGAGAACTCTATAGATCGAGACAATCATAGCAAACGCTTGAAAGGAGAGACATTAACAATGCGCCATTAATGCATGCCGTTCATGAATGCAATGTAATATGCAATCAAATACAAATCTTCGACATCGGTTTCATTCCTTCCGTGCCGGCATAAACCTCAGTATCGGGGGTCGAAGGTTGATCTAGCCGGAGGCAGGGAATCCACACAGGGTTCGGTCAACAGCTTGGTAGGTAATATCCACCCTGCCCAGCTGCGCGGCCTGGTTGTTGGTCAACTGGTTCATGGCAGTCAGACCGATGTTGAAGCCAGAATACCCAGTATCAATGGCAGTGACGTAGATGGAGTTGTTGACAGTGCCGGCTTGGTAGGTGAGCTGGTAGCAGGTGCCGCACTGGGGGCTGTTCCAGCCGGTAATTGTGGGTGCACCACCGACACGGGGGAAACCGGGGAGGTCACCGAAGGTGTGGTAGCCCCAGTTTTCGACGCCGTTGGAGCCGTTGGAGCAGGCGACACCATCGAGGGATGTACTGGCAACATCGTATCGTTCATCATAGGAGAGGCTTGCGGTTTCGGCCCTTTGTTCCAGGGGAGCAGCGAGGGCGGAGCCCAGGAAGAGGGGGAGGACAGTGGTGAATGCAGTGGAGAACTTCATTTTGATAGAATTGGTTTGGTTTGGAGAGTGTTCTGGTCTGGGCCGTTTTGACAGTAGGCTTGCTTGCGATGTTGCTGAGGCTGCTGATAATGATGGTGGTCATGGACGGGGATGGTCCGGGTATTTATATTGTTCGCTGCTCGACACTTTCGATTATTCCACGTACCTCATCTCATTATCATTATGTACTATGTGCAACTTAATGTCCAATACCCATTCCGTGGCTGGAGCTGTTCTGTCCAACGTGACACGTCTCCAGCCTCACCTCGGATCTCACAGATGAAGGTCAAGAATAGGACCACAAGCGGAGCTCATCCTTCAGGAAGAGAAACAAGATCAATAGCAGGGCAACATCGTGGGATTCTGCAGGTTACGAGTGAGACATGGTGGCATTGTTCAGGGTTGATCAGACGCGCTTCGGCTTACAGGGCTGTGCCGGCTATTGTGAAGCGGAGTCCCCCAGGTATCCGCGCCAGTCAGCGTACATATTCGGAGTTCGGATGAGACATACAGCTCGCAAACTACCGTCGCTTGGCTTGAATAGTGCCGTGATCGACAGCGGGGAGCTGGATTAAGGCGTGGCAAGGCTTTCCACCGGGTGACCTATTTATAGGGTTAAGTAAGATGCAACCTATTGCGTAACGACCTTCCAGAGGCATGTTCGTGGCTCGTCCACCCATGGAACCACGACAGCACTATCAACACTTTCCAGGGCAGATGATCTGAATCAAGAGTGTAGCCAACTGCAGTTGTACAAATCCCAAATGGCATGTTCCCGAACATTCCCGGCGTAGGATGTCGGTAGCCACCGTTACATTGGTTTCGATGACCAGCATACGGAGTAGCCACCTTGGCGAGATATGAAGCAAGGAAGATGACCTCTCACAAAGCATAATCCCTCAGGTGGCTCGTGCCGTGGTGTTGGAGCTTGTGGTGGCTGACAACGTCAAGGGGACACCCGCTTCTCGGGAGGGTGGCACGAAGCCTGACTGCATTAACTATGGTGATAAAGCGATTACGAAGGCAACCCCAGGGACAGAGGTTAAGATACTCCCAGAGCCATGCTAAAGGGGCAGACAGTTCCTGGCTCGGTGGATCAGTGCCTCCCCGCAGGGGACTATTGAACGCCTAGCAGTCACAGTAACGCCGATGGAAGTAATTTAGGTCCACCCCGGCATAAATCTAGATATATTTGTGAAATAACCCGGTTATGGGTCCGAGACAATACTTTCTGTACTATAGATCAATATTTGGTTCTTCTTGAGAGGATTGAAAATATGTTGCTTTTATTACATTAAAACATGAGGAGATGGAGTTTGCCGTTCTAAATCAGTAATTAAACTGCCATCCCGTCGTCCGAGTGACCTTAACCTCTGGATTGCCCTTCTCACTTGGGGTTCTTTCCTTGGAAACAATGTCCTATAATGCCACCACTCTCGTAAACTGACTATGTTCCTGCTGATGGCAAAAGGAATGAGGAAAGCCGAAGAGGGTCAACTTACTCGGGATGCGTATCCCCTGCATACAACCACACAACCTGCGTCCTTAACCGGATGTTCCTGCGCCACATAACTGCGCATCAACTAGATATAGGAGTCCTCTACTCAGCATAATCGGCTATGGGTTGAGGGAAAGCATATCGCTGCCTGCTACTGGTGTACCAGACATCCTCACACTATGCTCACACGAAATCAATCACGGCATCCTGACTCGCCTGTAGCATAGCGTAATGGGACCATCCATCACTTAGTGGCTCATTAATGGCCAAATAAATGGCCTTCAATATGCATTCTACAGTATCAACTCTCCTTGCCTCTGCAGCATAATGTAGGCCGGTGGATCTCATACCTCAAGTAGTATGAATACAGGATTCAAAAGACAGCCAGAGCGAGCTCCAGGCAATGTGTTTTGCCCCAGACCTAGTTCATTGCCCAAAATTGGGTGTCATTCGGTAACTGCGTTAATATCCGCATCCGCTTTAATGAAATATAACTAGATCTTGTCTTAAGCTGCAGATAAAAAGGTGTCCTCCAATTGCAATCTTCCAGCTCAATATTTGCACCCTGCTCGATTAAATCGGACACATTCCACGCCACTATTCCAGGCGGCAGTGAGCCTCTCGTCTTATCAAGTGGGCACAACATTGTGTGCACATTACTTGCGATAATCAAGTAGGGCTGTTGATTATGAGCTCTGCAGATTATCCGAGATGAAACGAATCGGGGGTATGAGGAACTTCTCACCCTTGAAAACCCACACAGTAAGTCAGACGATGGAGCTTCCCCTCGCAATTTATATTTCAATCGCTGTACCCCATAATATTGCTCTAACTAATTAATTCAAGGCCTCAAGAGAGCCTGAGTCAGTGCCGCACCAATTAGTTAACTAGTTAGTTCTTCGGTTAGGGTTTGGCTCGACGGACTAATGGAGACCTGTATAGTGTCAACCTCACCGTTCTGCTCCAGAAAGATGGCCCTACATAGATTCATGACAGACACTGGACAAGAGAACAGCCGAGTGTCCAGGACCTTTCATAGTAAATTTACTACCTCGGCCCCCTTTCCGTAGCCAACCGGAATGTCATGGGTAGTACCTCGGGATCCCTATACAACTGCCCTCGAAAGACTGACTGACTGACTGACTGCCTGCCTACTAGGGACCATCGGCAAGCCAGGGTTTCTTTCTTCTTCTTAATTTAATCCGAATAGGAGTGCAAAAGTCTCCTTTGTCTGACCTTCGGTACGGCATCAGTTCACGCCGCGGCTCTTCTGGAGGACCACCGTGCAACCGAAACCATCCACTTATGAAGGAAGAAGTCTTGTACTTCTGAAGGGTTCTTGTTGTCGTTTCGTTCATCATCATTTCCCGGTTTGCAAAATGAACCAAACATGGCAAGCGCCTGAAAACTACCGGGGGGCACTTTAACGAGGCTGTTGGATTGAAGATACCTGACTGAGCTGGCGGGAATATCTACAGATGCGACGCCGAGGGCAAACGGCCTGGAGAAAATCAGAATATACTCTTAACGAGAGCCGAGGCTTCACGGGCATCACACTGGCTTAGGTATGTATGTTATGGATGTTCTCGACTTTTCGCTGATTATCAGAATCGACGTCGGTAGAATCTAGACGATAGAGACAAATTATATTCGATCAGTATACTGATCCTTACTAGTAACCAGTTGGGTATGAAATGCAGTACACCGCTAGTATTAACTAGCACTCAAAGACGCCGCGCTGCTTCATTCTTGCTCCAAACCACGCATAAGCTTCGGGAAAACAAATTATGCCGTCTCATGTATCATATCATATCCGACCCCATGTTTCCCAAAAGGTTGAAAATCGACGCTTCGTCCGTCAGCGCATGCACGAAGCTATCGGTGGCGGCAGCGTCCGCTTCCTGGTCATCAGATAGGGAAACATCGTAGGTAATTGGGTCTTCCGCAGACGAGCCCGTTGTGCTCGAAGTCGGGTCCGTCGCATTGGAAGCCCCAGCGCCGGATGCTGCAGGCGCATTCTGATGCAACGGCTCTATACCCTTGGAATACCCCGGGAAAATCTGCTGGATGGCCTTGATGAATAGGACCCGATAGATGGAAGCGGCAGTATAGGTTTTCTGAAGCTCTTCCAGGATCAAGATGCACATATCGAGCTTGTTGAGCCTTAGACGTTTGGAAAGGGGGTCGGCACGCTTGCAATGGAGTAAGTGCGTTTGCATCGCTGGGATCAAAAGCGGAGGTCTATCGAGCCGCGAAAATATTAGCCACGAAGGAAAGAAGAAAACCAACCCCCTAACGAGACCGGAAGAGACCGATCTGTCCCCATTCCAAGTACTCACGTCATAGGGCCCACGTATTCAAGAAGTTTCCCTTGAACAAGAGCATCCAGGATATAATTCGTCCGCGAGGCGGCTGCATCGGCTTTGCTGCGCACTCGGTGCCGCCAATCCTCTTCTTCATTAGGATCAAGACCCTCTGGCGTATCTCTTTCATAGGGTCGGTAAAAGGTAATCGCCAGCGCCCTGTTATGCGGTCAGCATTGAGGAGTTTAAGCGAGCGCGCGGAAGCCTTAACTGATAGTGCAAGTGAACATGGTAAGCATAGAACCCGGCCCAACGACTTAGACCGGCTTCGTAGAGGTCTGGAAGCTGGAATCGAAGGATATCTTGCTCGACAGTCTCGAATTGTTGAAGAGATGGCCTGGGCCTTACTGCCTGGTAGTTCATGGTGATCACAGTGCCCAATACCTTGCTCAATTCGATTAATTTCACCCAATATTGGGCTAGCCTGGGAAAGTCGTTTGGCAGATATGCAGCAGCAGCAGCAGAATCAGGTATGCGATCCATGTCACTGAGCATATCGGCCACCACTGGCATCGGGGTATCACAATCATTGAGATTGATGCGCAGTGGTCTCCCCAAAGTAAGCCCCAGCCAGCGATCACGAAAGAAACAGCTCCACCACAGGCGACGCCACAGGCACCACTGCTGAGGAGTGATCGAGGAGTTTGCCTTGGAGGAGTGTGGGTCGCGGTGTAATCCCAGCATCTGACAGAGATCAATCGCAATGCCGGTCCAATACCATGGCTGCATATGTTCGTCTAATTCGGAATACCAGAACCCCAACAGAAGGGAGGATTGAAGCAGAACAATTTTGTCTGTCTCCGCGCCATTGTCGTACATACACTACTACGTTCAATGCTTCAATTAGCAGGCTCGCATGAGACGGGAAATCAATCGCGAGATCACCCACCTTTGCGCGTGAGTAAAACATTGCTTTCATTTCTCTCCGCGAATTGCAGCCTTCTTCTTGTTCGTAAACATTAGCGGGGACAAACTGCAGCGGTAAATTAGCGACGCACGATGGTAACCCCGGGAACTCGGTGAATCAATCACTTACATTGACGGCAACAAAAAAGATACTCCATAAAAGCAAGAGATTGTACTCTTGAAGTCGCCCGGAATGATGCATGTTCAACAGGAGGTTGACATCAATCACCGGCATGACTGGATGAACATGATAGAAGTATGCACGAAGGAAGCTGTCACAAACCGCCTTGGAAGGCAGTGTAAACACGCCCTTTATTTGCAGATAATTTCGATCCTCGTCAGACAGAGACACTCGATTAGTTACTGGGATGAAAAAATGCCTGGGCAAGCTGCAGATGTTCAAGGCGGATGTAGGCCCCGTCCCCTCTCCTATGTTAGATGTTAGTGAGACTCATCTCTGCATTGCGCGCACTCTTTGACTTTTCGACTACCGGTGTAGAAAGGTACTTCGCCGACATTTTGCGGCTGTCCCAGGGCCGCTGTCGCGATTTCGACCCCGTTGCGCTCTTCCGCCTCGATATTGTGTGGTCCGCCACTCAGGGGAGTTGCAGTATTCCCCGCGACATTTGGTTCCGACGGCAAGTCATTCTTGTTAGAGCTGGAGCTGCCATTTACCCCGTGAGTCTGTGCAGGCGCGATTGGACGCAGGCTGGGGGTGACAGGGGTGCGGTTGCGTTGAAATCTGAAGCAGACCTTTAGCAGCCGGATAATCCATCGTCATCTATAAGCGGCATCCCTTACCTATTTAGTTGCTTAGTGTTTACAAGACATTCGACCTGGTCCTGAGTACAGGCCGTGCACGGCACTCCAGTGACTGAGAAGCTGCACCGAACTTTACGTCGACGGCACGCTTGACATGCAACTCCTGACTGATGACGACGAGCCGATGTAGTAGAGGGCGTGGAGGGCATGATACTGTGCGTCATCTGCCAGAGCGAGAAGTTGACGGCCCCTGGGCTTACAGCTCGGTGTGCGTAGAGATAAGCTCGGCAGGGGTAGAAACCCGGAACGGATTAACCATCGCCGAGCTGCCTCCGTGTACGGCCGAGGTACTCTACCTAGGTACATAAAAGGACACTCTATATCTAGGGATTCGAATGAGGAACATGACATATAGCTACTGAGTCCGGACTTGCGCAATCCGGACTCCTCAGGACTCGAACACCACTTCACCCAGACATCGACATCATCGGATAGTCTACAAAGCCATTGCATTGCAATCACACAATATCTTGTCTCATAATGTACTTCGGACACTAGCCGATCGGATCAATTGCCGACCGCGGGGTGATCGGCCTTTGATATCCGTCGGCTATAGAAATATCCGTTTTCAGTAAGGGACTTTGATACCCCGCGTATAAAAGGCTTCAAATCGCTCTTTTCTTCTAAAGACAAGCAATTTTTTAGCATTAAAAGGAAGAGATTCATTACTCGATCTAGGTTATCTAAGAAATCACCCGCAGTTTGTTTTGGAATCCGTCAGGACACAGTCAATCGTCATGGCCAACACCCTCCCCGCACTCTTTTCCCTGGACGGGCGAACAGCAATCATCACAGGAGGAACCAGAGGAATCGGACAGGCAATGGCCATTGCTCTTGCAGAGGCTGGAGCGGACATTGTGCTTATTCAAGTATGTGCATCGCTACCATAACCTCCTGGAATCCGGGTACTAAACAAGAGAATCAATAGCGAGACGAATCCAATACTTCAACCCGCGACCAAATCATCCACCTCGGCCGCAAAGCATACATCCATGCCGCAGAGCTATCAGACCGCGAAGCAATCAAAGGCATCATTCCCGCGTTGACCAGCCAGGGTGTGAAACCCGATATTCTGCTCAACTGTGCCGGTATCCAGCGCCGACACCCGAGCGAGAAGTTCCCCGATGAGGACTGGGATGAGGTATGATTACTATCAAGGCATAAATAGCAAACGCCTCCGGAACCTGACCGTCCCCGTTTCAACCCATAGGTCATCCAAGTCAACCTCACTTCCGTCTTCACTCTCTGCCGCGAATTCGGCGACTACCTTCTCGCCCGGGACGCTTCGGAATTCCCCACCGGCCGCCGCGGCTCCATTATCAACGTGGCCTCTCTGCTCTCCTTCCAGGGAGGAATCACCGTCCCCGCATACGCCGCTTCCAAGGGTGGCGTGGCCCAACTGACGAAAGCCCTCTCGAACGAGTGGATCAGCAAGGGGATCAACGTGAATGCCATTGCCCCCGGGTATATCGCGACCGATATGAACACGGCGTTGATCAACGATTCGAACCGCAACCCGGCGATTCTGGCGAGAATTCCGGCCGGCCGGTGGGGGAAGCCCGAGGACTTCAAGGGTGCAGTGGTGTTTTTGGCGAGTGCCGCGAGTAGCTATGTGTCCGGGGAGATTCTCTGTGTGGATGGTGGATGGATGGGCCGGTAGAGTATACTCCTCAGTAATAGGTTTACGCTTCTGGTTTGGTAATAAAATCTTGATCTGGTATCTATCTATACAATATGAGGGGGTCGGTCGCCCGCGGTTATTCATAATCTAATTAATATAGTTAACTATGTACAGCTGCCAAGGTGGACCCAAACAAGATATACTTCAAAGTTCATGGGAATCTCTAATCAGACATCAGCCACTCGGGGACCGCGTCCTCGTCATCTGGGTCTTCAGATAACAAAGAATTCTCCTCCTCCTCCTCATTACTTAGCGATTGTTGAGACAGGACTTCCGGGGCCTGGGAGAGTAATTCAACACTAGCAGACGCAGAATCTGCATTTACTGAGGAATCGACCGTTATTGGAGCCTCTAAGGAGCCTCCGGAATCCCCGAAAGGCTCGATTTGTAAGCCGACTTTCGGGGTATGAGGTCGGGTGACATCTCCGTCAGAATCAATGGGTATAATAATATCCCGTGGCCGCTCGTTTTCGTCGACGACGACGAGATTGTACCTGGGTGGAGCAACGTTTGGCTTGTGGGACGCGTTTTGGTGATTGACAGCTTTCTCAGGCTCTGCGTCGCTCTCCAGAAGGAATCCCCCTCCGCCCGAGTCTTCCACCGCGTCTTCCAGCGGTACTGGGTTGTTATAATCGATAACGGGGGACTCGAACAGAGGCGGCGCTGAAGTGGGAATCGGCGGGCTGACGATTTCTGGACCCGATTCAGGCAAGAAACCGCCCCCTTCCATCTCAGCGTCCTTCATCTCAAGCCCAACACTTGACTCGTCATCGGCTTCCTCTCCTTCAACCGCGTAAGTCTTAACGCGCTCCGCAATGCGAAGTTTAAGCAGAAAGTGTTTCCACAAATGCAGGACCTCTGCAGACCTCTGTTCTAGCTCATTGTGTAGCCTTTCTTCTTCCATGCAATTCAAGACTTCTTGAACTGCTGCGCGGAATTCGTCGGCCACAACCACACCCTGAAATACGGCGGTTCCATGACGCCCTTTGAAATTGAATCCCGTGACCGCATCGGCGTAGTCAATGCCCAAGATACGAGCCGCATGTGCAGCATTAAAATGCGGGATGTGAACTCCTCCCGGGGGGACCATGCTTGGAACGTACACATCTAGATTCCCGTATGCATTTTTGGGCACTTTTCCATGGACGACCGGGGGAGGTTGGTATACCTCTGTCTGGTAAAAGGCATAGAGAGGGGTTTCCATGGCCAGCTCAGCGTCCTCCTCCTCGTCGCTAATACCAGTGGTCCTGTTTTTGCTAGCGGGTATACGCTTCAATGCTTGCTCACCCAATTTAACATCACGACCTAGGCGGTACCACTTGTTCGCGCTGCGAAGGGTATGAACATCCGATCGGCGATATATCGGTTCGGTGGCTTGGTTTTTGGACCCGGATTTTCCAAGACTCACATGCCCAATAACGCGTTGCGGGAAAATAGCCTCATTGCGGCGGAGGTGTCGCTCCAGAGCATAAATTGGATGGTCCTTGAAATCTTGCACATTTCGGGGCATCGGCTCCGCAGCCGTCTTGGCTGTTAACTCTCCAATTTCCAGCTCATCACGGTCTTCTAAGAATGGCTTCTCGTAAAACCGAAGTACGCGGCTCCACCATACCTCGCCGCTCTTGGTACACTCAACACGCAGCTTGCGAGTTTTAGCATTAAATGCTTTTGCGTACCGCCGTGTGACATCTCTAGCGGATGCATCCTCTTCAAATGCTACAACATAATTCATGCAGTTGTAGGGATCGGCAGCTGGTGGCTCAAACTTGGACGGTTTCGCAAGCGACTTGGTCACCATAGGATCAATCACTATCCATTTGTGAACAGCTTCGTTGAATGCTTCAACCCAGAATACTGGGTGAGGTGATTCCCGGAATATTGGTGGCCCTTAAATCGTCAGTATACTAGGTGCGGAATCTGAGGTGCAGAGCATACTCGCTGCACGGCTACTCTGAAAGCGCGCGGGCTTAAACCCTGGTTGACCAAGTCTTCTGATTCGCGAGGCGCGCGGCGAGCTTCCCGCCTTCCCTTTATCATCCGTTGATATCTCCAGATCATCAGATGAGATAATGATGGGCTGAGATACAGGCTTGGCGCAAATCATGTCTCGCCTCGTTCCGGAAAACGGCAGCGGTTGTAGAGAACAGACCAATCTAGCTTCCACAGCTACAGATCGCAGAAGGGCACAGAAGAGTTGAGCCCCAAAATCACGAGAACCTTGTAGTGTTTTGGCCTGGGCTCGGAAGTCGTCCCTGGATAGAAAGACTTCGGCTTCTGACACGATTGCTTCCTACCACATATTAGAGACGTTCCCATGCCACTTAGGTCAAGTTGAATACCGCTTTCTGTTTGAGGGACGCAGAATCGTACGCCCAGTGAGCGCGTCTCAGCCCCGGCTTTGTTACTTTGAATCTCTTGATAAATGCCTCTCCGGCCTGATTAAGTCCGTCGATAAAACTTGTAGACCTGGCATGCTGGGGTTTGTTCTCCGAGGGATTCAGGAGGGACACAATAGGCTTTGGTAGCATTTTCTTGAGAAATCCCTAGAGGATTCAAAATTACGTTTAGGAGAAATTCAAACGGGCTTAACACTGTGGTGCGCACCTGTACTTCTTCATCATTGCACCAAAGATTACGTCGTTGCACATGGCACAAGAGACAGAGTAGATGCATTTTATGCACATCCAACCTGAGTCTCTTTTCCGCCCCAGTTACCGGCTTTTGCCGAGTGCTCTTTTGTCGCTGACCTTCCTGTCGGTCGAGGATAATCTGCAAGGGCGCGTCATCTGCTGCGGCGACGGGACCTGGTAGGATCGGGTGGGAGGAAGGCTGTTGAATGTCGACCTCTTCCCACTCCATATCCGAGTCCTCAGATGATTCTGACGGTGAATTATATACAGTCTGTGGTTTTCTGCCGGCAGGTGGTTCATTTTCTACTGAATACTGGGTTTCCTGTGCTGCGACCTGGGTACGGGAAAGCGTGGCTCTCGATCCCGCTGGTTTGAATCTTTTACTTGGTCTCTCATTCCCTGATTCGCCGCCTGCTCGGGCCTCTCGAGCCTCAGCTTCCGCCAGCATCTCCCGGTATACCTCCGGAATCTCATCCTCGTCCTCATCTCGTCTTCTTGAACGCTGACTGCGGTGCCGTTCACGCCCTGGGGTGCGGATAGAACGCGTCCGGGACGACATTTCGGGGGTCCCTATGGGGCAGCATGAAGCACGACCTTTTCGCAGGGAATAAGCATCGAGCCGTAGTGAGGAAAAAACGATTGCGGGAGTGATGAGTCGACTCAAAGCGGTTGTCGCCGGTGTTCATGGACACAAGTCATACGCGATTTTCCATCCACGAAAAATTAGTCATCTTGTACACGTGATGACATCGCGTTTTCGGAAATACTATATTCCCGTCGAGGCAGTTATGCTGTAATTCAAATTGCTTCGCGTCTTGAACTATTTGATCTCTCTTTATAGGTCGAATGGATGAGATCCGTCGATTCCAGCTTACTTGACTTCAGAGTCTGTTCCTAGTTTGGATTGGTACAAGCATAACTAGTTGGTTAGTTAACTAGTCACTGCTCTAACGATTAACTACTCATCATTCATAAACTGGGAATTACTTCGTAGCTTTCGTAGCTTACAAAGAATCATGAATCATTAATTGTTTTTTATAATCAGTATCATAAATATCGGAAGATCATTTTTTCTCCCCGTTTGCTCCTCCAGCGGTTGGTTGATTGTAGAAGTTCGGGACAGCCAGCTACAACCCACGGCCACTTGCGGAGAAATTTTTCCGATACCTCCCAATTTTCTGCGTTACTCGGCTCTCCCCATACCATTAGACCAGAGCTTTCCGACGGTGTATCCCAGACACCCATTATATCCCTACACAGAGGGTCGTCATCAAAGTCTCCGGCCGCGATGAGGTTATCCCGGAGCTTGGGAAACGGGAAACAATCCATCCACGGATGATGTGACTGGGTTCGCTGGAGAGGTGTAGGGCGGAGACTGACCGGCAGCTTTTCTCCCTCCACAACCCCCGGTTGCATGGTGTTGAAGGGGGATATAGCATCGTCATGCATCCACTCAAATGCCGGCGTCATCCCCAAGACCAACATGTTGCTGGCAAATGCGCGAAAGACGTTGAGTTTGCAGAGGGTTAGAAGCTGATCTGCGGACGGGGACCCAACAGCATAGCGTTCACAAGCATTTTGACTGAGCTGCTCCAGAAGCTTATTAAGCCGGTCCTCGAACAATTGCTGCACCATAGAAGACATAGATATCTCCGAGCCAGGCGACACGGACGATTCTGGGGCAGTCGGAAGTAAAGTGACTTCACCGTTCATGATCATCTCCTCTATCCTTTGCTGAAGCCCTGCATTGTGTCGCTCCACACGCTTTCGTTGTCCTGCCAGGTGGTTGATAAGCGGTCAGAGATTGAGCTAGTTATAAATATTACATTTTTACCGGTAAGAAAAGCAAAACTTACGAAAGGCGCGCTGGTTCAAACGATTTTGCCTCTTCCTGCGCTCCTTCGCGTCTCCAAGCCCGGTCCAATCATCCTCGGATTCGACCTTGCCGGTTTTGAGGACAGTCAAAGCCTGAGACCCTGGGTGTAGGGAGGACATTTCTCCCGAAAAGTAAGCAGTATTGGAGTATTTATTTTGGGGTGGATGTACGGAGTAGGCTGCAGGAAGTGGAGGTGTGTAATTTGGACTGTCGTTATAAAGTCGAGGGTGAGCGACGGTGATTGGACTCGGAGTTAAAGCCTTGCTGACACCTGAGGCCCGGCGGATTCTCCATCGTGTTTAACCTTGAGCGAATCTCTTCAACTTCCACTCCAACAAGACCATCCTATTTGTTCCCACCATGTCGCTCTTGCTTTCTGCCATTGATTGGGAGAGATAGCTCGCTCTTACTGTGCCCTTCAGGGGACCGTTCAGTCCAGCCTTTGGCCATATCGTCGGGAATCCGGTCGAAAAACCTGGCCCTCGATTGACGGCTGTGCGGGATCTGTGACACTAGAAGACTGCCTTCTTCTGTTCACACCATACTTTGGACGGTGTATAATCTCTTGCCTCACTGCTGTTATTTAATCCCACTTCGTCAACTCGACCAAGCCCACGCACAATAGCGCGGGTGGATTCGACTTTGTCACCTTAGTACTAGTAACTAGTACGCACTGTGGTTGTCGATCATTGGATAACCTTTTCACCTAGGTGACAGCACAGGGGATACTCCGTATACTCCTGAATAAAGGAGTTTTCCGGGTACCAGCTCAGGAAAAGGGGAGTGAACCGACTGCTTTAGGTCAATATATACTTCAACGCGATATCAACTCCCGTCATGGACCTGAGGCTAGTTGCTTCCTGTGGATTTAAATACCATCCATTCAAGTTCCGTGAGAAACCACTTCAATTTACCGCGTATAACACTCCCTGGAAAAATCCGATTATTTAGAAAGAAAGACAAGAAGATCATCTTTAGGTCATATCACCACTGTATAAACTGATCCAGATAGTACCGCGCCGGGAAGCTCGCACACTGCTAGGCAAAGCCGGATACACCGCGAGAGAGAGCCCTTGTTCCAAACGTCGATTTGAGCCCATACGCCTCGCGAATTCTAGGCGGGAGCATGTCAATCGTAGCAACCCACATCCAGAGACACAGAGTCGAGAAGAGATGATATCGCCCAGTTGAACTTCTGTCCTGTGTTTCATCCTGGAGTGGATCGTGCGCCTGTGAAGTGGCTTTGCCCTAGATCGACATCTTTAGTTCAAGCCATCATCACCCCGTTGAGTCTTTTCAACCGGCCAGCGATATTAGCACTCCGAGGTTTCTTCTGGGGTCTGGCGGATTTACTCATTCTTTCTTTCAATCCTTCCCCTGTCCACTCAATCATGGGGTACTGGTAGGCCTTTCCCCGGACGACGTTTGTCTTCACATGAACAGACTGCCAAAGTGAATCCTCCGGGCAATGTCCCACCATGTTGTCGACCAATTCCGTGGATGAAAAGACCCAAGGGTTGGTCTCCAAAGACGACTCGAAATACGTCCCCGAGAACAGGAGGACCCAGAGCTTCCGACGGCATTGTGCTCGATTCTGGTGGTGCTACCTTTTCTCCTCGATTATCTTCCTGGCCATCTTCCTCCCTATCCTGTAGGGTTTTCTACCGCAGCCTATTCTCTGTGAGCACTAACAGCCAGACAGCTTCTTGGTCATTACTCCCGCCATCGCTCGGCTGGTGGTCAATAAGTCTACCCTTTTACTCGTCGAGGCAACCGTTCTCGAACCGCGCGCCGATTCTATCTTGCTCGCCATCACGTCCAAACTGAGCCTCCCGATTGCGGTACCAGTGCGCATCGATCCCATAACCCTAGAATTGTTCAACCGAGACCTCCCAGGGAACAACACCTTCGCCAAAGTCAGCATCAACAGCGCCGCCATCAAGGGGGAGACCACGTTAAGGGTCCAGGGCCAACACACGCCCCTAAATGCAGAGCAGTGGGCTCACTATGTGCACCAAGCAGTGTTCCAGCCGCACGCTCCGTTGTCCGTGCGAGGTTCCACGAACGCTTACCTAGGCAAACTGAAATCCCATGTCACCATCAACAAAGATATTCCCCAAAACAGTAAGTCTCTTACTCTTTCAGCGAAGGATACATGAAGTAAGCAGACGATCTGACGCATCCCAGCTCTCAACTCCTTTGCCGGCTTCTCCATTGAGAACCCCAAGCTGCTTATTCCTGCAAGGGAGGATGGCGTGAACCTAATCGCCAATGCGACCCTCCCAAATCCGTCCGTCATGAACTTGCAAATTGTGAACAACCCTCATCCTCGACCGGCCCCTGGTTTGCCACTGACCAAACCATCAGGGAACCACCGTTTTTGATCTTAAGAGCAGCGAATACCTCCTCGGGAACGTCACCATCGACAATCTCTACCTGAAACCAGGCAACCACTCGAACCCCATGACTGGTATTCTCGATATCCACTTCCTTATTGAGCACCTCACGGGTATCCTCGGCACTCAAGCAGACTCCCTAAAGGAAGGGCACCTCACTTTCCAGGCCGTCGGCCGGTCTGTGACCTGGGCCGGAGCGGAGGTTCCCTACTACACGGATGCTATAAAGGCTCTCACCCTCCAAGCACAAGTGCCGCTGGGTTCGCTCATCATCAATACGCTCCGGGAAATCATGGCGCCCAACGGAACGAGTATATTTCACAACCTGACCGATCCTAGCGGACCAACGAACATCCAGGACATTCTCGACTCGCTTGACGAGCCGGACGGAAGTCTGTAAGAGTACCTGGGCTGTGTTAAGGGGTAACTAAGGGGGTTATGCTTAATGATATATATATATAACTAAAGTACGATTTACATCAGTCAATGGCAGGCACTTGGCATATATGCAAAACCAAACTGTATATATTGTGACTCCTGATCACTGGCACAGTGGTATGAGAGAGTGCTACCGCTCATAACCATAGCCAAGGCCATATAGCAGGATGGGCCGATCCGTGGAGTACACCGGTGTATAGGGCAAATATCCCCATCAACCTCCTTAGCCCTGATGCTCAAACTTGGTAATCAGGGTTCCAACGTGCGGCAACAGCTCAACCGCGAACTCATCCCCAGCCGTCAAGAACTCCTTGGGGTTCTTTGCAGCGCCAACGCCAGGCGGAGTACCAGTCAGAACGATGGTTCCGGCCGGAAGCGTAGTTCCTTGAGAAAGGAAGCTGACGAGCTTTGGGACGGAGAAGATGAGATCCCTGTGTCGGTATTAGCATACGTACAGATATGGGGAAACGCAAGAACACATACGTTAGCGGGCAGTCCTGGAGAACACGACCATTCTTCAGTCCACGAATATGCAATTTACTTGCATCGGGAATGAGCGTGGAGGAAACCAACGTCGGTCCTGTTTCATCCATCCATCAGTATGTATCCATCTAATAATGATTCAAGGGATATTCACCAATTGGACAAGCTGTATCAAATCCCTTGGAAAAACACCATTGCGACTGATTCATCTGCGACGTGCGGCTCGAGACATCGTTGGCAGCCGTATACCCCAAGACATAGTCGAGCGCTTCATCCTCGCGGACATCCTTCGCGTCGCGGCCGATCACAATCACCATTTCCGACTCGTAGTCGCCTGTGTTATCGACCTGGGTAATTCGGGGGAGGATAGTCGGGGCGGGGAAGGGGTCTGCGAGAGCCGCGGAGGGTTTGTAGAAGAGGGTTGGGACAGAAGGGAGGTCAAGTTTCATTTCCGCCGCATGGGAAACATACTGTTTAATGTATTATTTCATTGTATTGATATCAGTATTTCTCTCTCTCTCTCTCTCTCTCTCTCTCTCTCTCTCTCTCTCTCTACTTGAGTTCGCGAAAAGGAAAAGGGAACAGGTACGTTTAACCCAATGCACCGGATTGAACCGACTTCGTTCTGGGCCAGCGGCGAGAGAACGCGCTGGATGGATTCCGTCGCTGATGTCTTTTGGCCTGGATTCAGCACAGATGAGCCCGAGAAGAGGTGCACGCGGACATCTTTGCCTTGGTAGAGGGCCAGTCCGACGTCGATTTCCGGGTCTACTGGTTCTCCGATGAGGGTTCTGGAGGGGTTTGATTTGGGAGTGAATCGCACGAGGCCTGTAGGTCTTGTTAGTCTCCGATCTGATCGAGAGCTATTGTATGGAGTATAGTGATATGCTGTTGTATTAGGGACAGATAGGTTAGGGTTAAGGAGCGCGCGTACGAGAAAAGGTTGATGCGATTTTCGACATATTGACCTGTTGCACACACAAGAATTGAATCAGAAAGTAAAGAAAGCAAGAATAGCTCTATTTATTTATTTATTAACTGCATTGGACCCCTCAGTCATCAGTTCTCTTCTCCTTCTCCCCCACAGCTGTCTCTCCTCGTTCTCACTATAGGTACACTACCTGTATAAACACCCCGACATCGCACGGATAAAGTCCCGAAATCACAGCCACAAAAGAGGTGGGGAAATCAAATAGTGGGAGGGAAAGAAACCGAAGATCCGAAGATCCCCACAAATTCCACATATCCTGGACGTGGAGCGCACCGAGTTGTATTCTCTGGATTTCTTTTTTCGGGAGAGAAGCTGTACGAGGTTTCTCTCCTCTACGGAGTACATACTCTGTACAAAAGAAGGAAATATCCCCTAAAGGCCCTTTACTCTCGGGGGAAAACCAAAGATGCATATATATATATATATATATAGACGATAGACTAAACATTCCGGCTGATCTCCACTAATCCGTACCCTTCCATCGGCTTTCCATTGGCCTCCGTCCCAGTAAAGGTCATATAACCCTCGTATGCCGGTGACAACGGGGCAGCTGGGTCACACAACTCTTGCTCCGCGCGCAGACTGGCAATATGAAAGGTCGTCCCATCCAGAAGCGCGACCCTCCAGCTCTGCGGGTACGTGATATTACTACAGCTCGAGGTCCATGTCGGCCCTCCCGGGGTAAACTCCGTCAGGGGCATGACTTCGTGAACTCCCGGCGAGTTTCGGATTGTAGCGAACTGCGCCCGGGGCTGGTTGCCATAGTCCCAGATCCAGATCGACATGACCCGCGACCCCGCGGCCGCGGGCTGGTCAATGTGGACCTCAAACCACGTCCAGTTCTGCAGGGGGACGTGGGCAGTCACGTTGAAGACGAGCTGGCGGTCGTACCAGGTCAGGGAATTCCGGGGATCTATCGTCAGTTCGGTTCCGTTGACGACGAGAGTGCCGCTGGTAATGCCGGCAGGCATTGCCCATTCGTAGGTCTGGTACGGTCCCCATGTGAATGTGCCGGTGCCTCCGTCGATCAGAATGGGGGAGGAAAACTGGAATGTCACGTTGAATATAGCCCCGTGCGTGCTGTAAGTCTGCATGGCTTGGAGAGGGTTGCTGGCGTTGAGGGCTAGAAAGCCGTACGTTGGGAGGGTGATGTTGCTGTCCCGGACGTGGTTGGAAATCGGGTCGGCTTCACTCCCAAGGACCGCGTAGGATTCATAGAAGGAGGGCTCGGTTATACCCAGGATTGAGTATCGGTAGAACCCAACACCTGAAGCCGCAACGTGCGACACAATAAAGTATTGGTTTCCATCCGAGGCCTGGATAAACGAGGAACACCACCATGAGTTGCCCACGCCCTCTATCATGCTCTGGGAAGTGTTCAGGTCCCAGGTTAAAGGCAGGGATTGGTCCTGCTATCATTAGATGTAATGCAAGAGCAGCGAGGTATTGACCCTGTCGAGTGATCCACGTACATAGAGTGCAACATCCGGTGGTACTGCATCAGGAACAAAGCCTAAAGCCGTTGGTATAAAGAGCGCGAGGATAATAGCCTGGACATTAAAATACATCTTGTAGACGCAGAGAACAGGAGAGGATTCTTGAAATTCGAAGGAGCACGTCTTCCATCTGTTGCTATCTACAGCCCTTATATATCCTGGAAAACGCAACAGACCCAGACGTTGAGTCCACCAAAATAAGCAAGATGTCCTTTTGACCATAAACACATGCTGGATGCACATAAGCGGTCATTCATGCTGCTAGTAATAAAAGTGGGCGTTTTCCCATTCTATCATTGGTGATATAAAACGGCCTTCCCTGACATTAAGCAAGGGCGCAAAGGAGTCTCCTGGTGTGAATCCGGAAGAGCACCAGTCCGCTGTCATATTCCATGGACTAGCTAGATGAAAGGCAGTATTCGTGTCTCACTTAATACAATCCTGCTATTTGATTCCAGTTCAAGATCTCTCAGTTCGTCAACCCAGTATGAGTCCTTCTCGGCCACAATTTTGACCCCTTCAAGCAAGAACAGTTCTGGGATACGACGGATACTAAGACCATCTGCAATAGGTTTGTTTGATGTAGAACCCGATTGGAAAAAAAAAAAAAGCCAGGATGACGGGGAAGCAACCCTGTGGGAAGTACCTCGAGGCCAGGCATCGTACTCCGTACTTTATCGCAGGACGTTCCCAGATGACTTCAGTCAATGGTACGGAGTACTTTCACGGCTTATCAGCTGCAGCTTTCTTCCAAGAATTGGCAGCGGCATATTTAAGTATTCAACCCAATGGGCTCAATAGGACCACTATGCACTTATGAAGCCAGGGTGACACAAGCATGAAGATACTCCGCACTCCGAAGCACAAGTCCAGCTGTTTGTCCTACATTGCCCAGTATCGGCCAAAGGATCAAGCACCAGAGTAGGGTAAAAGTAAGCCACTCTGCAGGTAGCCCGTTGTGATGCCCTGAGCGTTGCCTGTACTACCCAGAAGCGGAGGGCTTGCAGGAAAAAGCAGCATTCTATAGACTCTCAGAACTGATTCTTTGGTGTACAGATAATGTTAGAATATGCTCTGTTCATTTGCCTTGGACCTGGACTTCTGCAATCGAGGTAGAGCATCCTGGATCAATCAACTTGGTACTGCAGGCGACGAGGTATGCTGCACCGACTACCCCCAATCCCAGCTAATACCGTCATCTTCTATACGCACTCTGGCCTACAGAGTACACTAGAACAGTCTCGAATGCACTCTTACAACGAATGACAGGATGCCCGGACTTGCTAAATGAGTACAATCGAAGCCCTGTAACCCTCTCATGCAGTACATGCAGCTTTCCGAAATTCGTCACCGACGATTCCGTTCTCTGTCTAACCCCGAAATCACTCTTTGCAATATCCCTGGATTACTGGGTGTCAGCCGTAATCCACGTCTTATTGGATATATCCGGGCCCGGAATAGCGGGCTTTGTTGTGTTTCGCCATCTTTTTGGCTCTGTAGTTGGGATATCGCGTAGTGGGTATGTGAGCGTATAATATCCTTCCTTGGCTTGAGACAGCATTGGCATAAGGAGTTATGGGAGATGGACGGGGTATACTCGGTAGGGATGCTTATTTCCTTCTAGATTGTGAAATAATTTATGCTTTATGCTTTCTTATAATCCCCCTCCTCCTTGGCCCCGAAATCCTCCCAACTAGCCCGGTCCACTCCATTAGGCCGACTCGCCCGGGTAAAGCTATTGTCCACCCCGTCGATTTGCGTAATCGGCCGCACAACCTCAATGTCGGCACTATACGCCTTGGAATACCACAGCTCCGTCAGGGCATCCTCGGGTCCGGCTTCACTAGGGCCGCGATACAGATGCGGGAACCGCTTCTGCATGCCCTTCAGGACCGTCGAAGAAATCCGATCGACGCTGTCGCAGTGACGGAGTTGGAAGAACTCTGCGGGCTGCGCGGCGCGCATGGTCTCTTGCACGGCGTCGGAATACTTGCCCACAGCGAAGAGGAGAAGATCGTAGTGCATCAGGGATGCTTTGCCGTGGTACGAACCGCCGTATTTGGCGCGGTTATAGAGACCCGTGAGAGCAGCGATCGCGCCCATGCAGCCAGTGCCGTAGTCGGAAATAGGGAAAGGAGGAACCACGGGGGTTGACAGGCCCATGAATTGGCCTTGAGCCCAGGCGATTCCAGTGACCTGTCTTTGGTTTAGCGGGGGTATGATCTTATCCTGTCGGTATCCGGGGAGAAATGGCACCTACACAATCGGCAATCTGCTGCCAGCCGGGGCGGTAAGCCCATTCGCCCTCGTATCCGAAGCAGTTCTCGTTCACGTAGACATACCCCTTGCCGCGCTTTTCAGCGAGGGCAGCGAGGGCCTCGGGGCCGTAGCCCAGCTTTTCCAGTGCGCCTGGCCTGTATCCATCGACAAGGACATCGGCGTCCGCGAGGAGGACCTCGAACTGACGACGCCCTTCCTCTGTCTTTAGATCCAGGTCGGCTGCGTATTTGCCCATGTTGCCATCGACTTGGAAAAAGGGAACATCCGACAGGTTAGGGCTGGTGATTTTCAGCACGTCGGCGCCATACTCTCCGAGGATGCGCGTAACGGTAGGACCGGCGATGATCCGGCACATTTCAAGCACTTTAATTCCCTTGAGAATCCTCTGGCTGCCATCGGCGGCCGGGAAGGGTGTTGGGGGCAAGTCACCGCCAAGCTTGGTGACCTTCCATGGCGGCTGCTCCAGGTTGAGTTTACCCTACATTGTGTATTAGCATCCTCCGCACATCAGATCGTTCAGAATACCACCTACGTGGGGCGTTTGAATGAAATCCTCGTATTTCAGGGCTGTCACACCGGCCTGTTTCCTCTCCTTGTTCATCTTCTCCAGCTCCGCGGCAGAGTATTTCTGGACATGGCTCTCAATCACCTTAATCACATCCTCGTAGTCCGTCAGGTCGGGACGGTGTCCTTCCAAACCAATCATATTCAACGTGGTCGAAGCCTCGAGAGAGCCGTGGATATGGAAGAACTCCCCCGCGTTCTTGGTTTTGTAGAGGTTCGCCGACATGCGCCGGTATCCGTTGGACTGCGCCGCAAGCAAATCGGTGTCTACTCCGTCAGTTCCTCCGTAGAGCTTTGGCTCCCAAGCAGCGCGTACCTTTCAACTTCTTCTTCACCTCGGGGTCCAGCTTCGATAGTCCATCTACTTTGGCCATGTACGCCTGGCATCCGAAAGCCGTTGCCCGCTCAAGACTAACCTTGACATTTCGTTTCTGCGCAGCCTGTCCATAGCGCAGATCCGCAATGGCAGCGGCAACGGAACCTTCGACTCCTTTCAAGGCAGCTAGGGTTTCGGTCTCCTTGAACGGGATCGGATAGTAAATCTGGTTATGGGCCGAGTAGAAAGAGACGGCATCTTGGTTGGAAACGACCTCTGCGGGGAGATTGAGACTCTCCGCCTTATCACAGAGGTAGGAAAAGATGCGGCCGGCCTCCTGGACCGGGGAATATGTAACGCCGGTCATTCTGTATGATGGAGCGCAGGACGATGGATTTTCAACTTTCCAGCGAATACAGAGCACGCAAAATCGCAGCTATAAGTAGGCGGGCATAGAACGGCGGATGGTGGACGTGGATGACGTCCGACGCAATTCCGAGCGACAACCATCGGCTGGCACCATTGGGAGTCAACCTTCCATTCCGCAGCAGAGACGAGTACGGAACCCGGAATTCATTGGTTCTGTTTCTAGGAAGCCAAAGCGCAACCCCACAGAGTGCTCTTCTTCCTTCCTTCTTCCGAAATGTCGGTCCTTCAGATGTCGTCGGATGCAACCCGATAAGATCGGAAGGGAGATCACATGATCGCGCACGTGATAGTAAGCACGTGATAGTAGACACGTGATACACTATTGTTGCCTTGGTGCCTTATACAGTCACGTGGTGATTTAGCATCACTGCCTCAGGCATGCCTTCCGCGATCGGAGCATTGGCCAATCAGAGTGCAGATAAATAAACCAAAACTTCCATGAAAATGAGGTTTTTCAAGAGTCAACTGTGATCTCCGCAATTCATCCTCAAACCCTCAAAAAGACCAAAACAAGTCATCATGCTAAGGCAGCTTGGCTGGCAACGTGCCTCTGCCCGCAGGGTACGCCAATGCCTTTCCCCCGTCCCCATTGTGGATTCGTTCGCTCACCTTCCGTTCTTATAGCTGTCCCCTCGATGCCTCCGCGGCCTCGCCACAGCGACTGAATCAGTAGCCTTCTCTCGCATGCCCCCCTATCCGAAGATTGTACGAAACCTAGAGCAGGTCCGCAAGGTGCTGGGATCATCGCGCGCCCTGACTCTCGCCGAGAAGATCCTGTACGCCCATCTGGACAACCCAGAGGAGTCCCTGTTGACTGGCACCAACAATGGCAAGGACATCAGAGGCAAGGCGGACCTCAAGCTGAAGCCGGATCGGGTGGCGATGCAGGATGCTTCTGCGCAGATGGCGCTGCTGCAGTTCATGTCGTGCGGACTGCCTTCGACGGCTGTGCCTGCCAGTATCCACTGCGACCATATGATTGTGGGTGAGCGTGGTGCCGACACGGATCTGCCCGCCTCGATCCAGGGCAACCGTGAGGTGTTTGATTTCCTCGAGAGCGCGGCCAAGCGCTACGGAATTGAATTCTGGCCGCCTGGTGCTGGTATCATCCACCAGAGCGTCCTGGAGAACTACTCTGCGCCGGGTCTGATGATGCTGGGCACCGACAGTCATACCCCCAACGCAGGTGGTCTGGGCGCCATTGCTATCGGTGTCGGCGGTGCCGATGCGGTCGATGCGCTCGTCGACGCCCCCTGGGAGCTGAAGGCACCCCGCATTCTGGGAGTGCGCCTGGAGGGCAAGCTCCAGGGCTGGGCCTCGCCCAAGGATGTCATTCTCCACCTGGCTGGCAAGCTGACGGTGCGTGGTGGTACCGGCTTCATTATTGAGTATCACGGACCTGGTGTCGAGACCCTCAGCTGCACCGGTATGGCCACGATTTGTAACATGGGTGCCGAGGTTGGCGCCACCACATCCCTCTTCCCCTTCTCTCCCAGCATGATCCCCTACCTCCAGGCCACGCACCGCGCAGATGTCGCGGCCGCCGCCGCAGAAGTGGCCGCTGCCGGGCCCCAGAGTCTCCTGCGCGCCGACCCCTCCGCCGAGTATGACCAGCTCGTGACCATCGACCTCTCGACTCTCGAGCCACACATCAACGGGCCCTTCACCCCCGATCTCTCGGTGCCCCTGTCCCGCTTCGCCGAAACCGTCCGCGAGAAGAAGTGGCCCGAGACCTTTGGCGCCGGCCTCATCGGTAGCTGCACCAACAGTTCCTACGAGGACATGACGCGGGCCGAGGACCTCGTCAAGCAAGCCACGGCGGCGGGTCTGCGCCCCAAGGCCGACCTCTTCATCACCCCCGGCAGTGAGCAGATCCGCGCGACCCTCGACCGCGACCAGACCCTGTCCACGTTCTCGTCGGCCGGCGGCACGGTGCTGGCCAACGCTTGCGGTCCTTGCATTGGCCAGTGGAAGCGTACCGACGGCGTCGCCAAGGGCGAAGACAACGCCATCTTCACCTCGTACAACCGCAACTTCCCCGGCCGCAACGACGGCAACCGTCGTACCATGAACTTCCTCGCCTCGCCCGAGCTGGTCACCGCACTGACCTACGCCGGCACCACAACCTTCAACCCCATGACCGACTCCCTGACCACACCGTCGGGGGCAGAGTTCCGGTTCTCGGCACCCAAGGGCTTCGACCTCCCCGCCGGCGGCTTCGAGGACGGCAACCCGGCGTTCCAGCCATCGGCCGCGATTCCCGACGCTTCCGCCGCCGTGCAAGTGTCCCCAACATCCTCGCGTCTCGCGCTCCTCGAGCCCTTTGCGCCCTTCCCCGACTCGGACCTCCAGGACCTCCGGGTCCTCTACAAAGTCCGCGGCCAGTGCACCACGGACACCATCTCCGCCGCAGGGCCCTGGCTGAAATACAAGGGCCATCTCCCCAACATCTCCGCCAACACGCTCATCGGCGCCGTCAACGCCGCCACGGGCGAAACCAACGTCGCCTACGACGAATCCGGCCACAAGCACTCGATCCCGGAACTTGCCTCGCAATGGAAGTCCCGCGGCCAGGAATGGCTGGTGGTTGCCGAAGACAACTACGGCGAGGGCAGCGCGCGGGAACACGCCGCCCTGCAGCCCCGGTATCTCGGCGGACGCGTGATCCTGGCCAAGAGCTTCGCGCGCATCCACGAGACCAACCTGAAGAAGCAGGGCGTCGTGCCCCTGACGTTTGCGGAGAAGGCCGACTACGACAAGATCGATGCGTGCGACACCGTTGCGACGGACGGACTGTACGAGACGCTCAAGAACAGCGGCCAGGGCGAGATCCGCCTCCGGGTCACGAAGCCGACCGGCCAGGAAGTCGTTATCCCCGTGAAACACACTCTCAGCGCAGACCAGTGCGGGTTTATTCTTGCGGGAAGCGCACTGAATTTGCTGGCGAAGCGGGCTTAGCTGCTTTTCTTTACCTCCGACTGTTTCTTGTTTTGATGTGTCATGTTATGTTATATATATATATATATATATATAGCCTGTTCTAATAAAAGCGGTTTTGCTATTGTATTATTCCATCATACATTGCACACATAGAACCAGATACAACTCCAAACTCCAACCAACCAACCAACTAACCATAAAAATAAAAATCAAAATACAAACTACAACAGCAGCAGCAGCAACTCCAGATCCTTCGCCACCGCCGGACTATACGGCGCACAGTCCTCCAGAAACCGCATCATCTCCTGATTCCAGCGCTCCCAGCCTACGGGCAGGGTATTCCGCAGGCGCGGCTCGGGGGAATGCGCAATACAGTAGAAGAGCAGGATCTGGCCGAAGAATCTGTTGGAACGTGTGTGTGTGTGTGTGTGTGCACTTGATTAGCGTTCTTTCTCTTCCTAACAGGCCTGGATGAGATAATAGACGAAGCAAAGGGAAGGGGAACCAACTGAGAACAAAACGCAAATTTAATCGGGATGCAGCTCTTCATGGTGGTGAAGATCCCCCCGATCACAGGCCAGTCCATTGCATTGTGCAGGCCGCTGCGGATCTGGGCGATGTCGTCGTCGCTCAGGGCGTGCGGGATGCGGAGGGCTTTGTACAGGTAGGGACGGCTGATGTGGAACTTGGCGATCAGGAGTCGGCCGCGGAGCATGGCTTCGGAGACGGCGACGGCGGGCGAGAGCGGGCGTCGTGGGGGAGGAGGAGGAGGAGGAGGAGGAGCGGTGCTGGGGTTGATTGGATGGGGGGATATAGGCATGGGAGAGGGCGCGGGCGAAGACAGGGACGGGGACGGGGACGGGGATGGAGATGGAGATCGGAATTTCAGGGCCGGCGGGAGGTTCAGGCGCCATTGGGCGAGTTGGTGATGCAGTTCGGCGTTGATGGCGGGTAAGGGGAAGGTGCCGGAATCGGCTGCGGGAGAGGGTTAGTATTGTATATACCGTTGTGGAAAAGGGTCTTATATAGCAGGAGGAGTACGTACAGTAGAAGTAGAGCGAGTGTCGGATGCGCGTGAGGATGATGCGGTGGGCGACCTGGGCCAGGAAGTGATACTGGAAGAAGGAGTCGTCGATGTCGTCGTCGGGCGAGGAGAATCGGCCCAGGGTTTCGAGGCCGATGATGAACTTGGGGAGAGGGACGATTTCCTCGAACCGGGCCAGACCACTCGGGGGCAAGTGCAGCTCCTGCACGAGAATGGTCTCGTTCATGAGACAGGTCCAGTAGACGCGGGATTTCATATCGCCTTCCCAGGATTCAAAGTTGACGTCGTGGCTAGAGAGTGTTAGTTAGGGGTTGCATGCATGTGTCCCGGGGCAAATGGGGAGCTGACTTGGTCAAGATCGAAAGACAGCCGGTGGCTGCGCGATGAATCATGGCCCACGAATCCATTGGACGCAGGATCTGACTGTAATACACGCTGTGACGGTGGTGAGAACGGGAGTTGCTATCCTATCCCAATGGAGAGAGAGAGAGAGAGAGAGAGAGAGAGAGAGAGAGAGAAACGTACGAGGATAACAGGTAGAACTGGCAGCTCTGGAGATCATTGTCACACATCAAGAAGCCGATGCGGCGGCGGGCCTCGTTGAAAAAGCGCAGGCCCGGCGGATCCTCTTGCACGACGGGCATCCAGTCTGGAGGCTCAAAGCGGCCGGTCTGCGTCGTTGTGCCGGGCAGCGGATAGTCCCCTTCCTGGTGGGCATGCACGGCCAGACAGCCCAGGGCCAGGATGCTCAGCACGAGACAGCTATCCATGGTGTAGCCGAAGCCACTCTCCATGACGGCGCCCAGCGTCAGGGCAAAATAGAAATTCTTGTCCAGGATGGGCGTGAACGGGTTGAAGGTGGCAAAGAAGGCATTCGACAGCCCTTTGATCATGGCCAGCGGCAACATCTCCAGCCAGTCGTCGCCGCCGGCCTGTGGCGGAAACGGATAGATGTACATGGGCAGCGGAGGCCGGTTCATTTCCATGTCAATCACGTAGTTTTGGCCCAGCTTTTCGTGCGCTTCGAGCAGTCGCTTGGGGAGGATCTCGCGGGCTCCGGGCCAGAGCACGACGCCGTGCTGGCTGAAGGAAATCGACACCTGGCCGTCCGCATTGACGGCATTGGGCCGCTCGTCCAATTCAAAGGCCTCCTCCTCCTCCGGTTCTACTGAGAGCGGCGTGCCCGTGGACAGCTGCGGGTTGCTGGGCAGGGGGGCGCGACTCACAGGGTCCTGGAGAGACTGGATTTCATTCCGGACATTGCGAGGAAGATTCTCCAGTTTGGTTTCCAGTCGATGGAGCGTACTCATAATCAAAGTGAGTGAGTGGTCTCGTCTGTTTGCCGTCAGTAACTCTGGCATCAGTGACTCCATACACTCCACCCCAGAAGAAGAAGAAGAAGAAGAAAAGGAACACACTTGGACGTCTTCCGCTCATTATAGACACACTCCAACCCCAGGGCTTTACAGAGCCCGCACTTGGGGCGCGATTCATCGCATCGGGTCTTCTTGAGACGACAGGTTTCGCAGGCCTCGGCCGGTCAGTCAAGGTAGCGAACGCGGGCCAATCTGCACTCACCACAGTCGCGATAAAGGTCCGCGGTTTCTTAGCCGATCCCGCGGAAGACTGAGCATCGGGAATGGGCAACAGACTGGTGGTCGCTGGTGGTGGTGGTGAGTCGCGACTGATATGCTCCGAGGGCGGAGAGCCGGCGGGCGCCCGAGAGTCGTCGTACGGACGCTTGCTCATTGTGCATGATTAAGGATGGATTACGCGGTCATGAACATTCTCAACGATTGGCATACACTGGGGGGGGGGAAGGGAATATCGAACAGTTGAGATGACTCGAGATGACTCGAGTTGACTCTCCTTTTGGTTTTTGGTTTTTTTTTTTTTTTTCGTAGTTCGGCAGGCGGAGCCGCATTCCGACCGCCTATTTATATACATATTCAGAGAACAAGATATACAGAGGGATGGATGGATGAGAGGTTGCTCTATAAAATCATCACAGCGATCGATATTTCCAACCGGCTAAATCTTCCGCAGCTTCAAAAACACATATTTATTCCCCAGCGGCGTCTGCCAGAAGGTACTCTGCTGTAGACGCTCCTGCAACCGGGCCGCCATCTGCTCGCGGATCACGGCCTCGGGATGGCTCCCCAGCGCCAACGCCGCAGGGGCATCGACGGCCAGCGGGAACCGCTTGGCCGTGTCGACGACGGTGTTGCCGATGATCGCCACAAAGCCGGCGCTGATGGCCTGGGAATACGCCTGCAGGGCCAGCGCGTCCGGCACGGCGTCCGGGCCCTCGGGCAAGGTCGCGTGGAACTGGAGAAAGGCCGGGTGGTCGACGTCGAGGGTGAAGTGTTCGACCACGGCCCATTCCGCGCGCACGGCATCCAAGGCCTGCTGGATTTCGGCGGCGGTTCGGAAGTGAAACGGGAGGCGGAAGTGCGACGCCGCGTCTGGGGAGATGACCCCGTCGCGGCTGAGATCGTGCAGGCACTGGAAGATGGACGGGTAGGCGCATTCGAGACTCAGCGCGCCGGCTACAGGGAAGCTCAGCAGGAGGTGGCCCCCGCGGCGCACCTCGCGGTGCCGACTGCGGAGGAAGCAGCAGATGTCCGCCAGGACCTCTGCGGCGACGTCCGCGTCGGCGGGGAGCCAGTCTGGCGCGGTGGGCTGCAGGCGGCCGATCCAGTGCAGGGTGGCGGTGGAAAAGCCGACGTCGACCGATGCCTCCGGGACGATCTGTTGGTAGTAGCTCTGCGGCGCCATCAGGGGCATCAGTTTCCGCGCGCTCTGGCGGGTCTCGGGATCCTGGAGGAAGCGGTCGATGGTGGCTGCGAGACTAATGTAATCGTTGGCCGGGGTGTCGTTGAAGACCATGGTGACGGTGCTGTCCTCGGGACACACGGTAAGGGCCTTGCCTATAAGCCGGATCCTACGCTCACCATGAGAGGGATATTCGGCCTCCTTGTACTCTATCTGGGCTGGAGCTTACGAGTTGGAGCCCTCGGAGCATCCGTAATCCACCAAGGTCAGGTGTTGGGCTGTATTCTCATTAACGGCTTTCTCCTGAAGCGAGACAGAGAGAGAGAGAGAGAACGCTACCTTGAACATCCGCCGGAGAGACGAGTGCACCACATCTTTCAGCCACCAGAGCCTGGAGCGTCGAGTTCCTGTTGTAGTAGCCTCCTCCCACCATGGCCGTTCTCTCCGTGCGACGGGACATGCTAGTCGAATCCAATGTGCGGAGTCACGGAAAGCCAGAAAACGAAACGAGAACAAGAAAGAAAACGGAAAGAAAACGGAAGGGAAGAGAGAAGATGAATCAATTTAACAGCTGGAGAGTATGGAGTAGAGTAGTGGGGGGGGGGTTCTCTCTAATAGACTCGGGATTAACCTACTAGAAACGGGGTGTTTTTTTTTTTTTTTTTTTAACAAAAAATTATATATTATGTATTTCCAACCGTCCCGTCCGCGCTTCTTTCTTCCCGTATCCAAGAGGTACAGAACGGAGCCCATGGTGTGGCAGAGACAAGAGTCCGGTTGCTCAAAGCAAAGGAAGCGACGAGAATCCATTCCTATACATACATACACGTGGAGCAAAGCAGGAGAAGCAGCAGATGAGTCTCGTCTAGACTCTAGAGTCGGGCTGTGGGCCGGAGGACTAGACTATCTCGGTAAATGGGGTTTCGCTTGGGATGCACTAGAGTACTACAGAGACGGACAGGATCACAACTTGGCCTGACTGAACCGAGGCGCCTGGAGAGGATCGTATGCTCCCAGCGTCAGGGTGTCCAACGGGACCGCCGCAGGGTGGCCGCCCACTAAGCCGCGCACATCCAGCATGCTCGGGCTCAGATCCGCGATCGTGGTCGCGCCAATCAACCGCATATTCATCTCCAGTTCGTCCTTCAGCAACTGCATGGCCCGGTCGACGCCCGGCTGGCCGTAAGCGGACATGGCGTACAGGAACGGCCGCCCAATCCCCACCCCCGTCGCCCCCAGACACAGCGCCTTGAGGATATCCGTCGCGCGGCGGACCCCGCCGTCGATGTAAATCTCAATCTTCCTCTCCCACCCGCGCGCGCGGAGCACGGGCATCACCTCGGCCAGCACTTCGATGGCCGACCGCGCAAAGTCGAGCTGGCGGCCGCCGTGGTTGGAGAGCACGACGCCCTGCACGCCCAGCTCGACGGCCCGGAGCACATCCTCCACGCATTGCACGCCCTTGAGCACGATGGGCATCGTCGTGATGGACTGGAACCAGGGGATATCCCGCCACGACAGCGCGGGGTCGATAAAGGATGAGATGGCCCGCGCCGCGCCCTGCGACCGGTCGATGGAGTCGCCGGCGGCCTGGACGCTGGACCCGACATCCGAAAACTTCGATCGCATGTCCTTCTCGCGCCGGCCCAGCTGCGGCGCGTCCACGGTGATGAAGAGCCCGCGGCACCCGCGGGCCTCGGCGCGCTCCACGATGCGCTGCGTGATGGCGCGGTCCTTGTTCACGTAGAGCTGCAGCCACTGCACCTGGTCGCCGCGTTTGGCGTCGACGATCTCGTCGAACGAGCACGACGCCAGGGTCGGGATCATCTGGATGACCCCGTGGTCGTGGGCGGCGCGCGTCAGCACGACTTCGCCCTCGGGATGGCCGAGTTTCCCCAGGGCGGTGGCTGTCACGTAAAAGGGGATGGCACACTTGGATCCGAGCATGGTGGTGGAAAAGTCGACCGTTTCGACGTCGACGAGGATCCGGGGGCGGAACCAGATCTTGTGAAAGGCGGAGTGGTTTTCACGCAGGGTCTGATGGAATTAGTCCGGATAGTTTACCGATAGAGAGAGAGAGAGAGAGAGAGAGAGAGAGAGAGAGAGAGAAAATACCATCTCATCATCTGCTCCACTGGAATAATATGCCCATGCCGTCCTCTTCATGACCTCCCGCGCGACCGCCTCAAAGTCCATCAGGTTGTAGCACGCCGCCAACGGGGGCATGCGCTGGATGCGCTCCAGCCGGGCGCTTTCGTCCGGATCCTCCGCTTTCTCTTCGTGTTCGACGGTGGTCATATCGACCTCCCCCAGGTGTTTGGAGGCCTCGAGGTACTGGTCCAGCGTATCGGGCGGATGGATGGGGTCGAAGGCCTCGGTCGCATCCTTGCCGGCGTACTGGAGGATGATCTTCTGGCCGCCCGGATGTTCTACGGGAGTTAGCAGAGGGAGTCCCGACCAGGAGCGACGGAAATACCTGGGAGGAATTCGGTGACATCGTAGGCTTTGCCGTGGACAATGACCCAGCACGAGGCCTTGGAGTTGTGCCGGGCGACCTGGGCGCCGGTGAGTTTAGACATGGAGAGAAAGAATCAACCGAATCAACCGAATCAACCGAATCAAGAGAATCAAGAGAATATACAGAAGAAAGAAACGAGAGTGAAGAAGCTCAGCAGCTCCGGATGGGGAGGTTGGCTGATTTAAATATAGGAGTTTCTCGGCCGATTCGGATACAGTAACATTCAATTCAGTCTCTTGAGTCGCTTGAGTATAATGTAAGAGATTAGATCTATGAAATTCAAGTCTCTTCTATACAGATACACTACAATTTCGATCCTGGCGCAAAATTCGAGCCTCCCTCCCCAATCGAAGCCACGATCTCATCCACACTCTCCAGAATCCATCGGGTACCCTCGTCCGCCGCCAACCACCGCGATTCCCCGTCGTCCCAGGTCCCGTCGTCCAGGGCCTTCCGGAGCCCAAACACATGCGACAGCACCTGCGGTCCCACGCCCGTCTGCGCCCGGAGACAGGCCACGGCCACCACCGACGTGGCGACGCGCCCGATGTCCGCTCCCGTGGTCCTCCCGGGCGGATTCGACAGCAGGGCCCCGTAGTGACTGTGCAGAATATGCACCGGCAGATCCGGATGCGAGTCCGCGAGCTTCTGATACAGCTTGGTTTCAAAGGGTCGGTAGATCGAGTCCCAGAGGGCCTTGCCGCGCGCGCTGATCTGCGCGATATTCTGGGGGTTGGGCGTGCGGGTCGCGGGGCGCGCAAGCTGCGAGGCGACCTCGGCCGGGAGGCTCGCTTTAAAGGCATTCAGACAGTTGATGGTGCGGGGGATGCCATTGAAGGAGATGCATTTGAGGCCGATCTCGCGCATGAGCTCTGCGGTTGCGATGGTCTCGGTGGCGGGGAGAGAAGTGGTGACGAGCTGGAACAGCGCCGTGAGGGAGTCGGGCGAGTTCATGGTCATGGTCGCGGCGGTCTGTTCCCCAACTCGCTCTGAGTGATTCTTCTAGGCTACCAGGGACGAGAACATACCGACAAAGCCAACCACGACGGCCGGGAGACATTCTGGACCTGGGCCGTCTGCTGGATGCGGGCGTACACGGACTGGATGTTGCGAGGCGCAGGCACGGTGTTGGGCCGGGCGGCGGGGGAGTTGATCAGGGCCTTGAGGGCTGGAGAGAGCTTCGCCATGGTGGGATTCGAGAATGAGATTCTATCGCGTTGGCCATATAATTGAGTCTCTTTCGTCTCTCTTCAATCTTTTCGCCGTCGGCAGTCCGGAATGCCTCGTTTTTAAGGACGAATTCCTCGGAGACAGAAGTAGTCCCGAGTCGGCCGGACTTGCCTGAGGCTTCCGAGGGTTCCTCTTCACGAAGATATTACAAGATTGGACAATGAGACATTTAGAATATTGTGTCGTGCTATTCTGAATACTAAGTATATAGGTTGGATTGTGTATATATGTATCTACACTGTACACATGTGTGAGCAGAATATGTATACTCGTTGTCTATCAGCATGTGAATACCCTCATTCCAATCCGGACCTAATAAGTAACTCAACGACTCAGGATGTTTCTTCGGAAGAATCCCCGTCATGCAGCTCAGCTTCAGAACCCCAGCAGCAGAGACTGCGTTTAACCCTGTCCAACGTTGCAGAAGCGGCCAATTTGTCCTACATACCCTGGTCTCTGAGTGGATGCGAATCCAGCAATGGATCATGCCGTGGAACTGTCAGGAGGAGTCAGGAGGGGTCGGGGGCATGGATTTCAACCCCTTAAAAGTCCAACTGCACCATGCAATCTTCACGGTGACTGCTGCTGTACTGCTGCTGTAGGAAAACATGGCTCGTGGGTGGCGGTTTCTGGCTCTCATCGCAGCCATCCCAAGCACGATAGCATCAACCACAACACCCCAGCGCGATTCTGCCCACAATGAGCCGTTCTCCCCCCCCTACTACCCAGCCCCTAACGGCGGCTGGCTGGCGGACTGGGCCGAGGCGTACGAGAAAGCGCATCGACTCGTGAGCAACATGACCCTCGCCGAAAAGGTCAATCTCACCACCGGCACGGGCATCTATATGGGCCCCTGTGCCGGCCAAACAGGCAGTGTGCCCCGATTCGGGATCCCGAATCTCTGTCTTCACGACTCTCCCCTAGGGGTCCGCAACACAGACCACAACACGGCCTTCCCACCCGGCATCACCGTTGGTGCAACCTTTGACAAGGATCTCATGTACGCCCGCGGAGTCGGGTTAGGCGAAGAGGCGCGAGGCAAGGGAGTCAATGTGCTTCTCGGCCCCGTCGTGGGCCCTCTCGGACGCAAGCCCCGCGGCGGCCGCAACTGGGAAGGGTTTGGGGCTGATCCGAGTCTGCAGGCGATTGCGGCGGCGAATACCATCAAGGGGATGCAGAGTACTGGGGTTATCGCGAGCCTGAAGCATTTCATCGGAAACGAGCAGGAAATGCACCGGATGAGCACCGTGGTGACGCAGGGGTATTCATCCAATATTGACGACCGAACCCTCCACGAACTCTACCTGTGGCCTTTTGCGGAAGGCGTCAGAGCCAGTCCGGGCTCCGTGATGGTTGCATATAATGATGTACGAGAGAAAGGCATTGCACGAAACAATCAAGCGGACCAGCCAGCTCACTGACACAAAAATCCCAGGTCAACAAATCGGCATGTAGCCAGAACAGCAAACTTATCAGCGGGATTCTCAAAGACGAACTCGGCTTCCAGGGCTTCGTCGTCACCGACTGGTTTGCGCAGATCGGCGGCGTTTCCTCTGCCTTGGCCGGGCTCGACATGAGCATGCCCGGCGATGGGGGGATTCCCCTCCTGGGCCACAGTTACTGGGGCTCTGAGCTGACCCGCTCGGTCCTGAACGGAACCGTCCCCGTGGATCGTCTGAATGATATGGTGTGCAGCAGCGCGCGGTCCCGTCCGGGTAGATGATGATGATGGGGTGGAGAGCACAGCTAACGGCATATTCTAGGTGACCCGGATTCTAGCGGCGTGGTATAAGATGGGTCAAGACCAGGACTATCCGCGGCCAAACTTTTCTGGGAACACGGAAGACGCCACGGGGCCTCTCTATCCCGGCGCAGGAGCCCTATTTTCGCCGTCGGGCGTGGTCAACCAGTTCGTCAACGTCCAGACCAGCAACCATACTCGCACCGCGCGCGCGATTGCCCGCGACGCCATCACGCTCCTGAAGAACGAAGGAAACCTGCTCCCGTTGAGACGGAACGACTCTCTCAAGATCTTCGGCACCGACGCAGCCGCCGACCCTGCTGGCCTGAACTCCTGCGCGGACAAGGGATGTGACCGCGGCGTGCTCACCATGGGATGGGGGAGCGGCACCTCCAAGCTGCCCGATCTCATCCCTCCCCAAGAAGCAATCGCCAACATCTCCTCCACGGCCACCTTCTACCCAACCGACCGCTTTCCTGCGTCCGTGCCCGCCGACGCGCACGAGATCGCCATCGTGTTCCTCAACGCCGATTCCGGGGAACATTATATCATGGTCGACGGCAACCCGGGAGACCGCACGCGATGCGGCCTACACGCATGGCACGATGGCGACGACCTCGTCAAGGCCGCCGCCGCCGCATTCTCCCAAGTCGTGGTCGTAATCCACACCGTCGGGCCCATCCTGGTCGAAGACTGGATCGATCTGGACCCCGTCAAAGCCGTCCTGATCGCCCACCTCCCAGGCCAAGAAGCAGGCTACTCGCTCACGGACGTGCTCTTCGGCGACTACAGCCCCAGCGGCCACCTCCCATACACCATCGCCTACCAAGAATCCGACTACCCGGCGAGCGTCGGCCTCCTCCTCAGCCCACCGCTGCTGCTGGTGGGCCAAATCCAAGACCCCTACACTGAGGGCCTCTACATCGACTACCGCCACTTCCTCAAGGAAAGCATCACCCCGCGTTTCCCATTCGGACACGGCCTCTCCTACACCACCTTCCAGTACACCCAGCCGACCATCCTCTCCCACGCGGCCGCCCTCGACACCACCTACCCACGGGCACGGGCCCCGAAGGCCTCCGCCGCCGTCTACCCTCCAGACATCCCCGCCGCGTCCGAAGCCGCGTGGCCGGCCGGGCTCGACCGCATCTGGCGCTACCTGTACCCTTACCTCGACGACCCTGCCGCCGCTGCCGCCCACTCCTCCTCCTCCTCCTCCTCCTCCTCCTCCACCAAATACCCCTACCCAAACGGATACGGCACGACTCCGCAGCCGGAGCCGCGCGCCGGCGGCGCAGAGGGCGGTAACCCGGCGCTCTGGGACGTGGCGTTTTCCGTGAGCGTGACGGTGGTGAATACGGGGTCGCGCGCGGGGCGGGCAGTGGCGCAGCTGTACGTGGAGTTGCCGGATAGTAGTAGGAGTCTGGGGCTCGACACGCCGTCGCGGCAGCTGCGGCAGTTCGAGAAGACCGACACCCTGCAGCCGGGGGAGAGCCAGACGGTGACGCTGCAGGTGACGCGGAAGGACGTGAGTGTGTGGGATGTTGTGGTGCAGGATTGGAAGGCCCCGGTTGCTGGGGAGGGCGTGGTGCTTTGGATTGGAGAGAGTGTGTCGGATGTGCGGGTGCGGTGTGAGGGTGGAGGTGTATGTCGGATGCTTTCTGGTTGATATATCTATCCATTTTGTTTCTATATGTATGTAGATATGCTCCACGTATATACAGCCTATACCTGAGATCCTTGTACCGTATCCTCCACATTATGGTTGGATGTCGATGGATGTCGAACTTTACCGTTGAGCTAAAAAGGTGTCAAGACAGAGCTTTCTAGCCGATCCAGTATTATCTTGGTTCACGATATCTTAAGCATCTGTTCTAATTCATCCTTTTCCAGTATAAGAAGGTTATAGATGTATAGATTTATGTTAGTTATGTAGTGATTTATGTCATTGCTGAGTCATTGTGCATGATTACTAATCCACCTGCTTTCTTAACTACGACTCTAGAAAGAAAGAAAGAAAGAACTGAAGCCAACGATAAATGAACTGAACTTCGTCATCGAATCTGGAGTGATTTACTCTCTCTCGATCAAGCCAAAATGCAGGGCTTCAGTACGTACTTCACTCCCCCCCCCCCCAACAACAAACAGGAAGACCAAAGCTAACAATCCGTATAGATATGGGACGGTCCGTTACCCTCTCTTCCTTCCTACTCTTCTCCCCTAACCGCACCAAACAGATACGTCCCTCCAGACCAAGAAGGGCTGGCGACGGGGAACAAGCTCGCGGGGAAACATGCCCTCGGGCCACGCGCGCGCCACCTCCACACCAAAGGCGCCCTGATTGTGCGCTTTGAGATGCCGTTCGCGGTCTGGTGCACGACCTGCCAGCCGCACGAAACCATCATCGGCCAGGGGGTGCGCTTCAACGCGGAGAAGAAGAAAGTGGGGCATTACTACTCGACGCCCGTGTACAGTTTCCGCATGAAACATGCGGCCTGCGGCGGGTGGATTGAGATTCGAACCGACCCGAAGAACACGGCGTATGTGGTTGTTGCGGGCGGGAGGAAGAGGGATACGGGCGAGGAGGCCGAGGGAGGAGGAGGAGGGGAGATTACGGTGCAGGTTGGGAGGCGCGCCGGAGAAGGCGCCGTCCCCCGGGATCCCTTTGCCCGGACGGAAGGGAAGCTGGCGGACCAGAGGGCCGGGGATGAAGCGCGGAGGAGGATACTGGAGCTACAGCGGAGACAGGGACGGGACTGGGAGGATCCGTATGAGCGGTCGCGGCGGCTGAGATGCGCGTTCCGGACGGAGCGGAAGGCCCTGGAGAAAGCCGCGGCGAAGAAAGAGGCCCTGCAGGGTAAGATGAGTTTGGGGATCGAGTTGGTCGACGAATCCGAGGAGGATCGTGTGCGGGCTGCGATGGTGGATTTTGAGCCTGGCGCTCGGGAGGGCACTCGGAGTGCGCTTCGGCGTCCGTTGTTTGAGTCAAGCATGGGGGCGGCGTCGTCGTCGTCGTCGTCGTCGTTTTCGAAGGAAGCTGCGTCACGAACCAAAAAGGGGAAACGCATGAAAGCCGCTGCGGATCTGCTGGAACAGCGCAAGGCCCAGTTCTGCAGCGAGTTGTCGGGGAATACGCGCGCCGCGGTTGATCCGTTTCTGAACCACGATGCCAATTTATGGCAGCCGGAGGTGAAGCGGAGGAAGACCCAGAGCAAGGCTGCGGATCCCCGGGAGACTGATCAAGTAGAGAGGGTGGACGGGCCTGACACTGCTTCACTGGCTGAAGAGACAGAGAAGAACCCGAGCACATCGGCTCTGGTCGCATACGGGTCAGACTCTGACTGATGACTGGAGACACGAGTTTTGTTCTGGCGGATTCTACAATGATACCCAAATGGAGGTTGGAATGATTAGACTTGCGCAGGCGCATTATTATTATTATTATTATTTTTATATTTTTACATTATTGAACATATCGACATATCGCGCTACAATCCGTAATTCATGTAGGATTAAAAAACATTCAACAGCACTGTTTTCACGGGATGAAGCCCATCATTTGGCCCAAGGTGCCCGGGTTGGAGCAGGTCCGGAATAATCCCCAGTGGGAGCCGGCCCTGTTGGTTGTGAGCGAGCCCACGGCGCCCGGGTCGGCGCCATTGCACCCGGAGGGAGTCTTGAGGTATCTGGTAGCTCGGGACCCTTGGCTGTGGCCCGGGGAGCTCTGGTTCCACCTGCTGCCGGCGGCATGGGAGGATGGGATGTATCATTCGGTCTTTTTTGTGGGGTGGTTGTGTGAACAGTGGCTGCAGAAACTGGTGCGGTTGGATCGCGATCCCAGCTGAACAATGACCCGAATGGAAAATGCTGCACGACCGGAAACTTGGACAGCACCTCGGCATTGTACATTTTAATCATTCCCTAGATTTGATCAGCCCAGGCCGTGGCACTACGACGCAATCCCTCACCTTGTTGATCTTGGCCCAGCCAGCCTGAATCCCAGATATATCGTACAGCATCGGGCTGTGCTCCCAGAACGGACCTCTCTTCACGTCGTAGATGAACCCGATCGCGGAGAAGTATAGATTCGTTCCTCTTTCTCTTTCGACGATATTCGCCTTGGCCACCCCGTTTGGTGGTGGTGCATCCGCCAAAGAACCTTCTTCCGGGACATTTTCTAACTCGCTTATGGCTGGTGCTAGTTGCGCAGAGCCAAAAATATAAGGAATAAAGGAATGGTCGTCCAAGCCCCAGACACCATGGGAGCCAGCCGGTTCCAAGGTGTATTTTTTGATAATACTCCGGACCAATTCAAGGTAACTAGGCACAGCTATTAGCGGAAAGATGAAGACCATCCGGGGCGACGAAAGGCGCACGGTTGTATCACCCCTAACACAATTGCCCTCTCCTCGACTCCAGCACTATTCTGAGGAAATCCATGCAGCTTCCAAATTCCCGCGAGGAAAGCTAGAAAGCTCAGTTCGTGCCCTGTGCCATAATCCAGCCGCTGAGGACTTCCCCAGCTTCCCAGAAAATAGGCGAGCAGCTCTACCTCTGCTGTTGGCCCACTGGGATCAGCAGTCGACGGGGTGCGAAGTAAATCCGCAGAGAGACACTCCTCCAACAAGCTCGAAGCCCGACTTTCCACAAGCTGGTGCCATTTCCTAAAGCTCACATTTCCAAACCTCCGCGGACCAGTATCCGGGGGCGCCTCCTCGAGTATCGCCTCAAGCTTCGAGAGCAGTTGTTGCAGCTGTCGGACTGGCGCCGAGAACTCAACAGCGTCGGAATTCAAAGGCCAGCTCTGTACCCGTCCATCGGGCAGCTTCGTAGGATACATGGATCGATTCAGCTGAAGGAGAAAGGTCATGATGTCGACATAAGCTTTAGAGGCCAGGAACTCCGTCACATCTTGACCCTCGTTGATCCGTTTGCTCGGTTGGAAGAAAGTGTGCCCCACGGAGGAGTCGAGTTTGGGCAGCACACGGACTGAGAATCCGTCCATCGCCATCCTGTAAGGAGGATTTGAAGCTCTCAAGCCAATATATCTAGGATAAATCCAGTGTAAGTATCCCGGGGTGAGTGGTTTTTGTGCAAAGTCGAGGGGAAATTAAGAGCTCAATGTGGGGGAAGAGGAGGAGGAATAATGACGCCATTACTGTATGTAGTGGGAATTCCCGCTGTCGGTTTTCTTGTTTTGTGGTGGTGCATCTTCTGCCATCCTCTCATTGCATCCGTCCTTAGCACCACCACATATGTTAACCCGTTGAACACTGCAACAAGGAAAAAGAAAAAAAAAAAAAAGATCGTCAACTGGGGTCGCTAATTATGTTGCCCAGACCGTGTTCGGACGAGGTTCTCCGACCAAAATGACACCGACGCGCTCCGTATCCTCCCGCAGGAAACGCGACTTGACCCTGCAGACGGTGGACTTTCTCAATAGCGTCATGGATAAAAGAAGCGCGGTGTCCGAGAATCGCCGTGTCCAGAGTGCTCGCCCCTCCCGACGATTGAGATCTATCACGAACCTACCGCGGAATAGGGACAACTGCGCGGTTTTCGATTCCGCGAAAGCACGACAGGTTGCCACCACTCAGCCTGTAACCCCACGACGCTCATCTCGACTTCAGAACGGTCTACAAGTGCAGAGCAGTCCAATCAGGCGGTCACGTCGGTTGCGTCGCCTGGATAGCGGGGAGCCTGAGCATAGAGCAAGGGAGAGCCTAGAAGTGATATCTGGCCAAGAGCACGGTGAAGTTGTGGAAGACTCCGGGCACAGAAGCGACGAGGGAAATGAAGAAGATGACTGGGTTGGGGTGAATCTTTTTTCGGATGATACTCCCACTTCCTCTCATTCTCCGAACTTGATATTCCCATCCCCCTCAGGATTTTACAGCGACCCGCAACGACGACGACGACGCGCGCAGATCAGGAGTGATGGGGCCAGTCAGTCTGAAACCACACCGAACAAAGGCACGGCAACTGAGCAAACAACACAAAATAGCGTCCGCAAGAAAGAGTCAAACGAAAATGTCTCGGACGCCCAGGGGTCTCCTCTCACACCCAGAGTACCAAGCGCCTCCGTCGTGGTCTATATGAACCAGAATAGGCGTACTCCGAGCCCAGATATGACAAGGGCAACAACAACTACACGTTCGGTGCAGAGTGATCACGATAGGGATGTGGAGATGGCGGAAGTTCATGATTCTGCAACCAGTGAGGCTGAGGGCGACAGTGTCTATGAAACTGGAGACGAATTCGCGTACTCTAGCTCTTTGGGTTGTAGCCCCAGCATCCCAGCATCCTCCCCGGTCGCGCAGTCCGAGGAACCGAAACGATCTACGCCACGAGGGAGCGAGGCGTTCGGATCTCCTCCCATGTCCCTAGAGGCCCTCCCCGCAAGGAGCACTCAAGGTCGGGCTCGTGCGCGGACGACGTCCCTACCAACCCATGATCGTCCTGATCCTGCTGCCGACAATTTGGGGGAAGAAGCTCATAGCGAGGACGGCGATATTCCTCTGCTCCAAGAAGCATTGCAACTTGGCCAACAGCGACCGCATTGGGATATCCTGGATCACGAAGCGCGCACACTTGGACAGGATACCTCCTCCTCAATATCGGACGAGTTGCAGGATATCGACAGTCTGATTTCGCACTTGCGCCAGCTCTACATCCGTCTCTGTTACCGCTTGTACGCCTCCCTCCGTCCATCGACCGAAGAGACGCGGGAGTGTGGAAGACTTTTGGAGTGCATTTTTCGAGAGGGGGATGGGTACCTAGACATGGTCTACTACACAGCCATTCGCGAAAAGGGAACCGCGCAGCGAACGAGCCCAAAGCTGACGGGAGAATTTGAAGCTCGCGTTCTTCCACACATGGTGAAACTCATCCATGCCTGCTTTGCGGCATCCTATATCGATTCCAAACACTTCCCTCAGGCTTATAACCATCTCCACCGTGCTATGACCATTCTCCTGGGATTCTGCAACCGGATTATTAGTTTAATCAAGGTGAGATATGTGCCAGGCGCATCCCGCTGCGACAATCTGTGCAAGGCCGTCCAAAAACTCCTCGAGGCATGCAAGTCGGATTTGCTACGAAGGCAACATTCTGTTCCCGAGAAGCGGGATCCGAAGAGTCATCCTCCTCTCTACGCCGGATCGACAGAGTGGACAGATAATGAAGCTCATGCTCTTCTTACGGGGCTCCAACGGCACCGGGGTATGAGACTTCACCCATTGCGCAGGTATCATCTACTCTTGCTAACCAGTTGTTGTTCTAGGCCATGATAAATATATCCAGATACTCAGGGACTTTGAAGAGGAGCTCAATGGCCGTACCATCCGGGAACTTCGACAGCAGACCCAGTATATTCATGATCAATTTGTCCCTATGATCCGGGATCAGCTCCGTACCCGCGAGGGACGACAAAAATGGGACTGGCTACTGAGTGTATAGTTCGTAGACTTGCCGCTCTAATACCATGGATCGCACTGTTTTGCCCCCCCAATCGCGTTCTCTGTTTATTTACCTCTCTCCTTTTTAATCCTATGTATCTCTTCATCAAATTCTCCTCGATCCATAAGACTCAGTAAGTATCTTTTTTTATCCCCGGGGGGAAGAGAGGATACAAGGTAATTACTCAAACAGGTCTAGTGGCCAGGTGACCTGTTGGCAGCTTTTTCCCCTCTTTCTGTCTTTCTTTCTCTCTCTCTCTCTCTCTCTTTGTCTCTTCCTTCGTCTTACACCTCTTCTCGACTTTTTTATCCTTTTTTATCTTCTGCCTTTTAATAATCCCTAATTGTCCTTTGCTTTTATTTGTTTGTTTGTTTTTTTTTCATCTTCTCGTTGCGTTCTATAATTCCCACTCTGTTGCATCTGTCTTGTTTCGTCCGCCTCCAGTACGTACTACTAGCCTCGGTTTCCCCCCAACTCACCTCTGGCCAAGCGCACCACTAACACCACATCCTGTTGTCCCGTGCAGGTAGCAACTTAAAGCTCTCTGGCCCGGTTGGTCACTTGCATCCGGGTCCTTTGCAATTGGTCCTAAAGAACGTGGTTTGGGTGAGTTGGCAACTGCTTAAACTTTCTCCAGCCTGTCCCTTTGCACCCAACTAAGCAAAAAAGGAGTCGAGGTGACAGGGTACCTTCCCAAATCCAGTCCTTTGTGCGCTTCTGAGACTCGCATAAGACTTGTTGATTATAGCTCCATTGCTTCTGTTTACTGTCTTGAAATAATTTCTTCTCTTTATTGCCATAGCTCTGGAGCTCCGCCGCTTTTTACTCTTTGATTTTTTTTTTTTTTTTTTTTTTTTTCACCTTAAGCTAACCAGAACGTCTCCATTCTGAAGATTGTTTTTTTCTGCTCGAAGAAGCTCCAAAGACATTATCTCTTTGCTCCTGCATAATACCCCCCTCTCGGCCCCCCTCCCCCCTCCTTGAATCGACCGCTACGCATAAGTACAATGGCTTCTACAGAGGACCCTGTTTCCTCGGCTCCTCCTGCTGAGGTTCTGGTTGAGGCTGAGGTTGAAGCAGAAGAGGTAGCTCCCGCTACTCCTGTGGAATCAACCATTCTCTCGGGCAGCGAAGAGCCTGTGACTAGCCCAGATGCCTCCAAGGATAAGGAAAATGTGAAGGTGTCCCCAAGCAAGAAGCCCGTCTCTCCCAGCAAGCGTCCAGTGTCTGGAACCTCAGCCACGAGGCGGCCTGGCTCCATATCGGGCACCACCGCGACGAAGACCACCCCGTCTGCCACACGTCCATCTGCTACAAACGGCAGTACCCTGAGCAAGCCTCCGACTCGCCCGCACACCACATCGTCGACTACCGTCCGCAAGCCCCTGAGCACGTCAACCACGGCCTCCCACCGCTCTCGTCCCTCCATCAGCTCCGCCGACGAGAAGACGCGATCTGTTGCAAGCTCCGGAGACGAACGCAGGGGCATCTCAAGCACCGCCAAACGGATGTCCCTCGCTGGACCTACGACCAGCAGGACCGTGGCCAAGTCGAGTACCTCGACCCTGGATCGACGATCTAGCATCGCATCGACCACTTCCGAGAAGCGAACCATCCCGGCTCGCCCGGGCACTACTACCAGGCCGACGACCACAACTACCCGCCACACAACCTCTAGTACTACCGCACGGACCGTGACAAAGCCATCTGCAGCCACAACCGCTACGAGGAGACTGAGCACTGTCCCAAAGAGCTCTGAGGATGCGGAGAAGCTGCACTCGCTGCAGACCAAGCTTTCAGAAAGCGAGGCGACTGTCGCCAGCCTCAAGGCAGAACTAGATGCTGTCAATGAGAAATTGGCCCAGCTCTCCCAGACGCAGGAGGCTTCCAAAGACCATGACGACATTACAAAGGCTCTCCAGGAACAGCACGCCGCAGAGATTGGACAGCTGGTGTCTAACCATGAGGAACAGCTGCAGGCTCTCCGTACCCAACTGGAGGAAGCGGAAACAAAGCAAAAGGAGCTCGAGGAAAAGTCTCTTAGGGAGATGGAGGACGCATCTCAGGCAGCCGCTGCTCAAGGAGATGAAAAACTGGCTGCTGCGCTCGAGGAATTGAAACAAACCTACCAATCTCAGCTAGAGGCGCTGGAGAAGGAACTCTCTGAGCACAGGACCACTGCCGCTCAGTATGCTGAAGAGATTGACTCTCTCAAAGGCGAGTTGCAGTCTCAGATCGACGGCTTTGAGACAACTACCAAGAGTCTGGCAGAGGAAAAGGCAACGGCTCTTGAGGAACTGCGTCGGGAACTGGAGGCTGAAAGCCAAAGCCTGGCGCAATCCAAGGAAGAAGCTGTTCGTGCTGCTGAGGAATCTGCGAGACAGTCTGTCGCAACCTTGGAAGAGAAGGTCGCCTCGCTCGAGGCCCAGCTCACAGAGGCGGAAGCCTCTACTACACAGGGTCGTGAGGAGACCACCGCTCAGCTGGCAGAGAAGGAAAAAGAGGCGGCTGAATTGAAGCAGGCCTTTGAGGCTGCTCAAGCAGAGCTTCAACAAGCTCAGGAGGCTGCCAAGAGCGAACTTGCTGAGAAGACCAAAGCACTAGAGGTAGATCATCAGGCGTTGGTTTCCAGGCTCACGGCAGAGCATGAGGAAGCCCTCCAATCCGCCGCAGGTTCTCATGCTGAGGAACTCGCAAACGCAAAGGCAGCTATGGAATCTGCCACTGCTGCTCACGCTCAGCAGCTGGAAGAACTCCAGACTTCCTTTGCCACGGGCCAAGAGAGTGCTATCAGCGAGCTTAAAGCGGCCAAGGAAGCCGAAGTCCAGTCTCTTCAGCAAAAGCTTGAGGCTGCTGAACAGTCTCTTGAAAAGACCCGACGCGCTCTGGAAGAGGGAGCCAATGCCGCCCAGGCGGTTGCCGTCGAAGAAATTGGATCCCTCAAGGAGAAGGTCACTACTCTTGAGTCCCAGCTATCCACACAACAGGGCGAGATCCAAGCACTCCAGGCCGAGATTCAGAGCAAGCAGGCGGAAGCCGAGGCACTACAGCAAAATCTCGTTGCATTTGAGACCAAGGTCAAGTCCAAGGACGTTGAGCAGCAAAATCACTTGCAAGCTGCGGAGGAGAGGGCAGCCACGGCTGAAAAGCTGCTGGAGGAGCATATCCAAAAGGCCGCTGCGGCCTCCGAAGAGCATTCACAGTCTCTAGAAGCGTTGCAGGAGGCGGAGGAAAGGGCAGCCGGTGCTAAAAAGGCTCTGGAGGAGCATATCCAGATCGCCGCCACCGCGTCCGAGGATCATTCACAATCTCTGGAAGCGCTGAAGGCGGCGCATGCTGCAGAGTTGGAGAAAGTCACGGCGGAGGTGTCTGGCTCCCATGAGCAGGCCCTGGGCGAGCTCCAAGCTAAGTACGATGAACTGTTGTCCAAGAACACCAGCATGGAGTCTACGCACGTGGAGAAGCTCGGATCGCTGGAGGCTGAACTGAAGTCAGCAGTTGAGAGCGTCGCCTCTCAGAGCACCGCCCACGCAAAGGAGCTCGCCGAGCTCCAGCAGCAGCATGAGGAAGCCAAGATCAAGCTACAGGCAGAACTGGAGGCTTCCGAGGTATCCAAGGCTGCTCACCTTGACGCAGAGCACAGCAAGGCCATTGAAGAGCTTCTCACCGTACAAGACTCTAAGCTGTCTGGCCTCCGAGCAGATCTTGAGTCGTCCCACCAAGCCAAATTGGGCGAACTTCAGCAGTCTCACGATGCGGCAATCGCGGAACTTACAGCCCAGCTCACGCAGGCCCAGGCCGCCGCTCAGGATACTTCCGCACTGGACAACTTGAAGACGACCATTGCGGATCTGGAGACGAAGCTGGCTGATGCAGAGCAGTCCGCCACCCAATCTCACTCTCAGCATGCCGAGGAAATCTCCCGACTGGAGAAGGAAAAGAACGAGTGGGAAGCTAAGCATCAGACGGTAATTCGCCAGGTCGAAGAGCTGGAAAAGTCCCAGGCCGCTTCTGCAACCACTCAATCCGAACTGGAGGCAGCGTCGAAGCAACTCTCCGTGGCCCAGGAAGAATTTTCACAGCTCCGTGCCAAGCATGACGCGGTCGCTAGCGAGCTTGAGGAGATTAAGACTCAGAACCGGGCCATGGAAGAGAGGCTCACCGAGGGAGAGAAGAACCTCAACGACCAAATCGACAAGAACATGACTCTTCTCAACCAGCTGGGCGAGGTTGACTCGTCCATCTCTGTCAGTCGCAAGCGTATTCGCGAGCTCGAGGCCGAACTGGCTGCCTTGAAGGCAGAGAAGGAGCTCATTAAGGGATCAAATATCGGTCTGGAAGGTAGCCGATGGGCAGGCGACGAGGAGCAGGCGCCAGCTGGCGAAGACGGCCAGCCAGCCGCAGTGGAAGGTGAGGACATTGGTTCATCGATTGAGGGAACGGTGGGACCTCCCCCTGTATCATCACCGTTGTCATTGTTGACTCCCCTCTTGGGATCTCCCTGATTTTCCCCCGTTCGCATGGCATTTGACTGTTTCTCTCTTGGAACTTGGTGAACTTTTTACTGATTGGAATTGTTCAACAGATGGCCAGCATTCAGGAACAGCTTAAACATATTCGGACTGCTAATGATGACTGGCATGACGAGCATCGACGGTGAGTGTTTGTTCTCTCTCTCTACCTTTTGTCATTTGGGCGAGATCTAACTGTTGCAGACTCATTGGTGAACTGGCACAGCTGTCACGACGAGCGACGCCTAATCCCCCTAGCCAGCCGGCTACGCCTCAGCCCGAAACATCGAGTGAAACGGTGTCCTAAGGGGCGTCGGGTGGTTTTGTAATTTCTTTTCTTTGTGATTCTGTACAGGATTAAGATGTATGTAATAAGCTGCTCAGGATACCCGATTGAAGTACCGTTGCTGCGTGGATTGACCTAATTATTGTGACCCGGTATCTGGGCATGTCTATAATCTCACTTCATCTTTAGTTTCATGTTCATTCCCATCAACCAGCGTAGATCACTATCGTTACAGGAGGGCATCTATTCATATCCATCACATTAGGGAGAGTATTTCCTCCTCCGACAAGGCAGCCATGACGCTCGAACCAGCATCGCCCACATCCGGGCACGCTGTCTGTCTGTCTTCTTTTCCTCTTGCCTTGTCTGCTCGCGCGGCATAGCTTGATACCGTGACGGTGCTGCACCCCTCTCCGGAGGCGTGGGCGATTTCGACAACGACCACGACGCCGGTGTATACCCATACGCACCAACCGGAAGAAACGCAATATCCTCATCCTCATCCTCATCCTTATCACCACCCCGCGTTACCATCGCGGCCCTCCCACAGGAATCCAGCGCATCTCCGATGGGTTGTTCTGCCGCCGCCGCCATGACCCGCAGACGATCCGACTGAGTCTGAGTCTGAACAGGAACAGGAACAGGAACCATCACCGATCCACACTCCTCCGCCAGAACCCCCGACGTGAATTGTCCACGGCTGACGTTGGCAGCGCCCGAGTCGCAGAGGAACATTCCTCCCTCGTGGTGGGGCTTCTCCGTTTCCCTTTCCGTTCCGGTTTCCATGTGTACTTGTATTTGTCGTTCTGGCTCTAGGACCGGTAATTGGAATTCGGGCGGGAGGTGGAACTGGCGCTCTGCATCTTCGTCGTCGTTCTGGTTTCTCTCCTCGGGGTAAGAACCAGGTTCTTGCGCTTGCGCTTTGGTGGGTTCGGGGTCGTTATCTTTTGTAGAGGCGGGCGGGGACGCAGAGGCAAACAGAGAAGCAGAAGTAGAAGCAGAAACAGATGGTGTCGGCGATGGCGTCGGGATGCGAATGGGTTGGTTTCGTGGGCTTTGGGGGTGTTTGGATTTGGGTGTGAGAGAGAAAGCCGGGTTCGGGTTCTTCGGGGGTGGAGAAGACGCCGTCGAAGTCGAAGTTGAAGTCGCAGTCGAAGTGGACGAATGTCGGCGTGGGAGAGAACGTGAGAGCCATTGTTTGACTTTGGATTTGGGATTGGGATTGGGATTGGGATTCACATTCCTCCTTTGGTGGTTGCTCTGGTGGTGAGGGAGAGAAGAGCAAGATGTGGTTGTGGGTGTATATGAGGTTCTGGGAGGTGTCATTTTGATTTTGATTTTTTTTTCATTGAAGGGTTCATTTTGACTATGAGCGACTGAGTAAGTAACTGAGTACTAGTTATACAGGAAAAAGATGCTTCACCGACTGTTATACAACTCCACTATTGATGCACTATGTACTTACATACGGGGCAGTTATTGATGGTCACTTGGTAAGATGCATATGCAACTGATGTGGATCTATCATCTAGCAGCTCTATACTATAAGGTATATGTTAGTTAGGTATATCATTATGATTATTCCCCAGTCCAAGGGGGCTGGTTATCCCGAGATTCCGTCACGGCCTAGTCCCCATCGACCGACTTCGCGCATCGCTTCATCGCCGCCTTCCACTAGTTTTCCGCTAGCTGTGGATGGGTTCTGCGGCCCCAACACGCCAGCGACGCATTCCCAGCCATTCCGGCCGCCACCCCAGCGGAGGACCTCCTTCTTGTACCGCTCACCCGCGTTCCGGTCCACGGCCGATGCTCCACCCTGGAACACGTCTTCCCAGAGCTTATTGGCGATCGCCCGGTCGAAGATGTAGCTGTAGTACGTGGCACCGTACCCGTACAGGTGCCCGAAGAATCCCTGCCAGGAGGTGGACGGCCGGCCGTGCACGTCCACAGAATCCGGAAGGCTGGCGTGCGTCGAACACACCTGGTGGTAGAGCTGGGTGGTGTCAAGGAAGGCACTATCGGTGGTGGTTGTGTGGTACGCTTGATCGACGAGCGCCATGAGGATCTGGGCTTCGTTTTCCACCGCACCATAAATGGCGCCGTGCGCGGCCCGGTCCTGGGCCATTCGGCGGATCATGCTCTCGGACAGAGGCTCGTCGGTTCGCCAGTGTCGCGCGTAGAGAGCGAGCACGGACGGATCGGTCGCGAATCGCTCCATGAGCACAGACGGCAGTTCGGCGAAGTCAGTGGCACAACGCGTGCCGGAGATGGACTGCAGACGCGTCTGCCCGAGAATCGAGTGAAGAGCGTGGCCCATCTCGTGGAAGAGCGTGCGCACGCTGTGTTCGCTTAAAAGGGATGGCGTGAGACCCCCCCTGGCGGGCTCTGGGAAATCGCACACCAGCGCAATGGTGGGGAGTTGGCGGAGTGTTTGGGATTGCGAATCAATGGCGGTAGCCATACCATCATTGGGATGAGCGAGCATAGGGTCCTCGGCGGCTACTGCGGCGCATTCAGCCACCTCCTCGGGAGTGATCTCGCGCGCACATCGGAGAGTGAAGTGGGCCGGGTTCGGGTGTTTGTTCGGACGGGAGAACAGATCGCAGTAGATGACAGCGAGTGGGCGATTTGCCTCATCCACCACGTCCAGCCGACGGACATCCCCCGTCCAGGTTTCTCCCGGGGCCGTCTCACGCGGCACCAGTCGAACACCGTACAGACGATCAAAAAGCCGCGAGAGGCCCTGCATGACAGTGCCCAGGGAAAAGAACTCGGGAATGGCGGACCACTCGCGTGATTTACGGATCTGCTGGCCGGTTTCATACTGACGCACACGCTGGTGGACATAGTAGGCGTGGTCCCAGGGATGTAATTGGCTACCCTTCGCAGCCTGGAGCTGGGCAAGTTCTTCCTGGACATCCGGACGGTTGCTCTGAATAAGAGTCGTCAGGAACTCCGACACAGCAGCGGGAGTCTTGGCCATCTTGTCGTTGAGAGTCATATGCGCAAAGGTCGGGTAGCCCGCGAGCTGGGCTAGCTCGGTGCGTTTGGCCAGGAGCTGCTCCAGACGCTCAATCTGCCGCGAGCTAGCTGTCCGAGTAGCCTGGTAGATCTCGCGACGAGCGTCTGCATTGTGAACTGAGCGCAAGGCCAGGCGTGGGATCAACCCGACCGTGGGCACTGCGGCGGAGCGGGGGTTCCAGCGCTTGATCTGCTGAATGAGCATCGGATCCAACCCCCGCAGGTCGTTCGAGGACACAACCACGTGCGACCGGGCGGGTTCAGCCCCATGGGCAAAGGCGGACCCCAACTGACTGATCTCGTTGGAGAGAGTGACGAAGCGCTGGCGATCATTGGGGGGCATATGGATCGCGGAATTGGCAAAGTCCTGCAGTAGGATGCGGGCGACAATGGTCTCCTCGGCGGACCAATGGGAGGTAACCTCTGGTTGGGCCAGAGCTGCCCGTAGTTGGTCATGGAGGCCCGTAGTAGTGTTGAGCACGTTCATGTATTCAAACATGAGCGCGTAGGCCTGGCCCGCGGCCTCCTGGACGGGCGGTTCCGGATGAATGCCGCGGATGAAGTCGGACAGATCGATGACGCGACACAGCAGATCGCTCAGCCGGTCCAAGTGTCGCACCAGCGCCCGGTATTCATCCACCGTGGACGCAGCCAGCACACGGGCAACGATGGCCTGACATTTCTGCAATGAGTCCTGGGCAAAGGCGCGGAATCCGTCGGGGCTGGTCAAGTACTGATTCTGGACGAGACCGGTGGGTTTGCGGTTGAGGGAGAACGAGGAGGAGGAGGATTGGGAAAAATCGCGCCAGAACGACTGGGAATCGAAGACCTGGCGTAGGGTATCATCATCGGACGATTTCGAAACGGAGGAATAGACAGTCGAGGGGGAGGCAGAGGCGTAGGAGAGCGAGGAGGAGGTGGTGACGAAGCGACGATGCTGGCGTTGGAGTCGACAAGAGCGACAGATCCAGGGACGCAGCATGTTAACGAAGGAATATAATTACATTAGAGTGGACAATAGAGTGGACAATAGAAGAGGTAATAGAAGAGTCGTCGTCGAGAGAGGAATGTAGAAAAGAATGAAGGAAGATGAAGACGAAAACGAAGATGAAGCTGAAGACAACCGACAACCCGAGAAAAAATCTTGGCAACTTTTCTTTTGACTTCATTTCATCATCTCGACTTCCGTCTTGCCTTCGTTGACTTGCCAACTTCCATCCATTGCCCGCATCATGGCCCTGTACCAGGTATCTTGACCCTTAGATTCCCCTTTTCATGCTCAGAATTACCTCTAGCTAACTCAATTCTCCCGTTTAGCGACTCTCCGTGTCTCTGTTGGCCGGCGCCGTGGCTTTCTATCCCGGGACTGCCATGGCCGAGGAGCCCGTACGTCTCACTCTTCGGACTCCAGACCTTCAGTTATCCCCGTTGGCAAAGCTCTAATGTCCCATAGAGAAAACCTATCTACGATGACTTCCCCGCCGAACCCTCCGTCGCTCTCATCCCGTCCGCTTCTACTCCCAGCACGGCCGCTACGACCACCACCACCACCACCACCACCCCCCCGACTGCCGCACCAACCACACCGAAATCATCTTCTTCGCCCACACCAACCGATATCCTAACCGCCCAGGTGCGTCAGGCCCGCCTCTTCCTCTACCAGCAGTCGCGCACCGCCGAAATCTGCTTCAACGACATTCTCTCGCGTGCCCTCCACGTCGAGAATGCCTTTACCAAGACCATTGCCTCGTTGGCCCCCTCCCCCGAATCCGGCGAGCAGCTGCTCCCCGGTGGCATCTACGTCGTCGTTGCGGCTATGGCTGGCTCCATCGTTGCCCGTAACCGTGGTCGCCTGCTGCGCTCCGCTACCCCTCTGGCCTTTGGTACCGTTGCCGCTTGGTCGCTGCTCCCCGTGACGATGCGGAACGTCTCCGATTTGATCTGGGAGTACGAGAAGCGCGTGCCTGCCGTGGCCGATCAGCATCTGCTTCTCCGCGAGAAGGCCGAGTATATCTGGTACACGGGTGTGGCTCATAGCGGCATGGCTCGTGCGAGAATGGAGGAGAAGATCGGAGAGGCACGGAAGAAGCTCGAGGAGGTGGTGAGCAAGGGCCATTAAGCTCTTTTTCTCTCTGTCTACGCTCACTTTTCCACTGGTTGTATGTTTTGTTTGGTCTATATTCTGATAGCCGTTTGGGACACTGTCCTATATTGCATATGTATCTGTAACAGAGGGTTTTTTTTTTTTTTAAACCGAAGATCCAGTTTCTAGACATTACTTTTCCTTTTTTTTTCCCCCTTCCCCCGCCGTCCTCTCTTATATCTCGTTTCGAGATATCAAAAATCTCTACTTTCATATATAGAACGCCAGAGACACTTGTAAATTCAGTATCATTGTATCCTTTGCTCGCTGTCTATTCCGACTCCTTCCGCTCCTCCCGTGGCGGCCCAGCCTTGGGCGGCGGAGGTAGCGGTGTTCCCCTCCGCGACGGTACACGATCTTCCTCTTTACTCTTCTGCTCCCCCTCGGCAAAATAATCGTCAAAAGCTTTGTGTGGCGAGGCTCGAGCCGTCCCTCGCAGCTTCCTTCCATGGTGGTGTGATGCCCCCGCAGGAGCTGTAGCAGCTGTAGCAGCAGCAGCAGGAGGAGGAGGAGGAGGTGTAGCAGACGCAGTACCCGCCCAAGGGGGCGGCGAGGTCATGTTCGCAGGAACAAGGAACTGCGGTGTAATGCCAGCTCCGGCTCCAGCTCCGGCTCCGACTCCAGCATCTAGATTCGTATTCATAATCATATTCGTATTCACACCCACTGTATCAAAAACCGGCGTAGAAGTCCCATCTGCCTTCGTTTCAAATACCACTTCACCAGGTCCCTCCACCTCCTCGCCTAATCCAACAGGTAATCGGTGCAGAGCGCCATAGCCCAACTCTGCGCCCAGGGCGCCCTCGCCGCCCCAGCCGCGCGTCGGTACCAGGTCGACCGTGCGCACGACATCAAACTCGCTATTATACACCCATAACACTAGTGTTCGGTCAAGATGGTCTTCGACGAGTTCGCCCAGGGCGGCCTCGCCTCGTAGGGTCCCGCTGGGGGTGCCGATAATGTAGTCTGAGTGGGGAAGGAGCCCGGCGCGGTAGGCCGGACTTAATGGGGACGGGATAGAGAGGACGTGCCAGATGTTTTGGGTGGAGGAGAGCGGGGCGAGCTGCAGGGCGAGACCCAGGGTTGGGTTGGATGGGGGAATTGGGATCGCAACTGTGTGTGTTTTTTGGCCCTGCAGAGTCACAAGAAGAGGGGGGGAATGGTTAGAAGACATGTTATACTGAGGGATTTAGGAACAGAAGGCGTATCAACCTTTGCGCTCCAGATTGTAAAGGTCACTCGTGATCCTGCGCAATTGCGGACTTCCGTCGCAAAGAGGTTCGGGTCGGGGTCATCCTGTTCTTGATCATTAGTTGCTGGTGCGTAGGAGTGGGCGATATATATATACGTACAATCAAACGCCCGTTAATCCCAATAATAAAATCAAACCATGGCTCCAAAGGCAGCTCAGGGTCCTTATTGCGGAGGACCTGGAATCCAAAGGCATTGTCATGTCGCGACGGCTGAGGAACGGGCTCCGAGTCCAAACGACCAATGAACCTATTCAGAGCTCCGAACATTGTGAATCCGGTGTCCGAAACGCTACTTGAATCAGAAAGCGAGATGGTGGAGAAGCAGAGGAGCCCAAAAGACCACGTCGGATTCTTGTATAACTGATGATGGATGGTTGATGGATGTCCCGCTGCAAACAAAACAAACCCACGGTTATCAGTAGATTTGAATAGCATCATCGATTCTCGTTTTCGATCTCAACCCAACAGCTCCTTCTCTTTCGTTCGTCAATGTCTTGACCATACTCATTCAACCAAATCCAGCCATGTCTGGTGATGAGGAAGAAGCTCCCCCTGAAGTCCATCACTACGAGCACCGGGGCGAAGTGCCATGGGACATTCAAAAGTAGCAACCGCACCTCTTCCCCAAATCTCAAACTTCAAAAGCTTCCGTCAGACAGAGCTAACAGATTTTTTTTTTTACCCCCTAGCTACTGGGCTCAACGCTACGATATCTTCTCCAGGTACGACGAAGGAATCTGGCTAACAGATGACGCATGGTTTGGCGTCACTCCAGAACTAATATCTATGTATGTAACCCCCGGTCACATATCGCGGAAGGAAGATAGACACAGGCACAACTCATATAGACGACATTAGGAAAATCGCCCTACAAATCGCCGACGCGGCCTCCTCGGACCGAAAAGTCCTTGTGGATGCCTTTGCAGGCGCAGGCGGGAATACCATTGCCTTTGCTCGGTCTGGACGGTGGAAACGAGTCTACGCCATCGAGAAAAATCCCGCTGTGCTGAAATGCGCCCAACACAATGCCAAAATCTACGGGGTCGAAGATAAGATCACCTGGTTCCTGGGTGACTGTTTTGACGTGATCAAGACCCATTTGAAGGACTTGGGCCCGTATAGTGTACTCTTTGCGAGTCCGCCCTGGGGAGGTATGTACTGCATACATCATATCATGTTACTTACTGCTTGGATCTGGAAGGGGAACTAATCCGTGATGACTGGTTTTCTAGGTCCTGGATATCGATCAGCGTCTGTCTTTGACCTACAAACAATGGAGCCTTACTCCCTGGAACATCTCTATACGGAATACTCGGCCTTCACCAAAGATGTTGTTTTGTATCTGCCGCGAACCTCTGATCTCAACCAGCTGGCTCAGATCGTCCAAGGAAACACCAAGGTGCCAGTAATGCATTATTGTATCAGGGGGGCGAGTAAAGCTCTTTGTATTTTTTATGGCAACTTTCAGCTTTCATGATTGGATTTGATACCTTTGTTCTAGATCTATTTGTATTTTCTAGGCTTTACCTACTCTACTGTCTTTCTTTGCAGAGAATGTCATTGAGGACATTATGGTAGAAGATTAATTTGTGCGTATAGTAGCAGTGCCGATGACATATTCAACCACGGCATCATTTAGGTCACAATTTGAAGCCATCATAAAAACGACGAAAAAATGGTATCTAGAAATATTGGATTCGTTGCAAAATCATGAACCTCGCTGCCCTGAACACCTCGCGCCTATGAATTCGCTAGTAGAAATTTACCGGAGTAGCTGGACCCTTGATGCTTGAGCTACAAAGGTTGAGAAGAGGGGAAAAAAAAAAAAAAAAAAAAAGACAAAGACAAAGACAAAGAGAGTTGAACAAAAGCTGTCCTTATACCGCAGGAGGAGCACCCATCGCAAAGGCGGACTCGCTGACACGGTCTTCGGGCTTCATTGTACCATTGAGAAGAGGGCACAGCTTTTTGTTGGTCTTAATATGACCAACCTGCCCACAGTTCGCGCATTTTCGTTGCGTTCCCGCGGACTTGCTCGACCCCCCTGGACCACCATCCGCTGGGGAGTCTCCGGCGCGAAGCACGCCCTTCTGCTTTTCGCGGGCAAAGCGCCTTTCCTTGTTGCGATTGAGTCGACTCAACTCTTGCTCGATCAGCTTCTTGTTGCGAGCGTCCACTTCTGGGTCTCCAGTGGGCTGTAGAGACTCAAGTTTGGTGGTGAGCGATTCAACTCGATGGCGGTGCTGGATGTAATGTCGAATCACGCGGGGGTCCCAGACGAGGGTTTCTTTTTGCTGGATTTCGCCCTTCTCGTCCCTGACGTGTCGGATGATACGAAGGACCTTGCCCTTCTGATCCGGCATGCTCATCTTACTAAACTGACTGGTCGTCTCATCATCACGACGACCAGGTGCGGGGGTAGGTGCCTCTGATCTTGGGGTAGGCTTGCCGAACTCGTCGTCATCGTCTCCTGTCATGTCCTCATCGTCATCTGAATGTTCGATGGTTGACGAAAGACTGGCCTTTTGAGCGTCCCAGATTCGTCGAATAGACGTTTCGTACGACTTTTGTTGTCTTGCAACGTTGTAACTGTGGCCACCAAGTTCCTTTAGCCTTTGGGCATCTAGCTTATCCTCCACACTCTCGCCAACAGCTTTGAACCCTCCTTTCATGGAGGTCTTGATAAAGCTGAATCCTTCGCCACGGCCAGTAGGGTCTCCCTCGCCGTGAAGTTTGAGCATTGCCTTTCCTTGAGATGCTAAAAGGAAATTACGACTAGCCTTCCATGGGGCCATCTGCTGCTCAAAACTCTCCCCCTCGCCATCGTCATCATCGTCGCCCCCCGTTTCAGCATCGTTGCCATAGCCAGTATCGTGCAAGTGTTGCTGACCGACTTGCATCGCCTCCAGAAGACACACGTCTTCAGGTTGAACCCAGGATCGAATAACATCTTGCTCGGGCACCGGTTCTAAGGGTACCCAGTATTTGGAGTCTTTATCGTGTTGAAGGAAATCTTTAACCTTCTGGCGATTTTGCATGTCACTTGTCCCTGGGATATGTGCTGTGACATCACTAATAGAGAGTCGAAGATCAGGGCTCTTCTTCAACAGGCGATACACCAGCATCTTCATCCGGTTCTTAGCGACTGTGGTAACCTTTCGAGAATGAGGTCCAGGAATGTCAACGGACGGGAATTGCTGTCCAGCAACAAATATATTGTCGATTCCACGGAGGTAGTAGTCGCTGCCTCCTGACCCTGTGCTGCTGCGAACCACTAAGAAATCAGAGGATTTGGCCTCGTGTTGAAACAAGGGGGCGCGATACATAGAGTTGGAGATAGCCGGGGTGACTTCCCCCGCATCGACATGGCCAAAGATGGAAAATGGGCTCTTATCCTGGGGTAGCAGGACAACGGTTTCGCCAATCTCGGTTTTAGGGCGTGTTGGGTCTTCCATACTCTTCCGTCGGTAATAATTAATGATCCGGTTCGCCATACCAAAGTTTGAAAGAACGAGAGGCACCTCCTCCGAATACTCAACCAGCAGGACGTGGGAATTGTCTGCCAGTGAAAGTGCCCTGGTAGAGTCATAGAGAGTGCGAATATCCTTGCCCTTTTGGTGTTTTCGCTTAATGTAAGCGGGATTTTTAAACCAAGATGTCTGACCGGGTCGGAACGATAACGCTGGACGGTGAAATGATCGGGCCTCAGCCTTGGCCAGCTCTGTTTTGTAGTAAGGCCACTGGAGGCGCAAAGCTGGCATACTGTGTTCAAGTGTGACGTTGCCCAGAGTACTACGAACCTTGTTCTGGTGGTTCTGTTTGAGCATGTCGTAAGCCTGGTCATTGGAGATGTTGTAACGTGATGTGAGGCGTCGAGTTACATTGACATCCATCTCATCCCTACTTCGAGCTCCGGACGCCTTGGGCTTTGGTGCGGTGGCATCAGGTCCGCAGTCATCGAGTAGCATGTATGGGTCGTTAAGGTCCACTGTAACCTTCTGCGCAATTTTCGAGGTGACTTGCTGCGGGTCGTCGATCAAAGGCACATCGATATGCGACAGGGCAACAAGCTCCATCGGATCGCGGCCGATTTTGCGCTTCTTGGCTGGGCGAGTGGTCTCAAGAAGCCAGTCATCTTCGACATCCTCGGCTCGCACGGGTTCGTCTACGTCCATTATTGAGATGCCATCTTGGATATCCCAATCAGTACAGACCACCCGAAGATCGTCCAAGGTAACTCCGTTCGGTAGTGGCTCATCAGAATCGGAGTCAATCTCGAAATCTTCCGCATTCTTATCCTCTTCCTCCTGCGTAGCTTCGATGACAGGAATGATACCAAGATGTTCAGATTCCACCGAGCGCTTGAAAACTTGTCCACCTGATTTGAATATCCTCTCTTGATCCTGGGCGAGCTCAATGTTGACTTTGCTGGGAATGACAGGTTTCGGAGGCCTGGGGGGTTGTTTGCCGAGGAAGTAAGCTTTCTTATGCGGGATCAGCTCGAGGAAGCGAGGTAAAGTATTTCGATCAAAGGTCGGAAACAGCGAACTCAACAACTCCTCTACATTCTCGGGGGGAGCTGGTGGGTTATCGGGACCGATACTTGACATTGCAAAGAGAGCCTGCTGTAGTTTCCACGCCCGGAGAGAGGCTGGGTCCATATCATCCGCGGTCGGGGTCAAAGAGCCATCTTCGTGAAGCGATTCCTCCTCTTCTTCCATGGGAGCAGGTTCTGGTCGTTCAACCGGTCGTTCATCTTCCTCAAAAAAGAGATCTCGGGTGGAGTCAACCTGGTCTGGGCGTGGCGATGAAGGCTCCTCTCCAAATAGATCATCAAGGTTATCAAGGTCAGCAGGTTGATCCTCTTCTTGTGTTTCTTCTTTGATCTCCTGCGTATCGAACAAGTCATCTCCACTGTCGGGTTTTCGCTCCTCAACCGCCTCTTCCTCGGGAAGGTCGTCATCGTCAAAGTCTTCATAGTCCACCGCATCGTCTGCTTTCTCACCAGGCTCCAGATCTCTCGATAAGAAGTCAAAAGAAATCGCGCCATCCCCCAAGGGGCCGTTCATCTGGCGCATCACATTGTCGAAGTCGGCATCTTCGGTTTCGGGGGCCGGAGAGGCCGTCGCGTGCGGCATGGTGGTTTGCAATATGTGAAGCACATGTGAGTGATGCGGGAACACACTCACATCGCACGTAGCTTAGGAAAGGGAAAGGTCCGTAAGCTGTGTTCTGAAGCTATCCAGGCATGGGGAGAGCGAAAGAAGAAATACAAATACGGGGAGCCGAAGAGGCCACCAGTGTTATGCTGACTAAGCTTTGCTCGCCCATTCAACCTCTGTTCACGTTAACGTTAACGTTAACGTTAACGTGGATATCATCAATAGATTTCCAGAAAAGGGAAAATGGTGAAGTTGAGGTGAAGAATGACTCGGACTATAAGTCACTAGTTCCATACTTGTCATCATTCAACCTGACCAGGTTCTCTGCTGCAGGCATGTGCCGAGCGTGAAGCATTGCTGAGCTAGTTAAGTACATACAGAATACTTCTTCACAAATGAGCTCTACATAGTTATCAACACCTACTCCCAGATACTGCCAAAATGCAAGGCACATTCCTGGTTGCATAAAAATCGTTCTGATAAGAATATGAGGAATTACATCATGGTCTTTAACTCATTTGTACAGCTGCGCTCCTCGCCTTCGGTTCTCTGAGCATCGCGTCCATCACCCATACAGTTCCGATAGTTGTCCCCGAGAGATAAAAGGTCGACCTCGTTCCGGGCCCAGCGCCAGGATTACGCCTTTTGGGCGTCGGTATGTGTATCCTAAGAACGCCCCTTTCTTTCGGATGTCTACTACAGTCTTTCGAAGCCGCTTATCGCGTAATATCTTGTCTCGTGGTCGTCTTGGCTCGTTGTGCCTTTTCTTCTTCTTTCCCTTGGCAGAGGAGTTTGCTACATCCTTAGCATCATTATTCGGGGCTATATTCCGGTCGAAAACCGGATTATTTCTTTTGCCCTCATCTTGTTCTGCGTAATGCCCGCCCTTGTCATCGCCCGAGACTTTGCCGACCTCTGGATGACCGCCCTCGGAGTCGGTGGAAATATCGTCTGGATCAGAAGGATACCCGCCATCGTCAAAGTACCTTGTGTCCTCCCAGTTTTTGACCTTTGGGATGAATGGAGGGCATGTTCGGTGAATTTCTTCCCAGTTGATCCCACGAAAGAATGGATGTGCTTTAATGTCAGAGGCGTCATCAGGATACACATACAGACCTTGGTAGTTTCGGTTGGATGGGTCCGGCCTATTGAAGAAATTCCTCGCTGATCGGGACAGTAAGGCGTCGTTGGTCTTATATTTTACAGAAGACAGACGAAATTCCTTCTCCTGCAGTAGATAGTTGATCAGATCAACTGCTTCAGAGGACACCACTTTGTCGGAAGGCCGGTGAACCGGGAAATACAATGTTTGAAGATGATGCTGTTCCCCCTCCCATATTAGCAATTTTACCTAGCAGACATGCCGAACTGGGGTCATTTACGTTGATTTTCGCTTTGGTCTTATGGCGATCCTCCGAGGCGAACGGAGTAAACCCATACAAACACTGCCATCATGCGTTAGGTATGTTCGTAGTATCGGGGGCTCCGGTGTAAAGAGACTGACCTCGTATAGAATAATGCCCACACTCCACCAGTCGCACCGGCCATCATATGGCTGACCGCGGATGACTTCTGGGGCCATGTACTGGCTAGTTCCGACGACGCTCCTAGCTAGTCGGCGCTTCTGATTCCTGTCCCGCCAGTTCAAAAGGCCAGAAGCAGGGGGGTGTATCCACTCAGCATCAAGACTACCCTCTTGAACGATATTAGGAGTTGATTCTTCAGTTGCTTTTCGTGCTTCCTCCCGATCCTCAGCATCTCCTTCAACCTGAATACCGAGTCGTTGGACTAAAGAGTGTCGCTGATAAGTGTAATACCACTGATCGTGGGTCCAATGTCCATCAAAGGCCAAACCAAAGTCAGATATCTTCAAGTGCCCGGAAGCGGAGATCAGGAAGTTATCAGGTTTAACATCACGGTGAATCCAGCGCAGCCTATGTGCCTCCTCGATGCACAGAATCATCTCTGCCACATACCATCGAGAGATGTCTTCGGGTAACATATTTCGTCTCATCAAAAGACCAAGAAAGTCGCCACCTACCATGTAGTCCATGACAAGATAAAGGAAGTTGTTATCCTGAAAGCTTGCAATCAATGGGACGATCCATCGAGACTTCGCCGATGCCACCAAGAAGTCTCTTTCTGCACGTAGATGCCCCTCCTGGCTGTTGCGAATCATCACAGATTTTCGGATTACCTTCATAGCAAAAACGTTCTTCTTCACCCCTGTCATGGTTTGTCTGTGATTACTTGGTGAGACAGACCTAACAGATTCGGATTCTCCTCCAGTGGGTGTTTTTCGCTCCGCTGACTCCAGCATCGTGGTAAACGATGGCAACTCTCCTTTGTCTGCTTTGCATTGGTCGTTTTCCACACTTTTCTCTCTCACTAGACGAACAACCCCGAAGCTTCCTCTCCCTAAGACCTTGATAACCTCAAATCCTGCCAAGGACGGGGTCTCCTGGTGGGGGGAGCTATGAGATCGACTTTTAAGCACTCTGCACTGGCGAAGGTATTCACGTTCTTGTGCCATCCACTGCTTCTTGACTCTGATCTTCTCTTCGGGGGTAAGGGGTAAGGAAATAATATACTGGTCTAGTTCATACCGCCGCTGTGTTCGTCCGTCCACGCCGGAATAAAGAGTGTTAAAATACGTCTCAAAAAACACCTTGGCGTTAGCTGCGGCCTCCACTGTCAAGATGGAGGGTAACGGTGCAGGTGACTCCATGCCCAAACCAAGGGTACCTTCGCTGTGATTCGATTGGAACAAATGAGGTTCACCCATAGCTATCTGGCCCCCCTTCCCATCCCTATCCGAGCTCATAGGGAAACCAGATTGGCCCTCAGAGGTAGGAGGCGTCGATGTGCTATCTTCTGGGAACTCTTTACTACTCTGAGACATTGACGAGTCCGAGTTCTCACCCAAGTCGACGACGGGCAACGCATTTGATGGCTGCGGGTGAGCAGTACAAATGTTTGGGCGTAAGTTGAGATGCGAGCGACGAATGACGGTTGCACTACCGAAAGTTGTCGATAGTTTGAGCGAGACAAGCCTGGCAAGTTCGACTGGTGTTGATTGGCTTCGTCTGAAATCCACTGAGCCCAGAGATGCAACCCCTTCATCCGTTGTTTGTGGCCCCAGTTGTTTCTGTTCGCGGTTTCTGGGGATGGTCTCTAGCTGATCCAAACAAATTGGTTCAAGACTGCCACGAACCGCACTGGACTGCTCAGCGACAGGGGGGTGTAGGACGTCCGGATACGGGATGCCAGCATGGCTAGGTGGGTTGGCCGCCTTAGAGGCTTGAGGGCATACATATATATGTTAGCGACCTAGGATATACTAGCTCCGGACATCCACAGCCATACCTTGAGTATAACTCCGGATACCTAGAAGAGAGAGCAACCGGGAGCTTCTTTGCTGAATGCGGATTCGTATCTTTTCCCTGCCCGAACCTTGCTCTCTCGAAATTGCCGACACAGAGCCTTCCGACCCAGCGGAGACATTCACAGATGGCTGAAAACTACTATCGTTCAGCGAACTCGAGTATTCAGGCTTTCTCCCGCTCTTTTTATCCTCCCCTAGCACCTTCATACTGCTCACAATGGCGCGGGTCGTAGATGGACCAGGGACGCTGGTGTTTCTGCTAATTGACGTAATCGTGTAAAAGCGTTAATGATAGGGTCATAGAATTATAATTATCGGTGCAATGGACGCCAAAACGAGGCACATACAGAGTGAAGAAAAAAGATCAACAGTAGAATGGGGACTTACAGATCACCGTCTCGTGTATAAGTAGAGATAGAAAGCACGACAGAGGGTAGTCACCACCGTCACGGGATTGCTACGAGGCAATTCCTTGCTCTACACAAGAAGCAGTGGACCAAAGACCGCCCTAGGAGGATCATTACGTTACACTGGCACTGAAGGAGAAGACTCGGGACTACTCTACAATTTCTTTCTTAGGTCCGTTCTGAGTTAATCCAACATCTGTGCGGTACAATCGAAAAGACTATGTGCAATTATCACAAATCAAATAAATTCGAACACCTATAACACCTTCTTTTAGACACAGGTATGGAGCAAAATCAAAGATGGCCGATGAAATTATATGCGCACTTGGGTTGATTCAGCAGTGCGCTTGGATCCTTCATTGTGAATGAAGAATTATTTATTTGATCTCCAACAGCTTGACGTCGAAGATCAGCTTGGAGTTAGCAGGAATGCCAGGGAGGGCCTTCTTGCCGTATGCAAGGTGAGGAGGAATTGTGATGCGGCGCTCGCTACCAACAGCCATGCCAGCAACACCGATATCCCAGCCCTTAATAACTTCACCTTTGCCCAGCTTAAAGGTGAAAGGCTTGCCCTTCTTGTTGGCTGTAGTGAAGTGATGTTAGTCTAGGCCGAGTCGCAGAGAATGGGATTCAAGTGGTATTGGAAAACTTACAGTCAAACACCTTTCCATTTTCGAGCTTGCCGATGTATCGCATAGCAACGGTGTTGCCAGCGGTAGCAGCAGGGCCCTTGCCCAGCTTTTTGTCATCAATAGTCACTCCCTTCACCTCTTTGACACCGAGAGTGCCAGTGGCCTTGTCAGTCTTCTCAGCCTTCTCAGCAGGCTTCTTCTCCTTAGAGGGAGTGGGGCCTTGCTCGAGGTTCTTCGCGAATTGAACCTTCTTGGCCTCCTTGGCCTCCTTGGCCTCAGACTTAGACTCCACAGGAGCAGCCTCGCCGTTGTTCTTCTTGAGCTTCTTCTGCTGCTTCTTGCTCTCACCGCTGGCGACAGCCTTGGCCTTGCTATCATTCGCAATCAAGTCCTCCAGGGACTCATCAGCCTCGGCAGCACGCTTCTTCTTTTGCTTGGTATCGACAAGCTTGGGGGCCTCTTCCTCGCTGTCAACCTCGGTGATCCTTGGGTTTTCAAGGTCATCAAGGTCATCGCTCTCATCATCCTCGCCCATGAGCTCGTCAAGGTCCAGCTCATCCTCATCGGGCGAGAGATCGTATTCATCCTCGTCTTCCTCATCGTCGTGGTGGTGATGACCATCGTCAAGCGGCATAACATAGTTTCCAGTCAAGTAAATAGTGTGAGTACCGGTGGCCATGAAGAAAACACGCTCGTTCTCGGAGACTGTGATGTCCAGAGGCTGCTGGCAGTTCTGTGGGGACGCTGGGTCAGTAAAATACTAAAATTTCACCAGGGCGGAAAAACCTACCCTCTCAGGGTCGAGGGTACAGATGACCATCTCATCAAGCTCAGGTTCCTCATCGGACTCGGCTTCATCGTCCTCCTCATCATCATCGAAAGCGGGGGCCTTGCCCTTGACAAGCTTGGAGATGGCCGCCTTGAGGTCGAACTCTTCACCGTCGTCGGAATCGTCATCCTCCATCGCATCTTCCATTTCCTTCAGAGCAGCCAGGGCCTTGAGCTTGCGGGCCTTTTCCTTGTCGCTGGGGCCACCGTTAACCTCCTCGTCATCCTCAGAGTCGTCTTCCTCGTCATCATCTTCATAATCGTCGTCGGAATCCTCATCCATATCCAGACCAGGGGGAGGCCGGACGATCTTGAGAGTAGCTCTGGGGCGCTGGGTAGCATCCTCGCCAAACTCTGGCTCCTCATCAGGGTCAATGGCAGCCATGCTGATGCGGAACTGTCGCAGCCGTTAGTAGAGTTCAATCGCCGTGGGAATGTCGGGGGAACAGACCATAGCAGCAGCATTGGGGACAGCGGGGATCAAGACACCACCAGCAGGCACCCGGAGAGCATAGACAGCGACAGGTTGAACAGCAGACATTTTGAGCAGACTGTAGTTATATCAAACGGGACAAGACAACAAAGAGATAAAATGAAAGCAGGTCTATCCAGAACCAAGGCAGCTAGAGAGCGCGAAAAGAATGGTCGTCTAGATACTGGAGATGGAGTACGGAAGTAACCTTGAATCTAGACAAATCGACCAGAGCAAGAGAGAGGAAGTAGAAAAGAAAGGAAAACAAGCCGTAGGACGAGAGAGGAGGAAGAGAAGAAAAAGAATCAAATCCGATCTGCAACTTTTTTCTATCCGCGGATCCTCTTTTTTTTTTTTTTTTTTTTTTTTCTTCTTGTTGCTGGGGACATTAAGGCCAATCATGTGCCTCACCGCCTTGTTCTACCAGTTTTGACCGCCTTTGTGTTCCACCATCACATGACCTCTCTCGTCGTCGCGTCTCCAAAGTGACGAAAAGTAAAAAAAAGGGCTTGGAGGAAACGAACAAAACCTCAGAAAAAGGCCGCTGCATCTCCCTAGAGTATGAGGGAGTTCTGACCAGCCCCCCATGGGCTCCCGTCTTGATGCAACTTCCAGCGCGGTGCGCAAACGGATACACAATCGTATGTACTACTCTGCCACATCCAGCTGTGTCCCGTTACTATTACTGACACCCACACAATAGACAGCTTCGACAATGAAGAAGGTGAAGAGTATGAGGCTTCAGCTTTCGGTGGCTTTGGGGAATATTTCCGCCGAAAGAAGGCCAAACTGCAGAATCTTGATAGCGAGCTTCGCTCCTCCGCGGTGGAAGATAACTGCCCCCAGATCTTCCAGTCTGTCGTAGCTCACGTCAACGGCTATACCCAACCCTCGCTACAGGATCTTCATAAGCTTATCGTGCGCCATGGAGGCGGGTTCCTCCAGTACCTTGATGGCAAAACAGCTGCTACTCATATTATTGCAAGCTCGCTCACTCCGAAGAAGCGGGAAGAGTTCCGGCGGTATCGCGTTGTAAAACCTGCCTGGGTGGTGGAAAGCGTCAAAGCCGGTCGTATGCTTCCATGGGACCTGTTCAGACTTGTAGATGAAGGGCAGGCACAGAAAGTACTCAACTTTGACAATGGGCTCATGGTCAGCCAAATGAATAATCCGCAAACTGGTTACCAGGAGGAGAGCAAATCCAGTTGGTATTCCTCTCACTTTAAGACAGCAAAATCACAACAAGAGCAAGACTCAGGCCCATCTAGCACTTTTAGTAGCCCGGATAAAGCGCTAAATGTCGGGTCACAGTCGGACTATGGTGACTTTCCAAGCTTTACTTCAATGGATGAATCAGCCAAAAACATCGAACCCAACGGGTCCCGGACGATCCAACTACAGGAGACAGCATTAGAAGTACATAACGCCACGTCTCGTACTGCCCGTAGCCCTACCCCAGCAGACCAAACAGCTGTACCGGATACTACCTCGTCTCCTATAACGAAACCGGCATCTCCCAAGTCAGAGTTGACCTCTGAGGAGTATAACGCCCAACTTCTATCGGATCCGAGAATGAGAAACTCCAGCGTGGCAAACCCGGAATTCATCCAACAATACTATCGGGAATCTCGACTACACCATCTTTCCACGTGGAAGGCGGAGTTGAAGGCGCAGTTGCAGTCTACAACTCAAGAGAAATCACTATCCCAGCCTGAGAAAAGGAAGCTTATCCCCGGGACGAGGAGGTATATAATGCATGTCGATTTTGACTGCTTCTTTGCGGCAGTCTCCACCTTGAAACATCCGGAGCTCGAAGGGAAACCCGTTGTTATTGCTCATGGCACCGGTACCGGGTCCGAAATTGCCAGTTGCAATTATGCCGCTCGTGCTTTCGGAATCAAGAACGGTACATGGATGAAGTCTGCTTTGCAGGCGTGCCCTGATTTGAAGGTCTTGCCCTATGATTTCCCAGCATACGAAGAAGCAAGTCGAAAATTCTACAGTGCCATCCTGTCGGTCGATGGTCTAGTTCAGAGTGTGAGCATTGACGAGGCTCTTGTGGATGTCACTTCCGTCTGTCTCACCGCCGGTGGCTCAGATGGCAAGGGCGTGTCTGAAGGGTCTATCTATCGGGAACAAGCTAAAGCCGATGAAATTGCGGAGAATTTGCGGGCTACTGTGAAAATCGAGACGGGGTGTGCTGTCTCCGTAGGAATAGGCGGCAACATACTACAAGCAAAGGTTGCCCTACGAAAGGCAAAGCCAGCAGGCCAATTTCAGTTGAAACCTGAAGCCGTGCTCGACTTTATTGGAGATCTTCCAGTACAAAACCTCCCCGGGGTGGGATACAGTTTGAACGCCAAGCTAGAAGACCTAGGTGTCAAGCTCGTCAAAGACATTCGCGAGTTATCTCGCGAAAGGCTAGTGTCTAGCCTAGGTCCCAAAACAGGGGCTAAGCTCTGGGATTACGCCCGTGGTATCGATCGAACGCAAGTTGGCAATGAAACGACAAGAAAGTCAGTATCCGCAGAAGTCAACTGGGGCATTCGATTTGTCACCCAGGACCAAGCAGATGATTTCATCAAGTCTTTGTGCGAAGAGCTTCACCGGCGGCTGGTTGAGAATCTTGTCAAGGGCAAGCAATTAACTCTTAAAGTCATGCGGAGATCGCCCGATGCCCCGTTGGAACCAGTGAAGCATCTGGGCCATGGGCACTGCGAAGTATTGAACAAAAGCGTTATGCTCGGCATTGCCACCAACGCAACGGAGGTGCTTGGGAAAGAGGCTGTTTCCATGCTTCGAAGCCTTGGCATTTCACCTGGAGATCTCAGAGGTTTAGGTGTTCAGATGACCAAGCTCGAACCTTTCAGGCCTTCGAGTGGGGAGAAGCTCGACGGCAGTCAACAGCAGCTCACGTTCAAGACGTCTCCCAGCCACAAAGGGTCGCGACTCACCGAAGACCCAGACCTTCTAGAGAGTCCGCGCAAGGAAGATCAGGAATCCATTCGATACGGCCCCCTGTTGAACGACAGCAATCACCGGCCTTTGAATATCTCAGGAACGCAGTTCATCATGCCCTCGCAACCAGACCCGAAGGTCGTTGCTGAGCTCCCTAGTGACATCCGGTCCAAGCTCGTCTCGCAGGGCAAGCCTCGCAATGAATTTGGCACTACTCCAGCGCCGCATCGCGCACAATCATCCACATCCACAACTCTTCCTCCACAATCTCAATTAGACCCAGAAACCCTAGCCGCCTTGCCCGAAGATGTCCTAGCAGAGATTATGGGATACTATAACCAGCCCCCAGATACAACAACCCCTCCAACAGCACCTTCACTTCCGACATCCAGACCAACCTCATCCTCGGGCCCGTTGATGCTCAAAAAGTCTACCACGCCCACCAAAAAGCGCCGTGGCCGTCCTCCGAAGTCCAGCATCACCGCCACCTCTTCTTCCCTGACCCAATCCAAATTCATCTTCCCACGATCTGGCCAACGTTCTGCTTCCCGTCCCGCTCAGCCCCCGTCTCGTAATCCCTCTCCAGTAGAAGATGAAGGTCCCAACATCTCCGCCGAATTCCTCGCGGCCCTCCCCGAAGACATCCGCCGGGAAGTTCTAGAAGAACAGAAACGCACCCGCATGCTGCAGCGTCCCCCAGCTCAATCCGCGCCGACGCCGACACTTTCCCTTCCGCCTCCCCCACCCACCCCTCCAGTCCAAGAAAAGCAACTCCGTCTCCCTCCTCTCCCTGAGCGCCCTACATTCACCTCGAAAAAACTTTCGAATATCTCAGATCTCCGTGATGAAGTCAGTGCCTGGCACACCGCTTTCGCAGATGAGGGACCTTTCGAAGAAGACGTCACGTCCCTGGTGGAGTACGTGAGATGCGTTGTTGTTGATGAAAAGGATGTAGATAAGGCCGTGTCGTTGGTGAAATGGCTCATGTGGCTTGTGGAGGATGGTACGGAGAGCCCTCCTATGTCTATAAGCTCTCAGCCAAAACACGGTGAAGTGCCAAGTTGGCAGGGCACCATGACATGGAATGAGACCGTTCGGTGTGTTCAGGATAGTGTCCAACAAGGCATGGAGGAGAGAGATCTCCCGCATGTCGAGTTCTGATTTTATTTTTAATGACTTGATGTTAGTCTTTTATATATGTATATATATATATATATCTGTATATATCCAACCCAAGCTTCTGCCCGCTTGGTGTCCAGCGGGTTTACCTTTTCCCCATTCACGAGAAGCATCGTGTCATCCAGTCGGGCGTAGTACTTATACGCTTCCAGAGTGGGGATGCTTCAGGAATAGGTCTTTGGTAGCATAAGCGCCGTCAGGTCGGTTCGACATGGCCTTGGACGGGCCAGCCATCAAGGCAAACCAACTCCAAGACTCCAGGAGGCAGCTCTCTGGGTTCTGGAAGATCGGTTGCGGAAGGCCAGTGGACCCGCTGGAATGAATAATCCAAGCGATATGAGCGGACTCGATTCTGGGATCTAAATGAGGAACTAGGTTCGTGTCGATGTCGTCCGGGATGGGAAAGTCGTAACACTCTGGGGTGGGCAGTTCATCCACTGCCAGGCCTGGAACACGCCCCTGGACTTTCGTAGCTGTATTCTTGAGCGATCTATGGACAAAGACAGGCTGCGCTTTGGTCTTCTCTATCAACGACACGTACGCTTCAACTGAGATTCGGGTTGAAAGAAGTAATCCCGAATGCCCTAGAGGGGGACCATTGCACCGTGTAGCCCTTGATATAATGGGACAAGGACCTACATCCAGGTATAATAATACTCTACCCTATTCACCAATCGGTTGAGGATTGGAACCTAGCCTCTATCCCGGAAAACCTCAGTCCACCGGAGAAGTATCCGACGGCTCCAGCCTTCGTTTACATCGTCGTGGGAGTTATTTATGGCTAAGATAGACTTGGATCCAGTCGGGAAGTGTATAAACAACGTCATCAGTTTTGACTACGAAATAAACTAAGAAAACGAATCTCCCTGTAGGTGGCAACTATCGGAAAAATGAAATAAATAACTTTCAATTGGAAGGAGATCACTCAAAATATCTGGAGTGGGTATATATATCCTGAACTGTCTATGTCTTGGCAAAATTGGTGACCTGTATTAGTTTTGACTGGGCGTGTGTCTGCAAGGTAGAGATTAGAAATTAAATGACGAGGGTTCATTAGGGAGGTTCGAAAACGCCTACAAAAGAGCGGTTAGCAACAGGAATGATGTACATGGTGCTAGGAGACGGTTCTCACCCAGGTATCTAATTGCGACCACCAAATGGAACCGTCAAGATTCTCAAGAAGTCCCATATTGTCGATAGACCCAAATGGCTCATTGGCGAAGCCTTGCTGCAAGCCTCCTGCATAGTTTATAGAGCTTGAATCCAAAGAAATTGGGTTATTTGAAGGAACCGAGTTCGCCACCAGTCTCTGCTCCACAGTGGTTTCCTGATTTTTGAGGGATGCTGCCCTAGAAGGCTGTAGGCCGCCTCCAAAGGAGGCAGTATCCAGATCGGAGCCAAGTTGTCTGTGAACCTCCAGTCTCGTCTCTTCTAGGATGATGCTGTATCGACGACTGGGACAGTTCTTGCGGGTAGCCTCCGCAAGGTGTTGTTGGCAAAGTTCCGCGAGGCTGAAAAGTGAGCGTAGTCGGTCCTCGTCCATTTCAGATGCCTGCAGGGTAGATAATAATCGGTGCTGTTGAATGGTGTGAATATACACCACAATTATTGCACAGAAGCAGACATGGTGGGTAAACCAGAATGAATGGACTAGGACACCTTGTTTGGCCAGGCTGTCTACCAAGTTCATGACATCTTCCGCGGCCTCAATGCACTTATTCACATGCTTTGCCACCAGCGGATGGGGAGCCGTGGGTCTGCGCGTAAGATCAGTGAAATCATTCAATAGGAAATATCGAGTGGCATGAATCATTGCATGGCAGTATGCAAGCTGAAGGACCTGGCTCTGTCTACATAGAGGTGGAATAAGACTGGTCGCGCGAACAGCGTTGAATAGAGGGGGTGCTGTTTCTTTCCATCTTTCAAGGTCCGAGGTGATACGTGCGGCTGCTTCCAGCGGTGAGTCGCGGCAAACTGGATTGATTGTATAAAACTGCCGAGAAATCTCACCAAGAACCCGCCCAATTCTACGTCCTTAGCAGTGCACGTTGGAGAACTAGAAGTGGGGGGAGAGAAACAAACCTGAAATGTAGAACAGATGCAATCATCATGCAATCAGCAGTGCCTGTCCGTCTTTCTGGGTCTTCTTGGAGCATGTCCTCGTCATTCACCTCGTCTGGAAATTCCTGGTCAATATCTTCATCGTGCAACAATCGTGGCCGTCCAAATATGACATTGAGGTATTTGTCCAATGTATACGCACTCCATAAAATGCGCCTCCGAAGTTCACTTTCTAAATGGGTAGTCCCTGTTTTGGGCAGTTTGGCGGGACAGCGCCGATGTAGGCCAATAGCTGTTACAAGCTGTAGGGCTGTACCAAAAGTGTACCAGCACTCATTCGCTCGCGATGAAGAAAGGAGATAAAGACATTGTCCCAACCTTGCTTGTACGGTCTCAAGCCGAGGGGGCCCAGACTCCATTGAAGAGATGTATTTAGATGCGGCATACCATTTCTCACTACGTATATGTTAATTATAAAATATAGTGAGAAAGAAAAAAATTAAAAAAAAAAAAAAAAAAAAAAAAGAAGGGTATGGGCAGAAAAATGCTTACCTTTCACTCCAACCGTCTACTTGATTTCCAGGCTTTTGTTCCTCGTGCAAAATGCTTACAGCGAATATCATAAGAATGATTGCAGTTCTGGCTACCATAGGACCAGTAGGAAGATTTGAAGAGGAGATATCATATTCATAGACTTGCCTGAGCCACTGCTCCACACTCCTTCGGTGCAAAAACCGATAAGTCACAATTGCATAGTCGAAATAGATGCTTACTAGCTCCAAAGCTCTCTCGAACGAAGGCAGGGTAAAGCCAGCATCATGGTAATCAGAGTAAGGCCTGTCGCCAAACATAAAGACTGAGGTATTTTTTGAACAAGTTTCATTATCCAGTTCATCTGGAACAGCACTTGTTTCATCCTGATGAAGACGCCGCCACACACGGTTCAGAAAGGAGACTCCCGATGCGGGCCCCAGATAATTACCCTCAAAATCGGTAGCCACGGGGTCCGGAGAATTACGCTGAGAGACCTCGACAGACTCCCGTGAAAGCTGCGAATTCGCATTCGTCAGGGCTCTAGGCGAGTCTCTTGCCGTTTGCGATCTTTGAGAGATAGGGCTCGGTTCCGCCGAGGTTTGTGAGGCAGAGCGGTTCTTCGCATATCTGGCAGCTACTGAGGGAGGCGCTGGGAGAGGATCAGGCGGCAAGCCTCGAGAATAGGCCGCGTTGTATTCACACGCAAGTGAGAGTCGAGTGCATCTTCCACATGGTAGTGTTCCCGTACAGCGGGTTTTCTTCTCCTTGCAGCTGTCACAGGCCCTGGTGATTTTTTGGCGCGGACTGTTAACTTTGCTGGGTAAAGAATCAGACGCTTTTCTCTTTCTCCCTGGATCAGCAGTATCTCGAGGTTTCAATCCGCTACTGGTCTCTTTCTCCGACGAGAGTTGCACGTCCGTCTGCGTCACCAGTGTCTTGGACATTGGGCCCAGCGGGGAGAATTCTGGCTGATCAATGGGAATAGCCCGCCCAGAAGGGTCTATTTCCACTACCTCTTTCACACGTGTAACAAGCGAATTCCTCACTAGACGGGGAACAGATTAAGCCCCAAAAAAAGGCAATGATGAAACAACCAGACAGAGGGAATTAAGCGAGCAGAGGAGAAAAATCCGACGACTCCAACGGATTTGACATTTTGACTCACTTGGCTGACTTGTCCAGGCCGTGCGGGGTTAGAGGCAGGATAGCAGCTCCACCATTGAACGGGAGAAATCCGGGGCGGACGTTTTGGTTAGAACCGGAGCCATGATGAAACAATAAGATGGGGATGTGAAATTGAAGACCTTCGACCACCTCTGCCGAGTCATTCCATTCCACAGGGCAGCAGCACGAGGAGCAATATATAGAAAGAAAAAGATACGGGAAAAGAAAAGAGAAGAGAAGAGAGAGACGCGGCTCCCAATTAGGAAGGCGCTGACTCAGCCGGACATGTGCCGATTCCCTCCCTGAGACGAGATGAGCAGCAGCGTTTCGATGATATCTAGGAGAACCTGTACCTCGCATTTCTTCAGGAATTGCTGCATGAATATCCAGGACCCTCTATTCTTCACATCGAATGATATCTATAGATGGGCTCGAGATCTGATGCGTATCGCGCCGACCTAGTCATCTAGATCTACGAACAACAAACGAGAGAGAGAGAGAGAGAGAGAGAGAGAGAGAAAGAGAGAGAGAAAGGAGGACTTATGATTTCAGATTCCTAGCTATTACCTGAGCGGGTACGGAGTACACGATCACAAACGCTTCAGAGCTGCACCGACACAGCTTCCAAGATATATGAAGGAGAAACTAAACTGTACATCCCCTTGTTAAAAGCAGATGCTAAAATAGGATAAGCTTCTAGGTTATGCTGGGAAAGGATATATCAGTCGCAAAGAATTCAAAGTCGATGGTAGAACAGATCGACTTGGTTGTGTGACGTGTACACCTTTATTGGGCCACCAACGCGGCCCAATCCGATACAAGACAGCCTTGTTGCTTACTCGGTACAGCTTAGTTGCATATTAGCTGCAGGATACAGTGGGTTGGAACGCAGGATTCCTAGTATCCCGTTGATGTGACCTCATTATAGTAATGGTCTTTGTGCACAGGGAGCATCTGCCGGTTGGGTAGGGCTGTTTCCCGAAGAATTTCTGAAGAACCGGTACCGGAACCGAAGGTAGGGAAGATCACAGTGTGTATTGTTCAACCAATAGTCAAGTTGAAGCTAGGTCCAACGCATTGGAAAGCACCGTGGTTGACCGTTGTGGCTTCAACGCTGGCTTGGGCATACATCTCTCGAGCCAAACCGGGGTGGGTACATTCTACCACCATCTGTTTCCATCGTATTCCCAGTCAAAATACAGGCTGATAACACCTTCATTTGGGATGCTATTTTGATGGTGTCAAGGGCATGAATACAATTTTGTTTTCATTACCCGTTATACCTCTTTCCTACCATGTTCCTGCATCAAGCGAGTCATGTCACCGCGGCAGACACAGTTGAATAGATGTACCATTCATGATCTTGTAGCCTTGCTCCCTTTGAACACGGCTGTGTGGATCAAACAAGCATCAGGGGTTCAAGATATTCCTGATATAGGCAATCGACATTTTGTTCGATATGAAATAACAATGCAATATCAAAGAAAAAAAATGGGGGGGGGGGGGGGGGAACCAAGTGCAGATAGAGAAAAGTGGTGGGGGAGGAATAAAAAAACAAATATATTATAAAGAAAAGACTGAAAAGCAAGCAAGTCCGGATACATGCGGGCATGCATTTCACACCTACTCTAGTACACTGCTGGATTTTTCTTGTATTTTCCCCCCATTTTGTTGAGGTATGGAGTCTTTATAGTTAAGGAAAGGCGTGAATGAAGATTGCCATGATCTGTGTAAATCCATAACCCCATCTTATCTATGGGCATGTTATTGTCCTTGTGATCTTCAGGAATATTTTAAGACCCGAATAGTACTGGTTTGCCTTCTATTATCTGCAGGAGGGTTGAAACCAAGATGGCGCGCGCAATGTGGGATCGGTCCCGTTGTCAAGAATGGCCAGCCGCCGTCGCAATACTACTTGATTGCTCCCATCAGAGTGTAATGCGTTAAGCCTATAGTTGAGGCTCACGTCTACCCAGGGCCTCACCATTCGGTAGGTCAGATTGCACAGATGTGGGTATTTTCAGCTCGATTTTTGACTGAATGTTTGAAAATTTAGAAATAACTGAGTGAATTTCCTCATGTGAAGCCCCCATCCTAATGGCCTCGATGAGAATCTCCACATTTGTACGATCGCCGTATCGAATGGCTTCGAGAAGCTGTTCCAGGAACCCACGGAAATATTTAAGGTCTTCCTGAGCGCGTTTAGCCGCGACTTTACGTCGTTTGTCGGCAAATTCGTCAATGATACATTCGCGGTTATGGAGCGCGCATTCGGTACAAGGGGTACCAGTATTATCTGCACTACACTATAAAGAGGCAATGCATATTAGTAAAGATAAAGACGAGGGAGTGACGGGCAGCGCAGGGAGCTTGGATGGGAGGGATGTCTCTTAAGGCCAATTGAAGTAGCTTAAGAGTGAAGAAAGATATACCTTTGTGCGGCGACGTTTACATTCGGCACAAGCAGTGGAAGCTCGCTTAGTCCGACCATCATCTGAATTCTTCTGAGCGGGAGGATCCGGCACCAGTCTCGGCGCGATAGGACGAAAGTTGGGCCTTGGTGGCCCTTGATCGGCCATGGTCTAAGTGCAAGAGGAAAGGGAAAAGAAAGGGGAAAGAAGAGGAAAGGGGAAAATTAGAGAAGATCCAGGGAGAGCTAAATAATAGCTGAGAAAGATTACCAATAAGATATCACAACGGAATCAGAGATAATTCAGGGTTATGATGCCACAAGACATGGTGCAGCTAGCTCAAGACGATCACACAGAACATGCTCAGGCAAGTAGCATGCGTCCGCAGGCCTTGAAGAAGACTGCCACCAATATTGGAGAGCCCGGCAGCCAGGCACGGAGGGGTAATGACGTGGAGTGATGGGGAGAGGGGTCCAAAAGGAAGAGGTAAGGCGGAAGGAAGGGGAGTACTGAACGGAGACAAGCTGGACAGCTAGTTTACTCTTCCCTTTTGTGCAGTCAACAGTAGAGTAAGTCTGCACTGCGCGAGGTAATCACGAAAACCAAGGCCGATTGAGAGAGGAGGAGGAAGGTAATGGCGAGGGGAGAGGAGGGGAGAAGAAAAAAAAAAAAAAAAAGAAAGAAAGAAAAAAGAAAAAGAGCGAGAGACAGAGAAAGGAAGTGGCTGCAGGGCTGCCCCAGTAGTAGGAGTAGTAATAGAAGTAGACGGCTGGAATCAGTCACGCAGTCAGCCAGCTAGACAGAGAGACGGTTAACTAGTAGGTTCCTCCAAGGCCCACGGACCGACAGATGGTTCTTCCTGGAAGTCTTCAGGCACGACCACCAGGGGCGAAAAGGGACGTGGCAAGAAGCAGTCACTTACTCAGAGTTGGAACTGGAACCAAGAATTGAACAAGAAGGAGCCAGTCTGGACTGTAAGGTTGAGCGAAAGGCACCTGAGAGAGGGATTCTTGGGACAGCGGGTAGTAACGATGTCAGAGGCAGGCGCCAAGGGTTCGATCCCAGTCACCCACGCGAGCTAGATGCGGTTGAGGCAACGGGGCAAAACCTTGAATAACGCGAAGACTTTGCTTGCTGGTTGGCTTCTGAAGTGTGGCATAGATGGTTGTGGTGATTCGTATACACGCGCAGGGAAGGAGGACCAGGTGGTTGCTTCACTAACCACCCCAAGCTCGCGGTGTATAGTTGTACACTGACCATCGGAGTGATGAGTTATGGGCCTGCTCAATAAATTCGACCTTGGGTGATGAACATGCATGACACCTTTTGCCGACGGGACCCAAAGTTACCTAGGTAGCCGATGCTGCCACCACCTTACTGGATTCATTGGCTGGGTCCGCAGGTGTACTGGACCTGTTTTCTTCAAATCCATTCTCTCCACCACACACTCTTAATTTTTATCTTCACTCCCTCTCCCCTCCTCTTCTTCTTTGCTTGTCCTGGCTGCCTAAACAACCGCGAGGACAAGAACAAGCATGATCAATCTATAGATCCATTTCCCTTTCCGGGCGGCCACGGATCACAGTCCCTATTCTGGCAGGCGTCTGCTCTCGAATCCACCACCAATATCGTTAACTGGGAATTTCAAAGTTCGTGTCTGTTGCATTCCTGTCTCGGCACCGAAAAGTGCTGTTTTTGTTTGGGTTTTGTTTTTGTTTTTATTTTTATTTTCTTTTTTTATTTATTTTCCCTGCCTTGGGGGAGCCGAGTGGATAACTCAACGGGGCTAATGCCATCTTCCGCACGAATCTTGCCTGGCATTTAAGCCGGATATGATTCCCATGTGGGTTGATAGGCTATGAAGCCACGAGTCTGGCGATCTGGAGGCACCAGACGTTTCCCGAACAAGCCCGCTTGGCTCTGTTGGTTGAGGAGATTATCCCATTTTCGTTGTAGTACGGAGTATTCTTCATGATTCATGCCTGGTCGTAAGAATTCCCCTTCTGCGGAAGAGTAATATATCTGACAGACGCATCGCCACAGGCCCAATTGGGGTTCTCCCTTGGGTGTTGAAGGAGGAGGAAGTATGACCGGTCAGAACAGGAGCCCCATCCTGGCATTGAACTTGGAATTCTGGTGTTTCATTTGGTGAGGTAGCCAAAGAGCGACAGCGTTGCTGGATGGGAAGTGAGAGCTTTTTCCTTTTGCTGGACTTTTGTAGTACACGGAAAGTCGTGCTGCCAAGAGATATCCGTGCACGTGATACAGGCCCCCGTGCGCCGAAGCCGAAACAACCAACACCAACCACTTCACTTTACACGACCTTTGGTACTTTATTATCCTATACCACTCAGTATCTGAGTAGAGAGATACTGTACCTATTCTATTAACCTACAACTGCGAGGCTATCTAGTTGGTTTCTCTCTTCCTCCGCCTCCTCCGCCCTTCTCTCCCTTGAAGAGAAATGCAGCTGTGTTCTGCAATTTATCTTATTTTTGATTTTTCCCCCCGCGGATCCTTACCATAGCCAAATGTGTTCACGCAACCATTGCGTTATTCGTGGCTGGGAAGCCTGCTGCAAGATGACCTGCGAAGGCCGAATGGACTGTGGTTTCGCGAGGCACATTCATTGTCCCTCACCAATCAAACCCCTCCTTTCTCTCTATAGGTCCCTAGGCCAGAGAAGCGCTTAGCAAAGACTGGTTGAATCCCGAAGATCATTAGACAGCGGGGTTCCAGACCATTCGAGGGTTCTTCTATTTTCAGGCCAGATGTCTTGCAGACAATGGAACGATGGAATGCCCCTCGACGCGAGGACCAAATGGCAGACGAACGCTAAATCGTGACGAGTGAAACCTTCGGCTCCACTAGCCCCGGCAGCTGAGCTTGCAACGAGAGTCCAGTACGGAGTACTCCGTACCGGGAACTCAATGGAAGACAATGGCATTCAAGCCTAGCTAGCTACTACGGATACTCTGTGTGCATAGAATCCATCAGGGATTTCTAAAAGGTAGGGGGTCCAGATGTCAACTGGAGTGGCAAGGTTTTTTTGTTTTGTTTTGTTTTGTTTTGTTTTGCTTGGAGGTTGTGACTTAATTCGAATTTTCCTCTCCCAATCTCTGTCTCTCTCCACTTTAACGGCTCACGTTCCAAAGACTATTATTCAAGCACCGAAGTACCAGACCAAGGAGAGAGCTGCTAGTGCTAGGGAAGACCCGTCATGTCCGAATAGGGCGGCTGTTTTAGGTGTCAACCAACGGGCAAATGGCAGTTTTTGGGTCGTCTCAGCCACAGACGTAATGGGTTATCGCGCTTGGGTTGCAGTCTCAGAAATTTGATTCTATACATTTTCGTCGACGAGCACAAACGAAGATCTCCATTCCAAATTGCCACCCCCTCCCCCAAAGCACAGGGCAGATCAAAAAGCTTCGGTCGTTCCGGAGAAAATCTGGGCCAAGGTTTTGGAGGGTCTGAAAGCATGTCATATAAACACTGTCGGGTGACCGGCAAAATCTTATAGGTAGCTAACTACTCCGTATATACGCATCATCGAGATGAAAGGAGAATAATGAATACAGCCTGGAAAACGCAATCTGGGAATCAAAATAATCCGTAGAATCCCGCCTCTCTTTGAAAAAAAAAAAAAAAGAATAAAAGAAAACAAATTGGATAATAAGAAAAGATAAAAGGTGAGAAGTAGAAACGGTCTGTAAAAATTAAGACTGGAACATAGTAAAGGAAGTACGACAATCAATATATCGGTCTGCTCTCCTCCCACGTTCGCGGAGTTTCTGTGTGGCTTGTCACCGCGGCGGCATCTGGGCTCGCTGAAGGGAGGGTTTCCTGATTTGCCGATGCTGAGAAGTGCACCTTGCTAGCCTCTCGTCGTGAGCTGCTTCGCTCGAAATCTCTTCCAACACTGCCGATTCCCCCGACCCATTCCCAGACGCGGGCCACATCCCCACCACGACCCTCACGAACTGCGGCGCGGATGTTAGCATTCCCTTCAACGACGCTTCGAACACGCTTCCAAAGTTCTTCACGTCGACTTCCGCGCAGTTCGAAACGGAGTACATCGTCGCGCAATTGCCCGATAGGGATGTAAGGTTCACGGGCTTGATGACGCGCATGCAAAGCTGCCTGTGTTGCCAACCTGTCCAGGGTCGTGGCGACCAATTCAGGTACACGAGCTAAATCAGAGCGGCGGGCAAGAACTCTCGAGCGGGTGTATGCCACGCCGATCACGCAGATACTTAGAATTGAAAGAGGGAGTCGATACGCGAGGATAGAGAGTCTGATGTAGCGGCGAAAGGCGCACGCGAGCGGGAGGCGTGTGACGGATGTAGATGCGAGGGAGATGACAGACGATGATCTGTGATTGTGTGGTCGATTCTGTTAGTTCCCATACAAACGTCAGAACTAGCATCTGTGACAAGTACGGGAATACAAGGCTGCTAATATACCGCCAGGATCCTGACATGAACAAGAGATTATTGTAAACTTACGGAATTGTTTTAGCAATTACTTCCTCCTTTGCAATGATCTCACCGAGTGCTCCTTTCCACAGATCATCGAACTCAGTATCACTCATCCCATTCCGTCGTCTTTTCCCTACTTCTTGCTTGAGATCTGCCTCACTGATATCTGGTCCAGTAGAGACTTTGTCGCTATTAGAGAGCTCCCCACATTCCCACTTGGCTCTCCGATCACGAAGAGCTTCCAAGGCTTTATCAGTAACAGCTTTCACTCGTCGTGCCTTTTCACTATCAGGTTCGCATGTCGGGGGTAGAGGAACAAGGCCTCCTAGTGACAAGGGGTGGAGAGTGAGAATGAAGTCATGTTCACATCGAGCTTCAAAGTTAGGGTAGCAGAAAGCGTGCGCTGGGCATGGCTCGCATTGCGGCTCGAGAACCTTTGCCCACTCTGGCACTTTTGTTTCAGCCAACGACCACGTAGGTTTTCCAATACCGCAGTATCCAATTTCAAGCTTCTCCTTGCGCCACCAGGCCACAAAGCTGGCAAATAGAGAAAAAATTATCAACCATGGAAGTGATCTCCCGATCGGACCCTGATTTTGCTGCCGCTTTCGAGGAGGGCTAGGTGGGTACATTAAATCTGCTTGCTCCCTCTCTAGTGCGAGTTGTTCGTCAGGAGTGAACTCCTCACCAGTACTAAAGTCACTTTCTCCTTCCTCATGTACCCAGTATTCAGTCTCTTTTTGTGGCGATCGAGGCTTAGAAACTGCAGAGCCGAATGGCGACCGAGTAGCAAAATCTGCGTCATCTTCATTTTTGATGTAAGTTGGTGTTTCGGATCTCCGAGCTAGTCCTTTGTATGGTGATTTATCCGTAGAATATCGAGAATTGCTCTTTCTTTTACGTTCCTGGCTTGTCGCCATCTTAGGATCCCAAGGTGCGGGAGAGCTTCCGCTCTGGAACGGGTTGTCATAGGTAAACACGCTAGCTTCTTTCGATTCGGTCTTGATGGGTGAAAAATGAGATTCCGTCTCCATCGACGGAGTCAAATCCCTTCTGCGCAGTTTGCCAGCGGTAGAGGCGCGAGGCGTCATGGTGCCAGAAGCAAGAGGAGTAGCAAGCTGGTCCTCATCTAGCTCAGCTTCTGACTTCTGATTGCGCCTTCCTCGTGATCGGGTACTCGTTCTTCGGGAAGATATCGATGGTGTGTCTGTGGCACTGGCATCTGTGTCCGCTGTCGATGCACGCGCACTAACCCTTGATCGACCTCTTCTTCCTGCCGTCGACACGGTTGAAGGGGTCGGTGGAGGAGGCATAGACTCTCTCTCGACGTCATCTCGCTGATAAGCGCCCTCACTAACAACAGATGCCTCGCGACTGCCCATATCCATAATGCCAGCGCTTGTCCTCCTTACCTTTTCGCGTTCGCGGAGTAATTTCTTCGCTTGAGGTAGGACTTCCTCCTCTAGAATGCGGATGAGCTGGGCCTTCTTCGCAGACGCTGGGTAGGGTACATCGTGGCTAACGAGGATAGATCGGAGACGAGGAACAGTGAGAGAGTTGAGGTCAAAATCCGGAGCAAGGTATTCGTAATCATCGGCCATGGTTGCTAACAATCACCTAAGCAGGTTACCAGGCCTATGAATTCTTGTGTGGACCAAAAGAAAAGTAAAGAAGCAAAAGACGCTCCAGACGAAAAAAAGATTTTTTTTTTTCCCAAGCCAAAGCTCTCCAGCACCAAAATGTCGTCTAATTTGGGGAAGACGGACTGAGAGATGAAGTGTCCTTTCTTATTCGTGGATAGTAGCAACCAGTGTTGGGAAGGATGGTATCCACGGCAACAAAGCGGGGCGCCGACACCGTCTAGCTGGGACTGTGATCAAGCAGTAGGCACATCCCACGCCTTGTCAAAACCTTTGTATTCACTGGAAAGAAGGGGATTACAGAACAGCAGACTGCGTGGATGGAGGGACAACACGGCTGGAGAAGTGAAGTTGAAGAAAACCAGCAGTTGAAGACGTTGGGAAAACAGAGAAAACCGATGGCGACACCACGTGACCTGATGTATGCTCAATTAGGAAATATAGTTTCTTATGTAATACTGGTCACAGATAAAAATTATCAGTCAGCCCCAGTCTCTAAATCAAGATTTGGCTATAAAGAAAAATCCAGGATATTCAGAAATGGAGGATTGAGCAAAATAGTAGTAGTAGTAGTAGTTCTCTCTGATAAATACTAGGTAAGCCCAAACTACATGATGATCGCAGGTCATTATTGTCATCATGCTTCCATTATCTAAAGTAAACCAAAAAAATATTTGGTATTGTAGAAATTGACCTATCGCCCCTGGGCTCCTACCCATGTTTAACATCGTCCCTCCCAAGACGCCGCAACTATAATGTAGATGATGATTGAAAAGTAATAACGGTGAAGACCAAAAAAAAAAAAAGAAAGAAAGAAAGAAAGAAAGAAAGAAACTATGGAAAAATTTTCAGTATAAACACAAGATAATTAGGTAGATAGAAGGGAAGTTAGGGCGGCAGAAGTAGGAGAGGGTATCTAAAGAAAGGACGAGGAGGTAGAAGAATTGGAGCGCAAGTCCCCGGTACTATACTGGAGGTCTGTCCCTGTCGAGCTAGGGGGCGTGCCAGTGATGCCAGCAGCACTGACAGCGATTTGCTCCTTCAGGGCTTTATATTCCACAAGCTGCGTCTGCAGTTGTTGCATAACTTCTGCAATAGGGACAGCGTGGTCATCAAGTCGGTCTCCCGGCTTGAATGGCCGCATCATATGTCGCAGAGCAAGCGTACTAGTCGTCACCTATAAAGACACTTAGCAAGGCAGATATACATATCAGAGTCCTGATGAATTACGAACCTCAATGCGAGTAACTTGCTGCTCCACCAGACTAACAACGGTAGAATCGGCAAGTTCTCCTCCATGATTCTTAATTATGTTGAAGAGAGCCACATTCGGCTCTTTAAGGCGTGCGTCGCCCGGGTGCTCCAAGGCACCGCAGAGTCGCTCCAGGCGAAGAGTAACCTCCCATAACCGCCAGATAAGGTCGGTCTGAATTTCAAGCTGGGAGTGTTTGCTGATTGTGGTTGGTGCATTTTCATTGGCCGCCATTTGTTCCATATTTGTTAACCGTCCAGACAGAGAGTGAGGGTAGATGAGGTACAAGGGCTCCGGATTTTCAAGGCCCTTTAATTTCCGCTCACCCTGGTCTTTGATCACAAATCCTTGGCTGTTAAGCTGCTGAAGTTCGCGCCTAATATTGTACCCCAAATTGTCCAGTGCATAACTCTCTTCGGAGCCTGTCGATGCTGCTCGCTCACTATCAGCAAAGACCTCCAAGTTGCGTTGAATATCACTCATGAAATCAGACGAAACGAAAATTTGGCCACCGTCAGCGACGGCCGAAATTCGTGATGCACGATTCACCATTGGGCCGAAATAATCCATACGGTTGGTAACAGGATCTTTTTCACACACAGGCTCACCCCAATGCACTCCCATTCGCACAGACAAGCCGCGGAAGATTACATTGTTTTCCATATCGTATTGAACTTGGCACTGAGGTTGCTCGAGAATCTCTGTTGGCCATTCAGCTTCCAGGAGCTGGGTTTGACAGTTGAAACACCACAATAAAGCAGCCGTAGTTGTCGAGAACGCAACCATAAAGGCGTCACCTTCTGTCTTCACTTCATAGCCACCAATGATACCCAGCTGTCGGCGCAGGATATCATTGTGGATTTGAATGGCGGAGCGCATTGCGTCGGGGCACGTTTCCCAGAGACTCGTGGACTTTTTAATATCCGTGAAAATGATCGCTAGTTCACCAATTGGGGCGTCCACATAGTCAAAGCGAGCGAGTCTGGAATCACCTGGCATGTCACGTGGTTTCTTGGTACGCTTTGGGCTGGGTATGATCTGGTCTTCAGGTTGTCCACCCATTGAGAGACTTGGACCTCGAAGCTTAAGCTTCTCCCGTTTCTTCAGATCCCCGACACCAAGTATCATGACCATGAGTTTGTTACTAGCACCGAAGGAGAGGGCCAGGTCCCTTATCTTCTGGGCCGCAACCATGAGGTCTCGTCTCTCAGCCCTAGTTACATCAACAACGAGGTCTGGAGTAACGTAATCCCAGAGTTCTTTTGATGCCAAAATGACCATTTCGTCCTGTTCGGTCAGACTGATATGCATTGTATGAGGAGCTGCGATCACTGCAGGCATGAGGTGGAAGTAGCCAAAGGATCGCGAGACAGTGAGAATGTCGTTTAACTTCCCGTTCCGGGAGACAAATCCTCCAGCAGCACGAATTCGTGCTCTCTCATGTGCTTCAGCTGGATCGTGATTTCTAGTTAAAGGCCTCATTGAACCATCAGATCTAACGAGGATAGCTTGGGCATCGCCAACGTTGGCAGCATACAGATCCATGTTGTTCAGGTATAGAACAGTAGCCACGCCGCCGGACTGTAAATCTTCCTTATTGAGGCGCACCTTCTTCTGATCGGAGGGGTCTTCTTGATACTGTCTGACATCTTGATCGATAGACTTGTAACAAGAGAAGGCCATATTCTTGTTGAGGGACAAGAATGCCCGCCTCAACGCATCCAATGGCGTTTCATCCTCCTCGGGTCGCAAGCGCTTAAGCTCAGCGGAAAAAGTTTGAAGGAAGTTCTCGTGCAGGAACTTGGCAACTCTCGAGCCCCCTGTTGAATTAGGCTGTCCATCAAACATTCCCACGACTGTTTCGACGTTATCGGGTTTCAACCGCGGAACAATCATATCAATGATGGAGAGATGCTCGCTCTTGCCAAGGAAGTCGGCCATGCCATATGCAAGTGAGCCAGCGAGGGAAGCTGATGTTCTAACACGACGGTCTTCATTCTCTTCAGGAATCGTTGACGTTGTGAGGGTAACATCCATCAAACCAAGAACGCGAAGGTGCGTAAGTGAATTGAAGTCGGTCAAATCTGTTCCATTGGCTGCCTGAGAGCCCAAAGATGAGATATTTGGTTTGATCTCCAGCCGCTTATTTCCAGAAAAATTGAGATATTTCAAGTTGCGATTCCAGTTCCAATTCCAGTCGTACGGCCAATTGGACACATTGTACTTCAGAGCGTTGCTTCCAACATCAAGAATAGCAAGCTTGCTGACTTTGCAAAGTTCGGCTGGGAGGACCTGGAACCTGTTGGCATTGATGTTAAGGATCTTCAGGTTGCTTCCCTCCTCGAGGTCGTCTGAGGGGAGTGAGGTCAATTCGTTGCCCGAAAGATATAACTCCGTCAGTAAAGGCCAACGCCTCAGGAGTCCCTGAGGAAGTTCTGTTAAGACATTGTACGAAAGATTCACAACCCGTAATTCTGGAATGAATGGCAGCTCGCGGAAAATGTCATCCTCCAAACGGTTATCTGCCAAAAACAGGTTTCGAAGCGAGCCCCCGAATGTGGTTGCCACATGCTGAGAGAAATTTGAGTCCTTTCTGGAGGAGGGACTACCTTCAGTAAGAGACCTAGACGCTGTCGAAATCTTCCTACCCTGACCCAAAGAGGATGCAACCGATGGCTTCCGGTAATTTGCACCGTTAGGTGAGCTGCCACTGCTAAGGACACCTCCAGATGTCTGGCTAGGGCGACGCGTTTCAGGTTCGTCAATCGTACCCAGCTCTTCAATATTTGGTGTCACTGACCCTCCCGGGGTTGCTGCAGGAGTGACGCCAGCTTCACTTGGAAGTTGGGGTGGCGGACTGCCGTGTTTCGGGAAACTATCCAGCACGTTTGATGAGACATTGAGAGTCTCGAGCTTCAAGCAGTACCAAATCTCGGGGGGCAATCGTCGCAAATTACACTCTCTCAGATTTAGATATTTGAGCTCGGTCAAGCACCCAATAGTTGCGGGAAAAGATGCTAGCGGGTTTTTAATCATACTAAAATGCTCTAGCCGGCGCAATTTTCCAATATGAGGTGACATGGACACAAAGTGGTTCTTGTCCAGGATGAGCTTGGTCAGGTTAGGTAAATTGTCGAACAAAGAGTCTCGGAATTGAACAAGCTTCGCGGAGGCAATGTTAAGGGACGTCAGTGTTGGCACAGGCGCGTCGATGTCAAACTGCGTCATGGGACAGTGATCCAATAACAGAGTTCGCAATCGAGGAAACGAACCCTTAAATTTGGAAACCGAATTATGACCGATCAATAGCTGTTCCAGGCGGGGGAGAAGAGCCAAATGGTCAATATTGGTTATGTCATTAAACCTTGCATCAATTTCTTTCAGGTTCACGAGATCCTTGATTGACTCGTCGAAGGGGCCTTTCAAAACATTGTTCGTCATCCAGATTCGCTCGAGAGTCACCAGTTTACCAATATTTGGTAGCTCGGAAATATTATTGAAGCTGATATCGAGATCCACCAAGCTTTTCAGATTGCAGAGAAACTCTGGGAATACGTGAAAATTGTTCGACGATATATTCAAGCTCCTCAAATATTGAAAGTTCCCAAAGTAGCTTGGCAGTTCAATAAGCCGGTTATTGGCCATCTTGATACTGACAAGACCATGGAGCCTATCCAAGTTTGCATGATCCAACTGCTCTAGGAAGTTGTTCGACACATCCAAATAAGTCAGTCGAATAGCGAGACTGAAGCTCGCAGGTAAACGTAAAGCCTCGTTCCCGATAAACTTAATCTCCCGTAAGTTGATACAGCCTTGAATGAAGTCTTTTGGAACATCCAAGGCCAAGTTCCGGGATAGATTCAGCGAAATGATTTCAGGTGCCTTTTTGTAAAGAGTGATAGGAATAGTAACAAGGCTTCGTCCTTGTAGGTCCACGTGGCTAAACTTCTGCGTTTTGTTGAAGCCCGGCTCGCCTTCCAAGCTGCTGTACCCGCTGAGCTTTGTCGGAAGGAATGTAAAGCGGAGGATGTAACTATGGTCCTCGCGACCAATCTCTTCTATTCTATCCTTCTGCGTATAACCGATCTGCTCAAGCATCTTTTTTTGCATAAGAATTGGTTGCTCGCTAGGGTCTAGCTGCCTCGAAAGGTCATTTTTCCGCATAACGATTTCATAATTGTTCAGATGATCCGTGAGGAAGGACTTCCGGCCAAGGGAGAGAAGTATATCAGCGACTGTTGCATGCAATCCAGTGGATAGCGTGGCAAATGTCGAGTCGATTCGAAAGACGCGTATGAAATAGGAAGTACCATCAAGTTCGACGGTGTCTTCAGCATTGTCATAAGCCGTGCTGGGAAGTTGGGCGGTAATCTCATCTTTTTGTTTTTTCACATGCCAGCTCTCGGGTGCATCCCAGTGGCCAGCAGGTAGCTTATCGGGGACACTGCTTTCATCGGGATGCAGTGTATTGCCATCAATATTTTTGGTTCTGTCGCTAGGTGATGGTACTTGGACAATGCCTTCCATATGTGAAAGGTCCGTATCAAGGGTCCAAACTCCAGATTCTTCACCGGCACGTGCGTCTCTACTGGAGAGTATTTCATTTCCGGCGCCACGGCGAGCTCTCAGTTTGCCGGGCCCAATGGCAAGTACTTTACCATCTCTTCTCCGATCATAGTCTACCGATTCAGCATACCTAGAAGGAACAGTGCTCTCCAGGCTGCCCTGTCGTCCCCGCCTGCCAGGGGAAGCATCTCGTCGTGATAACTTGGATGAGCTCTTGGAGGCATCCTGAACTACTTTTGAACCAGGGAAATGTTTCAAGTTCGGACGTCGGATTTTCCCAAAAAACGACCGCTTATAAGAAGTGGCCCCGGGAGAACTCTGCCCTGGTTCGCGGGCGTAAGCACTCTGAACGCTCGGGGTGGGACTCGTGGAACGCCCACCCAGATTGGTGGACGAGCTTGCAGCTGTTTGGTAACCCAAACTCCCTTCTCTAAATGGGCGCAGCGCAACAGAGATGTCGTCTCGACCCGTTGCGGGACGGATGGGATACCCAGCTAGATCCCCGGCAACCGTTGACTTCTCCTCTTTGCTTCGGGAATGTCGATGGCCGCTGAAATGTCTACGAGATGGGTCCCTTCGAGCGCTGGCAGCATGCTGTGAGGCGAAACGCGATCCATCCGGCCCGATAGGAGCCTCGCGAACCGGAGCTTCTCCAAACTGTGGGATATCGTTGAAGCTCTGATACACCCAGGGAGTGATTTCACTAGAGGGGAGCGGTGTTCGGGGTCTAGCATGCGGGGGCAAAATCTCATCCTGAGACCCTTCTGATGTATGCCTTGAACCATCGGAATTGGCTCTTTCGCGGGCTTTGAAGTGGTCAATGGACGATGGCTTAGGGGCCATTATTTGGGGATGACTATCAAAATCATGTTTTGGATCGCTAGACCCGGCATACTCATCACCAAAGAACCCCTGCAGTTTTTTTCGAAATAGTCCACTCGCACTAGACTTCGATCCCTGACTGCTAACAGTTGTAGCGCTAGCAACGGATGGTCTCCGGTAGTCTCCATTGTAATCCAAATCCACGGGTTCGCTGGCGTAGGTACGACCAGTACCGGGGCGGAATGTCGCTGTGGCTGGCGATGCTTCTTGTTCAGAATAGTCGTGGAAAAAGGTACCATGAGTGTCTGCGGATGTCATCTTGGGGGAGTACGACTGTGAAGCGTTTGAATCTTGCTGGAAATAATCCAGTGAGTTTGGATTCAAGGGCGAAAGATGCGAGTCAGCATTGCCGTGCTGTGGTTGGTCACGGTCATCGGTTCCAACCCCTAGTGACGCCTTTCTATCAGAGCCAAAACCTGAAACCTTACGCTGGTCAGTTGGGGATACATCCGGAGATCCCCAGGAAAACATTGATGTGTACAAATCGTTAGGAGTTCCCAACGCTGGCGGGGGGCGGCGCTGAAAATCGGATCTGGAATTTGTCAACCTCTGAGAAAGATGGCACTTGCTTGTCTAAATGCTTCCACACAGAACGAAGATTGATGGGGTGAAGGGGTGGGGATGAATAACAGGAGTAGCAGTCAATGAAAATCCCATAAGAGGAAACACCAAGATTCACTGAGGGTTTAAATATCCAGAAATAACTTGGGCTTGATACATAATAGAGACCAAGAGCGGGAGGGGGTGGTCGAGTGGTAAATATATCGGATAATAAGCCCAGCCCATTGAGTGAGGATATACGCTGGGGTCCGGCAGCATCCCGTCCTCAGCGCCACAAGTCTCATCATTCTATGCGAAACGAAACATCTAACTTTCAAAAGATGCAAAGAAAACCAAGAATCCCAATGCAAGAAAAACAAAAGAAATTAAGAGTCCTTACGTGTCATTTTCTTCGCCTCTCGAATGTGGGGAGATGCTTCGACTCGCCGAAACAGGCTGGCTCTGGTATTGGTTGGTCAGACCGTCTTTGACCGTCTCCTGGGAAAATCCACTATTCTTCCCAGAGCTCTCAGAGCTGTGCCTCCCTTCAGGCTGATCGCCAGCACGATACGCCATTGTCTGAAGAAATGCAGTCGCCCGGAACCTCGACCCAGCGGGTGTAGGAGCTGTGGCGGGATTGGGAGGAAAGCGACGAAAGTCACCAACGCAGCCACCATAAAATGATTTCCTCCCGTTGTAATATCCAAGACTCGTAGGATAGGATCGCAAGTGTATTCGATGGCGAGGGAGAAAGATAATAGGCGGGACAAATGCGAGGTTAAACACGTTTGGAAGAGGTTCTGGTAGGTCGATATACACAAAAAACTTTACACAACGCAAACAGCGACAGCTTGCTTATACAGATGGCGAGATGGGGTGGGAAAAGGAAAGATCGATATAATAGTTGGTCGTTGTGGCTCAGATTTAGCGTCGGGCGCGACGGTGTCAAAGTGTCTCTCATATCCTGGAGTAAGAGCGGCCGCGGTCAGGAAACGCCATGGCACATTCTGGGGCGAGACCCCACGAGCGCATGTCATAAAAAAAAAGGGGGGAGAAGAATCAAAGATAGCTCAACAAAATGATGCGATGTGGGTGAGTCAGATAATTGCGGGGGGAGGGGGGATGGGAGGAGGGAGTAAGTGGACTTGCGAGAGAGCGAGAGAGAGAAAGAGAGAGAGAGAGAGAGAGAGAGAGAGTGGGTGAAGGTGCTGGAGTCTTTGAGGCTCTGACCACCAGCACCCGCTAAACCCGAATAAGCAGCTGGTAACTAGCTCGACCTGAGGGGCGCTGCATCCTTTTTTATTTAGCCATGGCTTTTGAAGATGATTCCAGACTCTACCAGGCGAGGATTACAATATTCTCTTCTCTGGATTCATGATCATGTCTATTTTCAAATTGAGCTTTAACCGCGAAGGCTGTCATCTTCATCCTTGAAACGCTGGGGGCGTTTCCGGGGGCATGCTATGATGGTCCGTGTGGTTGTCTGTGCTTGAGAGACAACGTAACTGACGGCATGCCCCTTTTTGATAAGTTCTGACCAGCTGCTCTCTTATGACTTCAACCAGCTACTAAAGACTACCAGCGACTTAGTTCCCCTGGCCAGAGCTTCGTCATCTGACCTACCCCTATTATCCACCGCCTCGTTTCGAATCACTCAAAATACGGGAATTATGGATGGATTACCGCTTGAGAGCTTAAACTTCCCCAGAAATGACCTCCTGTGTGTAAATATGTTATTGGAACTGGTTGAGGGCAACCTAGGTAGCTACAAGGTGCTCAATATCACACGACTTTCTCATTTCTTTTTGCCAAGTAACACCCAAGGATTGACCACGGATCCCCAAAGTAAGTAAGCACACTGGAGAATCCGTTAAACTTTGATGATATATCATCTTACTAGGGGGTATTCTCAATTTCCTCAAACCTAACGACATGCCAAGTTCTAGGGACAGACATAACCTTCTCAAGGAGGAACTATCTACCTAACTTATGGACTCTAGTAGGAATCAGATTCAGGATACCTAAGGTACTGAGGCGTCAACGGATGCGGTGAGCGCCACCACTCGCATGGGAGAGCTCCCACCAATCAAAACACAAGAAACCCCACACCAGCCACCCAACTCGTGACTGCGGCCCCACTGTGTATGGCTGGAGTGGGATGATGCCTGATCAGGAAAGGTGATGTTGAGTCCACCGATGCCCCCAGTGGTTTCAACGTACTCCGTACTAAGAAAAGAGTCTCGATGCTGAAATCTGGGAGGCTGGACGACTCTGACCGAGTCCTCATGTCTCATGGCCACGCATCAGATCGATCTCCCACGCTTTAAATATCCGCCCGGCATTTCTTCTCACAAGATGAATCAATACCCGCAACCTTCGCCTTCTTCTTTTGTCCTGCAGGCTTTTCACTTGCGCCTTCCTCTCCTGGAGTCGGATCTCAAGGGTTGTGCAAGGTCACTCTTTAATCCTTTGCTCCCCTCTACACTGATTTGAAGCGTTCCCGCATTTTCCTTACATTCCTTTGTTCCCTCATTTCTCTCGGCTATCTCAGACTTATCTCTTTACCCTCCAACTGTGCTGTCAGCCCCGGCCCTTGTACAGTTTATTTCAGATTCCCTTCACCATGAGACTCCAACTGCAGAGTCCGACCATTGGTCTTCTCTCTTGTTTGACCGTGGTTGCTGCTCAGACATATACTGATTGTAACCCATTATCGAAAAGTAAGCTCTCTCTCTCTCTCTCTCTGAAAAATTGGAAAATCTGTACTCATATGTTTCACAGCTTGTCCCGCAGATACCGCCCTTGGACGATCAGCTTCCTACGACTTTACTCAGGGAGCATCCTCTGATTTTTCGGAAGTTGGATCTCCGACTTATGGCAGCGATGGAGCTGCTTTCACTGTAGCGAAGCAAGGAGATGCACCGTTAATCCAGTCGAAATGGTACATTATGTTCGGACATGTCGAATATGTGATTAAAGCTGCGCCCGGAACCGGGATCGTCAGTAGCGCGGTTTTACAGTCGGATGATCTCGATGAAATCGATTGGGAATGGCTTGGAGGCAACGATCGATATGTCCAAACTAATTATTTCGGCAAAGGAAATACTGCGTCGTTCAACCGGGGAGCTACACACGACAATCCAGGCAATCATGACAGTTTCCACACCTACTCAGTTGACTGGACGAGCGAGCAGATTGTTTGGCAAATCGACGGGACAACGGTTCGTGTCCTTACTCCCTCGACCGCGGAGAGCAATCAATATCCCCAAACCCCAATGATGGTGAAGGTCGGAGTCTGGGCTGGCGGAGACCCCGACAACGCTCAAGGCACTATTCGTGAGTCCTTCCCATTGAGCTCGTGATAGAATATATTTTTTCTAATGTCCATCTTCTATAGAATGGGCTGGTGGTGTTACGGACTATAGCGCTGGGCCATACACCATGCACCTGAAGTCCCTCAAAGTGACCGACTATTCGACAGGGAACTCCTACGAGTACAGTAACGAAAGTGGATCATGGGAATCAATCAAGTCAAATGGAGGAGAGATCAACGGGAATATCAGTGCCGATACCATCTCGTCGGTTGTGTCAGTGCCCACCATAACTGCAACAGCTGATAGTGGTCCTATCCCATGGAGCGGGACACACCGCGAAACATCCAGTTTTGTGACCCCAAGTGTCTATCCTTGGATCCCCGACCCTAATAGCTCTTCTAAAGAATCCCCTTCAACGTCTTTACCCGATGGATGGAAGTTTGCTGGCTCCGCCAAACCTCAGCCCCCCAGTAGGGCCTCAGTGAGTGAGCATTGCCCACATTCCCGTTTCATGAGCTCGTCGGACCTGGTGCTAAAGCGATGCGTTTTCCCAACACAGTATACGGCCCTGTTTACGTCACCCTCATTTCACTCTTCGTCGGATTCATTCTCCCCCTCCGGCCTTGAAACACCTTTCGGACCGAGCTCTCTGACAACTACTCGAACGCACTCGACTGGGCATTCGACTATGAGTAGCAAGAAAATCGAGTCCGCGACCAGTAACCCACAGTCAGGCCCTCCGGCAGGTGCACATATTGCACCAAGTATCAATGCTGCCAATAGCATGTTCAAAATTCCGCTTATCTTGCGTGCTTTCTGTGCACTTCTCGTTGGCCCCTTGGTCCTGATCTGAGCTGGCCCCGGGGGATTCCAGCATGGGAGCTGAATCGAATGAAAAGCATGCCTCACGACCTACAACGACTATCCTATGAGATATATGCGACGACCAATAATGAAAGCATGACGTTTATGGCCCTTGTTTGTGATATAGATAAGCGTTGTGTGTTCCCTGTGTTTCTCAACGTTGGGGTGGACGGTGTTATCATCGACTGAACCACCCACTGCCTTTCTCTGTACTTTTATGTTCCTGTCCCGATGAAAATATCTATAGTTGCTACCTAATGAGAAGAAGAGCGTTTCAAGCCTGGATGGAGGACTGGGGTTGCGCATTTGTCCTGCAACACGCTGAAGGCATGGTGGCCGGCGAACGTGTTCCCGGGCATACAATCACGTTGTATTCTTAGTGTTACTATTGAGTAAGTGGTATTGGTACTTGTAATCAACCATCATTATCGTAAATGACATTGAGTTATGGATATAAGCCTCGTAATCTTTAGACTAAACTACCCACGCGGGCCTGTCGATGGGTTCTTGATTCGGCCACGAAAAGGGATGTTTGTTTATAACTACTTACTGTACCAGTACCAGCCAGTACTTGTCTGTTGCCCAGTATTGAGATTTCGGACCAACGGTCAGGGTTGGGGAAGGAGTCCTATTTGGTACGATATATCTTCTCGAAGTGCCAGCTAGGAGATTACAGGTATGTTTTGCAGATGCTGCATTCAATAAAAAATCAGACTGCCATTGAACATTTAAAGCAGGAGGAGTACGGAGTACATACATACACCGACTCGGGATGTAGTATACCCTAGAGCTGGAGTCATTGATATACACCCCTTCCTTGCCTATGGCATTCATTCCATCATGCGCGGCGTGAATACGCTTAATTCAATCGGAACATCCAACCTATTCTTTTTTTTTTTTTTTTTTTTTTTTTTTTCAGTTCTGGACCCTTTATACACAACTGTGAGATTCCTTTGGTTTTCGAGCGAGTAGCAGCCTGGGTAGACGAGAAAATCCGAGGTACGGAGTGTTGACGGGACTATTGGATCCGACATAGAGGAACATATCGTATAACCAACCGCCAAAGGTACAGCCGAAGAAAGGAGCCACGATCGGAATCTAGGAAGTTTCAAAAAAAAAAAAAAAAAAGAAACGGAAACGGAAAATGTTAGCGTTGGGTATTTCCACCATTCACCCTCCACGGGACAGACAGACAGCCCTACCCAAAAGTAATAGTTACCGGCCTTCCACACATTCGGACCATAGCCGATCATATACGAGACTAAGCGCGGGCCAAAGTCGCGAGCAAGGTTAATTGCATAGCCGGTTTCCCATCCAAAACAGGCGCCGATGCCAAAGATGGTGAAGAAGAGAGCCAGGGGAGCCAAGGATCCAGCAGCCAGGTTGTTGTTTTCGTCGTTGATGGCGAAGATGATGAACATGAGGATGGAGCTGGCGATGAACTCAGAGAAGAATTGTCCCGTGCGGGTCATGAAGTCTGCCGGGTATGTCGAGAATATCCCGGCCGTTGCGGTGTCGGAGAATCCTGGGACGGTTCTGATATTCGATCCGCCTTCGTAGACGTCGATGGCGGATCTGTAGTTTGCGTAGACGATGGCGGCACCGCACATGGCACCGAGGACTTGGGAGAGGGCATAGATGGGCCATTTGCGCCAGGGGAATTTGCGAAGCACGCAGTTGGCGAAGGTTACGGCGGGATTGATATGGGAGCCTGATGCGCCGCTGACATACACGCCTAGCATGGCTCCTAGACTGATAGAAAGCCAAAACATTCAGAACCCTCCAAGGAAGCAAGAAAGGATGGATATAGAGAAAAAAAAAAAAAAAAAAAGGTACTGACCCCCACCCCCAGGAAATAGACTGATAGTCACCCCTCTCGCCATGGCTTAATGTAACCTGAGCGACGACTCCCTCCCCGAAAAGGATCAATATCATTGTACCAAAGAACTCAGAAAAGCCCTCACGGCAATATGCCCTGACTCTACTCCACCATGCCGGCTCTGGTTCCTCGTTCGTCGATACAGAGCCAAAACTTGCACTAAGAACGGCAGTTTGATGCTTCGGGGTTGTCTCTAGGGAACCATGCATGGCCTGTGGGATCTCTATGCCCTCCAGTGATTGCTTCATACTAGACATTTCGAAATGAGAACAGCAGTTGAGATGTGTTTGAGATAGAGGGGAAACGAGAAGGAAGACTTAAGATAGCCCTAACCGATACTGAGATTTGATCCAGAGCGGGAGAGAGCAAACAACACGCCTTTTAGCTGCCTGATGTGTCAGGCGCAGCGGATTATACAGCCAGCTTTCTTGAAAACGCATGGTGTCACCTTCAGACTGGGCTTATGCTGTTCTCCCCTCATGGAAAAGCATCATCTACTGGGGCAGACATGGAGTATACCGGGGAACTCCGGTAGAAAACACACTAGTCTGGATGCCGGAGAGAAAACTCTTGGATGGAAAGAGAGTTCAAGGATGAGAATTAACCATCTTGACAGTGAAGGTGGCTTGGACTAAGGAGAATTCGGATAAGAAGTCCTCGGAGGAGGAGGAGGAGGAGGGTGTGTATTACTATAGGCAAATATAGTAGTGGTATGTGAATGTCGAGGTATCTCTCCGAGTGCTTTCACTGACTGATGCCCCTTGCATGGGTTTTGTCACTCACCTCTTTCCTTACGCACATTTCATAAATATATCTTCCTCTACATATATGGCCCTGAAACTGACCAAGAGGAGTTTCTCCCTTATTCTGCTCAGCATTCCAGAGGTATCTGAAAGTTGAGACACGCCACTCAGATGAGAGAGCCAGCCCGCGGAAGAAGAAGAAAACAGAACCAACAAGGCTCACAAATGGCCATGAAATCAAGAATAAAACTCTCAATCACACCTGCATGCATCTGTCGAATCGAATCGAGCTATAAGAGCCGAGCTGTGCTCGTGTTACCTCTGGATAGTGGTGTTGCAAGGGTGAGATATATCCTTCTGTCCCTAGCAGGCGAGGCCCCCGGACGCGCTGACAGTGAATGCTACTCGAATTCCTTCGATTTCGCTAACAGATTATGCTGTCTTCCGCCGGTGCAGATAAACAATGCGTGTTCCCAGAGAGCTTTCCATTCCATATGTCCTCTATTGGAGCATGCTGCGGCTCCATGCCATTCATCGACACGTTTGTGTTACTCGTGCGGCCTCATCCACAGCTCCACAATGTTCTGGAATGTCCAAGTGGAGAATGGCAGCGTTGCGTCCATGGGTCCGCGAACGCTGATCGCCATTCACCCATGTTTCCCCCAGAATTCCCAGTAGGGTTCTTTGAAGTCATGTCAGGTGGAGTATGGAGAAAAAAAGGATTGTCAGAGATCGCTAACAGTCACCAACAGTATTATGTGTTGGTCTTGCCTGCATCCAGGCAGGTATGTATCATGGTCAAGTAAATTCCGGCCTTTCCTTCCTCCTGGAACGTTCAATGGTCTATGGTCTGATGGTCTACTCTGACACTGCGGCAAACATCTGACCAGCAACAAAGTAAGCATACACTCCTGGTCCACTACAAGCAAACCCTCCGCAAAGCTAAATCGGTCCCCGCCGTTCAAAAAGCAGACTACGGATGCGACATCCCTGAAAGGGTACGAAAATGCGTCTAGGTTGACCTCTCTTGGACGCCTAGAACGTGAGGGTCGGTCCTGCCATCGGACAGAATGTGAGTATTGTTCTTCAATGTCCGCGGTACATTGACACCTGCGGTCTGGAGCCTTTTCATCCGCATCCTGCAACGTAGCCAGCCATCCACCATCAGTATATTGGTCCGGCTGCTCCCGCTCAGGAGGCTTGGTTCGAGGAATCGTCCCCTCCCCCCCCTTTTTGTGGCGCCAACACGGTTAATTAATACTAATTTCGCTTGATCACGCAGCGATCGAGGTTCCCAGCTAACTCGGGAGAAATTCCCCCGCAGAAGGGCGAACGACGACGAGGAGACGGAAAAATTGTGACACAGGTCCTCGTATTCGAAGCTTGCTTGGAGAAATATTTAAGCAAGATGTTTTCTGCGTCGGATTTCTCAAAGTTGCTCAAATCTTACCTCTAACCTTTCTCATACGCCATTTCTCTGACTCTCCAAAAATCTGTGGTGCTAAGTTGGCCAGACCCCCCCCCCCCCCGGGCAATCTACCACGTTTCCCCCGCCCACTTGGGATCTGGGGACAATGGAGCCTTTGGAGCCCGTTGTGGGATCGATTGATCAGGGCACCACCAGCTCCAGATTTCTGATTTTTAACCGGGATGGAGAGCCTGTTGCATCGCACCAGGTGGAGTTTACTCAAATATACCCAAACCCAGGGTATTGATTCCCTCAACCCTGGCTATTATTATGCAAGCTAACAGACTAGATGGTATGAACACGATCCACTAGAGCTCGTGTCTTCCGTCGAAACATGCGTCGAAGAAGCCGTCAAACAGTTCGAAGCAAAAGGGTATGATCGACAAAGCATCAAGGCGGTAGGAATTACCAACCAACGAGAAACAACAGTTGTTTGGGACTACGAGACCGGAGAGCCATTATACAATGCGATTGTCTGGACAGATACCCGCTCCCAAGCTATTGTTGGCGAGCTGAAAGCAAAGCCGGAAGCATCCCAGCTGCAGCGGATATGCGGGTTGCCGCTTTCGACTTATTCTTCTGCCTCGAAGCTCCTGTGGATGCTGACACATGTTCCAAAGGTCAAAGAGGCCTATGAAAAGGGCACTCTAGCGTTTGGCACTGTAGATGCATGGCTTGTCTACCGGTTGAACGGTGGAAGCAGAGCGAACGTGTTTGTGTCGGATCCCACCAACGCATCACGAACGATGTTCATGAATCTGGAAACTCTCCACTATGATAATTTCCTGCTTGACTTTTTTGGAATTAAGGGCAGGATCCATCTACCGAAGATTGTTCCCTCTTCAGATGTGACAGCATATGGAACTCTTTCTACTGGATGTCTTGCAGGCGTCCCTATTATGGGGTGTCTAGGCGACCAGTCTTCTGCCCTGGTCGGTCAAAAAGGCTTTTCTCCCGGAATGGCCAAAAATACCTATGGAACCGGATGCTTCTTGTTATACAACGTTGGAGAGAAGCCGGTTATTTCGAAACATGGCCTTCTCGCTACTATCGCCTATCATTTCGATGGCCGACCGGTCTACGCTCTCGAGGGCAGCATCGCTGTCGGCGGATCGGGAATCAAATATCTCCAGAATAACCTCGAGTTCTTCGAAGAATCTAAAGAGGTCAACGAGCTTGCTCTAACGGTAGAAGACAACGGAGGGTGTGTCTTTGTGACTGCGTTTAGCGGTCTATACGCTCCTTATTGGATTGATGATGCTAAGGGGACAATCTGTAACCCCCCCCCCCTCTTTCTTTCTTTTTTTTTTCCAGTTCAACTTCCGTATTCCAAGTCCCGTACACTGACATGTTACAGTTGGAATAACTCAATACACACAAAAAGGCCACATTGCGCGAGCAACGCTAGAGGCAACCTGCTTCCAAACAAAAGCTATCCTCGACGCGATGGAAAAAGACAGCGGTCACGCTTTGTCCGAGCTTGCTGTCGACGGAGGAATGAGCAACTCCGATCTAGCGATGCAGGTATGGTCCGACTCTCTCCCGCAAAGAACCGTACTGAATATCAAACGCTGGTATAGATTCAAGCAGACATAATCTCGATCCCTGTGTACCGTCCTAAAATGCGCGAGACCACTGCTCTAGGCGCTGCGATTGCCGCAGGGCTCGCCGTCGGCCTGTGGCGCAATTTCGCCGAATTGCGCGATATAAACCGCGCAGGAGGCACAGTTTTCCGTTCCCAGATGAGCAAAGAGAAGAGCGGCGAGTTGTTTGCTATTTGGGAGAAGGCCGTTGATATGTCTCGGGGATGGGTTGGTAATAAGTCTCGTCTTATCGAGAAGGAAAGGGAAAGCAAGATCACGAAAGATGAACCTGTGGCTGACAGGCTGACCAATGGGGTACCAACGACAACAACGACAACAACGTTGAAAGTTGTCCCATCCGTAAAAGCTCATGTTAAGACGGATGGAGAGATTGTGTTGGCGAAGCCCGCGCCGTGGGTGAATCTCGCTGGGAACTTGGATGAAGCAGACGAGGGAGATCTTTATTTGGAGCTGAGGAAGATAGAGATTCTACAGAGATTGAAGAAGATGGGGAAGGTCAAGCTTACTTATTTTTAACCTCCTTTTTTTTTTTCCCTCGAGAGCCTGATGTGGTGATGTATTTATTACCTCCGAGTTATATATATACTTAACGATATATATTAATGTCCAAATAAAAGTTTCATAAAGTAAGAAACCCGTGCATGCTTTTCCCCTCAGGGTCGATATTATTTACACAGAAGACCAGACCTCGATAGGAACCAAATCTGAAGAGACATGCGCCCAGGATAGATGAGGCTTCTTGATTTCCTTTTCGGGAAATATATTGCGGGAAGATGGTGGGTTGCACGTGACTTCCAACGCAATCAGCGCAATCCCTGCCACAATAATAAATAAAATCGAACAATCAGATGGGAATCTCGAAAGTGTACGTAGAATTGGAGAATACCCCTTCTTTTCGGGTTATTTTTACCAATTTTCTTCGTGTTGTTACTAGAATGCACGATAACGCGAGCCCCAAATAAAGAGCCGATAAGCAAAACAGACCGCTAACTAGATTACTACATATGCGTCACGCGAACACCTCGCAGTCATCGGTCGGAGCTCGTCCTTGAACTCTCCACCTCTCTTATAACCACCATCAACCTCCTTTTTACCTCCGTATATATTTATTTTCCCCTGGTATCATTAGAAGCATGTCAATTCAGCTGCCAAAGAAGTCAGCGGTCCTCGCGCTGACCCTGATCGGCGGGATTTCGGCCCTCCAAATTCCCCTGCTCCAAACAGCAGAACAGCTCCCCCTCGGCGAGACCCGCAAGGCTCTCGTTAGCTCTTCGGAGCTCCAGGACCACATTCACAGTAGTAACCTCCTGGATCGAGCTGAGACTCTGTACAGCATTGCAGAACAGAGCGTGGATGAATACAACCACCCAACTCGCGTGATCGGCAGCAAGGGTACGTCCACTGCGTCCTTCCCCTAATCGCGTGTTTCTCGGTAACTTACCTGGTGTTTAGGACATCTTGCTACGGTTGACTACATCTATTCCACAATTGTCGGCCTAGGCGACTACTACGAGGTCTCTAACCAGTCCTTCCCAGCGGTGTCGGGAAATGTGTATGAGTCTCGGCTCGTTATCGGACATGACGTGCCCGCCTCCGCCCGCCCTATGGGGTTAACCCCCCCAACCAAGAACAAGGAGCCAGTTTATGGACAGCTTGTGCTCGTCTCAAACCAGGGATGCGAGCCATCTGACTACCCTTCTAATTTGACCGGTGCCATTGCTTTGATCCAGCGTGGCAGCTGTCCATTTGGCACGAAGTCGGAGCAAGCTGGCAAGGCCGGTGCTGTCGCTGCTGTGATCTACAACAATGAAAAGGGAGACGTCAGTGGAACTCTGGGGACCCCTTCGCCAAACCATGTGGCCACCTTCGGCATTTCCGATACCGATGCCGCGCCCTTTATCCAGCAGCTCCAGGAGGGGAAGAAAGTCGATTCGATTGTGTACATTGACGCGATGGTTGAAACCATCATGACTACGAACATCATCGCGCAAACCAAAGAAGGGGACCCGGACAACTGTGTGATGCTCGGCGGCCACTCCGACAGCGTGGAGGAAGGGCCTGGTATTAATGACGACGGATCGGGCACCATCAGTCTTTTGGAAGTAGCCACCCAGCTCAGTCAGTATTCAGTGAAGAATTGTGTCCGCTTTGCGTGGTGGGCTGCTGAAGAGGAAGGTCTTCTTGGCTCCGACTACTATGTTTCTACCCTCACCGAGGCTGAGAACATGAAGATCAGAGTGTTCATGGACTACGACATGATGGGCAGTCCTAATTACGCGTACCAAGTGTACAATGCCACGAATGCGGCTAATCCGATTGGGTCGGAGGAACTGCGTGATCTGTACACCGAGTTTTATACCTCGCATGGCTTGAACTTCACCTATATTCCGTTCGATGGACGAAGCGACTACGACGCTTTCATTCGGAATGGAATCCCTGGCGGTGGCGTTGCTACCGGCGCGGAAGGCGTCAAGACCAAGGAGGAGCAGGAAATGTTTGGTGGTGTTGCTGGTGACTGGTATGACCCCTGTTATCACCAGCTCTGCGATAACCTGGAAAACGTAAACGAAACTGCGTGGGAAATCAATACCAAGGTATATATATCTATATATATACTCCCTGCGGGGTTTCCATCCGTTTGCAAACGCTAACTGATTCATAGCTTATCGCCCACTCGGTTGCGACATACGCTGTGTCGTTGGACGGATTCCCCAACAGGACAGGGGTGACTAGCAACGTCATGGGCATTGATGAATCCAAGTACCACGGACACAAGCTACGCATGTAAACTATTGACCGGAGTTGTGGATCGGGTGGTTCACTAGAGGGATAGATAATACGAACGTACATGGCGCACGTTTTGGGTGAGATTATGTTAATAGACTGCCTACTGTGATTGATCATCAGAGACAAGGCGTAGCTAGGCAGCAGCTGAGTAGAGTACGTACTCCATGTATCCAGGAATGCTTCTTATCTTCGATGGTGACACCCCTTTTCCACGGGACATCTTTCCGAGGCATTTTCAGCACAGAGGATTAGTAAAATCCCATTTGCACCTGGAACCGGCCTGATATTCTCATCTCTCTTGCGGTATTAACAGATCCATTTGGGGGGAAGAGGGGCTTCTAAGTGGGTAGTACTCCATATATTCAGGGTTACAAACCTATGAAAGCCCAAAACCACACACTTAGTGTAGTGTATGAGTGAAGTGTGTGTGAAGTGTGCATGAAGTCGGATCGTAGACACGGCAATTGATTGAGATTTCGGGATGATGTATCCCAAGGATGAGCGACAACCTGGCAAACCGGCAAGTTTTGTACAGCCCACAGAATGCCTTATGCTTCAGCGGGGGTTCATAACCGGGCTAAGAATAGAACAGCGCCTGGTCGAGAGGTCGGGATTCATTCCGTCGGTCGACTTTCAGTTTCGGGTAGATCGGGATTGCTGGAGATACTTCGAAGCAGATCCGAGGTTATACTCGTATCCATTCGGTGTCGTTTCTGGCTCTTGGATTGGCGCAACTGGCCAATACCCCGTCTATTGAGCCCCTGCGGGGATATTCATCATATCCAGGTAGTATCTACTCCATACTCATAGCAGTATTATGAAGAAGAATCCCTTGGTAATATTGTGCCAATTTCTTTTTTTTTTTTTTTCTGGGTATGATACTCCACTCCCGGAAAAGCGGCTTCGTGTTGTCTTTTCCTGCTTCATATCTACTTCGGGGAAATTGTATAGGGAGCAATAGTTAGGTGTCTGATATGGCGATGGATAAGTACCGAATGCGTCCCCCCTCCCCTTCAGTTAGGGCTTTACAGATATACTCACTCGATCGCTCAATCATTCTTGGCTGATTTTCAGTTGGGTCGAGTGAATACCTTTCTTGGATCTAGTTATCACTTTTGTTAGCTGCAGTTCGATCTTCAATTCGTTCTCTCCTGCCCTATGGAGAACAGTAATTCGTCCGATGATGAATCGTTACCAACGACATCACGTCCGGTATACACCGAGGAAAACGATGAAACCAAGAGTGTCGAGACCCTCGTGTTCCCTCGATTGAACATCCGTGAAGAAACCAGCACAGAAACCCTCGCCATACATCACCATGCCGCTAACCCCCCGCTCGCGTCCACCAAAGACTCGGAATGGAGCATGACCCCGCAAGTCATCCGCAATCAGGAGCGGGAGGAGGCTGCCGGGTTCAAGAGACGTGAACTAGGAGTAACATGGCAAAACCTGACCGTCGATGTGCCGGCTGCTGAAGCAGCCGTGAACGAGAACCTGCTCAGTCAATTTAATATCCCCCAGCTGGTCAAGGACTTTCGCCGAAAACCCCCAGTTAGATCAATCTTATCCGAAAGCCATGGCTGTGTGAAGCCGGGGGAGATGTTGCTGGTCCTAGGGCGTCCCGGGTCCGGTTGCACCACGCTTTTGAAAATGCTCTCGAATCGACGACAGGGCTATCATTCCGTCCAGGGCGATGTCTTCTTCGGAAACATGAATCACACCGAAGCCGCACAGTATCGAGGGCAGATCGTCATGAACACGGAGGAAGAACTGTTCTATCCTAGACTAACTGTGGGCCAGACCATGGACTTTGCCACCAAACATAAGGTCCCATTTCACCTGCCGGATGGGATGAAGTCTGTGGATGAGTATACCGCCGAAACAAAGCAGTTTCTCCTCGAGTCAATGGGGATTTCCCATACCGCACACACCAAGGTTGGAAATGAATTCGTTCGAGGGGTCTCTGGAGGCGAACGCAAGCGTGTCTCGATCATTGAATGTTTAGCAACCAGAGGTTCGGTGTTTTGCTGGGATAACTCGACAAGAGGCCTTGATGCGAGTACAGCATTAGAATGGGCCAAGGCTCTTCGTGCCATGACGAATGTCACGGGTCTCTCGACTATTGTTACCTTGTACCAAGCAGGCAATGGCATTTACAACCTCTTTGACAAAGTGCTTGTCCTGGATGAAGGAAAGCAGATCTACTACGGACCTGCGGCGGCTGCAAAGCCATTTATGGAAGACTTGGGCTTTGTGTACACCGATGGTGCTAATGTTGGTATGTGAAGAACTCCCCAGAGTCATTTGCATGCTCCTAACAAGCCCTAGGCGACTTCCTCACTGGTGTGACGGTCCCCACGGAGCGAAAGATCAGACCGGGATTCGAGAACCGATTCCCTAGAAACGCAGACGCGATCCTTGCTGAATATCAGCACTCCCAAACCTATAGCCAAATGATCTCGGAGTACAACTATCCAACCACAGACCTGGCGCGTGAACGGACCGAAGCCTTCAAAGAGTCAGTTGCATGGGAGAAGTCCGGCCAGCTCCCTAAAAACAGTGCTCTTACCACAGGCTTTGGGGCGCAGCTCCTGGCCTGCACTATCCGACAATATCAGATCCTGTGGGGAGAGAAGTCGACCTTTTTGATAAAGCAGGTTCTCTCGTTAGTCATGGCTTTGATTGCAGGCTCCTGTTTCTATGACTCCCCAGACAACTCATCCGGATTGTTCACCAAAGGTGGAGCTGTGTTCTTTGCCTTGTTATATAACTGCATTGTTGCCATGTCTGAGGTTACTGAATCATTCAAGGGACGACCCGTGCTGGTCAAACACAAGTCCTTTGCTATGTACCACCCCGCTGCTTTCTCGCTTGCCCAGATTACTGCCGATTTCCCCGTCCTCCTTTTCCAGTGCACCATCTTCTCAGTTGTTATTTACTGGATGGTTGGCTTGAAGCCGTCCGCGGCTGCGTTCTTTATCTTCTGGGCCATTCTCTTCACGACGACGCTGGTGAGTCTGGACGGACCCTCCCCTTCTGCAAAAAAAAAAAAAAAAAAAAAAAAAAAAACGATTTCAATGGCTAATTGGGTTTACAGTCTATCACTGCCCTGTTTCGATGCATCGGAGCCGCATTTAGCACGTTCGAAGCCGCTTCCAAGATCAGTGGAACTGCCGTCAAGGGAATCGTCATGTACGCCGGCTACATGATCCCCAAACCTATGGTCAAACCATGGTTTGTTGAACTGTACTACACCAACCCCTTTGCCTATGCCTTCCAGGTAGCGCTCACCAATGAATTCCATGACCAAACCATCCCCTGCGTTGGCAACAATCTCATTCCCAGCGGTCCTGGCTACGAAGAGGTTGGCTCTGCCCATAAATCATGTGCGGGTGTTGGTGGTGCGTTACCCGGTGCTTCCTACGTTACAGGGGACCAGTATCTGTCCTCGCTCCATTACAAACACTCGCAGCTCTGGAGAAACTTCGGTGTTGTTTGGGGCTGGTGGGGATTGTTTGCGGTCCTAACCATTATCTTCACAAGTTTTTGGAACGGCGGGGCTGGAAGTGGCGCGTCTCTTCTGATTCCTCGCGAGAGGCTTAAGCGCCAGCAAGCTATTAAGGATGAAGAGGCTCAAATACGAGAGAAGGCGGTGGTTAAGGACACTCCTGGTAACACCTCTCTCGATGAAGGGAACATTTCCCGCAATACCTCGGTCTTCACATGGAGGAATCTCTGCTACACTGTCAATACACCTACTGGCGAGCGACTGCTGCTTGACAATGTCCAGGGATGGGTGAAACCGGGGATGCTTGGTGCACTGATGGGGTCTTCTGGCGCAGGCAAGACTACTTTACTGGATGTCCTTGCTCAACGCAAAACCGAAGGAACAATTACGGGATCTATTATGGTTGATGGCAGGCCCCTGCCACTTACTTTCCAACGTTCAGCGGGTTACTGCGAGCAGTTGGACGTTCATGAACCTTTTGCAACTGTAAGAGAGGCACTCGAGTTTTCTGCTCTTCTTCGTCAACCACGGACAACCTCCAAGGAAGAAAAGTTAAAATACGTGGAGACTATTATTGATCTGCTGGAATTGAATGATCTCGCAGACACCCTTATTGGCACTGTTGGAAATGGCCTTAGTGTCGAACAAAGAAAGCGTGTGACAATTGGTGTCGAGCTTGTTGCTAAGCCTAGTATCCTGATCTTCTTGGATGAACCTACTTCTGGTCTTGATGGACAGTCAGCTTATAACACTGTCCGGTTTCTCAGAAAGCTGGCAGATGTTGGGCAGGCTGTTCTTGTGACTATTCACCAGCCTTCAGCACAGCTCTTTGCCCAGTTCGATACACTCTTGCTTCTTGCAAGAGGCGGCAAGACTGTATACTTTGGAGATATTGGGGATAACGGATCCACAGTCAAGCAATACTTTGGCCAATATGGCATCCATTGTCCAATTGAGGCTAACCCTGCAGAGTTCATGATCGATGTTGTTACCGGAGGTATCCAAGAAGCCAAAGATATGGACTGGAACAAAATCTGGCTTGAATCTACTGAGCACGCAAAAATGGTGACCGAGCTAGATACTATTATTTCCGAAGCAGCCTCTAAACCGCCTGGAACAGTTGATGATGGTTACGAATTTGCCATGCCACTCTGGGAGCAGACCAAAATCGTGACAAACCGCATGAATGTCGCCCTATTCCGGAACACCAACTATATCAATAACAAGTTCTCGCTGCATATTATCTCAGCCTTATTGAACGGGTTTTCTTTCTGGCGCATCGGGCCATCCATCACAGCACTTAATTTGAAGATGTTCACCAACTTTAACTTCGTCTTCGTTGCTCCGGGTGTCATCAACCAACTGCAGCCGCTCTTCATTCAACGGCGCGACATCTATGATGCACGCGAGAAAAAATCCAAAATGTACTCGTGGATCCCTTTCGTTATCGGGCTGATCGTCTCGGAATTTCCGTACCTCTGTATCTGCGCCGTCCTGTACTTCTTATGCTGGTACTACTGCGTGAAACTACCCTACGACTCGAACAAGGCCGGCGCCACGTTCTTCCAAATGCTGATTTACGAATTCATCTATACTGGTAATTCCCCCCACCAAACCTCCCGTTTCTTTTCAGTTCTGGGGCAGTTGCAGTCGACGCTGTCGGAGACCAACCCCTGTGCGCGTGCGCGTGCGCGCATGCGTGTATATGGGTGTATATGCTAACCGGCTCTCAATCCAGGCATCGGACAATTCGTCGCAGCTTACGCGCCGAACCCGACCTTCGCCGCGCTCGTGAACCCGGTTATCGTCAGCACCCTGGTCCTCTTCTGTGGAATCTTCGTGCCCTTTGTGGAACTCAACGTGTTCTGGAAATACTGGCTGTACTGGCTGAACCCCTTCAACTACGTGGTCTCGAGCATGCTCACGTTCAGTATCTGGGACGCAAAGGTGGCCTGCAACGAGAACGAATTCGCCGTGTTTGATCCGGTTAATGGCACATGCGGGGACTATCTCTCCCAGTACATCAACGGGAATGGCTGGAGAGTGAACCTCACAAATCCGGATGCGACCTCGGCCTGCAAGGTCTGTCAGTACCGCGAGGGAAGCGGTTTCCTCACTACGCTCAACATCAAAAATTACTACTACGGTTGGCGGGATGTGGGGGTCAGTGTGATCTTTGCGATCAGTGGATATGCCCTGGTTTTTGCCCTGATGAAGTTGAGGACTAAGGCATCGAAGAAGGCCGAGTAGACGTACCTATGGAGTGGGTTGGGTTGTGAAAACGGGTTGCATATGTATAGAGGAGATAGAAGATATAGACTAGATATTCCCGATAGAACTAGAGTTATTTGGTTGTTCTTGTTCCCATCTTTTGACATGCGGATGGTTTTAATAACTCATAACCAAGCTGAAGCCATTGAGTTAGTAGTCTTTGGATTTCCATTTCAGGGTTGAGATGAAGCTATCCCAATGTTCATAATGCCGATTCATAAACGTATCTTAGTCAGCTATGTTCCACGTGACATCGCTGATAAAGCAGCCTTGGCATCGTTCATCCTCAAACTCGTGCCACAAGGAGACCACCGCTTCTTCCTGGTGCTTTGGTGATTCTTATCAAATTTTCCGACTCTTCTAACACAGTCATCCTGACTCCTTATTGCCAGCATATTTTTGCAACTGCTTCTTCACCAAGGTAGCTCGGCATCCGGCGTGAATTTCGGAGTCTCACCTTTTTTTTTTCCCTCCCCTCTCCACCCTTCCCTGCGTGGTCGCGTTTCTGTCCGTTGATTATTCGGCGCATTCAATATGGCGACAGTTGCAGCAGGCTCTCCCCTAGCGGAGGCCTTGAGCAATGCTATTCAACCAAAACTTGTCGAGATGGGGTGGAGCTCTGATACTGGTGATTCTGCGTTGACCGACTATGTTATTTTGATGCTGGCCAACGGCAAGACGCAGGACCAGATCGCGAGTGACTTGTCGAACGACCTGCTTGGACTCGGCGAAGGCGACACACAAGCTCTCGATTTCTCTAGTTGGCTCTTCGAACAGATCCAACTTCTCAACCAGCAGATTAATGGCCAGAGCGGCGCACCGACATCGAATGAGAATGGAATGATGCAGGCTATTCCCTCCTTTACCGACCACGAGACGGCAATTCCTCCACAGGCGGACTTCGGAGGTGCTCCCCAGACTGGTGATATGAAAATGGATGATGCAGGATTCGCGGCGGATGGAGTGTATGTAGCTCCTTGGCTTTGGCAATGTCGGTGGGAAACTCGAACTAACCTATATGTGAACAGACCGACTGGACCGAAATCTATGCGCAGCGTTCGAGGCGGCCGGGGTAGAATGCTCAACCACATAAACAGGGCCATGGAACGTGGGGATAACAACCTGCATCGGATCCGTGATCAAACGGGTGGTGGACGAATCAACTCTCATGGTCGAGGTCCCAGAGGGCGTTTCCAGAACAGCGGCGGAAGACCGCAGGGCGGTCGGCAAATGGGTGGCATGGGCATGGGCAACAACCCAATGGGTGCAGGGGCAGGTAACTTGATGAATATGACTCAAAACGATCAGATGCATTTGATGTCCCTCCTTGAAGAACAAGCAAGGATGATGGCACAGTTTATGCCTGGCTTTGTTTCCCCCGCTATCAACCCGGCCTTCCAACAAAACGGCGGCCCCCAAAGGTCGTTGTTCGACCGCGTCGAACGCCACAAGGGTGCGCGAAGTCAAGGAAGTTTTGGTAATCGATCACAACAACCAGAGGCGAAGAATGTCGATACCGATATGGATACTGGTCCCGACCAGATGGCCCAGGATGGCCAGGACGAGAACAATACCAACAACATTTGCCACTTTAACCTGCGATGCACGAAGAAAGATTGCCCATTTGCGCACCAGTCTCCCGCCGCCCCCGAAGGGACTCCGATCGATGTTGCCGATCCATGCTCCTACGGTGCGGCATGCAAGAACCGAAAATGCACCGGTCGACATCCTTCACCAGCCGTCAAAACAGCCCACCAGGCAGAAGAGCTCTGCCGATTTTTCCCTCACTGCACGAACCCTCATTGTCACTTTAAACACCCCGCTATGCCGCTATGCCGAAATGGAGGCGATTGCTCGACCGACGGCTGCAAGTTTACCCACCTCCAGACTGCTTGCAAATTCAACCCATGCCTCAACCCTAGCTGTCCCTACAAACACGCTGAAGGGCAAAAGGGTGCCTTTTCAGATAAAGTCTGGACTGCCGACTCCCAAGGAGAAAAATCTCATGTTAGCGACAGAAAGTTTGTCACAGATGAAGACGGCGCAGAGGAACTGATCAAACCTGGGGAGGAACCCGCAGATAACCACGAGATTATCACATAATCCACCGTACTCCTCTGCACGACTGACCTCTCCGGGCCTCTTCCTTCTAGCTTGATTACATGTATTATTTGATCTATGTGGTGTGATTGATTGTCAACTGGGGAATGGGCGTTTATTTGCTTCATTAATATTGTTGATATCACTGGGAATGGGCAGATGGGAGGATCATTTAGGTGTAAATAGAATCTGGATATCAAGTCACAAAAAAAATTCATTTGCTTTTATGTGACATTAACTACTGTTTGTAGAGTCCCGGATTTATGTAATTTAGGTGTAATTTTACCCGTTCGGACATCCCAAAACCCCGTGGCCTGACTTTCTTCTTCTTCTTCTTCCATGCTCCCCTCCAACCTCCCCTTTCGATGAGTTCTGCTCTCTATCTTCGCTGAGATGCGGCTACCATGTGTCCCTAGCTGTGCACTGAGAGAGTTGCGGGCGCCATTGGCTCTCGTCCGCAATGGCCGACGGCGCTTTTTGCACAGCCGGACCTACGACGCGGCCGTCATAGGTGGTGGCATCACCGGCCTGACAGCAGCCTACCGCTTGTCCAAGGATCCGTCTTGCTCCAAAGTCACTCTTTACGAGAAAACCCCTCATCTGGGTGGCTGGCTCCAGTCCGAAACGATCCCGGTGGATGGGGGAGAGATTGTCTTCGAGTATGGACCCCGGACCTTGCGAGTCGCTGTTCCGTCGTGTCTTCCACTGGTTGACTTGGTATGGCCGGCCTTTTCTTTTCTTTCTTTTTTTTTTTTTTCGATTCGGACATGGAATGAATGCTGACAATGCTCGCTATCTTGTAGATAGATGAACTACGTCTCGCGGATCAGGTTGTCCCAACAAACAAGACCTCCCCCGCTGCCCTGAACCGGTACATCTACTATCCCGATCACCTTGTTCGGGCGCCAACACCCACCCCTAGAGCTGGGTTTTTCTCCAATATTTCATCGCTGCTAAGCACGCTCCTGCGAGAACCTGTCTTCGAAACCTTCCTCTGGAGCCTCCTTTACGAGCCCTGGAAGGAGCCTGGGAAGTCGCAACTTGCCAAGCGAGACGAGTCTGTCGCGGATTTTGTATCGCGACGGTTGAGCCCACAGGTCGCGGATAATTTGGTGTCTGCGCTCTACCATGGGATTTTTGCGGGAGATGTCAGCCGACTGAGCGCGCAAGCTCTACTGGGGGAGTTTCGGGATATGGAGAGCAGTGAGTTGCGCGTGCTTGCGTCTGCCCTTCAGGCGGCGAATGCCGGCATGATCCGGGTCAACGTGGACGATATGCTGGCTATTTATTATGCGCCGGAGGAAAAGCCATATCACTACTGGAGGACACTGTCCCTCCTGGTGCGGAGTGCCAGCACTATCACCTTAAAGCATGGAGTGGGCCAGCTGGCCGATGCTTTGGCTGAAGCGCTGAAGAGGTCGTCGGGCAAGGTGGATATTTTGACCAGTACGGATGTTACGAGTATCAGCCAGGGTACTCAAACCTCTAACGTGACGGTATGTAATTCTATGTTCCCTCTCATTCTCCTGCTAGAGGGTTCGTTCGGAGTATTGACTGACTGGCTCATCGTGTAGATTGGTTTCGGAAATACCTCCCGAACACACGATCGTGTTATTGCTACAAATCCAGCCCCCGAGCTTGCAGGGCAGCTGAGCAATGTTCCCAAAGACGCAAAGACCCCTCACAGCACCATCAGCAGCCTACGCGAGCACAACTATGCCGTGACCGTGATGGTAGTAAACCTCTACTACCCCAACCCAGATCTCCTCTCAGTGAAAGGATTCGGATACCTCATCCCACGATCGATCCCATACGAACAGAACCCCGAGCGAGCTCTGGGCGTGATCTTTGCTTCGGAATCAGGCGGCACAGGCCAGGATACTGCGCCCGGAACCAAGCTAACTGTCATGATGGGCGGCCACTGGTGGGACGGGTGGAAGGAATCAGACTATCCGGACCACGACACCGCCGTGAAGATGGCCCGCTCTTTACTTGAGAGACACCTAGGCATCACAGATACCCCAACCGTGACGCGCAGTCGACTTCAACGCGATGCTATCCCGCAGCCTACCGTTGGCCACCTCGAACGTATGAACGACATCTCCCAGTCTATCCGACAGGATTTCAATAATCGCATCACTCTGGCTGGCGGCTGGTATGGGCTGCGTGGCTCTAGCGTGGTAGACTGTGTTCGCCAGGCCTACCTGGCTGCGTCGTACGGTGTTGGTGCTCAGAAACTCAATGTTGATGACCACGACTCTGTCCTATCAAAGTACAATTACCGAACTTGGGACTTGGAGGGCGGTATCGTTGCTGCCCCAGTTCGTACCGTTGAGGTGCATAAAGCGGATGTCCAGCACTTTTAGGGTACTACTACCTTACTACTCCTCTGAAATGTGGATCTTCCCCACTGTAATGCTCCTGTGGAGGTTTTTGATTTAAAAAGTACGTGTTTGAATAGATCTAGCGAAAGTAAATAGGAAAAACATATCCCAATCATCAATCCTGTCTTGCCAATGCCTTAAATCTGTGATTCGGTATTGCTTTGCTTTGTCGAGCGACAGCTCCCGCGGGCGACCCTTGGCTGTGTGCGATTTGCGAGGCTCCAATGCCAATACCTTTAGTCTTAATAGTAAGTTGCAGGTTTGCAAACGATCCGAGGAGAGGAACAGTGGCTTTTGACACTGGATATTCATGGATGATACAGGATCCTGTCACAGTGGCGCGGCAGCCTCCAAAACCAAGTATGTATGAAAGCGGTTTTGCACCGGTTGTTGTCGTGTAGTGATCTCATGAATGGGAAGAGGAGGATGCCATGATACCGGCATAGCGTTTGCTTGAGAAGATTGCAACTGATCACCGTAAATATATATATATATATATTTACTTCTCAGGCTTCTCCTCGGTGGTCGTTTTCTCTCCATTGCCATCAAACCCAAGCGCCTCTAGCTGGCGAACGAGTTCCTGGATCTTGATCACCTTTTCCAACTGCTCAGGAAGCAAAGCTTCGCCTTGGTTTTTCTTGTCGTTCAAGTCACGAGCCTGGCGAAGTTTCTTCTTCAGATTGCGTGCCTTCTTCTCCCTTTCTGCCTCCAGGTCGACCTCGGCTGCGGGGGCTTCTGGCCCCTCCGCTGGCTTCTTATCGCCCGGTGGAGACGAAGACGCCCGCCAGTTGTCAATCTGAGAGATGTCCTTGCCGTTGGGACCAGCTACGGCGCCGTCGGGGGTGCCCTTGGCCTTCTTTTTCGCTTCTCGTCGTTTCGCATTCTTGTTGCTGGCTGCGCTGCTTGGTTTCGTCGGTTCAGGCTCTTTCAATCCCTCGGCTCCAGGCACTCCGCCGGTCTTCCCGCGGTTCTTCCATGCCTCTGCGGCTCGGTTCTTGTAAAGCTCTACATCCTCTGGTGGACGGTATCCCGGGCGGACGCGAATTTCACGACGCTTGGACCCGTCTGCTCGGACGGAGGAAGGAATGTACCGTTCTCCTGTGACTGCATCGACGGTGATTCCGGATGAGGAGACGGCACTGGGGGTGGTGTTTTGTGATGCCATGATTATTGCAGGGGTTGGCTTTATGCAGGTACTCGGGGAGGTACTCTATCTAGGAAGGGGTGGTCGGAGAAAATCGGTGAGGATGGAGAAAACACAGAGAATCGCTCTAGAAGATGGGCAAAAAGGAAAGTGGGAGGGGAATTGCTCGTTCAACGCGACTCCTGAGAAATCCGGCGCAACGTAAAAAAGACATAATAGTTAGTTCTATGAATCCGCTGACATGATAATGCCAATAATAATGCATGCACAACTGCTTCCCTGCGGTTGGCCAATCATCGGGCCGGCAATTCCCGCTGCGTTCAATTCTCGTTCCGTCGCGGCTTCAAACTTCAATTCAACCTCCCCGTCTTGAACGTCGTCTCTTCGCTCTACTCATTCGTTCTCCTCCCCCCCCACCTCTCTCATCTTTGTCACAATGGCTGGTGCAGTAAGTTATCTAATGCCATTCACTCCAGCTCCCGTCTTCAATGGCTAACGTCAGGGGTCTCCGTTGCAGATTGCTTCCGCCATCTACCAGCACGTTTCCCCTTCCCCCGGACCTCCGATTAATGGTCCCGATCGCTCTTTACTCGCCTTGCTAACTAGATATTCTCGCACGGTTTCTAGGGGCCTCATCCGCCGAAATGCTGTCTACCTGACCAGCATCTTCGCTGGCGCTTTCGCATTCGAGATGTGCGTGTCCCCTCCAATTCCGGACTTGCTCTATAATCCATCAATCCCTAACCAGTCTCTAAAACAGTGCCTTCGATTCCACCACCAACAAGATCTGGGATACCATGAACCGCGGCGTATGTTCCCCCTTGCGACATTTAATCCTTGCCGTCCCTGGAATAAGCCACCACTAACCTGCTGCTCTCTTACCTCCAGCGCCAATGGAAGGACATCAAGTACCAGTATGTCAACAAGGCTGAGGAGGAGGATGACGAGTAAATATGATATTTGGATATTGAATAGCGATTGAATGCTGCGGTACTACGGAGGATGGTCGACTCAGACGTTATACACCTATACATGGGGGATGGATGTGTTATAATCCCGGGTGTCTGTATCAAATAGAATTTCGAATCTGTAACCTGACCTTGATTCCCATGTCAAATTCCCTTTCTGCATCAGTAACTGTTCCAATTGTGGCCGTGTGTTGTGTTGACACCTTCACTCCGGGTGGTGCGGTCGGTGCCGAGCTCGGCGGTTGTTAGTTAGTTAGTTAGTTAGTACGTAGGGGACTCGATGTCATCCCGACAGCCTGAAAAAGTGTGAGTACTCCGTATGTATCTGAGCTCAGAACTCCAAAAACATTCCTCTCTGTTTCTAAGCTCGTCTGAGGTCAAGTTTAGCAACTCTCGCTTGGAGAAGATTTCCCACTTGCAGCCTTCAGGTGGTAAAAGAGTCATTGGTTTGTCGGCTCTATCCCGCCTCTTCTCTCCCCCTCCCTCTCTCCCCCCACACTTGTGACATCGATTTCACTTGTCGATAACTAAGCGTCAACTAACAATTCTACTCGAGAGCTTTTTTTGTTTCCTTTTCTTTTCTTTCCTCCTCTTCCTTTCTCTTAATCGTTAGCTAGTACTCTTGCATTTGCTATTGTGCTTAAGATACCCTTGCCACGATCATCTTATATTCTCGTTGAAATCGCTTGTACCTACCTACCTCATCCTCCACCGCAAGCTTTGGGTCCCGCCACTTTTCGTCGATCTCGACTTCCTCGCCCTATTTCTTTCACAGCTAGATGGGAGTCACATGCAAAGTCTCAAGGTGATAAATGATGCTGACGGAATGTGAAAAGATCCTTGGTGATGGCCTTTTACGGCTTCCTGCCGAGCACAAATACCGCTATGGGCCCGCCGCAGAGAAAGCCCTGCTAGAGCTCCTCTTTCGCTCTCTAGCCGGCCACAACGAAGAACGCCTGCGAATACTATTCCCGAACGGCCTGCCGACGGGATCATGGAGGCTAGCAGAGGCCCAGGGGGCTGTTGAGGGGGCGGAATATACTGAGGCTGCGCGGGGCAAACGCTGTGGCCATATCTTTCGCGCTGGCGAGGCGACGTATCGATGCGTCACTTGTGCGGCGGACGAAACCTGTGTTCTTTGTAGTCGATGCTTTGATGCGTCTGACCACACCTCGCACCAGTACCAGATCTCTCTGTCTCCCGGGAATTGTGGCTGCTGTGATTGCGGGGATGAAGAGGCGTGGAAGGTGCCTCTCTTCTGTGCAATTCATACTGACAACGAGGAAAAGAAGGGCAAGGAGCACGCGCATAGCCAGCTACCGCAGGATTGGGTGGATAGTATTAGGATGACTGTGTCCCGCGCACTCGACTACTTTTGTGACGTGATATCCTGCTCCCCGGAACAGCTACGCTTGCCGAAAACCGAGGAAGGGATTAGGCAGGATGAGGAGGCCTCTCGCCTCCAACCTGGCTGGTACGGTGATGGTGATCAGCAGGAAGATGAGCCGGAATTTGCTCTCGCCCTATGGAATGACGAGAAGCATACTATTCGAGATGTCGCCCATCAAGTCAGTCGAGCTTGTCGGGAACGGGACCGGTTCGGAAACGAGAAGGCACACGAAACCAACGATATCGGAAGGAGCGTTGTCAAGTACTCAAAGGAACTCCCGAGACTGCTGGCGGTGTCGAAGATCATTGAGCAGATCAAGGTCACTGTTACGATTCGATCTGCACGTGACACGTTCCGAGAGCAGATGTGTGGGACTATTGTTGAGTGGTTGGCCGATATTGCAGGGTGCAGTATTCTAGATGACAATGAAATCCTGCGCCATACGATTTGCGAGGAGTTGCTAAGCGCTTGGAAACGGGGGAGCGGTGCCTCCAACGCCGATATTGGCCTGAAGGGTATTGACGACCATGAGCGAATGGACCACGCGCCAATTCGTACTGTGATGCTCCGCGTGTCGCCACAAGGCCAGGTCCTAACCCCAGACGATGATGACGACGATGACGACGATGCTGAAAACGGCGAGGCTCAACCCACTAATGGGGAAGAAGCCGGAGAAGATGAGGAGTACGCTGAAATTAATGATGTGGATGCTGATGATGAAGATGATGAGATGGAAATCGACCTGAATAGACTACGTGAAGACGTGGACGACGACGAGGATATCTTAATGGCGAATACCGAGGACGCCCTGAACATCGCCCGAGCGATCTTCAGATTCTCCAGATCGTTCCCCGTTCAACCTGATGAACCGGAGGAGCAGGCCCGGGAAGGCGAGCAAGAGCAAGAGGGAGAGCAAGCTCCGTCGAGTAACGACCCTCCACGGCCTACGGGGAATGAGACCACATCCAACGAGACCAACGACACCAACGATAACAACCCGGGTATGGTGTACGTCACTGTCCCTAAAACTCCATCAGGGGTTGTCAAACCCTCTCCTGCAAAGACCCCTAGCCACTGGCAAGTCCGACCCTCGCCTCCAGTGACTGGCGAAAACTTGCCGCCGTATGAAGACTTGTGGCAACGCACACGCCTCGACTGGATGATTCTGTTCGACCTCAGGCTATGGAAGAAGACGCGTACTGACCTTCGCGACCTTTATCTTGGGACGGTGGTTAACGTTCCCCAATTCAAACGAATTATGGGCTTGCGCTTGTCTGCTCTGTACACTGCACTAGCGCAGCTTTACCTGATTGCGGATAGAGAACCGGATCACTCGATCGTTAATCTAACCTTGCAACTTCTCACTACTCCTTCCATTACGGAAGAAATTGTGGTTCGCGGAAACTTCCTCACCAAGGTTATGGCCATTCTCTACACATTCTTGACTACAAGACAAGTGGGTGAGCCATATGAGGTAAACCCCAAGGCAACGCTGGCGATTGATGCTGGGTCCGTGACCAACCGACGTCTCTATCATTTCTTCCTTGATCTACGGTATCTACTGCAAGCTCCATACGTGCAGAATCGTGTCCGAACGGAAGAGCAGTATCTTTCGCAGTTCCTGGACCTTGTGAAACTTTCACAGGGCATTTGTCCCAACGTGCGAGCTGTGGGAGAGCACGTCGAATACGAGACGGATGCATGGATCAGCGCCTCAATACTCATGCGCGAGATCAACCGCCTTTGTCGTCAATTCTGTGAAGCTTTCAGACACCCCGAGGCTGACGGAGGACAAAATTTACTGCGAGCGATTTCGGTGGCAACCATTTCTGCAGCAGTCCACTCAGTCGGTCTGGAGCGTGGGCGGTTTGAACAGGCAGAGGTTAAAGAGTATATCCGTTTCAAGACGTTGCCTCCCTTTGATTTCGAGGTCGATGTGCCTGGCCCGGCTCCTAGATATCGCGTGGTCGATTTTGTGGTGGAAAAGGGCTCAATGAGTTTCCATCACGCACTCCACTACACTCTCTCCTGGCTCCTCGAGTGCGGTCGTAACGTTAGCCGGGAGCTCATGCGTGATGTTCTCTTTAGCGCCGCCAAAGTGGCCAACGACAAGTTCATATTCGAAACCTACTTTGGGCCCGAAGATATCTTGCTTTCCATGTTCGACTATCCACTTCGAGTGTGCGCCTGGCTGGCACAGATGAAGGCGGGCATGTGGGTGCGCAACGGTCTTAGCCTTCGCCATCAGATGTCCCAATACCGAGGAGTATCGTCTCGCGACTTTGCCTACTATCGCGATATCTTCTTGCTCCAGACAGCGTTGGTGATTTGTAACCCCAGCAGAGTTCTTGCTTCCATTGCTGAAAGGTTTGGCATGGTTGATTGGATGACGAGAAACTATATGCCACGTGCCGGCTACGAAGATACGCAGATACTCGACGTTGCGGAGGAGTTTGTTCATCTGCTTGTGATTCTGTTGACTGATCGCAACTCGCTCACCGGTAATCAAGACAGCGAGACTGTGATGCGAGAAAACATGAGCCGGGATATCGCACACGTCCTTTGCTTCAAGCCTCTCTCATTTTCTGATTTATCAACTCGCTTAAGCGATAAGCTGCTCGAGTCAGACATGTTCCAGGATGTCCTAGAGGAAGTTGCAGGATTTCGACCCCCTGAAGGCTTAAATGACACGGGTACATTCGAGCTCAAACCTGAGTACATTGATCTTATCGATCCGTATAGTGCCCACTACACCAAGAACCAGCGCGACGAAGCAGAAAATATCTTTAAGGAATGGATGGCTAAACAAACCGGCAAAAAGGCGATGGATATCGTTTTTGAGCCCAAGCTCCGCCCTATTGCTTCTGGTGCATTCTCTGACCTAGCTTGCTTTACCCGGACACTACTATTTGCTCAAATTGTACACCAGTGTCTTGACTATGTGGTGTCCTCCAAAGACCGTACCCCGAACATCCCATCCACCCGTGTTGAGACCTTCCTCCAAGTCGTTTTGCATTTGATCCTTGCCGCAACGCTTGAAGACGGCACTGGCGAAGACAGAATTGACGAGGATTCTCCAAATTCATTCGTGTTTAATGCTTTGACGAAAGCTCGAGCCACCCAGGCTGGTAATTTGACCATTATTGGACTTCTGGAGAAGATTTCAATGCTGAATGAATTCTCTGCATGCGGCCCGAAGATCCGTCATATTTTGAAGCGTCTTTGGCAGAAGCATCCCAGGACTTATGCCTCTGCTGCTGCTGCGCTCACGTTCCCCTTCGACCGAATCGACACGAACTCGCCGGCCATTGATATCGAGGGCGAGAAGGAGCTGAAGAAGAAGCAAGCTCTCGAGCGCCAGGCAAGAGTGATGGCGCAATTCCAGCAGCAACAGCAGAATTTCTTGAACAACCAGGGCGCGATAGACTGGGGCGAGGAAGACTTCAGTGACCTGGAGTCGGAGCCTGAGGCGGCTCCAGAGACTAAACTTTGGAAGTACCCCAGTGGCACCTGTATTCTCTGTCAAGAGGAGACCAATGACTCGAGGCTCTTCGGTACCTTCGCCTTGATCCAGGACAGTGGCATTCTGAGACAGACTGATATCCAGGATCCGGACTGGATCAGAGAAGTTCTCAGGACGCCTTCAAGTCTAGATAAATCCGCAGAACATATACGTCCATTTGGGGTTGCAGGTGAGAACCACACCATGGTAAAGCGGCTGGATTCCACGGGAGGAGAAGTTACTGGTGAAAAGATTGGCTTGAGTAAAGGCTTCAACGCGAAGAATACCGTTCGTGGTCCTGTGACGACAGGTTGTGGGCATATCATGCACTACTCGTGTTTCGAGGTTTATTTCACTGCCACGCAGCGGCGTCATACTCAGCAAATCGCCAGAAACCATCCGGAACGTCTATCGTATAAAGAATTCGTCTGCCCTCTCTGTAAGGCATTGGGTAACGCGTTCCTCCCAATCACCTGGAAAGGCAAGGAGGAGTCGTATCCAGGTCTATTGAACACTAAATCGACCTTTGAGGATTTTGTAAATGTCGAAGTCCAGTCTGTTCTGTCTCACAAACTCAATTATGCACTTCTTGGGGACAATAGCGAGCTACAGGCACAGGCATACCAAGGCCTATTCCAGGATTACCTGTCCAAGAGCTTGGTGCCTCCTCTTGCAACCAAGGTGGATCAGCTGATGTCGTCTTCGCTTCCATCAACTGCGCATTACATCCCGCCAGCTAGAATGCCTATGCCTGGTCTTTTCCCGGCTCAGGAGGATCCTCCCGCCACAAGTCCTCTCCAGCAAGTCTCTAGCCCAAGCGACAGCCCTATGTCTGAACTTCTGCAGATCTACAAACGACTGAAGAAAACTCTCCGACTGAATCATATCTATTCCACTTTCAGCCATCCACCTGATACTCTGACTAATGACGATCTTGTCCATACGGACTCGCTGTTCCAGACCTTTGGTTTCAGCATTGCTGCAACTGAGATCGCACAGCGCGGAGTTGAATCCGATCCCGGCACAACCCTGCTGGACAAGATTCCTCAACTGACCTTGACCCATCTCCGCGTACTCGCCGAAACAGCCCTGTCTTATGCCGCAGTTGGAGGCCTGTACAGCAGCGGCGGTAGCCCAAGTCGGTCTGTCGATGAATACCACGAAATGCATGTCCAGAAGATATGCCAGCTTTTCGTAGGTCATCCTTGCTTGGGAGGCACTGCTCTCCTCAACAACATGCGCGAGATTGAGCCACTACTTGCCAAAGATACGTTTGTCTTCTTAGCTGAATGCTCGCTCTCGCTCTTACCCGTTCTCAACATCGATATTCGCCATCTAGTCCAGATGTGCTACGTGGCTGAAATAGTCAAGGTTACCACCACATACATTCTTTCGCCTATTGGGCTTAAGGAAGAGCTAGCTCAGCACGGCGATGCACACTACTTATTGGAAATGGAATTATCAGACGAGCGGTTCGAAGCTACCCGACAGCTCTTCAACACCGTTGTCGCAGAGCTCAAGGCCAATTCAGTTGGACGCGCGGCGGGGTCGTCTTCCCCTGCCGAGAGTGGCTACGTCAAGGACGGGGAGGACTCTGCCACCCCGGGCGTGATAATCGCCCTGCGTCGTTTGGTCTCTAGCTACGCCTTGACCTTCCTGCGTAAGGTGGTCATTCTTCTTCATGTCCAACATGGCGTGGAGTTCCCCAGCACCGGTTTCAGCGATGTCGGGGTTTCCGAGCTAGACCGTCTAACCAAGACCCTGCATATGCCCTCTCTTGACGATATCTTCTCCTCGATTAAACCTGCCCGTAAGACCGGCGACCCCTTCGATGGTATTATCTCTGGGTGGATCTTCCACTGGAACGCCTCCCGCTCGGGCATCCGCATCGGAGACAACAAATTCTGGCCTAGCCTTGCTCATCCAGCAATCTTCGAGTTAGTCGGCCTGCCAAAATACTTTGACAGCCTAATTGAGGAAGCGAACCGACGTCGCTGCCCTAACTCGAAGAAAGAGCTCAGCGACCCGAGCATATGTCTTTTCTGCGGGGATATTTTCTGCTCACAGGCGGTTTGTTGCATGGAGAACAAACTAGGTGGCTGTAGCCAGCATCTTCAAAAGTAGGCCCCCTTTCTTTCTTTCTTTCTTTCTTATTCTATGCATCTTCTCATCCAGTCACTTACTAACTCAATCGTTACAGATGTGGCAAAAACATTGGCCTCTTCATTAACATCCGTAAATGCACCGTCCTTTACCTCCACAACCAGAGCGGATCATGGCACTTTGCTCCGTACCTCGACCGACACGGCGAAGTCGACCCAGGCCTCCGACGGAACCGGCAACTAATTCTCAATCAGAAACGATATGACAGACTTCTTCGCGATGTGTGGCTGTCCCATGGTGTTCCCGCAACTATCAGCCGTAGACTGGAGGCTGAGATTAACAACGGAGGCTGGGAGACTATCTGAGCGAAGCCTTAGATATATGATGATTCCTTTTCTTGTACCTTTCGTGGCACTGACTTTAGAACTTGGCCTGCGCTACAGATTTATTGATTTGTCCTGATGACCAGTGTCCAAAAGCCGGTTTGTGTTATGTTTTATTCGCTCCATTAGTTTGCGGTTGATGCTGTATTGGATGTCTATATTAAATAAAATGGCACCTCTTTGGTTTTATATTTATTATTGACTGTAATCCGGTTGATATCGGCTCATGTCCTTGATCAGATGTAGTCCTCCCTCTCCCCCACACAGATTACCAGATGACACTTTCTCCATACCTCACAAATTATCATTAAATACCCGCACTTCAAGTAGTTAATAGCCCGTATAAATCAATCTAATGCTTCAGGGTTAGATTAGGCGTCGTTGTCGAAACACGGCGACGTCAGCGGAATTCCTCCTCCTGCACCGACACTACATACGCTTTGTCCCACAGCTCCATCTTTTTTTCTCCAACCCAGCTTCAGTCACCACCACTACCTACCTTCTACCTTCTACCTCTGCAAAGGAACCCTAGAGGAAGATAACATGGACAGGAACAATATTTAATTTATATCTTTGACATATCAGTTCTCGTTTTTTTTTTTTTTTTTTTTGAACATCTCGCTCGGAAATCCACCGTCGCGCTACACGCACGCACGCACGCACGCACTCACCAACGAGCATCATGAATAACAATCAATTCCGCCGGCTCCTCTTCGACACCTCTTCTTCAACAAGATCAACCCCCAAGAGTGGGAATGCGGACCAGAAATCCCCAGAGGAACAACAGCAGCAACAGCAGCAACATGCAGGCTCGACGACCGGCGGCCCCAGCCGTGCACTAGGATCACGCATGCGATCCAGCATCCCCATGACACCGTATGTTTGATTGATTCCTCACCCGTGAACATTTATCCCGCTGCACATCTATATCTATATCTATATATATCTTAATTAATCAAAAATATTATACGTTGAAACAGTCGCTCAGTCACAACCCCCGATTTCGCGCGCCAACTAGCTGAACACCGTCGCGAGTCGTCGTCGTCGTCGCAGCCACCCATGAAGAAATTCAAGTCGTCTGCTGCGCCAAAGGGGACCCGGCTTCCGGCTGGGTATCAGGATCGCGCTGCGCGGTTGCGAGGGGACGCGGCGGCGGCCAACGAGGAAGCGGAAGCGGAGTCGGAGACGTCGACCGTCGAGAAAAGGCTCGAGGAGCTCGAAGAGAAGTTTAAAATGGGAGTGGTTGACGAGGACACTTTTACTGGGCTACGGAGGCAACTTGGGGTTGGTGGGGATGTGGGCAGTACGCATATGATTAAGGGGTTGGATTGGGATTTGCTGAGGCGGGTTCGAGCTGGGGAGGACATTTCAACGGCTGAAGAGAGGGCGGATGACGTAGGAGAGATGGTGGGCGTCGATGATGTGGATGGGGAGTTTGATCGGGTGTTGGGGGAGAAAGGGAGCGAGGTACTTCCTTCCGCGCCACGGGAGAGGGAGAAGAAGAAGAAAGGGAGTATGGCGCCACCACCGGGTGTTCCAGCGCAGAGGAAGACAAGGGACGAGATTCTACGGGAGTTGAAGGCGAGTAGGGCGGCCGCGGCAGGTGGCGATGCCAGTGTTGGTGCGGCGCCGTCGAGTGAGCCGGCTCTGGGTGATCGGTTTAAAAGAATTGGGGGATCCAAAGTTGAGAAAAAGCGGTTGGTTGAACAAGACGAAACTGGTCGACGGAGGGAGGTTCTTTTGATCACGGACGCTGAGGGCAAGACGAAGAGGAAGGTCAGATGGCTGGATAAACCTGGAGTATCGGGGGCTCCTGGTGGGCTTCTGGTTCCCGACAAAGATGCCAAACCGCTTGGGATGGAGGTACCGGCTGAGATTGCCTCCAGAGCTAAGCCGGAGGAAAATGATGATGATGATGATGATGATGACGACGATGATATATTTGCAGGCGTAGGTGCCGACTACGATCCTCTGGGCGATATAGGCTCCGATGAAGGTTCGTCAGACTCAGACTCAGATGGAGAGAAGTCAAGTCAAGCGAAGAAAGCCCCTGTCATGGAGTCAGAGGCAAAGGCTACACCGGTGGGCGAGGCCCAACCTCGGAACTACTTTGCAACGACAACTACGGAGGAGGTTGTGGAGACGAATCGATTCAACCCACTAACCAAAGATCCTGTACTTCTCGCCGCTCTGAAGAGAGCTGCTGCTCTACGACAAGGCTCGCCTTCAGAAGAGGGCGCTGGAGAAGCGGAAGACGTCGATCGCGACACTCTTCTTCGACGGAAGAAATTCCTGGAGGAAGCTCGTCGTCGCGAAGCACTCGATGCGATGGACATGGACTACGGATTCGGAGGCAGTCGCAACGAGGACGACGAGGACGACGAGACGGTGCTACTGGAGGACGAGCGCGGAGGCAAGAAGAGGAAGCGCGGGCCGAAGAAGAAGAAGGGCGACAAAGACAGCGCCTCTGATGTGTTGCAAGTGCTCGAGGGACGGAAGACGAGCTAACCTACCTACGGAGGACAGAGAACGATGAATGAATCGATGATGATGAACACATCATAGTCAAACTTCCCAGAAGTTTGCCTTACACCCAAGCTAACTTTTACAAGCAAGCCTGGCAAACTCTACCCAAGGATGACGATTCCAGTCCAGTCGAGAACCCAATATCAGACAACCACCCTAGGTTAGGGTAGGGGAGTGGGTTTCTTCCCCTAATATGGGTTGACCTGTCAAGAAGAACCAATATCGATGTGTCACACAAAGTAGCAAACACATTCAAGCAAAGGGGGATATTCATAGTTCACCCAGGGATGTATCTATCTATTGCCCGACAAATAATTTATCCCTCACCGAATATCATTGGTCGCAGAATTTTCTCTCCTCTCTAGCCGCCTAACAACAACAAGAGAGACAGACAGGCAGGACCGGACCTGATTGGAAGGAGGAGGGGGTCCAGACTCCAGAATCCAGAATCCAATCCGATCCACGTCTCTAAGCCCTGTCGAACTAGTCCCGTAGTACCGTGTACGTAGCGTCGTAGATAGTTAAAGATACGGAGCCGGTGCCAGTGGGTCTCAGGCACTTTTTGAGTCCCAAATTCCAACCACGAGAAGAGAGCGATGAAGAACCATGGGATGAACATAAAGAGTAATTCCAACTCAGGTACCGAAATTAATACAAGAAACAATTTCAAGAAAAAAGAAAGAACGAAAGAAAAGCAAGTATAACAAGAAGTCGTCTCTCTGTCTCCTGTCACGCTGACGAGAATCCGACTCAGCCGGCAGCGCTAGAGAACCCCATGCACACCACAAAGAATGGATCGGAGGTTTTTGACAGGAGGAAAAGAGTTGGTTAGAGTGTTAAGACACGTCAGCGACTGCAGGAACAGTCGATACGGAGAAGGTTCGGTTGTTTTAGTGTGTTTCAGGTGACTGGATAGCATGGATGGAGGAGATGATTGTTGAAGCTTTGAACAGACAGACAGAAAGAATCAGATACAGATACAGATACAGATACAGATACAGAGAACAAGAAGAGAACAAGAATATGAAACAAAATAAAGTAGACACAAGATGAGAGACAAATAACATGGTGGAGAGAAGGAGAGAATAAGAGTCTGGCCAGTGGAGTGGGCCTTGGAGAATACTACAGAGTAAGAGATCTTAGGTTAGAATTCTAGCAAGGCACTAGGAAGCGCTAACTGTGAATCTGGATTATCAATCGTGTTCGTTCTCTGTATAGTTACTTCATCCTTCATACTGTGGGAATAACAGATGAGAAATGAGTTGGATATAGGGTTAGGTAGGGTTAGTATACCGAACAACAGAACAGCAGAATAGCAGAATAGCAGATAATAGAATAGACAACTCTAAGAATACAGAACTATTCTAATAGGACACGTCCTCAGGGTCCACCTGATTGCGTTCCAAGGCTCATTCGATGTGGCTCTAGACAATATTTCACCAATGGAGAAATAAAGAAAGACTGCAGTCAAGGCCATCCCCTCTCTCTCTCTCTCTCTCTCTCTCTCTCTCGGGCCTTTTATACCTCGCCTCCTCCCTCTGGCTTTCCGTCTATCCTCCTTCCTTCGAATTCATTTGTCTTCATTGTCCTGTGCCGTGCACGGTCAATATCCATTCCTTACCCTTGTACACTCCTTCATCCCATATCTTCTAGACCACCCATCGATCCTTGAGAACCGGGTTTCTCGGATCATCCAATCTTATCCTTCAATCTTATCCCTCAAATCACAAACCAAAGACATCAACAATGGTCTCCTTCAAAATCCTCTCTGCGGCCCTGCTGGCTTCCACTGCCATGGCCCTCCCCCACGCCAACTCTCACTCTCACATGCACCAACAACACCAATCTCTCGAAAAGCGCTCCTCCAGCAAGCGTGGCGCCGCCTACAATGACGCCGCGCTGGTCTCCTCTCTCTCCGCCAGCGGTGCCGTCTCCTGGGCCTACGACTGGAACATGTTCAACATGGGCACCCTCCCCTCGGGCGTCGAGTACGTGCCCATGCTCTGGGGCGCCAAAATGTTCACGGGCTGGGTGGCCGCCATCGAGACCGCACTCGCCAGTGGCTCCGCCTACATCCTGGGCTTCAACGAACCCGATCTGGCCTCGCAGGCCGCCATGGGCTCCGCCGAAGCCGCCTCCTACTATCGCCAGTACATCACCCCTTACAGCGGACAGGCGAAGCTGGTGTCGCCCGCCGTGACTTCCAGCACGGGCACCGACGTGGGCCTGGACTGGATGAACAACTTCCTGACCGACTGCGCCGACTGCGGCATCTCCGCCATGGCCGTGCACTGGTACGGCGAAACCGCCGACCAGTTCAAGAGCTTCGTCACCCAGGCCCTGCAGCTGGCGTCGCAGCATGGCCTGGAGGAAACCTGGGTGACTGAGTTCGCCCTCAGCAGTGATCTCTCGGGCTCGGGGGCCACGAGCGCCTCGTCGGAGTTTTTGAATGAAGTGCTCCCCTGGATGGATGCCCAGAGCGGCATCACTCGCTACGCGGCGTTTATGTGTGCGGAAGGCTACCTGTTGAGTGGGAATCAGTTGAGTGTTAGTGGCCAGGCGTATACATCCTAGGTGTTTTTTTTTTTCATTTCATATATCTTTTCCTTTATATATATATATATATATATCTCTCTGTCTCTTGTCTTTTGTTAAATTCCTAAAAAAGAAATCTTCCTGTGTGGATATTCACTTCCAATTCCAATCCTTTATCCGAACGATATATACTTGAGTTCCTAAGAAAATTACACACCAGCAGTCTCATTCTTTCTGTTCTTTTTCTAACCCCGAATGTAATGAAAGAGAGAGGATTTCCACGGACCCGGAAATTAGTGAGAATTCTCTGCAAAAAAAAAACTTTGTATAGAAATTGTACTAGAAACCGGTTGAATCCATGGAACTGTACGTCTATTGTATCCCGATTGGTGCAGGTTCAATGAACCGTGGATGGACTCGGTTATGCTACTGAATTGGAGTACTCTCTTACCTTGTCAGGAACAGTACAGTTAATGATTGGTTGCGAAGGAAGTAAAAGTAAAGTAGATCCGTTATTTGGGAGAAAACCACGTGGAGGAATCAACCTGCTTCTCTCGCTTCACCCATTTCTGTATCCTCGGGCTCGTCTATAGACTTGTCGATAGGCTGCTGCTTCTCCTCCTCCTCCTCCTCCTCGGGTCCGACTTTCGTTTCAACCTCTGGCTCGACCGCTGGCTCGGCTTGCTCCTCCCATACCCGCACGGTCCCGTCCAGTCCACAGCTTACCAGCCAGCGTCCCTCACTCGTGGCGCAAGTGTCCACCCCTAGCACCACTCCCACGTGGCCCTCGATCCGCTGGAGGACCTTCTTGCTGATCACGTCCCAGCAAAGGACCGCCCCGTCCTCGCTCCCACTGACTACAAACGCGTACCCTGCTGTTGTTCGCGGTGTCCCCGTTTGCCCGTATACTCCAAACCCGCCCAACAGGCTATACTTCCGATTGGCGTGCCCTTGGTACGTCTTCAAACATCGACCCTCCACGTAGTCCCATAGCCGCACGCAGTCGTCCAGAGTCCATGCCAGCACGAACTTGCCGTTGGGCGAGAACTTGACCGCCGTCACCGGTGGATTGTCTTCGTGCACCAGGGTCCGAAGACACTGACCCGTCGCCGTATCCCAGATCCGGATGAGGCCGTCGGTTGCGCACGAGGCGATGAGCGTTCCGTCCCAGACCACGTCGATGCCGCCCACCGGGTCCGAGTGGGCAGGGAGTGACCGCATGACGCTGGCGGAGCGTACGTCCCAGAGAAAAACCGCTTCGTCGTAGGATCCGCTGACCAGCATGTTCCCCTTGGGCGAGAATGCAATCGCGTAAACATAGTTATGGTGGCCGACAAAGGGGATTGGATGTGCTTTGCCCTATAAAACTTAGCCTCCTAACGTGATCAAGAACAAAAAGAGATCCGTACGGTCAAGACATTCCAGAGCCGGATCGTCTTATCGTCCGATCCTGACGCAATCGTAGCTCCATCCGGACTCCAAGCAATTGTCGATATCCCAGCAAGATGTCCTTCAAACGTATGGATCAACTTTCCCGTAGACGCGTCCCAAACCTTGACAGCGCCGTCCGCCCCTACACGGATTTAGCAATATTCCATCAGAGACAGAAAAAAAAAAGGACTCACCTCCACTCGCAATCATCGATCCATCAGGTGAGAATTTTACAGCCGACACCCCTCGTAAATGCCCCTTGAGAAGAAACTTCTGTCGATAATTCACAGAATCCGGCTTCGGCGGTGGAGGCGGCGGTACTGGCGTCGGCGACCGATCAGAATACTCAATCTCTGCATCGTTGCCCCTTGCGATCCCCGTCCCATCAGCATCAGGATCTATCGCGCCTTCGCCATTATCGTCATTTTCATTCCTGTGCTCGTTGTCTTCGTCGTCATCGTTTTGGGCCTTGTCGGATCGTTCCCACGGGGAGCCCGCGCGTCCATGATTTCTTGAACGCCAGTAAACGTCTGCATCGATCGCTAATTCATCCGGACTTTCGGAGCTGCTGAAGCTGCGAGATCGTGCATATGGCCGTTTCGGAGGGTAGGCCTTTTGTATTGTCCAACCCACGCGACGGCGTTCCTGTTCATGGTCGGAGCCCGCAGCCAGTTCGTCGGAGGAAGTTTCCACGGGGGAGGAAATGGGGGGAGGGGAGGGGTCTAGACGGCGGCGTTTGGAGGGGTGATCCATTTGAAAAATTATATCATCATCAACACATAAGCTGGAGAGAAAAAAAAAGAAGGTGTTTCTGTAGAAAACAAAAGTAATGTGTGAGGTCAAAAGAATGATGCGGAAATTCCAAGTCAGTACCGAGTTTAGAAGGCGGTGAGGGGTGATTAGGTCTATTATATCATTGGGAATAACCTCAATTCGCCTTGCTTGCGTTTCCCCCCTTAGATTGAGAACCTTGAAGCTTCTCTGGAATTCTCATCGGCATCGACATCCTGATCCGGGTTGTCACGGCTATGTCCCCTTGGTCATGATGGCTCACTCAGAACCCCCTTCCCAAATTCGTATCCTCAGCCTCAACTGCTGGGGCCTCAAATACATCTCCACTTATCGCCACGAGCGTCTCTCAGAGATCGGTCGCCAGCTCGCCCTTGCAGACCCCCCCCCTGAGATTGTCGGTCTCCAGGAGTGCTGGACCCAGCAGGACTTCAACAGTATTCACGAGCAAACTCGCCATATCCTCCCCTACGGCAAGTTCTACTTCGGCGGCATCTGGGGTGCGGGGCTCGCCATTCTCTCGCGATGGCCCATCGAACAGAGCTCCATGTATGAGTACCCTCTCAACGGGCGTCCCACAGCATTTTTCCGCGGTGACTGGTTTGTGGGGAAGGGCGTCGCCTGCGCACGCGTCCGCTTCGGTCCCGGCGTCCACGACATCGCCGAGGTGTTCTGCACCCATCTCCACGCGCCCTACGAACAAGAACCCCATGATAGCTACCTCTGCCACCGTACAGCGCAGGCATGGGAGATCGCGAAGCTCATGCGCGGTGCTGCTGAACGAGGCCACCTTGTCATCGCTCTAGGCGACTTCAACATGATCCCTTCTTCGTTTGCGCACCGGCTCATCCGCGCCCACAGCCCCGTCCACGATGCCTGGCAGGTGATTTACCCGGATTCCTCGATCGGTGCAGCCAAGGACGCAGTTGAGCAGGTCCGTGGGAAACCCGTGCCTCCTGCCAAGTTCAACCTCCACCACAACGGCGCGACATGCGATGGTCCCTACAATACCTGGCGCTGGCCCAAGCGAGACCAGAAGCGCCTGGACAAGGGCGAGGATGATGTCCCCGTTGACGACGAGAAACCGGATATCTACGGTAAACGCCTGGATTATATTTTTGTGGGCGACGGAATCAGTACAGGATCTTCATCTGCTCCCTCCTGGACCGTCGAGGATGTTTGTGTCGGGATGACCCAGCGCCATCCCACCCTACGCTGTTCCCTAAGCGACCATTTCGCTGTCGAAGCCACCATCACCCGAACTCCTCCCCAGCCTCGACAAACCGAGACCACCGCCGAAAAAACAGCGCTCGCCCTCGCATCCAGCCAAGGCCACATCACCCTCTCCCCAGAGACGTACGACCACATCATCGACATGATCCACGCCTACGTGCGCCGCGAACGCTCTCAGCGCCGCTGGCGTCTCGCTCACTTCCTCGCCTCCGTGCTGGTCACTATCGGCTGTTTAGTGGGCGTCTGGTGGACAGGAAACCGATCCTATATCGCATTTATTCTGATGCTGGTGAGCACCCTGGGTTTCGCCGCGGGCGTGCTGGATGGGTTGATTGGCGGGTTGTTTGTCTCGAGTGAGCTGCGCGCACTAAAGGAGTTTGAGTGGGAGATTCGGAATGCAAAGAGGATGTTGCTCGAGCGAGATGCTGAGCATGCAGAGGAAAAGGGTGAGAGTAGTATTTGAAAAAAAAAAAAGGCGAGAGAAAAGAAAAGACGTATAGTAAGTAAGTATCGCTGGAAAGTCTGTGTACATTTAATTCTTCTTCCTGCATATTCATATTTGATTGATGCTTTGGAGGGTCCTTTTTTTTTTTCTTTCTTACTTCTTTCTACATGTTAATTTACTTCACACTTGTTTACTTTACTTAATAATGAGAATGGACTCGTTCAAGATCAACGTCAAGATCAATCAAGATTATTTTCTGCAAAACTGAATTCATAGAGCCAGTCAAGACCAGAACCCGTATAAATAGGTACCTTCCATATCATCCCGGTTGTAAAAGAGAGACTGGGACCGCCTCCCTTGACTAGTGAGAGAAAAAAAAAAAAAAAAAAAAAAAAAACCGTTGATCGATCGAGGAGATCTACTCGGCGCATTCGCGCTTGCGCTCATCAAACACTCTCAAAGCCTCCTCGGCAGCCTTGACCCCGCTCAACACCATCGCACCAAATGTAGGTCCCATGCGGTTGAAGCCATCAATCTCAGACAGCTCCATACCTCCAATGATAAGACCCTTGGTGACCTCACGGGTGTTCTTGACGATAGCGTCCTCCGCGGAATTCATATCGAGACCGCGCATACCACCGAGTTTGTCAATTGTGGTCATCGACACAAGACGCTTAGCTGAGAAGGCGCCGAAAGGACCGTCATGCCCGGTGGTGCTGATAATGACAGGGGCGTTGATGGTGTTGGGGTCCATGCATGAGTGGTCGTCGTGGTGTAGGGTGACCAGGGTCCAGTTCGTCACGACACCAGCGATACGCACATCCTGTGGGCTACCGGAGGGGCCCGGGCGAGTGACTAGATCCTCGACGCAGGTGGCGTTGAAGAGCTTGACGTTGGGGAACGACAGGACCTTGGAGAGAAGGGTCGAAGTGAACAGGGAGGCGTGCTTGACGACAACATAGTTAGGCATGTCGGGGTCCTCTTCGTAGGGCACGCCCAACTCGTGCAGGAAGAGCTCTGCGGGACGACGCATGACCATTGCGGAGAAGAGTTGGCCACCGAGCCATGCACCGCCGCCTTAAAGAGGCCGTTAGTACTTATGCTATCTTTCACGAAATATGAGAGGTTTTCTTGGCAGCGATGGATGCTAACCTGGAGAGACAGAGGCCTCAATAATAGCAATCTTCAGATCGGGACGAGCCTTAGCTAGAACGTAAGCCGTACTCAGGCCGCAGGAACCAGCACCAACAATGACGATGTCACTCTCGGCGTACCGGTCCAAGTCCTGGAAGTAGCGACGAGTCATAGCCCGCGAGACCTGGCTCTCACGGATGGGAGCGAACTTGAACTCATCCCATTTACCGCCAAAGTGGTCCAGCAGCTTGGTCTGGGAGCCGCCTTCAACTCCAGTCACCTCAGGTACTACTGTGGTAACCTTGCCCTTAAGGCCGGTAGGAGCGACAGCATGCTCGAAGATAGCAGCAGGAGGAGACATATTGATAGTTGATCAAGTCGGGTGAATTGACTGCAAATTGTTAGCCGTTCCATTGATTGAGAAATAAGGGAAGGCATGATCCTTTCGCTGGTATTATCCAGATCAAGTTTTGACCGTATAATCTCAGAACGAACCCAGAGCCTTTTTGACACACCTCCTTCTCCGACCGGAATGTTTCCAATCCCGTCTGAAAAGTCGGTAGATGTCAAAAAGGATAGGAACGAACACCGGCCCACGCCCAGACTTTACCTGAGATACCTTGATCATTGAATTAACTGCCCAGCCAAAGGCATTCCATGGCTTCCGTAGAGACCCAGAGGGTTCCAAGAAGGTGTGGATTACATTGTTGGTTCCTGTAAGATAGTTAGCAGATTTCTCATTTAAAACTTGTCAAGAGAGGAGGACTTGTTTGGCTATTCAAGATGAATAATAGTGATGAAGATATTGAATGAGTGGTGGTGGAGGAAGGAAGAAGAAGATGAAGAAGAAGAAGAAGAGAGGTAGTTGAGGGTATTAAATACCTGCAGTCAAAGAGGGGTAATGATCCATTTCTAATTTATGCATGTCATAACTAACTGAAACTCTCCTAGAAGTCAAAAGAAGACAAGGATAGAAGGCAAGGAAGAAAGAAATCCGATTCTCTCCGCTAATCATAACCTATAGAGTATGCAATGAAGTCATGGTGAGATATACAAAAAGATACTACTGGCAGACCACCACTTCCACCCGCACTCCGTATTCCCGTATCCAGTTCTTCTTCTTCCCAATCTTCGAGATCTTCTCCACATGGTCCCGCACCGATGTCGCGACGAAGCCATTATTCGCATTGCATTTAACCCTGAGCCGGAGCAGATCGCGCCTCTCCTTCTTCTTAATAATCGAATCCCACAGTGTCTCCAGCTCAATCCTCCAGTGCGTCTCGGACACGCGACCCGCAGGATGCACATCCCCGATCAATGTCGCAATCCGGCCTAGGTATTGACACCACCATGCCTCCTGTGGGGAGATGCAGCGGACCAATTGGTGCCAGTATGCTTCATCTGCGGGTGCAAGGTCTCCGGCCCAGCGTTCGGTCAGGATGAGCGCAATTTGGGCACGTTCAGAATGGGACACGCAGTTGGTCGAGGCCAAGAGCCCCGTCGTTGTGCTGTGCAATGCAGCAGCCGACCGCGACTCTCGAGGTACTTGGGAGTGGGCAAATAATAAATTCGCAACTGCGGCAATGAAGTGTGGAGACCAGGATGAAGGTGTGCGGGAAGAGTTGATCGGAGATGGGTGCTCCGGCAGCGCGGATAAAAGAAGCTTCGTAATTGCCCCTGGGGACGGGGATGCATGCTGTAGAGTCGCCGCAAGCAGAGGATCTTGCGCACGAACTTCTTGCGGCAGTCTATCAAAGAGAAATCCCTCGCGTACCCCTCCTTGACAGAATTGGATGTGTGTGATTTCAGGCAATGCATCCATCAGCACATGGACCAGCGCCGCAACTGCTGGAATCTGCGAAGCTCGTCGTTTCGACACGCCAAAGATGTTGTCCGAATCAGAGACTTCTTGCAGCACGGCAGCAGTATCGTGAAAGTCATTCCTCTCTGCCCTGAACCCATTGATAATGGGAATCGGGTACGGGCTCACGCCTGCCTGCTTCATGAGCACATACCCCCATCCTCGAAACCCTCCACCACAAAGATAGAGATCGAATCTTCCCTGAGCCTTGCTTCTCTCTATCAAAGACTCGGGGATCTCGAGCTGCTGGTAAGCATCCTGAAAATTCCTCTTCATCTCCGCCTTCAGCTCCCTTTCAGCTTTCCCACCCTCCCGTCGCGCCTGCTCCAACCTCTTGCTCAGCGCCGCTGCACCGTAAGGAAAACTGAATGATCCCTTCGGACAAGTCGTAACCACTCCATCCTCTGCAATAACCCACGTAATCTGCGTACTCCCTCCCCCAAGGTCCATCGCCAGCCCAGCAACCGCATGGGAGCTGCTCGCGATCCCCAGAGCCCCAATGCGCCCCTCATCCTCCTTCGACAAAAGACGAACCTCCCACCCTGTCACTTCCTTGATGCGACCCCTAAACTCCTCTGAATTCGGTGCCGTCCGGGTTGCCTCTGTAGCAAGCACATAGGCATTCGCCCGCGGCACCCGAAAGTCATCACAGACACTCTGGAAGCGAACAAGGCGTTGCACAACCTGCTCTACAATCTCAGCAGGGATCGGACCTCTTGGCCTCTGATCAGCGTTGCTACCGCCTGTTTCTGAACTAGAAAATTGGGCGTCGTAAAGTGAGATGCCAGCACGATCTTGGTACACTGTCGGCAGGATGCGAGCAGTTGGTGAAGATAGATCAGTGATAGAGAATCGAATGCCGTTGCTATGCTTGTTAGTTTCGTTGCCGTTCTCTCACATGGAGGGCGAATATATATATATATATATATACATACCTTCCCATATCTACGATCCCGTAGAGATTTGCATTTTGGTCTGCAGAGGTGGCGGCGGCCATTTTGGTTGCGTTTCTTGCCCAAACTCAATCAACCTGGGAGGATTTCTTTTGACCGTTTGAGAAGATAGGGTAAAATTGTTTTCAGTCTGTGGATTTCACTCCGTCTATTCCTAAAAAGAGAAACCGCACTGTTTGATAAGCTATGTTGACCGTCTGTTGAAGAAGACGTCAAGAGAGAAAAGAGTGGGGAATGAAGAATTCGGCGGTTGCTTTTAACGTCTTTGGGAAGCCTTCATTTCATTAGGTATCTTCTGCACGTCAACGGGATGGCTTAAAGAGTTGCCTACAGTAGCGAGGCCATCGATAAAACCAAGGAGCTGCGACCTACGTACGTTATTTGGTTCATCTGGATAGATTGGATTGATTCACTGCATTCATCATCACATCTTGACATCATAAGAGGGGTAGGTAGAAACTGCCCCGCGCTCGATCAAATTAACTATAACACATATCGAAAGGTCGCTCCATAGTTTTCCTCTCCAACTGTTCCTTCTTTCATATTTTTAATGGATTTATCCAAAGCGCCATATCTCTTGTCCAGATGTCGGTTCTCCCAGGCCAGGAGTAGCCGAAGAGCAAGAGCTAGAATGGCATTGAAGAACATGAATGCAGCACATATCGAAAGGCCGCGGGTATACCTTGGCCTATCACTGTCTAGGAAGACTTTTGTTCCCAGGAAAGGACCACATTGTCCGATTATATTGAGAATGACGATACCCATTCCTCGTCGGCTGTCGGAACCTTGGTTATCTAGATGAACTGTTAATAAGATTGATAAATGGTTTCCAGCAGTGCACATACTCAGAACCCAGGGGAAAATATTTGCGATACATGAAAAACCCCCTGCTGCTGCCAGGAAAACACCAAAATACCGTACTCCAACAGAGGTGCAGGCAGCAACGAGGATGAATCCGGCCGTTCCAACAAAAGACATGACAATAATTGTCAACCCACGTTGTTGAAACTTATCCGCAATCCAGGTCGTCGCGATTGTAAGGAGAAATGACGCAAAGAATGGTGGAGCCGTGAGTCCTTGCGCATCGATCGAGGTAAACCCCATACTCTCTAAGATAGTAGGAAGAAATACTGGAAGCGAGGAGAAGCTGACGTTACAACTGAAGTACATCAACTGCGGTGCATCTGAATTAGCTCTCCCCTTTCTGAAATAAAAGGGAAAGAAAGAAAAACATACCGCTGCTATCCACACTTTCGCATCAAGTAAAGTTTGAGCAAGCTCCTTCCAGTTCACCCCTCCAACACGCTCACGCTCACCGCTACGACGCAGCGATCGAGCCCTAGCGACTTCTTTTTCATCCTCAGTTAAAAATCGAGCGCTGGAAGGGTGGTCTGGTAAGAAACGCCATGCCAGAAAGGCTGCCAATAATGAGGGAGCTCCTTCAACGAGGAATAACAAACGCCAGTTGGCCAGCTTAGAGTGGCCGGAGGTAATTCCATACGCAAGAGCGCCCGAAAACGCATTAACAAGAGGCGCGGCTGAAAGAAACAAACCACAACGCAGACCAAGTTCGCGCCGATTATAAAAGAAGGATAAGAGATAGGGAGACCCAGGTCCAAAGGCTGCTTGCGCCATACCGAGCAGGCAACGAAGGGTCATCAGTCCAGCCCAGTTCTGAACCGCCGCCTGGCATGTTGCTACCACACCCCTAGGAGGTCTTCAGTAAATGCGTTTGTAATTCAACGGAGAATTTGAGACTAACCAGGTCAGAGCAGTGATCGCGGCCCACCTATGGGGCGGCATAACTTTCCACATGAGCGCTAGAAACTCGAACAGTGTGTAAGATATATAGAAAATTGTGAGAAGCCATGAGTAGCGGTTTTCTGTAAGATGTAGGTCCTCTTGCATTCCCGCAATTTTTGCATTTCTATTTCTTCAGTTAGCACCGTATCTAAAATTGCCGGGTGAGGTTTAACATGCCCAATGTTGCTTTGGTCAAGAAGGGCCAGAAGGTCTATAGGATAAACTCTGGTCAGATACGTAAACAATGCATATACCTGCCTGCGACGAGTAACTTACACAAAAAGCTCAGCATTGTGGGAACCCTTAAATCCAGTTTTCTCAACACCCGAGCCTCAACTACAGAATCAATAGAGATCAAATCTGAGGGTATTTGGGGCAGGGCGGTATGACTCTCGTCAAAGAACGGCAGTTGCTTCTCAAGATCCTTGCCGAAGACATGTGAACTATCATCATCCTGAGCGTGCATCTTCAGATTCTATCTCTCGTGCTCGATAATATTGTCCGTGTTGGGAGTATCCTTCCCGTCAAGCCCTTCAAAATGGCTGGATTGATTAACCTGGACGTAAAGAAGACGAAAACCAGCTGCCACAAAAAAGCCAAAGTCAATGAGAAGACAGCTGTATCTTATATGTGTGCGCACGTCGGAGAATTTTCCAAGCAACACGACCAGCAGTCGGTTTATTGCTGGATCTGCAGAGTTTAACATCTTCCGCCTGGCTGAAAGGCCAGAAATACAAGGGTTATTCATGTCATGTAGGGGAGGGGACCAAACTTAGGCCTGGACACGATACCCCAGAGTCCAGTCGCATTCCGTACTCTTCAGTCGGATATGAAACTTCCCGATCTCCCCCAGCCGACTTGTCAAAATATGCAGCCATGAATGACTTGGAGAGAGCTCCCTAGGTGCACAATCCAATCAAAGATGGCGCAGAGGAACTAATAGTGGCTGGTCGAAGCTTGTTGGATGAAACCACAGGAAGGCCCTACCTTAGATATGGCTTCGGATATGGGCTATCGTTTCATCCTTGCGCACTCAACATCAGATTCATAAGTGTCAAGCTAGGGGGGCGTAGGATTGGGGTGGTTGGATATGTAGATGTCGATGGCTGGATGAATTGCCCTTGCCTCCTCGAGAGGCCCGGATTGCATGTTCCCCGAGTCCGGACGTAGATTTTACAGGCTGCTCGTTCCAACGTGATCGATGCAGGGGTAGAAACGAGGGAAACATTCCGAGAGGCTGGAAATGAAACACAAAACATGAATCACTGGATGCATGCATGCGAAATGAAAGTGAAACCAAGTTCCATTGTCACAGAGGTGAATTGATGCCCTGTCTATCAGGTGTCGATCTCCCGGAGCCTGACGGTGGCGCACCATGTCCCATCAGCCACTGTGGCTTGAACACTGAACCTCAAATTTCCGCGTCGCGTTTACGGTCGCTGAGATACGCTCGATTATTGCCTCCATCGACTGAATCGCCTGAGACCCGCGGGTGTCATTCCCCCTCCCATCTCGAATGCTGATCTCTGTCATCGCTCTGTAATCTCTGCGCTACTTTCGCGATTCCATTGATTGCATTGGTTATCAGCTATCACGCTGTCTGGTCACAATGGATGACCCTGCCAGCCGTGTCCCTGGGCAGTTGGTATGGCCACCGAATTGCAAGCTCCCACGATGTCATGACGATCAAATCACTGACTAGATCTACCTTGATTTTCATTAGCTGCCCCATATGCATCTCATCTCCCGACACCGGTACCCTTTGATGCATATGATGCCCACCGACACTGTCGTTGAGTACCTCCTTTCCGCACCCAAGGTCGTCCGGGAAGCGCAACCTATGCACTGGACCTTTCTCGATGGCCCTCAAGATGGCACTGTGATGCTTACTTGGCAGCCCTTGAACCACCTGGGCACCAACTTTGCCAGCGATGGGTATGTCTGGGCGGACGTCGAGCAAGCTTTCACCTTCGAAGCCCGCGGTTACGTATGTCCTCCAGTTGATCGACTCGAATTGACTTGATAACCTCTCAAAAATGACTGACAAAACCGGCTTCAGCTCGTGGAAATGTGGCTGCATCGTAGTGGTTATCACCCCCCCAATGAGTCTGTCGCCATTCACTGTCGCAGGCGATATAGACTTCTCCCAAACAAGGTCCCGAATCCTAGCCTACCTCCACCAGACCCTTCGCTATGGATTGTACACTACTCAAGGGCGCCTCCTCAAGAGCACATCCCCGCCAACCGAATCCCCCTCCTCCCCCAGGTCCAAGGCATGTTGGCTCAGCGCCGTTTCCTGCAGAGTCAAGGTCAATTGGCACGCAAAGACTTCATGCTGCACGACCGAAATAACTGGCCCGCGATCAGCTTCCCGCCCCAGATGGGTCCACAAGGCTACCAACAAGCGCAGACGGCGTACCCAAATGCAATGGTCGGCCGCCAGACATTCTACCCAGCACCTGGCGCCGTGGTACCGCAAGCCACAGGCGCAGCCCCAGCGAAGGTGCCGCGGGGACACCGCGCTCAGTCGACAGCAGCCAATGCGGCCACAGCCGACTTTGCTCTCGAGGATGAAGACGTTTCCGCCGGCGATATCATGGACCTTCTGACCCCCCGGGAGGTCAGCAAGATGAGATATCAGCAGCACCACGAGTGGATGGAGGAGGTTTTGGCCTCCCCTTATGCCATCAGCCAAATCACCCCGACTTCTCTTGGCCTCGGCCGCAAAGGCGAATTGGAATCATTGACAGCAGGTTTCTTTGATGCCCCAGTCAGGCCCGTCAGCAGTGACCAGGCAGGGACCAATGAGTCTAAGCAGGCAGCTCCTCTAGAACCTGAAAAGGCCAAAGAATTCGCCGATCGGGTTGCCAAGAAAGTGGCTGATATGACGGCAGAGATCGAAAAGCTTAAGCAGCAACACGCGCGACGGATGGAAAAGTTCAACCGTACCTCGCTACTCAAAGATGCAGAGGTCAAGTTGCGCGATGCCGCTGCAGAACCCGCAGAGACTGGATCCGAGATCTGGAGGTTGGAAGGCCGCATCGAGATTCCTACTGACGAGGATAACATGCCTCTTGCGCCGATTGAGCACAAGGCGAAATACAAGGTGGACGATATCGTTCACGACGTCGAGGCTGCCTGGGAGAGGCAGATTGTCCCGGAACCCAAAGTCTCGTGCATGCAGAAGGGTGGTTTGCTGGAAAAGATCGAACCGGAGCAGAGGACAGGCGAAGGCGACATTGAAATGGACCATGGCGACACTCATTTGCTGGATCAGTTCGGTACACCTGGAGTCACTGCTCAGGAACCTCCGGTATCGACAAATGCACCTACTACTGTAACAGGCGTCCCAGGAGCACCCAATGTGCCCGCACAGCCCGCCACAGGCGGTCAGTCTCTGGCTGGCTTGGATGTGGAAATGGACCTTGGGGATGCTCCACAGGCAGGCACTGCTTCGGGTGAGACTGGTGACTGGGTGATGGTCAACGAAGAAAAGAAAGGCGACGGGCTAGACAAGAACACTCTTGGCGAGAGCTCTCTACAAGGAATTGGAACACCAGGCAGCGGCCTCCAGGGCTTAACGCCTGGAGGTCCCGGCGCAGATACTAGCCTCGACGGAGCCAATTTCGACTTTACCAACATGGACAGTGCCGGCGATGCGCTCGCCGCATACTCCGAACAAAACGACGGGTTAGACCTCCCGGATCTGGAGAACTCGGCCTTTGGAGATGCATTCCACGCATCGGATAATGAGAACACCCATCACCATGATGCAGACGACATGTCTTGATTTGGGTAGGCTGGGTTTGGGATATTTTTATCGGTTGTTGGTGTGCTTTACAGAGGTGTTGTTGGTCCTGGCCATTTTTCGGCGCTGGTTTGTCCTTTTCTTTTCTTCTTCATGCCTAGACTCTCTCTCCCTTTGATGGGGGAGAGGGAGAGAGGAAGGCAGTAGACAGGTGTAAAATTTAAGATTGATCTTTTATGTCTCCTGCAACCATTCCATCTCACTTTTCTCGATGCAGAGACGAGCGATGATCCCCTAATCAAAGTTCTACATATTATATTGCCTTTCCCTCTCTTTCTCTCTCCATGTGACCGCCCTGATGACAGATGCACAGTTCTTCTTCATATAACTATCCAACATCTCGGATGATTTCATACTCATCGACTGTTCTTTTATTGTTTGGGTTGAGTTCAATCATAACAAGATACATGTCTACTTGTAGTCCCCCAATAAACCTCTCGGGACTGTACATTTCCCTTCCCTTCCTATATCACAAAGAACCTCGGGATCCCCCATGTATGCCCTGCCTGGCCCAAGTCCATCTCCAGCCCAACTCATGCCGGCCCAGATGTTCCATAAACCCCTCTATAAAACGGTTGCAAATAGTTCCTAAAGGGATCGCGTGTAGATCACTGTATCCCACTTCCTTCCACACCCTCTCTTAAGCTGAACTGGGCATCACCAGGCAATATCATCCGCCGCATGACAACCCTGACTGTTCCGATCAAGTGATTTCGACCAGGTCATCGCGAACAATACGCGCAGATCTAAAAAGATATTTCTCTCTCTCTCTCTCTTTCTTTTGTTCGAGGCTATCGCAATTATATCTTCTCTTACAGGAGTTTAGCTTTCTTCCCCGAATCGCAGTTCCAACATTTCATCTCCTGTATCCATCACTACAGGTACATCCCAAGCACAAGGGTCTACACAGATACACCTATCCACCATGTGTTTCGTCGACATAGACACTTCCCCGGAGGCCGACGAGCCTTCTGTCCGAGTCACAGAATACCGTCCCCAACCAGTACGAGTCTCCTTTCTTCCTGCTCATCTACATCGAAGATGGACTCCCCCTCTACCTCTCCCTGGTGTCTGCCACTCCAGCCCCAGCACAGCAGCAATAGTTATCTACTCTTCCCATGCCCCGCGACCCTCGTTCTCATCTTCTTCGTATTGCAATCCTGCGCGCTCGCCACGGTCGTCATATACGACTGTCACGATGACCCGGACCCGGACCCGGACCCGGGCACGGGTACGTGAAGAAACGGCGCTTCTGTCGGCACCGGTGCGCGTCGGTCATCGTTTTCGGGAGGGGGTATCCGGGTCTAGATATGTGGGGGGGTATGTTGAGCCAGATGGATGGGGGGTTAGGAGGAGAGAGAAGGAAATTGTATATATTCCTGCTCGGTAGGAGGGAAGGAAGGAAGAGATCGAATGCTCCCGGTTGGGTGTACTGCGTACGAAGTACTTAGGACCATTGTTCAATCATTTCATTAATAGTGTTATTGTGTAGTAGTGTTCTGTATTCTTGGTAGTAGTAGGAAGGATATTACCCAAATAGGAAACATAATTGGGCCGATACAGCCACCTGTGCTCCACAGATCGGATAACTCTATCACTTTCGCCTCATGAAATAGACTCCACAGAACCCACGAACCCATCCATCATGTGCATTGTCTGCATCCGGCCAATGACCTCAACATCCGTGTATCCCGCATGACGTCACGAAGTTCTGGATGGGTTCGACATAAAGCTGTGATGAGCATAGATTAACTCGCCGCAAGTGATCATTTCCGAGATATGAACTTCAAAATACTCGTGAGCCTCTTTCGGGCTATCTGAGTGAAACGTATTGTTTTGCACACAGATCGACTAAAGATTCTTCAGCCATCAATCGTCGGCCAGGAAGGCGCAATCCACCTTCACTCGACGACAAGTCACTGTATATATTAGTTGCCACATCATTGAACCTCCTACCTCGTTGTTGAGTCGGACAAACGACAGACCGCATAATTTTCTTTGATTAAAGCCGACGCAAACATGTACGAGTCTCAAGAAGATAGATTAGCAGAGCGAGCCACTGACCCATCAACAGGCACCGAACTCTTTCTGGCAAAAGAAGAAGCTCTACTAATGGAGGTCGCCACCGCTTCAGCATCTCGACATTCCGCGGCCTTCAGCAGCCCCAGCTCAGCAAGAAAATGAATCGGGTGATTAAGAGCGAGAATGCCGCAATTAGCGCCCATGAGAGTGCGGGTAGACAGCGCGTGTCGATTGCCTCCCAGCTCTCGGAGTGGGGAGATTCGACTGAGGACGATGCCATCGCGGATATCTCGGACAAGATAAGCGTTCTTCTGGCTGAGATGGGCGAGCAGGAGGATACCTACGCGCAGAGCCTTGACGAATACCGCACCATCCTGAAGCATATCCGCGACACGGAGGGTTCAGTCCAGCCGACGCGCGATCATCGAGCCAAAATCGCAGATGAGATCCAGCGTCTCAAGTGGAAGGAGCCTAATAGCAGCAGGATAGATACGCTCGAGCAGGAACTCGTGAGAGCAGAGGCGCAGAGCCTCGTTGCGGAAGCTCAGTTGACTAATACAGTAAGTGGTGCTTCTTGTTGACAGGTATCCGGTCTCGCACTTGTTCTAAGAATGTGATTTCAACAGACTCGACAGAGGTTCAAGGAGGCTTTTGACGTCCATTTAGCCGCTGTGATTGAGCGGGGTGAGAAACAAATCCTTCTGGCTCAGCATGCCCGTCGCTTGCTCAACTGTCTCGACGACACCCCTGTGATTCCTGGAGATCAACCCAAGGAATATGACCGTGGTGATGAGGCTAAGCAGATTATTGAAGATGCCGAGAAAGATATCCGCGGCTGGGAAAGCACCGTTGAGCCTGTTGAAATTGCAGCGGGAACTGTCCCCACAGCCACTCTCCTCCCTCCCCCTGCCCAGAGAGTCCACGAGGAGGGTCAGGAGGTGCCAGTCATGGAATCCCAAGCGACCACCATATCCAGGGAAGAAGAGGTAGAGGAGGTCCGCGCTGAGGAAGCCGCTGAAGAAGAAGCTCAGATGGGGGAACCGGAGGTCATTGTCCCCCACGCCGAGGTCCATACCATGGAGGCCCCGATGATGGAAGCTGACATCCTGGAGGAAGAGCAGGCGAGGGCGGCAGCGGGTGCTCAACCCACTACTGCGTTGGAACGAGAAGTGGCAGGGGTGGATGCAGTTTCAATGTCAGACTCCACTCGCGAAGTCAACGGATCTGTTTCGTCTGCAGGTTTCGTTATCCGCAAGAAGAAGAGCGAACCTCCTCGCCTCGTTGGAGCTCTGGGAACCCAGGCACAGCCCATTGCGGTCCCCATTTGAACAGGAAATTGTGTATATTGTTCTTTTATATTTTGTGTGCTTCCGGGAACTCCGAAAATGTACTTAGGCTTTCCATGTTGATAATTCATACGTAAGGGAAGTTTTCACAGGAACTATCATCCATGCTTTTGGTAGCAGGGGAGTGTTGAGATGATGAGAGTAGAGAGAGACATGATGAAAGCCTCACATTTCAGGTATCAACACGTGACCCATGGACTAACTATAGTCCGGGCCGGGCGACGATTATTGGATGCCGCACGCCAGCAGGCAGCCTGACTACGCGGACCGAGACTCGTTTGGGAAGCTCTCCAGCATCACCGCAACGAAAGCTCCCAGCTGCCGTCCAGAGCTTCAACCATCATCCTCCCCATCCTTTCCATCCTCTCTTCACTTTCTGTTACTGTACACTCCCATCTCTGCCATTATTCGCACATCATGGATACATTGGTCCGCCAGTACTCTCGCGCGCCGCATCAGAACGAGTTCTACTCGGAGCGAGAACAGCATGACCTCACAGAGAGCCTGCCTCCAATCTCGCTCAAGTTCAACCTCCCCCCAGTTGCAAACGTGAGTTTCTATCACACTTAGAGAGCTGTTGCAGTATTGGAGTCAAGCGTCTGAGGTGTTGTTGAGGCTACTTCCCAGAACACGCATAGACCCTGACCTCCCTCTGACTTGAACCATGTGGAAAAGCATTGACTGACTTTATCCTTCTTTTTATCGTCTCTATCTAGTCTTCTGCCTTCCTCCGTGCCATGACCGATGACCACTCCAATCCTAGCTGTCCCATTAAACTTGCTCACGGAACAACAACGCTGGCTTTCCGATTCCAGGGCGGAATTGTACTCCCCCCCCCCCAACCACCCCTCCTTCGCACGGGCGTGCTGACGATTGATGTGCTAGATTGTCGCGACAGACTCCAGAGCAACGGCTGGAAACTGGATTGCCAGTCAGACCGTGAAGAAGGTTATTCCTGTCTCGCGATTGAGTCGTGGCGAGGATAAGGCCGGCAATGAACCCACCCCTGGTCTCTTGGGTACCATGGCAGGAGGTGCAGCAGTACGTTCTTCTCCTATATTTTAAGGGTAAATTTATACTAGAAGTTGTCCTCCTAACGGGTTATTCCAGGACTGTCAATACTGGCTGAGATATCTGAGCCAACAATGCACACTTCACGGTAAGCCCGAGCACTTCCCCGCAAGCTATTTGCAATTCTAACTTCAAGCAGAAATCCGCCACAAGCGTCGTATCACAGTCGCAGCCGCGTCCAAAATCCTCGCAAATCTCACATACTCCTACAAAGGAATGGGCCTGAGCATGGGAACGATGTTGGCAGGCGTATGTGACCACGACCCCCGTTTCTCATTCTCAAAGCACAAGCTGACATGCAATGTAGATGACACCACAAGAAGGCCCCGCCCTGTACTACATCGACTCCGACGGCACCCGACTCCCTGGAAACCTGTTCTGTGTCGGATCCGGTCAGACTTTCGCTTACGGTGTGCTCGACGCTAACTACCGCTACGACCTGACCGAAGAGGAGGCTCTCGAGCTCGGCCGGAGGAGTATCTTGGCTGCTATGCACCGTGACGCTTACTCTGGTGGTTTCATCAATCTGTATCACGTCAAGGAAGAGGGCTGGGTCCACCACGGCTTCGACGACATGAACCCTATATTCTGGAAGACGAAGTTGGAGAAAGGCGAGTTCTCGAATGTCACATCGGAGCTGTAGAGGGTTGTTTCGTTACATAGTAGTCATCATGATTGTTTAGGCATCCAATACTACTAAACTTCCTACTCTTTTGATACTTGGTATTTTGCATAGTCAGGTATGGGATCTCCTAGGTATTCACATAGATCCTGCATCCTCAAATCCGAATACATATAACAATAATAATACCTTGTAGAGGAAATTACCAAATGTCATTACCAACAAATAAACAAATAGATACATCCCAGAGGAATAGGAATAGAAGAGAGATAAAAAATAAATAAATAAATACAGAGATATCTTCAAAACCAATATTGCTGAAAAACGAACGCTCTCCATCTATAAACGTGCTTTTTGTAGTGAGTGAGCCTTGAGCCTTTCTTTTTTTTTTTTTTTTTTTTTGGCAATACACATTTTCTTTCCTTTTCATTTTTTCTTCTCATTCATTCTCTTTTTCTTTATCCCACCTTATCTAGTTTCCCCCTTGTAAAAAAAAAAAAAAGGTGGGACAGACAGGTATGCATGCATGAGAGGTCATTAATTATCAACACGGAACTTCATCCGGATACCCATGGCTGCAAGTTCGACATCCAGGTAACGCAGGACACCCGGCACAGCAACAACAGTGACATTATCGCCGCCCACATAGCGGTGGCCATCTCCGTCTTCCCAGACCACAGCGCGGGAGTCCTCGAAGACCGCTTCTCGAGCGCAGCGCCTACACCGAACGATACCAGTTGTGCCGCCTAGCGCAGCAGAGGCAGAACTGCTGCTGCTGCTGCTGCTGCTGTTGTTGTTGTTGTTGTTGTTCTGCTGGTGCTGTCCACCAGAAGCAGCCTTAGCTGCTAACCGGGCCTTGCTGGATCCAGCTGAGGAAACAGCCACCTGTGTGGAGAGGAAGGAGCCGCAGTCGCGACAGATCCATGTGCGCTGGGAATCCGAGCAGTTCATGAGACGGTCTTGAAGAAGGAAAGCGGCGCCGTGGGCGATCAGTGAGTCGCGTTCCATTTCTCCGACACGGATACCACCACCCTTGGCACGGCCCTTGACGGGTTGGCCCGTGAGGTTGTTAACGGGACCAGTTGTACGAACTTGGAATTTGTCGTTAACCATGTGACGGAGACGTTGGTAGTGGACGACGCCGATGAAGATGTCAGCCGCGAACTCCTTGCCTGTAATGCCGGAGTAGAGGGGTTCGTTTCCGTAGTAGTTGTAGCCGGCTTTGCGGAGCTGTTCGCCGAAGAAGTCGGTTGCGGTATTTTCTTCGGAGAATTGGAAGGGAGTGCAGTCTTGCGGGTGGCCGTGAAGAGCACCGGCCTTGCCAGCCATTGATTCAATCATCTGGGCGATTGTCATACCTGACGAGTTCGTTAGATATTGAGAGAAAACTCAAAGTTTGTATTGTGGAACGGGGGCTCTTACGCGAAGGGAAAGCGTGAGGGTTGATAATCAAGTCTGGCTGGATTCCACTCTCAGAGAATGGCATGTCGACTGCAGGCCACAGTTGAGAGCAGACACCCTTTTGTCCGTGACGTGAAGAGAACTTGTCACCAATGATGGGCTTTCTGGGAACACGGTATTTGACGCTAATGGCCTGGCAAGGCTCAGCACCAGTTTCTGATCCCATGATACGGATGCTGTCGATGTATCCTTCTTCGGTGTCCTTGTACTTAACGAAGTGGGTGATACCATCAACGTTCACGTACGAGTCTGAAGTAGCATCATACCGCACCGTGTGGTATGCAGCAACAATACTGCCTTCTGTCACGCGAGCACCGATATGAGGAAGACCGTCTTCGTCAAGAGTAGCACGCCACTCAGCCCGAATCTCGCTCCCCGGGGCAAAGCCGAAGAGCTTGGCGATTCCGTGTCGGGACTTGGTTCGTCGTGAATCATTCTCGTCAAGAGAATGAACTTTGGTCTTGTAAATCGTACCGTAACCGAATCCACGTTCGTGGGAAGATTTATTGATAATCATAGCGTCGTCCATGTCGTAACCAGTGTATGAGATAATAGCCACAACTGCATTCGTACCGTTGGGGAAGTTGTCCAAACCATAGGCATTGTAGAGGGGAGGTCGGACAATGGGCGTTTGTCCGGTTTGTAGTCGATAAAGCTTGTTGTCTGTACGGTAATTGATAGCAGTACCTGGTGTTCCCATTGTCTGCTTGCTCATCTGGCACTGATACATGTTACGAGGAGACTGGTTATAATCGGAGAAAGGCGTCATGTTGGCAACGATGGAGAGGATATTGGTGGGAGTATATTCGATATGACTCGAAACACCCGAGACCAGGTCGGACGGCAAGCATGCAATTTCCATGAATGGCTGCTCGAATGGGCCCACGTAGTCGAGCCTGTCGAGAGGCAAGTACTTGACTGGACGGTACATACGAGCGGCTTGTGAAAAAAGGTAGACTCCAGGGTACTGGCCACCGTTGGAATTGGGAACATAGCCAATCTCTAATTCCAGAGGAATATTGTGCATGCCAGAGACCTTCCAGTGTCTTAGGGTGTTGGAAACCACGCGGGCTTGTTTGGGGGAGCAGTATCCGACGATCCTTCCATCCAGCTGGACGCAAACACTCTCGTCCAATGAAACGGACGATTCACTGCGAACGCCGAGCTGAACAAGGAGCTTTGGAAGATGGGGAACTTCAACATCGTTGGTTGCCACCAGACATTTATGGGCAAGATGGTTAAGAAGACCACAAGGCGATCCATCAGGAGTATGGACGGGGCACAGGAAGCCCCAGCTCTCAGGAAGAAGCTTACGGACAGTAGTGGTCTTAAGCTGCGCGAAAAAACTACCTCTGTGGATCATTCGGAAATGACTGATAAATCGGTAGAAGTTGATCTTTTCCGCCATGACTGTGTAACCAGATGTCTGCTGTAAGTCAAGACCCGTAGGACTGACGAGATTACCAGTCGAGAGGAAATACTCCAATGCACCTCCAATGTTCTCGTTAGACCGTTTGACAACCTTGCTCAAGAAATCTCTTTCGAAGGCTGGATCTGTGAATCGGGCCCCGTGGTTGCGGTTGGACCAGTCCCTAAGAATAGGGCCAAATGACCGTACCCATTCCTCCAGTCTCTCCTTCAAGAGCATTCCATAGAGGAAGCCGCCCAGCAGAATTTCTTGATTGGAGACAGCATCAGGGTTATCGGGAGCACAGTCACCCGCGACGAGGGCATAGAGTTTCCGAATCATAAACATTAGCATCTTGAATTTGTCGTAGTCCTGGGTCTCCGAGACGTTCTGGTTGCCGAGGTGAGGCAAGACAACCTTACGCAGGAATTCAGCACCAGCCTCCTCATTAGAAATGTCCATCGGAACACCAAGGACGGGCTTGAATTTTTCTCCAATAAATGACCGGCACTCGGCACGGCTGTGAATACGATATGCTTTGTATGTTCGGAGCAACAACTCCACTCGATCCGTGACGAATGTATTCTTGATACCCTCAGAGGAGGCACTTCCGACAATTCCTTCAAAAATTTCACGGTCATTTGTCTCTACGAGAGCTTTGAGGATCATCACAACAGGAATGATGTACTCATTTTTGCGCCAGGAGAAGCGGAAGGTCACATTTCCATCGCTAAGATAGTGTAGAGCGTTCGTCTGCGATGTCTGGTCTGGGCGCACGGATCGAATTTGGACACCGAATTTCGTATAGGAATGGCCACGGTTTGCGAAGCTGTTACGGATAATTGCCATGGGGTAATTCCTCCGTCCAACGATCAGCATACGAATCAACTTTTCGTTACCATTGACGATAAAATAGCCGCCTAGTTCTTCCGATTCTTCCTTGTGTTGGACGAGTTCCGCGGGCGTCGCCTTTTCCAAATGACATCGGTTGGACTGAAGTTATTTGCGTCAGATCCGTAAATCAAATTGCAGGAGTTCCAAATGAAAAGGTCAGTATACTCACCCTCAGCATAATGGGAACCTGTCCCAGTTCTCTGACTGCCTCAACCCAGTCTGCATTGTTCACTCGATACTCAATCTTCGCGCGGAGCTTTCCACGGTATGTCGCATGTCGTTCTCTGCATTCTGATGGGTAGATACTGCGGTTGCGAGCGGTGAATTTATTTGCCAAAGGGATAGCCGGCTTCTCCAGAAAAACTTCCTTAATGCGAACGTGGAGGCGGTTGCGCCTGGGGGCTTTTCGTCCTTCCGCCAGGCGCTGTTTTTTCTCATCAGGAGTCTCGACCAGCTCATCGACGAAGGTTTTAGTGCCAATGTCTTTTAGACCTGCCTCCAAAACCCTGCTATCTTCAAACAGAGCATTGAAGGAGTCGACGTGCGGCTTGATTGAGGCCGCCAGGGAGGGGTATGCGGTGTGATCCTCGGGAGGATTTCGGAAAAGCTTCTCTCGTCTGAGGACATCGTAGTTGACAGACCAATTGGTGTCTGTCGCGGCCGGGGCCATGGTGAATTCTTTTTCTCAGTCGGCCGTTTCTTGTGCTTCTCTCTCACAGGATGAAGATTTTCATGCAGCTTTTGACTCGTCCTTGGACTTGGGGTCGAGCTGGGAAAAACCGGTGTGCAAGGTACCGATAGCACCGGGGACCCTTGCGGTAAATAATATCTAGGGTCACAATGAGATAATCGGCAATGAAAAAGAGCAAAGCGACCCGCAATGGAAGCAGGTGTGCTGGCAGGAAGCAAAAGAAGCCTCTGCTCTGGACGCTTGACAGGGAAATTTTTCGAGGTGGATCTGGCGGACAGATATCATCACGTGCTGATAGCTCTTTGGCGCCTCAGGACACAAGGTTGCTGTGGGAAAAGCGGTGTAATTCTGCCTAGGCTCTCGCTTGTGCTCGCTTAGGGATGGTCTGACTAATACATGCGATTTCCAAAAGGGGCCTAGTGGTTCCATAGTTGTAGTAAGTCACGTTGGATTTAGAGGCCTGAGGCAGAGTGTTTTCTACATAGTAACTAGGTCCAGCGAAAGCCTCTAGTTGAGTTACACTGCAATAAGTCCAGTATACTAGAGAAATAAATAAAGCGTATTTCTCCATTGACATATATCTATCCACGGCAAAATTCAACAAGATTTCCTCTTGGTCTAGTTCTAATTGGACCAACATCCATCTCTCGCCCTTGGCGCGTGCTTTCGGCGACCAAAACAATTTACTCTCTCTTAACTCTACCTAGGTACCTGAAATATGTTCATTTCCCTCCTTAATATCCAGATTACCTTTTATTAGGCTATATTCTCGTTACTTTTGCATTCTCTTCCTTAGCTCGGGCGGAGATGGAAATCTCTCAATTTCTCCAACCCCAACTTCGTTCGTTTAGCCGACTGGCCCAAGGTTGAAGAAGAGACTCTACCAGATTATATCGCCTCGCAGTATTATCCAACTCGAATTGGAGAAGTCATCAACCAGCGGTATCAAGTGATCGGTAAGTTAGGATTTGGGTCTACGTCAACGGTGTGGCTTGCACGGGACATGGAGTAAGATTGATTCAGTATTTTCCAAACTGGCTTATCAGAGATACTCATACATCAGTTCTGTAGTGATCGGCGTTATGTCATGGTCAAGATCTTTATTCAGGCTTCGTATATGGGCCAACAGGTGGATAACGAGTTGAATATGTATAAATACATGGAGCAGTCCCCTGCGACCCATCCCGGCCGCGACGTGATAAGAACGTTACTTGATACGTTTTACATCGACGGACCTCAGGATAAGCATCGATGTCTTGTGCATCCCCCATTATGGGAGAGTGTTTTGGCTTTCTTACGCCGCAACCCAATAGAGAGACTACCCTCACCAGTCATCGCAGTGGTCCTTCATCATCTGTTTCTAGCATTGGATTATCTTCATACAGAGTGCCACATTGCACACACTGGTTTGTAGCCACCCCTTATATCGCCCAGCCTGTATGATTTACTCACTCCTCTTTTCCATGCTAGATATTAAAGCTGACAACATCATGTTCGGAATCAAGGACGATTCAGTCTTCACTGACTTTGAAGAGTACGAACTCCAGACCGTGATCAGTACCACTTGGTATTTATTCAACCTCAGATCTACCGAGCACCAGAAGTGATTTTAGGCGTTCCATGGACGTTCAGCGCAGATATTTGGAATGTGGGATGCATGGTGGGAATAACAATCGGACCATAGTCCAAAAATCACTACTAATAGCCATTCTATAGATCTGGGACATATACGAAGGTGGTTCCTTATTTACAGGCCAAGACCCCGAATTTCAAAGATACCGAAGCCGAGCCCATCTTGCCGAGATGATCAACCTTCTCGGGCCCCCACCTCCTAGTCTTGTTATCCAGGGGGAGCTGAGCGACAAATTCTTTTCGAGTGAAGGCAGGTTTCTTATAACAAATCAATCTCAGCGTCAAAGTCCCCACTAACTAGATTACTTCAGGCGATTTCCTGAACCAAGATTTACTGACTGGTCTAGTGCCGCTTGAACAGAGGGAAACCACTCTCGAGGGGACAGCGGAGAGAGAGGCTTTCCTACGTTTCATGCGCAAAATGCTACAATGGGAGCCTGGCAAGCGGAGCTCAGCCAAGGAGCTAGCGGAAGATGAATGGATACATCGCCATATGTAATTCTGCAGCAAACCCAGAAGCCAGATTCCAAGGTCGGATTTTGGTATATCAGGAGCGCTCTTCAAAAACCGATAGCATTATCCGCGGGTGATGCTGGAGAAATAGAAGGTTAAATATTAATTCGAGAGGCTTATTATATCTTGACGATTTTAAAGAATTTCTTTATTAAAATAACTAGTTAGTAGTAAAGAGTAAAGTAAGCCTGTTAATAGCTAACTAACTAGTTACCCCTAAGGATCATTATAAATCCGACAATAGGCGCTCGCTCCCCTCAGCAGTGCAACAAGGGAACTTCCAATGGGCCATGCGTGTACAGGTTTCACGACAAATACAGAGTACAGAGGTATCAGAATAAGAAAGGTCCCCAAAACCTGGAGGAGATGTTTCTTGCCGCTGTCTTTTGCTTCTTCTTCCGCTCTTGCAGTTCGCCCAGCTGCAGCAGCTGCAGTCCCTGCTCTACACACCTAGCGTCGCTCTAATCTTTGCGCTCGCTCGCTCAATCTCTCTCCTACGGCGCTTCGGAATCCTTTCGATTTTCTCAGCGGACTGGCTATTAATCTTTCGTTCGTGGGCTTGGTCTACACACCATCACTATCAGAAACCTCTACTTCTATTTCTACTTCTGCCTTTTCCTACTGGTGTAGCAGCAGTCAACCTCAAACTAACTCTCATTTTCCGCAACTTCTTTCTCCTGTCCATCCATCCATCCCCCACTTGGCCTTGTCAAAACCCTTATCCTAACCCTCAATTTATTATTTCGTTCGCCCACCACCATTCCAAGTCAGTCAGGTCACCCACCTCGTTGGATCAAGCTGCGCTTTTTTCTCATCCGACTCTTGCCACACCGGTCGTTTTCTTCCCTCCCTTTTGCTTTTCCCCTTTCTTTCCAATTTCTGTCTTCCTTGTCACTCAGCCGTCCCCTCCCCCCCCCCAAAAAAAAACCGACCACAAGCGACTCCGTTGCAACGATGGCGGGTATTTTCCGGACAATATATGACTGGCTCTTGAGGATGTTTTGGTAAGTGGGCCGCCGTTCCAGAGGCTGTCGCCTTCAAGGGTGTTCTCCCCGAAATCCCCCGGCCCGTCCCCGCAAATTTCAAATTTTGGTTCACTAAGAGCAGTACGTTGGATTTAGGGCGACAGAAATGGATGTCACGATGATCGGCCTCCAGAATGCAGGAAAATCGTCCTTGTTGCGTGTGCTAGCGGTAGGTCTTGCATCCTGTTTCACAGTTCCGCCACGAGCCATCCACCATCGACGCTAATATGAGTGCTTCTAGGGAGGCGAGTTCACTGTAGAGTAAGTTCGTTGACTCGTAGGGCAATCTAGGCTTGAGGGTAGCCCGTCTCGGCTAAGACTACCACAGTTCTATCCCCACCATTGGGTTCAATACCAAACGGGTTCAAAAGGGCCATGTGACTCTCAAATGGTCGGTGCTTGTCTGAATCATTTAGCTTTCCATGCAAGGCGTTGCTAATCCATGTGCAGCTGGGATCTAGGAGGTCAGCCGCGCTTCCGACCGATGTGGGAGAGGTACTGTCGGGGGGTAAATGCGATAGTGTATGCATAGAATCCGACGATGGCTGTGGTCGTGACCGAGTCTGACCTCCGAATAGGTATATTGTCGACGCAGCGGACAAGGCTGCGCTCCCCATCGCTACCGAGGAGTTACATGATCTGATGAGCAAGCCCACGCTCGACGGAATCCCTCTGTTGGTGCTAGGAAACAAATCCGATCTCCCGAATAAGCTGTCGGTTGACGAACTCATCGATCGGATGAACCTTAAGTCGATAACGCGGCGCGAAGTGAGCTGCTACGGGATTAGTGCAAAAGAAGAGACAAACCTCGACGCTGTCCTGCATTGGTTAATCGCTCGATCCAGTCGATAGCCAGCTAACGACAAGGCCCACGACGAGCTGCATTGAAGGTCGGGCGAGCTGGTTCTTTCCTACATCTTCTCCCATCATTCATGATCGCCCTTAACCCTTGTAGATTCCCCCCTCCCCCCAAAGCATTGTGGCTCTCGGCCCGTATGTAATGATGTCTTTGAATGTTGATCAGGCGGATTTAACACGACAAGTGTAACGAAAATCTCTCGTTCCTAGTTAGTGCTTGCAGTTTAGTCTTCTTTTTTTTTTCCTAGATTTTTTGGGAGTTTGTTTTTAGCAGTTTTGTCAGTCTGTGATTCACTCGTTTTTGAATGCGGTCTTTGCGATCAGCCATCTTGTGTATTATTCTCAGGGTCCTATTATTGTATTTTTGCCCAAGCGATTGGTGCCCAACGAAGTATTTTCTCGCAGCAAATGTGGTAGTAGGAACCGAAGACGAACCCCCGGTCGCCACAGCTCAACATGGCACGGAGTAACCCAAACAAGAGAGAGAGAGAAAACACTGTAAATCAGACCATCCCTGGATAAACGGGATCCAAAGCAGGACCAAAATCAATGGTCGAGAAACGAAGACGATGAAGGGGGGCAGGGGAAGGGAAATAACCAAGAAGAAGAAGCGAAAGAAGAGAAAGAAAGGGCAGAGAAACTAGACTCAACAACACACAGACCAACTGATGCGTTGGCATTGCAGATGCGAAGACGGGAACTTAGGTACCTCCTACTAGTACTAGCTATCTAACTAGTTATTTAATCCCTGGGAAATGATCATACAATCCCCTCCTCCCCCTACTCTCTATGGTGTTGTTTTGGGGGTTTAACTGGAACCTAGTTCTGGGTGGTTCAGGAACTTAATGTTCTCGGAGGTAAAAATATCTACCCAGACTACTCCGTAGGATCATCACTTGGATTGCAATCTATATCTTTATATTCTTGTTTCGAGGGTTTCCCGTAATTCTCACTCCCCTGGAGCCTAGAGGTACTGTTAGGAATGGTACTTCTATCACCAAATACGACCAGAAAGGAATACCTAAGTCGAGTGCATTCGTCATCATTCTGACAGCCCAAGGTAGTCAAACCAACGGGATTATTCCAATAGCATAGCCCTATGAACGGGGCTCGACTACCAAGGAATCGTCAGCGTCATCAAGTTCGATGGGTGTGGAACTGTGGAATCTTGCGGAGACGACGATCACAGGATTAATTTTGAAGGATTTATATATGGATTTATCATCCCAAGTCTGTTAGTTAGTTAGATGATAATCTCACATAATGAATGAAAACCAAAACCAACCACATTTTGAAGGCATTTATTTCCATATTAGAGGGGAACCATACTCTGTAGAATTAATAATCTACAATAGTTAACTAGTTAACTAACTAACTCACTACTAAATGCCAAAAAAATGAGTGATGGGTCTACTCAGCCACAACGCGGCCCAATTGATCAAGTGGTATCGGCGCAACAAATCCTCACGTCGCAGTTTTTTTTGTTGCTGCCTTCAGAAATCCCCCTACTCTCTCCATCTCATACCATCTACCTCTCTATCCCTTTTATTCGTGCTCCAGACCTTCCCTGCCTTTTACCATAATCTCTTCCCCCCCTCACTTGTTCTCGTTATTCTCCTCCTCCTTTTTCTTCTTCTAGCTTTTCCTTCCCTGTCGTCACCTGTCTCATCGACGTCATCTGCCGCGGGTTGAGAGATCGGAGTTACAGATTCCGCCACCAATGGGTATTCTCTATCGTCGATATTGGTCAGTTTGCCATCATAGTATTTTGTTTTGGGATATCCAGATCCCCTTCAGTTTCTAGATAGGTACTAAGATGTCTCTAGTTGGTACGAATACGGTAACCAACAATGCACTGGAGATGCTTGGTATGATTGGGGTCGCTGGGTCGCTTTTGCCGTCATTGTCGTTGCGGCGCTGATTATCTTCTTCATCCTGGCGTATGCTTGCCCTTTTCTTTCTTTCCATCATGTCAACGAATTCTTCTAATAGACTGATGTAGTTGTTTCAACGCCAGACGCCGTCGCAGAACCGGTCTTCGTCCCTACCAAGGCACAGGCTGGCTTGCTCCTCCACCTCCATATCAGCAGCAATATGCAGACCCTTACTACCAGCAACAACCACCGCCACCACAGTACACGGCTCAGCCGCCGACTCACGGATACTTCGGGGGCCAACAGACTGGAATCGAGCTGCAATCGCCGCCTAATGTGCACTATGGAGGAGAACGGCTTTACCAGCCACCTGCTGGACCACCACCACCTACGAACTCAAAGCCATAAACTTGGAGCGTCGATAGCTGTGAGATAACTCGAAAACTAATCAAAATCAAAATAATTAACGGCTGTGAAATTTTTTTCTCCCCCCGTCCCCCCCTCTCTGTACGGGCGTTTTCATTCCCCTGGGATTGTTTCTTGCGTGTTTTATTGCATAGGGATGGGAGACCATGGTCTTCTCCTCTGCCAGTCATGGTTTCTAGTGTGTGTGTTTTTCTAAGTGGTTCCTATGTCCATATCTTGGACTAGGACCCTCGTCTTTGCTATTGCGACGATATTCCTTTGATGACTCATGTATTTATTTCCCCAGTAAATGGGTTACAGTTACAGTTACAGTCTCTGTCACATAATTCTGCCATCCAGTGGAGCGACATGAGAAATGAACTCTGTTCGGACCGTCGAATCCATCCATCCTTGGGTCGTTGTAGAACTGGGCCAACCAACGGGGTCTTGTCCGGCGATTGTCAGGCACGACCGTTGTCCCTGGAATCCGCGAGAGCAGAAGCCGCTCGGTTCAATTAATCAATCTCTCCATCCTGGGTTGCGGTAATACCTGGTAAATTAGCAGGCGGAATAATATGAAGACGGGATGCAATATATTCGGTGTGAAATATTAATTACTGTCGTTGGAACTGATTATTATGGAGCCGATCTGGGTAAAGGTAGAATTTTCCCTCCTCGTCGTTTCATCTATTTTTCTCCTCTCTCTCTCTCTCCCTTCCCTTCGTTCTCTTTCTGTTGTTATCATTGCACCCTCCTTTCCACCTTCGTCGCTCACTCTCTTTCTCTCTATACCCAAGGGCTTATCCTATCCGCCTTGCAGCCTCCTGGTGACCTGCAATCTATTTCCCCTGGCGGCGGCCCCTCGATTTTTGACAGTCGCTTCTTTTCTTTCGCTCTTTTGGGGGGTTCCAAAAAGTCCTGGCGTCAAATCCTACTTAATTTCATCTCCCTGCGACTATTTTTATTTATCCAGGATCGATACTTGAGGGATGAATTTGGCGCTCTTTCTATTCCTCTCCTCGTTGCGCTGAATGCCGTTCACATTCCGATCGCGAAAAGTTACCTAGTCGTCTCATCCACTTTCGTTCATTTTTATATATACCTCATCGACCTTCCAATCTATCAGAGACGGTTTTTATCATCTATTTCTTGTTCTGGCATCTCCGTGCTTTGATTTCCGTTCGCATTACATGCCCGTTTAAGCGGGTCGAGCATGAGCCGCCGATTTTGGGAAATCCGGAATTTCTACCTAGGTAGTCAAGAAATAGCCAGTTTGGGTGTGGGGTTGGTTGCAGTTTTCGAGTCCCCGACAATTATATATACCCTCGCAAGATTCACGAGAATGAGCCCGGTGGATTTTACCTCTCTGTCGCTATGGGCACGAGACACGGCCAGTGATATTTCATCAGTCCCCGATACCTTTTCCAGTTGGGACAAGTGTATGGAGAAATCCTACTGCAAGTATGTGATTTGATGGCTTTTATGGGGTCGGAGTCCATGCTTACATTGATGCAGATGGCCTGTTGTCGCTGCAATTATCGTGGGAGGAGTGATCGTCCTCTCCGTTGTCGCCTGTGTCGCTAATTGCCTATGCTGCGGTATTCGCTGCTGCACCGGCTGCTGTGGATGCTTCTGTCCGTCTCCGCGAACAAAGAGGAATAAATACCAGGATGATCCGTATTCCCGACAGCCTCCGCCGATGGTACCCCCAAATCATGGGTACCAAAACCCTCAATTTCAGGCTCCCCAGGCTCCGCCCATGTATCGTGGGCCGCAGCAGGTGGCTCGTTTCGACGCGCCACCTAGTCCTGGGGTTTCGAAGGGGAACGAAGACGCATTGCCTGCCATGCCTAGTTGGGACAAAGCCGTGACTAGAAGAATTGAAGATCCCAATCCTCATTCAGACGTGGTGGAAATGGAGCCATTGAACCTGATGGATCCTGGACCGCATCGGACTCCTTCAGCGTCGCGGCTCAACGGAGTTGGTGGTTACATGGGCCCTCCCCCGATCCGAACAGGAACATCAAACGGTGTTCGCGCCAATCCACAACCATATGAGCATCCCCAAAACCCATATGATTATCGGTCCCATGAAGCCGGCCGCAACCCCGGTCTTCCGTATGATCAGCCTTACCGAGACTATTCTCCTGGAAATACCATGTATTCTATGTCGCCACCTCCGAATGCTCACGCGCCTCACCAGCAGCAGTACGGCGCTGCCATCTCTCCTTCTACGGAGATGAACCGACCGATCCCGTACCGTCAGCTATCTCCGGGAATTAGCTACACCCAGACTCAGCCTCCAAGCTACCGGGGAATGTTCCCGGGAGTTCCTTCATCCCCTCCTCCTCCGTTCTCCACGCATTCCAATTACGAACCCTACGAACCTCACGACCAGGGCCGGCCCCCTAGTATTTTGCAGAGCGGGCGCAGGCCTGTTCCTAACTCGTACAGAGACGTCTAACATGTTGATTTCTCCGCATGTCACACTCCACCTTCATTCTTTAACGCCCGGTTCAGGTGCACTTTGTTTTCGTCTTTGTATTTTATTGAGTTGATCGGCGATTCGACTCGGCCGACCTTACTTGGACCTCACCCATGAGGGGTGTGTCAGCCTTACCTATCTCACCTTTACCTTGCATTCCTCTCGGAGCTTCACGATACCTCCGTACATTTATCTTACCACGCCCAATTTTCATGTATCATTGATGTATATACCACCCCTGTCGCTATGAAAGCACCGGAAGACTCCACGATCCCTGTATCCTGTTGATGAAGCTATGAATGGAGGGTGCTTATTCTTTTCTTTACCTCTTGATTATCGTGACGGTTATTGAAATAAATGTACATATGATAAGCAACAGCTTTCATTCTTTTATCCGTATCTGTGTCTGTATCTAGATTCTGCTGCTTATGCTGCAGTAACCTCTTGAGTGTATTTCCTGGATCTTGATTTTTCCTGCCTCCCTAATCTTTCTATCATCTATGCCCCAGCCTGTAAATTCCACTCCAAATAACCAAGAGAACAACCAAGTATTAACTACGAAGGTACCGAGTAAGGTATATATATATTCTACAGAACCAACCTATGAGCGATGAGGATCTATGTATACTCAATCCAAATCCTAACCATTACCCAGATACCTATCCTCTCTACTACTACTAGTAGTGTAGCCATCCATCCATCCATCTACCCATCCATCCATTCATTTATACAATAAATACATACAATAAAAGAGTAACATACTTTGAATCAGTTTTAAGTAAAGTAAGTAAAGTAAGAAAGTCACTTCGCGTCCTCCCCATCCTCCTCCAATGTAAAATCAAACCCCTTGAACGCCTCCTTGAACGCCCCCGCATCGGCCTCTTCCTCTTCCAACGACTGCACCGCATCCTTCCAGTGAATCCGCCTCTCCAGCTCCATCAGCTTAGCCACCACTCGGCGGCCGAACTGTAGATCGAAGCGGAAGTCCGGTCCAAGAGGGAGGAGAAGCGTTTTTTCGCTGCCCTTGCTGTTGCGTTTTTCTTGTCCCGGGGGTGGTGATGGTGGAGGAGGAGGAGGAGGAGGAGGAGGAGGAGAAGAGACTGGAACCGGGCTCGGGCTGGGGCTCCAGATCCAGATGCGGAAGAAGTCGCCTGGTTCGGCGCTGGGGTCGTGGTCGTGGTCGGTGTTTTTCGAGGAGGAGGCGCTGGTGGAGAGAGTTTCGAACTTGGGGTACTTTAGATTTTCGGCTTCCACTTTGAAGGCGGCGTCGACGAGGCCACGGTTCACGAGGTCTGCGGGCACTGGGAGGAACTGCCAGTGGGCGTGGATGCCGTTTCCGCGGGAGACTTCCCAGGTGACGGCTCCGAGGGTGTGGTTTGAGCGTGTCTGGAGCATGGTTTGCAGGGCGGTGCGGTACTTGGTCATTTCGGTGAAGGTGGAGATCCGGGCGTCGGGGTCCGTGATCGTGTTGAGGGCCGGGGCGTGGTTGAAGGGGATAATGAGCATGTGGCCTGGGAAGTTTACGGCCGGGGAGAAAGTGCTGGCGGTGGGGAGGGGCCCCTTGGCTGTTGTGAGGTAGCTTTCGTTGCCGATGGAGGTGATGAGGTGTGTGGCGATGTTGGGGTTGGAGAGGCAGAAGAAACATTGTTCAGGGCCGGGGGGAGGGGCGCGGGCTGCGCGCTTGCGAGGTCGCTGGGTGTTGTCGTCGACGGCGAAGCGCTGGTAGGATTGCGATTGGCTGGCGAGGGGTTTGCGTTTGGAGGCCGTGCTGGAGAAGGGGGAGATAGTTGCGCCGGCGGGGATGCCTAGTGGGTGCGGGGACTGGGGATCGAAGGTGAATGCGTACATCCATTTTTGTTTGGCGGTTTTGCTGTAGGAGGCGAGGCTGATGAAGCGCGTGAGGGGTTTTGCGTCTGGGTTGTCCGAGTCTTCTGAAGGGAGGTGGAAGAACGGTTCGCGCTCGTAGAAGAAGGTTTCTGTGCAGGAGAGGTGATAGCGCGGTTTTAGGGTGGCGCAGAGATCTGCGATGCATTGGGTTTCCTGGGGGGTTGTTATGTCGTCTGGGAGTGGCACTTTGGAGCCGGATCGGATGCCCTTGGGCCATTGATGTGTGAGGAGGATGTCGGCGCTGTGGGCGCCGTAGAGTGTTCGGGCGTCCGATTCGGTGTACCCGGGGTGGAATTTATCAGTTGACTTGTTTCCTTCCTCGAGGTTTCCACCCAATGCGACAATGCGAATGCCCTCAGAGGTCTTCAATGTGCCGCGCTTGCCCAGGAAGAACAGATTAGGGCAGACCTCGTCATCGGCTTGGATTTTCTCGACGACTCTGGCGGGGAGTGGCCGGCTCCCTAGAGTGAAATAAGTTGGCAGGGGGACCAGAATGTTCCCCTGTAGTAGGGCGGTCATCTCTTGGAGTTCATCGTCTGTGGCGCATTCGCCGAAGAGGTCGCCGGCCACAATAGCCAAGGAGAAGTTCTGCTTGGCTTGGAGCTTTGCGAGTTTGGTGAATACATCCTGCAACTGGCAGTTGACGTTTCCAATCACGATTCTGTTCTGCGTTAGTCTATAAGATCATACCATGCAGGGGTAGGTATTTACATCTTGGATGCCATAGTTTGTCAAGCTTGTAGGGTTTCGCGAATACTGATGCTGTAAGCGGAACGTACTCGCATAGCATATAAAATCCTTGCCTGGGCGGTAGTGACTTGTGAATAGGAAGACACCCAGCACCAATTGGAATCAATGAATTCGTTGCTAGCCCTGTGTTTCTCTCGCGTTCACCTCGTCCTGATCCTCATCGTGTACGAACTTCTTTTTGCCAAAAACGTCCCGGGGAGCTTGGGCCATGTAGCTGGCACGTGATAACACTAGGCCCATTTGGGCAACTCAAACGCCGCTAATCTCCGCGCCGGGAAAAAGATCTTGCGCGGCCGATGAATTTTTTTGTCGATGCTGCAGAAGCTTTGAGAAGCAGACAACGTGCAACCAGCACGATTTCTCCCACGGCGCTGTTTCGGCTTGTTACCATTGTCGCCCAAAATGGTAGCAACATCGACAGCTTCGCGGACCAAGTCCGTGAAGCGTCCAAAGTCAGGAACGGAGACAACGAAGAACCATCGATTCGAGTCGTTTTCGCAGCGCGTCACAAAATTGAAGATTGACCCTATTCATCGAGTACGACGACCGAGTTTTGGCGAGGAAGGCGATGAAACGTCTTCCCATTTTCGATCTGCTTTTGAACACTGGGCGGAGTTGAATTTGTCGGAAAAATTTGTCACATTCTCTCGTCGAGTTAACCCGCTTTGTGAAAGTTTGGCTCAGATTCTCTACTATGAGGATAAGATAATGAATCTATTGGTGGAGTTCATTGATAAACGGGATCGATTGTCTATAGAGCCTCTCCTGAGTCTTCTTGCTCAGTTTGCGCGAGATTTGGGTGTTAGGTTTGAAAAATATTTCGCTACCTCTGTAACCCTGGTGGCGTCCGTCGCTGCTACCCACCCAGATGTTGAAGTGGTGGAATGGAGCTTCACTTGCTTAGCATGGACGTTCAAATTCCTCTCTCGGCTTCTGGTGCCCGATTTGCGACAGCTTTTGGGTATTATGACACCATACCTTGGAAAGGAACGGCAAAAGCCCTTTGTGGCTCGATTCGCGGCGGAATCCATGTCTTTCCTCATTCGAAAAGCGGGCCTGCTCTATTATAAGAATGCGAAACCACTCCAGCTCGCTGTATCGTTCTTGCTCGATGACTTGCGCGAGGCCGCGTCGGATTCGAAGGATGTGGAACTATATAAGGATGGTTTGATGACTATGCTTTCCGACTCGATTAAAGGAGTCAAGAATGGAATTCACTCCAATGGCACCGATATTTTTCGATGTTTACTGGACTCCATATGCACAGGCGATGATGCGAGGAGTGCTCTTGCGCTGGATGTTGCCGGCGGAGTTTTGATCAATATAATTCACAATACGACCCCGGAGACCTTCGAGCCTATAGCCGATACAGTAAAGCACTATATCGTATCCACCTGCCAAAAAGACGACAAGAACAGCGCTGTTGCATGCTGCCGCCTGATCTTCATATGCGTTGCTACTCGCAAAGGAACACGAGTGAATAAGTGGAAACTTGTGCATGAGACCTTGTTGCTTTTACTTCAGGCGGCTGAAAAAGTGCCTGGTGCGTATACTAATGCCGCTCCACAACTTCTCACTGCGGTTGCATATGCATTACAAACATCACCTATGGATGAGCTGCTTCCTTTCATGCGCTCCCTCATGGATGCGGTGACACAGGATCATCTTTCGCCTCACTTTTTGTCGTTCTGCGCTATATTTTCCGAATGGGGCCCAGAAAGATTCCATAGCGTTGTTTTACCATACTTCCAGAAGTACGTCAATTCCTTATTGGTTTTGGATTCCTTTACTAATACAGCACCTAGGTTCATTAACACTTCTTGGGAAGATTACGAGTCCGAACTCTGCCTGTCCTTACTCCGGTTAAACCAGGCAGGTTGCATAACTGCAGAGGCTGCGCGACCAGGCTATATTACCTGCCCGCGTTCCTGGAAGTCCCGAGTCAAGGATACCTTGCGCAAGAACACCTCTGACGATTCTGATGTGGCTCTACTTAATGCCTACGCCAAGCTTCCGAGTGCCTTGTCTTTATCCGCGGAGCCTTCCCTCTTGCCCGACATGGTGGAAAATTTCCATAAATCTCTGGTTTCTGTCTTGAATGATGAGGAATGTGACCCATCGGCTAGGAATAAGTTTTTCCTTGGCCAGGGCTTCAAGACGTACGTCAGTTTAGCTTCAACCATGCAAAATGTTGACGGAAGTCTCTGGGAGGGTGTAAGCGCAGTGGCACCGAAATACTCTCGTCTCCATGCCTTTCTCGAGGCAACCTTGGCTTATATCTCTGCATGCTCTGACCGTCTTGACCTCAACACCTCGACGATCGAAGAATTTGCAGATGCATTGATAACGAACCTTGCAGCGCCATCTCACCTGCTGAGACTGGTATCCTTGAAGATCTTGCGTGAAATGGTCCAAGCTTCTGGCGAGGACGCTTCACTCCTCTCTTTAGCTATCGAAATCGAAGAGAGCCCACTGACTCTACAGACTGCAAGAGTGCTTTCGATGCAAGTTCGCAAGATTGCGTTATCTTATCCCCAGGTAGTGTCGCGCAGGTGGATGCCTAGGTTGCTTCCCACCTTTTGCTTTGGACTGTTCTCGAAGAGGATGGCTCCGTTATGGGACGATGCCGCATCTGCCTTGAAATCTATGAGTGAACATGCCGCTGGCGAAAAGATTATCATTGATTTGACCATTCAATGGCTCCATGAGAAAGGATCGACTGCATCAAACACTGATGGGGAAGAAGAAGGCGATGCACAAAGGCATGTGTCTGGGGACTTCCAGTGCTTCAATGCATCCAAAATCGAGAGTCTGTCTGGAGAGAAATTCCAGGCTTTTGGATCTGACACGACTTTGACGCAAGACTTTGAAAATGACCACGCTTTCGCTGATGTAGTCCCAACCGCTCCTCGAACACAGGCTTTGCGCGTTTTCAATGCTATCCCGAACCTTGCTGAAAAGAAGTCTCGCCAAATTGTCCCATTGTTTCTTTCCTGGGCTTTACGTGACGAGGAGGAGAATGCTCCCGCAGCCAATCTCTCTTCCGAAGATCGAGAAGCAATCCCCGATGAATATATTCCTTGGGGATTCCATGACCGTATTTCTTTCCTTAACCTTTTTGGACAATTTCTCAACCCCCTGGTGCTGTATAGAGCCTCTGAAGTCCGTGATGCGCTCCTGGGGTTGCTTTGCCATGGAAACTCAGAAATTCAAAAATCCGCTCTCAAGGCCCTGCTTACTTGGAAATCCGCTGGCATCTCACCTTATCGTGAAAACCTCATGAACATTTTGGATGAGTCCCGGTTTAGCGACGAATTGTCTGTTTTCGTCCGCGTAGGAAAAGACGACAGCCTCATTGAAGAACAGCATAGAGCAGAAGTCGTTCCCGTGGTTCTCCGTCTTCTCTACGGCCGAATGATCTCGAAAGCTAGTGCGAATGCGGGTCAAGCTGGACAAGCTGGGCGGAGAAAGGCTATCTTGAGAACGCTAGCCCAGCTGCCCGATCATGAATTTGAAATCTTCATGCGCATTTCCTTTGGCGCTCTTGGCGAGGTTCATTTGCTCAAGGACGGCGAAGCTGACCAAGCGGCCTTCCTCCCTGAGCTCGTAAGCCCGAGAAAGCAGATGGGTCTGTTGAGGCTTATCGAGACAGTGTTTGAGACGCTTCAAAGCCGGATGGTCCCTTATGCAGAGCAATCCATGGATGTCGTGCTTCACTGCCTTGTCCGCTCCTGCCGCGCATTAGCAAAAGAGCAGCCGGCTGTCACACCGGATTCGCAGGAGGCACGACTCCTGACGGTCATGCGCAACATCCGCCAGACCTGTATCCGCTGTCTTGACCTTATATTTTCCATCTCGCAGGACCGAGATTGGACTCCACGTGTTCGTGTCATTTTCGACGAGGCCATTAACCCTAGACTCGAGAATTTTGCTACGGAAAATGCTCAGGGAATATCAGGTCTTCTGAGGCTCTTCCACGTATGGGCTGCTGCGTCTCGATCATCGTTCTACCTTGTTCAGCACAACAGCACTCTTTTAACAAAGATTGTGGACTGTCTTGGTGTCGATTCAGCCCGTGATGAAGTTAAGGTGTTTGTCATGGACGAGATCTTGACACCCTTGATCGGACTTGCCACTGGGAAAGAACTGCAAGAAGATGAGAAAATGGGAGACTTCGCTCCTGATGAAATCCGCTCCGAAGTCCTGGCTCCCTACATCGAGCACACACTCTCTCATTTTAGTCGCCTTCTGAGGCGCGGCCCCTCCCGGCCAGTCTTGATTTCTGGTGTGCAAACATTGTCTCGTCTTTCTCCATGTGTCGAGTCCTCCAAGGAGACATCAAGTCTGATCAGCATTTTGACGTACCTTCTCCGCCAGCCTCCCGACAGGGTCTCTCCTAAGACGAAGTCAGACCTACTCCACAGCTTGGAGCACTTTTTGCCTCTCTACAATACTAAAGAAGATCCCAAACTTTCCCAAGAGGTGTTCGAAGCCGTTTGCTCCATGTTTGATTATTTCAAAGATGATAAAAATAGGGAAGTTTTGTCTCGTGTCTTTACTGCTTTCGCCAGTCACGACCCTGAGCTCTCTCAAGTTGCTGTTCTTTGCGAGGACCTGAACTCTATCTCCGTTAAGAAGCTTGAGGTGGATTATGAACGTCGACTCCAAGCATTTACAAAGTTAACTGAGGATCTATGGGAGTCTCTTAGTGGTAAACAATGGCGTCCGTTGTTGTACAACATGCTATTCCATGTCAAGGATGAAGACGAATTGGCAATCAGATCCAGCGCTTCGTTCGGGTTGAAACGTTTTATTGAAAGGGCTGCCCTTGAAGCGCAAAACAAGTCGGAATCGTTTGAGCCTCTAGTTGGTGATGTCTTGTTTCCTGCTCTGCAGGCTGGAATGCGGCAGAAATCCGAGATCATCCGATCTGAATTTGTCCAGGTGTTGGGCCACTTTGTCAAGCTGAATCCAACACGCCCAGCCGTGCAGGATATGCATGGATTGCTTGTGGGCGACGATGAAGAAGCTTCATTCTTCAATAATATCCTTCATATCCAACAGCACCGTCGTCTCCGAGCTCTCCGTCGGCTGGCCAGTGAAGCAGCTAAAGGCAGCCTTCAAGCATCTAATATTAGCACTATTTTCATTCCCCTCAACGAGCATTTCGTCTTTGACGAGGAAGCTGATGAAAGCACACACAATCTTGTCGCAGAGGCTGTCATTACTATTGGGACTCTCGCGGAGTGGCTTGATTGGAGCCAGTTTAGGGCTATTTTTAGAAGGTATCGTACCTATATCAGCAAGTCTGAAACAGAAAAGAGCGTTTTGAGGCTCCTGGGTAGGATGTCGGACGCATTGACCAGTGCGATGGACCAGCTCCAGTTGGCGAAGGCAGGCGTGGAGGAGGTCAACGGTGACGGCGAAGTTGCGGCGCCTCTCAGATCTACGCTTTCTCGCTCTATACCATCAGCGTCGAAAGTTGCAAATGAGTTGACGACGAACTTTATTCCTATGCTCACAGATTTCATCCATCATAAGAATGAAGCCCAGATGAGCTTGCGTCTTCCAGCGTCAGTTACAGCCATCAAGCTTTTGAAATTGTTGCCTGAGCAAGACATGACTATTCGTCTACCGGCTGTCCTTTTGGATGTCTGCAGCATCCTCAAGAGCAAAGCCCAGGATTCGCGAGACACGGCCAGGAAAACTCTTAATGACATCGCTCTTCTACTTGGACCTTCCTACCTAGGTTACATACTGAAGGAGTTGCGCAACACTCTCAAGCGAGGCTACCAACTCCACGTTCTTTCATTCACAGTCCATTCCATTCTGGTTGCAACCACTGATGATTTCAAGCAAGGAGACCTGGATTACTGCTTAACAGATCTCAGTTCCGTGGTTATGGATGATACATTCGGTACCGTTGGCCAAGAAAAGGACGCAGAGGACTATGTCAGCAAGATGAAAGAAGTTAAAAGCAATAAGAGTTACGACTCTATGGAGCTCCTCGCCAAAAACTCTACGATTCGGAATCTGGCTAGTCTACTACGGCCTTTGCAGTCGCTTCTCCACGAGAAACTCAACTCTACCATTGTGAAGAAAGTGGACGAACTTTTACGAAGAATCGGTATCGGTCTTCTAAGAAACCCAGGTGTGGAAAATCGCGACATTCTAGTTTTCTGTTACGAGATCATCAAGGAAGCCTACAAGGAACCTCTCCAAACTGATACACGAGCTGCTCAGACCACACAGGAGAAGAACTTTTTGGTCGACCTGAAAGGCCAAAGGCGGGGCGAGAAGCGAGGAGGGACCACGTCTTCTTATGTCTACAAGTTGATCCGCTTCTCTTTTGATGTTCTCCGATCTGTTCTCAGCAAGTTTAACTCGCTCCTTACTCCTGGTAACTTGTCAGGCTACCTTCCTGTGCTTGGAGACGCCTTGGTCCAAGGGCATGAGGAAGTTAAGATTTCAGCGCTTAGACTGCTCTCTACAATAATCAAGCTCCCTATCGCTGAAATCGACACCAATGCCCCAGTTTATCTGACGGAAGCGGTCAAGATAATCAAGGAAGCACCTAGCACTAACACCGAGGCAGCACAGGCCTCTCTCAAGCTAATATCTGCTGTGCTGCGAGAGAGAAAGAATGTAAAACTCAGGGATGGACATCTCGCATATCTACTTCAGCGTATCACATCCGACATCGAGGAGCCTGATCGGCAGGGTGTTACGTTCAACTTGATCAGAGCTGTTATGGCTAGGAAGTTCGTGGTGCCTGAAGTCTACGAGCTTGCGGATAGTATTGCAAGGATGATGGTCACAAACCAAACTCGGTCTGCTCGTGATCTGGCTCGTGGAGTTTACATCCACTTCTTGATTGAATATCCCCAGGCCAAAAACCGCTGGACCAAGCAGCTTAGTTTCCTAGCTAAGAACCTTGAATACAAGCACCAAGATGGTCGTCAATCTGTCATGGAAGCAATTCATATGCTGCTGTCTAAGACAGGCCATGAGCTGGCCCAGGACATCGTCGGAACATTCTTCCTCCCAGTTGTCATTGTGATGGCCAACGATGATGCAGCTGAGTGCAGAGAAATGGCAGGAACCTTGCTTGGAGAATTCTATAGACGGGCTGATCGTGAGCAGACAAAAACTATCCTTGAGCCTCTCCGGTCATGGATTGAGCAGACGGACAACCCCCTTCTCACCAACACCGGGTTGCAGGCGATGAGAATCTACTTCGAAGTGGAAGAAACAGATAAGGAGAGGGAAGCAAGCTTCATCACACAGACACTTCCTAGCATTATGCGTCCTATCCTGAAGGATACCGACACTGAGAACTGGCAGTCGCTTTACTACTCACTACAGCTCTACTCCAAGCTCTGCAAGACCGTTCCCTCAGCTTCCCTATCAAAGGAACAAGCCAAAACCTGGAGTCTCATTTGTGAATCCTTGTTCTATACGCATTCCTGGGTCAAGACTTGCGCCACGAACCTTCTTGGTATTTGGCTCGCGGATTTGGCCAAGTCCAACGCAGAAAATGGGTACAGCTCTATCCCAATGGTTGGTGCCACAGGCCTGGCTCTTGACAGGGACACGATGGTGCTCTTGATCCGAGCAAGCTCACGCTGTCTTCGTACCCCAGGAATCAGCGAGGAGCTAGCTATGCAAACAGTACGCAACACCATCTTCCTAGCCCGTTGCTGCGCTCAGAACGGTCTTGAATTTTCTAGCAAGAGAGATCAAGAGGCGGAGTCTGATGCCAGCGGAAGTGACGAAGAGGAGGATGTTGATGGAGATAACAAAGAAGACACCCAAAAAGACTCCAAGACGGGTCTCCGCTATATCTTTGGGCAGGCGTCCTCGATTCTGCGCAGAGAGTTTCTTACTACCCGCGCTGAATCATTAATACCCAAGACCGCATCTATTGGTCTCATCGCCGCCCTTTGCCGTCATCTCGAAGCGGAGCAGATCATCGAGTCTTTGCCCATTATCCTTCTTCCCCTCCAGCACCTCACTGATGCGTCTATTCCGGCTCCCCGATCATCCGACGAAGCTTTCAAGGAATCGTACAAAGCGCTTGTTTCCAATTGTCATGAGGTTCTCGATCTTCTGCAGAAGAAATTGGGTACAACTGAATTCGTGAATCAGATGGCGCTTGTCCAAGAGTCCGTTAAGAAGAGGCGTGAAGGACGACGGGTGAAGAGACGCATCGAAGCAGTCATGGATCCTGAGAGGCACGAGCGTGACAAGAGGAGGAGGAATGACCGCAAGCGCGAGAAGAGAAAGGAGAAGGGAGCAGAACACCGAGGCAAGAGACGAGGCTGGTAAAACCCGGAACCTTTTCTTTTTTGCATTTACTACCTACGTATATGGGCATTTACGAGTGGCGTTGGTTGGATAGGGGAAAGAATCATGTTTGGTATATTATGAGTATTAAAAGTATTGTACATGTTGCTAGAGCAGAGTGTATATATCACAAGAAATCAATTGAGGTATCAACGACAAACCGGACCAGTTTAACGCCATTTATTCTATGCCTTTTTTTCCCCCTTGGATATATCCAGGAGTGTAACCACAGGAAGATTTTTTGCTCATTTAGACTCCGTCTTCGTCTCCTGCTCCGCCTTTTTGACCACAGATCCATCATCCCAGAACTCCATGTCCCCATCCACATACCCGCGGGTGAGCTTCCCCCCCTGCTCCTGTAGGATGTCCTCTAGCGTCTTTTTTGAATCAAAGAAGATATTTAGGTTATCACTGATAACATGGCGGTTCTGACAGGACGGGCAACGAATCAAAACAGTTCCACGATGATAGCCGTGCTTGGACATGCGGTGAGAAGACCGTTCGCCACAGGGTTTACAAGTGAAAGTAATCTGATAAGCTGGTTCTTGTTCCCGACGCTGTTTGTTCTGCTCTGCATTTTCCTGTTCCGTAGCTGGGTCTGCGGTTCGATCGGTAAGAGGGTTGCTGGGTGTAGCATCGCTCGAGTTGCATCGTGCGTGGATTTGAATCGACGGAACGGCTATCCTAGTGTTTCTTTGGAGGTAATATAGGGGAGCTGATAGTCGGAGTGGATGGGAGGATAATTGAGAAAACAGGCGTGAAGAAGCGGCGCGGGAGCTGAGTGCTGATTGTTGGAATGAGGGTTGGAGGGCACGGAGACCCTGTTGGAGGCGGAGAGACAGCTGCATGGTTTTTAGAAGATGATATAAGCAAATAAAGTGAGTTGAGAAGAGGAATCAAACGTGAAGCAGGAAACCCTTTCCTATTGTCGAAGGAAATGAAGGCATCCATGAAGCAGCGATGACGACAGAGTTTGCGCCGGACTTACATTCTTCCAGCTGCTTGCCTCCGCGGCTTCTTCCTTTCGCTTTTACCTCTTTCAATGCCCAACGCCTGCCTGTGGTGGGAGGAGGATGCCTCGAAAACGCGGAGAAAGTCCGGATATTTTGCACTCTTGGCTCATTGTTGGTTTATGAATCCTGGGGCGAGACTGGTGGTGACGATATCCAGGCCTGCGTCCCCCCCAAGCTCGTACACTTCCCCGGTTGCCCCGCACAGCTTTCTGTATAGGATTAGGTGAATGGCAAACTGCCGGATAGAGTGAAAATGGCGATGAGAGCAAGGCAAAGAATCCGGGCCCCTAGGAGGGTAAGTTCTCTTTCCCCGTTCTTAGTTGTGTGTCGTGTCCCGTTTATGATGGATGTTGATGGATTATGTTTCGTGTTGTCTTGTTGGACACACATTTCATTTCAACCCCATACCACAAGCACCAAGTGATCAGGCACTAATGGGGCGCTATTAGGGCCTTGCTGCCTCTGGACCGGATGGGTTTGAGACAAATTGGAACGATCTGGCAACCTCCCTGAAGAAAATTCATACGAAAAATGCATCGAATTTGTCCTTCGAGCAATTATACCGCAAGTCATACAACATTGTTTTAATGATGCGCGGCGATGATCTATACGAACGAACGAAACAATTAGAGAAAGAATGGCTGTGCGATGAAGTTCAGAAGCGGGTTGTCGCGGGGATCTCGTCTAGCCTTCTCCTTGCCAAGGAAGTTATTGATATGCAGGATCAGGCAACGGAGAGACGGGTGGCAGGAGAAAAGTTTCTAGAAGTGCTAAAGGAAGCATGGGAAGACCATCAGCTGTGTATGCAGATGATTACAGACGTGTTGATGTACATGGTTAGTTCTGAGATGGAGGATTTTCGTTTGAACCGGAACTAACATTAGTTTCATAGGATCGGGTTATTGAAGCGGACCCGCGAAAGGTTTCGATATACCGAGCAGCTATGGCTCTATTTAGAGATAACGTCCTGCGATCACCGATAGAACACAACATGAAAACGACTGTCTCTGATGTGCTCAAGTCTACCGTGCTTTTCATGATCCAGCTAGAACGGTCGGGACATATGATCGACCGGCCTCTTATTCGCCATTGTATTTATATGCTTGAGGGCCTTTACGAAACTGAGGCAGAGGAAGAGTCATCTAAACTATACCTGACCTCGTTTGAGCCAGATTACTTGGAAACAAGTACGATATTCTACCAAGCAGAAGGCAAGCGGTTGTTGGAGATGGCAGACGCTGCCACATTTTGTATTGCTGCCTGGGACCGCATATCTGAAGAGAAAGAGCGATGTCTCTATACACTCTCCCTCCATACCGAACCGAAAATCAAGGAGGTACTCGATAACGAGCTGATTAGAAAAAATCTTGCGGAAGTCATCAACCTTGAAGGTACCGGAGTGCGAGTGATGCTGGACAACGATAGGATAGAACCCTTGGGAAAGATATATGCGCTCAGTGCGCGGGTTGATAGTAAAAAGGCCTTTTTAACTGCAGCAGTCCAAAAGCGCGTCGTTGAAATGGGTCGCGAGGTCAACGCTGCATCAATTGCCCCAGCACAACCATCCGGTTCTGCACCTGCGAAGTCGACTGAGCCCAATGCGGGCGAGAAGAAAGAGAAAGAGAAGCCTGTAAACCAACAGACCGCATCAGCTATCAAATGGGTAGACGATATTCTATGCCTCAAGAAGAAGTTCGATGACATTTGGGAGAAAGCATTCCAGTCTGATCAGGTTTTGCAAAGTGCTATCACCACAAGTTTTTCAGAGTTCATCAACTCCACCCCACGAAGTTCGGAGTTTCTTTCGCTATTTTTCGATGAAAACCTTAAGAAAGGCATCAAGGGAAAGACAGAAAGTGAAGTTGACGCTCTTCTCGACAACGGCATCACTCTGTTGCGATATGTCAAAGACAAGGATCTTTTCGAAGCATACTACAAGAAGCATCTCTCTCGCCGACTCTTAATGAAGCGCTCAGTAAGCATGGATGCGGAACGGCAGATGATTTCTAAGATGAAGATGGAAGTTGGAAATCAATTCACGCAGCGTCTCGAGGCCATGTTCAAAGATATGACGATCTCCGAGGACCTTACTGGAAGCTACAAACAACATGTACAACGCTCAGGCGACCCGGATCAGAAACGGGTCGAGCTGGATATCAATGTACTCACCAGTACCATGTGGCCGATGGAAATTATGTCAAACACGAGAGACGGACAGGTCGAGCTCCCGTGCATTTTCCCCAAGGAAGTCGAAAGCGTCAAGCAAAGCTTTGAGCAATTCTATCTGAGCAAGCACAACGGCCGGAAGCTTTCATGGCAACCTAGTATGGGCACAGCAGACATCCGGGCGACCTTCCAGCGGTCCAACGGAAAGACGCAACGGCACGAGCTTAACGTGTCTACGTACGCTATGATTATCCTACTACTCTTCAACGATGTGCCTGCCGGCGGATCCTTGACTTTCGAGGAGATTCAGACCCGCACCCGAATTCCGGATTACGACCTAATCCGAAATCTACAATCACTTGCAGTTGCCCCTAAAACTCGAGTCCTTAAGAAAGATCCAATGAGCAAGGATGTAAAGCCAACTGACAAGTTCGTTTTCAACAATGATTTCCAGAGCCCGTTTATGAAGGTGCGCATTGGCGTAGTGAGTGGTGGCGCCAACAAAGTCGAGAACCAAGACCAGCGAAAGGAGACAGAGAAGCGGATGGCAGACGAACGGGGAGCTAGCATCGAGGCCGCGATTGTGCGAATTATGAAGTATATCTCTCCTATTTTCTTGAAACCCCCCCCCCCCAATTTAATTTGGAACTGACCGAACTAACCGAACAACCATCTTAGACAACGCAAGAAATTGATTCACTCGAACCTCATGAGCGAGGTGCTCAGCCAGCTATCTGCGCGGTTTGTACCTGATGTGAACATGGTTAAGCGACGGATTGAAAGTCTGATTGACCGCGAGTATCTCGAGCGTATTGGTGAAGAGCCTCCTATGTATGGATATGTTGCGTGATATTCTATAGCATGGTGAGGCGCACGGTAATTTCTTTTGCTCTGATTTGATAGACTTGATTTTATATTGACTTGATGAATTCACTGCACACCTCTTTCCTGCTACTATATGGTAGAACCCGATGTTGGATAAGACTCTAGTAGCAAATAGAGAAATACAAAAAGAAAAAAAAGAAAAAGAAAAAGAAATATATCCAAACGCTTCTGCGTCATATAGATCTATAGTAGTATAACCCCCTTAGAACCATAGGTATCATATCATAGCTAAATCTCAACCCCAAACGCCACAATGCACCCAAGCCAAGCCAAATATACAATCCGCACATCTTAATGAAACCCAACAAGGTAGAGGGAGGGAGAGAGAGAGGTTATAAAACTTCTACATCTCCCCTCTCCCAAGCACCTTTCACCCCCTCCCACCTAACAACCCAAACATCTCCCATCCGCATCGTCACCCCGGACATCTCGACCCCTCCCATACCACCGGCACCATTACCATCCTCCACGGGCACAACAACCCTACTCTCCTCCACCAAACACCTCACAAACACAACCTCCCTCAAATCCGGGCCCTGCACCATACTAGTCCCGCCGGCATTATCATCCAACCTCCTCAACTGCCCCGGAAACGAAGAGAGAAAGGACGCACCGTAGTGCCGAGCCAGGAGGGTTTGATGCGTATACAGAAAGTCCACTTCAGCGCGGGACAGCGGCGCCGGGTGCGCGGCGGGATCTGGCACAGGGACAGAGTCTTCCGGCTGCTGGGTGGCCTGGTGGTGTTTTGCGGAATCGGGGTTCGAGCTCGTTAACAACGATGACGACAACGTGGAGGAGGAGGAGGAGGAAGGGTCATGGCTTGCGATCTGGAGCAGGTAGTACATGCTGTGTTTTGTGAGTTTCGCGAGCCGCTGGCGGAGGAAGGAACGCAGGAGGTATTGGGTTCTGGAGAGGTCGGTTTGGAGGATGGAGAGTTTGAGGTTGATGTTTGCGGCGGTTGCGGTTGCGTTGGGATGGGTGGTGGTGTTGCTTGTGCTGGAGTTCATCATCTCTGCTGAGGATGCGGCGGCGAGGTTTTCGATGGTTTCGATCTGTGGAGTTGGTTAGTATATTATAGGATATATTTATAGATAGATAGATGGATGGATGGATGGATGGATGATAAAAGTATATATAAATATATGGAAGAAGAAATACCTGCTGCCTCACTCTTTCCATCATTCGCTCCATTAATTGTTCAGGCCATGGGAGCAGCTCTGGCGCGCTGCGCTCAGCTACCCAATATCGCGTGAGAAGTTGGTGGTCGAGGGCTGTGGATTGGGGATTGGAGATGTCGTGTCGGTCGACGGAGGCGAGAATGTCGTCGATTTCCATGGCTGCAACAAAACCCTACCACCGGTCTTGTATTATATGAGATTCTGTGACCGTGAGCTAGCTTTTGGGTTGGCATTGAGGGGTGAAGAAGGGAATAATAGATTATGAGGGGAACTATTATTTATCGAACAAGATTGTTCGCGGAGGCGGAGGTCGGTGGTGCCTTGGAGCCTGAGGCGCGGAGTAATGTGGTGACGGCTTGGTATACAATCTTACGAGTACGACCAGATTTATACGACCAAGAACCCCAGACTCTACTGTCCACAGCCAGGTTGAAAGGAATAAAAGTGAAGTAAATCTAAGTCTTGATTGATGGATAACAAAAGAAATAGCACATTGTCTTCTCCGCGCTTTCATGCTTGCTTTATGTACAGTGCACTGACATTCTGGTCACAGTAGTAGATCCATCCTACTCTTCTTTGGACAAGTCAATATTAGTTCCGAGAAACTGCCATGCGCATAGGTATTATCGTCGTTGCCGACGAGCCATACATCAATATGTACTGTGTACGGCGAAGCTCAGGGCAATCCCTCAAGATTGTACAAGGGAAATGAGGGAAGCAGATTAAAAGGCGGTACGTGGGTGAAGGGGAAAAAAGGGGCCTTGGAAAGGAAAATGCTTGCAGATGAGGTATCATAAAAGTAAGTTGAAGGGGCTGTCCAAAAGGCAAGGTAAAGGGGCAAAATCCGTGAAAGGTTCGTGGAGACATAGGAAAGGTCGAGGGAGTGGTTGAGAGTATTCAAGGTCAAGGCCGGATGGGTGTCGGTCATCAAGACGAGATTTGCAGGAGTTGAGTAGGTTTAGGTGGTGTGTCGATAGACGTCTGGTGAGCTTCAAGTTTGTAATGCAAAAATCGAGATTGTCGTGTCATCAAAATGCGATTGGTAGTAAATCGCGATAAGCCGAAACATCAGATCAGGACCGAAAATAAAGTTAAAAAAGAAAAAAAAAAAAAAAAAAAAATTTCAAGCGAATGGATTGAACATGGATCACAACACAAACAGTGTTTGCGTGTCCCAGTTCTGAATGCAAAACCCCGAAGAACACCGGTATTTTCATAAAATCGTTCGACCAATGGATTATCCAAGAATCACAGGCCGATAGAACCCAGAACGGGTGTGGATGAAGAAGTCCGCTATATGGCAGCTGGAATGCAAAGCATCAGCGTGGAGATAAATGATCAGAATGTTCAGTTTCAGTAAGAAAGCATGCGGCGGCCTGAGAAGCGGTTTGAACCAGGGCTGTCGCCAAAAGGAGAGCCCAGAAGTCTGCGGTCACCGGGATTGTTTCGGCACCTTCCAGTAGGGCTATCCTCCATGCGAGGGGACTGTTGACCGAAAGCAAACGTTTGAGCTCGACTCAATTTCGATCTTTGCTTGACCCGGCCCAGGCCACGCTCACAAGCATACTCATGCTCCTTGGCGGACATTTCAACGTAGTTTTGAGGAAAACAGAGTGATCGATGCTCAGCATAGAACGAACTGTAACCTCCGTCCAGGATATACATGTCAGGGTAAGAGAGCTGTGGGTACTGATCCACGTTGAAAGCACGGTCCCGGTGGCGAATGAACTTGGCCATGATCGGAGCTCTGTGTACAGAGTACTCGCAATGCAAGACCAATGCAGTCCGTGGCTGGGGGTTGGCAAAAAGCTCCTGGGCTAGGGATTCCTTGTCGTTGTAATTGAACGCACCCGTGATATGTCCGCCGTCATACTCATATTCAAAGCGGCAATCAATGATCATGATGTTGTCGAACAGCTCATTATATTTGCCGCCCTTGAGCTCCACGAGGGTAGCCTTGTCGATGCGAGGTAAAGTGTCTGCTTGATCCTCAGCAATGAAGTGAGGAAGCTGCAGGCTCTGGGTTCCTTCGATGTCGTGAATAGACTGAAGTGGTGCATTTGTGGTAAAAGTAACCTCTTTTTCGGCAATTACATCCTCGGGATGTTCAAACATGCTCAGTGACCGTCTACATTGCTTGCGGGGGCGCATGATGGGATGGGAGCTCTTCCTGATGGACGCGGCTGATGGTGATCCGTTGCTACGCGCATGGCTAGTATTGCTCCCGAATGGTGGCCTCAACCGTCCATTGGCATTCAGACCGCTCGCAGAGTTATTTCTCAGCAGGGTCCGTTCACGTTGGGGGGATTCGTCAAACATATCCTCCAGCGAGGCCGACACTCCTAGGGAAGGCTTGCTTCCTTTGCTATGGAACTTGAAGGGGGGTGCTTGGCTCTCGGGCGTGGGTCTTGCCATGCCCAACTGGAAGGACTGGGCTTTACTCCGTGCTAGACTGGGCCGTAAGAAAGTTGGACGCCTTCTCCTACAAGCCATACGTGATTAGATCCTCATCGCCACATTAATCATCCCTGATTGGACGTCTTGTCTTACTCTTGTTGACCATCCTTTGGTGCCACTGATGGCGACTCCGGGATAGGGCTTTCGGCAGCAGCCATCATAGGTGAGTCCATTGGGGAGCAGTCCATGCTAGGAGATGTGAGCTCAACTTCAGTGGTAATGCAGAACGGGGCTTTGTGAGGCAACGGTGACATGTCCATCCCATCCATTGCAGGCGCCGGTGATGAGGGTAATGGAGGAGTCGTCATGGTATCTTCTAAGTGTATTATATATTTAGAACATGATCTTGTTTTGACTGATGTTGGGCAAGCATCTCTTACCACGTCTATTTCCATTCCCAAACAGACACGAGGCGAACAAAGAACGGCGTGGCGTAGCAACCTGGGGGCTATATTCTCTTCAGGTTAGCTTTCTGGTTTTCTTTTATACATCAACGACGCCCAGTTGTTGGGACAAAGAGACAAAGAAAGTGTTGTGGCACAGGACAAACCTCTGGTCAATGTGAAAATTTTGAGACAGATCTGCTGCAAGACTCGCGGTGGGAGAAGACCCCCGCACAGGCTTCACATTAAAATAGTCGCCCTGAGATTTCTTCATAGACAGATCCTTAAAGTTAAAGCTGTTCGTTGCAAGCCCGGGGATCGGACTAAATGGGTGGTAGGAGGTCGGAGCATCCTGACGGAAGCAATGCCCAAACAGTACGGAGGGAGGCTGCATGGCGGCCAACGGAGAAGAGTGCTCCATTGTCAGAATAAGACTCAATTCGAACTAGAGAGATTGATATCCCTCTAAGTCTTCAAGTGCCAAAACCCAAGTGCCCCAGCTGCCAAGAAACGTGAATCTGCAAAACTGCGTGCTATCTATGGGCATACACTACAACGGCGGATGCGGGGAACTCGAATCACGATCCAACTACCCTGGGTATTTGTCCTGGCTTTTCCAATTGCAGAATGTCGAATCCTGACCTTGGGAAAAGAAAAAGAGAAAGAAAAAAAAAACCCTCTAAGTGACTTCGAACTCCCGCAGCGGACCAGCGTATACCGGCAGTTCCTGGTAACGAAGCCGTAGGTTTAAAGAGACATGACTGGGCGGAGGGTCAACAGGGAAGAGGAGGGCGTGTGTGAGGGACGGAGAAGCTATAGAGAATCAGTCCTAGTCAGCACAATGCCTCTGAAGCAGTATGGTTTAGAAGTCATAGCAGCAGCAGTCTGGTACGCTCATGAGGGGGGGGGGGCTAGATACCGAGAATCAGATACAAGATGCTGAGGGCGATGATGGCGTTAGAGGACACGCAAAGCAGAAAGAGGGACGAAGCAAAGGTCTTAAGAGGGGAAAGAAAGGACTGAGATTGGTGAAAGGGGGGAGGGGAGGAAGAAAGGAAGAGGAAGAAAGAGAAAAAAAAAAGGCCTGGAGAAAGTGAAGCTGAAGGGATGGACTTGTTGCAATGGCAACGCAAAAAGTGGGGAGGGATCTCCAGATACTGGACGGCCAACGACGATGAGGACCAGCTCTAGTGATGGAAGGATTTCCAGGTGCTTTTACAAGGAAGAATCAATTTCATTTCCCTTTGATTCTCGATTCTCTTCCTTTTCTATTTTCTGATCATTATCATCTCCTGTACTGTCGAAGAAAAGATTCCAGTCTGGTATCTGTACGTACCGGTACATCATCCATACATACATACATGATTCCTGTCACGGAGTCCCATTTATTCATGATGACTACAGCTCGTTGCCGGGACTCCCTTACCGCCAGCCCTGAGTAACGAAGCCCTTTCTTGCCCTATCAGCATCCCTAAAGAGCCGCCCGGCTGGGATTCATGAATCTCAGTTGGCTGGCTGAAGCATGGATCGTGCTTGTCTCACGGGGTGATCCAGAAGGATTTGTTTCTCTCTTTTTTCTTTTTTGGTTCTTGGTTTAGTACTTTCCATACCTGTCTAAAATACCGGTCTTCCTCCACCATGTATTTTTTTGACAGATTTTGTGTAGCACCGTAAATCCTTGATCTTACCTAGGTAGTAGTGACTACACTTGACTACAGTCTACAGTCTAGTAGTTAGTAGAGTAAGTTTATCTTGCAGTCCTGGTTCAGCTCCTGGCTTATGCTAGGCAATTGGCTATGCTAGTTATAATTAATCCCTGTCCTAGTAGTCTGTCTGACTGCCCTACTTCGTAGCTCCTACCCTGTTCCTCTCTCTCCCATGCTTATTTTTATTCCATAGAATGGAGATACTACGCGATATTGGGAAATTCCTTTACCTGTGGGTGCCGTGTCTCTAAAAAAAATTTTCTTCCATTTTTTTTTATACATCATTCCCAAAAACCCAAACCGGAGATCGCATCTAATAACTGTCTCCACTACAGACTCCACTGCTGCATCGGAAAAAGAGCTGTTCCTGAATTCAGGAACAATTTTACTGTTCAAGTCCCGAGAGTACCTATAGCTGGGATGATACAAGTATGAAAGTAGCGAGGTCATTGTACGGACCAAGAGCTGTGCTTGTGGCCGGCCATATAGTATACTAAGTAAGACAAGACAAGTAAATCTCCGATGGTCCGTTCTCAGTCTCCATACTACGTACCATATAGTTAACTAATTATTAGCTAACTTGAAATAAAGAGGTGTTCTGTCTTCGAATAGAAGCGCGAATTCCAACCAGGATGATGCTGAATGCTGTCGACCACCGTGATTCCTCCTGCTGTTCATCCCAGGATCGTCCGTTGTGGAATCCTGAATTGCGCCAAACCCTGATAGCAAGTCCATATTTTCTTTATATTTCCAACCGCATCTCGTTCTTCTCCACCCAGTCGCTTGTTCTCGCTGGGTTGAAATGACCGGTATACCTCCTCGAAGATAACCTCAGGATTCTTTACCTACATTCCTACACCGTTCTTCTCGCCTACAGTATATAGACATGCATGCCCTTACTTAGCACTAGTTATTGACGTTCCTGGCTCTGCCTAGGGATACACCCCTTCTTCCATGTTCCTTCTTCGATTTCCTGAATATAATAATGTCTATTAATGGCCCTCCCTTGGTCGCACGCCGTCTCTTGCTTCCAATGAGTTGAACCCGAGTCCTACCTCAATGGGGTAATTAACCCTCGGAATAACCGATGGTAAAAATCCGAGAAATGAAAACCCCATGGGCAAAATAGAGCGCCAGATATCGCGAGCTTGTCCGTTTAAGATCTCTTTTACCTTTATTAGTATGATAGTCAAGAAATGCTAGCTCCATTCATTGGATAATTTATCAATATGAGGGCAATTTCCTCGAGAGTGCTGGATCGTGATCGAGCCTGGAACCACCACTATCCATATGGAATAGACTAGCTTGGTCAATGTTCAGCTCTCTTCTGACTCCGCCACAATCCGTCCCCCTCATCTCCAACGCTTTCTATCTTATCCTCTTCGTTTAGAGCCCCTCACCTTTGAGACGCCGGTCGATTCGAGAGACTACCTCACCCCACAGCATGGGCATCGTGGGAATTTGCGTTCCACTTCCTCCAGAGAGCTTTTGGGGTATGTCTTATTTTTACCCTCAGAACAGCACCCGCTGACCCCCATTTCGAGCATAGTGTCGTCTAGAGTTTCCTGTTTTCTCCCGTTATCTACGGAGTACCAGAACCTTGTTCCTCGTCTGAGAAATATGCGATTCAAATCCACCACCATCCGTTCTGAGTGTCGATGCTTTGGGTGTTGGTAATGGGATGATAACACAGGGCCAGACGCGCCCAGGAAAGACTAGACAACTCGAACCAGTTAGCTTGAGAATGGCTAGCTCGCCTGTGGGATTGCATCTCGGACCCTCCGGGCTTTTAGCGTGATCAAAGGATCAATCGGCTATCCCCTAAGCCGCTGTAAACAATCCCGGGTGCGAGAGATGATGTCAGATGAACCTACTCCACGGCCAGAAACATGATTTTGGCATCTCGATTGCGTGCTAATAACGATGATGGTTATGGGTAAGATCAGGAATAAAACGCCCTTGCAATTGGTGTAAAAGTCAGACCTACACCATGATTTTAGGCCTGATTGGGCAACACTGGCTGCCTTAGCGCTCATCTTGCTGTGAAGCTATAACTCTATTCTCTTGTTATCTGTTTTTTTTTCTCAAGACAGACTTATCGATTGGTTTTGCCTTGGGTAGGGATGCCACCCTGATTCATTCAGAACCGCAAAATACTCCGAGGCAATCGGTTGATTTCCGGCATATGACTTAACTTCAGCGTTATCCAGATTTACTACGGGTCAAACAAGAAATCGCGATCTTAGTCGCGTTTGTTTTGATATGTCGTCAACACTCTTGTCAACAGAGTCCCGGTCCAGCCATCACCCCATAACCTTACGCTTTGCTCGGTATTTTATGGGCTGTTCCTAATTATTACTCCAACTAACTAGAGGTAGTCTGTGTTGTTCTGGCTGATCTCGCATATCGTAACACCGGCACGTGCTGGTATCCGGAGAGAGCATTTCCCATACTTAGAAAAAGGAGGGATATCGCAATAATCGAAGCAATCGCAAATCTCAATAAATTTGCCTGTCTTTGGTCCTCTCTCGACTCTCCTTAATAATAATGAAAGATTAGTTAAATAACTATTATCCCGTGCTTGATTGACCCTAGTCAAGATACAGGAGCGATCGACAAATCTATTCATTCATTTTAGGGTCCAGATCGAGGCACCGAGGCTATCAGAGTACTGAGTGAAAGCCTACTATGGAGTACGATGTAGGCCAATTCTCCTGGATTACTCTCTTCCTGCTCAATATTCCGTCCTACTATAGGAGAGTTTAAATTACCGACCAGAGGCAAGCTTGTCTGGTTTACCTCCAGGGTCAACCTCATATACCCCTTGATCGGCTCCAAGTATTAAACGATATCACAGCTTTCACCACTGGCTAATTGACCCTTCAAGACATTGCTTATGCATGAGCTGAAATACCGAATCAAATCTACACCGTCTCCATTGCGACCGTTATAATAGGAACGGGACATAGATGTACGACGCCACCCGCTACTTTTATGATATGCATAAACCCTACCGACTATGAAGTCAGACTCGTGCCTTGATGCATTCTCGCCCACACGTGCGAATATCAGGCCAGGGTTTCAACGCAAGGCTTCTATAATCATACATCTAGGAGACTAAATCGGCATCATCTCGCATAATTATGTATGCCTTGATAAGCACAGATCATGGACACGGTACCAACTTTACCATAAAGCCAGAATAACTTGATGAACATACTGACAGTCAGTATCCTTGCGCCATATCCCTCCCTCCCTCTCCAAGTTCCCTGCTTCTGATAGCTGCGAAATGCAAGATAAGCTTTTGCCAAACAATAGCCTATCAGTCAACGGGATTCACATTCCTTGCAGTCTACCTACATGCCTCTCTCTAAGCTGATCTCCACTTCCTCCTTGATCCCTTGGGTCTTGGATTAGACTCTGGATCAATGCAAGTGCTACTCTTAATTGACAGCTGTACATCCAGATCAGCATTTAAATTCCTGCATCTAATAATTAAAGTTGACTGGTTCTCATCCTGGACTATGCGAAAGTTGCCCTGCTGTTAAGCATAGATACCTCATTTTCATTCCGATATCTTTCAATACACTCACCCTACCTCAGACAGATATCCAACTCCGCATCAATCCCTTGCAAGTTCAAGCATGGCCATACTGAGTCTAACACGCACTACATGCTTAAACGTGCGGGGAGCAATGGTATGTACGGAGTATGCTACGCTAAACCCACCCTTACTCCTGAACCCACAATTCCCGCTCAGGAATGGAGGCTATTGCAATCTCCCGCAATCTCCCGACAAGGTGGTTGGTCGTGAACCCGACTGTGAGGTTGCTAGATCAACCGACCCGACTTACGTCGCATTTCGGAGGCTTCCTCTACGTTATACCGAGCAGAAAGCCGCCACCCAGGAATCTCAATGGAGCAGTGTATGAATCCGAACGGTACTCCGTAGCTGGCTTGGTTTATGGGTTTGGCGACTTATTTGCCCCTGGGCCAGGAATGTAGGAGGCTGAAGGATAAACTTGGTTGGTATGCATGCATGTAGAGCAAAGATCGCTGCGGGATAGAGTACGCCGTAATGTCTTCATAATCATGCTTGTTCTCAGTAGGATATCAGACTAGTTGGTTGATATCTTGGTCATTTAAGTTACCAGTGAGGTGATTTGGTATCCTTGTATCTCTTATTCCAATCCTAGTTGTGAATTACATGGTAGTGTGTATCCTATATAGTACATTTGACCTCCTTAGTGTGGCTATTATTATTATGAGTTAACTGGAGGGTTCTCTTTAGTAGTATCGTCTCGCAACTACCCTTATTATGAAACTAAGTAGTTCATTAATTAAATAGTCCATGTGCAGTATATTATGATTACAGTCATTACTGAATAGTTTCTTAGTAGAAATCTATAGAATACCAGCCTAGGCTTTCTTAATATGAACATCAACATCTTCTCTTATAGACTCTTGCTAGTTTGCACCGAAATTAAACTAAGGTATCTATATATATCATACTTACTACACGTACAACGAAAGTATTTGAAATGCATTTGCAATTAGCTTTCTAGCATGATATATATTGTGCCCGTTGTACCCTCTGTTGTATACCGGATCTCTTCAACTTTATATATATTCGGGCTTTACCTTGATTTCAACCAAGTAGTCCCTATACGCCAAAAAACTACCCTGACTCTAATTAAGTGAAGACTCTACATCTACTCCTTAATTAAACCCTTTCTCTAATATTTCCATCTGCTTTACTCCGTGAAGCTCTGAACCGCCCGAACCGGTAATTCCTGCCTGAGGCCTTATCTGATAACACTATTCCCCTTTAGTCCACGCCCGTAAATTTTCTGATGGAGCTCAAAATCGACAAGACAACAACCAGTCACTACATATTAACCTGCATTCAACTCCATCATTCGCCGCAAACCATCCAGACATCATTAAAAACATACCCCCCCCCCCCCCAAAACCCAACAAGAGGGAATTGACCTTCCCCTCACCAGGTACCAGCAATGGCGCAAACCCACGCCGCGGCCGCCCCCAAGAAACGGCGCCGCGAGCCATTCAACGTCGATACCAAGCTCGTAGAGATCTACGAGGACCTGGCGAGCGAAAATGACGAAATCAGACTAAAGGCCGCGCAGGCGCTAGTGTCGCAGTTTACGCCGGACAAGGAGCCGACTGATGAGCTCGTTAAGCGCGCATTGCAGCGGCTTTTCCGCGGGCTCTGCAGTAGTCGGAAAGCCGCGAGGATTGGGTTTTCGATTGCCTTGACGGAGATCCTGTCGCAGGTTTTTACGGCCGGGGATGCTTCTTCGCCTTCGTCTTCGTCAGAGGGTCTTGGTGTCGCTGGTGTGATGGATATTTGGGAGTCCGTGTCTAATGCTTCGGGGAGTGAGTCGGGACAGGTATGTTTCTTGTTTCTTGTTTCTTGAGCTTTCGCTCCGAGTAGCTCTATTTTAGTGGTGGGAGTTTACTGATTTGAATTGATAGGAACAACGAGATCATCATTTTGGACGGCTCTTTGGAGCAGAGGCCATCATCAAGTCGTCGATCTTGTTCAATCCCAAGAACCTTTTCTCGGAGTGGACGAGGCTTCTTGATTTGGTCTTTGACTTGGCGAAGAAGAAGCCCTGGATCCGCGAAGAATGCGGCTGGATTATTTACCGCTGCGTCTATGATTTTTCCTCTCAGGGTGCTGATGCGAAGTTCCTCGAGGCCGCGCTGGACCGTCTCTGCTCGAAGGACTTGGCGCGAACCCCAGAGGGCGTTGCGATTTGGTTGGCGGCCAAGGAACGGTTTCCGAAGATCACCTTCCCCAGTAAGGTTTGGAAGCATGAGGATCCGCTCGATGCAAAAGAAAGAAACCAGCTGGCAAAGGTTATGAAGGAGTCCTCCAGCGGCGAATCCGAAGATAAAGGCCCAGGTAGCGGCGCGAAACAGTCTGGCGTGTGGAACTCCAAACTTCATTTTGCTTGGGATGCTGTGCTCAACAGCCTTGGTGCACTGGTGAAGGAGCCATCGAAATCCCGCCTTAGTTTCGTGGATTTCTGGACTGAAGTTGTTGATAGTAAGTGCCCATCTTTGAAAAGCGTGAAATTTGGATCTAACTAGGGCTAGATGGTCTCTTTGCCTCTGCTTCGTCGGACGAACGGAAATACTGGGGCTTCCTCCTCTTTATCAAGGTTCTTAATGAGAGCAGCCTGCAGCTAGCTTCTCTTGTGTTTACGAAAAACCTGGTCCGGTGTCTTACGAACCAGCTGGCCGTTGAGGATAGATACCTGCACCGCATGGCCGTCAAAGCTGCCAAGTCTATTCAAGCCCGCGTCTCGAAGGACCCAGAATTCGCAGCCGCCTCTGTCAAAGGCCTGATGGGCTCCGCCGGCTCGGTGAACTTTGATCAAGTTACCAAGACAAAGACGGTGGAGAAGATTGTTGCCGAGGCGAACCTGGCCGCACTGAACCAGATTCTGCCTTTATTCGAGAAACTAATGGCATCACCTGGTACTGATGATAGCAAGGCTGCTGCTGCAAACCGCCAGTTCCTGGCCGGGCTGCTGCTTTCGATTGTGAGGAATAGAGTGTCTTCGGAAGAGGACTCCGAGGCTGCACTTGAGCGGATCCTGTTCATCTTTGTTAGATTCGCCTATTTTACGAGTGAGGATGAGACGGCGCAACCGGCTTTGACACAGCAGACTCAGGAACTCCTCAGAAGCAGGATTAACTCCAGTCTCAACAGTCTTGTGGCGGCTCAGAAATATGCCGGCACGCTTCCCTATGCGGTTGTCCGTAAGATCCGGGACGCGGCCAAGTCGGAAGAGTTTGGAAAGTTCATCATTAACATGGACGACACTCTTCGGGATTCTGTCAAGGGGGCCTTCAAGTCTCTGAAGAAGTTATCTAGCATGGTAAGGATATATCTATCATGCTAAATTTATTATATTATGTCTACTAACGGGAGTAGGAGAAAAAGACCGACGCAGGAGTGGACGCTTTTAAACTACTCTACTCTATGACAATTCTCCAGGTCTACAACGGCGATGCCGATGCCGTGTCTATGCTGGATGAGCTTGACTTTTGCTATTCCAAGATCTTTGGCGACAAGAAGTCGAAGAAGGAGGAGACCTCTGAGGCATCTGATGCACTAGTCGAGATTCTTCTCAGCTTTGCCTCGAAGCCTTCGCAGCTCTTCCGTCGTATGAGCGAGCAAGTGTTTACTGCTTTCGCGCCTAGTGTGACCGAGACCGGCTTGGAATCTTTAGTTTCTGTATGTTGGACCTTGCTCTTCTGAGACGGAACCAAACTAATGTCGAATAGATTCTGGAAGCCAAAGAAAGCCTTGCGGGCCAGCAAGAAATGTTTGACCAAGAGGAGGACGACGATGAAGACATGATCGACGTGGATGAAGACGACAGCGACGTGGAAGTTATCGACGCAGAAGGCTCAGGACAAGAGAGCGCCGATGAGGAAGCCTCTGGCTCGGAGGAAGAAGGGGACGACGAAGACGAAGATGACGCCGAAATTGCCGCCTTCGAGGCTAAGCTCGCAGAAGCCCTTGGCACGCACCGCGCAGACCAAGACCTCAAGGAAGACTCGGAGGGTTCTGACGCCGACATGAACGACGACGAGATGGAAGAGCTCGACGGCCAACTGATCAAGGTCTTCCGCGCGCGGCGCGACGCTCTCAGCCAGAAGAAAGACAAGAAAGATGCCAAAGAAAACATGGTGAATTTCAAGAACCGCGTGCTGGATCTCCTCGAGATCTATGTGAAGAAATGCCACTCGAAGCTTCTTGCGCTGGATCTGCTCTTGCCTCTGTTGCGCCTTACGCGTCGGTCCACCGTGAAGCAGATCTCGAACAAGGCCAACTCGGTGCTGCGCGAGTACACGAAACTCTGCAAGGGGTCTGCGCTGCCGGCGCTGGAGTCCGCCGAGCCGGTGTGGGATTTGTTGAAGTCGATCCACACCGAGGCTACGCATAGCGGGCCGCCTGCTCATGCCTCTGCCTGTAGCCAGGCCAGTCTGCTGGTCGTGAAGGCGCTGACGGCGCAGGATAAAGAGGCGATCTCGGGGGTTGTGGATGTGTACGGGGCCACGCGGAAGGAGCAGCTCCTGAGCAAAAAGTGCCATGTGCAGCCGTCTTTCTTTACGGATTGGAACAACTGGTGTGTTTCTGCTAGCAAGCAGATGAAGAACTGATATAGAGCATCTCGACATATCCAGACGCGAACTCGGCGCTATTAACAAGTAATCATCAGTTCTATGTATTAGTTAAAGCTTATCACAGCTATCCCATAAATATACAGTTCTATAAATATATATATATATATATATATATATATATACACGGAGTACGGAGTATGTATATAACTAAAAAGTTGAACCTGGAATTTCCAAGGCGGTCAGAATCAGAGTACATACATACATACATATGTAATCCCCGACTGACTCAAAACAAAATCCAACCACCAAAACCAACGATACAAAAGCAAAAGCGCAAGGAGCGCAAGCGAAAGGGAAATGCCATCCCTCCTCGCAACAGGAATAATCCTGCTGCTCCTCGCCATCCCAGCCTGGGCCATACTCACCCAAACCACCTCCAACCCCAGCAGCACCATCCAACGCCTCCTCCGGAAACCGGGGATTCTCGCCGCAAACACCCCCCAAGTCCGGGATACGAGCGAAGTCGTCGCGCTGCACGTATACCCGATCAAGTCATGTCGCGGGCTCGCGCTCCCCAGGACAAAGCTATGCAAGTCTGGTCTCGAGCTAGACCGGCGCTGGATGGTGGTTGACGCAGAGACGCATGTGTTCCTGACGATCCGCCAGATTGCGGAAATGACGCTGATTACGACGGCGCTCAGCGAGGACGGGGAGTGGTTGGTTATTTCTGTTCCTTCTTCTTCTGCGACTGCGACTGCGAGTGCGACTGCTCCCGCCACAGTGAAAAAAGAAATCACCATCCCAGCCCACCCATCACCCACCTGGCTCGAAAACAACACCACGCTCTCCTCCCGGATCAAAATCTGGGACACCGTTACGGACGGGTACGTGTACGGCGCGGAAGTCAACTCGGTCCTCTCTGCGTTTCTCGCCCGGGACGTCGCCCTCGTGTACAAGGGTCCCGCGCCGCGCATCCTCCAGGGCAACGGGGCGCCGCGGGTCCTGGGGCGGACGCAGAGCACGAATTTCCCGGATGTGCATCCGGTGCTGATTGCGTCGGAGGCGTCGGTTGGGGAGCTGAACGCGCGGCTTGCGGCGCAGGGCGAGGAGCCGGTTGGTATTGAGCGGTTTCGGGCGAATATTGTTGTAAGGGGGGGCAGGCCTTGGGCGGAGGATTCGTGGAAGCTTGTGCGGATTAGTAGTAGCAGCAGTAGCAGCAGTAGCAGCAGTCAGGAATCGGATATGGGAAGTGAAAGGAAAGAAAGGAAAGAGTTGATGCTGGATATTGTGGCTAGGTGTGCGCGGTGTCAGGTTCCCAATGTGCATCCGGACACGGCGCAGAAGCATAGAACGCAGCCGTGGGATACGCTGATGAAGTATCGGCGGGTGGACGAGGGGATGAAGTATAAGCCTTGTTTTGGGATGTTGAGTGCGCCGCGCAACGAGGGGGAGATTCGTGTGGGGATGAAGTTTGAGGTGTTGGAGGAGACGAATCAACATCGGTATATTAAAGGGTTTTAAGAAACAAGAATATATATATATATATATATATATTGGACTATCTGCGCAGGCACGTCTTGAACTGTTGGCTCTGATATAGATAGAGGTGGATGAATGGTGGACAAGCTATCTAAGATGGGGTCACTACTAGGTATACACACTCTCCAACTAAGAATCAATCAAGTAATAGATGCCGCTTGATATATACTCTCCGTAGTATGTTGAATAACACCCAAAATACCCGTCTGTACCTAAAATCGATCGCATAAACGCCTTGCCTACTTGCCAGGGCCATCATGCAGTGATGCTGAAATCGCTTGAAAAAGAACCCAGAGCCCAACTGGATGAGCTCCCCAAACCTAATATATCTTCTCGTCCACCCAACACGCCACGAGAGCCTTGATCAAGGCAATGGCTATCTCCTTTCCAGTTTCGATATCCTCATCTGCGCACGACGCAGGAACATGCAGGAACATGGTCCTCCGGTCCCTGTTCTCAAGCAACGCCAGTGACAGACTGGTGTACAGGATAAACTCGCATAGGTAGCGACCGGCATCCTCTGAGAGCCGTACCTGCGCATTCGGCGGGGCGAACGCTTGCCAGGCCTGTAGAAGGGCCGCATCTGGTGGATGCGGGTTGAGCTGCGCGCGAGCCTGAGCTGGTGCGCCTGGAGCGAGGTCCGAAGTACATCCGGCCTGCAGGACGAAAGGGAGTCCCAGCTCCTTCCATATCTTCTCGCCGTCTTCATAGCCAGCCCGGCCAAGATTGTCGGAGATGTGATAGGCGTCACGATGTGCCTGTGTCTCTACGGAGTAATAACTTCTGGTTGCGGCAATTCCCATGTGAATCACGATATCTGGGTGTCGGCCGTGAGTCTTGACGTAATCGTCCAGAATGGCGGGCACGGTCGTCCGCACTGCGGAGTAGGCGACATTTATGGGAGAGGGATGCACATGAATTGAGATCCGACGAGCTGTCGGTAGGCCATCTGGGGATTTAGAGGCAGGCGATGGCAGGGATAAAGAAGACGGGAGCGCGGAAGCAATCAAGTACGAGGCATTAACCAGGTTGGACTTGAACGGCTAGTATATGCTGGTTAGGTTCTAGAGAGCTCTGATTTTTCTTCCCGAGATTGAAGCACCATAAACTTACCCCAAACCCTGTTACCAACACCGAGATTTCCTCCTGATCAGTCGAAGGGGAAGGGAGATTCCCCGAGAGCTGGGTGTTGGACGACAACGCTCCTGATCCCAAGTCTCCCATGTTGATCGGGAGGAGTCTGCGCCAAGGGATGCGAGGTGCGGCCCGTGCTACTAAGGATAAGGGAATCGCAAGATAGCTCTTCGGAAGGAATACGAGGAGATGATGTGATGGCGTCCAGTTCATCTCCCAGAGCTTTCCCCGCATTTAAACGCCGGATTGGACTGGCCTTGGCGTCACGAGATCCATGGTCCCATTCCTTACTTAGGGTTCCGCTATTCTTCTCCGAAATCATCCTATATCTGTAGGGTTACAGGGTACTTTAAAGAATCCAGATTATTTCTTTTGAAACCACCTTGCGTATGTTTCGGAAGCAAACAGAAAGAGAATGGAGTCTCCGTTCCTGCATCGAGGAACCGGAGTCCTTCTCCATCGCCCCCATCGTTCAAACCTCCGGTGTGGGATTTACCTTTTAGTGAGACTTTAGTATCGATTCTCTTTGTATGTGTGGGTATTCCAAGACACCAGAAAACAGCAGTCAAAGTATAGACAGTAGCAAGAGGCGCGCGCGGCATACGGTATTTTACCACACGCGCGGTTCCGCGTCTGGACGCGTTTCGGACGCGACTACCCCGCTTTGACGCGTGTGACCCACTGGCGATAAGCGAGCATCAACCCGAATTGGGAAAAGCGCCTTCTGCAATCCAGTCCAGCAAAGGTCGAGATCTTAGGAATCCCCAGGGAAGAAAGACCATTTGCACCTTCGCAATGAGATTCTGCTTTCTTTGACTCCCGGGTATCTACCAAGAATGGCAGATGGAGGTATTTCTGGACTCTTTTTTTTTTTTTTTTTTACAATGGGCTGAGTGACACGTTCTCCAAGTTAAGGACGTGGATGGTCACACTACTAATGCATGCCCAGTGCTAGACGGTGGAGAATACTTCTGCAGGTGGCCACAGTTTGAATCTCATTCTCGAGACCAAGGAGCCAGCTGAGCCTGAGCCTGGGGGTGAAGATGGCAAGCAAATGCTCGCTCAGAAACCGGTGTGGTTGCATCCCAACCACCCACTTGATCGCACTGGCAGAAACTCGATATTATTATATTTAGGACGTGTACAGAGTACGGAGTATGATTCACAATTACGGAGTACTATGCGCTGGGGAGCCACCCTTGCAGTAGAAGCTCTAGTGGTGAATTCCCGAGAGAACGAACGGCATAACGGCTCCATCCGGTCGACTGCGATTTGTCGTGTACAAAGATACTGATGGCATCGTTGGGCGGCGCGGTGAGGCGGTTGACCTGATTGCTACCAGCCCCCAGGAATTACAGCCAACGAGAGCAGCCCAAGGGAAGCCGTTTTTGTTCTTCTTATTTTTATTATGATTTTTGGTACTTCTCAGTAGCATGGTAAATGGTTGAGACAGCATAGGTATACATGTACATACTTCAGATTGATTCTCCGCATTCCAATGACCCAAATTGGTATTTGTTTATGAAATGAACTCTTTCTCTCCCTAGAGGATATCAAGTAGAAGATTGTTGAATAGAATCCAGGTGGACCCCCCGGATGACCCTAACATTCGCTGGAACCACTAACGCCATACCAACACTGAGCACTCTTGAGCTCTATCCACCACCTCTTCCTCTCTCTCTCTTCTTCTTCTTCTTCTTCTTCTTCTTCTTCTTCTTCTCTTCCACCCGCGTCATCCCCGATTTCCCCTTTCCATAGCCCCCGGCTTTGGTCTCTCTTCCCACGAGCTTATTGCTCGTTCGACTTCTATCCCTCCCTTCCGTTTCCTTCCCTTTTCTTTTGTGCTGGTCTGGCGTTTTTGTGTGTCCTGCGACTCAATCGACTTGTCCGCGACGGATCGATCCCTTTTCGATGTGAGATCGCTGCCCTGGAAGAACCTCTGTCGCATCTCGCAACCCAGTGCGGCGCATTCCATCGACATCCACACAAATTCGATCGCTTTCTACCTTTCCGACCACTCGTATCTTGACGATACTGCTTTCCTTTTTCTCTTTGTCTTTTCCTTGCTGTATTTGTTACGACTTCACGACCCCCTCCCCCCTCGACAACTGGACAACTGGACAACTCGCCGATTCCACCACGTTCTGCGACGAGGTATTGCACCGCTGGCTCTGACGGTTTTCTTTTCTTTATTTGGATCTATTATCTATCCTATTGCGCGCTGTTGGTTGCGTTCTCAAACATCCGGGCTAGAAGACGGTTTACCGCGCGGCATACTCCGCATTTCGATTTGACGATTGTCCGGCGCGTGCAAGAGGTTTTCGGAAAAGCGAAATGATGCTGGCATAGACAAATTCTTTCAACTTTCAGACAACCGAATTCGCACTTTTGCTCGATTGTCACCAGCCGGGACGAGACCCATCATGGCGGATCGACAGCATGGTCTCTCGCGCACCCTGCCGAAGAACTTCATTTTTACTTCGGCCGGGCGAGGAGAGCCCAGGACCCCTGAACGCTCCTCAATTCAAATCGATGTTCCGCCCCCGCCCCCCCGTCATTCCACTAGTCGTCTGCGCCGCCCCCGCGTCCGTTCGGGGACTGACCTCTTTGCGCAAGCCCATTATGACCCCAGCACTTTTAACCCCGTTGCTTCAGATATCCCTTTACCCTCTATTGAATTCCCACCCGTTCGCGACCCTTCGGCAGCGGAGCCGTGTCCGACTATACTCCCGAACAACGACCGGTTCCTAGCCCCGCCTCGCACCCGAGTGGCGCTCAAGACCCCCGAGGCTCAAATCCGTGCAGACCCCATCGATGTCGAGTCGGCGCGTACGTGGTCTCCATGGAACCCACAGGCCCCCGGAGATCCGATCCCACGACCCTCCTCCGCCTGCTCGAATGCCTCGGACTCCTCAGTCTCATCCATCGAAACTTTCGGTTCGCGAAGATCGGTTGGCGGAAGCTGCACAAGTTTCGAAAGCGACTCCTACGATCCATTTTTCCACATTGAAATCGCTCCCAAACCAGCAGTCGATGCATCCCCACTATCTACAAATCCGCGAACCAAATCTCGGCGAGCAGTCAAAGAACGATGGACGTTCGAGATGGATAACTACCTTTGGAATACTTACCAGCTGTACATCCAGGATCCCACAATAACCCCGTTTAAAATGACTCCTGGCAGCATCCCACCCCTTGGCGTCACCCATAGAGTTGCGCGCGAGGCAAAGCGAAGTTGGGAAAAACGCGGGGTTCGGCTTGACAGGCAATTTCCGTCCCGCGGGACCACCCCCTGTGGTGGGGAGTCCACTCCGACTCAGAAAATCGATCCACCCAAACCTGCGTGGCCAAGATCTGAAGCTTCGACCCGGCGGAGACTCAAATACTTGTGCAAGAGAAAGTTCTCCATTGCGCCGCACTATCAACGAATGATGCAATCAAGGAGTCCGACGCCGCACCTGGATATCTTCTCACAACCGTCAGACGAAGTACGCCGCACGGACACCAACACCAGTAGTTCAGCAGCCTATGCAACCCGTGATTTGGGTGTTTCTCTTGTATCAAGCTCCGTTCCCGGCCCGTTAGCCCAGCTAGCAGCGCAGGATCCCGCACCCGACGCAAATTCCGAGTGGTTCAATCAGCCAGTTCCGAGCAAATTATTGGCCCAGCGCCGGGCCCAATTGCCCACCAAACCGTCGAGTTTCGACGAAAGGGACATGGGTCCACGACTGGGATCACCATTCACATACCACACATGGGGACCGCATAGCGCACGAAAGAGGGCCCTTCGCCCCCCTTCCCACGCTCGACGGGAGACTATTCACGTAACGGGATCACGTCTGCGATCTCCTCCCCGCATGGACCCGCTCCCTAATCTGGTCAACAACGTGCCCCGCAGCTCCCAGACCACCACCGAGTCCCCCACGGACCAGGAAACCCGGCGTCATCTGGAGGACCTTTTGCGCCAGGGAAAACTGAACGACATGGGTCAACGTCGTGTACGGATTCGAACCCGAGGAGCTACTACGAGCTCAGTCAATCCTCAAGGTCTTGAGCAGCTCTTCTCGCCCCCGTCGTCTGCATCCCGTAAAGAAGAAAGTCATCCTGTGGAGAAGCCCATTCCGAACCCACTTCTGAATCTGAGCGGCGACAACATCAGACGGCTAGGCTCTCCTTTTAAGATGGAGGGCTTCCGAAGACACGCTCCCTCCCTTTCGGACCCGTTTGCCAGCGGAATGATCCCTCAGTTCAGATCCATTACCCAAGATACCCGCTTTAGAGGTGAAGCTTGTACAAACAGGCTTCCCTACGACCCATTGGAGGAAGGCATATCCGACGCGGAGCGAATCCGTAGGCAAATATTGAATATGCCTTACTCGAGGCGATAAGTTGTTTAATTATTGTCAAGCTCTTGTGACATGACGACTCGCGAAGAGTATTTATGTTGCCGAAATCTGTTTTTCAACAGGCTGTCAGTGTCTTGTTTCCCTTTTGCCTGATGACCTGAATGATTAATTGTGACATTGAAAGTCCTACACGGAAATAACGATTGAAACGGCATTGACGACATTTACGATATTAAAGAACATTAAAAAACAAAAAAAAAGAAGAGAGAGAGAGATCTTTGCGCAAAAGATGATGAATTTGAAGAATCTGCATGAGAATAACAACTTGCAGCTGGCTTGTCTTCGAAATCTCTGTTGTGTCCATTTACCTGAACGTTATTAACAAAGTGAACGTCCAGGCTATGATGGCCAGCGCGGATTCGGTTGACTATTTATTGCTTGTTTTCACTTTGGATTTTGCGACTGATTCCACTCACCTCAATTTGGCCTCACCTCGATCACATTGGTGCACAATACTAGGATGTCTTCAATCTCGATATACCGCAGTTTTGCCTCATATTGGTCGACGGTCTGACTACATCCCGAATTACATTCTTTCCTTCAAGACGACCGAACAGACTGCGTGACCAAAAGCACCCAAAAAAAAAAGACGAAAAATTGCCCTGTCTGTTCTAACCGTACCTACGCTCCTTCTATTTCCTTGCTGTCAACAATACCCAACTCACTACTCTCTCTTTTCACTTTTCCTTTTTCAAATTATCTTTTTCGAATTCAATTTCCTCACGATCACTGTGTGTATGTCACATAACGCCATACATAATGAATGATTAGAATGGAGCAATGCCGCTACTGAATGACATGTCCCGACTCCTACATGGATGAAAATGATGCTGCCTCTTATCAACATTACTTGCAAGCGTTTGCCTTTCCAACTGCAGCGTTCAACGTCCAGTCGCGCGTACTGAATTTTTGCTTCGTGTCTTGCATACTACTACTACTACTACTACTACTACTACTACTACTACTTACTGCGTTTATCGCACCGCACCCAACTACCAGTCCCTCAAACAGCATACATATACTTATGCTTGTGTTTCTGGAATCTTGAATTCTTGAATTCAGCATGGCCCCAATCTCACGATTATATTATGCCTTTTTTTTTTTTTTTTCTTTGCATTCTACTACTCTTTTCTTCTTGACCCTCCAAAAAATCACTGCATTATTTTGCCATTTTTTCTTTTCTTTCCTTCTCATCCTGAGTTTCTATTGATCTTTTTTTTTTCCCTCTTCTTCTTCTTTCTCTCGCTCTCGCTCTCGTTTTCTTCACGGATTGGACCGAACTGGACCAAACCAAACCAAACCAAACCCGTTCAGTCTGGCTGGTCCGATATGATGCCATGATATCATGATTCGATGTCTGAGATAAATCTGAGTCTTTTTTTTTTATTACGATTTGGAAATTGAATGAATTGAATTGAATTGAATATTTACTTTTTTTTCAACCTTTTTTTTTTTGGGAGGGGAAGCTGCGCGCGGTTCACCTAAAAGTAGAGCGAGAGAGAGAGGTATTTGTATTGGCTTCAAATATTCTAGCAGGAAACCCGCCTATTAAAAGGATACGATAATCACTGACAAAAATTGAAAAGATTTAAAAAAGTCAAGGGGGCAGAAGAAGAGAGACGAGGAGAAGAACAAAAAGACAAAACGCCAGCGACCAAGTACCAAGGGGGGTATACGCGGAGTGTCATGTATCATCAAAGGGAAATAAAAAAGTAGGCTAGGGGGACAGGATGAAGGGAAGACACAAAGAAAGTAAGTAGGCCGAAAGAGGACTTTCAAGTCTAGATCAGAACCTTTCCAATTTCTTCTTCTTCTCGGCAAAGATAGCCTCCAGCTTGCGAATCTGAAGACCCAAGCCTTTCTTTTCGGCGTTTGCGAGGAGCCAATCTTCCATTTTCTCTCGGACATATTGCATGGAGTTTAGAACGGGAAGCATGGGCTGGCCGCCGGTAGATTGATCTGAGGTAACAGCAGGGTAGCTGCCTGGACGCTCCATCTGGGCCCACCGGTCAGCTCCAGGGTTGAGAAGGAGATCGAACACGTCGTTCCAAATATCCCGTTCCCAGTATCGTTTCAATGGTTCGCGGATCCGATAAGTTCTGGCTGTTCCGGCAGTAGTTGATTCAATATACTTACCAAAAAGCATGACGTGAATTGTACCGGCAAGGCCGTAGAGGTCGATTTGGTGTGTCCAGGGCCGCATCTCGCGAATTTCATTACATTCATGTTCGCCTGTCTTCCAGTCGGCAATGAATTGAACTGAAGAGTGGAAAGCACGCATGTCGATGCCACGACCAAAATCAATCAGAGATAGACCCTTCTTGCTCCAGCCACAGGATCCGTTGGGCGAATAATGGAGCTCACGAGGGTCTGAAACATAATTCTCGACTGGGGTAGCAGCTGGGTTATCATCGAAGCGGACGAGACAATTGTCGGCTTTGATGTCTCCATGCAGAACACCACAAGCATGAAGAGCTTGAACGGTCCGGAAAAGCTCAATGGTAAAAAACATTGCGAGAGCCTCATCTAGTCCTCCCTCCGGGTTAGAATGGCCTGAGATGGGCTCGTTGCGGACCAGGTTTAGCAGGTCTAGGAGGGTTCCTTGTCCACGATAGTCTTCCACAAGAATGCTCTCCCCTTTGAAAACGTGCATTTCATGGGCGCGGATGACACTGTCAGAGGCCCGTGAAAGCTCTGGTAGGAGGGATATTCGTTGATGGGCAGTTTGGATCATGTAGAATTCCCAAGCGTTAGGCGGCCCAACTTCCAATTTGATCGCTTCAAAAGCGTAGCGGGGTGGTTTGTTGAGTATTGTTTTACTGCTGCTCGGAGAATCCGAGTTGCTATTACCGTTCACGGATTCGATATCGGAGTCGGATGAAAGGCTGTCAAGGCTCTCAGCTAGATAGACCGGAGCATAGGCACCAGCTCCCAGCTCCCGTCTAATAATATAGCTTTTCTCTGCTCCGGGGAGATCGAGGATTGGCACATCAAACGACTCCTCATCTCCACCCTTAGAACGCCTACCCGTAGTTTTCACAAACTTTTGAATCTCGCGGGCATAATGTGTTTCCGTTTCAAGATCGGCATGATAGCCAGGGTATGCTGCCAGCGTAGAATGTAGAGACTCGAGGATTGTGTCGCGAACAGCTTTATCGATGGGATTGCATACCATTTCCTTGATAATCGGCTCTTTGCGGGCAACATCCTTTGCAGGGGACGCTGATTTGAGAGTTGACTGGGCTTTCTTAGCGGTGGGACTAAGGGTAATATCCTCTGGGAGGCTGTTAAAGCTTTGCGCTTGGTATGGTGTCTCTGCAATTAGTGGAGTTGCGAGAAGGCTCCCCATTTGAGGCCTAGAGGGTGTCTTCGTGGAGTACAAGTTGCTTTTAGCTGCCGTCATGGAAGGCAGCGAGTATTCGGTGCGTTCCACAATGGGTGTCATAAAGGGCAGGCGATTTTGGGCCACTACTGCAGGGTCTCGATAGGTACCGTAGGGCTGAACATAATCCTCTGGCATTTCTGGAATGAATCTTTGCCTTTCGGCCTTCCCAGAAACATCGAGGCCTTCCGCACCATCGTCGCTGGTGTTGTGTGATGTTGATTGTGTTGACTCAATGGGGTGTGAATGGAGGGGAATATCTTTTGAGGAAAATTGAGTCCATTCCCCATCGACACTCTCGGCTCGAGTATTGTCGTAAAAGTCGTCACCATCACCTTCGTCAAAGGACTTATGAAATGTAGTCTCGTCATCGCCAAAATCGCTAGATGCAGCGGATATTCGTCCCGTTCCTGTACTTTCTCCAGCACTAATGTAATCATCATCTTCAAAGTCACTGCTTTCCGCTACACTCTGGCTTTCTGCCTTCAGCGGTTGGTTGAAGATGCTGTAAATCTCATCCGTAGCAGCTCGGGTGTGGATGGTCATTGTTGGCTCCGCGGTACTCTTGCGACGAATCTTGTTTCCGGTAGGAGAATCAAATTTCATTTTGACTTATATAGGTGTCAGCAGAGAGCCAATAACATGTCCATTGCTTAATATTGGGAGTGGGTTAGTCCTTACTGGTCTGTGTCTCAGCCTTGACTTCGCGGACTTTCAGCTTTCGTGGCCTCGCGGTTCTAGAATCGTGGGCTGGATCCAACTCGGTGTTCTGTCGGGAGGCCTGGCTATCTACTTCTTTCAAGGTCAATTTCTGGTTGAATTGTTCTGGCAATCCCCCGTGCAAACCTTGCCCATTCTCCTTATCCAAATGCGGGTCATGAGAAGAGTTCCCGGATATTGTTTTGAGAGGTGCCTTTTGGGTACGCCAGGTCTTATCCATCCAGCCACGTTTGATAGCCCTGAGCTCTTCAAAGCTCACCTCATGGTTAGCGTTTTTGTAGTCGGGATATACTGCATCAAGATTGACGAATACTCGTTCCTTTCTTCCTGTCCGTGGGTTTATCGCTTCCCTTACACGATGCTCTGGAACTGGGTCTGATTGAATATTTTCTTTGACTGGTAAATCTGAGTTCGACTGCATACATAAAAGTAAACCAATTCAGGTTCATACCACCGATTAGTCCTATGATCGTAAATATACGGAATTTTGAGAGTGTGGGTAAACACATTGTCAACTCACCTCATCCCTGAAAATTGCCATTTTTTGAACTGGTGCAGGTTTCTTTGTGGTTTTGAGAGTTTCCCCAGCCCATGGTTTCGCCTCCACTTTGTTTTCCTTCCGTCGGTCCTGCATAGAATCGATACTATCCCAGCCCTTGCTTTGCCCGCCAATTACGGGCTGACTCGGGGCGGAGTCTGCGTCGGAGAAAATCGCCATTTTCGGTTTTCCTGACTTTGTTTTAGGTGCAGCTCCTGCACTAGACGGCTGCCGCTGTGATTGCGAATCCGCCGACGTGGGTGTGGCTGAGGCAAAGGGATCTACCTTGGCAGCCAAGGCAGGGCGCACGGCCGGTAATGCAGGAGAGGAAGGCCCGTTGTCTTGTGTGTGTTGGTCATAACGTCTTTGGAATTCGCTGAACTTTCGAACCATCCGTTCCGTTGGCCGAGCCTCCCGGTCTATCCCAAGCCTGTAAACTTCATCTGCTTGAGTCCATCGTCCTGCACTCTCGAGCCAAGCTGCAAACTCTTCATAAAACAGGGCAAGACCCTCCCCGACATGGTGACGCGCTATGAATGCAAACGTTTCGCGGGGTGAATCTGAAAAAAATCTAATATAGTGTAGCCACAGTCGTAGATAGCGCGGGTCATTTTTATAATGAGGCGAGTTGAGAAATGACTTGACAGCCTTCTCCAGTAATGGGAGGAGACCTGACTCTGCAGTTGCTTGAGCAGAGGGGTAGGCATTCAGTGTCCACTTAACGTAGCGATCATATACATCCAGAGGGTCGTCTGAATCCCCGATAGCCTGCAACTCTGCTTCATATTCTTGTCGAATAGCGTCATTGAGTGTTCTGGTGTCGTTTGGAGATGGCGCTGCTAGCTTGTCACTAGGATCTCGAGGAGAGAAAATGCGGGCTAGCTCCCGAGCAGACCGTCCACCTGGTAATGACTGAATATTTTCCTTCTGATTCTCGATGATATCGAAGTCAATGAGGTCCCCGGAGGCCGCCATGGCGGCAACGAACGATGTCGAGGTCACGGGGAGTGCAGAGATTGGAGCTTTGGTTTTCTAAATTGCCGTTAACTTGGATATTTTGAGCGTAACTGGAAATCAGTGGTTGTTGTTATCGTTCCGGCTAGGGGAAAAGGGGCGAGGTCGATAATCGTCGTAGAGTCGAAGTCTGTGAAGCTCTTCGTGCCACTTTTGCTTTTATTTTTCTGTCCCTCGTTTGATCGATAAACACGTGTCTCGTTGCCGTGGTGACAGTCACGTGACCCTATTCCCGATGAGGCAATATTGAATCGACGCGAGTCTCGACCGTTGGATGAACAGGGTGCGAAACTTGCCTTTCTCTCTTCATTCCACTGCTTTAATCGATTTGTAGATTCTCTCATCTTGAATTCAGGTTCCTGTTACTCCGTACTCCGTACACAGCGCCACAACCACTAGCCACATCCGACAAGGCCCATTTCTACACGATTTCCTTCCCCATTCTCGAGTCTTGATATTTGCCTCCAACTTCCCTGCGTCTACATTGACGACTTTACACATCGAACAAAAAAGAAGAAGAAGAAGAAAAATCACGCATACTCCGTCTATCCCCCAATTCAACCGCGTCGCTGTCATGCCTCCTCGTGGGCCGCGCAACGTCATCCGCACTCCTACCGTCGCAACCTCTGATAACACCTCCGCAGACGGCCATAAACGCAAGCTAGACAACCATTCCGATGCGAGCTTACAATTGAGAAGGTCCAAGCGTGTGAAGTCGACAGAGCCCCTTTACGCGAATGTGTCAGATCCGGAGCTTGAGCCGACCGATGACGACTCCGTGCAAGTCAAGCGTGCGAGCAGCTCCATACGGCAGAAATCAGAGGGACTGGTAGACGGTACTACCAAATCCGTAAAGGAAGATATTGCGGAAGAAAAACAGATTTCCATTAAGCCGAAAGTTGAGGAAATAGAGGCGCAACCAAAGAGCTCCAAAAAGACCGCTACGAAAGTGAAATCTAAGAATCAAGACCAAGCATCGGTGATGCCACTGAGGGTTAGGACTCCAGGGCTGCGCATGTGCGTAGGAGCCCACGTTAGTGCAGCAGGAGGTATGTACCCTTTTCAGTTTTCTGGATATCTACGACGATCGTTTACTTATTAAATGTCGTATTCATAGGTGTCTTTAATGCGGTAAACAACAGCGTTCATGTCGGGTCTGTACACCTACTAAAAGTTGCGATGGCATTTCTTAACATTTTCTAGTGGAAACGCTTTTGCCCTTTTCCTCAAGTCTCAGAGGAAATGGAACAACCCCCCTCTACAGGACGAGCACAGGGACACTTTTCGCAAGCTCTGTGCTGAGCATAACTACGATGCAGCAAGGTAGGGTTTATCTACGCGACTTCAAAGCCTCGGTTGATTGAATATCTCTAGGGTTGTCCTCCCCCACGGCTCATACTTGGTCAACCTCGCGCAAGCAGACAAAGCCAAATCAAAGCAAGCATATGACTCCTTCCTTGACGACCTCCATCGCTGTGAAGCTCTTGGCATCAAGCTGTATAACTTCCAGTAAGCACCCAGAGCGCAATTCATGTTCTCGAACTACACACACTAACATTCAGTAGTCCTGGAAGTGCGAACCAAAGTCCCTTTCCCGATGCACTATCTCGACTCGCCAAAGCGCTCACCAACGCATTAGCCGCCACTTCCACTGTCGTCCCAGTCCTAGAGACTATGTGCGGCCACGGGTCTACAATTGGTGGCTCCCTTACTGAATTTCGCGACCTCCTCGCTCTAATCCCCAAGGAGTACCATTCCCGAATCGGCATTTGCATAGATACATGCCACAGCTTCGCCGCAGGATACGACCTCGCGGCCCCTTGTGGTTTCCAAGCCTTTATGAAAGAATTCGAAGACGTAATCGGCATCCAGCACCTCCGCGCCCTGCACCTGAACGACTCCAAAGCACCGCAAGGCAGCAAGCGCGATCTCCACGCAAACATCGGAACCGGATTCCTGGGCCTCCGCGCCTTCCACAACGTAATGAACGAACCCCGCTTTGAAGGGCTCCCAATGATCCTTGAAACACCCATCGACCGCCCTGCCTCAACGACATCCAAGACCCCCAAGGGAGAAGACGCCAGCGACGCCGAAACCAAGCCCAAGAAAACCACTCAAAAGAAACCTGCCGCCGCCAAAAACCAACTAGTCCAGGACTTCTCCGTCTGGGCCAACGAAATTGAGCTCCTCGAATCCCTGATCGGCATGGACCCGGAGAGTCCGGAATTCCTCGAGTTGGAAGCCAAACTTGCAGAAGAAGGGCGTGAAATGCGCGAGTCACAAATGGCACAGTATAAGCGCAAACTCGAGACCGCGGAGAAAAAGAAAACCAAGAGTCCTCGCAAAAAGGGCCAGAAGACCTTGATGGAGATGATGGGGGATAACAACAAGAAGAAGCAGAACCCTGTTGACGACAGCGAAGACGAAGGATGTCAGAGCTGTTCAGGGGGGAATTAGTAGTTAACTAGTGTATATATACTTACTAAACTATAACCTAACATAGATAACTATATATATGTACCTATGTACATATATATATATATATACTCATCCTGATACTTATATAACACTTACTTAACCTACTTACTTCTCCTGCGTTGTATTTTCTGTTTTTACCTGCGCTTCTCCTCCTAATATTGGGATTTCACTCTCGAATTCATCCATGGATTTATAGAAAGAGGTCACAATTACATACATGGAGGTTGCGTTTCTTCTTGTGCGCGTGATAACAACATACAAATATAAAAGTTGAAGAAGGGGGCCCGAATACTTCAATAACCAGTGGAACAAATCAGGAGTAGTATAGTATGTATGTATTACAGATTGAGCAGTTGAACAGTTGAACAATCAAACAGAGACAATCCTGCAAATGATGGGGATTTCATGTATGTGTGTGTATATATATTTAGTGTTAGAAACTACATCACTCTGGAAACCGATCATGCAGTTTGTTCGCCACAGACAAGAGGATAAAAGCGACATGGTATCTCATAAATCAATGTCTAGACCAGACCTTGTGTGCCAATATGTGCGGGATGCCCAATGTACTTGAAACATATCATATCGATCACCAAAAATTGGGACATTATCCACCAGAGGGGAAAAAAAAAAAAAAAAAAAAAAAAAAAGAGAAAAGAACCACGTTCAGCGGCTTTCGGATGGACTCTCCCTTTCAGGGGATGAGTGCTGGTTGCTTCCCGGGCTGGATCCTCGTGCTGCGGCTTTCTGGAGTTCAGTCTCCATGGAGACAATCATTGGGGGCGCAGATTTTAATGGAGAGGGACCAGATACCCGGGGTGAATAGGGCAAGCCGTGTTCATGATCACTTAGGTTTGAGGTGCTGATGGTGAGGTTATGGGCGTTGTTGCTGACTCCGCTGGTTAGGGCATGGAAGGAGCGTCCGGGGGCCGAGTCTTGAGGCGTCATATTGTCATCGTCATCATCATCATCGTCGTCGTCGTCGTTGTCGTCAAGATTCGAGTGAAGGATTGAGGTCTCTGGATTGGCAACGCGATGATATTCGCCATTCTCACCCGGGCCGGACATATCTCCTTCCGAATCCAAGTTCGGGCTCGATTCCCAAACATTCCTTTGGGCTTCGGCGCGCATCTTCGAAATCTTCATATAATTGTAAGAGGCAATGCTGCCAATTGTAACAACCAACCCCGTGATATTGACCGCAGTTAGTTGGTCATGGAAGACAACGCCTGCCGCGCTAATCGTGACCACCTCTTTGAATATACCGCAGATACTCAGGGTGACGACAGATGAACGCTTGAGAAGGGCAAATTCGGACGATATCATACAGAATGCGAGCACTCCCGGGAAGATCAGGAGTATGATGCTAAACGTGGACCCATGGGCCTCAGAAAGAGCGCGAAGCCCAGCCATAATGTCGGTAGGACCTTCGATCGCCAAGGCAATGGTAATCAGAGAAATAAACATGACTGGTGTGAGAAAGAACAGGGTTGAGAATGGATTCGCGGTTGCTGGATGACGTAGGAGGAGAATCTGCGTCAATCCCCATCGAAACCCTGAAAAGAAAGCCGAGGCGATAACCAAAATGAAGCCCACGGTGTTAAAAGCAGCTTCCCCTGCCACCATCATGACAACGCCCAGGGTCATTAGGGCGATGATCACGATGAGTTTAACGGACGGTGTTTCGAGGCCAAAGACGAAAGCGAACAGGAGAACGAAAGCAAGGGCGGACGATTTGCACATGGTCAAGAACGTAAGGGTGATAAATTTGAGGGACATGTTGCCGAGTCCAATATCCAGAGAAGTTGCCGCACCACATGGAACCAGCCGCGTGAAGTAAAAGAACTTGGTAAGAATTGGTCTCGATTCGGATGTGTCGTGCCCGGTGGGGGAGCCGCCGGACGTTGACGTCGGAGGTTTAGGGCGGAGGGAGGGTATGAAGTAGAGGATAAGGGACGCCAGTGTGAATTGGACCAGCATATGCAAGCTAGTAGTGAAAAGAGGGTATGGGAAAACGACGTCGTCATCCGAGAACATCCATTTATTGTACTGCAAAGAGACGATTGCACTCGAGTTAGCATCACAGGCCAGGAAAGGGGTGCTTTTGGAACTCACGATGGATATTGACAGCGAGAAAAAGTACCATAACAGAATCAAACCTGCATTGACAAGGAGCCTTTGCAGGACTGTTCGATCTGCCATTCCGATGTTCCACGGGTCGTTGCGAGATGCTTTGACATCTGCGATACGGGCATCCAACTGTCTCCGCTGTTTTCGCCGTCGACGTCTCTGACGGCGCTGGCTTGCTGTGAGACCTGTTTCTTCATCATCCGGATAGTCGTCGTCCGAGCTCATAAAATTCATTTCCACGCTCTCCGCGATCGAGGAGAGATCAGAGACATCTGCATCGTCGGTAGGGGACGATTTTGGTTCTTCCCGTTTATGCCCAACGCCATCACCAACAGGCCTAAAGCCATCATCTCTCTGCTCGACGGGGATTTGCAGTGACGGTCCAGCATTGCCACTGGTCAACACAGAACTTCGCCGTCGATGGTGGCCGCCCCCGGAGGGCGGTAGAGCCATGGTAGTAGAAATCGAGCTAGGGTAACGAAAGGAGTCGGGATCAGAGGATGTTACGATGGAGGCGACTCCATCAATGCGATCACGGTAGGGGACCGGAGAGGGGAGCGCAGGGCGACTGGCAAGGCGTACCTAGAAAGTAGAAAGAAAGGAGAAAAAAAAAAAACAAAAAAGAAAAGAAAAGAAAAGAAAAAGAGATAATGCCTTTAAAGAGAGAAAGGAGCTGAAAGGAGCGGGAAAAATGGTGAGAAAAGGAGAGGGCGGTTGACTTGTCTAGCAGGAGAATTGAGGCACGCAGCAAATTGTCAATAACGCGGCACCATGCAGGAGAGCTCGAGTCAGCAAAGCCAAAGAACAGGAGAGGTATTGCGAAGGAGAGGAAGGATGGAAGAGAGAGAGAGAGAGAGAGAGAGAGAGAGCAGCAGGTAGGATGCAAGGGCGACCAGTGAGGAGTTGAGCAAGAGAGAAGAGAAAATAACAAAGAAAAGACCCTGTACAGCAGAGGGAAAAAGGAGTGGAAAGCCAGAAAGAAGGGTCAGTGTCCACAATTAATTAATTGTCTGCCAGTCAGGGTCCTGTCAGAAATGAAACTTTGACGAGCTTCTCGGGAATCCATCCAGGAGATGGTCTGGTCTGGTCGATTCGATCCGGGGTCGATTACTCTCTGACTGTGGAGATTTGGTTAACTCTCTCTCTCTCTCTCTCTGAATTTCTGAATTGTGTCCCTGAACTGCACTGACAGATATCAATCAGCAATACTCCACACATGCGTCGTGAAAGGCATGAAAAGCATTCCATATTCCGTCGTCCTGTCGAGTCCTTCGACGTCATCTCACCAACTCATAACTACCCAAGGTAATCGACGCTCAACCCAGATCGGAGTGGTGATTGGTCACATAATGCAGTCGCTCTGCCGGGGAACAGTAGGTACGCTATACTTGTTGGCAGCAGGGAAGTATGGGTGATTTGGATGCGCATCGTACAAGAGAGAGGTGGCTATAACGCGTTAGAGATATTCAGCACATTATTGTCGAGTAGATGTACGTTCTCCAGCAGAGAGAAAGGAGTGGGTTTAGGGAATATCTTGGTTCTTCTCTGTTATAAGGCTAGTAGGTGTGCTACACGATAGCCTGTCCCGGCTGGGTATCACGGAAGTGATTGTGGATATCTACGACCTCCTAAAAAATGTTGGAGGCTTTCACCAAGAGCTCTATCTGGGAGACAGGAAGAGCAAATAGAGATACATGGTCATCATTCATTGCGATTGTTCTAGATAAGTCTAGTACAGAAAACCTGAAGCCTAACTGCAGGCGCCTCTCCCGACGGCATCGATCATCGGATACCGAGTCTGAGACTCGGCTTGAGAGTGCTTGCCTATGCTATCAGATCGTCCCTGGATTTATTTAGTTGATCCCACCCAGCAGCCCCCTCCCCACCCACTCATAGTGGTTTGATCGATTGTGTGATTGTTTGAATTTCCTAACTATTTCACTAGCGCAGCCTACCTCCTGGACTGTGCTAGTACCTGTAGTTCAGTTCGGCGTTTATCGGAGCGTGCTCGGTCCCAAGGCTCAATGCGGAGCGCGCTGCTCCCGTCACCGTTTGCTTCCCTCGCCCATGGAACAGGTTAGGTGGCCCGAGATGGCAACGGGGAAGCTCAGGAGCGGTGCTTTCAACCGCCTTTGCGAGGCCCGGCTGTTCCAGGCCCGGGAGTCGGACTAGGGTTGGTGGATGCGCTCTTCGTCGACATGTTCGCGGAGCGAGCAGCAAAGGTATTTGCCGTTCCAATTGTGGCGCTGGCATTACGTAGCTCGATCTTTTTGCGTTCCATTTCAAGCTGTGTTTTTTTTTTTTTTTTTTTTTTTTTCTCTTGGTTAGCTGGCTGCCACATGCCCGACGATCATGCTCCATGTTCATCTGATGTTGAGCGGGGAAGAAAAAGTAAAACGTACCACCTTGCGTACACGGGTGAGGGCCGCTGTGTCACCTGCCACCAATGCCCGGCAGTCATCAACACGGTACGGAGGGGCAATGGCAACAGCATCTGCTACGATGATATTCGCCCCATCCCACCTTGCAGGCATGGTGCGGCTGAATGCATCGAAAATATCCTGGGCTTCTCGCGTGACTCCCTTACCGCGTTTCGCTTCGCCTTCCTGTAACTTGGCGACGGCGTTTGCCTCGCGAGCCTTCAAGGCACGGATATCAAGCGCATGCAGTGAGGGGACGGCATCGGAGAAGGATGTTGGTTCGCCGGAGGCGAGAGAGAGAATCTGGAAGGATTGTATCCGGGCGATAGGGATAATGCGATAATCCCCAGCCTGTGCCTTAGAATCGGCGATATTAAGAGCGACAAGGTTTGTAATTGGGCAGGCCGTAAAGAGTGTGCCCTCGATGGTAGACACGACTGGGTTCGTAGTGATGCGGACGCTGGAGCAACACACGGAGGTTAGATATTCAAGATGCAGAGTTATGGAAGCAAGGGTCGGCAGCCTTCTTCTTCTTCTTCTTCTTCTTCTTCTTCCTTTTTTTCTCTCTTTTTTCTCTCTCTCTCTCTCTCTTTCTTTTCAATCCGATAAAGTATCATCATGCGTGATGTTGATGGAGGGTCCAGGGGTGAGGTTCAAAGTAGCAGCTTACCGTGCACCGATTGCACCGCTCAATGCGGCTTCCAGAGGCACCATTGTACCCGCCATTCCCTGGGCAGCAGCACTGCCAGTTGGTTTGGGTGATGGTGATTTTATTCCCACGCCCTGGCGCTTGTTTTCGGGCATATGATGAAGGGTCTCTCGGGCTGTCGGAACCCTTCAATTCTGCCCAAGGAGGGAGAAGATTAAGACCAGCTGAGCCCACAATCCGGCGATCAGCCACGTTGTGTCGGAGACGGCAAAGAACCAAGAGAAAGCGACAGGAGGCAAAAGGCACCGTGTGAGTGTACACCCCTGAAGAGATTATCACAACCCAAGCTGCGACCCCTCGAAAAGTGCAACAAGGACCCAGTTGTTGCAAGCTCCGTCCACAGCAACTCTCGCTCGTAAATGACGGTCCGAGTCAGGTGACAGGAAATCGACGGGGAAGGTGGTAACTGTCCGAAAGGAGTTTAGTCTCAGCGGAGAGAAAAATTACTTTTGTTAGTATGAATTCTTAGATACACGCACTCTCTCTCTATATATACGGAGTATACAGAAACCTGTATACGGAGTGCTCGCCGAGTACCTGTGCCTGAGGAAAGACACCTGGTTGTCCTCCTTCGAAATCCCATTGAGTAATACCAGTCATATCATTGAATATCTTCATAAGGAAATAAAGCATCTAAATACATCGAGGAATCAAACTCCCGGCGGTTTGAGCTTTTTGAAAATTGGCCATTATCATTCCATACATCCTAGGAGAGGCTTCACCGGTCTCTCTCTCCCCCTTTACCGGGTCCGATTAAGTCAATATGCTTGGCCCAGGAGAAGCGTCACGTCCAGCGCAGTGCATCACAGTCCCAAATTAAACAACGTAGGTCGAGGCAGACACGTCACCTCCGCGGCCAGTCCAGTTAACGTGGATGTCCTGGCCCTCGGGGTGCTTCGCGCTGGCGTACTCGGGCTTAACGCGGAAGGTGTGGGCACCGAAGTAGTCACGCTGAGCCTGCAGCAAGTTGGCGGGGAGGTTCTGGGTGCGGTAGCCATCGTAGAAACTGAGAGCCGTGCTGAAGGCAGGGGTGGGGATACCCCAGAGAGCACCCTTGCTGACAACGTTTCTCCAGCCCTTCTGAGCGTCGTGGATGGCCTTGTTGAAGAAGTCGCTGAAGAGAAGGTTCTCGAGGTCGGGGTTCGCACGGTAGGCGTTGGTGATGTCCTTCAGGAAAACGGAACGGATGATGCAGCCACCACGCCACATGAGGGCAATGGAGGGCTTGTTCAGCTTCCAGCCATACTCCTTGGCAGCCTACACGGTTCCACAGGTTAGTTCTCGTCTCTAGGGCGCGAACGGAGCAAGCGCGACTTACGTTCTGCATGAGCATGAAGCCCTGAGCGTAGGAGATGATCTTGGAGGCATACAGGGCCTGCTCGAGGTCATCAATGAACTCCTGCTTGTTGCCGGTGTATTCGGGAGTGGGGCCCTGGAGAAGGCTGCTGGCGCGGGTGCGCTCATCCTTGATGGCAGAAAGGCAGCGAGAGAAGACAGCCTCGCCGATCAGGGTGACGGGCATGCCCAGGTCAAGAGCGTTGATCGCGGTCCACTTTCCAGTTCCCTTCTGACCGGCCTTGTCGAGGATCTTCTCGACCATGGGGACGCCATCCTCGTCGTTGTAGTAAAGGATGTCACGGGTAATTTCAATGAGGAAGGAGTCCAGAACACCGGTGTTCCACTTGGCGAAAACATCGGCGATTTCCTTGACAGACAGGCCAAGACCACGCTTGAGGATGTCATAAGCCTAAAATCGGGGGGGCGTTAGTTCCATTCTCCCCGCCGACCCTACCGATGCACTGAATCGAGGGAAAAGCTTACCTCGCAAATCAGTTGCATGTCACCGTACTCAATACCGTTGTGAACCATCTTGACGTAGTGGCCAGCACCCTCATCACCGACCCAGTCGCAGCAGGCCTCACCATCGCTCTTGGCAGCAATGCTCTGGAAGATATCCTTGATGTGGGGCCAGGCGGCCTCGTTACCACCAGGCATCAGCGAGGGGCCGTAACGAGCACCCTCCTCACCACCAGAGACACCGCTGCCAACGAAGGCGATACCCTTCTCCTTCAGATACTTGGTACGGCGGTTGCTGTCGGGGAAGTGGGAGTTACCACCATCAATGATGATATCACCCTCCTCAAGGTAAGGCAGGAGAGCCTCAATGAAGTCATCGACGGGCTTTCCAGCCATGACGAGGAGCATGACACGACGGGGGCGCTTGAGCTTGGAGCAGAACTCCTCGATGGAGTGAGCACCGACAATGGACTTGCCTAAGGGGAGGGGAGGGGGGTTTCGTTAGCCAGGCTGAGTCGGATGATTCCCAATTTTCTTTTTCTCTCGGAAAGGATTCTTACCCTTAGCCTCATTGGCAAGGAAACGGTCAACCTTGGAGGTAGTGCGGTTGAAAGCACAGACAGTGAAACCGTGATCAGCAGCGTTGAGGATCAGGTTCTGGCCCATAACGGCCAGACCGATGAGACCGAAATCAGCACTAGGGGGAATTGGCGCAGACAAGCCAGCAGAGATGCCAGCCAGACGAGCGCTGTATGTTAGTTTCGATGTCAATCAGGGAGTGGGAAGTAATTGGGGATGGGATCTGCTGCAAGTGTCTGCAAGTCTTTGCAGGTCCCATCCCGGTGACGATCCAGAGGACTGAACCCGAAAGGAAGATATGAATGGTAGAAGGAAAGGGGGCTGCAGAGGTACTTACACAGCGGTCATGATGAAATCTGGTGGGGGGGTAAGGAGGGGAAAGAAAGAAGCTCTAGACAAGAATCAAATGAGGAATTAGAAGCGTGCGGAGGAACGTAGAGTATATAAGGGTTGGGGAGTACCTAGAAATAAGAAAGGAGATGGATGGAATCGGGGGGAAACGAGGAGGGGATGGAGAAGGAACGGTAATAATAAAAGAAGACGAAGCTCTTCGGACTTCCAAGATGTCAGTCGGTCCGCATGATTATTCGTGGGCTTCCGTCATGGTGGGACAAAAGCAGGGGCGGGGCAGCATTGAGGAGCAGAGTAGTCCGACTTATATCATTCCTTCCTTCATTTAGGAGTTTTGAGTGATTTATTGCGGGTTTTTTTTTCATTTCTAAACTTGGCTATCTGATATTCTATATAGAATCCTTCCCTTCACATTCCTTGATTTCATCCAATGCGGTGTTGAAGGGTACAAGAGAGAGAGAGGGAGAGAGAGAGGATGGATTCCTGCTGCAATGGCGGGGCAGATGGAGGGGCAATTTACTCGTCAACGTTGGAACTTGGACCCGAGAAATTTATTCCTAGAACGCCTTCGGTGAAGGACAGACTGTAAATTAGACCGGATCAATTCTTGCGAGTTCTTCCTATAATCAAAATGTAATTCTTAGGGAATCCCCTCTTCGGATGTTGGTCAGATCAGGCTTTTCTTGGTCAGGTTTGGCTAAGCTGGGGGTGAGACGTTCCCCATGCTGAGCGTCTGGCTTGTCGGTCCAGCCCAGATATGATATGATATATACAGAGAGGACAATGATCAGGATCACGATCTCCCTGGGCTAGACATACTAGAATACTCATGCTCATCCTTCAATGCCTGCATCTTCATCAGAGCCGAGTAGGGTAGGTCGGCTACTGAATTTCCTAAAGTGGAATAGAGTGGGGGTTCCTTTTCAATTGCCTCAGGCTGATGGTCACATGCCACGCTAGTCTATTTTAGTCTGAGGCACGAAATTGGATTAGTCACCGATCGTGCCTAGACCGCCCTATCACATGATCTGGCGCTAGGCCTAGATCGGCGGCGGACTACGGGAGGCGGCAGGGTCCCTGTGCGTTTTTTCCCATCTCCGGGTTGGAGAACTTCATGTCTACTACTCCATAGTTACTACTCCTACCTACTCACTCTTCCTCCACCTATCCTCTATCCGGTACCATAGTTGGCTGCGTGTTGGGAAATATCTGCATCCTCCTCACATCTAGCCGACTTTCTTCACTCCAAGTCAACCCACAAGTGCGCCTCTATTGGCCTATCCTGGAAGATCTCTTCCCCCATCATCTACGCGACCAACCTCTTCTCTCTCCCTCTTTCTCTCTCTCTCCACACTATTGCGGCGGCGCACTCATAATCCCCTTCGTTTCCGCGGTATAACTTAGATTCAGACTCTTTTTTTTTTCAGGTGTGACGTCTGGCGTATGACTGCTGCGTCAGTCCGGCCCTGAAGGTACGTGTCTGCATACGGCGCATTACATTGTTCTATCGCCCCTTCTTTTTCTTCGATCTCTCCATTCATCATGTCCTTCCCGCCACCTCCAGGTCTTCAGCAAACGCCCGCATCGCTGCCTCCGCGACCCCCACCATCTGCCACCCTCAATAAACCATCGGGTGGCGCCAGCAGTGGGTATGGCGGAAATGCCCCCCGGGCCGGCTACAATGGTGTCACGGCCTTTCAACCGCGCTCCGTAGCGTCGCACCAGTCTTATCGCACCAGCAGCCCCGTCGTTTCCGCTCCACCCAGCACATCGGCTGGCTATTCAAACCCAACTGCCCCCGCGGGCTATGGCGGTTACTACTCCCAGCCGCAGGCGCAGCAATCCTACCAGCGGGGACCTTCTTCCTCTTACTACGGAGCCACACCGTACAATGACCACACCACCTATGGGGCCTCGGTACCCCAGATCCAGAACCCGTTTACCCCTGCGGGAGCCGATCCGTCCCACCGGTCGGGCCTCGACGCGGAAACCGAAGCCCAGATTGCGCAATGGCAGAGCGCCTACGCCAGCAAAGAGGAACTGTTGGCTCCCGGGAAAGGCCCCGTGCGTCGAGATGGAAATTCTGGAACTCCCGTCGGGGGGGGCGCATACACGCCTTCCGCCAGTACCCCCGCAGCCACCACCCCCGCGCCGATGGCCGGGCAAGCCGAGCCGTCGCTGAAGACGGTTGCGCGTTCGGGGGGAGGGCAGAACTGGACCGATTCGACGTTGCTCGAGTGGGACCCGGCGCATTTCCGGCTTTTCGTGGGCAACCTCGCGGGCGAGGTGACGGATGATTCGTTATTGAAAGCCTTCTCCAAGTATACGTCCCTTCAGAAGGCGCGGGTGATCCGGGACAAGCGCACGCAGAAGAGCAAGGGGTATGGCTTTGTGAGTTTCCGGGACGGCGACGATTATTTCAAGGCGGCGCGAGAGATGCAGGGGAAGTATATCGGGTCGCACCCGGTGCTTCTCCGGCGCGCCACCACGGAGATCCGGGAAGTGTCCAACTCGAAGTCGAAGAAACATGGCGGTCGCGGCGGTGGATCGAATGGGGGGGCCGTTGGCGGCAAGGTCAAGCACGACGGAATCAAAAAGGCCGGCAAGACGAGGGGGGGGTTGAGAATTCTGGGATAAGCACTCTACTAATAAGCTTCACGGCAAAAAAAAAAGATATGGATGCATGTATATGCTAGACATTTCCAATTTATTGATCCGAAACCCAGACGGAAAACCGATGATGAGATAGTATCGTCTGATATGATATGACATGGAGAAAACGAATATACACAACCCAACGCCAATCCGCCCATCCTTGAGATAAAAATGAACCAGAGAAGAAGAAAATAAAAATAAAAATAAGGATCATCATCAAGAGGTCATCAATCATATACTAGTACGGAGTATCCAGCGGTATATTTCGTCTGCCAGGTGAAAAAAAAAAACCGACATGTTCGGTCGTAGATGAGATATAAGACGACTCCATCACATCGTGGTGCGTCAGGACGAGAAGGAGAAGGAGAAGGTAAACGTGAATGCATCGCTGGATAGCGGGATCATGTTTCAATAATTCGTAGTGGGTTTCGAGTCGAGTCGAGTCGAGGAGTAGGCAGTCAGGTCGTTTTCGTAAGTATATATATATATGTCTGTATATATATGCGGGTATCATGGATGAATGGACATGAAAATAATAGATCGGAAGATAGAGAAAGAGAGAAAGAGAGAGAGAGAGAATTAACCATCTGCACTCTCCTCGTCAACAGCCTTTCGCCTCGCAAAGAAAGACACCTGATGCTGCTTCATCCAGATCGAAATCCCAGCGATAATCAGAAGAATAAAGAAGATGATCAGGATCACGGCAATGGTCATATTCCGCAACATGGCGGGCAGATTGTTGGATTGAATGTGGACTCGTTAGATAGGGATCAGAGGTCTTGGGAATTAATTCGAGAGTTGGTAGAAGTAGAAAAGAAGAGAGAGAGAGCGAGCTTCAAATATAAGAAGGGAGGATGAACCTGTGAGGTGGTTTTCCTGCTTTCCCAGCCATCTTGAATTGATTGGGTACCGAATCTGACGAAGATGAAGCTATCCAGCCTCCGCATTTTGGGCCTATCAGTTTCTGCTGCGATTCCTTTTACTCCGTACAACTCGGTATAACTAGATATAGGTAAGTATTAGAATTGAGCTACTCTGGACAAGTTTACTATCTGTCAGGTACGCATTCTATATATGCATCAATGCAGTATCTTACACCAAAGGCAGAATCTCATCCTGGATACAACTTCAGTAGGTTTTATTCGGTGCAATCCTCTTTATCCAGGTGACTTCATAATGACTGCATCAGTGATTGCGTTCAGGCGACGGTCGCATATCCAAACTCCGTCCGACCTACATTCCCTTCAAGCTTTCTCTTATATGACATTTACACCTCGTCAATGCATCGGAGTCTCGGCTGCTTCATATCCGACTTCTTGATCCCTTTCCGACCGATCAACGCCGCCGATTTGTCGTCGGTTGTTCCATCATTCGCAAAAGCTGGGCCGTCCCAAGGTAAACTTGAGCTACCTGATATCAAGTCCGCCGCTCGGGGTTAAGGGAAGAGTAGAAAAATGCCATCGTGCTTGATTTCAAATCCTACCCCGATGGAAGGCCTTTCATCAGTAGCAACACTGATCTATCACAATGGGAAACGATGACTCTCTCGATGGGTTACGCGAGGACCTGGACCACACTCCCACGCGGTCAGGGGAATCAATCGTAGATGCAGCCTCGGTCGCGTCATCTAGCTCTCACTCGGAGCAGGAGCAGGAGCAGACGTTCTCCCCTATTCAGAGCCGGCCGCTCAATGAGCCCCGTGAACGCGTTTCCATTCGACGACGACTTACCGAGGATGACATTGCACATGGCCTCTCACACAGACGAACAACTTCGATGCAGAGCACGGGGCAAACGGAGGACATGGACCAGATCGTAAAGCTGGTTTCGAGAATGTTTGGCCACGAGAGGAAAGCCAACTCGAACGAGGAAAAGACACGGCACCTGGGGGTGGTGTGGAAACATATGACCGTGAAAGGGGTTGGTCTTGGTGCTGCCCTGCAACCGACAAATGCGGATATCTTCCTGGCATTGACCAGGCTGATTAAACGCATCTTGACTCGAGGTAGGAGAGGCGCGGGTGCAGGGCAGACCCCTCTAAGGACTATTCTCGATGACTTTACCGTATGTGTGTCACCCAACGGACTGGTCTCGAATCGAACTAACTCTCTTGCCTTGGTAGGGCTGCGTACGGCCAGGGGAAATGCTTCTGGTTCTTGGAAGGCCGGGGTCTGGGTGTTCAACATTCTTGAAGGCCATTGGGAACCAACGCTCCGGCTACAAAAGTGTGGACGGAGATATACACTATGGTGGAACCGATGCAAATACCATGGCAGACAACTACCGCTCGGAAGGTACAATTACACATATACCTATAGATAGATCATACTACCTACGTTATCCACTCCCGGAAAGTGTGCACACTAACAGAGTAACTAGTGCTCTACAACCCTGAAGAAGATCTCCATTACGCCACACTGACCGTGCGAGAGACTTTAATGTTCGCGCTGAAATCACGAACCCCAGATAAGGCCTCGCGTCTCCCAGGCGAAACCCAAGAGGAATATCAAAGGACATTTTTGTCCACAATCGCCAAACTGTTTTGGATTGAGCACGCCCTTGGGACCAAGGTTGGTGACGAACTGGTTCGAGGAGTGTCGGGAGGGGAGAAGAAGCGCGTTTCAATAGGAGAGGCCCTGGTTACCAAGGCTAGCACGCAATGTTGGGACAATTCAACCAGAGGCCTTGATGCAAGCACTGCTTCTGAGTACGTTCGGAGTCTGCGGAGCTTGACTAACATGGCCCACGTGTCTACTCTCGTCGCTCTCTACCAAGCATCTGAGCATCTCTATCGGCAATTTGACAAAGTCCTGTTGATCGAGGAAGGCAAGTGCGCATATTTTGGCCGTTCGGAAAACGCAAGAGCCTATTTCGAGCGGCTTGGCTTCGAATGTCCTCCACGATGGACAACCCCCGACTTCCTCACGTCCATCAGTGATCCGCATGCTCGTCGCGTGCGAAAGGGGTGGGAAGACCGTATACCGCGGTCCGCAGCAGACTTCCAACAGGCATATTGCAAGAGTGATAGGTACAAAGAGGCACTTGACGACATCGATGATTTTGAGAAAGAGCTCGAGCACCACGAAGAAGAACGGCAGGTCGCTCGGAGAGGCTCCTCGAAGAAAAACTACACCGTTCCATTCCATAAGCAAGTGCTCATCCTCACCGAAAGGCAGTTCCGGATCATGTATGGAGACCGGCAGACGCTCATTGGAAAATGGTCGATTCTCGTTTTTCAAGCCCTGATCGTTGGAAGTCTCTTTTACAACCTTCAGCCTACTAGGTCAGTCAGTCAGATGGTGTGCCTATCATTTTTGAAGTCCATATAATAATCTGATGGTGAATAGCGCCGGCGTTTTTACGAGAGGAGGAGTCATGTTCTTTGTGCTCCTTTTTAATTCTTTACTAGCACTGGCCGAACTTACAATGGTTTTCCACCATCGCCCAGTGATGTTGAAACATAAGAGCTTGTATGAAGGATGTTTTTTCCCCATCGATTTAGGATCACACTAACTGCGATAGTTCCTTCTATCGTCCTTCTGCCTATGCCTTGGCCCAGGTAGTTGTCGACGTGCCGATAATCTTCATCCAGGTCACTCTTTTTGAACTGATTGTATATTTGTAGGTGTTGTTGGGCCACAGTTTGGCTACCGTCGCTGATCTGTTTCTATAGCATGGCCAATCTCGCACGGACACCGTCTCAATTTTTCATCAACTTCTTGTTCATATTTCTCCTGACGATGACTATGTATTCATTCTTCCGAACAATTGGATCATTAAGCACCTCACTCGATGTTGGTACGTTGACTTTGTTCCAGTCTTCTTGCACACCTGTTGTTGACCTCTTATCAAGCTACCCGGGTTACCGGAGTTTCCATCCAGGCCCTTATTGTCTACACGGGTGAGGACAGTCAAGTCTCGTAAATCGAAGTAGCATCTGACTGATATCGACTTAGGATACCTCATCCCACCGTGGAAAATGCACCCCTGGTTGAAGTGGCTAATCTGGATTAATCCGGTTCAGTATGCCTTCGAGGGAGTCATGTCTAACGAGTTTTACAACTTGAACATTCAATGCGAACCACCAAGTATTGTTCCCTATGGACCCGGTGCCGTACCTGGTCACCAAAGCTGCACCATCCAGGGCAGTACTCCTGATCAGCTCGTGGTTCAGGGATCGAACTACATCCGAACCGCCTATACCTATAGCCGATCTCACCTGTGGCGTAATATTGGCATCATCGTGGCCTGGCTCATATTCTTTATTATCTTAACTATGATAGGGATGGAACTGCAAAAGCCAAATAAAGGCGGAAGTGCCGTAACTATATTTAAGAGAGGAGAAGCACCCAAAGCAGGGGAGGGATCTGTCAAGCAAAAGGAGATCCCGAGCGACATTGAGGCCGCGTCGAATGGGATTTCTAGCAGCACGGACGTGTCCCAGGATTCCCCAGGGAAAGTTGACGGCATAGCGCGGAGCACATCCATCTTCACCTTCCAGCATGTCAACTACACAATCCCTGTTCATGGGGGCAAGAAACAGCTCCTGCGAGAGGTGCAGGGGGTTGTAAAACCTGGTCGTCTTACCGCGCTTGTTGGCGCATCTGGTGCTGGGTGAGTAGAGGTGCTACGGTTTCGGGATTGTGCTAACGTTTTCCAGAAAAACTACTCTTCTCAATGCACTGGCTCAACGGTTAAACTTTGGAGTTATCACGGGTGATTTCCTTGTTGATGGGAAGCCATTGCCCAAGAGTTTCCAGAGAGCTACGGGATTTGCTGAGCAGATGGATATTCACGAGCCAACTGCAACCGTGAGAGAGTCTCTCCGATTTTCAGCTCTTCTTCGTCAGCCAAAAGAGGTCCCGATTCAGGAGAAATATGACTATTGCGAGAAAATCATCGATCTGCTTGAAATGAGGCAAATTGCGGGCGCTACAGTGGGTGCTGCTGGGGGCTCGGGCTTAAACCAAGAACAACGCAAAAGACTCACAATTGCGGTAGAGCTCGCGAGCAAGCCATCCTTGCTTCTATTTCTAGATGAACCAACGTCGGGTCTGGACTCCCTGGCAGCTTTTAATATTGTCCGTTTCCTTCGGCGGCTCGCCAATGCTGGACAGGCCATTCTTTGCACAATCCATCAACCCTCGGCAGTTCTGTTTGAAGAGTTTGATGACCTCCTTCTGCTCCAGAGCGGGGGGCGAACTGTATACCATGGCAAATTAGGGCATGATTCCTCTCAACTTATTGGCTATTTCGAGCGAAACGGAGCGAAACAATGCCCTCCCGATGCAAACCCTGCAGAGGTATTCAGCTCTCCCATGGGGTGTTTTTTTTTTTTCCTCATGCATATCTAACTGAAATATAGTATATGCTCGAAGTCATTGGTGCTGGAAATCCCGACTATAGTGGGCAAGATTGGGCCGATGTGTGGGAAGATTCTCCCGAGCGTAAACAGCTTTCGGACGAGATTAAGGACATCATTGAGACTCATCGAACCGTCAACAAGGAAACTCAAACCAGCGCGGAGGACGACCGCGAATATGCCATGCCTATCTGGGTTCAGACCTGGGCAGTTACCCAGCGTTCGTTCATCGCATATTGGAGGACTCCAGAATATAATATCGTGCGTTGTCTGTGGCTTAGAAGGTTCTACTCTACCTGCATCTGATCTGACGTTCATATAGGGGAAATTTATGCTTCATATCTTCACAGGGCTTTTCAATACGTTTACATTCTGGCACCTCGAAGACAGCTACATTGACATGCAATCACGGCTGTTCTCCATTTTCATGACCCTGACTATTTGTCCTCCCCTCATCCAGCAGCTACAACCACGCTTCCTCCACTTCCGCAGTCTTTACGAATCTCGCGAAGCCAACTCCAAGGTCTACTCGTGGGCAGCCTTTGTGACAAGCGCTGTCCTCCCAGAACTCCCATACTCCCTCGTTGCGGGCACCATTTACTTCAACTGCTGGTAAGGCCGTCCCCCAAACCGGCAAATGTTCTTTGCCTGTTTAATAAGGTTGGAAATCTAGGTACTGGGGCGTTTGGTTCCCTCGAAACTCCTTCAGCGCGGGCTATGTGTGGATGCTCCTCATGCTCTTTGAAATGTTCTACGTCGGCTTCGGTCAATTTATCGCTGCCTTCTCCCCCAACCCGCTGCTTGCCTCCCTCCTCGTTCCCTGCTTCTTCACCTTCATTGTCGCCTTCTGTGGCGTTGTCGTTCCCTACTTCGCCCTCCCTGATTTCTGGCGCTCCTGGATGTACTGGCTCTCCCCGTTCCATTACCTCGTCGAGGGTTTCCTCGGCGTTGTCATCCACGATGTGCCAGTTCGCTGTGTTCCACGCGAAGAAGCTCTCTTCACGCCTCCTTCGAACCTGACCTGTCAGCAGTACGCGGGACCCTTTGCAGCGCATGCACCAGGATACGTCGAAAACGCAGCGAATGGGATGTGCTCTTACTGTCAATATTCCAACGGCGATGAATTTGTACGCCCCTCCTGCTTTTCGGGCTTTCTACGCATTCAATTACTAACATGTATACCAGGGCGCCAGTTTCAACATCTTCTACAAACACAAATGGCGCAACTATGTATGTTCCCTCCATCCCCACCACCCACCCATCATAACAAGATGAGCTAATTCTCCACACCAGGGAATCTTCTGGGCCTACGTGCTGTTCAACTTTACCGCCGTGTTTTTCTTCTCCTGGTTATATCTGCACGGTGCCAGAGACATCAAGCGCTGGGTTAGTGCACGCCGAACAAGGAGAGCGGAGAGCAGGGAAGAAGACGACCTCTCTTCTCTTCACTACTAGTTAGTAGGTAAAAGGTACAGTAAATAAGCCCAGCCCGCAGTCCAGACCGTAAGTCGCGGTTGTCCCTGCGCCAATCATATCTTCAGCACCTTGTCTCTTTCCCCCTTTTTCTATTTGATTTTAGCATAGTTAGTTCTTGCGGTACTTGCCGATTTCGTTCTGGGGCATCTTTGCTCTTCGCTGTATTTGTACTATAGTTTCTTTTATCTCTTATACATATGTATCATTATCTATACGGTAGGTAGGAGGTAGGTATGACCTGGGCCAGGGCGAGCTTGCTTGAAGAAATCTATTGTATTAATGAATGCTGGTTGTGTTATGTAGGTACGTTTTGTATCCATTTCAATGTATTCTACTGAGGTGTACAGAGATATCATGGAACAGTATATATATATATACCTCGCGATATCCTGATTAATCTAATCTGTACACTTACTGACAGATCAATGTTCTAGCTAGGATTCATTTAAAATTTGCTAACAAGAAGAAGCACAGTTCGTTACTCTAGCAGATCTGAATTATTTCCATGCTGATTATTACTAAGTAGACTTTTATAGTTAGTTAGTTAGTTAGGTAGTTAGTTAGGTAGTTAACTAGGTATGTACAGCGAATGCAAAAGTCCAGACGGAATACAATGGCTAATGCAAATAGTACCAAGGCAGTGAATGGGTGCCTCCTTTCCTATGCGGGGGTCCAGAACCAAAAAGAAAAAAAAAATTAAGTAAATGAATAGCCAAGTCAAGTAATATTTGCATTCATGTATGTTTAGCCGGTTGAGGAGGGGGGTATCGGTGCAACTGGGGCGGAGAGATTCGAGACCATCATAGACTGTTGGTGTGGTTGTTGTTGTTGTTGTTGTTGTTGTTGACCGTTCCAGGTAGAAGAAGTAGGAGTGGAGGAGATAGGACCGCCTGAATTAGACGAGCTGTTGGGAGTTTCATCGGTTGGGTTTGGCGTGGTATCTATGTGGCGACCATTCATGAGACGCTGCCGCTTCGCCTGGGGACCTGAATTGGGGCTTTGGTTTGGGTCCTGTGAGTGGTAGGGTGAAGGGTGCTGGCTTGGGGGAGCTGAGTTCCCTGTCTGCGAGGGTGACTGGCCAGGACTGAGAGTGGATGGAGGTTGCAGTATCCTTGATTTCGAGAAGTCCTCACCACCTCTTGGTTTCGCATCTGCGTTGTCGTTGTTGGGGATGGGCTCTTCCACCACAGGATTGATGTACCCGACGCCCACACGACCCATGCTCCGATCGTGCATGATAACTCGTTTCCATTTCGCGACGACGTTGTCATAGTCCCAGCGAGAAGAGCTGGGGCTGACTTGGCTTTCTTTGGCGTCGAGTTCTCGGGCCACGTCGCGCGGAAGGGGAAGGGTATCGGGAGGGAAAAGCGCAAATTCTCGCGGCCACTGGCAGGAGCCCAGTTTCTCGACCTGGGATCGGAGTTGGTTTGCCTCTTGCTGGACCCGCGCGAGTTGGTCATCCAGCGACTTCCGTTTCTCGGCCTCACGGGCAAATGCGCGCATGATTTCAAGCTGCCATGCGTCCTTTTTCATTTCCTGCGGAAGCGATGCCCAGTGCTTGAACGCCAGTTCGAGGTGTCGCAGGCTCATGTCCTCGTGCTGTTGCGCGTTTCTACTGATCATGCCCAAATCTAAGCCGAGATTGGACCGCCCGGGTTGGGACGAGGTCGTAGACTCAGCCGAAAGCTGGTCGGACTGCCACTGCTCAATCTTCGCGCGAATAGCTTGGCGCACGATGTCCAGATGCTCTGCTCCGGGAGGGCTGAGAGGGAAAGAGGAAGGGGAAGGGAACGGATTGGGAGCGAAAAGAGTCGGCGGGGGAGGCAGCAACAGGAAACAGAGGGAGGGAAATGTTTGAACCTGAATGTCGAAGTCGAATGGAGAGAGTCGAGGTCGCGTTCTCGATCTAAAACCGTGGAAGACTGGTTAGCACCCCGACGCTGGTGCTCCGGCGTACCGGAGACAAGATGGGGAAACATACGTTGCAGCTTTAATATTATCCAGGACCTCGCGCAGCGCCAACTCTAGCGCTCTCACGGTATCTGGGTTATTTGCGCCAGAACCGCGGCTTCCATACTCGGGCAAAGTAAGAGATCCAACGCGGGATTGGGAAGACACGAAGCGCGACGACCTGGAGTCCTGCGATTGGGTTGGATTGGGAATGTCATTGATCACGCCGGTCGCATGCCATGTCGGGGTGTTGAACATCATCCTGACGGGGCCATCGCGAGGCTTCCCACTGGATTCACTCGCATGGAATGGGTCCAGCTGGCCTTTACCCAGACCACGCTCGGGAGTGTCCCGCTTGCCAGAGGAGGTACGGGCCTGCCGTCGAGTGATGCCACTGCGTATGCGCCGGATTTCCTCCACATCATGAACCCCGTCGGGCTTCTTCTTGAAGAGGAATTGGTCAAGGTGACGGCCGAGGGAGGACGAGGTAAAGGCCTGGTGACAATACTGGCATTTCCGGTCCTTCAGGGCGGGGTTTTTCGAGCCAAGCTGGCCCAGGGTGTCATCTCCTGCACTAGTATCATCAGGAGTCTCTGACGGGCGGGCAGACGCGCTTTCTTCCATGGTTGCACAAAGACGCGAGGGTGCTGTCGGTCGGGGAAGCTAGGTATACGGGGGGTGAAACTTGGGGGGGGGGGGAAACGCGTGGAGCTGAAACAGTAGAAGGGGCGGTAAGCTTCGAGCGATTCTGCAGCTGAATCAATGCATGGTAGAAGACGTCGGTGTGTGTGTGTGTGTGTGCGTGGGTATGTTGGCAGGTGGGAACTTGGGTCGACCCGAATTCGGAGAGCCCACTTGAAGTACGGGGAAATAGATTAGAAAGGAGAGGATGGAGGGGAGAAATTCAAAGAGATGGTAGAGAAACAAAGGAGAGAAGAAAAGAAAAGAGAGAGAGAGAGAAGTGATGATGATGAGAGAGAGAGAGAGAGAAGAAGAAGAAGAAGTTGGAGAACGTGACAATCGCTGAAGAAAAAAGCGTCGCCAAACTTTCCCAAATCTCCAGGCTGACTCCAGCATATATCTCTGTATATATAGGTATAAATATGGATATTTATATTTAAGATATGCTACAATGGATCTAGACAGCTTTCTTTTCTTCGTTTACCTGAATTCAACTCTCATCTTGATTCGTTATTATCCGAGAATGTGTGGCTGGTATAGAGAGAGAGATCTCACACTACAAGTGACACATTCTATGCATATCTGGAGATCGGATAGTCTGGAAATGATTTCCCGTCATGATTTGACTTCAAGGAGTATATCTGAGAGACATCCTATCCTATCCTATACAAAAATAATGTTGCCTGGCCGGGCCATGGCTCTAAAGCGACGGCGCTTGAGTCAGCCGCATATATAACTAACTAACTAACCACGGAGTAACTAGCTAGTTAACTAACCGCAGCCTCATCCGTTCAGAGAATTGAGGATATTCTGACCCCCTAATTCCTTCATCCAGGTGCTTGAAAGATCCCCATGTCTCGGTTTCTGGATATCCCGCTCGAGCTTCGAGAGCTCATCATCGCCCGTGTGCTCTATTCGTCGACGGACCCGCCTTCAACTGCTCTGGAATTGAATGGACAGGAGTATTATGATCTGAATTATTCGGCGTGGGTTAGCAGCGGGACCCATGTGTATTATACGCAGCAGGACATGCCCAGCTCTTCAAAGTGTCTGTCTCTTCTTCTGACCAACCGTCAACTCTCGACCGAGACTCGAGCGGTCCTTGAACGCAGAAAACTCGACTACATCGTGGACATTTCCGTCAAGAATGAGTTAGACCTCTTCCTGACGTGGCAGTCGGTGCCGTGTCTGTCAACCCATATATCGACCCTCTACACAAATGTGCGACTTTTTGGGCCCATCATCGACAGTCGCACGATCCAGGGACAACTCGGCGATGGTGGCCGGAGAGGCTTTCACTGGTCCTTCTATGCGGCTCTGGAACGATTTCTTCGCTACGGGCCTGTCGGATATCGTAAAGACCTGCAGGAATTTGAGGGGCGGAACATGCTCATCGATACGCTCGTGATGGACTTCCAGTCTGCAGACCTGGAACTGACCTTCCCGCCAGACAATGTCACCTTCAGACATTGGTCAGACCGCCACAACGGCTCTGATCGCTGGAGAAACTCGGGCGAAATCTCAAAGACCTTGTCATCATACAAGCCGCGCCCGGAGTGGCTCTGTAATTATCTTCACGGGTGGATAGATAGTCTTCTTACCATGAGCTATCATGTCTCCCTTTTCGGGATGCCTCTATATGAGCATATCGGAAGTATCCAGATGCTGGTTGATGGACGACGGCAATTTGAAATCGACCTTGCCAGTAAGCTAGCTGACCTCAGTTTCACCGATCCAAGGAGCATGATGGGCCATCTACAAGCGGGGGATAGGGAAACAGGATTTTGGAAATGGAAAAGGGAAACCTTACTGAGAAGGGAGGCTCAAGGTTTCCCTGTGATATCACCAGCTAGGGAATGAAACATCCGCTGCCACAGTATAGAATACAAGGAACGAGATCTTTTTTTAGAGGACGATATCAAGATTTGTTTTGGGTAGGCGGTATAGAATGCGGTCTGATGGGCGATGTTTTCTGCCGGGGTTTCCAGCAAGAACCAAAAGAAGAAGAAAAGAAACAATTGAATCGCACACATCTTTAACATGGCACATATTACAAGTCTCAACGCCCATGAATATCCTCCAGAGCCTGTTCGGCTCCAGTACAAAAAGTACCAGGGAATCTCCCTGTCAGAGATAGACACGGATCCTGGTATTCTTGATCTCCAAGCGTTGGACCCCGATCATCTTCCCAGGGAATTTTCCATAGAACGATGGATGACAAGCGAAGGTCTTCAGTCCACATACAACCGGTTCGTGGGTTGCAGCCAACAGGACGTAAGAGTCCCCAGTCGAAGGATCCCAGTCTTGACCCATAAATCTGTTTCTGGTGAGTGTCGAGTGTCGAGTGGCTCGGAGGAGGAAGTGCGGGTAGGCAATCCTGACAACAGATACATAGGTCTTCTGATGATTCCGTCCTTGCTTCCACCGGCGGTGCAAGTTGAATTGCTCTCCCGTTTATTCCATCGGGACTTATCCAACAGTGAGCACCAGACCAATCTTCATCTCCACTACAAAATTACATACCCTATGCAGAAAGGTGGAGTGAAAGAGGATCGTGATGGAACTTCTCCCCAGCCAGATTCTCGGTCTTTCTTCGAGGATGATCCCGCTCGCATTCTATCCCCCAGAGACCCGACCGTACACAAACCGCTTACTGTCCAAACTATGCTCAATAAAAAACTCAGATGGGTCACCCTGGGGGGCCAGTACGACTGGACGGCTAAAGTCTACCCACCGGAGCAGCCTCCGACCTTCCCAGAGGACGTCGCAAATCTCCTTCGAGCCGCCTTCCCCAAGACGGAGGCGGAAGCCGCCATTTTGAACGTCTACTCTCCAGGAAATACTCTCAGCCCACATCGCGATGTTAGTGAAGAGTGCGATGCCGGGTTGATTAGTGTGAGCTTCGGATGCGATGGTCTCTTCCTCATCAGCCATGACGACGGAACGGGGTGCGAAGTTATTCGACTTCGCTCTGGGGATGCCGTATATATGGATGGCACGTCGCGCTTTGCGTGGCATGCCGTGCCTAAAATTGTCCCAGGGACGTGTCCTTCTTGGCTGGCCGATTGGCCTTGTCGTCCAGAGGACCACGAGACTCGGTCCCGATTTGGTGCCTGGAGAGGCTGGATGGCTGGGAAAAGAGTCAATCTCAATGTCCGACAAATGGTAGCCAGCGCGCCGCACCTCAGATAGGGTTTGTCTCTCTGCAACCCCGATCTAGGAGACGGATTCCGCTTTATTAATGTGACCTGCCATTGGTGTAAGCGGTGGTCAAGCTAGGAATTGTCTATTGGGAAAATAAAAGTGTATACCTGGGGTCGCAGGTAGGCATATTGTATTTGTGCAACTCCCTCACATGCGACCTTATTGACAGCACCGGTCTATAGAACCAGGGCATCTGCTTCTGCGACCCGATCCAAGAGGACACGCTACACTTCCTGCCATCATCACGCCATGAAACAGTTGGAGATGAAGTAACGCTGGATTTCTTATTATTCTTGTTATGTCCGTACCTTTACGAAGGGCACTAAGGCGCTGTGTTCTCGTGTTTTCTTCAGTGTTCCACCCTTGGTTTGTTCCAGACCGTTGCTCCGACGCCAAGATGTGCCTCAAGTTCCTGGTCTAGACTCCTTAATCTCAGGCCAATCCTGTGAGATCGGGGATCTTGTTCTTGGCTAGGAACTAGTGCTAGCACCAAAAGCAGCTTTATTTATCGGTTGTTTCAGGGCCCGCAAGACCCTGAAACTCGAATGGAGTGGTTGCGTTAAGACCTCCTAGGCTGTGGTCCCCCTCCCCAGGGCAGCAATTTGTCTAAACGGCCAGGCACGGGTACTCCTTGAGTATTTCATCTGAGGGCTTGAGGCAGCCAAGACTGGTATCTGTTTGATCCTGTCCGACGTGAAGCATACTGGCAGTCACACCCGCTGCTGCGTGACATCAGGACCCGAGAGAATTCACTCGAAACGAGGTTGTATCCGAAACGTGGGACGGTACCCTATGCCCCCTACCCTATGGTCCCCGGGGTCAGGACGGACGCAGTATAAAGGAGAGAGAAGGCAGATGGTATCCTAGTGGCTCATTCATTCATTTTTTATCCAACGCCACTCCTTAACATGGTGCATTTTTCTTTCTTTCATCTACTGGCCTTTTTTACACTGGCTTCTGGAAAGCCGATTTTGATTCCGAGGCTGGCCCAGGACGTGTCGCAGGGCGGTACCCAAGGTCTCTTTAGTGTCTCACTAGAGTCTCTAGGAAGCACTTCTGTCAAAGCTCAGGTCACAAATGTAGGCACAAATGCCGTTCGACTCGTTCAAAGAGGGGGTATCTTGGACCAACTCCCCACAAGAAAGGTGTCTCTCAAAGGAACGGGTAAGCTGATATCCCAAGTTTCTACTATGAGCCCTTCCTCGTGAGAAGGGGAGGGGAGGAAATATTCTAACAGGTACTAGGTTCTGACCCAACATTCGCTGGAGTTCAAGTGAAGTACGTTCTTTCGCACTTGTCTCCCGAAGCGTTTGTTCGGCTGTCTCCCAATCAGACTGTTGAGTCTATCTTTGATATCACCGATATTTACCCTGACCTTTCCCCAAACCAAGAGTACACTGCCGCTGCAGAGGGCACTCTAGAATATACAACACTAGACAACCCGAGGAAATTCTCCCATGCTCACTACACATCCAACTCAATATCTGTCCAGACGCCCAAAGAGCTTGCTAAGCGCCTCGAGATCCGCTCCACTCTCGAATGCACTGGCGAATACAATCAACTGGTGCAGAATGCTCTCAAACGCGCTGCAAGTATGGCCACAGCTGCTTCAGCGGATGCACGAAGCGGGAGCGCGAACTTTGAGAAATTCTTCAAATCCACCAACCAGGATGACAGAGATGAGGTCGCGGACAGACTGGAGGCTATTGCAAGGGAGGCAACTACAACCGGGGAACTCACATACTACTGCGAACCTACGGCCCTTGACTACTGTGGGGGCAATATCGCCGCCATGACATACCCAACTGAAAACAAGGTGGTGAATTGCCCTGGATACTATGAAACTCCAGCGGAAAACAACTATTGCAACTACCTGGATCAAGCTGCGATTTCCCTTCATGAGTTCGCCCATGCGACTGCCGTGTACAGCCCCGGAACCGAGGATATAACATACGGCTATGAAAGCGTGCTGCAGCTCAGCACTAGCCTCGCGAAGAATAACGCAGACTCATTTGCGTACTATGCTTCTGGTAGGACCGAATAACTTGGAACCCGCGAACGTGCCAATCTATAAGAACTAATCCAAGGGTAGCTGTCTTTCTAAACTGTGCTACTGACGACTCCAGCAGCACCACGGGCTCCGACTGGCCATGGGGCGGAGACAGCCCAACAACTACTGGCACTGGAACAAGCACCGGTTCCGGTTCCGGTGGCTGGGGCTGGGGCTGGGGCTGGGACGCAAAATCGCCCGAGTCCTCGACGATTCCGATTTCCACGGGTTCTTCCTCGGGAGCTGGGGCCAATTTGGAGGATCTGATCAAGTGGCTGATAAGCCAGAATACGGGGCGAACCTGAGACGCAGGAAGAGGGTACAGGGAACAGATTCAGGATGTCCTGTATCTGTTGATACTCTAGCTAGCTGATCTTATCTTTGATCTGTCTGTCAGCCGTCTCTATCCTATGTAGACCCTCGAGTCGGATGGATGCGACCATTATGGAAAGCAAAGCTTGAATGAATGAACGAATGTACTACCGCTAACTTGATCAAGCTAGATATGATCCGTCAGATCTCTGATTCGTTTAAAAACAGTACAGTACAGAGTATAAGAAGTATATAGCAACGCCCGAGAAAGTGAGCATCTCTCACTATAGCGCCACCATTGAACGTAAGTAAGCCATAGCTTGTTCGAAAAGCAATAAATCAAACCCCCGAAAAAAAGAGGAAACAATTTAGGACTCCAGCTGCAAATAAGAAAGAAAGAAAGAAAACGCATTACTTTCCATCGTACACCTGATCCGGCGCCAGGGTGAACTTCCCCTTCCGCAGCTCTGCAGGATCAACATCCTCGGGTTTGATATATCGCGCCGTGAGAGCGAACCTGAGCTTTTTCTCCGGGATGACAGAGTGCTGTAGTAATTAATTACAACTCAGCCTTTCTTCTAGAACCCACGCGCACACACACACACACTATCAAAGAAAAGAAGAAGAAAAAAAAAAAAAAAACACACACACACCTCATAAAACCTCTGCAAACCCGCCCCATGCATAACCACCAAATCCCCATGATGAAGCTCCATCTTAACACAAGGCGGCGGATCCCCGGTCCGCGTCTTCGCGACAATGGTTTCTCGGCCCCGGTCGTACTCTGGTTTCGCGATATCTCCGCGTTCCCACCGATGCTTGAGCTCCGCGCGCTGCGCGAAGAATTCGCACCCCTGCAGCACGGGGTCGCTGTCTAGTAGTTTCTTGGCCTTGCTGCGGCCGTGGTAGTATTTGTATTTCATGCGGACGAGCATGGTGGATTTTGCTCCGAGGGACAGCGTGGCGATTGTTGGGCCGAGTGAGGATTCGCCGTCGTCGTGGTACTGTATTCCTCTCCCTCGCCCCGGGCTCAATTAATATGGGGGGTTGTTGTTGGTTGGTTGGTGGTGGAGGAGGAGAGATAGATGCACGTAGGTAGGGAGGTATGTAACGTACCCCGATTTTCATGTCCTCAAAGTACCCCAGCAGGAGTAGTTCGTTAGGGAGCAGGAGAGGGTCTTGTTCTGTGCTTTGGCCTTGGACGGCTTGTTCGGTGGCCCAGGTGAGCCGGCCCAGGGATCTGAGTATGGCGTCGGATGCGTTGCTGAAGCCTCTGGAATCAACCGAGACGATGTACTTGTATGGCATGCCCTGGGTATTTCGCGTAAGTGTGTGTGTGTGTGTGTGTGTGTGGCTGGCTATGAAGGAGTTGCGAACGTACGTAGTTTACGGCAAAATGGGCAGTTAGAGTGCCGGCAACTGTGAAGGTACGTTGGTTAGTTAGTTAGTTAGTTAGTTAGTTAGCTGGTTCTTTCTCTCTTGTGAAAGGACTGGTCTACGAACCTACACTCTGCTGCAGAGGGTAGCGCCGCAGTCCCGCGTCGGCAACCTGGAGCTGATTGAACAGATCATTAGGTCCATTGGGACGAGTGTTGATACTTTGGCTCGAAACAAAGTGCGTGATATACCCGGCCCCCGGGATTCTGTAGGAGAGCTTGCGATACGGAAAGAAAGTACGGTCGTCGATCTCAGGCATTGCGAATTTCGGGTCAAAGAACAGAGCCCTCTTTATAGGGCTTAGCTCGAAGTCGTCGATGACTGAGCGAAGGGATACCGGATGCATGGTGGTCAGCTTCTCAAAGGGGCATCTATTCTGGACATGCCCGGAGGAGCACTGGAGGTCATAATCGGTGCATTTCCAACCGTTCCAGAATCGCCGCGATATGCATCTGCAACACCGCGGACAGACTATTCCCTTCCATGCAATGCGCGCGGAGCTGATATCTTGATCCCCGTCGTTGAGAGTCGACAGCAAGCTCGGAACCAGACTGAAATGCGGTTGTATCTCGGGGTCTGGTCGTAGGCGGGATTCCAGGAAGCCCGGGTGAAAGGTTAGGGTTTCTGGAGGCGCGGACGCATTTATCGTCCAGAATAGCTTGCACGATGGATGGAGACACATCCAGCCCTCGTCGTATACACGGGCACTGGTTTGCAGACAGCCCGCGCACTGCTTCGTCTCCGGTTTCATATCGAAATTGCGCTGGTCCGGAGGCGCTGCCGGAGACGACCCCTTCAATGCCCACCAGCTCTTGCTGGCGAGATCGAGTTTCTCGAAACGCACCCTGGCGCCGGTTTTCTTTCCGATCTTTTCGTACCAGACGTGGGAGATGCGGAAGAATGATAGGATGTTATACCGATGAGGCAGTTTCCTCTGCAGAAGAGTATTTCTGTCCCCTATTTTCTGTTTATTATCATATCATACATCTAGCTAGACGACGGGGGAACCATACCTATGATCATCCCCACTGGAATGTTCAGCGCCATGCTGTTTAGAATGCTCCTTAAAGCAGTGCTGTCACTATCCTGGTCCTTAGTCAGGACCAAATTCCCCTCTGCATCTTTCACACAACCACCTCCGCTGCGGCAGTTAGCATTTGGGGGCTTCTTCGGGATAGAGCCAGCTGCACACGTACGTACACCCTAGTGATGACGACCTCATCGTCGATGTACGAGCGGATTCCGCTATCTGCATCAAGAAGAAAGCCCCAGCATATGTTTCCGTTATGATATACGCCTCCCTGCACAGCGCGGAACCATGGAATCGCATCGGAAAGTTCTGGGCGACACTGAAGATCGAATTAACCGGCGGATTGACCGACACAGGGAGACAAGACACCTACATCGGCCCATGCGGGGGGTTCTCCATCCACGTCGGGCAAGTCTGAAATCGCCGCTTGGATGGCTGGGGATAGGGCGAGAGGGGATGCTATGGTGGTCAGTGATGGGCGACGATGAAAAGGAACGCAGTGAAGCATCACGGAGCAGATTTACGCCTGGGAGGAGTCTTTTTCCTGCGCGAGATGCGCGCATTGATTATAGGGTGAGGTTGTTTGTCGAGCCGCCGGGATCTCGTCTCGTACACTCTGGCGGCGTCCATGGCGGGATATATCTCTCGAGGATCAAGTATAGTTAAGAATGCATTGGAATCGCTGATGAGAACGAAGCAGGGATGAAATGGATCAGTCAAATGTGAGATGGCGGAAGAGATGAAAAGTTCAGATTTCCGGTGGATGACAGAAAGTGATGCCACGATGATGAGGCCGGACTTCTTCTTTCATATGATTTACCAGCAGCATCATTTCTAACCTACATGAAGTACTTGCATATGAGGATTTACTAGTAGCATTATTCTACCGACATGAAGCACTTGCATATGATACTCCAGATCCCAATTCTCGCGCAGACCGCGCCGTCACCAGAAGCAGACGGCAGTCCCATCATATACTTCACATCGCGAATAGCGTGATGTAGAGACCCGAAATACAAATGAAGGAATTAGCGTTGATCGGTGACTTCTTCCCGTTGTCATCGGGGCAAAACCTCGGGGATATACTTATGTCATTCATGGCCGGCCTCCTGTACAGGTCCCCAGGTCTGCATAGAACTATTTACACTCGGGGAGAGATCTATACATAGTAGCTTCGTAGCCGTCCTTCCCCCCCAGTCAACAGCTCCAGCAGACATTATCGAACCTGGACCCGAAGCTAAAGACCGAAACACACACACAATGGCATCTGCTCATTCGATATCACAGCTCCCGCAGCACCAAACCGCCATTGTCGCACAAGGGCCCGGCCAGCTTGCCATCCAGTGCGATGCGCCAGTCCCCGCGCTGCGACATGACATGGTCCTGGTGAAGACAGCGACGGTAGCCATTAACCCCGTCGACGTCAAGTCGCTCGACTACAGCGCGGCCCCGGGAGCCATCATGGGCTTCGACTTTGCGGGCACGATCGTGGCGCTGGGCGCCGATGCGGTAGCGGCCGGACGTCTCGCGGTGGGCGATCGCGTGGCGGGAGTGGTGTACGGCATGGACAGACTGCAGCCGGACGTTGGCGCCTTTGCCCAGTATGTGGGAGCGCTGGCCGACCTGGTGCTCAAGATCCCCGACGACATGCGTTTCGAGGACGCCGCGGCCCTGGGGCTGGCGACGGCCACAGCCGCGTATGGCCTCTTCAATGAACTACAGCTAGCCGGGTCCCTCGAGGGGCTCAACGCCGAGGATGCTCGGCCTACCGGTGACTTTGTCCTGGTAGCCGGTGGCAGCACAGCGACGGGTACGCGTGCGATAGAACTGCTCAAGACGTAAGTAGATAGATAGCTCGCTTCCTTCCTTCCTTCCCCTTCCGTCGTCGGGGTTAGAGCTGACAGACTACATACGGCCAGGGCTGGATTCCGCCCAGTTGCCACCTCCTCGCCGTCCAACTTCGAGCTGGTCAAGCGGTTCGGGGCCGAGAAGGTCTTCGACTACCATGACCCCGAGTGTGCAGAGAAGATTCGCGCGTACACGGGCAACGAGCTCGAGTACGCGCTCGACTGCGTGGCCGAGGCGGAGACGACCCAGCTGTGCTACGCGGCCATCGGGCGTGCCGGTGGGCGCTACGTCGCCGTGGAGCCGTTCCGCGACTCCATCGCACAGAGCCGGGCCCACACCATCGAGCCGTCGTGGTTCAACGTCATGACCATCTGGGGACGCAAGGTCGAGCTGGGCGGGGAGTACGGCCGCGATGCCTCGCCCGAGGATCGGGCCTTTGGCGCGCGTTCCTTCGCCGCGGTGCAGAACCTACTCGACAGCGGCCGCCGGGTGACTACGCATCCGGTCAAGGTCATGCCGGGTGCTTGGGAAGGCGTTATGCAGGGCGTTGCGCAGATCCGCAGTCAGCCACCGTCGGGGTACAAGTTAGTCTATCCGGTTGCTTAGGGTATAAGAAATCGCCGAAATCCTGATATAAATCGGATGAATTGGTCCTACACTTCCTGTGATATCTTGACCTCATAAAAAAAAAACAAAGTAAAACAATGCAAGATGGGAAAAGTTCAGCCATGGCTTCCTAAGACGAATGCTCATATGATGAAGACAAGACACGGAACCCTAGAATTGTTGTCCGTGAAGTATATCTACCAACGGCTATATAGAGCCACTCAGCCAGGCAATTTCCTCGCCGTAAATACCAAGATGATGATAATAAAAAAAAAAAAAAAAAAAAAAAGATGGATAATATTCTTCGATCACATAGTCTAGAGTAGAGAGAGAGACCTAACTAACCTGCTAAGTAATTCCCATCAAGCTCCCACATCCAGCACAACCTCTGCCGGTGGGATCACCTTCATGGGAGCAAGCAGCGGCTTCTTGTCCTTGACCTTGGACCCGTCGACCCATTCTCGCGAGAGCCGTACAGACTTGACGCCTCGCTCCAGCATCTCCTGATTGTACTCGTTGACGGCGGCCTTGACGGCCTCGATGTTCCGGACCCCCCCGTCGGCATTCAGCTGGTCCAGGACCTTCGCCAGGGCCATGGCGTCGAGGAAGGTGTTGTAGCCGCCTTCGCCGCGGAAGGGCGTCATGACATGCGCCGCGTCGCCCATCAGCACGACACGGCCAGCGGGCAGGCCGTCGAGCTCCAGGTCGCGCCAGACGTGCGTTTCCTCCTTGATGCCGTCAACGGGAGTGGACTCGAAGATCTCGCGGAACTTCGGGTCCCGATTCTGCATCACTTCGAGGACGTGATCCAGTTTCTCCTGCTGCGTGGCCTTCTTCAGCCAGTGGTCTGGTTCGGCGATGGTCGAGTCGGACCGTGACATGATCCAGTAGTACCGCGCCGATTTCCCGTCGGGGGCTACATCGTGCAGCGAGCAGAAGGTCAGATACCCCCGTTCCGCGTCGATCAGCGAGTAGCTGCCGTGGCTGAGCTCGAGCTGGCGCCGGAGCGCCTCGCCGGACAATGTCAGTTGCCCGATGATGGCGGCTAATGGGATGACGCTCAGCACCTCGTCGTGGCGCTTTTGGAGCAGTTGCTCTCGCACTATGGCGCACGCACGCACGCACATCCCTTGTGTGTCAGCGACAGCGGGTTCTGTCCCAGTTCATATTTTCATGGGACCCTTATCACGTACCGACGCTCTTCACTCCATCGGCGCCGACGAGAAGGTCACCCTTTGCGCTGGTGCCGTCCTCGAAGTAGACGGTTACGCCTTGGTCGTCGTGTTCGATGCGCTGGACACGCTTGCCCCATTGGATCGGGATATTGGTCGACAGCCAGTTTCTCAGACGATAGCGTTCGGCGCGGATAAAGGGCGTGTCTGCGGAGTCCTGTTCATGAGAAACACATTAACACCCCTCTTCTTCTTCTTCTTCTTCTTCTTCTTCTTCTTCTTCTTCTTCTTCTTCTTCTTCTTCTTCTTCTTCTTCTTTACTGATAGCATTTACCTCCCATCCAACACGCATGTTGCTTTCAGCAGGGTAGAGACAGATTTGCGTAGGAAGCTTCAGGGGGTTCATATGGTTGGTGGACTCTTTCAAGTCCGGCAGATCGGACGGCATCGATGCCACCAGGTCATCGGTGATGCTATGCCTTCTGTTAATCACCGAGCAATGAACGTGCCTGGGCAGGGGAAAGGTCTTTACGTGTGCAAGGCAATGGCCCAGCCCTGGAACCGCGAGTCCTTGTTGTCATCACGCTCGAAGATCTCGTAGGAAATGCCCCGTTTCCGCAGGTTCTGCGCGAGCGTGAGCCCACCGAGACCGGCTCCGGCAATGAGGACGTGCATTCTGGCGATGGAGTAGGAGATTGAGTGAGTGTGTCGTGTCTACTGGAAAGAACCTCACGCTAGATGAAACTACACCATGTGTACGCCGACGGAAGAGGCCACCCCCCCCCCCCTTCTATATAGACGGTCTGATGGATTTCAAGCGTGCCGGTCAACAATTCGCCGATAGCTATTTCTGGAAATTCACCGAAACCACCTAGTGGTAGGAGGTGGGAAAGACGTCGACATGTTGTCGTATGAGGGACATCATCCGGTTTGACAACTACACGCCGAGTGCTTGGGATAATCTCCGACCCTGATGCTCTAAGAGAAAAAAAAAAACGTGGAGTGAAGTGTCATAAAAGCTCCGGGTAGTAAGTCTCCAGTTCTCCCCGGCTGACTATTATTTTATCATATTTTTTTTTGTCAAGACAATCTACAAGTTCAACAGCATTCAGCATGTCGAGTGAAGGCGTCCAATTGCCCATCATTGACTTCACCGGGTATCTCGCGCCCAAGTCGCCAGACGATCAGCAGAAAGTCATTGCACAGGTGCGGGATGCGTGTCGCGAATATGGCTTCTTCCAGGTCAAAGGCCACGGCATCCCCCTGGCCCTGCAACAAGAGCTGCTGAAGAGTCTGGATAGGCTTTTCGGCATGCCCAAGGAGGAGAAGATGAAGCTGTCCTATCTGGAGAATCCTTGCCGCCGAGGATACGAAGCGTCCGGCATGTCGCTGCGGGAGGGAGATGCCATGCCGGATTCCAAAGAGGTGCGAGGCTCTCTCTCATCTACCTACCCACGCCGCTGAATCCCGATTTGAAGAAATACTGACCGCCAGGAAAAGGCCTACTATATCGGTCGAGAAGATCCTGTCGTGGAGCTCTCGGGCTTTTACGGCCCCAATGTCTGGCCCAATCTCCCCGAGGAGCAGTTCCGCGCTCCGGTCTGGGAATACTATCAGAAGACGGGCCAGCTGGGCAAGACGATATGGGAAATCCTGCTGCAGGGGCTTGGACACTCGACGGACGTGATGGACGCCTTCGCCAAGAGACCTCTCGTGCAGATGAAGTTGATCCGGTACCCTCCGACGAGCGCGACGCTCCCCGGCCAGTTCGGCGTGGGAGCACACAACGACTTTGGCGGAGTCACCGTGCTGCTGCAGCAGCCCGGGAAGGATGGTCTCGAGGTGTGGCTCGAGAAGCAGCAGGCATGGCTGGCGGTTCCGGCTCTGGAAGACGTGTATGTCATCAACTGCGGCGATATGATCATGAACTGGACGGGAGGTCAGTACAAGAGCGTCCGGCACCGGGTCATCAACAAGGCAGACTCCGAGAGACTGTCCTGCGCGACCTTCTGGCATGGGGACGTGTTTGCGACAAATCCCCTGAACCCGGAGGATCCCAACAAGGAGAGTGTCGGGCAGTTGCTCGTGAAGCGGTTCCGCCACCAAATGTCCATCCACAAGGAGGGTCTCGCCCAGGTCGGGGAAGCCTAGAGCGGGCTGAATCGAAACGAGGCCACCTCTATACCGGCCGCATTGCGTTCATAGACCTCTAGCCCGGTTATCAAATCCACGTGTATGCCGTACGCTCCGTAAGTCTCTCAACACTAGCCGTCTATTAACTACTCTGCGCTGTCAATCCCCCGTCCTATGCATCATAGAAATAGGTGCGCCGGAATCCCATGTACCCTAGCAACTAAGCCCTGAAGGATGACCTACTGTGATAGGTATAGGAGAAGTCGACTATCGGACTAGGAGCCGTAGCGTACCCACCACCACCACCACCACCACCACCACCACATCTCCATCCAGTATGTATCAGGAGCCTCGGCGATTTAACCGCATGTAGCGAATTAAAACCCCCGACCTTGGAGGGGCCACAGGGTTTAACAGCCGTTGAGTACCGCCGTCCAATGCTTGCTAGAGTCTTGCTAGTCTTGCCCCAGCACTAGATCGGTCATCATGAATATTCCGCCGGGGAAGAAAAAAAGCCCACAAGGTCAAATAGTCGACGTGATTAGGGTTGACCCTCCAATTGGATGATGTATGCCACGGTCTCCTCCTAACCGGGTCTCTGGCAATCTGCCGTGTAGCCGCTGGGGTTTACCCGGACGGCTATGGCTCTTGCTAGGATCTTTTACTGTAGATTGGGCCTGGAGCAGCAGTAATGGGCAGGCACTAAGCGTTGGTCGTGAACCGATCTCGTCTGTGGATATACATATTATTACCGTGGGGCCTTTTGCTGCTGTGCGTGGCAGTGTTGGATACCCAGCTCCAAATCATGCAACCATTGTGCTTGACGGCGTCCGAATCAGTAGCTAGACCCAGGTGGCTCTGCCCGGGGATCCCGAGTCCTGGCAGTCGATTGAAGGTCCCCAGAAAGAAAGCCCGTCTGGTGGAACACCTTGCCGCAAAGCTTCGTCAATCTCTTCACCCGGCATGCCAAGGGCACTTGCTTTGATTTGACAAATCAAGACAAACCCGATGCGCCCTGGGGCTGTTCGGAACGGCCGCAGAGGTATGGATCTATAGCTGTCCGGCAGATCGATCGAGGCCTTCCCACGTGTGTGGACCGGGACAAGAGTTCCCTCAGACGTATCCAGCCGATGTCAAGTTTCAGGAAACATGAACTCTGAGATCCACGATGTGTTTGGTGTGTTGGGTCGTGTATCCGGTGGCTCCCGGCTAACCCTAACCCAACACATACATAGTACGGAGGCAGTGTTGGCCACACGCCGTTAGCAGGAAATGAATTTAATTTATGGGATCACACACCGATATCAATAGCAACGATATCAAAAACAAGGCCCTTGTATTGCTTGTTTTGTGGAGAACTCCCTGTCCTAGGTACTCCTACGTGTTATTAACCAAGATGATTACCTCGGCCAGCACATGTCACGAACTTCACAGATATGCATGATGATTCCACTATCTCATGCATGCGTCGAATCAGCTTCCGCCGTGGGATCTGGGTGAATGCTAATACACCTATGCTCTACAACCGAGGCATATTGCCTTGTTTCTGCATAGCCCCCCCCCCCCCCTAAATTAGGGTAATTTTCTCTCGTGGCTTCTTCCTCCTGTCCGGTATGCACAAGGCCCAAGGCGAGCCTGGCCGCCATTGAATCGTGAGATGAACATGCTCATGAAGCTCTACCTCTGCTGTGGCATCCCAAGAATCAGTAGGGCACTGGGGACTTAATATCTAGCTGGGAAGCTCCTCGGGCTGAAGACTCCGTAACACGGGCCAGGGTTAGGGCTCTACTTGTCGCGGAATCCAGAGATTAAACCAAGCTAGTAAGTGTCATATGAGGCCCTTCAACTACTTTGACGGGAGGTTCGTTACATAGTCTGCTTCTGCCGATACAGGCTCAGTGATTCTAGATGCCTTCGTAGCGGAGCAGCAGGCCAGCAGCAGAGATAGTACTTGATGCGCCAAAGTAACACAGTCTGAAGAATAACAGACTAGCTAGAGTCATCACCTTATATCCTATAATCCTATATATATCCCGTAGCGGTAGCCAACCCAGCAACTATGTCCCTTTAGTTCCCTGGTTGGAGGCTTTTGAGGCAACTAAGCTCCAAGATATCCACTCGCCCGGGAAGATTGCGTCTCTATTGATACAAGAAGAGAGAGCTGAGGTGGTACCACGCGTGCATCCTAAACATCTTTCTATCCACTACTCGGCCCCCTTCGCTTCGCCCACTATATCGCCCCCCCACAGGACCGCTGTTTACCGAGGGACTGGGGCCCCTATTGATCTTGATGCACGATATAAGAAGGGAACAGGGATTATGTCTGGTATGGTCGAATAAGAACGAAACCGAGGAAGGGGATAGATAGCGCGCGTGTACTAAGTCCTGGTCTTACTCTCCGTTCGTACTTGACTGAACCGATATGACGCCGGCATCAAGACCCCATGCAACGGCGGCACCACCACCTATGCGCCAATCGTGCGACCGGTGCCATAAGCAGAAAGTCCGATGTACCCGCACGGGGAACAATAACACCGGTGCGTGCGATAGATGCCTCTCCAAACGTGCCCAGTGTGTATACAGCTCCAGCCTACCAAAGGGCCGCCCTAGCTTGTACCGCTTCGCCGATGATGACTCCCCGGGCCGTGATATGGCTGGGCCTGCGGAATCGCCTGCGCCCCTTGGGCCTGGCACCACTCCGAAGCGGCATCGTCGAGCCAGTTCCAAGCCCACATCTGCCCGGGCTCGCGACGACGTACCAATCGGCTTGGAGCCCAGCATGGGCGGAGGAGACGCATGCATCGACCCCGGCCTGAGCAGCAATCTCCTGTTTGCCGCCATGTCCACGGAGGGCAGTGGTCTGGTGGACATATCCCCGGACTCATGGCAATATGTAGCGGGGTTAGACTGCGACAGCATGAAAACAGTGGAGGCCGATCCACAATCGCGACAAGCCACCTTCAACTGGCACGCCATCATGGACCCTCCTCCGCAGAGCACCTCGGATCTGCTCACTCGCCCTGCTCCGGCGGGAACCCCGGGGCGCGACTATGGCCCGTCTGGTCCCCTGGCACCACCGCCGGCTCTGCCCGCGATGCCGGCAGCATACCCCGGAGATGGGAAGAGCCATGCGAAAGACCCTGACGCGGTGATCGCGGAGCTAGCCCGGCTCAGCGTGCATCTGGCGTCATTGCTGCGGTCCAATTGCAGCCTAAGCGAGCTCGACGACGATGCATCCCAGCCAACCGGCCCGGACCACCAGAGCCCTCTGGTCGACGACGCTACCTTTGAGTCGGTGGCGGCGTGGCTCACGCGTGGTTCCGTGCAGAAGGATGTACTCTCGCCGCTCGAGTGCCATCAGCTTGGTCTTTCTCCGATCCCTTGCCCCAAGGCGAAAACAACCGGTGCCATCCTCTACTACACGCTATCGGCCTCCCAGCATTTGCTGGAGATCGTTTGCTGTCTGCAGCCTAACAGAGCCAACGGCGGATCTACTCCCTCGACGCTCATGTCGAGTTCCCCCATGTCGTCGTTGGCGTCGCACGAATCTTCATATTTCTCCCTCCCGAAAGCGTCGTCGTCATTGCCCACATCACCCCCTTCGCCTACCGGCCCGACGAGCCAAACCTCGTTGGATAACTGTAGCCATATCATCCGCGACCTCCTGATCGCCTGCCACACCATGCTGCTGAACCGGTATGCAGCGGTGCTGGTCGCCCTAGACCGCGAAGCAGATCTCCGTGCGCATAACAGCATGACGGTAATAGGCGATGTCCGGTGAGCGAGTCTCTTTTCCCTTCCCATGTACCCACCCCCTTACGTGCAGTCCTGCGCACAAGCCCTACAAGCCTTTCGATATCTCTCTGCTGATCCCCAGCGCGCGCGCCAGGCTCGTCACGATCGTGCAGCTGTGCTCCTATCTCATTGAGCGCCAGCACAAGGCTATGCTCCTGTCCTCGAAATCCCTCGGCACGTCCGGCGTGCCAATCCCGCAAAGTCTTGACCTGAACAATGCACCGGCTTCGGACACGGCGAGCTGGGAGGCGACCAAGGACCTCAAATGTCAGGTTCAAGAGCAGCTCATGCGCCTGCAGCACAAGTTATGCACCTGACACGGAGGTCGCTTTGTCGATTCCGCGTCGATGCGATCACGTCTCTCTCTCTCTCTCTCTCCCATGGCAGTAGGCGTTTGAAGCAGGGGACGAATATATGAATATATATATATAATATGATTTACGACTTGAACAATATACTCCCGAACGCGGTGGTAGGTAATATAATCCTCATCCTCGGGGGCCTAACCTGTTTGTGATTATCTAGACAATCAATAGAGACCTCGTACTGGTAATTTTGTGGAATAAAGCCGACGTCCACAGGAAACGTATAGCAAGCGCTCCTATTTGAACATCCCGTAACCGACATTCTAGCTCAAGATATCCAATCTTCTACTTAGCATCCCGACTCTACTGCTACTCTGGAATGCTCCTAGACCAGACCGCCACCATCCAGCACAGCCCTAGCTATTTCTATGCGTGAAACCCGGGGTATTCTCATGAGTATGGCACCGGGGTGAAGTTTACTCAAGTTACACGTAGATATGTACGGACTAGGGACCTCGGCGTGAACGGAAGAAAAGGAGATCATTATGGCATGTCAATCATCTAGTTATTCCGGCATAAACCAACGCGACCAGCATTCAAAGCCAGCGCGCGAACCAGGTTAAAACCTGCGTGACCGAGTCCTCCAGACACGCCCTCTCGAGCGGATCATCCGGGTTGCCTCTCACTGCAAACCCGTGTCGTCCGGGCTTATACTCTTGATGCGCCATGTCGGGCAGCTCTCGCCCTGTCTTTGCGAGGCTCGCATGCAGGCCCTGCACCGCAGCCATCTGTCCGATATCGACAAAGCTGTCCTCCCGGCCCCATCCGAAGGACACCGGCACGACCAGAGTCTGGACATCCCCGGGGATGGCCAGGTGACTGGGATGCAGGGCGACGACCGCATCCACCAGCGGCACCTTGGCCCCGTCCACCTCGACCATGTTGCTCTCCAGCCCAGCCCGCACCGCGTACTTGCCGCCCCAGCAGAATCCCACCATGCCGATCTTCGGGGTCTGGGGCGTGGCGCGGCGCAGCGCCTGCAGGAACTCCATGCAGACTTTATCGGTTGGCCCCTCGCGGTGGCGTCGCTGCCACATGAGAAACGCGGGCGCGCTGGCCAGAAGCCCCGTGTACTTGGAGAATGTCGACTGCTTGGATGGGTCTACGGGGATGAGATGGTCCGCCATCGCCAGCGGAACGGGATCGCCCTGGAAGAAGTCCGGCAGGTAGACCAGCCACTCCCCGCTCTTGGAGTAGGCGTCGGCGATGAGTTTGTTGTTGGGCAGGGCCAGGCCAAACACGTCCGAGTAGATGACGATAATGCCCCGGGGGTTGGTGCGGTTGCCGACCACGTACGTGTTAAGGCCGCAGATCAGCTCTTCCTTGCCCTGGGGGAATCCCTGGTGGATAGAGCCCTACGACGACATGCGGATGAGCCTGGGTTGGGAGGACGGGGGGGTTGTTGCATGGAGGAGGCCGCACCTTGATGCATTCCTGGCAGGAGGTAGCCATGATGACAGACAGACCGAACAGCCTGTGGACAAAACGGGGTGATTAGGGTTCAGCCAGCTGTCTCGTCGTTGCGACGCGCTCTTCCTTATATGCGAATAGAAATCAGCCATGACGCGTTTCTGTCTGCCCTGTACTTTTCTTTTCTGCGGCGGCACAGGAGCTAGCTGGCATTAATCTGGCTGAATCGTCAGCAAGTGGGTTTGCCTGCGCGCGGATGAACTTGACTATTAACGCTTTTCTCCACTCGCTAGCAGCTTTTAGGCTAGGGACGAGCATAATCCTGCATCTAGACCAGCTAGACTAGGGCTTTGCGTCATTAATACCCGGTGGTTAAGGGCCGGACTAGCCATGGTTCTATCCGAGATACCTTAGCTCCCTTGGAATCGTAGTCGGCGCCAGAGACTCGGCGACATATCGCACTCTTGATGTTTCGGCTTCTGGCAGCAGAGAGAGCTGCTTGTTCGTCGGCGATAGAGACCAGGAAATTCACCATGAGGCGTGTTGGCAAGGGAAACGCCGTGTGTCCTGCCGCCCTGACGGACGGGGCATCGGATCTCTGCCTACGGGAAGATTCAAGATGGAGTCTGATCATATATAGCATCAACCTGGGTCAATGCGTGTTAGAACAGCTCTGTTGGTGCCTCACGTCCGTGATCTATCTATCTATCTATCTATCTATCTATCTATCAAAGGTTGTCCAGCTTTTACTCACACCCCCCCACGCAACAACGCTGGACGGTAACCGTTCCGAGGACTGTTCTCTACCTGCCACACCATGGACTCAAGACAGCCAGAGCCCATTGCGATCGTCGGGAGCGCTTGTCGATTCCCCGGCGGTGCGAATACACCGTCAGCTCTGTGGGAGCTGCTCAAGAACCCCCGGGATGTATGCATGGACATCCCGGACGATCGATTCAACACCACCGGATTCTATCACCCCGATGGCAGTCACCACGGCACGACCAATGTGCGAAAATCATATCTGATGCAAGAGGACCTGCGGGTGTTTGATGCTGCGTTTTTCAACATCAGCCCCAACGAGGCCGATTCCATGGACCCCCAGCAGCGGCTGCTGTTGGAGACCGTCTATGAAGCACTCGAGGCCGGCGGCCACACAATCGACGGCCTCCGGGGCTCGGATACAGCCGTGTACACGGGCACCATGGGCGTTGACTATAACGATACCGGGGTGCGGGACCTGAACACGGTCCCGACTTACTTCGCGACGGGCGTCAACCGGGCCATCATCTCGAACCGCGTCTCGTATGTCTTCGACTGGCACGGGCCGAGCATGACGATCGACACGGCTTGTTCGTCGAGTCTGATTGCCGTCCACCAGGGCGTCAAGGCCCTGCGCACTGGGGAATCGCGCGTCGCGCTGGCGTGTGGCACGCAGGTCATCCTCAACCCGGAAATGTACGTGATCGAGAGCAAGTTGAAGATGCTGTCGCCGACGGGGCGCTCGCGCATGTGGGACGCCGATGCAGACGGCTACGCCCGTGGAGAGGGCGTGGCGGCCATTGTGCTGAAGCGGCTAAGCGACGCGATTGCGGACGGGGATCACATCGAGTGTCTCATCCGCGAGACAGGATCCAACCAAGACGGCCATTCCAACGGCATCACCGTGCCCAGCACAGAGGCCCAAGCTGCCCTCATTCAGCAGACCTATGCCCGAGCGGGCCTGGACCCAGAGCATCGCCCGGAGGATCGGCCGCAGTTCTTCGAAGCCCATGGAACCGGAACCAAAGCAGGAGACCCCAAGGAGGCGGCCGCGATCTACCGGTCCTTTGGCCGTCCCAACCGTGCGGAGGATGATGATGATGATGATGTCCCTCTGTACGTCGGCTCCGTCAAGACTGTCATCGGTCACCTGGAGGGCTCCGCGGGTCTTGCGGGCCTGCTGAAGGGTTCGGCCAGCATCCAGTCCGGATTCATTGCGCCGAACCTGTTATTCAATCGCCTGAATCCCGATATTGAGCCGTTCTACAAGGGCCTGCGCGTACCAACCGAGTTGACTCCGTGGCCACAGCTGCCGGACGGAGTTCCACGACGTGTGAGCGTCAATAGTTTCGGTACCTGCTCTTTCTTTTCTTTTCTTTTCTTTCTTTCCTTCCCCCCCGGTTCGGTTCAGGATCGGAGCTGTCACTAATGCGAGTAGGTTTCGGTGGGAGCAATGCCCACGCTATCCTGGAGCAGTACAGCGGATTGCCGGCAAAGACCCAGGGCACCGCAGCCGGCCAAAGTGATTCCGTGTTCACCCCGTTCGTCTTCTCGGCCTTGACGGAAGAGTCTCTCGTCGCCCAGCTACGCGCGTATTCGGAGCACCTGAAGGCACACCAGGAGATCGACGCCTGCGATCTGGCCTGGACGCTGCAGTCGCGCCGCAGTCAACTCCCTACGCGGGTGGCCTTTTCCGCGAAAGACGTCGAGGCCCTGGCATCCAAGATCGATGCGAAGCTGGCGCCATTAGCACAGAACCCCGGAATCGCTGTTGGCACCCGCGCCAGCTCCAAGGTGGCTTCCACGGCGCCCAAGATCCTGGGCGTCTTCACTGGCCAGGGCGCGCAATGGGCGACCATGGGAGCGGAGCTCGTCCGCGCGTCTCCGTTCGTGGTCCAGCGGCTTGAGGAGCTAGAGGCGTCCCTCGACACCCTGCCACCCGCGGATCGACCGGCATGGCGCCTTCGAGACGAATTGCTCGCAGCCGGCGACGCCTCCCGCATTGGCGAGGCCGCCCTCTCGCAGCCCCTGTGTACCGCCATCCAGGTCGTCCTCGTCGATCTGCTGCGCGCTGCCGGTGTCACCTTTTCCGCCGTGGTGGGACATTCCTCGGGCGAGATTGCCGCGGCTTATGCTGCTGGCTTCCTCTCGGCCCACGACGCCGTCCGCATCGCTTACTATCGTGGCCTACACGCAAGGCTGGCTGGAAATGCCAGCACCGGCCAGAAGGGCGCCATGCTGGCGGTGGGAACCTCGTGGGAAGATGCGCAGGATCTCATCGACCTCCGCACATTCAAGGGCCGCCTCGCCATCGCCGCCCACAACTCCGGCGCCAGCGTTACCTTGTCGGGAGACGTTGATGCCGTTGTTCGGGCCAAGAAGGTCTTTGACGAAGAAAAGAAGTTTGCCCGGTTGTTGAAGGTCGACACCGCCTATCACTCTCACCACATGTGGCCTTGCGGCGACGCGTACGTGGCCTCGCTCCAAGGTTGTGGCATCCAGGTCAACCGGGACCGCAGGGATAATACCTCCTCCTGTGCCTGGTTTTCGAGTGTGAACCCGAGCAGCCAGGAAATGGACCCGACCGAAGACTTGAAGGACGTCTACTGGCGAGACAACATGACCAACGCCGTCCTCTTCGCCGATGCCGTCAAGAACGCCGTTGCCAGCGAGGATCAAATCACCCTGGCCCTGGAGATTGGGCCTCATCCGGCGCTCAAGGGCCCGGCCACCCAGAACATTTCCGACGTGCGACCAGCGCCGCTGCCCTACAGCGGGGTGCTCAGCCGCGGGGCGAACGACGTCGAGGCCTTCTCCGATGCTCTGGGCTTCCTGTGGACGCATTCGGGCAGCCAAGCGGTCGACTTTCAGTCGTACAATGCCCAGGTCACCGGCAGTGGCCCTGAGCGCCAGCCACCGCGACTGGTGGTTGGCCTGCCATCGTACCAATGGAATCACACGAGAACCCACTGGAATGAATCGCGCAGGTCGCGCAAGCTCCGTGGGCGCAACCAAGCGACGCACGAGCTGTTGGGATCGCCGGCCCCCGAGTCCAACCCGCACGACCTGCGATGGGCGAACGTGCTCAAGGTCTCGGAGATTCCGTGGCTGGACGGCCATCGACTGCAGGGCCAGATCGTCTTCCCGGCGGCAGGGTATGTCGCCATGGCCCTGGAGGCATCCAAGTTCCTGGCGGCGGAGAATCCCATCCGGCTGCTTGAACTCCACGACATGTCCATACCCAGAGCGATCACATTCGAGGAAGGCGACACATCAGGTGTCGAGACGCTCGTTACGCTGACCGAGGTTCGACACTCCCAGGGCCAGCAAACCACCACGGCCAACTTCTCGTGCTACTCGCTGCCCGTCCTCAGCACCGGGTCCGAGCAGGAAATGGAGCTGGTAGCCACTGCCACCGTCAACGTGGTCTTGGGTGGCCCCAGCCGTGACGCCCTCTCGGGTCTCCCGCTGCAGGACTACAACATGTACCCGATCGACGCGGACCGCTTCTACTCCACGTTAGACAACATCGGATACGGCTATTCCGGACCGTTCCGGACGTTTTCGTCGATCAAGCGCAGACTCGACCATGCCATCGGCCAGGTGGGCTCGTATCCTTACCCGGATGCTGCTGAGGCCACATTCTACCTCGTCCACCCCAGCACGCTCGATGTTGCCTTCCACGCAGGCATGGTGGCGTACTCGGCCCCGGGCGACGAGCGACTGTGGTCTCTCCATGTCCCGACAGGTATCCGAAGCATCAGGGTCAACCCGGCCGCGTGTCCCTCGCTGCCCACCTCGGGCTCTCAAGTGCCGGTGTGCGCGACCATCGACAGCACTTCGGACTCCTTCTCGGCTTACATTGATCTCCTGAGTGAAGATGGCCAGCAGTGCATGGTCCAGATCGAGGACCTGGCCATCAAGCCCTTCGCCCCGGCGACGGAGGCGGACGACCGGGTGCTGTTCACGTCGACGAAGCTGGATGCGGCGGTGCCAGACGGCGCTGCTGTCGCGGAAGGAGTCCGCCCCGCGGCGGTCGAGGTGGAACTGGCGCACGCCTGCGAAAGGATCGCGTACTACTACCTCCGCAAGTGGGACAGCGAGCTGAGTGACGCGGAATGGGCCAAGGGACAGCCGCATCACCAGTATCTCCGCAACTGGGCCAAGCGCACGCTCGACATGGCCAACCGAGGGCAACACCCGACGCTGCGGAGAGAGTGGGTGGAAGACGGGCCCCAGCAGATCGAAGCCCTGATCCGTCGGTATGCCGATAACCTGGATGTCAAGATGATTGTCACCGTCGGCGAGAAGATCCCACCCACTGTGCGCGGCGAGACCACGATCCTGGAGCACCTCCTCCGCGACAACATGCTCGACGACTTTTACCAGCTGGGCTCGGGATTCCAGCGCTACAATAAATTCCTGGCCTCGATGATGAAGCAGATCACCCACCGCTATCCGCATACGAGGATCCTGGAGATCGGTAAGTAGTATCGATTCATCAAGCCGCCTCAACCCACCCCTGATTACTGACATGCTTCCAGGTGCGGGCACCGGCGGCGCAACGAAATACGTCCTCAAGGAGATGGGCGACAAGATGGCGTCGTATACCTACACGGACATCTCCGTGGGCTTCTTTGCGAAGGCGGCCGAGATATTCGCCCGGTATAGCGACAAGATGACGTTCAAGGTCTTGGATGTGGAAAAGTCCCCGGCCGCCCAAGGGTACGTGGAGGGCTCCTACGACATTGTGATTGCATCCAATGTGCTGCACGCGACGGCATCGCTCCATACGACCTTGGTCAATGCCCGCAAGCTGCTCAAACCCGGGGGCTACCTGTTGCTGTTGGAGATTACCAACAACGAGCCCATCCGGACCGGATTCATCTGGGGCACGCTCGCTGGTTGGTGGCTCGGTGTAGACGATGGCCGTCCCTGGGCGCCGACGATTACCCCGGGCAAGTGGCATGCTTCCCTGCGCAAGGCGGGATTCTCCGGAGTCGACGCCGTCACCCCCGAGATTGACGGCATCGCATGGCCCTTCTCCATCATGGCCGCGCAAGCTGTCGACGATCGAGTGCAATTCCTGCGCCAGCCACTCTCGGCGCGCTCGCCCATGGTCTACATGGACCACCTGGTGATCCTCGGCAACAGAAGCCTCGCCACGGCCTGTCTCGCTGAGGAGCTGGCCGACCAGCTCCGCCGCTTCTGTGGCGAGTTGACCATCTTGGATGCGCTGCCCACCGAGGAAGAAGCCCTCGACATCCCCCCCATGACCACCTTCATCAATCTCGTCGATCTCGACGCGCCCCTTTTCAAGGGCCTGGGTGCAGAGCAGATGGACGGCCTGAAGCGCATGGTCGAGTTGGCCAAACATATCCTGTGGATCACGGCCGGTGCCCTCGTCGAGCAGCCCTACCACATGGCAAGTATCACCTTCAGCCGCGCCGTGCGTCGCGAGGCAGGCCACGTCAGCCTGAACCATCTAGACATCGCCGACCTGCAGCAGCCGGGTCTTGCAAAGGCCATCGCCCAGCATCTGCTGCAGCAGTTTGCACTGAACGAGTGGGAGACGGCCATTGGCGGAGACGGCCAGCCGGATCACCAGCAGATGCTGTGGTCCAAGGAGCCCGAGGCCTTCCTGGACCGCGGAAAGCTACTGCTCCCCCGACTGATGAGCAATGTCGACCAGAATGCGAGACTCAACTCGTTCCGACGTGTGGTCACCAAGGAGGTGCCACTCTCCGCCTCCAGTGTCTCTCTCGTCCCGCCCTCGGCTACATCCCCACCGTCCTTGGTGGAGCCCGCCTGCATCGCAACACCCCCCGGCGGTGCCCCTGGTATTTCCAGGGTTGATGCGTCCAGTCTGATGGCGCTCAGCGTGTCCCCGGATACATTCCTCTTCCTTGCCACCGGTAAGGACCATGCAACCGGTCGCCCGGTTGTCCTTCTCTCCACCACAAACTCGGTGGAGATGACCCCCATTATCGCCAGCGTTCCGGCCGATGTAGATGCCAACCGCAGCAGCGATCCTCCGTCCCAGGCAACGAGTCGCCTGATAATCGCCACTGCAAGTGAGCTTCTCGCGGAATCCTTGCTCCAGCATCTATCTTCCGGAAGCCACCTGCTGGTCCACTGCTCGGCCCAAGATCGATTCCTGGCCGCAGCGCTTTCCCGTCGTGCGTCTTCCCAGGCAGCAGTCCGGGTCAGTTTCACATATGAAGCAGACGACGAGAAGGATCTGGTCGACTCGTCATGGATCAAGTTGAGTTCGCGCGAATCACAATACGTGACGCGAAAGACGATACAGCGGGCGAACCCTACACACTTCTTGGACCTGACGGCGAAGCCCTCTGCCACACCGGGCGACATCAGTCTCCGCGTCGCTCGGGCGTTGCCCTCTGCTTGCCAGCGGATTCATCTGGCTTCGCTTGTGCGCGACAAATCATCATTCTTACCTTCCCAGTATGATGCCGAGGCGTTGGCCAGTCTCCTTGGAGATGCTTATGCGCGCGCCAGAGTATCAGAGGTTGCGTCTACCGCTCAAGCAGCGGTCCACGATCTCGTCGTGAGCGTGGACCACATCACCGCAGACACCCCTTGCCACACCACCAGTGCCGTCGACTGGCCCTCGGACGCGCTTGTCAAGGTCAACGTGCGCCCCTTGGAGGCCAGCGGCCTGTTCTCCAAGGACAAGACGTATCTCCTTGTCGGCCTCAGCGGCAAGATCGGACAGTCTCTCACGGAGTGGATGGTGTCCAATGGCGCGGGATGCGTCTGCCTGACGAGTCGTCGCCCTCTGATTGACGACCGATGGCTCCGGTCCTTCGCGGGAACGGGTGCAACCGTCAAGGTCTGCTCGATGGATGTGACTGATCTGCGCAGTGTCGAGAATGTCGTCCAGGAAATCCGAGCATCCTGCCCTCCTATCGGCGGTGTCGCCAACGGGGCCATGGTCCTCCACGACACCCTGTTCTCCAAGATGTCGACGGACAAGATGCAGCAGGTCCTCGCCCCCAAGATCGATGGCTCCAACCACCTGGACCGAGTCTTCTACAAGGATGATCTGGACTTCTTCGTCTTCTTCTCCTCGGCCTCCTGCGTCGTCGGCAACCTGGGCCAGTCCAACTACGCCGCGGCCAACGGCTACATCAACAGTCTGGCCCGACAGAGACGCAGACGCGGCGTCGCAGCGAGCACCTTTGACATCGGGCAGGTCGCCGGCATTGGATACATCGAAACGGCGGGCCAGGCGGTCATGGACCAGCTGGCGTCTCTTGGGCTGAGACCGCTGTCCGAGACTGATCTGCGTCAGGCATTCGCGGAGACGATTCGAGCCGGCCGGCCGGCCGCCGACGACGTGAACAGCACCAGCATCCCCGACGCCGTGCTCACGACAGGGATCCGCCACTTTTCCGAAGACGAAGACATCAAGGGGCCGTGGTTCGCCAACGCCTTCTTCTCCCACTGTGTGATCGACAGCAAGACCCAAGAGGTGGATTCGCAGGACCAGGACAAGAAGTCCAATATCCCAGCGGCCCGGCAGCTCATGAAGGCAACCAGCCGCGAACAAGCCCTTGATATCCTCCAAGGTAGGTACTTACTTCAATACTAAGATCCATTTCAGGTGGTTCAAGGGTTGCTTGTACTGGATATGATTTCTTTTTTTTTTCTTTTTTTTTTTTTTTTTTGGGTCATACTAACCGACTATGTGTACAGAATGTCTTGCCGCAAAGCTACGCGTCATCTTACAGCTGAGCAGCCAGTCCATAGACTACGACGCGCCGCTCGTCGACCTTGGAATCGACTCCCTGGTTGCCGTGGAGGTCCGCTCGTGGTTCCTGAAAGAGGTGAAGGTGGACATTCCGGTTCTCAAGGTGGTGGGAGGAGCTTCCCTGGCCGAGCTATGCCAACGCGCAATGGAGAAGATACCCGAGGAACTCCTCGCAGGCGTCGGCAAGCCCGCAGAAGAAGAACCACCCAAGGCTTCGGCGCCGGTTTCCCAGCCACAGCCCCCAGCGAAGGCTCAATTGCAGATCCCGCTTCGGTCTACCACGCCCGGATCAGGGCCCGCTTCGGAATCCAGTGCCAGCCCGTGCTTGACTCCAGGAACGCCCCTGTTCACGGACGGCGTCTCGAGCATCTCGATCACCGAGGCGTCGACGAGGTCCGCCTCCCCCGCGGAAGGCTCCAAGGGCTCTAAGGAGGTGAGTTCTCCTGCCCACTCCTATTTCCCACCCCCCCAGCCGGCGGCGGCGGCGGCGGCGGCGGTGGAGCGCCCTGCAAGAAGATTCATCAAGAGCGTACCCATATCCTTTGGCCAGTCGCGATTCTGGTTCCTCCAGCAGCTGCTGGAGGACCAGAGGACTCACAACGTGGCGTACTACTATCACGTCAAGGGTGACCTGAACGTGGACGACATGGAGAGAGCCGTGCGGGTTGTCGCTACCAGACACGAGGCCCTACGCACATGCTTCGTACCAGACGAGGCCGATGCAGCCCAAGCTTACCAGAAGGTCTTGCCTAGTTCCCCGATCCGCCTGCGCTGCAAGAAGATCAACTCTAAGTCCGACGTTGATTCGGAATACCAGAGGCTGAGAATGCAGGATCTCGACCTAGCCAGTGGCGAGCTGCTGCGTCTGGTGCTCTTGACGCTCGCGCCATCGTCCCATTATCTCCTAGTGTACCACCATCACATCATCATGGACGGCATCAGTCTGCAGGTGTTCCTGGCCGATCTGGAGAAGGCCTACAACGGCGAGTCTCTGGGCCCAGCACCACGACAGTACCCGGATTTCTCCGCGGCCCAGCGCCAGGCCGTCGACAACGGGGGCATGGAGGAGGAGTTGAAGTATTGGCGAGGCGTCTTCCCGGCTCACGAACAGCCCCCGATCCTCCCCCTGTTGCCCATGGCGCGCACAAGCTCCCGAGTGCCCATGGTAAAGTTTGACACCCACCAGGTCCAGCAGCGCATCGAGCCCACACTCGCGGCGCGCATCCGAGCCGTTTCCAAGGCGCAGCGATCCACCCCGTTCCACCTGTATCTGGCCGCCTTCAAGGCCATGCTCTTCTGTTTCACCGACGCGGACGATTTGACCATTGGTGTGGCTGACGGCGCCCGCAACGACCCCAGCGTGATGGGTAGTATAGGCTTCTTCCTGAACTTGCTCACCCTGCGCTTCCGCCGCCAGCCCGAGCAGTCCTTTGCCGATGCCATCGTCGAGGCTCGGAAGACCTCGCACGCCGCCCTGGAGAACTCGCGGCTGCCCTTTGACGTGCTCCTGACCAAGCTCAACGTCGAGCGCCGCTCAACCCACAGTCCCTTTTTCCAGGCATTCCTCGATTACCGCCAGGGACTCCAGGAAAAGCAGGCATGGGGCAACTGCCAGTTGGAAATGTCAGACGAGGTCCACACCGGCAAGACCGCGTACGACCTCACGGTCGACGTGACGGACGGCGACACCGATGCCGTTCTCATGTTCCGAGCGCAAAAGAGTATCTACGACTGGACGGCCACGCAGTTGCTGGGCGACACCTACGTGCACTTCCTCGATGCTCTCACCAGCAATCCGTCCCTCGTGATGAATGATATCCCGCTGTTTGGCGACGAGCAGCTGGCCGAAGCTGTCCGTATTGGTCGCGGTGAGTTATAATATCTGTCTGTCCAGCTATACGCTCCGTGTTCACGAATTGACCCCGTTCCCTAGGCCCCAAGCTGGTTTCGGACTGGCCGGAAACGCTGCCCCATCGAATCGACCAGGCTGCGCAAGGCAACCAGGACAAAGTTGCTCTCATGGACGGCACAGGTAAGGAACTCACATACCGCGCCATGACGAGCCGCCTCGAGGCGATTGCCGAGTCGTTGCACAATGCCGGGGTTCGCGCTGGCCAGCGCGTGCTCGTCTTCCAGCAGGCCACCGCAGATTGGCCCTGCTCCATGCTTGCCATCATGCGTATAGGCGCCGTTTACGTGCCACTCGACCTGCGCAATCCCATACCACGCCTGGCCGCCGTTGCCCAGGACTGTGAGCCGGCCGCGGTGCTCGTAGATGCCACGACGCTGGACGATGCGCCGCAACTTGGGGTGCCCTCTGCGCACATCCTCAACGTGGCTGGCATCGGGTTGGCGGCCTCGGCCCCTATCGTGAACCAGGCCCGGGCAGACTCACCGGCTGCAATTCTTTACACCAGCGGCTCGACGGGCGTACCCAAGGGCATCGTGGTCACGCACGCAGGCCTCCGGAACGAGATCGAAGGCTACACTAAGATGTGGAAGTTGGGCGCGGAGCGCGTGCTGCAGCAGAGCGCCTTCACCTTCAACCGTAAGTTACTTTCCCTTCCCTCTCTACCTGCCAAACGGCGATGTCGTACTAAATCTATCTCCACGCACACCAGACTCCTCCGACCAGATGTACACAGGTCTGGTCAATGGCGGCATGGTCTACATCGTGCCCTGGGAGAAACGCGGCAACCCGCTCGAGATCACCAAGATCATCCAACAGCACGGCATCACCTACACCAAGGCCACGCCGTCCGAGTACTCGCTTTGGATGCAGTTCGGGGGCGACGACCTTCGACGCGCCGCGGCCTGGCGTTTCGCCTTTGGGGGCGGCGAATCCTTAACCCCCGCCGTCACGCAAGAGTTCGCCGATCTCGAGCTTCCGCAGCTCCGACTTTTCAACTCGTACGGCCCAACCGAGATTTCGATCTCGTCTACGAAGATGGAGATTGCGTACCGCGACCAGGGGGCGCTCGAGCGCATGGGGCGCATCCCGTGCGGCTACTCCCTGCCCAACTACTACATGTATGCAGTGGACGAGCAGCTGCGGCCGGTGCCCGCCGGCATGCCGGGCCAGCTCTGCATTGGCGGAGCCGGCGTGTCCCTGGGCTACCTCAAGAACCAGGCGCTGACTGACAAACACTTTGTTCCGAACCCGTTCGCCACGGCCGAGGATATCGCCAACGGCTGGACGCGCATGTATCTCACGGGGGATATTGGCCACCTCGAGACAGACGGTGCGATGGTCTTCCGCAGCCGCATGGCGGGCGACACCCAGGTCAAGATCCGAGGGCTCCGCATTGAGCTGACTGACATCGAGAGCAACATTGTGGCCGCTGCCGGCGGCGCGCTCCGCGACGCCGTGGTCACTCTCCGCGAAGGCAACCCCGAGTTTTTGGTCGCCCATGTGGTCTTTGCGCCGCAGCAATCTGCCGGTATTGCCGACAGAGAGGCCTTCCTGCAGCAGTTGCTCCACAACCTGGCGGTCCCGCAGTACATGGTGCCTGTCGTGGCTATCCCTCTGGATGCGCTGCCGCTGACCAACCACTCCAAGGTCAACCGGAAGGTCGTCCAAGGTCTCCCGCTGCCGCAAAGAGCCAGGAGCTCCGATCCCGATGAAGACGCCGAGATGATGATGACCGAGACAATGGCCCGGCTTCGCGCATTGTGGCGGGAGGTCCTGGGCAAGAACATCGACCAGCTAGGGCTCGACATCACTCCGTCGACCAGCTTCTTCCTCGTGGGCGGCAACTCGCTCCTGATTATCCGCCTGCAAGCTCGCATCCGCTCCGAGTTCGACGTTGCCGTGTCGCTGGTCGACCTTCTCGGCGCCAACACCCTCCGCCAAATGGCCCGCAGGATCGAGGAGGCTGCCACTGTCAAGGTCCTCGACTGGGACCACGAGACCACTCCACCCGTCGTCCCCAGCTTCCTCCAAGCCGTCTGCTCTCCGACGGGGCCCGATCAAGCTCGAACGCCCGGCAAGACGATCCTCCTCACCGGCGCGACGGGCTTTCTCTCCCGGTTCCTCCTCCCGCAGCTCATCGCACGCCCAGACGTCGACACCATCCATTGCGTCGCCGTGCGCGACGCCGACAAGCTATCCTCGTCGCCCAAGATCGTCCCCCACACGGGGGATCTCTCGCTGCCGCTCCTCGGCCTCTCCGAAGACATGTTCCGCGACCTGGCGCGCACCGTCGACGTTATCCTCCATATGGGCGCCGCGCGCTCCTTCTGGGACAGTTACCATGTGCTGCGCGCGACCAACGTGCTCGCGACCAAGACCCTCGTGATGCTGGCCGCGCCGCGCCGCGTGCCGATTCACTACCTCTCCACCGGCGCCGCCGAGCACGACCACCCCCCCGCTGCCGACGGGAGCAACGGCTACACTGCGACGCGATGGGCGAGCGAGCGCATCCTCGAGCGCTCGTCGACCACCCGAGGCGTTCCGTCATACGTATACCGCTTCCTGCCCGCCGCCGCGCAGCGCAGCGCGCCCCCCGCAGTGCTCGAGGAGTTCCTGCGCTGCGCCGACCTCACCGCCGCCCTCCCGGACTTGCGCGGCTGGCAGGGCCGACTGGACCTCCTCCCCGCCGAGCCGCTCGCGCACGAGCTCTCCCGGGTCCTGCTCGATACCCCGGCTCATGCGCACCGCACGCAGGTCCGACATTTCGAGAGTCCGGCCACCGTGAGCGGGGCCGAGCTGGCCACGTATCTGGCCGAGCACCGAGGCAGCCGGGCTGATCTCCCGCGCGTTCCGCTGCTCCAATGGATCGGTCGTGTCAAGAAGTCCGGCTTCGTGTACTTCCTGGCCTCGCATGAGGCCACTCTGGACAAGCCTACCGATGGTCAGGGTTCTGTCAAGCTGCAAATGCACCGGTGAGCGAGCCGTTCGTACACCACCCCACGCTTACCTGGAGACAACGCTAGGGAATGTATTTCGTTTTGCTTTTGGTGGCTTCTGGTATTTTTGAATCATTGTACTTAGAGTTGAATTAGATTTTAGCAATTTCCATGGAACTATACTGTCACTTGTACTTTAGAACTATCCGCCGTGTGAGTATTCTTGCATACTCTTTCTATGCCAGACATATTCCGGCCCACAATAGGCAATATGCCCCAGGCTAGAGTTAGGGTTTCTTGCGCAGTTCACCCATATCTGATCCTGCTTGAGCTGCCTTGCGCAGCATGTCAGGTTGACCTTGTCACTTGGTGCTGAAGTTAGGAAGAATCCTCGGACACGGATGTCCTCTTGGACTACTACCGAAGGGCAGTAGAGTATGTGTGGGTATCCTACCTGTATTGTACCGCGCTGCCGCAGGACCGCAAGAATAGACTTAGGGTATGTATAAACCGGGCTATTTCGCTCTCGCCAATCGACTCCATGGGCTCATGCATCTAGGGGAATCCCGCAGTTTTCCCGCCACTAAGAGCACGACCAAGCAAGCATCCAACCGACACCCATCAGTATGCATTGGCAGGCTCTCTCGATCTCGCCGGCCCTGCTGGCTGTGTGTGGTTGCTGCCGAAGATGATGGCCCCGCTGGCTGGTTGCGATATGCTCGCGTTTCTTGCAATTCGCATTGCCCAGCGGAGCCTCCCTTCTCGCATCGTTACCTTGAATGCTACAGCCTCGAGTCCCATTGAGACTGCAGGGGGAGGAGCTCCAGAAGGGATTGAATGACATGTTTGGGAAGCAACTCAAGATCGCCCACTCCGGCTGCCAGACGAGCTCCTCCTCGATTGTCGTCGCAACTGTGGCTGACTACCGTCGACTGTGCAACGGGTCCGGGGGCGATCCCTGAGCTCGAGGAAGAAGACGGCTTTTGGCTCGGCGCGCAGGGCGACAGCGTTCACATCGTGGGCCAGAATAGTCTTGGAGCTCTGTACGGTGCCTTGGAGTATCTCTCCATGCTTGCGCAAGGCCATTTCTCCAGCGTCGCGTACGCCTCGAGTCCGCATGCCCCCATCCGCTGGGTCAACCAGTGGGACAACATGGGTGGAAGCATTGAACGCGGGTATGCGGGCCCGTCGATATTCTTTTCCGGGTAGGTCAGATCAAGCAGGATCTCTCCCGAGTCCAGGAGTACGCTCGTATGCTGGCGTCGGTGCGGATCAATGCGGTTGTGGTGAATAATGTCAACGCCAGAATACATCCTCGGCCACACGCCGTCCGTCTACATACCTGGATGGCCACTCGGCTCGACGCGTTACTTTCCCTGGCGTCAAGGTGGACCGCGGAGACCGGTTGAAGATTGTCGGGCAGCCTGACGGAGTGGCGCCTGCGCCGGTGGATTATGTGTCGTTTGTTCCTCGCGGGTTGGTTGATTGATTGGTGGGATGTATCTAGCCAGTCTATACATATCGAGTCGTGCGTATTCCTGGACGAGAAGTGATCTGGTTAATTAGGGATGATTTGGTTGTGGGTGGTGTCGTAATGCTGGAAAGTAGTATATATTAATATCCGACATCTTTTAGTACATGCACGCTCTGTTCTATTGTGGACATCTGAGAAATGCAATTTATATAAAACGCTATTATGAACTGTAAAAAGAAAAAAAAAAAGAAAGAAAGGAAGGAAAAAACTACTCCACTGCCCGACCCCAGCCACCTCCTCCCGCAGTCATGATGACAATCCGATCATGCGTCCGGACTGAAACGGTATTCTTGCCACCAATATTCACGGTGTGGTCTTCACCGGTCTCGAGATCCTGCGTGATCCAGAGGTTCAGGCCAGTCTCCGCAGGTTCCCCTCCCTCAAGGCCGTAAGGACGGTGCACTCGTCGTTCGGATAGAATCGAGCATTCCATGGGGGTAAGGAACTCGATCTCTCGGACGACACCATCGCCCCCAGGATGGAGGCCCTTGCCGCCTGATTCGGGCCGCAGGGTGAACTGGCGCAACAAGGTCGGATACCGCTTCTCGAGGATCTCCGGGTCTGTAATCCGGGTATTGGTCATGTGTACATGGACCCCGGACTCCCCGGTCCAGGTCGGCCCTGCGCCGCTGCCTCCCGCAATCGTCTCGTAGTAGCCGAATCCTGGGGTGACTTCGCCGGTCTCTGGGTGTTGCTTGGAATCGGTACCGAACGTGAGGTTGTTGCAGCAACCTTGAGACGCGGCACAGGCACGGAAGGCTTTGAGGACCACGTCCGTAATGCGCTGGGAGGTGACGACGTTTCCACCGACAACAGCGGCGTTCCTGGTAGGCGAGAGCAGGCAGGAAGGCGGAACTCGAATGTCGATGGGCGCCAAACAGCCTTGGTTGAGCGGCATGTCCGAGGCGATCATGCACCTAAGACAGTAAATGATGGCAGAGTGGGTGATGGCGATGGGGGCATTCCAACCTCCGTACACCTGTGGTCCAGTACCTTCAAAGTCAAAGATCGCAGAACCGTCAGATCCATTGATAGTAACCGTGAGGCGGATGGGAGTTCCATCATCCATGTAGTCGACTGCTTCCAAAGGCTTTCCACCGAATCTATGGTGGAGATCCTTCAGTAGATTGCGTACGGCGGTTTCAGCGGTGGCCTGAATCGCATACATATACTTCTGCACGGTGTCGACGCCATACTCGGCAAAGAGGGCTTGGATCAAAGTGATGCCACGAGTATTAGCGGCAATCTGCGCCTTCAGATCGGACAAGTTATCGCTAATGCATCTAGCCCCGGAGCAGCCTGGGTACTGTGCGGGCTTATGAACCAGAAGCTCAATCATGCGCTCCTCGTCAAAGACACCATTGCTCACGACCTTGTCGCCTTCGATGGCGGCCCCTTCCTGCCAGAGCTCAGTGGATTTGGGGGGCATAGAACCTGGCAAAATCCCTCCTATATCGGCGTGGTGGCCGCGAGAAGCAACATAGAACATGATCTCTTGACCGCCAGGTCTGTCGAAGACGGGGGTAATTACCTAGGCTATCAGTTAGTCGACTTTCTGCGGGAAAGGGGATTTATCTTAGCACACTTACTGTAATATCTGGCAAATGAGTACCACCGCAGCTAGGATGGTTGGCAACCAAAACATCCCCGTCCTTCAAATTTCCAAGCCATTTTTGATGTTGGTAGCGGACAGCAAACTGCATAGAACCCAGATGGACGGGCACATGGGGCGCGTTGGCCACAAGACCGCCATCGGGCGAGAACAGTGCACAGGAGAAGTCTAGGCGCTCCTTGATATTGGTCGAAACTGATGTCTTCTGGAGAGTTCGACCCATTTGCTCCGCAATGGACATGAATCGGTGGCCAAAGATACTCAGTCTGATGGTGTCTATACCAGACGAAACACCCTCTGGCGGCGTGGCGGTCTTGGCTTCTTTCAGGTCGATAACGATGCAAGTCTCCAAAATGCTGGCAACCGCGTCAGGCGCAACCACGATGGTTTGTGTTTTGTCGATTATGATAGCCGGTCCATGAATCCGAGAGTTTCTCTCGATCTTATCAAGGAGGTAAACGGGGGTGTCAATACGAGTTGATTGCCCATCAAAATAAGTCTTCGTAGAATTGTCTGGGGAGGTGGTGATGTCACGCATCGTAGCTTCTCGTAATTGTACAAGAGGACTTTTCTCATCGCGCACCTTCGACGACGCAATCGAGCGAACACGCACATCGTCAACGAGAACATCCCTGTCAGAGTTGAATCCAAACTCTCTCCGATGTCTAATACGGAATTCGTTTAGGAAGTCAGAGCCGTCTTCAGGCTCCAAAATCATCAGGCTAGTGTCGGAGCCGTCGTAGCGCATGTTCAGATAGCGCTCATGTCGGATTTGAGCTGCAGAGAATCCCTGCTCGATCATATCAGCGATCGAGGCGTCAGTCATGTCACCCAGCTTCCTCTCAAGGTCTCCTTTGGAGGTCTGGTATTTAGTCGAGACGGGTTCCTGGGATTCCTTCACCACCTCTGCCAAGGCCAGTCCGTACGCTGAAAGAACAGAAGAGAACTTGTGGATGATAATGCGGGATATACCGAGGGATGCGGCCACTGAGCATGCATGCTGCCCTCCAGCGCCACCAAAGCACGCGAGATGATGGGTAGCGGTCTCGTAGCCTCGCGCCTCAGTAAGATTGCGGATGGGACGGGCCATTGACTCGTCGGCCACCTTCAAGAAGCCCAGTGCAACTTCTTCCGCAGTATATTCCGATTGGCCCTTCTGCTTCCGCTCGGCATTTACAGTCCGTGTCAGCTCAGTGAACAGCCGTGTAGTGACTTCAAGATCAAGTGGCTGGTCCTCATTTGGACCGAAGATATGCGGGAAGAATTCCGGTAACAGGCGACCAAGGAACAGGTTAGCATCCGTGACGGTGAGCGGCCCTCCCTTCCGGTAGCAAGCCGGACCAGGGTGCGCTGAAGCAGATTCCGGCCCAACGTAGAACAGCCCGTTGCGCCAGTTGAGGATAGAGCCTCCTCCCGCGGCAACAGTGTTGATATCCAGCTGTGGCGATTGAATCTGGATACCGGCAAGCTTGGACCCAAACACATGCTCCAAGTGACCGTCAAAGCGCGAGACATCCGTGGACGTCCCGCCCATATCAAAGCCAATGACAGGAATCTTTTCTATCGGATCCCAGCTCGTGGCTGCAAAGCCAACAACACCCGCTGCAGGGCCGGAGAGGATAGCTTTCAGGCCACTAAATTTGCGAAAGTCAACCAAACCACCATCAGACTGCATAAACTCGAATCTACAGGAGTGTTGGTTGGAGAGCCCACCAGCGAAGCTCGAAGAGATAGAATCAATGTAGGTCTTAATTACCGGAGTTAAGTAAGCATCCGCGGCAGCAGACATGCCGCGAGGAACAATCTTAATCATGGGTTGTAATTTGGAAGACAGTGTGACGGAAAATCCCATGCTCTCCGCCATGTCTCCAATAAGGCGCTCATGTTCGGGATAAGCATACGAATGTACGAGAGCCACGGATAAGGACTGGAACCCTCGATCCTTCAACCGCTGAAGCTCGGGCCGCACTTTCTCAAGATCCAATGCCTTGACCACGCGGAACTTCTCGCCTGTGACTCCTTGGACGATGCGAGCCCCGGAAAAGCAGTCCTTGTCCGACAGAGGGTGGCACGGAACCACTCGCTCGTCAATCTCTACCACGGACTCCGGCAGGACGCCTGGCCGGGCCATTGATAGATCAAAGATATTGGGACGAGATTGATCTCCGATTTTCAAGAGATCCCGGAACCCCCTGGTGGTGAGCAAGGCAGAGCGAGCGCCTTTCCTCTCCAGCAACGCATTGGTGGCCACTGTCGTCCCCATTCGCAAGCTCCCAATCGGCCCCAGCTCTAGCGGCTGTCCTCTAGGGTGTGGCTTGCCTGTAACCATCTCCAGGATTTGGCGCACACCTTCGGTCGGGGCATCTTGATAATGTGCGGGGTCAACAGAGAGAAGCTTGAGAATGATGTCGGGATGTCCGGGTACAACCGCATGGACATCAGTAAACGTTCCACCTCGGTCGATAGAGATGGTAATCTTCCCGGTGCCAGCCATATTGTCGACGATCACCAAGGGCTTCTCGGGGAGGGGAAATGGAAATGACTGCTGAAGCTGAAGCTGACGCTGAAGATGGAGGGGAATGAGGGGACAATTAGTAATTGCTTACTGCCGTCCATTGCCGCCTTTGTATACTTCTTGAACGATGCAGAAATACATTTGGGAATAACTTCACAACCAGACATCTAGCACCCTGTGGTCAGCGGGGATTTACTCCTGGGTGGAGGTACTCTAAGACAATACCAACCAAAGGTGCGTACGATAGTAAAGGTATTCTGCAGGATGTTATTTGGTCAACAAGATGTATATCAAGAACAATCTGTTCTCACTATCTTAAGCTCCTCTTACACAGTGGCCTGCTGCTATCATCAAGTATCCTCTAGTAGACGCACATGAAGGTAGACTGTTTTAAGAGAGCGGTCTCAGGTCCTACTCTATCAAGCTCGAACTTCCAATCCCTGACTATATCGTTCGTTTACCATAGCATGCTGACTCTCCAGAGCTCAGCTTCTGGTACAGTGGCTGTAGTGGCAGTCCGGACGAAAGGATCATCATCAAGTTACCAAGTGAATAGCAGCATGCAAAGAGGTTAGGGCATTTGGAGGAAGCAGATGAGTGGATTCCGAGAATGAGTAGCTAGTGGATGATGTCTGGGCTGGGGGATCTGCAGTATGATCTCATACATCATAGTTTTATAGAGAATATGTGCTCTTCTTTAACTAGGGGTTAATATAAGCGATACAGGAAGAATCAAGGAAAGAACCAGTAGTTGAAAGAAGGTCTGGATTTCAAGAAATCGAGATCTGCTAAGCCAAGTACCTCACTCTGTATCAGATTATCAGCGCGGCCTGCACACTGACACCGGACGGTTGGATACAGCAATCTACAAGGCCAGCTGCGGGCAAACCCAATCCGAGCGAGTCATGCATACACTATCTGCATTCGAGGCCGGCTTTAGGAGGTAGTATTTGGGTTTAGGAGTCCCTGACTGCCACACATCACATCATCTCGTTCGGTACGAGGAACTCTACTTGCAGGGTGATTGGAACATGCTTGGAACGCTGCTTCCGCTTGAACTTCTCAAGAGAATTGCTTTTCGAAGTGTTATCGGTTGATTAATTGTCTGCCTGGTATTTCGAATGGAGTAAGGGTGGGACTGTCAAAACAATGCGCTAGGGGCTAATGGCGCGTCCAGTATGGAATTCCACGCTTCCTGTCGTCTTCTTTGCTTCGTATGATTCGGTGGCAGTGAAGTTAGAGTGGCGTAGGATACCCTAAGAAGACAGCACTAATAGCGAGAAACATGACCGACTTCGCGTGGCTCCCGGAAGCACTTAGTCTGAAGAGTTTCCAGATGTCAAATCAGCGGCCACGGAAGTATCTTGACGCGAACTGATGCATGCATTAGTGGGAATCTAATCTAAACGGGAACGAACGAGCAGTTATATCAAGCGAAAAGCAGGGATGGGAACCCGTATGTATGCGAGTCAGATGCACTAAGAAAGCCGGTTTTCAGTACTCCGGCTGGTCGAAAAGTCAAGTAATTGCCCCGTACCGAAAATAAGGCCTACGGTCCGATTGAGAGAATGGAACATTTAAAAAACAGTATCTATAAAAGTGCACGTAGTTTAGATGTTGTGCCAAAATGCTGTAACTGGGTAGGATTTAAGAGTCAACTCCTTGGTCAATACTTCTAAGTCAATGCAGTGCAACCCGACTGTCTAATCAAGTGCAGAAGATGGCTTATACTGTATGCAAAGTGGAGAGAATTTACCTATGAATGCCAGAAATCCTGTTTTTGAGAGTATATAAATCGAATCAGCACTACTGGTGTACCTCAAGCTGCTCTTCCCTTCTCTGCAGAAACAATGGACAGCTCTAAAGCATTAGAGTAACTGCAGGTCGCCGTAAATGGAAGAGAGATATTCTGGCCGACATAGGGAACTGTACATAGTCGAGCAAGTCAAGGATGGTGATCGTTCTGGGATATGGACGTACGGACGTTAGGGATGCCGGAGCTGTTGTGCTTCACGTCCATGCAAGTATAGTATGCGGCTACCTGTAGCCTTCCCGATGCAGAGACTGTCACAGCTTAATCGGTTCAAGGGCTTATGTCTTGCAGGGATTCTTGGGGGAAGATATCGTCCAAGTGTATGTGGAATGAGAATACTCTGATGATGAGGCGATTGCAGGCCACCCTCTCTTCTTGCACTAAACAGAATGGATAGGGAGGCCATGGATATCTACAGCTATAAATCTCACAAACCGCGCTACATCTTTCACTGATTCTCGCGCGATAACCACGTACGACCTCGGGCAAGATCCAGATATATACTTCAAGATCATTCCGCACACTCATATCCCACCAACATATCCTGAATAACATGGATCTCCACTGCCTGGACTTAGGACTTGGTCGTTTCACGGAGCATGGTATCATTTTTGTCCTACCTGGGCAAGTGGATGTGGAGCATCTTAGGCGCAGTGGAATAGCCCTTGTACAGGCATGGCCCATTCTCCAAAAAAGGATCAGCTTCTTGGTGAGAGTACCCCATGGTTTGTGCTTGGTTTCTTGCCAGATTCACGAGTTAACGCTATGCTTCATCAGCGTGATCGAGTCATTGACAACCACCAAGGGGAAGATCTGTCATTTTGGCAATCCAAGGAGATTGATCAGTGCTTGGGTGATTTTATACCTGATTTGGACCAGCAGCGGACAGGATTTCCCCATCCAAGATCACAAGGGATCCAGCATCTATTCAACTTTCACCCCTCTCTAAAAGACCTCTTAACCCCCCCGGTGTTTTCACTGAAGGCTATCCGCTTACAAGATGCGTGTTTGCTGGGGTTCCTCGTACAGCATACACTTTGCGACGCTTACGGTAGGTTCATCCTCCCTGGGTATGCGAGGTTCGAGGCATCCATGTAATTCTTGATTAGGACACTACAGGATTATTTCGGCCTATTGCTCCATTGCAAAAGGAGAGGGAATCCCCCCCCTGACAGACCGTCCACCCCTCGTGCTGGCTGATAATTCCCATAGTCAACGGGAGATATGCAAGGATGAAACCTATGCTCCAGCACGGCTTGCAAAGCTTCAACTGAACGTAACCCAAGTCGGATGGCGAAGTTTTCTTTCAGCTGGCATCAGACAATTCTGGGGGCCCTCGCGAAGCGTAGAGAGAACATTGCTTATTCCAAATGAGAAACTCAACATATTGCAGGAGGAATGCATAAAAGCCGGGGTCAAGGTTACGACCCAGGACCTAATGATGGCTTGTATATATCAGGTCTGTGAGGGAGCACAACACCCAGAATGCCTTGACAAGAAGGACTAACTGGAGGGACAGGCGAGTACTGCAGGCCCTTCGTGCAAACAACTCGGGAAAGAAAGTCACGGCTTTCCACCTTTCAGTTTTGTTATGACCATTCGAAGGCAAATCGCAGGAGACTCAGAGCTTCACAACCCATTTGTGGTAGTCGCAGTGCCAGCACCAAAAATCACCCCGAGCTCCGAGATTTCTACGATTATCTCCTTAGCAACACATATTCGTTCGACAGTCGTGAATGCCCGTTCCCTGGAATGCCTTAACCCGCTTGTCAACCAATATCGAGATGCCCGCGGTAAGCCACTTATTCTGAGCTCCCCAGTGCCGGTTACGTGGGTAAGCTCGTGGACACATCTCCCTTGGTATGATCTTGAGCTTCAGACCGGGAAACAGGCGACAGCGCGTCCTGAATACATGCAGGGTTTCCTCAGATCCTCCGGGGTGCTCAATAATCTCGGCCAAAGAGTGGAAAACTTACTTTTCACATGGAAAGACCCGCGGAAAGGGATATGGATCTATGGCAACGTGGAGGAAGAAGTATGGAATGAATTGAGCAAGCAACAAGTATAAGAGCGGTAATCATCCTGCTGCAATTTTGCCAGTTGGGACGCCTTCAACGGCGTAGGGCTGGACACGACATGCAGGTTGTCTTTTTGTCTTTTGTCTTTTGTTTTATTGTATCCGGAATGCTTCCAGAATGAATCCAGACACATTTGAAATCCTGCAATTCCGTTCCCCTAGCTAGGATTCTTCGCTGAGCTCTACATTGATTTCATTGGCTTGTTGTGCCTGGTGCGGATATCTCCCAACACTTTCAGTACGACTGAGGTAATCCTGATCCGAGCGATAGCTCTGCGTGCGGTCACTGGAAACTCCTCGCAACCGCATCAGCAGTGGTCGAAGGGTGGCCACTGACGAGGCCGTAAGAGCTATCCCAATCTCAAGGTGCGAGGTAAGAATAAGACCGATATTGAAAAAAAGGTTCTTGGGGTCAATCAGATCATGCACATAGGCAAATCTTGGCCAGGTTGCAATGCTGGCACTGTCGACTGCAAGTTAGTGGACCATATATGTTCTTTCCTCCGAGCAGTGGACAGAGTGTTAACATACCAGGAGCCGAGCGCCAGGAGAATCCAAACACAAACCTTGGTACGGAATCCAAGAGGCAGATGGTGAACTATGAATATCGGGACAAGAACGAGGACCAAATCGCACGCACTAACAACCGCCGAGTGTGCATAGGTGACCTTGATAGTGCCAGGTCGGTTACAATTTCCCTGGGGGTCCCAGAAGGCAGACACGGGTTTGCACTGGAACAGGGCAAAAAATAGCAGAAAGATGCTGTAGGAAAGAGTTACAGCGAAGACGCCATACAGAGGGAAAGTGTGTTTACGCTCCAGGGTGAACCGGAGGAGAAACAGGCAGATGGACAACTTGACCAAACATGTTGCTATCACGTAGGACGCCTCATATACAAACAAGAGCTGGAGGCAATAGAATATCTCAGCGAGGTCCCGGGTTCACGTAGTTGAGGAGTACTTGCCTTTAAGCCCACGACAAGCGTTCTATGAGAGAGAGACATCCACATGTGTCCAAAACTACCAGTTCCAACGCCAATTAGGAGACAGATAGAGCCCAGTATGAAAAAGACCTTTTTTTCCACCGTATTCTTAGATCATGAGCTGATCAAGGAGTCATTTTCCGCGGCAGACATACCAAAGAAGCCACTGATAGAGCATCATCTGCTCCAAAGCCCCCCGTTATCCTGAGCCGCACATAGCACCGGAGAGCAACAGTGGTGGCTGTAAGAAGAAGAAAGAATGTGACAACCACAACCAGTTGGGAGCCCTGACTACTCATCCAACCGAAGTGATAGTGCTGTTGAAATCCAATCCGAGCTCACATTGGTAACAGTGAATTAAGGAGGACGTTCTGGTTGATTCTTGTCCATTTCACCCGTGAGTTACCTAGTTGCTCCGTAGTTAGAAGATGATGATGACATACCCCGGATTCAGACGGCAGCTGAGCACGGATCATACCAATCAGATCCGAATAATGAGGTTGGAATTCGTAAAGCTATGATTGGTGCTCTCAAGGTATCACCCAAGATCCAGGAAGTATGACGGAGGCCAGCCAAAGAAACCCTAACTTGGACTCCAGTTGCCTCTCGCAAAACACCACCAATCCCGCCTTTTATAGCTTGAACAGTCCTCTAGATCCCGGAGAACGCGAGGACATTGCATCGCGAGCATATCCCGTGGATTGACTTTCTGATGATAGACAGTGCTGGGCTATTCTATAGAAATGACCGTACTCCGATACATTTACGCTCTGGAATCCGTTCCGGAAGCAGATTAGTGCCCTATGTATTCGCCTCCATTACGACGGAATCCGCTTTCGACGGCATGTTTTTCGTCATCCACGTCGTCTTTTGTTCCTTGCTCATCTCCCTAGTTGAGTCCCTGTCTGCCATAGCAATCCTTCGAAATGGCGTCTTTCCTCCCCCGTACCCCCTTCCGCGTCTTCAGTGCGCTGTCCAAGGCTGCTCCATGGACTCAGACCCCCTTCTCGACGTCCCTCTCCCAGCCGCTCCTCCGCCGGTTCCTCGCGACCATTCCCCAAGAACAGCCTCGTCTGCGTCTCGGATCGACCGGTATAGCCTGATTTGGTACCTGAGAACCCTCCTTCCCCTCCAGTGCTAATTGCGCCTCTAGCCCCGAACTTCCAGGCTCTGACAACCCATGGCGAAATCGATTTCCACGACTGGATCGGCGACAGCTGGGCCATCCTCTTCTCCCATCCCGCGGATTTCACGCCGGTCTGCACAACCGAGCTCGGCGCATTTGCCAGAATGAAGGACGAGTTTGCGAAGCGCGGCGTCAAGATGATCGGACTGGTACTTACTTTCCCCCTCCCTTTGCACCCTGGGCTAACCTGAGATCCGCTAGAGCGCCAACGACCTAGGCTCCCACGACGAATGGATCAAGGACATCAATGAAATCTCCAACACCAGCGTTCAATTCCCCATTATTGCCGATGCGGACCGCACCGTCGCGTTCTTGTATGACATGATCGACCAGCAGGAACTGGATAATCTCGCCGAGAAGGGTATTGCGTTCACGATCCGCTCCGTCTTCATCATCGATCCCGCAAAGAAGATCCGTCTCACCATGAGCTACCCGGCCTCCACTGGTCGTAACTCGGCAGAGGTTCTCCGCGTGATTGATTCCCTGCAGACGGGCGATCGCAAGGGGATCGCGACTCCGATTAACTGGCAAGTGGGCGAGGATGTCATTGTGCCTCCCTCCGTGTCGACCGAGGACGCGAAGAAGAAGTTCGGGGAGGTCCGCGAGCTGAAGCCCTACCTCCGTTACACCAAGTACTAGGTAGATCGTGTAGGAAGAAAAATGTACTTCTAGGGAAGGGGGGGGTTAGAATAAAAGCTACCAGAATGGATGTAATTGTCATTCCGTATCCTGTGGGATTGATGTATGCATGCAAAGTATGATAGTTCTACCAGGGCAGAAGCAGTGCAGCCCCCGCTACCGCAGAAATAGCCAGCAGCCCGACCATCGCGTTGACTTGCCCCCAGCCACCCGTTTGTCCCGGACTGAGTCTCTCCGCGGCACTGCTAGGACTCGCAGAGGAAGTCTCCGCCGCATTGCTCGACGTTTGAGTTGATGCAGCCGTCGCCGTAGCGCTTGTCTGGTGCACGAGATAGACCGGAAACATCCTCGTCGCTGCAATCAAGTTGTCGCTTGTTATATCGCTCGGCGCGATCGTCGCACGGATGGTCGACCCATTGACTACAGCGCACGCAGTCGAGATCGTATACGACGGCAAGAGGGAATAGCACTCCCCGTCGAAGCCCATAGACATCGAACTAAGCCCGTTCGTTAATGATCTGGATTTCGGCGGACTCGCATCCAGAGCCTTTACCTCGGACAGCAAATCACCGCCGTCTCCCTGGGTTCCAACAACTGCGGAATCATATTATGTGCCAGCGGGAAATGCGGCGCCGGCTGGGTTCCTATCAGCGAGAACGCCCCGGTTTCCGTCCAAGTATCGGTGCCCGGGGGGCGCGAGGCAACCCCCAGTGTTTTCCAGCCCGAGGGGCAGACCATGCCCGGGGAATAGAATGGAATCAAATGTCCGCCGCTGCCATCGACTGTGATTGCGCTCTGCAGCGCGAGCGGATCGGTTGGTGTTGGCAGGCAACTGAGGCGTCCCTCGACCGTGCACTCCACGGGCCATGTCGCGTACAGCGGTTCGGAATTGGTTCCAAGGTCGACGAAGCTCGGTGTGCCGGTGCATGAGGCTGGAGCGACGTAGGGGGTTGTCAATGGACCCCAATTCGTGAACGTAAACCACGAGAGGCTGTCGGTTGTGCGCATGATTTCTGGTTTGGCCGTGATACTACTAGAGTAATGGGTTATAGTTAGTGAGGCTCAACAATGACTGGAAATCTTGTTTGTGCAGAGACGTTGCGAGGCCCCTGAAAAGAAAGCAGGGTAATATAACCTCGTCTATATGTACATGGATTAGAGTCTGCAGGATTACTCTTGTACTCCGTACTTGTAGATCACTCCAAGGGTCGAGTGTCTTGCAATTATACAACCCAATAGAGGGCATCAGACGATGTTGGAAATGCTACGAAGGCAGCGCCAACGCCCAGTAGTGTCAAGCCCTCACGGCATGAGGATGTTTACTTGGTTAAAAGCCGCACGATCGACAGTCTAGTGAGCTGGCATCTGCCACTTGCGGGATGAAAAGGGGTCATCAATTGCACGGCTTCTTCAAGCTGGCGAGACGGACCGGGGCACTGAAAGCCCTGACTCCCAGCTAGCCTCGTTGGCTTCGTATCTACGCATATTGGGTAACTGTTCCCGCTACTAATCGATTCGTGGTAATCGTACGAAAAGACGTTATTCGCTGGATTAGTGAAGTACATTGCTCTGGCCGCGCATCGCCAATACCGCTGTTACGCTATATAATCTTTTGATCTCCTCAGTAAACCTGGAGAACGCCCGCTGTACTCCTAATGATACGCTTGAAGGGCTCGATCACTTATAGACCAGCACCCTATTTAAAGTTACAAGACTCTAGGGTCTTCGTTGCCTGATACCGGGAAGTCAACCGACTTTTGTTCAATGGCATCACTCCCCGGCCATACACGTCATGCAAACGATCGATAGTACAAAATCTCGCCTGGACTCATCCGCTATGACCCGTATTAGCGAGCTCGTTCTACACCCTGCTGTCTGCCATGTCAGACCAGACACCCATCAGGATTGTGATCGTAGGTGGTGGCGCGGGGGCAATCTCCGCAGCGACACGGGCTCGCCGTCTGGGTGAAAATGCATCTATCATTGTTCTCGAGAAAGGGTCCGAAATCAACTCTGCGAACCGTAGTGGCTCAGACGCCCGAGGCGAGGCCGTGAAGAACGAAGAGTCCTCGGCCTCACAGTCTGCAGCAGTGTTGGAAACCCGCTTCAATATCGATGTCAGACTTCGGAATGAGCTGCTCCAGATCTTCCCAAGCCAGCATGAAGTTGAACTGCGCGACCTCGACAAGAACACGACCTCTGTATTGGCTTACGACAAGCTGATCCTATCCCAGGAAGCCCAGCGCTTTCGGCCACAGATCAAGGGGATTGACCAACCTCACGTTTTCACATTGCAAACCATTGCAGATCACCAGGCTGTAAAAAGCTATATCCTACAGCACGGATGTCAGTCGGTGGCAATTATCGGCGGGGGACGCATCGGACTTGCAGCTGCGGAAACCTTTCGCCTACTTGGGCTCCGTGTTAGTATTGTGGAAGCAGCACCGCAGGTATTCGCACCGTTTGACAGAGATCTAGCTGAGGTGCTACACGCCGAGCTACGGCGAAACCAGGTGGACCTCCATCTCAGCGCGCAAGTGAGGAAGGTTGAAGCAAGCGCCGTCCTCCTCGAAGATCAACCATCTGTCCCGGCAGATGTGGTGCTTGTCGCCGCAGACGGACGCCCCGATTGCGACATTCCCAAGAAAGCAGGCCTCGCCGTTGGGAAGCAAGGCTTGTCGGTAAATGTGTTCATGCAAACTTCCCAGCCTGAGATCTATGCCGTGGGCGAGATGGCGGAAACAGAAAATCGCATCTCGCATCAGCCTCAGAGACTGACCTCGGGGGGTCCGGCAAGTCGTCAAGGTCGCCTGGCTGCCAACCATATATTCGGGAGAGCTACTCCGTACCCAGGCAATCTAGGCACCGTTGTCTGCAAGGTCTTTGACTTCACTGCTTCAGTGACGGGCTTATCAACCCAGGCCCTTCGGGACTTTGGCTACTCGCCGCTCTGGGTAACTGTTCACCCTCCTGACATGACCCTCCGAGTAGCCTTTGAACCTGGAAGTGGGAAGCTTCTCGGTGGACAAGCTGTCGGACGTCAAGGTATCGATCAGCGAATCGACGTACTTTCTCTGGCTTTGCACGCTGAGATGACTATTTTCGACCTGGAGCATGCAGAGCTGGGCTACGCACCAGCCTACAGCTCTGCCAAAGACCCAGTGAATCTGGCTGGATTCGTGGGCAGCAACATGCTTCGGGGAGACTTGAAGATCATCCACCCAGAAGACCTACATCCAGCCCGGAACGAATTCCAGGTTGTCGACGTAAGATCACCGGCCGAATTCTTAGCAGGCCACCTTCATTCGGCGGAAAACATCCCCATCGATGCTCTGCGAAAGAGGGCATCGAAACTCAACAAGCACCGCGCGGTCCTTGTATACAGCTCCGCCGGATACCGTGGTTACCTCGCTTATCGGATTTTGCACCAGCTTGGCTTTTCGGCGTTGAATCTAGATGGAGGGTTCAAGGTAGTTACCGAGGGAGGATTCAAAGGGCTGCAAACTATCTACGACCACTGAGGAGCTATGCCATGATGTATCTATCTATCTATCTATCTTGCTAGTGATTCTGTTCTCTACTCGTGTTTCCACTGAGAGCTGCTTCTCGTAAACCTAGAGTTCTGAACCCAGTTTTTCTTTTTCATGGTGCTCCCCGAATCCCCGAGAATAAACCTTGGGTTAGAATTCCAGATTCCATTGTATGTATCCAGAACCGGCGGAGGCAAAGTGGAATGATTGTCACGCAACCCGGAGGACAGCTCTGTCAGGACTTCATTAAGATGTGCAAGTGTGTGTGTGCATGGATACTCAAGGCCGAGCATTAAAAGGCTTGAGAGTCCCCGATCACGCAACCCAAATCTATATTATATCGAGAATAATGAATGACACAATGTCAGCGTCCACCTCATCTACGTCGAGAGACACCGAAGGAAGTCATTCCACGGGGTCTGCCTCCTGGCATTTCTCATGGCACCGTATTCTTCCACTGCTGAAGCGCCACGACCATGAGGTCGAGTCAGATGAAGAACCTGCCGAATACCCACCCGGAAGCCAGAACCAACAGCGACGACGGCCATCCCGGGATGCGCGCAAAGAGGCAGCTGCTTCCAGCCACATTTCTTCCCGAACGGGCTCGTCCCTACCGTCGCAACCGGCGCAAGAAGAGTCGTCGACGCGGCCGCGGCGGTTCAGCCCGGTGGAAGAATCACCAGAAACAAAACATCGATATGGCGATTTACCACTCGTTCAAAGCCAGGATATCCAGAAGCATACGATGAAAACGAATCTGATTCCACTGCATTGCATCGCAGAGGATCTGATTGAGCACAGCATCGCGTTCCGAGCCCGCGTGCATACCGTTCGTCGAATGAGTGCAAATCTCTTATTCCTGCTGTTCAGAAGAGAGATCACCACGGTCCAGGGCGTGCTGTCGACCACGCCCGGGGTTTGTTCAGCGCAGATGGTCGAGTGGGCAAGACACCTCAGCAAGGGGACCATTGTCGAAGTGCATGGCGTTGTGTGCCAGCCCCAGCATCCCATCACCGGGGCAACGTTTCCCACGATGGAGGTCTGTGTGGAGAGGCTCTATGCAGTGATTCGATGCGAGGAGAATATCCCGTTCAGTGTGTATGAAGCCGAGCTGTGTCCCGAGGAGCTGAGAGGTGCTCGCGATCACTGTCCAGTGATCCCAGATCATACTCGGCTGCAGAATCGCATCCTGGATCTCCGCACGCAGACGTCGCAATCTATCTTTCGCATCCAGGCGGCTATCTGCAAGCTATTCCGGGAGTGCCTGGACCGGCAGGGGTTCCTTGAAATCCATACGCCGAAATTGCAGAGTACGGCAACAGAGTCCCGGGCGAGTGTGTTCGGCGTGCAATATTTTGACCGTACTGCATATCTTGCGCAGAGTTCACAGCTTGCGAAACAGATGGCCATCGCAGCAGACTTTGACCGCGTGTATGAGATTGGCGCAGCGTTTCGTGCTGAAAATGCCAACACCGCTGGACATCTTACAGAGTACACTGGCCTGGATATCGAGATGACTATTGACCATAACTATCACGAGATGCTGGAAATCTTGGACTCGGTCTTGAAGAATATCTTTGCCGGTATCTACCAGGACTATCGTCGGGAATTAGGTCTCGTTAAAACGCAGTTCCTCTGCAAGGATCTGGTCTGGCTAGATCGCACGCCTATCCTCCAGTATAAAGACGCCATACGTCTTCTCAATGACTCCGGCTGGTTGAATGAGGATAGAGCGCCTCTATCAGATGATGAAGGTCTCTGTGTCCGAGATGAATTGCGCCTCGGAGAGCTGGTAAAAAGCCGTTACGGAACCGATTACTACATCCTGGACAGATTCCCGAAATCAGCGCGCCCATTCTACACAATGCCCAGTCCTCTGAATCCCGAATTCACGAATTCCTTCGATATGTTTGTTCGAGGGCAGGAGATTGCCTCAGGCGGGCAACGCATCCATGACTTCCAGATGCTGAAACAGAGCCTGCAAGCCGCAGGTATTCAAGAAGTAGACCTGGAAGAGTACATGCAGGGGCTGAGATTGGCAGCTTCACCGCACGCCGGTGCCGGAATTGGCCTGGAGAGGCTTCTCATGCTCGTCCTTGATCTGAAAGACATTCGACTCGCCTCACTCTTCCATCGTGATTCAAAAAGCTTTCCAGCGACGCCTTCGCGGGCTGAGCTCCGCCACCCTGGAGCGTCCACTCTGCGGCTCGCTGGACCGAAGAAAGAGGCACTGGAAACGGCACTGCCACTTCCGGCGTTGGAAGACCTTGTTGCAAACTATGGCGACGCAGCCTCGACATCCTGGTCCGAGGCTCGATACCAGATCTGGAGAGATCCGGCCACGGGAGCTGCCATTTCCTATGTGCCGCTAAACGGCCGGGTGATCATCCCTGGAAATCCGCTATGTGACCCGGGCCAAAGCGAGGACACTATTCAAAGCTTCTTGGTCTGGTTGAACCGTCATCATACGAAGCGCAAACCGATCTGGATGCTTATCTCTGGGCAGGTCGAAGCCTTCCTATGTGACAAGCTGGGGTGGTCAAGCTTCTCCTGCGTGGCCGAAGACCGCATTACGCCGGCTGCCAACTCGGCTGCCTCGATGCACCGGGATCTGGCGCGGAAGCTGCAGCATGTCAAACACGAGGGAGTCAGGGTCATCAGTCTCCCCCAGGGCCAGAGTCCCGACGACGACACACGAGGTCGAATCGACCGACGGATCCAAGACTGGTTGCAGACCAGCAGTCACGGAGACCAAATGCATCTATCGCGAATCGATCCCTGGCGCGATCCGTCGCACCGGTGGTATTTTTACGCGGTCGATAGACAGGGCGTTGTCTGTGCGTTTGTTGGACTTGCAATGCTCGCAACATGGAATGGCTGGCAAATCAAGTACAGCTGGGACTTCCCCGACAGTCCGTCCGGGGCCATTGAATGGGTCATCAACCATGCTATTCAGACCGCAGCCTCCAAGGTCGGGGGGAAGTCTTTCACTTTCGGGCCGGGGGCTACCGCCAGGTTGAGACCGGGCCATGTCGCAAAGGGGAACAACATCACTGCCCTCGAGCACACGTACCAGGCAGTGGTTGCACAGTTTCACCTTACTCGGAAAAGCGAGTTTCGATTCAAACTTGGCGCATCGGAAGATCCGCTGTGGATTGCATATCCCCGCGGAGCCCTTGGGTCTCGAGGCATTCGGGCTATTCTGGAGTTTTTCAAAGAGTAGATAGATTGACCTCTCCGACACCAGCAGGCACGTCTAGCCATGCTAGGGTGTTAGATTCAACGAAACCGTGTGTGGATGGATGGAATACGCCCGCTGTTTGATACGGTTTCTAGATTAGGGCTTTTCGTGCGAGGAGGAGGATTAGGGCTACCTCGGGTCAATCCTCGCTTTCTTCCGCGGGGATCAGAATAATACGAGTTGCTATTGACTGCGCCGGATTACGTTGTTGAAGCGCGTTTATTGGCGGGCACTGCAAGTGTCTACTACTCAAGACATTTTGATCCTGCCCGGCGAAGGATGGCCCGTCACTCCAAGTGATTCGAGTGCCAGTGCTGTAGGTAGAGGAAGAAGATGTACCTTACAGCCGAGCTACGGTAGTTCACTCAGTAGAATTTCTGAGCATGCCATATATGAAGTTAACCCTAGATACAATCCACGTCATCCGTGGTCTTTGTTATTACACGTCCATTCTATGATCCACCGGAGTAGAATCCATAGTCACCAGCCAGATGCGCCGTCGGGGCCTTGCCGGATTGGCTTCCCTATAGTCCAGCACTACATCACGGTAGAATCAGCATACAGAAACGCAAACCAGCGGCGACTCGAGGAGACAGCGCTCACAGTGTTGTACAAGCTGGCAAACATCCTCCCTGGCCGGCGTCCAGCCGAGCTCCATTTCCACCCCCCGTTTAGGATACGTGCACTCAACATGAACCACGCGGATCTGTCTTTCCCGTCCACTGGCTTTATCCCCTTGTTGGCGGCTATCGGGTCTGTGGGCGTTGGAGAACAGAATGAATTCGCGGTTATGGACACGCGCGGAATTCAACAACTCCAGCTGGTTTTCATGTTCGGTGCCGAAGAGAGCCTTCGACATGATCTTTCCGACAAAGTACCAGAATGGCCAGGGCCTGTGGAAATCATAGCTGATTCCGATGACTGACCGCATGATCCCTTCGAGTCTCTTGTCGGACAGTCTATCCGTAGAGCAACATGGTTAGCTAGGGCTTGTCCTCGGGGGGGGGGGGGGGGAGGAGACTATGCACCGAAGCACGAAATGGGTACTCTCCCTCAAGGGAAATCTACCCGGCTGGTCATTGCATTTAACAGGCACGGTAGGCACCACGGCTGTGATAGCCTGATGCTCAGGGAGAGTCCTGTCCATATTCTTTGCTTCCCTCGCCCTGTTTCTCTCCGGGTATTCCCTGGTGGAGTGGATAGGGATTCGTTTCAATAGAAGTTCAGTAGGTATGTATTATATTAGCCTACACCAGCCAGAACAGGACGGCAGGGTGGGTAGGTAAGACAGGAAACAAAAATCGTAGATGAAGCCGGTTTGGGATGTGAGCGTATCCCGGTATATATAGTGCAGTCTAGAAAACTTCTCAATGACAGGCCTATAAGTTCCAAAAGCATAAGTAGCTGTCAGTATTCAATCCCATTGAACTTGGCCTTGCCCATCACGGCTTTCTGATATTCACCGTGAGGACCTATTGCTGCCTATTGGAACTGCCCTGATGCTACGAAAAGAAAGTCAAGCAATCATATAAACACCCCCTTCTCTCTTTTTACCCTCCTACGCATGACTCGACCTACAAGAGTTACTCTATTACTCAACTGCGGGTTTCGCCTTGGGTTATAGAAAGAAGCTCTTATGAAGTATACATGCCGGGCAATATTTCACCCCGACATATAGTTCAGCCTCGCCACACTGGCTACAGACAGACTATCATCTAGCTATAAGTGAGACACTCCACACTCCATTCAACCGTTAAGACAGGGGACTAAGGGGCTCCCTCCCTCTCCTTCAATCAAGCTGAGCCATCCGGATATAGCCCCAGGTTCATCGTTATAGTCGTCCTACAACGCTGCCCCAAAAAATTGGAGAACCTCCACACCCCTCAAACACCCTCCCATGAATCGCAAATATATCCAGACCAAGTTAGCCGAAGAGAGAACTCTCCTCAGCCATTCCGAAAACTACGCCACAGACCAGCCCAGGGCCGTTGCAAGATGGGCCCGAGCGTCTGGAGGGGAGCCGCGAGGAGCGCGACGCTCCATCAGCAGTGTTCTGCAGGAGGAGGCCGGGCGTTCGATCAGCGGTACGGGGGGTTATCGAGGTGGTTGTCTCAGAAATGAAGGCCGAATGGCCAGGTCTGGAATGGCGGGATTACGTGGTGTCAAATGATTAGTGTAGCGCATCGGAGTAACTAGGGCTTGATGATCAAGGACGAGGCGAGCGAAAAGATATCCATCCCCACCACCCACGCTCACGCCCACGCCTGGGAGAGGGGCCTCGATAGCTGGGTGATACCGGGTTTCTAGGGTATTGTTCAGTGCACTCTTGGAGAGAATGATTCCTGCGATAATTTAACTTGTATGGCATGTTCTTCTCGGTCAGAGCTACATAACAATGTGCTTTATTTTTCCCTGCCTTCAATGAAGGGACATGGATGCCTAATCCAATGGCTCGACTATAAAGAACATGCTAGTAATAACAGCATGGACGGAAATGCTCCTACGGAGACGCACGCCTGCTAACACCCGGGAAGAATACTGAGAATGAGAAAGTAGTAGCGGGGAGACATGAATCCCAGGTCCCCAATGGATCATCAGCGTAAAGCCTCCAGCAGCGTACCGTATATGCATCGCCAAGGGAAATATCATCCAGAAATGCCGTACCCATATCCCCTGGCACGAGATACGGGTTTCCTGGATCGGGTGTATTACTTGCAGCTGCCTCTAGCCTCCTCGCACAGGTCACTAGACTGTCCTGGAGGCTTTTCTTGAGAGTTTCACTGACATTTAACCGGCCTGTCAAGGTGTCCACCTTGGCTAAAACGCTATCTTTCGTGGTGTTGGTTTCACCGAAGTGGATCCGCATCAGACATGAGGGGACGGACTCGGGGATCTTCATACCGTCTGCGAGGCAATGGAGACGCGGACCCGGAAATTTCCTCTGAGACGCGGGTGAGTAGTTCATCGCAGATAACACCTGCCGCTTCCATGGGTATATCACGGAGAAACCATCTGGTTGTGAGTTCGTATAGTTTGCTTTGGAATGAGCTGGTCGACTGCCGGTATCATCGTGGGTGGTGTGGAGGACGGAGGATGCTTCTCGATATGCGTCTAATAGCTCAGCCCTAATACGCAGGACATCGTCGTAGGTTTGTGCCTGTAAAGGCGGGACCGAAGCAGAGCTATGTGGAATATCGAGCTCAATCTGATCATCGTTTAGGGTTCTCGGAGATGAGCAGGCATAGTAGCCAGGTTGAAGAAGCGGCAGACCACCTGCGTCCATGCTAGTCTGGACAATCAGCTCAAACACAGTGGCCCAAAGACGGCGACGCAGCTCACCTGAGAGCGTTGACGGTCGAGCTAGATGGCGTGAGTCGGGATGTAGACCATGCGCATCGTAGCACGTACGAGAGAGCCCGTAGACTCCCAAATCACGTAAAATTCTGACAATACAGGCTGTTCAACCATCAGCTCGTCGTTAGAGCTCGGGATAGCTTGTTTTGAGAAGCTGACTTGGATCGCAGCGTCCTGCATTCGCGAACTGCAAGAACCTCTCTAGCATCTGCTCTAGATGCCCAACGCGATCTGTCAACACCCGGGTTGAATTTGATCGAGCCGGGCTGGGTGTAACATCATTGGGATTACTGAATCCGAGCGCGAGAGAAACACCAATCCAAGAAATATTGGACGACGTCTCATCCCGGAGCTGGTTGTCATGATAGTATACTTCATGAACCCTGTTCCAGGTATACATAACCCAAAGTACAAAACATGATTCCTGCATTTCCCAAGCCACCCCGAAGGAAATCTCGTCCGGGAGACCTCCATATCTATATTCCAAACATCGATGTTTCTTTCCATCGTGGGCCTATATTACTCACACCCTGTCAACGGTGACACCAACTTCCCTCATTCTACGCGCCTCGTCTTCGTCAAATACCTCCTCTTCTTGTTGAACTGCCTTCATACGAGATTCCCAATAGCCCCTCAGAAATACCGGTAAAGAAACGCCCAGGGTGCGATACTTGGAATCGAATTCCGAGACCAACTCTGCCAACCGCTCGACTAACAGTCTATCCTCTGCCTGGACCTCGGCAATGTCATCCAGCTTCACTCGTCCGATTGTATGATCTCGCCCATTATGGAACCGGCATGTATGGCGTAGACTGAGAGTTTCAAAAGTGCAGGCGCGGAGTACAGCGGGTGCCAGGCGATCTTGCAAGTCGCGTGCGCCACTCGGATGGGATACAGATAGAATATCAAACAGATGGGCGGCCATCTGACCGCACAGTATTGCGGGGCGTAGCCGGTAAATCGTCTCCTTGAGAATTATCATCGGTGGAAGGCATCCATCCACAGAACAGGCACAAGAGCATGAATCGTGATGCTCAGTATCGCCCAGGATCTGCTCTAGCATGACTGGGTATCGGGCGAGCACTGTGCGCCAATCAGTGCCCACTCGAGTGATTCTGGATCTCATGAGATGCTCGGGTAAAATTTCACGTCGTGCTCCTAATGTTCTAGCAATACACCCGCCAATACAACAGGCGATGTGATGGACGGGGAGAAGCGGTGTTCCCCGGGATTCCTGGTCCAGAGCGCTTCCCTTGTCTTGGAACCATACGCACACCTTCAGAAAGTCGGAGAGACTGTTTATAAAAGCCTGGCTTTCAAACATTGTGCCGTGCTCAACCGTGTTCGGCGGAGCTAGGTAAAAGACGGGTGATAACCCCCAGGGGTCAACCTCTCCAACGTTCGTAAATCCGACACTGTACAGAATATCCGCGGCTTGCACGTTGCAACCGATTAAGTGATAAACAGATGACCCGGGGTACGAGTAATCACAAGAAGGCAGACCGTGAACGGAGTCACCGACGGAGTCTCTAAGTGCTCTTTCCACACGCTCTGCCTGCGAGTCCACCAAATCTAGTCCGGGGTGCACCCCAAGCTCCTCCAGCCATCGACGAGGCATATGTTCCCGGGCTAATCTCAGAAGACGCCGCCTCCTGTCTGCCAGACAGACGACGACAGTCCTGAACACCGCAGGGTGATAATGATAAACGGCCGCGAGATGCACTACCCAATCGGAAATAGGGCATTCTCCGGAACTGCATAGGATGCGGACAGACTCCGGTTCGGAGATCATGATGGCCTGCTCTAGGACCGGTGAGAGACACGGAGACGGGCACGATCTCAGAATCATCTCAAGCCCTTGCGGCCAACCTACGGCGGCCAATAGATATGAGAGGGTCTCTGAAATGGGTTTCCGCTCTTGTTTGTGTAGTATTTGTCGTAAGCGCTTCTCTGATTGCTGTAAAATGGCAATTTCAAGGTCCGAAAATGGAAGCTCTGCGGGAGAAAGAACAGTTAATTCTAGCCTGTCTTGCAAGTCTTTGACTACTCACCTTCTCTACTCCAATCGTCGATCACCTTCGGGAGGAAGAGGTTGCTGATAGAGTACCTGACCGGCGAGCTATGGCCTTCTCGGATCAAACGCTCGCTCTGTGGCGGTCCCATGGATGATGTGAGCGTCACGAAGGCACCATGGGCCATGAAGTCGGAGAGAATATATCCCAATTCGACCATCCTTGGGTTCGAAATATTGCTGCTAGGCCAGTGGCAGTGCCTGATGGAAAGAAGAGAGTCGAGGACGGTTTTGGATTCTACGCGATCCGCGCCGGGTTGGCGATAGCGGGCCTCGTCATTCATCGGAACATGGTATTGGACCACCAGCTGATTTAGAAACTGACGGTAGTGCGGCATGCAATCGGGGGAGATATCCATAGCCCACCGAATCGCAAGCTACCAGGGTATGCGGCGAGTTAGCGCGGTGTCTCGCGCAGAACGTGTGCTTGGGGACTCACATGAAGAAGAGTGCTGCCGTCGGGCAGTATATCCCTTGGGGACGCCCTTCTATCCTCAAATAGCCGGCGTAGTTGAGTCAGTGTGCGGTCGAAAGGATTTACCACTGTCATGTCTCGTGCCTCTTGCAGACCCTGTCGAACTACCTCGAAGGCTGGGGCGTTGGAACTAGAGACAACAGACCGGAAATTCAGCATAGGGAGAATCGTCAACCCATGAGTTCCGCTGGCTATACTCAACCGATATTGGATGGAGAATCCGAAGTATCTACTATCAAACGTAAAACTGCCATCCCCAAATGTTACCGTCTTTCTTCGAGTGTGCAAGGGGCATGTAGGGCAACAAGGTGAAGCCGAAGAAAAGGCCATCGCTTTATCGACAGTTCTCTTGCTATCGAGTGCACATCTACACGCTGCTCTTGTCGTACACGAACCATTCTCTCCATCCGGCGCCGTCGTCAAAAGGCGGTTGTCTAGCACATGTCGTTGGTAATGTGGAAATCGTCGTGGTAGAGAGAGATGGTCAGACAGTTCACCTCGTTCGCCGGGCAAAGCAGCCTAATAATAGAAGTTCAGTGGGAATCATAGATTCAGGTTGAGGCCTCTTACAGTTTTGGCTTCCTCTATCCATATCCCAGAGATGGTCTGTAATATCTCCTGCTGTCTTTGCTCAATTCGATCCAACGTGGTGGGAATATCTAGGGTATTTTCAGCAATGGTATGTGAGATCGAGAGCGCCAGACAAGATTTCTCGTGAAGTTCGTTCGATATCGCTCTAGACCGGTCATCCACACCCGTATCAAATAGCCGGAGGAGCGAAGAAGCTTACAACAGCAGCAGCTGCAGGGCCGCATCTAGATTCGACTGCAGAGCGGCGACGGTATCTGCAAGAGATATAAGAGTTGCCCGGCGGAATGGATACAGCGCCTTGCATGTCAAGGCCCATCCATTCCTTCTGATCATTCCTGCCGCATCGTATCCTCGGCACTTGTCGAGGGCCGCAGACAGGTTCTGCACCCCATCCGTACAATCGTGAATACTCTCTGTGACGACTTGGATTTCCGCAGCGAACTCAGGATTTTGGTGACTCTGAAGTCCCTCGAGCTTCAACTGTAACAAATTCACAGTTGCATTTAGGCCTCTCACTCTTTTCACAAGGCTCTCGGTTTCCTTGTTGTACGCCACGAACGGGCCGTAGTAGGCAAGCAGACCTTGACACACAGTGAGGCCCAGAGAAATTACTCCTGCCACACTCACACTGACCGAAAATGGATCCGTCATGTTTGCAGAGTGTGTGTAACGTCATATGAAAGAGTATTCGAGGATTTGACGCGAAATATGGACGAATGTTCCCGCTGCTCAGCCGCCGCCACCATGCAAGGCCGAGTCGGCACCCGACACACACTACTTATGTATGTACCGTACTTTATTCAGGCTATATACAATGCGGACTCAATGATAATCACTAAAAGCTGGACAACGCTTTTCCTTTTGCGTGGGAAATCGGTTTGGCTAGCACAAATATCGCAAAAACTTCCCAGGATAGCTAGCTGTGCTGTCTGTTCAAAGCGGTTTCAAAACGGCTTATTCCAGATAAGAAAGAGAAATATTCTGTTTCAGTGAGGCCTCCTCTAAAAGTGCTAGATTTTGTTTCAATTTCGTGTCATGAGAATGTGTACATCTTAACCCTATGCTTGTCGCTCTCTGACAGGCTCAGTACGGGTTAATATTTCACACGCATACCTACATACCATGAAAGCATGGTTTCTGGATAAGGCTCAAGTGATTAGTTATAAATCTCTAACTATCTGTAATATTGTAGTAGGTGTCAAGTGATCATGCAACATACTGATCCATACACACCTTGTCCACATGTAAGAGCAGTCATACAGCAACCAACCAGTCACAGGCAGCCAACCTCAGCAGTGCTGATGTGATCTCGGCAAATATCCTTCCTCCAGCCCATATAATCAGTAAGCGTGGGCCGTGGTAACTAACTAACTGTCTGTGACCTTGAGAGCAGCTGATAGTTATCAGAGTTTGATATAGCAGGCGTTGTTATAAAGCGAGGGCTTCGGCCCCGTTCCCGGGGGTGATTATATATCACAAACCGTACCTGCTGTTCTCCCCCTCCAAAGATATTCACACACCTGCAGAATGACGAAGCCGTCGAATATCTCGTGAGCCACCAAATCGCATCCGGCCTGTCATACGGCGTGTTTGACAAGGAGTACAAATTCAACCGCCCCCAGTCCGCCCCGAGTGGAGGGGCGCTTTGCTGGGACGCAGAGGAGGAACAGGATGGCAACGTTGTGCCGTTTCCTGATGTTAAGCAGGCTCTGACTCAAATTTATATCCATCTACAATAACCAAGTACGCTACCACTCGCATGCCAACAATGCTTCAGTTATAATATAGCGGGTGATTATGTCTGTAGGCCATGCATGAGGTATACAGACAACTCTAGCTGACTATCGTCTACTTTGGCTTATGCAGCCCTATCCTTTCTATTGAGGATTATCGAATCAATAACTTTGTTCTAGTTCGTTAATGATAGTCAAGTTAGTCAAGTAGTTAGTTAAATGCCCCTAGGCTTATTCCAGCGTGAACTTCGGAGTACCCGGGTTCTATTAATATACTTACTCTTTCTATAAATCTTCTAGATTCTCATTCTGTCCTTCCCTGCAGCAACCGCTCGACTGATTGGTCGTATGAAGAATCATCCGCTTAAGCATGGATACCCAAGCAGGTCGGACTACGGCAAGATTTCCATCGAATAGAGCATAAATAAAAATGGAAATCTGCGGTCCTAGTATAAAATCAGTTGGACAGACGGTCAAATACGGGCCTGGGGTGATCACAGTAATACGAGCCAGAAGGTAACCAGTTCGCAATAACATCATCACAGTTTCTGCTTGTAAGAATCATTTTATATGAGGGTTATACATGATGTTTACAGGAGTGTCTTTTGTCTGCTTTATAGATCTCGGATTATAGTTAGTCCGCGCCAGGTCAGATCTAGATGCCTCACAACACAGGCACATATATCACATGTCAGGTCTCCTGGTTAGCTCTTGCACTCCTCCTTCCCTGCCAAAACACACATTCAACAAAATCTTTTCTCGACCTCACTTCTGTCCTCACTCCTATGGCGGGTACTAACTCTCCAGATTATAAGGCCCTGTTCTTTGAGACCTGGTTAACTCTTGCACTGTATCCTCCTTCTTCCCTCCCAAAACACACATTCAACGAAATCTGTCGAACTTTACCGCTGAGCTAAAAAGGTGTCAAGACAGAGCTTTCTAGCTAATACAGTATTATATTGGTTCACAAAATCTTTTCTCGACCTCACTTCTGTCCTCACTCCTATGGCGGGCACTAGCTCTCCAGATTATAAGGCCCTGTTCTTGCAGGAAGAGCAACGGCGAAAGCAAGAAGAGCAACTGCGAAAGCAAGAAGAGCAACGGCGAAAGCAAGAAGAGCAACGGCGAAAGCAAGCGGAAGGTCACATCCAACCTACGACCTTCCACGAATTTATTCGCTCCTGTCACGGTCTCTTCTCAAGCTCTTTGAGCGTCCAAACCCCGGCTCTATCTACCAAAGGAACAATACGACCCCCAGCTGGGAAATACTGTCCAACGCGACTTCGCGTATGGGAGGACTGCCCAGCCAGACAACAAGCCATCTACGACGCGGTTTGTGGCTACCTGCAGCCGACAGGGCAAGATGCGCCGCGATTATTTCGTCCATTAAGCGCGCTGGAAGATCTTAGTCAACGATTCAGTCGCCGCCCGATTAGTAGCGAGCAGGATTTGGAGAGTTACGAACGGTTTGCCGTGGAAGATCATGTTCATGATGTGATTTCAGAACTGTGCAAGATACCCGAGGCCGAAGTCCAATTCCAATTAGGCCGTGGGGTTATATTTGATAACCACGCAAATGCACTAGATGATGCGGACCCTTCAGGAGACGAACTACTGAATCCTCACCGATTCCGGCCCGACCAGTTCTGCATCCACCGAAAAAACAGCAATGACACTGCCCTCCTTACTACTGTCGAGTATAAGCCACCACATAAGCTTTCAGTCGAAAATCTACGAGCAGGACTTCAAACAATGGATTTCAGGGAGATAGTGGTGGAGACGGATACCACTCTACTAGATAATGCAGAGAAGCTGACACATAATGCAAAGCAACTAGTGGGATCAGTACTAGCCCAGGAATACCATGTAATGATCCAAGAGGGACTTGAGTTCTCTTATATAACAAATGGTCTGGCTCAGGTCCTTCTCCATGTTCCCCATGATGATCCAAGCACGCTCTACTATTATCTCTGCGAGCCTAGTATGGATGGGACTGTGGAGGACAACGAGAGCTTCCAGCAACCATTCACTGCGATTGCAAGGGTGTTATGCCTTTGCTTGATGAGTTTTGGTTCAAGGGTGCGCGACCACGGGTGGCGAAACCGTGCCCAAGCTAGTTTACATATATGGAACACTAGTTTTGACCACATTCGTGCCCAGATTCCTGATGAGGAACTCCGACAGACACCTCCAAATTCTGGATATACAGGCTCACCGGCTACGAGCTCCGATCATAGTGGTTCCGAGTATCTGCCCTCATCGCCTCTCGATTCTCCTTCAGGAAAGGCTCGTCGAATGCCAACTCGGTCTCAGCCAGGCTGTTCGCCCCCGGACACAATCAACCGTTCTAAAAGGAGTGACTCCCCAGACTCCGATCCAAATCCAGGATCACTGGTGCGGAAGCGAGGCTTTAGCCAGGTTACGTCATCTCCTCCGACTCAACACTCAGCACGCCAAACTAGTCATGATAATAATGGCAGCGGCCAGTATCAGCAACATATGCTGCCATTTTGCACGCAACATTGTTTGCTTGGTCTCCAACAAAATAGCACCTTAGATGCTGCCTGCCCTAATATTGCCCTGCACCAACACGGGCATACTGGCAACCGACACCCTATCGACGCTAAGCGTCTGGTTGAACTCCTCAAGCAGCAGCTGGATGAAGACCTTGACCATAATTGTACACCTTTTGGTAACTGCGGGGCTTATGGGGCGCCATTCAAGATTACCTGCGCTACATTTGGCTATACTGTGGTTGGGAAGGGAACTACAACCCATCTCTGGAAGGAGGTCTCCCGTGAAGCGGAAATCTACCATATCCTTCAAAAAGCCCAGGCATCTGCAGTTCCTGTTTTTCTTGGGACAATTGATTTGGCCAATATTTACTTCCTACACGGTGCTGGAAAGATTCGCCACATGCTACTCATGGCCTGGGGTGGTGAGAGTATTAGCAAACTAAGTCAACAACCAGCATTGCGCCATGAGATTTCGAGATCCAATAAAGAAATCCGTGCTTTAGGAGTTAGGCATCAAGACCTCCGACCCGATAATATTCTTTGGAACGATGAGCTGGAGCGAGTCTTGATCATTGACTGGCATCGCTCCACCCTGGATCCTCGACCGATAAAGGAGCGCATGGCTAGCCTCAAGAAATCACTGCGCAGAACTGAAGAGCAAGATCAAAAGCGACCTCGTGTGATATGACCGTTATGCAGCTCTGGGATATGGCGTGGTGCTTCGATTCAGGACCTCCCGGGGGGAGATCAGGTACAAGGCCGAATTAACACACACACACACACAAAAAAAAAAAAAAGAAAAAAAGTCGGTTTTTAATATCGTTAAAGGAATGGACGTTATCGGTTGATCGAACTCACCGTTATCCAGCTGAGTCGCTTTAGACTTCGGTATGTGGAGGTAGATTTCTGTGCTTCCGCGATAGAAGTCAGACTGAATTCCTGTCAGAGGGTAATGTGCCTACTACTGTATGATCGGATAGCAAGGAATACATGGCCAAACCAGCTGTAACTATGAGCTTCTGGGAAACTTTAGTCAGATGTGCAATCCGCTCGGTAATCCTAGTATCAGCCCCATCTACTTCGCTTTGAAGGTTCTCGCGTTTCCATGATATCCATGCAACGGCACCCTCTTGCAACATCGGCCATCTGTCGTAGCTGTCACTCAGGGAACGAAGATATCTCATCTGCGCCGTATGCAATTCAGTGAACTTGGTCCACATCTGTGCGTCACTTAGATGAATCTGGACGAAATCATTGTAATCCAGCCAACCGCATTTCATTCTTTTCCCGTCAACCATTCGAACACCGCCAGACGATTTTGTCAAGTTCATGCTGGATGATTTAAATTCTTTACCAGTCAAAGACAGACTAGAACTGCAGCGTTGATTTGTTTCTGACAAAGATCTGTGACAATAAGAAAGGTGGTGAGTGGAGATTTGATAAAGGGTGCAAAGTGCGTGGCCGATCACCCAAGCCCAGCCCGCTATGTCATAATTTCATCCCGCTGCCAATCTCATCCTCTCGTCCTCTCATTCCCCCCTCAACGCCAGCCTCTTTTGCAGAAAAGCTGCGGCATGGGGCCAGTGGTGATCCGCTTACCATCACTGCAGCAATCCTCAATACCTGTCCATCGGGTTGTTTCTGCAGATTCTTGATACTCCTCCCAGGAATCGACAAAGCGATGTTCCAGTCTTTCACAGGAAACTCTCGCCGTCCCCGGCAAGTGAACCTTGCTGGCCGGAACACCAACCCTTTCGCCGCTTATCCCTCCGGACGGCAGAATCCCCACGGCCCCGGTCCTCAGAATACCCTCGCAATCGCACAGCAGGAACGCTTATTGAGACAGCAGGAGAGGGATCGTTTAGGGGCCAGTCGGGTCGTTCAGCGGACCTGGAGGGGTTACCGGACCCGGAAGAGAACGTACGAGACATGGCGGGAGGAGTGGGATGCGACGGAGCGCGAGCGAGCAGGGCCTTTCCTAGCCTTCGATGACCTGGCGAAGCTGCAGGGTGGTGTTCTGCCCCCTGCCGCTCCGTTTGGGACGGCGACCGCGTGCCTCTCCCAGCTGCGTCTCCTGGTTCAGGTCTTCGAGCCTTGGAACCGGAGTGATGTTGTTCGGTTGGTATATTTCTCAGATGCTTTCCAGCAAACACTACATGAGGTTCCCTCTCTTGCGACCGAGGGAGAGTGGACGATGCTGTTGAAACGCCTTGCGAAGCATGCCTTGCGAGTTCTGCAATCCGCAACCTCTCCAACGGTACCTGCATTTGCGCTTAGCCGTCTCCTCCGGCTCTTGGTCTTCCTCACCAGCCTCATCCCTAAACAGATGGCACGTCTTGCGCCGGACTATTATTCTACGATGGCCATTCTGACAAGGAATGTTGAAGTCATCTCGAATCGATCTGACTTGTCACTCTCCGATCTGACGCAGAGTGTTCTTGCATTGCTTTTGCCGATTACATCGGAAACTCTGACCGCTTACGAGTGGTTTGCGAGGAGTTATCTGACAATACCCGATCTTGTGGCGGTTCTAGGGTCGTTGGATGTACTGGCGAACAATCTCAATTACAAGCTCCTCACGTCCGCTTTAGCTCCTCTGCAGTCTAATTTGCCAGACCGCTGTCAAGGCCTAGAAGACGTAGATTCCCGTCTCTGGCTTCTTGCGTATTTTGTATATTTCCACAGATATGTATTGGGGAACCAAGCTGGTCGTCATGCCCCGGAGCTTGGTTTCGTGAGGGTCGTCTCGGAGCTTCTAAATTCTACAGCGGTGCACATATCTCGACGCCTCGAGTCGGAAGAATCGATGGATTTTGATGATCCCCCAAAGAAAACAACCCCCCTACACCCATTCATCAAAGACCAGCTATGCAGCCTGGTTAACCAAAGCAGCATTACTGGGTTGCTTTCGCAGCTTCCGTCCACTCATCTGTCTCAGGGCGAGCTCGCAGACTCTAATTCCGATGCATCAAGGGAAGCCAAGGTTTTGGCTACTTATGCATTGACCTTACTCAGAGTTTTCCCTCGACGGGGCGACGATATCCGCATGTGGCTATACTTGGGCTCAGCTACCCTAATCGACCAATCGACCGGTGGAGAAGGATCCAGAATACCGGCGATTAAGTATTTCTGGCATGCGTCTCGGTCGAGTCGATTATTTTCCGTGATCAGTCAAGACTCTACGAAAGTATTATCCTTGTTGAAGCCAGTCGACACCACGGCCATCCGATCCGCAGCAGGCCTTTCCCAAATTGAGAGGGACCAAGAGTGGACGATTGTCCTGCTTTTCCTCGAGCTATATACCTTTGTTCTCAAAGTAATGGATGATGACGAGTTCTTTTCGAGCGGATCTTCTTTTACGGCTTCAACCAACGCCCGTGTATCGTGGACGAGGGAGAGTGCTCTCCCGTTGGAGGACATCAAGGATATGACCGTCTTCCTCAAAAACCTTGCATTTACGTTGTACTGGAACTCGGGAGATTTGAACGAAAATGAAATGGTCCAAGATACGGGCGGCATCCGCAGTTACTTCAACTCAGCCACTCCACAGCCTGATTCCATTACAAGCGTCCGGGACATTGAGATCAAGAACAAGGAGCAGGGACTTCCCGGGGTTACCGGCATCCCTCTTGACTACTTCAAAGGTCTTGTAACCGGGCTGTTGAGGATGATTCATGAGCGTGATTCGCGCCGCCGGTTTCTTCCGGACGGGCATTGGTTGATGACTAGCCGGTTTGACATGGAAGGGTTCATCCCCGCTGTTGTCGCAGAGGAGGAGAGCAGGCATCAGCTGCAGGACGAGGATGAAGCAGCGGAACAGGACGATCTCATGAGTGACGCTTATTCCGAACCTTCTTTGGGATTGATTGGAACTGGCCGTGTTCAGCAAGCACGCCGTATCGAAGCCCTTCGACGCCGTCAGCAGCAAGCCGCGCGCCGAAAACAGTTGGAAGCGGTCGCTCCACGGCTTGAAATCCTCAAAAATATGCCCTTCTTCATCCCGTTCCCCACGCGAGTGCAGATTTTCCGCGAATTCATCTATCGGGATCAGATACGGCGCAGACAAGGCTACATCGACGCCGACTCCTGGCGGATGTCTGTCGCCCAGGCCTCCATGGGGCGGATGATCGATGGCCGTCCCGCCGTGCATGACATCTTGAGTCGCCACCATGCTAATATTCGACGCGAGAGTGTGTTTGAGGACGCATTCGACCAGTTCTACGAGCTAGGAGAGGGCCTCAAGGAGCCCATTCAAATTACATTTATCGATCAGTTCAATACCGCCGAAGCGGGCATCGATGGCGGCGGCGTCACCAAAGAGTTTCTTACCAGTGTTACCAACGAAGCATTCAAGTCCCCCGGCGATCTGAGTTTGTTCGAGGAGAACGACCAGCACCTGCTCTATCCCAACCCGGTCGCGGTCGAGCAACGGAAGGAGCACCTTCGACAGCTCGAGTTCAAGGAAGGCAGTCCCGAATGGAACGAGCAGGTGCGCAATCTCCTCCGACGGTATGAGTTTCTCGGTCGAGTGATTGGAAAGTGCCTGTACGAAGGGATTCTGGTAGATGTTGGGTTTGCACCCTTTTTCCTGCTGAAGTGGGCGTTGACGGGCGGAGTGGGTTCTGCCCAACGGGAGACGGCATACCGAGCGCACCTGAACGATCTGAAGGATCTTGACTCGGGGCTTTACCAAGGGTTGGTAAGTAGTATCTATCACCCAGTACCGGTCATTCAACCGACATTAATTGTCTGTAGCTGCAATTGAAAAACTACCCGGAAGATGTGGAAGACTTCTCCCTCAACTTTACTGTGACGGATACCATCCCGCTTCCCAACGGAGGCAACCGCACGATCACGCGAGATTTAAAGAGTAGCGGGTCCGATATCGTTGTGACCAACCAGAACCGGCTGGTCTATATCTCGTATATTGCTCGGTATCGACTTCAGGTGCAGCCGGCGATGCAAACCCATGCATTCTTGCAGGGGCTGGGACAGATCATCCAGCCGGCGTGGCTGTCCATGTTCAACCAGACGGAGATGCAGACGCTCGTGAGTGGGGAGTCGGGCGATATCGACGTGATGGATTTGCGACGCCACACGCAATACGGGGGAGTGTACACGATCGGGGACGACAAAGAAGAGCATCCTACCGTCCAACTCTTCTGGGAGGTGATGGAGGGGATGACCAACGAGGAACGACAGAAGGTATTACGATTTGTGACCTCAACTCCCCGGGCGCCATTGCTGGGGTTCAGCCATCTGAACCCCCGGTTTAGTATCCGTGATTCCAGCGAAGACCAGGAACGGCTTCCAAGCACCAGCACCTGTGTGAATCTCCTGAAGCTGCCACGATACCGGAGTGCAGAGGTATTGCGGGAGAAGCTCTTGTATGCGGTGAATTCGGGGGCCGGATTTGACCTCAGCTAGACCTTTCTTTTCTTTCTTTTCTTTCTTTCTTTCTTTCTTTCTTTCTTTCTTTCTTGAACAGTGCATAGCGGGCGTATTCTTTTTTATTATCTCTTGCTTCTTCTTCTTTCTTGTATAGACTCGAGTGCTGGAGCCCTTAAAGCGGCGCCCACTAACCCAGATAGGTTTAGTGTAATACGCGAACGAAAAATACGAACCAAAATTCCTTTGAGTTTCCAGAAAACAAAACTTGCGTAAAGAAAAATTCAGTGAAAGAAAAATTCTTTTTTTTTTTTTTTCTCGTTCTGCTTCTTTTTTTTTCCTCCTTCTTTTTCTTCTTCTTCTTCTTCTTCTTCTTCTTCTTTTCTTCTTTTCTCTCCCATTCCTTTTCCCCTTTTTTTTCCACTTTCTATCGGAAAACAAATCTCCAAAAAAATCCGGAAAATCTAAAAAAATCCTATCTTCATCGACCTGGTCGTCGGATTCTCCCAGCTGAATCCCCTTTTCTTCATCTCCGTATCTTTCATACCTCAGGTGTGTGTTGTGTGTGTGTGTGTGTGTGGCCGAATTTCTTTTCGCTGCCGCCTTTGTCTCATTCCTCGTGATCGCGTCTCTCGCATCATCTTAAATTCTTCTTCTCTCCCCCTCCATCGTCTCGACGGTCGTTATCCTTTTGTGTGCCAGCTTCTCTTGTACGTCTGGTCGTCGTTCTGTTTAGATCCCCGTCGTGGGTGGCGATTGCCCTGTTTCCTAACCCCTCCCCTCGTTCCCATCCTGTGACGGCGATACAGCAAGTCCCTTCATCTGTATTCTGTGTGTGGCTTCTTGTCAATTCCCTGCTCCTTTGGCTGGATAGCTACCAGAATTGATCGGCTTGGAATCAATCTGTCGTTGTGTTTGGCTTCTATGCGCTGGTTTTCCCCACTTTGATATGATTTTTTTTTTTCCCGTCGTATATCTCATCTGTGGGAGAAAAAACAAAAGCTCTTCGATACTAACATTCCTTTTGCTTTAGAAAAGAAAAGAAAAGAGAGAAAAAAAAAACCAGGAAAACCTCGTCAAAATGTCTACCGAAGTCTCTTCCACCCCTACCCCCGCCGAGAACACCTCCAACGGCACCACCCCCGACAACGCTCCTGCCGCCGAGGTCACCGCCGTTGAGGCTCCAGCTGCTGCCAACCAGGCTCATTCCGCTTCCCTCTATGTCGGTGAGCTGGACCCCTCTGTCACGGAGGCTATGCTCTATGAGCTCTTCTCCTCCATCGGTCAGGTCGCCTCGATCCGTGTTTGCCGTGATGCCGTTACCAGACGCTCCCTGGGCTATGCCTACGTCAACTACAACGACACCACCCACGGTGAGCGCGCGCTGGAGGATCTCAACTACACTCTGATCAAGGGCAAGCCCTGCCGTATCATGTGGTCTCAGCGTGACCCCGCTCTGCGCAAGACTGGCCAGGGCAACGTCTTCATTAAGAACCTCGACAACGCCATCGACAACAAGGCTCTGCACGACACCTTCGCCGCGTTCGGTAACATTCTCAGCTGCAAGGTCGCCCAGGATGAGTTTGGCAACTCCAAGGGATACGGTTTCGTCCACTACGAGACCGCTGAGGCCGCCAACAACGCCATCAAGCACGTCAACGGCATGCTGCTCAACGACAAGAAGGTCTTTGTCGGCCACCACATCTCCAAGAAGGACCGCCAGAGCAAGTTCGAGGAGATGAAGGCCAACTTCACCAACATCTACATCAAGAACGTTGACCCCGACGTCGCTGATGATGAGTTCCGTGAACTGTTCGAGCAGTTCGGTGAGATTACCTCCGCCACCCTCAGCCGTGATGCCGATGGAAAGAGCCGGGGCTTCGGTTTCGTCAACTACTCCACCCACGACAGCGCGCAGGCCGCCGTTGAGGAGATGAACGACAAGGAGATCCGCACACAGAAGCTCTACGTGGGCCGTGCCCAGAAGAAGCACGAGCGTGAGGAGGAGCTCCGCAAGCAGTACGAGGCCGCCCGTCTGGAGAAGGCCTCCAAGTACCAGGGTGTCAACCTCTATGTGAAGAACCTCACTGACGACGTTGATGACGAGAAGCTCCGCGAGCTGTTCGGTCCTTACGGTACCATCACCTCCGCCAAGGTCATGCGTGACACCAACGCGGAGCGTGCCCCCACTCCCGATTCGGAGAAGGAGAAGGAGACCAACAAGGAAAATGAACAGGTTGAGGAGAACGCTAAGGAGTCCGGTGATGATGAGCAGGACGGTGACAAGAAGTCTGACAAGAAGGCCCTAAGCAAGAGCAAGGGTTTCGGTTTCGTTTGCTTCAGCAGCCCTGATGAGGCTTCCAAGGCTGTTACGGAGATGAACCAGAGAATGGTCAACGGCAAGCCCCTCTACGTTGCTCTGGCCCAGCGCAAGGATGTCCGCCGCAGCCAGCTGGAGGCCAGCATCCAGGCTCGCAACAACATCCGACAGCAACAGGCGGCCGCTGCCGCCGGTATGCCCCAGACCTACATGCAGCCCGCCGTTTTCTACGGTCCCGGTCAGCAGGGCTTCATCCCCGGTGGCCAGCGTGGCGGCATGGCTTTCCCTCCTCAGCCCGGTATGGTGATGGGTCTCCCCGGTGGACGCCCCGGCCAGTACCCCGGTCCTTTCCCGGGCCAGCAGGGTGGACGTGGCATGGGCCCTAACCAGCAGATTCCTTCCAACTTCCAGGGTCTCCCCATGGGCATGCAGGGCCCCGGTGGTATCCCCAACGGCATGGGTTACCCTCAGGCTATGGCGCAGGTGCAGGCCTTTGGACGCGGTGCAGGTGGCCGTGGCCAGGTTCCTGGAATGCCCAACATGGGCCAGGGCATGCGCGGTCCCGGCTACGGACAGGGCCGTGGTGGTGTTCCTCCCCAGGGTCAGATGGGCCGTCCCGGCCAGGGTGGTCGTGGACAAAACGCTGGCCAGCCTGCTGGTCGTGAAGAAGGTGCTGCGGCTACTGCTGCTGCTACCTCTACTACTGCTGCTGGTGGTCTTACTGCTCAGGCCCTTTCTTCTGCCCCTGCTCCTCAGCAGAAGCAGATGCTTGGCGAGGCTTTGTACCCTAAGATCCAGGCCCAGCAGCCCGAACTTGCCGGCAAGATTACCGGTATGCTTCTGGAAATGGAGAACACTGAGCTTCTCGGACTGTAAGTTTTCTTTTTCTTTTTTTTGGGGGGGGGGGGGGTTTCTCCCCTATTCCTATTTTGTGTCGTGAAGAATCACGCTAATAGAGTATATATAGCCTTGAGGACGAAGATGCTCTCCGCGCCAAGGTTGATGAGGCCCTGAGCGTTTATGACGAATACATGAAGAACAAGGGTTCCGACGAGCCTGCTACCGAGAGCAAGCCCAAGGAGGCTGCCAAGGAGACCTCTACCGAAGAGAACAAGTCGTAGAGGATGGACTCGATTACTGCCCATGTCGGAATTTTGATCCACGTTCTATTTTTGATGACATGACCTACCCTATCCATTGAATTAACGATTCATCTCTTTCCTCCGCATCCCTACTTTTCTAATCTCCCGCTTCTCTACCTCCTTTTCTTCTTTTTTTTCGACCTTTTTTTTTTTTTTTTTTTTCTTCTTTTTTCCCTCCTGGTCCTGATATCCCTGGGTTCCCCAAAAGTTCTTGTGTGTAGGACGGGAGAAAAGTTGTTCGGATGCCATGGTCTTTTATTCATGTGACGAGAGGGAGGAAGTTGTGATGTCTTTTCTCTTCTTACCCGCTCGTTTACTATTGAGATGACACAAGTGTAATATAGACTTATGACTTCCTCGCGGATGCCTTTTTTCATTCGTAGCTTTCATCTAGCCTATCCAGTAATATATGTAACATACGGTAGCACTAGTAGTGAATTGTTAAAACGTAGGATACTGATGTCCAAACAGATCCATCAAACTGTCAAAATTCGCTTCTTGTAGTAAATCTACCAGATCGATATCCAATTCCAATGCCTGACTCTGACTCTGGCTCCAGCCATCATCCAGTGGACCGGTCCCGTTCGGGTTCCCAGGTAGAGAATTCCCCTGGATCCCCAACCCCACACCCCCGGCGCCATATTCACTCAGCCGCTCCGAGGAGGTTCTTTGCCTGGGGGGAAGAGACTCCGAAGCGCCAGCATTCAGCTTTCGCCGTTTGCGAGCGCCAGAGGAAGCAGCAGAGGCAGAAGAAGATGAGGCCGGGGGGGAGGAATCTTCTCCCGCATTTATACCTGCAGGGGTGTCCCTGTTCTGAGCATTGGTGGCAGTGGAGTTGATGCTTGTAGTGGTGGTGGTGGTGGTGGCATTGGGGAAATTCGAAGAAGCAGCAGCAGCAGCAGCAGAGTCCGGGTCGAGTCTTGAAACCGCCCGAAGCAGGAGCGATAACGCGGTGTGGCAGTGTTTGGCGGGTTCCCATTGCGACGACATGATTTTGAGGAAGTGTAGAGAGGAGGAGATTTCTCTTGAGTGAGGGAATGGACGTGTGTGTGTGTGTGGGTGTGGGTGTTGTGTTAGCTTTGAAATGATATTGGTTGATTGATTGATTGGTTGTTGCTACTTTTCTTGTGGGTGTGGGTGAGGAAGAAAGGAAGGAGGAAGGAGGAAGAACATACAGACAGCCACGTTCAAGCACGTATTGTCCTAGTTGGCACGCAAATGCTAAGACGAGCCCCGCCATCCATGCTGCAGACAAAAATCCGGGCCAGAATAGTGCTTGGCCTGCGTCTCGTTGGGCCTTGAGAGCGAGAAGGATATGCCTTGCGGCGGAGATGCAGGATTGCAGGGAAGACGCGAATTCGGGGGTGTTGGGTGGGAGGGACAGTGAGGGGCGGTTGATTAGGAGGATGAGGTGTTGGTAGAGGATTGTGAAGAAGGGGGTGTAGTTGAATGGGGGGTCGGTTTCTATATTGCTGTTTCTGCTGCTGGCGCTTTTATCAATAGTTCTTAGTGCAGAGGGCCGTGGGGAGGAGGTGGGTTGGAGGGAAGGAGGCGGAGGAGGAGGGAGGTCCAGACTATTCCACCATTTATGGACAGACGTAGTCAACACAAGAACGGAGGTTTGGGAGATTGAGCGCGCAAAGATGGTTTTGTGGAAGAGTTCGAGGGCTTCGCCTGTGATTTTGCCGGATTGGACGTAGCTTGCGAACGGGAGTTCTCTTTTTTCTTTCTCCTTTTCCTTGTCGTGTTCGGAAGCAGCAACAGAATAAGCCGATGGCGTTGTTGGTTGTGATGCAGAAGTGAAGGTTGCTTGAACCTGGTGGTGTCGCGATGGGGTATGCTGGAGTGGACGATGTAGTTCCGGGCATCCAGGGGCGCACACGTCGATATCAGAGTCCTGGATGCCTAATGGAAGACCCAATGCTTGACTGAGATAGCGATCGAGCGCATACGCAGACCAGAAGATGCGCTTGCGGAGGTGTCGGTGTTGCGACGAGGTAGAGAGCTCACGATATCGGAATGGACACCGGTGCAGGCCGGCGTGGAGCATGGAGCGCAGCATGCAGCCGCCTACTGTGGAAGCTGTGCGCAGGGACATGGTCGCCACCAGGTAAAGCTGCGAGGCAAGCAGCGCCTGGAGGGTGAGCAGATTGTGGCGCGCAGTCAGGGGGCATAGAAGGGAATGCATGCTGGCGCTAAGTGGGGGTTGGATGCGGCATTCCGGGGGCAGTTGGAGATCAGGTCGCACGAGCGTCGCCAGGTGGAAGACGCACTGGAAGATGGTGGTCCAGGGAGTGTTGTGTGCGAGCGAGCTTCGCGGGGCTGTCTGCGTCTGGTCCTGCGAGTAGAGCAACTCCATGGCATTCAGGAACGTCGGTCCATGGAGAAATGGAAACAGCGGATGCCAGACTTTGAAGTAAACCATCATCAGGTCGCGGGCCAGACTCTGCGGCGGTGCATGGCCCAAAACACCGGCCACGGTGGGATCATATTGCCATTGCGACACAGGCGTCTCTTCCTGAGCGTATGGATGAGGCGTGGATTCACTCCCGACCAGTGTATCCTCGGGGGGAGGAAATTCCCCAGACGAGGAGAAAAACGCCTGGCGCACAGTATTGATAAAGAAAACCCCGCTGGAGGAGCCGACAAACTGGCTTTCTTGGGGTGAGTGAGCTGTAAGAGAGCCAATTTCAGGGGTTGCCATTTTAACCATTTCAACTATAGGTCATATTGGGAGAAGTTGGAAAGAGTGGGACGACGATGTGAGGTCAAAGTTGAAGCTAAAGTAGGCTTACTTATATATCGGATCGAATTCTTCCGAATCTTTCTCTATCAAACCCCAACGTCACTCCCAGCAATAGTATCAATCTCAGAACACACTGCATCCACCAGCATCCTATCCCACTTGACATCGGGGAAGCTTCGCACAGGGCGCACGTTGGCGTACTGTTGAAGCGGACCGCGGATGTTTAGAAGAAGACCCCAGTGAGTACATATGGGGAGAAGGGGTGACGACGTGAATCGTGGCGGCCACCACTTCTGGGCCGATGCCGTCTCCTGGAATCGAAGCAATCCGATACATGTTACCAATTCAATTACTCTGCTATACATATATATATATATATACAAACCTTCACTTGCTCAGGATGAACCGTTCGGCTGAACCTTCACCCGACCCCGGCCACTTTATCCGCTTCCATTTAATCTTCAATTTCCAGTTAACCCGGTAGTTATAACGAGTGAACGATCTCAAGGTCAGAGTGAGCAAAGGAAAATGCCTGTCAAGTCCAAGTCTCGTATTACAATCGCCTGTAATTCGTGTCGAATGCGCAAGCAAAAGGTATGAGTGTGTCACCCACCAGAGACCCCGCTAATATCCTAGTGCAGTGGGAATCGGTAAGACCTCCATACCCTACACACAACCATCGACCTACCAGATAATGAACATTGACAATCATATATACATGAAGACCAACCTGTATCCAGTGTCTCCAGCATCGGCGTAACTGCGACTGGCCCGAACAGCTTAAACGGTACGGACAGCCTATACAAACGCTATGCACCACACTAACAGCACCCATCCCAGAGGTCCCGCAAAGGGCTACATCGAATCCCTAGAGCACCGACTCTACGGCACCGAGAATCTACTTCTGGGCCTCCTCACCCAGGTCTCCGATACCCAGCTTGCGGCTGGGATCCGACACTCCACCAATATATGGCCTCGACCTACCCAACGAGGGAGCAGATACTGGAAGCAGTTTCCTCTGCTTTCGGTGCCGGATATTCGCGCCTGGCAGGGGGACTGTCAACAGGATACACAACTAGGATCTACGTCGACCCCTTTGCAGAGTCTGGCGCAATCTCCCACGACGTCTGGGGAATTGCCCGTCTCGACGGAGGAACATTCTCGTTCGGGAGAGCCAGAGCCAGAGCCCAGTCCGGCGGCGCCTGCGGAGAGCCTCCAGCTGCGGATTTCCGAACCCCAGAACCATCCAAGTGTGTGGAGTGGGGCTCCGTCGCTCCATTTCCAGCAGCAGTTTCTATGGTAGATGAAATGTCCAGTGCGTTTACTATCTCGCTACTGGGTAGATTCCGGGAGGCGTAGTATTTTAGATATATCTTTCCAAGGAAGCCGGGCTCTATAATGACAACCGAGAGATATGTATATATATATATATCTTTTTAATTCGTAGTTTCTTTATTGTGTTCTATTATAAACTTGGAGATTTGTACAAATAATAATAACGATCAGGTATCATATCATAATCTACAGCATCGGCTTCAGGTCCGCTGCAACCTGGAAAGGAGCTTCGGTCTTGCTGCGGATCTCCTCGACGGAAACCCCCTCGGCGTGCTCCACCAGAGTCAGACCCTCAGTCGCGCTGACCTCGAACACGGCCAGATCGGTGATGATCTTCCACACACAGCGGGGACCGGTCAGCGGGAATGAGCACTCGGACAGAATCTTGGGGTTGCCCTTCTTGTCGGTGTGTTCCATCGTAACGACCACCTTGGTCTTCTCGGGGTTGGCAACCAAGTCCATGGCACCGCCAACACCCTTGACCTTGCCGGGGAGCATGAAGTTGGCCAAATCTACTCATGTTAGTTTGCAAAAAAAAAAAAAAAAAAAAAGGAAAGAAAGAGAGAGAGAATGTACCTCCATACTGGCTAACCTGCAGCGCACCGAGCATAGTAAGATCAATGCGACCAGCGCGAATCATGCCGAAACTCTCCTGGGATCCAAAGACAGAGGCACCCTGGGCTAAAGTCACCGTCTCCTTTCCAGGGTTGATCAAATCGGGATCCTCCTCGCCGGGCTGGGGGTAGCCACCCAGACCCAGGATACCGTTCTCGGCCTGGAGGAAGACTTCCACGCCCTCGGGCAGGTAGGCCGGCGCAATCAGGGGCATTCCAATACCAAGGTTCACATACATGCCGTCCCGGAATTCCTTGGCGGCACGCTTGACGATACGCTCGCGACGGGCGGTAGCCTCACCAGAACCTGCATAGATTAGCATCTACCTAGCTAACCCATTGACGTACTGCGGAGGTTCGCAAAATAACAAATCCATACCAGCCTGGAGCAACTCCGAAGGATCCTTCGCAAAGGTAAGCTTCTCGATCTGCTTCTTTTCCGTGCTCTGGATCACCTTGTTGACGTAGATGGCCTGCAGATGAATGTCCTCGGGAGCGATGTCCCCGACCTCCACGATGTGGTCGGCTTCGACGATGGTGTACTTGGCGTTCTTGCCCATAGCCTCGTTGAAATTGTTCATAGCCTTGCGGAACTGGCAGTTCCCGAGCCTGTCGGCCTTGTGGGCCTTGATGAGGGCGTAGTCACCGAAAATCGATTCTTCCATGATGTAGTTCTTGCCGTTGAATTCGCGGGTTTCCTTGGGCTTGGAGTATTCCTTCACCGATCCGTCTTGGTTATAACGCACGGGGAGTTCACCAGTTTGTACTATTGCACTACTATTAGCCTCAGTATTCGCCCCGAGGGCTAGAATGGGAGGGAGGGAGGGTTACCGATAGTTCCATAAGCAGCGGGAGTGTAAAAAGCAGGGACACCCGCAGCACCCGCGGCACATTTTTCCGCAATGGTACCCTGGGGAGTAAGTTCGAGAGCGAGGTCACCGCTGAGATACATTTTCTCAAAGACCTTATTTTCCCCGATAAACGAAGCGATCATCTTGGTGATCTGTTTGGATTCGAGCAATTGGCCTGCCACCATCCCAGGTCAGCTCAGCACCGGCAAATGTGAACCGCAAAAAATAAATAAAAAACATACCTAGACCAGCACCCGGCATACCCGCATTGTTGGACACAACGGTCAGATCAGTGATATCAGGACGGTCACGGACAGCATTAATGAGAGTATTAGGGACCCCAGAGAAACCAAATCCTCCGACAAGAACGGTCGAGGAGCCCTTCATCTCCTTGATCGCATCCTGAGCAGAGGCGCATCGCTTGTCAATAGCCTGTCTAGTAGACGAGACGGAGAATTGCCGTCGCCAAACGGCGAACGGACGGATCACGGCTGGGGTAGGCCGCGACATTTCAATCAATTCAATTCGTAGGCACGAATTGAAACGAATTGAAACAGAAAAAGAGAGAGAGAAGAGAAGCACGAAGTAAGGGTAATAAGAGAAGCCTCACGATCCGATCGGCTCTTGGGCGTGGGGAAAGCAACCGACAAAGCGATTATCCGCTGTATCTTTTGCCGCCATCCGAAGCCGATTCTCTGCCGGGTCAGCATGCCATTTGTCAATTTCCCAGCGGAGTCGGTTTTAGTCGCTGTTCTCCAGACTTTTTATGGGGATTCGTGGTGGATTGTGAGCTAAACTGGGCTCCGGAGTTGAGGGTCGGATGTGCCCTCTTCCGAAGTGCCTAAGGCAGAAACAATCCATCTATATCGAAACCCTCTGGACTTGTGAGATTCATTCATAGGTATGGAGTAGTTACAAGTACCAGTTAAATAGAAAAGATAGATTTCAACTCTTTATACTATATATATATATCTATCTATATTAGACAAATATACTACGAAGTAACGTAACTAAGTACTAGTACATTTGATGCAAATTCGATACAGTACCATACATACCTCAACACCCATCAGCCCCGGATTCTCTGCAGAACTCCGTACCGTACCGTATCGATCATACTCCATACTCAACTAATCTTGACTTTTCTGTCAATCAATCCTCAACCTACTTTTCATCCCTCTCATCACTCTCATCACTCTCATCATTCTCATCCCTCTCATCCATCTCATCCCTCTCATCCATCTCATAATGCGTTTCAATTAACCCCTTCCCCCTCCTCGCCTCGGCGACGTCCATCATGGTCATCAGAAAGTGCAACATCTGTGACCGTCGCTTCAAGAAGACAGAGCATTTCAAGCGTCATGAACGGTCGCGTGCGTCTTCTTTCTCATCGCCAATTAACTTACTGATGAATTATTCTAGATACTAAAGAAAAGCCCTATGAGTGTAGTGTCTGTCATAAGCGATTTTCTCGAAGGTATGTAATGTAGTCGCCCGACACATACTATACGAATAACCATACCTCTTACTAAACCCTCTTTCTAGCGACGTATTAAGCCGTCATGCAAAAGGCCATACTACAAATCATGCAATCAGCTCCCGCGCTGCCCTGCCCTCCTCATCGCTAGACTTCCTTGCGGCGCCGCCTCCGCCTGCGGACCCTCGAGTGACTGGCCCGCAACCATTCCAGGGAACATTGTTCGATCCTGAACCGAGCGACTTGGTACAGTTTTGGCTTGAACCGCGCGGAGATACAGGATCGCATCATGAATCACTGGACCTGATGAGAGAGAATGCCGCAGTCTCGCCGGAACAACAGGCTCGGCCGCCAGCCGAGGATCTCAGCAATGAACCCGTCTGTGACATTCCTAATGAACGGTGGGCAAGAGTTCAGCGCTACTGGTTGGCCCCGTCCAATACTACTGGCCGACTCATGAATAGCCTCTGGCAAGATATTGCCTGCAATGGTCTCGACAACATCTTCTCGGTGCCTTGCCCTCAATCATTTCACAGCTCCGGGCCTTTTCCCGCATCGAGATACGGTTTAGATGAGGACTGTCGTCAGCAGTTACAAGAGGAATTTGGGCAGCACCTAGGTACTATACACTCTTCGGAAAACATCACCCTTCCTTCAACGTATCCCGGTCGACCTAGTTTCCCACCCGCCGAAATCCTAGACATGGCGCTTGATTTGTATTTTCGTAATTTTCATCCTCTACTTCCCTTTGTCCATCTTCCTACATTTTCTGCTAAAAATACTCGCCTTCCGGTATTGTACGTCATGTGTCTGATCGGGATGATTATGCTGGGGACCAAAGGAACTACGGATTTCGTTTTCAAAAACTTTCCAGTTAGATATCCTTTTCTTCTGCCTTTTTTTTTTTTGCTTACATTTCCCATTAGAGTGTTCTCGAAAATATCGCCGCACGGCTGGCAAAATGCTCTATGGGGGTGGAAAACTCGATAGGAACGATAAATACCTTTGCTGCAGCTTTTCTGTTCCTCAATCTGGCTGCCATGACTGGGGTAGGATTCACCCCGTTCTATTAAAAGATATAGCTAACCCAAGCAGGAGAAGGAGCATTTAGAAAAGTCACAGATGCTCTATGTCAATCTCATGTCGGTCAGTATAGCGTCCCCTCTATGATCACTCCTCTCACGGCCGTAGGTCGCGCAACGACATGGTCTTTTTGCAGCCACTGAAGGCCAAATTCTCGATATCACCTTCTTTGAAACCGTTCCAGATATCGATAGTCGGTGGAAGACCTGGAGCAAAGTAGAGTCTGTTAAGCGGTACGTGATCTCACTCGATTCTCGGACTCCTACTGACTGGTCAGGCTCATAACCGGGCTCCTCCTGTTGGACTCGTGGTACTCGTCCTTTTTATCAACGAGCCCCATTCTTGTTCCCGATTCAATTCAACTGATTCTACCCTGCAATGAAAGTCTTTTCCGCGCAAGCTGTTCCATGCGATGGACGCAGCTGGTCCGCGGTGGAAAGCATTTACTCATGCCCACAGTCCTGGCACCTTCGGAGAATGTTGCCATCCCCAGTTTAGGCAGCCCTGTGGAGGATTTCTGCATGCATGGGGTGTTGGCCATGGTCCAGCTCCGGCTATCAGAAGCCTACCACCGGCTCTTGTCAAACCGAGCAAGCTACCCGTTCGCTCCCTGTCACACATACGCGATGGATGGACGCGCGCGCTGTTTACCGTCACTCCAGCTCCAGATTGCAGAAAAGTACGGGGAGGTCCTCGACCGTCTCAATCCTAACGCAGCCATCATGTGGCACAATATATGCATGGCCCTGACGGCCGATATCCAAATCTTCGACCTGGCTGCCGGGCGTGCAGGACCAGCGCCAGCCCGGAAAGCCCTTGATGACATTGCAGCATGGTCCCAGACTCCGGCGGCCAGGCGCGCGTGTCTGCACGCAGCGCACATATACAAAACCATGACCAATCGAAAAGCATCTGATCACCCCCTGTTCCACTCAATATTTTCACTTTTCTCCGCTGCACTTGTCCTCGGATTGTACATATGCATGGTCCCAAATTCCAGTGAGCTGCGGGTGGGCGGGACATCCATCGAGCTCCTGGATGACATCGACTGGCAAAGGGTGGGGACGGAGGGATTCACGAGTTTTATGGAGCCTCGTGGCACGGAAACTTTCGCGCCGTCCGATGACCCTGCTGTCAACTTTATCAGAAACGGGGGGACTGTGTATTTTCGCGGCGTCCCATTCCAGGGGGGATCCCAGTCAGCACGACGAATTTTGCTTGACTATGCAGGGCTTCTCAAAGACGCCGGGCATTGGAGCGTGCGCAAATTCTCCTACGTTCTTCACATCATGAGCGATGTCCTTATGGAGGTGGAGTGAGCTGCCCTGCCATTAAAGTGTGATAAGATGAGATGGTATCTAGCCGGCTAGGCCATCCTCTAGTTACACTCACTGTTTTATATATCTTTCATTCATTACTGTGAATATGTATACTTGCAACCACGCAATCTACCCAAAAGAATCCCCACCTCTAAACCAAACTCCGTTCCTTCACCCTCGTAAACAACTGATCCAACTCCTCCGCCGACGCAACCACACCAAGCATACTCCCCTCCGGCTCCTGCCCCAAATACGTCTCCCCCCGGGGATCCCCCCACAGCACCACCCGCGACCACCCACAATACTCATCCCCATACCAAAGCCGCTCCCCATCAACCTCGCTCCGCGCCTGGAGAAACCCCCCCCTTCCACGCTCCTCTCCCGTAATCCCAACCAACCCATTCGCCCCCCGATACCGCGGCAAACTCAACCCGTTACAGCTCGCGTCAGGAAGATGCAGCACCCCCTGCAACGCCAGCACATTCGGCCGCGCGTCGTCCGGCGCCCGGCGCACCTTCAGTTCCACGCTCCCCACGCCCAGCACGCGCTGCGAGCCCACGCGGCCCGGCGCCCGGCGGTACGACGCAAACGACGCCCGGTTCTTCGCGTAGTGGCAGTTTCCGCTGGGGGTGATCATCCAGTCCCAGCATCTGCTTTTGCATGTGCTTGGTTTTCGGGCGGCGGTGGTTCGGTTGGGTATTTGGTTCCGGGTGGGATTGTGGTGTGTGCTGGGGGGTGTTTTGTGTGTCATTTTATTTTGCTTTGTTTTTATATATAGATAATATGTGGATAGATGGATAGATGGATGTGTGTATAGGGTTGTGTATGTGTGTGTATGGGTTAATAAATATCCAGGTGAAAAGTATCTAGTTAAGAGAGTTAAGAGAGTCTAGACTGAACCCGGCACTCTCGTGGCGAGTGAATCCATGGACGAGTCTTGATGTCAATGTGGCAAGACAAGCCATTCTTAACTTGTCCTAATGATTTTTTTTTGTGTCCATCTAGTTAGTCAACTAGTAGAGTAGTATAGTTAGTACTTTACTTTATCTATACAAAATTCCCTCAACCTTCTCCGCAATAGCCAAAGAACTCGTCAACCCCGGGCTTTCAATCCCCAGCAAATTCACAAATCCTGGAAACCCTTCTTCCTTCTGGATCACAAAATCTATGAATCCCTTGCCCGTGTTCAGCGCGCCTCCACGGCCCAGCTTGGGTCGAATCCCACAGTAGTCCAGGGAAATCGCCTCGGGGTCGACATTAGGCAGATAAGCCTGGATCGCAGACAGAGCCTCGTGCAGCCGCGCGGGGCTGGGCTTCAGGTCATTGGGATCGTCCACCCACTCCACATCGGGCCCGAAGCGAACCCGCCCACCCATATCCAGGGTGAGATGCGTGCCTAGACCACCGTGGCCCGGGACCGCGGCCGGGTATACCAGCACCGACGGCTTCGGGAACGACGCGCCGTACGAGAAATACGTTCCCTTGGCATAGTAGGGTTGCCGGTGGCGCTCGGGCGGAAGAAGCATATTATTAATCGCACACGCAGAGTTCCCGGCGCTGTTGATCACCGTCTCCGCCACAATGGACGTCTCCGTCCCGTCATCCCCAGACCGAGTGGTGACCTTGTACCCTGCCGCACCACCGTCCAGCGCCTCGATGCCTGTCACCGTCGTCAGGAATGCACAGTCCCCGCCCCGGTCCTCGAAATCCCCCTGTAAATACGTCATGAGCGCGTGACTGTCCACGATCCCCGTAGACTCGCTCTCGAGGATCCCTGCGAGAGCGCGGACCTCGGGCTCCCGCTCGTGCGCCTCCGCGGCGGAAATCAGCCGTGTAGGTACGTTGAGGGATTTCGCATGTTCCTGAACCTGCAGTGTTGCAGCCCATTGCTCCTCGGTTTGGGCGACAATCCACTTCTTGGTGTTTCGATAGGGGATGTTATGTTTTTGGCAAAGGTCGTAGAGCAGTTCGCGGCCACGGATGCAAAGTGAAGCTTTCAAGGTAGAGGTTCCGTAATACAGACCGGCGTGAATGACCTACCATTTCTCTCTCTCTTTCTATTTAGTTGCGTTTCTTCTCTTTCACATCTTATTGCCGAGGTTATATATAAAAAAAAAAAGGGGGGGGGGGGGTACCTCTGAGTTCCGGCTGCTGGTCTCTGTCCCTGGCGCGTCATGTCGCTCGAGGAGGATCGTAGAGGTGTTGGGTCGTGAGGCCAATTGGCGGGCGACTGCAAGACCAACAACCCCTGCACCGATTACCTAGAGGAGGATATCAATTGAGTGTATATCCTAGAAGAGAAGAAGCGAAGACACATACTACGTGGGTAACATCCGCGGAGGAGACGCGGGTGGTAGAGAATCGGCGGTGGGAAAGGCGAACCCCCCGTGGAAGCGAGAGACCTGCTCGGGCAGCAGCCATGGAAGATCAGACACTGAAACTCGAACTGAGATCGAATTGAGATCAACTGGGGTCAGAGAGAAGCCGTTGGCGTTGTATTAATCCTTGGGGATTGCACCATACTCTCGGGTGGAGTCGGAACAGCGCCGGTCACGGAGAAGAGGATTTATAATACTCCGTACATCCAACCGCAGTTCTATCTCATGATGTGGATTGTCTGGGAATTTATACCCGTTCTAATCTATTACCAGCTTTCATATAATAATACACATGTACTCAAGTAAAAGGTATCTTTCCAAATTCAAGGGCATGTGGAGGGAGAACATTGACGCCCGGATATATATCCAGAGAACACAGTCCAGATTAACCGCGTCGTCCCTCATTCTTCAGCAATCCGTCAAAGTGCTAGTCCCGATCAGTGAGTCATTCGCTAAAAAGAAAGAAGTCAACTCACCTGCTTCTGCTCAGTAGCCAGTTTGCCTTGCGTGTCCTGTGTGGAGTTAGCCCTGGACAACATGCAGTTGTAGGAAAGAACGCACGCTAATGATCGTCAAGATTAAGGAGTAGTTATTGAAGAGAAATCGCTCTCTCCGCTTTGCATCGCCGCCAATGCGACTGAGCTTGGCCAAAAGTGTGTCAAACTCAGATGTCAGCCGGGAAAGACTGTGTGCAACAGGCTCATCATCGCCTGCTTCGCTGCTAAGAACAAGAATACCATGTAGCAGCTGTCCGAAGCGCTGCGTCAGAAAATGAGGTGCAGATGATTGGTTGGCATCGTCCCCCCCGGCTAGGGAGAGAGCAGAGACGGCACTCCGACCTGTGTTCGAGCCTATTCGCTTCAGGGATTCACAGTGCGTGTCCATAATTACTTGGAATCGCGGCCACAGCTGCATATTGATTCCGTTTATATAAGAATCCGCTACGGGTACCTTGCGGCGCTGGAGCTCGAAAGCGGCCCGTTGGTTGAGTCGCACACAGATCAGCACTCCTAATGAGTCAGTGGCATTTTCAATGAGCTGCTTTGCTAGCCCCTGGCCAAGTGTAAACACCGAGCTAAAGATTTCGAGCGCCTTGCGCGAGATTTGTTGGAAAGACATGGTTGAGAACATCTCGGTCATGAAGGAGTATTCCGCCGAAACGTTGTCTACAAGGGCAAGGTTGAAGTTTCGGAATGGAACCTCAATCCCGTGGTAAGAAGTGTCTTCTTCTGCCAAGTACGAAGACAGGGCCATATGGTTGCCGGTGCGTAGAATGTCAATCCTTCTGCCGAGCGAGAACGGATCGTGCGCAGCAGCGCCAGGCCGTCCACCAGGAATCATGTTACCTATTGCAAATTAGCTACATCTATTAGCAAGGCCAAGGAAGGCCAAGATACGAACCGGATTTTTGAGCAGAAGGATCACCCCCAAGAACCTCATTCCGGTCGCTGGGGTAGATCTTGATCTTCTCCAAGGCATGAAGATAGCGGGTAAAGTGCGAGAGATAGTACCAGCGCATGGTGTTAATGTAGGCTTGGGCAATCTCCCCAGCCAAAGCCGGGTGGGCTCGCGATATGTAGCTGTACAGGTCTTTGAACTTGACCAGTCGTTGCTGCTGGATGATTTGCGCGTTGATATTGGGGGACCGCAAAGCCCGTATTTGGGAGACTAGGTAGTCCCGAATCCTCTCCACAGCCTACAAATCGATGCATTAGCCCGAGATGAGTCAATCGCAAAGCGATACGGCGAACCTTTTTCTTTACATCCTCTAAGAGTGGCCGCACATCCTCAATGGCCTTGGAAGTGCTAGAACTAGCGACTTTCGCTTCAATACCAGTTGTGCGAGACTCAATATCATTCAGCGCCTTGACCCAGTTCTCGTCAATAGGGCCCTCCACAATCAGGCGAACGGCGGCTGGAGACACACTAATCTCCTCCACAGCGGGGCCAAGTAATTGTTCCACATTCTTCCGGTTCTCCAACATAGCGCTCAGCTGGACTGAACGGGTTTGGAGTGTCTCAATCTCAGCAGAGACTGCTCCTAGTTCGGTTTGAAAGTCATTCAAATACATTTCGACTGATTTCGATACATCGTCGCACCCAGCGATCGCGGAATGTAGCTCCTGGAACTTGTCCCTCTCCTTCTCAAACTGCTGGATAGCCTGCACACCAACATCGCTGTTCATCAGCCTGGTTGGTTCTTCGACCTTCTTGACGAAATCCTCAAGGCCGAGGTCTCCAAAATCGATCTCGGCCACCAGCCGAGGGGGTCTAGATTCCGCCGCCAATGAGACAACGGATGCGGTTGTGACCAAGGCCTCTTCCTTCTGTCTCTTGAGAATCCCATCCAGCACCACTAGCGGGTCTGTAACCTCGGACGGGCGGGATTTTGAAGCGAGATTCTGCCTCCGTGTTGGCGTGTCAGAGCCACGCGCATACGGTGACGACGCTGTCGAGGCATTCGGGGTGACTAAGGCGGATAATGAGGATCCTGGCCGACTGATCGCGGGGCGACCATTCTGAGGGGTAGGAGAGAACCGAGAGGACGATCGTGGAGGGAGGGGAGAAAGACTGCGACTGTCTAGATGGGGTGCGGAGGAAATGCGGTCGAGCCACATATTGGAGCGGAGGACGGCTCAGGAGGTGATTCCAGAGGTCATTTCATATGGATGGGGTTTGGGGGGGGAGGGGGACTGTTTGTAGACAGTGCGTTGGAATGAATATTTATAAAAACAAGGAGATGACAGGGATCGTTAGCTAGCTAGTACATTCAAGCATCTTCAGTGTCCCTACCTACCTAATCGTGAGTAGTTACAGGATTCGGACTATTTACCCCGAAAGGAGATGACCAGTCGGAGTCGAGCCGGAGAAATTGCCCCGATTTGGCTGGGGTGCATCCCGGGAGACTGGAGCCACCAGAGACGCAGTTTTGCACGCTAATCCCCTTGAGGATCTAGCGACCAATTAACCCCGCCACAACACGACGGCGATTTGTCGATTTTCTTTTCATCGATTTCCCCTCCTCACGCTGCCCTTGATTTTTTTTTCTTCTCCTTCTCTTCCTTCCATTCCAAATACTAAAATTCCCATTCTCTTTCCTTTTTGTCTTTTCTACGAGCCCTTCCTTGAGTTTTCCTTTAGCACTCTATCACGATGGCTGACGAGGTACTGTACTCCCTCCCTTCTCGCCCCTGCGCTGCTCCATTCACTACATCTGCCCTGTCCCTCATTTCCTTTTCCTGCATCTGCTGCTTGGGCTGAGGCCCAGGTATAGTGACTGCCCTCATTTCTACCCCACCGGTCTTTCTTTCTTTTTTGGATCTCTCGTGGCGGCGCACAAATGCAGAGGCATTTATCATCCGGAAACCTCTCGAAATATTCAATTTGGAATGAGTGGTTCGGCTGACGGTTCTGACCCTTTGCAGCACCATGAGACCTTCGAGTCCGCCGACGCTGGCGCCTCCGCCACCTTCCCCATGCAGTGTTCCGCTCTGAGGAAGAACGGTCACGTCGTCATCAAGGGCCGCCCTTGCAAGATTGTCGACATGTCCACCTCCAAGACCGGAAAGCACGGTCACGCCAAGGTCCACATCGTCGCTCTCGACATCTTCACTGGCAAGAAGCTTGAGGATCTGTCTCCTTCCACCCACAACATGGACGTCCCCAACGTCGCCCGCAAGGAATACCAGCTCGTGAGTCATTCGCAGAACACAATAGGTTGCCATCTAGCGGTGCGATTTAACTAACCTTCACCCAGCTCGATGTCACTGACGATGGCTTCCTTTCCCTGATGGATGACAACGGTGGCACCAAGGACGATGTTAAGGTCCCTGATGGTGAGGTTGGTGATAGAATTATCAAGATGTTCCGTGAGGAGGAGAAGGACTGCAGTAAGTGTCCTGGTCTGCTTCAAATCCCCCCTCCATTCAAATCCTAACATATCTCCAGATGTCGTTATCTTGACCGCCATGGGTGAGCAGTGCTGCATGGAAGTCAAGGAGGCTCCCAAATAAGTAATCACGGTGTCTATGTACCGCCGCGTCAGCCTTGCGTGCGTTAACGGCGTGGCTCTTGTTTCCCCTTATAACTAGAGGATGATGCTACGTTTTGGGCGGAGTATGGCATGACTGTTACTTCTTTAATCAGTGTAGCCTTGGGTGTGCTTTGTGCGAGCAGACTTAGTTGCGTTTAATTGGCAGGTTCAAGCATGCCTGGTCATCGGGACAGTCCTTGAGTCCCGCACTCTCACGATAGTTTGACGAACAAAAAACCCTTTCCCATGTCTTTTTTTATTCTCAATTGTAGGGTGCAATTTTGTCCAGGTAGAATCTCTGTCTGAGAGGGCTGTGAAAGTAGAGTCGTATATGAAGTAGATAACAAAATTTCAACAAATCTTACGTACGCTGCGTAAAGTATTAGTAAAATCCTGGTGGTTGTAATATTCAAGTCGTTGGCCGCAATTCATGGTAGGATTTCTTCTATCAATTAAACCCGAGAAAAAAAAAAGTTGCTGACTGCACCACTCACTCGCCAACCTCCTGAAGACCTATGTCTTCCACCTTTGCCCCCCCGCGAGGATGAGAATGCAGCAGACTGCCCTGGATGGAATACATCACCCGAGGGCCCTGCGGGCAAGAAGGGTGCCGTGAAACGCGCTATTATCTCGACAATGGCCTTTGGTTCTGTAGGCGGGGTCATCAGCAGGAGGTATAAATTCCCAGCCCAAATCCTACGTCCTTACAGACGAAAACGCAAGAAGTCCCCCGGGGGGTAAATTTCTTTTGAATGAGCTCACAGCTTTCTGTTTAGGGCCGCCAAGTAGAGGAGGATCCTGATGATTTCGGAACCCAGGGCAAGTTAAGTCGGGCGAAAAAGCCTGTCGTGGAGAAGACTCAGAAAAGTAGGATAACGAATCTTCAACCTTCTCTTTTTCTCTTTTTTAGTCTAACGAGGAATAGAGTATCGCGGGCGCCAGGCTTATCGGCTTTTTCTGCATATTTATCAATTAATTGTTTGGAAACAGTGTCATGCATTGGTCAAGGACCGGGGGTTCCCGCCAGAGCTAGAGGTTTGTGTTCATACTCTACATATGTTTGAGATTTCAGACGCTGACTCTAGCACTACGAAAAGAATGTCATTCGCGATCTATGGGCGCTCCGCCTGGGGAACTATGCAAATAAAATCAACGACCCTACTGATGAGGATTCTCAGCCGGAGTTCTTCAGTTCCCAGCCTGGGAGCGCGCGTGAGGATACTGAGACTGAGGCATTCAAGCCGGGAAGCAAAATTGTGCAGTGGCCTCGCCTGATCGATACAGTTTCTCTCTGCTATCTCGGAGCTTTCTTGATGAGGCTCCCAACGAGTATTGGAGATTTCTACCGGTATAATTTCCGATTTCTTCGGATGGGCTCATCTCTAACGTTTTCTAGGATGGTTATGCGGAATGACATTCCTTATTTCAGGGTATTGATCCACATCCCACGCGATATGAAGGATAAGTTGCCGCAAGAATACATGGCTCTCTTGGAAACTACGGTATGTCCTGTTATTTCAATTATGCGGAGGCTATGGATCTAAATGCTTTGAATAGAGGTTATTGAAACCCGATGATCTCCATACTGCTGTATTCGACCTCTTAATGCTCTACCACCGTCAGTTTAAGATGGAATTTCCACCTTTGAATGCACCAGCTTTATTGTACCGATACATCAGCAGGCTTGCACTCCCAGGCATGCTATTCCACTTACCCATCTCCTGGTTCATGAAACTGACCTGCTTCCATAGTTGACGTATACCCAGCCGTGACACGTTTACAGAATCTGCTTGGATTTACGTTCAAGTATTCCACAAAAGTTGTTGGCAGGAGAAAGCCTCTGGACAAACCAGAACTGCAATTGATCACTCTCATCGTAATCTCCACTAAATTATTATTTCCTTTTGATGACGTCGAGCGACATCCTACGTGCGCACAAGAACCTGCTGTCCATACAATCGACTGGGCGGCGTGGGGAGAAGTTCAGCGTCGATTCGAGAATCGAGAAGCATTAGCGGGGAAAATCAGCAAGGACAAGGAAATTCTTGTCAATGAGAACGATGTGCTGGCCATGACACCGGACCAATTGGATCAGTACATGGATTGGTATGAGAACAACTGGCTGGACCTCAGCAAGGGTATGAATTCAGCGTCTCGCCATTCTTACTGAAGCGTGTCTAACCTTTGCAGGATCGGGTCCTTTGTCGGCTTTATTCCCAGTCGGACCTCAATCCAAAGAAAGAAAGCATGATTCGCCAGCAGTGGAGGACAACGAAGAGGAGGCTATAGAATTCATGCTGCAAAATGCCCCAAGATATGTGAAATCCGCAACAGTTGTGGATCAATCCGACACCAAGACATCCCGTCCAGGTTCCTTTTACACCCGATATCGACAAGAGTCTGATCTGCCAGATACGGCGAGGTCATTCTACGAAACTGCCGCAAAAGTGGCCGGTATATCTCTTTCTATTCTTGTGCGATGTGTATCGCAGGCGGAGATCCAGATCAATAAGTGGTTAGAAGATCGGAGACGCGCCAAACATTTCGCAGAGCGATCTATGATCGAGTCCATAGGAGAGGATGTTGATAAGAGCCACTCGAGTTCGGAAGATGATGAACCAAGTGAGGGAGCTATTTCGTCTGATGGTAATGAGTCTGAGGGCAATTGATTTCCAATGTTGACATTCTTCGAGAGATTTATATGTAATAGAAAGATCTCTTGATATTAAGAGGAATTCCCATCACTACAGCCTGTTTTAGTAAAGAGCTTGAACGTAAAATCGAATGCTGATGATGTCTGATGTTCTAGAAGGGAAACTGTGGAGAAGAGCTCCGAAACAGTACGAGCGGTCCGGCGATGACGAAAATAGAACCAGGTTAGGGCTTAGGGTATCGCCGGGGACCAGTCCACCCTTGCTAAGCGAGAAATCCTCAAATTGACATCGGCTCCTCCGAGCGTACCTTCTAGCGATTGTCAGCCAGCAACAACGAAAAATCGCAACCAGTACGTTCACCATTACTATCCATTTCTCGCGAATCCCCGTTACTCCGTGCAACATGAAGACTAACATGCCCTTTTTTTCTGCGATTTTACAGTGCAGATGTAGGTCTTCCCGAACCTTTCCAACCGCCTCACCCTTCCCCTCTCGACCAACGACAACACACAGCAGTCCAGTCGAACACGGAGGAAGAAAACTGAACGAGAGAGAAGGAGAATATTGGAGTATCATACTAACTGATCTCCGATAATAGTTTCGTCAAGACCCTGACGGGTAAGACCATTACCCTCGACGTCGAGTCGAGCGACACCATCGACAACGTCAAGACCAAGATCCAGGACAAGGAGGGCATTCCCCCAGACCAGCAGCGCCTGATCTTCGCCGGAAAGCAGCTCGAGGATGGCCGCACCCTGAGCGACTACAACATCCAGAAGGTATGAAGGAGATTCCGATTTTATCCCTAAGAGAGAGCGCATGGACGTGAATTTTCCAGTGGGGCGTTCGTTGGGGTCGATACGCGAATACGAAGACAGGGCTTTGATAATTCGTTCTTTGTGACGAACTATCTCCTTTATATATATATATATATATATATATATTCCGCGTGGAATTACGTCTTTCAGCATGGGAAATGCTTTGGTGTTACATGGATGGGAAACAGTCCGCTAACAAGATCTGGTCTGCATTATAGGAGTCCACTCTCCACCTCGTCCTCCGTCTCCGTGGTGGTATCATCGAGCCTTCTCTTAAGGCCCTTGCCTCCAAGTTCAACTGCGAGAAGTCCATCTGCCGCAAGTGCTACGTACGTTGAACCCGTCCGCGCGAGTTGAATCGATCCACTCGATGCAAGTTCCCAATGATCCTAACTTTTCTTTTTTTTTCCTTCTCCTAATAGGCTCGTCTCCCCCCTCGTGCCACCAACTGCCGTAAGAGGAAGTGTGGCCACACCAACCAGCTCCGCCCCAAGAAGAAGCTCAAGTAGACGATTCTTATGTTACGGTTTTTTCTGCGTTGCTGGATGGGAAGGGAGTGATGATTGCAACGCGAAAACGGTTCTTTTTTGCAAAGCGGCGTCGGAATGATGGGGGTCAAAATATTAGAAAATGACTACTCGGAACCAGTTGCAGTCAATCAATCAAACAGAAATTGTAAAATTCAACTTTCCTCGTCTCATCGCTTTGCTCCTTTTTTTTTTTTTTTTTTTTCTGCTAGTAGATACAGGTGTACAGATACATGAGGCGAGCCCGCCAAGGAAGAAGTGGTAACAAAGAAGCACACCAGGTGGACGACGCAGAAACCAAAAAAAAAAAAAAAAAATTGAAAAATGAAGATATCTTATGACAACATGCTGCCGGAGCAAAGGTCAACAATCTCAACTCTGGGAGACCTGAGGATCATGAAACCACAAAACAGGAAGGAAACGATGCTGCCACGCTATAATCTAGAACCTGAACATGCTGTCCTTATGGTCATCATTATTATCATCAGGGTGGTCATCATGGTCATCGTGATCCTTGTTCTTCTTCCCAACAGGACTTCCGTGACTACAACCCAAGGATACGTTCAGTCAAGAAAACAAAAAAATTAAACAGAAACAGCAAATACAATGAAGAGTAGGATGGACGACTTACGCAAAGAACAGGATCTTAATAGCGATCGCAAACCCAGCGTGCAGGACAATAACCAGAATCAGCAGGATCTTGCTGGCCTTCGCATCCGTGGCACTCAGAACAGGATACAAATTGCGCAGGAGGAAAAACACCGTCCAGCCAAAGCCAACACCCACAAGAGCCCAGTTAAGAGCTGTGAGGGGGCTCCAACTCACAAGCGCAACAGCAATCCAGATCAAATTCGAGTACCCGTACAGCGCCCAGCACTCAACCAGATCTGCGGTCGAGCTTCCGAACCATCGCAACGCTCCCCACAATGCAATGGGCAGAACCCCGGTGTAGCCGTACACGAGGCCTGCAGCACCAGACAGTAGAGTGAAATCATATTCGAAGTGTCCCTTGTCGTTATTGGATAGCCATTGGGAGATGGTCCCAGTGAGGAAAAGGATCATGACAACGGTGGTAGCTATCCAAAAAGGGCCGTAGAGATCGGGGTTGCCCTCGAGGATGTCAAGGAAGTTGCTGCGTGGATATACTGTGGCTACGCAGCGACGGAGAACCTCATTGGTATCGACGTCGAAGTACTGTTGGTAATAGTGGATGGACCACCAGGCGTGTTTGGCTTGGGTGCCTCCCGGGGACCTGTTGCGGTGCGAGGAGCTTCCTCCGCCGAGAAAGGGGGTGGAATCTGCGTGTGCTTTGGCATTTCGCTGGTCGCTTTCAAAGTCTGCAGAAGTTGAAGGAGATTATTAACCATGTCTCTAAGAGACCAAGGTTGGAGAGAGAGAAAAGAGGAGGCTCACTAGAAGGGTGGAATTCGAGGTCCTCTTGAAGGTCAGTATGCCCGAGGTCGCCCTGGTGCTATTGTTAGCGCCTTATATCATCAAACTGTGACAGATTTGCGGGAAGATACCTCTGCATCAACATCTACGACCACATCATAGCCCTGATTTGCCATGGTGGACGGATTGTGTCTGGTGTTGAAAGACAGTTGTGAGGGATGGAGGAACTGCCGCCTGCAAGTGTACACATCACCGCCAGGGCAAGGCTTGGGAACGCCACACACCAGCCACATTGCGGAGATTCTTCTCTCTCATACTAACAATGCTACTTGCGAAGATGCTAGAAATTACACCAAGCCTTTTTTTAATTACATATATATATATATATATATATATATATTTGTTTCATTTTTCTGCTATATTCTACATATATACTTTATGTTTTATCATTAATAAATACTTTTGTTGTGGTTAATACTCATACATCTATCGTTCCCACGCAATTCCAAAACCGAAACAAGGGCGAAAAAAAGTCACAAGTACCCCTTAAATGCCGATTTAAGTCTATCCATATATGACAGGATGCTGCTGTCAAGGCCCTTCTTTCTAATCCAGATAGACATACCACCAATGAACACCGCAACAGCCACGGAGCCGATCGTTCTTCTATGGCTCCACAAAAACCGGAGGACTTTCTTTCTCCGTTCCTCGTTACGAAGCTGTCTGGCTTGCTGTTGGAAAAGCTTTATAGCTGTGTCTGCTGACTGTGCATCAAAGATATTCCGGGAAGTTTTGAGCACGCTGCACTGAGGGATCTTCCACCAAATTTTGGAAGGTAAGGACTCAGGCGGGTGGTTGCCGAAAAGCTGCACGGCACTAGAGATGAGGCCATCCAGGTCGAGAGGACAGGGTAATTTAGAAAGGGTAAAGTGCAGCATTTCTGGCTCATCCAGCGGGATCTCCAGTAGCTCTTTTTTGCGTGACAAGATAATGGCTGCAAAGAGATAGATGGAAACAACCGGCTCCCAGGCCAGCAAAAAATCAAAGAGTCGTGCGATATCGCTATATTCTTGGATATCATGGGCGTATAATGTGAGAGTTGCTGCGAGTGCAAAAAATGGCCGAATGCCTGCAAGATGGTGGTAAAGAGGCTGGTCGACTGCTTCAATGATTGCTGGGATTAATTGCAGATGTTTCACTGCTGGAGAAAGAGATGGTAGCATATAATCTCTAATGCGAAAGAGGGATACTCGGGAGACTGCCAGGGCGGATTCCTTGTGGCCAAGTACTAGCAGCAACACCTGTGCAATATCATGGTAGCCTTGAAAATAGCATAGCATAGGATAATTGCGAAGCACCTGTTTGATTACTGCAGATAAATCGCTCTTCTTTGATGACAATTCGTCCTCGGAGCCTGCACGGAGATCTTTAGCCATCAGGCCACTCAAAAATGCATCATCAAAGACACTTACACTTAGGGTAGTATACAAATGACCGGTTTACATCTAGTTGTACTTGCTCTTCATCGACATGTGGGGGTAATTCATCGCTTGACAATAGGTTGGACTCCGTCACATTGTCATCGCATTGAAGCAGAATAGGCCCTGGATTCTAAGTTATTACTGGGGAAAGACCAAATTCCATGGCGACATACAGGCCAATCGTCTGAGCTCATCTTGAAGAAAACCACCCTTCGACGTGGCATAGGAGGCTAAGGCGTCTAAATCTTGTAAATTGCACGCCTGACGGATTGCATCGACTTTTTCCGCTAGACGGATTGAATCCTGATCAAGGACTTGCGATTCCGTAGAATTATCGGGAGCTATACCACTCGGGGTCATCAGATCCTTTTCGCTGCTAATAAGGGTCTCTGATGAGACGCTCTCTGGCTTCTGATCTCTGGAAGTGTGATCCATTTTTGCGTGGATAGGATGATTTCGCGTAACCCAGATCAGATAGTCAGATCTAGCTGAAAAGAGAATATGAACGAAAGGGCCGTGCTCTGTAGGCGAAATTCAACTATTAACGTTCGGATTATCGCATAATGAGCGGCATAAGCTGAAGAAGCGGCGTGCCAAGTCAGCACATGGATGATGAGTCCACCTAGGTACCTAGGTATCAATGGAGTTGAGTTCCAAAAAAGAGACTCGACTGCGCTTGTCTAATGACACAACCACAGGAGCTAGCCGGGGCGACAGAAACAGCGTCAGAAGATTGAAGACGCGCCCAGTATATGTACCTAATGATATGATACGTGCCAGCGGGGCCAACCAGGCAGGACATGGCAGCCTCAGGCAAACAGATCCCCGACCAGTGCTGAGTCAGCCATGAGTCAGCCATCTAGGCCGCCATCAGCTCCTTTTCATCTCAAATCAGCCCACCAACCCCTCCAAACACCTCAGGTGGGCGTGCACGTCCGCAATCGCTGTTGCTGGAAAGAATTCGAAGGTCTAGGGTCGATCAGCAAAGAACAAATCTGTGTGCGCGTACGCGCTCAGCACCCAAGGCTTGATGCTGTAGATGCGAATGAGTGAGTGGCTGGTGGCATCATTACTCATAGAAGCTACGGGTACTACTCGCAATCTCCCTCTAGCGGTTATGCTTGGCTAGCATTTCTTACGGCTTGAGATAGCTTCATATTTCTTGTTTAGAACTGGTCCCGGCTAAACAGAGAAGAATTGATTTGTCCGATGCATAACGGGTCGTCGTACTTTATATACACCAAGGATCCCACTCTCTACCGCACGCGTCGGTTCCCGTTCCTGTAAGTCCGTCGAGGAGAAATCAACAATCCTGTTAGTTATCTGGGGTGTTATGACAAACATCTAACCTCTAAGAGCAGCAGCAGCAGCAGCATCACTTTTGCCAGTGGCATGTTACCGACCCCAGCAGTTACCGAGCTTTCAGCCGCTAACCAACTGCGCTCTGCTGAACGAAAGGAAAATGAAAACTTCTCCCTCTAGTTCTCCCAGCATGACAAGACACAATACTCTTGCCTGCTAATTTTCCCGCGGATGTATTATCCTGGTATTCTACTTTGGTTTCCTACTTTCACCCATCTGGAATTTTTGGTAATACCATCCCATCTGTATTCGTATTGTGGGGTTCCCCACCTTGCGAGCTCGCCAGAGTAAATGAACGGAGGGATCCTCACACATACTTACCATCGGCACCAGCTACACCCTCCTCTGTCCACACCCCGCTGCCACCCCGGGCTTCAGATTCATTAAATCATTCTCCATGGCTGATCTTGGGGATCATCCGGAGCTAGGGGGACGCCCGCGAAATAATTCAACTAGGCAGCCTAGTGATAGCAGGATGCACACCGACAGAGATGCCTCGACTGGCAAGGCCAAGGTCGGCCTCCTTACTCATACCACAGTGTCTAGTCCAATAATCCAATGGATTCTCCCTGCCCGACTGAGAAGCAATTATCAAAATGATGTTGTGTTCGTTGGTGAGCGAAGCTTGCAAATTAAAGAAGCGGTTTCTGGAATTCATCTCGAGGAGGTCACCTCCAAGTCTGATTTTGATGCCTATATCATGGCGGCAAAGGTCATCAATATCAGCACGGAATTACCTTGGGAGGCACAGATGAAGTTAGGGTCGAGCAATGTAAATGCCGCCTCGGAATTGCAAAAGGACCTTCCTCCCCAGATAATGGTTCTCAGTCTTGCCTCAAGGGAGCTGGTATTTCTATACCATTCAAGCGCAGCTAACCAATTCATCCACTACCATCGTCCGCTACCGAATGATGTCAGTACCTTTGAGCGGTTTGGTCGGAATATCGCAGTGGAGCCAAGGTAAGGCCATGCTCCGAGCTACCTAGTAAGAGAACACAATGTCTAAATCTTTATTAGGTCTCGAGCAGTTGCAGTCAGTGCCGCTTGTGGGTATTTCGGGGTCTTTATCTTGAAACCACCACCTGCTTTGCAGGTGCAGATGTCCGAAAACCAGCTAGATCCAGTAGCGGAGGTATGGATCCTGCCCCGTTCACGTTGTTTAGGTTGTTGTTAATTCCAACCCCCCAGGAACGTTTTTTTCGTGTGGAAGGCGATATCTTATTCATGGAATTTCTCTACCCAAAAACTGAGGATGGGGATAAGATCATTCTGCTTCTCTTGGTCTCCCAGGACCAAATCACACATGCTGTATGTTACGAATGGAATGCACATCAAGCTTTACGCCAAGCACATCCACTTGTAACCAAGAAGTTGCTCCCATTTGAGGACCGACTCCCTACGATGCTGATCCCTCTAACAAAGACGTCATCCTTCATGTTGATCACAACTACCTCCATGACCATTTACAAGAATAAGCTCGATCCCCAGATACAACCTAATAGGTACCCACTTCCAGTTCCCGACCGCGAACCCCAGAGATCTCCACTCTGGACGCGCTGGGCGAGACCCTTGCGTAATTGGTTGTATAACCAGAAGCACGACGATATCTACCTTTGCCGTGAAGATGGACGAGTATTCTACTTAGGCATCGGCAATGAAGGCGAGGTTGAGAATCAGGCTCACCTCGGACGCCTTTGCTGTGATGTCGATGCCGCTTTTGATATTTTGGATATCGGACACGAGGGTGGAGATCTCCTTCTAGCGGCCGGGAATACGGGAGATGGCGGTTTGTTCGTTCAGAAGGCCAGAGATCATCCAAGATGTGTTCAGAAGTTTCTAAACTGGACACCTGTCACTGACTCCGTTATTTTGAAGGCCCCAGGGGCTTCCACAGGAAGCATTCATGGCGATCGCTTATTCGTCTGCTCTGCATCATCCTTTGCTCGGGGTGCCGTTGTTGAGCTGCGGCACGGCATCGAAGCCCAAATCGGCTATGTTATATCTCTAGAAGAGCTATCAGGAACGAGGGATATATGGATTCTGCCGGACAATACCAATGGAGGTGTCTTCATGCTCACATCTGATCCTGTGTCTTCCACCGTTCTACATCTTCCCGCTAATTTCGGTGAAGAAATATCCGCCATTGATGAAACCGACTGCGGACTGGACTTAAATGCTCAAACTTTAGCAGCAGGATATACCGAGTTGGGCGTTTTAATCCAGGTGACGGACAAAACGATACTCCTTGGAGCTACTACTGAAACTTGGTCTAGCAGTCGTTTTGACCTGAACCCTAGTCAGATTGTGACCGTTGCTGCTGTCCATGGTCAAACATCCCTCATTTGTGCGGTCATAAGGACTCAGCAAGAAATTCATCTCCATCTGAAGAAGATCACTTCGAACGGTGCGAAGCTGGAACTATCAGATATCGGCCAGCCAGTAGAAATCCATTGCGAACCGGTATGTGTGTCCATCGAAGAGTTCGACCTAGGCGCTCTCGTCTTCATAGGTACGGGCGATGGCAAACTTCTGGTCTATCGTGTCGGAGACTCCATGACTCTTTTACTCGAAGCCAGCATCGATGTGGAGAGTGATGATGATATATCAAAAGCCGTGGACAGCCTTGCGATTGTCAGTCAGGGTAGAAACAGAGCATGTGCCAAGTCTACCCTACTCTGCGGTCTACGTAGTGGCTTTCTGGTACCCTTTGAGATCACGATCAACCCGGGTTGTGCTTCTTCTCCACTAGGTATGATCGGTCCTCCTGGATTTTTCGGATCACACTAACAAAGATGTCATGAAGTGATGCGACAAGCAGCACCTCAGCACCTAGGACACACCTCGGTCAAAGTACAAGGCAGGGGGACTAATGCTTTATTGACCTGCAGCAATGGGTTTTGGCAGGTAGTATGTCCTCGAGAGGACGAGACGTCGGATTGTACGGTTCAAAGAATATGGATTACCGACCAAAATAACGTAAGTCCAACCAAAATTTCCATCTCCACGTCTGAAATTCTAACCGGTCTTAGCCTGCCTACCATCCGAAAAGCATACACAGTTTCGCCACGTTGAATTCAGCCGATGCTGAGAAGAACAGCCTTTCAGGAAGCCTGTTCTGCATTGCAGATGGGCAGTTAATAATCTGTACATTGTATCAAAATGTGAGAACCATCCCGCGAAGGATAAACCTACCAGGAAGTGCCCACAAGTTAGCCTACTCGCAACATTTACGAAGTTTAATTGTCGCATACACCCAAACTACATTTGAAACAGATTCCGATCCAATCAAGCGTTATACACGACCGCACATCGAGTTTGTGGATCCAGACTTGCAGCATCCAATTGATGGCACCCTTGAGATTGAAGGGGCCGAGGAAGAAAAGGATAAACCCTGGCGGCCACGCGGGGCAGCTGGGGAGAAAATCAGTTGCATTTTGGAATGGACGCCCAGAAAAGGTGATGAAGAATATCATTTTATTATCATTGGCACTTCCCGGCGCACTCATCCAGATCGTGGGCGAGTTATCTTTCTCCAAGCCTCGCGTGACCCGTCCTCCCCTTCCCGTATTGAGTGCTCTGTCAAATACATTCATAAGTTTGAAAGCCCCGTCTACTCAATAGTTCCCTACGGCGATTTCACGTTAATGGTCTCCACCGGCCATGAAATCGTATCGTTGGAGCCCAAAATCTCACCGTCCCGCCGGGCTCGCGTTGCCAGGTATACAGTGCTTTCCCCAGCCGTTTCGATGTCTGCGCACGAACCATATCTCTACTTGTCGAGCTCGAGAGAATCGCTCCTCATCCTCAAAGCGTCTGAAGACAAACTCCTTCTTCATGGCTACGATCGTCAAAAGCACGATGGGCTCTCCCATATTCATATTGGCGGTGAAATGAAACTCACTCTAACCTCGAGCAGAGGGGGTCGGGTGAGTTTGCTCACAGAAAATGGAGTGACAGAAAACGACAAGATGATGCCTACCGCCCTCTGCGAAGCCCATCTGCCTTCCTCAGTCATGAAGCTAAGCTCCAGTTCCAAAATGTCTCCTCTCTCCCCAGGCTCCCAGGTCTTCTACGGCACTGCTATGAACGGTACAGTTTACCGTTTCTTGACCCTTGGGGAAAAGGAATGGCGTCTCTTGCGCCTCTTGCAGAATCTCTGCATCCGAGACCCTATAATCTGTCCCTTCACACCAAAAAGAAAAAGACAGCGCAACCCTATTGGCCATGAGCCTCACGAATTCCAGCCATCCCAAATGCACATTGACGGCGATATACTGGCTCGTCTAGTCACACGAGGGTCCAGCTATCTGATGCATATGTTGGTTGCGGAGGAATTCTATAACCCCTCCAATGTGGAAAATGGCTCGGCACAGGCGACCTTTGAGAGGTTCACTAGCCTAGCCCAAGATGTCCTCGGGGAACCCACCAGCCCAGTTGAGGGCGTCATGAGGTGGTTGAAGAACGCATTTCATGTAGAGTTTTAAGAGACTCGAGAGGATGTATCTTCTATAATAACTACCTATCTAGCACCTACCAAAATCCATCACCGGTTTCATTCACTTTTCCAGGTTCCATGTCAGTCTTTAAATAATCTTCTATAAGCCGTCTTATATTACCTAGTAGTAGAGTCTAAAAACTCATAGTTAGCGATGGGCTATACAATATATTTTCCAAAATAAGAAGCGGTCGCGAGGGCGGTGAGGATACGCGCAGGCAAAGTTCGGTTTTGCCTCAATGGACTCAATGGCTTGCCGTACCCCACCATCAAATCCAAACCCCATCCAAAATTCTGACCTTGGTTTCCTTCCCACTCCGACGAGTCTCCAGTACTGGACATTACATTTCAACCACAGGGGGGTAGAAAAGGGGTTTTTTTTTTTTGTTTCCCTTTTCCTTTTTATTATCCTGGATTTGTTTCCCTCTTGACTCCATTGTTGAGGGCCGCTTCCGACTTTTGCAACTCCCCCGCACGCTGATCTTGTTCGTTACCCGCACAATCCACCACCAAAAAATTCACCAAGCGCACGGATCGCAATTAACATTTATAGATAGGACCATCCGCGGCTTGCTTTCGTGATTAAAAGGAATAACGGGCAGATTATCCAAAAATGGCACCAAAGAAGAAGGGAAATAAGAGGCACGAGGAAGATTGGGAGGCGGAGCTGGGAGAATCTGCTCCTGCTGGCGGATCCGAGAGCCCCGCCCAGGAGGCCCCTGCTGCTGCTGCTGCTGAGGAGGAGGATGGGGAAATGGCCGGTGGTTTGCTGGCCGCCCTGAGGAAGAACAAAAACAAGAAGGCCAAGAAGGGCAAGCCGCAGAACGACTTTGTTGAAGGCGAGGATGCTTCTGAGGATGCGAATGGCGGTGCTACTGCCACAGATTTCTCGAGCAAGCAGCCAGAGGAGGGCAATTTTGATGAGGATGATGTTTTCGCGGGGAACAAGAAGAAGCCCATCAAGGCTGCTGATCCCGCGCCCAAGGCCGATGAGGACGAAGACTCTGGCTTCCGTGTGAAGTCTAAGAAGGAGAAAGAGAGGGAGAAGAAAGAGAGAGAAAAGCAGCGAAAGAAGGAACAGGTCTGTTTTTGTCTTGCAGTTCTATTTTACTGGCGTCTATATATGTGCTAATTTCGTTCTATTAAACTAGGCCGCAAAGAAGAAGACCACCGAACCCAAGGAGGCGCAGCAAGCGAAGCCTGCTGCCAAGAAGGAAGAGTTCGTTGCTGCCCCTGCTGCCGCCGCCGCCGCCCCCCCCGAGCCTACTACTGGTGGCAAAAAGAAGAAGATTCCCGCCCACCTGGCTGCCATCCAGAAGCAACAAGAAGTTCTTAGGAAACAACGTGAGGAGGAAGAGCGTCTTCTAGCTGAAGCAAAGGCTGCAGAGGAGGCAAGGCAACGTCTTGAGGAGGAGGAATCTCGCAAGAAGGAGGAAGCTCGCCAACGCAAAAAGGAGAAGGAGAAGGAGAAGAAGGAGCAACTCAGGAAGGAAGGAAAGTTGCTTACCAAAGCTCAGAAGGAAGCTAAGGAACGCAATGAACGTCGTATGCAGCAAATGCTTGCTGCGGGTGTTGGAACCGTCGCTGGATTGGAGGAACCTCAGACAGAAAAGAAGAAACCTGTTTACGACAACCGAAGAAAGAAGGGTCCAAAGAAGCAGGAAGAGGACCTGGAAGCCGCGGCTGCTCGTGCAAAGGCTCAACGTGAGGCTGAAGATGAGCGACGACGAAAGGAGGAAGAAGAGCGAAAGGCAAAGGCCGATGCTGAAGCTAAGGCCGCTGCTGGTGACGAAAGTGAGGAGGCTGATGACTGGGAGAAGGTCGCCGATGCCGAGGATGACGTGAAAGACAGCTGGGATGCACCCAGTGATGAGGAAGAGGAAGAGAAGAAACCCGCAGACAAAGCGTCGCCGGAGAACGTGGAGGACGAGTCCGAGGAAGAGTCATCTGAGGAAGACTCCGACGAAGATTCCGATGAGGAGCAAACTGCGGCTCAGCGTGCCGTCGCTCAGAGGAAAGCAGAGGCTGCTGAGCGAAGGAAGAAGCAGCACGAGGAGGCCATGGCCGCTCGTTCGAAGGATAACTTGCGCTCTCCTATCTGCTGTATTCTGGGCCACGTCGATACCGGTAAAACAAAGTTGCTTGATAAGATCCGTCAGACAAACGTCCAAGAAGGTGAAGCGGGTGGTATCACGCAACAAATTGGTGCAACTTACTTCCCTGTCGAGGCTCTTCGTCAGAAGACTGCCGTGGTGAACACAGATGGAAGCTTCGAGTTCAAGATTCCTGGTCTGCTTGTCATTGATACCCCCGGTCACGAGTCTTTCTCCAACTTGAGATCAAGAGGTTCGTCTCTCTGTAACATTGCTATTCTGGTCGTCGATATCATGCACGGTCTTGAGCCCCAGACTCTCGAGTCTATGAGACTGCTCCGAGACCGCCGCACTCCTTTCATTGTCGCCCTGAACAAGATCGATCGTCTGTACGGCTGGAAGAAAATCGACAACAACGGCTTCCAAGAGAGTTTGGCTATGCAAAGCAAGGGTGTCCAGAACGAGTTCCGCTCTCGTCTTGAGCAAACCAAGGTGCTCTTCGCTGAGCAAGGTTTCAACGCTGAGCTCTACTACGAGAACAAGTCGATGGCCCGCAACGTCTCTCTCGTGCCTACCTCAGCTCACACCGGTGAAGGTATCCCTGATATGCTGAAGCTGTTGACTACCCTGACCCAGGAGCGTATGACCAACGCTCTGATGTACCTGTCCGAGATTGAGTGTACAGTTCTCGAAGTCAAGGTTATCGAGGGTCTTGGTACCACCATCGACGTTGTTCTGTCGAACGGTATTCTCAGGGAGGGTGATCGTATCGTTCTGTGCGGTCTCAACGGTCCTATAGCAACCAATATTCGAGCACTGCTTACCCCCGCGCCTCTGAAAGAACTGCGTCTCAAGTCGCAGTACGTTCACAACAAGGAAGTCAAGGCTGCTCTCGGTGTTAAGATTGCAGCCAACGACCTCGAACAAGCCATCGCTGGTTCTCGTCTGATGGTCGTCGGACCTGATGATGAGGAGGAGGACATCGAGGAGGAAGTCATGACTGATCTGGAGAACTTGCTCAGCAAGGTCTCCAAGGATCAGCGTGGTGTCAGTGTCCAGGCCTCTACCCTCGGTTCCCTCGAGGCCCTGCTCGAGTTCCTTCGTGTCTCCAAGATTCCCGTCGCCAACATCTCTATCGGTCCCGTCTACAAGCGTGACGTAATGATGTGTGGTACGATGCTGGAGAAGGCCAAGGAGTATGCTGTCATGCTGTGCTTCGACGTAAAAGTCGACAAAGAAGCGCAGGCCTATGCTGATGAAGTTGGCGTGAAGATTTTTACCGCAGATATTATTTACCATCTATTCGATGACTTCACCAAGCACATGGAGGAGCTTACAGAGCGCAGGAAGGAGGAGAGCAAGCTCCTTGCTGTCTTCCCTTGCGTTCTCCGGACGGTTGCTGTGTTCAACAAGAAGGACCCCATCGTCATTGGTGTCGATGTGGCTGAGGGTAGTCTGAGGCTGCACACCCCTGTCTCCGCTGTGAAGACCAACCCTGTAACAGGTGCAAAGGAAATCGTTGAACTTGGCAGAGTGTAAGTCTCTTTCCCCCCCCCCCCCCCCCCGGGTGTACGTCCTTTTTCACTTTAAATGAAGCTAACAATGTGTTTTTAGTTCTGGAATCGAGCGTGACCACAAACCAATCAATGTCTGCAAAAGGGGTCAGCCCTCCGTTGCCGTCAAGATTGAGGGAACCAACCAGCCCATGTACGGCCGTCAACTGGAAGAGAAGGACACCTTGTACTCTCACATCTCCCGTGCAAGTATCGATACATTGAAGGAATTCTATCGTTCCGATGTTAGCATGGAGGAATGGGGTCTCGTCAAAAAGCTCAAGCCTGTCTTCGACATCCCATGATCAACTCACTCGCTACATACTGCCTGTCATCGGCTGAGGGAACTAAGCCATTTCCCTGTCGCCGTTCAGGCAGTCCCTGTCACCCGGGCCGAGTCGTTCTATTAGGATCTTGACGGTCCATCATGTTAAAAAAGCGCGGTCTGAAAAAGGCTCGTGAATTACTCGACCTGGGATGCAATTCTGATGTTCTACGATGGGAATACGGGCTTGCTACATTTGACGAACATATTGGTATGCGGCAAGCACATAATGACACCGTCATGAGTGGCTTCCAAAATCAACAGGGTAAAAAGGGTGGGACGGATGATAGGAAGCAATGAGGCATGATATGACTTGAAAATAGGAGTGTATACATGACAATAGGAGCAACAAAATAAGCTATAGTCGATACCTAGCATTTTTTTATGGATGAAAATTTATTCACGTTTTAAGACATTTTTAACCTAACCCACCCACCCACATATATACATATATACATATTACCACCATTTTCTCAACCCTACACACTTTCTTTTTTCTGGGGGGTTTTTTTTTTTCAACCCCAAAGAAGAGACAAGATAAATATCATAGAAAGTACAATGAATCAATCCCCTTCAACTTTCATCCTCACTCATACCCCGACCCCTCCCATTTCTCCACCTTCCCTCCTCTCTCCATCCAATCTAACCAACTCCCCCCGTAAACCCCAATTCTCTCCGGATCATACCCAGCCTGGGCAGCCAGCTGCGCCGCCGCCTTCGCTCGCACGCCAGCCTTACAGTAAAACACCAGCTCGGGGCCGCGCTCGCCTCGTTTCGCGGCCGCGGCTAGCTCCGCCACACCGGGCTTGGGGAAGCCGAACCGAGTCTCGAATTCATCGGGGGTCAGGAATAGGGCGTCGGGCTGCGAGGCGAGCGGGACAGCGACCGCGGAGGGAATGATCCCGGTGGACTTGAGTTCGGCGGGCTCGCGGACATCGATGAGGATGACTTGCGGCGTTACAGAGGGGGAGGAAGTCGAGTCGGAGGGGAGGGAGGCGTTGATCTGGGTTCCTGTTATTCTCTCTCTCTCTCTCTCTCTCTCTCTCTCTCTCTCTCTCTCTCTCTGTGTGTGTGTGTGTGTATGTGTGCAGATAAAAGGGAACTTACATCTTCAAATACCCATTCTTTAAATATCGGCGTGCTTGCCGTCTCGCTGTTCCATCGGACAGAGAGCTGCTTGGGCTGTTGGGGAAGAAAGTATGCGGCGGCTAGTTGGAAGGTCTTGGGGCGTGTTGCGATCTGAGTCGCCTTGGTTGATCGTAGAAGATGAGCTGTTCCGAATGTCCGGGTGGAGAGCTGCTTCTGGGCTACGCTTTCGGTGGGAGACGATTGTTTTGCGGCGCGGGAGACCAGGGACGCGATGCGTCCGGGCTGTCGAAGGGAGGCCATTTTGTATATGTATGTTCCTTCTTGGTTATCTCCGTTGTACGGGAGTATTTCGGGGTCTGGAGGGATTGCCTCTGAAGAGAAACAGGGACTTACTGTGCCTTGAGATCAAGCTTACATATTCAATAACCAGGTGCAAAGCCCCGGAATCTTTTGCCTCGGGTGATGTCAGTGTCGACAGCCTCACCGCTTCCATTTGCCATCATAACGAAGTTAAGAGTGCCATGCTTGGATTTCCTATCCTGAATTGCCATCTAAAAAACTAATTACCTCTCTATACATCAGGTTTCATGCTAATACATCTTGTCATGTCCCAATACTACACATATACATGGGCATTACTTCCTCGCAATGATAATCCACAACCCCCTAGTTGTCATAGATCACATGAAGGACAGATGGATTCCCAGAGTCCTTGGACCAGATCTCATAAGATCCAAAGTCAACCCCAATATAGATCGAAAACTGCCCGTCGACTGAAGCGCTTTTGCATGCATCTGTGACATCAAGGGCAGGCATGTTCGACAGCGCAGGAACAGGCACGATCGTTTGGGCATCGGTAGCAGCGGGTGCATTGTTTCCGTTCACAGTCGCTTCATCCCAGTCTGAGGAGACAGCGGGGCTCACAGTGACGTTGAACCCGTTCTGCGGGAGCTGAGTGAAAGCCGGGAACTGGACGGTGCACCTGGTGACGGAGTCGACTGGGACGGGGAGCTGGTATCCCACCAGACTACGGACGAAGGCTAGTCCGCCGGTGTTGGCGCGCAGGGTGCTGGCAGACCCCAGGGTACATTTGTAGCAGTCGCGATCGGGGCAGTCGGCACAGCTGACGGTTGATCGTAGGATGGTTGAGTCTTTGATTGCGGGGGTGTTGATCTGTTCTGCCAGAGCGGTCGAGGAAAGGATCGCTAGAGCGGAGACGAGCCTGAAAACGAGTAGATGCATCTTGTAAAGAGTCTGGTATAATATTTAGAGGTATCAATAGGCTCCTAGGGAAGGGTTGGAGGTTTGAGATCCTGAACGATAGACAAAAGAGTCGTTGAGTAGCTGAGTAGCTGATGATAATAGGATTTCTCGTTCTTTATGGTGAATGAGTGGCATATTTATACTCTGGCAATCACAGCTTCTAAGACCATAATAGATCGGTCCTCTTCGAGTTCAGGTCTGCATCGCCATCCCTCCTTGGTATACTTTCGTTGATGTCTGCAGACTCGCTCTGGAAAGAATACGGTTGGTCTGGAAGCACACTGCCCAGTCAATGTTTTACCCAACAGGATCCAAGGTCCAATTACTGACTTTCAGAAGCATTTGACTGCATAGAGCGATTGGAGAGGTTTCTTTACATAGTCCTGGAATAGCTCACTAGTGGTGTGATCTGTCGGGTTGTCCAGGGATCCTGTGCTGGTCCACTCGACCGTTTTCGATCTCTTTTTCGCAAGGCGATGCATGCTACTTGGATCGAAGTAGCATAATAGGTACTACCTTGTGAGATTTATTTTGGGTGAGACCATTAGGCACAACAGGTGCAGCTGAGTGAGATTGGACTCAAATCCTATCCTTCCATTTCCAGTTAATGGTCCACAGACTAACCATCTCCAGGACTCGAGGTGTTTGAATGATGCCCGTGGCTTGGGTGTTTGGACGCAGATCCATCCTTGGCGCTTATCCTCAGCTCCTAACGAACCTTATGGATCACTGGGTAGTTGGATGTAACTCTGATATTCAGGATCAAAGAAGCAGGGCGTTATTCATCTTCTGCTTCTGCTACATACTCTGTTAGATCAAGCTTAACCAACCTGGAGGGGGGAAGATGTTACTAGGTAGATGACCATATCACATCTAAAAATAGCGCAAAGCCAGATACATCGATTCGAATGATGATAGACTCCAAAGTTGGATTAAATATAGACCACGAATCAGGATAGCACCTACTATTCGTTCATACTTCGTTTGCTGTATAAATGTTAAAATACTGCTGCTCATATTAGTTGCAGCCATGTATTCTCCTGTGTTACAAGGAGAGTCCGCTGGGCCAATCTCCAAGTATACTACTTGTAGAGAAGTGCAATGTTGATCTTTCAGAGGCCACTATACAGGCAGGAATTCCGTTACCGGAGACAGCGGTTAATCAGAGTAAATGCAGTCAAAGACCGTCATCCAATAGGATAAAAAAACTCTCTAGTCTCGAGAAGATATCAAAACAATCGACTTCCTGTTAGAATATCCCAAAACTTGTTTGATGAATCAACAGCCACCAAGCAAGAGCACAAATGGACAGAAGAAGACCATAGCATGGCTTTTATAAAGTTGCAAGCCTCAGCAACTAGACCCATACGGCTGACGTAAGGTTTCTCACGTATCAAATTCTTTTTGAATATACTACAACGGAGAGTTCCATCCTCGCTCCAAGTTTTCAGAGCCATTCTCGGCATCAGCCTCGAATTTAACTGCCCTTATGTAATTTCAGACGATTCTGAGAAAGCTGGGTAACGGCTTCGTGCAAGATACGATACGTCGAGGCTCTAGACGGCGCGAAGAGATTCTTAGTCGGATACGAAGTTGAAGGCCAATCACTTTTCGGGTCATTTAATCTGCCGTGTTGGTTAAACCCCGGGTCCTGATCTGATGCGCATCATGGTCCGATATATTATGCAGGTACTCCAGGGGCACGGCAATGGTTCCGTGGAGATGTACTCCGTACGGAGTACTCTGGTAGGCAAACTGGCAAAGTGTGCTTGAATCTCCACTGACGTGCGCTAGCTTTTGATCCAGTTCCAGAGCTGGTCTAGGAAAAATAAACAAGTCATTGGGCCCGGATGGTCAGATCGATGCTATTTCAGACCTCATTTACATGAGAGATACCAGGGATGCCTTCCCCAGCGGATGAAGCCTTATAATTTTGAGCTGGCTCGCCATGATGATGGAGGTCCAATGTGATTGATATGCTTGAAACCCGGTAGGATTTAAGGTTGTTCCTTGGGACTTCGATGGAAAAGTGAAAGAAAAGTTGAAGCCGTTCGAAGTGGAAGCTTCGAGCCTGGTGCCTGAGGTATCCATTAAGGTGATCCGGGACCAGAGTTGCCGATTGACGGTCCGTGCGTATAGAATTTAACATTATTCTGTAATTACAGTACAGGACGACAATATCTCACCGCCAAAGGATGAGTATAAAATACGCCTTGTACACACTAATACCTGCAAACCCATCACGGAAGTGCAAGGTCCCGGTTCCTGAGTATCAAAATGCGACCTGATTGGAAGAATTCACGTACAGAAGCTGTAATCTTTAAGGGGGAACGAAATTTATTTTAGTTTCCCACGAATCAGGCTCTCAGGTACCTACCTGAGTATTAAAATTTCCTCTTCAGAGAGACGCTTCGCTTGCTCCAATAAATAATCGCTCTCTCTGCTTGGACTAACTATCTGCATCTTGGGATCCACTATTGCCCTCTCTTCCTCCATACTTCTGCAATTTTTTAAATTACTTCCAGGTTCATTGTCCATCCCCTTTTTATCTGGAGACTGGTGGTGAAAAGCGCGTGTTTGGCCTTTCTCGCCCACCCGTAACCGCTTTGCTTTATCTCCCCATCTCTCTCGACAACATTTTTCATCTCCCCGTCAAATTCACCTCCGTCGAGTCGCATCATCTCGTGGAACTCCGGTCTTTCAGGACCCTTCCTTCTCTTTCGTGTTCCCCTCCGGAGATTGATCAATTGCCCGTAATGGCTGGAATCAATGGGAGTTTCGTCTCCCCTGCGGCCGATGCCACGATTGCCCCTTTGCTCTTTCAACCCGCGGGCTTGGTCGCGAGCGTTCTCAATGGCATGACCGTCTGGAAGGCTCTGTTGACTTTACTCGCTCTTGCCGTAGCCTACGACCAGTGTATGTACTACTTTCTTTCTCGATCTTTATGGACCAATAACTGATAGGTGACCTATGTTGACAGGCCGATACATCTATCTCAAGGGCTCCATCATCGGTCCTGCATGGAAACTACCATTCATGGGACCTTTCCTCCAATCGGTCAACCCCAAATTTCATGAGTACAAGGCCAAATGGGACAGCGGGGATCTCAGCTGTGTATCCGTCTTCCACAAGTAAGTGGCGTATCTCTTTCAAATTCCCCCCATCTCCGCTCTAACCGCGAGCAATAGGTTCGTCGTCATCGCAGCCACCCGTGATATGTCGCGCAAGATCTTCAACTCTCCTGGATATGTCAAGCCCTGTGTCGTTGACGCCGCTCATAAGCTGCTCGGCAAGACCAACTGGGTGTTCTTGGATGGCAAGGAGCACGTCGAGTTCCGCAAAGGTTTAAATGGCCTTTTCACCCGCCAGGCTCTCTCCTTCTACCTCCCCCGCATGGAGGAAGTTTACAACGACTACTACGCGCGCTTCCTCAAGAAATCTGAGGAGAACAACTACACACCTACCCCATGGATGTCGGAGTTCCGTGAATTGATGTGCGCTGTTTCTTGCCGTACCTTTGTTGGCCACTACATTACCGAGGAGGCTATTCAGAAGATCGCCGACGACTACTACATGATTACCGCAGCCCTGGAACTTGTCAACTTCCCTGTGATCATCCCTTACACCAAGACCTGGTACGGAAAGAAGGCTGCTGATATGGTTCTCGAAGAGTTCTCCAGATGCGCCGCCAAATGTAAAGCTCGTATGGCTGCCGGTGGAGACATCACCTGTATCATGGACGCATGGGTCAAGGCTCAGCAGGACTCTGCCAGTTACAAGGCGAAGATTGCCAAGGGCATTAAGGTTGACGACTCCGAGAAACCCCCTATGGCTCTTCGCGACTTTACCGACTACGAGATTGCTCAGACCATCTTTACCTTCCTGTTCGCCTCCCAAGATGCCACCAGCGCAGCTAGCACCTGGCTGTTCCAACTCATGGCTGATCGTCCCGAGATCCTTGATAAAGTCCGCGAGGAGAATCTGCGCCTTCGCAACGGAGATGTCAATGCGCCTTTGTCGATGGAGCTGCTTGACAACATGACTTACACTCGCGCCGTCGTCAAGGAGACTTTGCGCTACCGCCCTCCCGTTATCATGGTTCCTTACCTGTGCAAGAAGGATTTCCCAATCACCGACACCATTACTGTCTCCAAGGGCTCCATGATTATCCCCTCCGTGTGGCCTGCTACTCATGATGAAGAGGCTTACCCCAATGCTGACTCCTTTGACCCTGACCGCTGGATCACCGGAACCGCGGAGGAACAGTCCAAGAACTGGCTCGTGTTCGGAACCGGTCCCCACTACTGCCTTGGCCAAACCTATGCCACTCTTAACTTGATGGCCATGATTGGCAAGGCCAGTATGGAAATGGATTGGGAGCATACTCCTACTCCTGAATCCGAAGAAATCAAGGTGTTTGCCACCATTTTCCCTCAGGATGATTGCCTTCTTGCCTTCCGTCCTCGTGCTTGAATGCATTGACAAATGATACGAGATTTCAACTGCTCCACGCGGTTAAGTTCCAAAAGCATATTTCATGATCTTGAAGTCTCATTCTACGTTCCAGACCTAGGGGGGTCACCTGCTTCACGCACCCTCGACAACGGAATTGCTATCCTGGAGATGGAATACCTGAAGGGTCTTTTTTTTTTTTTTTTTTTTTTTTTCCCTTTCCTCTTTTTCATTTCCCCCCTCATCCTTGTATTTATTTTTTGTACAGATCCAGTGCCGCCACCGTATTCGGGTGTGTGTTGTTTTCGCTTTTCTTTTATCTTATTTTCAACGAGCAAACGTTTGGAACTTTACTGATCCTACGCCCTGCTTTTAGTCTCGCAGGGTTGTGGATCTTTTGAGATATAACGACTAGGAAGCCTCAGTGTGTGACATGGGGACAGGGGACCGGGCGGAATATTTTGCTTCGCATGAACTGCCTCCCTTTCATCGTGACGGCATCCAAATGACACGATAGCCTTAGATTAGGGCATTTAGAACTAATAGTAATTGTGAGATCATTCCATTCCTTTCTAACTTTTTTTTTTAAACAGTAGTTGGTTGTAAAGCTGTACAAATCACATTAACTATATGTAAGATGGATAGCCAGAGAAAGTTTACCTTATCTTGGTAGCGACTTATAAAATTCGGGAGGCGTTCTTTGTTTATAGATAGCCTCGGAGCTTAATTTAAAGAAAAGAACTCGTTCTGGAAAAAAAAAAAAAAAAAAAAAAAAAAAAGCCAATGCGTCTGTACTGTACTCTGTAAGCGGAAATATGTTCCATCTAGTTGACTATCTGTATGTGTATATATATAATACATAGATATCAACTCCATATAATTTAGCCAGCTACGCTTTAATAACTAGTTGCTTTATCAAAGTAGCCTGGTAAGCGTCTCCTGACTAATAAGAGAATATACAATAGTTAGTTATGGGATACGTATTAGACTAGACAAATGGCATTACTAAATCATCTCATATTGCAATCACTAATCCTCATCATAGTGATTGATACAGAGCCAAGAGCACCCTGTGTATCTAGGTAGTTGATTATCTCTCAACGCCCAAAGCCAAACCAGCCTCGTCGGCCTCCTTTCTTTTCCTCGGGTTCTTGCTCTGCTCCTTCTGAAGTGGCGAGAGGAGCAGCAGCAGCAGCAGCAGCAGCAGTAGTAGCAGCAGCAGCAGCACCAGGCTTACCCTCTTCAGGGTATTGGATGTAGTTCCACGCGACGTCAAGGAACAAGGGCTTAACAGGGACAGGACGCATCTGGGGCGGGTACGGGACGAGGTTCTTTAGGTCTATTTCATCGCCGGCGTATTCGTGGAGACGTTCAACGGCGGGCTGCTGAGTTGGTGACTTCGCCTGGGCATCAGCGGAGACTTTTTCGAGGGTGACGAGGCCTTGGTATTTCATGACTAGGGCTCGGAGTTCGGATTCGAGGGATTGAACTTGGCTGGAAGAGATATCTAGTCTGGGAGGCCCGTCGATGTCAATGGCGGACTGGAGGGATTGGGCGGATTTCGACGCGATGGACAATGCCTGAGAAAATAATGCGAGAGCGTTTTGAGATTTTCCGAGGATTCCATGGGAACGGCCGATAGTGAGGCATCTGGAAGATACCTATGTCAGCGGGGATGGAAAATGTTGCCGGAAAGGAATGTGATTGACGTACCTTAGAGCGCGGAAGTAGGAGCGCTTTGCTTCGAGCTCTCCGACAAAAGCGGAGTCGGCAGCAACTCCGGGCAGTTCGAGGATAAACTCGATGCTCTGCAGGGTAGAGTCGTAGAGAACAACCCTTTCGCGTAGCCAGGTGAGTTTCTTGCCGCTGGGCTCATCCTGCTGAGAAACAGCCTTGCTATGCTTGGAGACCTTTGTCCGGCTAGGCTCAAAGGTAATGCCGTCGTTCTCGCCGCACAGAACCCGGTTACGGCCAATTCTCCATCCTACCAGCGCGTAATTCACCGCAGTTCGAGTGATCTGTAGGCCCTGCATTCTCTTGTCACCTGGATCCACCCCCTCGCCAGTAAGGTCATCGATAGCGGTCTTGGTCGCATCAACCGCATCTTGACTAGAGATAATAACGTTGTCGTAAGCGGCGGCCTTGTCCTTTGAAGGTGCAGAGCTTCCTTCGGGGCTAGCTAGCCAAGCTGTAAGTCGAGACTCTTCGGCCGCAGCTGTAGCGAGTGCCTGGGAGATTGCGGCATCTTCGAGGGCAACAGTGCGTGATCTCCAGGTAATATCCTCAGGCAGTTGCTGCACTTCTCCGTCGGCTGTTCTTCGGGTTCCAACGGCATCCTCCTTCAAGCAATTGGGGTCGACCTTTTCCACCTCAGACCTGATGGAAGCATCGGATGGGAAATATTTGATGGCCAGCGATGGGATGGGTTTCGATCGTGGGAGCTTCATCTGGTACGCTGCATATCTGAGACTCGGATCGATATTGCCGGAAAGAAGATCACGGAATGCATCTTTTCTGTCGATCTGACCCAGCGCAGTGTAGATGACTCGAGAGATCGAGTAGTTCTGAACGCACTGTTCCCAGCTGCGTTTTTCCAAACAGGATGCTCCAATTAGCGACGACAAGTATGCGCGTGCTTCCAAAAGATCTGTTTCAGTTGCGCCGGAGGCTGTCTTGTCTTCCAACAGAGCAACCAACTGCTTGACATATCCGGCGGCCTTGTTCAGTCGTGAAATGATATGACGTCTTGCAGCGCCCGAGATTCCCTTTGCCGATGGGTCTGCCGAATGTGTTGACTTCATGTGCATCGCCTGGGCCCAAGACCGTTCCGCACTGAGGAGTAAGACGTGTACGTTTCTGCGGGGAAGTGTTCATTAGCACAAGCGCAGGAATGAACGCCAGAAACAGGATCAGACAGGGGCATATGAGACGCACACCACATTGCTGCCGACATCCTCAGCACTAATAGCAGGTTTGGCAGTATACTTGCGACCTTTGGGTGTGGTCTGTCCAAGCTTCTTGCGGAGCTTGTGCAATTTGCGGGTTGTGTGCGCCCTATAAGCGTTGTAGTCTCCAGCGAGGAGGACTTCCTCTCTCCGCGAGAAAATATATTCGGTAATATCCATTGCGCAAGAATGCCAGCAAAGTGGCCTCGACAGGTAGAGAGGAGTGAATTCTCTCGTCGTGAGTGAGGTGGGTTGGGAGGGACGTCGGCGTGTCTTCTGTGGCCTGCCCGCTGTCAGTTTCTCGGCCAAACAAATGGCCGGGGCGGAACTCGATCTTTTCCAACGGCAGCCAAGCTTAGTCTCTCGTTCCCCATCACCAAAACTGCTCCTCCAAAATTTCCTCCGCGTATCACGCCACCTCCTCCTTTAAGCTGCCAACTTGTCATTTTATCTCTTAGCTGCCTACTGAAATAGGCTCTGCAGCTCTGGAGGAAAGCGCACAGCATTGAACGCGTGAGGTAGACCGTCGCGTTTTGGAGGTAGGTTTTTTTTTTCCCTCGCTCGACAGGCTTTCTAAAGCATCTCCCCCCTAAACCGCCTCCTTCTGACGTTTCCGACTGGCAAGACAAGAGGCGAATATCGATAATGGTACATCCATAAATGAAACGTCGGTGATCTTCTTCGGTTTGGAACCGCAATTTGCTGGAGGGAATGCTGGAACGGACGGCGGGATGTCTTGAGAACGCAGGGCGGCGTTTCTTTCAAGATTCCAACACCACTATTCGAAGTCGAGCGTCCTTGCATTCTCGTGTTGGACAATATAATAATGTAGCCCCGGAGTGTTCTCAATGGAGGTTCACGTTACGACAGGGGTTTCAACAGGTCTCCGGGAATGCCGCGAATTCAACCGCGTCCGGTGATTCTACCGAGCTCCGAACCCCGTTCCTCGAGTTTTTATATCCAAGCCAAACGCAGGAGTTTGCCGCAATATGTTTGCTTCGATCTTCAAAACGAATTGCACCGCGGAGGAGAAGGAGAGCCGAACCTGTCGTTTCCAGGAGGTTTGCGTCTCAGTTTTCGGACACAACCGTTTCAACAGACATAACTCCAGAGCCTTCAGAGCAATACTGGATTGAATATGCAAAGATGCGTGATGCCCAAAAGTCCAGAGGCTCCACGGAAACCCAACGTGATAGACTGGAAGCGAAGGGCTCTCTCACGAAATTACTTGAAGCTGGCGATCTTGAGGATACGGAACGAGCGTGGGAACTATACATGGCGGCCAAACATCCGGGTGATATGAATTCGGCTCTTCTGGCAGCTCTTTGCTCTTCGGAACACCCTACCGACCACAGGAGAGCCAAGCGGCTGTTCCTCACACTGGAGGAGTATCCGTCGGGCGAGGATTATCTGCACCTGGCAAAATCATATCTGGCCGTTGGGCAGCCAACAGAAATGGATAGAGTCTGCCGTGAGGCCTTAGATAAGTCTAGGGGGTTTCCATGTCTGGCATTTACATTGGCATACTATCTAGACAATGCTCAGTGGGAGTCTGCCCGAGAAATATGGAACCTAAAACCCACAATCAATGAGACCGAGCTATGGGAATCCATGGTTCCATATCTTCCTGTCTCTTCTCTTCCGAAAAGTTTACTCGACCAGCCCTTCTTGCCTGAAGGTGTGGCGCGCGATATGGCTCGTTTTGTCCTCGATAATATCGTGACAAGCGCAAAAGCGATGGAGGACACGCCTGTTGAAACTCTCCTGCTTCTGATACAGAAATATAGCTCTATGGGGATTCTCACACCGAAGCATTGTTTCCACATAATCGAAACCCTTCAGTCCTCTGATATCAGATCAATATTCGTTCGCTCTATCGTCATCTACCGAAATTTTCGCTGGCTGATGCCCGGCAAGGTACCACCAGCGAAACTTCTCGGGGGCTTTCTCAGGCAGCTTGCCACATTTGAGATTACAGCTGGCGTCCGATATTTTCTAAACGAGTTCTCTCACTTTTATGTGAAACCGACTGTTGACGCTTATAAGAATGCCCTTATAGCCTTTGCTCGAGCCGGCGATGTACGAAGTGTCAACCTTATTTTCAAGGGCTTTGTTTCAGATCACGGCAAACCACAAAGCCGAAGATTGTTAACGCCTCTCCTCTACGTACATGCTAGACTAGGCAACGTACAAGAAACTATGGCTCAATTCAAGAGAATATCAGAGGAGTTTGGATATCAACAAAATATTGTGTGCTGGAATATTTTACTTACGGCATACGCTAATGCGGATGATATTTCTGGTTGCTTTATGCAATTCAAAAGAATGATCAGGGAAAATATGCAGCCTACTTCCCATACGTTTGGTATCGTGATGGGGCTCTGTGCAAGTAAGGGCGACGTGGAAACGATCCGTCAATTGCTTGCTCTTGCAAAGCAACGCCATGTAAAGATCACAACGCCTTTGCTTGACACGGTTGTGGAGGCCTACTGTAATAACAAAAATTTCGAGATGGCCGAACGGGTAGCAGACACTTGCCTTGACCTCGATGTCAAGGGCTCACGAGTGAGAATGTTCAACGTTTTACTCTGGAACCATGCATTTAGGATGGATTTGGATTCGATCTCTAGAATTCGCTCTCGCATGGATGCGGCTGGGATTCAGCCTGATGATATGACTTATGCTGCTCTAATGCTTAGTTTAGTTCTTTTGGGACAAACAGATTCCGCGCGTCGCATTCTCAGGGAACTTCACAGAAGCCGTCGCATACACGCCACAGAATTTCACTATGCCATTATTTTATATGGTTATGTGAAAGCTCGCAATCGCGATATGGTCCACGTTATTTTCCGTGAAATAACAACCCGGTTCAACAAGCCAGGCTTAACCTCGAGATTGCTTGCTTTGAGGACTCAGGTACAGAGAGATTTGCAGTTGCTAGAAGATGATACGCGGGATACGGATACTGCATCTCTGCGTTTGGAGAATGCCGAGAAATTCCTATCAGAGACTATTGCTGAATTCAATCCTAGCAAGTTTGGGACCAAGCAGCCGATGCCTGGAGCGAGCGGACTCCCTCTTACGGAGGCCTTCCCGGCTATGTACTACGAATCTGTTATTGCTGCGTACGGAAAAAGGGGTGCCTTTGATGAAGTTCAGAAGCTTTTCGAAGAGTACACAAAGCAACAACCCTTGGCACCCTCTGAGAATGGCCACGATATAGCGCCTATTCGTCTTCTTGCTGCCCTAATGCTTGCGTATTTAAAAACTGATCAACATAAGAAGGTCGAAGAATGTTGGAAAATGGCATTTCCTCGTGCTCAAAATATTGCGAGCCGCCTCAATGACGACGTCTGGCTTTCTAGTCAGCTGGCGTCTCCGTTGCCTGTTGTCGAGCCGTCTCAACGCTCTGTGCTGACATCTCTCAGCATCGACGGGGATTGCCTTTCCGGTTCAGAGGTTGGAGAATCTTCGTCGAAGCAATCCCCAATTCTACCTGCGTATCGTTTCATGTTGTCCAGACCACTATCGCTGTACATGCGGTCTTTGGCCTACAGGAACGAGTATAACAAAGTACTTCGGATTGTTCCGGAAGTTGAGAAAGCTGGGTTCACCTTGACAACCTTTAATTGGTCCACGATCGTGCAAATGCTTGCATCTTCCGACCAGTTGCCTGATCAACTTGAAGCGTTTGCCATTTTTGAGAAAAAGTTCATGCCTAATTTCCCCGGATGGAAGAACCTCCGCCGAGGATATGGCATGAAACCTTCTGGTGTGCCTTCCGCAATCGATCAAATTGAACGACCATCCCGTGGCAAGCGCCCAGACATCTTGGGTAGAGAAGGGCGACGATACTGGAGTAAAGTAAACCCCGAATTCATGCAACCTACCTACGTTTCGATGGTATACCTAGCCTCCGCTTTACTACGGGTTCGGGAGCGAAGTATATCTAGCGGAGGATCCGAACTCCTAAATCTCCATCTCGCTGCACCTAAAACTGTTGAGGCCATTGGTGATATGCCGTACCTTCGTGAAAAATTCCAGGGCGTCTTGCTCCGACGCCGCCAAGAGCGAGGTGATTCGAAAGATCACCTGGCTGAACGGGGATATTTCGTGTGGACGGGTGGCATTCTTGGAGTGGGTGGCCGACGCAGAGCCTCCCAGGATAGACAATTGCTTGACCAGCCGGTCGAGCCAGAAACAAGCTCCGCGGAACATTCGCCCTTACCAGGGTCTGAATCCGAACCATCTCATATGCTGCCTGAAGCAAATGCCGTAGATGACTTACCTGCCAGGGAGGACCAGGTTTCCCCTTACAAGACCCTGGATTACCAGGATGAGTTTGACCTGGAGGCGGAGACCGCCCTGTCTCTCCGGCAAAAATTATTGGGTATCGCTGAGGAAGAACTGGATGATGATCATCTAGATGTCATTGATGCGGAGTACGAAGAACCAGAGCAGGAAGAGGACGGAGGACAGGAAGAGGAAGGACAGCAGGAAGAAGAACCTCAATCGTTGGCAGATGAGTCGGCCAAGGAGCTCAATCAGAGAGAAGATAAGGCCTGACATACCAATATCTCTGATACAGGACGCCCATCCAGAAGAGGACTGAGTGTAGCAGAAGCCGAGTCTACTCCGTAATCAGAACTGCCAATCCGTTCTGGTTCACTTATACATTGACCGCACTTTGCGGCACATAGGATTGATTTGTATATAGAAATTCTCTCGTGTACTATACTATAATCTGGGGTCTTTCTTCCTCAGGTCCTATACCATGTATATTAACATATTTATAGCCTATACCCCTCTTATTTTGAATACTAAAGATTGTTGATATATATTGCTTGCTCCTTTGCTAGAAGACTTGAAGATATATATTTTTTTTTTTGATCGGGCATGTGCTTAGTCATCACTGTAGAGTCTGCGACGCGCCTGGACGCGTTCTAATTTTGCCTGATTAGGATTGCGTGTTTCTGAAGAATAATCCTCCCTCCCACCCTTCATTTCTTTTACCGCAGCAGACACCAGACTGACCTTACCGCCTCACACCCAAGGACCTCGCACTTGTTGCTAACTCCTAGATTGCGTCCCTTCAATCTATACTAGCCATTCTCATTTCCACTTTATCCTCGCACCGTCGGTGGAACAAGTCTTCGCCATGGATGGAGCGCAACTCCACGATGAGGTCGTTCAAGATCGAGTGCGAGCTGCTGTTGAGTTCCTTGATCCGCGTAAGTATCAAATCGATATATATGACTGTCAGTGATTTTGCTAATTATTTGTTCCAATAGAGGATGACAGAGGACGCAGGTCTGTCGATACTTCTAGACCCCTCCGAATACTGTACGGTTAAATAGAGTCTCTGACTTGATTGAATAGCTACCGGGCCGATATTGTGTTGATGCTAAACCGGAAACAACGTCGATTGATAGTATGTCTCCCCGAATCACTACTCTAACGCAGTGCGGGGCCACCTGGAGTTTAACTCGTGTTTTTGCGTTCAGGTTAGCATTGATGAAATTCGAGCACACAACCGTGAATTGGCAGACGGGTACGCTGTAATTATCGTTCAAAATCACTCCCCTTCGAGCTAACACAATATTCAGTCTTCTCACATCTCCTTTTGACTACACACAAGCCTTCGATCGAGCTTTGAAAGACGTCATCAAGACATTGAACAGACCGGCCAGCGAAACGGCAGATGATGTGGTAAGGTTTCATTCGGGTCTTGCATACTTTACACCATTGACATTGTGTAGAACTATTATTGCGCCTATGTTGGAGCCTTTGGAGAATTTTCATGCAACCCCAGAACCCTCGGATCCTCCCATTTGAATCGGATGATCTCCCTCGAGGGAATCGTCACGAAATGTTCCTTGGTTCGACCAAAAGTGATCCAGAGTGTCCATTACAACGAGAGAAAAGACAGATTCTTATCAAGGAGATATCGGGATCAGACTATGACAGCCAATGGGGTAACAAATTTGAACGTCTACCCACAAGAAGACGAGGAAAAGAACCCGGTATGACTTCGTTTACGTCCTACCAACCAGGGCATGTCGCTGATACAATAATTCTAATAGCTTATCACGGAGTACGGTTACTCTACGTATATGGATCATCAAACTATTTCCATTCAAGAAATGCCCGAACGGGCCCCAGCGGGCCAGTTGCCCCGAAGTGTGGATGTTATTGTGGACGATGATTTGGTTGACCGCGCAAAACCAGGAGACAGAATCCAGCTGGTGGGAATATACCGTTCCTTGGGAAATCGAAATGCGAACTCTGGATCTTCTACGTTCCGAACGCTTGTGATGGCAAACAACATTATTCAGTTGTCCTCAAAGTCAGGTGGAGGTATTGCACAGGCTACTATTACTGACACCGATATTCGAAACATCAATAAAGTCTCCAAGAAGAAGGGGGTTTTCGAATTGCTGTCTCATTCGCTTGCTCCCAGTATCTATGGTCATGATTACATTAAGAAGGCCATATTACTCATGCTTCTTGGCGGTATGGAGAAGAACCTTGATAACGGTACACACTTGCGTGGTGATATCAATATTCTCATGGTTGGTGATCCTTCAACTGCCAAATCTCAGATGCTACGCTTTGTTTTGAATACTGCTCCACTCGCTATTGCAACAACCGGCCGAGGCTCCTCTGGAGTGGGTCTCACGGCTGCTGTTACATCTGACAAGGAGACCGGTGAGCGCAGGCTTGAGGCTGGTGCTATGGTCTTGGGTGATAGAGGTGTGGTCTGTATTGATGAATTCGATAAGATGAGTGATGTGGATCGAGTTGCTATACACGAAGTTATGGAACAGCAAACAGTCACAATCGCAAAAGCTGGTATTCACACTAGCTTAAATGCTCGCTGCAGTGTTTTGGCCGCTGCTAACCCGATATATGGGCAATACGATCCTCATAAAGACCCTCACAAGAATATTGCGTTGCCTGATTCTCTTCTATCGCGTTTTGATTTACTCTTTGTCGTTACAGACGATATTGAGGACGCCAAGGACAGAATGGTTTCGGAGCACGTTTTGCGCATGCACAGATATCGCCAGCCTGGCACAGAGGAAGGTGCCCCTGTACGGGAGCAGCTCACCCAAACTCTAGGCGTCGGCATTGACGACAACGAGGATGCCAACCAACCTACCGAAGTTTATGAGAAGTTCAATTCTATGCTCCATGCTGGTATGGCCAATATGAGCCGGGGTAGGGGAAAGAACATCGAGATTCTGAGCATCCCCTTTATTAAAAAATATATTCAATACGCCAAGTCGAGAGTGAAGCCTGTTTTGACCAAGGGGGCTGCTGATCACATTATTGCGACATACTCGGCACTCAGAAACGATGATCTATCAGCAAATCAGCGACGCACATCACCAATTACTGCTCGTACCCTGGAGACATTGATTCGCCTGTCTACCGCTCACGCAAAATCCCGTCTTTCTAGCCGAGTTGAGGAACGTGATGCTAAAGTGGCAGAATCCATCTTGCGGTTTGCTATGTTCAAAGAAATCCTTGAGGACGAACGCCGCAAGAGGAGAAAGGTTACCGCATTCGATGAAGACTCTGATACGAGTGGTTCTGACTCAGATGGCGATGATGATAACACCCCCGCAACTACCTCCGCAACTCCTCGCTCTACCAGACGCGGCGGCATCCTGCGAACTCGCGCGGCAGCCTCCCACTCTACCGCTGACGATGTTGAAATGGATGCAGAAGCGGACAGTGTCTCTGATGACGGAGATGATCTATACAGCGCCAGCCCCCGTGGACAGCGGATGCAATCTAGCCAGTCTCGGATGTCGGTTGCTTCTTCTCGACCTGCCTCGCAGCTGGTTCAGTCACAGTCACAGATAGATACATCCCAATCCCAAGGCGCGTCTAGCGCACCTGCCTCTTCCCAGCCAATCCACCCTGCTCGTCTAACGATCTTCCGCCAAGCCCTGGGTCCGTTGATGGGCACCAGGCTTTTTGCTAATAGCGATACTGTCGACGTTGAGGAACTTATCGGAGCAGTAAACACCGCCGTGCGCACTTCCAGGTCACTTGGAGAATCCCATGTCTTCCAGCGATCAGAGGCAATCCAGGCTCTAAAGGCCATGAACGAGAGAAATGAATTGATGTAAGTTTTCCCCTGGCTTGAATGTACCATTTTTATTAAGTCTTTTGAGCTCGAAAACTAATTCGTGTTTTGTTTCCTCCCCACAGGTTCCTTGAAGAAGACGAAACCGTATACAGAATCTAAATGAAACGAGCGACTATTGACGAGGGCTAGAGCATTACTTATCCACATACCTACTTACCTACTTATCTATCTATTTCTTGACCTATATTTCCTACATTCTTCTCTCCCTTTGTCCCTTTCTCTACCTACCTATGTAATGCAGTTTGACGAATACGGACGGAAATACATTCTTTCATTTTCCTTACACTTTCTGTGCCTGCCTGCTTGCTTGTTTTGTCATAAATCATCCCTGGCGTTTTCAGGTTGCTACAAACAATAACCATACTAAATACCTAGAATATGGATCAAGAAGATGAAGATTGAGCATGCAAGGGGTTGACTTGGTGTACTTTGTTCCTGGCATTGTGCTTTGTTGATCCTGCAGATGATTGGGTTTGAGACCTTGTTAGAGTTTAAAGAGACAATACTATACAGAACAGAACGTCCATTGGGCACCCCCTTTTGGATTCCGGCTTCATGTCAAGATTATGATAAGGTAGGATCGGATCTGTGGAGAAGGAAAGTCTGGTCTAGTAGTGAGTGCCACTATTTCCGATCTACGCAAACCCACAAGGATAATTGCACAACCAATAATTAATTACCAGGGGTATAGTATCAATATAAAACAGAACAGTCAAGAAGAATACAAGCAAACACCAGACCAGACACCCGAGAGGGTCAAAGTTCTATATCCTCCTCCTTTACCCTTTCCTTGTCTATGGAAAATCCCGAGATAGAGATAGAGTCATCTGAAGAAAAGGACGCCGTGCGCACACCTTCCCGGATCTGGGCTTGTGTCAAGGGGGATAATCCGCGCGAGATTGATTTCGACCCTCTCTTTTTCTTGTGATGCATTTGTTCAGAACCCGAGGTTGCGGAACTGCCTCGACGGGGACGGCCGCTTGCGGAAGATCTTGATGGTGGGCGTTCATCGGTATCGATGGGGGTTGTACTTCGGGAAGGTGTGCCAGAAAGCGAATCGGAACGCGTAGAACGTCGAAGCGGGGATTTTGAGTCGTGGGCTAGCTTGGAGATGCTGGGGTGCTGGTGATGGTGCTGGTGATGACGATGGGGGGCACCTTTCTCGCCTTCAATAGATTTGTGAATTGTTGCTGCAGCAAGTCGACGACGTCGCGATGCCTTCCAGCCAAATCCAACCCACCAAAACCAACCACCGTCTTGCCGGGCGAGCTGGCGTTCCCTATCACGCAACTTTTGACGAAGATGGGTGCGTCTTTCGTTTTCCTTGTCCCAAAACTCGGTGCGGTAATCATCCCAGTTTCCTCGGAACTCTGGCGAGAACAGCTTTGGAAGTAAGAGAAGTCGGATATGATCCCCCCCGGGGCTAAGATCCTCTTCTACAAGCCCCGATTCTGGATCCACATTGTGGTATGGCTGAAAAGACCGACTCCCACGCCTCTCAGATGCGGGGCGCTCAATGTAGTGGAAATCCCCTACAGCAGAGGGGGAAAATGGGAGGGTGAAAGGAAAGAGAAAGGAGAGGTAGGACAGGAGTTCCTGCCACCACGGGCCACGGATGACCACGATCTTGGTATTCATGGTTCGTAGACCGCGATTCGCAACGGCAAGCCAGCGTCGGGGCCAGCGAATACCACGCTCCCATTGTCCTGTGCCCCAGACCAGAAGTGCTGTCACCACACCTCCGAGGAGCGCGACCCTCTCCCACATTTCCACAACCCAGTATACAGACCCTCCGACTCCGCGCCCATCTTCACGGGGGCGCAGGAAAAGCGCGTAGGAAAAATAGGCAATCCAGGACGTAAGTAGGAGGAGGAAAAAGGTATTTTGGCGACGACGTTCTCGCAAGGCCAGGTACTGGGCTCGAAGGGAGCTTTCTAGAATGAGCAGGTTGAGGTAGATCTGGGGAGGAGAGGAGGGCAAAGTGGAGAGCGGATCGGTGGTGGTGGATGGAGGTGAAGGTGATGGGGACTCCGAAGATCCCGGGTGTGTTAATGTATGAGTCGAGGCAGTGGATGACGAGCGTAGACGATTACTTGAATCTGGAGAGCCTTTGACGAGTTGATCCAGGCTTGGAGTTGCCATGACGGTGGTAAGGAAAGGGGAGAAAAGAGGGTACTGGCAGGTTGAGTATTATTGATCGAGGACCACGATTGGAGAGATAGCTAGATAAATAGAATATAAAGGGTAATGAATAGAGCAGGAGAATAGAAAGAGAATGGCCGTTGCGGCCCAGGACTATCTCATCGCATAGAAGAAGAGAGAGAACAGGAGGGGTTATGGTTGATTGATTGTGGTGTATCTGAAGTTCCCAACAAGTTTGGTCTGATGACTTCACGGGAACTGGAGTTGGAAAAAACCGCAAGATGTATTTTATATGTAACTGTTTGTTTAATTCTTCCCTCTCTTCCTATTATCCATTCCTTTCTTTCCTAAGCATTCTCAACCACAACCACAACACCAAAGAAAAGAACGGAAAAGAAAAGAAAACATATCTCAGTATCAATTCTCTCTTCTCTGTGATTCTCTCTCACCCCTCCTTATTGGGTCGGGGATAACCGGTGTTTGGCGCCTTCAACGCCTCGGGCCTCAGCTTTTCTCCGTGGTCAAGCCGTCATCTTTTCGCCTTCGTTTGGTTACCTAGCTTTATTTGAATTATCTCTTGTGATCTCGAGTGACGGAGGAAGCTATTTCTTCTGTTCCTCGACTCTTCGCGTGACAAGGTGTCTAACCGCCGACTTCCTTCTCTCTACTTTCAGGTCTATCGACCCTGGGCCTGCATTGAATTTCCACGTGTCATCTCCTTCCCCAATTCCACTCTCTCCCGCCGCTCGACGACATCCATGGCGTCTGAATCGCTGGAATCGTCGAGAGGCAAGTTCCAGGATCGTACCCGGCAGGACTCGACCGCGGACAACACTCCGCATGCCGCTCGTGGTGCCAGTGCAACCCCTACGCCAATGTCTTGGTTTCCGCTAGGCTACCGAGAGGGGTTCAGCCAGTGGGTATGTTCTTGAACCAGGCAGTCAAGTTTCATGCATTTACTGAGTTTGGATTTGTAGTGGTCTTCTATCCCCGCAGCCGCTGCTGAGCATAAAGTTCTCTCCTATCTTCCTTACCTCCAGCATCAACCCCCGACGCACTTGCAGACGGGAAAGGTTGTCGATGGTTCGAATGGGGTACCCGGTAGCCTACAGTCCGCGGATCAAAGCCAGCAGGGCGAGGTAGCAGCCAATTCCCTCAATGACCCCTACGGCCCTCGACGATGGCTTTCTAGCATGGTCCAGCTGAGCGGCAAAAATCGCGCTCTTAACGAATTCTCCGTGGAACGAATTGGAGAAGAGGTGGACCAGCATTTGGTCATACTTCACGGTTATGGAGCAGGGCTGGGATTTTTCTACAAAAATTTTGAACCCTTGAGCCGATTGAAAGGGTGGCAACTGCACGCCCTCGATCTGCTTGGCATGGGTCGCAGTACCAGACCGAATTTTCGTATCAAAGCAAAGGCCCGGGAAGCCGCTATCAAAGAGGCAGAGGATTGGTTTGTGGATGCGTTGGAAGAATGGCGTGTCAAGCGCAAAATTGAACGCTTTACCTTACTCGGCCACAGCATGGGTGGCTACATAGCTGTAAATTACGCCCTGAAATATCCAGGACATCTCAACAAGCTCATTCTGGCCTCTCCCGTGGGGATCCCAGAGGACCCGTACGCTGTGGCAGCAGAAATGCCCGAGGCGCAGCAGGACCAACCCAGCAGCGCAAACTTGGACGCAGGAGCGCGTTCCGGTGATGTACCAAAGGGAGACAACAACATCCTCCTCAAAGGCCCTCCCACGGACTCTGCATCTCAGGACCGTCCCCCCCGCCGCTCATATCCAAAGTGGTTTGCCTACCTATGGGATGCAAACATCTCCCCATTCAGCCTTGTCCGCTGGGCCGGACCTTTTGGCCCTAGACTCGTCTCCGGCTGGACGTCCCGCCGCTTCTCCCACTTGCCCGCTGACGAAGCCAAGGCTCTCCACGATTACTCCTACTCAATTTTCAGTATGCGAGGTAGCGGGGAGTACGCACTCTCGTATATCCTTGCCCCTGGTGCATTCGCGCGCAATCCTCTCATTCGACGAATTGAAGGCGTGGGTCGACAACTAATCCCATCGACCGTTCCTTACGCCAACAACACAGACAGCAGTGCCATGGTCTCGGGAAACCCCAGACGCGAAAATGGTATCCCGGTGATCTTTATGTACGGTGACCACGACTGGATGGACTATAAGGGCGGAGTGGCAGCCACGGCTAAAATTTTGCAAGAAAAGCGACGCGTTCTTGAGAATGCAACACCCGAAGAGCGAGAAGCAGATAATGGATCCGCTAAAGTTGTCATGATCAAGAACTCGGGTCACCATGTCTACCTCGATGGATGGGAGCAATTTAATGATGTCGTTTTAGCCGAGATGGAGGAAGTAAGCCGGACAGAACGGACGAGGGGGCTATGATTTGCCTCCTTTGCCTTAATTTCTTTTTTAGCGTTTTTGTTGACTTTGGGGATTTATTTGGGATGTATAGATTTTTTTGTCGGCCGGCGGAGAGGTCTGCCTGGCTGTCTACGGAGTTCGGTCATGTGGTAGATACAGGAAGATGTACATATATATATATACACACAAGATAGAAGAAACATTGTCGTCAAAGAATATGAATTTCATCACTTCATTATATCAGCTAGATGGGCTTTTGTATACATCAAAGAATAACCAAACTGTAAAATGGCCGAAAAAATACACAAGGGGGAGGGAGGCGAAGAGTAGCTTTTATTATCTACAAGAAATCTATCTACTCCAGCCATCCTATCGATTTGAAACCGGGGGTGCTTGTTCGACGACTCCGCGAACCGGTAGGATAGTGAATAAGACCGCCGCCTACCAGCATATTTCTAGCGGGCTTCCGTTCGTCATTTGGGGTGGTATTGCTAGTTGTTTGCGCACCACTCTTAGGCTGTAAAGCAAAATAACTTCCGGCACCATTTGACGCACTTGTTGTCACTGGGTGCTCCCAGTGTGCCGAGAGCGAAGTGTGAGACTGCGATCGGGGAGATAAGCCTTGTTGCATGGGCTCGTCGTCGTGTTGGGATTCATGTCGAGTTGACAGGGGATGAGCTGGGGAGCTGGGCGATCGAACACCAAGACCAGATACCATGCTTGTAGTCGCGGAACGGCGGTGATGGCGTTGGCTCTGGCTGTGATTCCCTCGCGGATCAGTGCTATGAGAGGCAGTTTGCCGCGGGTTTCTCCAGGGAATATAGGGTTCCGAACTCTCTGCATCCCGTCGGTGGGTTAGTGGCTGGGAGGGTAATTCCAATCGACTGTTTATGGACACCCATGCGATTTCGTCGATTTCGTCACTGAGGCTGTTGCTCGACGACGGCGAGGTACGTCCGGAGCGATGCCCTAGAGATTTCGAAGAGGATGGTGGACAGCGCCATCCCCCGAGGCCCTCGAAGTCTCGATCCCCGTCGCCGCTAATTAAACCGAGGAAGCCAGAAGACGGGATGTATGGGAGGCTCCTCCGCAAGTGTGGCCGATTCGAATATCGACCATCGAAGCTCAGGACGGCGCTTTCCTGGGCGTCTTGGCTGTCTGGTAGATTTGTGCTGCTTCGTCGGGGGTCCAAGGCTGGATGACTCTGGCCACGAAATGCGGGGGGTAGGTGATACGGAGATGGAATCGTTAAGCCATAATCAAACGACTGTTGCCTATTCGGCGTGGTGGGTTCTGACGCTGTAAAGCTCAGGAGAGACCAGCTAGCAGATGGAGGGATTATGAAGAGATTCGCAAAGAGAGCATAGCACAGCTCAATGGAGACCACGGAGAGTTGCAGAAACAGGGCTATGATAGAGAAACAAATCGTGACAGCAGCTGATATGGCGAGGGGAATTGAGATGAGGGCTAGAAATGGGAGAGTGACCAAAGAAGTGGTGGTGGACATGTAGGCGAGCAAGTATATACCTATGTATAGTAGGACTCTTCACACTCTCAAGGCTCAACGAGGCATCCAGAGAAACTCTGTCTCGGGGTAAATGGAGAAACCAGCATTATACAACTGGGATAAAACAGACATTTCCTCCGCGGATGAAATCTTCTTCGTTTATGTCCTCCTTGTGTTGTTGGAAAACAAGGTCACAACTGCGGAGACGAGCATGTGATTGTTTCCTGCCCCAGGCATCCACAGACCGTGATTTGGACGAACGAGTTGCCTCCCGCATTACATCACTGTCTCTCTCTAGTTTCTTTTTTATACCTCAACTTAAACCCAAAACTCTGGGTGTAGATTGGATTCGTTTGGTCTGGTTCATCATGTCTCAGGCTGATCCGACAGATGGATCCAATTTTCCGTGGGATCTCGGGGTGTTCGACGCCCATTGTCACCCCACCGACACCATGTCCTCTATTGCGCAAATACCGCGGATGAAAGCAACAACCCTCACAATCATGGCGACTCGAGGCGAAGACCAAGATCTGGTGCTTCAAACAGCAGTATCACTGGCCAAGGATCCTGCAGGCGTCGAAAATTCAATAAGAGAGCGCGTGCTACCGTGTTTTGGTTGGCACCCTTGGTTTTCACACCAGATCATAGATGACACTGCGGCTGTACCAGAAAACCAAGGAACACTCTTGGCCACAGAAGTAAAAAGAACCCATTATACCAGAGTTCTAAAACCGTCTCCAAATGACGAGTTCATATCTTCTTTGCCCGACCCAAAGCCTCTATCACAGCTTATCGCAGACACAAGGCAGAGACTCATGAGCTTCCCATTAGCCCTTGTCGGGGAGATCGGGCTAGATCGTGCCTTTAGACTGCCCAAGGCCTGGACTCAGGAAGAGGTCGATACCAGGGATGATCAAACAACACCAGGATCCCGTGAACGTCGATTACTTTCTCCTTATCAAGTAAGACCGGATCACCAGAAGGCCGTTCTGCTGGCTCAGCTACGTCTCGCCGGTGAGCTTCGAAGACCGGTATCCGTCCATAGTGTTCAAGCGCATGGAGCAGTATTCGATGTATTTAAGAGCCTGTGGTCAGGGCATGAGCGAAAAATTGCCTCCCGGAGAGAAAGACAACGACGTCTTAGTGTCACTGATGCCCACACAGAAAGTGACGCAGAAGATGAGAGAGAAAATATACAGGCTCGGGACGAAACACCTCTCCCATTTCCTCCGCGGATATGTATGCATTCTTATTCAGGACCTGTGGATCCATTGAAGCAGTTCCTGCACCCTTCCAACCCGTCAGATGTTTACTTCTCCTTTTCTAGCGTCATAAACTTCGGACATCTCGCGTGTAACAAGGCGGCCGCAGTAATAAAAGCCTTGCCCGATGATCGAATATTAATTGAGAGTGACCTTCACACTGCGGGTCAGGAGATGGACGACGTCTTAGAGGAGGTTGCCCGCCAGATCTGTGAACTACGTGGATGGACTCTGGAACAAGGAGTCCGACAGCTTGCGGAAAATTGGAAACGCTTTGTCTTTGGCTGATCAAGTGTCAGCTTTCATATTGATTTACCAGTTGACTAGCGATTGCCCAAATTAGCGACTCTATACTACCCCCGTTCGAGATATTCCATCGAAGCCACGCTCATCGGCTTGAGGTAGGGAATTCCCAACAATCTCTATATGCGTCGTCCTCCACGGATGCGCTGAGGTTTGGCGCACAGTGTTATCTGCAATATTACATATGTAATATATATAGAGGAAATAAAATGAATGGATGATACCGGAATAAGTCTGGTGTTTGGCGCCGCCGCCTTGATTTTCTAGAAGCTAATGCTACATGACTGGCCAGACGACAAGTGTCGGACGATCTTCTCTGATATTATTCCAGCAGGCAAATAAATCCTGATGAATGAGAACGCAGTTCCGAACACGATGGAAACTCCTACTGAGTGCAGATACTCGGTACCTAGTAGTAGTAGTAGTAGTAGTAGTAGTAGTAGTAGTAGTAGTAGTAGTAGTAGTAGTAGTATCAAAGTGGGTGGAGTAGTTCCGATGGAGGGTAATATTAATTGGGTGATTTTGCACATAATAAATTTGATACACGAGCCATCGGGACGATATCGGCTTGAAGTCTAAATGATTGATTTATTTGGTTGTGCCCCCCCACCTTATCGCAATCTTTTGCTTATCTCAACGGTCGTGTTCTTTTTTCTTCTTCTTCCTCCTCCTCCTCCTCCTCTTCTTCTTCTTCTATCACTACCTACGGAGTACTACTGCTACTGCTGCTTATCCTTTGGTCCACTCTCCATACCATGACGTCCTGAATCACTTTCTCCGCTTCCACATTTCTCCTGGGCCGTCCTGTTTGATGGTGTCCGGGCCTTGGATCTTTTGTCAATGCTTCGGCTATGTCCTCCACCGCGCAGCCCACTACCATCTCACCCGCTGACCGTGGTGTAAATAAGCGCAAGTCAGGTACTCCCAATTGCCCATATCCGCACCCAATTTGTCCCCCCGCCCTTCTTCATATTTTGGCCCTAACAATTTGTATACTATTAGGCTCTGCAGCTTGCATTCACTGCCATCGCCGCAAAGTACGATGCGACGCTCGCATTGTTGGCCTGCCATGTTCCAACTGTCGCTCCGCGGGCAAGGCGGATTGCCAGATTCATGAAAAGAAGAAGCGTTTGCCAGTGCGCTCTATCCTTGACCCCGTCCCTATCCGTTGCCGACCTCCTTCCGAAAATACCTCCAAATCTCTATCTCCCACCACTCCGTCCGTTGACCCGCCCAATGCGTTCACGACCACCTTCCGTAGTGGCCAACCCGAGGTTGAGTCTCCACCCTTCGTTGTGAATAGCGGTCCGCACAACCACAGCCCTAACTCTAGCTATGATCATAACAACAGCAACAACGCCATTGATAATTCTAATAACGATACTCAACGCCATGGACCCTCGTCGATCTCGAGTTCCCCGGTGTATAACAACCGTCCATCCGTCTCGGATCCGTCGGAGCGGGAATCTCGCGCGGAAATCGAGAAACGTCTAGTGAAACTAATTGATGAGGAGGCATCGGGTGCCCGGGAAATCCAAAGAGGTGTGCGAGCGATTTATGTCGGCCACGAGCTCTCGAATATGTCCTTCCTGATCCGACAACAAAGGGAAATGGATGATGATGTCTACCACTATGCCGGCAGTGAGATCCCACGACGACAATTACGCACAGGCCACGACCAGCTTCTGATGGATGCTTTCACATTGCCCGAACCTGCTCTTGCCGATGAATTGGTAGAAGCTTATTTTACCCATGTTAACCCGGGGTACCCTATTGTCGAAGAAGACCTTTTCATGGCCCAGTATCGCCATCGAGATCCCTCAGACCCTCCCCCGATTCTCCTGCTACAAAGTATCCTCCTTGTTGGGGCTCATGTCACTCGTCTTAAAACTGAACGAGATGCCCTGAAGGAGATCTTCTTTCGTCGTGCAAAGTGGTTGTTTGACAGCAGAATCGAGCGAAATCGCGACATCATGGTCCAGGCTGCCCTTTTGCTTACCTGGCACTCCGATGTCGCGGACGACGATGTAGCAGCCAACGCGCACTATTGGGTGGGGGTTGCCACAAGAATTGCGACAGGGCTGGGTATGCACCGTAACCCTGTGGGCAGTCGCTTTGTGCCACGCGATCGTCGCATGTGGAGGAGGCTATGGTATATTCTAGTTCAGTTTGATGTCATGGTGTCGCTTTCATATGGTCGACCACAAGCTATGTAAGTAAACTTCACCCTCAACCCGCCACCAAAGCTTGCCAGCTGCTAACACCGAGGCCCAGCAATTTGGAGGATTCTGATGTATCGCCGTTGACCTTTTCTGATTTTGAAGGCTGTGGCCCCCGCGTCCAAGCCGACTTCGTGATCCATTTCTCTGAGCTCTGCACCATGATCTCGTACATTGTTCGTGAGCGGTTCGGCCTCCGGGTCAGCGCCGAGCGTCGCAAGGCTGTACTGATAGAGGCTGACGAAGTCCTGGCAAACTGGTCACTCAAGCTTCCGGACAGACTGCGTCTTCGAGCGTCGGATATGGACCCATGGTCTGCAATGCTTCACCTCACATATAACAACTTCCTAATCCTCCTCCATCGACCCCATCCAAGAGCTTCCGCATATTCCGACGACTATGGGCCACACGATGCAGAAATCTGCAGCGCAGCTGCCGGTGTCATTGCCTCTATATTTGAAGAACTCCGCCTGAACGATAGGCTGAAATTCCTCTGGTACTGTGGTGTTCATACCCTATTCACAGCAATGATCCAAGTTCGGGTAGAGCTCCGGTTTTCTAACCCTGTCCTCGCAATCAACGCGCTTCGCCGTTTCGACTCTGCCTCGTACTCACTCCGCGAGCTGGCTCAGTACTGGTCTCACGCTAATACTATCCTTCGGCTGTTCGAGGATTCCAGGCGCCTTCAAGAAGACCTTCGAGCCGCAACCAGTGAAAGACCCCGTCGGTTCAGCAATAACAACAACAATAACCCTAACAATAGCAACACCCAATCCCAACATAACAACGCCACCCCACATCCCAACACTGCTATACAGAACAATGTAACTCAAACCAACCTCAGTCCCAATGCCAACCAACCATTCGACGCCTGGATCCCATCCAGCAACCTCGCAAACATAGACACAATGGATAACCCCAGGGAGTCGCTTGACTGGCGCCAACTATTCTCCTTCACCGACTTAGAGGAGCCGGTTCTCCCTACATCTATGGAAGGTATCCCCGAACTGGAAGATGAGTGGCGTCAGATTTATTGGCAGGAAACCCCCATGTCTGATCTCCTCCAAGATGGCGGGTGGATGCACGGATAGACTATAGATATGTAACTTGAGTTAGATTTCTCTTTTCTTCCTAGGCAGTATATATATATATATATTTACTTACGTCGCTTAGCATGTCTTAACCGTTGGACCCCAAAAAAACGAGGCACCATGAGGGGCTGTGTAGCTGCTTAGTCATGCGGTTCGGCTCGCTTTCCCATATAGGATTAGCGCTGCATGTGACCCACAGTATTAAATTTCCCCAGTTACCTGCTATGTGCTCTCATAGGTCATCTTTCCACAGAATTCCAAATCCCAAGACTTTTTTTCTCCACAAACATATGGAGTAGTCAATACCTCAAAATACGGAGTACTATGACAGGACCTGGAGGCTGGTGTTGAGATGCCGCTGGTGGGTCACCACTGAGAGTCCCAGCCCGGGTGTGGTTCGCAGACTTGAACCGAATCAAATCCTTAGCTAGCCTGGATGAAGGCACTATTGCAACCATGGGATCGTTTTCTGTTGTCCTGTAAGTATCATACTATGTTGTCCCATTTTTTGGATACAACATACTGATCTATGCTAAGGGGCTGGCCGTACTCGGCCCCTGGAAGGAAGAACCAGAGATGGGCGTCCCGCCTCCGCTGACTAAACCATTGGAACCAAAAGGTCACTACGATCAGACCTGATGGGTGGAGGGCAACGGTTCGAATCCGGCTGTGATCCTAGGGCCGTGCAGAGGTTCCCGCTAGGCAGGATGGGTGCTCGGGCTGGGGGTCCCTGCTAAATATACACTAGTCAGCTAGAGGACAAGCCTTATCTCTGGGAGGGGGATAGTTGTCACGGCATCGTGACAAGTACTAGGGTATATAAGGCGGGATTCGGGCAGATCAGACCATCAGGCCTGATCATAGTGACCTTTTGGTTCAACAATGGTTTAGACATGCTGCCCGAATCGCTTGCTCTTACAGTTACACCCCCCCAGAGATAAGGGTTGTCCTCAAGCCGACTAGTGTATATTTAGCAGCCCGCGCCTAGCGGGACTCTGCCCAGCCCTAGGACTTAATTCATTTATCATTCAATGACCAAGGATGGATTCGACCCGTCGCCCTCCACCCATCAGGTCTGATTGTACTTGTAAGAGCATGCGATTCGGGCAACATAGGATGAACCAGTTGAGGTTGCTCATATATACCCGTTGAGCATGATGACCAGACCCCGAACTGAACAGAGCACTTTCTGGTTGCCAGTCGCGAAATATTCAATATTGCCATCACTACGCGGCCTTCTCTCCCGTCTGACCTGAAATATGTCGGCAAACAAACAAAGCTTTTCAACTATGAGATATCGGCACAGATTTGTTCCGGTGACATGAAATTAATGCAGACAGCAGATCCTAAAACACACCCTTTTGCCCTCATTAGAAATACGCGGCATGCAGTGGGGTTTGACACGTGTTCTAGGCATGAACGCGGCGGCAGATATCGCGCCGGAAGAGCTAGACAGCGACTCAGAGGAAGACCCGGGTTTCGGTGAGCAGTGGGTGGTTGACACTAAGATGAAGGGGAAGAGGAGGAATAGGAGGTCACCTCACCACAGCTCGCCTGAGGTAGCTGGACCACCATTCCCTCTACATATTGGAGCCGAACGCGGGGGGTCATTTATACAAGGAGAGCGTTTTGTTGGGATTATATGCCGATATCGCTAGGTTAGAAAGGGAATGGTTGACGGGGCAGCACTGATGAATGGAACGGATCTAATGGGAATAGGCCAGCGACGGGAGCATTGTCATTCCGCAGTTGATCCGTTGGTGGATGAATCCGCCTGACACAGGAACGGCACTCATCCAAGACATTCTTCGCGAGTTCGATGTTTATCTCCATCATCAACAGGAAAGCTTCAGGGCCGTAACTAAACTTTAGCGAGGGGGTTCATTCAATTAGACGGATCCATCTCCAAAGCTAGACGCGAGAAATTCCGACCATCATCTCTGTTGGGCCTAGCGAATAGATACGCAACCATGCCATATGCCTTGCCTGCAGCACATACATTATTTCGGAAAACACTCACATGTGAAAGGAGGGGCTACCCCGGCCATGAACATTCCAGGAGGGGTAGCGGCGACTCTGCCAGAACCTCGCCAGTTTTCATGAAGGAAAATTTTCGGGTCCATCCAGCTCCTCCGACTTATAAGCGCCTATATCCACGATACTTTCGATATCCTATGTGGTCCATTCCATCAGAATTGCATTTTTTTTTTTGCCAGTGAACCCAGGTCTAGGGCGCGCTGACTATTCTAAAGCAAATAACTATCAATAACTAGTTATTAACCTCAAACTACTATTACACTACTACCTCAGCCATTAACATAAATATAAAGGTGAAGAAATCCCTTGTAATCCTCTAGTACTCTTGTTTATTCACATAAATAGTATATAGTATATACAAAAATACATGTCTCATACATACATATATACATACACTACCTTTAATTTACCCTGAAGACCTATATAAAACTGCTGTAGAGTTCTCCAACGACTTATGCAATCTCTGTTGGCATCCCCAACCAAATTTAACCGTCCCTTAGGTAAGATTTAGGGGTTTCCTGTTGTATAACTATTCATACCTTCCTCATGGGTATCCTTGCTTTCTTCGGATTGTTCTAATTTAGTCCATGTGACATAACTGATCTATATTCTAGATAGACCGCCTCTCAAGAATCTTTGTATATATTCAGTTTGCTATAATAAATAAATATAACTTATCAACAATCTTTCATGGAGCATATAGTAGTCTCACCAAGAAAGAGAAAGAGAAGAAAGAGATCACAACCACTGAGAGACAACAAAGTCCTGTTTCTTGCTTTATCGACCACTCTTTCGTCACCCGATCACCCAGCTGCCCAGACACGCCCCGTCTGTTGAGGCTAATGATGAATGAATACCGATAAACAGCAGTATAATATAAACAAAATCAGAAGTAAGGAGGGTAAGGAGGGATTCCAATGGGGTGGACAAGCCAAGCGTCTGGTTCCGGAAATCAGGAAGGGAACATGTAACTGGATTTCGATTTGTCCCCCACCCACACACCCACCCACACACACAGACAGAGTATACATGTTATATTGATCGAGGTACAAATAGGGGAATTGGACAAAAACAAGTTTGAATAGGGAATGGAGAAACTGCGGCTGCGCGGGGAAGTACGGGGATAGATAAAAGCAAGAGAAGTGATAGTTCCCCGTGAAAGTTCTGTCGTATTACTTTGTTCGTGTTCCACCCATTAAAAATTCCATGAATAAAAACCCATAATATCGTATCACACCATGAGAAGGCTGTACAGGGTGCAACATCCAGAATTCCGAGAAGACTCTGGCCATGAGCCAAAGCTGAGCCTCATGGTTGAGAGCCTGTTGGAAAGAAATCCGGGCCCAAGTTCCCTGTAAGCGGGAAGCGGGAAGCCAAAACTTCAAGAGCCCTTACAATATAATGGGATTAGGCCAGCAGGCCTTTCTGGATGCTCCCCATACGGGCATACTAATAGGATTCACCACCTGTTCCGTTATGAGCTTGACCGACCATAGGTGGGTACCCGTAAGCCGAGGTATCCTGCTCAGAAGGGTCCAGGCCCTGGTTCATAATGCTGTTGGCACCATCGCCTGCATCGGGAAATCCTCCAGCACCAGCAGCTGCTCCAGGGCGTCCAGCTGCAGCACCTCCAGCTCCACCAACGGGTCCACCAGCAGCATATCCACTGCTAGTGGGCCGGTTCTGGTGTTCGCCCCGTGCAGATTGGGTCTAGATGGGAATCAGTACATCATGTCTCAATATAAGAGCGGCCTGTCGCCGAACCACGATAGGGTTGCTCAAGGGGTTGCACAAGCCTTACCTCGCGGTACTTGGACAAATAGATTTTGAGGGCCTCTGCGTAGTTCTCAAAGCCAAGAGAGGTCATGGCAAAAAGAATGTCCTCTCCATTGACGGTTTTGCGCTTTTCTTGTTGGCACTTTTCGGAAGCTTTTTGAGAAGAATAGAGAAGTTAGTAATCTGCTCATATTTGGTATGTGGGTGTACTTGGACTAACCTTCGCTGGTGATGAATGATATGAACTCGCTCACACATTCCTGCATGCACTCTTTAGCCTCTTTTGCGATCTTCGCATTTTCTGGCAAGGCTAATTTCATAATCCGGGCAACTTTGGGGCGAGTATCAGCATAGTGTCATGAGTTTTGGTCAATCAAAGGCAAGGAGGAGACTGCATGTAGTGTTGCGAAGCAGAAGCACAAGGGCAAGAAGACTTTGAGCGGGTGCTGTATATCCAAACAGAAACCAGGGAAGATTGGACAAATAAGGGTAGAGGGGAAAATTGCGACCAACGAGAAAGGGGCCAGGTCGCAAATGTTGTATGGGTGCTCGGATAGTATGGCAGACGGCGGTTGACCAGCAGATAAATGTAAGGTACGCGCAAATCAGACGGACAGATATGCTGCAAGGGGACGCAACTAACCATTTGCAATCGGCAGCCATCTATCTTGCTCCTTAACCTCAAACTCTCCCTGGCCCTGCGCTTGGGTATCTTGTTCCTTGTCCATTTGCTCCTGCTCTTCACCTGATTGAGCTTCAGGTTCCACCTCCGGTTCCTTCGAGGGAGAGGTCGACGACATGATTTTTAGCTGTTCTCGAAAAGTATAGGCGATACCGGTTTAGGAATGGGAAGGCTGAGTCTAAGATATGCTGGCAACCACGTCAGAGATATGTGTAGCACGCGACGGATTTTTCGAGCTCAATTCTCCTGCATGAAGAGGGAAGGGTGTGTGTATCTGGTTGGGCAGCGATTCGCTTCACAACAGCCTGAACAAGGAATAAAAACGGTGGTCAACGCGTGTGGGGGATTTGGCGATGCTTCAATGACAACAGTCAGTGCCTTAGCGGTGTGAACAAGGTCCAGCGGGGCTCTCATTCGATGACGGAAGTATGAGGCGCGCGCCAGGCAACTCGCGGAATTTTTAATAAAAGGAAATTATTTATGGAGGGATTTTTTTTTTTTTAGAAATGATTAATGGGGTGGGAAAATCTGATTTGATGCCCAGCGACGAGTACATTGTGCTAAGGTTCTGGAAACTCTCTTGTTGGGGCCTGGTCTGGGGGATTGACTTACAGCACAGGCAGTAGTTCCAGCGACGGTAACGTCAGCAATGCGCTCAGGATCCGCGACAGAAGATCTGGGAGCGACGCGGGTGATGCGACACGGAAGGTAAGCAGTGGGTGGGCCAATAACTGGCAGTGGTACGTTGCGCAGATGAGGAGGCGATCGGGGATATTTTTGGAGAGTTGGAATGCTTGCTTGGAGAGATCTGGCGTGTCAAGTAATTGGTTCTTGCTGGTCTTGCCCTGGAGATAAGGTGTGGTCGAAGGAGTCGTTTGGCGGTAGGATGCGCGCAGCAGTCAATTGGCGAACCAGAAGTCCCCTGACGGAGAAAGCACGATCACTGGTTTGTTGGAGGCTCAGAGTACAAACGAAGCCAACACCAATAGGAACCTAAGATGATGGAGAAAGCACTTCCAAACAAAAGAAGGGCGATATGATGGCTGATGGCTGGATGATTGGATGATTCGATCGCGATGGACCGAATGTTTGAAAGAGAGAGAAGGAGAGAAGTGAGAAAAGAGAAAAGACAAGAGAGGCAACGCGAACTGGCACGAGAGAGATGGATGGCCTCAGGACGCTATTTACCGTCCCGGAACATTTCAATACGCTCTAGCTGGGTGGGTTTTCAATGAATTTGGCTGGCAGCTCGGGGTGGGGTGTGTATTGGTATTGTAACCAACGTGATGAATTCCAGCCATCCATCTTTCCACTTCTTCGGATGCCATCTCTGTATACCTTAGTAGTTCAGAATATTAGAGTAGGTATAATGGGAACGGTACAGTCTAAAGGTTCATCTAGATCTAACAACTAGATAGAATACGATTCAAGTTTGATGGAAGACTTTCGACCTGTAAATCTGAAAGACCCTTCCAGGGACCTGCTCCCTTCCACCTGGCAGGACATTCCTCATCAACCGATTCGTAGGCTTAAAATCACCGTCAAACGATGCAACTAATGAATCGAAAGTACTTAGACACCCGAATCAAAATAATAATACTGATACTAATAATTTACATCGCTGTCTGGATGTTTGGAGAATTGCATGGCGATAGATTTGCTGCTTATTGTAACCGAGGTGCATTCAGGCTTCAGGCATCAACCTTCATTCTCCGTCCAGAGAAATGAAGCAAGAGTGATGGTAAGCACCCTGAACTGGAAATAAAAAGTACTAACAATCAAGTTTTGGCAGAATGAATAGCATGGGGGAGTTGAGATAATAACTGATTCCCAGCACTTAAGGCAAATCTGCAGTGTGTAACATCCGGAGCCCAAGTACATACGAGTCGAGCGAGACCTTCTATAAGTCTGAAGATTGAACAAGTCGTAAAGCGCAAACCATACACCCCTCTACCCAAATTCCAGGGACTTTGAATTTCTCACCGAGCAAGAAACGAGATCTCTCCTCTCTTTCGAGGTTTGAGGAACTGTTGGCGATAATTTAGGCACTGCATCGTATTTATGAGCTACATGCGGAAGCCCCAACCCCTCTTCCGAGTAAGATGAAGTTATCCTAGAGTCTCGTCAAGACCAACCGTAGACACAATGAATAGAAATCCACTGGATTTTTGGTCTACGTAATCGTTTTGATTGCATGATTGGGACTGTCAAAGACGCCAACTCGCTCGAACCACACCTTGCACGCCTGATTGATGCATAAGCGTCATGGAATGGTTGGACAGCACTTGCGCGCGGATTCGTCCCTATGGGGGTTAAAAAATCCCGCTCTTAACTATGATATATGAAATTGTCCCCCAGGGAAAGGAATTGAGATTTTCTACATCGCCTCAGGTGGTCGATTGATATGTGGACGGGGTATTTTTCCTCAGGCCGCAAGTTGGCCATTAGGCACGGGTGCATTGGAAATTCGGCCTTGTCTTTGGTGATATTTTATTTCCGACACACTGCCTCACTATTCAAAAGAATGACGTGGAGTACCCAAACATCCCTGCTGTGTCGAGTTTGATCAAACTGCTGCTCGAGCCCTATCCGTTGAAGCCCTGTTGAACGTGTCGAGGATGAAACATAGACTAAGATGAATCACTAGACTCCTAGTGCGCCAATTTGCTCTCATTTATCTTCACATTCACATTATACGTAATACAACCGAAACATAGCATCCGTGTTAAGGGGGGTAGCAAAAACGGCACTTGAGAGTATCATTTGTCTATGGTTGTACAACCTGAATATTATTCTTTTTCTGTAGCGCAAAAGGAAAATCAGTATTGATCCGTAAATTCAAGATGGCGTGCCTGCCATAGAAGACGAAACTCACCTTCCAGCTGTCCAATTCCGTCTGCTTAGTCTTGTACTGCTTCAGCAACTCCTCCAACACTTGCTTCAGACCATCCGAGTTCGTCTTCAACGAGGGGAGAACATCGCTGACTGTCCGCTCAACCAAGACTCCATTTACCATCCTAAAGCATTTTCGGTCTTCGGGGAGAGGTTCAAGGGTATCAATGACCAGTCTAGCAGAGGGATCGGTTAGTAAGACACCGTCTAAGCAATTGGTAGGCATGGCCTGGGGAGTCAAGAGGCTGAAATAGACGAAAAAGCATCGACATACTTGTGCTCTTCAGCTTCTTGTTCGATATCTCCGATCTTCTGGGCCAGCTGTTGTAGTGCGTTTTTGTAATTTGTGTATTGAAGCTGGAGCTCTAGTTGTCATTAGCTCCATTCTTCAACAGACTTCGGTGCCTCATGTAAAATAAAAACGCCCATGGACTTACCCTGTTGCTTCTTAGGATTGACTTGTTGTTGGCTGGCCATCTTGTCTGGAAATCTCCTTGCACAGCGCAAATGTAAAGCTAGAATAAACGTGCGGGGCGGACTTTGTTATCGGCGACTTGTCGCTTCTTGGGCCAAGACTGAGTGAGCTATGAAGGATTGTCGAGCAGCACAAAAAGAGCGCCTAAACATCACTTTGAAAAACTTGCTTCTGCTGGAGGTCTTGTCCCATGATAAGCCAATAGATATTAAATTATCTAAAGCAAACAGATGTCTATAAAATTGTACAAAGTACCATATCCTGTACCAGAAAAGAAGGTCATGCACGTGATGCCAAAAAACCGTTTGCACTGTTTGCTTTACGTTACATAGTTGATAGATTCGATCCGCCGACGTGTTGAACATCTCAGTCAACTGCCAGGAGGGCGACCCTTCTGGAATCGACTTGATTTTTAGTCTCTCAGAAGTTTTTGCATTTCTTTTTGTCCCGCTGATACCCCCCTCAGTCATAATGGCCTCAAACGAGCCTCCAGCCAAGAGGCTGAAAAGCTCAAACCTCCCAGCGCCACTACGCGATGCGAAGCGCAAGGATATTGACAACTGGGAAACAAATCGAATGCTTACCTCTGGAGTCGCTCAGAGACGAGATTTCGATGGCGATTTCATGCCGGAAGATGACGAAGGCACCCGCATCCATTTACTCGTGCACGATCTCCGTCCACCATTCCTCGATGGCCGTACGATTTTCACCAAGCAGCTAGAGCCTATCTCCGCGGTTCGGGATCCGCAGAGTGACATGGCAGTGTTTAGTCGCAAGGGGAGTAGAGTTGTTCGAGAACGACGTCAGCAACGGGAGCGACAGAAACAAGCGCAGGAAGCGACAACGATGGCAGGCACCGCGCTGGGCAATCTGATGGGGATAAAGGAGGACGAAGGTGACAGCGCTGTCGCCATGCCTGTGGAGGATGTTTACAAGAGTGGGAACAAGTTTGCGCAACACATGAAGAAAAAGGACGAAGGGGGCCAGAGCTCTTTCAGCAAGAGCAAGACACTCCGTGAACAGAGAGAATACCTACCTGCGTTTGCAGTCCGAGAAGACCTATTGCGTGTTATTAGAGACAACCAGGTGATTGTGGTTGTTGGAGAGACGGGATCGGGGAAAACAACACAGTTAACGCAGTTCCTTTATGAAGATGGCTATGGCAAGTACGGGATGATCGGATGCACACAGCCTCGTCGAGTAGCTGCGATGAGTGTTGCGAAGCGTGTCAGCGAGGAGATGGAAGTTGAGTTGGGTGATCTTGTTGGATATGCTATTCGATTCGAAGATTGTACAAGTCCGAAGACGGTCATTAAATATATGACCGACGGTGTCCTTCTCCGAGAGTCGCTAGTTCAAACAGACCTGGATAAATACTCCTGTATCATCATGGACGAGGCGCACGAGCGAGCTTTAAACACGGATGTTTTGATGGGCCTTCTCAAGAAGATCCTGGCTCGACGGAGGGATCTAAAATTAATTGTTACATCAGCCACGATGAATTCTGAGCGCTTCTCCAGATTTTTCGGCGGTGCTCCAGAATTCATCATCCCAGGAAGGACGTTCCCGGTGGACGTCCACTTTTCCCGCACACCTTGCGAAGATTATGTCGATAGTGCTGTCAAGCAGGTCTTGGCCATTCACGTCTCACAGGGCCCTGGTGATATTCTTGTCTTCATGACGGGCCAGGAGGATATTGAATCCACTTGTGAGCTAGTTGACGAGAGATTGAAGCTACTAAACGATCCGCCCAAACTCAGTATATTGCCAATTTACAGTCAAATGCCAGCAGAGCAACAAGCGAAGATTTTCGAACGCGCTGCGCCTGGCGTACGCAAAGTCATTGTCGCAACAAATATTGCCGAAACTAGTCTGACTGTGGACGGGATTATGTATGTGGTTGATGCGGGCTACTCGAAACTGAAAGTCTATAACCCCAGGATGGGCATGGATACGCTTCAAATAACACCGATCTCACAGGCAAATGCCAACCAGCGTTCTGGAAGAGCAGGAAGAACGGGGCCAGGCAAAGCATATCGTCTTTATACGGAAGTGGCGTATAAAAATGAAATGTACTTGCAAACGATCCCGGAAATCCAGCGAACCAGTCTATCAAACACAGTACTTCTTCTCAAGTCTCTCGGGGTGAAGGATCTCTTGGACTTTGATTTTATGGACCCCCCGCCCCAAGAAACCATCTCCACCTCCCTTTTCGAACTGTGGTCCTTGGGAGCGCTAGACAATCTAGGAGACCTAACGCACTTAGGACGACGCATGACACCATTCCCAATGGACCCCCCGCTCGCCAAACTCATCATCACAGCAGCAGAACAATACGGCTGCAGTGAGGAAATGCTGACCATCGTATCGATGTTATCCGTGCCGAGTGTGTTTTACCGACCCAAAGAGCGACAAGAAGAATCCGACGCCGCTCGAGAGAAATTCTTCGTCCCCGAATCCGACCACCTCACCCTTCTCCACGTCTACACCCAATGGAAAACAAACGGCTATTCTGATTCTTGGTGCACAAAACACTTCCTACACGCCAAGGCGCTGCGTCGCGCGAAAGAAGTCCGTGACCAACTGCACGACATCATGGTCGTGCAAAAGATGCCCCTCGTTAGCTGCGGCACAGACTGGGACGAGATCCGAAAATGCATCTGTTCTGGCTTCTACCACCAAGCCGCCCGAGTAAAGGGAATCGGCGAGTTCATCAACCTCCGCACAAGCGTTAGCATGGCTCTCCACCCAACCAGTGCTCTATACGGCCTAGGTTACGTCCCAGAGTATGTAGTCTACCACGAGCTCATCCTCACAAGCAAGGAGTACATGTCCACCGTAACCGCAGTCGATCCTCATGTAAGTCTTCCTCCCTTCCGTCCCTTTTCATCTCTTTTCCCCCTCAAGCAAGCAAACAAGTCCAACCTTCCCCCATTTCTCTAACTATTTCTTTTATTTCTTTTTCTAATCTTTTGTGCAGTGGCTCGCCGAACTCGGTGGCGTCTTCTACTCCGTCAAAGAAAAGGGCTACTCACACCGCGAACGCCGCGTCACAGAACACGAGTTCAACCGCCGAATGGAAATCGAAGCCCAGATCGCCGCAGACCGCGAACGCGCCGCAGTAGAAAAACAGCGCGAGAAGGAACGCACCGAGTTCTCCAGGCGCAAGAATGAAGTCGAGGTTGGGTCTTCTGTTGTGAGACGGCCTGCGCCTGCCGCGAAGAGGATCGGGGGTGTGATGGCGAGCTCAGGGTTAGGTACGGGCCAGCGGAATGCTCCTGGTGCCGGTGCTGGTGCTGGTAGAGGAGGGAGTGTAGTGAAGAAGCCACAGATCATGCGGAAGCCAGGGAGGAGGGCTTTCTAGTCACCACCGGGGTAAATGCCGACATCAACCGGGCTATATAAACGAAGCATGAAAATGGATATAGGATAGAGCGAAGTAGACTTGTATAATATACCATACTATCCCACACTATATCATACCCAGACTTGTACTTTGATGAATATCTATTGCTGCTGGCACTAACTAGTTGGTGCATTGTTTATCATTTTTAGTATATAGCATACACCCTCAACCAAACAATGCAAATAACCCCTGATAATAGATAGATAGGTAGAATAAAACATAACATGAAGATTCATATTCGCAGAAATAAAAAAAAAAAGGTACAGATATAGAATGGAACAGAACATACCAAGTGAGAAGAGCAAGGAAAAGCACCTAGAAATTGATTTAACATCACCATCACCATCACCATCCAACCAGAAATCTCCAGTATACAAACAAAGCAGAATAGTATCTAAAGAGAGCAGAAGTGTGCTATACCGCTCTATCTATCTTACCCTTTTCATTTCCCTTTTTTAAGAGTCATATAAAGAATATCCATCACTGGACCTCGTCTCATCCCCAACTAACCCATTGGTATCCATTCCCATTCACGCTCCCTCCCACCTACCCACATACATACATACATACATACACATGCACACACCATAGCTACACTGGAAGCGCGCCCTCGAAACCAGCTAGTTAATGAAGTTAATACAGAAGAAATGCAGAATCAAGCTTCCGAAGAGATAATCCGCAAACGCCCTAAGTGATTAATTAGTTAGTTAGTTAGTCACTTTAATCAGTATACACAACAACAACAACAACAACATAAGGAACAAGAAGCATGTTATGGTATGTTATGTGATATATCCCAGAAAAGCAAACAAGGTATAACTAAATAAAACTCACTCACCTCTCATGCGAAACGCCAACTCCCGGCGCAGAAACCGACCCCGAAGCGCCTTTCCCTCCCTTCCCCGACGAGATAGAACCCGCGGCAGTCTTGTTTCCGGAATCGCCACTGGTCTGCATGCGCAAACTGGCCGTGAGAACAAATTGGCCCACGGCGGCACAGAAGCCACTGAGGAAGGCGTTGAAAGGCTATATATATATACATTTTTCACTGGAATCAGCACCCCCATCCATTCAGATATCCACCACATTTACACCAGGAAACGTAATGGCGACTCCTCCTCCTTCTTCTCCGCAAACAATCACAGATGAAGAAGTACCTGGCACAGGAGGAAAAAAAAAAAAAAAAGGGGGGGGGGGGGGGGGGGAGAACTCACGTAATTCCCTCCCAGGATACAATACATGAATTGTACGCCTCCCACCAGCACGAGGAAACCCATAAACGCATCGAGGAGCATCGTGCGCTGCGGCGTTGTCGCTAGGTACTGCTGCCACACATGGTAGGCGATTTCGGTGACGGAGGAGTTCGCAGAGAGGGTCTTCGGGCCAGAGGAGAGGAGGTTGATATTGCTGCTTTGTGTTGGTGCTGTTGAGGTTGTTGCTGGTGTGGTGGGAGGGGGAGGTACGGCGGCGGCGGCGGCGGCGGAGCGTTTGGAGGGCATTTTTTTTTTCTTCTTCTTCTTAATTTTGGTTAATATTGTTTTTAAGCGCCTTAGTTTAGGGATCGTGTAAGGCTATACGAAAAGTAGAGGGAGGAATTGAAGGAGTGGGAGTGGTCAAGCTTGAACTACGTATGCCTTTCTCTGGCAAGCTGTCCATTCCGCTGCGGAGATTCACTCACGTGACGGACTATGCCCGCAGAGGAACTATCAATCCATAATTCAATGATCAAAGAACTAAGATACTGCCTAGGTAGGAGGTATTAAGATATATTTCAGAGAGAAATATTAAAATTATCTAGAATATATTGTACATGTTTGGTAGTAATACGCGCGACAAAAAGTCGTCATCAACAGTATACCCATATTACCAAACTAGCGTCAGGTATTGTACATTTGGTGTCATAAATTTGAGAGGAGGTCGTAGTGGTAGTGGCTTTTTTTTTTTTTTAGAGAGGAGATCAGGTCATTAAGACGTAACAGTCGTACCCACCGGAAGAATCACAATTTCAGGGGTTGTATTGATCGAACAGTGGGTATCTCATAAAACGCCGCCAGGGCAATTATCGAAGTGGAGAATCGGCCTTCTCGGCCAGAAAAAGACGTGTAAAAGATAAAGTAAGGAGTCGAAGTCCTCGATTGAATTAAGCGACCCAGCTGGTAATGTCGCCTATTGGAGCCGCTTGCGCTTCTTGCATGTCCGTTTGGAAATCCCGCATGACTTGATCCCATTCTTCCCAGTTCAGGCGCGAATTAGACGAGTCTTGGGCCATCCCAGGAGGGGGGTCGTTAGGTATGCTAATCGCAGCGCCTGTGGTCGTGGGCTGCTGTGGAGCGCTCGAAGTGTGAGAGCTTGGAGTAGCAAGCCAGTTGCCGGCGGGGAAGAACTCGTTGATAACCTCAATTGGGCCCTGACTGAGATCAAAGTCCATTGTGCCTTGATACGGACTTTCACCGGCCTGTGTAGCGGTTGCAGAAGTTAGGAGTTCGGGGAAATGTGCAAAGAATGGCGCTTGCATAATGGTTTGAGGGGGGTTGAGGGAAAGAGATGTTTCTTGTGGAGACGGTGGAGGGTATCCTAGTTGAGCTTGAAGCTCTTCTCGTTGTTTGGCCCTGAAGGCGGCTGCGCGCTTCATAAGCCGGGCTAGCGGTCGCCAGAGCATGCCTTTCCTTTGCTTTGCGGTTCGTAGCCAGTCTCCGTATAGAGTACTCACGGCGACCCAGGCCCGATCTGTCAGAGGGCTTAAAGGGCGCACGCAAAGCTCGGACAGGACAAAGGCAATGGCGTGCCATTGCATGTGGGTTGCAAACATCCAGCTCCACCTAGATACGTTCTTGTCGGCTGATAACAAACGAGCAAACTCGGCCACTTCAACTGACGTAACGAATAAGCTTTCTCGAGTTGCGTTGGTCATCTCTGCTCCAAGATCCGGGCGAGTCATCGGATGGTGAATGACAAGCCACATTTTCGTCAGGACGAGCCGGGCGATGGTAGCACACACCCACTGGATGGGGATACTCATGTTACAGTGCCTGATATACCGTTCCTCTACGCGTTTGTTGACGGCTTGAATGACATTTCCACATTTGCCTGGGTATCTTTGATGGTGTGCAGAAGCCGCGCCAGTTGGGTTCGGACATGTATAGCTTACCCGACGTAGAGCGACACTGATGTCGCATCGAATGAGGAAGAAAGTCATTTCAGTAAACCCATCTCGCTCTGCAGGTGGTTCCTGCATATCAGGTGTGATATCACTATCATTAATATTTAACGGAAGCCGCGTATCATACATTCGGTCGTGAATCTGCACATCAGTTCCGTGATCCTCGGAAGACCGAAGATCCAACAATAGAATATGCCACCACAGCCGTCGACGCATTTCGGTGTCCAAGGGCTTCAAGCCAAAGTTGGTTCCGTCTCTGTGCAGGCCAAGTCCTTGTGCGAGACGCAGGACAAGAGAAGACATTGACCAAACAAATTTGGTATCATCGTCTCGTCGAACGGCATTCAAAAAGAGCACAGCGGCCTGCAATAGCGTCAAGCTCTGCGTATTAAGAAGGTTGGCTTTGGAGAGGGCTTGCTCCACCGCGAACCGATAGCGGGTGACTGCAGAGTCACGGTCCTCTCCGAGGACAGATACACACTGCTCGTTCGACAAACTAACAATAGCAGCAAAGTACATGGAGAGGACCAGGGTTTCGTTATTCTTATCCAAGGCATCTGGGGTCTGCGCAGCCTTGGTAAAAAGCTGTTGAGCTGTAGGCCCATATACAATAGGAATCAACGGCATGACATTTTCCGTAAAGATCTTCCACAGCATCGGGATTTTGGTTGGGTGCGGGTGGAAAGACCGAAGGGAGTGTGAAAGCGAGTAGAATCCGAAGAGAAACCCGTCATGGTTTGTAGAATGACTGGAGGACGACCCAGGAGAGGGATGGTCGTCTTCATCCGAAGATGAGGGGTCCAGAATATCCTGTAATTCCTCGACCTGCTCTAGTTAGCACTGATAGTACACAAAAACCATGAGTCAACTAACCTCGTCCCCAAGACTCGCCCAGAACCGATTGCTGACATATCGGCTTCGGTTCTCATCAATCACAAGCCTCCCAAACTCATGTTCCAATGCATGCTGTTTAGGCAGCTTAACCGGGTCAGCCGTTAATGGGCAACCCGATTCATTGTCATCATCACTTTGCGGTTGGCTAGGTTCGTTACCAGGCAATCGGTCGTTGCGTTGTTGTGGCGACGTTGGCGTTAAAGTATCAGGTACCTTCGCATTCACCATTCCACCTTTCTTCTCACTCAGGTGTTCAATGACACCCTCGAGCCGGCGCAATCGCGACAGCAATTCTGCATCGTGTGGGCGTTTCGACTTGCGCGGTGCCCTACCTGGTGGGGGAAAGATACACTCGACGCCAGCCTTGGCACAGTTCGAGCAAGGTGTTCGTTTGTTACAGCGGACCTTCCTTCTCCGACAGGTGATGCAGCTTCGCAGAGCCGTGAAGTCCTGAGGGGCCTGCTGGGAGGTGGTAGCCAAGACAGGAGCAGTATCATTCATATCATCGAGAGGAGATAATGAAGTCGAGCCCGAGGGGTTGATACCCAAATCGGTGGGTTGGAGCTGCGGTGAGAACGACATGACGAAGATGACGTGAGAGATAGAAGAAGACCTTCCACGCTGTACCACATCATTCAACGGATGGACGGTTTGAACATCAGATCAGGGAAGGAAAAGAACGGGAGAAATGGAAGAAGGAGGAGGGGGGAGATAAAAAAAAAAAAAAGGAATAAAACAGCCAAGAAACAGAAAATCAATACTATTGCTATCATTAGCCACCAGTGCAGGTTGGCGTACCTCTCAAACAAAGGCTTGAGTTGCGGGATCTTCACATTCAGTCATCGACTCATAGTGGAGATATAAGGATATATTATTGGTTATAGCAAAGTCAATCCAGACCCCGCGCGGCGTAGATGGAATTTTGCGACCGTAAGATGACTAATTATCTCTGCGTGTAAGACGGGAACTACCACTACCACTAGTACTTCCTCAGCTGTACAAGTAGTACATAGTGGGTGTATCCATACTGTATGGATACCTAACTCGGAGATTTGAATAACCCGCGTCTTGTCTCCGGTGGACCTTTCCAAGACTCGGAGATTATGCAGATTCTCATGTCAGAATGTTAATTGAAGAGCAGATATAACCGCTTTGTTCTGACATCCCAGAGACGCTTCTTTGTCAGTATGAAAAACCTCCAATGGCTTGGGGAATAAGCCGATCTCTTCGGATCCAACCGAGACCGACCCTCTGTTACGATATGCTCGGAGAAAGCCCGTAAGTTACCAAACCTTAATGGGGTTTTGGGAGATACCTAGCGGGCAAGGCACCAATTGATGGCTACCATTGACGTCATCGAAAAATGCTAAGAGTCAACCCTCAGGTCACCGGGGAGACTTTGCGACATCTGACCTTATTCTTTACGTCCACCCAGCTTATCTGATTGATACCATCAAGGTTAATTACTTTTGCTTGTACTTGGAATTGGGATGCTCTGGGAGGGCCACCGTCCCAATTACTTAATCAGGAAGCTCGCTCGTACAACCTACCTGGAATGATTGAATTTGTCAAAAATCCAACCAAAAGCCCACCTTAACTATAGGACTCACGAGCCAGCCAGTGTTTTACCTTCATTTTACACGCTAGGCAACGACGTTCAAACCTGACTCCACCACGCCAACTAGTTCGATATATCAGATTGACTAAAATCTTCCTAGGAACCTATGATTTGAACATGAATGATTTTTTTAAAAAAATAAAATAAAATAAAAATAAAGATAACAAAATCTAGGTAGATACATTAATCCTGAGAACACGCAAGGTATACTTCTCGAGCATGCTAAGAAACGAAAGAAATTCCCCAAAACACCATATATCGTAGAATGGATTCCAACGCCCATAACTCACTCCCGGGTTTGAACACGAAACAACGAGACGCCGGGTGTATGCAAAATAGTCAAAACATATATAGTCTATATAAAATATATGAAAGCTTTATATTGTTAAAACACTTGGTCACTGTCGAGGAAATTCTGAGCGGGCATTGTCGTCCGTAATGGGTTCAGTGAAGATCTGCTTGAGCGGCGTTGTTCGGATAGGAAGATCAGCCGTGTCTCCCCGGCGCGTTGACAATTTATGATTTCTGGGAGGTTTTGATATCAGCGCAGCGCAGCAGAATTAATGACCACAAAACTCACTTGATCTTCTCCCAAATATTTGTTTCTTCGTTGAATTCATGGCTGCAGCAAAACGTCAGCAAAGAAATAATCGAAATCAAAGGGTGCATCAGACTATCGGAAATCCCAAAGCATACTCTTGAAAATTTGTCGAGGTCAGGGATTTGTAGCTGTATTCTTCTTGCAGCAGCTTGGTATAGGCATAGGGGACCTTTACGGGAAAGTCCTCGAAATAGCTGTTTCGGAGGGGAAAGATCTCTGTCTCATCATATCGATGGCCATCTTTGCACATCAGAGCTCCAGCTTGGCCTCGGTTGCGTCGGTCATCGTCCGCGCGTATGGCAGTGATATCAATAAATAGCCCGGAGGAGGTGTCAATCCATCGCGCATCGATCACATTCCGTCTATCCAATGTGGACCGGACCACATAGTGCGGGTTGATATCGAGAAGGTATGTTCGTCCGCCTGGAACGCCAGGGAGGTCGAAATGGTGTTCCGTCATATTATAGTGGTCGGCGAGGAAATGAATTGTAGGTTCCGATATTTGAACATCCAGGTCATTGTCCCAGGGAAAGATCTAGGCCCCCATCAGCACCCCGTCCACAAAATGATACTCTTCACTGATCGAACTTTTTGGTTCCACCACCAAGCCAAAAGCGACCCGTGCATGAGCCACGTCTCCGCGCTGATTTCGGCCATTGTTGCAAGGTATGTTCGGACGAGGGCGGCCAAATGTGGACCTGTTTCTTCCTCAGGGAGGGGATTAGTGGCAAAGCTGCCATGAGGTTCAGCGCGTGACTCTAGGGATAAGGTTAATGGGGTATTCACCGTCCGTCATAGTGATAATGGAAGCTAAAGAACACTGTCAGTAAACCTGATATCAATCATAACCTTCACCTCCGGGAGGGCAGCATACGAAGATTCCTCTACATAAAGGGTTAGAATAGCAAGTCAACAGCAAAACATCATAGTAAGACTCGATGCGCAACCATGAAATACGAAGAGGACTCACTGAAATACTTGGGCACTGGCGGTCCCCCTTGTCCCGTATAATCCTTGGCCACACTGGACCTCTTGTCTATAAAATCCGTCTCGGCGAGAGCAACAGACGGTCCCCAGAGAGCAACAAGAAAGGAAATGGCCCACCACCACATCTCGCGATCTTCGCAGGCTTGCTAGGGTATCTTTCTTGGTCTCCGGCGGCTCCGTTACCGGGATAGCATCAGGGGGTAGGGGTAGGGGTGCACAGTCTTAAGACGGTAAGGGTAAGCGCTAGAAATTCGAGGTCGAAGATAAGACAAATACCTCAGTCAAATTTCCTGAACAGAAAGAAGAAGGGAAAGGAAGGAATAGATAAGAGAAAGGCGATGAGTTGTCGGAAGAGGAGAAGAATACGACGTCAACCGAGGATAATAATTATAAATAGGCGGGCTGGAGAGGCTTACAGGCTTAGGAAGAAAGAATCAGGCGATTAGCAAACCCGTCTAAGACTGTTTCAGGGTACCTACGTAGAATTCACATACTGATGTCGTGTGCTCAGTTTCCACAGGCAAGTTTAACTCCCTAAGTACGGAGTACGGGTTGTCGTCGTGTAGTCGTCAAAGTGGCCTAGTGGCAACTTGGCATTTGGGCGGGTTGTCAATTGCTGCAAGTTTTCGCGTTTCCCCAGCCCTGCGCGTCTTGGCGGTTAACTCTGACAGTCTGACTGGGCCTTATTCAACACAGATGAAACCCCCTATTTTTCGCCTTTATGCACTGACTACTAAAAAGGCTAGAATACACGAGGCAAAAGCAGCCATTTCATTCGCTACACGTTCTCGTTGGCGCTCGTCGCGCCCTTGATCTTGCCTCCACACTCTCAACCGATTGGGCTTTTCTGGGGTTTTTGCTGGTAGATACTAGATAGTGAGTGGCTGGTGAAAATGTTCCCCTATCCAATTTCAGAGAGTACACTAGTAATTTCCACCATCCGCCTCCAAATCCGTGATTCCGTTGCCCTTCGGTACTTCATCCATGCACATTTATCCTGAGGTTTGCTGCTGCTTCATTTCGGACAGCTATAGCAATTCTGATGAGCTGGCTCTGCTTGCATCCACAGAAAGAATTATTCCTAGGTATTATATACTGGCTCAGAAAGTGATCTTTCAGACAACACCTGCTCACATCTAGAGTGAGACATTACTTGATTAAGATAGAGCACCCCTGGCTTGTAGATCAAGTGTCAGAATAAGATTACTCTTCAGGGCCGCTAGAATATCAGATAAACAGGGATAAGCAGTAACAAACGGGATCACTCTTATCTTACACCACGAGCAAATGTTTTTTTGCGGTGCCCTAGGGAGTAAGTGATATCATTGTGAACCTCCTTGGAACTCCGTACTAGTGTCATAAATGATGTCGCATGGTTGAATTTTCTGGTTGGTAGAAGCTGTATGAAGACCTGACTTCTAATACCTCTCGTGGGATAACAAAGAATCTTAGCACTAGACTAAACACCCTAATCATCCAGAGAACCATCTTGAAGAACCAGACTATAAGAGCGACAATCCCCCGATGGTGTGCTACCCCACAAATATATCCCCCCAAAGAAAAATGCCTGTATAGCAGATGTTGAAATAATCTTCCAGGTTTCAAAATGAAGGTGATTATCTGGTGGGGGCCAATGATCCAGTTCTGTCAATTAAGCGGCAGATCACAGGGATTAAGATAAGATGATCTGCAATATCAAAGCATCATATATACTACGACGAGAGCAATCAATTGAGAGTGTTTCAGCCGGTAGACACTCCAAGGAACCGCAACTACCTACATAGGTAGGTACCAGTTTTATAGATATGGACCCCCGCACAAAGGTTTCATACAAGTGACCAGACCGTTGGTTTCCGATACTCAACTTATGCATTGACCATTATCTGGTAGCATAGTTGTAAAAGACAATATTTGCGGGGTTTGATATACTGGTCATCCCCTCATTTTATATTTAGCTGCGCCGTCGAGGAAAACTGTAACCAAGTAGACCTTGAGAAATAAAATACGAGAGCGCTGTTTCATACATGAATCCAGTGATTTCTTTAAAAATAGAGCCAGTAATGTAATGTATAGACAACGTGTTTGCTATTAAAAGGTCTAGAAAAAGGGGTTTATCAGCGCCGTTTTAATTTGTAAGTTTTCGGAGTTATCGCTCTAGTTAATGCCCAATTATCCGCTAAAAAATAATGTGCATAATAAATGTGCAGACTCCACAGAGAGAAAGAAAATCTGCAAGGCTTCCTCCTCGCTTAGGGTTTTCTGAGGTTCTCCGTACTTCATGCAAGATCGCATCTCCAATGACAATCATATACTCGATTTAAAGATAGCCTTTCCTTAGCACACACCCTAAAAATAACCAAGGTATCCCATCGTATCCCAAAGTAGCAAGATAGACGTGCACGTTTAATCGCGTATTTACAGGTTCGGAGGAAATTGGCCCACTCACCTGACTATTCCTGGACTAGTCTCAGCATGGGCATTCCCAATGCTTCTTGCGTTCTGATCCCATCCCCACCTAATTCTTGTTCTGACCCTGACTCTTTCTTCTGCATGACAGCTTCTACAGCTCTCGCGGCCAGCAGCCAGCAATTGGCGCCCTTTCAGAATTATGCACCCGCGATACATGACGCCGATTCCCTATCCTTGAATTTCGACCTCTCCAGCGATCCGTTGATGCCCTGCCACGCTTTCTACTCCGCGCCAGCTCTCTTCAACTGTGATTGATAGTGATGGCAAGATTGGGAGCGTTGCTGAAACCTTCCCTCTGATAACCATCCCCATCCTCCCCATCCCCATGCGCCTCTGGCTAGTTCACCAGGCGATGGGGCAATTTCTTCTTCCTCTTTTTACTACATCTCGCCTTTAAACTAGCTTTGTGACCTCTCTCGTTTCCAAGGTCCGCATCCCGACCTTGTCCCTTTTGCTATTCAAATCGAATCTCCTGGCTATTCTAGATTACGCCTCCTAGACGATGTCGACCGCATCCACTAACTCGGCTGGTGACACAAATGTTGTCCAGCAAACCGCCCCCACGCCGCAATTAAATAGATCCTGCGAATCGTGCCGAAGCTTGAAGGTCCGCTGTCTTCCCGACCCCGCGTCGCCTAACCAGTGTCAACGATGCACCAAGGCGAAGAGACACTGTGTTTTCGTGGCCCCTCAGCGGCGGCGACCACGCAAGCGAACCGACTCCCGGGTAGCACAACTAGAGAGGGAGATGAGGCAAATGCGCTCTTTTCTGAAGGATCGTCTACAAGTAAATGAAAGCAGTCAGGAGAGTTCGGAGAGTGAAGGTGAGGATCCTCGAGAAGTCGAATCAGAGACAAATTCAAGAGATACTGTATCGTCAAGCAAGGACGGTCCTACAAGCATATCAGGATCCACAAAACAATCGGATCTTCCTCCTCGATTTCCTACGCCATCTAATGCAAACACTTTCAACAATAGCCCTATTTCAGCCTTGAACTTTAATCAAATTTATCCTGAGGGTTCCCCCGAGTTTCCACCTGAAGAAGATGTTGTTGATCGAGGTCTAATATCCCTGGATTGTGCTGAAAAGTTATTTTCGTTTTTCTTCACTGAGCTCGCCTCTTTTGCTCCAATGGTTGATCTGCCGTCAAATACCCCTGCCTCACAACTACGTCGGTCAAAGCCTGTGCTTTTTCTATCTATTATCGCCGCGGCTGCTTTGAGCGTCAATGCTGGCCTGGCGACTATCCTCAACCGTGAATTAGTATCCGTCTATGCCGAACAATTCTTTATCAATGGCAAAAAGTCCCTCGAGCTAGTACAAGCGCTGCTCCTTATGATTGTCTTCTACTTTCCCCCACAGTCACCACTGGCGATACAATTCTACCAATATGCTCATATTGCTGGTACCATGGCCTTGGAAATTGGCATAGCCTCGGAGCCTCGTGTGCCCAGAGCTATCCCCCGCAACCCGAGCAAAAAGCCTGCCTTTGATGAGCTAATGGCCGAAGAAGCAAAATCCATCTTATATTGCTACCATTTTGCGTCACAGTAAGAGCCTTCCTTGTAATATGTGACGGGGATACTTTTGCTGATCTAGGACAGGGTTGCCTTGAAAACTCGTCGACCAAACCTGCTCCTCTTCAATGACTGGATGAAGAAATGTGTGGCACACCTTGAAACTTCGCCACGTGCGATCGACAGACAAGTGGCTACCTGGTTTGAACTACAACAGATCGTAGACGAAGCATTGGCGTCCTTTGGCCTTGATGACACTAGTTCTGGGACTACGCTCACGGAATCTCGGTTACAGGCTATTCTCCGATGGTTCGACAATCGGATGCAGTCTTGGAGTAAGAATCACTCCAACAATATGATCCCAGGTAATGATTCTTGATTGGGAACGCGTATATGCCACAGTAACTGACGGTCACTGCCCCTAGTACCCGTGAACCTTGAATACTATTACACCAAGGTAGCGATTTACGAACTAGCTATCGGGGAAGGTTATCGGGACCCTGATGCTATCAAACAAAGCTATTATACACTACCGTCGCCTGATGATGACATTCAGCCATTCCGCATGCCCTTGAGCGCCGCTCGCATCGATATCACGGTCAAGTGGATGAATGCGTGCCATGAGCTGCTTGACCTTTTTCTTAGCTGCAATACAGACCTCCTACGCAAGATCCCCAACCTCATCTACACCCGCGCGGGCGTCGCAATCATGTCGCTTCAAAAGATATGGCTCTCAGTCAGGTGTGGGGATCTGGGGGAAGTCATCACTCCCCAGACCGTAAAAATGGAAACATATTTGGACGTATTGACTGAGCGACTACGTGATGCAAGTGACGGCGGCATGTACAAGATCCCTGCTCGGTGGTATTTTGTCATAGCTGTCAAGTCGCGTAACTGGTACGATCGGTTCCAGGAGCGGCTCGCACGACAGGAAGCCGAAGCCATTGCCCCAGTACAAAGCACTCCACCAGCACCCCCAAGCTCCATCCATGTACAAAACCCGCCAGAATTTCCCCCGAGCCACCCACCGCAGTCAACAATCCCTCTAGCAATGGGGACGGACATTTCCTCTATGCCTAATTATGACGCTATGAACACCGGGTATGGCGCACCCCCAGTTATGGAATCAATGTGGCCTCCCCCTCACGGTGGCCACCAACCTTATCTTGAAATAAATCATTTTCAGGGTTATCAACAGGCCGTATTAGCACCTCAATTTGCATACGGACCACACCCCAAGATTCTCCCGAGTCATAGCCAGCAAGGTGAATCTATGCCACCTAAACCAGACATGGAAGTTGATGGGTGGACAGCAGGCCACAATATATATGGAATGCCAACTCTTCCTGAGGGGTAGGTAGGCTTCTAGATTTAGATTAGACAGCACTAAGTATCAAAGCATGATCCGCTCTCCCATCCGAGGTATGATAGGGTCCCACCTCAATCAAAAATATAATTTTCCAAACACCTGGATAAACGTCCAAATCGTAAGATTCCTGAAATCTACCTTACAACTTCTATTTATAACCTTTCAAATGTGGCCTATGATGACGCGCAATGTATATAAAAGTACCAACCTTAATATGTACCTGATCTGTACACAACCAGCCTCCGGTTAAAAAACGAACAACTCCATCATGTCAGGTTTACCGGAACTGTCCCGGAAAGAGGCCCTGCTTTTATCAATCTGAATGATCTGATCAGAATATTTTATACCATTTTTAAGGTAACTACTTAGTACTAGGAAGTACTAGGAAGGAAACTAGTTGCCTATCGCTGGATTATATAATCTATGTAATTCTTGTAAAATAACGGTACTGCAGAACACCCTGACCACAACAAAGGAATCAGGATATTTGATGGCTGGGATTGCTGAATGTTGGATCTTGGGGAAATTGGGTTAAGCAATGGATCAAATCGATATTTCGAGGCTCTGTCCTTGCTGTTCAGTAAACCCAGCGAGGATCGATTGATTGTTCTGTATCCATGCCTTTCTGCCCACCTAAACCGCTACCTGCTTTAGGTGCGCCATATATTCTTCGCGATCATACATTCTTTGCGATTTTTGATATTTCAACTTATTTTTATTATTATTACAATATAATATGCCTAAATCTCTAGATTTTAATAAATCTTGCTTGCTTGAAGCTATTACTATAATTTAAAAATAAAAAAAACTAAATATTATAAAGATTATATAAGAATTTAATATACCTGACTCTATACTCTAAATATACCTTAAAAAACTAAAGATACTAGTAATATTAATAATAATAAATAAGAACCTTTTACAGCTATATTAGGAGAAGGCCTTAATTAATTAGATTATATAAATATAGAAATAGAATATCCTACTAATTCCTGTAGTTATTATAGTATAGGTAAATTAGATACTTGCTCGCGCGGGGTTAGATAAGTAAGTTAGTAAGATATAGCTATATTAATTTAAATTATGTGTACTAGTAGATCTAGGACTTGCTCTAGTAAAGTAGAAGACTAAGGAATTAAGATAGATATAAGTAAAAGATGCTAGCTTACTTTAATACTAGTATAATCTTTTAAAATTACTTCTTTATAGGGTCCTGGCTTGCCTTGTTTATAATTTTAATAAATATGGTTTTTAACTAGGTAAAGATTATAATAAGAAGGTTTTTAGGGATTCTAAATATCCTAATCTTATAGAAAGTAAGTAAGGTAAAAATATTACTATAGTTAAATATATTACTATAGATAGTTAGGTAATAGACCTATTTTTTATTTTTAAAGTAATAAATAATTATATAGAGATCTAGTATTATAATATAGAATAATTATTATCTAAAATAATAATAGTAATATCCTTAAATAATTAGATAATTAATAAGCTTGTACTTGCCTGGCTATATTAATTTAATATTAAAATAAAGTATCCTAATTATACTAAGCAAGGCAAGAAATAATATCTAATATTTAATAGTTATAACTTATATCTTATACTTAAATTTCTATAATACTGCAAGGAAAATAATATTATTTTTTTTAATTTTATAGCTTATTTAATATATCTTTACTAATCTCTTAATAGAAAACCTTTTCTTACTTATAAAACTAATTTTTACCTTAAGAATAATAAGCTATCTTAATAAGGGGGTAAGCTATATAGGAAGGCAGAGTTCTTAAAGATTATCTAGCTAATCTATAACTAGATCTTTTACCAGCAAATTATTTAAGATACCTTTAAAAAATATAGTATCTAGCTAGTTAATAATACTAAAATTATTAAAAAACTAGTAAATTAGATAGATATACTAGATATATTAATTAATTTTTATTAAATCCTATCTCTACTATTATTACTATCCTCTAGTATTAAAAATAATTCTCTAGTAATAATAGAGGCTCTTCTAAAGAATTAGGTAAAGATTATAAAGGAACTTGATAAGGTATCTAACTAGATAAGGTAGAATATATTAAAACTCTTTTAATATCAGGTAGAGAAGCTTAAGGAGCTAAAAATAACCTAGGAAGTAATTTAAAGGATTAGGGCCATGTAAGAGCCTTAATACTAGGTTTATACTAAGTACTAGATTAAAGGTCTATTTAGTAACGGGGTTCTAAAAGTTTGTGATGCTATTTAATTAATTAAAGATAGGAAGGTAAAGGATACTAAATATAAGTAGAGAAGGTTAGTAAAGTAAAAAAAAAAAATATATAGTTCTTTATTTTCTCCATGCTTGTAGGAATCAATTTAAAGAGGAATTAATAATATAAGATATACTAAAGAAGCTAGAGAGTTTTTTTATTTTAATTACTAGTATTATTATTATTATATAGCTTCAAATATTAAAAAATCGCGAAGAATGTGTGATCACGAAGAATATGTGGCGCACCTAAAGCGGGTAGCGGTTTAGGTGGGCAGAAAGGCATGGATAACTACTAAATTACGACTGACGTGAGCGTCCACCTTCCAACGACCACGGGTCCATCCTCGTGGACTGCCGCTTTCAGGACCCCTCCCGATCGCAGAAAGTAGCTTCAAACAATATCCTGAATTGGTTCGTATTGACAGTTGGTCCTTGGGACTCTTGTTCCGAATGCTCTTTGTTGTACTGACTCTCAAACCCCTCAACAGTTTTCAACCCACCAACTCGGCCCTCCGCTTGCTAGGCCGCTGCCACAATACTTCAACCCCCCCTGCCTGGTCCGCGGCCCCTTTTCGAACCTCCTGCCACCTAGCTTCTCGAATATTAAACCGGGTTGACTTTCAGTAGTTTGCGAGCTGCAAATTGTTCCCCTCCCCCCACCTCCGTACACATTGAACTACCAACCGTCGGTGTCTGGAGAGCCAACGCGGGATTATTTCCCCAAGTTTCTCGGGTCAGGGCGAGATCGTTTGCGCGGATGGGTTATGTTCTGCGCTGGAACTCAGACGGAGGTAATAGGGTGAAAGCAGCAAAGATTAGCGCTGGTAGAACCGATTGAACTTTGAAGCGACCTTTGTCGTCAGAGGACCACTTCCCTCTCCTTCAATGAAGAATGACCCCAGCCTCAGGTGCCGCTGTTAACCACCCTGGCGACACCCCTGTCGATCAGCCACTTTCTGCCTCGCAAAACTCGGACAATTCCCACCCATCGACTCTAAGGAATACTCTCGATCTATCCGGTAGCGGTAACCACCAGAAGGAGAATGTCAATCCGCTCCGGGGGCCAGGAGATAAGCTGGCTACGGACCATGGTCAGGATGCGGGACCGCCATTGCAGCAGGACTTAGATGATTTTGGGCTTCCGATTCGCTCACGATTTAACGTGGAACAGCAAACAATTGAGTCAAATGAGGACAATGATCAATTTCATGATGTTCCGGAGAGCGTTTCTGCGTCGGAGAATAAAGGGCAGCTGAGGGAGCAGAAGGACCAGGCAGAAATTGTGAAGGAAGCACCGTCTTGTCATGAAACACCTATGAAGGAGCAACAGGACGAAGTGGCGCCGCACTCTCCAACACCTGAGCCATCCCAACGTAACATGCCGGCCGGGAGCGAAGTAACCGTGTCGATAAAGAAAAACCACACACCCGATAGTCCATTACCAAACCCCGAAGATGGACCGCCCCCGGCCTATACGGAAAAGCCAGACCAAGTCAATAGCCGTGACTCTACTTTCTCGCATCCGCAGAAGCCCCACAAGAACCTACCAGTGTCAGAGTGGTCACATCAACGACTTTACGAATCCAAGCACGAAGAAAATGACGAAGAAGAGGAAAGCGATGATGGCGGTTGGAAGGAAATGCCTGCTCTCGGTGAGTTTGACTACTACGATGATTACGGTCGACTAGTCGCCCGTGGAGCCAAAGACGACGGCGACGAAGCGGTTTACAGTGGTCTGGGAGGCGCTGGAAAGGGATATACTCGGGTAAAACTTGGTGATGATGATGCTACATCTATCAATAGTCTGGATGAAGATACAAGCTACCTTTTCAAAGAATCTGCTGCCACTGCCGCAGGATACGAGGCGGAGGAGCTCCGTGATTCTTCGAGCCAGCTACAGGCCACGAAAGACCTCTTGACCGAAAGCCAAAGGATAGCGTATGTCGGAGTGACGCGCCTGACCATTTATCAAATGGTATCGGAGTTGGAGAAAATACTCGCGAGCAAATCTATTCGCAAACACAAGCAGAAAGCAATAGATTCAATGCGCGGTTGGGGCCAGGCAATGATGGCTAGGCTGTACGCTCATATGGACATTAACACGGCCGAGCAAGTGATGATTGAGCAGCTCGCTGAACATGGCGTTCAGCCTGGTGATCTTGTCCCTCCGCTCATGCATAATGCTCGGGTCAAAAATCCCTTGGCGGAAGAGAGCGACTTGCCTAAGAAATCTGTTTCCTCGTCGACCTTAAGCAACTGGAAGGATGGGAATCGAGACAGCTTATCTACTGAAGCCGATCGGTCCTCTGAGCCCATGTCTCCCCCGCCTTATAATGTCCACGAGGATGTTCCCGAAGTCCACACTCCATCTCAGCTACCTACTTCCTCTAAAATTGACATTGATATCCGATGGACCGTTCTCTGTGACCTCTTCCTTGTTCTCATTTCCGACGCAAACTACGACTCGCGATCGCGCGTCCTGTTGGAAAAAGTTGGAGCTTCCATGGAAGTTTCCTGGCTCCAGATTTGCAAATTTGAAAAACGTGTCCTCGATGCTTTAGAAATGCAAGAAGCCGCAGACAAGGAAACCTGGGACGAGTCAGAACATATGGAAAAACGCCGAAAGTCGGCACTTACACGAAAGTACATGATCATGGGCTTGGCCACTGTTGGCGGAGGTATAGTTATTGGCCTTTCTGCCGGACTCCTTGCTCCAGTTATTGGTGCTGGCCTGGCGGCAGGTTTTACTACAATTGGAGTTGGCGGAACCAGTGCCTTCTTAGGAGGAGCTGGCGGTACGGCTCTTATTGCGTCTGGTGCTACTATCACCGGTAGCACAATTGGCTTGAGGGCCTCTCATAGGCGAACTGGAGCCGTCCAGACCTTTGAGTATCGCCCTCTGCACAACAACAAAAGGTTCAATCTGATTGTTACTGTCTCTGGGTGGATGACCGGAAACGTTGATGACGTCCGGTTACCGTACAGTACCGTAGATCCAATCATGGGAGATTTATACTCTGTTTTGTGGGAGCCAGAGATGCTCAAGAGTATGGGAGAAACCATTAATATCCTGGCCACGGAGGTGAGTTTTTCCAGACTTTTCTAGCTATATTTCTGCAATTTTCTAACCAAGTATACCAGGCTTTGACCCAGGGATTACAGCAAGTACTTGGAAGTACCATTCTCACGGCTCTTATGGCATCCTTACAGCTGCCTATCGTTCTCACCAAACTTTCTTATCTTATTGATAACCCGTGGAACGTCTCGCTCGCACGCGCAACATCTGCTGGTCTTATTCTTGCCGATTCTTTGATAGATCGTAACCTAGGAAAGCGCCCCGTCACATTACTAGGCTACTCCCTAGGTTCAAGGGTTATATTCTCCTGTCTCAAGGAGCTTGCAGACAAAGGCGCTCACGGGCTCGTTCAGAACGTCTATCTCTTCGGGTCACCGGTGGTGGCTAATAAAGAAGAATACTCCAAGGCCCGTGGAGTGGTTTCTGGCCGGTTTGTGAACGGATACGCCTCCAATGACTGGATCTTGGGGTACTTGTTCCGTGCCACGAGCGGAGGTATTATGCGAGTGGCTGGACTGGCCCCAGTCGAAGGCATTCCGGGCCTTGAGAATATTGATGTCACTAAACTTGTGAATGGCCACATGGACTATCGTGCAGCAATACCTCGTCTGCTGAAGTCAGTTGGTTGGGAGGTGTTGAGTGAGGAATTTGCGGAAATCGAAGACCCGGACCCAGAGAATCATAACGAGCGACAGAGAGAGCTCATTCGTGAGATTGATCAAGCTCGTCGAGATGCAGAGGCCAAGCCCGATAAGAAACGATTCGGCCTATTCAAACGTGGAAAACTGGCCCAGAAGAAAGCTTGGGAGTCGTATGAAGTCGATAAATCCGAATCTCCGCATCGCGGCTCGACCGATGACAACGCCACAGGAAGTGTGCTGTTCGATATAGATGCCATCAGGGCTGAACTGGCCTCCGAAATGATTGAAGTCAAGCAGCTCGAATCTACCCTACCCCCTATGAAGCTGGATTTTAATCCGCCGTCAACCACATCACCTGATACTCCAGTTTCTGGGAACGATAAAAGCTGCAAGGCTAGTGAACGATCGCCGGCTCCACCTCAGTCACCTCCAGTAGCTTCTAAACCCGGTCGTAGTCCCGCGCGGGACACGTACTCACCTCCGCCCAGGGACGAAGAAGACGAAGAAGAAGAAGAAGAAGTGCAAATGACGTTTGATACTTCGTACCACGAACCGCCGCCGCGCTCGTTATCTTCCTTCGAACCGGCGACGCATACCCGCTACAACTCCTTTCCCTCTCGACCCGTGCTTCGGTCTTCAGTAACAACTCCCGATAACATAGGGACTAGCGCAGTAGGCGCAATGGGTGCGATGGATTTTGAAAGAAACGCCTGGGCTGATAATGGCGGGGAAGATGAAATCCAGATGACTTTTGAGTGATGACGAACCATGAGTATATATGGCGAAGGAGGCATAGACTAATTGTGTTCCTCGCATATTTATATGATGTCTTTTTTCCTCTATTCTACTGCACGGGTGTCTCTGATCAAGTAATCCAGTGCTTGTGTCATAATTTTTCTCATCTTCTTTTTGTCAATTTTGAACCCTTTTTTTTTTTTTTCTTATATCCTCACGCCAGTCAAGTTTAGAGCTGAGGTTAGGGATGTCGTTTTCATTCCCCATGCATACTTTATTCATTAGATCACCACACAGGCCCTTCGGCTAGAGAGAGAACTAAACACAGTCCTTGATTCGTGACTCCTTCCCCTCCTTAACTCCGTTGAGTATATATGTATTATAATGGAAGAACAATAACATGGATAAAAATCACAACTCATTTCTTACATAAGCTGGCAGCAACCCGCGTGATTTAGTCTGAAAAGGAACGCGTGTTAGTTGGTAGATCTTTGGTGTGTTACTCGAGAGCTTCTCCGCATTTCTTAACCATGAGACAAAGACATTTCTTCTTTCCTTCCATCTTCTCCAATTGAGCATAAGAACCACAGCTGCAGACAAAACCTACGATCACACTCGTCCCAACTGCAAACGGCAAAACAAACGCACCTCACCTCCCCCGCCATGGTCCTCTTGCGAACCAGAGCGGCTGCTGCTGCCGACACGGACCGGAAACTCAGTTCCAAAAAATCCGAGCCTGCAACTGATGACGAACCCGTCAGCTCGACCGAAGAGGAAATCTCCGACGTTGGCGGGTTAAGCGACGATGATCATCACGGCTTCGGAGACATCACACCACGGCGGGTTGGAGTTGGGTCGGGACCGACTCTCGAACAGAAGCTTGCTGCTGCTGCTGCTGCTGCTGCTGCTGCTTATTCTGATAATAATAATAATAACAACTATAATAATAATAATAACAATTCCGGTAACAATCATACACGGTCACCGAAGAGAGATCTCTTCAAGTCGCCTGGGTCGAGTCGGAAACGAGCTTCGAGCGAGGCGTTTCATCGAGCAACCCAAGAGGCGCAAGACAACAACAATAACGATAACGATGACGACAGTGATGATATCTTTGGTGGGATCAGGTCTTCGCAGCGGAGCATCAAGAAACGCAAGCCCATTGGTTATCAGTCCAAGAACGGACGCAAGTCGGATTCGTTTCAGAAGGGGTCTTCTTTTGTATATGGGTCGCCGTCGTCGAGTGCGCCGGTGCATTCGCAATCAGCTTCGTTTTCACCGTTACACCAGTTAGGCCAGTCTCAAACGGGGAATGATCACGTCGAAGAAACCGAGAGAAATGGATTTAGGGTGCCGATTGATACTGACCTGGAGATTTCGAGTTCGAGGGCCGTCCCAGAGGTTCTTGGCTTTAAGCAGCCGCCTGAGCTTCCGCCAGCTAGTATATCGAGCTCCTCGCTGTTTACCTCGTCCGCGTTTGATATTGAGATTCACGACTCTGATGATGACTCGCCTCTTAGTTCGGCCGTTAGTTGCGCCTCCCTTGAGGAGTTTGTGAATGAATGTTCGCGCAAGACCCAGTATCTCTGTCCGATGTGCAAGGAGCCGGTAGCGCCGGCACTATTGGTCAAGTTCCAAGCGCAGCCCAGACAGCGTATCCGAGATCAGCAGGTCTTCTGTGAGTCGCATAAGAAGTCCTCCGCAGAGAAAGAGTGGGAAGAGAAGGGGTATCCAACGATTGACTGGGAAAATTTCCATGAGCGAATCCGCACTCATTTCGACGACTTGGAGAAGAGGATTCTCGTTCCAGATAGTCCGTCCTATTACAGAAACGTCTTGGACACAGCACTGAAATCCGGCCAGGCCAAGAACTTCCGACTCACTCTATCTGGTGACGTGTTAGAAACAATATCATGCGGCTACTATGGCACTCGAGGGTCAGGGAAAATGCTACAAGCTATTACAGCGCGGTTCGCCCGGAAGCTTCGCCATCTAGCAGCCGACGACCATATCGTCAAGAAGGCCGGTGTAGTCGTTTACTCACAGGCCGTGCTTGTTCCAGAACTTGCAGTGAGACTTGTGAAGGAGGACATGGGCGTTGACGATGAATCCGCGCGGCAGATTCTACGAGAGAGTATCGAGATTGGAGAAAAGTTGAACTTTGCCCTGAGTGATAGCGTGCCGGTCACGGAAAAAGCTGATGAGCTGAGCTGAGTGCCCAGAATTAAACACTTTCTTGTACTTGCTTCCCTTATCTTCATCAGTCATCCATTTTAGCTTAGTGTAGGTAGCTTATTATTATTATCATTCCTATTATTATTTTGCGCTCGTTGTCGAAAGATACCTACTTGCCTGTATATAGAGAATGTTCGCTCCTGATACCAAAATGTTTTTCTTGCCACGCTACTCCACGATCATCTAATCATTTCTCTTTCTTTCTTTCTCTCTCTGTACAACCTGAATCTTAGACACCCATGCTACGGGGTATACCTTTATTACCCTGATACTTAAAGCTTATCAGTATCACCACCCGAGAATCGCGAATCCCGTATGCCGCCAACAGCAAGCATAACATCGAAACCAATGTCACCTTCCTAGTCGTAACGGCGACCAGTACTATGTTCTTCAAGTCTGCATGTGGAATGCATGCGATGCTAACATTGTCATGATAAAGTCCCTAGATTGAGACATCGAGTCTGTCTTGAATGCCAACGTGATAACATCTTTTATTGTCCCGAGGTTTCATGTACCAGCTTAGGTACAGTGATCTGTTTTGCATAGAGGAATCTATCTGGTCGGAAACACAAGACAACCCTGGTTTGCAAATGAGTTGAGTAGGGGCTTGCATATATAGGCTTGCCATTTATGGGCTTGTTGCTGAATATGCGATCGCTTTGGGGAACAGGGACCTATAGACAGACATTCTAGAGATTAGTTTAGTCTCGAGTAGAAGCTTGGAATGTGCTTACGTAGGTAGATGGATGCACTTTGTCTTTTCGACTTAGATTTGGGGTCTTCAGATCCTGTCGGGGAACAAGGTACTTACCTAGGTAGTTAGTAGTACTTCCCCTAGTAACTAGCAAGGATTTCAGCAGGTATCATATGGATGTATCCTGCTCTATGGCGCTTCCTAGCAGAGTTACTCCATGAAATCCATGCTAGTCTACAAAGCACAGGTCCTGCCTAGGTGGAGGGAATTTCGTGTTTCTTCCCAGTACATTTATTGATAATGAGGATGGCTCTGGCAGAGAATATTCACTCCCAAGTACTCTATATTCACCATCTACAAAAGATAACGGATCTACTCTGTAGGTGTGGTGTTGTATTTTAGTACAGTATAGAAACGAGTTGATTGGTATTAACGCGGCTAGAAAGAGGATCAATCCGGAGGCGGTGGCACCAAGATCCCCTTTTAATTGGTTGAGATGGTCGCTCCGGTGGATCCCATCCTGGGAAATCGAGGTAAATTATTGAATCAGGCGCGTAACACATTACTTACCATACTGTAGTCTAGTTACTAGCAGTAGCTTATTGTACAAACTCAAGTTTTTCCCCCCAGTCTTCTTTTACATTATTCTCTACTTCAACTACGCTATCTGTACTTCCTCCCCTTTCTCATCTCTTTACCTTCTCTCTCATCTTCTTCTTTCTTTCCCTCTCACTGCTTGTGTTCTTCTTGCATCCCATTCTTCGAGTCTTTCTCCCTTTTTCTCTCCTTCCCCCCCCCCCCTTCTTCTCCTCTTCCTGCATCCTCGTCTCAAACCTTCATACTTCTTCTACTTACTACTCCTACCTCTGCCCCAGAGATTTCCCGCCTTCTACTCTGGAACCACCGCTAGTACAGTCTTCAAAACATATCAATTTCTCTTTATTTCCTCATCAAGCTAGTCACGCCGATCTCAGATTGGCCTTTGCCTTCTATTTCCAGTGTGGTTGGGTGCATCCATTTGCTGCTTACCCGCTTGGCTCTCTTCTACTCAACTTGTTACTATCCCTGGCAACCACCTGCTTCTGCTGTAGAAATACCCTTTCAACTTCTTTTTCAACCATCTTTCTTTTGGGTCTTAAGGCACTCATTAAAGCCTGCTTATCCTCGTCAAGTTTGCCTTTTGGTCTTCTTCTATTCGACGACGGACTGGCTCTGTTGTTTTCAAGGTAAGGATGCCACGCTTGTTCCACTGTCTTCCTCGGTGTTCATGCTTGATTCTTGGTGAAAACGTTTATTCCCCCCACTCCCTTTTTTTTTTTTTTTTTTTAATACCGATCAATCAATCTTTTGTGTTATTTCCCTACTTTCACTTGTATTGTTCTCTCCTTCTCCTGTTGTCTGCTCCCTTACTCTGCCGATGGCCGCGAAAGGTCAACGGTGTCTTGGCACCGATGCGAACTTTTTCTCTCGAGTCTACTCAACTAACTGTATATCCAGGCTCCCGATTTTTGGGTTTCCGACCACGCGGTCAATTCAATTGGCACCTTGGTCTTCTTCTCTTACTCTTCTCCCTCTTATTTTTTTCTTTTCTTTTTTTTTTTTCATGATTTCTCTCACCATGGCTCCGGTTACCCAGAGTGAAGTCGACCTCGAAAGTCGTACTTCGGAAATGGCCAGCCAGGACTCTCCGTTACGCCGACAATTCTCCGAACCCATTCAGGCACACTCTACTTCTACCCAGGCATCCCCATCTCCTTCCCCTATCGCTCACAAATCTAAATGTGCTTGGTGTGGAATGTATTTTGAATCATCAGGTGATGAATCCATCTCTAGCAACGAGGCTCTTAAAAAGCATATCGCAACTGTTCATCCTCATATTGCTAAATTTTCCATGTATGACGACCCTGGCGATGATGATGACGATGATGATGATGATGAGCATTTTGAAACCGAAGATATGGCTTCTCCCAACGAGCATGGCTCGCGGCATACTGTCGAGCTTGAAGGTGACGACAACATCGTTGAAGGCGCTGAAGCCACTGAGCTGTACGACGAAAATGAAAAAGGTGTTGCCGACCTTAATGGGGAAGAACCTGAAGCTGAAGCGGAGGTAGAAGTCCCCGAAGGCGAGTCTGATCGGGCCCTTTCCAATCAACTACATGAATTCTCTCGCGAGCAAGATTCTGTTTCTTTGGAAAAACGTCTCCACAATTTCTGGAACATCCACAACGTTCGCAATTTTTCCGACGATTACGATGCTAAGACTACTAGCATCGGCAAAACATGGACAGCTGTCTTTCATGAATCCAAGCGTCTTGGCAAGAAACGGGACGCGCCTGAACTCAGTGGACGACCTGACCCGTACAAGAAGCCAAAGGTTGGACGGGGCGAGTTTCTTGAAATTACCCCTCTTGAAGACTTCCTGTCTCAGCTCCGTGACCCGGAATTGCGTTCTATCGACGAGCTGTACGCGATCACAGAGAACGTTTCCTATACTTTGAAAGCATGGCAAGACGAGTACCTGGCGATTGACAAGCTCCAGAAACTTGCCACCAGACATCAGGCTAAAGCAACAAGTGACCCGAGGAAATTCGAACGACCACAGGTCTTTGAAGATAAGAAGGAAGCTATGCTCTACGGCTACAAGCATGACCCCAAGGAAGATAAGGTTGGCAATCAAAACCCATTTGTGCAGGGAGGTTTCAAACCAACCCCTGCTCAATTCCGAAAGATGACCGCAAAGGCTGGCCCGAACAACCCCAACCCCGATGGATGGCCTACTATTTTGAAATTTAATGTCGAGCATGTACCAAAGTTTCAAAATCCTCCACGTGAAGAATTCGTTGGAAAGGCGACCCGCAAACGGAAGGCTGCAGAGATGGAAGCGGCCAACAAAGCTAATGAGACCGAGGAAGTTGCTGAGAAAACACCAACGCCGGCTGAACCTGACCAAGATTATATCAACGCCGTAAAGCGCCGTACTCGAACCCGTCGCCAAACCACTGAAGTCGAGCTGGTCGAGCCCGGACCAAAAGGGTCTGTCCGTGGTCGTGGTGGTCGTGCACGTGGAAGAGGGGGTGCTCGCGCAGGCTCTCGTGCAGCTTCCGAAGCACCACTGACTCCCGTTCCTGCCACTACTGTAGCACCGTCTCGCTCTGCCTCCGCCCGACAGGCAACGGATGTTTCACAAACACACACTGGAACCTCCCAGTTGGTGCCAATTGAGCCTGCCCCTAGTGGAAGTGCAGAAGCTGTGTCTACCGCCGACCGCCAGGAAGTAGGTGCACAGGACGAATCCTTTGATGCAGCGGAACTCGCTCGACGTCAGAAGATCGCCAATTCGAAGAATCCCAAACGTACCGAAGCTATGCTCAACCACTGGGCCCGATTCAACCGGGAGGGTCGTGTCCGCAACCCAAAACGCTCCAAGGCCCAAATCGAGGCCGACCGAGTGGCAGAGGCAGCCAGAAAGGCGGCAGAGCCTCCAAAGATTATTGGAAAGAAGAAAAAGTCAACCAGCCCTGTTATTATTGGGCCCCCGCGACCCGACCCCGGTCTTGCCCTTGCTCCTGCTCCTCCAGCTATGACTGTCCCGACTCCTTTAGCACCTGGCCCTCATACCCAACCCCCGCAGCTGGCACCAATTGCTGCCGCTCGTGGTCCATTGGCTCCATACCCTCCCCCTATGGATCCCCGGGCGGTGGTCTCATTCCCTCCTCCCCGTGGACCTCTTCAGCCGCCACCCCCTCAACCCTATCATACCCCGTATCCCGACTACTATATCCCTTATGGGGCGGCGGCTGGATTGCCTCCTCATCCTCCTCCTCCAGGCCACCCGCGCCCTGCATGAGCCAGCTCTAGTTTCCCTTCTAATTTCCGTGTCTAATACTAATTCTAATGTTTTCTTTTGGTGATGAAAGGAGGGAAAAGTGTGTATACCTAGTGTGTTTTTTTGTCAATATGTACCAGCCCTATGAAAGAAAAAAAAGGCATGGCTCCTATAAACATTGTTTTGCTTTATCTCTTTTTTTTAAGCGTGTTTGCCAGCGAGAGGCGCATGGGGGGGTTTTATTTTTGTTTTGGTTTTGTACATTTATGGGCAGTTTGTTGCGAATTGGTTGGATGGCATGTGGAATTGTACTATACATTTATCGGAGAGTGGCATTCTTTCTCGAGTCATTGGTCTTGAATTGAAAATATTGTGTCTAAATGCCTTCCTTTGAATAACAAGGTAGCGAAGTACCTGAAGTATTAACTAGCATACTGTTGTTGGGAAAATGGTGTATTTCTTAGATGTAGAATTCCATAGCCGGGATCTAACTAACTAATAGTTGAACTAGTGAACTACTCCTACCTAGGTAGTTAAATCATTGCCACATGACTAATACACAGAATTTCCGAACGAGGACTAGTGGCTCAACCAACTCGGAAGTTCACGTGATAGAAGAGTTGGCGCGGCGCATCTCGACGTTGGCGAACTGCGCTCACCAACTCCTGCATCTCAACATTCACTCCTTTCTATCAGAATTACCCTCGCGTCTTACAAGATTCACTTGAAAATGGGAAAGAAGAGACGTAGCCCCACCTTAGAGGAGCTTTTGGCTCGCCCGTGGTGCTATTACTGCGAACGCGATTTCGATGATCTTAAAATCCTCATTTCACATCAGAAAGCCAAGCATTTCAAATGCGAACGGTGCGGCAGGAAGCTCAATACGGCGGGAGGTGAGTGAATGTCACTTACCTCGATGTCCAAAAATTGTTCTAAATATGATAGGCTTGTCGGTGCATATGAGTCAGGTACACAAGGAACAGCTGACAGCCGTCGATAATGCCCTCTCTAATCGATCCAGCCTTGACGTCGAGATCTTCGGCATGGAAGGTGTCCCGGAGGACGTTATCCAAGCACACAACCAGCGAGTCGCTACCCAATTCCAGCAAGCGGAAGCAGAGCGACAGGCCATAACAGGAAACCCCCCTTCAGGAACGTCGGTTTCTGGCGGCCAGCCCGCGAAGAAACCCAAGCTCGAGAGCATATCAGACTTGAAGAAGCGATTGGCGGAACATAAAGCCAAGAAGGCAGAGACCTTAGCTGGAGGAAGCAGCGGTGAAGTGACGCCTGTTGGAGCGGGACAGACACCTAGTGTGGGTGGTGGATTTGTGAGTGCCTCCCCCTCCCCTTTTGAGTTGGACTGATTATGCTGACGCTGATTCTTAGGCTCCATCTCCCACGACCGCCGCCGCTCCTGCGCTTACGTATCCTCCACCATATGCCGGGGCTGGTTCCCCATACCAACAAACAGCAAGCCCCGTTTACCCGACCTTCTCGCCAGGACAACCTCAATATCCTCCCTCTTCGCAGTTTTCTACACCCACCGGGTATTCCCCTCAGCCAGGACAACCCGCCCCTCCCTACGGAAACACGCCTCCTCCTTTGCCATCTCAACAACCTCAGATCAGTCAATCAACAGCATTCCCCCCACGGCCGGGCAGCCTACCAGCTGCACCGAGTCTCCCACAACGACCCGCCATCGCGGCGCCGCAAGTCAACGCATATCAGATGCAGCAGATGCACATGGGCCATCCTATTCCAGGTGCTCCCGGGGTTTCTAATGGTGAAAAGACCGAGCCCACAGCGTTTTCTTCCTCCGTCGATGATCTCATCTCCGGAGCAGCCAGAGAAGCTGACAAAGCAGCGGCCAGCGCACCCAAGGCGGATGGCGCGGAAGAAAAGGCCACCAAGAAAGATAAGTCCAAGCAGTCAAGGTTGGTATATTCAGATAACGAGACCAGCCCGGAGGAAAAGATGGCCGGGTTGCCAAGGTACGCGTTCGTTTCGCATCGTCCCGGGGAACCGGTTCTTCAAGAGATTCCTCCCGCTGCAGCTGTGGGCGCCGTCGTCGACCCTGCCCAATCATGACCAACTTCGAGTATCCTAAAGCGTTACGCGATAGCAAATGCAATGAAAGCGGGGAAATCAAGACGGGAACACAGATTCCAGCTAAGTCCGATACATGTTGAGATTCTAGATATTCGTCGTGACCTTCTTTCTTTTTTTTTCTGCTTCTTTCCTTGAGGTTATTTGTACTATTCCTGCCCTGATCCTGTGTCAGTAGTTGCCAGTGCAGCCAGCCGCTGAGACAGGCCTTACTTCGTGGATGTCGACTGGATATCGAATCCGAGCTTCGAATCCTGCGTGCGTGCGTCAAGTCTTGGTGAGTTGCCGTCACCCTGACAGAAGGAACTGATAGTTACATGGTTGGAATGGCATGGCATGGTCGGAGTAGAGCAGGTCGCAATCCGTTCGCTGTCTCTGCATGCGCTGACACCCACGAGTTGAGTTGGTACCTACCTTACTTCAGGATGTTTACTGTAAGTTCAAGTCTAGCCAAGGTAGGCACACCTAATACAGACCAAAAAAAAAAAAAAAATAAATAGATTCATCATCGTTGTCACAAAAGTAATATTATAGCTGTGCACCTACTACTACCTTCCGTAGTCCTATTAACCACTCACTGCACATACTCCACTCGCTCCACATTCATTCAAGATATACACGCGAAAATCCCTACCTAGTGGATGTAGTAGGTATCGGTATCCCATTCCAAGCCCAAGCAGCCTAGCCTAGACCCCGATTCCAAACTCCCCAACAACAAACTCAACCGCTCTTCCCATAAACCGCACCCCCAAAAGCCCAAATGCCATAAAGCGCCATAACGCTCAGCCCCACGGGCACCGGCTTCCTCGACCTGATTGCCCGGGGGACCGAACTCCCACCGAGAACCAGCGACGCCAGGAGTCCGATTTCCGCGCCGTAGGGCTGTCCGCTCTTCAATCGGAGAAAGCTCACTAGGTACAGTGCGCCGATGGAGACGCCGGCCGCGATCGAGGGGATGGAGCCCGTGCGGGCGTAGCCGATTATGCCGCCGAGGGAGGTGAGGAGGGCGAGGGTGAGTGCGGAGGTTGTGGGCTGGGCCGGGAAGGGGGGGGGGGGTTTGAATGTAAGTGAAAGGGGGGTAATTGGGTTGGTTTAATTTACTTACCATTTTGGGATGAAGGTTTTGGTTTGTTAAGAGAGGTTGTTTTGATAGTTAGAGACGAGGAGGAGGTGATGATGATGCTGACCGAGCTTACTATAAAGGTGTCGGTCGGTCGGACCCCGGAAGTCCAGAGAAACCAACCCGAGCACCGAGTTTCAGAGTAGCGATGGTTTCCCCGGTACTCCATCCTCCATCCTCCATACTCCATACTCCTTACGTGAATTGGTATATGTTAATTGATTGATTTAATGTTTATAGCTTGGTTTTGGGATGACTTATGGTATGTACATAGGACATACATACACAGTAGTTAGTTAGTTAGTTAACTATGACTGCAAGTGAATGATTTGTAATGTCCTAGTTAACTCTTTACACCCTTATTCTGTTTCAATACACCGCCTGCTATTTTCGGCAATCCCTGATTACCAATCTCAGGTGATTGCCCGCGTGACTTAGCCGCCAGCGTATTAGCCGCTAGCGTACGCCGTACAGCAAGGACTAGCGCAGGCACAACACAATCAGCTTTTCAGCAGTCCTCATAGGCTGGACCAATTACTGGAACTATTTGACAGTATCGTATCTCCATCAGCGTCTCAAATATGGACATCATCAAAATTTGCCTCGGGTTCTCAGACAACCGGGGGGTTGCTCTAAATGTTTGCTTCCTCGTTTCGCTCATCGTACTGGTCCGATTGCTGACAGGTTCAAGACAGTTTGACGGGAGCCCAGCTCAGTGAACTGAGTAAATGTGAATCTTCAAGGTTGATATTGAGGCGGCACAACAAGTCGCTGGTGAAGCTGGCAAAGATGAAATCCTGAGTATATTTGACCTTGAAGAGGCTGCGATACCTCTTCGTCTCAAAAGATGGCACTTCATCCCATCCCGTCCCCGATGATATATTGAAAATTTCAGAGCCTTAGAAGATGCTGGATACGACTGGCACTGCAGATTGCGAGCAGAGTTTGTCATGATCCCGGCATTATCTCAGGCACGACTTAATGCAAATGCCCCTTTACGGTCATCCACCAGAGGCTCTCGCAAGAGAAAGAGACGTGATACTAATACTGAGCCCCTCGACAAGCTCTGAAAATGTTTCCCGAGGATGATTTGCGAGCTGAGATCAATCGCCCAGTCTCTGGTGTTCCCTATGTGTTCACTGGTCACGCTGACTGGGCAGCGGGCACTCTGGCCGTGGGGTTTCAGACTCTGGTTTGATGTGTATCGAGGCCAAGAAGAAAGAAATATTTGGGAATGCTGAGCTGCAGTTAACTGCGTATTTGGGCAATCTGCTATCATGAAAGGAAAAGGCGAACCAATCTTATGATACTGTAGATAAGAAGGATCTTGAGATTGGGTATAATTTTATAGTCTATCAAGTAAACTATAATTAATTTGTCTTTAATCACAAGCACACCAGTCAAAGGATCACGCACTGAAAAGGAGGAGGAGATCAAAGACTTAATACACAAGACAAAATTTGGGAAATATTTCAACCACCTATATACTACTCAGACAGCAAAGAAGAAGAAGAAAAAGAACAGCAAGATTTAAATTTTGATACCTTTACATTACGCGAACAAGGCATACTAAAGTAAACTTGATCTTTTTTTTTTTTTTTCTCGCTTCACAGACCTGCATCATCTACAGTGATTAAGATATTACCAGATTAGGGACCCATAAAAAAAACATATATACTAATAAAGGACATGCCTGAAAATCATTAAAATAATGCCCATTTCTTCATTTAAAAGTCAGTCTTCGGAGTTTTAACATCTACAAAAGGAATATAGAGCAGCCTGCGCTGCGGCCTGTAGCCTTCTATATAAGAATATATATAGTGTATAGTAAGATATAAAACAGGCTCTGCATGTTATCCCAGTTTCAGTGCTGACAATGATTACCCCCAACTCCCAAGCTACTCTAAAGAATATAATACTAGATGAAACCATTATTTGGCCCTGAGGTCCGTGAGACAACCAACCACCGTAAGGAGGAGGAAAATCAAAGGAAGAACAACCGTATAATAGATGGAATACATGTTAGGATTGCTTACATACCGTGGAAGCCTCCTGGAGTTACCTACGTAGCATTGTCAATCCCAGCGAAGTTAGTAAGATGAGAGAGAGCCTAGAGTACGTATGCTTGGAGCTATTTATTGAGCTAGTTAGGAAAATCCAATGCGATGAGTTTTATGCGGTGATAAGCTATATAATAATATACAGAGTTGGCATCTCGTTTGTGTCGGAGACCGAAGCATGCAATCCGGAGATTAATCCTTAGACTAATCCTTGGAGGTTTAGACTAACTACTACTCTGTACATTCTCAAATACTTGGAAATGGGTGGTTCAAAGTTAATAAAGTAATATGCTTGATTTTTTCCATTCCTGTGATATAAAGCAGATCTTCTGTAAACAATCTATTTTGATGCAATTCATTATAGTACCGTCCATGCAGATATCATCAACGTATCTTGATTCGGATATTCATTCTGTTGTATTTTGTTTCGTTCATCAAGTTTTATAGTGTTGTTGAGTTTTGAATTTTGTGAGTTTGTAAGTTTTGGTCCCAAATCATTGATTGTTGCTTCGCGAGGATCAACTAGTTCGTCGCGCGGGCGTCAACAGGTTGAGGTTGGGATTCTGCTCCTAAAATCGCCTCTGGTTCAGTCTCAGTTTCAGGCTCCGGCTCATTGCCTTGAAATCCGTCCGTTTCCTCGATCCACATGACAGGAATAGCACTGAGTGCACTGATAACAGCGAGAAACCACCACGGGATGATCATATATCCCATTCGCACCCCAATCGAGAACACCTGTCCCATCATGGCGGGTCCGGAGGCACGGCCGATTGCGCTCACGCTAGTGCCGATGCCGTTCAAAGTACCAAGAATGCTCATGCTACGGGCGGAGTTGGTGAGGAGAATAGTGGTGCAGGGGAATCCGAAGATATTGGCTGTGAGTTTGGAGAGTATCAGACAGAAGATCGCGACTTCGCGCATCGATTCTGGCACAAGCGCGATATATGGGGTGAGCAGGTATATAATTGGGGAGATGGAGAACACGACTTTCAGGCAGGTAAGTACGCCGAAGCGTTTGACTGCGGCAGGGAAGACAAGGAATTGGACGACCATGCCGATAATCCCGGTTAGTGTGTAGAAGACGCCGATTTCCTGTGAATCTATAAAAGGTGAGGAGTAGAACAGAAAGAAGAATAGGGGGTTCTTACCGATCCCAAACCCGCCCGCGAATTTGAAGGGCAGACGCACATCCGGGTTGTCCTCCAAGCGTTGAGGCGGCGTATGAAGAAACACAGGCAAGAGAGAGTCAAAGGCCATGGTGTGAAGAGACATCAAGGTATAAACGGTCAGAATCAAGACAGATTGTGGCGAGAGGACCTCTCCCCAACTATGTTTTCTCGCTTTTACTTGAACCGTTGATGATTTGACGGACTGCCTCTGCTCACCGAGTAAAGGTGTGTTCTCGTCATCATGGCACACTTTCGACCGGCGTCCACTGCAAGGACGGGCCAAGATCTTTCCTAGCACCAAACCAGGATCACGGTGACCTTTTTTCGCAGCGAGGGTTTCCTAAATTTGTTAATAACACTTCCTCTTCTCACAGAAACACACTCACATGAAGGAACAAGAATCCCGTGGTAATACCGACGATGAAGAAACACGCAGCCACCATATTCGGCAAGATAAAGGGATTATTCTTGAAGAAACTCGAGTGCCCAAAAAACTCCGGATGCTTGTCCGCCGGACGCGCCAGTGCTCCTCCAAACGCAGGCCCAAAAATACTACCAATAGTCCAGACTAGCGGCATGATACTAAACGCTCGAGGCTGTAGGTCCCTATCCTGGACCATTTCAGCTACCATGGTCCGGATGATGCCGACGTTTCCGTTCATAAGACCTATCATGCCGCGCGAGACCACCAGCATCGGTAACGATTTTGCCATGCCAAACACCAGCGAGAAGATCATAGTAAAAGTCAACCCCATCAGGATAATGGGCTTTCGACCATAGGTATCCGATGCTGTACCCCACGAAACGGCCATTGTAGCCTGGGAAAAGGAGGAGACAGCCGTCGTGATTCCAACCCATTTCGGGACATCGGATTTATGCACACCCAAACTTTCCATCATTTCAGGCTGCGCTTGTTAGCAGGAATTTAAATGTAAAAAAAGGCTTGGTAGGACATACAAGATACGGCAAAAAAGACGTCAAGGCGACTGTTAGATCCAGATATCAGTATTGGTATATCCTGGCAGCAGAAGAACACCCGGAAGGGTATATACTACATGATGAAGCGAGGAAATTCCCCGACTCACATACCAGGTTCTGCAAAACGACATATTGCTGCGTACATGCAAAGTTAGCTGCAAGTCTGATTCCGTGCGAAAACAGATACGTCCACTTACAAAGGATAAGCAGCTGCCGGACTGGCAGCCTTGGTTTTTGCGTATGCATGGCAAACACGGACTCAAGGGATTTCTGAGTGCCAAACGGTCTGGCAGTCGCGCTGGTCGAAGCAGACGAGACGCGAGAACGGGAAACCCGAGGAAAGAAAGGAGGGGGTGTTGGGAAAGTTGAAGGGAAAGAGAAAACCCCCAGCGTCAAATGAAGGAGGAAAATGAAAATTCAAAGCAGGTCGAAGCGCAGGCCTAAATCACGCTCATCGTCGCTTTCGCCGTGCAGTCAAGTGATCTTCCCCTCCTTCTCTTTCCTATGGATGACTCTTTTTTTTTTTTTTCTTTTTCCCTTCTGTCCTCGGTCCTTTACCTCTCTCGGAAATCCCACAGAGCAATATTGTTTTATTTGACTAGGGCCATCCTTTTATATTAACACCGCTGTTTTCTGCGTTCTTCACAACCCACGGCTTTCAGCCGCGGAAGTCTCCAAGTGGAGTCGCGACCTATGAGTGATAAGCAATGCCCCAGCAACCACATCTGGTCTCCAGGTTCTTTTGGAGTAGAATTAACTAACTTCTGTTTCTAGAGGGTTTCTTTATCATTTGTTAAGCTAGACGCGAGACTTGCAACCAGCCAATAACATGTGCTGCGACAATCTACACTCCGGGTTCCCCCGCGCTTAATAGCCAAGTCGGATACACAACATCTTGGACAACCCAGATGTCGCTTCTAGATGAAGCTGGAGATGCTCGAAGGGGAAATAACAAAAAGTCCACCACTGAAAATAAGTCTATAGTTCCGCGTGCGTGAAACCTTGCCTGGGTCTCTACCATGGCTGGGGCCCAGTCGGATGTGGCGGGGAAAGTATGTAAGTAATTTTAGTCTGTAAGGGAGGAAGAGGCATGATATTAACGAATCATGTTCGAGTCGGCCAGGCTGTGTCTAAGATACATGCAGGGTGCTTTGACAACTAGTAGATACGAGCCTACGAGGTGTATATGCACGGGACAAGACGTGCTACCCTGGGACCTGAAGAGATGACGACGTCGATAGCTACTGAGTTTTTTGCGGCAATTTCTAGCCGATCACGTACGGAGTAGTTGGCTCGAAAAAAATCTTCATTCCTAATTTTAAACGAGATCTTAATTATGAGTGGCTGGCCCTAGCAATCTATCCCAGGTAGTACCTGAGACTCCGGTCCGTCTGCGGCGTCCGCCAATGGAGTCAGGTTTCCCGATGGAGGTAGGCAACCACGAAGATACAAAGAAGGAAACAGGCAAATAAAAGGAGAGATATCCATTATAATAGTGGTATATATGCAATTAACCAGAGGCTCTGGAGATGGGATTGCTTGCACTAATAATTACGGGGTATAGTCCATCACATCGATCATGAGATTCTCCGTATATACCTTGTGCATCCATCCTTGCTACATTGTGTATTTCCGCTTGCCTACAGCCAGTGCCAATCCCGAGGGTCTGAGCTTTGACAATAATTACTGGAGTAATTTGGTCGCTGCTTCAACACGCTCAACAATGATAGAGAGCCATTTCTAAGACAGTAGGTTAATATAAGTATGCTAAAAACAAACGACTTAAACCTGCGGGAAAGATTTGTGAGAATGAAGAAAGCGACTCACCTCAGCACTGCTCAGATTTCCAGCGTCCAGACTCTCCACGAGTCCCGGGTAAGTTGCCCCCGAATAGCCAGTCCAAATACCGGGCGCAAAGACCACATGTTTGTACCAGTTGCGTCCGTCCAAGCCCGGTGCATACAGGAACTGGCGTTCAATATTCTTATACTTGATATTGACGGCGTGGATCAAAAAATACAGCCTCACTTTCTTCCACCATAGATACCAAGGAACATCTTCCTCCAATTGAGATGTGAGGTCCGCCGCGTAAGCGTCGAACTCGACTGCAGTTTTCTGGAACTCTTTGATTGTTTCGTACAGAGGCCCAAAGTCAAAAGACTCGCCCCCCGGCAAGTTATCCCCAGAAGGCTTAATCCGGTCCACATAAGCTTCCAGTCCAAAGCCGTAGTCGGTAGCGTTGAAAAATAGAACTGGGGTTTCCACCAGCTTGGCCGCAGCCAGAGCCCAAATCTTGGTGCAAGCTTCGTGATACAGCCATCCCGGATCACCAAACTTCTCCATCCAGTCAAAGCTATCGTAGTTAGAGTGGTACTGATACACTGGGTCTTCACGGCCACGGCTAAAGCCAAGATCGTAACTAGGAATCCCGGCAAAGTCCTGGAACGCAGTAAAATCGCTGCCGCTCCCCATTGTTCCAATTTGGCCATCCCAGACATCGCGGACTGTCTGCCCTTTGATGGTCTGGTTTGGCGACTGAACGAGACTAGTCACCTCATAGATAAGCTTATTGAGGAGTGGACTAGCAGTGGGACCAAGCCATGTTCCCGCAGCGGCAACGTCGACGTTCAAGTAGGCAACGTTTGACTTCGAAAGCCAGGGAAGGTTGTCTTCTACCCATTCAGTAGAGCCTAGTAACCCATACTCCTCTCCATCCCAGCTTGCAAACACAATGGTGCGGAGCGGTTTCCAGCCAGATTTAAGTGCCTCGCCAAAGCTGCGAACAACCTCATTGAGAACAGCGGAGCCACTATTGGGATCAGCAGCACCGCCAGCAACCCAGGCGTCCCGATGATTGCCCAAGATGATCACGTCTGGGAGTGAGCCAGGGATGACTCCGATAACATTCCAGAGCGGTGTTGTAACATATTCTTGTTCGTTAAAGAGGTTGATCACAACGTCATCTGGGGTCGGTCCGATGTTATATTCAACTCCTTTGTAGGCAAGGCCACCGCCTTGCCACCATTCATTGAAGTCGGACGCCTTTGGGCCATGACCGTTCAGAGCTTTGAGGAACGGCAGCACATCCTTGTACGAAACGGGAATAGACGGGATCGATGGAATAGAGTTATGAGGGTCTTGTCGTTCGCAACCCGGTTTGGATGGGTATCCGGGAGTGGTAGGATCACCAGGAGCAATGCCTACGATCACACAAAGTTAACAACCACATTAAAGAGGAGGCTTCAGGGGAGCTTACTCAGAAATTGGGCACTGCCACGCTGAACTGCACTAGGGTTCCTTGCAGGACCGTCTGGATATGGCTTGTAACCATTCTCTTCTGTGAACTCTCCATCCATCTGCGGATCATCATACAGGATGACCCCGACCATTCCAAGCTCCTGCGCCCGTTTTACCTTCAAGCCACGGAAGATACGACCATACTTACAGATGGCGATTTTACCCGCAAGACTGACATTAGCATTAACCAGGTCCTCGAAATCGGCGTAGGTGCCGAAGTTAGCAAAGACAAATGGAGCCGTGACGTTCCCATTAGCAGAGTAGCCGTGGAACGTAGGCACGCGATCGGCCAGACCACTTGTTCTATCCTCCTCCAGAACGTCTTCTTCGAGTGATGCTTCATAGGCAACCTCACTTCCCTTCAGCAAGGCCAACCGATGATCGAGGGGGTAATTGAGGTAAATGTCGTAGGCAACAATACTAGTGTCAGCGACACCGAATTCCTCCCAGCGCTCCTTCGTCCACAGTGCCTGGCTTAGATTCTTGCCCGCAAGGTGAGGCCCAGAAGTGTAGTACTTGCTCCATTCACGTGCGCGGGCTGCGGATGGGGTTCCTAGGAGGAGGGTTTGTAGTTCGTCATAATCGAGGCCGTTGCCGCTTGGCCAGGATTTAGGGAAGGGGTGAGCTCCAGGGAGGTACGACCAGATCGATCCACCCTCGCGTGGAAGAATAGTGGATGGTATAAGGAAGAGAACGAGGACGATTATGAGGAGCAGGGCAAGTGAGGAGCTACAAAATCGGCGTAACTTGTGATGCGGGTACCTATACCGCTGGGGAGCTACCGGCACGACGAGAAGTGGGGTTGTCTCGGAGGGAGGCATGGTGGACTTCTCCCTCATTTCAGGGTACATAATACCAGAAATAAGCCAGCTGTGTTCCTGCACAGCGTCAGATCATTAGGGTAGGATAAGTCCAAGAGAAGAGGAGGGTTGTGAGAGAAACAAGCAAATGCCTATTAATAATGTGGCGGGAGCTACTGCTAACTAATGTTAAGGCATGTTAAGGCTTCGGGTACGGGAGTAAATGGCGGCCTATCTTATCAGCACCACGGAACTATTATACATAGACCAACTACCTACCTGTATACAGAAGTAACTTGACCGACAACAGTTAATGCTCCGGCTGTGAGTCTACAGAGTACGGAGTACTCCGTATATGGTTACAATTGGCTGCCTTTTTAAGGTGTAATATTCGCATCTTCCTTGCGAGATCTGATATTGATATCCAAATCAATGATTCTTCTCCCCAACATCCAACGCAACCAAAAACCGACTCACACAATTATAAGCTGCTGCAGTCGTCGTAATCTCAACAACCTCTCGATCCTTAAACTGATCCTTGACCGCTTGAAATACCTCATCTGGCACAGTCACAGTCTTCGTAATAGCATCCGTATACCTCAAAACCGCCCCTTCGGTAGGACTTAGTACTCCCTCCTTCACTTTCTCACTAATATCTGCTTCAGCGTTGCGGACTACCTGCAATGCTGTATCACTGAATCCACCCTCAACCAGCAAAGGTGCGTGTTGCTCCCATTCGAAAAGGGCGCCGTTAAGCACCGCTACACGACAAATGATCAGTTCTCGAATTACAGTGGTGAGACTGGTTTTAGTGCGTATTGCACCAATAAATGAATTCCAGCCATCTGTAACGGGGAAAGAGTGCATAAGGGCTCGATCCAGTGGGAGAAGTCCATGGGGGGCGCGTCGTGCTTGTACTCGAGCTAGGATTTCAGCCTCCTCGGGTGTACCGGTGGGAGGCGGGTCGGCGGTGTATGGGAGACGCATTTTTAATGTTGATATTGACTTTGGGTGAATGTATGTGATGAACTTGCTGGTTATATTCGGTATTGTAAAGCAGAACTGACCCTCCCGAGAGAATCTAATTGAGTAAACATAAGCCATGGGTCTGTAGAGCTCTGTGAGGTTTGGGGCTTACTTCAATAGCAGTCACAGATTTCGATAGCTATGACAATGCTACTAGTAGTATATCTTGATGATTGTCGTGGAGTGCTGGAGTTGAAGACAGTTCGAGATCAGTGTGGGGAAGATATATTATTTACATATTCTACCAACACCAACAACCCCACGGTGGCGGAATGTGGTCCGCAAACACTCCCGCAGTCGAGTACTTTCCTCTACTTCGAAGGATAACAACGAGGCTCAATTTAGCACGGAAAACTTTTATTAGGTCTATCTCTTTATTTACTTAACACATGAGTAGTAATATAATCTGGAGTTAGTCGTCATAAAGCTAATTTTGGAGTTCCGCTGTTCCGGAGGATTTGGCTCATACTTAGCAAAAATCGCAAGTTAATCTGGTAAACCAATGTCTACAATTAACAAGTACTATTTATTCCATTAATGGTACCTATCCGGTAAAAGATCTATACTTTTGTACATCCTCCGTACACCTTCATACTTATATATAATTGTGCGCTAAAGCTTCTTGGCGCAGGTCATAGGTACTGTCCCCACCGCCGAAACACCAGAAGCTCCAAGAAGTACCTAAACAACGACGACTCTCCTCCACTCCTTCCAGTTCCATCCTCTATTCCCTCCCCCTCTACATACTCAAGAGGTGTCACAATGCGTCCCAAGACCTCGAAACCCACTAGCGATGAGCTTCTCGCTCAATTTGACAACCTCGGCGTCGAGTCACCCGCAGACCAGCCTACCAAGCCGGCAGCCGCAGCCACTTCCCAGACAGATGAGGATATCCTAGCTGAGCTGGGAAATCTCGCCTCCCAGCGCCCAAGCAGTGGGCCTGGAACTCCTCGTGTGTCGATTACAGAGACTAGGTCGCCGACGAAGTCGCCTAAGCCAGGTCGGTCTAGTGAGGAGAAGCCCGCACCGCGGAAGTCGGGAGAAAGTGTTCGGTCGGCTCGTGCAGGGAATAAAGCGGCGGAGGTGCAGACTGCTGAGGAGGAGAAGCCCACTGCCAGTAGCGGTGGATGGTGGGGAGGTATCTTTGCAACTGCCAGTGCGACTGCTAGTGCAGCAATAAAGCAGGCCGAAGCCGCAGTGAAAGAAATCCAGCATAACGAAGAAGCTCAGAAGTGGGCCCAGCAAATGAAAGGGAATGTTGGGGCTCTGAGGGAACTAGGTACATTCCCTGTCCTCTTTAGAAGTAAAGCAAATCTCTTAGTATATACTAACTACGGCTTTTTAGGTGGCGAGCTTCAAAAGATGGCCATCCCTACATTTACGTCTCTTATTCACACCATCGCACCCCCAATTTCATCTCACGAACGACTCCAAATCCACGTTACACACGACCTATCTGGCTACCCGAGCGTGGATCCTCTCGTCTACGCCGTCTTCTCGCGCGTTATGTCCCAAGTCGAAGGCGGCGATCTCCTCGTCATCCAGCGCGGCCAGGAATCCGCGCCCAAACGTGGGCACGACAACAGCGCCTCAACTGCCGGCTGGCACGACGGACCCTGGTGGCGCACAGTCACCCCTGGTAACCCGCGCTGTGTTTCAGCCGTGCCCGGCCTCGTGGAGGCAACTAAGCTTTGTCGTGCCAGCGCGGAGGCCTACGCCGCCGAGTACTTCGCCTCGAAAGGTGGGGTGGAAGAAGCAGCCAAACAAGCCACCCAGATTCTGAGCGAGTCCAACCCCGTTCGCAGCAGCGACATCTTCCTCGCCATCCAAGCCATCACCCAAAACTCCCCCACAGAGCTATTCCAGGCCGGCCCTACCTCGGAGAAAGCCACCGCGACAGGCATCGTCGACGGTCCCAACCCAGCCAACGACGAAATCACCTTCGCTCTCTACCTACACGACCCGATCCACGGCATCGCCTTCCACACAGTCTCCCAAGCTATCCCCCAGAAATGGATCGAGTGGCTAGACGCCTCAGCGCCCGCTGCTGCTACAGCTACAGAAGAAGACGGAACTGACGCCTCCTCCGAGGATCACTACCCGCACGCGATCATCCCGGAAGAGATTGCCGAAATCGTCGAGAACGGTGGCGTGGATCCGCGTGAGTGGGCTGCAGAATGGATGGAGGAAACGCTTTTACTTGCGATTGGAGTGGTTGCGCAGCGCTATGTGGCTCGCAGGATGGGCGTTGGCGAGATCGGAGCAACGAAGGGGAAGATGCGTGCTGAGCAGGTATCAGTTGTAGAGAGTGGAGCTGGGGAAGCTGCGCGGGCGCTTTAATTTCAACGTACTCCGTACCTACCTATGTACTCCGACCTAGTACGGAGTAGTTCGAGTCATGAATTAAGTTTCTTTTCTTTTCTTTTCTTTTGGTCTTTCTTCTTCTATAGTTAATATTTAGTATCTATTCCTTACTACTCCATTCCGTACTCTGCACTCGTAGTTTATGTCCTCTGTTTAGTTTCGAAATTTCCTTTACTCGATGTGGTTTGAACTTGTCGGCCAGCTGCAATCTGGCATGATTTTGATTTCCCCCCCCCCCCCAAAACCTATGCTAGGCTAGACCAAGCTCTTTCTAATTTTAACAAATATTTTACTAGTACGTAGTACTACTCTAGAGTCTATTACTCTGTACAGAGTAGTTAATAGTTACTACTAGTACGGAGGAGAAGAAGCAGAAAACTCGGGGGTTTTGGATTTTAGTGTAACTTGATTTAGAATTCAAATACAATGAGTGAATTCGCCTCTTCAATGCAAGCCCAAAAGCAAAGCAAAACGAGAACCGTTGCGGGTATCTATATAGGGATGTATCTAATGGATATAATATTTATTTATCACAATTTCAGGGTCACGTTCACGTTCACGTTCACGTTCATCATAATCAAAGCACAAGTGGTCCCTCGAGTCCGGGGACATACCAGAAGTTCGCGCAGAGAGGTGTCACACTAATCCCCGGTGATCGTTTGGTTAGTCATTTATGCAAGGAAACAAGGACGGAGAGAGGGAGAAAGAGGGGGTGATAGATACCTCGTGCTTCCGTTCAAAACGGTGTGTGCGTCCGTGCCTTCCTCACTAGCTTGGAGGGCTGCCTTCATCTCGGAAAGCTCCGCAGACCATTTGAAATCGCGTTCTCGGAAATGGGTAGGGTTAATCCCGTTTGGTGTTGTCTTTGACACCCCATTAGTTTCGCCGTTTGCGATTCCATTTGTCGCTCCATTCATCAGAACAGGAGGAGCCTTGTCCCCCGAAACCTCAGCATACAAGCATCCCTTGTTCCAATAATAAGGTAAGGTACGAGTATAGAGCACGGGCCTGGTCTCGACATCCAACTGCATCGGGATATTCAGGTTATAGAGCTCCACTCGCTCGTCCCAATTTTCCACTAAGTGGTGGACGATTCTCACGGCAAGCCGTGCCGCAGCGCAGATAACGTCCATAGGCTGTTCGTCCTTGCTACCGAAGGAGACGGCGATTCCGCGCTTCCCGCATGTGGCTGCCTCCAGAGCGCCACCCACAGTACCGGAAGATAAGTTGTAGATAGTCGATGCGTTCCGACCGTGATTTGGGCCCGAGATTACGAGGTCAATGGGGTCGCGGTCTGTGAAAAGATTGAAGAGCCCTAGTTGTACACAGCTTGCAGGGGTGCCATTTCTTATCACCACCCAGTCTGGGGATTTGCGCTGGCTTTCTTCATCTGGTGTGGTGGAGGTAGAGGAGGATTCGAATGTCTCGTCCCAGGTTCCATCATTACGGAATGCAGCGGGCGGAACGTAGGTTGCCTTTAGAGAGGCTTCGATCAAGTGTGCTTTTCCGATCCATGATCGGGAAGCTGCTGGGATGGCTACGGAGACAAGGTGGCCAGCGTCTTGGAGAGCATTGACCAGAGGATGAATGTATGGAGAGAGGCGTCGAGATGGCGGGCCGTCGTCGTTGACTACCTATGATATCATATTAGATCCTAAGCTGACAGCTTTCTTTTCCCGATGAGAGAGCTAGCTAACTCCGCCAGGTGGTCGGTCGGGTGACTTGGGATGATCGACTTGAAGTATTGACGACCAGAAAGAGGAGGAGGAACGAAAAAGAAAACATACCAATATATGCATGTTGGACGCCTGTGCCGAGTAGGGTTCTCGATACCTGAGGAGTATACGGAATCAATGGTACTATAGTAGAGTACACTAGGTAATACTAGTAGAATAAAATCCCTACTCCGGGGTAAATTTAGTTCTCAAGAGGCAACCTTCCCAGCAAAGAAGAGAATAATGAATCCTGGGGAAGGGATTCCCAAATAATGTATTTATAGTTCAACACGAGTGGTTAAGACTTGAGGCCCTTTTTTCACCGTTTCCCTGAAGGAAATACCGGAGACGAGCCCGGAGCAGGGGGAATCCATTCTCCATCTCGAATCTGGTCGCGGTGAAGCTCTTGGAAGCTGGAGGGTATTTGGAGTGCGTCATGACATTACTATACAATACATCCTGGCCAAGATAGGCATACAAAGTGCGGTATTTAAGACGTCATGATACTGTATGGTCTGAAACAGAACAGAGCCCGGCATAAAGTGGCCAAAAGGAGCCTGCGGTGAAGCATCATTCTTCTCGTGGGGGAAATTTCCGTCATCCACAGCGATAATATACCTAGGTATTGAAAAGGGAAGAGGGATAATAAATAGACTTAAGTACTGCAAGAGCTAGAAAAGATGCAAGGTGAAGCAAGTTTGGTTAGTTCTCAGATTTATATTATCGTTACTACAGAGTACTCAAGATAAAACCACACGGAGTTTCTGTGGACAAAGGTACAAATTTCATTAGCCTGTATTGTAGGCATATTTTCTCTACAAACCCTGCTGCAAGTGGAACTCTGGACCCTCATTATTATTATGAACTTTGGTTGAGACCTAAAATTTTTATGTATTACCTACTCTGTATATACCAAGTGGAACGAACCAAAGAAGTCTTCCCAACAAGACACGCTGCTTCTAGAAGAAGAATAATAGAATTCTTAGAAACCAGTGGACGTCTCGAAACTCTACCCCTATACAAATTCCATCGAACCAGATTAGGATTACTTGCGCCGGCGGCACATCATGTTATGTACGGAGTATGATCCTCACCAGGGCGTTCTGCACGTGGCTGCTATTATTAATTGGATTGAGGAAATCACAAGATGATGACGATGATGCTGATGCTGATGGTGAGGATTTAGCCTCGTACTCCGGATGAGTGTACCTACTCTGTAGGTGGGGGAAGTCGCTTGCAACGCCCATCCCCATCATCTGGGTTAGTGTTATAGTGGTGCTATACTATACTCTGTAGACTTGGTACTGGCGCGGTTGGCGAACAGAGAAAAAAAAAAAAACCAAAAAATTTATGGACGCCCAGACTTGATCTCCATCAAAAATTGCCGTACCATGAAAATAATCATCTGTCTTGGTGAATTCAACATCTGCAGGAAGACACAAGCAAAAGAAGACCTCTCCTCCTCCCCCCTCCACATCGAAAAAATAGATAATCACGCCATTTTTCTCTCTCTCCCCTCCTGGAAACCCCCTCAAAAACACCAGACGTAGTCACCACTGGTCTGCGCGGACTTTATCAACCGTTCAAATACAGGCACTACTGGCTGCAACCACATCGGAGGCCGATCGCCTCGAAATCTCCGGTGGGGAACCACGAAGTCAGTCACGAATTTCTGCTACTCCCATCTCACTATCGTCTCACCTCCTTCTTTCTTCCTCATCGCAATCATCGATTCCTATTATTTGGAGGCTTTCTCCGCCTCCTCGAACTTCGCGCTCAACATACCTTGCCGCCTGTGTAAGGACACTGCTTTGTCGCGTTCCTGCACGGCTCAACACCCTTGACACCACACCAAGCTGCTTAGGACCCAGGCCTGTTTCACAAGGGCCTTGACGACAACCCCCTCCCCCCCCTCTCACCCCCTCTTCGAATTCCCCTGTATGGACTGCGGGAGTTCAGGTACGGCTGCGGGGATCGACCCCAAAATTCTCGATAGCTGGCAAACGGACGCAGCTTTCTCGATACCATGGGAGCATTCGGGATACGAACAACCGTTGGATTGGGACACGAGTCAGGATTCGAACGAGGGTGATACGGATTTTGTGGATTTGAATAGACAGTCTTCCCTGGTAGGACAGACTAGCGGTTATCATAGCGATGATAGCAGGTATGCACTCCGAAGCCTTTCCCTGCCTCTCCGAGACTTGCAGCCCCGCGGACACTTTCGTTAACCCGTCCTCTCTATAGCAAACCAGGAACCACGACTACGTCGCCAGAGAAGTTCGGTCTAGCCGATGGCATGGCTGAAGGCACCGTCAGCAGCACCGTCAGCCCAAGGACGCTGCCGTCTGCTGATGATAACTTCCATCTGGATGACTCCTGGCCGCACTTCCAACTGTTCAACAATATGACGGCAGGCATCTCGATGGAAGCGCCCGCTCTTTTCCCGTACGCTAAGGGGGCCCCTAACTCTACGAATACGTTTATCGTAGAAGATCCGAGTGGGCTCCCCCAGGGGCAGGCGTTTACCGACATTACCCCGGAGCAGTTTCTCTCCTTCCAGAATATCCCAGAGGTGTTCCCATTTACCACAACCGAAACTTGGGCTGAGCCAATATCGACCTCAACCGAAAATGCCCCTAACGAAATCCCCGCGTCGCTTGCTATGGAGGCGCCACAGGTCAACAAGGCTGCAAATCAGTTACGCGCCGTCCAAAATTCTATGCAGTCCCTCGAAACCCGCTGGCTTGACGGTCTGGAATCTCAACTTCCTTCTAATATGGCTTCGCCTTCCTCTCTATCTACTGTTCCACGGGGCCCCGTGTTCTTCAAGGACGAACCAAAGGCCCAGAACGTGTTCCAGTACAAATCCGAGAGCCCTTCCGGAGATTTATCTGGGGTTTACGAATACCCTTACTCCACAACAAGCGAGGACGTTCCAGCTTTTGCAGAGCGACAATTGGAGGAGGTAGATGAGGAGAGCCTATGGAAAGAGTCGCAAAGCGATGAGTCGTCCTCAGAAATCCAACAACAATCTCAGCCTGCGGCTGGTTGCATTGTCAATGAAGACGCGCCAGAGTCGTTTTTCCCTTCCATACCATCTAGGCCCAAGGCGTCCGCTTTCGGACCGCAGCGAACAGCTGCTAGAACGCAGAGCCTCACAGTTCAATCGGCAGCGACAATCAAGAAGCGAAAGAAGCGCAACTCAATTTTCGCTCTAGAGAGTGACCCAAAGCCGCTGCAAATCGTACAGGAAGACGGCCAAGGAGGCTCAATTGCCTCTGCAGACTTTGTTTCCCCCCCTCGAGGCGCTCGTCGCAAGGGACCCTTGACGATGGCTGGAAGGGCCAACGCTGGACTACGAAGGAAGAACAAGGATACCTGTGTTCAGTGCCGTTTGAATAAGCGAAAGGTATTCTTTCCATTCAATTTGCATATTTTTACCCACAGAAACTAATTCGTGACCAGTGTGATGGCAACGCTCCTTGCGATGCTTGCCGTCCTACGCTTCATGAGCAGCCATGTGCGCGAGCTTGTTTCTCGAGCATTGTTGAGTATGGAACATGCAACTACATCTGTATGCATTCCTCGTCTACAATTTTTGGGACATATACTAATCCAAATAGCTCAACGAGCCATCAACCATCCTACGCTGGATCGATCTGGACGAGTCCGGTTGGACATTCCTTCCGAATTTGACTTGAACGACTTGCTTTCCTTCCTCAGCGAGCGGCAAGGAAAATTCAACATCCGCGCCAGCCAATCATGGGGCTCGCTCTATATTCTTGACTTGGGAGAAACTTACAAGTTTCTACGAAGCCTAAGCGAGTACAATGGCAATTCACGGTCAAATTTCTTGGAATTCATCGATCGCCGCATTATTGAATCGAAGGATAAATCAAAGAATTGGTTAACATGCGTCAAGGACTGCGATCCGATGAAAAACATTTATGTGAGTGTCACTATCTAAAGGCTTGAATTATGTCACTAACGATCAAGCTCTATATAGACCCTACTATCGCAGTGGAATAATATGCCAAGTCGCGCGAGCTACAGTTTTGTGCCTCTCGATGCCGGCGCTCAGGAAAAGCCTATGGACGTCCATAACCCGGATGATCAGCGTGAGATCCTGCTGGCAGCGCAGCTGTCCCGAATTTTTTGCCGTATGCTCGAGGTCGAGGGATTCCGGAAACTCGAGCGGGATTTTTACAACATCAAGTGGAAGCAAATATCTCAGGAAACACATATGGGCTTCCTGAAGGAGCTAGGACACATCCTTCTCACTCTGCGCTGGCGAGTCTCCTGGTGGAATCGTCTCGGTGATGGTGGTGCAGCGCCTGACCCAAGCAAGCAACATTACGTCGACAGAGTGAACCTGCTCTGCAGGATTCTCTACGTCTACTACACTTGCGTGCTAGCGAAGTTACCTTCTTGGTGTGCGTCGGAGGTACCGAAGGGAGTTTGGTCTACCTACGCTGATGCCGAAAGTCCTGTCTGGGATGACTTCCCGATCGACCCAACCGATGAAGGATTCAAGAAGTGGATCGAACGAGGAACTGAGCTCATCGAACAATCCGGTGCCCCTATCCGAGTCGCGAAAATCTAAGCCTTACACCTGGCATGACACACCTAAACGAGGGGTTAAGGTTAAAAATAAAAGTCTGGGCGGCGGAGTGGAATAGCTGATATTTAAGATACCCTTGCAGCGTCTTGTTATGTTTCACTCCTCTTTTGCTCCGGCTACGAGTGATGACTTACTACGTTTTTCTATTGTATATTCCGTTATAATTTTTTGACTTTAATTTGCGCTGGTTGCAGATTTTTCAAGCATAGATAGCAGTCACTATATATAGCTTGAATTTTACTGAGTCTAATTTAGCTACTCCTCTCTCTGCCATGATACAACCCATCAAGAAAAAATAAAGTAGACAGGTGTTTAGTGGTTTTCACATCATTAATTGTATAACACCGCTCTTGAAATAATTAACTGCATACACCAAGCAAATGCGCCAAACATTTTATCTACCCAATTATACCAAGCCGTATCCCGATATAACACCCCAATCGTTTTGTTTATAATCCATCCATCAACCTCTCTTCCCACTCTTTTCCTTCCCCTTCTCTGCTTTCTTATCTTTCTTTCCGCCAGCTAGCATCTCAAGATGTCCAGCTCTTTGGGCGAGACTTCGTTCCGTTTTCGCTGTTAATCCGGCGGCAAGTTTCTGTTGGGTTTGGAGTTAGCCTGGTCTGGTACTTGAATATATCTCTTCCAAAAAATCTGTGGACATCATAATGATAATTAAATAGGCATGAGGGACAGAAAGAAGTGTACGTATGTATGTATGTATATGTATGTGTGACTGAATTATACATGCCTTGGTCATCTTCTGCTGCTTAATTAATGAGGCTTTTTTCGGTGCGATCGTCCGGTTGCCTTTCTTGGGACCGAGTGAAGAGGGGCTTGATATCGAGAAAGATGAAGACGTTAGCGATTCCTATGCAATGAAGATAATCAAACCAGCATATTCCATCTCATCCATGCAACACGCATAGATTCATTTGCGACAGCGCCACTGGGAAAACCTGACACCGGAATGAGAATTGAAAAAAAAAAAATGTACCGTTTTGAAGTGTTTGCGCCCGGTTTGGCTTTCTTGAGGAGTCCTTGAGCCATTTTTGTCTTTTTGGTTTGCGAACTTATCCTTATCACGGATCGGTCTTGGTTTTAGAAAAATGACTATGGTGTGAAGGTACTGCCAGCAGCACAGGTGAGAAATGATCAGGCACTGAGTACTATGAAGTTGAAGGTAAGGTTATCACTTGGAAAACTGTACAAAGTCACTACTGCAGGCAGGTTGGATAAAAATTGCTTATCAGAGCTTACAGTTGGTGATCACCTGATGCACGGCCCCATCTCATGCATATTTTGCCCCTCACTGACTTTCTAGATAGCAATTTTCAACTTCACATATCTCATTTAATATGACTCTAATTGAAGCAGCATTAGAAGCAATCAATTCCTTAGAATCAGGTACTTCAATTAACTATACTAAAATTACAAAACAATTTAGTATTAAGCAATCAATATTATCAAGGCGCTATTATAGGGTTTTACATTTAAAAGACTACTAATATAAGCAATAGCAAGCTCTTAGCAACTAACATGAAAAAGAACTTATAAGATATATTAATAAATTTACTAAATAAGGCCTCTTTGCATCCTATAAAATATTATGTAATTTTATAAAGGAAATAAGTAGATAAAAGTCTAGAAAATACTAGCCTGGCTGCTTTCTAAAGTAATACCAAGATAATCTTATTTCAACCTATATAACTATTATTAATATTACATGAAAATAAGCTGATTCTATATATAAATACATGCTATATTTTAAATTACTATACTAGAAACTAAAGGAATATAAGCTACATGTAGAGGATATCTATAATATAGATAAAAAAGGATTTCTTATTAGAATACTTATTAAAGGTCTCAGGATCTTTTCTAAGCAGAAATATAAGAATAGGGCCTTTAAGTAGTGCCTGCAAGATAGAAATCAAGAATAGATAACTTTAATTACTTATATTTATGCTAATAGAAGCTTGCTCTTACCAGATCTTATTTACCAGGCTACTAGTAGTAATATCTAGGATTCCTGGCTACAAGACTTTAATCTTAAGCTTTATAATTACTTCTTTACCTCTTCTACAAGTAGTTGGACAAATAATAAGCTAGAATATGCCTGGTTAACGAATATATTTAACTAGGAGATAAAGAAGAAAGCATGGAGGTATTAGAGACTTCTAATCTTTAATAGTTATAGATCTTATCTTACTATAAAGTTTATTAATTACTATAATACTAATAGGATTCTTTTAATAACCTATCTATCTTATTTAATTTATTCACTACAGCCACTTAATATTAGAATCTTCAGTCCTCTTTCTATTACTTATAATAAGAATCTAGAGGATTTCTTATATAAATTAATAGATTTTAACTATATTATTAAGTAGGATTTCTTCTACCTCTTCTAGCTAGCCTGGAATTAGGCTTTATTATTAAAAAATATACTTTCTTTATAGAAAACTATTAGGATATTACTACTTAATCCTAAGATTATTCTAGTCTAATTTAATAAAAAGATAAATTTATAGCTATTATCTAGTAATTCCTTATAATTAATCCTATAAGTAAAGGACTAGAGAAAGATTAAAAGGCTTCTAAATTATATAATTATTAATATATATAATAAGAATATTAAGAAGTTAAGTTTTATAATATATTATCTTTCTATAAAGAATATAATCCTTAAACTATATTATAAGGACCTTGAATTAGCTCTTTAGAATAAGAAGAAGAAGTGCTAGCATGGTAAGCCTTTAAAATTTAAGCTTATAGTACCTAAGGATAGTAGTGTAGTATTTTACTCTCTATAAAAGATCTAGCAAGCCTGTAATCTTTAGAAGTAGAAAGATAAGGCTATATAACTTGCTAAGGCCTTAAAAGAGAAAGAAAAGGTCTGTTAGTAGCTTGCTAAAGAGGAGAAATAATACTTACTTAAAGAGTATAAGAGAAATCAAGTATCTTAATAAGAATTATAGTTATTAGAGGCAGAGTAGAAGAAATAATAGAAGGAGGAGGCATACCTAGTAAAGAAGGTAGATTATTAGCTTTAAAATAACTTCCAGGAGGCAAAGAAGACCCTAAAGAAGATATTTATAGCTTTATACCAGCCAAAATCTATAGAAACCAGGCCAATAACCCCTATAAATATTATTAAGGCCCCTCCTATAGTAAATTGTCAAGGCCACGAGATCTGACTACCACACCACTTTCAGGGTGACTAAAAATCATCTACAGACTGTATCTAATGACTACTTTCAACCACCAAAAATTTAAGAGATAATATTAATTATATGTGGTTAAATTACTTCATGTTGGTTCTTATAGTTGGTAGTGATTTCGTGCATCAGGTGGGGCCGTGCATCAGGTGATCACCGACTGTATCGGTCACGTGTGATGAATCTCTCCGCCGACATCAGTTGGGTTGGGTCTAGGGATCATGGGTTAGATACTCGTTTTTCTCTCTCTCTTTCTCTCTTTTGTTTAAGGGGAGTTGATCTAACTAATGGTGTTTGGTTTGGTATGAGAGCCAATTTAGTTGAAGATGCCGGTATGATGTCTAGAAGAGAGAAAGGGCAAAAAAGGGGAAGGTGTCTGGGGCACGCATGGTGAGTATATATCTTTCCCTCCCAAGGTAATTTGGCCCGCTAACACAATAGACAGACAGATTGGAATACATATGAAGGCCGTCATGGATGGCCTTCGGGGAGATATGGAAAGTGCTACTCATATGAGGCTTGCTATCTAATACTAGCCAGCGCCAGAACAATTCCGCGAAATTGCCCAAATTGTGTGAGTAGGATATGAATAAAGATATAAAGCAATACAAATTCAACATGTTGTTTTATTCAACCTTACATCCACTTACTCTGTTGCCAATTTCCAGGCCTGGTCCTACCGTCCCCTCATAGGTATCTCATTTCCTATACTTGCCCGAGGAAGGAAGCACGCAGCCATCCTGTCTAGAACTAGAAGGAGAGCAAAAGAGTGTGACAATAAGATACCCGCCGTCACCTGCATAACCGCCCGAAGCGTGGTTTGTCGTACTGCTAATTACATGCTTTTGCACTCATTTCAAGCCCTACAAATGAAATATCCACGACCACCTTGCTATCGAATCAGTCTCAGCCCTTAACCCTCCAGCTGTCCAGCTCTGTTCATGCTGACGGTACCGTAATCCGTTTACGGTTGATAGGAGGGATTTCCTATGCTCCTTCCTAGCATAGATCTTGTACCTAAAGTGATATCAGTACCGCTGGCATGCGAAGTACGAGGAAAGGAAAGAGATCGTCATGGGAGCTTTTGGCACTGCCAAATTAGGAAGGTCTACTTCCTTCTCTCAGTTTCAACGCTTGGGGCTGATGAGGTACCTTCCTAGTTCTAGCTAGGAGGGGGCTTCCTTCCAGTTCTAGCATCTCCCGGTCTGTTTACCTATCCCAAACCGTATATTCCCTCTTTCCCCTCCTCTTTTCCCTCCTCTTCTCTCTCCTCTTCTCTCTCCTCTCCATGACCGTTACCATCATATCTTCTACCCTCCACCCTACGCTCTCATCGATTTTACCTGCTGAAAAGCTATCTTACCTGCTGAAAAGCAATGTTACCTGCTGAAAAGCTATCTTACCTGCTGAAAAGCAATTTTTCTTGCCCAAAGCAAGCTTATCCACTACAATCATGTTTTCGTCCATCTTACGCCACGTCTCGACTTCCGTCTCGACGGCTGCTTACCACGTCAATATGATGCTGGAGAGCATTGTTCCTGACCTGAATCTTGAGAACTTTGATGAGGACTTAGAGGCATTTGAATGTCGAGTTGAGACCTTCCAGCCAGTTCAACGTCGAGTTGAGACCTTTCAGTCAGTTGAATGTCGAGTTGAGGTCTTCCCGCCAGTTCAACGTCGAGTTGAGACCTTTCAGCCAGTCCAACGTCGAGTTGAGACTTTCCCACCAGTGGAATGTCGAGTTCAGACCTTCCCGCCAGTCCAACGTCGAGTTGAGACCTTCCCGCTAGTTGACCGTCGGGTTGAGACCTTCCCGCCAGTTCACCGTCGAGTTGAGACCTTTCAGCCAGTTCAACGTCGAGTTGAGACCTTTCAGCCAGTTGAACGTCGAGTTGAGACCTTCCCGCCAGTTCACCGTCGAGTTGAGACCTTTCAGCCAGTTCAACGTCGAGTTGAGACCTTTCAGCCAGTTGAACGTCGAGTTGAGACCTTCCCGCCAGTTCACCGTCGAGTTGAGACCTTCCCGCCAGTTCACCGTCGAGTTGAGACCTTTCAGCCAGTTCAACATCGAGTTGAGACCTTTCAGCCAGTTGAACGTCGAGTTGAGACCTGGGAATTCCCCAAGCGCGTGGAATCTGTCCCTGCATTCTACGACCCATATCCTATTGCCCTCCGTTATAGCTTTACGCCTTCTGATGGGCCTATTGTTCAGCGAAAACGGCAGGAGCGACTGCATCCCGCTCAAAGCCCATTGTATCAACCCATATCGCCTGTTGTTGAAGAGACCTTCCCGCCAGTTCAACGTCGAGTTGAGACCTGGGAATTCCCCAAGCGCGTGGAATCTGTCCCTTCATTCTATGACCCATATCCTATTGCCCTCCGTTATAGCTTTACGCCTTCTGATGGGCCTATCGTTCAGCGAAAACGGCAGGAGCGACTGCATCCCGCTCAAAGCCCATTGTATCAACCCGTGTCGCCTGTTGTCGAAAAAACCTCTTGCAGGTATCAAGATGTGTTGATTCTTCGAAGAATTTGCGAATACGCCGTCTTTGCCCCGTATACTACGGTCTGCGCAAACGTTTCTCTCATCTTTGGAAACGATCACGGAAATTGTATTTGCAATCCTCTCAGAGACCCTTCGGTGTCTGCTCCGATGATTCGTCCGAGCCTGGTCTCACGAAACCCTCTTTGTAATCTTCCTTCTCCGGACTGTACGCCTTCTCTTCGCGCCCCCAGAAGGGAATGGTCCAGCGTCGACACGGATTACGGCCTTTTTTACTTTGACCAGCCCGGTAGATTTAGGAACCGTGGCCCTAGTAGCGAGGGAGCTGCTGAATATGTGTCTGCTGTGGCGATGATTCCCACCCCTGTGGGTTTGAGATCTCGCAGTACCCGAGATATCACTGATGGAACTGTTGTTATCAACGGAGTTGATCAGAGATATGTCAGCTCGGAGAGCTTTGAGTGTGATCACAATGCCCACGCTCACCAGAATTTAATTTATGACAGCGACTCGGATATGAGCCCCAGTGTTGTCCATTACTCAACGAACACCACGCCACAGTGGGAAGAACAACAGCCAAGTAGCGAAAAGGTTGTTATTGATGGTATCATGTTTGATCCAGTTACTGGGACCTTCAAGGTGCTTGACAAGCACACGCCCGAACATCACAGTGATGAAGGCTCCAGCATCGTTTATGGAACTCCAGACAAGGAATACCAGCTCACAGAGCAGGTTTATCAACTCAACGAAACTCCTGCAATAAAATTTTCTGGGAGAGATTTCTCCTCTAAATCCTACGCCTGCTCCGAGCCTGACATCAGAAAGTATTCAGAGTACGCTCGAAGGCTTCTTAGTCGTGCGGCAGGAACTAACTTCGCATCCATTTCGGAGTACGGTGCAGTCAGATTTGTTGAATCTCTCCGTCGTCAAAAGCTGTTGACTCCTACTCCAAGTCCTTCCAGCCCTTCATCTGGTCCTATCGGTTCTCGTGTTGTTTCGGATAATTCTAATTCTTCTGACACATCTCACGTGTCTGATGCTCCTAGCGTTTCTATTACTTGCGAACCTTTGGATGCTCCTAGTGACGCTCCTAGTGTTTCTATTGCTTGTGAATCTTCAGATTCTTCTGACACTTCTTATGTGTCTGATGCTCCTAGCGTTTCTGTTACTTGTGAACCTTTGGATACCCCGAGCGTTTCTATTGCTTGTGAATCTTTGGATTCTTCTGACACTTCTCACGTGTCTGATGCTCCTAGCGTTTCTATTACTTGCGAACCTTTGGATGCTCCTAGTGACGCTCCTAGTGTTTCTATTGCTTGTGAATCTTCAGATTCTTCTGACACTTCTTATGTGTCTGATGCTCCTAGCGTTTCTGTTACTTGTGAACCTTTGGATACCCCGAGCGTTTCTACTACTTGTGAACATCCAGGTTCTTCTGCCACGTCCAGAGTTTTTGGAATTTCCAGCATCTTTGTTCATTTTGATTCTTCTGAACCTTCCGTATCCTCGGATTCTTCTGCTGCTTCTGAATTTTTGGATTCTTCCACCGTTTTTGATGCCTCTAATGTTTATACTGTTTCTTCTGATTCTTCTGTTTCTTCTGGTTCTTCTGATTCTGGTTCTTCTGATTCTGGTTCTTCTGATTCTGGTTCTTCTGATTCTGGTTCTTCTGATTCTGGTTCTTCTGATTCTGGTTCTTCTGATTCTGGTTCTTCTGATTCTGGTTCTTCTGATTCTTCTAGTTCTTCTGATTCTTCTGGTTCTTCTAGTTCTTCTGATTCTTCTGATTCTTCTGATTCTTCTGGTTCTTCTGATTCTTCTGGTTCTTCTGATTCTTCTAGTTCTTCTGGTTCTTCTGGTTCTTCTGGTTCTTCTGATTCTTCTGGTTCTTCTGATTCTTCTGATTCTGGTTCTTCTGATTCTTCTGATTCTTCTGATTCTGGTTCTTCTGGTTCTTCTGATTCTGGTTCTTCTGATTCTGGTTCTTCTGGTTCTTCTGGTTCTTCTGATTCTTCTGGTTCTTCTGGTTCTTCTGATTCTTCTGGTTCTTCTGATTCTGATTCTTCTGGTTCTTCTAGTTCTCCTGGTTCTTCGGCTGTTCCTACTTTTTCTGGTTCTTCTGCTGGTTCTTCTGCTGGTTCTTCTGCTGGTTCTTCTGCTGGTTCTTCTGCTGGTTCTTCTGCTGGTTCTTCTGCTGGTTCTTCTGCTGGTTCTTCTGTTCCTGATTCCTCTGATTCCTCTGATTCCTCTGATTCTGATTTTTCGGCTGTTCCTACTGTTTCTGGCTCTTCTGCTGATTCTGAGTCTTATGATTCTTCTGCCGATGATTTTGATACTTTGGTACTTGTGGGGCTACTGATCCTATTGATGCTTCCAATGATGCATCTTTAGTACTTCAACTGATCCTACTTCTACTTCCTCTGGCTCTTCTTCTGGCACTCTCAGTGCCTTTGCTGTTTCTAGCAGCTCCAATTCGTCCAGATTTTACCAGAAGAGCCAGAGGAGTAGAAGTAGGATCAGTTGAAGTACTAAAGATCCTTAGGGTTGAGATGGGAGGTAGTTTTATACCCGAACTTAACTTAGCAAAAAAACTACTGGATTTATATCTCTCTTCCTTGTAGTTTGTAGTCGCTAAGAATTATTGTTGAATACTAATTCCAAGTTACCCGAACAGGTTAATAATTAATTAGTTAGTTAGTTAACTAACTAACTAACTAACTAGCCAAGTCTGCTGACTGTACACGATATAGTAACTAGTTACTAAGTCCTCCATCAGTCCATCTACACATCATCCTCTTCTTGTACCTATTCTTCCTCTACACACACCCCCCGGAACTCGATCAATACCCTATCCCGATCAGCCGGATCTCCAAAACCGAACATCATCGTCCTTCCAGTATTTAAAGTGGAGCAAGGCAGGGGCTTTCCACTATGGTCGCCTTGGTACTTGGCGTGCTAAAATATGCCTTTGTCTTTAGTTATGGCTTGTTCACGTTGACTCGCTACGGAGTGGCAGCAGTTTTAAGTGGATACTTTTTCAAAAAAACCACCGAGAAAGATACCTTGGATTTGCAGCTTGGTAAGTATACGTCTGCTACTTCATATTTCGCTTGTGGCTGACTGAACGACGACTATTCTGCCAGCTCGCAATCGACTGTGGGACCTCTCGAAAAAATGGTTGGCCTTTTCGCATCAGATGCTTACTTTACAAAACGGTTTCAAATTCCACTATGTCTGCAATGAGCCTAATGCTATTCCCAGTGCCCAGAAACCTTTAGTTATCTTCATCCATGGATTTCCTGACAGCTGGGCGATATGGCGTCATATCTTAAACGTAGAGTCTCTCCAAGATGCCGCTACCGTGGTCGCGGTCGACCTACCTGGGTATGGTGGAAGCGAAGGTTTGAGCCGGTACTCTGCAACCCAGGTTCTGGAGAACTTGACGGAGTTTATCATCGCTGTGAGAGCAAAGTACGGCATTGATGGCACTAATGGCACCAGACAGCAAAGAACAATAATTGTTGGGCACGATTGGGGATGTCTGATCTCCATGCGTCTTGCGGCTGACGCTCCCCAGCTAGCTGATCGGTTCATTTTGACGAATGGCCCACTCGTATGTATAACTCAGGGAAGAAGAAGGGTGAATCTGTTTGAATTGGCTAATGTATAATCTAGATACCTCTGGTAGTTTCTAATGGCCGATACAGGCTGTCTTCATCATTAAAGATGTTCAAAACTTTCCTACATTCACCGATCCAGTCACGTTCGCTATTTTCCAATGCACTACGATCGCTCAAGCCTGTATTCCAACAGATATGGCTTTCCGGGTACATTTTTGCTTTCCTTCTTCCTTCAGCTTTCGTTGAATACCTTGGCGCAGGGGGGAACTACTCGTTTCTAAAACTGATTCATATCATGTCGTATGGCAAGCAAGAGTTTACTCCTACAGATGCTGCAGAGTGCATGGCAAGCACTATCGGACCATCTGCTCACGAATGCAAGACAAAAACTGTGGATGACGAGGAGTATCCAAAGTCACTTGCATACAAGCGTGTTCTCTCGAATTTCCTAGAAATGACTAGTTATTATCGCGACAACACAGCTGTTTCTCGCTGGCGCAAGTCCGTTGAGACAATCACCAGCCTACACAGCATTAGGCAAGGGAATGAGGACTGCCGAGTTGGCAGCGGAGCCGGACTATTTGATGACGGACCGACCGGAGGCCTGAAGGCCAGCACAACCGTCCTCTGGGGGAAGGCGGATACTGCCCTAAACCCGCAATTATGTCTAGACGGAATTTCTGAGTACCTTGTTAAGGATAGTCACGTTGTTGAGCTCCCGAATTCTGGACATTTCACGCCGTTGGAGCGGGAGAGCCGGATTGCGATCACCAAGACTGTTGAGTGGGCTGCAAAAGGGGAAAGGGAGGATATCGGGGCTATTATTCAGGCCTGCTATCCAAGCGCAACTGTGACAGTTAGGAAGTAGATTCAGGGGCATGTGGGGTATAATTTCTTTTTGATGCTGTTTTTCTTTGTTTTCTTGTGCGGCAACCCCCTCCCCCGGGGATGATGTATCAATATCCGAGGGAGGGAATGGATATGGCTTCATAAGTCTAGTAGCAGATAGAGGGTTGAAAACCTTAAATACGGGGTAGAATCTAGATACACAAGCCCCCATAATAAAACACTAATGTTAGTGAATCGTAATCAAAGTCAAGCAAGAAGTAACCGCCTAGGTACATACCTTGTAGGCATTGACCCAATAATAACAAGACATTATCGGAGCTTTCTGCCGCTAACAACACCAACAACACCCAACAAAAACAACAATAAGATCAGGAAACATCCTCTGGTCCTCCTCATTACTTGGTTAAGATGATATAGAAGCTTGTACTTGCCATCTTATCTTCACTCTAACTTACAGAGTACTCTCTTCCTACTAGTAAGGTAATAATAGCACCAGGAACCTTGGCACCCCTGTTGGTGGCGGGCGGGGTTGCTCCCCTGCTAACAGTGCAGCTTCGTGAGGGGAATCATCACCAACTCCCGTTCTTTCTAATACAGATTTCTTTTCATCTTTTCTTTCTCTCTCTCTGCTACTTGGGTTTGGATCAGTTCCAGGAGTGCCCCCTTATTCCTTCGTTTTTCGTTTTTTTTACTGCTACTCTCCCTCCAGTATCCTGTTTGCAAGGGGAGCTCCGTGCTGTTATTACTTCCGGCATGGTTGATCAAGGGAGTGCAGTCTATTGCACTGTACGTACCACGCTTCGACCCCTTCGGCTTCCTTACGGGCTTTCTAACGGAAAAATAGCTGCTCTTGAGTGATGATTACCTTCCTGGTACTCTATTATCCATCTTCGAACGGCCAATTCCTGGAAACTAATACATTTATTTCTTCTTATCTAGGCGCTGTAGTCCTTGCTCATTCATTACGTGACAATGGCACCCATGCCAAGTTGGCTGTCCTTTACACGCCTGACACCTTGCAGGAAGCCACAATACATGAGCTCCAGGTGTGCATTCTCTTCTTCTCAATGATCCCGGGGAAAGCGATCTTCGCAGCCATGTTTCTGATTAGTACAATCTAGACAGTGTATGACATCCTCATACCCGTGCACCCCATGACAAACCACATCCCCGCGAATCTGTGGCTCATGGAGCGCCCGGATCTAATAGCCACTTTCACCAAGATTGAGCTCTGGCGACAAACACAGTTCACACGCATAGTCTACATCGATTGTGACGTCGTGGCGATTAGAGCACCGGATGAGCTTCTCGAACTGGAGGCAGGTTTCGCAGCAGCTCCCGATGTCGGCTGGCCCGATTGCTTCAATAGTGGTGTGATGGCGTTGCGACCCAATCTCGAGGATTATTACGCGCTCAAGGCTCTTGCCGAGAGAGGGATCAGTTTTGACGGAGCTGATCAAGGTCTATTAAACCTGCACTTCCGTAACTGGCATCGACTAAGCTTTACGTACAACTGTACGCCTAGCGCTAATTACCAGTATATCCCGGCCTACAAGCATTTCCAGAGCACAATTAGCATGATACATTTTATTGGATCTCAGAAACCGTGGAATGTGCCGAGACAAGTGGCTCCGTTTGACTCGCCTTACAATCAGCTACTAGGAAGATGGTGGACAATCTATGATCGACATTATCGCCCTGCACTTACTGTAAGTTGATTGTATTCAAATCATTCTCTCTCAATTCCTGTGTCGAGCTAAGACCGCCGTAGGAGCCAGTCCAACAGTCAAGTAGACCGACCACGCCACAGTACCAGACCCAAGCACCTGACCCAGGTACATCGCAGGCGTCATGGTTCCCTGTTCAACCTCAACAGTATCATGTTGGAGAACAGGCTTTTGTGCCGCTATTAGAACCGCCATCTCACCAGCAACCCCGACAACCAGAGTTGCCACCGGTTCCGCCTACGGTGTCACAGCCAGGCCCTCATCCGCATGAAATGGTCACTCATGCGGTCGTACAGGTTTCTAATCCTCCTGAGTTCACTTATACACCCCCATCTACAAAACTGCCGACTGAATTTGTCCAAACTCGACACTACACAGAGCGACTCCCGCAAGAACCTTTTTTTAGCATTGTTCCCCAGTACGTTCGCGGAGAAGAGAATGTAACGGCCTATATACGACCACAAGCTCATTACACACATACCTCCTACACTGTACAGGACCCTCCGATACAAGACCCCAGAGTGCAAATGGCTCCAGTGCAGCCTTCGTATTCTGTTCACTCCCATGTTCATCATGAACCAGCAGCGCCTGCTTTCGATACAAGGCAGCGATCGCCAACGCCCCCATCCCAACCAGAACCAGAGATTCCAGCAGCATTTGAAGCTCCAAGGTCGGAATGGGATGCATCTCGGTGAGTTCAGTTGTGATTACTACTTATAAACTATATACTTACTTTTTTTTCTTCTTCTTCTTCTTCTTTCTTTTCTCTAGGGAGCCACCGCCACTGAACAGCAAGCCCGAGGGAATTGCATTGGAGAAGAAAACGTATGCTATGTCTGAGGACCACCAATTATTTCAACCCCCGGCATCCTATCCAGAAGCACCGAAGAATATGTACTATGAAATTCCATCTACAAAACCAGAGCCACATAACCTCACTCAGCTCTTCCCCTGGGAGATGAATGCACCCAAGCCCACGCGTGTTTTTGCCGATAACGATCAGAGCCCGCATTCTCCTATTCAGCCCAGGTTCTCTCCAGAACCCACACGGGACGAAGAACCCGGGGTTTCTCGAGCTTCTGGGTCGACATCCTGGATGTCTGGGGTCACAAGCGTCACAAGTGAATCCTGGGAAAGCTACTCCCGGTCCAACGCATGGGATGAAGTCCCAGAGATCCAGCGATATATTCAATCCATCCAGCAATCCCGCAAAGGTAGAGTCCAGGTAATATCCAGCGGCCCCAGCCATCAAAAGAGCCCTCCATCGATTCAGGAGTCCGGTAGCATGCGGGTAACCGACTTCCCCAGCGAAATTGAGCGCCCCAGTCTCCCAGTCACCCCGACGCCTATTAGGAGACCACTTGCCTCCAGAAGCCCAAGAGGAGAATACACCACGGACCAACTGCCCCCCGCGGAGGGCGTACCAAACCAGGAGGACTGGGTGGGTCTCACGGTTGATGCGTTTTTACACCTCCTTCGAGCGACGTACTTATACTGGAAATTTATAGAATCCGTCAGTTCGCCTCGCAGAGTTGCAGCGGCGCCAATCTGAAATCTTGGAGAATCCGGAGATGATGTTTGAACGGCTTTCAAAAGGCTGTTAGAACCAAGGAGAGGGAGAGTGTATAACTATCTCCTCTATCTCTATCTGCTGGTCTTTTTCCTTCTAGCGTTCTTCTTTTGTGCATCTAATATACTTCCCCCTACCTCTCTACCTCTGACTTTCTTAATGGCCCAGCTGAATATCTTGCTCTCATTCTCTCTATCCCCCCCCCCCCCCCCCCCCCCCCAAACACCTTTTTGCCTCGACGATTTACTATTTGCATGAGTGTGCATTGTATTGCGTACATTGCATTATATCCCGTTACTTGATTTGGCTTATATGCATTGTTGACATACTCTCTCTTCCTCTCTTTTTGTCTGGATGCAGATTGCATGAGAACAAGAACGAGTGCCGAAACTGGAGCCTGGACCTGGTATTCTATTCCTTTCGTCTTGAGATTATTGATTTCCTTTTTTGGAGCAGATAGGAATTATTCAAGGATGATAACCTAATGGATGGACGCATGGAACCAGATTGAAATGGATCATCATTGAAGAATAAGGAAATCATCATTCAAAGGTTCTCATTCACTGTTACTTTATCTTTATACACAGGTAAGAGTAAACCAAACTGAGCTGAAACTGCCCAAATGGAAATGTTACAGATGATGGATGCAGGGTCCCAGGGCGGGAAAAAGGATGATCAAAGTCCGGCATAATGCAATCGGGAATTCTTCTTGATTGTTTGGTCCGGTTCTGGCCCTGGTTTATGTCTGGGTGTAAAGCCAAGGGATGCATCGACTAAAAATAGAGACCAGAAAACCTTTGTCCTGGTCATATAATAATGATGCCTTCGAAGAAGAACGCCTTGTAGCAATAGAAGAGAGAGAGAGAGAAAAAAAAAAAAGGGGAAAAAAAGAGAGAGAAAAGACCGGAAGAAGAAGAGGCTATGCGAGGGGCATATTGTGGACTACAACATTACGAGGATTGGGGAAAGGGAGTAGAGAGAGTTGAAAGAATAAAGTATATGTGCTGTAAGTCGTCGGAGGGAATAAAGGGGAATAAAATGGATCGTGATCGTTTAGCATCGTTCGCCTCGGACAGAGTAGAAATGGGACTGCTTGATGTGGCTTGCCTTGCCGGATTTCTCGTCGAACACACTAAACCCGTATGTTGCGGCATTTGGAGGTGTGTAGACTACGTTCAAAGCAGGGTTAGTCCGAAAATATAGCAGGCAAGGGGCTGCATTCGCTCGGAAGAAAGGAGAGGCAAAGTAAAGGACAGGACATACGGTGTAAGGAGACTGCCACGTTATTTGGGTCTGGATTGTGGATTTTATGCAAGCCCAGCTGTAGAATTGTCTTAGCTTCTTTCTGTCCGGCTGCTTCGGGGCGGGAACTGAAAAGTACCTTATCTGACATGTAGGTGACCTGGTTTTCACCATAAGTGGTTACCTTGGTAATCTCAGGAGGCGAGGCCTGTCCGTGTTGGACTTTGTCTTGGTCTGGCCATGTGTATAGGGTCTCTTGGAGAGTTCCTTTGAGGACCTAAACAAAAGGAAATTTGCGAATTAGTGAGTTTATACGCAAATAGAGGTATCTCCAAGTGACAGGTCAACATACCTTCATGACGCAATGAGCATTTGCATGGTCGTGGATAGCGCTTCCCCTTCCGGGACTCCAGACCAGGATTAGCTAGAGAACGAAGTCAGCCCGTAAAACCAATAGCTCTCCCTTATTCCGGTTCTTGAATAAGCTCTCTGTCCATCCGCATCCACCTGCATATGCACCGTGAAGTAGTTCGATATGGGCCAGAGGTTGGCTTGGGTAGAACAAGAGCGCGCGTGACACCTGGCAACTGGCGGTGAAGGTGAGGAGATAGGAGATCTCACCAGGTTGCTCTTCCCGTTGCCTTCATCAATAAGGTTCCTTGTATAGGTCTTGTTCGAGTCCCCGAGGGCAAAGGAAAGCCAGTCATCCGGGTTTGAGGTATACCGTTCCATCAAGCGCTGGATATCAATGGGGTCAACATCAGCGGAGTCGAGACCGGAGCTGGGACCTAGAGCAGCACTGAGGTCTTGCACGAGCTCTTCGAAGGCATTGCTGGCAGGTTTCCCAGAATCCGAGGACGAGGCTGATCCCGATTTCAGGTACGGCATTGTGAGCGTTTTCCGGGGGAAAAGGGTGCGTTATTCTAACCAGCGTATTCCGCCGGGAGTTTGTCAAGTTCGATATAGAAGAGGTGCGCTTGTGAAACCGAGCACTATTAAACGGAGGTATGATATGGAATATAAAGGATCCAAGCCAAGAGCCAGATCGTAAGGACACGTAGAATGGGTATTTATTACCAATTGACCGCAGCAGCAAAGATTCCTCCTACCTATAACGAGTGAGGGAGTCGTCCGTTGTAGCGAATAATAACATTACGGAGTCACGAGTCACCACGACCGACGATAAGCGTGGATGCCAGATTTTAGCCTGAGTCCTCAGGCAGAAAACCCCCGCCATGTGATCTCGCGCTTGTTGCTCTCCGCCCAGCGAGCGGGCGAATGAGGTGGCGGCCACAAAGTTCAAAGATTGATCCATCTTGAACTATCCCCACTGAACGCTGCTTCATTTCATCGTCTTGCCTTTTTTTTTTTTTTTTTTTTTTTACGCACCAGAGCTGTTAACACAAACAGCGTGGAAGTGCCAACTACGAGGCCGCAGTCGCTCACTGAATTCTTACCTATTGAATATTCCCTTGTGCGAGGAGGCAAACTCGTAAAAACATCGCCAAAATGTCGACCACAGTTGAGAAGGTTGGTTTTGCTCGCTATTACTTGCGGTTCTCTCTCTCTTTCTTTTCAGAATGGAAGAGCAATCATTGCTAACCGAATATGCGATATAGATCAAACAAATTGAGGACGAGGTTCGCGCTCCCTAGAACAATCGCTTCGAGAACGCTCATTAATGGTTACGCAGATGGCTCGGACTCAAAAAAACAAGGCCACAGCTTTCCACTTGGGTAGGGCCATAACCGGGCTTGGGATTGACAGAAGTTCATCACTGATGGATGGATATAGGACAGTTGAAAGCGAAGCTTGCTAAACTAAAACGAGAGCTGTTGTCTCCGTCAAGCAGCGGTGGTGGAGGTGGTGGTGAGTGCGAGGCTACCTGTGTTGTCAATTTGACCTCGGCTGACCCGGTGGTTCCCAGCTGGTTTCGATGTTGCTCGTACCGGTGTTGCCAGTGTGTAAGTGTCCTTCATGCGCTTTGGAAGTGGGAGAGGCATTGACAAAATTAGCGGTTTTATTGGGTTTCCCTCTGTCGGAAAGAGTACCTTGATGAGCAAACTGACTGGCCAGCATTCCGAAGGTATGCGCAAATTGAAGATAGTGTGCTATGGATAAGCGCTGATAAACCACTCTTACAGCTGCGGCCTACGAGTTCACAACCCTGACGACTGTTCCTGGACAAGTAATGTATAATGGTGCTAAGATTCAGATTCTCGATCTTCCAGGTATCATTCAAGGTGCCAAGGATGGTAAAGGTCGTGGTCGACAGGTTATTGCTGTGGCCAAAACCTGCCATCTCATCTTCATCGTGCTTGACGTTAATAAACCTTTGATTGACAAGAAGGTCATTGAGAATGAATTGGAAGGATTTGGAATCCGGATCAACAAGCAACCCCCCAACATCGTCTTCAAGAAGAAGGACAAGGGAGGAATTGCAATTACGAGTACCGTTCCCTTGACCCATATCGACAGCGACGTAAGTTCCGTTTAACTTGGGTTCAGATGTTTTGACCATGACTGACCCTTACATTTTATCCGCAATAGGAAATCAGGGCTGTCATGGGCGAGTACAAAATCTCTTCCGCAGATATCTCTATTCGGTGCGACGCAACAATTGATGACCTTATTGACGTCCTTGAAGCCAAGAGTCGGGCATACATCCCAGTTGTCTACGCCTTGAATAAAATCGATGCGATCTCCATTGAGGAACTCGACTTACTATACCGTATTCCTAATGCCTGCCCTATCAGCTCCGAGCATGGCTGGAACATTGATGAGCTGTTGGAAATGATGTGGGAGAAGCTCAATCTCAGACGGGTGTACACAAAACCTAAGGGAAAGGCGCCCGACTACACGGCTCCTGTTGTGCTCAGGGCCAATGCCTGCACAATTGAAGATTTCGTACGCCGCCCCCCCTTTCCCGTTCTTCAAGTGATTTGCTGACCCGCAATCAGTGTAACTCAATTCACCGAACAATCAAGGATCAGTTCAAGCAGGCCATTGTTTATGGGCGGTCCGTCAAACACCAACCGCAGCGTGTTGGTCTCTCACACGAGCTTGCGGATGAGGATATTGGTCCGTAACCCCTCATCAACCCCGGAAGGATTTCTTGGAAGGGTGAGGGCTAACAGTGTAACAACAGTGACGATTATCAAGCGGTAAAAGATACCAAAAGTTATCAACTCCCAGGTGTTCGCCTGAACGCGCAACAACCCGTGACGAATCGCGCTCGAGGAAGTGAATAGGTTGCTGTGCTAGGTGTGCTTCGCTAAATGATTTATGTCCGAGAGCCCTGGACCTTGTGACAAATTTTTGCGAGAGGCTACGAGAGTTGTGATTGGAGGAGGAGATTTGCGCACGGGCAGCAAGCTGCCAACTGCCGCTTGGGTTTGCAAGATCAACTAGGTTTGGGGTGCCTGCACTCACGCCTTTAGTCTGCTTTTCTACTGCTACCCGATGCGATGCGCCATCCTTAGCAATCCTGTGTAAGGAAGCCAACAAGAAGCTTGGTGAGCTCAATCTGAAAAAGGGGAAGCTGGAATTAGGTTGAAGGGAGTTAGCGAGGAGGGGGCTGGGTGGTGAGCAGTGTTTCGTCCTGCCAACTTCATTATTTCCTCATTTATTTTAGTTCAAACATTTTTGAGGCGTCCACTTGGCCATGCTCAAATCCGGATTTTCCGAGGTTCAAGGAAACGAAAGTTCTAGATCAAGGTCCAAACTATTGTCCATGTGTGAGTAGAGTACTAGAAATATGTCAATGCTGAGACAACGATCCCTCTAAATCTGTCTGTGATTACTGCTTTAGCCCCAGGTTAATTTTTTTTTTTTAAAAAAAAAAAAATCATATATCAAAAATGGAGAAGAGAACAACCAAGGGAGGAAAAAGGGGGGAGGGGAATATATAACCTACCTAAACAAGATGACACACGTCGACCAATTATGATGCTATTTCTGGGGCAGATGCTCAGCCGCGATATTACCTAGAGACTATCTTCACGGGTGCCTCTTGATTAAGTCATTGTAGACGACGCATGAGATAACTCGAACCACTTGATATACCTACTCTGTATACGTAGGGCAGACTTACTTTGCAGGTGGGGGAGGAGATAGGGAGCAGCGGCACCTTAGTTCTGAATCCCGGGATTCATATGGATCATTCCAGGATTCCAGGAATCCAGGAATTAAGGAATGAACCAAGCAAATCATACTGCATACCGTAAATAAGTAGTAACCTTCCAGAGCCAGACACCGAACCGACCAGCCAAGCATCTGCCCTGTAGAGATCCAACTCGATCTCATGCGGGACAAACTGATAGATAAATATACGTCCATGCATAAGACCCAAGCCAGACCCCAGTTTACACCGTACGAGCTTTAAAACACGGTGGCTGCACTCCATACAGTGGCTGCACAAGAGTGAGGCTAAGCCAGCCAAGTCGGATTCCTAACAGACGACGCGCAATATCCATGCCATGTCAATGCACTCCGTAGGTCATGTACGTAGTTACTCGGTAGTCCTTAAGTCTTACTCCGAGGGCGGCAAGGCCGAGACATTTACGACATCTGGATTGTTTTCAATCTGTTAGTTTAGTTGAGCTCATTTAGCCGCTGGGGGTTTGAACAGAAGGTCATGTACGGAGAACTCCGGGAAGAAGAACCCCAAGAATGAATCATGGAACATAATTGATCGTGGAAATCGGATTCCTCCTTACGGAGTAGATAGGGCATAGTCATACCCATGCAGCGAAGATTTTGAATCTGTACTTTGTAGTAAAAACCCGCTGCATCTAAATCATGGTCCTGCAGGTGCAGACAGGGTCCAGGGTAGTTTTCTCATGTTTGAGGCGTCTTCTCCCCTTCCTTGTGATATAAAATAATACATTGAACTTAATGCTAGTCTCAGGTGGTGGCTACTGACTACTTAACTAGTTTCTCCCTAGGGGATGCGCCTGCAAGGAATACTTTGACTGTAATATATTAATTCATGCTTGCATTTTTTTTTTTTTTTTTTTTTCATTTGCTCCCGGGAGTTCAATTTAATGGAGTTTACTGTATTTACCGTATGATTGCAGGGCGGGGTTGAAGTTTTTCCTCACTACTAGTAGTACTTAGATAGTTACAGAGTACTACTATACTCCGTCATCCATAATAATAATTAAAAAAATAATAAAAATTCTAGGACCCAAACAGTTTCTACTTCCTGTCTGAGTATGGTGCAAAAGTACGAAGATGTTCAGACTCCTGGTTCCTTGGTTCTGCCTCCGTAGTCTGAATCGCAGTCCGTTCAGTCAGCGTGTACTCCGTATGTACTCCTACAAATCTACTGCAGTACTAAAAGTTAGCTTTCCAGAGATACGAATTCTCTCTGTACATTTCCTCATACTTACTGGATGGGGCAATCGTTTTTTTTCCCCCTCTACTATACTAGTAGACCCTACTGGGTCTACCTATACCTCTACTGGAAATACCTCAGTATTTTCATTTTTAAGAAGGGGGGAAAGAGGAAGTTCACCGTCCAACCTTGCTGAGTTGCTCACTATGGGGCCCAGCAGACGAACTAATTAAATATCTACGCATTTAATGTAAATCGATCCAATCGGATTCTCACATAAATGATATGTATCAGAGGTTTTTTTTTTGCCTTGGAGGCGCAAGCTCAATTCCAATTCAATGGCAGTTGTAATAAGAAGCGGTCTGCGCGGGATTTGAAGATACAGATGGGGGGAACCCCCTCTGTTGATAAAACCTTCCCACTCGGTATACTACACGATGACACTCATCACTCATTCATACTGAATCCTTTGATCCATCATTGAACGCAGTCCCTTGATATACCTAAAACTGTACTCTGTACGTGTACTCTTATCGTACAGTACAGTAGAGAAGTACCGGAATAGAACTGATCAGTGCAGCCCGTTGAACCCTCCAATCCACCCTTCCGATGCACATCATCGAGCCAATTTCCCCTCGTGAGAACGCCCACGAAAAAGAGCCTAACACGGAGGCTCCGATCTCCACCATCACAGAGCTAATCGCGGGGATTTACTCACCGATTCCGGAGCAGTTCCTAACCTAGGTAGTGATACTGTCTCCTATGCAGACGAATCTGGGACTTTGGTATCAAAATGAAATTGAAGGAGGACATGAGGAACCATTGTGGCTACTCCGTGAGCGGAGAACAGTGAATGCTGAAAACCAAGATGCCGACGATCATCGAGATCCAGTTCAACTGGAGGACTCGTCGGTCTGTGACAGTGTTGTTAGAGCGTTGAAAATAATAGGCAAGCTGGTCCTGGTTAATTCAAAGGGCTCTACTGCTAATTCTGGCTTTAATTTCTGCGGTACCTACTACTATCACCACTCAGTAGGAGGAATGGGTAGGAATTACACATATAATTATATATAGTTACATGTACGCTGTACAAAGTACAACTTTACACCATACCTCAACCAGATATCCTGTGGCTTGGCTTGGGACACTACAGAGTACGCTACCTCTGAAAAAATCCGAACCATGTTCATGTTCATGATCAATTCAGTTCAAAATTCAAGTTGGGTTGTTACAGGAAATGAAACCCGCAGGACGATTGGATGCCTGATTTCTTGGGTCAACAGAATCCCTGCCTGGGATTTGTCGGTGTCGGCGGTGACAATTAGGTACCTACAATTAGTTACTGGTTGCCGCGGGAAATCCTTTTTATTGGATTTTTTTATTTGGATTTTTTTACGGCTGGATGTCGCGGATCCTTTGATCTAGCCACCTGTCCAGTTGAAAAAAAAAAATCATAATTAACAAATAAAGTCTGGAACTGAAGAAAAGAGAAAGGGGTTTTATCTAGATACCTAGGTAGTAGCTTGTGCTGAAAAGCTTCAAAGTACACGTCGTTTTCTCTCTCACGGATCTTTTAGGTATCTCCACATTACTTAGATCTCACGGAGCCATTCTCACCACTGCTGCAGGGGATTCCCTTTTACGAACTGGATATCTTGATCAGTCGATGTCATGATCTTGTATATATATATATATATGCATGTTTTTTTTTTTTTTTTTTTTTTTTTCAAAAGTTGGCTAAGAAGTCTGGAGCATGACTATTTCTGTATGTATGATGACGAAACGCCTGCCCCACGAAGGATGAGCCTGGACTCTCCTCAGCTCTCTGGAGTACATACTCCGTACTCTATACATAATCTCTGTATTCTTTGAAAAGAATAATACATACCCTGTCGTTGTATACCTAACCAGTGACAGATAACATACATGGATGATGACCCGGCTGACCTGCTGCAATGGCTTTGGTACCTGACAGATATCTATTATTGGCGTTAAGACACCGATAGGGCTATCATGGCATGACACCATCTATCTTACCTAGACTTGGGAAGGTTTGTTTGGCTAGAAAAATTTATTGTAGTACCTAGTCATGCCTACCTAGGTATTCAGTCTAATTGGTGCCTTGAGTTGCCTGACAGGTGAACCTCGTTTTCTTTCATAATGCAAAATCGATCGTGGATTTGCTTTTATTTTAGGTTTTCTTCTCCTCCACCTTCTTTTTTCCCTTGGTTTGTTTTTCTTTCGGCATCCACTGCTCGATTAAGTAGACCATTATCTCAACCCGTTTCTTTATTTATGCTTTTTATTATTATTATTATTATTATTATTATTATTTCAGTCAAAACCTATCAACTTCAAATTCGGAGCTAGTTTGGGAAATGATTAACAGAGCAGCTCACGAGTCACTACTACGTACAGAGTACACTAAGGCACTACTATGAGATACGGAGGAAACGCAGCCACAATCCCTAAAGTAATTGATTCTTCCACCGTATTGATTCCAATATATTGTTGAAGAGGCCCGAGCATATTATAATCAATTTTTTTTTTTTTTTTTTTTTTTTAGTTTATTCAGCTATATCACTAACTATATGATTTTGATAATGACTGGAGCCCAATAGTGACTGATCTAGTTAGCTGAGACATCATCTGTCCCAGTGACCTAGAGTAACCCCAGGGTCCTTCCGGATCAATGCCGTGCCTTACCCAGGGAGGAGCACAAGGCCACAATTAGCACCTGTCGTTTCCCGGAGTGTTACATACAATAACTTAGTTCACAGTCCTCGTGGTCATCCGTATAGGTGGTTCACAATCCTGATTGGAGCAGTCTTTTGATCACGTTTTCTCTTCTCCCCCCAAATCCCGTCCCAGTTCTTGCCTTTTGGGGAATAGAGCTTTCGAATCCCATTTTCTGGGCAATTTGAGTGGTTCCTTTCGGCAAGCCCTAGTAAGGCTGTTCATGAAGAAGTTTTGATGGGTTTTTTTTTTTCCCACCCTTTTAACTTGGAATAAAAATACATGTCGTATTTCGTATGTTACTAGTAGTTGTTGGTATTGGGTATTACACGAGTACAATATGGTAAAAGGGTTTGTACAGTCAGTTTCTTGACCTCCACGATATTCAAGTACTCCGTACTCTATAGAGATTGAGTGAATATTATTATATATCCTTTTTTTCTCTTCTCGAATTACCCTCGATTTTTCACTCCTATTTTATTTCCGAGTTCGCAAAGTATACTCGGGAATCCCCAAATTTTGTCTTCTTCTGTCAGGATTTGCATTGCTTAGGTTGCCGGCCCGGAGTGGACCGCAGCGGGCCTTGTGGACCGTGGGGTCCTAGCTCCTCCTCCTGGACTTCAAAGCTCATGTTAACTTAGCGTTCTCCACTTAAGATCCATGTTGTCTGTGCGGCCTGTGATAGGGCGAGCCTCTCTTCCAATCCTTGCCCAAGCCTCTGTGTAAAAAAGAAATTGCAATTATTTCATGGCTTCTGATTCGTGTTCTCTCGGCCCTCCTGACGTTTTTTTTTTTTTTTTTTTTTCGTGACAAAGTACGATGGATGCAGATCGGGGATTCCTCGTTGCTGACTGGATGAACTTATCAAGTTTCCTTAGGTGGTTTAAGACTTGTTTCGTGACTTACCGTGTACAAGTTATAACTTACAGCTCACTCGGTATAAGTTACGTGCGGAATCGTTGAGAACTGCTTATCTTGACGGAATAGCAGAACAGAGAGGGGAATTCCCAACTAGGGTATTATTTCCCCCCCCCCCCCCCCGACGTGCAAAATCTGACAACCCCAAAACTGGAGCTTCGATTTGTGGACGATCAGCCTTAGTACTACACAAAAGTAATGAGGCTTCATCCCTCCAGACTGCTGATAGAAGATTGACTTGTGCTGTTTAACGTTAGTATTTACGGAGTACCGTCTTTTCTTTTCTGATGAATAATATTGTGCCGCCTTTTTTTTTTTTTTTTTTTTCCGTCTCCCAGTCTTTCACATGTCTTGTTTCATCTTGTATTATTATATCTACTTTATCCTCCTCTACTATACCCTCCAAAACAGATACTGCAGAATAAAACAGACAATGTGAATGGATGACGCTTCCTGGAAACCGTTAAAGTTAACTTAATCTCCATGACGATTATTGATCCCACATATCTACCTATCCGACTATAGTTCGATAACTATCGTCCGTCTTCCTTCACGTATGTCATGCGGGCTATTAGGTTCAGCGGTTTATCGATCCGTTCTCCATACCGTCGAAGATGAGCCTTAGCTTTTAGCTTCGAAGGGGAAACCTTGGAAAACTTTCACAGTCCCCTCAACCCTGGCTTCGACCGAGGACGATCCAACCCCCTTTCTTTTTTTGTATGCTTCCCCTATGTACCTACTACTATTTAGGCTCTTCCGGAAAAGCGAGAGTTTGATCTTCCATGCACACTATTTCATAGTTCTCAGCATAATGAGCGGAGTAATCCCGTCATACATACTCTGGATTGTATACTGGATTAGATATATAGGACGAAAGGATTGCTACCTAGATAGGCAATGACAGCAACAGCAACCAGATGCGGGAAATGCGCAAAGTAGAAAAAAAAAAGAAAAAGAAAAAGAAAAAAAAAAATAACAGAAAGTGTAAATAGGATCTGAGGACAGTCAGTGGGGAGATGGAGAGAGAGGGGAAGGAGAATTCCATTATTATTTCTCTCTTTGTTGAACTTGAATGTAATGTACTGTGTACTCCGTAGTAAGGGTAGTCACCTTTAGGGCTCCACTTGGGATCGGGTACTTACTAGTACTAGTAGGTCCTACGACTATACTTCCTCCAGTAATTCTCTCTCGGACTCGAGAACTGGAGGAGAAAAGAGAATTGTCATTCGTTTCTTAGGATTGGTGTAACGTCTCTAGGGAAGTCCTCTATCTGATTGATACTGAATGGCAAGCAAAGTCATTCAAGCTCTGGGCTGGTTTGCTACCATTCCTAACCGGGAAAGCAGAGAGAGAACTGGAAATTTGGAAGCTGTTTGATACAATACTGTGACACAAAGTCATACAGAGTCGTACCATGTAGCGGTATTTGGACCCAAAAGGATATCCCTGTTGCTCAATCTGTGCGTAAACCAATAAGAGCCCAATTTCCCCACCATTTCTGCTTCTTCCAAGTTTGCTCTGTCCAATCATCGTGTCAAGTCAGGCTTTTTTTTGTCCGTCCCTGTTCGCGCTGGATTTCCTGCTGCTTACAGAGCGAGGTAGACGTTGATCCTCGTGTCGTCTGGCCGGAGTAAATCATAATACCTACCTGAGTAATAATAATAATGATAATAATAATAATAATAATAATAATAATAATACAATTATTAATTCCCGGTCGTATCTAAAATAATAATTAAAATTAAATTCTTTTCCTTTTTATAAATCAAATCAAATCAAAATACCAATCAGCTGGGGGACTCGAGGTAGGTACTCCCGCCAACCACTGATGAATGCAGCATATATCCGAACATCCTCCATACTCCATACTCACTGGGCAGTAACTACAGCTAGTCGTAGTACTAGTTATACCTCTAGGTAGGTCGTAGTAAGTAAGTAAGTACTCTCTGTAGTATGTGGATGGTCACCCATGGCCTCTCCCCTAACACCACTTTTCTTTTCCCATAATTGTTCTCTTCTACCACTCGTTCTTCTTCCTTCACATACTTGGGTTTTATGAGTGGTAGGAGTATAATTCTACTCTCAACTCTGCACTAGTTGATCGTCCCTGGTCTACGTCCTGGTTTGACCAATTTTTAAACTCCGTCCATGCCTTACGCGCATTTCACCTCCCGCCCCTCCGTGCTTTTTTCTTGTCCCTATCCCTCTTCCTCCTTCTCGTTTTCCCTTTCCTCGTCTTCCCCTGTACAAAAGAATTCCTGTATGCATACAGTGCGCTTGGGATAGCTCTGGTTTCAGGCGTTGAAAGAAAGAATCTCTCCCTCACGGGATTTTGTCGTGCTTCTGGGCTCGGTTCCTGCTACTACATGCCTGCTTCTCGCTTCCGTAATTGCATATCGCTTCACTTTGCAATCTTGAACATGCATCTTTCTGCTCTGTACCTGTCTTGGCTTTAGGCTGTCCTGCTTTTACCGGTTTTCTCTCTTTGCCTTTTCCTCCATTGACTCGAGGATTCCCGTTTTTTCCCTTCGTCTTTTCTTCTTTAAATCTTCTAGTGTACCGATAGAGGGAGACACACCTTGTGGCCTGTGTGTTGTGTGTTTGTTCAGGTCTTGCAGCTCCTCCCGCTATAGTTGTTCTCCCCTTTCCTCTCTCCACCAACCACCACCTATCCTCCTTCTCTCACGCCCTCTCTTTGCGCAGTATTCCTCTCAGCTTCGACAGCCATGGATGCAGAGACTCCCCATTCGCAAGATAATGACTTTCCGCAATCGCCCTGGGTCGACTTGAGCGGGTTTCACCCTTCCCAACAGTCTCCACCAATGGATTATCATGGATTCGAATATGGGGTACTTCCAATAGACCCTTCCTACGGCGTGACAATACCACCTCCTTATACATCGATGCCGTTGACATTACCTTCCAGCACTTGGCCAAGTATGCTTGCCACGACTCAGCCGCCGTTCCCGCCGGAGGCTCAGTTGGTTCCAATCCCTATTGCTCCCTCTGTATCACCAATTACACCTATTCCACCCCCCAGAAAGTCATCTGCGAGTAGTTCAACGCCACGGAGGACGCTCACGGACGAAGATCGCCGGCGTATGTGCCTTTATCATGAAGAAAACAAGACAGCCAAACAAACTGATATTGGAGGTAAAAAGTTTCTACCACTTTGTTTTGTGATTATACAGAGCTGACGGGTGATTGTACAGCGCTTTTTGGAGTAGAAAGAAGGTAAAGTTGCTTTTTAAGAGCATTTCCCGGGGGGAGGGCGATTTATTCTAACATATTTTGAAGTACGGTTTCGAAAGTCCTACGGCAAAAGGAAAAGTATCTCAACCCTGATGATGGGAGTCGATCTCCTATCAAAAGGGCCAAAGGCCGTGTTCCTGATATTGAAAAGGCTCTATCCAACTGGGTAAGGAATTACCAGCGCCATGGCCATCCTTTAACCGATGAAATGATCCGGGAGAAGGCTCTCTTCTTTGCTAGTACTTGTGGTAGCCCGGATGGAAAGGAGAAAGTGCTCAGCAACAGCTGGCTGGAAAAGTTCAAGCAAAAGAATGGTTTATTAGGCTCTAAGTCCCGAAAGGGTTCCTTCAGCGCAAAGAGTGACTCGGAAAGTCCGACTGGCTTGACCATCAACCCGGCACTGGCATCCGCTCTACATTCTCCAACTATCCTTTCGCCTACCTCACCCACTGGGTTTATTACGCCATCGCCATTATCACCCGCACAAAGCCAGGAGAATATCAGAGCGAGTATCATCCATGCTCTTCCGGATTTGTCAATTGACTATCAAAATACACATTCCAGAAGCACGACCTCTCTTGACACCGCGTTGTCGATGTCCGCTGGCGTCACTAGCCCTCTGACTGAAAGCCCATTCACCCCGACAAGTCAATCCCGCAATTCGTCCACAGATGGCAATTCCAGCAGGCCACGAAGTCAAACATTCCCCCTCGCTAGCGCGGACCCCAGTTTGATCTCTACGGATGAGCCTTCCGACCAAATGTCTGTAAAGGACTCTATTCGCGCATTTTCCATGGGAATGGATGGGGAGGAGCACGATCTTAAAGGTGGTCTCAATATCGATACGTCCGCGGGCACGATCAAGCGAAATCGAAGCAATCCCGAGATCCGGGCGAAAACTGTCTACCCCCCATCATTCTCCAAGTCCACAACGGTATCTCCGATTAGCTCCCCGGGTTCACCAACTCAGGATGAAGCTCGAAAGGCTTTGGAGCTGGTGATGAGTTACTTTGAGCAGCAGCCATCCGGGCTAGTTGCACAGGACTATGTGACCATTGGCAAATTGATGGAACGACTTGAGCTCGCCAAAGCCCAGCAACCGAACACACTTCCGGGCGGTCTCACTCGGATTGATGAGCACGATGACGCTGTACCTCTTATCGCTAAGAAACAAAGTATTCATGGCCTGGGTTAAGGTTGACTCGTTCTTGCATAATTTCCTTTAGTTTTTTTTTTTTTTTGTTAATTCCGGGCAGGTTGGTTTATTTCTTGCATCTTGGACGTCTTCATGTTTATTTGTGTACTTGTTTTGGGAAAAATCGGATGATAAACACAATACGAGGGCAACCTCATATATACAGTCTTGGATGGAAAAAAAAAAAAAAACCCCAGTGCTTTTCCTGGTGAACAGGGCACATGGGGAACAAATCGGCGTGATGTCTATTTATTGTCTCTGTTCTTTGTCTTCTTCTTCTTCTTCTTCTCTGTTTTCCTCACATAATGGTGTTTGTGTGTTGGAATAGCCATGATCTAAACATCTCGCTCACGCGCATCTGCATTTATTCCCCTGGCTTTGTCTGTTTTTTTCTTTTTTTTTTTTTTGCACTTCTGGTTTCTGATTCCTGGTCTCACCGCATTTTTTGCGTCATTTTTCCATCTACTCCTCGCTTCTTTTCTCCAGGAAATTTTGGGTCTCCATCTACTCCGTCTGTCTGTCCCCAAAGGGCTGATCTGCATGACTCCAGGTACTACCTACATAGTTAGTACTACAATTCTACATACAAAGTGACTCGTTCGGTCTAAGCCCACACAAGCGCCCCATTATTTCATTCAAAATTCATTCCCTTTCTCCTCCAACCAATAATATCCTCTGCTAAGGTTCTTCGTCATTTAATTTTTAACCTCGTTCAACCTGCCTTGTAATACTTGATGATGATTTATTCTTTCCCCTGTCTTTCTCTCGCTCCCGAGATTCCTTGTTCCCGGTTCTGCTCTCTGCAGGTAACTGTCCCCCACCACCACCTAGGTTATGTAATGTAATTCCTGTCATCACTGCGTGAACTCGATTGATCTTATCAATAATACAATACAGAGTCAAGTACTCCGTAGTCTGATCCGTTTGACTTCGACTTGGTTCACTGAATATGAATATAGAATGATTTTTCTCCCCTAGAAGATTAAACTACACTACCGAGTCCCACTATGTACCGAGTACTATTACATTCCTATTAAACGCAACGTTTAACTATTGCGAATTCCAATGACTTGCATCGTTACTAACACATCCACTAATGCTATAGTTAACTATAAGCCCCCGGGGGGGGAGAGGGGGGGGGGTTCTACTAGTAGTATACATAACAAAAGAAAAAGAGAAAAAGAAAATTACAACCACACCCCCCTCGCTGCGCCTTCTTTCCAGCCACTTGGTTACTCCGTAGGGCGACTTAAAAACTGTAGGTACCTACGTAGGTGCCCTATAGTAAACTCTTTCTCTGCGGTACTTTTGGGATCCAACTAGGTAGTGCCTTATCGTAGCTAGAGGTGGGTAAGTGGTCAATATGTACCAGGTTAGCCAGGCCTAGCTAGTCAAATACTTCGCCCGAGATTGTTAGGATCCTTTTTTTTTTTTTTTTTTTTTTAATTTTAATTATATTAACTAGAACGCTATATTGCTAGGGAGCTAGCTAGCTAGCTAGACTGCTACTAGTAGGGGCAGCAGCAGCATTTAAGAAAACACCTCTATCCTCCATTAACTCCGCGATACTACGGTCCGACAACTCAGGGAGCAGCCTTGCAAGCACGGTTTCGAGAATCGAGTATATCAGGTGTTTGTTAGAGTACTCGTCTGCGAATAAGTCGAGGATGTCGGTTTCGATTGTGTTGAGGAGAAGAGATTCTTCGTGATCTTTCACGTTGGTATTCTCTGCACTGGTTCTGTTCAAAGGTGAGGCGGAATCTTCAGGATCAGAGTCGTGCTCTTGGTCTTGGTTATGGTTCTTGAGTATAGGGCCAGAGAAAGACTCCGCGGAAGAATCGGAAGGAGAAATGCCAAGTAAATGGCGGGCGATTGGGCGTGGAATCAAGGATAAAATCCCAACTGCGCATTTTCGCCTGATTAAGGCGATTTCAGGGCCCGAGGGGCGCTGTTGTTCCTGTTGGGCGTGTTGCTGGGGCCCTGGCGATAAGGAGGGGGTTCCAATCACTGTATGAGCAGGCGTGGGCGCTCTGCTGCCAATGGCAGCAGTCGTCGTTGTCGTACTCGTAATCGGGACGGTTAACGGCTGCTGGGGAGTCGGAGTCGGCCTCAGCGTCACCGTCGGCTCTTCAGAGCGATTCACGCCGAGTACAGGCTGAAGGCGAGCATTCTGCGGGAACAGTGCCTCTCTGGATGCGAGGAGAAGATTGGGTAATAAGGTGGGGGGGAGGACATGATCCTGGATGGTTTCGTGGAGGAACCTAGAGAGGGAAATATAGTTAGGAAGATGGGGGGGGGGGGAAAATAACGGCTTGGCTGGGGCTGATCTCCGGGAAAGAAACAGGAGAAATCATCAATGAGGATGTAGTAGTCTGTAAAAATGAAACAGAGAGGGCGAAGGAGGGAACGGTAGGTGTGGAGGAGTGGTTCAGGATGAGAGGCCCTGTCGAGTGCTTCCCTGTTGCAGGGATGAACTTTGTGCCATCCTACTCCATCTCTGTCCGTTTCGAGAATCGAGGGAAGATCAATCAATAGAGACTTGAGGCGGATTTGATCATTTGAATCAGTTGACAGTGCAGGAGTTAATAGGATCTGCCTGACCAGAGGAAACCAAGGAGCTTGGGCCAGCCATTGGTGCGATTGAAAAGGCCCCAGTTCTGGAGACTGGTGAAAATAGGAGGGCGAAGAAACTTTTACTCGGCGCGTGCATCATCGATCAGAAAAGCCACCAAGCAACCATTTGTTTCCCCAACTCCCATAGGCTTGTCAACCAGGTCTGAACGCACCAGGAGCCATGGAAGCCTCGGCTTTAGGTCAAATTTGAGAATTCATCTACCAGGAATTTCGCTGATTGGTCCAAAAACCAGAAAAGAGCGAAACAGGCTGGTCCAATCCATTCCAAAAGCTCCAAGGCCGACGTCACAAAGGCCGTTTTTCTCAATTGGAGAAGGCGAGACCGCTACCAATGGACTGCTGGTTTTTTTTTTTTTTTTTTTTCTTCTTTTCTTTTCTTTTCTTTCCCCCCCTGCCTTTCGATTTTCGGGCAGCACAACGTCAACCATTTCAGTAAAGTTGGGGAAAGAAAAGAAAAGAAGAAGAAAAGTAGCCCAAACTGTCCGAGCCTTTTCTTTAGCCCCTTAGTTCCTTCCCCTTGTTTGCTGAAGAGGTCGGGGAAATTGCATTGACTTTCTTCAAGGTGTCGGATACTGACGGGGGGGAAAAGATTGGAACCAGCACGGGACGGAAAGGGCCGGTCCTGCCCATTTTGCTCTGAGTTACCCACCGCAATTGATGGATAGAGCCTAGAGCTCAAAGAAATTTCCTAATCTGAGTTTTGTCCTTTGCGAGACATCACCAATCGGGTAGCAGGGTGATATACAGAGCCGAAGTTGCCTCGAAGAGTAAAGGGCCTGGACAGGTGGCGACCATGCTAAGAGCTGATTTTCAAGGTACATGGCACGAAATGAGAAATGATCCCGAGCGACATCGTCAGGGGTCTGACGAGCGAACGACAGGGAAAGAAAAAAAAAAAAAAAAAAAAAAAAAAAAGGACCCAGGCAAGCCCCTAGTCGTCGGTAATGACGATACGCGCACAGTAATATAACGGTATCTCATGGTCACGACTTGTAAAAGACGATACGACCATGCATCAGCGAATGGGGGTGCGTCTTTGGAGATTGCAAAGGATGGGTAGTGCATCCACAAGCAGATCAAGTGATCGATGCAGCATGCGAGCAATGTAAATCTACTGCATTGACATCCTGCTGGTCCTCCGTCTTCTTCCAATGACTTGTTTTGAAATCGCCTGATAGAGAAAGTCCTCGCCCCAGCGCCATTTGTAGATCATCGTTTGGATATCCATTCCGCTTTCTCCGTATCTGTCGTCCGCATCCTTTCGGCTTTCTCGGGCTCCATCGTGTGAACACGGACCGTCCCACAAGGAGAGAGACCCGTGGGTGATAGTGCGGGAAATGGAGAAGGAGGGGAAAAGGGGGGGGGGGGGGGGGGGAAGTTTAGGAATTCCAAATTACAGGGGCAGCTTACCTATCAAGAATACCACCCACTTCACCAACCTGACCTGGACCCGCCAGAATCAAGTATTGAAAGAGCGCCAGCAGCCCTCCTAGCCAAGGCATCCGCCGGGGAATATCCAACAGCTGTGAGAGCATGCCGTAAAGTCGATAATTAAGCACGGGCCGCCTCCCTATTATGCTGTGTTGAGTGGGTATCTCTTCCACAAGGCTAGCTGAAGGCGTCGTGGACCCCGAAGTCAAAGCCGTCGGAGGCGTCGATGCAATCCGAAATAAGCCCGCAGCGATGAAACGTAAAGTCACATAGGTGAAATAAACATACTGGAGAAGATGCCATATCCAGTTTGAAGTCTGTGATTGGGTTGTAGATGATGAGCGATTACTCTGGCTGTCTTTGGGCGAGAGTAAGCCAAATTTTTGTAGTCGGTTCTGTGGAGATTTCTCGACTCCGCTATCTCTATTTTGGGGCTTATCCCTTGATAAGGTGTCCAGTAGCTTTGTAATACTTTCCCACAGAAACCAGCCTTCACATATCTTCCCACTTACTTCATTTCCCAAAACAAGGTCCGCCAGAATGTCGGTCACCAAGGCCCGAAGACATGCATTTTCAAGTTCCTCAGTTGGAAGAAGCACCGCCAGAACCCCATCTGCCAACAGTCGTCGGTATACCGCTTCGTTTTCCCGCTGCTGCACAATAGTTTCAGGATCGCAAGGGTCTGGAACCGGCCAGAGGCCCGGGTGTGGGTTCAATGCATGATAGATTTCGCGCGAAGAGGGAGAAAAGCCGGACAGGTTAGCTTGTTCTTTTGCCAGTCGATATGCTATCATAAAACAAGTCAGTCTGCATATATTGCTCTCCTGAATCAAAGAGTTAGGGACAAACTTACAGGCAATGTGTGCCTCTACCAATGCAGGTAGTTCGTCAAGAATCAATTGCGCAACATCGATTTCTCGTAGTCTCTGTTCCAGGGCCCGTGTGCAGTGCGCGACCACCTGCACTGCTTCGTTGACGAGTGCTGGGTCCGATGTAATTTTTGAATACCAAGAAGTAACAAACTCCTTGATAATAATGGCAATGAGAGCATAGAGTTGACGGTCCACGTCATTCGAGCTGGTAAGCGGGGGTAATAGCTCCTCTGGGGCATACGGCGAAGTAGCACCGCTATAACTTCCTGTCTGAGGGCAAAGAACGCGTCGGATCAAGGCAGTCGTGGCCCTGTCGCTTGTTCCACTGATTTGTTCATCCTTGCCGGGGTTCTTTAATAGCTGCGGTCGATGCGAAAACTGCGCGGGAGGCGGGGTGGACGAGGAAGCTGGCAAGGCTGTTGATTTGGAGCTGAATGTGGTTGGGCCCGCCTTCAGATGCGAAAAGGGATGAAGACCCGGACGGATAGGGTCGGTGGTCATCTCATCGCCAGATAATAGTATCTCAAGATGAAATTAGAGCCGCCAGATTAAAATCTTCCGCGCAACACGGGGGGGATTCTGCAGTAAACATCAAGTTTCGGGATGGAGGATGAGACGTCACCGCGACATGGAGAAGACATCCTGATAAGGGAATTAGGGCTTAGGGTTGATGAGCGGCCCGATAAGTGTTATCGGATCCCCGCCAAAAGTCGGAGCAAACAACGTTGTATCAACTAACTTGGGAATACTTAACAGCATCATACAATCCTCCTAAGGCCTGTCCGGTAAATCTAAAAGAGGATACAGGGAAATTCTAGCCCGCATTACCTTATGATTCCCGCAACAGCTAGCCCAACGCCTTTGTGGTTGGATTGCGATCCTGGTATGCACCCTGATCTGGCTTCCGGCTTATACAACGCTGACCCGGGTCTCTAGGCCACGATGTAAGTACTACTCGGAATCTAGATACTTCTCGCTAGCAAATATGCGCCCGTGGAGCTTACCAGCCTATTTCATGTCTCTGTATAGGACGCATTTGCAATTCTACTCGCTGCTCATCACCCCGCATTACAACTGTTAGGTATCACAACCATCCACGGAAATGCCTCGCTCGAGAACACCACCATCAATGCGACAAGGGTCTTAGAAGCAATTGGTAAACCGGAGATACCGGTCTATCCGGGAAGCAAGAAACCATTCTGTAGACCAGCAGTACACGCTCCCAATATCCACGGTCAGTATCCCCCGACTTTGGAAATCCACCCCAATCGGGGGGATCAGGCTAATACGCATTGCATATTCCAGGCGATTCTGGAATCGATGGGACTGAGCTTCTACCCAAAGCTTCTAGACCACCCATAACAGACAAAAACCCTATCCTTGCTATGCGTGACGCCCTTATGGCACAACCAAAGGGCACGCCTTGGGTCGTGGCTACTGGCACCTTAACCAATATCGCCTTGTTGTTTGCGACTTTCCCCGAAGTCGCATCGCACATCCAAGGGCTGAGCATCATGGGCGGCGGAGTCGGTAACGGGTTCACAGATGCTCCAATGAGCAAGCTCGAGGGTGGAAAGGACAGGATTGGAAATGTGACTCCGCTCGCAGAGTTCAACATCTATGTATGACTTTTCCCCAGAGTAGCATGTCCTCCTCTTTCTTCTAACTTGGAGTTTGAATCTAGTGCGATCCAGAGGCCTCCCAATCGATCTTCAGCAACCCAATTCTCGCCGCCAAGACGTTCTTGATAACCCTAGACTTGACACACCAGGTCCTCGCTTCACGCGAAATCCAAACCCGTATCCTACATGGTGACGACCCTTCCGCGGCCCCCACGGTGCTCCGCCAAATGCTCTATGAGCTGCTCATCTTCTTTGCCTCGACCTACGAAACCCAATTCGGTCTGACGACGGGACCCCCGCTCCACGACCCACTCGCCGTGGCGGTGATCCTGTCTACGCTGAACCCTATCTTCGCGGCCAAACATGCCGGCCAGGCTCTTAAGTTCGATGACCGTAATGGAGAGCGATTCGCCGTAACTGTCATCACGGATGGACTGCACGGGACGGATATTGCGCTGGTGGGACAGCTGGGCCGCTCAGTGGTCGCGAGCCAGCCTACTGGAGTTAGTATCCCTCGTGGAGTGGATCTGGATGCATTCTGGGATATGATCGTAGATTGCATTAAGCGGGCAGATGAATGCAATGTTGCGCGACAGCGTGCGTAGTTCCTGGGGAATCTGCCTATATAGTTCTTTAAACCTGTGGATTGAGTAGATAGAGCTTGCATTGAGACGGATCTTGAGATTCAAGTAGATGCATATTCAGACACAGCACACGATTGATATTAGACCAGTACATACACCCTTTTATAAGAGCTGTCTATAAGCGATCAATCCCGATTTATTGCCTTTGTTGACCACATGCGGACTATATTCACCACGCTATGCTAAAACAAATCAACTCGACACGGCCTAAATCCAATCCAGTCCAGTCCCAGCACTTAGCTAGTGGAGAAAAGAAGCATCATGTAGGTCAAGCCTACCACTCCCGGATACTTCCATCCGGGCCGAAGAACTCCTTCGGCAACCATGGCTCGGTACTCTGGGCCACGCTACGAACAACCTCCTCATCCACCTCAATGCCGAGACCCGGTGCGGTCAGCGCATCTACATAGCCATCCTTCACCGCAAACACGCTAGGATCCTTCACATAGCTCGTGATATCGTAGTCTCCGGCTTCAGTGTTATAGTGAATCCCCAAACTCATCTCCTGGATCACAAAATTCGGAGTCGCAAGATCCACCTGCATACAAGCCGCGAGCGCAATCGGGCCGAGGGGGCAATGCGGCGCAATGGCCACGTCATATGTTTCAGCCATGGAGGCAATCCGACGCAGCTCAGAGATTCCACCGCAGTGGCTGATATCGGGTTGGAGAATATCCACGCTCGCATCTTCTAGGAAACGCTTCACATCCCACCGGCTGAAGAGGCGCTCGCCCAGGGCGATGGGGCAGGAGACCAGGTTGGAGAGTTGCTTGATGCCCTCTGGGTGTTCTGAGAGCAAAGGCTCCTCGAGGAAAAGTGGGCGGTGTGGTTCTAGGGCTTTGGCTAGTTGCTTCGCCATGGGCTTGTGGAGACGGCCGTGGAAGTCCAGGGCCGCATCGAGGCCCAAGGCCTTCACAGCCTTAAGACGCTCGACACTAGAATCTAGTGCGCTGGGAGAATCCAGCCAGTTTATGTCCTCTGTGGCGTTCATCTTGACGGCTTTGAATCCTTGCTCGAGGCGGGCCTTTCCTGCAGCTTCAACGTCGGAGGGGCGGTCGCCGCCAATCCAAGCATAGACGGAGAGCTTGTGGCGGACTTTTCCACCGATGAGTTGGTGGATAGGGACGCCAAGGCGGCGGCCCTTGAGATCCCAGAGGGCGATGTCGATACCGGAAATAGCGGACATGAAAACGGGGCCACCACGGTAGAACCCGAGACGCCAGGCCATCTGCCAGATATGCTCGATGTCGCTGGTAGGGTTAGCTAGCGCATTTAGAATTCGAAGGGAGGATATAACGTACTCAGCTTCGTAGCCTTGGAATCGCTTGATGAGAGCATTGAGTGTCCCCTCGACTGCCTCAGTATGGCCCTCCAATGTGCTCTCACCCCAGCCATAGTTACCATCTTCGTCGACAATCTTCACAAAGAGCCACCGGGGCAAGACCCGGAAGTATTCGATGGTCTTGATCTTGGCCATTGTGGTATTAGATGTAAAGGAGGGTTTCTAGAAAAGAGACGGGACCAGGGTGATCCCATTCATTTATTCTTCTCCATGACCGTAGAATTGTCGGAGTTGCTCCGCCAAATTCGACCCGAATTACCGAAGTTGAATCTTCGAAAGAGTCGATATAGAATGTCTGAAACCGGAGGAACTTCACCACACCATTTGTTAGAAGTTAGGAGATACATCCCAAGTTTAACAATCGAGACTTACTTTAGTATGGAGGACGGACTACGGAGGACTCTGGAGGAGCACTAGCGCTAGGGAATTGACATGGCATGACGGCTGAGTCCGGGGTAAACTTTGAGGGCATTCGAGAATGATCCCAGAACCGGAAAGAAGAGAGGACTGTGATTGGGTTCGGATGAAGTTTGAAGAAGATGGAATATAGAATTGAAGCTGAAGGTAGGATCTAGTTAAGAGTGGAAGCGAAGTAGGCTTTTTCCATGGTTGAACAGACAGAATTCAATCTCTCAATTCAATCGCGGAAAATCGCTAAATAAATAAGCCAATTAATTCAGTTCAGTGGGTGAAACAAGATGCAGTAGAAGAAGAAGAAGAAGAAGAAGAAGAAGAAGAAGAAGAAGAAGAAATTCCTGGTGGAAGACAAAGACCCGATCAGGCCAACTCCAGCGCCCGTCCGTCCGTGACTTGGCCATCGTCTTGTCTTGTCTTGTCTTGACTTTATTTCACCTCTCCTCCTCACTTCCTCAGTCTTCTTCTCATCCGATCTCAAATCTTCCTCCATCCATCTCATCCGCTCTCCTCTTCCTCACTTCATCCCGATTCTGACTGCATGCATTCCCCTATTTGGTGGACTGCCTCTGCGCCACCACCTTACTCTCGACTAGTACCAACCGCGTCGTCTGTGTGAAGAAACATACTGGCTGGATCATGCCCCCAGTTAATTCGCCCTCTGTACGTCTTACATCCTACTTTTTATGCTTGTTCATCGACAGAAATCCTTTTCCCGGATACGCATATCACCCTGTGTTGTAGGCTAATAACATCGGTTTCCTATCACTTCGCCTTCGCTTGCAGGACCCCCCCTCTCGGTCGCCCTTGGCTGCTTCTTCCTCTCTCCAACCCTCGGCCGCTGCCTCCATTCCCGTCTCCTCTCTCCCCGCCGCCGTGTCCGATGATGCCCACGATGATAACGTGAGTTTTCTCCGGTCTCGTGTGCGCTCCCCCCCGGACACCTCGTCCTCGTCCTCCGCTTTGCTCAGTCGCCAGCGTCGCCGCCGACAGCAGGTTCTCTCCGAATTCGATATTGATCCCATGGATTTGGATGATGCCAACCTGCGCATGTCGGTTGAAATCAACCGTCGCATTCCGATTCTGCGCCGGCAACGCGACAGTCCCAGCAGCGATACTCCCAATACCACCAGCCACCCCAACGCCAACACCAGCAATAATATTCCCAACTACGAAAGTCGAGTTTCAAACCCCCGCTTACTCTACGGGTGGGCTCCTGCGTCTGATGACGACGATGACGATGATATACCCTATCCACCGATGCAGAGCAATGCCCTTTCATCATGGCTAGGTCGACTTTCCGACCGTAGCGCCTCCAGGCGTTCTACACGCCGCGATGCTATCAGTAGAGTCCCTCAGGCGCCGTCTGAAGACGCGACGGAAAGTAATAACAGCAACCACCGAGTAAATGACACTTCGTTGTCGACGACAGAGGCTCTACTTCAGTCAGTGCGACGCCAACCCCGATTTTCCCGGACAAGAACACTGCACAATTATCTTTTGGATCGCGAAAGGGCCAACCCGGATTCTGAGGAGAGTCGAGACGGCACAAGCGCAGCATCCACATCACGAGCCTATCGATACATCCCCAGCAGTCGTGGTGAACCACATCGGGTCCTGACCCATAACGACCTGCGCGCCCGAATCAGCGCTCACCGGCAATTGCACTTGGAGAATACTCCCAGCCCTCGTCTCAAAGAGACAATTCGTTATCTAGACAGGTTGCGCTATTCGAATTCGTTTGAGGAGAGTTTGACGTCCGCAGCTGCGGGAGGTTTCGTACAACTAGATCTTCTCGCCTGGGACGAGGACGACTTCATCCTCGACACGTCTTCGATATCCCCTCCCCCAGAGTGTTCCTGGCTTCGGCCAGGGTTGACGTTTTCTGGCTCCCAACGAGCTGCCAGCACTACGAATACCATTTTCCCATCACAAATGACAGGTCTGCCTCCTGGTAACGACCCGATGATTGTTGATGGCAGTGAACAAAATCGCATCAGTGTGCAAACGACGAACGGAAGACGGTATCTCGCCCATCAAATGTACAGCATGGGAGGCAAGGACGAAAACTGGCCTGTCAAGGTTACAATCCACGACATAAACACCCAGGACATGACATTATCCGGCACAATGGAAGCATATAATATTCCTGATAAAACCTCATCGATGCACGATGCGCACATTGTAACCTTTCTCGAGGGCGAAATTATCGATTTTAATACGCATACCCTTGAGACCAAGAACTTCAAAGCAAACGCAGAAATCGACAGCACATACTGGCGGGAACTCCAACCATTCAAAAACCTAACTGACGAGGAAATGACTCGAAATCTTGTCAGCCGGAAATGGGTCACAGAGGATCTGTGCAAGGGTTGGATTCTGATGCGGTGGAAAGGTTTGTCTGCATTTTTTTTTTTTAGGGGTCGTAACTGAATTACTTCTAACCCCAACCAGAACGCTGCTTTATCACCCCTACGGATGCACGGCAAGGTCTCACAATCTCCGGATTCTACTATATCTCTCTACATCGCGAAAGTGGTCAGATCGAAGGGCTCTACTACGACCCTGGCAGCTCACCATATCAACAATTATCATTGAAGCCGGAAACAAAAAGAATGATTCGTCCATCCTACAGTTTCCGGTAGTCGCTCTCTGATGGCAGATTGCGTTCGAGTTCGCTTGGCGTTGGTTCGGCTCGGTACATAGCATGGCTGGTGTTTCCCTTGTCCTCGGGGATAGGCCATATGAGAGAGATACTTAGCTTCTAGACATACATATCCACGTACTTTTTCTACACATTAGTTCGAAAGAATAGCTCTACGAAGAAGAAGACGAAGAAAAAATGAATGCAGCTGAAGCTTATTTTTGCCTTTTTTTTTTTTGCTAATTTCCCAGTCACCGAGGGTCAGTCCAGCGAGAAGAATGACGTGACATAATACGGCATGAGACCGACACAGAAAACACACGATTGTATATCAGATCTTGCCAGCGCGAAAACGGAAAAAAAAAAACCCCAGGTATCCGGCTATCCCATCTATGGACCGACAAAAATCAATCAACCCCATCCCATGTTCTTGTTTTTTTTTTTTTTTTTTTAATCCGAACCGAGTCCCATGAACCGTCCATTTCACATCATTTGTTTTTTCTTCCCAGTCATTGTCCGAGGGACAATTTACTGCTCAGTCTGGAAGTAGTTGAGGAGGACAGAGCGCTCCTGGGACTCCTCACCCCAGTCCTTAACAACAACGCAAGAGCAGTTGACAACCTTGCGAGCGTTACCCTCACGGTCGAGCTGGCCTGCACACACGGAAACACAAATGATTAGCCAAGTCCCCCACAGACACAAGGTGAACAAACTCCTTTTACTTTTTTTTTTTTTTTTCTTTTTCGAAGGAATTTACCAAAGTTCACAAGAGGAAGGTGAAGGGGGGGGAGAGAACATACAAAGACCAACCCATTCGCCGAGCATCTTGCCATCAGGAACCTTGATCAAGGGAATCTTGTGCTCGGAGCAAAGGGCAACAACCAGCTTCTTGTAAGCCTCCTCCTCGCAGCCCTCGTTCAGGACACACATGTGGGCCTGGCGGCGGTCCAGGGCCTTAGCAGCCTCGCGCAGTCCACGGGCAAGACCGTCGTGGATCAGGGAGATGCGGAGAACACCCTTCAGGGCATCGAGGACGGACATCTGGCCGCCAGCGCCGGCGTCAGCGGAAACCTCGACCTCATCGGCAGCGGCGACGGGGGGGTTGGAAATGGTCTCTTCTCCGTCCGACTATATGTCAAAAAAAAGGGTTCATATTAGTTGAAATTCTGATTTCTCTCTCCCTCTCTCTCTCTCTTTTTTTTTCTTCTCCCCGTCTCTGTCGTGGAGCAAACTAGGGGCAAAATTGCATTGGGGTTGGGATGAATTGGATGAATTCGATTGATAGACGGAAAACGCACCATTTTGATTTTTGTTCAGTGATGTTTTGAACGTCGGATTATCCTCAAAGAGTGGTGGTGAAGTGGTGTAGACAAGTTCAATGTGGGCTACGGATGCCAATTTCTCCGTCTCGCTAAATCCGTGTGCCCTACTGCTGACTAATATCACATGACCTTCTACTAGATGTGGTGTATGAGATCCACGTGATTCAACTGGGACGAAAAAACAAATAAAGATAAAAGATGATGATGGATTAAGGAAAGCTGTAGCTGTGCTACTATCCAACTACGGATATCATATATCACGTCGTATCAATGAGGTATCATAGTCATACACGCAAGTAAACATCCACCTGTACAGGTTGCGGAACAATGCGAATCAATCAAACATATGTACTCGGTCGGCTATGTCCATAGCCATTAGTAAGGCCTTCTGCGAAAAGCCCAGTGTTATCAATATGCGGAGGTCCAGAGATGTGCCCATTTGCTTGCGGCAACTCGAACGCAGTTGGCACCGGTTCTTGGTCAATATGCATTTTCAAGAACCGAATGTCCAGCCCATGAAGGTGAGGAATATGAGGAACGAGGTCCATAAAGTCGGAAAGCTTATAATTGATTAGCTCGTAATCGCTTCGAGAGCATAGAAGAGGGGGGGGACATACCTTAACCCAAAAGACATGCTCCATGTCGAAATATTTGCTCCGTGTTTCGCTATCCTTCTGCATGACCTGCCCAAATGACGACGCCAGGAATTCAATATCATCCGCCTGCACAAGCATTCGCCGGGTAACACGCCAGAGGTTCATGCGTTGCGTAGGTGTTGCATGGCGCTTCTCCCAGCTCGCATACTGAGCAAGTTGAAGGTCATTGGTCGCTAGAAGAGGGGCAACCAGGTAATTAGGAACCCATTTCTCTTTCGCAACATCCGTGTGGCAGTTAGGGTCCAGCTGCTTGGTTTCGGCCGTCACCACCGGCATAAATTTCCTAAGCCACCAGTGACTTCGTGCCTGGGGATCATTAGATCCTACGAGGTTAGCGGCAATACGAAGTCGGCTCGGGAGTGCATCCCGCCGCCGTTGCTCTTGCTCCTCCTGTTCCCTGCGTAATTTCGCGAGACGCTGGCGTTCTTGTTCAAGCCGCTTCTGTCGTTCCTCCTCTGCCTGCTTGATGCGTCGTTGCTCAGCCTCCTTTCGCTTGCGCTCTTCTTCTGCAGCCTTCTCCTGGGCTGCTCGGGCCGCACGCTCTTCTTCTTCTTCTTCTTCTTCTTCTTCTTCCTTCTCGGCCCGAGCCTTCTTGTCTGCTTCAGCAGCGAGTCGTGCTTCTTTGGCAGCCAGCCGGTCTTGTCTGGCCTTTTCCGCTAACTTTTGATCCTCGCTGATACTGCTCGACGGGTCGTCTGAAATAGGCATCTCACCATTAACCCGTGTCTGCTCAGCGGGTTGCTTCCGCCTCGAAACGTCCTTTTTTCGGCCCGCTTCTTCGTTCGGCTCTGCCGCCTGGGTCGAATTCTCGAGGGGAATATCTTCTAAGTCGCGTGACTCATGTTTTCCCTGCTCTTTCTTCACCGGATTTCGATCAGATCCTCTAGACCAGAGATGTGGATCCTGCGACTGATCCTTTTTCGACTCTAAATGACTGTCCTTCTGCTGTCGAGACGGAGACTTGATGTCAACAACACCTATCGGCTGAGAATTCTGTACGCCTCCATTAGAAATATTCGGTGCGCCTTCCTCAGAAAGAACCCTCCTCTTTTTCTTTTGAAGGTCGCGATTATGACGCTCGGCCTCAGGCCCGCGAGAACGAGGTCGATCCGGACTAGCACTGCTACGTCCACGTTTCAGTTGTTGGGTTCTAGAAGCTGGTTCAGAAGAATGGTCGGCTCGCGGCTTGACACTTTCTTCGCGTCCAGATAGGGAATCTGATGACGGCAAGCTGGGAATTTTTCTTTCCCGATCCTGGGGAGGCCTTCCAGCAATCAATCGCCTCCTCTTTGTGACCTCGTCGCTCCTGACAGAGTCTCCGTCCTTTAATGACGATACAGCCTTCGATCTGGTAGGTTCAATCCGAGAGCCATCAGAGTCTGAAACACCGCTATGCGACGGCTTCGAACGGGAGATGCCAGAACCGGATTTATCTTTTGGATGGGCAATGCCCCTTTTGGAGACTGCTGGGTCCTTGGCAGAGGTCTCGCGGGCGCTAGGGCTTGCGAGTCGTTTCTTCAGCCGGGGAATGGGAGAAGGAGAATCCTTGCGGGAAGTTCGTTTGTTGTCCTTCTCCTTCTCACGTGCTCGTCGTGGTGAAGAGAGATCGGCTCTCCGATGCTTCTTGGTTTTAATGTAATTGTCGTACGCGTCTCGAAGAAGGTCGTACTCTTCTTCCCAGTTATCAGCCATGCGCTCCCTGCACAGCTCGAAATAGGTGCGGTCTCGGTACAGACGGCGCGTAGGGTTGAATCCGGGTTGATCAAGGAGCAGTTTGATCACGGCAACATTCCCCCGACCAATCGCAGCCAGCATTGGAGTATTGTAGCCCGGTTTCTGAGAGCCATTTTGGACAGGGTTGGGGTCGGGATCTGCATATCCCATACCCAAGAGTAGAGACAAAACTTCATCGTGACCTCCTTTCGCAGCAGCAATCATCGACTCGGTGTCGGCTTTTTGTCCCACATTCAGAATATTCGCAACACCGGCTATGTCACCCTTTGCAGCAAAGGCCTGCAAATTTTCGGGGGTTGCCTTGGTCCATAGCAGATCGTTCCTAGTAGCTTCACTTCGCACACTCTTCCGTTTAGTGGTCGTCGTACTAAACAACGGAGGGCTGCGCTGTCCATTCACGGGGGGGGAGTCACGCGGACTTGCGTTCGAAACTCGGCGGGAGGATGACTCTCGGTTTCCAGACCCAGTATGCTCCTCTGAGCGACGGTTGGGCCGCGGGTGGGCCTTCGCTTCCTCGAGAACTCGACGAATCTCCTCACAATCTTCGGGAACCAGGTCGGTAGGTTCGTCTCCATGCGAATTCACAGCGCGGGGGTTAGCACCAGCTTCTAAAAGAATCTTGACCACCTCCAGATGGCCATTCTCTGCAGCATCGATCAAGGGGGTATCTTTGTCAATATTGCAAGTCTCCACTTCGCATCCAGCGGCAAGCAGGAATTTAACAATGGGAACAGAACCTTCTAGAGACGCGATCTGCAGAGGGGTATTCCCTGCATTATCAGCAACATTCAGATCCTCGGGACGCTCTGCATGTCGTGCAACCACCGCCTCCAATTCTTGAGCTGCGCAGGCACGAGCCAAACGAGTTCGGCCATTCTGATCGCGTAGTTTCTTGTGGCCAGTTGCACGTGCGGGAGATGCTGAAGTTCCATCGCCCGAAGCAACCTTCCGCACATGAGCACTTGGTAGCGGTGATCCATTGGCAGATGAAACCGACATTCTGTCTTCGGAACTTTGCCTCTGGAAACCAGTTATCAAGGGAGTTGGTTTGCGTCTCCTGGAATGGTCGCCAGTCGTCATGTGGGGGCCGGAGGTCGTTCGTTTATGCGCCCGGCGGACTGGAGAGATGGAGCGATCATTAGATACAGGTCGAGGAAAGGTAATTCCATTGCTCAAAGCTCGGGCCTCTCGGTCGCGACGGGTTGGAGAGCGATGACGGCGCCCCGGTCGGCCCACATCCGGCTCACCACTAACACTCTCGCTGAAGCTGCGCTTCCTGGCGGCCCTCGAGGCAGCTGATGGCAGATGCTCATGTTTACTTGGAATGGACTGCAGGTCTTCAGTCTTCTCAACCTTGACAATAGACGGTGATTTGGATCGAACAATAGGGCTTGATGGGCGATTTTCACGGTCGGATCTCTCGGGAGCGTTATCATCTTCCTCCCCAGACCTGTTCTTTCTCACCTCAACATAATTGGGGGGTAATTCGCTTTCCACGCCAGCATAGTCGTCTCCATCATCATCACTTCGTTTCGGTTCATGCTTTATAAACTTTCGTCTTTTCTCCGGGGACAGAGACTCACGGCCGGACTGAATAATGGTTTCTGCCTCCGAGTCAGCCCTGGGACTTGGGGGTCCCCGACCATCCCCAACAGCTGACCCTACCCCCTTCGCGGGCACATCCTCCCCCCGGGGAGCTGGTGGTGTTAGCGAAGTCCTCTTGGGGGAGGAGGGCCCCGAGGTAGACTGATGGTTCACTTGGACAGCAGGCGCGGGTTGTCTATGATCCAGGGCAGCCGGCAGGGAGGGGACAGTGTCGACATCACTCATAGCGGTAGCACTCGATTTCTGGGAGTTCTGCTCGTCATTTTCGGGGGCGGTAACGGACAGGATGGCTTGTGGTTCCAAGACACCAGCAGGAGTGCGTAGAAGCTGGTGCTCGACCACGCTTGAAACGGAGGTTGAGGAGTCAGGAAGCAAGATGACCGGAGGAATGGTGGTGATAATGGCGAACGCTAAGAGAGATGAAAGCCCGGTCGGAAGAGGTTAACCAAAGCGGGAGACGCGAGATTGAGGAGAGAATAATGCAAAGGGCCAGGTCGAGAGACAAAAGGCGTGGGAACGGGAAGTACGGTCGGAGATCGAGGACGAGGTGAAGGAAATTAAGTTAAATTAAGAGAGATTGAGGGGAAAAAAGTCGAGGGATAAAATAATCAGATAAAAAGACTTCGAAGAAGAGGCGGGAGGCGTTTCTTGGGGAAAGTTGGAGGAAGAGAGAATTGGAAGAGGGAAGAAGAAAGAATAATAAAGAGAGAGAGAGAAAGAGAGACGGAAGGTAACTGGGGTTAGTCAACTGTAGGAGAACCTGTTGCCTACTAGTATATGACTCAAATACGAAACCATTTAAAAAAGAGTACTTTATCCACTATGATAGTACAATAATACTACTACTCCGTCCTGGCAAGAAATAGCAGCCAAAAACTTGCCTTTGCAGGTCCTTTTTTTTGGACACCTGTGGAGAGAGAGAGAGAGAGAGAGAGTAAGAGAGAGTAAGAGAGAGTCTGGACGGAGTATGGTTACTATGGTATGATACAGTCAATACTGATTCTCTCCTAAATCTTACTACATATTATCAAGTTAGATTTCTGTCTTGGAAATTGAGACGAGGATATGTATTTTTCCAGTATGGAGCAAGTTCCCCCTCCTCCTTCCCTGCTGCCTGCGCGAAGGCCCGACTGGCCACAGGACAAGCCAATAAGTCAAAATTGGGCGGGGGGGGCGCAGACTCAGTGACTGAGGTCAGAGACTCAGAGTGGCGGATGTGGAATGAATTGGCCTGAAACTGGAACGGGGAGGAAAGGATATGGGGCGATTTTAGTCAGAAAACCAATTATCTTGCAGCTTTGTAGTGGGTTCCCTGGAAAAGTGAAAAGTCTACCTTGGTACTCGGCCTGGGCATTCACTTGATTCTCGCTGTGGACCAATCATTGTTCATGAAGAATTCACCCATTACTGTTTGCGGTATAGAAAAGTTCTGCACAATTTGTGAATCCACTTGGATCTGCTCTTTTTCAACCAGTCATCATGCAGAGTTATTACAGCTTATCGCCCCACATTACCCCCCCCCCTTTTTCGCTCTCGGTTTCTTTCTGATGCGTCAATCGACTACGCAAGCTGTACCTATCTAAGTAGTTATCCTAATGGAATTGAAACCCTCTCATCCATCCCAATAAAAGAAGATGCTTTTCCTCTCAGCTTATCGAAGAATCCTAGCATTGTTGCCTTGGATTCTCACAGGACCACCTGACGCGAGACGCTGTGGAGTTTCGTGTTTTGTTTTGGGCGCTGGAATTCGCTCATCTCCACACAATATTGTTTTTTTTTTTTTTTTTTTTTTTTTTTTTTATGATGGTTGTCATAACAAGACCACCCCAACAATGTCGTAATCATAACATTACCTACTCATCCAATCCACAATTCATTCATCCCTGTTCCCCATCTCTCCCCTCCCTCCCTCTTTCTTGTTCCCATCACTGGTGGATGAATGGTGTGAGAGATGGAGCTTCTCACTCATCTCGTTGATTCCGCCCTCTCCTATACCCGGATGGACACGGTGGATGCCCTCCGATTTTTCTTCATCTCTGCAGCCTGTACGGTATGAGCAATTGACGATGTGTTGCACCCAGACCATAATGAAGGCCCCGGAGCTCCTGCATCGACTTTTCTCACGCATTCCTTCTAGAATGGACTAAAACTAAATTCCGCAGATACTCTCCGTTAGTCTCGCAGATTCACTTCGTTCGCGCTTCATCCCGTATGGCGCTCGTGCAACGTCAGACCCCGCGCAGTCTGCGGCGCCGGAATCCAAACCCTCGACCCCTGCCCCATCCTCGAGAGAGTCGACGGTCACACGCAGCCTCGACTATCTCGCAAGCCTGCAAGTCCCTCACAGCTACTTTATGCAGTTTTACGTAGTCTCCGTGCTATCGTCGATCTTTTGGGCGCTGCAGCTGCTGTTTCATGGGCCCGCGTTCCAGGCAATCGCCACTCGAATCCACCCGGACCACTTGCAGCCCGCGATGTCAACAAACCAGGTCATGGTGTGCTGGGGATTTATGCTGGTGCAGGGGGTGAGACGGCTCTATGAGTCGCGGAGCTTCGCGAAGCCTTCTTCGTCGAAGATGTGGTTTGTTCATTGGATAGCAGGCCTTGCATTCTACCTCGCGATTGCCGTTGCGCTCTGGATCGAGGGAGCTGGTGTGTGCCGACTCAAAACAATTCCCCGGGGGAAACACTAACGGTGCCGCAGGGACGGTTCTGAAGCACAAACTGACCCTTGAGGATTTCAATCTGACGAGCCGCTGGTCCGGTCGTTTACTTGTCTGTGTCCCGGTCTTCACTCTGGCGTCGGGAATCCAGCATGACTGCCACCATTATCTCTCCTCGCTGAAGAAGTATACCCTTCCTGAACACTCTTTATTTAGTCTAATTCTGTGCCCGCATTACACCGCGGAATGCATGATCTACCTGTCCCTGGCCGTAATGGCCGCCCCAGGCGACGAGCTGATAAACAAGACCCTACTCTCCGCTCTTGTATTTGTGGCAGTCAACCTAGGCATCACAGCGTCAAGTACTAGATTATGGTATCGACGAACTTTCGGCGAGAACGCAGTGCGGGGGAAGTGGAACATGGTCCCTTTCATATACTAGATTTTCCGGTCTCTCAAGTGAAGCCCGAAGTGAGGAGCAAGAAAGTGAAATATATATCTATCATCTTAAAAACCTCATTGTATTCCCCAATTTTGCAACCCTCAGCACATCCCGATAGGTCAGACTAATTCTCGTCTCCCGTTCATACCACCCACACTGGAAGCGCTCTGGCTCCCGCAATAGATCCCAGTTACATATAGAATTCGCATCCAGCCCTTGGTCTCTCTCACGCTCCGCAATCCCGTGCAGGAAATCCCGGTAAATGCTGCCTCTAGTCACGAGCAAACTGCGTCTCTCCTGCAAGATCCGGAAAGCTGGTTCACCTCGCCCTGCATCTGTCATTGAGTCTAGGTCACGAGCACGGATTCCCGCATCATCATCACCGTCTTGGTCTTGGTCTTGGTCTTCTTTCTCTCTCTCCGTATCATTATTTTCTCGAGTAACACCACCACCAGGCACCTTCTCATACAAATCCAACACAATCGGCGCCCCCAAACTAACCGTCGCCACAAGCGGGAAATAAGCCGCGCCATCCTCATGCGGCATGATCCCCTGTCCGGCCAGATACTCATTCACGAGGACATGGTTCGGAGCGGCGTGCGGGGCCTCGGCGAAGATATTCAGGTCGTGGAAGTGCGGGTTGATAATTGGGGAGACGAGCCACGCGGGGAGAGCGGAGGCAATTAGGGTGTTGTGGGTTGTTAATGGGGAAGGCCAAGTTTGGAGGCGGCGGTGCGAAAGGTGAGTCCATTTGGGGAGGGGGGCGGAGGATATCTTGAATTTTATACGTTAGTATTTCTCTCTCTCTCTCTCATGTAACTGTAACTGTAACTGTAACTCTGTATAAGACCGAGAGTATACTGTACTGTGTCTAGTAGTGTACCTACTAGTAGTATACAGTGGTCTATATATAACAGGGTAGGTAGGTAAGACAAGGGAAAGGTAGGGTGGTTGTACTAAGTAGGGGAGGGTAATGTAGGAGAGAAACACACAACCCACCTTTTGCAATAACCTCTCCTCCTCAGCTTCGGTGATGAACTCTGCAATGTAGAATGCATCATCCCCCGGTAACCGCGTGATGCGGGCAGCCTCTAGATCCCATGTCATTTGTTATTTCGGGTTTCTCTGATGTATCAGAACAAGGCGTTCCTGTTAGTGGTGTTCCTCAGCTTCCGGAGTACTCCAATCCAGTGCCTGGAACAGAAGCAGCAAACATACCTTGACAATGATGATTCAGTCCTGGTTACTCTGTATGAGTACTAGTGAACGGGTAGAGGTGGTATCCATGGATATCCTGGGGTAAAGAAAGAGAGAAATATGTATATATATATAATCACGTCAAAATGTTATATAAATTGCTGCCTCAGGAATACGCTATTACAGACAGAGTAAACTACCTATTAGTTTACGGGTTACCTTGACCGAATTTACCAGGTATACAGAGAAGCTAGAAACACGAACCAAATAATATTCTTTATTGCCTACTCCATGCATAAAAATAAATAAAAATAGTTAGTTAGTTAACTACTCCGTAGTGGTGCTAGGGTAGTTAACTAGAACGAACCTCATCTGACTAATACTGTATACATACACAACAACGTCCAAAAGCAGCCTAGTGATTCAACCCCCGATAGTTAGTTAGTTAGAACAGTAGACTTAAGACATCATCTCCAGCGTCCCCACCTCGCAAAAATCCCCCAGCCTTTCCCAGTGCTGGAATCGCTGCTGAACAGCTAGCAGCAGTTTGCTTGTACAGACCGCGCCTACCCACACACGCACGCCCTTTGACAATGGGCAAGAACAACGCCAAAGGCGGCGGCGGCGGAGGAGGAGACAAGAAGGGCAAGGGAAAAGAGAAAAAAGAAAGTGACAGCGGGGAGCAAGGGAAGGGATTGAAGCCCGCGACGTCGATTAATGTTCGGCATATTCTTGTACGTATGCATTGTATCCCTTGATTTATTTTGATTTGGTTTTGGGTTGGGTTGGGTTGGGTTCGGTTTAGATTCTTTTGTTTTTTTTTTTTTTCTGTCAATATGTATTGTATGCCGCGCACCGTCGTTATACTTCCTTCCTACCTAATGCAGTGAACTGAACTAGTTAGCTAACTGATCGAATGGATACCTTGATAGTGCGAGAAATTCTCCAAGAAAGAAGAAGCCCTGGAGAAGCTCCGCAACGGGTCGAAATTCGATGATGTTGCACGCGAGTACTCGGAGGATAAAGCCAGGCAGGGTACGTCTTACCTTTCATCCTATCCTACGGTTCCTATTGATTTGGTAAGAGAGAGAGAGAGAGAGAGAGAGAGAAACTAACATAAATGAACCAACCTTGAAGGTGGCTCCCTTGGCTGGAAAGTCCGCGGCAGTCTAGATGCAACTTTCGAGAAAGCGGCGTATGATCTCGAACCCAGCACGACTGGGAATCCCAAGTATGTCGATATTAAGACCGGCTTCGGATACCATATTATCATGGTTGAGGGGAGGAAGTGATCCAAGTGTGGAGTTATGGTTATTATCTCACGACTTGCCTATGAACGGTTTTATTGTCGCAATCAGTTTACCAGTAGTAGTAGTAGTAGTAGTTACCGTGGCTATACTCCGTAATGATGATGATGATGATAATACAAACTGCTAAAAGGGAAATCTATTTACATTTAGATCTAGATTCAGTCAAGCTGAAGAGAAAGTATCCGTCTGCTTCACTCCCTTTTGCTAGCCGCAGCCTTTGCTTTGGCTAGTTCCTTGGCTTTCTTTTCTTGTCTTTGTACAATTGCTTCCGCGCCAATGCCTCCAAAGACCAGACCGATTCCAAGCCACTGCCCTGAAGACAGCGAGTGGCCGAACCAGAACACACTGAGGAGCATCGTTAGCATCTTGCGCGTAACCGTGACTGTCACCAAGAGCAACGAGGAGAAGCGGGACAGGGTGTAGAAAATGAAAAGCTGCCCGACAGCACCGCACGCAGCGAATCCAAGCACGTTCTTTAACACCTCAGGATGGCGAGAGAGGAACGATATCGCAGTGGTCAGCTCCGTCTCCGTGGATGGAGGGATTGGGATGGGCAAAAGAGCATGCAGAATACCAGTGGCGGATAGATGAGGCATAACCACAAGGTAAACAGATGTCAGAAGAGTAGACAAAACATTCTGAGCGACCATCATCTGGGGCCCCGTGAAGCGCGTATAGATCTGCGGGGAGCTAAACACATGATCTTGGGTGGTGTTGGTGAGCCCATCCAGCAAGAGGTTGATGGAAAGAAGAAAGATTCCCCAGGCAGAAGAGCCGGATTGGCCCTTTGCTGCTGAGGCAGCGACTTTCTTGCTCGTTCCCGGGTGGTGGAGAGTGAACGTTGCCACTCCGAGTGTAACCAAAAGGACCACCCCGTACTTATACAACGGGTATCTTTTGCGGAAAATCGTCAAATGGAGAAACATCACCGGAAGCAGCTTACAGGACTTGGCGAGGATGAACGTAAGATAGTCAATGTGGGCGAGACTTGCATATCCGAAGGGCGACGCGAGGGATGAGGAGATGCTGACGAGGATAAGCGGGAAGATAATCTTTTGTGTTGGAAAGATTGACGGGACTTTCTTGCCCGCGGGGGTGGATAAATAGAGGTACAGGAAGCCAGTGATCGCAGCAAAGGTAGACTGGATAGTGTTCAACACGATCGAGAAGGTAAAGCGCTCTGTTGGCGGTTCGGGCTCCAGCACAGTTGGCGGGCGGACAGGATAGGAGACCGTTGTGATTGCCTCTTGAAGAACTCCCCACGAAAGACTACATTGTCAAGTCAGTCAGTTATCTGCTCGTAACAGGCGATAGAATGGTCAAGCTGCAACATACAAGGAAGCATAAATCCCAAGAACACAGATTGCCAGTTGCATCAGCCCTGGAGTATCTGGCACAGCTTCATGCGCTTCGTGCTTTCCATTCGCGACATCCGAATGCTTTGCGCTCCCATTCTGCTGCTTCGCCCCAGGCGACGACTCATCTGGAACCGTATGCATTAATTCAGAAGAGGTGGCCCGTTGCATGGGCATTGCTTGTTTCTGGCGCGCCATGAAGCCTTGCGTATAGGATCTATGAATGCCAAAAAAAAAAACCTCACCCAATTTCCAAATAGAAAAAAAAAAAGATCTATAACAAGTTCAAATATAACTCATGGTCCGGAATTGTCGAGTAAAAAAAAAAAAAAAAAATCTATCCAAAGTCAGGAACAGTGGATGCTGAGCAACGGAATTTATACACAGCGGCGATCATGATGCCATGTGTTCTTCTCGATCATCTCCCAGGGACCCTTTTTTTTTTCTTCTCCCTCTCCACCGCCTTCAAGGAAATGTGATCATTTGCTCCATCCAACTTCCTTCATCCCTCGCAACCTACCCCGATATTGCTGATTGCTCCATGACAATTGAGTAGCAAAAAGAAAGAAAATGACCCCAAAGCCATACCCATACCCTCATCCCCCTTCCATCCCCGATCCCTCGGCACTCACCTCCCTCATTTCCTCCTCGTCGCACCCCTCCACCCCTCTCTCCGCAACAACCCTCCAAGTCCTCCATAACCTCCAACACCAACACCTATGGACGTCGCTCAAAGTCGATGAGTTACAAACTACCTTCCCCGCCTCGGTTCTCTCCGGGATCCCTCCGCACAGAGTCTACACCCACCCAGACGAGCAGCTCTACATGCTGGAACGCGGGCTTCGCGAAGACGACGTCGAACTCGAGCGCATGTATGTTCTTCCTACCGTACAGGGGCAATCATGGACTCTCGGGAAGATGGCAGATATATTTGATGCGCTGCCCGATCCTGCAGGAGAGGGGGAATGGGAGGCGGAGGCGGAGGCGCATAATGGGGTGGATGAAACCGAGACCGAGGCGGAACAAGCGTCGACACAGGCAACCAAGGCCGCGAAATTGGCAGAATACTACGAGTATCGGAGGACGGCTCTTCGGACGCAGGAGTGGGGTGGGAAGAGACTTCTTCTGGCAATGATTGATAAGGGAATGGGTGGTGACGGGACGGTAGTTTACTACGTCGTTCAAGAGGGCGCGGTAAAGCCAAGGCAGAACTAGAAGAAGGTACAGACCAAGACAAGAAGAGTCGAGCTGTCTTGGTATGAGCCGTATGGGCTGATTTATTGGAATCTACTCTTGCGGGAAAGCTATATGGGGTTGGGAGGGATAAAAATACGTGCGCCAGACACGGCGCGAGACTCCTAAATACTTTGGCGCAACGACAAATCGATCAAATATATTCGGGTATTATAACAACAATCCACAAGGATCGATACCGATACTAAATACACAGTTCAGCGACCCCATTTCGCTGCCGAAGGTTGGATGCTAATGATGAAACATCACGCATGTATATTCGTGTCCAATTGCTCCTGCTCCTTCTGGCAACTGGAGCAGTAGGTTTCGTACCACTGCTTGACATCGTCAGTGAGGACTGTGAAAACGCCGTTGGCGACCTGGTCTTCCTGTCCTTCGCTCCTCCTCTCGTGTTCTTCTTTTCTCTCGATGAGGTCCTCGACCTGATGGCAGCGGCGTAGCTCTTGGCGAAGCCAACGCTCCCATTCGTTCTGAAGAACTTCTTTCTCAATGCTGTTGACGACCCTGATCGCAACAAGAAGATTATGTCGATATACACTGAGTCGTTCACGGGTCTGCTGGATCCTCTTGGCTGCGCTTCTCGCAACCCAGTCTTTCCGGGTAGACATCCCCAGATATGACGGAGTTGTTGAATCCCTTATCGTCTGCTGTTGGAAGGTATAGAAACAATCGCTTACATTATCACTCGTTTGCCCGATAGTCAAGTTTGCGATTGCTTCGTCAATGTCTCGCATATAGAGAGCTTTACTCATAACATGATCAGGGTGAACCCCGATCCGAGACATAAACTTCCCAACGTTCCGTTCGTGCCACCAATCAATAGTAGCTCGCGATGAAAAGAGACCATTTAACACCACACTGCACAAAAGTAGCGCAAGGATGACTCTGTTAGCCTTTGTAGTTTTCCAACCCCAGCGTAGAAGAGCAAACAACCAAATCATAACCGACGAAATAGCGCTCTCGAGGAAGGAAAAAAACGTCTCATGCAGAAGTTGGAATAGCGATCTTTGAGTGCGAGGCCTGCGAGGCTCTTGTTTTGCATCTTGCTCAGTCGATAACTGGGAGGTATGGCTCTGTCGTCCCACATGGCCGAAAATCGTAATTGCTTTCTTCGTCCGGCTGTGTGCGCCGAGCCTGCGCACCTGGTCACCGACAAGATCAAGGAGGTCCATGGCATCTTCCTCCAAGTCACCAATGGCTTGTTTATCAATAACATCTGCAGCGGTTTAGCACATAGTCAGTCGTACCCCAAACACGACCAGGTTACTCACGTTGAAGACCATAGGGGGTCCATAGCCATTCCACTTTCGTATAGATAGAAAGCTTACTCTTTCCCTTTGCCACAAAAGTGATCACAATTTTACTGACCAGCCTAAAATTGCGCCTGAAAGGAAGGTGCCAAGGTGTGCGTTTGTCTGTTATCACATAGCACAAATGATCATTAAGGACATCGATCATCTGATAATCGAATATGTCCTTTGCATTTGTTCGGCCTGTCTAGAGTTAGCGGATCTAAAGGCAAAATAAGGAAAGAAACACCAACCGAATACATCAGGCGTCTTAATCTGATACTGAATATCTCGTTTAAGGTGGCGGGACTCATTTCTAACCCACGGTCCTTGTTTAATATCTGGTCTAGATTAGCATGCTTCCAAACAACACTAAACAAATCAAACTCACCCTGAGCTCGTCTCTGATACAAAAGGAGCTGCCAAACAGCGCTCTTATCACCAAAAAGTATATGGAATACAGCTTTCGGGCTGATATCAAATACTTTCTCCACCGCAAGACGGAGATTTCCCTGGGGAACGTACTGGACAGGCTGCGTTGGCAGTCTGAATTTTGGGATATCACTGCCTTTGTTCGAATGCATATCCAAATTCTTGTCGATGTAGATGGGTGATCGAAAATCTGACTTTGTAGTTTGGCCAGGACCATCATCGCTATCTTCAGTCTTGTCACCCGCAGCCACGTCCTCCCAACTGTCTAAGCTTGGGGTCCGCGCCGTGCTCTCTGTATCCATTTTTGTAAGAGCCTTGAAAATAGCCTCTAGTCCCATGGGCTCAACAGCAGTCGCATCGTGGATTAGGAAATTAAGACGTTTCTGGAGCAGCCGCAGCGGTTCCAGGAAGGTCTTGACGGTTAGACGACCCGGGGTATCATTTCCGGGAGGCGGGATAGTGTGGAGGAAGAGGAAGTCACAGTCTCTTCCTGGAGCGGCAGTGACCTCCTTGATCAGCTCCAGAGGGACGCTTGTAGTCAGCACGAGGCCAAAATAGTGACTGTAGAAATAGAGATTCTGGGTAGTAACGTAAGCTCGCCCTGGGAACTCTTGCTGGTCATTTGGATTCCAAGTCGCCCGGAACACCAAGACCAAAGATTCCTCCCTCTTAATATTCGGGAAAAGCAGGCGAAATTGGGCATCCTGGAATTTAAGCTCGGGTGGGTAATAGCTAGGGTATTCGTGTGCGATACCAATTATTGCCCGTTGCACTTTACATGCATCCCCATCCAGGCTCACCGTCTGTCGGTGACGCGATTTGGGCGATTTGGGCTTCGGGCCAGAAGCACCGCTGGGTGTGTTTGTGTCTGCTTTCAAGGCGGAGGAGTCAATATTTGGCTGAGACGTCACAGACTCTTGACCCTGGCTCTTTTCTTCGCCTTGTCCCAGATGCTCGACGTCAAGTCGATTCATAAATCCCCAATTCCAGCTACCCCACAAATTTGCCATCATCCCACTAGGCATTCCCCCGGTTTTATCGGCCTGGCCTAATCCTATTCCTCTGTCGTTGCTGACAATCACGGCCGCCTTGCTCAAGCTCGTAGGAGCAGGTGGGTTAGCCAAAGTAGTAGGCGCCAAGGTTGAGGCGGCAACTGTTTTGGGTCCATCGTGCTCGATGGACAAAACAGCATGATTACTCGCAGAAATCAGACTGGCTATGCCCCCTCCGGCACCCGGGATTGAGTTAAAAGGCTGCACCGTGTTGTTAGACCTCCGATGAAGATCGAGCTTTTGAATAATCCGCGAGGTGTGATCCCGTGCAGGGCTCTCAGGGTCCAGGGTCAGTCGCCGGTGACTTCCAAGGTCGGTACTATTCCTAAAAGCAGATGGATCTCGGTCTGGCAGTGGAAGCATGCCACTGCGTTCCGATGTACTTTGCTCCTCACTAACGTTAGGGGTGAGGGAGTCAGCAGGGTCCGCAGCAAATTCGGGAGCTGGAGGTTGCGAAATTGCAAATGCAGGGTCCTGAACGGTTAGTTTCCCAGAAACTGAAATGTCGCCGCTCGTTGGATTTTCCAACGCTTTCCGCTTCGCAGCCTCGAATGCAGCAATCCAATCCATGAGCTCCTTCTGTGTCTCCGCTTGAAGCATTATATTATTGCTTTTCGTTTTGACCTCAAAGCAAAACCTTCTTTCTTCCTGGAATGCTGGTCGAATGCTGCAGAGTAGAACGCCAATCCTCTCACTCTCTTCAACACCACCAGTTCTGTGGCCCTGAACCAGGCATCCAAAGATTCCATTTTTCAAGAAGGCCCAGCGTCTGACCCATGTGGCGCGGGTGGGCTTGTTTGAGAGAATGCGCAGGTTGACCCATCCTTGCTTTTCGGGGCGCGCGTCTTTGGTGTTCAGCGCGGACAGTGGGCGAGAGCCAAGATACGGAACTGTCGATATCGAGTAGTCGTCCAATTCACGCGATGGGCGAGCAGCAATCTCAGCAGCCTCTTCAATCTGATTTCTAGCCGTAAAAAGCTCTCGCTTGGAAAGCTTCTCGCTCCCTTCCATCTCATGCACCCAACCTTTGATGCGGTCCATTTCCTGGGACCACTTCGCAAAAGTCGGGCCATTGTTATGGTGAAGCGCCTTAAACTCCCGCCATTGATCAAATGACACCCGAACCAAAAGTCGATCTAGAGCGTTTCGTATCTGCGGGGCTTGTACGGAAAAATCCATAGATGCTTTAAGGTAAGCTTTGCGGGCTTCATGGAGCTGGAAAGCATCTTCTCTCAGGGCTGAAGGTTCTTTTGACTTCGACTGGGATGAGTATCGAGCTAGTAAGGAGTCGTACTGCCTTTGAGTCTGATCAAGGCTGCGTCGTGTTTCCTTTGGTCAAGGTTAGCTCCCCTGTGAAGAAGAAAGGGGTAGAAAGCGTGATTCACCTTGAAGTTTCGCAAGTCTTCCTGGATAAAGGCTCGGATCGGCTCGGAAATCAGAGACTCTATCTTCCTGGCCGTGGCGATCAGGCCGTTCCATAGATCCTTGGAGCTGTCGCCACATCTTCGCATCGACAAGAGGGTATAATCATGATCTAGGGCAGCCTCGGAAACCATAAGGGGGTTGGTGGAGTATGAGAGGAACGCGCCGACTATACCCTCCAGGGCCGTGAATTCGGTTGCGAGTTTCGACGCAGCCCTCGCATATCCGTCTAGCCATCGTTCGAGGTATTCGATCTGGTCGGAGAAATGGAGAGAGGTGGCACGGAAGGTCGGCGAGTCGAGAGCGGCTTCTTTTAGCCCAACGGGTCTATATCAAAGTGGTTAGGGTCAATTAGTCTTCCATCCAGTCGATACATGTACGGGGTAGGGGCAGGGGTTCCCATTTTATTTAACTTACACCACGCTGACGAGCTTCCCAACCTGGGGTAAAGGCGTCTGCGGCTGGGACGACATCTAGTGCATGTCACCGGCCATACGCTTGATGCGAAGAAGAGGAAGGATACGTATGGCAGGTAGCCAATGAACAATCAACATCCAAATATAATCGTGGACATATAAAGAGCCGATCACAGAAACAGGAGTGTCTTAGCAGAGAGCAGCAGCATCGCTGTAGGACCAAAAGTGCCGTTTGTTCTGGCCATTGGGGTCTTTGCGCGGTGCCAATATGATCTAATTGGCTACGTCAGTGGTTAGTTGCATTACTCGTGGCCTGAGATTTCAGGCAGCTCAGGAGCCATTTTTGTAAAGGCGGTGACGGCGTATCGGTTTTTTTCTGCCGGCAACACTCTTAACTTTTTTTCTTCTCGGCAGATGCAACCAGGTGTGCTTGCAAAAAGTCACAGGTAAAGATGGAGCCCCCAGCCAAAAAATCGCGCAGGTTGCTTGATGACGATAGCTCCAGTGATTCTGGAGATGAGTCCGGCGGAGTTCCTATTACCAATTCGTCTGATGGAGCTGGATTCAAGATCAACGAAGAATATGCCCGTCGCTTCGAATACAACAAGAGGAGGGAGGAGATGGTGCAGCGTATGTATCTCATGGTTATTTGGTATCCTAGAGCATATGAGTACTGATGGTTCTATAGTGGAGGCTAAACATGGAAAAATTTCCGCTCTTGGAAAACGCCGTGACGGGGAGGGAGATGAGGATTCTGAGGGCTCCGAGGAATCCTCGTCCGACGAGGATGAAGATGAGGACGGAGACCTAGCTACTACAGCGGTCGATGCAGAAATTATGGCAACTATTAAGGCAATCCGGTCAAAGGATCCCCGAGTGTACGACAAGAACGTTAACTTCTACACCACGACCGACGAAGGCGCAGACGCAGAACCAGAAAAACGGGAAGAGAAGCAGAAAACCATGACTCTCAGAGACTACCACCGTGAGAATATTCTGAGCGGTGCCCATCTGGCTGATGAAGATGCATCGGATGCTCCCAAGACCTACGCACAAGAACAAGAAGACTTGAAGCAAGCAATTGTTAAAGAAATGCATGATGCTGCTGATGGGAAACCCGCAGCCGACGATGAAGGTGATGAGGAGGAAGGATTCCTAGTTCGCAAATCAGGCCCTGAACCCATCTCTGCGCCTCAGGAGACCCCATTAGATATCGAGAATGCCGATCAAGATCCTGAAAGCTTCCTTTCGAATTTCCTATCCTCCCGAGCATGGATTCCCGCTGGAAGACCACAACACCAGCCATTTGAGTCTGACGACGAGGAGGAAGACGAACGCGCAGAGGCTTTTGAGGAGGCATACAATTTCCGGTTCGAGGACCCGAGCAAAATCAACACCAAGCTAATTACCCACTCCCGTGATACGACCAATAAACAGTCTGTCCGCAGAGATGAGGTTAGCGGCAGAAAGAAGATAAGGGAGGCTACTCGATTAAAGAAGGAGGAGGAGAAAAAGCAGCGCGAAACAGAAAAAAATCGTCTTCGCAAGTTGAAGATGGCAGAACTTCAGGACAAGGTGGACAAGATCAAGGAAGCTGCAGCACTCCGTGCGTCTCAACTCACCGATGAAGACTGGACTAAATTCCTGGATGATGCCTGGGACGACAAGAACTGGGAAGATGAAATGCAGAAGCGCTTTGGTGAAGACTATTACGCCGAAAATGACATGGGTGGCAGCGGTGATGAAGCCGGAGGCAAGAGGAAGCGACCCAAGAAGCCTACCTGGGATGATGATATCGACATCAATGACCTGGTGCCGGACTTTGAAACCGAAGGGGGGCCTGCCGTTGAGTTATCCGACGTCGAGATGGGAGATGATCAAGACGATGAAAACAAAAAGAGCAAGGCCCAGGAGAGACGGGACCAAAAACGGGAGGCTCGCAAGGACCGCATGCGCATTGAAGAGGCGATCGACCGCAACCTAGATCTCGACCTTGCTCTGCTTCCCGGGGCAACGAAGAAGAACTCGACTGTATTCCGCTACCGCGAAACTTCGCCCCAGAGCTTTGGATTGACAGCTCGTGACATTCTCATGGCGGATGATACTCAGCTCAATCAGTTTGCCGGTTTGAAGAAACTGGCGGCGTTCCGTGATGATGAGAAGAAGCGCAGTGACCAGAAGAAACTAGGCAAGAAGGCACGATTGAGGCAATGGCGCAAGGATACCTTTGGCAATGAGGAAGGGCCTGAGTTCGTTTTCGGAGGGGAGAAAGCCCCAGCGCGAGAGGGCGATGAAGATGATGCGGGTAATGTTGATATCCGGGAAGGGGAACCACGAAAGAAGAAGAGAAAGAGGTCGAAGAAGCATTGAAGTCTGTAATTTTGCTACATCATAAATTAGTTATAGAAATGTCGATATCCACGTTGTGTGTGTAAATTGATACGGAGCACTTGGTTTGAATATTGATTTCCTGTGCATTTCTAGTTGTTGTGTTCAAATCAGATGAATGGCCTGGATCTATCTACAGGTAGATTTACATATATATATTCCGATGGCCCTAAACACTCAGAGTAATCGCTCACGAGCAGAGGACACCTTTTTAGGTAATATAACATAGAACGTTAAATACTGTGGACAGAAGCATCAACACCCCTGAATGAAGTAATTTCTTTACACACAAGACACAATTCTGAAAGCTGAAATACCTACCTCGACAGGTAACTGACTCGAGAGACTACGAAGCTAAGGAAGAATTAACAAGTGCCCCATATTGAGTGGGTCAGAGCGCGTTTCGATGGTGTCAAATAGTTAGTTACTGAGTGAAAACCCGGTCATCCACTTGGTTTCCTGGTCGACGGAAATAATAATTTTTTTTTTTCGATCATATCGAGAGGGGAAAAAAAGAAAAGAAATATACTGCGAATGGCTACAGTATGGAGGAGAGGTGTCTTGAGAGTTGGCTGGAATCCAATTGATCTATCACGTCCTAACTCTTGTGACTGCTCCGTATGGTAGAGGTCACTTCAGCCCTCAATTGTTTAGTATTCAGAGCGTAGAATAACACTACCGAAGCTCCGGATAGATTTCCGTGACAATAATATCCCCTGTACGGAGTACAGTATACCTAGAGATGATAGCCGAAAGACGGTGACGCATATGACCATCCGCGGCATTAGCGGTGATTTCTGTCAGGTATGAAGTAGTGAGGGATTTCTCCTGAGTTGTGGGTAATAATTTGCCTCCAATAATAATAATAATAAATTTCTTTCGATATCTTCTCATAATTTCCTGAAGAAAAGATTCACTTTCACATATCCGGGCCTAGGGATGTTGTAGGCTTCGGATGCTCGGGATAGGAAGAAGTTTCCCCATGCATCTCTATCTTTGGTTCGGGCCTGATTGGGGAAAAAGGAAGGGGGCTCCAGCTCCAACAATCGGGTTATTGACGATGAATGAGGCTCGACAATTAAGTAAGCAGAAATCTTGGGATTCTAGAAAACTTTTCGGTATTTTGTGTACATTTTTTATTGAAATAATTTAAACTATTATTATTACCCAAGAAAAAAAAAAAGGATCTCATAATTAACTATCAGGGTCAAGATGAGTGGTTTCTGAATCTGGCATAATCGGGAGATATCGGCTTCGTTGCCTGGGCCAGCGTTAGCGTCGGTTCCAGAGTTTTTGTCCTGAAAATTTCTTTGTAGGGAATTCCTAGCCGAAATAGGAAGGAGTACCTAAGAATAGTACGGGTGGAATCTTTCCCCCTTCCTAATACGGTAGGTCAGAGAAAAAACTCATCAGGTTTAGTGCCATTTCTCGCTTCTTCCCGCTTACAAGAGCCCTTCGTTCGCTATTTTTTCTTCCTCCCTTCCCCTTCCTTTTCTTCTTCTTCTCCCCATCCCTTTTTGAAGTGTCCTGTTCTTTTTGACACTCTCATCCCTCCATCTCCTCTCTTTCTTTTTAGATTATCACTCTAAAAAGCTGTCATCATGGCAAGCCAGGGTGATAAGTCCGTTTTCGGCATGCCCGTAAGTTGCTCTCAATCTCGCGAGCCTTCTCCCCCCGACCAGCATTTCAGCCCGCAACACACGGTCTGCATGGAAATGTTGCTCCGAACCATCTCGATTCATCATCGGAGCGCCTGTCCTGAGTCGGAACGTGTGCAATCGGGCGGTTTCTGGTTGTGGTCGCGCTCATTGACACTCAAAATCACTCGCTGACAAAATTTTCACCAGGGATTCGTTGTCGACTTCATGAGTACGTTCCGCATCCCCAGTCATCCCGTTGGTTGATTCGCTTTGAAAATCCATCAATCTGCTTCAATTAACCCCTTGACGCGGTCTCAATGCTGCATCTGAAAATACTAACGCGTTTCTGCAGTGGGTGGTGTCTCCGCTGCTGTCTCCAAGACTGCTGCTGCCCCCATCGAGCGTATCAAGCTCCTTATCCAGAACCAGGTTGGTTGAATCTTCTCCGCATAGTATTTGATCGGGTCGAATCAGAATCGCCCAAAATTGTCGGACTGCGCCGTCTACGACCGTTGTTGTGACCACCACACAGCGGTCAGGGATAGCGCTGATCGCGAAAATTTTTTCCCAGATCTGACCGCCTCCGATTCTGCTGTCCGTGTCACATGTGAGGCTAACCACCCCTTGTTGTATAGGATGAGATGCTTCGCGCTGGTCGTCTCGACCGTAAGTACAACGGCATCATGGACTGCTTCCGCCGTACCGCTGCCGCTGAGGGTGTTGTCTCTCTGTGGAGAGGTAACACCGCCAACGTCATCCGTTACTTCCCTACCCAGGCTCTTAACTTTGCCTTCCGTGATACCTACAAGGCCATGTTCGCCTACAAGAAGGACCGTGATGGCTACGCCAAGTGGATGATGGGTAACCTTGCCTCCGGTGGTGTATGTATTTCCTCATTGTCTCTTTACAGGACCACTCGCTGACCATGAATAAAGATGGCTGGTGCCACTTCCCTCCTCTTCGTCTACTCCCTTGATTACGCTCGTACCCGTCTGGCCAATGACGCCAAGTCCGCCAAGGGCGGTGGTGATCGTCAGTTCAACGGTCTGGTTGATGTCTACAAGAAGACCCTCGCTTCCGACGGTATTGCCGGTCTCTACCGTGGTTTCGGTCCTTCCGTTCTTGGTATCGTTGTCTACCGTGGTCTGTACTTCGGTATGTACGACTCTATTAAGCCTGTTCTCCTGGTTGGTCCTCTTGAGGGCTCTTTCCTCGCCTCTTTCCTGCTCGGCTGGACTGTCACCACTGGTGCTGGTATTGCTTCTTACCCTCTTGACACCGTCCGTCGTCGCATGATGATGACCTCCGGTGAGGCCGTCAAGTACGCCTCCTCCTTCGATGCTTTCCGCCAGATCGTCGCCCGTGAGGGTGTCAAGTCCCTCTTCAAGGGTGCTGGTGCTAACATCCTCCGTGGTGTCGCTGGTGCTGGTGTCCTGTCCATCTACGATCAGGTTCAGCTCCTGCTCTTCGGAAAGAAGTTCAAGGGTGGCTCTGGCTAAACAGTTCAATCAAAATGAACTGGTTCCAGTTGTTGTAAGCCTTGTGGGGAAGGGGTTGGCCAACGTCCGGTGTAACTACCTGGGATTGGATGATGGTGAAGGGGATCTATTAGAGATATGTCTCAAGTGGTCTGGTCTTGAGCATACAAAGTGTGACATTTTCTCTTGTACCAGTTGTACTTTACTGCCTGCAAGCTTTTTTCTTTTTTCCAACTGTATTTTCTTAAGACATTTGCTCCTTTGCTTTCTCTGGTAGCCTGTAATTGTAGTCTCAGCCTGATGAAAATCTGGGCACGTTAGACTCACGTGTCACAAAGTCACGTGCCATAAACAGGATCGATGACGTCTATTCGCCCCTAGAGCTTTATACTGTTCTGCCTTAGCTCCCAGGTCGCCATTAGTATATACTATATAGATGAAACACTGATCAAAGGTCTATCATCATGGCTTCACCATCTTCTTCTGATCCCGTCAATTCTACTACCCCTACCTCGACCCCTGAACAAAGTGACCATTCCCAAGCCCAACCGGAACAAGCAGTATTTACCCCCACAGCAACTGCAACAGCTCCATCCTACTCTCCTATCCTGGCCACAGCCCAACCAGACAACAATATGACTACTTCCCAAACACACGCAAATCTGCCAACTAGCCCCAGCCCGACGACCACTACTGCATTAGACGAAACCCCGGCTATTTCTACCGCGACGTCAGGCTCTCCTCCACCTCCGCAGCCAGGCGCTGTTCCTGGTCTGACCACAGTAGCAGCTGCAGAGGAAGAATTGCAGGAGCCACCGGCTCCAGCACCGGCTCCAGCACCAAAGACGGTTGATGTACCTGCATCGACTTTGAATGCACCGGCGGTGACGGAAGTAGCACACCCTCCGACCACAACAAACCCAATTCCCATCCCCCCTTTGGCTTCTGGAGACACTGTTGGCGTAGCTCCCGCGACGGCGCCTGCGACTGCGGCCACATCTACAACCATAAATTCAGGAGCAGGGGCAGGGGCAGGGACAGGGACAGGGACAGGTACACGCGCGGGCTACGGCTATAGTTACAGCTACTCTCCTTCTTCAGTGCACCACCGCAGTCACAGTCAGACCCAAAGCCAGGCTCAGGCTCACCTGCAACAACCGCAATACCCAAATTCAACAACTACTCCATACGCCTCTGTTTACCAAGCGCCTGTTCATGCTGCTCCTGATGCTACAACAGCCACGGCAACAGGATTGGGAACTGGAACGCATCTCCCGCTTCCCAATAGCACGCCTTCTTATAACTATAACTCGAGCTACGGTTATAATAATGATTATGGTGAGAGCAGCAGCAGTGGTATAGCTGCAGATGAAGACCAGGGATTCTGGGGGAGCGCGAAATCGTGGCTTCAGGCTGCAGGGAATAAACTTGCGGAAGTTGAGGCAGAGGTTTGGAGGAGAATTAATGAAGCCCATGACAAGTAGGCTTCTTCATCTTTATTGTTTTCATTCTTTCATTTTATCTTGTTGCTTTTTATTCTGTGCTTTGTGTCATATGCATTGGGTTGCTAGTTAGAGTGGATACAGAATGGTACTGGGTGGCATTGGTTTTTGATTTGGCTATAGAAATGGGAAATTGTTGCTTTCATAGGGCTAGATGAAAAGAGAAGGGAAGAGAAGAGAAGATAGAAAGAAAGGTAGGTTGCTCTTCGTTACCCCGCCTGAGCAATGGTCCTGGGACAAGGTCGATGCATGGCGAGTCTGCATATATACTTAAGTCTAGATAAATGCCTCTCTGAATTGAATTGCAAGCAAGAATGGGCATACCCCGCCCCCACGCTTGTACAGAGGCTATGGTCAGAAATTACCCAAAGGAGAACCAACCCTCTGATGTTTCTATAGATCTCTAAAAGAATTCAGCGGCAGCAGGGGTAAAATCCCAAGAGTCGGGATTACCATGAAGTGTACCTACTTTTACTACTGTGAGCAGTGCATGCAGCAAAAATCCAGTTCATTAATTACAATACTGCTCAGGCCATAATCAAGTCATGATGAATTCATGCATCACAGTTGCAGAACGTGTTGGATGAGAGGACACACGTGTGGCTATTCTGGAAAAGTGTCGCATACCAAAAACCCCAAAGGTTCCGTCATTTTCCTGCAAGGCGACTAGATTTCCAAGGTTGCGGAGCACGGGTATCAGGGCCTTGCTCTGATATGTTCATCATATAGATCCATAATACTAGTAGTAGATTCTATCATTCTAATCTTTTGAGTATCTCAGCTTACTTATCTTATTATATTAATATATATATATATATAATATATATATACTTATATATATACCTATATATATAAGAACCTATATATATAAGTATACAGGACTCTTAGAGTAATCTGGGTACTGGAGAGGAAAGAAATAAAATACAAGATTGACAAAAAAAATACATCAATAGGAAATCACCTCCGGAACCTCCCGGCGCTTCTGGGCGGGCCTGGAGAGTGTCGGCCAATCAACAGGCCCACGCGTCCGTATCGTTGGTATTTGTACGCAAGATAAGAAAATAAATTACCAGGAATGTGGGAAATTCTGAACCAGATGGTAAAGTTACCGTCCAGTTGGCACAGCTGACATTCCAACTGCGACTCCCTCCCTGATCAATTATTGATTGACTGCCACCACTCCTTACTTTCTTTCCCCCTCCCTCCTCCCTCCTTCTGATTCTTACTCTCCTCCTCTCTTTATCATACAACAATCATCCTAGTTTCAACTTGTTCTTCGCTCTCAACTCCTTCTCAACTGTTCTCGACAAGTCGCAAGTTTGTGTCTTATCACTCCCTCCATCCACCGCCCCCTTCTTAGCGCGTCGCATTGCATCTGCCTCTATACTACGAGGGTCAACGCTGCGTCTGCAAGCCATTCAGTCGTGATCTGTCCTCTCGTGTACAGTAAGTGTTGGTCTCTATCTATTTCAAACCCTAAATATCATTTTCCCTTGCGGGTTCTTTGATCCCAACTCTTTGTCTTACTCTCTGAGCCATCCTCTCCATGCGAACTGGCTCCTCTGGTTGGTGGATTCACTTCTGACTCATGTAATAATTTAGCCACTGCAAGAGTCCAACAAAGACCTTCCTTCTTCCGTTCCACATCATGGCTCCTCAAACTGCTACCTCCAGCATCGCTATGGCCCTTGCTGGCAAGACGGCCTCTGTCGATATCCCCAAACCTCGTTTTGGCTACCCTTCTGGTGCCCACGACCTCTCTCGTCCGGGACACCCTGCCATGCTCCCCACGCCCCCCAACTCTATATCCCCAACTCTTCCGCCCCAGGGGTTCCGACGCCGTGATGTCAACCCTGGATCACTCTCGCCTCCTCTGGCAGCATCCCACGTTGACTCCGATGTTGACCTCGGGGATGCTGCCCACCCCGACCAGCGCAACACCACCGCCCATGACCTTGACAGTGCAGGGGCAATCACACCAGGCATGTTGGCGAAATACCATCTTCCCGAGATTTTGCTCCAGCATGGTCCATTAGCCATCCGCCACGTGATGGGCTATTTGACCACCTCCGTTCCGGGGTTCTCGGGGATTCCCCCAGCGAAAGCACGGAGACTAGTCGTCGCTGCATTGGAAGGCAAGGGATACGATGATAAAGACAACAGATCCTCGCGCGAGGTTATCTTTGAAAAGGTTGGATGGGGACGCTGGGATGCACGGCATCGTGGAGAGCCGTCGCGGGAACCGCGACCCCACGAAATGTCACCCCCCTCCAGCCTCTCCAACTCGTACCCTCGGGGTATGCAAATTCCCAAGCGAGATAGTCTGCAACCATACGGCTCTAGTATTGCGGGCGACTCGGCTGTTTTCTCATACACCGAAATGGACTACGGCCATGACAACATGCTAGAACATGAAGCGGACAAGATGTCGCTCGATGGGGTTGAAAACGGATACTGTTCTTCTTCGGTGGCCCCGGATGACGAGATTCGCGACGAAGACTGGGGCGAGGAAGACGTTACAGACGAAGAGGATTGGGCGCAGATAGGCGCAGCAGCCCTTCGTGCACGGTCTATGAATGGAGGGGGTGGCTTTGTCAACGGGAGACACCCCCCACCGCTCCATGGCGGCGGTCCTGCCTCGTCATCTCTCGCGAAGTCAGCACCGCGGAAAGTTCCTATCCAGCAACTGGGGTTCTCGCTTCCGGACAGCCAGGAGCGCGCTGCCGTTGAGGCTCTTCTCCGGCTCGGCTCCACGTAATGATATCTCCATGGACAGGCGTTTTGTGGAGGGTCGATAACCCGGGTTCACTTACATTTTTTTTTTCATTGCATTCATTTTTCAAGGCTGGACCATTTTTCGACATACATATTTACGTTCGACGATGATTAATTTATCAGAAAGATTGCGCCCGGTAGCCAAGACAAATTTAATCGACTGGTTCGACGCACTGGCGGCATCATGCATTGGGATTTGGAATTGGTTGGGATTAGGATTCTGGCGTTTTTTTTTTTTTTTTCTATTTTCTTTCTTCACAAAGTCACTCTTTTTGTGATGGACATGACATGACCCCAGCGCTGGCAAAGCCGCATGGTCAGTGTCAGTTATGCGATATACCAAGGGTCTGCAGTAGCCCGACATTTATCTATAAATTTACTGCCGCTTCGCCACTCTGTACTTTGCTGTCCCTGGTTGGGCGATTTCACTGCATTGTTCCATAGTGAGTTGTATCATCAACTCGATATTGTCTATATGATTTTTGACAGGCTCAAATACATCCCCGAAGATTCAACACGCTTCGGATAGGCCGCTGTGGCTATTTAATTATTAATCCATAATCCGATCGAAGAGCTATTTGTATCTTGAATAATCACCTAACGAACTGGATTGCTGCGGAAATCGAGCGAGTTTCCCTTTCCGCTTTAGGTCGAACTTGGCGCCGCTTTTTGCTCACTGAGCGGCCCGGAGCGTGGGGGGAGCACAGAAGTGCGTGTCCTGAGCGATCCCTGAGCGATCCCGGATTGCTCCGGGAGTAAACACTAGAGAAGTGACCGTCACCCTGAGTCCTCGTCTGAGTTTATACACGATTTAGTCATGTGACCCAAATAAAATGTGCACCACTAATATCATGTATTTCACTTTCGTCTCGCCGGCGTGCCCGTCATTTTTCTGGTCCTCAAAAAAACATTAAGCCCCAATTTAATGATCATTTCATGTGCAAACCCAAACTTCCTAACGTCGACATACCCTCGAGTACCAATAGTGTCAATCCAAGTTCTAATCCAAGTTACCAAAGAGGCTTCGCTTACAGGTCAACAATGCCCTACAATCACTCAAGACCTATACTTCTTTACCTACTACCCTTTTAGACCTCGCAATGTTTGACTGCACCAGAGGCATTGAAACTTGTCTATTCATAGCATACATGTGAAAGCTGAATGAGGCTTAGCAGTACAGAGAGTACAGTACCATGCCTTTCCCAGAGGCACACGTCGAATAACTCAACCTGTGAACGAAGACCTTTAGTTTAGTTTCCATTTCTTCAAGAAATGCTGATTCGTAGACAGAATCAAACTCGGTACTCTCTTTCGTCACAATATGCCGGATTCATACAGTATCACTTCAAATATCTTCCGAAGTGCCGTAAACACATGCCCTGGCAGGGAGATATGTGATTTTTGTGGGTGTCTTTCACTCTCAGTATCAGACTATGTACAAAATAGCTCAGGTACAACATCTTTAGCTTAAGATGATGAGATAGGTATTTGTTTAGCGGCGTATAGCAACAAGTCGGTATTTAGGAAATTTTGAGTGTACAGCCTTCATGGGAAGAGTCGTATGAGAATGTATCAAAGAATGTCCCAGTTAGCTGGTCTATCCAATTTTATCGACTACACTGCGGATGTGCCAATTTGTTCGTCTCTAGTTTAAACCACCAAGAAACCTCAAGGACCAAGAATGAAGGAAGAGATAGCTGAATGTATTCTTGTTACTCACGAAAATGAAGGCTACTCCTTTCATGTCGCGGGAGAGTGTGAAAGGCGGATTACGGTATTCTATTATTGGGGCTGAACTACAAGGGCACATTTGGGGCTGACTGAAAGGATGATCTATATCATAGTATAGTCGTGTAAGCCGAGAACCTGTTGTGGAACATATTGTAAGGCGGTAGATGGGAGTAAGAATTTCATAAATCATCAGGGTTGGGAAACATTTGGCATATTCTGCGCGAAATTTGGAAGCCTATATTTATTCATGCGACTTATCATACTAACGTGAACCTAAGTATACCAGTGTAATAACAGAAACAAAGAGTGACTATTCTTTGCTAGCAGCGAATAGGAAGTAGAGAAGTAGGGTTATCTCCTGCTGATGGTCAGCAGTTATGGAAGGAAAGCATCAAGTGATTTGCCCGATCAGCGCAGCCGTGCGTTACTGCCAGGTGATTACCAAGGATTGATGGTAGACATCTCAAGGTTAGAAAGATAAGTTGACGCTTCTTGGCTAGAGCTACCAACCCTTAATTAGGTGCCAAAGAGATACAAAGGATGGCCAATCGCCCATACAGGTGATGATTGAACAAACAACTCTTAATGCGTCAATTGCCTACATCTGATCTTCGTCAAGGACAAGACATGGTCTATCACTCAAATTTCTTTGCATGAATGTCCCTTGATTATTATCCATATCTTATGCATACCTGTCATATCATCCGGCTGTTCTACCCTCCAGGGCTATGACTAGATATACTCCAATCCAGGTACATTTAAACTGAGACCAGTCTGAGTAAGTCGCAACTTTTCCTTCAATACATATCACGAAGAGCAGCATTCTTGGCTGATATCTCAAGTTTAAACTCTTGGGAGAAGTCCTCAAATTGATATGTGCTTGTTTCACATTTTCCACCAACTTCAAACATACAGCAGCTCATCAGTAGACAGATACTTGGTTCAAGGCAATAAAGAGGCGCTTATTCCTCTGTCTGGTTTCGGATGGCCTCAATCCTGGATCATGAGCCCGAGATCAGACAAGCAGCGATTCTTCCTTCCGGATGAGTTCCAGTCATGGGCAGAGACCCGTTTCTCATTCAACACTGCATTTGAGCGATCGTGGTAGGCAAATGCACATTCACTTGGAAGTATATATGCATGAAGATGCGACGTTCAATCCCTCGATTAGAAAACCATCTGACGGTGAGGTGAATTTACTTACTGCTTGCTACTGAAGTTCATGTTCGGACTAGATCCACCGGCTGAAACTGGTCTACCGCCTGAGACTGCTTCGCCGCCTCAAACCGCTTCACCGCCTCGGACTGGTCTACCGCCTGAGACTGGGTTGATCAATCCACCGCTCGAGGTTAAATACCGCCTGAAATCTAACTCACCGCCCGAGCCTAGACAACGCCTGGAATAAATTCACCGCCTGATGGATGACTGACTTCTCCTCAAGGCGGTAAGGCTGAAGCTCACCGCTCGGTAACATACCTTCCCTTGAAAACGACACAGCTTCCTTGGTCTACATTGTACCGTATCAGCTTCTTCTACGCCACACTGTGGCTCGACTATGACTCTTACGTACATCGGCTTGTCAATAACAGATGATAATGGAATGTCTTAGAGATGGACAATACAGGACAGTACGGCTTTATCACTTAATCGGCCCTCACGAACAACGAACGATTTCTGTTCTTGGGCTCTAATTGTCAGCACATGGCAAGCGCCTACAGAACATAGAACCAGATGATATGATCCAGCTAAAAGACGACTTATGAACTGAAGGCTCGGTTCTATACAGCGAAACTCACAAATTGTGCTGACCCCTTGCTTCCATTTATATTCCCAGGTGAGACAGTTTTAGTCAAAATACTTTCTGGCTACACCAGTTCAGTTAGTTAGGTCTCAGAAGGATTTGATGTCGGACTTCTAATCATCTACCGGATGCAAACAGGCAGCGACTTAGCCTTTCTCACATATCCTAAAACAACCATCCGTGATGAAGATTGACTTGGTTACATAGGCTGCTCGCATGATCGCCATATAAGGGCCATGTCTCTGCTTTGTTGCAGCAAATAGAAGCTAGATGATGTGTCAGTCTTCTTCCAGCAGTGAGTTAGCAAGGTAAGATGAAGCACTAACAGGCGTCGTCATCTGTAAAGCCCTGATGTCGCTGACTTCGTATCACTTTCCAGTTTGCTTTGATTGGAGCGCAAATGACTTGGCATAGAGCGGGGAAAGTCGATGCAACTCTGCCGCCATTATTCTTCCTATAGAACTTAATAACCCCCATGGGCACTGTTCTTGTTCAGTCTCCGATTTTCTTCGTTGAGAGAATATCTCACTCCTGGCAATGGGTCCGACAATGGGAAATAACACCGCCGAAGTGCATGCGGTGACCGATCCGGACGATGAAGATACACACGATAGCCTTCTGTCTCTACGATGGACCGTTGAGAGCAGCTGGTGGCGCCGATCCAGGTGGGTGCAAGGCAAACGATGTCAAGGATTTACCTCTGATATATGTCTACAGCTATGCAGGGTGTCTCTTGTACAATGTCGGCTCTTTTCTGCTCCCTGCGTTGTACAACACTCTAGTCAAGATCTGGATTGCGAACATTGACTCTACCTTGGTGGTTACAACGGATGTCTATACTTATATCGGCACTGTTGCAGAAGTGCTTAATGAAGGTCTTCCTCGAGCCGTCTGGGTGACTATCGCCGATCAAGTTACGCGGTCATACGAGTCTCGTCTAGAACTCGCACATACTCTGGTCGCGTTCCAAACAGTCCTCGGTCTGATCATGAGCATAATTTTCACCAGCGCAGCCAATGCCTTCACGGCCACCTTCGTCCCGCACGAGGCCCGGAAAGCAAGTATTACCTATGTTCAAATTAGTGCATTCTCAGCCCTCAGCTCTGCTATAGAAGTTGCAGTATCCAACGTCACAAGGGCTCTGGATAAGCCCGACGTTCCTCTCGTGATTAGTTCAGTCAAGATTGTCGTGAATATTAATCTTGGATCTCCTGATCATATCCAAGTTTCATGTGGGTGGCTGGTCTCCTAATATCAACATGCAGGCTGCGATTCGTCTAAGCTGTGACATGGTCGCGGCTCTTACTGGCCTAGCATACTTCATCCAGACAATCAACTTATCCGAAGAACGACGCAGCTGGCACTGGATTATAAAATTCCCGCGATTTTCTGCCTTCTTAACGCTTCTCAAACCAGGTCTAATCACTTTTGTTGAGTCGGCAGTTCGAAATGCGCTATACCTCTGGTTGGTTGCAGGAATTGTGACGATGTCCGCAGACTATGCTACAGCATGGGGAATATTTACTACAATTCGATGGGGTTTGATCATGGTGCCTGTTCAGGCACTGGAGGCTACGTCTCTCGCTTTTGTGGGGCATTTCTGGGCTATCTTCAAGGGAAATAATATATAAAGTGGGCGCTGGAGAAAACTTGTAAGTAGGTACCAAGTCATCAAGTAGCTTTCGGGTACAAAAACTACATAATGCTTTGTAGTGGTCACGCGACCGGCCTTTCTCTCTGCTGGTATAGCTTTAGCTATCGAAGTACCCCTCTGCATCCTTCTGGCTACTGTAGGGTGCAACCCATTTGCTTACTATCTAAGTCAATCTGAAAGGGTTGCTGAGATTACGGCTCATATGTGGCAGACGATAGACTGGTGAGTTCCCAGTGGCTACAATTTCTGAATTACTGATTGTCCAGATCATCACTCATGCATTCAAGGTGTTACATTCTGTATGCGATCTCTACCCAGCTTGCCACCGTACTGCTGGCCACCCGTCCAATGTGGTATCTTGTGCAGAGTCTCATTTCCAACCTTCTTTACGTCCTTCCTTGGGCAATTGTCTGCCAAGTTGCTGACCTTGATCCTTAAAATGCTTGGACTTATCATAGCCTTGTTTTTGGAGGAAGCCTGGTATTTACGTTCTTGGAGATTTGTTTAGTCATTCTCCTGTGGTTTTGGAGATCTTAATGAAGCTTGTTGGTGCTATACCCCTACATGTATGAAGAACTTTAGGATCACATTACCAGTTTTTGTTTGATGGTGTAAAGGTATATCAGTGGAGGTAACTGTATAAATTGAATATGCTACAAGGGGTTGTCTACGCTATTGATATTAATGAAACGCCAGTTAACCAGCACCAGAATCAACGGGCAAGGAATGTAAAGACCGATGATAAGCATTGTTCAACAAACGCAGGCGGAGGTTAGGATTGCTTCTGTGGTAAATGGCGTACTTAACTACAAGATATCAACTACAAGATGCTATATATGCAACATGTTGCGAGACTGAGTAAATTATGCTAGTAGGGTCGAAGCTTAAGCTTCATAGCATAGAGACTAGCCTACATATCTATTGAAAATCATCTCACTCGTTGTTGAACTCACTGTTCAGTCTGTTCAATGAGGAATTATTCAATCGGGCCGGCTGTTGAACAAAAATCGCAAATTTTGGAATTGGAACTACACTTCTCTGATCAAAGAGAAAATTAATGATAGCATGCTTTTAGTAGAATAAATGATGGAGATAGCTGTATAATATGTTTAACTATAAATTGCTGTATATGTATTTTGCGATATTTAGGCCAGTGGGTAAAATAATTTTGCACGCCAATCACAGCTGACTGTGGGCCTTTGGCGTAAATCTGCCCCCCAAGTCAGTCCTCCATACGTAACTAAGCTAAAGATCACCGAAGTACAAGTATCAAAGCACGAGAAAATCATTATTACTCGGATAAAGGTTCATTTAACATTTAATATGTGAACGGGCGTATAATTCTTGTATATTCTGCTATTATCTTTTTTAGGCAGGTTCTGGGTCTGGTTTTTAACAAGGTCTACTTGCAAATGACGTAGCGGTCGTACTGGTTTTTATGCACGGGATATGCTGTGTCAGCACACTTTCTGCATAACTAGTTCCTATTTTAGAGACTTTCCAGTTCTGTGCTCTTATCTATTCTTGGCTGAGAACAACTTCAGTGAACATTACCTGGATTTCTATTATACCCCCGTCCGTATGACTCACTAAACACCATAGTTATCACCTGCATGCCACCAATTATTCCCTAGGTTGGACATTCCGACTAATAGTTAACTAGGTGTGCTATGGGTGGCGATGAGTAACGATTTTCCGGGTCGGAAGATAGTAAAGCCGAAAGTAGCCAATCTCTAATGCCATTACTGAACATAAACTAGCCAAGCACCTTTCAGTCATTATAAGAACCGCTATCTCTCCTCGATGTCTTGGATCAAACACGAATTAAATACAAACTTCTTCACTCACAAGCCTGAGAATCAAAGGATTCACGACATTCTTAGATTACAATGGCTGTTCCGCATCACCGGCACTGTTTATCGTTGGAAGGGGTGATCGTTCCTGAACCGCAATACTTGACGCCAGAAGAGCATGACAAAGCTACTGAGCTTTTTAACATGATCATCGATTATTTCGAGCCTCTGCAGAAATCTAGTAAGAAGTACAAACCGATAACACTTATACGCCTTACGATGGAGGGGATCTCTGTTGAAGACGAGTTTCTTATTTTCTTTTTCACTTTCATTGAGCACAACCGACTTGGAGTCACAGAAGACACGGAAATTTGCCTAGCTGAGACCTTATCAAGTGTGCAAAGTTTTCAGGGATGGACCGATGAAGAACGACATGCCCTTGATGATAGTTTGGTCAAGTTTGCTATGTATCTGATAGAGAATTTCTTCCTACCACGTATATCACTGATACATACCTGAAGTGTGGGATACTTACCTTTCCTAGTTAAAGCATTGGCCGCAAAGACTCCTCAACCTACGCCGGCATCTGTTTCTCATCTCAAATCGTCAGAACTAGCTATTGGCACCCCGCAACGCGTCTCTAATCTGCGGCATCTCTGTCTTAAGCGTGATCGACATCGATGTGTTATAACCCGAAAATTCGACGCTCTGGAGGGTGAAACGCGGTACAATACCTATGGAGATGAAGTGACAGATAATGACGGGAATTCTTTACTGCCAGAGAGCGATGACATGACCTATCTAGAAGTGGCGCATATCATTCCTCATTCTCTCATGTCTTTCAGTGACCTTGAAGGAGAGCCGAAACTGGTACGTCACTATATATATGATCTTTTGCTGACCCATTTGTAAGACTGAGCGAAAGCATATAGCCCACAAGATTCTCAAAATGTTCAACCCCACAGCTCTCCACTTGATCAGCGGGACTGATATTGACCGACCGATGAATGCGCTCACCTTGACTCATGACCTTCATAGATTGTTCGGTAATTTTGAAGTTGCATTTGAACCAGCCCAGAATCAAGCACACACATACAGGATTGACTATATGAAGACCAAACGCATCTGGCGAGCCTACAAACTTCCTGTTACCCGCAAGCTCTACGTCACCCCCGACAGAAATATCGAGCCGCCTTCTCCTCAACTTTTGGAAATACATCGTGCTATCGGGCACATTCTTCATCTTAGTGCCGCAGGTGAATATATCGATCGAGTCATTCAGGACATGGAAAACTTGCAGGTGGGGCCAGTGTGCTCGGACGGGTCTTCTCGCATTGGTGAATATATCAATTATAGACTTGCGTCTCAACTTGGCTGGACGCATGTTTATTAGGGATTGGCGTGTTGTTGATAGTGACAGAACTGTTTCAGGAGTTTACCAGGAATTATTCATGTTACTCTCTTTAGCTCAGGAAGCTGTCCCTTTCCTGGTCGTTGAAACTGATAGGCGCCGTCGATCCCTGGATTGATAGATCCTCACAGTATTAGATGCCCGTCTTTATCAAAACCCTCCGTGCGTTTGCCGGAAGGCATACAGCTGATGATGAGTCGTCATTCTGACCCTTCGCTTTAGGCGATATGGAGGGTACCACTATATCTTATATGTACTTCCATTCACAGTGGACCATTACTTTCCTGACTAACTTGTAGTCTCAACAAGGCCGTCCCATCACTGATTAGGTACTAGCCAACAGGGATTGCCAGTTACATCGCTATCATGTGACAGAATACCAGAGACTCCCAAGGTGTTTCTTCATGGTCACGCTCTGGGCTTTCATATATATGTAGGGACGATGTGTGGCTACTCGCGAAACAGGTAATCCAGTTCACATCAACGCTGGAGTTCGGGCATCAAGCGGATGGTTGGCTGCGCCTCAGTGGCTTAAACTCATCTGGAGGAGGTAGAGCCAACAAGAACCCTAGAACTGACTCTGCAATCTTCGATTCCCTCGTGAATAATAGCATCGCAGTGACGTATCAACTGGATTAAGGTAGTCAGTTAAAGCAATGTTCCGCGTCACATGAGTAGGATGGCCAATGATATTAAGATTGACTAGGACCGTGTACGAGGTAAATCAGAATACGAATCAGAGCGGCCAAAGAACTTGCCAGGGCCAGTATTGCTTTCGAGAGATACCCATACAGGTATCTGCAATTTTAGATACAAAAGGTTGGCATACATCCCTATTTATTATAGCCCTGATACATTGATTGAACATGGACGTTCTATTTTGTGTATTTAGGTCACGGATGTCTTTATCTACACCGCTTTCAAATACATAGCGAAGGACACCGACCCGAAACCCTCGCGCAAAAAGTGTGTTGTGTAAGGGGCAACACATTGCATGGAGCAATGCCTGCCCCAGGAGACGGAGAACAGGCTAGAATCGAGCAAGCTCGGAAATCTCGGCCTCTTCGACAAAAGGTTGGAACAAGACGATTGGGAATGGGAAGACGGTATCGAAGTTGCACGTGATGGATTGGTTTATCCAAAAATAAGTCCAGATGGTATGTATGTATTGCCAAGTACGGCAAGCTAATACCGCCATTCCGCAACAATAAATTTTTCGATTTTTTTGCGGGCAGAATTCCTAATTAGGACTAGTCTTGAACTATATAATATTATTATATAATATTATATTACTATATTAAGGTAATCTTACTACTCTACCTCTATTTAGGAGTATCACGTGTTATTACATAACCCTGTATCATAGTTAATCTGCTCCGGTGGAGATCCTTGGTTGCATCATATCAGTAGTATAATATATTTTATCTAGCATGGATAAACTAATTACCCGTAAGTTATATAAGAGGTAAGAATTTTAATTTTAAAATCTAAATACTCTGGGTTCGACCCCTATCTATATTAAAATTACTTGGGATATCTTAAAAGGTCAATTAGGAGGTCAATTAGGAGGTTGATTAGGAGGTCGATTAGGAGGTTGATTAGAAGGTCAACTAGAAGGTCAAGTCAACTAGAAGGTCAAGTCAACTAGAAGGTTGACTAGGAGGTCGACTAGGAGGTCAATTCGGAGGTCAATTAGGAGGTCGATTAGAAGGTCAACTAGAAGGTCAAGTCAACTAGAAGGTCGACTAGGAGGTCGACTAGGAGGTCAATTCGGAGGTCAATTAGGAGGTCGATTAGAAGGTCAACTAGAAGGTCAAGTCAACTAGAAGGTCGACTAGAAGGTCGACTAGGAGGTCGACTAGGAGGTCGATTCAGAGGTTGATTAGGAGGTCGATTCGGAGGTCGATTCGGAGGTCAAGTCAACTAGAAGGTCGACTAGGAGGTCGACTAGGAGGTCAATTCGGAGGTCAATTAGGAGGTCAAGTCAACTAGAAGGTCAAATCAACTAGAAGGTTGACTAGGAGGTCAATTCGGAGGTCAATTAGGAGGTCGATTAGAAGGTCAACTAGAAGGTCAAGTCAACTAGAAGGTCGACTAGAAGGTCGACTAGAAGGTCGACTAGGAGGTCGACTAGGAGGTCGATTCAGAGGTTGATTAGGAGGTCGATTCGGAGGTCGATTCGGAGGTCAAGTCAACTAGAAGGTCGACTAGGAGGTCGACTAGGAGGTCAATTCGGAGGTCAACTAGAAGGTCAAGTCAACTAGAAGGTCAAGTCAACTAGAAGGTTGACTAGGAGGTCAATTCGGAGGTCAATTAGGAGGTCGATTAGAAGGTCAACTAGAAGGTCAAGTCAACTAGAAGGTCGACTAGAAGGTCGACTAGAAGGTCGACTAGGAGGTCGACTAGGAGGTCGATTCAGAGGTTGATTAGGAGGTCGATTCGGAGGTCGATTCGGAGGTCAATTAGAAGGTCAACTAGGAGATCGATTCAGAGGTTGATTAGGAGGTCGATTAGGAGGTAGGTTGAAAGTACGGAGTATGACTAGAGAACTCACTAGGTCATAGTTAATTATATAATATAATATAGTAATATATCTCGTACAACATCAAATATATGAATCTAGCAGGCGGTTGTTGTAGCGGTCAAAGGTCTTAGTGAGAATTTTGATTGTTGCGGAGTGGCGGTATTAGCTTGCCGTAGTAAAGTTTTCTCCGCTTTCTGCTACTCACATGGTGCAAGTTTCAAACGGGGCGTTTTTATGCCAAATACTCATTTCATGCAAGAGATAACACGGCGCTCCTTTGATAATTACCTGGACGCAATCGATAATGGCCAAGCTGCAGCTTGTCCTCTTTATTTGACCATCTCAAAAGGGAAGCAAGCGTGCGTCATATGAGAGCTGGATAATAACCCTTCGAAGGCACTGCAATACCAAAGTCCTTGACCTTGTATCGAGAGCGAGATTCATGATTTACCCTTCAGCCCTCACATCCTATGACTTTGCAAGGTATGCTCCCTGTTTAACATGGCCTTTATACAACATCAATAAGTATGCAGCTCATAATGAGTAATGTTCGGAGCCAACTCTGATAGAATGGGAAAGTGTTTCCACATGTATTACCATTGGCTTATGGGATTGATCGGCGCTCATCCTGCGAAGATAAAACAAATAGTCCTCGAACAGGCCTAGATCAATTCATTGCTTTTGTCAATATATTGGTGCATCCAACATTACCGACAGGCCGCTGGCTCCGAATTCCGCCCCGAGTGGTGTGGCTTGTCTAGCTATTGACAGCGTAAGGATTATGATGTCGGCTCTCAGTGTCTCGTCGGCTCTGGGTGCTCTGATCGATGTCTACGATCGTTATGCTTTCCCTTTCCAGACATCTTTATTTTAAATAGAGTTTTCGGCTGGGTGCTTTCTGCGACTATTCTCATACCGCCCCCAGAAGAATGGTTGGAAAAGAACCCTTATAATGAAGCATTCTTTGATAATTCTGAGGGGTGGATGGACTGCTAGATGAGATCCAACGACGAGATCTCTGGATCAGACTTGATGCTGCTCGTGATTGGATGCCACAAGATGAAGAGAGGACGGCCTCTGGTATAGGAATAGAAGTTGTGCAATCATCTGAGATTTCTTTTGGCATTGCAGTTCCCTACAGATAGAGTTGCTTTCATTGATGAGGATATTTCTGGCACAATCAGAGATTTGGAAATAACGTGAAACATAAGGGAAATCGCTGGGCCAGATGTGGCCTGACAAAGGTGTGGTACGGCTAGAGCACATTATGAAGTTGATAGGCGTCAAAAGCAAGCAAAGACGAAGCTGATTGACAGCTAGCATATCTGACCTTTTGGTCCAATGGTTTAGACATGTTGCCCGAATCGCATGCTCTTACACAGACCTGATGTCTGATCTGCCCGAATCCCACCTTATATACCTAGCAATCATTGCCTTGGCACCAGTGCACCTAGTGCACGCCGTGACAATTACTAATAAAATTAGAAGTTCTAGTTATTACTAGTAATATCTAGAACTTCTAGTACTACTAGCCCTACTAGTAATAACTAGAACTTCTAATTTTACTAGTAATTACTAGTAGTACTAGAACTTCTAGATATTACTAGTAATAACTAGATATATATTCTACTGTAATATACCATGAAAAGTATACCATACTAAATCTTGTCTTGTGTAAGCGTCTTACTGGCGAGGCGCTTGAGTATGGGTAGTGTTGGTAAAGGAAGCAAAGCTACATAGAGTACAAGAATAGTAGGAAGGTATTAGAAGTAATAAAATAAAGTGCTTGCCTCTTAGTACTTCAGGGGTTATTATATTACTATTTATATTATCTAGTTAAGTTACTGGTATAGTATAGGTAACTTAAATATTACTATTCTCTTAATTACTCTTAATTACTAGATATATAGTTTAATATATAGTTTAGCATGTAATTATATATTATATAATTACTATAATAATTATTTCTTCTTCTCTTAATAGTGTATCCACGTGCTATATATACTATACCTAATCTAGCTTGGCACTTTATTAAGAAGGAGCTAGTCCTAATTAATATAATATAATCTACTTTTTTATTTAATATTAAAAATAATAATAATATATATAATACTATCTTTATTAATTATACTTTATTAAATAAGATATAAATAGTATTATATTTTACTTTAAATAAAATAATAAATAAGAATAAATAATTTACTAGATATATTAATAATAAATAAAGATATTATTATAATATAAATATTATAAGAAAATATTTCTTTATATATATTTTTTTTAATTTAATCTATATTTTAAAAAGTTCTTCCTAATAAATTAATATATTATACTAGATAGGTTATTATTACTTAAATATTATAGTAATAACTAATTATATTATAAATTTTATAGCTTCCTTAAAGTATTCTTTATTAGGTACTATACTAGTTATATCTCTATAAAAAAGAGTTTATTTAACTATTATTATTTTTTTCTTTATAAGTACCTTTATTCTAATAATATAAATCTATTATATTAACTATTTATAGGCTCCTATAATAAATCTCCCTATATTTATATTAATTATAGTACTTATAATCCTTATTATTACTAGTATATTTCTTATAATTCCTGCTATTACTATTTTATTATCTAGTAGGACTATATTTGTCACGGTGCGAAGCCGTAGTACCTATCTAGTTAGATTCTGCCTTGACTGTCCACCCTTATTCCTGTATTTAAGCCATGTTGTCCTTGATCCTGTTATAGCTCTTCAAGCTATGTCCTGTCTATTACCTGATACCTACTATTCTACTATTCTATCTAGTTAGCTCCTAGTTAATAAATATCTAAATCTAATTCTGCCTCCTAATATTACATAGCTCCTCTCTACTAGGAGTTAATTGCTGCTATTATACCTACCTTACTACTTATACTACCTAAAAGTATAGAAACCCTCCTATATAATACTCCTGATAAATTAAGATAGTATATTACTAAAATATACTAGTTCTCTACTATTACTATAGAAGAACTCTATAAATTATCTATCTTATACTCTATTATTACTAATCTTCTTAATTATATTTAATAGAAAGATAGTATAATTAAGTACTAGAAGATATAAGTTAAAGAAATCTAATAGGAGCTATTTAAAGTACTTACTTAGAATAGTATATCTTTTTAATTACTATCTCCTTCTAAAAGAAATACTAATATTACTACCTTTCTTACTACTATTACTACTCTTACTATATCTATTCCTACTACTTAAACCTTTAAATAACTTTCTGACCCTAATAAGTTTAATAGTTAATAAAGTAATTTAAGATACTTTACTTTTTAAATCTGCTAGAAGATAATTATAAATCTTAATTATTTTTTAACTCTAAATAGTAGAATAGCTTATATAACTAGTTACTTTAAAGGAACTTTATATATCTAAATCTTATTATATATTTAAGATAGAATCTATAAACTAAGTAATTATATTAAGATTTTAGAAATCTTAGAGAAAGCTTTTAGAAACCTAAATCTAAAAATTAATACTTATACTAACTTATTTTATTTTTAATAAATTTATTATAAGTTTAGTATTTTTTTTACTAAATTTTAATACCTTATATTAGAAAAGAATATAAATAAAGATATCTTATCTATAATTCTAGAATAGGCTATTAGCTAAGAATTTTAAGAGATATTAATATATTTTAAGGCCTTATTA